GTTTCACGATTTCGATCGATTTCTTTGTGTGTGTGTGTGCTGGCTGCTATATGCTTTTTTTTTAGCGCATTAGCATAAATGCAAATATGGGCCCGGAAATGAGAGAGAGAGAGAGAGAGGGCTCATGCCGATTGCACACCAACACATCCATTCGTTTATCACGGTCACTGAAAGTGCGTCAAAACAGTAACTTGGTCAGAAGACTCAAAACCTGGAAATTTAGAGTTCAGATATCGTTAAACTGTAAAATTAGGTCATCCTTGTCCCTTCCGGCTTCTTCTTCTTCTTCTTCTTCTTCTTCTTCTTCTTCTACCCGCCAACCTAAACCTCCACACGCCTAAAAGCCTCTCCGCCCCGTGCTTTTTGCTGTGTTTGCATTCGGAACACACACACACATTTTCAGTGTTTTTCGGGCGTCCATCCATCCATCCATCCATTCTCTCTCTCTCTTCCGACTTTTCATTGCCATGGGACTGCCAGGATCCGCGCGCGCGCTCTCTCTCTCTCTCTCTCTCTCTCTCGAATTTCGATGGAAAAGAGAGAGAGAGAGAGAGAGAGGGACTGACATTTGACGCTTTTTGAGTGATTTTCTCTCTGCGCTCGTCCCCCTATTTTGTTCGTTTTTCAGAGGGGGACCGGACGTATACTTTCGGGATATTATCGGTCAAGTTTCGGGACCTTTTTCTCTTGACCTAGCGACCTAATCGCCTACTTTTCAGCATGTCATTTGACCTAGACCTAAAGTTTTGCCGTGACCTACTTTCTGTTTGACCTATTGACCCCGTGACCTACTTTCTGTTTGACCTATTGACCCCGTGACCTACTTTCTCCGGCGTTTCCACCAGAGTTGAGCGGAAGAACTCAACGGAAGAATACGAAAGAATTTTTATCTTTTTTAGAAAATTTTTTCATGAAATGTGATCAACTGACGAAATGTATAGAAAAGTGAACTCTGATCATAGAAAAATAATTGTAAATTTAGCTGTTCATGCAAAAAAGTTATTCGAGTTGTTCCGTGAAAATGTCCTTCCGTCTTCCGTCTCGAATAACTTTTTTGTATGAAAAGCTAAATTTACAATTATTTTTCTATGAACAGTGTTCACTTTGCTATACATTTCGTCAGTTGATCACATTCCATGAAAAAATTTTGTAAAAAAGATAAAAATTCTTCCGCGTTCTTCCGTTGAGTTTTTCCGCTCAACTGGTTTCCGCCCACTCGATTCCCATTTTATCATCCCATTCCGCTCCGAAATCGTTTTCCGATCATTTCTTCCTCTCTCTCTCTCTCTCTCTCTCTCTCTCTCTCTCTCTCTCTCTCTCTCTCTCTCACCGCCCTCTTTCCGTAGTTTCTCATAAAGCGAGCCGAAAACGCCGGCGAAATCTATTTTTGACATATTTTCCGATGAAATTCTATATTCTTTCTACACCGACGCACCGCTAAACCTTTGGCGATGGACTTTTGAAAAAAGGTTCCGCACGGCGACGAAAAACCTAGAAAGGGGCGTGGTTTATCACCATTTTGGCGCGAAATTCGAAATTTAACCCCCCGATTTTTCACATGTTTTTCGTCAAAAATTACCCAAATTTTGTACGGGTTTCGACGAATTGCGGCAATTTTCAAAAAAACGCGTCTCAGATTAGGCCACGCCCCTTTCTACACTTTTGGCGCGCCGTGGAATTCCGTGGAATTGCGGAACATTAATTTCAAATGAAAAATGTCTTCTTTCTCTCTCTCTCTCTCTCTCTCTCTCTCTTGCGTTTTTTGCAGAAAACGGATGCTAGGAGAGGGCACTTTTCTCCGTTCCTGTCCATAAATTTTTCATCACGCCACCACGCACCTCTCGCTTTTTTGCGCACAACAAAACGCGAGTATACTGTAGGGACGGACATACATCCAACACGCCACACTTCCGGAAAATCGAGATTTGTGCTCGGGCGGTGAGCGAGCGAAAATCTCAAATTAATGGGTGTCAAATCCGTGCCTAATGATGATCTTGCGCGCGAGTCTCGGAGGAGACAGCGCCACCACCGCATCCGAAATTCCAAGTACCTCAATCCGTCGGCCGCCCACTCACAAACTCCTGTCTGCGTCTCTGGAAATTATAATAATTGTCTTTCTCCTCCTCTTCTTCTTCTTCTTCTTCTTCATCTTCTTCTTCTTCTTCTGCTCTTCAAGCTTTAGCATAATTAGTTAGGGCTCTTCCGAGAGGCCCCTGCCCCCCTGAGAGAAGAAGAAGAAGAAGAAGAAGAAGAAGTTTCCCCACTCATTTTCTCATTCCGTGTTTTCCAATCTTCTCCGTTTCTGTACGTGTGTGTGTATTACTATTATTCATTTCTAGTTGTGTGTGTCTCTCTCTCTCTCTCTCCACAAACAAGCAAACACGAATGATAGAAGAGGAGGCGAACGAGCACGACCACTAGGCCCCCTGCTCCGATGTACTTGAATCGGGAAGACCGTAAGTTTCACCGGAGATCTGATCTGTGCACATTTTCGGCTCAACCGCATCCAGAAGACGCGTCGGACGCGCCTCTTTGTTCCCCGGTTTCCCCTGCCCACCAGAGTTGAGCGCGGAAGAACTCAACGGAAGAACACGCAAGAATTTTTATCTTTTTTAGAAAATTTTTTCATGAAATGTGATCAACTGACGAAATGTAGAGCAAAGTGAACTGTGCTCATAGAAAAATAATTGTAAATTTAGCTTTTTATACAAAAAAGTTATTCGAGACGGAAGACGGAAGAACATTTTCACGGAACAACTCGAATAACTTTTTTGTATGAAAAGCTAAATTTACAATTATTTTTCTATGAGCACAGTTCACTTTGCTCTACATTTCGTCAGTTGATCACATTCCATGAAAAAATTTTCTAAAAAAGATAAAAATTCTTCCGCTCAACTCTGCTCTCGCTCCGAAACCAGGATGTTTTTTGCTCATCTAGACGCTCACAGAAGCGCACAATATCCCATTCGGATGGGCATTTTGAAGAATTGAAGGTGTACAATAGTTTTTTAGCCGGAAATTCGAGCCGGCAAGCCGCTTTTTGCCGCTAAAATCCATCCGGAAAGGTCGGGTTTTCGCCGCTCGCCGACACTCTTCGAATCGCACAATATCTCTGCACGTTTTCGTTTTCGACGAATGAATGAAGTTTCGACGGGAGGGAGGGCACTAGCCGTCCATCTCAAAAAGCACTAGTCACTTTCGCCCTTTTTCCCCCGATCGGCTCACAGGCTCACATGGCCTCCACCACGGCCGGATTTCAACTCTTTTTCCCCGTCGATATCAACGGTGGTGAGTCGTGAGGCGTTTTCGATGCATTTTTGATCTTTTTGATCATTGAGAGTTTTTCACCGACTTTTTGCACCAAATTTCACTCGAAAAAATGGTAGATCGAGCTCATTTCTGTGCCGTGATCAAAAACTGAAACTCAAAGAGTACGTGTGTGTGTGTGTGTGTGCACCGCGAGAAGCCGCTAGAAAATGTGATTGGCCGTTATCAGGCACATGATGATTGTGTTTGAACAGGACTGAAAATAAATGAATTGGATTGGGTGGGTGGGTAAACAGCGCCGCCTGCTCTTTTCCGTTTTTGCGCACCGAAAATACGATTATGTCCACTTAATTTGTTGCAATTTGTTGCAAGACTTACAAATTCTGCAATTTTCCCTCATTTTTTCAACAAAAAGTGCTCAGTTTTTGTGATTTGATGACGGGCGGCCTAGGATCCCAAACTAGTGGCCTAACTCTCCACTCTCTCGTGCCAATTCGCTCTTCGCAACTTGAATGCACTTTGTTGTGGCGCCACGTCACGATTGTATCGAAAATGTGCGCCCACGCTTTATATGCGCATAAAAAGCCGGTCAGAACACGCGGTTTTTGATGTAGACCCGCAATAGTTCCTTGTTTTTGGGCCTAGGATTACTGTAGACGGCCTAGGATCCCAAAAAACCCTCGTTTTCACGTTTTTCGATACATTTTCAATGTTAGCGATACTGTAGGTCTCAAAGATCACAAGGGAGGCAGCAGATATCATCCATCCACATCTCGCCTCGCAAATCCCTTTTACCCCAACAACATTCTCATCTTCTTTTCTTGAATGTTAGGAATGCTCAAAGCAGAGAGCCCAAACACATTTTTGCAACGAAAAGAATCCGAGAAGGATTAGTATGCCACGTCATTGTCAACTGCGATATTGTCGGGTTCTTGGAATGTGTCAAGGGAGGCCAAAAAGGCCTAGAAACTCCTAGAAAGTCTGGAAAAGCCTAGAAACCTACAGACATTCCCATCACATCATACTGTTTGTCCCCCCTCTTTTTTTTTATTTTTCGTCTTCAATGCCCTTTCCCCTATTCCGGGTCAAAAACAGCGCATGAGGAGGGAATTGGAGTGCCGAGCCCCCAATATTGTTGATCCTCGCGAACAAGTGTTATGGAAATTGAACAAAAAGAGGCAAAACACTATTTCCCTAGCCTTGCCTTCCATTTTTGATCATGTCTGTGTCCTGAAAGGCCTAAAAAAGCCTCGGAAGGGCCTGAAAGAGGCCTAAAACTGCAAAATTACCTAAAAACCGGCCTAAAAGTGCCTGTCCCACCCCCCATGCCCCGGAGGCGTTAGTCATCCCACAAATTGTAAGATTCCCACGAAGAAGCAGCCCCCCGCATCTCGAATTTCAATCTGTTTATGTCTTTCGGAGCTCTTTTTGCGCGCGTCGGCTCTCAACGAGCAATCGATGAACAGGAGCCGGAAAGAGAGAGAGAGAGAGAGAAGAGGGAGCAGAAGACGACGTCGGTGCCTAATTTGTGTGTGTGTGTGTGTGTGACGGAGCCAGAGAGAGAGAGAGAGAGAGAGACGGAGCAAGATCTCCGACGCCTCCGCCAGAATCACACTATATCGGACGGCGAGGAGGCGGAGTGTCAGAAGCAGAAAGAAAGAAAGAGAAAGAATTTGGCGGCCCCCATTCTGCGCCCTTTGCCCCCCGTCTTACCTACCCCATATTCGCTGATAATGTTCTCGCGAAGAGCGTCGCCGTCGCCGAGCATTCCCACCGCCAGCTCCTCTGCGTTTTCCATCTCGAACCTCGCCAACAACAACAACAATAACAATAACAACAACAATAGTAACTGTAATAATGGCGGAGATACTGTCGCCTCGGGTTTTCCGCAAATTCCGCCGACGCCTCGCCGCGTACCGCCCAAAATCGGGCTTTTGCGCCATTTGAGCGGGTTTTTGGAGTCGAAGAAAGGTCAGTTTTGTGGTGAGGAGGCCGTCTTTTCAAGTTTTTCCACTGCTTGGACTTTGCCGCTATGCTCTCGTCTTTTGTACGGATTCTTTTCCGATTGTGATGTACGATTTTTGGAAAAACGACTATTGTAGGCCCGATTGGTTTCCCCTCCCCCTCTCTTCTTTTCTGTGTACTCTTCGGGTGAGAGCTCACCTCGGAGCTCCAGAAGAAGAAGAAGAAGAAGAGGGGAGGGGGGGAAACAATTTCAAAATGAGCACATGAGGGGAAGAGTGCGGGGAAATGAGAAATGAGCAAAAAAAGAAGTGGTTGTTTGCAGATCTGATGAATGATTGGGAAATCGGTGGCACGCAGAACAAATGGGTGTGTCCCAGCGATCGACATTTGCACCTCAGAGCACAGTGAGTTTTTGAGCGTTTTGGACGCTCCAGAATCGTTTTGGAGGCGGTCTGGAGGAGTGTGAGAAGACTAAAGTGTTACTGAAACGTCCCGGAGATGTTGCAATCCTTCTGAACGCTTCTGGGGGGTTTTGAAGAGTTCTGGAGACTCCTAGACACTTTAGAAGGTCACAGACTGATGCTAAAGTCACTTTTTCTCATTCCCAGATGATTGTAAGCCAAAAGTTTCAGACTGAAATCCGGATGGTCGGTGCGAACAGCGACAGCGAGGTCGCCGACCAACTCGAAGGCCCAAACGGGAACGATAACTCAGGCGGAGCAGGAGCACATTCAGAGGGTACTCGCAAAGGCCGAGGAGAGCAAGAACAAAGAGTCGCAGCGGATCGGGTACGCTTTTTGACGGATTTTGGAAGTTTGAGAACTGTTCTTGTTGATGCTGTTATAAAAAGCGATGTATCTCAGCTGGGGGTGGAGATATCAAAATGATATCAACTGATAAAATGCTCACAATTTCCTAATGAACATTTTATCAGTTGACAACTTTTTGATATCTCCATCGGCAGCTGAGATACATCGTCTTGAATGGACAATATTGGAAATTGCGTTGAACGTTCACAAAGATCTCTGAAACGTTTCGCCCACAGAAACGTCACTTTCTGCCTCTCTCTCCATTTTCTCATCCACAAATCTTCACACAAATCCTTGCCGCCGAATTCGCTCATTTCGAATTCTGTCGTAAAAGAGAGGATTTATCTCTCTCTCTCTCTCTCTTTCTGCTTGAATTATTCACACGTGCGCAGAAGAGAGGACACGTTTTTTCTAGAAAAACGGCGGCGGCGGGAGCACAAAGAATCGTCTGAAATTGGCGCAGGGGTCTGGGAATAATCATCCCCAACCAACTTTCTTGCAGCAAAATGGTGGACCGGCTCGAAAAGATGCGTCGCCGAGCGACCGGGAACGGCGTGACGCACTGCCTCCTCTGCCACACCGAATTCGGGCTTTTGGCCTCGAAGAGCTACGCGGCCATGTGTGTCGACTGTCGGAAGGTTAGTTAGTGGTCCCGAGCGGTTCATGATTGTTGGGGTGTGTTTGCAAATCGCTAAGCGGATAATCTTGGGGCTTCCCGAAAAGATTACACGAGCCGAGCGCATTCTGTGTCTATTTTGGTATCAATGAAAGTTGAGGAGAAGAATCAGGGTCTATAAGGTCAAATTCTTGTAAAAGTAGGTATTTTTCTTGCCCTTTTCCCCATTTCACGGTCTCCAGAGCTTACCGGCCGAATAGAGCGATACATTGGCGCGAAATTTGTGTTTTTTGCCAGATTAGCCACGAAAAACCGATAATTTCTCATTTGTCTCTCGATAGACCGATTGTATAGGCTATTACGCATTTTTTAAGCGCAAGAGCGTTAAATTTTTTAATAATAACTCATTTATTCTCTTCAGCCACCTAGGAATAAAATTACAAATTTGGTCAAATTTGGTCTAGTCGTAAATCACATTTATCCGTTTGAAGGTTTTTGGCTAAAACTGCATGAATTTCAGTTGTTTTTCGGTAATTTTCGCGGTTCGAGCGCTCAAAATGCTTGTATTTACGTGATTTATCATTCTCAAAACCAATTCTGTCTGAAAACGGTCAAGAAAGCGCAAAATGAGAAGTGCCACGGCGAGCAAAAGTGTAGAAAGGGGCGTGGCCTAATCTGAGACGCCGCGTTTTCTGAAAATTGCCGCAAAATTCCAGCACACTTTTCCGATATTTTTGTGTGTTGATATCGACGAAAGAAAAGAGACATTAAAGAGAGAAAACATTGCAAATTTTCGTGAAAACGCCGCCCGTTTGAGACGTTTTTGGCATCATTCGCAATACGCTCTCCGCCGCAATTTCCGAATTTTCATAGCGGCCGATGTGGATCGGTTTTGAGACGAAGTGAGTGTCGGAAGTGATTAAGCACACGTTAATACAAGTATTTTAAGCGTTTAAGCGGCAAAAAGTGGCGGCGAATGACTGAAATTCGCGCATTTTCAGCACAAAACTTGAAAATCGATTTAATTGATTGAATTTCTGAATGAAACCTGCTCGTTTTAAGCTCTCAAAAAGTGCGCGATGATTAGTTTAACGAATTTATGCAATTAAATTGCCGAAACCCGTACAAAATTTGGGTAATTTTTGACGAAAACGAAAAACGTGAAAAATAGAGTTAAATTTCGAATTTCGCGCCAAAATGGTGATAAACCACGCCCCTTTCTACGTTTTTCGGCGCCGTGAGTGCGGTTTTTAGGCGGCGAAGGCGAAATGCGCGAAATGCGCGAAAAATGCGCCAAAACGTCATCATTAATTCTGAGAATTAGTGTGTTTTCATGTCGAACAATCACTTTTCATCGCCGTTGACCACAAAAATCAGAGAAAATCAGCTTAATTCATGAAAACGCCATTTGGCCATTTGGGACATAGCTCTGAAGACCGTGATTTGTCAATGCCTTCAACGATTTTTTGCAGTACGTGTGCCAACGCAACTGTGGCGTCGAAACGACGGATGTGAATCCGACGAACGGAAAAGTGGAGACGGTGTTCCTGTGCAAAATATGTTCGGAAGCCAGAGAGGTGGTTAGTGGTTTCTGCTGGATGTCCGCGTCTCTCTTTCTCTCTCTTTCTCTCTCTCTCTCTCTTTTAGTCCCTTTCTCAAGAGAGAGAGAGAGAGAGAACGTCTTCTTCTTCTTCTTCTTCTTCTTCTGTCCAATGTGTCCACTGTCCTGTTGTTTTTTTCGATTTGTTTCCCGTGCGTGCTCCCACCTTCCGCCTATCCTTCTTCGTGTCCTGGCCCCTTCCCTCGCCCGTCTGTCTTTCCCCTATCCAAACGTTTTCCGTTTTCCTCAACATTTCCACATTTTGCAGTTGTGGAAAAAGTCGGGCGCGTGGTTCTACAAGGAGATGCCCGAGTTTCAGCGGCCCGACGACCGGATGCCCGTCTACATTCCCGCTCACGCGAACGGCACGCTTCCGAACGCGACGTCGGCGACGACGCCGCTCTCCGGCGCCGGTCCCCAGCCGATGACGATGCCGTCGACGTCTTCGTGCCAGATGACGACGCCGAAATGGGCCGGCGGGCCGGGGGGACCCGGCTCAGGAGGCTCGATGGTCAACGGAGGCGGTGCCGGCTCGCCGATCGCCAACGGAACGAGAAGATCCACGGCCACAAACGGGGGAATCGACTTTCCGAGGTGTGTGAGCTTCGAGATTACTCTACTTTGCATGCTTCGCTTTTCCCCCTAACCCGAATCCGCTTCAGCTCGAGCCGTCCCAGCATCTGCTCTGTGCTTCAGGCCATCGAACCGCTTGAAAGGTTGTTTTTTCTTTCTTTCTTTTCTTTTTCTTTTTTTGGTTGCTCTCTAACCCTAACCGCCATTTATTTTGGAAATTCAAGCGTAATCATTTTCAGATCGAAATCGCCGCGACCGCGGATACAGCCGAAATGGGTGAACGAGAAGGTGATGAGCAGTATGTCGGTGGACGACGAGGAAAAAGCGGCGTGAGTTTGGGAACGTTTAGAGCATTGACCGACACGTGTCTTGCAGCAGTTCCTCGGACGGCGAGTCGTTCATCCAATCGGGCATCCCTCGCAAACACAAGACGCCGCCGGCCGCCATCACCACTTCGCCGGCGCCTCCGCCCACCTCGACGACCCCGACGTCCCGACGAGAGACCAATCTCGAGCGGTTCTCGCGGCAGGCACAGCAGGCCGCACAGCACCGAATGTACAGCACCGACGACGACGACTCGTCGCCCGAATCGCGGCCGTCGACTCGATCCACGTCGCCGCGGCACTCGCTCGCCACTCCGTGCTCCTACACGTGCCACGAGACGGCGCTGCCGGACGCCGACACGCGAAGCATTGACAGCGGAGGTAACTGCCCAGCGTGTCAGTTGATTTTTAGGCCCTTTTCTTCGCTCGATCTTCGTTAATCGGCCCCGAATCGTCGTCGTTTTCAGTCGTGCAGTCGGATCACTCGAATCCGCAGCAAAGCGGCGGTCTCACGTGCTCCTCCTCGTCGCTGACGCCTCTTCAGCAGCAGGCAGGCCACGTGGATGGACGGACGTCGCCGAGAAGGATCTCGAATCCGGATAGGCCCACGTCGAGGGTCGCGCAGAGTGCTTCAGGTGAGGCTTGGGGGGTTGTGATCGAGCTTTTCGAGATTCTGTGCCGGTCCTAGTCCCCCGAGCGATGCACCATGTGGTCCTAGAACCTTCAGCGGTTCTAGAGCACCCAAATAACGTTTTAAACTCAACTTGGCACAATCGATCGATGCCCCATACAATCCCAGACACTTTCCCTTGTATCAATCGTTCCCGTTCCAGGCACCTCCCTGGTGACACCGCCGCCGGCCGCCGCCTCCCGAATGAGCCCCGACCCTAGGGTTCCGAGCCCGTCCGCCGCCATCCACGAGCACAAGACCTCAAATGCGAGCTCCGCGAGTTCGGGCGGCCGACGAACGGATCCATCCGCCCATAGAATCACGAACCAATCGAGTCGGGCCGAGAGCCCCGCTTCCGCCTTTTTGAGCTCTCCCGACGACGAGACCAGTGAGTTCTTTGTGTTTTTTTTTTTCTTCTGATTCCGGACCTGCGGTGTGGGTGGTGCGTGGGCGTGGCCTTCTCTAACTCCTTCTCCCTCTCTCCCGCTCTAACCCGCCCCTCGATTTCAGAACAACGAACGCGTCGACGTGACGGCGTCGGACGCATCAATTCGCTTCAATTACGCGCCTCGCTGGACGACGTGGCGCCCGTCGTCGTCGCGCCGCCACATGGTGCATCGTCGGCCGTCGTCAAAATGAACGGACACGTGATCGAGGCGAAAACGACGGAACCTGGACCGTCGGGCACCGCGCCGGCGCCGACGCTACCACCCGAAATTCCCGAAGAAGAGGACGAAAAGACGATTGTGGCGAGCACAGAGTCGGACTCGGAACCCGGTGCGAACCCACAACCACTGCATGATTCTTCTCGTCGTCGTCGCGGTGTTTTCGGGTGCCTGTCGTGTTTTCGTAAACGAAAAAGTTTGTGTTTGACCGTGTTTTCAGTTCAGTTTGCATCCCTCTCGACAACTATTGTGATTCCACACTCTTATTATGAATCCCAATTCATTTCAGGCAGTCTCGGATCGATTACTCTCACTCTGACCTACAGTTCACATGACAAAAAGCTGAAAATTCATCTTGTTCGGGCAAAAGTCAGATTTTTTATTTCAAATAAATGCTCTCCGACCCGCAACACAACACAAGTTTGCAGAATCTCAAAGCGATGGATTCGAACGGCTTCTCGGACCCGTACGTGAAGTTTCATTTGTTGCCCGGCAACACGAAGGCGACGAAACTGACGTCGAAGACGATCGAGAAGACGTTGAACCCGGAGTGGAACGAAGAAATGGCCTATTACGGCATCACCGACGAGGATCGCGAGAAGAAGATTCTGTGAGTGTGGCAAATTCCGTTTTCCGTCTTCCGCCTTTTCAAAAAAGACGATTGCGCTCAACAAAAACTCTCGAAATTTTCAGCCGCGTCACCGTACTCGATCGTGACCGCATCGGCTCGGATTTTCTGGGCGAGACGCGCATCGCACTGAAGAAACTGCATGACAACGAGCTGAAACGCTTCAATTTGTATCTGGAGAGTGCGTTGCCGGTGCCGATTCAGACGAAAGAGGAGGAGAACGAGGAGAGGGGCAAAATCCATGTCGGCCTGCAGTACAACATTCAACAAGGTACGCGGACGTTCGTGCTCAGCGGCCAAATTGCGTTTTCTCTGATTTTTGTGGCCAAAGGCTATGAAAAATGATTGTTCGACATGAAAACACACTAATTCTCAGAATTAATGACGTTTTGGCGCATTTTTCGCGCATTTCGCTTTTTCGCCTTCGCCGCCTAAAAACCGCACTTCTCATTTTGCGCTTTCTTGACCGTTTTCCGACAGAATTGGTTTTGAGAATGATAAATCACGTAAATACAAGCATTTTGAGCGCTCGAACCGCGAAAACTACCGAAAAGCAACTGAAATTCACGCAGTTTTAGCCAAAAACCTTCAAACGCACGGCGACCAAAAGTGTAGAAAGGGGCGTGGCCTAATCTGAGACGCCGCGTTTTCTGAAAATTGCCGCAATTCCAGTACTTTTTGTGTTTGATATCGACGAAGGAAGACATTAAAGAGAGAAAACATTGAAATTTTCGTGAAAACGCCGCCCGTTTGAGACGTTTTTGGCATCATTCGCAATACGTTCTCCGCCGCAATTTCCGAATTTTCATAGCGGTCGATGTGGATCGGTTTTGAGACGAAGTGAGTGTCGGAAGTGATTAAGCACACGTTAATGCAAGTATTTTAAGCGTTCAAACGGTGGCAAAAAGTGTCGGCGAATGACTGAAATTCGCGCATTTTCAGCACAAAACTTGAAAATCGATTGAATTGATTGAATTTCTCAATGAAACCTGCTCGTTTTAAGCTCAAAAAGTGCGCGATGATTAGTTTAACAAAGTTATGCAATCGCATCGTCGAAACCCGTACAAAATTTGGGTAATTTTTGACGAAAAACATGTGAAAAATCGGGGTTAAATTTCGAATTTCGCGCCAAAATGGTGATAAACCGTGCACGCGCTCGGCCCCACGCCCCTTTCTACGTTTTTCGGCGCCGTGAAACGGATAAATGACCAAATTCAACGCTCTTGCGCTTAAAAAATTCGTAATAGCCTATACAATCGGTCTATCGAGAGACAAATGAAAAATTATCGGTTTTTCGTGGCTAATCTGGCGAAAAACACAAATTTTGCCTGTTAAAATTTGAATTTCGCTCTATTCGGCGGAGCGCACTTGCGCGTGCGCCCATTTCCACATAAAAACCCGTCCAATTCGTCAGGTTCGCTCTTCATCAACATAAATCGATGTGTGGAGCTGATCGGCATGGACTCGACCGGCTTCTCGGATCCCTACTGCAAAGTGTCTCTCACTCCCATCACTTCAAAGACGCATCGTGCCAAAACGAGCACGAAGAAGCGCACTTTGAATCCCGAGTGGAATGAGGTACGAATTTGGGGCGGAAATTCGTGAAAGTTGCCATTTCAGCAACTTCAATTCGTCGTTCCGTTCAAGGATTTACCCAAGAAAACGCTTCAGATCGGCGTTTTCGATCACGATTTGGGAAAACACGATGATTATATCGGTAGGTGGCCTAGAAATCCAATTTCCCGTTTTTGACCCAAAAAAATGGCCCCGAATCCGATTTTCCCCCCCCCCCCACTCTAAACGCCCCCCGATTCGCCCATTTTCAGGCGGAATTCTATTGTCCACTTCTGCGAAAGACGAACGAGGTCGTCAATGGATCAAATGCATCGAGAATCCGGGAACTCTTGTCGAGGCGTGGCATCGGCTCGAGTTGGATTCGTGAAAAAGTTCCTCCAGACTGTTATATAATTTCAAATGTTTCAAATGGTGTAAAATGTCACAAAACATGGTTCGGCTACAGGTTTTCACTGGTATTCTTTTGGCGAAAAAGTGTTCTTTTTTGTTCTCATTTTTCCCTAGTCTTCGTTCCTATCTTTTCCACATTTCTTCCCCAAACTTTTCCAAACATTTCGCTTACCTTTTTTTTTGGTGTTCTCTGTATAAATATTGTGAATTTCCACATGATAAAAGCATTCCACAATACGTTTTTTAAAAAAGGAGCGATTAGGACAGAATATAACAGACATGAAGAAGTTTAAATCGATAAAAGAAAATGAGATGGTGAGAATTTGGACATTTGCAGAGAGATCGCGAATAAAAAATTGGAGGGTGAATTTCGAGTGAAAAATAAAGCGAAAAGATTTGTCATTTTGCGTGCACGTCGCTCATTTCGCCGCCGATTTCGCCTTTTTCGCCGTCGGACCGCCCGTCTTCACCGTCTTTTCCGCCTTTTTCTTCTCGGCGCCCGAACTCGTCGGCTTCGCGTCAATCACTTCGCCCATTTCTCGTTCGATCAGGGTGATCAGCGTGTTGCAGCGGCGTTGCAGCTCCTGAAAATGAGACAATACTCGAAATGTTGGGGAAAACCCAAAATGTATCAAACAAGAGGACCTAGGACACTTAAGGATGGCCTTTTAACCTCAAATTTCAGGCGTGCCAAGACCTTCCATTTTCAAACGATCTTTCCCTAGTTTTTCGGTAAAATGATCAAGTTTCAGTTGAAATTGTCCATAAAACCCCTGATCCTCACCACAGCAGTGCGACTCTTGAGGAACCAGTCGAAGCGGAACTGCGGAGCCATGCGGACCGACTGACGCAACTCCTCGAACACGTTCTCCTTGTCGTAGCCGAGACGGTGCGTTTCGCAAACGAGGAATCTGCAAAAGGAATCATTGTTCTTGTTCTGGGAGAGATTTCCAACGCTACAGTATCAGTTTAAAGCGTTTCCTACATTCCCAACTTCTACAGTCCCATCTCGATCAGAATTTCCTCAATGTTCCCATGTTTCCTACCTGTCCTCGTCCTCCGTGTACGTCTTTCCCTTGTTGGTTCCGTACGAGATGCGCAGCTGCTGGAACGGCGCCTTGTACTTGGCTATCTTGGCGTCGAGTGCCTTCGCGACGGCGTGCTTCCTCTGTATGCGTGCCTCTCCCTTCTCGATCTGACTGATCACCTTCTCCGCGTCCTGCAACTCCTCGTACCGTTCCCAGAAGACTTTCGCGTACGCGCGGATCTCCTCGATCGGACGCTCCATCTCCTTGGCAATGTTCTCCAAATCCTCGCGACCGTACTTCTCATTTCCCTGCAACGTTTTCGATGATTTGTCATGTTTTTGGGGAAAATCATGTAATTCATGGATTTCCACTAGATTTTCACATTTTGGCTCATCTTTCGATCCTAATTCTACCGAAAACTGACCCTGACAAACTGCTGGAACTCTCGCTTCGTCCAATCGGTGACTGCCTGCGTCAACAGCTCCGCCTTCTCCTCCTGCTCTTTTTCGCTGAGCGGACGCGCGTTGTTAATCAGTTTCTGCTCTTCCGCCTGCCGTTTTTCCGCCTCCTTCACCGGCACGTCTTTCGGTTTTTCCGCCTGAAAAAATTGGAGAATTTAGGCCAAAAATTGCATGTTCAGTCGGTTTCGCCGATTTTTTCATTCCGTGTTTGCTGCAATCATTTATTCATAACTTCCTCTAATTTCCGTTTCCCCCTTTCAAAATCGCGCCCAAAGCCATGAGCTCACACAGGCTCCGCCCCTTTGTCATCCGAAATCCGCTTTTCGGAGCTCAACTCTTTCCAACATCTTCATTCGCCCGAAAATGAGCTCAGACGCGCCGATGAGTAATTCAGAGTTGACTTCCGAAGAGGACCTCGGAAACGGGGGACTGAGTCCTCACAAACTGTTCCTTCTCGGGTACATCCCGCACGCCCGACACAATCCGTAAGTGAAAACCATCTAGACGGTCAAGCTTTGTCAAAATGTGATTTAGAACGTTGAAAACCATCATAAACGATCTGCTCTCGCACTATTACATCTCGTGGAATGCTTCGCGATGGGCTGACGGTGGGAAATTATCAAATTTCATCTCGATAGGTTCATTTTTCACTATAAATCCAATTCAGACAACGGTGAACCATCCCGCTCGAGGGGCCTCATGTCCAACGCGGACGTCCTCATCTTCTTCATCAACGAACAAACTCTCCGCGACGACAACTGCCTGCTGACTCTCCAATACGCGTGGAATCTAATGCTTCCCGTGCTCATGCTCCGTCCGCCAAACACCAAATTGGTGATTTCCAATCGGGACGCCCATCGGAACCGCGAAAAGATACAGTATGCCAGTGGTAGGAAATCACAGTGATGAGGTGAGTTTTTTCTAGACGTATCGGTGAAAGCGTCATTGTTCGGAGCGCTAGCGGTGAGCCGTGGCAGTTGTTGAACGGTGGGAACACGGATATTGTCGATTACCAACTCCTTCAGGATGTTCTATACGAGGTGAGCCAATTTGCTCGAAAACCTCCAAAATGTTGCAAATTTCTGCAACTTCCAGGGCTACCGCCTCTCGATTCTCTACGACGATCAATCGCACTCCAAATCGATGAATCGTCTCCGCTGCAAGCTCTCCTCCTTCTTCTCCGCCGCCAATTTCCTCTCGCCCATGTCAAAAGGCGGCTCTTCCTCGTCGTCGCAACCCCATTTCTACTTATCACCCTCGAATAGCGACTTGTGCGACGCACGTAAATGTGAGCCGCTTTCCGCAGAATCCTCACGGATAATCACCCGGATTTCAGTCTCCAAATCTTCGTCGCCGTCGTCACGTCGTCAACACATGCGTCTGAATTTGTCACAGAGCACCGGAAATTTGTCGGGCGCTGCCGCCGTCGGGCGAGTGATTCGGACTCCGTATCCGGTGGGGACCAGAGGAGGACACGGCAAACATTTTCAGTTTGCCGGCGGCGATTACGGAGACGACGAGGAGGACGATGATTTCGACGAAGCGATTTACGACGAAGAGGAGGATCTGGTGAGCATCAAGACGAGATCCGGACGATCCGGCCGACGCAGACACGTTCTGGTATGATCTAGAGGACTATTCTTCTCGATAATATTAAAAACATTCCAGAAAAGCCCTCCTCCACCGGATCGCATTCCATCCTCGGTCGGAGCGAGTGAAACCGAGGCCGACGATCCTCTTCCGCCACCTCCGACCAATCCGAACATGTTCAAAACGCCTACGGTACCCATAAAGCACCTAATTTCAACGGGAAACTCGTTCCAGCTCGATCTTCCCGAAGAAGAAGACTCAGAATTCGACGCCGACGCGTTTCCGCTGCCTCCACCCACACCCATCACCCCGGCAAGCGGCCTTTTCTCGTTGCCCTCCGGCCGCAACAGCACCGCCCGTTCGCGCGGCCTCCGCAGCAGCCGCAACCACGGTTCCATCACGTCGCGCACGTCGTCTCTGGACCGTCGCATGAGTCTGACGTGTCTCGAGGACATGTCCAACTACCAAAAGACTCAATATCTCGTTTTTCCGTTGCGCGACTCGGCCAAGAAGCCGTATTTGGTCAAATTTCCCGAGGACATGGCCGAAGAGGAGGAGAAACACGGTGCGAGTGTGTGGGGAAGCGACACGAGTTTGGAGGAGGAAATTAAGGTGTGTAATAGCTTGTAGGAGGCGAGAAAGTGCACATTTTGCAGTTGGCCGAGAAAATCAACGCCGGAATCGTCGTCGACTACATGGACGACTCACCGATCGCGTCGCCCGCCCCCTATTTGGGCGACTTACACTAATTTTTGTTTGCGCTCTATCTTGCTCGCTTTTCACTCAACTCTAACGCAAATGTCATTTTCTCTCGATTTTCAATAAAATCTACACAAGTTATCACTAAAAGCATCTGCTCTATGCAATTTCGCTGATTTCACGTCGACATAGACTAGACTACGTCGCTTTTCTTCAACTCTGATCAAATTTAGCGCAATTTTCGCCCAAAGTTCGCATTTGCTTACCACATATCCGATCGTCTTGCGATAATGATAAATTTCGCGGTCGAGCAGCTCGAAAAGGCGTCTCGGATAGAACTGGAAGTCGTACACTTGCGGCAGCTTCGGACGCGGCGCCTTCGACTGTTTCTCCGACGGATTTCCGCTGCGCATCGCTTCTTTGTAGTACAAATCCACCTGAAACCAGAAAGTTATAATACTTTGGCCTAAAATTTCGCGCCCAACCTGATAGTTGGCTTTTCGTTCTCTCTTTGGCGGCTCAATCCAGAAGTGGCCCATTCCGTCCGCCTGTTTTCCCTTGTAATTCTCGCCCTCAAACTGGTAGACGGTGAATTTGCTGTCCTCGAACGTCATGTTCCGCAGATTGTTCTCGTCGATCTTGCCCATTTTCTCGTTCAACGCCGCCGTCTTCACCTCCGCCTTCTCTAGAATCGTGTCGATGTCGTCGTCGCTGATCGTCGAGTCTTTCGCAGCGAACACCTATACGAAAACGATGGTTTTTGAAGTCGACAGTCGATGCAAAATATCAATCGTCAAAATCAGTGTGTCCTTAATCGCTAAATCGCTTTTAAACTATCTAATAATCGCTAAATATAAATTACCCTACACTTAAAGCCTTTAGAGTTCTATCAGCTACAATTTCAGGTGTAAACGTGTCTCATCGCACTTCTGCGCCTTATTTTGCTTCCACTAAACACGTGAATGCCGAACCGTACCTGTTCGGCGCCATGTCGAATCATATTGATCATGTCGTCTTTGCCGAGCGTCTTCTGCGCCTCCATCATGCGTCCCTGCTGAATGACGATGTTGTCGAGTCGGAGTTTCGCCTCGGCCTTCTCGATGATCCGCTCGTCGACCGTGTTCTCCGTGATGAAGCGGAACACGCGCACCTGTTTCTTCTGTCCAATTCGGTGCGCGCGGTCCATCGCCTGCAGGTCCGACTGCGGGTTCCAGTCCGAATCGTAGATGATGACGACGTCGGCGGTGGCCAGGTTGATTCCGAGTCCTCCGGCACGCGTCGTCAGCATGAACACAAACTTCTCCGAGTCGGGCGCGTTGTAGGCGTCTATCGCGGCGGTGCGGTCCTCGTGCGGCGTGGATCCGTCCAACCGACAGTAATCGTAGCGGCGCCACCAACAGTAGTCCTCGAGCAGGTCGAGCATTCGCGAGAACTGCGAGAAGATGAGCACGCGCGAGCCCTGTTCCTTCAGCTTCACCAGCAGCTTGTCCAGCACCACCATCTTTCCGGAATTTTCGACGAGGTGCTGGTCGGTGGTGTAGGGCGGTCCGGGCTCGGCGCCGTCGAACAGGTACGGATGGTTGACGCACTTGCGCAGATGCATCAGAATGTTCATCAGCCGCGCCTTCTCCACTTTGCCCGCGCCGTTGATCACGTCGATGTCCTTCATCAGCACCTTCGTGTACCACTCGCGCTGCATCTTCGACAGTCCCACGTACACTTTCACCTCCTTCTTCGGCAACAACGACTTTTCGACGTCCGACTTGATACGGCGGAGGAGGAACGGTTGCAGCACCTGCAAACATTTGTTCGTTCCAAATTATAAAAATCGTTTTTCCTGAAAATCTCTGAGAACTTACCCGATGCAAACGCTGTATGAGATCGGTGTTGCCGCTCATCGCGTCGCTTGAGAACCACGAGTCAAAGTCTTCGGAGGAGGTGAAAATGTCGGGGAGGAGGAAGTTGAGGAGGGCCCACAGCTCGTGCAGATTGTTCTGCAACGGCGTTCCCGTGATCAGCAGACGATTCTGTGAGCGAAGTTCGCGCACCGATTCGGACAACTGAAATTGCGAGAAAATTAGTGGAAATTCCACCTAACATCGCGAATTTTCACCTTGCTTTTCTCGTTCTTGATGCGATGCGCCTCGTCGATGACAATGTACCTCCAGCTGAGTTTTCGGAGCTGTCCTTTCGCTTTGAGCATCATTTCGTAAGTGGTGCAGCAGACGTCAAAGTCTCCCGGCAGAATGACATCCCGTAACACCGTATTCTGAAGCAAATTTTTTTTCCTTAAATTTCGCATTATTTGGACTCACTCTGGCCTCCTCGTCTCCGATCAAACAGACGGCGTTCAGTGTCGGACACCACTTTTTGAACTCGTTCATCCAATTCTGAAGGGTCGATTTCGGAACGATGACGAGGTGCGGCGACGGCTGATTTTTGTAGTGCTTCATGTAGCCGAGCAGCGAAATCGTTTGCAGCGTCTTTCCGAGACCCTGAACATTGGCGAAAAGTTGAAAAGTTATCAAAAATCCGCAAATCTGCAATGTTTACCATTTCATCGGCCAGAATTCCGTTTATATTGTTGTGCTGTAGCGAGGCGAGCCAGTTGAGTCCGCGAACTTGATAATCTCTGCAGAACGGTACATCCGGGGCCTAAATTTATCCTTTCACTCACCTCATTTCTCCGTTTTCAATGTAGAACGGAGATTTGTCGAAGATGACCAAATCGTCGGATTTGACGGCGTCCGCCACCATTTCCTCGTCTTCTTCCTGCAAGTTCCGTCGAAATTTCGAGATTTTCCCCCAATTTCCAATATTACCTGTTCAGTTTTTCGATGGCGATGATCTCCTTCGATCCCGCTCGCCTTCGCCGGTCTTCCGCGCTTCTTGACGCCTTGCGGAACCGCCTGAGCCACTGAAAATCGTTTTTATCGATTTTTTTGAAAAAAATAATGATATTTATGAAAAACGCTTACACTTGGCGTCTCCGGACGAAAGACAGTGCGAAAAGTTCTCAGTCTTCTGGAGAAGTCGTTCGAAACGAGCGAACGAGTCGGCGGCCTCGGAATTCGACGTTCCTTCCTCGTGATCCATCTTTTCCGGCTCTTCCTGGGCCTAAAATCAATTTCCCCAGTTAGAAATCATCCAAAAACCAAAAGAAGCGAAGAAATTACCGCAGGCGGCGCGGAATCCACCTCCATTGGTTCGATGGAGTCGTGCGACGTGTTATCGGTCATTCTTCACTGAAAACGTGACAAAATTGATGGGTTTTTCGAGTTTATCGAGGGGAAAAATCAAATTTCGGGCAAACATCGATGAAACTGCGCGAGAAACGGCGGGGATTGAGGTAAACGGTTGCGAAAATTGAATGACGTTTTCGCGGTTATCCCGCGTACGCAAACACCGTCACGCACAAATGCACACAATGTGCCACGAATTCCGACACTGTTTTTTGTGAGGGAAAACACGGAAAACGAATCATTTATCGAGTTTTTATCCTACCGGAATGTCAAATTTTATCACTGACTGATTACAGATTCTGGAAAATGTTTGCAGACAATTGTTTTAACATTGAGAACAGACAGGCGCATTTATTATGCCAAAAGCGACAAAGTTCCACAGATCAGAGCCCTTCCAGAATTTCTTGAATTCTCTCAGTCAAAACCGGTTTTTGCTTAAATTCGTTCGTTCCCTCCTCCGCCAACTTCTCGAGCTCTTGACCGATGCGGTGGACATTTGGCCAACATTTGCTGATGATGAGATCTTCGGATTCGATCGAATCCAGGATTCCAGTGTGCTCCAACTGGTCCTTCTGGCTCAACTGCTCCAGGCGTTCCCGCTGCTCACGGATCTCGTGTTCGACATTCGAAATCGAACGGATCATGTGTTGGAGGGAACGGGCACTCGGAGCCTGATCTGAAAGGGTCCAATCAATGGTATGGAGTTGTTGGAAGTTGGAAGGACGGTACCGGCCTGATCGACTCGTCCGTTGACGTGTCCGAGGTCAAGCCACTCGTACAGGCTCTGCTCCGGTTTGCCACATCCACAAATGTCCGGAAAGCGTATCTGGCACTGTAATCTCTCAAAAATTGGTCGTTCCGAATTGGTCACAATTGCGTAGGCGGTGGAGAGAAGGAGAATAGCTCCCAGGAGAGGGAGAACGGCTGCAACGTGTCGAGATGATTGCAAACGGTCCAGGATCTCAAGCTCACCGCGCATTTGGATGGAAGACAAAGCTTTGTGGAAGTCCAAACTAACGAGAACACCCCCGGGAACCCTTTCCGATTTATAGAAGCTGGTAATCAGTTAGTGATAAGATTTGACATTCCGATACGATACGAACTGATAAAGCCCACTCAAAAAGGGCAGATTTCGAGGAGTTTGAATCCAAAATGCGCGGAGCAACTGTCTGTGTCTTCTAACACGTCTTATAACAACTCTCAACTTTATTCCCTTTCTATTTTCTGACTCTCAAACTCCAATTTCTCCAAAAACGCGTTCAATTTGTGATGAGTGAGTCCGGCTTGAACGCAACGAAGAAAACGATGAAGACGGCATTCCGAAGAGTCGGCGTCTGACAAAAAACGATAAGAAAACGCGAGGATATCTCTTAATTTCATAACTTTTTCGAAAATCGATCACTCTCAAAACATTTGCAAAATCTAGAGCGAATGCGTGCGAATGTGACTCATTTCTTGTTGGTTTTTGGTTTTGGTCTTTGAAATTTTAACTTTTCAACTAAATTATGAGAAATATTGATAAAACATTCGATTACACACATTTTGCGAGCTGGAAGTGTGAAATTCCACTATTTTTTGCCATATTTGATCGAAATGCTCTTTTTTTCCGCTGTAAGCTTGTCTTTTCTCAGTTTCTTGTCAAAATCTTTGGAAATTATGATAAAAGACAAGATTTCCGTTATTTTTAAAGCTCAAACATCGAAATTACTCAAAAATTGCTCAATTCCGCTCGTTTTCCGCCTAAAAATTAGGCTAAAATCCGTTCGACGCGTTCAAAATTGCGAAGAGTGCGGTGGAGCGCACTTGCATACCTCTGCCACAATTTCCGCGACTCTCGCACGTTTCGACATTGTCGGCGTAGACGAAATATCGGAAAAACGAGTAGCACTCGACGCACACGTTCTGGGTTGCGAAATTCGGTTGCGAAATGGGAATTCACTCACTTTTCCGGCGTTCTCATTGAATCGATCGGTTAGTTTTCGGCATCCCGGACACAATTTCTCCATTTTTTTGGCCTCGGTGCTGAGCGATTAGCGATAACATAAACAAAGTGTGTAAACGACGTCGTTTTAAGCGGGAAAATTGGAAAAATATGGTAAAAAAACGGATTGGAATCACATGTCGCCGAGCCGAAAAAAGAAGATTATATTATGGAGATGGCGAGAGAGAAAAAAAAGAAGAGTTTGAAGGACATAATCTCGTGCTTTTCGCACTCAAATCCACACATGTTTTCGGTTGTTTTCAAGTCTTTCTTTGGCCTTGTTTCTTCTTGTTTACCCGAACATCTGCTTTTGACAAAAGTTTGACACAATGACAAACTTTCAATGAATATTGTAGAGTTCTGCGGTGTCCTCGAGGTCTTAAACTTGACTTGTGAGCACTTCATATCTGATACTTTATTTTTGTAGTTGAACACTTTTTTCTTCGACCACTCCTCGGGGTACTGTAGCTCCGGGAAGTTGGCGATGAATTTCTCTTGCTTTTAGTTGTGGGCACAACTTCTAAGCGTCACAGTACCTCACGGAGTGGTTTTACAAAAAAGTCGTCAACTACAAACATAAAGTACGAGATGTGACAAACATTTTTGTAGTTGACCACTTTTTTGTATTGTCACTCCGAAGCGTACTGTAGCTCTTGGAAGTTAGACACAACTAAAAGTCTACACATTTCAACGGTAACTTCCAAGAGCTACAGTACCCCAGAGAATGGTCGTAGAAAAAAGTGGTCAACTGCAAAACGACAGTACTAGACGTCAAAATTACGCCAAAACACTTTATAGACCTCTAGGCCGCTCGAGAAGTCTACAATATCCATTCAAAGTCCGGCATCCCCCCGCTATGAGCCCTATGAGCCAACATTTTCAACTCCATAATATTTGCGTGTCACAACCCATAAAAGCAAACCAATTGCGGCACCAAACGAAAGAGAGATACAAGAGAAAGTGAGAGAGGTGGAAAAGAAAAAAAAGTCGTTCACTTTTTGTCTCCCATATCATTATGACAACATTTCATTTCGCCGCTTTCCATCTATTTCTCCTCACAATTTCTCCATTTTCAGCCCTCCGGCAAAAATGTCCGAAATAGTGTACAACGTGGATCCCTCGTGGATCTACCGCCCACGCCACCTGGTCCCACTGGTTCTCTACGTGTCGCTCCTCGTTTGCGTCTCGAAAAAGGTGTCCGATTACTTTTGCGGCGGACTTCTGGACGGCATTTATTCGCGTCGATGCGCCTACAAACCGATTCTCGACGCGAAACTCTTTTTCGTGCTCACCTTCGCCGTCAACTACATCGCCACCCTCTGGTCGTGGTCTCTGGCTTTCCCCTTTTATGAATCTGTGAGTTGGAACACAGAAACTAGTTGCAAAGTGTCCAGTTGCAGAGTGTCCATGCCCTGCAATCAGTGGACACTTTGAAACTTTAACTAGTCCTCATCAGAGATGTTGGGAATTCCGTGTTCCGTGTTCCGTGTTCCGTGTTCCGCGTTTTTTTGCAATATTTTTTCCGTGTTCCGTGTTCCGTAAAAAAAAAATTTCCGTGTTCCGTGTTCCGTGTTCCGTAGAAATAAGTTTTTTCCGTTTTCCGTGTTCCGTGTTCCGTATAAACTATGTTTTCCGCGGAAAAATTCGATCACAAATTTTATTTTTTTCACTATTATTTTGATTAGGACAGTTGACGTTTTGTGGTCAAAATTTGAAAATTTTCGGATTTGGACCATATTCGTGAAAAGTGGATTCCATTTTCAGTCGTTTTTTACTGTAGTTGTTTACTGTTGTGTTGTTGGTTTTGTTATTTTTATGAAATTTTCAGTAAAACTTTCACATGAGTCAAACAGCTGCCTTGTCAGTCAGATAATCGAATTAAACAAAACATTATTTTTTTTAAAATCACTGGAATTCTCTTGAAAACGCTTTTTTCCGTGTTCCGTAAAAAAAAATTTCCGTTTTCCGTGTTCCGTAGAGTAAAATTTTTATTCCCAACATCTCTGGTCCTCATGAAACAACTTTGCAAATGGACATTTTGCTACCAAACTCATGAATATACAATAGTCCTAGTTGCCAACACTTTCAGGTGATCCCAATGAAATCCTCGATCGACATGATCGCCGTGCACCTGGTCCCCGCGCTCACCTTCATCTCCTCGCACCACTGGCGCCATCTCGAACCGTGCGAGTTCCGTCACGAGCCGCCGGGAACCGCCGTCTGGCACAAACGCGTCTTCTTCTTCGCAATGTGCTACCTGTCGGCGCTGAAACTCGACATTTTCGGCACGCGAATCGCCGCGTGGCCCAACCTCGTTCCCTCAGTGTTCACCTTCCTCAACTGCTGGATCGCCTTCTACCGCTACGGTCGATTCGGCGCCGCCACAAAGTTCCGTGTGCTGGACCCGGAGACCGGCGATCTCATGGCGTTTGTGTGTGTGACTCGCGACGGGGACCATCGCTTCCGAGCCGTTCGAGCGTTGAGAGTGCCGCCGCCCGTCCGCGTGCACATTTCCGCAAACTTTCTGAGTTTGTGTCCGCAACCGTCGGCACCGCACTCACAATATTCGTTCGATATTCTCGTGTGACTCAGTTTCTGGCACTATATAAACATTTTCGCATTTTATTCAAATTCTATAGAGGAACAAAAGCTTTTAGAGTGTTAATCGGATCCTCGACGCCCGCCCAGACGAATTGAACGCTGAAAATTTGCAAATTTTTAGAGGTTTTGGGATTCTAGACCATACCTTCTTCCGAGAGGGATCCCAAGGGTCCATCGGGAATTCTTCCTCCTCTTCCGGAACTTCGGAAGCGACATTGAATGCTTCTGAAACCAATATTATACATTTCAAAGCATTTGTTTGATGGAAGGCACCCGTTCGCTTCAGAGCTTCTTCCGTCGCATACTGATGGAGTTCCGACGGGGCTTCTGGAACAAAAATTCTATAGATTTTAGGGTTTCGACGATTTTTGAAAGTACCTGAAACTTCTGGTGGTCCTTCAGTCGAATTTCGATAGAGTTGCGGGGTCTGAGGGGTGACCGGAGCTTCTGGAACAAAAATTCAAGCATTTCAGCCATTCCAACCTCATTTTTGTGTTACCTGGCGCGTCGAAACCGTCGGGATGAGCATCCAGAAAGGCAATCAGGTCGAGAATGTTCTGAGCCGATCGATCGGGACTCTCCTCGTCCAGACTGACATCTGCGTGCACTTCCAGCAGTCTCACCAGGTTCTCATAGCTGCCGACGGTCCGGAGCAGCTCGACAAGCACGTCGAGCGGCTGCGAAAGTTGATTCCACGTGGCAATGAGCCGGGGATCCGCGCCGATGGTCCGCAGGGTTCGGAGCACGTTTCGCGGCGATTGAGAGTGCAAAAACGTGGCAAAGTAGCGGATTCGAGAAGCGTCGGCGAGAATTTGAAACGAATCGAGCACTTCGGAAAAGTTTCCCGTCGCGGGAAGCGTGTCAAAGAGCGCAAAGAACTCGGGCTCTGGTTTCAGGTTGCCCAGCTCCGCGAGCACTTTTTCCGCCTCTCCGAGCGCTTCCGAATCGCCAAAGACGTCGTCGAGTTGCGCGTAAAACTCGATCGGGGGCGTTTCGAGCATTTTGAGCAGGAGTGCGGTCGGAGCAAAGTGATTTCCACCGTCTCCGAGCGCTGTTCGACGGATGGCCTCGACAAGTTCCAATTTTCGCGGTAAACTGGGACCAGAAGCCGAAGAAGCGGCCGCCAGCCGATCGAGCACCTCGTCCAGATTCGTGCCAAAGTTCGCGAGAAGCCGGGCTCCGGCTCTCAGCACCAATCGAGTTTCCAAAGGATCACGTTGCTCGGAAATCGTTTGGAGCAAGTGCAGGAAGTCGGTTTTTCGGATTTTGCGTTGAGCGGCCACGGCTCCAATGGCTCGGAGCATCTGACGATTGGGCTTCGAGGCGTTTCGCGCCAAAACTTTCATCGAATCGGCGAGCGCTTCGGATCCACTCGCCGATTTCACGGTTCCCTCGAGACTTTGCAGCAATTGACGGGTTTCCTCGGTGCTCAGCGGGATGTGAGCCAGCTGGTCCAAGAATGGAAGTTGCTCGAGGAGCCCGTCAGGCTCATAGAGTCCCAGTTGATCGGCGAGCCGGGTTCTGAGCTCTCGGAGCATTCTGTCGAGCTGTGCGCGGTCTTCCGGTTGAGTGGGCACGCGTGGGAGGGCCAAGAGGAGTTGCGGCTCGAGGGTTGGAGCGTCTTGAAGGTCCGTTTGAGCTCGAGCCAGGATAGGAGCAAAGTGTAGAGTGGAAACAAAGCCTTCAAAGTACTCGGGAAGGTGTTCGATGAGCCATTTCTTGATGAACCCTTCGAGTTGTGCTTCCAATATATATATCGGATCTTCCCATTCTTCCACAACATCCTCGACCATCGCCCTAACCGCTTGATCCACGAGGTCCAGCACATGCTCCTCACGAACACGGTCCCCATCAAAGACCTCTGAATACCTCGCGTCACTTCTCAACTCTTCCAACTCGAGCCCCGTCTCAATGACCACCTTCTCAATACTATTGTCGAGTTCCAAGATCGGTTCGTGTCCGCTCGTTTGCTCGAAAATGGTCCTGAGCGCGTGGGCGGCATGCTTCACAAGCCGGGCGACGTGGTCCGTGTCGTTCGGGTCCCGCTCGATGGTGGCTCGGACGTCTTCCAGTAGCGAATGAATGAATTCGGTGCGGTTGAGGTTGACCGGTCCCCAACCGACCGGGACCAGCAGCCGAAAGAACGCCTTGATCGCTTTCCGAGTTTCCGGGTCCAAAACGAGTCCGGTGATGCGCTCCACATCCTTCACCACAAAAAGTTCCGCAAATTTCAGCGTCGTGGTGATGTGATCTTCCGCGTTTTGCTTCAAAAGTTGCTCATAGAGCTGATTGGTCTGATTCACAAGCACCTTGCGGATCTCGTCGAAACGCGGTCCCACAAGTCCGGGATGGGATTCGTTGAGCGCTTCAAGAACGTTTCCGAGTTCAGGTTCGAGGTGTCGAATGGGTTGCAGTAGTTCCAATGGTTCCGCTTCCTCAAACACGCTCAACACATTCACAAGGAGCAATCGGATGGCTCTCCGACTCTCAGGGACCACCGACACTCCGCCCATCACCTCTTGCACATTGATCACAATATCAAACTCGTAGATCATGAGCAATTTCATCAAATCAGCGTAGTCTCGTTGGATCCGTTCATAAAACTCATTTGCCTTCAGGATCATCACCTGACGGACCAGTTCCTGTTGGGTTTTGAATACGTCCGGTGCCGATCGGTTGACGGACTCAAGTGCTTCGTCGAGGAACGCTTCGAGATGTTCGATTGGTGGCAAGAGTTGAGCCGTGGCCTTATAGGGACCGTCCGGTTTAAAAACCTGGCCAAAGAGTTTCCGAATCTTCTCCCGACTCTCCGGCTCCGGCATCGATCCAACAACGCTCTTCACATCCATCACCACGTGCAGTTCCGCAAATTTGAGCGTCAGATTCACCTTATCCACAAGATTTTGCTCCAAAAGTGCGCCAAGGTCCGTGTAGAGCTCATTGGTCCTGCGGATCAGAATGCGACGAAGTTGGGCGTCAGATCCGTTCAGCGCTTGCAAAACTTGTTCCAATTGCGGTTGGAGGTGTCTGATGGGTTCCAAAAGGGTATCCACTGGGACCACCACCTGTTGATTATGGCTCACAACTTCCAGGACCGCCTCGAACAGCTTCTGGATCTCGTTTAGCAGTTCCTGACTCAAAATCCGACTACTCTCCGTCTTTGCCGCCTCCAGAATATTCTCAATCTCATATTCCGTCACGACCGCCTGAATCTTCACAGAATCGTCGCGTTTCTTCGCCGACGTCGTATGCTGAAGACGTTTGTAAAGAGCGTTCGCGTTTCGGATCAACACATTCTGAATCTTGTCCAAAAGATCGACAATATCAGTGCGTGGAATGCTTCGGATGACGTTTCCGACGAGTTTGACAAGATTCTTGAGCTCCGGGACCAGCGAAATGGACCCCGATTCCTCGTCTTGCCTTTTCACGCGTTTGTGGACCTCCAAACTCCTCAAATCCGTCCACAAACCGTCCAATTTTCTCGCAAATACCCTCTGCTCGTCCAGTCGCTTGTCGGACGTCAAATTCACAATGCCGCGGGCCACTTCCAGAACATTTCCAGCCGTCTCATCTCCCAGGTCATTCAGCCAAATGGCCGCTTCAATAACGGCGAGGGAACCGTCTCCCTGCCGGATTTCTGTCCGGGTCAACTCGAGAATTCGAACAAAAGCAGTGTAGACTTCGGGAGAAATGGTCTTTTGCGAGAGAATCAGTCCGTTTATCGCGTTGCTCTTCGAGAATCCGTTCGCTTTGTACAGGCGGAAGAGGTGGCGGAGGAAGGCGCGCAGCGGAAGGTCCGCGACGGATTGGATGGACATCAGGAGGTCGTCTGCAAGGCAAAACGGTGGCCTAGCATTCCAATACACTTTTCTCAAGTTATTGGATTAGTGGCGGCCTATCCCACAGTGCTTTGTCAATGTTAAGAGACCTAGAAACCCATGGCCTAACTTTCCCCATTCGTGGCCTAGAAACCCGACAAACGAGCCAACTCTCAGATGGCCTAACTTTCCCCATTCGTGGCCTAGAAACCCGACAAATGAGCCAACTTTCAGATGGCCTAACTTTCCCCTTTTGTGGCCTAGAAACCCGACAAACGAGCCAACTCTCAGATGGCCTAACTTTCCCCATTCGTGGCCTAGAAACCCGACAAACGAGCCAACTTTCAGATGGCCTAACTTTCCCCATTCGTGGCCTAGAAACCCGACAAACGAGCCAACTTTCAGATGGCCTAACTTCCCCCATTCGTGGCCTAGAAACCCGACAAACGAGCCAACTTTCAGATGGCCTAACTTTCCCCATGCGTGGTCTAGAAACCCGTACATCGCGTACCATTATCAACGCGAAGGGTGTCTCTGAAAGTGGAGACGTTCTTGTCGGTATTGTTGTTGTTGGCGACGGCGCACGCACTGAACAGCACGATCAATAGCCAAATCACTGCAAATTCGGCAACACTGGACACTTGGCAACCGGTTGCAAACTGACCTCTCATTTCGATCAATTCAATCGACGATTTTGAGTACTAATTTCGCGATTGTTCTGTCGCTTTTGAGCCATTGACCTTGACCTTTTCGCAAAATTTTGACGTGATGGCCCACGCGGCCTAGCTTTCCCCGATTCGTGGCCTAGAATCCCAAAATCTGCTGGCCTAGCTTTCCCCGATTCGTGGCCTAGAATCCCGAAAACAAAGAGGCATGGATTTTCATCGAGAACAGGACAATAACCGTTGAGAGTGGGAACACAAAAAGTACACAGTAGGTGAGAATTAATTAGACACGCGTCGTGGACGTCAAACCCAAAAAGGGATGACGTGTTTTCCGGTGCGGCCAATGTACTGAAACTCCTCGAACCAGTAGTAGTGCCAGAGGATGTAGTCGAAGAAGTGATTGATGGACGTGCCGACGGCAAAGTACGCGATCATCAGGTTCAGGTGCGCGTTCACCGGGTGGAACAGCGCCACGAGCAACTGAAAACACCGAAAATTGATAGGATTCGTCCCCCCGCTATTGTACATTTCCCAAAAAAACTCGTATGCCTTACCTTATCGGCAGTGGCAATAGTCAAAATGACCAGTCCGAAGCAGTAGGCATTCTGAATGATGAGCATTGGCCACAAAAGAAGTGGATGCGGTTTCGGAATGCAAAGCGTCGTCCCTGAAAGTCTACAATATCCAATCCCGCTCGGATATTGTCCACTCACAAATAGTCATCGTCAGTGCGATCATTTGAGTGAAACACCACAGACATCGCATGTAGCCGCCGTCCAAATAGTTCGCTATACATTCTTGGACCTACAATATCCATTTCTGCCGCGCTCTTTTGCATTTCAGGCGCCCACTTACATTGATCAACTCGTGGAAGAGGCCAAAGTCGAAAATGATGACGTCATGCGAGAGAAAGTGGCCCGAATTCGAACGGGTTTCGTTGAATGAGCACAGAAAGATCTGCAATAATAGTTCGTGCGTCAAGGACAACTTTTTATTTGGATAACGCTTGTTGCCGAACATGTTTTTGTTCGGAAAACACGTCTAGGCACCGAAATCGCGTCAAGGAACACGTTTCTGTGTCGAAAACTGGCTTGCAACCATCTTTGTCTGTAAAACTGATTTCCAAGCCTCCTACAGTACCCCTACTTGTACCAGGGCCGTCTTAAAGCTCTAGAAACACGTCCTAGACACTTCTACCATGTCTTGGTCTCAAAAACGTTATCCCAAGCCTCCTACAGTACCCCTTCTTGCTCCAAAACTGCCTCAAAGCGCCAGAATCACGTTACAGACACTTCTAACAAGTTTCAGTCCCACAAACCCGTATCCCAAGGTGCTACAGTACCAGAGATGTTGGGAATAAAAATTTTACTCTACGGAACACGGAACACGGAAGACGGAAAATTTTTTTTACGGAACACGGAACACGGAAAACGGAAAAAACTTATTTCTACGGAACACGGAACACGGAACACGGAAATTTTTTTTTTACGGAACACGGAACACGGAAAAAATATTGAAAAAAACGCGGAACACGGAACACGGAACACGGAAATTTTTTTTTTTTACGGAACACGGAACACGGAAAAAATATTGAAAAAAAACGGAATTCCCAACATCTCTGTACAGTACCCCAACGTGGCGCCAAACCCGATTCGGTTACCTTATTAAAGTGGGCGACCGAGTAGATGTGCTGTGCGAACGAGACGGAGGCGACAATCAGTTGAATGAGTGCGAAAAAGGTGACGAGCGAGCGATTCCGAAATCGGATTCCGAACACGAACGTCTTCTCGTCCTCCACAAGGAACCATCGTTGCATTTGGCGCCTGCAAATATTGTCGTCGTCGAATTTAGAAGCGACGGGAACATTGAGCGAATCACACGCGATGTGTCACGCGGCTAAATAGCAACATTTTCGCGCGCGGGCGGAAAACGGAAATTCGTCCGGAAATTTGAGCTTATTTTAGCAGAAGAGAGTGTCTTCCACAAAAACAGAATATCTTGCGTTGATTCATAATAGCCGAAATTTACTTTTGCTGAAAAAGCTCAAGAAATGAAGATTGGAGGGGATTAAATCGAGAGTCAGAGATGGATAATAGCGAAAAGAACTGCAACACTATGGATAATCTTAATGGGATAAAGGCATCGGATAAAGGTCACTTTTTGATGTCATTCGGATTAACGTTTATCGATAGTTTATCGAGAATCGAATAGTTGGAGACAGACAATATCCGAATATTGTGGGTCTATGAGAAATGGGCAACTTTTTCATGTGCTCTTTGTGCTCGAGCTCACTGAGCACACCTGGTCCCCATTAGTTACTCCGCTTTTATGTTCCCCCCATTGTTCTAGTCCAATCGGCCGAGATATTGGGTTTGTATAGAAGAAGTATCGATAAAAGTATGGATACTTTTTCGATATCGCTCTTGGAGAGCGGAAAAATAAGAAAAGAAGAGGGAAAATTGACATATTATACTTTACCTTCTCCTATTTTTCAGCACGTAAACACCCATTTCATACGCGCTGGTTTTTGATGCTCGACACGATTCTATCGATACATTTATCGATAAATTTGGGTCTATAAATATCCATAACCACGAAAAAGTGTCGATATTGTTGTGTTGTGTGACGGGTGACGAACGAACCAACAAAAAAAACGGGAACCAGCAAGAAAAACAGAAAAGTCATTGGCGGAATTGCATAATAGTTGTTGGCCGCCAAGAAAAAATAACGGGATTGGGGGGCCGGAGGATTGCGACGAAAAGGTAGACCGACAATATTCGGAAGCAGACAAGTGAGCATTTACGTTTGCGGAATGCGGAAGGCGGAATGCGGAATGGAAGCTTGTTTCCGCGGTATTCGGAATGAGGAAGGCGGAATCCGGAAAGCGGAATGGAAGCTTATTTCCGCGGAATTCGGAATGAGGAATGCGGAATCCGGAATGCGGAATTCGGTAGGCGGTAGGCGGAATGCGGAATGGAAGCTTATTTCCGCGACATTCGGAATGAGGAATGCGGAATGCGGAATGCGGAATGCGGAAGGAAGAATGAGGAATGGAAGCTTATTTCCGCGGAATCCGGAATGCGGAATACGGAAAGTTTTCAAATGTTCGTCTGGCGTCTAGAAGTCGGCGAGAAAGAAGAAGAAGAAGAAGAAGACAATGGGGGCGGGTAAATAGGACTTTTAACTCTTTCTCTCTCTCTCTCTTTTGTCTCCTTCTTCTCCTTCTTCTTCTTCCGCTGCTTTTTCATCTAAAATTCGCCCCATTTTTCATTTAAGTTCGCCACGAAAACGTTTGTTGTGCCATCATCATCCGCGCGCGGGGCCTGGGATCAAATTCAGGCGAAATGAAACAACGGAAAACATTCGGGAGGGGGCCGATTTATAGGGAAAACTGAAAAAGTGACACCGTCAAACATTCGTCAAACAATTTGGCTCATAACTAGATTGAGGCCAATCCAATTTGAGCGGAAATCTGAGAAAAAAAAACTGGAAAAAGTTGTAAAGCATTGAACAAACTCATTTCCACTTGTTATTCTCACTCTGCTGATAATACGCGGACGTCTAGACACGGCGAGAACACGGCCGATGCACCATGGAATGCGTTTGCCGAACGCCTATCCAATTACCTGATATTATCAACTTCCGCGGCGCGGCGCGGCGGAAAAAAAGTGTTAGTAAGTAATAGCAAACATCGAAATGGAATGTGCAAGTATGAATAACAAATTGAGTATCTCTCTCTCTCTCTCTCTCTCTCTCTCTTTCTTTCATGAGATTCAACCAACCACTGGGACCGCCAATTGGAGGGACTAATAAATTATGCGAGCCGAGAGCACGGCACGAATTCAAAACACACATGGATTTTCAGGGCCTGCATGATTGAAATTCAACGAATTTTCGGCAGTTTTTGACTACACATGGTGCATCGGCCTTCGGCCTTACTTTGACCGCTCGTATCTCGGTCGGTTTTGAAGATTTTCTCAGAGTTCAAAAACGATTTGAAAGATAATTTTATTCTCTACAACTTTGTAGTTGAGGAGTTTTCACAAAAATGACAACGCGCCGAGATAAGACGGTTCCAATCAAAAACTGTGCCTCGGAGAGAAATTAACATATCTCGGTGCTCAAACATTTTGGTAAAACATTGTCAACTACAAAGTTGTAGAGCACAAAATTTGCAACAATTTTCTAGTTGACCACTTTTTGATAAACCTATTGGGTCTCGAGATACAGGGATCCAACCATAAGGGACCATTATCACAACTTCAAGGCCTCAAATCAGGTGCTAAAACTCTCACTCTTGCCAAAATTTTCATGCTCTATCCGATTCGGGCCTAGAAAAGATCGTCTACATGGTGCATCGACCGGAAAGAATGCTGTTTTTTGGTCTCAAATTGCCGGCAACTAATAATTTATGAAAAACTTAATAGATCCCCCCTTCTACTTCTTCTTCCTCTTCCTGTCTAGCTTCGATGACGTGCTCCGGTCCGTAATTATCATAAAATGAGTAAATGATCATCTCATTTGCACGCATTTTCTTGGTTCAACTTTGAAAAATCGCAACTTTTTTCCGAAAAATGCTACAGAACGCCGTTTTGGCTTAAAATGAAGGAAATCTCTCTGAGAAACATGATAAAAATACGGGAAAAAATCAGCTATTATGCAATCGAGCAAAAGTTGGATCCAAGTAGAAACGGGTGAAGGCGAACAACACTTCGTGCGGCCAAACGACCTCCTTAGACCGATTTCTCAATTGAAAGAGCCCCTTTTCAAACAAATGAAATTACCAATCCATTCGCTTTTTTAGAAGACGTCATTCCACAAAAAGAAAATTCCAGAACATGTCCTTTGGGGCCGAAAAATGATGACAAACAAAATGGTGGAGAAGAAAAAAGTTAGCAACGGAGAATATAATTCCAATTTTGTTTGCCGGTCATCACAAATCTGATTACCGCCCTAAAGACCAAAAAAAAAAAGAAAAGAGGGGAAAGTTTTGTCTGTGAGACGCGTCGCCCGAAAAGGGACCGACAATAATTGGCGGCGGCGCCGCTATTATCCGATTCTCTCGTTATTTTCAATTAAAACGGTTTTGACCTTTTCCAAATGACCATCAAGTCGCGCGTTTTGTGCTTTGTCGCGTGGCCTAACTTTTCTCGTTGACAGTCGGAAAACGGAAGTAGGAAGTGGAAAGACAGAATTCCGCTCAACACATGTGGTGGCCGTGGCCTAACTTTTCTGCTTGACTATCAATGACCAGTGTAAAGTCACAATCAGAGGAAAATGAAAGTATCTCGGTTGTCTGGCAGTTTTACGGAAAATGTTCAACTACAAAGTTGTAGAGCACAATATTTGCAACATTTTTCTAGTTGACCACTTTTTGATAAACCTATTGGGTCCCGAGATACAGAGGTCCAACCATAAGGGACCAAAAGAACAACTTCAAGGTCTCAAATCAGGTCCTAAAATGATTTTTGAGAAAGCCAATGTACTACACTCTAATCAAACTTTTGATGATCTATCCGATTCTGGCCTAAAAACAGTCGTCCACATGGTGCATCGACCGGAAAATCAACTTAGAAAGAAACAGACACGGAATAAGTGTGTTTTTGTCTGATTTTCGATAGACGGTTCCGCTCGACCAACTTCTGGGGACCGACTCTTATTCCGTGCTCGAATCTCTCTATTATTATTATTATTGCCCCCACCACTTCCCCCCTCTCTCAAAATGTTCGCTCGAATGACTCTCAATGGATCCCGGTCCTTCTCCAAGTCACTTTCCGCTTCCCGGGTCAAAAATTCGGGGTAAAAGCCTTGTTTTGAAGCGAACGACGAGAATTTGGGGGGTCTAGGTCATTGCACAGCAAAAGTTAGGCCACCAAACGAAAAGTTGGTCCCTGTAACCGTTGTATCTCGGTGCAATTACACTTTTGTCAAAAATGCTCAACTACAAAGTCGTAGAGCATCAAATTCTCTTTCAAATCGTTTTTGAACTTTGAAAAAATCTTAAAAACCGACCGAGATACGAGGGGTCAAAGTTAGGCCAACGGTCGATGCACCATATAGCCATAGGTTTTCCAGAAAATTCCAGAAAGACAAGTTCTAATGATCAAAAATTGAGGAGGGAGGGGCGACGGATTGAAACATGCCATATCCATACATACACCCCCTTTCCTTCTTCTTCTTCTTCATTTCACACATTCAAAAAGAGACGCAACAGAGAGAGAGAGAGAGAGAGAAGAATCTGGTCAATATGTGCTTCTTCTCTGAAATGCGAGACTTTTGTGCTCAATAAGAAGAAGAAGAAGAAGTGAGGGGGCACTAATTATTAGAATTCACCACACTGAATTTCTATATATACAGCCGAGCACTTCGCATGATTTTTTGATTTTCTGGAGCTTTTGAGACCAAAAAGGGGGCGTGGCTTCAGAAGCTCCACAAAATTATCAAAGCTTGGACATTTTCGAACAAAATCCGCCGTTTTTCGCTCTGAAATAGGCAAAATTCGACTGGGTAAGTAGGTCAAAAAAGTGAAATGTGGGTCTACTAGTTGGTCACGCTCAAAAATCACAACAAAAGCTTACAGACAGGTCAGAAAAGTGTGCAGAAAAAAGGCAATTTTATCGGGAGACATCAAAAATTTTTGGGGGGCGGGACGGAAATTCATCAAGCACGTGTACTGACAGTGAGAGAGACAAGAGGGTTTGAAAGAGAGAACAACGGAAAAGGGGTTGGATTCGAAAATGTTTGCGAGAGAAAACAAATGTGCGTGTACCGAGATCCGAAATGGACAATAGTATCGAGGAAAAAATTAATTTTTTTCCACGGATGCATGGCTGATGATGTTTTCAATGATAAACGGGCGTCAACGGTTGAGCAATAATTTGAAATTTTAGAAGGGGGGACGAAAAACGAATGGAAAAACAGGAAAATTCAAAGAAAAAAATCAATCAGTAAACAAACAGAAATCTAGAAGGAATTATTATGGAACATTATGAAAAAATGAAATAAATTTGGCGCTCTAGAATCTCGATCGGACCGTCGTTTGCATGTCTTCGAAGGCGTTCAGGTACGAGCGTTGGATGCGCGATTCCACCGACGAGCGCACTTCTTCGAGCACCAGTTGCGCCTGCAAAATTGAAATACATTTCAGATCGCTCACTTTCTCTTTAAAGGACACGTATCCGAACGGCTTGGGACGGGGTTGGTCCCGTCTCGTGGTGCCAAAGGAAGTTTTGCATCGAACGGGTAACTTTTATCTTTCCTGGCTCATGGCACCCAGTGCAGGCGGACACAAAAACATTTAAATTGTTTCGCGTACCTTTCCCAGATCTTCGCCGACTTTCGAAGGCACGTTCTCGTCTTCGATGGCCATCATTTGTCCCCAGTGCGAGCAGAGGAAGTTGCCGGCGTAACGGAGTTCCACGTGCATCGCCCGGATGTGCTCCAGGAAAATCACCGCTTTGCACTCTTTCAGCGCCTTTTCCGTCGCCTACAATACTCGTTTATATGGAAACATTAAAAGCTTTTTCAAGAACAGTACCTCCTCGGCGGCCTTCTTCTCCTTCTTTCCCTTTCCTTTCGCGAACGTGTCGGGCACTGTCGTCGGCACGTTCTTCGCCAATTTCAGCATAATTTTCTCGATGAGCCGCAGGACCACTTGGATGGCGGCAATAGTCTGGACGGCCCGCGACGACCGGATTATCGGGTCCACAATCCAGAAATGGGACAGCTTCTCGCCTTCCGACCGCTTCGGCTGCACTTCTATCAGTTCTGCAAGCAAAATATTGGGACAAACTAGCAAAATTGCCGAGAAAACAAGCTGGCGCCAGCTCTCTATTCACTAACTTATCAACTTGGTGGCCATCTCGGTCCTGGTCCCAACCAGCTCAATGTCCGGATGTTCCCCTTTGTCGAGAATTTCGACCAATTTGACGGCGGCCTCCAAATACTCGAGGATCATCTGGGGACCGCCCGAGTGGACCCATTGGTTGAGGTGCTGCGGCGCCGGTGATTGGGCCAGTTTCGACGGAATGAAAAAGGACGGATATTCTTTGCGGCAGTGCTCCAGATGCTCCCTGTACTCGATCACCGTCATTTTCAGTTGGAGCCGCGCCAATCGGGGCTCCATGTTTTCGTTCGTCACTCGGCCCACGGCTCCGAGCGCCCGGCACATGGCACTTCGCAGCTCCGAGATGTCTATCTGCAAATATTAGTGGTAAAAGTGTGGGAAAGATAGAAATTGTACCAATTCCTTGAAAGTTCGCTCGCGCATATCGTCCATAATCGGAATGTAATCGGGCGTTTCGCAGAACGGAATCGCGTTGAAATCGCGCGTGTCGACGAGTTGTCCCCAGTCTGAAACGGGGAATTTCAGTCATTTCCGATCGGAAGCAAAGGGAAAATGGGTCGTTACCGATCTTCTTCTCACCGATCGGATCCTCGTCGCCCCACAGAGTCACAGTGATCTGATCCACGTCATCGAGCACGAAAAGGGACGAGAGGTAGCGGTTCATCACTTCGCACGCCGCTTTCTGCAAAAAAAGTAATTATTCGAACTCTACTTTAAATTTTTTCAAATTTTCACTGTTTCCTACATTCCCAACGTCGACAGTCCCATTCCGATTCTTTTCGAAACACCCCCTTCTCCCGGTTCCCCTCTGGCAAGGTCCATCTTCGCCTGTTTGCTCCTTTTACACACGGACCCATAAAATTAGTGCTCACGAGGGTATACCGTACTTGTGAAGATGGTCAATGGATATCTCCGCCTATAAATGGGCGTGGCCTAGCCAGTGAGCCAATCGGACCACTCCGAGTCATTCATTCGGATTCTTCCGTTCTCGTGAGCAGACGCATCTTCCTTGCTCTCATCCCTCTTTCGACTAACTACTGTACCTACAATGGCGTCGTACATCTTCCGCTCATTCCCGAACCGTCGTCTCACGACGTTTGAGCAGTGTCTGGCGGACCACCACGCCAGAGAGATGTACGCGCTCATGGACGACATCCGTGAGGAGTTCCGTCTCCAGCAACTCAAACACGAGTTCAAGGAGGCACAGCGGCAAATTCGGAAGGAGAGACGACAGAGAAAGGCCTACTTCCGACAGCAGAAGAGGATCGCTTCTGGTCAAGACTCTGGACTCGGCGCCTCCCCGATCGACAGCCGTTCCCCTGGGCAGTCCCCGCCGACTCGCGTGCCCCTCTACCTCCGGACTTCCCGGAAGACGTCGCCGGCCTCTTCGCTCAACCCGTCGCCCGTGAATCTCGTCGTCAATCCGTTCTTCAACCCGACTCTCGCCGCCGAGATCCAGCAGAAGAAGCAGCCGATTCTCGTCAAGAATCCTTTCTACAACCCACAGTTGGCCGCTCAAATCGGATCTCTCTAATTCATGATTCAACTCGACTCTTTCCACTTGTCATTTCTTATCTACCTGTGCTTATTCTGTATTCCCATTCTGTTCTTTGTTCTCTAATAATTTCTAGTTCTAATAATAAATCTATATCAATGCAATATCGTTCTCTTCTTCAGTCCCTACAAGTCTATCCTACCTGCGCCGAATTTCTGACTTGATTGCTGAGTGCCGTCATTTTCGGGATCGCCGAGAATTTTCCGTTGCGGTACGCCTGCGCAATGCAGTCTTGCACCTGAAAATCGAGTCTTCTGTCAGATTTCCTCTGTAAAATGTGTGTGCCTCCTTCTCTGCCTGCTCGTACATCATCATGAGCTGGTGGTTCTGAATGATGGCCAGATTGAATCGGCCCGAAGTCTCGAACACCGGGAACGTCATGTGTCCGAGCGTGTCCAGCTGGATCGCTTTTATATCCAGCGTCTTCACCAGCACATTTATGCGACCGGTCGAGCCTAAACTTTCAATTTTCGGGTAAATTTTGTGACACGTTCAGAGCCAAACGTACAAATAGCTGCGTAGGCCCTGATGAGCGACAATTTGCACATTGGATCCGTTTTGTTGCTGGTCGCCACGTACTCCAACAGAAGCACCATCTCGTAGAACTTCTCCAGGTCATCTACACTACTTTATTCTCATTATTATATTCATTTCAAAAACTGACTCTCTTTCCGATATGCATCCCAGAGATGGGCACAAGTCAGGTTGCACAGCACTCCTTGCGCATGCTCGCTTCGGCCCGGCTGCAAAAATTGTATTCAGGCTGAGCTTGACGTTCGCAGTTTCGTTTGCATTTTAACACCGTCAAAACGCGAAACAGTGTGAGATTTAACGAGACGCAGACACAAACTAGTGAATCGCCGGCTGCTTGGCCATTCTGAGACTTCAGATGCGTGCCGTCGGAAGGATACCGATTCATTTCACTTGATCTTTAGGGAATGTGTTCATTATGATGTAAACTAGCAAAGAGACACAAAACGCACGCACGGAAGCTGTTTTGCTAGTGACCCATTGACATCTTTGCGAGTTTCAATCATTATGAACACATTCCCAAGAAATCAAGTAAAGTGAACCAGTATCCTCCCGACGGCACGCAGCTAAAGTCCAAGGAGCGCGTCAAAGCAGCCGACGGTTTACAGGCCCATCTGCGTCTCGCACTCTCTCGCTCCATTTCTGTAAAGTATTTTACCGCAGCAATTTGGGCGATGAACTGCTGGAAAAGCGATCGATGCGCGGCGGCATCGAGTTTTTCGTATTCTCCGAGCGTCCGACGGCACTTCTCGATCAGGATCGTGGCCCAGACTTTCGATTCCTGCAAGGCAAACAACGAATAGCACTTTCGCTTTTTCCGATAGCTTACATCTCCCTCGACGTCGTCTTCGGCCGAAATTCTGTTCATCCACTCGGTGAGCCGCTTCAGAAAATCCTCTTTTTGTTGGGCGGTCAGCAGGACGAAGAACTGCAAATTTTTTAATTTTTCGCGCGGAAAACCACAAAACCGTACCATTTGCAAATCGCCGAAACAGACGGGCTTCTTGTAGAAGTGCTCGACGTACTCCATCAGTTTATCGACAAACTCTCCGAAAAGCGCGTTCAAATCGCCCAATTTGTCCATTTTGGCAAACTTTTGGAGGATTAAAAAGGTGATCAGGTAGGGACCGCGGTACTTGTACCCCTCTTTCTCCTTGTGGTACATCACGATCTCTCCGAGCACCCACATCTTCTTTTTCGCCCTGAATTTGTGATTTAAGCCGGGTTTTGTCGGCGGGTTTTCGGGGCCTCACACTTGCAGATCGTCCTCTTTTTTCGTCGCCAACAGTTTCTGGACTTGAGTCATAGTCGAGTCAACGAAATGCGTCCAGAGTCCCCAGCTGTCCGGCCTGCAAAAATGAAACCTTGACAATATGAGATCCTTAAAATAGGCTTACATATTGTCGAGGTTCCGCGTGCAGATATCGTCGGCCTTCTTGAACTGTCCGTCCCTGATCAGGTAGTCGACGTCCTTCTCCACCAAATTGTAGGGGGCCATGGGCAGTCCGGCGGCCTTCGGCTGCTCCACAAACTCGGCGCACTCCTTCCACCGCTCCTGGCCCTCCAGAATCAGCAGCTGCAGCTCTATTTCGGCAGTCGAGCCGGCTGTGTAGCCCGTCTTTTCGATCTGCTGCGTGAACATCTTCTCCGCCAACGGGTAGAGCATCTTTTTCGCCAGCGCCGGGTTCTCCTGCGCCTACAATAACCCGGTTTCTGGAGACTTTGATTGGAGAAGCGTACAAACCTGCATGACAACTGACATAATGGTCCAGAAATAGTAGGGAGTGTTCCCGATTTCCTTGAACAGCCGCAAACCCACTTTCTGCTGCTCCTTGTACATTCTGCAATGGAAATTTTCGAGTTTCTCCGTGATTTTTCTCAATTTTCTGACCTCTGTCGACTGTAGGCCATGAAAAGTTGGGTGAGAGTGTGCTCGTTCGGGTCCACTTGGATCACTTTCTCGTATAAAGTCACTACTCGGCCCGGCTGATTGCTGTCCTGCAAAAAATCAACATTTTGCATAATTGTTCGTAAAAAATTCGCGGAAATTACTCGATAGCAATGAACGAAGGCCTGAAGAGTGAGATCATCGTGACGGACGCCCGCCACGTCCAATTCGTCGAGGATCTCGTACGCCTCGCTGGCTCTTTCCAGCCGAATCAGCGTCAGCGCTTTGAGAACCTAAAACACGCATTTTTCGTGGAGTTCTGACAATAAATAGATGAAAACCTTGGCGGCGGTGGTGGTCGGATGCTTTTTGAGTACTTTCTCGCATTCCTGCATGGACTTCTTGTAGTTTCCGCTGTCCAGAGCATCTAAAAAGGGTAAAATTAAGAGTTTTCGGGGCGTATTTTTCGGATTTTCTACCGTAAATGGGACGGAGTCGTCGCTCGAGCACACTCATTTCCGCTTTCGACATCGATGAACCCGTGGAGAGACCGAATTGCTCTGAAAAATGGCAGAAATTCGCGGGAAACGGGGGGAAAGTGCGCAGGGGGGGATTCGCAATAGAGCGCGTTTGCATTGCGCCGTCGTGGAGCGCCGCGGAATTCGAATTCCTATCGATTTTCGTATGCTTTGGGTGTTTCTTATGGAAAATTCAGTTTTCAAATTGGAAAGCTAGTTTTTCACTAGATTACACTTTTGAAACCTTAAAAACCAGTACAAATCGCTCAAAAAACCGCATTTTCTAGCAACTTCTGGAATTTGACCGTATCCCCCCCACTAATTTAAAGGCGCAGAACTCATTTTGACCGGTCTCACCACGAAATTACATGTTTTGTTTTTTTAGCAGAAAACTTGTGCAAACACAGTTCTGGACCGATTTTCTAGCTTTTTTCAGCAAAAATGACGACTAACCCGAGCCAAGACATGTCTGTGAACAGCTGGAATTCATTGTCGAAAAGTCAACGCCATAAAAGTGAGTCAAATATTGTTTTCCTCAACAAAAAAGTGTTTGCAGTGGTTCTGGCGATGCAAGAGCACAATAACGCTCTGAAATTGGAAATCGACCGATCGCAAAAGGATCTCGTCGATTATCGATCCGTGCTCCCGGAGCAGTGCCGCGAATTGTTCGAGAAGGAGAAAACGATGCTTTTGAACCATTATGTACGTTTTTTTTCAACTTTTTTGCACCTAGAAATTTTTTAAATTTTTCAGAAGACGGCGGAATTGTGTCCAAGAGTGGTGAAAGAGGGACTGAACGAGGGCGAAGCGGACCGAATGATCAAAAGTATTCGGGAACGGACTGAGGCTCGAATGGCCGACGACCGACACACTCGACTGATTTTAGACCGCGTCGCCGAGGTAAAAATTAGGCAAAACATTGTTCAATTTTAAATTTCCCAATTTTCAGACAGAACGCGAAAACGAAGCGATGCGCCAGCACATCATCGCCACCGCCCAAAATCTGCTCGGATTCATTCGCAACTAATTCCAAGAAATTCAGTTTTTCCCCTTTCACGTGAAAATTAATTACTACCCAACTGACCGTTCTTCCCTCCTATTTCTGTAATCCGTTTTCCTGTTTTTCTTATTATCATTTCTCTGCGTGTGACATTAAATTCGAATCGAATCGAATAAAAAAATGGGATTCAATCAAGACGTTGCGTTTTTGAGCAATTTGCCAATTTCTGACAAAGTGGCAAGTTTTGTGGGGTTTTTTTCTGAAATTGTATTTGGAAAAAGTGTTTAGATGATCTCATCGGGACCGATAATTGTCTACAAAACTCCCGCCTGCAAATTGGACACCTTTGCCGATCGATTTGAGGTGAAATTTGAACAATTCTGTGTTTTGTCGTGAAATTCCGTGTAGACACTGTATTTGACGACATTTAGGAGAGATACTCGAAATTTTGGAGTTTTTCGACAAGAATTTCAGAAAAAAAGCTCTTTTTCGCAAAGAATTGACAAAATTTACGTTTTCCTTGCAGAATACAAATTTTTACACATTAAAACTATAAAATATTCGAATTTTATCAGATAATCCACGGCTGGTCGCCCCTTTTGCTATCAACCGCCCAATGCTTCACTCGTCTCGTCCTTTCGCAAATGGAGGAGCCCGTTTGTGCTCCGATCATTTGGAAATTGGTGATCAGTGTAAGTGATCTGAAAATTACGACAAAAATTCTGAATTTTGCAGTACGGCGATGTGAAAATCTTCACAAACAGTCAGACAATGCCACGAATCACCGAGGCGGAGGAGTGTGTGATCACTGAGAATCAGTACGCGAATTTGTGTCGAAAAATTCAAAACATCTTTTCCAGAATTTCCGCGGAAGAAGCGCCCGATTTTTCGACGGCCTGTGCTAACATTTTCATGGCCGACATGAAAGATTTCGGCGAAATTGCGGAATTGAGATGCAAAAGTCAAGAGTTGACCATTTTCAACGAGAAAATCGATTGGGTACTTCTTCTGTGAATTTTAAGGCCTAAAAGATGCTTTCCTGCAGATTGTGCTCAAGCCCGGCTCGAATGTGACGATCAACATGATTTCGTCCAGCTGCTGAACCATTTTCAACGCGAAAATGCCCTTTTTTTTGTGAATTCGAGTCAAGAAAGGCTTTGCTTGTCAAATCGAGCACATTGTACGCAGTGATTTTCTCAATGCACACATTGTCTTCTACCGTAGTCCCACAAACATTTTTCTGTTTTCCCCCCGTTTTTCCATCATTTTTTTCTCCGAAATGTGTCAATTCGCGAGCTTGTCAGCTGTTTGCTGCGTCGGAGGTCACGGGAATCGGTTCTGACCGATCAGCGGCGAAATTCAGGAGGAAGGCGGGCAAATTACACTTTTTTACACTTTGTTTTATCAAAAACCCGCCTGTTTTCGATGCCGTTTCGTCTTTTCGCTTTTTGTGCTCTTCTCGCCAGCGGTTCCTGGTTGCACGACACATTTTGTGTTCTGGTTTCCCGAAAAACATTTTTTTTCGGGAAAAGCAAAAAAGGTTTCTGAGATCTTGGCACTCGCGGCGCTTTGTTCAAATGAGCTTGAAAATCGTTTTTTCGAGAAAATTCTAGAAATTATTGACTTACTTTTTGCGTTCAACGACACTCTGTGCAGTAGAATAGTCTTTCGGAAGGCATTGGACAAAAAGACGGTGGTCCTGGCCGAGAATTGGCGGAACGAGTGTGATCTCAACGACACTGCGCCGTTGCGTTGCGTTGTTTACCTGATTGGCTTGTGGGAAGATGGAGAAGAAAAAGAAGAAGACGAGAATGGTCCCGGCCGACTGAATGGATGGACCGTCGAGAAAAGGACCGCAACGTGACACCAGTCGGCGTGCGGATGTGTCAATCGCACTCCCTCGTAAACCCCTCTGATCTCTGTGACAGGTGTGAAACTCTTGAACGGTCCCTGGCCCGGCCACGAATGTTCGCGCGAAAACCGCACAGCTGGCAGTCTCCAATTTCTCCCCGGGACCGTCCTCTTTTTTTCTGCTCGTCCCACCGTCTTCCCAAAGGCAAACGACTCGCGTTCCGTCCATCCCGACGCATCGTCGCGATAGACTCTTTTCGGTCGATCACTTGTTGGTCATACTTTCTATTTTTTCATTAAAAATCGCTGCTTCAGAGAACAGTCAGTTTTTTTTTTCATTTTTTTTATTCTTAATCTAGAGAGCTCGAGTTTTCCAGCGACTAGTTTTGCAAAATGTAGGCCCAAAACTAGTGAATCGGCTGTTTCCTATAAAAAATTCTAGACATTCGGCATTTCAAAGCAAAAGTGTCGAATCTTTGATTTGAAAGTGTTGTAATTCCAGTTCGGTGGAGCACGCTTGCTTGTTTTGATCTGTGCAAACAAACTCAAAAGGAGGGCGGTCCCATTAGCTCGAGACGGATCGGAAAGGGGTCACATCTGTCTTCCTACCCTTACTTCTTTTCCTTCTCTCTCTCTCTCTCTCTCTCTCTTTCTTTGTATTATTGTCCTTTTCTCATTTCTGCACGTTCCACCGACAATTGCACACGGGAAATGAGAAAGAGGGTCATTTTCTGCCTGCCCCGTCGACCCCCATTTCTCATTTTTTCTCTTCCTTATTACATTTCTCTTTTTTTTTTGAAAAAAATCAAGAAAAAAGAGCCAGTGACGTCATTGTCACTAGTAGAAAGGAACGATAATTACTTCCGACAAAGGTCTCTCCAGTAGGAAAGCTTCTTGTTAGAAAATTGCGCTCGCGTCTCCGTCAGGCCTAAAAATCGATTGCTTTTGCTTTCTACTGAAAATGTCTCAATTGTTTGGCCTAAATTTCCGAAAAACACTCAATAATGTCCCTAATTTCAAAAGGTATAGTCGAAACTAGCAACAAAAATTTATGCGACACATTCAAAATGTGCGAAACATTTCGAAAAAGTTTTGACCTCTCGTCTACCGTACTCTCTCTCTCTGTTTGACCTTCCCAATTAGTCGCCATTCCCATTGCCATTCGTTTCTGTTTATCTGCTCTCTCCCTTTCTTTCTTTTTCATTCCATTCTCGTTCGAAAGTACTAAATTGCTCTCTCTCTCCGGTTGATCGCTCTTTGAGCCCTCTCTCTCTCTCTCTCTTTCTTCTTCTCTGTTCTAATACATACATTAAGAGGTCCTCCCCGAGCAGCCAACTGGACGAGCCCAGCGCATTTCGTACTTTGCTTTGCTTTCTTCTCCCAATGATTCATTAGTCTCCGCCCGATTTTTTTTCGTCAGTTTTGCATTCAAAAATGAGCAGACTCTGCTGCATGCGCCGTTTTTTTTTGTGGCTGTGTCTGCGAAAATCAGAAGACGTTTTGTTGTTTTCTGACCGTTTCTGACCTCAAAATTGTTATTGGCGAAAATTCCAAAGCACCATTCGACAATTTTTGCTGTCAGGAGCTGGAAAACAGCGGTTTTACCCAAAAGTAGATGCATTTCGTTGTTTCTTCGTGAAAAATTGTACTTTTTGTCGACAATACAATGTTGTCTGTTTTTCCACTTTTTTGTTTGTTCTTTGCAAAAATTGGTCAGTTTTCTGCATTTTTTGCTGCTAGATTTGGCAAACTTAACAAGATCGTTCAAATTTGATTGATTTTTTGTGTTCTTAATTAGATTCGATAAGCAGAAGCAGCTAATTTTGAATCTAATTAGGAAATTTGATCAAATTTGTCATCTAATTAGAGCGTTTTAGAATACACTGCCGGTCATAATTATAGGTTCACTTCAATTTTTCGAATATTTCGAAAACTAGGCGCTGTATCAAAAAAAGTTCTTAAGGGGATTTTTGGTCACCCAAGGTACCACAAATGTACAAACTAAACCATTCGACTTCAGTGAGAAATTTTCCAAAAATCGTGATTTCTCGAAAAAGTGACTTTAGCGGTTGGTCATAATTATAGGTTCACCACTGAAATTAGCCAGAGGGTCAACTGAATAATTTTTAATTTTAGCCAAAACGTCTTTTAAGACTGATTATGACCGTTTTACATCGATTTCCGACAAGCTTCTCGGTTCCCTGATTTTTTGAACCAACTTTCATTGAGTTTTGGGTCAATCATAACTTTTCGTCTTAAAATCGAACCTAACTTCGGTTTTTTGGCCGGACGACAACAGGATCATTCTGGAATGAGTATTTAGTGAGGTTTTGTCAAGTTTCATTGAGAATCTACGAGAATTTGATATCTTTTTCTAATGTTGAAGTGCTTTGGTCGACTAGTCCCAAGTAAGTTTACATCTGGTTTTTGCTCAAATTTGGAGCAATCTCTGAGAGACTTGACGGCAACATGAAGGACCCAACCAACAATGCACTTGCCAAGTTTGGTACGAATCCGATCATTCTGACCAAACTTCGGAGACGGTTGTCAGTTTCGATCCTTCAAAAAATGCAGAAAAATTTCATGCTCTGGATTTGCTCGGGACTAGGGGGGGAATAAAAGGCCCTATAAAGGGTAAAAAACGCGAAAAAGGTTTCATCTCTGTTTTTGGTGTTTAGCCGAGATATGATCAAAAGTATGAAAAAAACGGTACATCTTTTTTTCGAAAAAGTCGCATCTCCGTCAATTTTTTTGAGTAAAACACTCGGTAAAAAAAGGAAAAATGTAGCTAATGAGATGGTCTTTAAGCATACAATTGATTATCTTTGACGAAACAAATTCTTAAAAGAGATATTCAACAAAATATGAAAACGTTTGTACTTATGTACACTATTTTGCGAATATAGTTTGACGGGACTATCACCATTAGATTCAGCGTCCAAAATAAGGGCCGTATGCAAAAATTTTGCCTTGGGAAATCGCTTTGACGGAAAAAAAGTTATCGACAATATGCTTTGCCCCTGTTTTCTTGTGGTTCTGTCTGTTTGCTAGCCTGTATCTCCTCAACCGGTAGAGATACCAAAACGTTGTCAACTGTAAAGTTAAAGGTACATGTCCAAGCTATAAAACTTTAGTTGAACGCTTTTTTTTATCTCTACTCGTTCACAAGTTATGGCCGTTTCCGAGTGATCACTCAAAAACTGATATTATCGCATTTAAGGAGTGGTCCTACAATTTTGGTCTCAACATAAAAAATGCTCAATAAGAGGCTAGACATCAAATGTCGTTCAGCCTGTGTTGATCCGATCTCCTTCGAAATATTTTATGACTCATGCTTGTTTCGAACACCCTTCTCTACTTGACGGTAAGAGAGTCACACTTCGAAAGAAATCGGATCAACACAGGCTGAACGACATTTGATGTCTAGCCTCTTATTGAGCATTTTTTATGTTGAGACCAAAATTGTAGGACCACTCCTTAAATGCGATAATATCAGTTTTTGAGTGATCACTCGGAAACGGCCATAACTTGTGAACGAGTAGAGATAAAAAAAAGCGTTCAACTAAAGTTTTATAGCTTGGACATGTACCTTTAACTTTACAGTTGACAACGTTTTGGTATCTCTACCGGTTGAGGAGATACAGGCTAGCAAACAGACAGAACCACAAGAAAACAGGGGCGAAGCATATTGTCGATAACTTTTTTTCCGTCAAAGCGATTTCCCAAGGCAAAATTTTTGCATACGGCCCTTATTTTGGACGCTGAATCTAATGGTGATAGTCCCGTCAAACTATATTCGCAAAATAGTGTACATAAGTACAAACGTTTTCATATTTTGTTGAATATCTCTTTTAAGAATTTGTTTCGTCAAAGATAATCAATTGTATGCTTAAAGACCATCTCATTAGCTACATTTTCCTTTTTTTACCGAGTGTTTTACTCAAAAATTGACGGAGATGCGACTTTTCGAAAAAGATGTACCGTTTTTTCATACTTTTGATCATATCTCGGCTAAACACCAAAACAGAGATGAAACCTTTTTCGCGTTTTTTACCCTTTATAGGGCCTTTTATTCCCCCCTAGTCCCGAGCAAATCCAGAGCATGAAATTTTTCTGCATTTTTTGAAGGATCGAAACTGACAACCGTCTCCGAAGTTTGGTCAGAATGATCGGATTCGTACCAAACTTGGCAAGTGCATTGTTGGTTGGGTCCTTCATGTTGCCGTCAAGTCTCTCAGAGATTGCTCCAAATTTGAGCAAAAAAACCAGATGTAAACTTACTTGGGACTAGTCGACCAAAAGCACTTCAACATTAGAAAAAAAGATATCAAATTCTCGTAGATTCTCAATGAAACTTGACAAAACCTCACTAAATACTCATTCCAGAATGATCCTGTTGTCGTCCGGCCAAAAAAACCGAAGTTAGGTTCGATTTTTAAGACGAAAAGTTATGATTGACCCAAAAACTCAATGAAAGTTGGTTCAAAAAAATCAGGGAACCGAGAAGCTTTGTCGGAAATCGATGTAAAACGGTCATAATCAGTCTTAAAAGACGTTTTGGCTAAAATTACAAATTATTCAGTTGACCCTCTGGCTAATTTCAGTGGTGAACCTATAATTATGACCAACCGCTAAAGTCACTTTTTCGAGAAATCACGATTTTTGGAAAATTTCTCACTGAAGTCGAATGGTTTAGTTTGTACATTTGTGGTACCTTGGGTGACCAAAAATCCCCTTAAGAACTTTTTTTGATACAGCGCCTAGTTTTCGAAATATTCGAAAAATTGAAGTGAACCTATAATTATGACCGGCAGTGTATAATTCAAGAAATTTTCACGCCTAATGTTTTGAGATGGAGGGCGCTACGCAATCGATAGTTCAATTTTCGATGTACCCTTCACGACACAGTGGGCACATGTCAAGCAGAGACTAGACCAATTTTGTGTTTTTTTGTTATCTGAATAGAAAACACGTGTCGAACCGTCTAGAACGGAACAAACAGTCAACATCACTGTTTATGTGTTTACATGCTCGGCCTTCGAGCTGTGGTGCTTGAAATGAGTCAAATGCCCATTAATATCATTCTTCCGTAAAACATTATGTTGAAGACTGATTTTTGCCTAGTCAAAGTCTCAAAAATCAGATTTCTGCTCTTAAAATCATCGGCGCCGCCCATCCTTTTTTTGCGATCATCGACCTAAAAAACACGTGTAAAAGTACAATTCTGCGTTCATTTTCTAGGCGCAAAGTCCGAAAATGACGTGATTTTCTTGTTTTCTTGCCCACTTTTTTTGCGATAAGGAAGCAAAGAATGGCGGGCACCGAATTTTTGTATATAAAAGAAAAGGGAATGGCAAAAAGATCACCGACGTACTTGTTTTTCATATTCCGTCCACTGATATGGCCATTTTTGAAAATGCGGAAATGGCAAGGCTAGAATAGAGAAAAAAATGTGGTGCCACCGGTGGAGTGGAGGTTTTTATAGTGTAGTTTTTGCCGATATTTTGTTTCTTTTCAGCAGTCAGTTTAGCAATCTGTTTCTTGTTTCTCTTCAATTTCTCTCTATTTTCCCCTTATTTCTTCCCATTTTTCAGTCTGCAAAATCGTGAAAATGGCGACAACCGCTCAGTCCACTCAAGGAAGCTCGTCTGTGGCCGCCGCACCAGTCGGATCCTCGGCCGCCATTCCGCCTACGGCCAAAGCCACCACCATCTCTTCCGCCAACCAAGCAGGACCGGCGGGTCTCTGGAACTCGGCTCGGCAGTTCTTCTCGCTCACCGCACCCAAAATTGGAAAAGGTAAGCTGCGCAATGCTCTTTTTAAGGGAAAACTTAGGAAAATAGTGTTTTTTTACATGAATAATGTTTTGTTTGCAGACGGCGACTTCTCGTTCCAGTACCTGACGTCTCCACAACGCGCGAAGCCGGCGGCGACCGTGAATGCCGACAACTTCTACATGTACGCGTGCGGATCGCTGAACATGCCCTGAACGGGGACGGACGGTCCCTTTCCGACCAATCCCCCCATTTTTCCGATCTCTCGGTTGGCCCCGCCCCGCCCACAGATCCGAATACTTCACTTTTTATTCGTGTACCTTTATTTTTTGCCGAAACTTTGCTTCGATATTTTGTCCCCGACTACCTTCGTCCGTTTTTCTTTGCTCAAAGCAGCTCATTTTCACTACCAAAACCACCCAACTAATAAATGATAATAAACGGGAATTTGCGTGTGTGTTTATGGAACATTGTGTCGGGACACGAACTTATCTTGCAAACAATGACGTTTTTTGCTGATTTTCCTTGTAAGAACTTTATTTTGTATCGATTTTCGCTCAACTGCATGATTCTGCATATTCTCAGACAAAAACTGAAAAACTTTATTGGAAAGCGAGGAAGTTGATTTGATTTCAAGTTTTGCGTCCGGAACTACTCTCATTTGGGCCATTGAACGTTGTTTTCCCGGCTCGGGTGATATGAGAGAAGAGGAAAGTATATTTTTTCGAAACATTTTGAGGAGAATCAATACAATTGTCTTTCGTGCCACTTCTGAAGCTGTTCTGTGGAATCGGAACCGACTCGATGAATTCTGTGAAGTATTCCATTCAAAATCTCACATTTTCATTGATTTGCAGTTCTTTTGCGCCTACTTCGATCCACTTAGAAACGCCTTGTTCATAGAAACGCCCCATGTCTGGATATCTGCTCACTTGTGGGGACTGAAGAAGAGAACGAACGATTGAATTGAATTGAATTCGGTTTATTATTGGAACTGGAAATTATTAGAGAACAAAGAACAGAATGGGAATACAGAAGAAGCACAGGTAGATAAGAAATGACACGTGGAAAGAGTCGAGTTGAATTATGAATTAAAGAGATCCGATTTGAGCGGCCAACTGTGGGTTGTAGAAGGGATTCTTCACGAGAATCGGCTGCTTCTTCTGCTGGATCTCGGCGGCCAGAGTCGGGTTGAAGAACGGGTTGACGACGAGATTCACGGGCGACGGGTTGAATGAAGAGGCCGGCGACGTCTTCCGGGAGGTCCGGAGGTAGAGGGGCACGCGAGTCGGCGGGGACTGCCCAGGGGAACGGCTGTCGATCGGGGAGGCGCCGAGTCCAGAGTCTTGGCCAGAAGCGATCCTCTTCTGCTGTCGGAAGAAGGCCTTTCTCTGTCTTCTCTCCTTCCGAATCTGCCGCTGCGCCTCCTTGAACTCGCGTTTGAGCTGTTGGAGACGGAATTCCTCGCGGATGGCGTCCATGAATGCGAACATCTCTCTGGCGTGATGGTCCGCCAAACACTGCTCAAACGTCGTGAGACGACGGTTCGGGAATGAGCGGAACGTGTAAGAGGCCATTGTTAGAGAATAGTGGATAGAAAGAAGATGGAGAGCAAGGAAGATGCGTCTGCTCACGAGAACGGAAGAATCCGAATGAATGACTCGGAGTGGTCCGATTGGCTCACCGGTTAGGCCACGCCCATTTATAGGCGGAGATATCCATTGACCATCTTCACAAGTGCAGTATACCCTCGTGCGCACTAATTTTATGGGTCCGTGTGTAAAAGGAGCAAACAGGCGAAGATGGACCTTGCCAGAGGGGAACCGGGAGAAGGGGGGGGGGGTTTCGAAAAGAATCGGGGTGGAGAACAAGTACTGAAAAACACGTGCATGAGAAGCCGTAATGATCTATTACGCAACAACTGGAAAAAAAGACAACAAAAGTTTTAGTACGAGTTCTACGAACAGACATCCAAACGGGTTGGGACGGGTCTCGTGGTACCAAGAAGTATGTTTCGCCCGCGTCCCAACTCTTTGGATACCTGTTCTACGAATCGAGGGTTGACAGGTTCTCCATAGAAATTCAAGAATTGTTGGAAAATCCTAGGGCTCCTACCGGTCCTTCTTTAAACAAACAACGAATAAAGCATTTTCAATCGCAATTCAATGTTCTTTTCTATGAGTTCAATGAATTTTCTGTCAGAAACTGTCGGCTCCTGGTGTGGTGGCCGAGGATCCGACTGGTGGTCGCCATTTCACCGGTTTCGGACTCAAAAACAGGAATGCATTTAAGAAAAAGTGAAGAAAGAGAGAACAAGTGAAACTCTGTCAGTTTCAGCTGCAATTTTAAAAGGTACGAGCACTTGGTATGACAACTTTAACTTTCCGGCATTCTAAAGCGTTGCGACTCGGACAGTGTATGTGGTAAAATAAGAGCGAATTCAGGCGGACACAAAAACATTTAAATTGTTTCGCGTACCTTTCCGAGATCTTCGCCGACTTTCGAAGGCACGTTCTCGTCCTCGATGGCCATCATTTGTCCCCAATGCGAGCAGAGGAAGTTGCCGGTGATTGGGCCAGTTTCGACGGAATGAAAAAGGACGGATATTCTTTGCGGCAGTGCTCCAGATGCTCCCTGTACTCGATCACCGTCATTTTCAGTTGGAGCCGCGCCAATCGGGGCTCTATGTTTTCGTTCGTCACTCGGCCCACGGCTCCGAGCGCCCGGCACATGGCGCTAGTGGTAAAAGTGTGGGAAAGATAGAAATTGTACCAATTCCTTGAAAGTTCGCTCGCGCATATCGTCCATAATCGGAATGTAATCGGGCGCTTCGCAGAACGGAATCGCGTTGAAATCGCGCGTGTCGACGAGTTGTCCCCAGTCTGAAACGGAGAATTTCAGTCATTTCCGATCGGAAGCAAATGGAAAAATGGGTCGTTACCGATCTTCTTCTCACCGATCGGATCCTCGTCGCCCCACAGAGTCACAGTGATTTGATCCACGTCATCGAGCACGAAAAGCGACGAGAGGTAGCGGTTCATCACTTCGCACGCTGCTTTCTGCAAAAAAAGTAATTATTCGAACTCTACTTTAAATGTTTTCAAATTTTCACTGTTTCCTACATTCCCAACGTCTACAGTCCCATTCCGATTCTTTTCGAAACCCTCTTCTCCCGGTTCCCCTCTGGCAAGGTCCATCTTCGCCTGTTTGCTCCTTTTACACACGGACCCATAAAATTAGTGCTCACGAGAGTATACTGCACTTGTGAAGATGGTAAATGGATATCTCCGCCTATAAATGGGCGTGGCCTAACCGGTGAGCCAATCGGACCACTCCGAGTCATTCATTCGGATTCTTCCGTTCTCGTGAGCAGACGCATCTTCCTTGCTCTCCATCTTCTTTCTATCCACTATTCTCTAACAATGGCCTCTTACACGTTCCGCTCATTCCCGAACCGTCGTCTCACGACGTTTGAGCAGTGTTTGGCGGACCATCACGCCAGAGAGATGTTCGCATTCATGGACGCCATCCGTGAGGATTTCCGTCTCCAGCAACTCAAACGCGAGTTCAAGGAGGCGCAGCGGCAGATTCGGAAGGAGAGAAGACAGAGAAAGGCCTACTTCCGACAGCAGAAGAGGATCGCTTCTGGTCAAGACTCTGGACTCGGCGCCTCCCCGATCGACAGCCGTTCCCCTGGGCAGTCCCCGCCGACTCGCGTGCCCCTCTACCTGCGCACCTCCCGGAAGACGTCGCCGGCCTCTTCGTTCAACCCGTCGCCCGTGAATCTCGTCGTCAACCCGTTCTTCAACCCGACTCTCGCCGCACAGATCCAGCAGAAGAAGCAGCCGATTCTCGTCAAGAATCCCTTCTACAACCCACAGTTGGCCGCTCAAATCGGATCTCTCTAATTCATGATTCAACTCGACTCTTTCCACTTGTCATTTCTTATCTACCTGTGCTTATTCTGTGTTCCCATTCTGTTCTTTGTTCTCTAATAATTTCCAGTTCCAATAATAAACCTAATTTAATTCAATTCAATCGTTCGTTCTCTTCTTCAGTCCCCACAAGTGAGCAGATATCCAGCGGAACAAGTCGTTTCCAAGTGGATCAAAGTAGGCGCAAAAGAACTGCATATCAATGAAAATGTGAGATTTTGAATGGAATACTTCACAGAATCCATCGAGTCGGTTCCGATTCCCCAGAACAGCTTCAGAAGTGGCACGAAAGACAATTGTATTGATTTTCCTCACAATGTTTCGAAAATACTATGTTTTTCGTTGACAAACGGAGAAAAAGGCGCGCGCGGCGGCCGAAAATTAAAGGCGCAGAGACTTTTGAAGTGGCGCGGGTCTCGAAGCGAAATGAAAGAACGGTCGCTGCAGGCGGGATTTTAATTCGAAATTTCATTCTACGGAATTTGGAAGGTCGTTTTGTCATTTTGGACAGTTTTTTTGTGGTGTAGAAAATTGTGTTCGAATTTTATTTTATCGGTATTTGACGAGAAATTCGTCGAAAATTGTGATTTTTACGTTTCGTACGTGCTTTTCGTGTGCCCGGAAGGGTAAATCAGTGTTTTTAGGTACGGTTTACAGCTTTTTCGATCGGTTGAAGATGGGAGACAATGCGGAAGGCTCGCCGACAACATTACGAAAGAGTGGCCTCTTTGGCAAAAGCAGGCGAGCTCGAGATCCCGATGCCAACGGACTATCCCGATAGAGCAGTGCTGGAGGAGGAGAAAAGGCACCGTCAGAAAACGGGTCGCGGGTTCATAGGAATCGGTGCCTTCCGGGACAATGAAAACGAGTTCCCACCGATTCCGAATCAAGTCTACGGTGCCGCAAGGTCCTTCCGCGGATTGAGGCAATCAGAAAGCCCGCAGGACCTGTGGCTCCCTGAGATGACACCGTCGGACCTCGCCATGTTCGGACCCATCGAAGATGCAATTCGCACCGCGGCCCGGGCCATCCGGCAGGCCAACAGAGCAGCGGTGGTGGAGGTGGAGGAACGCGCCATCCCCGGAGCCGACGCGACCAGAGACCACGGAGCAGACGCGGGCGACGACGCCGAATTGGTTGCTCATCGCCCAACGAAGCCAGCCGCTCCGAGCGGAGACCCAAGAGATCGCCAGATGGCACGGTCGCCGGGAGAGCTGACGCCGCGCTCCGCAACGTCAAGCGAAAACTCGGAGTCAGGCTACCCGAGCAGCCCCGACGGTCCCACGGATCTCTCCAACTCATCGGACGATGGCGCCGGCAACTTCAGCTCGCCGGCCCAGTCAGAATGGCAAGCGGACGACGCCGAATACGAAGCCGAGTTCGAGGACCGAGACTTTCTCGCACTTCCGTCGACAACAATCGAGGAAGAACAGTACATGGGGCGGCTCATCGAGCGAGTCCTCACCCCGTTCTTCTCCACGAGTCGAGCTCTCTACGGCCGATCGGAACTGCCACGTCGCGCGATCCAACTGCTGAACATCAAACAGCTCCCCACGGAAAGCGAACTCCTCGTTCTCCGCTGCCAACTAGTTCAGACCACGTTGACCAAAGAAGCGGAACCGACCACAGGAGAAGAGTGGGCCGCGATCACCACGGAGCAGATCGACGATTACATTCGCACTATTCTACAATTCGGGGAGACGCTCCGAGGCGAGCATCGGTTCAGCAAGCTCTGGCTGGAGTCAGAAAACGATGGCAACATCGGAAAGCATCTAGCCAGATGGGCAAAGTTCATCCCCACGGTCACCCTCTTCGTAAAAGGGAACGACTACTGCATCAGGAAATGGAACAGCAACTACTTCCACGGGACCAACTACCCGCACTTCAGCCTCGACGTCCTCGAGGAGGAAGCGCCCATGAGAGACGGTCCACTCGAAAAGGAAGACCCGCTGTACGATGACTTCACGTCCGAGGCAACGCTCAACGAACTGATCAGCGACATCGTCGAGCAGGGACGACCGACAGAGGACACCACGGTCCGCCGTAATCAGAACCGCCGAGCCTTGCAGCTCCTAGTGAGCCAGGGACGACCTTGTGGCTTCCACGCCCTCGTGGCCCGCACGGCGCTACTGCAGAGGACACTCACAGGAGCCCAGGAGCCACCGGCGGCTCTCCGCCTCAGCTCTGGCACCGACCTTCGGGAGTACCACGGGAAGCTCTCAGACATCGCCATGTTCGTGCTCGACGCCTCCATCTCCATTCCGTGCGCTCTCTCCTCAGACCACGCACTGATTCACCGGTGGCCCGATACGGCGACGGTCCTGGTGATCCCGACGAGCGAGTATTGGACATCCAATCGATCCGAAGACTTGTGGAAGTTTCTGAGCATCCGCTGGAAAGAACTGCGGTACAAGCTCAAATGGTCTCCGACGGAAGAAGAGGTCGACTCGCACCCGGATCCGATCGGACACACCACGGTTGCGGCCGAGCCGCCACGTCGCTAACCAGTTTCTCTCACTCATTCACAGCTTTCACTCCTTCTTCTCGTTCCCCCTTCGGGCCCCATTGGCCAACATGCCCCGCGAATACCATACTGACCCAAAGGTAGTGTTTTTCCCTTTTTTCGGCCCATTTGGCCACGTGTCTGTTAAATGGCTCGTCGATGAGCGGTCTTTCTGGAATAAAGTCACATGAGACACATTCAATCTTCAGACAAAGTTTTAGAGGGTAAAGCAAAGGCTATTCGAGACGGCCCCGCATTTCACAAGTCGGGTGACTGGGCGAACCCACGAACCGTCGTCGGGCTCGACGACCACCACGGTGGTCACCCAACTACTTCACGACCAGCCACAGCAGCCGTCTAAGCTCAGGCGACTAGCAGTCGTTCTTTCAGCACTGGGAAGATCGAGCGATTTGGACGACACGAAGGACTTGGATGGCCCAAAAGATTGGAAGGAGGATCGAAAGGATGCCGCGGTTTTGAAGGATGCCGAGGATTCGAAGGATTTTGAGGATGTTTTGGAGTCGGAGGAGGATTCGTTGGTTCGTCTGGATGCTAAATCGCTGCCTGCTTCGCCTGTGCACTCGCCGACTGTGCCGATCGTCAGACGCTCTGCTAGAAATCGAACTGCCGTCAAACAATTCGATATGGACCCGACACAGAAAAGTTATCATTGATAACTAGGTCCTCTCTACCCCCATTTACTTTCTTATTTATCGTGGGGAGGAGATGTTGTGTACTCTCCGATACACACAAACTTGTTTTTCCTCCTGCCATCTTGTTTCTCTCTGCGCACACACTCTCTCGGTGCCGCAAACATTATAGTTGACGACAATTAGCTTTTCCGTGTGTTTAGCCTGGTTCCTCGACTCGGATTATTCTGTCTGATATTCTCTTCTATTTTATTCAATCTGAATAAACGTGTCTTAGCGATACGCTCGTCTCCAGTCTTTTCCACCTCCTTGGTTTAATAACCGGCGAACATATCAGTTCTTACAAGGAAAATCAGCAGAAAACGTCGTATTTTTCAAGATAAATTCGTGTCCCGACACAATGTTGCAGAAACATACACGCAAATTCCCGTTAATTATCATTTATTAGTTGGGCGGTTTTGGTAGTGAAAATGAGCTGCTTTGAGCAAAGAAAAACGGACAAAGGTAGTCGGAGACAAAATATCGAAGCAAAGTTTCGGCAAAAAATAAAGGTACACGAATAAAAAGTGAAGTATTCGGATCTGTGGGCGGGGCGGGGCCAACCGAGAGATCGGAAAAATGGGGGGATTGGTCGGAAAGGGACCGTCCGTCCGTTCAGGGCATGTTCAGCGATCCGCACGCGTACATGTAGAAGTTGTCGGCATTCACGGTCGCCGCCGGCTTCGCGCGTTGTGGAGACGTCAGGTACAATCAATCAACTGGATTCAATCAATTTACCGTCTAAAACTAAAAAAGTAGGAAGCATTTTTAGCCGGAACATTCCAGAAGGTTTTGTAGGAATCATGACTGTTGTGTTTCTGATGTCTTCCACCGCGTTGGTAAGGAAGACTAGTAGCAGATGAGAGTTTCCGCAGATGGTTTTTTCAGCGAGAGAAAAACCTTAGCAGGGGCTAGCAGAATAGAATATAGAGAATGAATAGAGGGTTCGTCCTCAGAGGGAGGGCGACCCGAATGATGACAAATAAGCGAGAATAACACATAACCTAGAGGGTAGATCACAGGTAGATCACTTAGCATTATCCTACAACTTTTATCATACGTCTAGAACGACGTAGCAATGACAATCACAGTGGAAATGTAATAAACTGATTTCTGTCTTGATCACCGAACAATGAAAGCGAGAAGTCGAATTCAGATGGACACGCCAGCTTCACGACCAAGAATCTTGAATCGGAAATTTCGAAGCTTACACATCTAATCGTCGTGGTATTTTCAGAAGGAACTATTCAAAGTTATTCAACTGGAGATGGGAAAGATATTGGTCAGAATTAAATTGGATTTATGATTGGAACTGGAAATTATTAGAGAACAAAGAACAGAAATGACATAAAAGGGACACAGGTAGACAGGAAATGGCAAGTGAAAGAAGTCACAGTGAGCACCAGTAGAAATGAGAGGTGACAAAAGAGAAGAAGTTATAAATTAGAGAGATCCAATTTGAGCAGCCAACTCTGGGTTATAGAAGGGATTCTTGACGAGAATCGGCTGCTTCTTCTGCTGGATCTCGGCGGCCAGAGTCGGGTTGAAGAACGGATTGACGACAAGATTCACGGGCGACGGGTTGAACGAAGAGGCCGGCGACGTCTTCCGGGAGGTCCGGAGGTAGAGGGGCACGCGAGTCGGCGGGGACTGCACAGGGGAACGGCTGTCGATCGGGGAGGCGCCGAGTCCAGAGTCCTGGCCAGAAGCGATCCTCATCTGCTGTCGGAAGTAGGCCCTTCTCTGTCGTCTCTCCTTCCGAATCTGCCGCTGGGCCTCCTTGAACTCGCGCTTGAGCTGTTGGAGACGGAATTCCTCGCGGATGGCGTCCATGAATGCGAACATCTCTCTGGCGTGATGGTCCGCCAGACACTGCTCGAACGTCGTGAGACGACGGTTCTTTGGGAATGAGCGGAACGTGTATGAAGCCATTGTTAGAGAATAGTTGTTAGAAAGAAGATAGAGAGCAATGAAGATGCGTGTGCTCACGAGAACGGAAGAATCCGAATGAATGACTCGGAGTGGTCCGATTGGCTCACCGGTAAGGCCACGCCCATTTATAGGCGGAGATATCCATTGACCATCTTCACAAGTGCAGTATACCCTCGTGAGCACTAATTTTATGGGTCCGTGTGTAAAAGGAGCAAACAGGCGAAGATGGACCTTGCCAGAGGGGAACCGGGAGAAGGGGGGTTTCGAAAAAGAATCGGGATGGGACTGTAGACGTTGGGAATGTAGGAAACAGTGAACATTTGAAAACATTTAAAGTAGAGTTCGAATAATTACTTTTTTTGCAGAAAGCGGCGTGCGAAGTGATGAACCGCTACCTCTCATCTCTTTTCGTGCTCGATGACGTAAGAATCCGAATGAATGAATGTATGTTAAATTTTTTTGTGTCCGCCTAAATTCGCTCTTATTTTACCACATACACTGTCCGAGTCCCAACGCTCTGGAATGCCGGAACAGCGCGCAGTTAAAGTTGCCGTACCAAGTGCTCGTACCTTTTAAAGTTGCAGCTGAAACTGACAGTGTTTCACTTGTTCTCTCTTTCTTCACTTTTCTCAAATGCATTCCTGCTTTTTGAGTCCGAAACCGGTGAAATGGCGACCACCAGTCGGATCCTCGGCCACCACACCCACACCAACAATTCTTGAATTTCTATGGAGAACCTGCCAACCTTCGATTCGTAGAACAGGTATCCAAAGAGTTGGGACGCGGGCGAAACATACTTTTTGGTACCACGAGACAGAACCAACTTTTGTTGTCTTTTTTCCAGATTTTTTCCAGTTGTTGAGTAATAGATCATTACGGCTTCTCATGCACGTGTTCCATCCCGATTCTTTTCGAAACCCTCTTCTCCCGGTTCCCCTCTGGCAAGGTCCATCTTCGCCTGTTTGCTCCTTTTACACACGGACCCCTAAAATTAGTGCTCACGAGAGTATACTGCACTTGTGAAGATGTTCAATTGCTATCTCCGCCTATAAATGGGCGTGGCCTAACCGGTGAGCCAATCGGACCACTCCGAGTCATTCATTCGGATTCTTCCGTTCTCGTGAGCACACGCATCTTACCATTCTCTAATAATGGCTGCGTACACGTTTCGCTCATTCCCAAAGAACCGTCGTCTGACGACGTTCGAGCAGTGCCTGGCGGACCATCACGCCAGAGAGATGTTCGCATTCATGGACGCCATCCGTGAGGAGTTCCGTCTCCAGCAACTCAAACGCGAGTTCAAGGAGGCGCAGCGGCAGATTCGGAAGGAGAGAAGACAGAGAAAGGCCTTCTTCCGACAGCAGAAGAGGATCGCTTCTGGCCAGGACTCTGGATTCGGCGCCTCCCCGATCGACAGCCGTTCCCCTGGGCAGTCCCCGCCGACTCGCGTGCCCCTCTACCTCCGGACTTCCCGGAAGACGTCGCCGGCCTCTTCGTTCAACCCGTCGCCCGTGAATCTCGTCGTCAATCCGTTCTTCAACCCGACTCTCGCCGCCCAGATCCAGCAGAAGAAGCAGGCGATTCTCGTCAAGAATCCCTTCTACAACCCACAGTTGGCTGCTCAAATTGGATCTCTCTAATTTATAACTTCTTCTCTTTTGTCACCTCTCATTTCTACTGGTGCTCACTGCGACTTCTTTCACTTGTCATTTCCTGTCTACCTGTGTCCCTTTTATGTCATTTCTGTTCTTTGTTCTCTAATAATTTCCAGTTCCAATCATAAATCCAATTTAATTCTGACCAATATCTTTCCCATCTCCAGTTGAATAACTTTGAATAGTTCCTTCTGAAAATACCACGACGATTAGATGTGTCAATAGAAATGGAAACAGGGGTTTTGGCCATCTATCACAGCAGTTTGCCCCGTTGACAGATCTCGTGGGCTGTCATCGTAATCTCGTGCGGACGCGGCGCTACCCCCAGACAGGAAATCGATGGTTCCCAGGAATGGTGGTCAGATTAACAAGTGAAAATTTAAATCGATATGAAAGGAGTATTGAACTCCGAAAGTAAACGAATGTAAGGTTGAGTCAACGAATTAATTGCCAGGATTTTATATCTCCCTGCGTGCTATTGACGCTGATGCTACCTGCATGACATGACAAAAAACAAAAGAATAACAAGGAAAATCAACAATTTTTAACAACAGAGGTTATTTTGTCCGTGGTGGCGCGGCTTGCCTAGATGGTGCCTGGGCCTCGGAACGGGTAGTCGGACGTCGTCGGCGTGGCGGACGCTTGCTTCTTGGGCACTCCAAAGGCGTTGATATCCTTTGACCCCTGGTGCTTTCTCTTCATCGCTCGGTCTCGCGACGCGGCTTTCTTCGCCGCGGCGTTCTCCTTCGAGAAGCGAATCGGGCAGAGGACTGCCGAGTGGTTGGCCTCCGTCTCTGGGTCTTGTCGCAAATGCCGGCATTCGTCGCACTGCGTCTTCGCTTCGGGGCACGTCTCGTGGGAGGCCGGGCCGAGACACTTTGTGCATCGGAGATTTTCCACTGCCTTCTGGCGGCGGTCTGAGTGAGTGGTGTACGTGCGGCACTCAAACGCCTCGTGGTTGTCTCGGTTGCACAGAACGCAGTGGGCTTTCTTCTTGATGGTCCTGGACTCGCCTTGGTTGATGTCATGGCCTGGTGTCGGGCGCTGATAGAAGTTCATCATCGCTCCCTCCACCCGTCCGAGCGTGGCTACGATGCTGATCTTGGACGTCTGCTCGATTTCTTGGGCCGCTTGGATCTACTTGACGGTGATTTCGCGAATCTGCTCGTTCGTGGTCGCCTGCAGAAGCTCCAACGACCTCTTGCACCATTCAATGTTCGCCGAGATCTCCCTGACGAACGTGGAGCAGTCTTGAGCCGATCTGGTCGCCACGTTGAGCGCGGTCTTCATGTATTCCACGCCGTCTTGTACCATGCGTGGCGCGGCGTCCACGTGCGCCATCGTTCTGTCAAGCTTGGCGGACGTGGTCGTAGTCTTGTCCGTGAGCGTGCGTAGCTCCAATTTGCAGTTGAACATCTCCGACTTCAGTTCTCTGTCCAGCCGGCGGATGTCCGATCGGACGAAGTTCACCAGTTCGACGTTGTCGATGACGCGTTGATGCGTCGTCTGCACCGGAGGCCACAGTCCTTGGTCGCGGTGCAGCAGCGTGTGGACCGCTTTCGGTGTTTCCGAGGCTCGCTTAGTTCCTGTCGGACGTCCGTCCTGTCCCTCTTTGCCGCTGCCGTCTTCCTCTTCCTTGCGGCTCGTGCTTCGCGACGATCCGTGGACGACTGTGTCGATGACCAGATCCTCTGTGGCTGAGTCTCCGTGGCTTTCGGGTGGCGATCCGACGCGATTCGTCTCCGTGGGTGCGACGCTGACGGGCCACAGGTCCTTGAGTGGAGAGGGAACGGTGCGTTGCTGCGGCTCCGGCGGTGGGGTGCTTGGCCCCTTCTTGTTGCTTCCGTCTTGTTTCTCTTCCATTTGGTCGATTCCTAAAACTATGATTAGTGTGATGCGACACGGCGGGGCCTGACGATAATCGACGGTTTTGAAACCTGGGTAATGGCATAATGGCGGACAGTACAATAATCAACGAGGTTCATTATACATATACGTGGGGGAGAGCAAGACGAGGCTATTTTAACGGTCTCCGACCTCCGTGGCCTCCTCGACGACGCATAGCGGCCTCCTGGAACGACTTCTTGCTGCCCGCTCTCTGCTGAGCGCGGGTGCTCGACGACGTTGGTGGCAGGCCTTCCGGATTGAGCTGATCCCGTTCCCGTCTTGACTCTGCGGCTGTGCTCGACGTCGCGTCTTCCTCGAGAGGTCCCGCCTGCTTCGGTCGCCTCCATTCTGGAATAATATTCACTTTTTCTGACCAATTCATCCCGCAGCTAGTTTTCATGGCTTCAATGTTGCCACGCGCCCTCCGCCGCTTGCCGCGGAGAACACTGAAGCCAGGGGAATGGTTTGGAAAAATTTTCTCTTTTTTTTACACGAGTTGCGAGATGCTAAATTTCTTTTACGATTTGTCAACGAGAAAGAACTCACTCGTGGTCCTGCTGCGAGGCGCTCACGTTGTGCTCCTATCGCTTTGATGTCATCTCCCTTCGTCGTGGTTCGGTTTTCTGCAAGGAAATTCTATTTCTATCGCGAAAAGGGGTCCAAATTTACGAAAAAATGGGAAGATTCGGTGGCAGAATTTCGAAATGCGATGTGCGGTCTGCAAACACAGACTCTGTGTACGCCACCCACCTGTCATTGTCTACCGTACTCCTCCGCTGTGTGCAAGATCTTCTAGCACTCAGAATACTTTGACCCCTCATCCTATCTAATGTTCCCCAACCCCCACCCACTTCAGACCTATTTCATACTAAGTCCGCAATTGCGCGTATTATCATGCGCCCCCGCGCCAATATACGCAAGCTTTAGCCCGCCAATTCTAGGTGTTTCAGTGATCTGTTTACTGCTCAATTGAGATCTCTTGTGTTAGTCCCACTCATTTCCTTCGTTCTCAATTGTAGTAGTGACTCTTATCTAAGTTAAATTGTTGTTTGAGAGTAGGCGTTATTACTATCGTCTCCTCGTCTGTTATAATGTTAATTCAAAGGTTTAATTACCCAAGTTTGAGAGAGATTGTTCGCAAGAATAAAGATCAAACAAAGGGAAGAACTTTCTTTATGGTGCATCGACGAACATAAGAAGTCGAGGCACGAGCAAGACCCGCGTGGCAGCAGCAGTCAGCACACGAGCCGAATCAAACCGAAAATAGGGCACAGTAACGCACTGGGCCCCTTTTTCACCCATCAAGGCAACAGCACAGGATGATGAGTTATCACCTGGCGATTGCCACAAGGGCAGGCAACGCCCTCAAGCAGTTCTCCACGGAAACGAAGGAGGAGCTGAAACCTCTGGAAGGAGTATCCAACGCGGAACTCCTTCTCAAGAAAGATTGGTTCGTGGAAAGGCTGGACATCATCGAATCGAAGATGGAGAGGCTCGAGAGGAGCATGTCCGAGCTTACGACGGCAGCCGAAAACGAGGAGATCGCCGAAAATCCTGGACAGATGGCCAAGTACGAGGGAAACGTGGACCTGGTATTGGAAATCATGGGAAGAGCAGGAGAAGTAAGGGATGCTCTAAGTGCAAAGCTGCGTCGGATACGATCAGAGGAGTCGACTTCGAGGCATCGATCGAGCATGCTGAAGGAGGAGATCCGTGTGAGCGGACACCAAATCCGCAACAACATCACCGTCCCAACGTTCAACGGGAACAAGTGGGAGTTTCAAAGATATTGGGTTATCTTTGACGAGCTAGTTCACCGAACGGACGAGAGAAAAATCATCAAATTTTGTCATCTGCTCAACTCACTCAGAGGAGAGCCACTGGAACTTCTATACCGCTTCGAGGTATCAGAAGAAAACTACGACGACGCGATAAAGTTGCTCAAGGCGAAGTACTCCGACAGAGAATCCATTGTTCTTGAGCTGAACGACAGACTCAAGAATGAGAAGGCTCTGGATTCCTCAATCAAAGAACAAAGAAGGTTGATGGAGCGGATGATCATCACCATCACGCAACTCAAACGTCACGGAGAGAACCTCGACAACCGTTACCTGATGGACTTTCTTCTGGGAAAATTCTCGCAGTCCATCAGGAAAGAAACCTACAGAAGCAAGATCCAAGCCAACAAGGATTGGACAATGGCGCAGATGTTTGAGGACCTTGAGCAAGTGATCAAAATCGAGGAGGATCTTCGGGTGTGTATGGGACCCGGAGAGGAATCCGAGAAGACGACGATCGAGCAAGGGCAATCTACATTCCAAGAACCAAATCCGAACAACGCGTTCGGAGGTGGTGTTCGACAAAATCAAGATCCTGGGTGTGCGTTCTGCAAAGAAGGTGATCATCAACCGAACGATTGCCGGAACGTCCAGTCAAACGCTGACAGACGTTCGATCCTGCAGAGAGAAGATCGCTGTTTCAACTGCTGTCGAGTTGGGCACGTCATCAAGGAGTGCACAAGCCGAATGAGCTGTGATTCATGTCAAGGTCGGCACAGCACTGCTATTTGCCCAACGAGAGGAAAGATTTACGCAACGAGCGCAAATCAGAAGACGACGGTCAGGAAATACGAGGCCAAAACAGAGGATATCAAGCCTTCGGACGGCGCCGTATCCATGAACGTGGCGCGAGTCAAAACGAAGGACGAAGAAGCAGAGAGTGCCTCGGTTCACCAAGCGCCATCGACTCATTTACAGGAGAAAACGGAAGGATTTCTGCCGACAATTCGAACGAAGGCTCGCAACGCCGAGACGGGAGATTGGAAGCCAATCACCGTCATGATTGATTGTGGAGCGACCAACACGTTCATCCGAGGAAAAACAGCTAAAGATCTACAGCTGAAACAACTACCACCCGATTCCTTCCCGATGGAAATCTTCAACGCCAAAACGAAGCGCGCTAAGAAGTACGAAAGATCGGAAATCGAAATCGGATTAGGCAACGCGCCCATTCTGATCGACGCCCTCCATGCATCGCGCTTGACAGGGAAAATCATCAGACCTCGACTGTCGAACGAAGACAGAGAGTTCATGATCAAGGAGGAAATCGATCCTCATCAAGACCTATCAGATGGAGGCAACGAGCCCGACATCATAATAGGCTGCGACCACTTCGGCAAAGTGGTCAAAGAGATGATCGAACTTCCGTCGGGACTCACACTCTGGAGGACGATCTTCGGATTCTTACCAATGGGAAGCGCATGGAAGAAAGGTGGAAGACGTGATCCAACTGATCCGTACATCAAGAGAGTCTATTCGGATCGCCAAAGCGAGATCAGGGAACGGAAGGATTTCGTCGAACACGAGCCGGGCGCCCCAGAGGCTCCGGGACTCCACGCCCTACCCATCGAAACTGTAGCCGTCGGAACGACCGACGACTATGGGCCACCGGACAAGCTTCAGAATCAGAACGAAGATGACCACCATGTGGGCCGGGAGGGTCATACGCAATCAAATTCGTATGAGTCGGTTCTCCCCCACATACGCCACGACTGCTCTGCGAATCAACCGACGGGAGACCAGGAATCAACGCACCAAATCACATCAAGGGAAACGAACGCCGTTTCCTGTAACCCAGTCAATGCTCGTCCCAGCAGTCATCACGCATCAACCATCACCCCCACCCGCAAGGTTACCGAAAGAGAACGCCTCTTTCGGACAACCAAACTTTCGTCACATCACGAGGAACCGGAAGAGAATGACTCCGCCGGTTACCAAACCCCGTAACCAAATCATCTTCATCCACCACACAAGTTCTGCTCGAGGGAAACGATCCTTCCGACAGACCTTCTGGAGGCCGGGAATGTGCAAGATCTTCTAGCACTCAGAATACTTTGACCCCTCATCCTATCTAATGTTCCCCAACCCCCACCCACTTCAGACCTATTTCATACTAAGTCCGCAATTGCGCGTATTATCATGCGCCCCCGCGCCAATATACGCAAGCTTTAGCCCGCCAATTCTAGGTGTTTCAGTGATCTGTTTACTGCTCAATTGAGATCTCTTGTGTTAGTCCCACTCATTTCCTTCGTTCTCAATTGTAGTAGTGACTCTTATCTAAGTTAAATTGTTGTTTGAGAGTAGGCGTTATTACTATCGTCTCCTCGTCTGTTATAATGTTAATTCAAAGGTTTAATTACCCAAGTTTGAGAGAGATTGTTCGCAAGAATAAAGATCAAACAAAGGGAAGAACTTTCTTTACGCTGTTCGAATTGGAAATGGCGAATTGAGAAACGATTTCCGAGAGAAATCCATGGAAATTCGTCATTTGAGACGTGAAAAATAATAGAGAACTCGTTGCCTCGCCTCCGGGGATGCCGGGGCTTGGCTAGCACAGGGTTATGCGCTCATAATCATCTATACGGGCCCAAATCGCTTGCGAGTCCGTTTAGACCAGACCGTTCCTCAATTTGGAAGGTTCGACCCGAAAATATTCACACGTGGGAATATTTTTTGTTATAAAAAAGGTTAAAATTAAGCACCATGTTGAGCCTCCGGTTTGACAGGTCGGAACGACGACCCCGAAAGACTCTGATAGTCTTGGGTCTGATGAACTGCTTGCGGAAGAGGGGAAGAAAAACGAGTAGAATGTGTATAAGATGAGCGTGGTGAGGCATAACACATGTTAATAAAGAATTCAAGTTTATTTAAGTCAAAAATGTAAAAGGCAAAAGGCCCCGTAGGGCAAAAATCCTCGTGGCCGACGAACGGGGGGCGAGGAAACCTGTTCGTAACAGGGGGAAAACCTCGAAGGAAAAATGCAGAGACGGTTTGTTCGCGGCTGACGTCGCCAGAAGTGACGACCCGTGGCGTCACGACCGTGGAGATCGTGGGCCTGGGTAGAGTGAGAGTTTTGAGCCGTAAACTGGCCCAAAACGAGGCAAAAGGAGTCACAAAGGCGGAATATTCAGCGGAACAAAACCGGAAAAATATGAGGAAAAATTCGTCAAGTTTTGACGGAAAAAAGGGGCAGCAATTTTGCTGGAAAAATCGTTGTTAGTTAATTAATTATCGAACAAAAACTTGTAGGATTTTTCTGCCGCGGGTCTCGCCACGATAGCCGCGCGCGCGGACGAATATCGCCGGGCGCGGCGCGTTTAGGAGCGTAGAGAACACGCACAACACGCACTACCAGCTGTATCGATTAGTTGGAGGGCGAATTCGCCGGAGAGAAGTGATAAAAGGATACAAAATTATTGAATTAAAGTGAAAAGAAAGAGAAAGACATAAATAAAGGGAGATTTAGAGAGAGTAAATCGACTATTTATTGAGCGCTCGGTTCATCGGCCGGTGGAGAACGAGGATTCTCCGGGGGCACCGGAACGAAAGAAGATGCGAAGCCGATCTGTTCGTACAGAGTTGTACGAAGGGCTGGGGCTTCGCAACAACGAGAGGTAGCGGTTCATCACTTCACACGCCGCTTTCTGCAAAAAAAGTAATTATTCGAATTCTACTTTAAATTTTTTCAAATGTTCACTGTTTCCTACATTCCCAACGTCGACAGTCCCATCCCGATTCTTTTCGAAACACCCCCTTCTCCCGGTTCCCCTCTGGCAAGGTCCATCTTCGCCTGTTTGCTCCTTTTACACACGGACCCATAAAATTAGTGCTCACGAGGGTATACTGCACTTGTGAAGATGGTCAATGGATATCTCCGCCTATAAATGGGCGTGGCCTAACCGGTGAGCCAATCGGACCACTCCGAGTCATTCATTCGGATTCTTCCGTTCTCGTGAGCAGACGCATCTTCCTTGCTCTCCATCTTCTTTCTATCCACTATTCTCTAACAATGGCCTCTTACACGTTCCGCTCATTCCCGAACCGTCGTCTCACGACGTTTGAGCAGTGTCTGGCGGACCATCACGCCAGAGAGATGTTCGCATTGATGGACGCCATCCGCGAGGAATTCCGTCTCCAGCAACTCAAACACGAGTTCAAGGAGGCGCAGCGGCAGATTCGGAAGGAGAGAAGACAGAGAAAGGCCTACTTCCGACAGCAGAAGAGGATCGCTTCTGGCCAGGACTCCGGACTCGGCGCCTCCCCGATCGACAGCCGTTCCCCTGCGCAGTCCCCGCCGACTCGCGTGCCCCTCTACCTCCGCACCTCCCGGAAGACGTCGCCGGCCTCTTCGTTCAACCCGTCGCCCGTTAATCTCGTCGTCAACCCGTTCTTCAACCCGACTCTCGCCGCACAGATCCAGCAGAAGAAGCAGGCGATTCTCGTGAAGAATCCCTTCTATAACCCACAGTTGGCTGCTCAAATTGGATCTATCTAATTTATAACTTCTTCTCTTTTGTCACCTCTCATTTCTACTGGTGCTCACTTTGACTTCTTTCACTTGTCATTTCCTGTCTACTTGTGTCCCTTTCATGTCATTTCTGTTCTTTGTTCTCTAATAATTTCCAGTTCCAATCATAAATCCAATTAAATTCTAACCAACATCTTTCCCATCTCCAGTTGAATAACTTTGAATAGTTCCTTCTGAAAATACCACGACGATTAGATGTGTAAGCTTCGAAATTTCCGATTCAAGATTCTTGGTCGTGAAGCTGGCGTGTCCATCTGAATTCGACTTCTCGCTTTCATTGTTCCGTGATCAACACAAATCAGTTTATTACATTTCCACTGTGATTGTCATGATTACTACAAAACCTTCTGGAATGTTCCGGCTAAAAATGCTTCCTACTTTTTAGTTTTAGACGGTAAATCGATTGAATCCAGTTGATTGATTGTACCTGACGTCTCCACAACGCGCGAAGCCGGCGGCGACCGTGAATGCCGACAACTTCTACATGTACGCGTGCGGATCGCTGAACATGCCCTGAACGGACGGACGGTCCCTTTCCGACCAATCCACCCATTTTTCCGATCTCTCGGTTGGCCCCGCCCCGCCCACAGATCCGAATACTTCACTTTTTATTCGTGTACCTTTATTTTTTGTCGAAACTTTGCTTCGATATTTTGTCTCCGACTACCTTTGTCCGTTTTTCTTTGCTCAAAGCAGCTCATTTTCACTACCAAAACCACCCAACTAATAAATGATAATTAACGGGAATTTGCGTGTGTGTTTCTGCAACATTGTGTCGGGACACGAATTTATCTTGAAAAATACGACGTTTTCTGCTGATTTTCCTACTTAGAACTATATTTTGGGTGATTTCCGCTCAACTGCATGATTCGGCATATTTTCAGACAAAAACTAGGGATCGCAAAACTCTGAATTTCCATAAAATTTTTGATGGAATGTGTTCCCCCACTCTATATGAGTACGCTCCCAATTTTTTTTTTTTAATTTTCGGTACATCCCGAGTTACACCCGTTCAAAGTTGCCCTGTTTTCTCCCCGGTCGGCGGCTGAGGAGGGGCGTGGCCTCGCTTGCAAGTTTGCCGCACGCGTTTTTTCTCATTATCTGGTGGACCAAACCAAAGAGTCAACATTTTAAATAAACAGAAATAATGTTCTAAAAAAGCAAAACCACTTTTGAGGTCAAAAGTTTCGAACCCGACACCTCAAAATAGCCGAGCGAGCACTCTGCCACTGCGCCACCCAGGCGGAGGCGCCCACCGCCAATCGCGTTGAAAAGCTCGGTTTGCGCGGCCCCTTACAGGGGTGAAGTTAGCAGACTTGCCAAATCCCGGGCCGGCCCGCCGGGCCGGGCCAGCAAATCGTCGGCCCGGCCCGGTCGGCCCGGCTCCGCCCACTCTTGAGAAAATTTTCGTAATTTTTGTGAAAATTTTGCGACTTTAAACAGCAATTTCTATTTTTTAACAGGTTTTTATGCTATAACATTGCCTTTTTAAGTCTACAAAATTTTAAGTCTATAAAATTATGTTCGTTTCGAAGTTCTAGTTCGCTTTGAATTTTTAGGTGCATCCTCCCGGGCCGACCGGGCCGGGCCGGAAAATTTCCAATTTTGGCCCGGCCCGGCCCGGCCCGTTGCAAGTCTGGAAGTTAGTGCATTTTCGCGCTGAAATTAACTTCCTCAAATCCTCCACAGTTATTCCAATTCAAGGGGGCCACACAGGCTCTCAGACTGACTTCCATTTTCGTTTTCGCCGTTTTTTGGAAAAACGGTGCGTTTTCACGGGAAACTGAGTTGTTCATTGGATTCAGCATGGTCGATTACATAAAGTAAACCGTTTTGGGTATGGCACTTCATTTGGGGACCTCGGTACAGACCGTCAAACACGCGCGCGCGAAAATCGGGAGAAAATTCGTCAGGCCACGCCCCCTTTGTTGCGCCCCCTAACAAAAACTGAAAAACTTTATTGGAAAGCGAGGAAGTTGAGTTGATTTCAAGTTTTGCGTCCGGAACTACTCTCATTTGGGCCATTGAACGTTGTTTTCCCGGCTCGGGTGATAAGAAAGAAGAGGAAAGTATATTTGTTCGAAGCATTGTGAGGAGAATCAATACAATTGTCTTTCGTGCGACTTCTGAAGCTGTTCTGTGGAATCGGAACCGACTCGATGAATTCTGTGAAGTATTCCATTCAAAATCTCACATTTTCATTGATTTGCAGTTTTTTTGCGCCTACTTTGATCCACTTGGAAACGGTTTGTTCCGCTGGATATCTGCTCACTTGTGGGGACTGAAGAAGAGAACGAACGATTGAATTGAATTGAATTAGGTTTATTATTGGAACTGGAAATTATTAGAGAACAAAGAACAGAATGGGAATACAGAAGAAGCACAGGTAGATAAGAAATGACAAGTGGAAAGAGTCGAGTTGAATTATGAATTAGAGAGATCCGATTTGAGCGGCCAACTGTGGGTTGTAGAAAGGATTCTTGACGAGAATCGGCTGCTTCTTCTGCTGGATCTCGGCGGCCAGAGTCGGGTTGAAGAACGGGTTGACGACGAGATTCACGGGCGACGGGTTGAACGAAGAGGCCGGCGACGTCTTCCGGGAAGTCCGGAGGTAGAGGGGCACGCGAGTCGGCGGGGACTGCCCAGGGGAACGGCTGTCGATCGGGGAGGCGCCGAGTCCAGAGTCTTGGCCAGAAGCGATCCTCTTCTGCTGTCGGAAGAAGGCCTTTCTCTGTCGTCTCTCCTTCCGAATCTGCCGCTGGGCTTCCTTGAACTCGCGTTTGAGCTGTTGCAGACGGAACTCCTCACGGATGTCGTCCATCAATGCGTACATCTCTCTGGCGTGATGGTCCGCCAAACACTGCTCAAACGTCGTGAGACGACGGTTCGGGAATGAGCGGAACGTGTAAGAGGCCATTGTTAGAGAATAGTGGATAGAAAGAAGATGGAGAGCAAGGAAGATGCGTCTGCTCACGAGAACGGAAGAATCCGAATGAATGACTCGGAGTGGTCCGATTGGCTCACCGGTAAGACCACGCCCATTTATAGGCGGAGATATCCATTTACCATCTTCACAAGTGCAGTATACCCTCGTGAGCACTAATTTTATGGGTCCGAGTGTAAAAGGAGCAAACAGGCGAAGATGGACCTTGCCAGAGGGGAACCGGGAGAAGGGGGTGTTTCGAAAAGAATCGGGATGGGACTGTCGACGTTGGGAATGTAGGAAACAGTGAACATTTGAAAACATTTAAAGTAGAGTTCGAATAATTACTTTTTTTGCAGAAAGCGGCGTGCGAAGTGATGAACCGCTACCTCTCATCCCTTTTTGTGCTCGATGACGTGGATCAGATCACTGTGACTCTGTGGGGCGACGAGGATCCGATCGGTGAGAAGAAGATCGGTAACGACCCATTTTTCCCTTTGTCTCCGATCGGAAATGACTGAAATTCTCCGTTTCAGACTGGGGACAACTGGTCGACACGCGCGATTTTAACGCGATTCCGTTCTGCGAAACGCCCGATTACATTCCGATTATGGACGATATGCGCGAGCGAACTTTCAAGGAATTGGTACAATTTCTATCTTTCCCACACTTTTACCACAAGCGCCATGTGCCGGGCGCTCGGAGCCGTGGGCCGAGTGACGAACGAAAACATGGAGCCCCGATTGGCGCGGCTCCAACTGAAAATCATCGAGTACAGGGAGCATCTGGAGCACTGCCGCAAAGAATATCCGTCCTTTTTCATTCCGTCGAAACTGGCCCAATCACCGGCAACTTCCTCTGCTCGCACTGGGGACAAATGATGGCCATCGAGGACGAGAACGTGCCTTCGAAAGTCGGCGAAGATCTCGGAAAGGTACGCGAAACAATTTAAATGTTTTTGTGTCCGCCTGAATTCGCTCTTATTTTACCACATGCACTGTCCGAGTCACAACGCTCTGGAATGCCGGAACAGCGCGCAGTTAAAGTTGTCATACCAAGTGCTCGTACCTTTTAAAATTGCAGCAGAAACTGACAGTGTTTCACTTATTCCCTCTTTCTTCACTTTTTTTCAAATGCATTCCTGTTTTTGAGACCGAAACCGGTGAAATGGCGACCACCAGTCGGATCCTCGGCCACCACACCAGGCACCGACAGTTTCTGACAGAAAATTCATTGAAGATTTCTAAAAATTTGAAAAATGTGTTTTTCAGTATGCGGCGACTTCTCGTTCCGATTTCGGACGTCTTCACAATCGGCGTTCCATTCTTCCCCCCCTCGATGCGCCAACGAATAGAAAAGGTACAGTTACTATTCAAAGAATTGTACTTGGAGAGCAAGAAAACTGCTATCCGCTGCTCGTTCTTGCGATTGAAAATGCTTTATTCGTTTTTTGTTTAAAGAAGGACCGGTAGGAGCCCTTGGATTTTCCAACAATTCTTGAATTTCTATGGAGAACCTGTCAACCCTCGATTCGTAGAACAGGTATCTAAAGAGTTGGGACGCGGGCGAAACATACTTCTTGGTACCACAAGACCCGTCCCAACCCGTTTGGATGTCTGTTCGTAGAACTCGTACTTAAACTTTTGTTGTCTTTTTTTCCAGCTTTTTTCCAGTTGTTGAGTAATAGATCATTACGGCTTCTCATGCACGTGTTCCATCCCGATTCTTTTCGAAACACCCCTTTCTCCCGGTTCCCCTCTGGCAAGGTCCATCTTCGCCTGTTTGCTCCTTTTACACACGGACCCATAAAATTAGTGCTCACGAGGGTATACTGCACTTGTGAAGATGGTCAATGGATATCTCCGCCTATAAATGGGCGTGGCCTAACCGGTGAGCCAATCGGACCACTCCGAGTCATTCATTCGGATTCTTCCGTTCTCGTGAGCAGACGCATCTTCCTTGCTCTCCATCTTCTTTCTATCCACTATTCTCTAACAATGGCCTCTTACACGTTCCGCTCATTCCCGAACCGTCGTCTCACGACGTTTGAGCAGTGTTTGGCGGACCATCACGCCAGAGAGATGTTCGCATTCATGGACGCCATCCGTGAGGATTTCCGTCTCCAGCAACTCAAGCGCGAGTTCAAGGAGGCGCAGCGGCAGATTCGGAAGGAGAGAAGACAGAGAAAGGCATACTTCCGACAGCAGAAGAGGATCGCTTCTGGCCAGGACTCTGGACTCGGCGCCTCCCCGATCGACAGCCGTTCCCCTGGGCAGTCCCCGCCGACTCGCGTGCCCCTCTACCTCCGCACCTCCCGGAAGACGTCGCCGGCCTCTTCGTTCAACCCGTCGCCCGTGAATCTCGTCGTCAACCCGTTCTTCAACCCGACTCTCGCCGCCCAGATCCAGCAGAAGAAGCAGCCGATTCTCGTCAAGAATCCCTTCTACAACCCACAGTTGGCTGCTCAAATTGGATCTCTCTAATTTATAACTTCTTCTCTTTTGTCACCTCTCATTTCTACTGGTGCTCACTGTGACTTCTTTCACTTGTCATTTCCTGTCTACTTGTGTCCCTTTTATGTTATTTCTGTTCTTTGTTCTCTAATAATTTCCAGTTCCAATCATAAATCCAATTCAATTCTAACCAACATCTTTCCCATCTCCAGTTGAATAACTTTGAATAGTTCCTTCTGAAAATACCATGACGATTAGATGTGTAAGCTTCGAAATTTCCGATTCAAGATTCTTGGTCGTGAAGCTGGCGTGTCCATCTGAATTCGACTTTTCGTTTTCATTGTTCGGTGATCAAGACAGAAATCAGTTTATTACATTTCCACTGTGATTGTCATTGTTACGTCGTTCTAGACGTATGATAAAAGTTGTAGGATAATGCTAACTAGGGAATGATCAATTGTTTGACCCAGATATTCAGTCGACACAAAAACCCCAAAAAATTATTATAGCGAGCGGGGACCGAACCCAGACCCTTGCCTACTAGTCGAACCCACTACCCGCTGCACCATCCAATCGGTGATTTCAGTTGTTTCCGAATACTTTGATATCAAGGGAGTTCACGCGACTGTTACGAGGGGGAAAATTGCCTAAAATACAGTATTTCAGTGGAAATTTTCCGGCGCCATTTTCTCGAAATCCAGGTGTCGGCAGCAAAAATGGTCAACAGAACATTTTATCCTCTTGGTATAAGCTATCGAACTATGTCAGTCACGGCCCATAAGGCCAACTTACCTATTGATCATTCCCTAGTAAGTGATCTACCTGTGATCTACCCTCTAGGTTATGTGTTATTCTCGCCTATTTGTCATCATTCGGGTCGCCCTCCCTCTGAGGACGAACCCTCTATTCATGCTCTATATTCTATTCTGCTAGCCCCTGCTAAGGTTTTTCTCTCGCTGAAAAAACCATCTGCGGAAACTCTCGTCTGCTTAGTAGCTCTTCCTTACCAACGCGGTGGAAGACATCAGAAACACAACAGTCATGATTCCTACAAAACCTTCTGGAATGTTCCGGCTAAAAATGCTTCCTACTTTTTAGTTTTAAACGGTAAATTGATTGAATCCATTGGCGCTTCCACTACTCGCCCTTTCTTTGTTCGCTCTTTTAACGAGCGGTCACCCTCTCTCTTCCTCTCTCTCTCTCTGACCACTGGACCCCAGAGAGAGAGAGAGTGTTGTCCCCATGAGAGACACGGAGAAACGGAAAGGACAAGGGCGCCGGGCAGAGAGAAAAAGAGAGAGAGAGAGAGAGAGACCATTTTATCGGTTGGCCTTCTGCCCCCACACACACACACACGCCAATTGAATGAAAATGAGTAGAAGAGAGAGGTTACCTTCTCTCTCTTTTTCTCTCTTTCTTCCGGCTTCGGTTTGTGCGGTTTCTTCTTCAGAAGAAGAGCATTTTCGCGCGTAATTTAGCAGCCGCTTCCGCCCCGCACACAAACAGTTATTATCACTTTCCAAATGTTATCATCCGCCCCCCTTCCTACTCAAACAGTCCTTCTCCCTCTGTCTCTCGCTTCTCTGCACCCTCTTTTCTTTATTTTCTCTCTCTTTCACCCAGTTTACTCACTTTTGTTATCTGTTTCTTCTTCTTTTTTTCGCTTGTCGCGCGTGCCCCCTTCAACTAATCAATAATCGCATGATATTGTTGGTTTCCCCCGGCGGATTTTGTCGAAAAACGCGAAAAATCACTCGAGTCTCACCGATCTTGATCTAAACTTTCATTTTATTGCAGCCACGTCATGAACGGCCTTCTGCACATGCACGGACCGGCCGTCAAAAAGTTGCTCGGCTGGAAAATCGGAGAGGACGAGGAGAAGTGGTGCGAGAAGGCGGTCGAGGCGTTGGTGAAGAAGTTGAAGAAGAAGAACAACGGATGCGGTGAGTGCGCCGCCCGTTTCCACTTAAAATCCCGAGAAAAATGGGCTTTCTAGGCCGGAAATTGTGCATAAATGGCTAAATTTCATCAAGCACACTGTAATTCTGCGAAAGCTGGCAATTCAGCTCAAAATATAGTGAAATTATGCAATTTCTTTTGAATTTCAGTGTTTTGTGGTGAAAATTAGCAAATGAACTGTTGCTCTGTATTCTCGCTCGAAATCTAGCGTTTTGAACGCGAATTGTCATCAAATTCTGCATTTGCGCGTCAAATCCAACGTTTGCAGGCACACTGGAAGATTTGGAATGCGTGCTGGCGAACCCGAGCGCCAATTCGCGATGCATAACGATTCCGAAGAGCCTCGACGGGCGGTTACAGGTCCGTTGACGCACTTTTCTCCCCTCCGACGCCCCGTTTCATTGCAGGTTTCGCACAAAAAAGGCCTTCCGCACGTGATCTATTGCCGCGTTTGGCGCTGGCCCGATTTGAACTCGCCGCACGTGAGTCTCCGAAACAAAAATGTTTGAAAGAGCACTGTTCTTTTTCCAGGAACTTCGATCCACGGAAACATGCGCGTTTTCGTACGAATCGAGCTCGAAAACCAACTTTATCTGCATAAATCCTTATCATTATACCAGGTACGTCAAAAAAAAGCCTATTCTTGTTTTTGAATATCGCAAACTTGCAGAATAGCGCGCGGAGTGCCCGGAATGCCGCTCGGCTCGACCTCCTCCTCGATGCCCTCACCGCAACCGATGCCCTCGCCCACAAACGGTACGCACCGGAAATGCGTCAGCACAAAAACAAACAATTTCAGCACTCTGGCAGTCGGGCAGCTCGACCGCCTCGTGCGCCAGCTCGCCGAGCCCGTCAGTGTTTTCCGAAGATGGAGAACTGGTGAGTGAAGGCTCCGGAAACGCGCCAGCACAGATTTTGAGCTGTTTGTTAGGGAAACAACGGAAAACTGACATCCGAAAGCACGCCAGCACAGATTTTGAGCTTTTTGTTAGAGAAACAACGGAAAACTGACATCCGAAAGCACGCCAGCACAGATTTTGAGCTTTTTGTTAGAGAAACAACGGAAAACTGACATCCGAAAGCACGCCAGCACAGATTTTGAGCATTCAACAGCTTTTTTATCACAAAAAACGAAAAAATGGCGTACGAAAAGGCGTCAAGGCTCTAAAATGACTTCAGCGGCATGTTTTCTTCAAATTAAACGCGTCCAATTGCTTCTTAATTATAAAAACACGGAAAAAATGCCAGGCACTGAAAACACGTCAACGATTTCCGATTTCAGCAAGCGCATCAACGGCCGGCATTCCGACACCCGAAATCATGGGCACAAATCACGTACTTCGAGCTAAACTCGCGAGTTGGCGAGCCATTCAAGGTCGGTGCAAAACTAGAGTACTCATTTGGAAACGGCCTTCATTGCAGTTGATAAACCCGTCGATGACGGTGGACGGCTACACGGATCCGTCGAATTCGGAGAGCCGCATCTGTCTGGGACAACTCACCAATGTGAATCGGAATTCGACAATTGAGAACACGCGAATGCACATTGGAAAGGGCATCCAAATGGACAACATCGAGTCGCAGATGCAAATAATTATTACGAATAACTCGGATATGCCCGTCTTTGTGCAATCCAAAAACACGAATCTGATGATGAATATGCCGTTGGGAAAAGTAGGCACCGAAAAAGTATATAGTTATGTTAAGAAAGTGTTGTAGGTGTGCCGAATACCTCCGCACAATCAACTGTGCGCCTTTGAGTTCAACCTCTTCTTTCAGGTTTGCATTTGAACGGATATTGTAGAGTTCTCAAGAGTTGTATTGGTTTGAAATTTTTTCTGGAAAACCTTGACATCTAGTACTGTATTTTTGTACTTGACAGCTTTTTGATACGACCAATACCTGGGGTACTGTAGCTCCGCGAAGTTGGCATAGGCCTAGAGCTAGCCGTAGCTTCCAAGAGCTACAGTAACCTGGGAAGTGGTTGTACGGAAATATTGTCAATTACAAAAGTATTGTTAACATCATGAACGCTATTTTTGTAGTTGACAACTTTTTTGTACGAGCACTCCTAAGGTTATTGTAGCTTTTGAAAGTTGGGGTCAGCTAAAAGCCTACCCCAACTTCTAAGAGCTACAGTAAAATGATCAACTACGAAAATCAAGTGCTAAATGTCAAGATTTCACAAAAAGAATTTTCAGACATGTCTGCCAACGCAGCAATTTGCGTTTTTTTAAAGGTAGCTTTTTACAGATGCTGGAACGTTCGAGAAACGACAGAGACGGCCTGAACGAGCTGTCAAAGCACTGCTTTATTCGGATTTCGTTTGTAAAAGTGAGTTGATATTGTAGATGTCCATGAAAATTGAAATTTCAGGGCTGGGGCGAAGACTATCCCCGTCAGGACGTGACCTCAACTCCGTGTTGGCTCGAGCTCCGGCTCAATGTGCCCCTGGCGGTTGGTTTTTGCAAAATATTTGGCAAAAATTGGAAAATCTTTCAGTATATCGATCAAAAAATGAAGCAGACGCCGCGGACGAACATGAAAGAGCCCAACTCGATGACATAATTTATTTGAAATTATAATTTTCCCCCCAAATCTATCACTTACACTTGTGCACGCACGCCAAACTGGTTTTCCCATTGAGAATGATTAAATTGTTTCTAGACATTTTTTTTAAAAAAATTGACTTGATTTCGCCAAAAAAGCAAACAAAACGCGGAACTTTTGGTCGAACGATTTCGTCCGTTTCATCCCATTTTCCGAGCCAATCATCTTTCCGAAACCCAATAATTTCCGTCGATTTTCCCGCGCGTTTCTCCTATAAAAAGGCGGTGGAATTCAGAGAGAAATCATCGGAAAATGAATCAACTCTACAATATCCTTCTCATTTCTTCGGCCCTCTTGGCTGCGGTCGCCGGTTAGTTTTGAAGAGAAGAATAAACGTTTTTTTTTCAAACAAAAAAGTGTTTCAGCCGCCAGTGACTGTCAACTTTCGTGTCCGGATGGATATCTGTCGTTCTCCAGGACTCCGACGGTCAACAACTCGAGGACCACTTTGTGGTGTGTCAAGGTACGTGGCCGACAATTCCAAATCACTTCCTAGGCCATTCTATAGACCTTTTGTGAATCCTAGGCCATCCTGAGCACTTCCTAGGCCATTCTATAGACCTTTTGTGAATCCTAGGCCATCCTGAGCACTTCCTAGGCCATTCTATAGACCTTTTGTGAATCCTAGGCCATCCTGAGCACTTCCTAGGCCATTCTATAGACCTTTTGTGAATCCTAGGCCATCCTGAGCACTTCCTAGGCCATTCTATAGACCTTTTGTGAATCCTAGGCCATCCTGAGCACTTCCTAGGCCATTCTATAGACGTTTTGTGAATCCTAGGCCATCCTGAGCACTTTCTAGGCCATTCTATAGACTTTTTGTGAATCCTAGGCCATCCTGAGCACTTTCTAGGCCATTCTATGCACTAATACCAGTCTCAAAAACCCCCTTTTCCAGCCAATCTTCTCGCAAGACCCGATCAACGTGGTGGCCGCCAAAGCGCTTTGCGCCAAGGAATCCGCTGTGCTGACCGCTTTCGAAAACGACGCCGAACGCCAGCAAATCCTTTCCGCGCTGAAGACGGCGATCACCTCGTACTCGCAGTCCGTCGGCTCGCTCATCATCGACGGGCACCGCACGACGCAGTGCTACACCCAAGACACGGCGGTGCTCGGCGCTGCGCCGTGCAACTATCCGGGCACCACGTTCGTCGTCGACGACAAACACACCGACCCGACTTTCATGCTGCAGAACTTTGCCGACACCGAGCCGAGCGGCACTTTCTATCAGACGTTAGTGTCCCGATCCACGTTCTCTTCTCCCAAAAATCGTTTTGCAGGGAACTCGAATCGTGCCTCGCCCTCTCGATCTCGGCCTTCCCGAAGCGTAGCGGCGGCATCAACGACTTCCTGTGCAACTACGCCAAATCGCCGCTCGGCACCGACACCATCGAGTTCTGGAACTTTGGAGTGTTGTGCGGAAAGCTGCCGCAATTCGCCTAGATGGTTTCGAGTTTGATGAGCCGCTAGTAGAGCTCATATTCATTCACACAAACTGTTCTTCGTTGTTTTCTCTCTCTCTCTCTCTCTCTCTCGAATAAAGTAATCTTCTCTTTCTCGATTTGACCTACTGACCTACTTTCGGTGACCTACTTTTTCACGTTTTTTTGCCATTTTGAGTTTTTGTCGATTTCTGTACGCGTCGGTCTCTCCTCCTCCGATTATCAGAGCGACACTTGGCAGTCTCCATCGGTCGGCCGGTCGGGAAGTGTGATTCGTTTCCTCTTCTTCTCTCACTCTCTTACTCTCTCTCTCTCTCTCTCTCTTCCTCTCGCCCGCGTGTTTAGACAGACAAAGATCAACGGCGCGGATTTCTTGGCACTATGTATGTGTTGTTTTTCGAACAAAACAAAAAAGACAAACGTTTTACGATGACAGTCAATTATTGTAGACTTATTTCTCTCTCTCTCTCTTTCTCTCTCTCTCTCTCTCTCTCTTGTTCTGTTCACAAACAAACGCAACGTCGATTGACTTTTCACGAAACATTTCGTAACTTTTTCGGGGGTTTTCTAAAAACGTTCTGTTCATTTTACATCACATTTTCCCATTTTTCCCCTCTTTTCCGGACAGCGACAATAGCAGGAATGGCTTAGGCGGCAACGAATGCACTTAAACTTAACGTCTTTTCTCATTCGCGTCTTCTAGTGATAACACTCACCGCTTTTTGTTTGCCTTTTCGAAAAAAATGGATAATATTTGCGAAAAAGTCTAAAAGTTGGCGCCAGTGACCACCGGAAACTGAAATTGTTGCGAAAAGGATAAACACTCATCATTCTTCCTGGGTTTTCTTCTTTTTATTGCGAGCGGCCTAACTTTTTCAACTTCGTGGCCTAACTTTCTCACTTTCCTGGCCTAACTTTCTCACTTTCCTGGCCTAACTTTCTCACTTTCCTGGCCTAACTTTCTCATCTTCCTAGCCTAACTTTCTCACTTTCTCACTTTCCTGGCCTAAATTTCTCATCTTCCTGGCCTAACTTTCTCACTTTCCTGGCCTAGATTTCTCATCTTCCTGGCCTAACTTTCTCACTTTCCTGGCCTAACTTTCTCACTTTGCTGGCCTAACTTTCTCACCTTCCTGGCCTAACTTTCTCATTTTCCTGGCCTAACTTTCTCACCTTCCTGGCCTAACTTTCTCACCTTCCTGGCCTAACTTTCTCAACTTCGTGGCCTAACTTTCTCACTTTCCTGGCCTAACTTTCTCACCTTCCTGGCCTAACTTTCTCACTTTCCTGGCCTAACTTTCTCACTATCCTGGCCTAACTTTCTCACCTTCCTGGCCTAACTTTCTCACCTTCCTGGCCTAACATTTCACCTTCCTGGCCTAACTTTCTCACTTTCCTGGCCTAACTTTCTCATCTTCCTGACCTAACTTTCTCACTTTCCTGGCCTAATTTTCTCATCGTGCTGGCCTAACTTTCTCACCTTCCTGGCCTAACTTTCCCTTGCAGATGTCGCTGCCCAGTTCGGAGGAATCGACGTCCTCGTCGACAAACCTCGACCAGAAATCGGTGTTCCCCGACATCCACCGGGACCACATCGAACTGGGCGACCACATCGGAGTGGGCACGTTCGGGGCGGTCTTCAGCGGCCACTGGACCCTTCCGGACGGCGGAAAACGGACGATCGCCCTCAAAAAAGTGTTTGTACTCGAGAAGGAGGCGGAGATTCTGTCGAAGATCCGCCACAAGAACATCATCCAATTCTACGGCATCTGCAAATCCGCCGGCACCGACTTTTTCATCGTCACCGAATTCGCCGAGAACGGAAGTTTGTACGATTATATCCATTCCGAAGTGGCCACAATGCCCTGCGGCTCCAATTGCTTCGAGACGACCGTTCGGTGGGCCTCTCAGGTCCGTCAACTTTTCTCACATTTCTCACGCCGCTCGGAGATTTTGCAGATCTCAAACGGCATCCAATACCTGCACTACGACGCCGTCGACACGATCATCCATCGGGATCTCAAGTCGAAAAACGTGGTGCTCGACAAGAATCTCGTGTGCAAAATCTGCGATTTCGGCACGTCGAAAGACCTGACGCACTCGTTCACGGCGCCCTCGTGGGGCGGAACCGCCGCCTGGATGAGGTACCGTATGCGGGTACAGTACTCCCCGCCCCCCGCTACAGTATACTCGTTTGCAGTCCGGAGATGATCCTTCAGTCGGAGGGTCTCACGACGGCCACCGACGTCTGGAGTTATGGCGTCGTGCTGTGGGAGATTCTTTCGCGGGAGGTGCCTTTCGAAAATCTCAGCGAATTCAAGATATTCACGCTCATCACTCAATCCGGCATCACTTTGGCCATTCCGCCGTCGTGTCCGACGCCCCTCCAGCAGTAAGTGTACTGTGGGATTACTGTAAGCGGTTTGCTAGTAGGCTCGCTTCAGTTTGATGAAAAGTTGCTGGAAGATGACGCCGAAGGACCGGGCAAACATGCGGGAGATTCAAAACGAGTTGAACCGGATTCTCGGGAATCGAAAAGTGAGTAAGCGCTACTGTAGTTTGACGCGAACGCCTTCAGGTTATGGAAGAATGCGAAAAGTTCATGGAGCTCGAGGATTGGAAGACCGAAATTGAGAAGCAGGCGAAAAGTGTCGAGGTTTGGAGTCTCTAAACCGGTCCCCAATAGTCAGACCCTTTCAGAAGATGCGTCAAGACCTGGAAAAGCGGCGAGAGCAGCTGGAGATTCGCGAAAACGCGCTGAAAGCTCGGCTCAACGCGGAGCAGGCGATTCTGGACGCGGTGCGCCACCCGCCGGAAGACGTACATCTGTGGAGCGAGCACCACACCGCCCATTGGATCGAGAACGTTCTCGCACGAGTCGGTACGCTCCGTCTATACCAGAGATGTTGGGAATTCCGTGTTCCGTGTTCCGCGTTTTTTTTCAATATTTTTTCCGTGTTCCGTGTTCCGTTAAAAAAAAAATTCCGTGTTCCGTGTTCCGGGTTCCGGGTTCCGTAGAAATAAGTTTTTTCCGTTTTCCGTGTTCCGTGTTCCGTATAAACTATATTTTCCGCGGAAAAATTCGATCACAAATTTATCTCCGGAAAGATTAGGACAATTGACGTTTTGTGATCAAAATTTGAAAATTTTCGGATTCGGACCATATTCGTGAAAAGTGGATTCCATTTTCAGTCGTTTTTTACTGTAGTTGTTTACTGTTGTGTTGTTGGTTTTGTTATTTTTATGAAATTTTCAGTAAAACTTTCACATGAGTCAAACAGCTGCCTTGTCAGTCAGATAATCGAATTAAACAAAACATTATTTTAAAAAAAATCACTGGAATTCTCTTGAAAACGCTTCTTTCCGTGTTCCGTGAAAAAAAATTTTCCGTGTTCCGTGTTCCGTAAAAAAAAAATTTCCGTGTTCCGTGTTCCGTGAAAAAAAATTTTCCGTGTTCCGTGTTCCGTAAAAAAAAAATTCAGTTTTCCGTAGAAATAAGTTTTTTCCGTTTTCCGTGTTCCGTGTTCCGTAAAAAAAAAATTTTCCGTTTTCCGTGTTCCGTGTTCCGGAGAGTAAAATTTTTATTCCCAACATCTCTGGTCTATACATCAACTAGAAAATGACGCGTTTCTTGCCCTCTTCAGCCAACGACAAAAAGTACCTGAACCGCGTGAATGCGGCCGTGTTCCGCAATCGGATAACGGGCGCCCGACTGCTGGAAATGACGCAGAACGACCTGGAACACTTGGGAGTGCACAAGTTGGGCTCGAGAATCGAGTTGATGAAGATGATCCGGAAACTGAAGGAGAGCCAACGGACACTGCACAACTTTCCCACGCTCGAACAGGCGAAGCGGATCGAGTTGAGCCTGGTAAGACGGACCCGATCCGACGTGTTTCTCTTCCGATCCTTCCTCTGCGTCTTTCAGAAAACGCAGAGCAACGAGGCGGCCGGCGTACTCGTGAACCAAGTGGATCTGGTGATCATCGTCGGAATGTACGTGCGGAGGATCGACGAGACGCGGCGGAAATTCAAATTTTACGCGGACTCCGATTGGCTCAACGACCATGAGATTCCGTCGAAATCGCCGTCGAAACACGCCTCCGCGTTCATCAAAACCGTCTGTTTTTCGGTCCTCGACAATGTTACCAAGGTACCTTTTTTCTCTCTCTCTCATTTCACAAGTGTACAATATCAGAAGCCGATAAACGAGCCGGCGTGCTCGATCTCGAGTGGAATGACCACAAATCCCGATTGGATTACGGTAGACACCGATGAGGAGGTGGCGATCAAAGTGATCGTCAGTGTTTACTATGCGGATGCGGTGGTGAGTTCACAAAAAGTGAGACAACTCTAAATTTTTGATCTCCTCCACACAGACACAGCCGAGAAACACGGAAATCGTGGAAGTGGTGACGTCACTCGAGGATAGTAAGATACTTGTGGAACGACACGTTCACTTGAGACTTCGACGGAGTTCGAGCAGTGCCTCAGTGTCCACCGCGTCCCCAATCACTCCGGTTTATCATCCGTTCGGACAACATCATCTCAACAATGCTTTTCATCATGTAGGCCAAACAAAAAGCGAACCAATAATAGTTGAAATGTTCTAGGCGACAAGTTCGCCTCAACTTCGAGGCTTCTGGCATCGAAAACAGACCGGACTGGCTCGGCATGGACTCACGGAAACGGAACTTTCGAGTCTGCAAGAACACCTAAGAACCCCGTCGCCAGAGCACCCTGCGGACATCGTCATGGTCCCAAAATCCACCAGAAGACGTCGGACGACGACTGCAAACTCGGAAGAGGTTGGATAATCGACGCAAAAAACCACAGTTGAACACGGAAGAATTTTTATCTTTTTTAGAAAATTTTTTCATGGAATGTGATCAACTGACGAAATGTAGAGCAAAGTGAACTCTGCTCGTAGAAAAATAATTGTAAATTTAGCTTTTCATACAAAAAAGTTATTCGAGACGGAAGACGGAAGGACATTTTCACGGAACAACTCGAATAACTTTTTTGTATGAAAAGCTAAATTTACAATTATTTTTCTACGAGCAGAGTTCACTTTGCTCTACATTTCGTCAGTTGATCACATTTCATGAAAAAATTTTCTAAAAAAGATAAAAATTCTTCCGTGTTCGAGTTCTTCCGCTCAACTCTGCTGAAAACGTAAAAATCGATCCCCGACCTTCCTAGCCTAAATTCTTCTAAAACAGATCCCACCGGGTGTAAAAACGCTTAAAATTGCGTTTTTTTTGCAGAACGACTCGAAAGAACCGGAAAATCGAGCGCGGCGAGTTCATGTGCACGGCGGAAAAGACAAATGGAATTGGAAGAAAGGAAAATCAAAGCCGAAATTTAGTTAGAAATAAGCAATAATTTATTCGTATTCGTGACAAAAGAGATCAACAGTAATCGGGACTTGTTTTGATGAGCATAATCGAGAGGAGGCAGTTGGACGGAGATTATGATGAAAATTAGAGGCGGACAATATTTAGACGGCTTGAAGAAGTGAATTATGGTTTTTCGTGCTCACCCCTTGGTACGAAAATATGCCCAAATGACGGGTGAATGCCTGCAACACTCGTTTTGGCGGTTTTTTTTTTGAGCAGATATTTATTGTGTCAAACCTTTCGAATCGGTCGATTCAGGGCCAAAAGTACGAGGGCGCTCGAGTTGCACAGGACGTCATTGACGACGAACCACATGGTTCGGTAGACCCACGCGTCGGGGGGCGGAGTCAGCGCCGAAAGCAGCGAAAAGATGCCGAGCGCCAGGTAACAGATGAAAATGATGAAGGCGGAGAGCGCCAGACGGAGCGCCAGCTCGCCCGGCTTTCGGACCACCACGTGTGTGTGAACTCTGCAAAAAAAATGGGATTTTGTGGCCTGAAAAGTCAGAAAACTTGTTATTTAACGCGGAAAACGGGAGCTTGCGTGTTTGCTAATTTTAACATCATCCTGAGCCGGTTTTTGATGTCAAAAACTGACGATTCAGGGCATAAACTCGAAAGTTCAGCGCGAGCAACGCTATTTGCCTTTTTATGAGTGTGGCGGTGATAAGAAGTTTAGAAAACATCGAATAAAAACCCTCAGATTACTAGACGCCTAGAATTGTCAATTTCAACGTGTCTAACCTCACAAAAATCGCGCCGTAGAGAAGCAAAACAATCGAATTGATGACAACTCCGTCGACCAAAGCCATCGCGAGAAAATAGTTCTGAAAATTGGGAGGCGGTGCAAAGATCGGAGACAGGGGACAATATCGGCAATAAGTTTGTGATAAGAGAAGCACAATACCTTGTGAAATCTTGCATCGCTTGCCGCAAATATCACCGAGCCGGAAGAGCGGTCGAACAGAAATTTGAAGTCGGTGAAGAAGAGCGGAGCCATGAACAGCACCGGTGTAATCCATTGGATCAGCAGAAGGGTCTTGGTGACCTGAAATCGGGTTTTAATGTCGACGAGCACACGCAAAAGAGATTTGACGCGGGCGGGGTTCGAACCCCGGTCGTCAGATTACTACAAAACACTCACTTTCGCCGTCCACCACTGTTGTCGATGTTTGATGGGATAATGCACGGCGGTGAACCGATTCACCGCAATAAAAATGATGCCGAACGCCTGCGCGTGTCCCAAATATTGCATGCCCGCAATCGGAACCACCGACCAGTTCTCCTTGTAGAACGTGTCGGGAAAGACGCCGAACGAGGGAAACTTGAAGAAAAGTGTCGAAAACACCTCCATCAGAATGTCAGCAATCGATAAATGGATGCAGAGCCGGAAGAACGGAGTGTTGTACGGCGCGCGCTTTCTGCAAACTTTGAATGGATCAGAACTTTCGTTCTTTCGACGACTCACCGCTCGACCCATAGAATATAGACGAAAAGGATGTTGATGGGCAGACAGACGAGCGAAATTGCCGTCGAGACATACTCGATGGTGATTGCCACGTCGAGGAACGCAATCGTCATCAGGCCTCCCGGGGAAGACCACCCACGAGCGCCGTATCTTTGCTTCTGAAAACTGGGAGACTTTGAGCTAATAAGGATAGTTTTCTTGTTATTTATTATTGAACTTTTGGAAAAGCGTTTTTTTTTCAAATAAAGACAAGCGTTCAATACAATACAATCGTTTGATTGACACTTTGACAATTTCACAATCAAATCGAATCAGATGATAACAAACGAAACGTAATTTCATAATGCTTCCTCAAAAAAAAAGAAGCACATGACCAGCAAAAAAAAAGAAAGAACGAATGTCAAAACTCATGACGAGCCGGCAAAATGTTGCCGACATTTGTGGGTGCAAAAGTCCGCGAAAATCGATTGATCGGGGCGGAAAACGAAGAGAATGCGAGGCGATGACGTCGACCGAAACCCGGAAAAGTCGGCAAGTGAAAGAGAGAGAGAGAGAGAAACGACACTACGCTTATCACCTTTCCGCCGTTTTTATCAGCCGAATTATGAAAAAGAGCGTGATTTTGAGAGAGCTCGGCTCGGTGCAAACGCGCAAAAAGGTTCTCGGGAAGCCGGGATTCGAACCGGCTCAGCCACAAACGCATTCACGCAAATTTTGTCGATTTCAGGTCCGTGGGGGTATTAAACGGGGCGGGCAAGATGATTTTCATCAGAGTTGAGCGGAAATGGAATTTTGAAATCCGGAAGACGGCAGACGGCAGACGGAAGACAATTTTTTTTACGAAACACGGAAAACGGAAGACGGAAAAAAAAATCGTCAATACAGAACATACGTTCAAAAACGTTCAAAAAGCGGGAGTTCAAAATTTGAATTATTGATCGCATGAAGCCATTTTTTGTAGAATTAAGGGTTTTTTGCAAGCATCGAACATTGAAAAACAAATGTATTTCTCATAAATAATTCATAATAGCAAAAAAACAAAGAAGAAACACTAAAACTTTAGTTCGAAAATTTTTTACAGAACCTTTTTCTCCGGTTTTTTTGAAAAAAAATAGCTAAACAACAAAAATTTTGAATCTGGTTCACTGCCCGTGGAAATTCGCGGTCTTCGGGGCTAGTAAATGGCTTCTGAAAAGCTATTACCCCTTTACGGTAAGAAGAAAAAATCCCGGAAGACGGAAGACGGAAGACGGAAGACGGAATTCCGCTCAACACTGATTTTCATACTCCCAAACTAGTTTGAACTTGCGTTGAAACCTAAAAAATGGCATAGAAGCCGATTCGGTCGAAAATTGCTAACAAAAAACGTGAAAATTGGCACTTTAGGGTCACAATGTCAAAATGTTTTGTTGGCACCAGAACTTTATTGCTCAAAATTTGCGTCCCTCTCCAAATGCGCTCAACGCACTGGTCGGAAAGCGTGCGTTGGTCCGTGGCCAACATCGGATGGCCGTCGGCGTTCACGTTCTGGTACCAAATCATTGTGGTCTTGTACTCGGCCCATGGACTCGTCTCCCCGATCGCTATTGTCTATTTCCACTTCTTGTGGCTCATCATCGTCTGCTCCTTCTTCTCCGCCTCGTTCACCCCGCCGAAGCAATCCCGAGAGTCGGTCGAGTGGGACCAGAGTGAGGTTGGTTTGAACAAAACGCGGTTTTTGAAAAACAAAAAGTTCAGAGGACCGAAAAGATGTGTGACACGTGTGAATACGTGAAACCCGCGCGTTGGCACCACTGCCGACGGTGCAATCAGTGCGTTCATCGAATGGATCATCATTGTCCGATTTTACAGGTGAACAGTCTGAAAATACCCCTAATTCTCGATCCTGAATCCGATGTGCACCAGAGATGTTGGGAATTCCGTGTTCCGTGTTCCGCGTTTTTTTCAATATTTTTTCCGTGTTCCGTGTTCCGTAAAAAAAAATTTCCGTTTTCCGTGTTCCGTGTTCCGTAGAGTAAAATTTTTATTCCCAACATCTCTGATGTGCACACTTTAAGATGTGCATTCACCGCGACAATCACAAGTTCTTCCTGCTCTTTCTGCTCTGGCCGCTCCAACTCGCCACCTTCACCGTCTATCACGGTTATCACGACTTTTGGAAGGTGCGAAAAGGCGTTTGGCGGTGGCGAAATCATCGAAAACCTTTGAGATGATGCGATCGATTTACACGAAAGAGGTGCTGAGCGCCGGCGAGCAACTCAAAGGCACCGGCGTCTCGAATGCGGTCGTGCGTTACTACTGTCGCTACAGTAATCCTCACCTTTGATCGCCACTTTTTCAGATGGTCGGATTGGCGGCCACGTGGCTTCTCAAAAATCAAATTCCGAACTTGTTGAGAAATCAGACGCTCATCGAGGAGGCCAACGAGAATACGGTAGCAGCATTGTTTATGAGCATTTAGGTGATAAACGCGCTTTTTTTGAAGGATTACGATCTGGGCACGTGGCAGAAAAATGTGCAGTTCGTGATGGGACCGTGGAGAATTGCGTGGCTACCGACCGCTTTGACGATTGAGACGGAACGAAAAGAGGAATGAACGATGCCTTTTTTGTGATCATTTCATATTATTTGTCCAGTTTCTGATGAAATAAAGTGTGATTTTGTCGAGACTTTGTACTATAGTCTCCTAGTTGACACTTTTCTTATTGGACCACTTCAGAGTTGAGCGGAAATGGAATTTTGAAATCCGGAAGACACAAGAAAATTGACGGCAGACGGAAGACGGAAGACGGAACAAAAAAAAATCGTCAATGTAGAACCTTTTTCTCCGGTTTTTTTTTGAAAAAATAACTAAACAACAAAAATTTTGGATCTGGGTCACTGCCCGTGGAAATTCGCGTTTTTCGGGGCTTCTGAAAAGCTATTACTCTTTTACGGTAAAAAGAAAAAATCCCGGAAGACGGCAGACGGAAGACGGAACAAAAACCTTTTTTCCGGAAGACGGAAGACGGCAGACGGAAGACGGAAGACGGAAGTCGGAAGACGGAAGACGGAAGACGGAAGACGGCAGACGGAAGACGGAATTCCGCTCAACACTGGACCACTTCCTGGAGTACTGTACCTGGCCCGGATCTTTAGAACAATCTTTGACCAGTTGCTCGACATTTTTCCCGTAACAACTGACCCGTAAACATCCTCTTCGCAACATTTGCGTGTTACACAAAAAGAGGCTCGGGGAGCAACAAGCTACACACAATATCCGGAGAATTTGTCGAGGTTTGGAGAAAATTGGCGAACCGCGAGCTGAAAATAGTTAGAAAAATGTTATTTTAGTGAGTGTGGACCACTATTATTGTTGTTCCTAGAATCATCTGACAATAAGGGCACTGTCGCATCGGACTTTGACAAAACAAAGAATCACGGGGTCGCTTTTTGAAACGCAAATCTCTCAATCTCTTTTCTTCTCAATCAAACGCACACATTACACAACCGGTCCCCCTATAAACACCTCGTTGGCACACGACAGAGCACACGTCGCAATGGCTCCTCTACTCGTTCTTCTACTCTGCTTCGTGGCCGTAATCAGTGCCGAAGAAGTGGAGATTCACTCTCCGAGGACGACGCAATACGGAGATTGGCACGGATGGAAGAGGTGTCCGGAGGGAAAGTTCGCGAATTCGATGCAGATCAAGTACGAGGGGGACCAGCGGGGAGGCGACGATACGGCACTCAACGCCGTCGCGCTCTACTGCGATGATCTTTATTGGAGTGAGTCACTTTTTGAACTGACGCCTAGAGTGAACCTTTGAGGCGAGTACCGCAAGGAGCATTGGATAATGAGCGGCGAGGGAAGTTACGGTAGCTGGCAAGCCGTCAAATATTGTCCGCCGGGCCAGGTGATCATCGGATTCGCTCTCCGCTCCGAGCCGGACCAACGCGGCAACGATGACGTGGGCGCGGATAACTTTGCCGCCTACTGTGGCACTCCGAACGGCGAGAGAGCCCGCGGATCGTACATTCAAGGCGACACCGAACAATGGGGATCGTGGACCGCCGATCAGTGGTGTCCTCAAGGGCTGGCAGTGTGCGGAATCAACTCGCAAGTCGAGGGAAATCAAGGCGGCCGCGACGACACGACCCTGAACAACGTGGATCTGCTGTGCTGTCGGGCGCAGTCGGATCGGCACGACACGTGCGACAAACCCAGCTACAAGTGGGTGCGCGTCGGCGAGTACGACAATAGACGAGGCGCCGGATCGGTTCAAGCCACGTTCACGCACAAAGTCGCGTTCGTTCGAACCCACGGCCGCACTGAGACTGTCGGAACTCAAGAGAAGCACAGTGTGATGAACAGTACGTTCGCCCCACCATTTTTCTGTATTTTTCAAACGATTTCCAATTTTCAGAAGTCACAGCCGGGCTCACTTTCTCTGTCAAGGGAGTTTATAAGGGAGTTGAAGGAACGGGCGGCGGATCGATCGGCTACGAGCACAGTACGACCAAGGAAACATTGTCGACGTATCAGCTGCAGACGATGGTTCAGGAAGCGATGACTAATGAGCGAACGGTAGCGGTTTTTCTCGCATTTTTGCCTCCAACACACACCCACACATTTTGTAGGAGTCTGTGACGTACAACGTTCCCGCGTACAAGAATGTGATCGTCGATCAATTGTTCCTGACTTGCGGAGGCGTCGAAGTGAGACTCGCGAAGGTTCTTACCAGAAGTACTTAAGGCCTCCGTTTTGTTGCGCCGTTATCCAAGTTTCAACAAAAAGCACAAAAACCAACTCAAAAATAAATTGCATTAATAAAACAAGAAACATCATTCATTTATTCACTTCTCGTGATAGTCTTCGCCAGTCCCAATCGATATTGTCCACAAGTGATGAAGAGTTGTTCGATGATGAGACGAGATTGGGGTGGGACGGTGAACTGGACGGTGACCTGAACCATTCAAAGTGTATACTCTGGCAATTCGATATTAATCTAATAAGAAAGTTACTGATCTAAACGCGACCTAATTAGATTCGACTGTTTTTTCTTGGCGCAATCGAGATTTGAGCCAGCAGACGGACGGTTGGCGTGAAACTTGATTTGAGCACTTATTAATCTAGCTAGAAGATTTATTAATCTAGCTAGAAGATTTATTAATCTAGCTAGAAGATTTATTAATCTAGCTAGAAGATTTATTAATCTAGCTAGACAATTTATTAATCTTTTTAGGTGTTATATCAATCTTATTAGGCCGCCGTTAGATTAATAACGAAATTCCAGAGTGATAACAACAAAATCGGAGTGAGCATACCGCCCGTTCGTTGGTCATCGCGTCCTGCACCATCGACTGCAATTCCTTCGTCGTAATCTTCTCGTTCGTCTTCGAGAGATCCGTGTTCACACTGCTCGTGAATCCGAGATTGATTCCGAAAAGTGCCCCGCCTATACTGAAGCCGACGCTTTGCGAGAATTCTAGAGAGAGAGGGAAAACGTGTTTAGAATTGATTTTGAAACAATGAATCACGTTTTGAAATGGCCTGCCTCTCCTGGTTGGTGAACGTACTCGTGGATCCAGTCGTTCGCGTATAGGAAATGTGTTTGACGAACGAAGCAGTCACGGTTCCGACTCCTGAAGTTATATGGTATAATAGTGAAATGCTCAAATCAGGAACACTCAAAACAAGCAGACACACAGTTTCGTGTAACAAAAACCAAAAACGTCACCCACCACCTCTGTTATCGTACTCTGCCAGTTGGACCAACGAATGTCCGAGTGTGCAGTTGGCGATCGGCACTCGGCAGCACTTCAGGTTCACATTATTCAGTGCGGTGTCGTCGCGGCCCCCTTGCGGCTTCTCAATTTGACTCTTGATCGCGCAAACCACGTATCCTTGCGGGCAAAACTGATCGGCTTTCCAGTTTCCCCATGATTCCGTGTCGCCTATCACAATACAACAATTCGTATTATAGGGACACCGGACAGAAAGGGCGCGCTGTTCGCAATCTGGCCGAATTTCTAGGCCGCGAAGTAATTTTCCACTGAAAATGTGGACTAACTCTTCAAACTCGGCCCCGAGGTCTCTCAATTTGCACTGCAAAACGAGTTTCTCAACAGAGCGCCATTTCTGTGCGGTGCCCCCTATAATATTCTTGTTACAATTGTTTGTCACACCGACCTTCAATCCTGACGTCGGCCGTGCGAGGTCCGTGAGGCGTTCCACAGTAGGCGCGAAAGTTGACGGCGGCCATGTCATCTTCTCGTCGTTGCTCAATCTGGGACCGGAGCACGAAACCGATGATGGCGGTGCCGGCGGGACAGTAGCGCACCGATTGCCAGAATCCATACGCTCCCTCTCCACTCATTATCCAGTTGTCTTTGCGGTAGCCGTCTGAAAAACTGCAAGTCTTCATACTCTTTGAATTTCTTCCACATTTTGTACTAATGATTGTTCAAAAAAGCAGTCAATTTCCATCTAAAACCTCTACACTACACATTCAAGTTCTCCAGACTCACCGTAATCCAGTTCCTGACAATACAATTTGACCGCATTCAGTGCGGTATCATCGCCTTTATGTTGAAAATACGAATATTTTATCTGCATTCCGTGCGCGTACTGTCCATCGGGACACTTTGCGAATTCGTGCCAATCGCCCCATCTCGTGACGCTCGTTGAAGCCAAATCCAGACTATCAGTTCCGAATGAGAGGGGAAGAAAGAGAAGAATTAGTGAGAACGAGCTGAACATTTTGCAGTGAATGACTCGTTTTCCATCCACGTTGTGTAATGTTTGTGTCACATGTTGCAGAGATAAGGCCAAAGAATTTGGAAAGGGGGGGCGGGGGGGTGCGTAAAATAAAAAGTATGTAAAGTTGAGATAAACAAAAAAATTAGAAATTTTTTTGGGGGGTTTTTTTAAGCGTAGGGACACGATAGATCACTTAAACTTCATATTCTTCCCCGCTTGCAATTTCTCGCGTGCATTCTTCTTCTTCTTCTCCTCCCTCTCTTCCCGCCTGACCAATTTCGTTTTCCTGATCGCTCGCTTCTCCTCCTCTCTTCTCGTTTTCATCCGATTCGCGAGCGTCACATCCGTTCCGGTCACTTCGCGAAGGACCACAATCGGATCGGACCCGGCGGGCAAACTGAAGTGGATCTGCAGGGCACGCAGGTGGCCGCTTCGTTCGAAGGCACGCATCGAAAGGTCGTCCTGCAGTTGATCTTTTGGGGTTGAGTACTCGAGGATCGACCACTCGAGCTCCTTGACGTTCATGAAAAGACGACGGGGCGACGGGGCCAGGCTGACTTTGCTGGAACGATTGTCTTATCGATTTTTTACGGTTTGGGTCGAATTCTAGAAAATTTGAAAAATGCAAGCAACTAGGGCGGGTCACTCACTTTCCGAGTGAACTGAAGCTGTCCTGCGTGAGTCTGTCTTTCTCCAGAAGCTCCTTGATCTTTCCGTCCGCCCATTTATTCGCAAATGTCGGATCTTGACTGCCGGGCATCGGAATGCAGATATCCTCGCCCTCTCCGTTTTCCCTCACTTTCTCCGATACCATCCGATTCCACAACAGACTCTGATAGGCCTGGACGTATCTGCTGCGCTTCTCGATGCAAAGTCCCTTCAGGATGGCGACTTCGCACGATTGCCTGTTTGCCAGACGTCTGATGATATGGTAGGCGTCGTATTGGACGTATCCCTTCTTGATATCCTTCATCCACCTGCTCGCTACTTCTCCGGTTTCCAGAAATCGGGTAATCGCTTCTTTGAGTGAATCTTCCGTGGTCCTGTGTATATCCCGTAGCGTGTTCTTGAGAATCAGTTTGACCGCAGTCTGCCAGTCTTCCTTCAAAATCGTCAATCCGATCTCCGCCTCTTCCATGAATCGAGTTCCAAATCTTTGAGTTGCTAAAAATGAAGGATACAGTTATTTCAGGTTTTCCGCAGTAAAGGGAATTAAGAAAATACAACTAACCGACATAATTGATGAACCCATTGGTCTTCAGCTTCGCCAATCGCTCGTTCAACACTCCGATCGAGTCTCTCGGAATGTTTCTGAGTATCAGACTGAACCGATTGCCCCAGAATGATCCGACCGGTTCCGGATGGTACTCCGCATCGCCCACTCTCACGTTGATCAGCTTCAAGTTAAGTTTCATCACCGCACTGCCGCACACGTACGGAACACTGAACCGTTGGAATGCTATCGCGTTTTTCTCCTTCGTCTCGTGGTAGCGGACGTCGGCCGGATTGGTGTATCTGAAAAATTTGAATATTGAAAAATACGGGCCGCAATTTTCCGCATTTTTAATCGATTTTCATTGTCATTAGGTAGATAATGGTCTATCTGTCTTGTTTTTAACGCCAGCATCACCAAAATTGATTGTCTATCGATTACCCACTTGACAAGTTCGACAAGTCTCTGCACGACGTCTTGTGTCGCGGCGAACTGCTTGCACACGGTGAAATGGCAGTACTTGGGCGTGGTGTCCGTGTCCCAGAACGGACGTTCCCGACTGTTGTACTTCTCCTGATCGTGCACCACAATCACGCCCTTCTCCCGCTTCGTCACCAACTTTCGCGAGTACCGTTCCCAGATAAACCGGTGGATTTGCTTCTGTTCTTTTTCGTTCAATCCGGGCACCGCCACACACACTTCCCGCTCGCCTGTTTCGAACAATTTATCGATTTCCTGGAGAGTCTCCTGCGAAATGTGCTCGGGCTTCGGAATGTCGTAGTCGATTTTGAGGCCCTCTTTCGGATTTGTGTCGGGCATTTTGAGAACGGTCCCGTCGGCTGGAAGAAAATTGGCCATGTAAAAGTATGACTGTTGTTTGTTGTTACCAAGAATCTCGCGAACGATGAAATCGCTGTAAAGCACTTGGAAATTGCATGAAATCGGAGTGGGCGGCGATTTGCTCACGTATTCGGTCAGGCCAAAATCGGATTCCATCTGAATATTGTTATGCATTTCGGCCTGAAAAAAGAGTGCGCCCCGCCCAATTGAGCGATCGATTGGCGCGAAATTCAAATTTTAACAGCAAAAATTGTGTTTTTTGGCAGATTAGCCACGAAAAACCGATAATTTCTCATTTGTCTCTCGATAGACCGATTATATAGGCCATTACGAATTTTTTAAGCGCAAGAGCGTTAAATTTGAACAAGTCGCAATCCACATTTATCCGTTTGAAGGTTTTTGGCTAAAACTGCGTGAATTTCAGTTGCTTTTCGGTAGTTTTCGCGGTTCGAGCGCTCAAAATGCTTGTATTTACGTGATTTATCATTCTCAAAACCAATTCTGTCTGAAAACGGTCAAGAAAGCGCAAAATGAGAAGTGCGGTTTTTAGGCGGCGATCGGCGGCGAAGGCGAAAAAGCAAAGTCCGCGAAAAATGCGCCAAAACGTCATTATTTCTGAGAATTAGTGTGTTTTCCTGTCGAACAATCATTTTTCATCGCATTTGGCCACAAAAATCAGAGAAAACCTGCTCAATTCATCAAAACGCCATTTGGCCGCCGAGGCCACGCCCATATTGTCAGCTCTGGAGACAGCTCTGGAGGCCAATTGGAAAACCCGAAAATACTAACATTCGTAGGCTCCTCTTTTGGCTTCTCCTCCCCGAAAAAATGTTGATGGGGCTCGGAATTCTTGCGAAATTCGATGGGTTCAGAGGCTGGTGCGATATCCTGGAAATTAATTGGTTCGAACTATCCAATTAGTAATCTCACCTCATCTGGCACTTCAGTTTTCACGACTGAGTCCAGACTGCTTTCAATGGTTTCCGATTTGATTGCTAAATTTTCCGATCCGATCGATGGATTCGCTTCCGCTTCGGGATCCTCTTTCGGAACGCGATCAATCAAATTTTCAAAGTTTTGATGCTGGAAAAGTAACAGTTTTGCACATTACCGCGTTGTTTGATTACCTGAATCCTTTTTTCCATCGCATTCTCACCAGCTGCCTCTTTTTTAGGCGCATACAAATTGGCCGCGTGACTCTGAACATATTTAAAAAACATCATGAAGAAATAGCAGTTCAATATCGACGATTAGATAATGATTGTGAAGTGAAAACACCCACATTCGCAAAGTTAAAGTCGTCCGAATCGTCCTCGGCTTCTGGTTTCGGTTCTTTTCGTCGATTAGCGGGACGGAATGAAGTGTCCGTCGCCAATCGTTTCATTTCGGCTGTTCTTGCTGAAACACAAAAACAATTGAAATAATTCATGTCTGACGAGTAGGTAAAAGGACGGAAAACTTAAGAAGAACGTGTACACTGCGACGGCCGCACAGCGATGAAAGAGCGCGTATGCCGAAAAGAAAAAGAAAAAGTGGAGGAGACACGTTGTGCGTGCACTAGAATTCGAAAAAGTGTCCTTGAGATCTTTCGCGGGTCTGTCTCAATGGAGCGAACTTACCGGCCCTGGCTTTTGACACAGTTGCGATATTTCGAATCGGTCCAAAAATATTCGTGCCCAAGTTTTATACCAATCAGGTTTTTTTTCGCAAAAATCATTGCAACTGGATCAAAAGTTAAGGCCTTATAAAAACAATGTTTGCGCAACAAAATTGAGATCAAGGACGGATGGAGTTGAATACTAACTGCTCACGGGCCCGCCGGCGATTAGTCGCCGACCTTTGGAGTGTCGTAATGTCGTCCGGTTTAGCAGAAGCGGCATTTTCAAATTTCGCCAAAGAATTCGTTGAAGATCAGAAAAGAACAAAAGTAGAAAAACGCCTAAAACACAAGAAGAAGTGAAAGTGACTATTTTACGGAATCCATATCACATTTATTTTGCTTTCTTACAGCAAAATCCCGTTAGTTTTTGAAAATGTAGTGAAATTGATGCTGGAGATGCTGCTCTCGAGCATCCGAAGCTGTTATAGTGGAATTGTGATGAGCGACGATTCAATAAAGCCCGGAGAAGACAATGAAAGCAAACTGGAAGCAGCAGAAGCTCGTAGGAGGCAGGGAGAGGACGGCGACGAGAAAAAGCAAGAGTTTTCTAGTTTTGTTTTTGTCTCGGATTCTGGAAGATCAGCATAGAACTGGGCAGACTATAACTGTTTGGAGCGCCTTTTAAACCTTTCTGTAGAATAATTGTTTCGCAGAAAAAGATAATTTTTGAATCTCGTGATCGATTTATTGCATTCATTAATTTCACTTTCGTCGTGATCCCTCTTCTCTACGGCAACGAAAACCCACCACAGAAAATAATTTTATTGTACTTTTAAAAACGAAAGGAAACCAATTTTCTAGGTTTAAACTGTGGTCCTCTGCTTAATTGTTCGAGAGACGAAACATTTTGCGAGTTAATTGAAAGGAACGGACAAAATGCTCATATAAATACACAAAAACAGTTCTATTCTGCGCAGTTCTATTATTTTGAACCGCCGTTTCCGAGTGTTGTACAAATCACCGTCTCCCATGGCGCGAATGATTTCAATGGGGCGCACTTGCAACAGGCGGGCTGTGTCGATTTACGCGGTGGCCGATTAATTAATTTTCAACGCGAGTTCGCGTTCTTTCCATGTTTTCTATACAATACACCTATATTTTTGTACGCCTGGAACCTGGATTAAAATAATTAGAGCACTAGCTACGTTTTGGTAACACAAATCTCACATATCGTTGAGAATTAGCCGAGTTATTTCGATTTGAAGGTTTTCGCCTGGATTTTGATGTTTTTCGAATAGTTTCGCGAAAACTGCTCAAGAAAACTAACCGCCGGAACTTGAATTTTGTGAAGAAAGATTCAGCGAACATTTTTATCGTTCGTTGGGCTCATGAAATGCAAAATGAGCTGAAATATAAAGGTTTGAAGTTTTGACGAAATGCGAAAAAGACGCTAAGAACATGAAAAACTCTAAATTCTGTAAAGAACGGTTTCCAATCAGTAAAATATTGTTTTCTAGACGTTTTTCAAGTCAAAAATAAATAAATAAAGGTCTTAAACTCGAATTGAACTGCATTTTCAGACCTGCAAATGTTCAAAAGTTACAACGACACTCCGCAATTTACGAGCGCACTGTGTTTAGCATTAGCGCCCCCCTGGGAGACCGTGCAAATGCATGAAAATGTTGTGAATGACTAGCGTGCCGAAAGTTTGCCCGCAAATTTTCACTTTCAGCGACATATTTCATAATTCTGACGACAAAAAGACAAAAACAATCGAGACAATCTGAAAAAGGTTGGAATAACTGTTATTTTTTCACTTTCCGTTCCTTGAACCTCATGGTCCCCTCGGATCGTTTGACTGATTCACTATTGCTCATGATTAACACAAACGGATGCGTATTGCTAATGATAAAAACGTTTCGCATGTAAACAAGCCCATCGAGCCCCAATTTTCCACAAAACATTACACAACTCTCGCTTCTTAATGCCCCGGTGGTTCAATTCGAATCGGCATCCTGTGACACAACACTGAGTCACAGCGTGGACATGAGACCAAAGGAGACTGCTGGCGCATCTTGCACTCACTTGGCGCACTATTGGATTTTTTGGTTTCGCAATTAAAATCTTTTTCTCGTTTTTATCTTTTAAAACATGTCGAAACGCAATTTTTCGTTACATATTTGTTGCAAAAAACTCAAATTTGAATTTTCAGGACTCGTTGAACAAAAGTTTTAACAATTTCTGCAGTTGGAAAGACGCAACGCCGATGGAAATTGCCGAGCGGCACGGAGTAGCGGTTAGAATAAAAAAGAACAGTTATTTTCTTCGCCGATAAATAATTTCAGGTTTTCCCCATCATTTTATCGGATTGCGGCGGACACGCGAATAGAAAAAAACACTATTCAACTCAAAACCAGGAATCTCCAGCAACACATTTTTAACGGAACACTAAATTTGTTTGATTACTGAATGAAGCTCATTGAAAATATTCTCAGTTTTCTTTTATCGCTATGTTATCTCACTTCTACAATTCTAAAATTCGGTGCTTGTGGCCGGAAGTTTGCCTACAAAGCTCACTTTCAGCGACACTTTAGATTTCTGACGGCAAAAAGACGTAACAATCGCGCACATGATCATTTTTACGTTTGATAAAGCTCTCTTTCATCTCTACAACCTCTAATATTGACAAACTTCTGCTTTTCATGTATTTCAGCCAGAAATTCACGCTACTCTTTCATGGTTTTTAAAATCGGTCTATTTGCATTGAGTTGCGATTTTTTTCATCCATACAGCGTCTCTAGCCATTATATAACAGTATTCAAGCGTCACTGTCGTAATAAATCTGCGAAACAATTCAAAATAACGTCAAACTTTTAAAATTATTTTGCATCGCTACACAGTTTTGCACAAGGAAACACGACGGCTGCACCGATTTGGCTCTGTGTGTGCTCAAAATGACCGTCTAACTCCCAGCTACAATGTAGCCTGTGACAAAAACGAAAAAATTACGGCGTTCAATTTTTACACGGGGAATAACGCAATTTTCGCCGAAAATTTATTATTTTTGAACTCCCGCGCGTGCGCTGCAAGTGCGCTCCAATGATAAACGTCCACGCTGTGACTCAGTGCACAATGCTTTTTCCGCTCCTTTTACTCTTTCTACTAGCGAATCGAGCGGACGGTTTCGACAAAATCCAGCTGAATTCGACGCGCGTCACCAACTGGGGAAAGTGGCACGAATGGGCGAGGTGTGAGGACGGGAAGCACGCGCACGGAATGCAGATCAAGTACGAGCCGAATCAGTACGCGGGCGACGACAGTGCTCTCAACGCAATCGCTCTCTACTGTCTCGATTTGGCTTCGTGTAAGGAAAATAACCAAAAAATGGGTCATCCGGCGGTGTTTCGGTGTGCTTCTCACGGAAGAATTTTTATCTTTTTTAGAAAATTTTTTGATGGAATGTGATCAACTGACGAAATGTATAGCAAAGTGAACTGTGCTCATAGAAAAATAATTGTAAATTTAGCTGTTCATACAAAAAAGTTATTCGAGTTGTTCCGTGAAAAAAGGGGGCCAACGGAACAACTCGAATAACTTTTTTGTATGAAAAGCTAAATTTACAATTATTTTTTTATGAATAGAGTTTACTTTTCTATACATTTCGTCAGTTGATCACATTCCATTAAAAAATTTTCTAAAAAAGATGCAAATTCTTCCGTGTGAGTTCTTTCGCTCAACTATTACACTGTCCAAATCCCAGTTCGTCAAAACTTCACACAGTAGAATGTTTGCCTCAAATAGTGTGCAATTAATTCTCTTGATAAAATTAGGACGAGTCAGTCATTGCAGACACGTACCACTCGAACGACTGGATCATGGGCGGCGAGGGACCGTTCGGGTATTGGCAAACAGTCGGCTACTGTCCGATCAGCACCGCAATCGTCGGTTTCGCTCTCCGTGCTCAAGGACACGTCGATGGCGACAATCCTGCCGCGGACAACTTTGCCGTCTTCTGTGCATCCGTGTGCGGACCGCGATACAGTGACTACATAATTCGAGGTTGGTTGGCGTTCAGTGGAAAGAAAATGTGGCATCTGGGTGAATGTTTTACTAGAATACGTACTTATTTTGTAGAGTAATGGGGCTATTCAGCGTGTGTTTGTTTTCCGTTTTTTTCGTTGTTTTTTACATCGCTGAATTGGATTTTTTGACGTAAAAAAACGAAAAAAATGGAAAACAATCATTTTTTCACAGCCTGAATAACCCCATAATAACTGAATGTCATATAGGTGAGCATTGGAAAGATCCGAAGACTCGAAGACAAAACTCATTTTTTCAGGAACAACCGCCGAGTTTGGCAACTGGTCGGCGCCTCAATTCTGTCCACGTGGCTTCGTGGTTTGTGGAATCCAGGCTCAAATTGAAGGAAATCAAGGCCGCGGAGTAGACGATACGGCGTTGAATAACGTGAATCTGGAGTGCTGTAGAGTCCGCAAAGAAGTCTGTTCGCTCACTTTGGCCCGTCATTCTGTGAACTCCAACTCAAGTGGTAACTTTTAATATCATGAATTTATTATGAAAGTCGGCACGGAACCCCAGCCTTCCAATAAAAAATTCCCTTGGCGCAATTCACGTGCGCTAAACAAGGCGCGTAACGCGTAATTTCGGAGCGTCGTTGTAGAGTTTCTCATTTCAATTTTCCCTTTTTTTTGCATTATCCCCATCTTTTCAGAACCAATCAGTGTCGAAACTTATAATAATGATTAGATATGAATAAAAAATGAAATGTTAACTGCTTCGTCATCAATTTCGAAACGTTTTATGTGAAAATTACAGAATTGTTTTCCTTTTGGAATCGAAAATTTGCCTCAATTATCTCAATTCTGTATATTTTTCGACGGTTGAGCGCTTAAAAGATGCGCAATAAACTGCTTGTTGACTGGAGACGGTTCGAATGCCAGTGTCCGAACTCGATTCGGCAAATAATCATTAAAACTCGGTTTTTTTCAGTAGTTTTCGACAAAATCCCTTAATTTGGTCAATTCTGAACGAATCTGCTCCGTTTCGCGCTTAAATCGATGCTTTTAACTCTGACAAACGCCCCTACGGTTCGCAAAGAACAAAATTTGAGTGTTTATTAAGAGAAAAACGAAAGAATTCTGGGTTTCAATTGAAAAACGAAACTGCGAGTCGAGGGTGGATGCAAGCGCGCCCCATTGACAACTCGCTTGCGCATTGCAATGCTGGGGTTCCGTGAGCCCCCCTACTTCCAGATTCTCCGCCAACTTCCAGCCGCATGGAGCTGCACTCAACTCGACTCACCAACTGGGGCAGATGGTATCCGTGGGCGAGATGTTCGACGGGACGGTACGCGCACGGAATGCAAATAAAGTACCGACAGAATCTGAAGGAACGAGATAATACGAATCTGAATGCGGTGGCTATTTTCTGTCAGGAACTGGGGCTAGACGAGATCCGCGGCGACGACGGTTGGATGAGCGGCGAGGGTCATTTCGGTGTCTGGCAGACGGTGCGCTACTGTCCCGCGCGCACCGTCATCATCGGATTCGCCCTTCGCTCTCAGCCACCTCAAACCGACGGCGACAACGTGGCGGCGGACAACTTTGCAGCCTACTGTGGAACGGTTTATGGTCCCCGAAAGCCCGACTTGACGATTCGAGGTCGCTTTTGCAACTGTAAAGTGACAACTTTAACGTTTCGGTTCAGGAGACACTGCGGGCGTGGGCAATTGGACGGCCGATCAGTTCTGTCCGCAGGGATACGTCGTCTGCGGGATTCAGAGTCAGATTCACGAATTGCAGAATCTGAACGACGACACGTCGCTGAATAACGTGAATCTGGAGTGCTGTCGAGTTCCGATCGATCAATGCGAACTCAAACATTCGATGGTCCCGATTGCAGAGTTCGACAATAGAAGCGGTCGGTTACGGTAACATGTCGACGACAATCTGGGGTACATGTTTAAGGAAACGGAACAGTGTCGGCGAAGTTTGTGAAGAAGATATCGTACACTCGAACCACTGGATCCACGCAAACTGTCACCAATGAGGAAAAGAACGTCATTTCGAAAAGTTAGTCTTTTTCCGTCAAGTAATGCGGCTATTCAGGGGATTAAAAAATGATTGTTTTCCGTTTTTTTTCCCTATTCACTATCAGCGATGTCAAAAAATGGAAAAAAAAACGGAAAGAAATGCATCGCTCGCAGCGTTTTTTTTTCCGGCGGGTCTCGCAGCGATTTCCCGGACGCGAAGCATGCGGCTACTGTGAGAGACGTTTTATGAGCGGATTTACGAGAACAGGGCTTTTTTTTCTAATTTTTCAGCGAAATTGCCACGTTTTCCCACTATTTTCAATCGCTTTTCAACGGAAATTCAGTTCTTATTTATCTGTTATGGTAACTGATGCGAAATTGCCACGCGTTTACCGCTATTTCCGACCGACTTTGCTTGAATTTTTTTTTTTTTTTTTAATAGTTTCGAGTGCCTCGTCATATCGTTCAAAACATTGAGCTTTTCGGTGAAAATCGGTTCAAAATAGCGGGAAAACGTGGCAATTTCGCTGAAAAATTAGAAAATTTTTCGTAAATCCACTCATAAAGCGTCTCTCACAGTAGCCGCATGCATCGCGTCCGGGAAATCGCTGCGAGACCCGCCGGAAAAAAACGCTGCGAGCGATGCATTTATTTCCGTTTTTTTTTTCATTTTTTTTACATCGCTGAATAGGGAAAAAACGGAAAACAATCATTTTTTCATCCCCTGAATAGCCCCATAATAGTCGGTCCCTACTTTCTATTTTCTCAGCCTGATTTCAAGATTTCCAACTCTGAACTTCATTTTTTGTGTTCATTCTTCTGTTTGGCTCTTCAGAACTGTCGATTGGTTTCGGTCTGAGCTACGAGAGTTCGTCAAGCGTCGGCGCCAGTGTCACTGGATCCAACGGCGTCGGAGTCACTGCACAACTCCAAAGAACGTTGGGTCTGACCGGAGACATCAACAGGGAACTATTGGAGGGCAGCGAGCAGATCACGACGAAGCAGTTGCAGTCGATGGTGCAGGATGCGACGACCCACGAACGATCGGTCCGTTTACTCTAGAATTGGACACGTTTTCAAGTTTTCAGGAGACGATCACGTTCACAGTTCCCGCCTTCACTCGCGTCATCATCGAACAACTCTTCATCACTTGCGGAGAATATCGATTGGGACTGGCGAAGACTGTCTCCAGAGGCTGACCTAATTCGCGACGGCTTAAAAATAAAATTCATACAGATATTGCAAAAAAAAAAATGTGTACAGATTGTCAACAACAATAGAATAAAAGGGTCTAGGACATTGGAGGTGGGGGAGGGAGGGTTTGGGGGATACTGTAATTATTACACGTCATCGTTTTGGCGGCGGGTCAAAGAGGAAAACGGAGCGGGGCTTATTAAAGCTCAAAATTGATTAGCTGATTAATGCGAAAGCGTGGGGGTGGGCGTCTATGAGCTTTCAAAATCCCGTGAGTTGGTCAAATTTCATGAAAAATGCGCGCAGAAACAGTGGGCTATTAGGTGAGGGGAACCCGTTTTTTGAGGGCGGAAAATGTGGTTTGTCAACAATAAATTACAGAAACGAAGCAGCACCGAATAATGAGGGAAAGAATGGGGGGAAAACGGGGAAAAACGATGAGTAAAAGGGAAAAAGAGGGTGTGGCCGGCCGCCTATCCGGCTTTGCGGAATTTCCACGAATGAACACTGGCCAGAAGGGCCGACTGATGGGCCGCACGCATTTCGATGTCGTATCCGGAGACGGTGCCTTTCGACGTCAGTTCTCTGCAAACATTTGATGATTTTGGGGGGATTTATCGGATTTTTTAAAAGGAAAACTTCGTGAGAACCCTCAATTTCCAGACTTCTCCAGTCAATTACCTCAATTCTCTGTCGGTCCACTGGCGCCACGTCTTCTCTCCGTTCTCGACACGCTTCCGCTCGGCTCTCCACACGGCTATCCGTTCTCTCGACTTCAGATCGTCGGCGATTCGTTTCACAATGTCGGCCTGCAAATATTTCAATACTTTTTAATCTTATTTTAACCACTACACACCTTTTTCTCAGCGAAATGCACGACAATTTTGGATTTTCCGTTGCGCAACTCGACATTCTCCTTGTTGACGACCATTGTAAAGTGGGGAAACGAGGCGGAGCTTAGCTCCAATTTCGAGTTGGGCGCCCGCCATAAATGTCGCGTCGGCACGAGTCCCCACGTGGCAAAATCAAGGGATTTGACGCCGTCGAACAGTTTCCCGATCACTTCCAACTCTTCGGGTCTCAAATCGGGCAGCGCCTCCACCGACACCTGCTTCTCGCCGTTCTCCGACAATATCAAAAGATTCGAGAAGCCGACGTCGTCGATCGACCAGAAAGTGATCGGAGAAGAAGAAGAAGACGTGGAAGCGAGACGGGTCGGGAGTACGGTAGTCAGGTGCGAGAGAGGGCGTAGTTTGCGGGGGAACGAAGAGAGGAGACGATGGGCGATGGGACCGGCACGTGGAAGACCGAGATGCGCGGTCGGCAGAAGGTTCGCAGAGAGGCCGGACAGCGAGAACCATGTGGCAAAGTCTGAAAATAACAAATATTTGGATTTCTCTACAGATTTCTGTTTTTTGTCGAACAAAAAGTTAAGTAGCTGCTAGAGTTTAGTACCTTCTGGAATGTTCTGGACCCTGAACGGCTGCCGCTGCTGTTCCAACGCCATCAAATCGATCGAATTGTCGAAAGAATCGGTGAAATCGAGACGGACGACGGCTTGCGGCGAAACAGACAGATATCGTCCGGTTTGCAGGTCCAGCGGACGTCCGTTATCGAGAATTGACACCGCGATTTCGGCGATTTCGATGCCTCCGAGGTATCCGATCGGGAAATCATGGACTGGGGATGATTGAGCTCCGAACACGGATCTGTCAATGATTTGCAGCACGTTCGAGTCTCCGATGATCGCGCGAATCGTTCTGGATTCGTCGGAAAGGAGGCCGACTCGGGTTCCGTCTTCCGTTTGCATCGCAAACGGATTCCGATCGTCGTCATAGAAGATTGTGGAGATCTTTCCGTTCTTCGAAAAGTGCGACACCAGTCGGGGCGCTTCCACGTATCCATAATAAAAGTTGATCGTCTCCTGGGGCTTCTGAATGCGTACCACCCGGTCCTCGAGGTCGTACGTCACGTGGATCTTGGCGCCCGAATCGAGTACGGTCGCGGTGACGAGTCTTCCTTTTCCGTCGTACCGAAACTGCGACTCGTTGCCCCGCCGCAGCACCCATCCGATCGAATCCACGTGGTACGGCTGATCCAAGAACGATTTGACGGCGCCGCCGCGATTCCACTCGACCAGCCGATCGTTGATCTTCTCGACGCGACCATCCGAGTTCCAGAGAATGCGCGTCGGCTCGCGGTCCGTCTCCTCGACGCTGGCGATGCGTCCGGCCGCGTCGAAAGTCATCGACGTCTTCCGAATCTTCTGCACTCCCGACGGCGTCGTCACCTCGAGCACCGTCTCCGCCGCTCTTCCCGCCTTGTCGCGGGTGATGCGGACACTGGCACGGGCGTCTCCAAAGTGAACTTTCCGCTGGACGACCTGCCGATGCTCGTCGGCCTTCGACACCTCGTACATCATTCCGTGTCCCTGGCAGCGCGCCGTCGATCCATCGCGGTCCCACGTGAATCCATTGACAGAAGCCACGTGACCGCGCCGCTCGTCGTAGCTCAACTGCACCGGCTCCAATATCGATTGCTCGATCGACGGCTGGATGGTGGTGACCCGCAACAGATCGTCGTACTCATAGGTGAACGTGGAGGTCGTCGTGGCTCCAGAAGCATCCGTTGAGAGACTGACCGTCTTCCGTGCGATCAGGTGTCCCTGCATCGTCGTGTTCTCCTGAATTCCCGCGCTTCTCGAGCAGAGCGGCTCGCCTTCGGGGCTCCAGCACGTCACCACCGTAACCTGCTCGTCGTTGAGCACCTCTGTGATCCTGCCGAACTGGTCCCTTCGCTCGAGCCAATGGTGCATGTCATCCGGGGTCGTGGCCTCCAAAATCCGTCCGTTTCTGTCGATTCTGACGAGCGACGGCTTCGAATTCAGAGTCGTCCGCCGCTTCAGGACCCACTCGTCGCCGCCGAGCGAGATCGAGGAGAAGGCGGTCGTCTCCTGGCTCGGACTGATCACTTCCTTCACTCGGTCATAGTTGTCGTAGTGCACCGTCCATTTCGCGCCATCGATCGCAATTTCATTGGGCCTCGATGCTCCACCGTAGCTCATTTTGACGGGAACGCGTGCTCCGTCGACGGCGTGCTCGACGAGCCGATTCGCCACGTCATAAGTGAACCGGTGCCTCCAGGATCCCCACGTAACATCGGTCTTCCGTCCCGCCGCGTCAAACGTCACATTCATCTCGGCCATCGGCGAATCTTCTGGCGCCGAAATCCGACGGATTCTTCCCGACGGCGTGTAGTCGATGTGGAGCAGGGCCTGCGCGTCGTCGGTCGTCGAGCCGATCCGCAATGTGTCCGAATTGGATCCGACGTCGTACTCCATCGAGAACATGTTCACTCCGTTGATCTGAACATGCACAAAGTTAGAGAAATTGTTGAGAAAAAGAGAAAAATCATCGAGGGTTTAGTCGGTGAGAGAAGATGAGTTCACTGCACTAAAACTAGATTAAATGGGTGTGTGTGTGTGTGAAAGTTAGAGAAAGGATTCCGGTAGCTCGTCCTCCTCAAAATCAGTTGGAATCACACTGTTGTTAACCAGAAATCACACACTGTTACAAATATCGAACTCGTATTCTCATCTCGACGAACCCTCGGTCTAAACCGGACCTCCGCCACTCGTCGTCGTCCGTCCGTCGGCTCTCCACGTCTTGCCACATGGCGCCAGTCCCACCTGGTCGTCAAGGCCCTCCGCAGCGGACTTTGAATGCCTGGGACCGTCGTTCTTCGTCGCGAGATCACCGGCTCGCCGCCTCCGTCCGGAATCGTGGAGCTCTTGTCGAAGAGGGAAGAGGTGCCGAGCGGGGAGGTGAGCGAGTAGCCCTCGTTTCGCAGCAGGGAGATCAGTCGGACGGTCCCTCCGTTCGCATCTTGAACCGCCAGATCGCCCTCGCCGAGACGGACTTGTTGGAAGCGACGGCCGTTCAGGAGCACTTCCGTGTTCACTCGACCCATTGAGATCGTCTCCTCTCCGAGCTTCCAGTGCTCTCGATCCCTTCTCAATCCGACCGCCCGTCCGTATTCGTCATATTCGAATCCGACAGCCGTCGCCACGTCGATCCTCGAGGACAGCAGTCCCTTCGGAGTGTAGGCCAGTCGGATCGCGTCCTTCGAGGGCAGATTCTCCGCCTTCCGGGCCACTTGCTCCAGCGTTCCGTCGTAGTTCGACATGAGCAGCGTCGTGATTTCTCCGTTCGACGTCTCCAGATCCAGCACCGAATCGTTGCGCTTGTTCATCCGAAGTGTCACTCCCGAAGCGGCGCGGATTTCCGAGAGCAGAGCGATCGGCGAGTCGACTTGGTAGGTAAAGTTGAAGACGATTCGCGAGGTGATGAGGGATACGGTCGACGTGTGCTGTCCATGTCGGTTGAACGCGTACTTCTCCTGCCGTTCTGCGTCGAGCACTTCGTAGGTGCGCGTGCGTCCATCGTACTTCGCCAGCCGCGCCGCCACCCGCTTGATCTTCGCATTTCCGGAGTCGGCGATGATGACGTCGCCGGATGGGGCAACGCAGACGGCGTGCGGAGAGTTCAGATGTGCGTGCGAGGCGGCCACGTCGCGCAGCGAGACGGCGTCGTCACATCCACAAGCCGCCACGTCACACGAGCATGGGCTCTTGCCTCCGGTCAGAATCGAGAACGTCGAGCGATCGGGACTCAGTTTGCGGATCTGGTTGACGCGTCGACCGTCCGATTCGACCACGTAGACGGCTCCATCGACGCCCACGCTAATGTCGCGCGCGTTCTGAATCAGATGACGTCGGTGATCGATCGAAGTTCCAGAAGACGCCGTCGAATTCGAAGTAGATGCCACGTCACAGGTCGTCGGAGCGCCGAGCACAATCGTCACGACGTCGTTCTCGACGTCAATCTCGTAGACGACGTTCGTGTCGAGCACGAGCACAGCGCCAGTGATCGGATCGATAGTGAGCGAGGTCGGCCACTCCATCTGAAGGTCCACGAGTTTCGTGATCTGCGCGCACGTGCGGATCGGATGCTGATCGGGAGTGGTTTCGCCGATCGAACGAATGTGTCCCGTGGTGTCGATCACGCGGATTCGACGACTGTCGGCCACTGAAAAACGGAAATTTGAATTCTACTCTACTATCACTTTTAACTATTGCGGACCATAACCGCCAAGCTTCTTGACTGGATCTCGGCGGCTATGGTCCCCAACAACATTTGAAAAGTCGCACTTACAATAAAGGTTTCCAACTCGATCGAACGCGATTCCCTTCGGATAAATCAGTTGAGCATTCTGCGCGAGCGCCCCATCTCCACACGAGTCCACGGCCGACGCACACACGGTCCCGTCGCCGGCGATCACGTCGTAATTGTTGCGCGCATCCTGCGGTTCCATGCTCGTAATCTTCCAGACCTGCTTGTGAAGTGGCAGCGAGATGGCGACGGTCCCATCAAACGGCGAGACCGCAATGTAGTAGGCGTGCGAGGTGTCGGCGAGACCGAGCGTCAGGATCGTGTTGATCGTGCCGTCGGGCGAGATGCGTCGGATCAGATTGTGGTCCCCAATGATCAGCGAGCCGTCCTGCGCGTAGGTTACTGTAGTCGGACGGAAAAGAGGAATCGTGTCGAGGCGTCCGTCGCAGTTCTCCGGTGCACACTCGACGTCCCGTTTCGTCGCGTCGAGGCCCGCCAGAGTGGTGACACGTGGCTCGGATTGCGAGATGAGCCGGTAGCCGCCGTCGCCCATCTCGACAATATTGTTGACAATATCCAGATGATGATGCACGTCCATCGTCCACATCGCTCCCAGCATCTTGCGCGCCGTCGCGCCCATCATCTGCGTCCTCCGCGTCTGCCAAACCCTCTCGCTGCTCCGCTCGCATCCCTGGTACTCGTAGCCGACCAGGACCGTCACCGGAACGAGTCCCGACTCGCTCTGCCGGTACGCGTTCATCTTGTCCCATGCGAAGACGTGCGTCAGGTTGACACGAGGCGCCAGCGTCGCGTCGAAGCGTCTGCCAGCGATCCGGATCGTGACGTGGATCTTCCGAAGGTCCTTGTCGACACGATCGTCCAGAAGACCAATGAGCATTGTGGAGGGTGCTGCCGGCGATCGCGCCGAGTCGTAGGCAAGCCGGAGATCGGTCCCATGGATCGGCAAGGATTCGACGATGGTGCGCGAGTCGACGACCAGCCGCGAAGTGTCGCGGGTCTCCGGTTCGACGCCGTCCGACGTGTACTGCCAATTCGAGATCAGGACCACTTCAGGAAGTCTCCGAAGCGTCGGCGAGCACTTGGCTCTGGCCGGTGGGGCAGAGATTTGCGGACTGGCGGCAGCTCCCGAGTGCCGGTGGAGGAGGACGTCGTCAATGTGCACAATTTGTCCGGGCGGCACATAGACGCTCTTCTTGACCGCCTGGAATTGCGTTCGCAGGAACTGAAGGTTCACCGATCGGGCTCCGTTCACAACCAGGTCAAAGTATCCGTCGCCACGTGTCAGCGTGAATCCGTAGAGGGGATGGGCGGCGTCGGAGACCCTCACGCCTATCAGCGGCACTGTACTTCGTTTTCCGGCTCCAATCTCTTCGGATCCACTGCCGCTGCTTCCACTCCAAACGACTCTTCCGCGAATCACCGCCGTCAGCGACTCGTTGAACTGGCTCGCGTCCGTGTAACTCTGCACCGACTTCTCCATTATCAAAAACTGTACGCGTTGTGCGAAGTTGGCGTTGAACGTGGGCGGCATTCGCATCAGCACTTCCGTCGGTGTCGCCGCCGTCGAGCACACCGATTCGGAGGAGCACGCGGACGCCGAGCAACACTCCGGGTCGTCGCAGTCGACGAGACCGTCCGAGTCGTTGTCGAGCCCGTCGTCGCAGTGCATTTCGAGGGGAACCGAGCAGTCGGGCCCTGTGGAGCCGGCCTGACAACGACACGACCATTCCGATGTTCGACGGTCCATCACGCACTCGCCTTTTGAGGAACACTGGTTCGGGCAGCCATCTGAAACTTAGCGTTTGTTATTTTCGTTCGTTCTCATTTTTTTGGCATAAAAGTTGACAAAATCATCATTAGTTTCCCAACAAAAAAGTTTCCTTCAAACCACATTTCTTACCCTGATAACAGTTGTCTCCGTTCCATCCGGCCGAACATTGGCAGCTCCCGTTGGCCAGACACTTTCCGTGCTCCTCACATCCGATCGCACACTTCCTGCCGCCACAATCCGCTCCTCGCCATCCTCTCCAGCACGCGCACGTTCCGTCGTCGAGACAATCTCCGTTGCGGCACTCGCACGTCCGTTTCGAGCAGTCCGTCGATGTGTATCCCTCCGCGCACTGGCAGATCTCGTCGATTAGTTGTCCGTTGGCGGAGCACGCGATCGGCTCCTCCGCACTGCTTTTCGTGGGTTTCGGGGCGATCTCTCGACTTTCCTTCTTCTTTTCCGGGCTGGTCGGTCCTTTTTTCTTGGCGGTTTTGGATTCCGCCTCCTGGATAGCAACTCTTCGAGGTGGCGCCTGAGCCGCCGGTGTCGGGGCGATTGGAACGAGCACGTCGGCGAACACGGAACAATCCGCTCCGCGCCATCCGTCCACACAATAGCACGTTCCGTTGACACAGACTCCACGATCGTGACACGTGGCATGGGGACAGGCGCGAAGTTCGCAAGCCTCGCCCGTCCATCCCGCGTTGCATCGGCACCGTCCGTCGTTGTTGTCGCAGCGGCCACGTCCATTACAGTCGGCCACCTCGCACCAATTCGCACGCATCTCGCACTCTTTGCCCTTGAAGCCCGATTTGCAGACGCACGCGCCGCCCGAGAAGACTCCGTTGCCGGAGCACACGACCGGACACACCGCCTCCTCGCACGCGCCGCCCGTGAATCCGGGCGCGCATCGGCACTTTCCGTGTACGCACTCGCCGCGCTGATTGCAGTTGGCTTCGCACGTGAGCACTCCGGCCAGTGGGTGCTCTTTCGACGATGACTTCGGCGCATTCGTCGGCTTCGGCAACTCTTCGGCGACGAACGAGATCGGTTCGACGCGGCTGCGCTCGTTGATGAACGTGAGATAGTGACGTCCTTCGAGCATGAACTGTTCGAACGTCGCACTCCTCGGCGACAATATCTCAATGTTTCGGTTGCGGGATGCGGTGCTCCGACGGCTTCTTCCGCCGAGTTCCTCGACAATGTGCGTCGGTCCGCGGGACGAGCCGAGACGGTCCGCACGGATCGAGAAGAGCGCGTCGTGGAGGGAGAGACTCGGATGGACGCCCGCACTCATCAGCAGCACCAGTTGGGCTCCCGAGCCGACCGTTGCGTTGAATGTGATCCGCGACGGTTTCGTGATGGTGAGCTCGCTGAAATTATTAGAAGTAAAGGGGCGAATGGGCGATTTTCAGAGAATCTCAGGTAAAACTTTGCTCCGGTTAAAATTCGATACTTGATGAGCATTTTAGCTCCATTGAGTTGTCTAATAGTAAGACCTATACTAGACCACCAGAAGCATTTTTTCACGTTAAAGTCAAAATACTCAATGAATTCATGAAAACCTACGTCGTGGCCATCGATTTGGGAAAGAATTCGACGTCGACACGTTCTCCGAGACTGATCGCCGGCGGCAGAGCCCTCAGACCGAGGTCCTGATAGCGACTGGCCGCGTGGGCAGCTGCCGCAGATGACGTGGCATCCGAAGAGGGCGCCGGTTGGGTGTACACGTAGTTGGGGGCACGGACTGAAAACGGGAATATTGTTAGCAAAAGACAGAAGATAAACACTGACAAAGCAAGATGCAAATGACGAAAAGAGCGGCCAGAAGGGCGGCGGCGAGCAGGAGGTTCCATTTTGAAGGCCACCGCGAGTGCTCTCCGTCGTCGAACTTCTTCTTCTTCTTCTGCGCGGCGCCGATCATCATCGGACCGCCCGCCTCGCAGCCATTGTTCATCGTGCCCACTTGCTGCTGTCGCCTCCGATTCTGTTGGGTTCCGACGCCGAGCGGGTACTTTAGCAGAGTCGTCGACGCATCCGAATACGTGGTGTTCGGCGCTCCTGACGTGTGGTGTGGTCTGCAAAATCGAAATTGAGCAATTTCACTGGAAAATGTCAAGTATAATGATTTTTCGTCAGGAGTTCTAGGTGAAACCCTCAAAAAGTTTGAATCCTCACTACGATATTCGCTCAAAAAGAGAAAGGAAAAGGAAGCGAGAGATATGGAAATTGGGGGCGTTGGAGCAGTCCATAAGATGATCGCATTATGCTCTCTCCAGAATGCGTGGACGGGGGGGGGGGTGGTACTAACAACGGACGGACGGACGTTCGCTCGTCTGTTTGTGCTGTGCACGAGACCAGAATGCAATGGGATAGAGATTAGAGATTAGTTATGCAATGGGCACTTCCCCTATCCAATTTGGAACCAAAATTGGGCTCTGAAGCTTGGAAAGCAGGTTTTTATAAGATTCCAGATTTTTACAGTGAGAACTGTACTAGATCATCCTAGTCAAGAATTTGAGGGGAAAACACAAAAACAGGCTTCCAGAAGGTTCGCGAGCCAAATTTTAACGTGTCTATGAATGTTTTGAGTTCGAAAATCCGTTAGTTCCGATCAGATCTCGCACAGAGATCAAATCTTCCAAAATCATCCACGTGGAATGCGACCACCAACCGGATAACCATCTTTGGTGCCTACCATAACAATGAAGGTGACTGACCGATGCCTGATGACATCATCAGACAATCAGAATAATCTACGAGACCGTATGACGACAGACGGACGACACCAGACTTTTGCCACCCAATTCGTTTGGTTACCAGGTATCAAATGTCACAATAGTTGAACATTTTTAGCACTTCTAACAAGGATCTTCAACAGTTTCTTGCTAGAAAGTCTATCAAATCTTCAACCCCAAAAAAAGCGCATCTAATTAGTTGCAATATCTTTTTCTCATTCTCATTGTACTCCACCACCTCCTGTTACATCGGGTGCTCATTGCGTAACAATATGTGCTGGTGGTGTCCATAATAATGATGATGATCCAACAACAAAAAAAAGAGGACACCTCGAGATTCCTCTTCCTTCCGTTGTTGCTCTTTTCGCAAGAGAATCCCGCCCCGCAGAGTCAAGTACCTCTTGTCAAATTGAAAAGGAAAAGATGTACCCCCTCCCTAACATACACAAATTTGACTAATTCATCAGATTCACACTTATGAACACACACACATACACACAATACTCGAAAGGATGACGAAGTCGGGAGATTCGGAGGGGAAAGTGACAGAAACTCTGTAAGGATAACAAAAATTCCGGTTTTGACTATCACACCGGCTTCCGATCCGAAAAATTGAGAAATTTTCCCATTATCAAGGTCCGTTCTATACTGTACATAAAAGGAAAGCTCAAGATTGACGAAAAAAACGACTAAAAGCTCAAAAAGCGAGATGACCGACCGAAGGGCTTCTTCGGGGGGCAGTGGGGACGGACGTAGATGGAATGGCTCCAATTTGCGTACCCTTCTGTCGTATTCGTGTGTGTGTGTGTGTGTGTGTGTGTGCTCCTTCTTTTACCACCAGTTGGGCGAAAGAAGAAGGACGGAAGGGTGTGTAATAAAAGTTTATGAGCGGCGGCAATTTGGCGCAAAAGTGGAAGAAGCCTCATTTCCTAATTTCATTTCACTCCCCAAAAGTTCATAAGAATACGGAAAGACCTCCCAGAAGATGTGAAAAAAAGTGCTCGGACGGGAAAAAAGAGTGAAACTTTTGTGTACTACTATTGAATCGGACAAATGTTGCATCTTTCGCTCGCACTGCTTCCCCTTCCTCGTTAGCCGTCTTTTTTGACACTTTAGCCCCCCATCGAAAGGTCTCCAGAAGAAGAAGAAAGAGAATAAGAAGAAGAAGCGCCGAAAAGGGGAAACAATTAGGTTCATCCCAGTGACAAATGAGCAGGAATAAGAGCTCTTGTACTCTGGATATCGAAAAACTGAGAAATTGTCATGGGAAAGGTTCAAAGTCCCTCTTTTTGCAGATATTTAGTCGACAACCAAGATTCTATCAGTTTTGCTTCAAAGTATGTAAAAGTGTAGTAAAAATGTTGAGATTTCACTAGCAAATACCATTTTGCCACGTCACCAAGCCTATAGCGATTCTATCAAGTTCGTATGTTGGGCACAGTCTTCCAAACTCTCATTTGCCCATTTGTGCTTCGATTTGTGAAATTCCAGTTACCCCATCACCAAAAACTTTCAACTACTCACTTTTTTCCAACATTCCCTCCCCGGAGTTCGTTCTTTTCCATTTGCTCTGCCTCTCAGGAGCGCATTAGAATAATTACATACGCTTTGACGCCTTCTTGCTCCGTGAGCATGTATACACACACACACGCACACAAATGTTATGATTTTCTCTCGCCTCCTCCTTCTTCTTGGGAACCTCTTTTCGAAATGACGCTAATTGAGCGCGCTCCGTGTGCGCACACGGATTTCAATTAGAACACTTTACACGACTTTCCTCACCACACACAACTCAACTTTTCAAGAGGAGGATCTGAATGGCGACGAAGACTTTGACACAAAATTAATCTTCTCCCGCGCGCGGACGTCGTCTTTTGAGCGAATGGGAGGCGGGAAAAGAGAATAGAAGGTTAACTACCTACTAGAAAAGAAGTAGTACTAGTAAAAGTAATAGTAATAGTTGTGAGGACAGACAATAGTCGACTAATAACGGTCCTTTGGGACACCTATGGACGGAAAATCTTACGATTAGATGCTACTGATCTCAAACTGAAATTCATCATTTCTACATTCAAAATTCAATACATTTCGAGGTTTCCAAGGTTTTTGGCAAAAAAAAATGTTGAAGTAAACCCTAGAAAATCTGGAAAATGTATCTACTGCTTCTACCCTGAAAACTCGCTTTTAAAAACCCTCTAAACCCCTAGAAACCCGTGGAAATCGAGAAAAAAGTGCCATCTCGCAATTACCCTCATTTCCGTGTGTTCCCTGTCCAATTAGATCGGAAACGGAACAAATTTACTGCCTTCACAGCCGCTTTTTATAGCCCACGACCTCGAATGGGCTCCCGTTCGAAGAGAAAGACAGGTGCATTCCTAATTGTCCCCAGTGCGAACCTCTAAAATCGAGCAGTTTCAATCCCGTTTAGTTGGTGGTCGGGGGGAATGTTCATCTTTCCGTAAAAACGGCCGACGACGACGCGCCACAAAATAATGAATAATTCCAAAGAGTTTACGTGCATTCAATACATACATTCGAGTACGTGTTCCTCAAAGATGTTATTTGCTGATGGGTCTCGCAACGACGAAAAAGACAGATGGTAGGCACCGGAAAAACAATCAAATATCATCCGAATCTTTCAATGCTCATGTTCATGAGGAAATTGGAAAATCCGATTGTATGAAATCTTCTAGGGATCCTTTTCGTATAAAATCTCGAGTGGCCCCATCTAAAATGCTACTTTCGACTCAGAAATTCCAAACACATTTGAAATGTGTCCAGGTGTATCCAGGGACTGCTTTTCCCCCCACTTTTTCGTTTCCTCCCGACTTCCAAACACAAAATGAAGAGATCCGGCACGGGGGGCTCATCAATATTTCATCCCGACGCCACGCGTGTTTCATCGGAATTCTCACACGGACCAATTGAAATGATGAAACGTAGAGTTGGAGGAGGACGACGAAAATAGCCGTTTTTCGTGGCATTTTTTGCAGTACTAATGGGGAAAATTGCGGAAAATCTGAAAAGCAGTTGAATTTCTCAAAGTTTCAACAAATTCGAGTCATGGCACTAAACTGAAGGATTTTTGTCGAGACTTTCAAAAATTCAATCAACTTGAAGCTCCAAGCCCAAGATTCGCCGATCCCAGTGCAAAGTGTGTCGAAATTTGTAAATTTGCGTGCACCAATGCTCGGAAATGCTCCACTGATCCGTGCTTTCCGACATATCCGGTGTGTGTTGCCAAATGTTCTGTCCTTTGACGCAAAGTTCCGGTCGCCCGCGCGTGGTCCAACAGGGTCCCTACGCGCCCCTTTTTTGTCGCATTCTCTATACTTTTCCCAGCCAAACAATGGGGGGTTTTTCGAAGAAAAATGGGCGAAAAGGAGGCAAGAATTAATCTCGTAAAATGGGAGAAGAATGCACTTGAGAATCACTCTCGGAATGGAAATTTGCGATGGAAATCTGGAAAAAAAAACTCACTGATCGAGGTAGCGTTGTCCGGAAGCCGGTGAAAGAGTCGAAGACGTGGTGCGCACTGAAAAAAGGGATAAATAGGTTAAAGTTGATATTTTTCCGCTGTTTTAAGTGATGACATTTGGATTCGGACATTTTTAAGTGAAATAGGTCTTCTTGAAGACATTTTACCAGTCTTATACTTATTTTCTGCAGTTTGACCTAGTTTTTGATAGTTTGACCCAAATTCCCAGCTGTTACAGACGCTAGACCATTGTTTTAAGCCAAATTGCTCGGTTTTTATCGAATTTGCCTGAATTTCCCTCCAAAAGGGCTCACTTTCATCGTCGGACCCATCTCTGATCGGAGGCGGTCCAATCGGAGTGCTACAATAGGCGTAGTGCGGCGGCAAGACCCGATAGACCATCGAATTTCGAAACTGTCGCCGTCCGCCGTACAACGACGTCGACGCATAGTAAACGGGCTCATCGTAGTGCGATTCGTCGGGCTCCATTTTTTGAGGTATCAATAATAATAGTTCGTAGGTGACTTCATCGCTAAGGTGTCAAGATGAGAGAAGAAAACTTTCGGGAAAAAAGTGGGCGTGACTCGACTTCAGGCTCGACTAGAGAAGAACAACATTCCCGGCCGAAGCGCCGCCCCTTTTCGCCAATGAAACACACCGCGAGGGAAATGGAGAGAAATTGGCGGAGAGAGAGAGAAAGAGAAAAAGAGAGGAAGGAAAAGGACAACAAAATGCAAGCCTTTTGCTTTTTGACGACGACGACGTTGCAGGCGGCCGGGTAATGAGAACCTATGGAGGAGGAAAGAAGAAGAAGAAGAAGGGAGAAACACTTGAGAACACGACCGACACCACCGAAAAATGAGCAGAAATTGAAGAAAACGCGCCAACGAGTGTGCACCTAGGCCTTTGGCTAACGAGACATGGGAGGGAAAGATCCGAATGTCAAACGCTCGTTTTCAAGGTTTCGATGGCTCAAAACGCTCAAAATGCACCAGGACGGCTGAAATTTCTTACTCTAGAAGCGTCTGGAACCAGGTATCCAAACAGTTGGGACGCGGGCCAAGGGAACCACGAGACGGGAGGAGATGCTGCACTGGGCACCATGAGTCAGGAAACATAAATGGTCCCCATTCCATGCAACAATTCCTTTGGTATCACGAGACAAAACCACCCCTGTCCCAAGCCGCTCGGATACCTGTTCTCGAACACCAAAAAACGTCAAAAAGCTTTGGAGACCTCGAATTCCACCTTCTTCCAGACCTCCCATCTCCTTCTTCGAAATCACCGGAACTATAGAAGCACCGACCATTTTCCCATCCATTTCTCCGTCACTTTTTCGGGCCAATCTATGCAAATTCCGCTTCTTTTTGTCACCTTCATCGGTTCTTCTCCTCACACTTTATTCGATTTGCATTTCATTCCATTCAGGGCTGGGCAAAACATTGGCCGGCCTTGGCTGGCCAGCGGTCGGCCAAGGCTTTGGCCGGGCTAGTTGCAAGCGCGCTCCACTGCAAAAAAGCCCTGGCCGGCCCTGGCCGGCCAAGGCCGGCCAATGGTACGGTAAGCAATTCGGTTCACAGAGCGGTGTTTGCACACAAAGCATTTTAAATAAAGAAAAAATCGAAGAAATTATTTTAAAATGAGAAGAAGACATGCTTGAAAGTAGAAAAAAGGTGAAAAAGAAAGTAAGTGAATTAAATTTCGATGAAATGAAAGCTGACAAATTTCGAAAAATTAGCAGAAGTGAAGAGAAAAAAATAAAAAGAAAACGACAGAATTAACGAGAACGAGATGCATGAGAACGAAACGAAAGAAAAAAAATGTATGGGAACAACGTTATGAATCGAATTCATCGAATAGAGCATTTTTCTGTGAAAATATTTGATCATGAAGTGAAAAAACTTAGAAAAAAAAGAAAACCCTTTCGAAAACACGTTTTTTTCTTTATTTAAAATGCTTTGTGTGCAAACACCGCTCAGTGAACCGAATTGCTTACCGTACCATTGGCCGGCCTTGGCCGGCCAGGGCCGGCCAAGGCTTTTTTGCAGTGGAGCGCGCTTGCAACTAGCCCGGCCAGGGCTTTTCATTGGCCAGCCATGGCCGGCCATGGCCGGCCATTTGCCCAGCCCTGATTCCATTCAAGTTTTGAACTGGACGCCCAAACTTTAATGATGTTTTTCTGTACTTTTTCGAGACTGTGGGGGTCGAATTTTCTACGTTTCATCACAAAACCCATCGTGTGGACCCTATACGAACGGACAAATGCGATAATTATAAGGTGGTCGGATGGATTACACCAACGGGAGGTTGCACTGCACGGGCGGGAAAAAAGGCGCGTGTTCGTCGAGACAGAATGGGACAATTGCAATTAGTAGCTGGATGGCCAATGAAAGAGTCTCTTACAAGAGGATTATGGAGGGTAAAACGGGTAAATTGAGGCAAGGGACCACCTATTTTTGGGTTCAACTGGGTTTTGATGTTCACAACTGTCTTACTCGACGTTTTTTGCCTTGAAAACAAGATTACTTACGGCCTCTAAATTCGCCTGAAGTACCAGGAGAACCCTAAAAAGGAAAAAGTTTCAGTGCGTTCGGGGGGAATCGAACCCCCGTCGAATGCTTGGAAGGCATCCATGCTGACCATTACACCACGAACGCTCACATTCGGCAGACCGCCCGTCTCGCGAGACATTTTCGGCGCACGCTCGTACACACAAACCTCCCGCATAGTTGACGCCAGTGTTTCACGTGAAATGTCTCTCTCTTTTCCGTCTTTTCCTCGGAATAGTGTACTCACTCAGAAGCAGAGAGATATGTGGCGCGTTCGTGGTGTAATGGTCAGCATGGATGCCTTCCAAGCATTCGACGGGGGTTCGATTCCCCCCGAACGCACTGAATCTTTTGCGTTTTTAGGGTTATCTTGGTACTTCCTAGCGTCTGGACGCATCGAAATTTTACAACATGATCTTTAAAGTCCTAATCTTATAGTCTAAAACTCGATCCTGCATCAATTTTCTAGTTCACTAGAGTTGAGTCCCTAATTTCTCAAATATTGTAAAACCCCTTATCAAAAAAAGGAAAGAGCCCTGCCTTTCCTGCCGCCAATCATTGACACATAAGGGTCAATCCGGAGTGTAAACACCGCCCGAATTGTGTCTTTTTTGGGGTGACCGACAGATGTACCAGTACCAGTAGATCAATACGGTAGTCCTTCTCAAGATGATGGTCCTGTACAATATTTGCTCACTGTTCGAAGCGGAAAGGCGGCGCAAAAGGATATTGTTTTTTATGAGTCAATTGCGCAACCGTGGAGGACTCTCCAATTTCTAAACATTTTTGTGCGAATGAGTGATAGCCGAGAAGTGCATGGACGTCGGAGATGAAAGGGGACCGATTTGAGGGATATTTGAGAGCGCTTTCCGGGCAGAGATACTAATTTGTAACGGAACAATCAAAGGTTTCCGGATTTTGAGTCAATTTCTCTTCGACTACAACAATCAAGTCCCCCGAAACTAACATGATCCACTGGGAATATAGTATGCTCCGTCGGCATTTTTGTGCAAGACGCCTCCGTCGTGCGCGCCGGATCCCCAACAGTCGGAAAGCGGCGGAGCCATCGGTTGCTGATGTTGTTGTGAGCGACGCTGTAACAATTTGAAAAATAGAACTTTTAAACGGGAAAATGAGGGCATTACCTGTTGTGACATGGACATTTCGTACGAGTTGAAGTTCATCGGCGGCGGCGTCGTTTTGATGAGCAAATGATTGGTGAAGCCATCTGAAAATAGTATTTTGGGGCCTCCTGGCCAAAAAACTCGGACAAAACATCCCCGCTCTCCCTTCCCCGTCCAACAACTAATTCGCCGCCTTTCTATTGTCTTTTTCCATTGATTCTCGCACCCTTTATAAGCGGAAAGCGGGGCGCCGAGAAAGGGGAAATATTTGCCATCAATTGTCGGTGCCCGCCTTTTGAACTGTTTTACTTTTACGACGAGCGAGTACCGGTATCGCTCATTCTTTTGATACTGGTAGAGGTCGGTGAGTCATCGGGTGGGAAATTGATAATATAATTGGAAAATTAGCTGATATGGCATGTTTTTGCTTTCGGAAATTTTAAAATGATTCAAGTTTCCCAAGTTTTCTAGTGTCCACCCGTTAAGGAAATTAATGATTTCCCCGCACATTTACCTCCTCTCGAGCGGGCCATCTCTTCCGGATCCTCGTAATCGTTCGTGTAGTCGTGTTCCTGATGCACGCCCGACGATGACGTCATCGCTCCAGAAGACGGTCCAGGCGGGCGTGGCATCGGCCGATTCGGCGGCGGTCCTTGTGCATTCGTCGTCCTGTGCTGGAACATTTGTGATTGTCCCGAAACGCACGGCTGCCCGCACTCTGATGGATGTGGAAGCGGTGGTGCGGGCTCTGCAAAAATTAAGGTTTAGGCGGGGAAAAATCCGGTCAGAAATGAACAATATTTATCGAAGAAAATGCAGAATTTTGCAAATTTACCCGGAAACCGCCGAAGAAATTCACAAGTAGTTTGTGCAGGTGTAATGGGATTTTCGCGAACGCACACACAGAATGTGGGGTGCTAATTGGACGAGGTGTCATGACTTTCGACGAGAAGGGGGACAACATCGAGAATTGAGTAGGTACAAGGTGTCAGGTGAGAAAAAGATGTGGGGAGAGGATATTCGGATAAAACTATGAGTACGTAAAGGTTGGGCGATCAAAGTAGTAGGCGGTGCTTGATAGTTTTCGAATTTCGAGCAAAACATTCGGAATAGCTTCGTAACATAGAATAAGTCTTCAAAACGTGGACTGGAAGGCGCTAATTGCAGCAAGTGTTAGCCAAATGAGTTGAAAGCATACTCAAAACAAATTGACATACAGAAAGCAGAAGAAGACTTATGGTTACTCAAAAACCGACTCAGAAAGGTACTCTCAATTGAAACTTGAGTGTCAAACTGCCAAACGACGTGCTTGCCCCTTCCTTCCATCCGGCGGCGGGTAATAAGTACATTAGGTCATCTCCTCAAGTGACTCCGCCCCCTTTCTACCACCCACCTGTGGGAGGTGTGTAATCGGATATAACGAACATCTGTGGGGCTCAACGACGACGAGTACAGTACGGAAAAGCGCCGGAAAGGTCAACTCGGACAGAGATTGTGCATTACGTCATCTCAACACATATTCCAAGTGTCAAGTACGACACGTGTTGACACAACTTTCGCAGCAAAAAAGGGCTATGATGAGTAAAAATCAGAGAAGAAGAAAACAAAGGATTCAGCCACCACAACTGGTGTCATTATGATCATCATGGGCTGAAAACATGCGTTCTTCTCTATAGCCTATAATTATGTGTTTGTGTGAGGAAAACGACTTGAACATGAAAAAGAACACGAGGAAAAGCGTGTCACATAGGATTTCCGACACATTACTTTACTTTCAAAGTGGGCGGAGCATAAACAGTTTTAAATTGCTCAACAATCTGAAAAGTTAGACGCTAGACTTGATTTTTCGGAAAATTTTTGGAAATCCGAGCAAATTTCTGTCCAACTGGCCAAGTAATATGGTTCTCGAGCTCTAGAAGCATTCATCGTTACAAAAAGATATTCAAAAGTTCAAAATGGGTCTCTAGCAAAGGAAAACGGCCAAAATCATCAAAATAGTGTCAAGCCCATATTCCCAACGAGTACACCACATACCGATTGACCATCGCCTCTCGGACACACTGCTTCCCAGAGAGAGAGAGAAAGCAAACAAGCGCAGCGGGAAGTAGAAGAAGAAGAAGAAGAAGGGACGGTCGAGAAAAGACACCTCCAGCCGTACCCGCATAGAGAATGAATGAATGGAACGAGTGTCCGCGAGAATGCTAATGTTCTTGGCGGTAATTTCTAAAAGGGAGGTGTCACATTTCAAGAGATTTACCTCAATCACAATAGAGTTTGAGCTCAAAAATAGTGCAAAGTCCAAAATGTGCGAGTTTTACAGGAAACAAGACTTTATAACTACAGATAGTGTTAAAACGCTCTCAACTACGCTGCAATCTTGGAAATTGCTCAAAATTGGTGCTTTCCAACCAGATTTTGGTCCCAAACTATCAAAACTCGACACGTTTAACGAGCGCCCATCAATTTGTTCACAGCAAAACAGCTGTTATTATACGACCACTCATTCTCATTCTCATCATCTTTTTGCTCACCAGTTGTACACAGTTCGGAGCGGCGTTGATTTACAAGGTCCGCCCGCGTCTGTTGCCGAGCCGACAAAGGACGAACCGATAGTTCCGAGCGGACGGGCGGCTGTTGGTTGGAGTAAAAGAGGTACAAGTTACAAGCTGTTCGGGCGGAACACAATGAATTAGGGGGCGAAAATAGGTGAGGAACAAGCTCTGACGAGGAAATTGTTTTTAAAAATTAAAGGAGATACAGTAGACAGTGTTGAATCGATAAACATGTTCAAAGTAGTCCTTATTTTGCAGCATAGTGTCTACAGGATTCGAGTGAGAAACGAAAACAAAGAAAAAAGAGAAAAAGCAGAAGAGGACTGATCTGATATTGTCGGAGAAGCGAGCCCGAAACGCACCAGACGGGGGGTAATTCATTTGTCAAATACACAGATTATGCCCCCCTCACTTTTGCGAGAAAAAGCTGACCATCAGCACCTTTCTGTGCGCGAATCGAGCAATTTTCCAGAGAATGAAGGTGGGGAATCGAAATTCGTTAGGTTTGAGGCCAATTTTTTAAAGATTCACTCTAAATATGCGAAAAAAGTGCGAAAACTTGCGGAATCGGAAAGAAAAACGGGGGAAAACTCTCACCATCTGGGCACAATTTCTGCGAGCGGACTAAACGATGACGATGTGTGCGGAAGAATGGGAAGGGGAAAATCGAAAAAAAAGTGAGAGCGAGGTCGTACACCTGTGTGCTCCAGGAACGAATTCCAACGGGGGACAAGTTTTTTTCCGATGGCGAAATCTCATTGCGCGTGGGAAGGAAGTGTGAGATTCTAGATTGAAAGTGAAAAATAATGAGGCACTCACCAACTTGTCCAAAATAGGGAAATTGGTCCAAAACCGTCTAAAAAATCAATTGGTGAGTGGCGGACGACTGTCAGGGACCGTCAGGGTGTAAAAGTAAACATTCGTGTGTATGTGTGTGTAAAGGGGTGACAGTACTTTATTAGCCTTTTCCCAAAATCACTTACTTTTAGGTGCTTTGTAGAGCAATATGAACATGGTTAGTAGGGTCTAGTGAATGATGGAACAAAGTTGTCGTTTAGGTCATAAAAAGTGGGCGGAGCCAGAGAAGAAGCCGCTACTTTTACAGCTCTCCGCACAAATCACTGTAGAAACACGGTAATCCGATATCTTGGCAATTTTTCACTGCGCTCTCCGCTTTTTCGGGCTCCGAAGACGTAAACATTCGTTTGCGCCTTCTGGAGCATTGCGATGCACAAATATTGAATCATAATCACTATTTTTGACGAGTTAAGAGGATTTATGGCCCAAAATGGTCCCAAAGATAAGCTGATAAGGACCACGGGTCGAAAATGACGCAACTGACCGAAACACTTGGATGTTTGGCTCCTAAATGCCTACTTTTTGACAAAATCGCATAAAAGCGAAACAGGAAGGGCGGCGGTCCCAAAAAGTTGCGTAATATCATCATTTTGGCACCGTGCGCACCTAGAAAACGGAGAGAAGCTGAGAAAATGGACGGCGGTGGCGGCGGAGAAGAAGATTGCGAGCGAAACATCCCTTTTCTCGGCGGTTTTCACTTTTTCGCACATATTTTAGGCACGGCACGGGGAATAAAGTGAAAATTGAGAAAATTGGGAGGGGAAAATGCGGGATTTGTACAAATTTTGGAGCAAAATTGGGATAAACATGGAAAAAGTGTGAATTCGTCGCAATTTGGACGTGGTAATAGGGGTTTTGGTCAGAATTGACTAGGGTTCTCAGAAAACTTTTAAAATAACAGGGAGAACCATCAATTATTGTGGAATAACAAAATGAAGTGATCAAGAGTGACACGAGTTGCCAAATGACCTCTTTCTGGTGCGGGAGACAGAGACAGAGACAGAGAGAGAGAGAGAGAGAGAGAGAGAGAGAGAGAGAGAGAGAGAGAGAGATAGAGAGAGAGAGAGAGAGAGAAGGATGGTCCCTTTTAGCCGTTCTTCCTCTCCGTAAGCGATAAGCAAACTTGGCGGAGAGTGGGTGATAGGGAGAGAGACGGCCGACGGGCAAACGGTCTCCGCCACCACCACTTCCCACCACTTTTTCGGTGATTGCGCAACTTGGTGGCCAATCGAACGGGTGACCAGCAGCCGTCGGAACGCACAATTATCCGGCCCCAGGTTTTTTTTTTGTTCGTCTCCGATCAGGTTGATTTATTCGATGGTTTTGGTGATGAACAAGTAAAAAATGCGCAAAAGTAGCCGCTAACCACGAAAATCGTCAAAAATCTGCAAAATCTTGGGAGAACACTCAACATATACCGAAAACAGAGAGAAAGTATCGAAATTTACAGAAAATGCGGGAGTTAGCCCCGAACATCACTACAAATCGCGAAAACTCAGTAAAAATTTCGAAAAACTGGCGTCCTGATCCACTTCTTGGCATCCACCAAACTGACACCTGTTCAAAGAAGAGAAACCGTGGCACCCTGCGCACATCTGGCACTTTTCTCACTTCTCCAACAACATTCGCCCCCTCTCTTCTCGTCTAATCCAAACAGGAGTGGGGGAGTCAACTTTCCCATTGAGTCATGACGGAAAACATTGGAAGGAAGGGAGGATCTGTTTTTTTGTGTCAGTACCTAAAGGGTTGATGAATCACATTGGTAAAAAGTATCGAGAGAAGTGGAGAATACACAATTTTTGCTAGCGGTACGGAGCTTTTTAATACCTCTTTAGGCACTTTGAGAAATGTATGGAAAATTTCAGAGTTTTGAACGTCGTCTTATGCCTAAATTCGCATGGAAACGTGAAAGTCACCTATTTTTTCAAAAATCCACCCAACCCCAAAAATATCCGAAAAGCTCGATTCTCACACACTCAAACTCATCAACGCCTCCCCCGTTTCTATCTCTCTCTCTCTCCTTCTCTCAGCGATACTTTTCAATTAAAAAGTCATAAAAGTGGGCCGAACAAACAGACACATGCAACAACCCATTCGGACCGCCCGGGTGCAAATTGAAAATGAAAAGCGGGAAGGGGGGGGAGGCTCACAAAATTGAACATTTTTGCATTGTTGGCGAAGACGGAGAAGAAGAGGAAGAAGAAGATGATGAGAATGGGTTGTACTACGATTATTGTGAATTTCTGAGCGATTGTGAGACTTCAGCGCGTAAAATGGGTGAAAAACTACTTTTTGCAGTGAAACTTTGAAATTTTCCGGGAAAATGTGGTATTCTTCAACTAAACTTCAATCTGAAAGATCCTAAAAAGGTGGGTGCGCTCAAAACCGAATCCACGTCCTTCCGAACACCGTCAAAGCCTGACCAATTGCCGGAAAACGACCTGATCGAAAAGTGGAAAGGCTTTGGCGGCAAAAACCGAACGGACACGGGCGGCCGACGGCATCGGAATGTAATTGGATACCGATTTACAACCAACTTGTACTTGTGTACTTGTACTTGCGGCTGGGACGAAAGAATAAAGGATTACTGTACTTTTGATACAACTTTTTCAAACTCTCCTTTTACAGGAAAACTATTGTAGAACTATACAAAAAAGGTTTTCATGATAGCATAACCCATCGTAGCCTCAGAACTACCACAGATATTTCAGAACGCATTAAGATACAGTGTCCTTTCAGAAAACGCCCCAAAAGTTCACACAAAATGGAATGCGAATAAGAATTCGAAAAAGACCTCCAAGCCCACTACTACTGTTGTTGTCGATAGAAGGTGTGATGACACGGAAACGACCGAAAAAAAGAGCGGATGGGTCTTCGTGTCAAACAGCAGCCAAAAGGTGTGTGGTCAAATGGAGCGTGAAGTGAATTCGAAAAGAAGAGAGAGAGAGAGAGATGAATATGAAAGCGCCTTATGGAATACTAAAAACCACAACTTTTATGCCTAACAAGACTTGAAAACTGTGATTTTTCGGATATTTCATCGTTCAAGAGTTATCCGCGAATGACGGTGGGCGGCGGATAATTAGGATATCTCTACCGCGTGTCCGTCAAAAGGCTAGATTCCGAACACCGATGCCCTTTTGATAGCTTTGTGTGTGTGTGTGTGAGTGGAGGGGAAAAGAGTCAAGGACGTGGCCAAAAGATCCGCCCACGCTTATTTTGGACGGTTTAGCGCATTTTGAGGAGCGATAAACAAACGAATTATCTATTGTCAACGCTAAAGTCAATTAAATCGGTACTAACTGCTCGGGCACGGACCGATCTCCAAAGTATTTTAGAGCGAAATTGTGCGAAAATCAAGTAAAATGTGCGCGTTCTCAGTGTTTTCCCATTAAAAAGTCGAAAATTCTCGAAAAGCTAAAAAGCCAATCGGAAACGGACAATGGGACGCTTGCCCGTTTCTTTTCCCCTCCGTTCACACACAATCACAATAGAACGGTCTTCCGGTGGCCACGGAATACACGGGCGGCACCTTCTTCCATTCAATTGGGCCGACGGACGGCACCTGTAAACCGTAATTGGTCACACTTTTGTGGCCCAAAACAAACAGATGGACCGCCGTTTCTTGTCAAAGGACGGAAAAGGCGAGAAGAGATTGTAAAGCTTCCGTTATATAGCTTCCAAAATTTCGAATGTTTCATTGTAAGCAAGGCTGTCAGGCGGCCGGCCGCCACATTTTGCTTAGGCTGGATGCCGAGCTCACAGTGCACGTCCGCCCGGTTTCTGACAGCCTTGATTAGAAGACACTATTCAGAGCTGAAAATTCGGAAAATCACCAGGTCTGCAACATTTCGACTTACCCTTGAAATTTCGAAGCAAATTCTTCATCAAAACGTGTCGATACATCATTTCAAAGTACGATTTTGCGTGCTTTCAATTAATAGCAAAAGAATGCGCTCAAAGTGTTCATAAACTGCACTAAACTTGAGAGGTACTAAAACTGGGGCGGGGCAGAACTGAACGGTTGAGAAAATGCCGATATTTCATCATTTCTAGCCAATTTTCACAGACATCAATGTAATTTCATAGGATTAGATCGGTCAAGCAATGGAGAAAGAGCAGCCAAATCTCAGAGCCGAACCATACGAAAAAACAATGCAATTGTCAGTATTCTTCGTTAATGGAGGCCTATCGCTAAAAATTTAGTATGTGAGATATTTATACCTTCAGATAAAGCGTAGGAAAGTTACACATGTGTCCAGTACATAATTTTTTCCAAAATTCACTTTTAGGGCCACATTTGAGGCCTCAACGTGCTTCGCTTCGCGTTGGCTGCTAACATGGTCCGTTGGATCTTCATAGACCCATGCGAGCAGCGAAAAAAGCAAAGCAAAGTACGTTGAGGGCCTCAAATGTGGCCCTTAAAGTGATTTTTGGGAACAATGACTTTCTTACGCTCTATCCGATGGTATAAATATCTCACACTTTTTTTAGCGACAGGCCTCCTTCAAAAACGGCAAAAAATAACCTTTATTGCCCTTTTCCTTGGCAATAGTTCCCGTCGTGGCGGTGGCACCGGATGACGTGGCGGGAAGATCGAGACGGGCGGCGGCCGCCAAAATCGGAGCCGCCTCCTTCCGATGGTATGTGCCGACGGCCAGCACCGGCACTTTTGGGCCGACACCTCCTTCCATTCTGGAAAATGTTTAAAATCACGAAATTTCTCAATTTTTCTCGGGAAAATCGCAGAAAATTCCTACAATTTCGCAATTACCTGGAAGTGCCGGTATCGGTGGATGACGTGTCGACGGACGTCTCGTTCACTTCCAAAGACGCATTTAATGCCCGAGAAGACGTGGGGACCGTCAGCTCGATCGGCTTCTCCGCTTCGGGCTTTTGAGCTGAAAAATACGATAGAAAACAGTGGAAACGCGTAGAAAAACGGAAATTTTCGACGGGAAGAGAGGGAGAGAGCGTGCGGATCGGAGAGAGCCGAAGGAAAGGGAGAAACGGCCGGACGGACGGGCCCGGAGGAGAACAGCTGTTTTTGAGCAAAATGGCGCAGAGTTGTAACTTTTTGATGATTGCGATAAATTTATCAGCCTCCCACTACGTCATCATTGATTGCAAATCGAATAAAGAGAGGGATGTCGAAAGTGACGGCAAAAAATGTAAAACTGCCCTTGACAAAACGTTGCGATCTCTTCAAGTAAAAAAAGAGAAAACAAACGAGAACAGCATGCTTCGCGGCGCGCGCGTAGGTCAAAAACGGGTCTCGCAGCGATTCGACCCAAAAGTTTCGACATTTCAATGCGCCTTTTTACGCTAATTTCACTCGATTTTTCATCCGTTTTCTACAAAAAAGAGTTACTGGCGCTTGTATTCAACACTTTTTGTCGGATTCGGACGGAAAACACAGCGAAATTCGTGCTAAAATCGAATTTCAGAGCGATAATTTGAGCACAATCGATTGTTGAAAAATTTGCAAAAGCATTGGATGTCGTGAAAATAAAAAAGAACGGCAAAAAAGAGTGCGTCGGAATGAACGGAAACGACGCTCCGTTCATTGCGTTGCAGCGTTCGTGGCATTTTGGAAGACAGTGGTTGGGGGAAAGAAAAAAAGAAGGATGTGTCCATCACACCCTCGTAAACCCCTCTGATCTCTGTGACAGGTGTGAAACTCTTGAACGGTCCCTGGCCCGGTCACGAAAACCGCACCGCCGGCTGTCTCCAACCCACTCGTTGGCCAATCTCTCCCCGGGACCATCCTCTTTTTTTTCTCCTCGGCCCTCTGCCTTCCCAAAGGCAAACGACTCGCGCGCACTCACTTTAAAGGCGCATCGCATTTATTCACTTTGTTTTGTCGAATCGCTGCGAGACCCGTTCTTGACCTACGCGCGCACCGCGGAACATGTGGTCCTCGACTGTTTTTCTCGTTTTTTGTGTCACTTGGAACGTCTTTTCATAGGTAGTTTTCAGTTTTTTGCCAAAAGGATTTGGAAGCAATATGAGAAATCGATAGTTTATTCGGTATTTTTCTAAACGCCAAACACCTCCGGTCTTTGAATTTGCCCATTTGGATGAAAAATGAATGTTGTTTTTCCATTAGTTTTTGTCGAAAAAGACTTACTGCCACTTTTATCAGCGATTTTTCAGCCAAATCGTCAGATTAGCGAGGCGCGAAGGGGGCGGAGCTTGACGGTTACGGATGAGAACTGTGGTCCACAAGCTCCACCACGCAAGAGAAATACCGCAGTAAAAAGCTGTGCTCAGCAAGAAACTTGTCACATTTGCTCTCTATCAAAAAAAAGTCACGCAAGTCTAGAATTCTGAAGGAAAATCAGAGAAAGAAGAAGAGGAAGCGCATTGCTAATAATATAATAATTCAGATTCGTTCAGTAAACATTTGGATCGGATATCGTGCTCGAATAATTACCATCCGGATATCTTCTCGCATTCTCCTCCCGTTTCCTCTCCCGATTCCTAATATGCCCTTTGGCTTTTCGACCATCCATCTGTTGCTTCTGGACACGGAAATTACGAGCAAATAGTGGACGAATTGGAGAGACGCACAACGAGAAATTGAGTGAGAAATAGAGGATTATGGCGGAGTGATTTTCAAGGGGAAGTGATTTTTAGATGATTTTAGGCTAATCACGAAATGTGTGCTTAAATTTCAAATTTAGCGCCAAAGAAAAAAGTACTTTTTTATCCAACGGAAAAACCAAGAAATGGGCGCTTTTTTGTGGGCCGCCGACGGAGGAAACGATTATTACCATTTTCCTCCGATTTTCTCATCATTTCTCGGCGCGATTGGCCTCCGAAGACGAAAATGACGTTAATTTGATACGGCATGGGAAAAAAAGCAAAAAAAAAGTTAGGAAAATCTCATTTTTTAGGTGATGTTTGTGGAGAAATGGAAATTTTACAGAAAAAGTGTGAGAAACTCGATTTACGAGCAGTTTTTGGGTGAAATGAGTGTTTCGCATACAATGCATTTTATTTTTAGCACTTTCAGAGCAAAAACAGGGGACAGAGTGAAATTTGAACGGAGACGACAAACTCGGCGGAAAATCATGCGTCTTCCGAGGGCTGCGAGGCCAAAACGTTGTAAAATGTGCTCGGCGAGTCGGCGGAGCGTCCAGACCGATGATTCACCGATCCGGCCGCACACAGACACGATTAATTGATTCGAACTGAGGCCGGAAAGCGTAAAAAGCGCAAAGTCGAGTTTTTATGGGAAAAAGGTGAGAACACGGGTTTCTCTATGAATAGAATAGTAAAATAGGGTCGGAAGAGGTCGGCAAACATTGATTTGAATACGCTTTCACGTTTTTCGCCCGGTTTTTGAGCGAAAATATCAAAATTCGCTGCTTGGCGCGTAGAAAAGTTCAAAAGTACGTAAAACACCGTCGGATTGCGTACAAAACACCGAGCTTATTCTACAGTAATCTGAGTTTGAACAATTTGAATTTCGAGCTTATTTACACCTTTTCCAGCCAATTTTAACAAGAATTTCATGGAAATTAAGTGGAAAATAATACATTTCAGTGTTTGTTAACAGAATTTCGCAATATTTTCACACTCAGATCGATAAAATTAGCGTTTTAGCAACTTTTACGAATTTTGATCAAATGAAAGATGAGCAAGATGACGAGAGGCTAGAAAACCGGAAGAATTCGACACAATAGACTAGTTAGGCCCTCCGAAACACCGGAACTATCGGCCGAGACACGAAGACGCCGAGAAACGGCTCAAAAGCTCAGAAGCTCACCAGGTGCCACAATATCACGCTTATTTGCTACAGTGATCCGTAGATTGGACGATTCTCCACCCCTCCGCACACTATTTCCGCCCAATTTCTTTCCGGTAAGCGTCATCGATGCCCACGACCACCATACAATAATAATTATTAGTCGCGGGGGGAGGGGGTCCTCCTCTCATACCCATGTCCAATCAGGTGTGAAGCTAACGGAAGGAATACGACGTAAAAACAAGACCTCTTTCTTTTTCTCGTGTCTTACCATCATTTTCGCCGTCGCGTCTGACCGTTTTGATGCGAAAAACCTTGCGCGCCACTAGATCCGGTGTAGCGGCTTTGAAAAGTCGAGGCACATCCATAGACGGTGGTCTGAAATGGTGAACGTTTACAAAAAGCGTCAGCCCAATGCGATTAGTGATTAATTGCAGAAATTTCCAGAAAAACGCTTCAATCTTCGTGGCAGGACCCAAAAACCGAAGAAGCAGGGAAAAGGTGAAAGTGATTGGTCGATAAAACCTGTGTTCTTCGAGAGTTCTCTCGGCTTGTGGCCCCCCGAGAGCAGGATGGACAGCCGTGTGCTCCGAACACGAAATAGTGTGTAGGCGGGAGAGACGCAGAGAGAGAGGGATGTCAGAGAGAGAAGGAGACACGTATCAAAGTTGATATCTATCGAAGAAAATGTACGGCGACGAGAAAAAGCACGTTTATCCACAATTCGGATCACAATGTGTCTCCTGAAACTTGAAATTTCCGCTAGAGAACTATCTGATGTTGTAGAACACTCTCTCATGAGAAACCCCAACAATTCTTGCGCGAAAATGTTCGCTAGTTTTTGAGATACAGCTCTTACAGTATACCTATGGATGGACCCGCTGGATCCACTCATTGCTCGTGTCCTTGGACCACATGGAAAGAGTTGGAAGCAACGTTTGAGATGCAATAAAACGTCATTACAAACGATTTTTCTAGGCCTTACGCAATCACAAAACGGCGCCAGAACTGGATGCATCGCCCGTCTCCTCACTGCCAAATCGACCGGTTCGGATCGGCGCGTTCGTGGTGTAATGGTCAGCATGGATGCCTTCCAAGCATTCGACGGGGGTTCGATTCCCCCCGAACGCAAGACCGCTTTTGCTCTGTCCACGTTCAAAAACTAACAAAACTTTTGCGAAGCTCCGCCCCGTTTCGACGGCGGTTATCATCAATCTCCCGCCGTCTGATAACCACTCCTGTCACTTTCTCACTTTCTTCTTGTTCCACTCGCACCTTGCTTTCCTCTGTTCTTTCGCTCCTCTTTCAAACAATTGTCAGTAGTTTTGAAGTTGCAAACTCTTGAAACCCTTGCAGAATGTCGACGCTGGTGGCTCTGTTCCGACGTCTCGTGTTCCGAAGACGTGCGACGACCGAAAAAGCGTCGGACGACTCGCAAAACACGCAAAAGCACCGGACAAAGTCGCTGAACCTGCCGGCCACACAGAACAGCATTCGCGAGAAGAGCCGGTCAGTCGTCCATTATCAGTTCGACGACGCACTTTTGGTCTCTTCTCCGAAATTTCATCAATTTCCGATTAGAAACGCGGGGACTTTTGTTCTATTTCCGTCATTTTTCTACTTGCTTCGTTTCTTATCACTTTTTGGGTCACGTCACGAGTCAAAAATCACGTGGCGGCCTAATTTTTTGCAATTCTGGCCTGGAAACTGCCCCCTGGATTCCTAGGCCACTCTGATTTTTGTTCGATGATCGACTTTTCGATATCGGTCTCTGATAGCACAAACAACTTTTATGCGACCCCAATTTTCTTTTCTCTAGCACACACACTTTGAAAATGTGAAAAATGTGCGTTTCGATGCTGTAAAATTGATGTTCAGGTGAAAAGTGATAAGCCACTCTGCCGCAACCGATCTTTGAATCATCGTGATCGGATTCTAGGCCACGGCCATGCTTCTGTTTCAAAACCCATGTGTTTGTTTGTTATTTCAGAATCAACGTGCAACGCGGCTCACAAGTGGTGATTCGCAACCGGAGTCAAAGTGTGACAGTGGAAAGAAAGCACGTCAGCCGGAGCATTGATAAGGTGAGGCATCGGCGGCGGCGGCAATTCGTAATCATCGCAAAAGTGATCGATGAGTCAACACAGATCAAGAACTAAAGAAGGGCGGTCACGGGGAGCACGCGGAGAGTGCAAAAATTGTGTTGTTTGGGGTTTGATGAGCGCCGAAATGGGGGGTAAACAGTCAACAATTCGATGGAAATCGGCCAAATGGCGTTTTCATAAATTGAGCAGGTTTTCTCTGATTTTTGTGGTCAACCGCGATGAAAAATGATGGTTCGACATGAAAACACACTAATTCTCAGAATCACTGTCTTCCCCAACAGCTAATGCTAAATTAAGCGCCGCGTTAAAACGGAGTGTCGTTGAAAACAAAAGCAGGACTGAAATTTCTGGATTTTTTTTCCGAAAACCCGAAATTTCATTGGAAAATGAGAAAAATGAAGTGAAACAGAGAATTTCAGAATTGTTAATGACAGCTGTGACCTTAAATTAGCGCTTTGCCCACAAGACACACACTTTACTGTGAATTTCAGTCCGGACCGTCAAAACTGGAAATTTCTCAGTCATTTTTGCATTTTATGGGCCGTCTCTGTGCTCAAAATGACCGTCTTTGTTTGCTGAACAATCGTGAGACAACTGTTTTTCGATTCTGTCAACTGTTTTCTCAAAACTTCCGAAAGTTCGTTTTCTCAAGCCAAATTTTAAAAAAAACTAAATTACTCTTCGAATTTTCACTTTTACGCGAGCACTCTATGATCATTTTGTAGCTATCGGTCATATGAACAAACGGGAGGCAAAAGTTTTGAAGGAAAACTGTATTATCCCAAAAACTCGGGAAAACATCATTTTCAGCTGAAAAACTCTGTCCCGTAAATCGACACTGAGAGCCGCACGCAAAAAAGCGCGCGAAAATTTTTTTTTCGCCGAATAGGAGACAGTGAGAATTAATAATGGGGTTTTTTTCGTTTTTTTACATCGCTGAATTGGGTTTTTTGACGGAAAAAAACGGAAAAAAAATAATTTTTTTCACAGCCTGAATAACCCCATAACGTTTTGGCGCATTTTCCGCGGACTTTGCTTTTTCGCCTTCGCCGCCTAAAAACCGCCTAAAAACCGCACTTCTCATTTTGCGCTTTCTTGACCGTTTTCAGACAGAATTGGTTTTGAGAATGATAAATCACGTAAATACAAGCATTTTGAGCGCTCGAACCGCGAAAACTACCGAAAATCAACTGAAATTCACGCAGTTTTAGCCAAAAACCTTCAAACGGATAAATGTGATTTGCGACTTGACCAAATTTAACGCTCTTTCGCGTAAAAAATTCGTAATAGCCTATACAATCGGTCTATCGAGAGACAAATGAGAAATTATCGGTTTTTCGTGGCTAATCTGGCAAAAAATACAAATTTTGCTGTTAAAATTTGAATTTCGCGCCAATGTATCGCTCCATTGTAGGCTCTGGAGACCGTGGGTTGCTATCAGTTTGGGGGAAAAAAGAGCAAAAATCATGTTCTGAGACAAATCTTCGTTCTGGCGCATGCTTTTCGGACCTCCAACTCCTCCAATCCACTCGTTTTTCAGCAGTCCTCTCCGTCGTCCCGTCGCCAATCGAAAATAACGGTGCACTCGGTGAAAGTGCCCGTGAATTCGACGCCGAGCGCCACGAGTTTGGCGCCGACTCTCTCCACCACCTACCACCGCAAAAGATCCGCCTCGACAGCCAACTCGCGACCGACTGTCATTGTTATTCAGTCCTGACAGAGATCCATCCCACACACACACACACACACACACTTTTTTGGCTGTAAACTTTGAACGAGAGTGTTGTAGACTTCTGCAAAGTTTTTGTGAAATCCTGACGTCTTGTACTGTATTTTTGTAGTTGACAACTTTTTTCTACGCCCAGTCCCTGGGGTACTGTAGCTCTTGGAAGTGGCCAGTGAAATGCACTAGCCTTTTGTTGGGTCTAAGTTTGAAGAGCTACAGTACTTTTAGAAATGGTTTTACAAACAAAGTGTGAAATACAAAAATGTAGTACACAGTGTGACAATTATTTTTGTAATAGACAACTTTTTGATCCGACCTCTCGCTGAGGTACTGTAGCTCCCGGAAGTGAGGCATAGCTTGACTGCCTTGCGCTTCATCGTCAACTTCCAAGAGCTACAGTACGCCCGAGAGTGGGTGTACAAAAAAGTCGCTAACAGCAAAAATACAGTACTAGACGTCAAGATATCAAAAAAAAAAACTTTGGGAATTTGAGTTTGTCTGCAGATCCTACAATACTCGAGAAAAATGTGGCCAATATACAAAATGTTGGTTGTTAACGGGTTTTGTCTTGTTTTCAAATGAATAAACGATTCAGTGTAACCTCTTTTCTTTTTTTATTTATCAAAACAATTCAAGGAGACCAGTGGTCAGACCAATCTTTCAAAAATCTGTGCAAAACGTCTTTCAGAAGCACTCAAAGCCTGCCGCCCTCACATTTCATTTCTCAGTCGCTCCCACCGGTCAGGTCTTTCAGATCCGATCGGTCTGAAGCTTGGACCCAACAAACTTCGAGCCTGGTCCCATTGGATCACCCTTCAATCTCTTGTTGTTCTCCTCAACCAATTCACTTCCCCAAGAGCTCTCGAATTCCGAAAATATCACATAACCAATTTTCGAGGCACAAAGTCAAACTACGCGGTCCAATCTGCCGTCAATTGAAGGCAGAAAGTCAGAGAATCGGGCACAAACGCGCGCATTTCGAGCAAACAAACAAGAGGCTCCGCCCGCCCGCCAGCCGAGTACTTATTTGTGTGCAGACCCCCCCTTCCGAATCACTTTTGATATTCATCTGAAAATGTTTCTGGTATTCCGTCTCGTCCGTCGACTTCTCCGAAGACGTCGTCAGAATGAGGACGACGGTCAGACGACTGTTTACGTGGCACAACCGATCGGAGCCCAAGGACCGCCCGAGCATCAGAATGCATATTATCCCCCTCAACAACAGAGACGGTAAGTGGTGGCCTAACTTTCTCTAGAAGCCCAAATGACGGCCGAGAACTCCAATTGGTGGCCTAGAACCTCAAAATGTGGCCTAGGCTCTCAAATGACGGCCGAGAACTCCAAATGACGGCCTAGAACCCCAAAATGTGGCCTAGGCTCTCAAATGACGGCCTAGAACTCCAATTGGTGGCCTAGAACCCCAAAAATCCCCCATTTTCTTGCAGAAATCGTCGTGGTCGACGATGAAAAAGCGACAAAAGGACGTGTTTATTAATCGGAAAAGCAGGCGAATAGTTTGTGGCGTAGTGACAATACAATGTTTCCCTCGCGCCAAGAAAAGCGGGTGTACAATAAAAGAATACGCTTGTTTCTCATGAACTTCTCTTACCATTTATAAAATTGCTTTGTTTTTGCGTTCAGTGTGAAGATTTCCGTCGCGGACACGAACATCCGCTCCAGTGGCTCCGGATCCTGGAATAACGGGTATTGTAGTTGTCTCTAAAACACAGGCATTTCTACCCGCCCCCGACCCCTTTTTTACACTTGCATTGCCATTTTCTGCGTCTCTCCGTTCCCCTTCCCTGCCCGTTGTAGCAGCCGCGTGCCTTCTATTTGACCGGCTTGCCACATTCAGTCGCTCGCCGCCCGGTTAGCTCAGTCGGTAGAGCACCAGACTCTTAATCTGGTTGTCGCGGGTTCGAGCCCCGCATTGGGCTTAGCTTTTTTTCACCTACCTAGAGACGTTTTGCAGACTTAGCACTTGAAGCACAGGTGAACCGCAGTTGATCAATTATATATAGGGGGCGCAACAAAGGGGGCGTGGCCTGACGAATTTTCTCCCGATTTTCACGCGCGCGTGTTTGACGGTCTGTACCGAGGTCCCCAAATGAAGTACCATACCCAAAAAGTTTTACTTTACCTAATCGACCATGCTGTCTCCAATGAACAACTCCATTTTCCGAAAAAACGTACCGTTCTCTCGAAAAAACGCGAAAACGAGAATGAAAGTCAGTCTGAGAGCCCGTGTGGCCACATTTATGGCTACACGCGCCTACTTTTAACTGTTTCCGACAGTTTAAGGGATGGGGAATCCGTTTTTGAAGTTAGATTCGAACGACAAGTCTTTAGTATTCCCCGTTCTTGTCAAGTGTTGGTGTCGAGAACGAGGCTTCTTCTGAACGAGAAATGCCGAGACCTGTGAACGAACGTGACCAATTTTTTGTGCAAAAAATGATAAATGTTTTACAAGTCTAAACTTATAAAAACTGTTCTCAGCTCCCATACTTCTCCCAGGAACGTTTTGAGGAGCGCGGCCGAGGAATTTTCCCGGCCACGAAGCTGTGTACTTCTCGTGGGCAACAAGTTTTATTCGGAACTAATTGGTTTTTTCCCGTATTCTTCACAGTTTTCAATTCGTTTTCTCGCATTTGTTCACGTTTCTTTGCTCACAATTACATGCTTTATTGTTTACAACATTTTTCAACCAATTGTGCGTTAAAACTGAAATACATTCGTGAACAATTGCATCATGAATCATGATGCAATTGTGATTTGATTCATGACCGTTCCAAATTCATTTTTTCGTAATGGGGCTATTCAGAGCATGTTTGCTTTCCGTTTCTTCCGTTTTTTTACGTCGATGAATTGAACTTTTTAACATAAACAACCGAAAATACCGGAAAAACCCATTTATTTCACAGCCTGAATAACCTCATAAATGTTCGATTTTTGCTTCCTGCACCTATTGCAATGAATGAACTGTATGGTTCAGCGTATGTTTGTTTTCCGTTTTTTTCTTTTTTTTCACCGCTGAATTGGGTTTTTTGAAGTAAAAAAACGAAAAAAAAACGGAAAAAAATTCAATTTTTTTCACAGCCCGAATAACCCCATAACAAACTCACGGGCCGGCAATTCATACATTGGCCGAGAAAATTTTGCGCCTTGCGAAACTTCGGCCACTTGTGTTTTTTCAACACACGAACTGGATTATCTGCTATAAAAGATTCTCTGGCAGTTTTAAGTGATTCATTCGTGCTTTGTCATTGAAGTTAATACATTTCTTTACTTTGACTTCCGTTTTTATTAATTTTCACAGGTCTTCCATCGAAGTTTTTGTGCCATTCGCTAAACATTGAGATTTCCGCTCCGTGACGTTTTCAGAAACCTTACATCGATCGGAGTCCTGGCTCAAATTATCGAATACAATAGTGAGAAACTTTTGGCAAAAAATCAGAGCCCTCTGTGATCAAAATGTCAACTTTTTTATCGAAGTTTTTGTAAAATTCACTAAAAATCGATAATTCAGCTCCGTGACGTCTTCAGAAACCTTACATCGATCGGAGTCCTGGCTCAAATTATCGAATACAATAGTGAGAAACTTTTGGCAAAAAATCAGAGCCCTCTGTGATCAAAATGTCAACTTTTTTTATCGAAGTTTTTGTAAAATTCACTAAAAATCGATAATTCAGCTCCGTGACGTCTTCAGAAACCTTACATCGATCGGAGTCCTGGCTCAAATTATCGAATACAATAGTGAGAAACTTTTGGCAAAAAATCAGAGCCCTCTGTGATCAAAATCTCAACTTTTTTTATCGAAGTTTTTGTAAAATTCACTAAAAATCGATAATTCAGCTCCGTGACGTCTTCAGAAACCTTACATCGATCGGAGTCCTGGCTCAAATTATCGAATACAATAGTGAGAAACTTTTGGCAAAAAATCAGAGCCCTCTGTGATCAAAATCTCAACTTTTTTTTCGATTTTTCATGAATTTCTGCGAGATATAAGGGTGTGAGGCCGAAAAGGCCGCAGTGTTCGCAAAAATTCGGCTTTTCCAGCCTCTAAACTTGGATCAAAGATGTTTCAAGCCAAGTCGAAGAAGCCTGCAAGTTATGGACCCGATCCGGTTATTGCGTGGAGTCAACACTCTCATCAACAAGTCAGAACGCTGATTATCGTCAATTCAGAACGCTGGCATGTGAATGCTCTACATCGAAAGGATATGCAGCGGAAACTCTCCTCTCATATATAATAAAAATTGGAAGACACAATTCTCCACAAATTAATAAATTTAGGGCTAATTATGGCTAGGGGCACTCCGTTCATGAATTCGCCTCGAGTTCCGCCAGCGTTTCCAACGAATCTCCGCTAATATTTTGATGTCATTTGTAGTTTTCATTCTTTTATTATATACTTTTAACATTTTTTACACATAGAACGTCTAGAGATACCGAAAAATGAATTTTTGCAAGAGTGTAACTGCCGAGAAATGAAAAAATCAATTCTAGTCGAAAATTTCTGCAATTACTGTCAAAATCACGTTTTCTTGTATACTTTCGACGTTTCCCTATACTTTCGATGAGATTAGCACATTTTTCCGTCTTTCTTCGGCTTTTTCTGTACTTTCAATAAATTTTTTTTTTAATTAGCCGCATATTTTTGGGTTACGGTATGCAGAATCTGCATACACCGTTGTACGCAAGTCCACAGCAGCGAAATCGCTGGGCTGAGTATTTAATCCACGCATTTTTCTCGGCCACTGTATGAATTGCCGGGCCGTGAAACTGATTACCTACAAGGGGGAGCACATCAGGTCTGCTGAAACACGCAAGGCTGGAGCACCGAGAAATTTATGATCGATTTGTCCGGGAAAAGGTAATGATTTCATTCAGACTTGCCAGATTTCGGGCCGGTAAAGTGCCGGCCCGGGCCGGGCCGGGTGGGTGAAGTGCCGGCCCGGCCCGGCCCGGTCGGCCCGGTTCAAAAGGCGGGAATTCAAATTTTCGCGGAAATTTTTTTCGTTATTACAAAAAAAATTTTCGAACTAAAGTTTTAGTGTTTCTTCTTTGTTTTTTTGCTATTATGAATTTTTTATGAGAAATACATTTGTGTTTCAATGTTCGATGCTTGCAAAAAAACCCCTAATTCTACAAAAAAATGGCTTCATGCGATCAATAATTCAAATTTTTGAATTCCCGCTTTTTTTGAACCGGGCCGACCGGGCCGGGCCGGGCCGGGCCGGAGTTTTGGAAATTTCGGCCCGGCCCGGCCCGGCCCGTGGCAACTATGATTTCATTCACATTCTAAACATTATACGTTTCTTACAGGAAAATAAAACAAGAGGCGAATGCAACGACAACAAGACCAACCTGACAGTGCGAAAGTCAAAACGCTGCTGGCAAAGTGGGTTCATGTCGCAATTCTCTGCTCCTTCAATTGAAAAACCTGTTTCAGAGCGATTTGCTCGTCTTCCGTCCCGTTCCGATTCCCCGGAAACAAGCACTTCCGTCGCCAGTTCTGCAAAGACTTAGAGAGCAACTTCAAAGTGCCGACTGCGAAAACGATACGTACGGAGATCAGCAGAATTGCGTCGGAACACGTTGCGGATTTGAAAAAAGAGTGGGCCTCAGAAAGTGTAAGCGCAACTGTAAGCTAAGGATAATTATTTCATCTGCACGTTCCAGGATCTTGCCTACTCAGACCTCAGAGCAGACCAGAGCTTCTATTCAGTGCACGTTTCATACATTGACAAAAACTTTGAGCGTCAAGTAAAGGTTCGTTTCGCTTCAATTAAAAAAGAAGTTACTTCATTCAGTTCTGTGGCATCGAGAGTCTGCGCGGGAACGGTTCGACCGAGAATATTTCGTCTTTTTCTTTTCCTTTCAGTCACCGACGGCGCGAGTACTCTCAAGCGTTTCAGTGCCATTCACATGATTTCAAAGTGAGAAAAATTCAGCGTTTACATATAACAAAACGAAATTATTGCAGTGTACATTGCTCTTGCCATGTCATCAATTTGGCCATCGAGGAATTTAGCCAAATCGAGACAGTTCGACGAATTCGAGTACAAGCACAAGCCATTGCACGAGATTTACGACGTCATAAAACGAGCAGGCAGCTGGCAATCAGGTGGACGAAGCCGAGTCACTTTTCTAAGTTTTCAAGAGAGGGGTGCTACCGCAGAACGTCTGTTTAGGTTTGCAACGAGGAAGTAAAGTAAACTGTGCGAATTGGGAAACAACGTTTTCAGCAAGTGCACCCATTTGAACAGTAACAAACGTCGTAACAGGATGAGCGTCCAAACAATCAAAGACATCCGCCTAGTGTCAGCTCTTTACGCGGATGGAAGTGGCTTCAGGTTCCCGACCTTCCTGTTTCCCGCGTGTATATGAGATTTGCAGTTCCGACACATCGGGCGCATCCGATTTGGGAAGCGATTCATCCGAGACGAGCGAAGCCGTGAAGAACGATTCAGAACAGCGCGGAGATCCGCCGAGAAATCGCGAAAAAAGAGAAAGGCGCGTCTTCAAAGCGGCGCGGAACCGCCGAAGAAAGCGCCGAGCCCGGTGAAAGAAAGACGTGATGATGTCACCAATAACCACGACGACGAGTTACAAAACGAAGACGATTACGAGAACGATTCGGAACTCACTGATACCCGGCAGGATGGCTCCGAAGAAAACGAAGATGATTTCGGAGAGAGTTCGGCGGGATCGGCTCATCGCGTCGAACAGAACGATGAAGACTCGACAGTGGACGCTCCATCGATTGGAAAGCAATGACCAAGCAAACGCTGGCAAACTTAGAATTGAGCAATTGATGCAGATGAAAAGTATGCTCTGTCTCAGCGACTGTCAGGTGGCGGTGCTCAAATGGCTTCTGAAAAATTTCCGTCTTGTAAATCCCTTTCCTAGTTTAAAGAAACTGCAGCAGTTCGTGAAAAGTGTGACTAGTGCGCAGCCGTATAACATCGAAATTGAGCAGCGATCTCCGGAGAAAGCTACTCAATCCGCCCGTTGTCAGATGAAGAACGTGAGAGAAGCGCTTACTGAGCGTGTTAAAAAAGACCGGTCCACTTCTCCCGTCAAGGTTACCATCTCCGGAGACAAAGGAGCGGGCAGTACTAAAGTAGCGCTCTCGTTCTGCGAGGGAACGAAAACGAACTCCACAGATAACTGCATGATCGTCGCTCTGTTCACCGGCAACGACAACCACGCCGACATGAGAGAAAATCTCCCGGAAGTCATCAATCAGCTCCGCAACCTGAAAAATGTTCAATTTGCAGATGAGAATGGAACAGTGGTTGAAAAACAAATTGAGTACTTTTTGACGGGAGACTTCCGGTTTTTGAGCGCATGCTTTGGCCATAAAGGCCCGAAAGCTACCAATCCATGTTTTCAGTGCATGGAAGACTCGCAAAGTCTCAAGAACCTAAAAAACTGGGATGTGAAAAAGAAGTCGCAGTCGCGCACGTGTCAGAGCTATGAACATTATGCAGAAACTGGAGAGAAAGGAGTTCGACGTGGTCGAGTTGTTCTGTTTCCACTTGTGTTACTGGACCACATCATTCCACCGTCTCTCCACATTAACCAAATGGGACAGTCATACGGAAGTTCAGCGGGACTCGATGTCACAATTGATGGACCGTGATTCGGCCATGAACAAGCTTTATGAGCAGCTCGACTACCACAAGATTTTGTTCAGAATTTACGTCAAAGATGAGGATGAACTCCGAATCATCAGGGAAATTTGGGGGGATAAGCTGACCGGAGACGAAAAAGAACGTGCATTCAAATAGAACTGCGCGAAAAAGGGCACCAAAGGCCGCCGCAACTTTGCATCTGCAGCAGTTGTCACGAAACCCTTCATCTTGAATGTTGTGGTGTGTTTACTTCGCAATTAAGAATCTTAACGGAAGACGAACCGAATGAGGCTGTTTGCTATGACTGCAAAAATGCTGAAGTTATCCCTGAAATTGAAAGCTTGTTGAAAGAGGTGCTTGCGAAAAAGACCGAAACGGCGCTTCAAATTGAGCAAACTGAAAAGAGTATTGCCGAAATAAAGCCAGTTCTCCCCCCGAAGAGCGATACAGAAAAGCTTTGGACGGCGTCATCTACGGAGAATTAAAGCTCGTTCCCACAAATCATACCACGGGGGTTCTTTTACGGGAAACGACATCAAAACTATTCTGCAACCCGAGAACGTTGCCAAAATTTTGAACGTGTTTCCGCATAACTGTGATGAAGCGAAAGAGCTGCGAGAAATGATGCATCATATGAGCAGAATCATGTCACTGTCAGTGGCGAGAGAACTCAGTGACAGCGAAATTGATAATTTGGAGGAGAACATTAATAATCTTGTCCAAAAATTGAAAAAAGCTTATCCTGAAGATGGGGTCACACCGAAACTCCACCTGCTCGCTGCTCACGTCATTCCTTTCGTTAGACAATTCCGAACATGGCGAATGACGTCGGAACAGGCAGTCGAGCATTTGCACAGCATTATCAGGAAACTGGAGCTGGAAACTTTACCGATCAAAGATCAATCTTTGCGGTACACAACCATTATGCGCCGAAGCTCAGTGCGCACCTACTTTCACGACAAATGCGCACGAACTTACAAGAACAACACTTCATAGCTAATGTGGACGGCTACACCTTCTTCGGAACACCTCTCCTTTCTTCTACTCATCTTCGTCTCTATCCTGTAATTGTATCAGTTTTAAAATAAACTCTTCATGCTAACTTTTCATGTTTTGCACATAAATTCGTAGGCATTGCTTATAAAACTACCAAAAATTAATTCACATTTTTTTCTTGCAACGCTGACGTAAATATCAGACACTAATTGGGAGTGAGTGCAAGCGCGCTCCATCGGACGCGGCAATTTGAACTGCGTCCGATCGCACTTCGACAATCTCCTCTGTTTTCTTGATCTCTGTTCTATTTTAGTAATTTTTGTTTAACAAACATTTATCTTCAAAATTCCTTTTTATTGTATGAAAAATTGAAAAAAAAAACAAATGTTTCAACGTAAATTTAAAAAATTCAAACAAAAAATTCGTGAAAACCGCTCATTCGTCGGAAAGAGCTTCACTTTCGTCCGAATCGCGCTCATCCTCAAAATTCTGCGGGTAAAGCTCGAATTGAGCATTTTTCGAGCAAGGACACATCGCTTCTCTTCCTACGCACGAAGAATGAGCCTGCTGCTTGCACAGAGCGCATCGCGTCCAATCCGTGACTCGACTTTCGTATTCTAAAGGGTCTGCGTCCGAGGGAATCTCGGGATCAACCTAAAAAACGTTTATATTCGGGAGATATGACGGTAATATTACGTCTCCGCAAATAATGCATCGAGATAGAGCTCTCTTTGGAACTAGTGTGGCTCTTGAGCTATCCACCGCGCTGCGCTTGGCCTTCGTTCGTTTCTGAATACTTCTTTTACGATAATTCATGCTGCATCCCAAACTTTTAGTGCTGGCACGCAACTCAAGAGGTCTCATGCCCTGGGGCTCCGGTAGGACCGTACTCCTATCGAACTGAATCCTAAACCCGTGTTCAACTACGCTCAAGATCCAGTCTGTCCTACAATTCCTTTCCCAGAAATCCATGGAGCTCGCTAATCTGTCTGGGAATCCCTCACCTTCTTTGCTCACACTCGGACGCGTGGTGCCCGAATCCGTTGCACCGAAAACATTTGATCGTTGTCTTCTGCTCTCCTGCTCTCGCAGCTCCCCGGCCTCTGTTTTGACGGGTACCACCATGGCCTCTGGCGGCACTCCCGTATGGAAACCACAGTCCGCGTTCGAAGTCCGGTTCCATCTTCCGCCTCTTGCCTTCAGATGAGCTTCCGGCCTTGATCGAATTGATCTGGGACAGTAGAAGAAGAGACGTCTCCTTGTTCCGCGTTTCTGACCTTTATCATCTCGAGCACTTCTTTCACTCCTTCTTCCAACGTCTCCTCCTCAGCCGCTCTCGCCAGGCTCTTGAGCTTGAAGTTGAAGTCCAAGTTCTTTTGGATCCCTTTCGATGCAACTCGTGGTGCCTTTTCGTCCTCTTCCTTCTCTTTCTTCTTCCTCTGCGTTCCGATGGCGCTGATCATTCTGCCGACTTCTTTCTTCATTTCGTGTCCGGAAGTTGATCTCCCTGTTGCTGCTCGTCTCCCATTTTCCGTCAAAAAATTCGAGAATCCTAAAATTCTGGTTGACCTTTTGGAAACGCAAGCAGCAATAAACACTTTAATTTTCCGATTTCGGACGAATTTTTCGCCAACTCTCGGGGAATTGAATTTCAAACAACGTAAATTTGCGAAAATATATCAAAAAACGAACGAGAATGGCGCTTCGAACTCAAATTCCGCCCCTTTCAGCCATTCTCTCAATTCGCTTCGGGACCCGCCCCTCCTAAAAGTAGCTGCGCCTTGAAAGTTCGCTCGCCGCGCGCGACCTTTTTCTCAGTATAATTTCTCGTTCAGTTCCGTTTGCGGCGGCGCTAAAATTGCAAAGTTCGTGCGAATTGGAGCTTTCCCGCAAATTCATGAGTTGGCGAATCACTTCCTTTCCGATATTCTCTCCACACGGTTTCCAGAGCTGCGCCCGCTCAATAGAGCGATACATTGGCGCGAAATTCAAATTTTAACAGCAAAATTTGTGTTTTTTGCCAGATTAGCCACGAAAAACCGATAATTTCTCATTTGTCTCTCGATAGACCGATTGTATAGGCTATTACGAATTTCTTAAGCGCAAGAGCGTTAAATTTGATCAAGTCGCAAATCACATTTATCCGTTTGAAGGTTTTTGGCTAAAACTGCGTGAATTTCAGTTGCTTTTCGGTAATTTTCGCGGTTCGAGCGCTCAAAATGCTTGTATTTACGTGATTTATCATTCTCAAAACCGATTCTGTCTGAAAACGGTCAAGAAAGCGCAAAATAAGAAGGCGAAAAAGCAAAGTCGGCGAAAAATGCGCCAAAACGTCATTAATTCTGAGAATTAGTGTGTTTTCATGTCGAAAAATCAGTTTTCATCGCCCTTGACCACAAAAATGAGAGAAAACCTGCTCAATTCATGAAAACGCCTTTTGGCACGCCCATATTGTAAAACCGCACTTCGCATTTTGCACTTTCTTGACCGTCGGGAACATTTCGCCAATTTCTTTGTCCTTGGTTGATTTGAGCACTGCCGAAATGCAAAAATCCACTAATGACTTTCATGTGGCCTAGGCTCTCAAATGACGGCCTAGCACTCTAAATTGGTGGCCTACAGTACTGGCCAAAAAGGTATTCGCAAACGGTTTTTTGAGCATAACTTTGCTGAAACTTGAGGGATCGATCTGATATTTTAAGACAAAGTTTAAAACCGTAAAAGACGTTGATTCAACAACAAGAATAGTCAATATTTCAAAAAAATTTAAAAAATCGAAAAAAATTCATAAAAAAATGGTAAAAAAACCGGAAAAATGAAACTTTGACTTTTTGAGATCTAGGAGAGACCGGCAAATGAAAAAAATAACAATAGCGAATGATTAAAAATAGTTTTTAATACTTTGTTGGGTAGCCTTTGGCGTCGATGACCGCCTGACATCTTTTCGGCATGGAGTCGAGAAGGGTGTGGATCACAGACATCGGAATGGCCTGCCAGACAAACTGGAGTTGATCGAATTTCTGATTGGCATTCGATGCACGGATCCCTCTGAGTTGTCTCTCGACATGCTCCCAGAGGTGCTCGATCGGGTTCAAGTCCGGAGATTGACTGGGCCAGTCCAGAAGATTCACGTGGCGGCGTCGGAACCAGTCCTTGATATGCTTCGAGGTGTGCTTGGGATCGTTATCTTGCTGAAAAACGAACGCCCGTCCCACATTAGACCGTGCCCAGGGTCTCATAGTCTTTTCCAAGATGTCTTCATAGACATATCGATCCATGATTCCCGTAATTCTTCTCAGGGGGCCGATTGAAGTCCCAGAGAAACATCCCCACACCATCACTGAACCACCTCCATGCTTGACGGTTTTGGAGCTGGTAGCTGGGATCGAACCGACATCCAACCGGACGGCGAATCCACTTGATACCGTCAGTGCCGAACAGATTAAACTTGGATTCGTCGCTGAAGACGTGATTGGCCCACTCCTGGCGTCCCCAGTGAAGATGAGCTTTGGCCCATGCAACGCGGGCGATCCTATTTTTTTTGCTGATCGATGGTTTCTTAGCTGGCCGTCGTCCATGGAGCCCAGCATGCTGGAGACGTCTTCCGACGGTTCTCAGGGATGGCGTGACTTCATTTGGAGACTTTACGATCATTTGAATATCGGTAGAACTCCTCTGGGGATCCTCTCTTGAAGCTCGGACGATGTTCCGATCCACATTCTTCGACGTGATGCGAGGTCTTCCAGGCGATTTTCGCTCCACCAGGGCTCCCTAAACATTTTTCTCGATAAATAAACTATTTTTGCATATTACCTCATCCCGGAATTGCTTCAAAACTTTTTCAATGGCGCGTTTACTGCAGGTGAACTGCTGCGCCAACACGTCCTTGGAACATCCACTTCTGAAGCCGATGACCATGGCTTTACGGATGTCCTGAGAGATGTTTTTTCTTCCAAGGGGTCTTACCATGTCTGTAAACAGTTTTAGATACATAAGACCCAACACCAACTTTCTTAGAAACTATAATATCCAAAAAAATATGAAAAATATGAAAAAAAGTGAAAAAAAGTGAAAAAAACGAAAAAAATTGAAAAAAATGAAAAATGAAGCAATTTCCTTGTACGCAATTTGTCGTCACCGTGTACGACATGTACAGTAAAATTTTCAAATCGATCCCTCAAGTTTCAGCAAAGTTATGCTCAAAAAACCGTTTGCGAATACCTTTTTGGCCAGTACTGTAGAACCCCAAAAATCCCAATTTTCTTGCAGAAACCGTCGTGGTCGACGATGAAAAAGCGACAAAAGGACGTGTTTATTAATCGGAAAAGCAGGCGAATAGTTTGTGGCGTAGTGACAATAAAATGTTTCCCTCGCGCCAAGAAAAGCGGGTGTACAATAAAAGAATACGCTTGTTTCTCATGAACTTCTCTTACCATTTATAAAATTGCTTTGTTTTTGCGTTCTTTCAATCATATTGCACGCTCAAGTCGAATACAACAAAATCTGCTATCACAGGGCCGGGTTTAGGGGGGTATTTGGTGCCACGTGGCAGCGGAATTGATGCGTGGGCGGAAGAAGACGGTCGGGATGAGCAAAAATGGGATGGGGAAACGAAAATGAGTGGGGGGCCGGAGAAACAATGGGTTAGACTTTGCTCAATTGCACTCGCTCGTTGCTGTAGCACGCCTGGCAGTGAAGATTTCCGTCGCGGACACGAACATCCGCTCCAGTGGCTCCGGATCCTGGAATAACGGGTATTGTAGTTCTCTGAAACACAGGCATTTCTACCCGCCCCCCCACCCCTTTTTTACACTCGCATTGCCATGTTCTGCGTCTCTCCCTTCCCCTTCCCTGCCCGTTGTAGCAGCCGCGTGCCTTCTATTTGACCGGCTTGCCACATTCAGTCGCTCGCCGCCCGGTTAGCTCAGTCGGTAGAGCACCAGACTCTTAATCTGGTTGTCGCGGGTTCGAGCCCCGCATTGGGCTTAGCTTTTTTTGCACCTACCTAGAGACGTTTTGCAGACGTAGCACTTGAAGCAGGCGAGATGGTAGAAGAGCTGAAGGCTCTCGACGATCATCGCGGCGCCGCGGCCGAGTTCCTCTTTGCAGTGCGCGCACTTGTGCTTTCCGCTCACCGCCACCACGTCGTCTCGCTGGCTCTGATGGCCGTCTTTGTGCACAAAAGTCTCCTCGTTGCTCTTCTTCTGGTTGCGCTGCACCGGCACCGGGTAAGTGTGCTCTTCGACGCGCGAGTACTCGTCCCTCTCGTACTTTTCGGTGACCGCCGGCGGCTCCACGTACTCCCGATGGCTTCTCGAGTACTCCTTCTGCTCGCGCTCCTTCTCCTGCTCCAGACGACGGTTCATATAGGCGGGAAGGTTGCTGAAAGCGATCAAATTGATGAAAGATTCAAAATGGGCGCGAAAAAGTACCTCAGGGAGGCAGAGGTGACGGCGATGCCACGACGATCCGTCGAGTATCCGGGAGCTGGCTGGCGCTGCTGGTTGATGACGTCACGCCAATCACGGGATTCCTAAAGTGGCGATTACAGGGTGATGGAGGCGAAAAACGAGGCATTTTGGGGGGAAAATTGAGGAAAAGTTGACTAGATCATCTAAAGGGAAGCAGCTAAACTCTAGGCGTTTTGAATGAGTACTGTACAGCCGAAAAACGTCGTATTGCTCTGAAAATTTTTTCTCGAAATCTTGACGTCTAGTACTTCAATTTTGTCCTTGACAACTTTTTGCTATGACAACTCCCTGGGGTACTGTAGCGCTTGGAAGTGGGCTATGAAATGCATCGGCTTTTAGCCAAGTCGAACTTCCAAGAGCTACAGTATTCTTAGAAATGATTTTACGCGAAAAATGTCAATTACAAAAATGAAGTGCTAAATGTGAAGAATATTTTAGTAGTTGACATCTTTTTGATACAACCACTCCCTGAGCTACTGTAGCTCTTGGAATTCAGACCTACCCCAACTGCTGTGTGTTTCAGCGCCAACTTTCCGGAGCTACAGTACCCCGGGGAGTGGGTGTACAAAAAAGTGATCAACTACAAAATTGTTATACCAGACGTCAAGAACTCGCAAAAAAATTTCTAGATCAATAGAACGTCTCGGAGCACTACTACATTATCCGTTTGAATTTTAACGATTTTCAAGTCTCAAAAAAGTGAGTGATGTGGTCGCGGTGCCCGATTTCTAAAGTGTCCGCTAAAGTGAGTGTGTGTGAGTTAGTCTCTGTCCTATTCTCCTCCACCTTCTCATAAATTTCGGTCCTCGTCGTCGTGGTCTCCCTGCGTTCCTCCTGCTGTTCCTGCCACTGATAAGTGTCCCTGACAAAGTCGAGCTCCCTGGGCTGCCCGGATCCTCCGTACTCTCTGCGAATCTCAATGTCCCGGCTGTGGTCCCTCGGCACCCGCACATGATTTCCGTCTCGATCGTAGAACCGATGGGAGACCGCGCTGACGTCGTCGTCGTCCTCGAATCCGAATGCCACGTCATCGTAGCGACGTGCGGGCGGCGGCGGCGGCTGTTGGCTCCGAGATCTCGGGTGGTCCCGCCGGTTCACACCGTACGAGCCGACCGTGTGGAACTCTTCAAAGTCGCGCGGATGCTCGTGACGCCCTCGCATCGACGAAGAGTAAATCTCCTCGTCCGAATACTTTTGATAGGTTTTCGGGAGCGACTCGGTCGAATGGGACCGTCTCGGCGGCGCGTAATAGTTGTCCGCCGCCTTCTTGAGAGCACTTCTCAAAGGCGACGACTCACGGCTCGCAGCGCCTTTCTGAAATTGGTTTTTGGTGATGGACCCCGGTGGATCGTGACCGAAAGACGAGCGAGCGAGCGAGAAAGAGAGAGAGTTAGAAGAAGAAGTTGTTAGTTTGGAATTGATTACATGCAAGTGCACCTACAGTAACCCGAAATCACAAAGGGATAGGATAGGAAATGAGGGGAAGAGAAGCGGAAAAACAAAAAAAAAAAAAAAAACATACCACTGGAACTTTTTCGGCGAATTCCTCCACATCCGAATACTCGGCCTTCTCTCGCCAATGCGTTGCGGTGCCCTGAAATTCCAAAGAATTGCGTTGCACCGAAAATGCGTCAGCAAAAATTGCTGACGCGTTTCTCGATCCTGGCGTCAATCGCGTCAGAAAATCCCGTCAGATCAGAAAATGCGTTGCACCGAAAATGCGCCAGCAAAAATTGCTGACGCGTTTCTCGATCCTGGCGTCAATCGCGTGGTGTCTAGATCAGAAAAAAAACGCGGAAAAACGGTTCAATTCGAAAATTTTGGGCATCGAATGTGTAAATCTACAATATATCTGCAAACATGACCCGGATAACCAGCAGGAACCGCCCGGAAACTTGGGAAACTTGGGAGGGGAAAGTCTCAATTTCTGTACAAAACATGCGTTGTTTGTCTTTTGCCCCGGAAAAAAAAGGGGAGCGCATCCAATTCTCTCTTCCGAATAAACAATGAAAGAGAGAGAGAGAGAGAGAGAGAGAGAGAGAGAGAGAGAGAGAGAGTGAGACACACACAAACTCATTGTTTATGTGTATTTGCCCCGGTTTTTCCATTTCGGCGCAACTTTATATGACACGAATTGATATTGTTCGTCTCTGGAGAAGGTTCGGAAGGGATTACTGTAGGTCCGTACAGTAACACGAACCTACAGTAATCCACCGGAAAACTCACATGTTGCCAAACTTGCGCTCCTCCAACTTTGCGTTTTCGCTGTTTTCCGCAACACAAAAGCATTGCACGATATTGTAGGGAATATCGGAAAAGTTTAAAGCACACAAGTGTGGGAATAATAAAAGTGTACTGGCGGCGCGCATTTCGGTTTTTTTTTTGTCTTCGTTCCCACAACAATGGGGGGCGGGGCCATGAGCCTATGAGTCAGGGAACATGAAAGTATTGTACGTCTTTTTGTTGTGTTCTCACTGTGTTTCATGTGGAAAATTTTTGTTGTTTTTGCTTTCGGTTGACGTGTGCTGACGCACTTTCGGTGCGTCGACCTACAGTAACCGGCGCGACTCACACTTCTCGGCAGCGTGGATCTCTTCAAAGTGGTCGTCGTCGACTCGGCTTCCGAATCGCGACGTCCATCGTAGTTGAGGTTGGTGCGCTGAAATATTGTGGGGTTTACAAAGACGACGAGCGGCGCCTCACCGCAATATTCTCGTTGCTCAGTTGATAGTTTCGAATGGTCTTCGGCTCGTGTTCCCGTCCGTTCGCGTAAATCTGCTCAGACTGTTCCCGGCGGCTCATGCGTCGTCGATCGACTTCCGGCACAAAGTCGGTGAGCTTGCCGGGCGCGTTCTTCTCCTGGTAACTGCTCACGCGGTAGTCGCCGTACTCGCTCCGCCCGCTGCTGCGCGCCGACGACGAGTTAAAGTGGTCCTGGGCGGTGCGGTAGCTCGACAGCGAGGCGTCCCTCCGCCGATCCAACGGGACCGCCGTCGCGCCACGTGGCAGACTGTTGAAGTCGCGCGCGGATCTGTTTGTCGAAGAGGAGGAGGAGGAGGCGGAGGCGCGCGAGTGCTTCCGCTTGAACTCGGCGTACGAATCGAACGAGCGGTTGTCGGCGAACACGGAACGGACCTTGTCAAAGTTGCTCGAAGCGCTCGACGAGGAAGAGGAGGTTTGCTTTGTGAGCAACGGAGTTGGGGCTGCTGCACATATACTTTGTGGTTATTGTCCATTCAAACAGCTGTATCTCAGCTATTTGTAGACATTTCAAAAAGTGATCAACAGATAAAATGTGCGCAATGTCTTTTTGAACATTTCATCAGTTGACAACTTTTTGATAAGTTTTCTGTGATTCGACTTACGCGCTCTGAGAATGAGAATATCGGCTTCTCCGACTCGGGCGGCCTCGTGAAGGATTCTGGAGACGCCCGACTGGTACTTGTCGTCCATATCCTCTCCGTTTATCGATAGAATCGTATCGCCGACCTGTGTAGACAATATTGAGTAAAGTGTACCCATTTCCTGCGGTCCTCGACTCACCAGCAATCCGGCCTTGTCGGCCGGCGATCCGACGATGACACTCTCGACGATGACGCGCTGATGATCGCCCTTGCGGCCCGCCGTGAAGCCCATTCCCTTGTGCACCGGCTGCGAGCCCATCACCACTTGCAGCGTGAACAGACCGTCGGTCTTTGAGGGACCGCCCGCCGTCGAGTGGCGGCGGTACGTCGTGAACTGTTCCGATTTGGGATGATAGGCGGCCGGCGGCGACTCGTCCAGCGGGATATCGACTGCGTGGTAGATCCGAGTGCTCGACGAGGACTTTTGATGTTGGGGACGTGGATTGTGATGGTCCTGCAACGAAAATTGAGTGAGGTTACGGTAGTTGCGACACGGACCTCCATAATGAAATCGGTCCTCGGGTACTTGGTGGCGGTCACAGTGGCCTTCTGCTCGCGATTCAGCTCGACGGTCAGATCGATGTTCTCCACCCGTTCGGCCCTTTTCTGATTGAGTTCCTGAGCGGCCCGGGACACGAACGGTTTGACCCCCTCGCGCGGCGGCGGCTGTTTAAAAGTGGCCTCGACTCGAGCGGAAGTCACCGGCATGAACGTGCTCTTTTCGATGGCTCGCGACGTTTCCTGAAGTTGATATTATGAGATCGTTTCCATTTTCTGTGAAACCGACAATATATCGATTCGAATGTGGCTCTTTCAGTTGGTCTTCCTCGTCCGGACACTGATCATAGTAGTGCGCGGCCTCGTGGACGGGCGCGTACTCGGAACTTCGACTCCGCGAGTACTTTAATGGGATCAGCACCTGATCGAGCTTCTCTTCGACCGGCGGAGGTGGCGGAGGATGATGCGGAGGCTCCTCGTCGGGAAGAGACTTCGGCGAGACGAACAGGTCCGTGCCTGGAAACATACAATAGCAACAGAGTAAGGATGAACTTTGAACGAGTTTTGTGATGTCTAGAAAAGCGATATGGTTCTATAAATTTGTTTGTAAAATCTTGACGTCTAGTACTGTGTTTTTGTAGTTGACAACTTTGTTGAGCAACCCATTCCTGGAGTACTGTAGCTCTTGGAAGTTAGCATAGAAATAAAGATGGTTTCAACTAGCCCTAAGTTCTTGGAGCTATAGTACTCCGGGAAATGGTTGTACAAAAAAGTTGTCAACTACAAAAATATAGTACATGTCTAGTACTTCATGTTCGCAATTGACAACTTTTTTGTACCAGCACTCCCTGGAGTACTGTAGCTCCTAGAAGTTTACACATGTGATTCAGTGCCAACCAACTTCCAGGAGCTACAGTACTCCAGGGAGTGGTTCTACAAAAAAGTCATCAACTACAAAACTAACGTATTAGATGTGAAGATTTCACAAAAAAATTTATAGACCCTGACAGCCCCGCAGAAGTCTACAATATCCGTTTAAAGTTAGTGTCTCTAAACTCACTTCTAGGCGAAAAGTCGGAGGTGGAGGGTGACTCGACGGTCCGATTGTCGATGCCCGAATCGTTGTTCAGATCGTCGCTGGAGCTTCTCAACGGCGATACGGTAGAGACAGAATGCTGACGTGGCAAAGGGGCTCGCGAGTTCACTTCCAGGATCTCTTCTTTCGTCTGAAAATTGTTGGTTGTGAGTTGATGGTTGACGTGGCACAACTACAGTAATCTTTCAAAACCTAGCACGCCTTGACGTGGCACTACAGTAATCCTACAATACTAAACCCGGAAAAGTATAATATCAATAGTTTTGAGTAGAATTTTGACTATAGTAGGCCTACGAGGAAACGTATCATGGAGAAGAAGGAACGTTGCCGCCCGAAAACAGTATCGTACAATATACACTCTCTCTCTCTCTCTCTCTTTCTTCTCCTTCTTCTTCTTCTTCTTCTTCTTCTGTTCCCAGAAGAGTATCATCGTCTTCCACGGAAAAAGTGGGCGTGGCGTGTCTGCGTCTCTCTTGTGTTGCCGATGACTAATAGCTAATCAAAAACGGGCACAAAAAACGACGATTTTTTGTATATATTGTCTGTTTTTCTCAATTTTCGACACGAAAAACACAATAATCTCACTTTTTGCAACTAAACACGGGAAAGGGATGAAAAGTTGGCGCCGGGAGGGGGGGAAAGTGAAAAAGTGTATGCATAATAGTGGTATGTACAAAAACTGGATTAGTTACGGTTTTGCGCAGTCATCGCTGCTGCGATGAAATCATAGGGTTTTCGGCAAAGTCGAAGTTTCTCAGTGTCGTGACGTGGCACTATGGAATTTGAAGAAAACTGTTGCGAAATTCTGATCCTTGATGGTATGAAAATTGATCAACTTTAAATAAATATTGTAGATTTCTGCGGTGACACTGAGGTCTAGAAAATTTTTTGCAATATCTTGACGTCTAGTACTTCATTTTTTCAGTTGATCACTTTTTTGTACGAGCACTCTCTGGAGTACTGTAGCTCTTGGAAGTTGCCATCAAAACACTTAGCTATTGCGAACTTCCAAGAGCTACAGTATCTTTGGGAGTGGTTATACAGAAAAGTTGTCAACTAGAAAAATAAAGTGCAAGTCATGAACTATTTTTGTCTAGTTGACAACATTTCTGTACAATCACTCTCAGCGGTACTGTAGCTCTTGAAAGTTGGTGCACTACAGTAACCGTACAATATCCGTTGCTCACCACCAGTTTGTCCTCCCACTTCACACTCTTATTCCTCGCCGATTTGCGCTCCTCCTCGTCGAACATTTCCACAAAATTGCTCGGTTTGACGGCTCCCGCTCCCGCTCCGCCGCCTCCACAAATCATTTCGACGTCGGCGGCGGCGGTCCGACCCCCGCGTCGCCGTACAATTTCCACGTGCACGTATCCGTTATGGGTGACACGTGGCACTGTTTCGCCCGGAAAAAGACGGCTCCAACGAGGCCACGCCCCCTCGTCGCGGCAGCTCATTCAAATTGGATGGATGAATGGTCGAAGAAGTCGACAATACTTATAGTTGGGCAGGTGTCAAATATATAGAGGAATATGTGAGTGAGTGTGTGACGGATACACACAATAGAGGATATGTGTGTCGTTTCGAGGAGAGCGAGATTACATCGAAAAAGTTTTGGTTGTGTTGGACAGACGCCCCCCTCTCTCTCTCAGTGTATTACCAAATTCCGATTGAACGGACGCGGCGAGAGATAGAGAGAGAGAGAGAGAGAGAGAGAGAGCGGAGACGCAGACTCGAGACCGTTTATATCTAGTGCCACGTATCTCGTTCCGAAATTCAGCGACTCGTACAATAGCAGCCAGGGCGCTTTCCCTACCAAAAGTATCGAAAAAAGTGGTTTGGCGTCGGTTTTTTGGGTGGAAATCCGTCTTCCGTCTTCCGTTTTCCGTAAAAAAAAAATTTCTTCCGTCTTCCGTGTTCCGTAAAAAAATTTTCGTCCGTGTTCCGTAAAAAAATTTTCTTCCGTCTTCCGTAAAAAAATTTTCTTCAGTCTTCCGTGTTCCGTAAAAAAATTTTCTTCCGTGTTCCGTAAAAAAATTTTCTTCCGTCTTCCGTAAAAAAAATTTTCTTCCGTCTTCCGTGTTCCGTAAAAAAAATTTTCTTCCGTCTTCCGTGTCCCGTAAAAAATTTTTCTTCCGTCTTCCGTGTTCCGTAAAAAAAATGTTTTTCCGTCTTCCGTCTTCCGTCTTCCGGATTTCAAAATTCGATTTCCGCTCAACTCTGATGGAAATGTCTCAAAATGACCTAGAATCAAGTCAAAAACATGACGTCACTCATTTTGTGACCAAAAAAACTAATCGGACGACGATACTCGAACGGGAGAAACAACAAACACGCCGGATGTTTGTACTCTACTATTCTGCTGTTTTTAAGGTGTGCAAACTTGAACACAAAAAGGGTAAACATGGTTTTGGAGTCAAACAATATCGGAATTATTGAGTTCAAGCCAGGCGGCGTCTATTTGACGTGCAACAGGTTAGGGTTCGGCGCAAACAAACGAGCGGCGGGGGTTACAGACGGAAATATCGATTTTAGGCCAGTCGTCTTGACGTTTTGATCCGAAAACGAGCTCAAATACAATTTTCCACAGTTTAGCTACAAAGTACTGAAAAGTCGATTCAGAACCTACACTAAAAATCGATTTCTAGTGTCGTTTTCATAATCTTCGTTTAGCCGTTTAGAAATAGGCTTCTAACTTTTAAACTAAGCAATTTGAAACGAAATAGTCAACTGCAAAGTTGTAGAGTATAAAATTGTCTACAACTTTGCAGTTGACCACTTTTCGAAACAACCAATAGTTGTTGAGATATCGACGAAAAGAGTGAAAACTTACGACGCCGCCGCGAACACGGATCCGCAGCACGGAGATCTCTTTGGGACTGTACGGACAGTCGGCATTGGTGCAAAACTCGGGCGGAATCACCGACAACGGCTGCTCCACAGACACTTTCGGCATGGCGGTCCAAAGAAGAAGAAGAAGAAGAAGAAGAAGAAGAGAAATGAGCTCCTTCTCTTTCTTCGCCTACCAGCCAGTTATCGCGAGACGAGAGAGCGTGCGGGCGGAGGGGTACGAGTTGTCAAACTCGCAGTTATTTTCGAGGTTAGAACAAATAGAGGGAAAGAAGTTTGCACACGGAATGCGCGGGAGAACACGATGCGAATGTGTGTACTTGTAGTGGTTGGAACGAAACGAATCGGTTCAAGCTTTTTGCTAATGAGAAAATGGCTTATAACTCAAAAGTGGCAAGTTTTACAACAAAATTGTCAACTACAAAGTTGTTCAGCACAGTATTTGCAACAATTTTTCTGTTGACTACTTTTTGAAATAATTGATAGTTCTTGAGATATCGGCCTTCAAACATATCACGGCGAGCCTGGCCTAATCTGAGACGCCGCGTTTTCTGAAAATTGCCGCAACTTTCCAGCACTTTTCCGATATTCTTGTGTGTTGATATCGACGAAAGAAGAGACATTATTTTCGTGAAAACGCCGCCCGTTTGAGACGTTTTTGGCATCATTCGCAATACGCTCTCCGCCGCAATTTCCGAATTTTCATAGCGGCCGATGTGGATCGGTTTTGAGACGAAGTGAGTGTCGGAAGTGATTAAGCACACGTTAATACAAGTATTTTAAGCGTTCAAACGGTGGCAAAAAGTATCCGCGAATGACTGAAATTCGCGCATTTTCCGCACAAAACTGGAAAATCGATTGAATTGATTGAATTTCTGAATGAAAACTGCTCGTTTTAAGCTCAAAAAGTGCGCGATGATTAGTTTAACAAATTTATGCAATAAAATTGCCGAAATCGTACAAAATTTGGATAATTTTTCACGAAAAACATGTGAAAAATCGGGGTTAAATTTCGAATTTCGCGCCAAAATGGTGTGATAAACCGTTTGGATGGAAAGTGAAAGTTTCAGAGGCTTCGAGAATTATGACACAGCCTGTGAAGCTGTTGGAGAAGAAGAAGAAGAAGAAGAAAAAGAAGAAGAAGAAGAAGAAGAAGAAGAAGAAGAAGAAGAAGAAGAAGAAGAAGAAGAAAAAGAAGAACTTGAACTTTCGCTCTCCGTTCCTCACTCGGATAAACGTCTCATTTCTCTCACATTCCCATTTTTTCGCAAATTTCACCGTGCATTACTTCAAAGAATTTCGCAACTCGTTCGCAATGTCAAAAGTGAGGCGTAGCGACTATGTACACGTACAAAGCTTCTCTTTAGAATCTGCTGGACCTGCGACCGTCTCCTCCAGTGGTTCCGGCGCGCGGCTCGGCCACGTTCTCGCTGAAAAACCTGGCGGAGAAGCGGCAAGCGGTGAGCGTGAACCTCTCGTCGGTGCGAATGAAAATCGAGGAGGCGCAGTACGGATGTTGCGGAGACACGCAACTGTTCCGCGTCATCGATCCGAACGAGACGGTGCAGTTCACGGTGACGGATCAGCAGCGGAAACAGCTACGTCAACTGCGCGGACCGCATCCCGAAGGCCATCTTCGCATCGATCATTGCGAGACCGAACAGGAGAAGCACTTCGCCGGCGGACTCGTTTTGGATTGTCCGCATCACTTTGAGTGTGCCGGCTGCTCGGAAGTGTGCCATGGACACGCCGAGTTGGAGGACGGCTGCGGCGCCAAGGAGTACGGAAAGATTGAGTTCAACGTGACGCTCGTCGGCGACGAAATCCACGAAAAACGATTCATGTGCACTATTCTTTGACCCGATTAGAATTTATCGAAAAAAATGAGAGAGAGAGAAAGAGAGAAACTAACTTTTGTGGGCACATAGGAGCTGCTGAATTCGTCGGATTTCCGGGGTGTCTGTGCGGATTCGGTGCCGGCGTGATCGCCGAATTTCTCCTTTCGCTTCCGTCGCCACGTGTCCAAATCCGCCTGCCACGGCTCGCTATCATCGAACTTTTGCTTTATAAAACGATAATATTTCCGCTTTTCACCCTCGAAACACTCACCGACTGTCGTTGTCCCTGCAGAATCTTCTCCCTCTGCACCTTCTGCTGTTGCGCCAGTTGCAGCGTCGATTTCGCCGTTTCGGCCATGTCCGCACCGCCCTTGGTGACGGCGACGAACTGAAACGGATCCGAGGATTTTTGTCCCGGTCCTCGCAGCATTTTTGCGCCGGGTCTGCAATAAAAAAAAGGGTGGCAAAACCGTTTCGCTCCCGGGTGGGCTCGAACCACCAACCTTTCGGTTAACAGCCGAACGCGCTGCCTATTGCGCCACGGAAGCGGCAGATGTGCGCGTGACGCACGGCGTATACAAGAGCGCCGGCGGAAAGTTTCGGGGTGGCGAAGACGGAAAGTTACCGTTTCTGGGCGCGATTTCAGAGGATTTCAGAGGATTTCAGAATGGGGTGGAAAAAGGGAAAGTGGAGGCAGAGGAAGTCGAAAACAAGGGAAAAGAGGGGAAAAAACAAGTGTCTATAATTGATGTTTCCAGCAGCTTTCGCCGCCGCCGCCACCCCAATAGCTAATTTCGGACAGCGACCAGACATCCGACAGCAAAAAAAGGAAAGCATTTTTTGGGATGGAATTTGAAAATTCTGCTGAGGTAGGATTGAGGAAGAAATTACGGTTTTTTGATTGTGGAGCGAATCAATTCTGACAAAAAAGTTTATCAACTTTCAACTGATATTGTAGACTTCTACGATGGCCTAGAGGTCCAGAATTTGCTTTGTGAGATCTTCACATCTAGTACTATATCTTTGTAGTTGACAACTTTTTGGTACGGCCAATCCCTGGTGTACGGTAGCTGTTGGAAGTTAGAGTTCGAATGTCTGGCTATTATCAACTTCCAGAGGCTACAGTACTCCAGGAATCAGCTGTATCAAAAAGTTGTCAACTACAAAATAGAAGTGCAAGTTATGAACTTTATTTGTTTAGTTGACAACTTTCTATTTGGACCACTCTCAAGAGTATTGTAGCTCGTGGAAGTTATCTCTAAAAGCTATAGTCTTTCAACTTAGTCCAACTTCAAGAAGCTACAGTACTCCAGGGATTGGTCCTACAAAAAATGTGTCAACTACAAAAATACAGTACAAGATGTGAAGATTTTCCAAAAAATTTTCTAGAACGATTGAACGTTTCTAGGCTCTACAATTCTGGTTCAAAGTTGCTTCAATTCAAAAACAATAAAAACTGATATTAACGGCTTTAACAAAATTTGACAAGCGAAAAAGAGAGACATTATGGCTCTTTTGTCAAGAAAAGCGCACAATATCTTTCTCTCTCTCTCTCTCTCTCTCTCGCGGGCATATATCCGGTCATTCATTGGCGGCTCTCCTGCCAACAACTTTGTTTGTTTATCTTTGAGTGCTGGTCTGCGTGTTCGACGAAAGAGAGAGAGAGAGAGAGAGAGAGAGAGAGAGAGAGTACGTAATCCACTTGGATGGTAACAGACCAGTCACTTTCAAGAGCTTTCACGCGAAAAAGAGCCAGAGCGGCTAATGAGAGAGAGAGAGAAAGGAGTTATGGCGGGTTTTGAGGGAAGCTACAGTACCCTCGGGGCTACGGTAACCGGTAGGGACCACACCGTAACTCTTTTCAAACACTTTTTCACGGTTTACACCCCTCCATCTTGAAAATGTTCGCAAATTTGGCCAATCTCACCCGAAATCGTCTTCCGTGTAATCGTCTCCAAGTGCGGTTGGCTGGTACTTGGCCACCTGAAACCTTATTCGATATTGTGTGACTTTTGGATGAAGGCGGACACGAAGGATTACTGTAGTAGTCACAAAAACCGACAATACAAGTGATTAGAAAGTGTGAAATTCACGTTTGACTCATCGAATAGTTGCCGAGTAGATTCGGAACACGACAAAGAAACAAGCAATGTTTTCCAGAACGAAAAAATGGTTTTTTTTTTTTTTTGACGGTGGTTGGTTGTGATAACTCGTTTCTCCGATAAAAAAGAACAGTGATAAGAGAAGACGCATGGGGGAAAAAATCAATTGAAGATTGGCACAAAAGTGATATTATCAAACACGACCGTTATCATTGTTAAGGACATTTTCGAAAAAGTAAATAATAGTGACACACATTTTTCCCATTTTTTGGCCGGCTGGCCCTCAAAACGCGATCTAAAACACCACCTTTATCGAATAATCATTTTCCATCATCATCTTTTCGATATAAAAATCTGTAAAATGAGATATTTTTTTGTCAAAAAGGGAAAACGTCAAACAGAGAGAGAGATGAGCTGAAATTCAAATAGAATCACACGGAAAAGTGAGTGAGGGAGGGCGCAAATAAATGCACGGAAAAAGAGCACTTTATTTGTGAGAAATTTGATGATTTCGAGCGAAAACAGAAAAAATTTCGTTTTAGCGCAATATGGCCGAGTGCGAAGTCTGGCGACTGCCAATCTGTCGGCGGGGGTTCGAACCCAGCGTAGTACAAAAGTTTTTTGCGAGTTTTATTCCGCCTAATTTGTCCATTTTAATATGAAATATGAGCGAATGGACAATCGAATTTTCCGTAGGCGAATATAATAAAATTCTTGCGAAATCATAAAATTGCAGTGCCGGGCAAAACCAGAATTTCGAATTCTCATTCTGAATTTGAATTCGCGAATTCTTCAATTCGATAATTTGATAATCAGAAAGGGAGAGAGAAAGTGAAAATCCCCGCGGACGAATATTCAAATTTCCCTTTTCCCGCACGCGTTCCCGGTCAGAAACACCCTCGAATCCTACAATATCTCTCGGCCAAATGTCGGTCAACATATAATATCAGTTGTCAGAGTGTTTCCAGTGATATGCAAAGAGATCGCGTGATGTTTGGAACTTTTACTCGACGAATTTAGGCCGGAAAATGGTTGGGATCTTTTTTGTACTGGGGTAGGTTCGAACCCCAAGTAGTCAAACTTTGAATGGATATTGTAGACTTCTACGCTGTCCTAGAGGTCTACAAAATGTTTTGCGAAATCAAGGGCATCTAGAACGGTATTTTTGTAGTTGACAACTTATTTGTAGGACCACATTCTAGAGTACTGTAGCTCCGAGAAGTTAGAACAGAAATGCACATGCTCATAGTGAGCACCAACTTCCAAGACGGACAGTAATCTTAGAAGTGGTTGTACACAAATATTATCAACTTAACAAATGTTGTACACATCTAGATCTTTGCTTTTGTAGTTGACAACTTTTTTGTACAATCACTCCCTGGAGTACTGTAGCTCCGAGAAGTAAGAGCTAGCTAAGAGCCCATGTCTTTCAGTGCCAACTTCCAAGAGCTACAGTACTCCAGGAAGTGGTCGTGCAAAAAAGTTGCCAACTACAAAAGTACTGTACTAGATGTCAAAAATGTACTCAAAAAGTTTAAAAGCTCCAGGACACCAAAAAAGTCTGCAATATCCGCTCAAAGTTGGTTGTCTCCTTACCAAGTTCCGCTATTATCTGACTCGAAGTTGAAGTCAAAACCAAAGAACCTGTGAAACAAGAAGAAGAAGAAGAAGTGGAAGAAAAAGTGGAAGTACACTTCGGAAAGATCTAGATCAACAAGAAACAAGTAAAACAACACGAATCCACAGAGGATTAGGCGAGAAGAAGTTGGAAATGCGGTGGAACGGGGGTCTAATCCCTGTGGTTTTGTTTCGGATACTAAGAAGAAGAAGAAGAAGAAGAAGACATGCATGTCATCTCTCTCTCTCTCTCTCTCTCTCTCTCTCTCTCTCTCTCTCTCTCTCTCTCTCTCTCTCTCTCTCTCTCTCTCTCTCTCTCTCTCTCTCTCTCTTTCTCGCCCACAAAACACATTATGCAAATGGCGACCCCCTCCTCCTGAATCTGTCGGTCGCGGAGACGGTGTTGATTGCCCGAAACAGGTGTCCTGCTGCTAGCCAAAACGAAGGGAATCCATAATATATAGTCTAGGTAATTATGGGGAACACGAGCAAGGTCGAAATTATGAAAAACTAAGATTTTCTCGGCGCAAAGGGGGAAATCTATGCCAAAAATTGGGAAGGTGACCTTTTTTGCCAGTTTTTCTGAAGTTTACAATATCAGAAATGTCTTTTACACGCTGGAAGCTCCTCAAGAGTACAAATTTTCAATTTTAAGCTCAATTATCTAAAAGTTCCCCCTGTTCTCTATTTTTTCGATTAAAACCTGCTCAAATCACACGAACACACTTGAAAATGCCCAAAAACAGTACAAGAATCATCTGGTGACCCTGAAAAACCGTTTTCAGGGCAATTTTAGCAAAAAATGCAATTTGGCCGAGTGCGAAGTCTGACGACTGCCAATCTGTCGGCGGGGGTTCGAACCCGCCCTAGTGCGAAAGTTTTTTGCAAAGTTTGAACAGTTGAAATAAGAAGAATTCTTGACATATAATAGTTATTCCATACGAAATTCCTTGAGATAATGAGTTATTTTCACCGGGAAACATCAATTATCAAGGGAAAAAGAGATCTGTCAAACGGGGCGCATAAAAGTGGGTAAATAAGTTAATTTGCAGAGAATATTGTTCGAGTTTAGTAGGAAATGGAGTCGTAGATGAGTGGCGCCGAGTGGACGAGGTGCTTGAATTCGGTGACGTCCACGTTCGCGAGGTCTTCCGGCACTTTCTCCTGAAAACGAGTATTGTAGACTTCTACAGTGTCTTCGAGGTCTAGAAAAGTTTTCTGTGAAATCTTGACGTCTAGTACTGTATTTTTGTAGTTGACCACTTTTATGTAGGGCCACTTCCTGGGGTACTGTAGTCCCGAGAAGTTTGCACTGAAAAACACGAGCTCTTGGATACCCCCAACTTCCAAAAGCTACAGTACTCCAGGGAGCGCTCGTACAAAAAAGTTGTCAACTACAAAAATGAGCATCAAGATATGGACAACATTTTATTAATTGACAATATTTGTGTACAACCACTTCTAAGATTACTGTACGTCTTGGAAGTTGGTACTCACTATTTCTGCTCCAACTTCCCGCAGCTACAGTACTTCAGGGAGTGGTCGTACAAAAAAGTTATCAACTACAAAAATACTCTACTTGACGTCGAGATTTCAGAAAAACATTTTAAAACCACGCAACTTTTTGAGAACTCTACAATATCCATTTGAACACTTTTTGATCTCGCAAACCGAAATTCTCCGTTTATTTACATACATGTTCTCGGTTTGAAGGTCAGTCAACCGAAACCCAATAACAAGACTTGATGATTGATGGGTGAAAAGGGTACCAGGTGGCACAAATGAACTTCTTCTTCTTCTTTTTCTTCTTCTTTTTCTTTTTCACTCACCTGCTGCCATTTGGCGGTCATTTGTGCAGAAGAAGGCGAAGAATTGAGGGAAATCGTGGGCGTCGAAAGTGTTTGGCGCATTTTCAGATGCTGAGTTTGTCGTTCCAGAGATGCCAATTGACGTTCCAACTCGATCACCTGCGCGAGACTGTCCAGGAGGATCTGAAAAGTGACAAACTTTGAGTGAATATTGGCCAATCTTCATAGAGCTACAGTAACCTTAGAAATGTTTTTACACAAATATTGTCAACTAAAAAAATGTTCTTCACATCTTGATCTTCATTTTTGCAATTGACACCTTTTTGATACAAGCACTCCCTGAGGTACTGTAACTCTTGAAAGTGGCAGTAGCTTCTATGCTAACTTCTCGGAGCTACAGTACTCCAGGATTTGCTCCTATAAAAAAGTTGCCAACTACAAAAATACAGTACTAGATCTCAAGATTTCACCAATAATTTTCTAGACCTCTAGCACGTCCCAAAAGTCTACAATATCAGCTCAATGGTTTTTGCCGATATTGTACTGTTCCGCGCCGCTGCCAAACCCGTCTGAACCCTGTGTAAAGTGTCCTTTTCCGTTCGTTCCCCGCCACCCCCCAGAATCGGAAGAAAAGAGAAGAGAAAAGTACAGGTGTCGGGCGATTTTGCGGGAGAAAAAACTAGTTTGACAATATATTTGCAGAAAAGAGAAGATTGCCCTTCTCCCTCTTTCTCTCTTTTAACCAAATCAACCATAACTAACTTGACACACAATCGGATCCTTTGGCATTTCGGAAATGTACTGTTTCAGACGGTCGTAAATGTCTACAGTAGTCTCCGAGTGGTACGGTACCGGCGGCGACGTGCCGAACACGGAAGACGTCGTCGAACTGGACGACGGACTTCCGGAAGAGGCGCTCGAACAGTCAGAGTACGTCGAAGTCGTCGAGTTTTTGCGTTGACGGTACGGGTGGTAGAGGTACGTGTCCTGGAATTGGCGATTACGGTAGCGAGCGGGTATTGTAGCTAGATTACTGTACACACATCTCAGCAAACTGTAGGGGAAAGAGTACGGTAATTCTCTTACCTGGCTCTGAATATTAGTCTGGCTCATTCTTCGCATCGCTTCACAAGTGTACTTCATCTTCTTCTTCTTCTTCTTCTTCCGAATCAGCGGAGAGTCAGCTGTGAGAAAGAGAAAGAGAGAGAGAAAGAGAGAGAGAGAGAGTAAGACCCCCCCTCCTTTCTTGGCCCCGCCCCTTTTGGCGCCGTGCCTCCCGTGCCAGGAACCGTCCGTCTCGCGTCTCTCTGCGCCGAACAGTGCCTCGCAAATCGGCGACGCGCCACCGACGGGTACGGCGAAAAAAAAAGGAGAAGAAGAAGAAGAAGACGTTTCGGAAATGGGAGGGGGCAGACACAACTTATCATACATCTGTCGCCGCCCGCGACGAAAAAAGTGTTTGAATTGTGATTTTGGCGCGCGCGCGCGCGCGCACTTTTCAAAGCCAATAATAGTTGCGCAATCTTTGGAAACGTCTCGAAAGTGCAAACTTTGTCCGCATCGATTTTTCTGGCGCCGTCATCGAATCCACAATCTACAATATCTTTCCGTTCAAACCGACGGTTTTAAAACTTGAAGGCAAAAAGTTGTACACGATTAATAGGGATCACAAAAAGAGGCGAAAAAGAGATCATTGGAGGTCGGTCTCCTTGAATACGGTGAGCCTTTTGAGCATCTTCCGCTTCGGCGCCGGCTCCGACGTGTCCATGAACTGTTGCAGCGCCTCGAAGTACTTCCTTTTGGCGGCGCGTTCCTCGGCGGCGGCCCTCCGTTTCTCGACCTCCCGCTCGACCCACTCGATCTTTCGGTTCCACTCCTCCTCGGCGCGCGAGTTCATCACCCGCACCGCCTCGGTCAGTGCTCTGATCAGGTTCTGCCGCGCCATCTCGGCCATTCGTCGTTGGCGTTCCGCTTTGAGGGTCCGGTACGGAAAACGGTCCTTCCAGACGATGAAGTGCATCTTTTTGCCGTAGAAAAGGATGGTCGCGAGCCGCCCGTCGCTCTTTTCGATGTCCTGCGCGTGCGTGCAACTCATCCAGTGGCGGGGGTCTCGGATTCGCGAACGGCTCAGTTGGCGGCTGAAAAAAGAGGATTGTGAGGTTTGGTGTACGGTACGCAATCGGATTACATTGAAAAAACTAGGGGTACTGTAGCTCTTGGAAGTTAACACGCGACTACACACGCTCTCAGCTTGCCCCCAACTTCCAAGAGCTACAGTAGCCCGAGGAGCGAGTGTACAAAAAAGTTGTTAACTAAACAAATGTTGTACACATCTAGATCTTTGCTTTTCTAGTTGACAACATTTTTGTACGACCACTCCCTAGCCTACTGTAACCCTTAGAAGTTGGTCGTAGCTAGCAGTTCACTGCCAACTTCCAAGAGCTACAGTACCCCAGGTATTGCTCGTATCGAAATGTTGTCAACTACAAAAATACAGTACTAGATGTCAGGATGTTGCAAAACTATTTTCAGAAGAGTACCATTTCACAGAACTCTACAATACTCCCATAAAGTTGGCTAGATACGGAACATTAAAAAATTGTTCTTCTATTGTCTTTCTCAAAGCTTTATCAACTATTTTCAGAGTGTTTTTCAGTCTCTATCAGATTTTTATTAAAAATTTCGTAAATTGAAGTGTTAAAATATCCCGTTCCCATCAGATATCCCCAAAAACTCACTCCACGTCGAAGTGCTCTCCTTCTCTCCGCTTCGGATCCCAATTCAGCAGCCTCAGTCCCTCCGTGATCACTTTTTTGTTGCGGAACGCCTCCGGACTCAGATTGATCTCCAGCAGCTCGAGTCTCGTCTGATCACTGTCCACGAAGAGCCACTGGAAGATGAAGGCGTTCAGATCGTCGGCGCTCAGATGGTTGTGGCCAATGTCGGCGGTGACACAGTTCAGGCTCAGCAACTGGTCCCTGGTTATCCATTCCGGATCGTCGAGGATCACGTTGTACGAGTTCAGCAGCTGCAAACCACGTTTTCAGAGAATCTGGTCGCGCACGGCGAGCAAAAGTGTAGAAAAGGGCGTGGCTTAATCTCAGATGCCGCGTTTTCTGAAAATTGCCGCAATTCCAGCACACTTTTCCGATATTTTTGTGTGTTGATATCGACGAAAGAAGAGACATTATTTTCGTGAAAACGCCGCCGCGTTTGAGACGTTTTTGACATCATTCGCAATACGCTCTCCGCCGCAATTTCCGAATTTTCATAGCGGCCGATGTGGATCGGTTTTGAGACGAAGTGAGTGTCGGAAGTGATTAAGCACACGTTAATACAAGTATTTTAAGCGTTCAAACGGTGGCAAAAAGTATCGGCGAATGACTGAAATTCGCGCATTTTCAGCACAAAACTTTAAAAATCGATTGAATTGATTGAATTTCTGAATGAAACCTGCTCGTTTTAAGCTCAAAAAGTCCGCGATGATTAGTTTAACAAAGTTATGCAATCGCATCGTCGAAACCCGTACAAAATTTGGGTAATTTTTGACGAAAAACATGAAAAATTGGGTTAAATTTCGAATTTCGTGCCAAAATGGTGATCGCGCCCCTTTCTATGTTTTTGGCCGCCGTGATTTCTCTCGGATTTTCAGAAATTGAACATTTTCCCCGGGTGATGGTCCGCAAACACGGTCACGACAAAATGCACAGACTTTGTTTAAAGGACCAGGGAACCCAAAAATTTTTTGTAACTGTTTGAATTGTCTCTTATTGCCTCATACACTGGTGAAATGCTGCCTCTCAAAAATGCCAATGAACGAAACGGCATGCAGTTGAAGTTGTGGCCGTGGCCTAGCGCCAATGGCCGAAAAATATATAAAAATATATGCGCTTCTCGGCCATTTTATTTTTTCCGCTTTTTTACCGGTTTTTTTCCAAAAATTCACGGTTTCTCCCATTTTGGCACTTCATATCGACTGAATGAAAAACAATTTTTTTAGCAGTGAAAAAAATAAGTAAGTGCCGAACAAATGTCAATCAACTGAAAAAAATGAGAGAAACCGTTAACTTTTTGGAAAAAAACCGGTAAAAAAAAGCGGAAAAAATAAAATGGCCGAGAAGCGCATATATTTTTATATATTTTTCGGCCATTGGCGCTAGGCCACGGCCACAACTTCAACTGCACGCCGTTTCGTTTATTGGCATTTTTGAGAGGCAGCATTTCACCAGTGTATGAGGCAATAAGAGACAAATCAAACAGTCACAAAAACATTTCACAAAAAAATCAAAAAATTTTTGGGTTCCCTGGTCCTTTAAAGCTTCGCATTGTCGGGATCATTAGTCGGTCCCCTGTGGACCACTGGTTGTTCGTGAAAGTAAGTCGGTTGCAAAACGGTCTTGAGGAAGAGTTGACACGCTTTTTTTTGTCAGTTATCAATGGATGAATTTCATCAAAAATCGATAAGGATCTAATCGGTTTTCACGTAAGGAAGCGACGCACCTTCCAGTGCATGCACGCCGGTCCCACTTGATGGGCGACTCGGACCGTCCAATGGCCGTTCGCCGCCCGAAACACCTCCTTCACCCGCTTCGATTTGGCCGTTTTCGAGGCGATGAGTCGGAGGCATCCGATTGTGGACCAGGTGAACGAGCAGAACGACTGAACCGCCTTTTTGTCGCTCACATTGACGCCGACGTGCAGGTAGGGACGGCAGGAACCGGAGGGGAAGATGGAGAGCAAGTCCTGGTAGGTGTCCATCATGCCCGACGCCCAGTGGATGCCCGGCGCGCACGCCGACTGCATCGCTTTCACTTCATTCGGATGCGTTCTGCAAAAACAACGCATTTTACGCAAATTCGCAGACCTCAGAGATTTGTACGCAAACACGTCACAGTGCACAACTATGAACCTACAGTAACCCAGTCCGTACTCACCGACTCGTGTAGATATAACTCTGAAACTTGTGCGACTTCAACCGGTAGGATCGTGTCCAGAATTTGCGGTTGCCGTCCGCCTTCTTCCACGAATAAAACACGCACGCCGTGTATTTTTGCTTCTCGAAAAACGCGCCCACGCACGATTTTTCGTCGTCGAAACGGAGAAAAAGTGTGGAGAGCACGAGCTTTGAACGTTTCTGAACGAGCGCTTTTCCTTGCGGCGAAACGAGCGCCAGATTGAAACTGAAACAGAGAATTGAGGGAGAATTTTGGGGAATGAGAGCACTTACCAGTCGACTGGGCTCAAGTACTGGAACAGGTTCTTCATGTATTTGTCGGGAAGCTCGAAGAGATTCGGTGGCGTTGTTTCGCTCATTTTATTATTACTGAAATGTCGGCAAACTTTGAGCGGCTTAGGAGTGGTCGTACAAAAATATTGTCAACGTAGCAAATAACGTTCATGTTGGGTACTTTATTTTTGTAATTGATCACTTTTTGGTACGACTACTCCCTGGCCTACTGTAGCTCTTGGAAGTTGCGTTTAGCTATTATCAACTTCAAAGGGATGTAGTAGGCCAGGGAGCGGTTTTATCAAAATGTTATCAACTGAACATGTAAAGCTGATGACTTGTAGTATATTTTTGTAGTTGACAAGATTTTTGTACAATAACTCTCTGGCCTACTATAGCTCTTGAAAGTTGGCGTCGAAAAAGCATGGGCTCTTAGCTACCCCCAACTTCCAAGAGCCACAGTATTCCAGGGAGTGGTTCTACAAAAATCTTGTCAACTACAAAAATAAACTACAAGTTATAAGCTTTATTTGTCTAGTTGATCACTTGCTCATAAAACCACACCCTGGCCTTCTGTAGTCCTTAAAAGTTGGTCATAGCTATACGCTTGATAATTTCACTCCCAACTTCCAAGAGCTACAGTAGGCCGGGGAGTAATCGTACAAAAATCTTGTCAACTACAAAAAAAGTATAGATTTCGCAAAAAGAGGGCGGCAAACAGTATACATTTGACGTTTTCCAACAAAAAAGCGTTACTACTATACTTTTCAATATTCGAAAAAAAAGTTGTAGGTGGCAAGTGTGAAAGATACTTATAAAAGAAAAAGGATAACGGATAAACATGGATAAATGCATGTTACGTGACTTTTTGAAATAAATATCCTATTCAAGTTTTTGGATATCGAGAAAAACGTTAAAAAAAATCGAGTGAGGTGTCTGGTTTAAAACAACGTTTGTAAATGTATAATATTTCAATTTTTCAAGACAAAAATACACTTTTCAGATAGTTCACAAGTTCTAAAACTGTTTTTTTTTATCACAAAACTTAAACCAATCCAATAAACGTTGCAAGAAATGAAGAATATATATATTGGCGAAAAAGTAAGTAAAAAGTGTATGTATATAAGTGCCCGGGGGGTAAATCAGTGAGAGACGTGGGGCAAAATGCCGACGCGCAGAACGCGAGAGAATGCGGGCCGCAGTTCGGCCACTCGGTCATCTCTGCGTCTCTCCGAGATAGACACTCTCTCGCTCCGTATTGATCGGAAAAGAGAGAGGGAAAGGAATGGGAAGCGACACGAGAAGCGGCGGATATTATGGATGTAAAGGATTACGGTAGTACAGACACAAATATTATAAATCTCAAATGTCCATCGGATCCTGTCTCGACGGTGGCTTGTGCCAGATGAACATGCTGAACAGGTTGTCGAGTATTCGGATCGAGGCACGGATCCCGTCGGCTCGCACCACTTCAAAGTCGTACTTTGTCATCGTGACGGTGTTCGGCTGACGGATCATCGAGCAGAATTGTCTGGAAAACGAATCGATCTATGACTTTTCTACTTTCTGGTCTACAATATTTAGTAAAAAAAAACTCACTCGTTTTCCCTGACGAATCGTGCGCCGTGCTTCCTCAAATTCACCCTCCTCGTCTTGATGCGATCCAGAATCGGAATCTCGACGTCGTCGGGCCGTCCGGGTCCTCCGTCTCGGCGGATCCGCCACGCCAACGTTTCCTCTTCGTATCTCTCTATTTCGAGAATGTCGGCCGCGTCCATCTCCGGCATCGGATCCTGTCTGACAGTCGGTTGAAGGACCGCCCGTCTTCCGCGCGGAACGTCTCTTCTGGGCGGTCTCCTCAGCTCTCCGAAGCCCACGACAACCCGTCCGAGCCGTCGGTTCCGTCTGTCTTGCCGCCAGAAGATCGATTTCAGAATCTTCTTCTCCTCGGGATTTGTGTTGGCTCGAATGAGGCAGAGAATGCGTTCACGGTCCGGGATTCCGATGCCCTCGTACTCGATTTCAATGCATTTCAGGTTGGGCATGAAGTCTCCGCGCTTCCAAGTGTTCACAAACTCGACAATATCCGTATCCTTGATCGAGCTCCTCGTGTAGACTCCAATATTTCGGGCGGCGCGCATCAAAACGACGTCTTCAAGCGAGACCCACGAGTTGTTGAATATCCCGATGTTCTTGACGTCGGCGAGCCTCGGATGCTCCATCCGAGCGCCCAAATCCGTCTTCAGCACGAACGTCTCTTTGATGAGACACGTGTCGAGAAGGTACTCTGCGTCCGAGTGGTCCATCCGATCGCCTGTCAGATGGATCACCTCACACTTTGCGAATTCGGGGATGCGCAGCAGTCTGAAGACGTTTTTGATGGCGTTCGTGTCGATTTCGAGCCGTCCGATTATCGGAGTCGGAAACGTGGCGGCCAGATGATCGTACAGTTTGTACAGCAGACTGAGCACCTCCTTCCGCTCGCACATCACCAGGATCTTGCTGCTGTTGAGCAGGTTTTGGCTGGAAATTAAAAATCAAAGTCAGAAAATGGCGACAAAACACTCACTAATAGATAAAATTCATTTTTTTAAACGTTCCGCAGTGAAGTTGTCCGTCTCTGGGCAACGACTGATTCAGATTGATCTCCAGCTTTCGGTTCCCCAAAAAGTTCAACACAATCGACGGATTCTCTTTGATGAACGCCACCGAATGTCGTTCGCATCGGACCGCCGCCTCGGCCATCTTTTTCTGCATTCTAGTCGACATTCCCGACAAGATGAACCTACAAAATCGTTGATTCCGATGCGGATCGCTCGAAAATCGATAAAACTCACAGTGTGCTCGGTTCCATTTGCTCGAAAGCCATTTTTGCGGCCAAAATTGGCAGTTTTGCCAGCGGAAACGGCGCCATTTCACTGGTTTTGAACGGAAAATGTGCGTGTGTTTGTGTGTGAAGCGGGCGAAATGAACGGAAAGGACGGGAAAGAGTCGAGGGAGGGGGAGACGCAGACGGAGCGACAGACAGAACGCCGTGTAAATACGACACCCCCACGACGTTTCGCAACCGAACGTGCACTTTTCTACTACAATTCTACACCCAATTTCGCCGCAAAATCCATAAAAAATTCTCGTTTTTCCCAGTTTAAAAGACACATTTATACTTTTTCTATCACGGCGACCAAAAGTGTAGAAATGGGCGTGGCCTAATCTGAGACGGGTTTTCTGAAAATTGCCGCAATTCCAGTACTTTTCCAATATTTTTGTGTGTTGATATCGACGGAAGAAGAGACATTAAAGAGAGAAAACATTAAAATTTTCGTGAAAACGCCGCCCGTTTGAGACGTTTTTGGCATCATTCGCAATACGCTCTCCGCCGCAATTTCGGAATTTTCATAGCGGCCGATGTGGATCGGTTTTGAGACGAAGTGAGTGTCGGAAGTGATTAAGCACACGTTAATACAAGTATTTTAAGCGTTCAAACGGCAAAAAGTATCGGCGAATGACTGAAATTCGCGCATTTTCAGCACAAAACTTCAAAAATCGATTCAATTGATTCATTCTCTTAATGAAACCTGCTCGTTTTAAGCTCTCAAAAAGGGCGCGATGATTAGTTTAACAATTTTATGCAATTACATCGCCGAAATCGTACTAAATTTGGGTAATTTTTGACGAAAAACATGAAAAATGGGGTTAACTTTCGAATTTCGCGCCAAAATAGTGATAAACCGTGCACGCTAGGCCCCACGCCCCTTTCTACATTTTTTGTCGCCGTGATTTCTCTCGGATTTTCAGAAATTGAACATTTTCCCCCCGGGTGATGGTCCGCAAACACGGTCACGACAAAATGCGCAGACTTTGTTCAAAGCTTCGCATCGTCGGGAGCATTAGTCGGACCCCTGTGGACCACTCGTTGTTCGTGAAAATAAGTCGGTTGCAAAACGGTCTGTTATGACGTTATCAATGGATGAATTTCATCAAAAATCGATAAGGATCTAATCGGTTTTCACGTGTACTTTTCTTCTCCGATCAGACCAAGGATAAAGTGGAAATCGAATCAGTTTGGGACCTTTCAATCGTTTCACTTCACCGTCTTCTTCTCATTTGAAAATGATCAACTGCTTCCTATTCTTCATTCAGGCAAGTCCCCCCCTACCACATGAATTCTATAAAACAGTTGCTTCAGCTAATCCTAATCTCGGTTCACACACTGTCGACGTGCAAATCAAAAACGAATAAGGCGAAGAAGCCAAGTCCGTCGGCTGATACACCAGCGCCCAAGGCGTCGGTGATGAACGACGCGCCGACGACGTCGCCGAAATTGGATCCGCCGACGACGACGCCGGTCAAGGAGGAAGCGGCATCTGCAGCGATCGGGGCAGTGGCAGAGGAGAAGAAGGAGGAGAATGGGGAGAAGAAGAAGAAGGAGGAGGAGGAGGAGGACAAGAAACAGGAGGTGAGTACGGATCATGACACAGAGCAAAACAAGGAAAGTTCCAGAAGTCGATCAACTCTCAGTTCAACAGGGCCATGGACTCGTCGGTCGCCTCGCAGACTGTCTAATTGCTCTTGTTTGTCACGTATGTCAGATGAATTGTGTAGTCTTCTGTGTTTTCTCTGTATCGTCCCCTTCCAAGCATTCGACGGAACGCAAGAAACTTCTTTTTTAAAAACGTGAACTCAAAATGAAATAACGATCTGAAGCGCGAATTCTCGAGGTTTCCAAACAGTTCTCCCGAATCTTCAGGAAGGAAAACAATGAAGGTGCTCTTCGGATTCACAGTCTTCTCGTTCTTCGGTACTGTTTCCACTTCTTTTTCCTCGCTCCTTCTTCACCACAAGCGAATGAATGTATTCAGTGGCTCTGCAAGTCTTTGCTGAAATTCCCGAACGGCTTGCGGCGGAACTGAAAGGAAAACTGGCGAATCTGAGCGCCGTGCATGAAATCCGAGGAGAATTGAGTTACATTAATGAGATAAGAAGAGCAACGGCAGAAGTGAACCAAATTCCGAACTATCCGAAAATGGTATGACGAACTTCCGTTTCATCAAACTTGTCGCATTTCAGAACTGGGATGACGCACTGGCGACAAAAGCGGTCTCGTTTGGATGTGAGGAGCACGTTGGAACCGACTTCCGCGCCTTCAGAATCAGTGCGGATCCGGCCGCAGTGGACCACGACATCGCACTTATGGAGGAGTTAAAGAAAGATCCGGCGCTTGTCTTCACTCGCTCGCAGGGGTTATTCGAACTTTTTTCTCCCGTGAATTCAAAGTTTGGGTGTGCGAAGAGCAGCTGTCCGACGGCTGGTTTCGCGTATTCTTTCACTTGTCTGGCTGTACCGACGTGAGTCGAACGACTATTGTCGTCGTTGACAAAACATTTAATTTCAGAAATGTGAACAAACGTGAGAGCAGCGAGCAAGGAAAACCCGGATCGCAGTGCGGAAAGTATGTGAACGATAACGGACTGTGCGATTACAACCCGCTGCGGCTCCGACGACTCCATCCTCTGCGAATGGCTACAGACTTGTGACAACTATTGTCGTTTCCTTGATTCTTGCTGTCATTTGAAAATAAATCGAGTTCCGATTGAAAAGCAGAAAAAGAAGAGTCTTGCGTTCGGGGGGAATCGAACCCCCGTCGAATGCTTGGAAGGCATCCATGCTGACCATTACACCACGAACGCGCCGATCCGATCCGGTCGATTTGGCAGTGAGGAGAGGGCCGATAGATCCTGTTCCGTCCCCTTGTCGCTGTCGCATTTTGAACGAAACAAATGTCTTCGAAGAGCGAGAAATCGTCACTTCTGCCGATTTTCAAGAAGAATTGTTTTTTCAGCGAGAAGCGAGAAAGCCGAACTTTTAGAAGCATTTGTTCCGCACGCACCCTTTAAGGATCTTTGCACCAAGTGCCCTTATCCCCTCTCATCAGTATGTTCGTCACGCGCGAAAAAAGTCAAAAGTTCACCGGGTGTCCTGTTTGTTTTTTCGACGCCATTCTTTCAGTTTTTCAGTTCCGAGAAAGAAGGAGACAATAGAGGCGAGAACTGGAAAACAAAGTAATTTCGACTAGAATTTGTGCTGAAATTCTTGCCCGCAGACATACGTATTGGTCATGAGAATGTGACGGTCTCCCACGGCGCGCGAATGATTTCAATGGGGCGCACTTGCAACAGGCGGGCTGTGTCGATTTACGCGGCGGCCGATTAATTAAAATTTTCAACGGGAGGCCGCGTTCTTTCCATGTTTTCTGTACAATACATCTATTTTTTGTACGCCTGGAACCTGGATTCGAAAAATTAGAGAGTACTAGCTACGTTTTGGTAACAGAAATCTCACATATCGTTGAGAATTAGCCGAGTTATTTCTAATTGAAGGTTTTCGCCTGGATTTTGATGTTTTTCGAATCGTTTCGCGAAAACTGCTCAAGAAAACCAACCGCCGGAACCTGAATTTTGTGAAGAACGATTCAGCGAACATTTTTATCGTTCGTTGGGCTCATGAAATGCAAAATGAGCTGAAATATAAAGGTTTGAAGTTTTGACGAAATGCGAAAAAGACGCTAAAAACATGAAAAACTCTAAATTCTGTAAAGTTAGTAAAATAATTTTTTTCTAGACGTTTTTCAAGTCAAAAAGAAAGAAATAAAAGTTGTAAACTCGAATTGAACTGCATTTTCGGACCTGCAAATTTTCAAAAAAAGTTACAACGACACTCCGCAATTTACGAGCGCCCTGTGTTTAGCATTAGCGCCCCCAGAATTTTTTTATCTTTTTTTAGAAAATTTTTTTCATGGAATATGATCAACTGACGAAATGTATAGCAAAATGAACTCTGCTCATAAAAAAATAATTGTAAATTTAGCTTTTCATACAAAAAAGTTATTCGAGACGGAAGACGGAAGGACATTTTCACGGGACAACTCGAATAACGTTGTTGTATGAAAAGCTAAATTTACAATTATTTTTCTATGAGCAGAGTTCACTTTGCTATACATTTCGTCAGTTGATCACATTCCATGAAAAAATTTTCTAAAAAAGATAAAAATTCTTCCGTGTTCTTCCGTTGAGCTCTTCCGCTCAACTCTGCTCTGTACCAATTCTAATTCGATCATCCGACAACAACACCACGTCCTTCCTTTTTCATCACTATTATCCGTCCACATGAGCACTCGCGTGTGTGTTCATTCGCACATGGCCCCCGAGCGTGATTTTTGTACATATTTGCAAATGTCGACGCACACTTTGTGAACGGATAAACACGTGGTACACATTTTCATCATATCAGGGTTTGACACAAACACACGAGAGCGAATTCAGATGGAATTGGGCGAAACAACAGAAAAGTAGCGAAAAAGAGGGGGGCGGGGGGCGGGGCGATGACAATGAGTGAACGGGTGAGTGAGTGAGTGAGTGAGTGACTGTGTGCGTGTGTGTGCTAGCAGAAAAACCGATGGATAATAATGAGAGAGAGAGAGAGAGAGAGAGTAATCATCGGCGTCCGGCGCTCGACAGTTTGTTCAGGTTCATGCCGAGCAGTCCGTTGATGAGTTCGGCGTTCGAGCTGCAAACATTTTGGGATATTGTCGGTTTTGAGAGCTCGTCCTTACCGCTTTCCGACCGCCGACAGCTTTCCCAGATCCATTCCGATCAGTCCGTTGATGAGCTCCGCGTTGCTGCGCTTCACAAATTGCACGTCATCGTACATCTGAACAGCGCAAAAAGTTTTTCGGGTTTTTCGAATGACCTCCCGCTGGATGGATGATGATGATGTATCTAGTCACAAATTCGATTTTGTCCCTCAACACAAATGATATTACGTTGATATTGTTCGGTTTTTTGTGTGTGTGTGTGTGTGTATGAATGTCAAGAGCCGTGTACTATGGGGCATGATTGGACAAAAACAACGAAAATGTGAGTTCCCGGCTTTAAAAACACTTTTATGAAAATGTGACTAACAGGGCTTGGATCCCATTTTTGTCCCTTTTTTTGAGAAAGGGGGTCTAATCTCTCTAAGACCTTGAATTTTCGGGGACCGTACTCACCTGCGGCGCCCGATAGAGCAGTGGGGTGGCCGTGGAGACGGCGCAGAAGACGGCCAAAAGGGCGAGCATCGAGACGAGGAATCTGTTCATTTTCAGGGCGGGGCTGAAGACTGGAAAAGATTGAAAAGGGGATTGTTCACTTGGCGGTGAGGCGCAAGTCGAATGGAATGAATGAGGGACGGAAGAGCACCGCCCGGAGACGAGCACGCTCCGCCCACTTCCGACGGAGAGCAGCACTCGCCGCCACGCCCACTTTTTGAATGAGAGAGAGAGAGAGAGAGAGAGAGAGAGAGAAGGAAAGAAGAAGAAGGACCTCTGATGACTCAAGAACGTTGTTTTAATCTGGAAAAGACGTCAAGCATCATCCTACACGGAAAAGTTTTGACACCCGGACTTTGGAGCGCTCGGACGGGCTCGCGGAGCAAAAGATAGTCTCAGCGCTCCCACTGACCACTAATCCCTCATTCTGATTTGTCAGCGGTGTGCTTAATTAGATGGAAACTGAAGACTGATGATAGAATCGAGAAGAGCAGCGAAAAGTGCTCAAAGAGCACAAATTTCCGGTCTGGAATAGGATGGCACGTTTTTTGGCCCTTACTTTCTATTAATCCCCGCCTCACAATGATGGTGCGTCAAGCGAAAAGTGCGAGTTTTAATTAGGCTAAAGTGCCGCCGAAAGTTAATGTCACCAACTTCCGGCCGGAAGTCGAAAACGAAATTCCAACTTTTCCACTGTTCTTTGCTCCTCTTTTCCTGCAAAATCTCGTCTTTTATCCAAAGTGATGGAAAGGAAATCTTCCAGTCCAAAATCAAATTGCTTTTTCCTCTCGTTTTCGGTCCCGTTTCCTCCCCCCGGATGCCTTCTTCTTCTTCTTCTTCTTCTTCTTCTTCTTCTTTCACGTCATCATCTGATTCGGATGGAATCTCGGACAGAAGAAGAAGAAGAAGAAGAAGAAGAAGAAGAAGAAGAAGTAGAAGAAGCCTACCACCACCACCGAATGTGCATTAGTTTTAATTGAATTGTTCCGAGCGACCGAGAAGAAAAGGCGCGAAAAGTGCGGCCCCGGCGTTTCTTTGTGCCGACAAAGTTTCTAGACACGTTTGACGTCATCAGAACGTGTCCACGTTGCTCGGCGGCAATCTAGACACCAGGGTTCGAATCCACCGGCCCCTCAAAATGTTTTTGCCCCACTTTTTCTGTCTAAACACACACCGCACAAGCCGGAAAACACTTGGGTTTTCACTAACCACATCACCAATTTCACAAGTGCCACGTCATGCGGTCGGTAAACGCCGAAGCGCAAAAAAAAACGGCTTTTCGTTTCGAAAATACGCGCACAAATGGCCGCGGGGCACCGCCGATTCGCCGAATCCCGCGTGAGAACTTTCGAATTTCGAATTTCGCGCGTCAAAAGTCATCGCGTGATTAGTGTGTGGTGACGATCATCTGAGCATTCGAGCGAAAATACATCGTTTTGGGCCAGGGCCGGGTTCAAGAGCCGATCCAGCCGTTTTTTGTCTCCTTCTGTTCTTCAGGCGATTTGTTCAGCGACAAAATTGGATTGGTCGGCCGCGCGGGGACCGGGGGGTAATCGAGAGCGGAAAATGGCCGGAAATCGGGTGTGAATTGGCCGAGATTTTGCGGGCAGAAAAAATAGAGAAAGGGTAGGAAAAGGGCGAGGAAGACATCAGTGTTGAGCGGAATTCCGTCTTCCGTCTTCCGTCTTCCGTCTTCCGTCTTCCGTCTTCCGTCTTCCGTCTTCCGTCTTCCGTCTTCCGTCTTCCGTCTTCCGTCTTCCGGAATTTTTTCTTCTTACCGTAAAAGAGTAATAGCTTTTCAGAAGCCATTTAGTAGCCCCGAAGAACGCGAATTTCCACGGGCAGTGACCCAGATCCAAAATTTTTGTTGTTTAGTTATTTTTTTCAAAAAAAAAAACCGGAGAAAAAGGTTCTGCATTGACGATTTCTTTGTTCCGTCTTCCGTCTTCCGTGGAAAAAATTTACACGTTTCTGTACAAAATTCCGACCGAAACTGGTTCCCAAACAGATTTGTGTCCTTCTAAACGGTTTTTCCGTGTAAATGCGCTCAGTACGTGCTTTCTCCGCTGAACCGCTTCCAGAAATAAACAGAAAGTGCTTGCGTTTCCGCGCCATTCACACCCGATAACCCGTTTTTCAGTGTTTTTTGCTCAACGCCTATTTCTGGAGTCGATAAGACCTCGAAACTGGTGTACTGCACAGTTGAGCGGAAATGGAATTTTGAAATCCGGAAGACGGAAGACGGAAGACGGAAGACGGAACAAAAAAATCGTCAATGCAGAACCATTTTCTCCGGTTTTTGAAAAAAATAACTAAACAACAAAAATGTTGGATCTGGGTCACTGCCCGTGGAAATTCGCGTTCTTCGGGGCTACTAAATGGCTTCTGAAAAGCTATTACTCCTTTACGGTAAAAAGAAAAAATCCCGGGAGACGGAGGAACAATTTTTTACGGAACACGGAAGAAAACCTTATTCCCGGAAGACGGCAGACGGAAGACGGAACAAAAAAACCACGGAAGACGGAAGACGGAAGACGGAAGGCAGAAGAACATTTTTTTACGGAACACGGAAGACGGAAGACGGAATTCCGCTCAACACTGGTGTATTGCATGTGGATTAAGATCATAAACTGGTCTAGACGGCGAGAAAAATCTTGAAATGTCCATTCTTTTCGTCGCCGTTTCTCATTCATGATCGAAAGGATTTAGCATCAAAAAAAAGAGGAAATCCTGGTCAAGAATCACGTCTAGAACATCTCAACTACCGTAATCCGTCGCGTCGCCGTCGACGCCCCAAAAAGTTGGTCTTTTTCGGGTGAGCCCACCGCTAAAATGTGTTCTTTTTTCGCTTCTTTCATCGTCGTTCCCATCCGTCTTCCTCTCCTTTCTTCGTCTCGTTATTCTGTCATTTGCGACCGATGACGAAAGACGAAAAAAAGAGAGAGAGAGAGAAAGAGAACGGATAAAAAAAAAGTGAATGTATAATATCAGAATGGAAATGTTGAAGTGAGCACTTTTGGAGGCGACTAATGAAATATTCAAGAACACTCAGAGGTCCAATCCATTCTTTTGATTGATTTCAGAATGGAATGGATGACGTCCAATCCGGCGCACAAGTTGACAACTTTCTTTTGACGTAATATGATTTAGGAGGCTCTTGGGAGCACATCCGATGTGTCAAGGATCACCAAAAAAAACCGGGGGTCTAGACCCCGAAAACCGGTGTTCGTTCGACAAATCTGCAACCCAAGCGGCGGGACCGCCCACGGACTTTCTTTTCGGGGTCATAAGCGAGAAAAGAGCAGAAGATGAGCTTTTTCCCCTTTTCCCCACTCCACAAAAACTTTGAAGAGTTGACTAATTTCGGTGGAAAACACGTTAAAAAGGGGCGCACTGATGCGCGTCACCTTCTCTCTGTTTTTCTCGTTTTTCTGGCAGAAAGCGGGGCGGAAACGCGTCGTCACAACGCAAGAATTTGCGTTCGAGCCGAATTTCCCGAAACTTTTCTGCACTGCGCTCCAATTTCCGTTCTTCAAAACGTTCGGAAATTGAAGAGAAGCGAGTTGGCGGCCAAATTATCGCGGAATTTCGGGTCTAGGAGCTGAGAAAACCGAGACTTGCCAAATCCCGGGCCGGCCCGGTCGACCCGGAAGTTAGACCTCAAAAAAAATATGCAAAAAAAATATGAAGGAAGAGGAAAACGCGTGCGGCAAAATTGCTAAAATGGCGTGCCAGAGTTGCAATCAATCGCTCCGCCCACTCTTGAGAAAATTTTCGTAATTTTTGTGAACATTTTGCGACTTTAAACAGCAATTTCTATTTTTTAACAGGTTTTTATGCTATAACATTGCCTTTTTCGTCTTTTTTTCTATTTCTGCTGGTTTTTACAATGAATCTTCGAAATTGAAGCAATAATTGAAGCGATAACGTAGGCCGTTTTCAAAGTTTGGTGGGTAAAAATGGACGAAGACAAAGTGCTTGAAGAAAACGGCGGTCAACTTGAATTTTGAGGTGCATCCTCCCGGGCCGACCGGGCCGGGCCGGAAAATTTCCAGTTTTGGCCCGGCCCGGCCCGGCCCGTTGCAAGTCTGCAGAAAACATGTTCTGGAGGCCAGGAGCTTGGAAAATGTGTCAAACATGTCTTGGAAGCGTAGATGTGTCCGGGAAACATGTTTCACTCTCAGAAATGCCTGCAAACGGAACGACGTTAAAGTTGTGTGGCCGTGGCCTAGAAAACTCCTGGATTTCTTTCGCATTCGACACAATCCTCAGAGTTTTCTAGGCCACGGCCACAACTTTGACTGCGCGCTTTTCCGCTTAAACACGGCGCCGAAAAACGTAGAAAGGGGCGTGGTTTATCACCATTTTGGCGCGAAATTCGAAAATTTAACCCAATTTTTCATGTTTTTCGTCAAAAATTACACAATTTTTGTACGGGTTTCGACGATGCGATTGCATAACTTTGTTAAACTAATCATCGCGCACTATTTGAGAGCTTAAAACGAGCAGGTTTCATTCAGAAATTCAATCAATTGAATCGATTTTCAAGTTTTGTGCTGAAAATGCGCGAATTTCAGTCATTCGCCGAAACTTTTTGCCGTTTGAACGCTTAAAATGCTTGTATTAACGTGTGCTTAATCACTTCCGACACTCACTTCGTCTCAAAATTATCCAGATCGGCCGCTATGAAAATTCGGAAATTGCGGCGGAGAGCGTATTGCGAATGATGCCAAAAACGTCTCAAACGGGCGGCGTTTTCACGAAAATTTCAATGTTTTCTCTCTTTAATGTCTCTTCTTTCGTCGATATCAACACACACAAAAATATCGGAAAAGTGTGCCGGAATTTCGGCAATTTTCAGAAAATGCGGCGTCTGAGATTAGGCCACGCCCCTTTCTACACTTTTTCGTCGCCGTGTTAAAGGCATGTGGCTTTAAACAAGTTCTCTAGAATTGCCTAGACTTGTAATATTTTGCCCTCAAATGTTGCAAAACATGTTCCCTACTGGATTACTGTAGTTTTTCGCCCGCGTGATTGGGCCAATTCGGCCGCATCCGAAACAAAGACGGAAGCCCCATTTCCCACGTCATTCTCTCTGTTTTCCTCCTTTCTCTCTCAAACTTTAGTCGACTAACGAGAACTTGAGGCGATTGGCCAAATTTTGCATCGAAAAATTGACATTTCCCCCGGATTCGCACGGTTGATGAAGCCTATTTTGAGGCGGGAAGGATGCGAAACGGAAAACGGTGGCAATACAATATTTGTCGGGGGCGCTTTTTTGAAGTTATCTCAAAAATTGCACTGAAAAATGTTGATGAGCGCTGAATTTGCCATCGATTTGCCATTCATGAGGAAAAAATTTTTTCTGTTGCTATTATTCAAATTTTGAAATTTCCCAGCCGTCCCATGCATTTTTTCGGCTTCTACAAGCGATTTAAAAAGTTTCGACATACATCATGCGCACATTTCCGACGAAAAAAGTTCGGACCCGAAAATGAGCCTCAAAATTTTTTTTTTCGTCAAAAACCTGTCATGCCGTATGTCAATCCATGCGAAATTTGCAGCCGAATTCGAAAATGCACATAAAGACTCGGTGCAGATTCGTTTTCGCGATGAAAAGTGCTTTTGTTGTTTTGGCGGCAGGCACACATTCGTCAGCGCGATTTCTCATTTCGCAAAGGATTTCGTGACTTGTGCAAATAACAATTAATTGAATTTGTGTGTTGCAACATGAATGTCGCCTCAGAAAATGACCATTCGAGGGGAAAGTGTTCAAGAATCTTCGCCAAGATTCTAGGCAAATCTGACGAAAAAGCGTCGTTTTAGAGGGGGGGAAACGGGGCTAATTTCAGAAATATCGACTCTTTTGTCGAATTTCTCTCGTAATTCCCATCAATTATCATCGTTGGCCTGTCAAAAACCAAAAGGACCACGAAAGCGGGCACGCATGATTGATGGGCAAAATAAAATAAAGTTGAAAAGTTTGAATGAGATATGCGAGAGCCCATCATTGAAATGGCGTTTTTGTCTACAATTTTCGCGGGGGGGGGAAAGATCGACAGAGCCTTTTCTCTTCAGGATGTCACGATTTCTGGGTCAATCACATAGAAATCGACCCAGACGATCTTTTTATCGATTTTTGGGTCGCTAAGACCCATCAATTCGCAAATAACGTTCCTAAACCCACAATAATTTACATACGTTTCGAAAACCGACAAAAAAAAGGCACTTAAAATCACTGAAAATGCGTGAGAATATGCACAAGAAAAGGCGGAGCAAAAAGAAAGGGAAAATGATGCGTAGAGCAATGGGGTTATGTCATTTTTAAGGAAATGGCAAAAATGGTGGATCATCATGAAAAGAAACGATTATCGGGGCCAAAATACATAAAAATGCAAAGGTTATAGCGGACGGCCGGTTCTTTGCATTCTCATCTTCTCGAGACGGCTCTGCAGGTGCTTATTCGTCTCTTTCTGCTCGTCCAACGCGTTTTCCTTGTCGCGCAACTGAAGAACAGACAGAATTACGCTTTTTCAGATTCTTCAGGAAACATACCTCTTTTTTGGTTTGACGCATTTGAGTTTTCAACTCGTCGAGCTCTTTTTCGGCCGCCTCCGCGTTCGATTTGTACCGCTTCATTTGGCCTTCCATTCGGATCACCTGAACCAAACAATTGTTTAGAAGAATTGAGGAAAAGTATGAGGGTTTTTGAAAAATGCATGTTTCCTCACATTTCCCTGCTGATTGGTGTTCTCTCGTTCCAAATCCTGCATTTTCAGCTTCATATCCGCGAGTTGTTTGGCCGCATCCTCTGCAAAATTAAAAATAATCAAGGTTTTGGCCCCATCACGACAAAACTCAGAAATCAATCACAAAACCAGGGCTGGGCAATTGGTCGGCCCTTTTCTTCGATTTTTGACCCACTTGCAATGATCCGATCGGACCCAAACTTTGCAGGCTTCTTGGGATTCGATTTGAGTATACCGGGTCCAAGTTTCAGCCTGATCGAATAACCAACTGACGAGTTAGTGCAAGAGGGCCGATTTTGGCCGAAAAGCCCGGGCTTTCGGCCAATGGTCCACACATCTCGGGACCGGATGACCCGATCGGGCTGAAACTTGGTCCCAGTATACTCCAATCCATTCTCAAGAAGTCTTCAAAGTTTGGTTCCGATCGGATCATTGCAAGTGGATCAAAAGTCCAGCCCCGCACAAAACGATAGAAATTCCCATTGAAACTCAAATTTCTCGTACTGGACGAACGAAAACGATCACGACGGACAAAAAGGTTGTGCTTACTGAACTGTCTTCGGAGAATGTCCTCCCGAATGTATCCTACCGGTGTTTTTGGATAACACTTTCAAATTCTCGGCCCAAAAACTCACTGTTCACGTCGTCGACGCCCTGATTCGGCAGCACATTCGAAGAGTCGCGGGCATTGCGGGCGTGTCGTTGCGTGTAGATCGTCTGTTCCAGCTCCTCGTAGTCTTTTCGCATTTTCTTATTCTAAACTTCCAAGATTTTGCAAGGAAATTCTCCGAAAACGTACCGTATCGATGAGCTTCTGAATCTTTTCGTCCAAACTCGCGGCTCCTGGGACGACACGGTCCACGAGTCGAATCGTTTCGCGTTTGAACAGGTACGGACCCGATCTTCTGCAATTCTATGATGAACTTCTTGTTTTTCGATAAATGTATCGTATACTTTGTCTTTATGATTCTGAAGCTTCTACCGTAACCCAATCTGCCTCCCAAACGACGTAATCTACAGTAATCCATTCATTTCTAATCGAGTTGCGCACAAACATTCTCTCCGTTTTGTGGTGCTCTTAATTGAGAAGAACTCCGTCACCGTCACTAATTGGAATGGAAACGACGAAAAAGACAAAGGAATTCGGGGCGACGGACGAATTTTCGCGTCGATTTAATCAACGCCTCCCCGGGGAGCTACTAATGGATTCGGAAACGCTAAAAAAACGACGGTGAAGAGGAGGGAAAAGTACGAAATGAGGGAGTTTCCCGGCGGAAAATGGAGACAAGGGACCGACTGTGTTCCGATGTTCGGCAACTATTGTCGTCTCAAACTCTTTGTTTTTTCAGTCAAAACCCGGAAATTTCTGCAACTTCCAAGGTTTTCCTCAAAACTGGTTCATCCACGTCACTTTCTTTTGCAATTAACCTCTCCGCCAGATTCCCATCACTTTGCTTTCTATTTTTAGACGAATTTCTTCGATGCTCAACTTGCTCGCCTCGTGATTCATCAATATTTCAAAGTTGCAACATTGTTTGCCTCCTCCTCCTTCTTCTTCTCCTGCTTCTTCAGAAGTGAATTCAGACGACGTGGAGGAGCAAAGACATTTGATTAAGCTTAATGAACGAAACGGGCGGCGGAGGAGGACAACAACCACGTCTTGTTCTCCTTCTTCTCCATCTTCTTCTTCTTCGTCAAACAATGATGAAAATGAGGAATCTCGTGGCGGAGAGGATGACGAATTTTCAACGGACACCGACAGAGTTCGCAGGGACCAACCGCAGGAAAAACCCGGTAAAAAAGCGAATTTTCACAATTTTCCACAAAATTGGGCAAAAGGGATGTTTTAAAGACCTGGTCTAAACATGTATCCAAAAAGGCACAATGTGGTGCGCGCGGTAGATCAGACGGGTCTCGCAGCGATTGGACAAAACAAAGTGAATAAATGCGTTGCGCCTTTAAAGTGAGTGCGCGCGAGTCGTTTGCCCACGGTGATTCTTTGCGAGGGTGACGAGGAAAATTCTAGTCCATTTGGCCCGGGGTCGCAGGCCGTGGTACTAGGCCACGGTTTCCGCCGAGTCCCCCGGCTGAACAAGAAATTATTAGGCCACGCCAGAAGTTAGGCCAGGAGGCCGAACCGAAGAAACTCGGCCATGGGGAATTTTTCACGAATTTCGCGCTTGTTTCATATTTTAGCGCTTGTTCTCTGTCAATTAATGCTTGTTTTCGGCTGAGTTTTGTATTTTTTCATCTCAAACATGAAAGAACGCAGTTTATAGAAGCTTTATTATTTTTTAGTAATTGTTATCGACAGAGAAAAATTGCCAACAGCAAAAACCAATAACAGCGCTGTGTAATACTCCTGAAAAGCAGTAAGAACGTCTTCAAAATGCTGTCGGAAACAATTGCGGCTAAACAGAAAGCGCGCGCGCCAAACTTGCAAAATTGCGTGCGGCAATTGCGCAAGACCACGCCCCTTCTTTGAATGGTGGCCGAGTTCGCGGCGCGTTTCTCACTACACCCTCGCAAAGAATCACCGTGTTGCCATTGGGAAGGCAGAGGGCCGAGGAGAAAAAAAAGAGAACGGTCCCGGGGAGAGATTGGCCAACGAGTGGGTTGGAGACAGCCGGCGGTGCGGTTTTCGTGACCGGGCCAGGGACCGTTCAAGAGTTTCACACCAGTCACGTCTTCTTGTCCTTTTTTCTCCTTGCCCAGTACTGTTCTCCCCAATAACGTTTTCTTTTTCAAAAGTGCTCGTAAAACTGACATTTCCCCGGACGCGGTGTTCGTGGATTCGGATCCGTCCTCTTCGGGCTCTTCTTCGACCAGGCACAGTCCATTTTCCTGCAAATTCTTTGCACAAAATGTGTGACACAATTTCACTTCATTTTCGACGGAAAAAATCGTGTAATTTTCACTTTTTCTTGAATATTTTCACGGAACATCCGAACTTTTCGCAATTTTTCGTTACAAAGGATGCGAACCTGAATAAGAGCGTCCCTCTGTGCGATTTCGTGCTTGAGCTGCTGCTGAGTGCTCTGCAACGCCTCGATCGTCCGTCGCAACGCCTTCACTTCACTCGTAAGCTCGCGGCATTCGCGCGAGGACAGATTCAGAGACGCGTCTTTCTCTTCCAGGTCGTCTTTCAGCAAATCCACCTGAAAATTGACTTTTTTAGCAAAACACTGAAGGAAATGCATCAGAAACAGGCGAATGATTGTTTTCTTACATTTTTGCGTGGATTTTCTGAGAAATGATTTCAAATCATGAAATTTCTTGGATTTATCACTAATTTCTCCAATTTTGCCCCAAAAACCAGTACAAACCTCGTAGAGCAACGTGGATTTCTCGTTATCCAGCTGGGAGTACAAAAACATGACTTGCTGAACGCGGTCCTGCAGTTCGATGACTTTGTCCTGCAAAAATGGGCCTTCTACGGTAATTGTCCATGTTTTTCGAGTTTAGTCTCTGACCAAATCTGCGTTTTTGGCAATTTTTACGTGAGAACGGGCTCTTCTCCGAATTTTTCACAAATTCCGTGCAAATTTCCCTCGTTTTTCACTCACATGCAACTTTTCCTGCGTGTGATTAGCGGACACTCCGTTCGTATTAGATGTCGACTGAAAAATGGCACACTTTGTTAGAAAAAGGTGAACAACGGTAAAAATCATGCAATTTCGGGTTTTTTTTCCACAAAAATCCCAATTTAGGCCTAAAACTGACGGCGGTGTCGTGGCGGAACGCCTCCGCATCCTCTTCGACCTTCTTCTCGAGCAATTGGTAACGTCCCTGGCGCGCCTGTTCTCGGGTCTCTCTTTTCAGCTTCATTCGCGCTTCCGCCTGCAATTTTTGACATTTTTTGGGGAAAATTTGAATTTTTAGAAGAATTTCGATGACTTTTGCATTTTTGAGCATTTTCTCTAATTTTCAGTGAATTCAACTGCGAACCTCTCTGGAAATCTTGTCGAGTGCCCTTTCCTCGGCCTCCGTTCGGGTAATCGGTCGCCTACGGCCACTTGAAGTGTATTGGCTCATCTTTCTGAAAACATTCAAATTTATAGCTTTTTTTCACGGCAAAAATCGCGCGAGAACTTAACATGTACGGAAACCCCCCCACAAAAAATCGATCGATACGCGTTTGGGTCGTTCCGGAGGGCGAAAGCGGAGCGCAAAAGCCGTGCGGAGGGGGGCCGTCGAGGGCGAAAGTGTAATGTTTCCGCGCGGAATCCGCATCGAGATTTATGTCAATACGCGGCCAGGGACAAGCCGAACGGCCATGGGAACTCGGAAATTTTTCAATTTCCCGCATTTTTTTCGTGAAAACCTCTAAATTTCCCATTAGGCTGGTCAAACAGGCGCAGGCGCCTGAAATCGCCTGTTCAACCAGCCTATTTCCCACAATTTCAGCCTATCTTGGCGATCTCGGCGATCGATAACGATGTACAGTGCGGACAGGTGTCTTTGCGTCCAGAGGCCAAATGGACGGACCAATTTGCACGTCTCCCCCACTCCTCCATTCCCCCTCATTCGTCTCTTTTTTTGTGCTCACGACGGGTGCGCGCACACATTGCTCTCGTTTTTACCTATTTTCTGGCAGGTCTCCATCGATTTTCAGCAGTTTTCACAATTATTCAGCAATTGCTCAGTTTTTCCGAATTATCCGGCAATTTCTAGAGGAGCATCTTATCGACTTTTAAGCATTTTTCTATAACTTTTTCGGAAAAATTACCTTTAGAATTCTGTGCAACCCGCTAAAAATCGCAGAAGCTTTGATGCGGAATCGAAAAATTGAAAAAAAAAAATTTTCTGCGGGGGTATGCAAACGCGCTCCACCGCACACCATTTTCGTGGCGAGACCCGTCCAGCGTTCGAATGACTTGGCCCCGGTTTTGGGGCGGTTTCGAGCGTCGCTCACCCGATTTATGCTAATTTTGTCCTTTTTCAGCGGTTTTTTAGAATTTTAGACCAAATATTTGAATTTTCGACGTCGAATTATGCTAAATTTGGTCCTAGAATGCCGCTCAAAGTGGTTTTAATCAGAGATATTCGAAATTTTAGGACCTGAGTACTGTATTTCGCAATACCTTTTTTGCTCTGTTCTCGTTCCGATTTGGCCTGTTTTCAATTGAATTTTTGCAGAAAGTCAATCGCTCCTTTAAAAGTTAATTTTAACTTTCTACACCCACTTGTCATGACCGATGCGAAAAATGATGTGAACGGATCTACGGTGGTCGACGACGACGGCTTGATCGAGGTCCGTTAAAAAAAACTATTGATTTTCAGTTCGATTTATCGATTTTCCTCTTTCAGGGAAACTATGATGAAGTCGTCGAATCCTTCGACGATATGGGGCTCAAGGAGGAGCTCCTCCGCGGAATTTACGGATTCGGTTTCGAGAAGCCGTCTGCCATCCAAAAGCGTGCCATCGTTCCGTGCACCAGCGGAAAGGACGTGATCGCTCAGGCGCAGTCCGGAACCGGAAAGACCGCCACTTTCTCGGTCTCGATTCTCCAGAGAATCGAGCACACCGACCCGCACGTTCAGGCTCTTGTCATGGCCCCAACTAGAGAGTTGGCCCAGCAGGTAACGAGCAAAAGGGAGGGAACTTGCTAAGTTTCCGAGCTTTCAGATCCAAAAGGTTATGAGCGCGCTCGGTGAGCACCTCAACGTCGCCATTCTTCCATGCATCGGAGGAACTAGCGTTCGTGACGATCAGCGCAAGCTCGAGAACGGAATCCACGTGGTCGTCGGAACTCCGGGACGTGTCGGAGACATGATCAACCGCAGCGCCCTGGACACCTCCAGAATCAAGATGTTCGTGCTCGACGAGGCCGACGAGATGCTGTCGCGCGGATTCAAAGACCAGATCTACGATGTGTTCTGCTCGATGCCGAACGACGTGCAGGTCATTCTGCTCTCGGCTACCATGCCGGTCGAGGTGCTCGCCGTCACCAAGCGTTTCATGCGCAACCCGATCCGCATTCTGGTCAAGAAGGACGAGCTTACCCTCGAGGGTATCCGTCAGTTCTACATCAACGTCCAGAAGGATGTAAGTTTACTTTTAAAAAAACCAGAAGTTTGCACGAAGTGGGTGTTCAGGATTGGAAGTTCGACACGCTCTGCGATCTGTACAACGTCGTCAACGTCACCCAGGCGGTCATCTTCTGCAACACTCGCAGGAAGGTCGACTTCCTCACCGAGAAGATGACGGCCAACTTGTTCACCGTGTCGTGCCTCCACGGAGACATGGACCAGGCGGAGCGTGACACCATCATGCGCGAGTTCCGTTCCGGATCCTCCCGTGTGCTCATCACCACCGACATCTTGGCTCGTGGTATTGACGTCCAACAGGTAAGAAATAGGTAGAAGTTGAATTTTTACTGTAAACATGTAATTTTCAGGTGTCCCTGGTTATCAACTACGATCTGCCATCGAACCGCGAGAACTACATTCATCGTATCGGACGTTCGGGACGTTTCGGTCGCAAGGGAGTCGCCATCAACTTCGTCACCGACAACGACGCCCGCCAGCTAAAGGAAATCGAGACCTACTACACGACCAACATCGAGGAGATGCCGGATTCGATCGCCGACCTCATCTAATAACTTGTTTCTTCCTGTTCTCCTCATATTTATCCATGTTATCTGTTTTCCCCCCTCCCTCTCTCTTATTTCCTTTCTCCCACACACAACCCCCGCACCACCCACCCCTTCAAAAAAAAAACCTCAAACACCATTTAATATGCGTGATTTCATTCTTTTTTGAAAGACTCGTTCTCCGTCTAAAAATTTTCCCGTTCGCGTTCAAAATTCATCCTAATATTTTTATTGTTTTCTCCTTTTTTTGGCAATTTTTTTGAGAAAAAAATTCAAATTTAATTTAGAGTTTAGTATTGCCCCTCTTCCCCCATACCCCCACCACCCGAAATCACCTGTCTTCTGTTGACAAATCTCTTCTCTCTCTCTCTTGTCTTCCGGCGCTTTTTGGATAAATGAAATCGCGTATGTTAACTGTTATTAGGCGTTTTCTCTGTTCAAATATAGGCTTTTGATCCTTTTCCCATTCTTTTAAAGCGATCTGCGCGCTTCTCCTCTTTAAGTACTGTTGTCGTGTTCAGTAACATGGTGAAAAAGAATCTGAAAGGAAAAGGAGACAAACTTTCGGCGAACGCGCCGCTCAACGACCAGTTGGAGGCCGGAAATGTGGCGAAGCAGCGGGAGGAGCTGCGCGAGAAACAGAAGCGGAAACGCGGGGACTCAGAACGCGACGAATTCGTGCCCGACTCGCTCTCCTCGAAAATTCTCAGCGAGGCGCGGAAACAGCTCCAGGAGGAGGCCGTCGAGCAGCAGGAGGGCTCCGAGGGCACTGTCCGTCAGCCGAAAAGGTACTGATCGGTAGAGACCGCAGAACTTAACGATTTTCCACTGAACATCTGAACAATTTCACCAAAAAGGGCCTAAAACTGTTACTCTGCCGCATTTTGACGGAAAATTCACAGTGTGGGTCCTATTTCCTATTTTCACCGTCTTTTGGGTTCAGACAGCGCGGAAGTTGGCTGGGAGGGGATTCTGGCGACAAATCGGACGACGACGATGAGGAGGAGGATCAGGAGGACAACGGATTCGAAGATCACATTATTGTGAGCGAGCATCGCCAAAAAGCATGATTCTTGACTGAAGATGGCTTAATTTTGCAGGAATTGGACCCGCAAGACGAAGCAGATTTGGCTAGATTTTTGAAAAAAGATGCCGCGCAAATGAACACACTTTACGATATTATTCAGGTGAGTTTTGAATGATTTTTGAGAAGAAATACAACAATTTACATTGTTTAGGCCAAGATCGAAGCGAAGCAGAACGACGCGGAATTGGCGCTCAGCCAAGTGGATCCCAATGAATTTAATGTAAAAAATATCGATTTTTGCCCTATCCGGCCATTTTCAGATGCGTGATATGGATCCGGACGTCGTGGAAATGTACCAACAAATCGGACAATATCTGTCGAAATATCGCAGCGGAAAAGTGCCGAAAGCCTTCAAAATCATTCCAAAAATGATCAATTGGGAGCAGATTTTGTTGTCAGTTTCTTGTTTTTCCGATCTGTGTTTCCCAATGACTCTAAACATTTGCAGCCTCACAAAACCGGAAACATGGACCGCGGCGGCCATGTACCAGGCCACGAGACTGTTCGCATCGAATATGAACCCGAAAATGTGCCAAAGGTATCAGTTACTGCAAAAAGTCCACGGAGAAAAAGCGATATTCGTGCAGATTCTACACACTGGTGCTTCTTCCCCGCCTACGCGACGATATCGACGAGTTCAAGAAGCTCAACTACCATTTGTATCAGGCATTGTGCAAGGCCATCTACAAACCGGCCGCCTTCTTTAAAGGACTTATTTTGCCGCTTCTGGAGGTGCGAAATTTTGAAGAAAATTTAGATTTTTTGAACTCATCTGAACCCACAAGACTCTGGACATTTCTGACTTTAACCGGACTGTAATAGGTTGTCCAGTTGCTTCAACTGTCTAAATTACTGCTATGGGTCATATTCGTTCAGTCGTGCTTCTTTTCGCGATTCTTCTCGCAGAGACCTTTCCTGTCTTCAAACACTGAAATCAATTCACCTGCTTTATTGTGCAGCCAATCGGCTTAACAATCAACTTCAACAACACACCCAAAGAACAATTTCAAGAGAGACACCGGAAGCTCCGGTCAAAAGACAAGACTGACTGAATTTTTGGGCCAAAACACTAGATTGGACTTTGCTTGCGCCTTTTGCGCCTCTCCGAGCGTCTTTTCCCCCGCGCGCTGGCCCATCTCTGATCGCGCACCTATGCCACCAAAAATTTCTCTCCGATTTTGACGAGAATTCCCAGATTTTCCCCTAATTTCCGTCGAATTTTCAGTCGGGCAGCTGCACCCTTCGCGAGGCGATCATCTTCTCGTCGGTGCTCACAAAAGTGCCGATTCCGATCTTCCACTCGGCGGCGGCGATGCTCCGAATCGCCGAAATGGAGTACACGGGCGCGAATTCGGTGTTCCTGCGCGCCCTGATCGACAAGAAATACGCACTTCCGTACCGAGCAGTCGACGGCGTCGTCAACCATTTCATCAGGTGAGAAATTAATAATATCTCGGGAAAATTTGCGGTTTTCAGACTGAAAACGGACGAACGGGACATGCCGGTGCTGTGGCATCAGTGTCTCTTGGCACTGTGCCAACGGTACAAGAACGATCTGAGCGCCGAGCAGAAATCGGCCATCCATGAGCTCATTCGGGTTGGTGAAATGCAAAAATTGTGGTTTTCGTTCACAAGAGTGGAATACAAGTACTGGAAGACTCTGTTATTTGGAATTTCGAGTTGTTCCTACTGAACATTCCACTGTGATTCATGTAAAGACTTTTCAGTAGGAACGCTTTAGGTGCTTTTAGGCAAGAAAAACCGAAAACGTCTTCCTTTTCCTCCAATTTTCTGCTGATTTCAGTTCCACGGTCACTACCTGATCTCTCCGGAGATCCGCCGAGAGCTCGAGTCGAAAGAGACGGAAGACGGCCACGTAATCACTTCGGTGGTCGTGGAGGGACGCAAGAACGACAGCATGGAGTTCTGAGAGACGCAGACGAGCCGACAGCCGTCCGTCCGTCGCCAATTCGCACGTACTCGCCCCATTTTGCACTAAATTTCCACGTTTTTCCTTGTTTTCTCCACTGTTATCCTTTCTTGTCGTTCGTTTTTTCGAGGGAAACAATCCCCATAAAATTGTTGTTGTTTCGAGCCCTTTCACCAATGTTTTAAAGACTCTTAGCGGATTTTTCCCCTATTTTACCTTTTCCCTCGACTTTTCCTCAATTTTCCCGAATTGCAGACAGAAATGATAGTGAGGCACGTGTTTTTGAGTCGCTCGGCCCTCCGATGCCTTCAGAATGCGCACTGGACGACGGCGCTTCCGGAACAGACGAAACGAAGCATCTCGACCAGGTTTCAGTAGAGTTTTAGGGAAAAAAAATTGGAGATTTTCGGGATTTCTAGCTCGAAATCGGCGATTTCGGTGATTCCGACGGCGAGCAGTCTCGTGGCCGCCTCGCCGAACAATTTGAAGCCCTATCTGCAGATCATGAGAGTGGACAAGCCTATTGGTAAGAGAAATTATGCGTATCTTTATGTTTTTACAAAACGCCACGTTTGTACAGGCACTTGGCTACTGTACTGGCCGTGCACATGGAGCATCGCAATGGCGGCGCCCGCCGGCCAACTTCCCTCCCTCTACATGCTCTCTCTGTTCGGTGCGGGCGCGTTTTTGATGCGAAGTGCCGGGTGCGTCATCAACGATTTGTGGGACAAGGACTTTGACCGACAGGTACAGTAATCCCCCCGTTCGTGGCGGGACCCGAATGGGCTTGCAGGTGGAACGGACAAAGTTGCGGCCGCTCGCGTGCGGATCTCTCACTGAGAAACAGGCGGTCGGGCTGCTGGCCGGACTATTGTCCTCTTCTCTCGCCATCCTTCTCCAGTTGAACTGGTACAGGTGAGCAACGGGGAAAGTTAGGCCACGCACGGTTTTGAAGAACTCCTAGGCCATTAAATTATGGGTTCCTAGGCCACCATCATTTTTCGGTGTTTTCAGCGTGGCCGTCGGCGCCTCCTCAATGCTTCTGGTCGTCGGATATCCGCTGGCGAAACGGTACACGTATTGGCCGCAATTCGTACTCGGTTAGTCCGTTTTCGCATGATTACCGTAGTTTTCCCCATTTTTTGGCTGCTACAGTAATCCTGGATCCTAGATGCTAGGATCCTGAGTTACTGAAGCGAAAATTGAATGATATCGATTCTATTTCATTTCTGGGTCCCTCCGGGGTTACTGTAGTTCTCCTCCTCCGTCTTCTTGGTCAGGGATTACGGTAGCAGTTGCAGGTGCCACCCTGAACTGGAGTGTGCTGATCGCGTGGGCCGAGTCGGGCGGCGCCATTTCGGTTTTTGTGCCCCTCTACGCGGCCACCATTCTGCACACGGTCATCTACGACACTATTTATAGTCATCAGGTAGTCTGACACGGAAAAACGGGGCCTCTCGCCACGATTTGATGATATTCGTATGTTTGCACCAGTTTCGGGTTACGGTAGTCATTCATGTTGTGCTTGGTGTCGTCGTGATGCGGTGAGAATGGTGGAGGTGGCACCTGCACTTACTCTAGATATGTACAACTACAGTAATCCTTGTTACTGTCGAAATTTGTAATGGTCAAACTTTGAACGGATATTGTACGCTTTTGTGGCTTCCTGGAGGTCTGGAAATGGTTTGTAGTTTACCACTTTTCGCCCACGCATTGGAGTACTGTATCTCGCGGAAATTGAGACTGCCAAGAGCTACAGTAGTCCAGCGCGTAGGTGTACAAAAAAGTGGTAAACTACAAAAATACCGTTCTAAATGTCTTATTCCAGACCTCTAGGACGCCACAGAAAGCTACAATATTCGTTTAAAGTTTGACCGTACCACATCATTTTTTAAAGTAGTTAGAAAGGAAATGATTTGCTCTTTTTCTGTTCCGATCTGCTATTCTAGCTTCTCCTCCTCTAAGCCCCGCCCCCGTTTTCGTCTCACTCATCGCTCTCACAGGATTGACGTTCAATTGGGGCGCCCTGCTCGGATGGACCGCCTGTCGCGGGGACCTTTCTTCCGCGGCGCCCGTCTGGATGTACGCCGCCGCGCTCCAATGGACCCTCGTCTACGATACCATCTACGCCCATCAGGTGCTTGCTTCTGCCCATAAAATTGGGAAAATTTGGCCTAGAAATGTCCAGTTTTGTCGTTTGTCCTCGGATTGTTGATAATGCCCGAAATGTCCATTGTCCAACTGTTCTGTATGCTTTTTCCCTTTTATTTCGGGTCTCGAAGCGAACATTTGAACAATGTTTCGCCTCAAGACCCATTCCACCTACCGTAACCCATCCAAGGCATGCGAAAATTGGTTTTCAGGCAAAAGAATGCGCTTTAAGGAAGCATTTGAAGAGACAAGTGTTGGAGAATGCGAACATTTGAAATTTCGATGGAAAAGTTGGGGGAAAAGCCAACATTTGGAGAAACCAGTATTGTATGCTCGGTATTTCGATGTTTGCATTTTCCAACACCTCCTTTCACGTTTTCATCCACGTTACCCAACGTATTCAGGACAAAGCGGATGATATAATGATCGGAGTGAAATCGACAGCCCTTCGGCTCGGAGAGGACACCAAAAAGTGGCTGTCCGTGTTCGGAATCGGCACAATCGGATCGCTGACCGCGTGCGGAATGGCCAGCGAGCAGACGTGGCCCTACTACGTGGCGTTGGCGGCCACGTCGGCGCAATTGGGATGGCAGATCGGCACGGTCGACATCGACAACGGCACCGACTGCTGGAACAAGTTCAAGAGCAACTCCTGGATGGGAATCATTCTTTTCGCCGGAATCGTCGCCTCCACATTGCTCAAGGTGTGTATTATGGCGAATTGGAAGCTATCATAGCTTTAGAAGATGTAAAGTTGATCCGATAATAGCTATAAGAGCGGGGAAAACGCCTACAAAAGTATGATACTAGATGTAAAGTTTTCACAAAAACAAATTCGAGAGCGATTGGGCTTTTCGCGGAGCTACAGTTGTCAATTTTCAATTTTCAGGAAGACAAGCAGAAAACGACTTCTTCTCCCCTTCCGAATCAAGATGCTCTCGAAACGGACGTCGAGTAGACTCACAGGATTACTGTAGTTTATTCGTTTTAGAAAAATTGTTCCGATTTTACTGTGATCCAACGTGTACACTCATCGAAATGTCAGTTGTTGCTCAATGTTTAGAGAAATTTAAATTTATTATAATTGCACAACATCCAAAGAACAAATCAATTAAGTTAGTAGATAATATCAGAAATTAGGCACCTATTTACACAATTGTTTGGGGAAATAATCGTATTTTTTCTTTACAAGGTGACGGCTCCGGATTCCAATCGTTGCTTGACAATTCGGATGACCTGCCGGCACTTCTCGGCGCCAGACTCGGCCTGACGGGCCTCTTGGATCGTGATCCGCGCGGGCACCAATTTGAAGTGATAGGAGGAGTCGACGAATTGGCACGCGTACTTGAGCAGGTTAACGCACGAGATACGCTCCTGGATGAGTCCCGCACGGCATTCTCCTTCCTCGCTGCAAAAAAAAAAATGCGATTTTATGGTAGCTTCGGAAGTGTGTTGTCGCGGTGTCGGGGGACACTAGATTCCGGACGGTATTCGCGTACCTCTTGGTGAGACTGATCTTCTGCAGAAGAGTGTCGACCTTGTCCCAATGAGAAGCCGTCGACTTGCGATCACATTCCAAAAGTCTCTGCTCGACGAGCTCCGCCAACTCACGGTCCTTTCCGCCCTTTTGCAAGTACGAGGGGAACTTTTTCTGGAAACGGACTCCGATTCCGTTCAGATTCTGACGACATTCTGGAACGAGAAGAAGACAATATTGTGGGCCGTGAAGAAAAGGAACGCTTACGCTTGACGTCGTAATCGGCGGAGAACCACAAATGACGGTCGATGTTCGCGTCGACCTGGAAGCGAGCTTTTAAATGGATATTGTAGACTTCTGCGGCCTCTTTTTTGTGAACTGTAGCTCTTGCAACTTCCGCGAGCAACAGTACCCCGTAACCTTGTTATACAGTACCTCAGCATCGAGAGTGGCCTTTTCCACGTGGGCGGTCTTTGGCGGCTCGGCGGCCTTGTTGAACTCCACGGCCTTTTTCGCGGAAGAATCAGTGTCGACGACGGTGGCGGTGGCCACTGCGTTTGCCTGCAAAGTACAGTAATCCCATCAGTTTTTCGGGGGCGTTCAAAAAGACTCACGACGGCAGGACGGATGACCGGCTGGACCACTTGCGCATTCGCCTGAACCGCCTTCACCGGCTGCACAATCTGAGAGTTGGTCTCGAAAGATTGGGCGGCGCCAGGAGAGACCGTTCGGGGAGTTTGCACTTGCGGCAATTGTTGTTGAGCGACCGGAGGTGGTTGGACCTGTTGGACCGCTTGTGGCACTTGTGCTTGCTGATTGTAGTACTGTTGATTGTAGTTGTAGTTGTTGGCGAACTGCTGTGGTTGAGGTGGCTGAAAGAGAAACGTTGAGAAACTTGGTTCACTTGTGATTTGCTGTATATCTCAACATCTGATGATTATTTCGAAAACTGGTCAACAGAGAAGTTGTAGCAATTTTTGTGCCCAACAACTTTGTAGTTGAACATTTTATCCCAAAACCCGTCATTCGCGAGGTATTGTCTAGTTTCTAAGCACAATTAGGAAAAAATCAATATATCTCGGCCGCTAGTGGAGCTATGAAAAAGTTGTCAACTAACAAAGTGTTCATCTAGATATTATGTACATTTTGTCAGTTGACAACTTTTTGATATCTCTACCGGCACCCGAGATATAGCGTCTTGAATAAACGGCATTGGGACATGCAATGGAATGTTCGCACTTTCCCAATAATCTGATCTTTTTCTCCTCCCGCTTATTCATCCATTTGGTCATCCGATTAGGTGTGTGTGTATCCAAAAAGATGATGCTGCCAATGCATCACACCGAAACACGTCTTTTAGCACGAAAAAGACAGGATAATTGGACTGGATAAGCCAGATCTGGCCTCTAGGATCCGACCTGATTATTATTATTGTTGTTGTTGTAGTATCCGTTGTTGTAGTTGTAATATTGTTGGTTTCCTTGCTGTTGCGGATATCCATTATACTGCTGATACTGTTGTTGTCCTTGCGGCACAAATGCGTACGGACTGGAACGAAATGACTGGGTTACGGTACCCTAGAGGGCTGCCACTCCACTCACCTCGGCGGCACAAACGGAGCGGCGGTGCTGGGCGCTGCGAAAACGAGAGGCGGATGGGTGGGGAACGTGAACGGCGCGTGCGTCGGAAGTGTAAACGGAGCCAGAGTCGGATGGCTCGGAAGTGTGAACGGCGCGACGGTCGGAAGCGTCGGGAACGTGAAGGGGGCGGCGGTGACTGCCTGCGCTTGCGGGAGCGCCGGACCCTGAGCGACCGGCGCCTTTTGGTCGGCGGCGGTCTGCACGAAAAGCGGAGCTCCTTGCGCCTGAGCGGCCACGCCGACGGGCTCTCCGCCCAACTGAGCCGGCAGGTCGAATATCGTGTTCTGGAAGGTGTTCTGGGCGAGCGCCAGGGACGGAAGTAGCAGGAGAAGCCACATTCTGGAAAAGATTGAGCAATCAGCGCGGAATTTCCCCGAAAAACCACCATAATTAGTGTGATTTCTTTGCAAATTTCCTACAATTTCCGGCAAACCTTTCCAGTTTTCCGAGATATTTTGCAAAAACTTGTGAAAACCGGAAAAGTGCGCAAAAAATGAAAAGAGACAACGTTCGTTTGTGAGAGCACGAAATTGCCTCCTACGCGATGACAGTAATTAGTAATTAGAGAGTAGAGCTCTCAAAAATGCACGAAATTTGGACGAATTTTGAGAAAAATCGAGGCAAGGATGGATAGCAAAAATTGTGAGGGCTTCTTTTGTAGAATGTGTGTGTTTGTGTAATAGAATATCGAGATGAGGAGAAACGGAGGCAAGACGCAGAGAGAACTGGTGCGGAACGGGTTTTTCGACGCGCGGAAAGCGATTCGCCAGACGCAGACGCGCGCAGATCGTTTATGTTCCATGTCTGGACGACGGCCCAGAAGGAAGCAAGATAAAAATCCATTTTCTTTTCTTTTGTGTACAGTGCGTGAAGGCGTGCGTGCGACGAAACGAATTGAAAAGAAAGGGGGCTGGCGAGCGAAACGAGGCGACGAACACAGATTTATGGGATTGGTGTACTTTTGCGAACCGATTATAGCAACTTGGGTCTCGCCACGAAATGTTTTTGTGATGTTCAATTCAGACTTGCAACGGGCCGGGCCGGGCCAAAATTGGAAATTTTCCGGCCCGGCCCAGCCCGGCCCGGCCCGGCCCGGTCGGCCCGGGAGGATGCACCTAAAAATTCAAAGCGAACTAGAACTTCGAAACGAACATAATTTTATAGACTTAAAATTTTATAGACTTAAAAAGGCAATGTTATAGCATAAAAACCTGTTAAAAAATAGAAATTGCTGTTTAAAGTCGCAAAATTTTCACAAAAATTACGAAAATTTTCTCAAGAGTGGGCGGAGCGATTGATTGCAACTCTGGCACGCCATTTTAGCAATTTTGCCGCACGCGTTTTCCTCTTCCTTCATATTTTTTTTTGCATATTTTTTTTGAGGTCTAACTTCCGGGCCGACCGGTCCGGGCCGAGCCGACGATTTGCTGGCTCGGCCCGGGATTTGGCAAGTCTGGTTCAATTGGAAAAAAAAAGTCGGCTCACTGCGTACCGGAGAGGGCGGAAGACGCCATTTTGTAAACGCCCTAGCGACCTAATTTCCTGGCGCCCGGTTAGCTCAGTCGGTAGAGCACCAGACTCTTAATCTGGTTGTCGCGGGTTCGAGCCCCGCATTGGGCTTACGCTTTTTGCCAATTTTGTTTTGCATTTCACTACTGTTCAGCAGAGTTGAGCGGAAACGGAATTTCGAAAGACCGGAGAAAACTTTTTTCCCGGAAGACGGCAGATGGAAAACGGAACATAAAAATCGTCAATGCAGAACCTTTTTCTACGGTTTTTTTTTGAAAAAAATAAGTAAACAACAAAAATTTTGGATCTGGGTCACTGCCCGTGGAAATTCGCGTTCTTTGGGGCTAGTAAATGGCTTCTGAAAAGCTATTACTCTTTTACGATAATTACGGTAAAATTTCTTAAGAAGAAAAAATCACGGAAGACGGAAGACGGAAGACGGAACAAAAAAATCACGGAAGACGGAATTCCGCTCACTCTGGGAACTCGATGGCAATCTAATTAGAAAACTTTGCACTCTACTACGAACGAGAATAAATGTGTTATGAGAATAAATGTGTTACTGTTGAAAAAAAAAAGTTTCGACATTGGAATCGAAGCTGGCAGCGTGCCAAGGCCCGGCCTCCTAAACGCATATGCTGCGCGCCATTGTTGCAACATTGCCGCACGCTTTATTGTTCTTCGTTTTTGTCTTTATTTTTCGTCTAAAAATCAGCAGAAATTTGGTTTTTTTCCCATTTTTTACCCCTATTTATTCATTTCAATCGGCTTTTGCTATAAAAAATCAACTTTGAAAACAGATTTATCGATTTTTAGCTTGAATTTTCGAACATTTCTTGATTTTGTGTTTTTCTCCTTTCGATTTCGGTGAATTTGAGAATTTTCAGGATTTCAACCTACGGAAAAGTCGAACAAGCAACAAAAGGGCATGGATTTCTTCTTTTCGTGTTAGTTTTTGACGTAACAATAATTTTCTCTCCGATCAACGTTTACAGACTTCACTCCTCCGCCGTCTTCTCCACTCCGCCGTCAGCACACAACGGTATACAAAAACTTGTCGTATTAGTTTGAAGAGGAACGAAGATATTTTCTCTCCGACCGTTTTTCCAAAGTCCGTGGACGCTTCAATCCGGAAAAAAGGAGAAGAAAATTGAATATCACTGATAATAACATTCTTACACTTGTCATGTCATTTAATTTATTGGAGAACGTTATAAATACATCTAAAATAATTGTTATTAGTGCCAATTTATCCAACGGGGGATGCTTCTTCAACTTTCCGTTGTGTGCTGACGGCGGAGTGGAGAAGACGGCGGAGGAGTGAAGTCTGTAAACGTTGATCGGAGAGAAAATTATTGTTACGTCAAAAAAACTAACACGAAAAAGAAGAAATCCATGCCCTTTTTGTTGCTTGTTCGACTTTTTCCGTAGGTTGAAATCCTGAAAAATTCTCAAATTCACCGAAATCGAAAGGAGAAAAAAACACAAAAATCAAGAAATGTTCGAAAAATTCAAGCTAAAAAAATCGATAAATCTGTTTTCAAAGTTGATTTTTTTATAGCAAAAAGCCGATTGAAATGAATAAATAGGGGTAAAAAAATGGGAAAAAAACAAATTTCTGCTGATTTTTTTAGACGAAAAAAATAAAGACAAAAAAACGAAGAACAATAAAGCGTGCGGCAATGTTGCAACAATGGCGCGCAGCATATGCGTTTAGGAGGCCGGGCCTTGGCACGCTGCCAGCTTCGATTCCAATGTCGAAACTTTTTTTTTTCAACAGTATTATTTAACTCGTTTGAAATAGAATTTGCTTCAATTAGATTGCAAAATCTTCTAATTAGATTGCAATCACTGCAATTTTTCTAATTAGCAATGTTTTCTAATTAGATTGCAATTCAGAAAAAATATATTGTTATCTAATACAATTTTACTGGAACTTCAATTAAATCTGATTAGCAGAGTTGAGCGGAAATGGAATTTTGAAATCCGGAAGACGGCAGACGGCAGACGGAAGAAAAATTTTTTTACGGAAGACGGCAGACGGAAGACGGAAGAAAACTTCTTTCCCGGAAGACGGCAGACGGAAGACGGAACAAAAAAAATCACGGAAGACGGAAAACGGCAGACGGAATTCCGCTCAACACTGCTGATTAGATTGCGAAATCGGGCTTTTTCTTATTAGATTGCAAACTCTTCTAATTAGATTGCAATCGAGTTTCCAAAGCAACACTGGTGTTCAGGTGAGATCAGGATAATGTTCCATCTTTTTACACTCACAGAATCAAGAAAATTCGCCACGTCTGCGCAAATTAATTTGTTCTGAAATTTTTAAACAAAACGGATCTTTATCGTGAAACCCTCAATTTTCCCTCTGAAAATCGCTCATACTTGTCTCGCACGGTCTTGAGAGGGCCCTGAAAAAGGCTCGGAAGGTTGTCCTGAAAAGGATAATCTTAGGAGACCGTCTATAGAATCCACATGGAAGTGGAAACACTTTTCGACTCTTGGTTTAAGTTGTACACTTCAGTCAAGTCGTACAACTTTTTCAAAGGTAGAAAGATATTCCCTCCACATTTTTTCGGGATTTCACGCTGATGCTGTTGCTGCCAAGTGTAAGTATTTTCTTTGTTAAATTAAATTCGAATTCGAATTTAGAATCGATTATTATAATTTTCATTGCGCATCTTTTGAGCGCTCAAACGTCAAAAAATATGAAAAATTGAAAAACTACATACACAACTTTAAAGGTCGCCGACATGCTAATTTTGTCGGCTATTTAGCGGAAATCCTCTCGAAGTTAACAAAAAGAGCAATTAATGAGGTCTATAGCGCGGTGAATAAAAACATTTTTCCTATCAAATTTCATTTTTTTAGTGCAAGTCCAGGAATTCGCAAATTTCGTAATACATTTTAGACGCACAATTTCGAAAACAACCGTAGTTTTTTAAAGGCGCAGCACGAAATTTCCGCACGCGAAACGCGTCAATTGCTTCAAGCGCGGCTACCCCGAGCCAGAACTGCCCTGAATTTTTCGTTAAAAAAAACACGCAAAATTCACCGAATTTTTTCTATTTTTTACTCGATAAGGTGACATCGAAAGAAGGGAGCACCGTACAATCAACGGCTTCAACGGCTACTACCGTCCAGAAATGATTATTTTTATTTATTTGAAATATAAATGGGTTGGAAGTACGTTTGAGTGCCTTCTCAAATAAATATCATTGAATTTTAAACTTCCCTGATTTTTTCCAGAGAATTTTCGGCGAACAATTTTTTAAATCACACATTCTAATCGAAATCGCTTGTTGTGCGCCTTCAAATGCCACGTGTCCTACTTGACGTCAACAATCCATCATTATAATGTTTTCCGCACAGGCTGAAACCTTCCGGAAGCCTCCGCGCGGCCTTCAGCTAAACAAGGCGCCGTGCGTTCTTTCGGAGCGTCGTTGCAGAATCGCTTGCGGAACGGCTTGGCACATCGTCAGAATCCGCGGCCGATACTGCGCTCCGCACCGTAATTCGCACATTTTTTTGATCTTTACAGTATAATCAAGCGGCACAATTCGCATTTTGCGTGCTTTTCGCCGTTTTACGCCGTAAATAGTCCGTTTCAATGTATTTATCACCCACAGACGCTCGACTGACGTTCAAATCGCTTCGGAAATTCGCGTGAGGAATGATACGCAATCGGGATAATATCGAGAGGCCGATGAGCAAAAAAGGTGAGCTTTTATAGGCGGAAAATTTGTGAAAAAAAAAATGCTTTTTGAAGGTGTAATTTCGATGCTGTCGAAAATGCCGATCGGATACGTGCTCAACACGTGCTCGTGCCGCTACATTGACTCGCTGCTCGCCCACGCATCCATCCACCCCCAAAAACCGCACTCCTTTATGATTCAGGTCTGTTTTCTGCAAAAATTTGCGAAATTTCACTCATAACATGGAAAATCATTGAAAATCGGTCAATTTCTGACAAAACGGAAATTTTAAGCGAAAACCATTCGTTTCATGTTGAAAAATGTTGAAAATCTGAAAAAAAAACTCTAAAAATTTAACCAATTTTTCAACAATGTCTTCACATGCACGAAGACTACAAAATTTTTCACGAAAAATCCAAAAAAAATTCAAAAAAAAATTGCAGCGACTGGTGGTGCTATGCGGTCGTTCGGGACCGCCGATTTCGAACCACGCGGCCAACATCATCCTCGCCTCGTTCCACTTTTGTGTCATCGAAGCGCCGGCGAAGAAGTTTCTCGACGAGGATGCCGCTCTTTCCCTCTTTCACACGGTATGTCCATGTTTTCCTTAAAAATCATTGACAAGACGGAAAATCCGCTAAAATTGATTTCAATTTCACGGGAAATGAGCCAAAACTCGATTGTTTCGGTAAAGAAGGTGAGAAAACATAAAAACCCGCAGCTTTCTTCAATTTTTTTAAATAAAAATGTCCCATTCTGTACAGATTCTGTCGTACGCGACAGTGCACCAGCAGGGCCGCAGTGCGACAGAAATCCGCGGAGCCCAACGGCTCACCGCCGCTCTCATCGATCTGATCTCGATTTACACGAAGCAGATGGACGATATCGACGCCAGCAAGACACTCTCCTACCTATGCAAAAAGGTGACTTTTTTTTTGCAAAAAAATGCCAAGATTTGACGCATTTTTTGAGTAGGTAACAAAAATTAGAGGTTTGATCTCACTTTCGAGTCTAGCACCTCAAACTTTCGAATTTCGCATGATTCGGGCTAGTATTTGTCAGAATGCCGAAATTTAACTTTGCTTCTTCCACTCTCTTTCTTTAGCTCTTTTTTTGCTATTTTCTCTCGAATTTCGAGCTTTGAACGTCTCATTTTAAACTATCACATCATTCGAACAGGTATTTGTAGAAATTTTTCGTTTTCCCGCTTTTTCTTCATCTTTTCGGGTAGTATGCTCATTTCTAGTTATAAAATTTCGAATCCCTGTGGCGTTTCTCTCTTTTTCTCTTTTTCAATATTGTTCCCTCCACTTGCTCTCCGCTTTTTGCTCATTTCTTCTCGGAGCACATTTATTCTTCCTCTTCCTTGCTCATTTTAAAATTTTATCCATCTCCATCGCAACCGCCAACCCGCCAATTATGTCATCTGACCACTTTTTCGAGTTCCGACTGACCCAGTTTTCCTTTTTGAGCTGATATTGTGGCAACTGGACACTTTGCAACCGGATTGTCCGTTGCGAAATGTCCGGGACGCTTCGCAACTAGGTTTTCATTTGCTGCAAAACGTCCGCTTTGCAGGATTCGGAGATTTTTTCGAGAATTAGAGTTTACTTATAGTTTTCGGGTCTGAGACATTTCGAAACTAGGTTTCTTGGTTGCGAAACGTCCATCAGTTCATCTGAACGTTTTGCAGCCCAGTTCCAAAGTGTTCCTGTTGCAAAACAACCGTAAACGGTGCAAACGCGGCGAACGCGCAATAAAAGTTTGTCGGTTTTCTGCAAAAGCGCACGCAAATGTGCTTCTTCTTCTTCTTCTTCTTCTCTCTCTCTCTCTCTCTCTCTCTTTCTCTCTTTCTCTTTCAAGTGGTCGAAATACAAATAATCACTTCTCGCACCTTCTCGTGAACAAGAGAAAGAGAGAGAAAGAGAGACAGAGAGGAAGCCGATGGACTTTTAGTCGTCGACGGAGGACGGATGTACGCGGCGGCGGCGGCGGCGGATCGACGCAGAACACTGATGATGGCGACAAAAGTGTACGCGGATGATTGCGCAGACGACGAGAGAAAGCCTCTCCTGCGGGAACTTTTTCTCTCTCTCTCTTCTTCTCTCTCTCCTGGTCACTCTTGTCAATTGACTAACTGACCATTTGCCTCCCGTTGCTTTTCCACATAATCTTTCGAATCCAACTGATGTTGTAGGCTTGGCTCATCCGGGGATCTGGGATTGAAATTGTGAGCTTTGGAAGAACGTTTAGACTAGTTTTCCATTTTGTGTGATGTTTCCCTATTCTCCCGACGCATTTTGACTTTCTGCCTGCAATTCTGCTATCCTCGACTTTCAAACGCCAAAAAAATGGCGCAAAACGTGGCCTCTATTTCGCCTCCGTTCCGATCAGATCGATAGGAAAGGTACTTGTGTCGGCGCGACAGACACACAAAAACGAAGATGACGGCGAGAAGCGGTCTTTGTTTTAAACTATTACACACTTTCGTCGATCACGTCTTCTTCGTGAAACGTAGTTTGTATGCCCCAAGCTAAAACTGATCAATTTGTCAGTTTCTAGCAAACGTTTGACCAAATTCGCTTTCTCAATCTATTTTTTTTTCGAGAACCCTATAGAAATGTACAGTTTTTCGGGCAGAGAATGAAACGGCATAAAAAGTAGTTCACACGCTTTACATTCGAATAGAATCGATTGTCAAGGCACAGTTTTCGTTTATCGAAATTCCACGTCAATTCCAGTACAGTTATACTATTCAAGTAATCTGGTAATTTGCAGCTCGCGGGTCAATTCGATCCGTTGGTCGTGCTCCCGTTCATCACAAAACTCGCAAAGTGCGACCGTCTCCGCCACTACCTGCAGCCGCTCTTCATCGGACACTGCGACTACACTTCCGACAATTGGGGTACGGTTTTCAGTTGTCTCTCTCGATTTTCTTTGAAACTCAACCTGGCCTTTTCAAATCCCGGACTTTTGGACCACTTTCAATTATCCAATCGGACCCGGAGTATTTTGGGACCAAGTTTCAGACTGATTTCGACTGCAAATCGATTTACCTCTAGACCAGATTATCCGATTGAAGCTTGGTCCCAAAATACTTCAGTCCAAGTCCAATGGTCCAGCAAAGTTTGGGTCCGTCTACAACGATCCGAGATCATTCAGGCGTGAGCCCCGAGGGCGCGGAGATCTACAATCACATCACGCGTGCCAATTTCACTTCGCAAACGCTCATCGAAATAGTGCACGTGTTTCTGGAGAAGGAGGTGAAGGAGGTGGTGATCAGCTCGGCCACCGACCCGTTCAAACTCGTCCAGTACCTGGTGACGGTCAGTGCCAACGACAAGTTCGACACGGTTAGTTTACCGACACAATCCTCCTGGTCACAGATCCAAAAATCGTTTGAGTGGCCCAAAACCACTGTAATTCTGTGCAATAAGCGCAAACCAACTTACGTTTGCAGTGCTTCTCGCCGAACAACGCGGAGACGATCCTGGCGCTGGTGTTTGCAATTTACGCGAACGACAAACTGATGAGCGGCTGCCAAAAGGGCGAGACGGACATGGACGTGCAGCAGGCGTTGCACATGGTCAACGCGACGAAAGTGGTCGACAAGGAGCGGCTGGCGATGGTGAACGCGATCGCCGACTCGGGCAGAGAGGCCCTCCAGCGCCGGCTCGAAATCTTCGGACCATCGCTCCTCCAGTCCGTCGAATACTTTCTCCAGGAACTCAAAATGGCGCCCTGTCAGAGAAGTGAGCCGCGTTTTTTTCTTTGTTTTTTTTTTGAAAAACGCTATTTCTACTTTTTTTTTTTTTGCAGAATTGGTGACAAATGGTTCGATCTCGTACGCTCTTCTCTACATGATTCAGTGCAATTATGACATGTCTGTCGGCATCGAACAGCACAGATTGTACGCCTTTTTTTGGATTCTTTAGGGTCTAACTCGATTTCTTTATTTTCAGCGCCGGAAGTCCTCCGTTCTGGACGGTGACGGTGTTCGTGGAGGGCGTGCGCCAATTCATTGAGCAACGGAAGCAACTGCCCGATAAGGACGCGTTCGACTGGTACGACGACATCGACTGGTTCGAGGTGATCCGCGAGTTGGACACGGATCAGCTGCACGTGTGCCCGCAGACGATCCGTCTGTTCGCCGAGCTGTTCCCGCTGATCTTCGACCAGATCTCCTCGTTCCCCACCGGCTTCTTCTACACTCCGTGGCGCCACTGGGACCGTCAGCTGCACCTCTTCGACCAGATGATCGAAGACGTGGCCGTGTGGAATCTGTCGCTCTACCCGCACACGAAGGTGCTCGGCGCGGAGCTCAACCTGAAGGCGATGCCCGACGACGCGGTGCCGATTGTGAAGCTGTGGAACTGTCAGGAGTTTTGCAACGTGCTGCTGACGCTCGGAAGTCAGCAGCCGACGCTCGCGACGCCCATCAAAAGCATGTTCGAGCAGGCGGCCGCGGCGACGGGCGACGTCTCCACGCTGGCGGCGATCCTCTCGTCGACGCAGTGGTCGCAGTTTCGGCAGGAACTCGTGCGCGCCCTTCTACCACAATTCATCGCAAAAAGTCCCAACGTGACGCCCGTCTTGAATCTCGCGTGGAATGATGTGAGCAATTTGAAATTACAATTGAACTTTTTCGTTTTGTGGTGTCCGTGAGATTGGAAAATATGAAAGAATGTCGTAGAAAGTACCGTAATCGATCCAGAAGAGTCCGAATTCTTTGATAGAAAGCAAACCGAAAATGAATCGATTTTCGGGAACTACTACCTTTTTTACTTTTGGAGCCGAAAAATCGTATCTGTTTTCTAGTGCCCAGCTACCGGCACGCGGAAAAGATCTTAATTTCAATTTTTTTTTTTGCAGGCGAACTTGTCTCGCCACATGCGCGGTCACATTCTGCACTGTCTGACGGCGATGTACGCGGCGGACAACAATCAGCTGGCGAAGATTCTCGACGTGGCGCACGACATCAAGCCGAACGGACTGTCGGAACTGCTGAACCAGCAGCCGAAGCACCTACCCTTCATGGTCGACCTCGCCTGCTTGGCCTCGAAACGCGACTATCTGAATCTGGAGAAGTGGATCGAGGACAAGGAGAAGGCGCACGGCGAGGCGATGCTCGTCACGGTGCTCACGTACGTGCAGAAGAAGTACCAGGAGGCGCAGCTGAAGGCCGCACTCGTGCCCGGCGCCCCGCAGACGGACCCCCTCCACGTGCTGCTCGCGTTCTGCCAGAAGAAGGCACGCAAACCGCACCGACTACAGTTCGCACCGCTTTTCCAGGTAACTGTGAAGCCGTAACTTGCAAGCAAAAAATAACCCAGAGCACTGTTTCTGAAAATGTTTTTGCAAGGTTACCCTAGTTTTTCTGGTCATTTTCCCCTTTTTCTGTGCCTTGATTTTCTATTCTCCCTTTACTTTGCCAATTTTAAAGAGACAGTTCACTAAATGTGGTAATTGTTGGTTTTTTTGTGAACAATTTTGAATTTCAACCATTCCTCGTGGTAAATGCTCATTTTGCCATGTTTTGAACAATTTTCCAACTGAAAAACCACGAAATTCTCGCTGAAATTTGCAAAATCCACATTTTCGCCGACAAAATCCGTTTTCGCTCGATTTTTGGCAAGTCTCGAAGAAAGTCGATAGAATTCCAGAGACTTTTGCATTTCAACACTTTTCCCCACACGTTTTCGTCATTTTCGCTTGAAATCCGTCTGAAAATTCATCCAGAAATCTCGGCGAAACCCGTCGATTTGGCAGAGAAATTTTGAAAAGTGCGGCCAACAGGGCGATGCGTTGCGGTCGCGTCGCGGTCGCCCTCGCTCCGTTCTGTTCCGCCGCCGCCGCTCGTTTCCCACCAATTTTTGGACTTTTCTGACCGATTTCCGCGATTCTCTTTGTGTTTTCCAATTTTTCACGCATTCTCGATCATTTTACGCCCAAAATCGCCGCAATTCATGGCCCGCAACCCGTTTTGCGACGGCTCCGAACTCTGAGTCGCCTTTGATGACAAATCGATTTTTGCGCACCCGATTTTTGAATTGGCCGCCGCTTTTGTTTGATTTTCGAGCAGTTTGCAATGTTTTTAGGCGAATTTGATTGGGAAATTGTCGAATTTCATCGGTTTGCCGAACTGCAATGAGGAAAATGTCAAACTTTGCATTTTTGCGAGATTTCTCGATCTTTGAAGTCCTCTCCGAATTTTCGCTTGTTTTTATAGTTCTTCGAGCAATTTGGCTTTATAAATCTTGCAAAACGTTGAAGATTCAACGACGGCTTGAGAACTTATCGATTTTTCGATTTTTGTCATGAGCGCTTGACCAAGTGTGCTTTCTGAGCACTTTACCGACTTGCAAACGTTGTTCTAGGCAAAAAATCGTTGACAATTATCATTTTCATCATGTTCGGCTGTCAGATTATTAAAATTTCCTCCAACTCGCCTCACTGTCAAACTTGTTGCTAAAAATGCCTCAAATTCATTTGTTGCAGGTAATGAAAGAGAACTCGGGTAGAAGTTCGTCAGTCTCATCTGGCGGACATCAGCAACAACAACAACAACAGAGTGTACCGCAGACGGGCGGTTCGCAACCAACACAACCAGCTCCATCCGTCGTCGCCGCCGCTGTTTCGACGACTGCGATCGCTCAGCCGACTGCTCTTCCGACGGCCGCTTTGCAAGTCTTTGGCTCCGGACTTCCACCATCCGTTGCCACGTCGCAGCAGCAGCCGATCCAACAGCCAGTGCCTCCGCCGTCCTCCGCCACGCTACAGACCTCTTCACAGCCGGGACCGATTCAGCCGCCGATCCGACCGCCACAACAGCAGCAGCAGCAGTTTGCCCAATTCCAGCAGGCCGCGCAGGCTCAGGCCCAAGCCCAGGCCGTCGCCGCCGCTCAGGCTCAGGTCCAGCAACAACATCCGCATCTCAGAGTAGGGTTTTTGGAGACATTTAAATAGTTTTCTATATATTTTTGGAACAAAACAGGGTCTTGCGGATTTGAGAGAAGGAAGGCAGGAAAATTTCGGCCCTATTATTCTATTCTCTTCACTATTCGTGTCTCTCAGTACCTAGTTTCGAAATGTCCGATGGTTTTGAAATGTCTGGTTGCGAGATGTCCGGGAGAATTGGTTTCAGAGATTTGAAGACGAGGACCCAAATAGAGAGAAATAGGAAAGAAAAGAGCAAATGATCTGGTTCTAACTTTCTAGTTATTTTGTGCAATCTTCGGCCTTTTCCCCCTTTTTACTTTCCACTATCCGCAATCCGGTCAGTTTCAGGGTCAGCCGCCAGTCGGAGCTCCTCAACAGGGCTCGCAGCCCAATCTGAGTCTCCTGATGAACATGTCGCCGTTCGGAGCGCAAAACACGCGCGATCTGCTGAATGCGGTCCAACCGGCGCCGCCAGCACCGCCGTCAATGTCGCCGTCGACGCAAATGATGCGCTCGTTGATTCCACCGCTCTCGCAAAGACAGGTAATGCCCGAATTGAATGAGGAACAGTTTTTAACCGCCGCCGAAGGAGTTTCAGAACTCGCAGACGGGCGGATGGCACACGAATCCGGCGCCGTCGCAGCAAAGACCATCGGGACCGCCGACGCCTCAGCAGCAGCAGATGGACTTCCGTCAAATGCAGCCCAGCCAGATCCAGGACTTTGTGCCGCAACACCAACTGCAACGGTCGGGAAGTGTGAGCGGAAGCCAGCGGGGCGGAGTGAACCCGGGCGCTGCCACGAACGTGATGATGGCTGCTCAGGCCGCCGCGGCCGCAGTCGCCGCCCAGCAGCCGCTGATGGACGACATCTCGCAGATGACATTCTCGGAGGACATCCAGGAGGAGGCCAACTCATACTTTGAGAAGATCTACAGTGTGAACAACGCCATGTCCGTCGACAATCTCATCGAACTGCTGAAGCGGTTCAAAGTGTCGCGCGAGCGGCGGGAACGCAATGTGCTCGCGTGCGTCGTCAAGAATCTATTCGAGGAGTACCGCTTTTTCCACGAATATCCGGAGCGCGAGTTGAGAACGACGGCCGCCGTGTACGGAGGCATCATCCGCGAGGATATCATCTCGAATGTGCAGTTCGCCACAGCCGTCCGCAAAGTCATCGAATCGCTGAACGCGGATCCGAACACGATGCTCTGGACGTTCGGAACTGTCGCTTTGCAGCACTGTCGCAGCAAACTATGCGCCTATCCCAAGGTGAATTCGATAGAAAATGTTGATTTTGAGTAAAAAATTTCAATAAAAATAGAATGAACGTTTTTTGAGCCATTCCCAAACTGATAAGCGTACTTGACTTGTAAACACCTCAATTTTCCATTACAACAATATTTCAGGTTTGCCAAATGATAGTGAACTCGGAGAACTTCCACCGCTTCCCGCAGCTGCTCAAGGACTACGTCGTGGCGGGCGTCGAAGGAAAGCTACCACCGGAGGGCGGACGTCACACGCCCGTCGGTTCGATCCCTTCCGTCTCCTCAGCTTCTTCGCCAGCACCGGCTACCGTCGCCGCCGCCCCGCCGACCAACTGGGGAGCGGTGGCACGTGCCGCATCGGTGGATCCGAAGAATCAGGTGCCGAATCGGACGGGCAACGTGCTCAGCTACACGAATGTGGACACGCTCGTGCAGGCGACGAACAAGGACGGCGCGGAGATCGCACAGCCGCAGGAGGCGATCGTGGACAAAATCTCGTTCCTGTTCAACAATCTGTCACAGTCGAATCTGATGCAGAAGAAGGACGAGGTGATCGCGATGATGGAGGAGCACGGAGAGGGCTTCACGCGCTGGCTCTCGCAGTACATTGTGATGAAGCGAGTGAGCATCGAGCAGAACTTCCAGCCACTCTACAATCAGTTCGTCACCGCCATCGACAACGCCTACCTGGACCAGTGCATCAAGAGGGAGACGTTCCGAAACATTCGCATTCTGCTCAGAACCGACAAGAAGACGACGGTCGCCTCCAACTACTCGGACCGCCAACTGCTCAAGAACCTCGGAAACTGGCTCGGCGCCATCACAATTGCTCGCAACAAGCCCATTCTGCTCAACGATCTTGATCTTAAGAGTCTGCTGCTCGAGGCCTACTACAAGGGCCAGGCGGAGCTCCTCTTCGTCGTCCCGTTCATCTCGAAGATTCTGATGGCGTGCGCGAAGACGTCGTTGTTCACGCCGACATGCGCGTGGATTCGGAGTATTCTGAAGGTGCTACACGAGCTGCACAACGAGCCCGATCTGAAGATAAACTTGAAATTCGAGATTGAAGTGCTGTGCAAGGAGCTGAACGTCGATCTGAACCTGCTGCCGAACGAGGGCATTCTGAAGGACACGGAAAAACTGGTGCGAGTGCCGCAGCAGCTGTGCGAAGTGCGCGTTCTGTCGCGTCCGGAGGCCGCCAGTCCGGTCCAGCAGCAACAGATCCGCATGTCGGGCTCCGCGGAACAACTCGCCGGCATCGGAATGTCATCTACGGTCGCCGGAGAGCCGCAGAAGCCCGCGACGCCGCAGCCAACGGAAGCGGAACTCGTTGGCGGCGCCGGAGGAGCCGGATCGCAGGGAGCGGAGCCGCAGGTGGTGCCAAACGTGACGCACTTCTCGTACCACGACATAAATGTTCTCACCTACGACGGACTCATACCGCACGTCAAGATCGTCTCGCACCTGCCGCTGTTCCAACTGCACCCGCACGCGAAACACCTCGTCCGCCCGGCCATGATCCACGCGATAAAAGAGCTGATCGGACCGGTGACGGAGCGGGCGCTGAAGATTGCGATGACGGTCACCGAGTCGCTGGTCCGCAAGGATTTCGCACTCGATCCCGACGAGCAGAACGTGAAGCATGCCGCCTTCCATATGGTAAGTTATTCGAATCGAAAAGTGATATATTTTGTTCATTTTTATTTTCAGATGCGCGCAATGACCGCCGGAATGGCAATGATCACTTGCCGCGACCCGTTGGCATCGACAATGCACGCGAATCTGGCTCAAGCGTTCTCGAGCTCACTCAGATCTTCGAATGGGACGCCCGAAATGAAGGCGATGATCGAGGAGGCGTCGCAGCAAATCACGCAGGACAACGTGGAACTTTCGACCAACTTCATCGTCAAAACGGCGTGCGAGAAGGCGACGCAGGAGATCGAAAAGCGGCTCGAGCAGGACTTTGCGAAGCGAATCGCGGCGAGACAAGAGGGCAGAGAATACAAGGACGAGACGATCGCGGCGATCCAGGCCACACTCCCGCCACAAATAGCCATTCCGCCGGGAATTATCGAGAAGCCGCTCATGAGCATCTACGAGTTGTTCTCGAGCAGAATCTGCGGATTCAAGGCCAGCGGAACGGTCGACGACCCGCTTTCGGGAGCAGTGCCAGAGCAGGCGTCCGGAGCACAGACTCCGGTGCCGACGCAGACGAAGGAAATGGAGCTCGTGTGCCAGCAACTGCAGATAATCATAAAGGAAGTGGATCAGACGACGCAGGCGCAGCCGCATCTGAGCAACTCGGCGTTCCAGACGGTGTGCCTGATGCGCGAGATGATGCAGCAGGTGATATCGACGAAGGACTCGATGCATCTACTCGGACTCGTCACGCGCAGCACGGAGCATCTGCTGCACGCCTACCGGCTCGAGGGAGCGCCCACCAAGAACTTGCTTGACGTCGAATGGGCCCGCCGGTTGCGTGATCTCTTCATTGGACTGATGCGCCTTCTCCAGAACTACTTCCCACTCGTCGAACTCTCGCGACGCATCACCTCGGCGATCATGGCGATCCGATCGGACTACAAGTGGAACATGGAGGGCATCGAGATTCTCTTCAAACAGAATCTCCTTCAGCCAATGCTCTGGGACCAGCATCTTGCCGGCAGTATGGACAACGGCGGAAACATGGAGGCGGTGCTGTTCGCGCAGAAGTTCGTTCGAATCATTGGAGGCGGAGACCTGAACCGCATAGCGTTCCTCAAGGAGAAATTTCCGATGACTTGCGAGCAACTCACGAAGCTCCATCAGCTACAGAACGCGACCCGATCTGTTCAGGAAGCGGTCGCCGCCGTAGCAAATGGCACTCCGCCGCACATCACCCCCCACCATCTGACGTCGCAGCAGCAGAGCCAGCCGCCAATGAACCTTCCGGTCGAGGCAGCGCCGATGCCACAGGCTTCTGCGGAGGCGATGGCGCAGCGCGGTTACGAGGACAACGAGATGACGGCGAAAGTGGAGATCATCATGCGCGAGTGGATTAACGTGTGCTACTCGCCGACGGGCCAACGCAGTCCACAGGAGTCGCTCGCGCAAATGATTCAGCTGATGCACGAGCACGGCGTGCTGGCTACTGACGACAAGATCACGCAGTTTTTCCGGTTGTGCGTCGAGAACTGCGTCGATATTTCGGTGCGCGTCATGAAGTCGGAGCAGCTCGCGAACGGAGTGCCGACGAACCTCATCCGCCACCGGTGCTACTACACGCTGGACGCGTTCGTCAAACTAATGGCACTGATGATCAGACATTCGGACAACGGACAATCGCAGAACAAGATCAATCTGCTCAAGAAGGTTGGTGAATCTTCTGGAATAACACTTATAAAATTCATTTTCAGCTGCTGAACATAATCGTCGGAGTGCTCCACATGGATCACGAAGTGCGCAAGCAGGACTTCAACGCGATGCCTTACCACCGTATTCTCATACACCTGTTCAACGAAATCACGGGACCGGATCCGCTGAAACTGCTCGAGCCGATCGCGTGGAGCATTTTGGAGGCGTTCGGGCAGACGTTCTTCGCCCTCCAGCCGCGCCGAATGCCCGGATTCGCGTTCGCCTGGCTCGACATTGTCGGCCATCGCAACGTGATCGGACGTCTTCTTGCGAACACGGGAATCGCGGAGACTGTCGATTCGGTAAAGACGGCCGCCACGTACACGCAGCTGATCATTTCGCACCTCAAGTTCCTCGCGCCGTTCCTCAGAAACATACAGTTGCCCAAATCGATAGCGATTCTCTACAAAGGAACCCTTCGTGTGCTCCTAGTCATCCTTCACGACTTCCCCGAGTTGCTGTGCGAATTCCACTACGTCATCTGCGATACGATCCCACCGAACTGCGTGCAGCTCCGCAATCTGATCCTCTCGGCCTATCCACGTCAAATGCGCCTTCCGGATCCGTTCGCCTTGAACTTCAAACAGGTCGACACGATTCCGGAAATGGCTGTCGAGCCGAAATCCAACCTGAACATGGCGACGATCATTCCGGACGTGATCCGCATCCCGCTCGACGAGTACCTGGCCACGCGGACGCCCGTCGACTTCATGTCGAACCTGCCGATGCTGCTGCAGACGACCAACCAGTCGGGCACCAAGTACAACACGACGGTGATGAACGCGCTCGTGCTCTACGTCGGAATACGCGCCATAGAGCATCTGCACCAGCGACGGCAGCGCATCTCCACACTCACCATAGCCCATACCTCGTTCATGGACATATTCCAGACGTTGGCCGTTCAACTCGACACTGAAGGTTTGTCATTTCATTTTAGCTTGAATTCACCACGAAATGCTCTTTTTCTAGGCCGCTACCTGCTGTTCAATGGAATAGCCAACCAACTGCGCTATCCGAACGCCCATACGCACTACTTCAGCTGCGTCTTCCTGTATTTGTTCAAGAACTCGACGCAGGACGTCATTCAGGAGCAAATCACGCGAATTCTGTTCGAACGGCTCGTCGCGCTACGTCCGCATCCGTGGGGACTGCTCATCACCTTCATCGAGCTCATAAAGAATCCCACGTACAACTTTTGGCGTTACGAGTTCACCAGCTGCGCTCCCGAGATACAGAGGTATGGAAATTGGGCTCAAAATTAATTTTAGACCCTAAAAGCAGCAGAAACTAAGGAGTCTGCTCAAAAAATCCCGATTTTGAAGCTCTTATTTTGCCCTATTTTCAGACTGTTCCAAAACGTGGCGAACACGTGTGTGCCGAACACGCAAGGAGCCCAAATGCCGGGCCATCAGACGACGGACGGCTCGGGACTCGGCGGAGCTCAGCCGCATACGCATCCGACCGGCGGAAACTGATCTTCTCGGTCGCATTATCGTATTTGTGTGTGTGTATTGGATAGCTTCTTATGTCGAAATACGGGCTGTGTTCTCCTTCTTTGCTTTGTCTCTTTCTCCCTAGTAAATTCCCATTTTCACCCTCAAAAATCATTCAGAAACGGGGCTTTCACGCACAAAACTGTCTTCGTCGTCACTCTCTCTCTCTCTTCCTTTTTTCTTTTAAAGTTTGATTCTTTCTCATTTTTGGCTAATTTTTGCAAAAATCTCCCCATTACCCATCTATATATTATTTTATTCCACTTTTTTCGTTATATTAATATATACATATGTTCACACTAGAATCTCTCATTGTGAAGGCGTCGCTGCTCGAAAAATGCTCGAAATTTTCGGTTTCGCACAAAGTTGGTGGAACTTTTGCGAAAATTGATATTTGGATGAGTTTTGATAAGTTTTGTGTATTCTTCGCCGGTTCCGCCTCAATTTTTTCGTTCTTGAACCCGAAAAATGCCCGAAAGACACACTTGTACATCGCACCATATTCATACAATGTTCTCTCTCTCTCTCTCTCTCTTTTTTTTTTGTTCCACTTCTCCTTCCCTCTCCCGCCCACGCGTTTTTTGGTGTATTCTGTAAAAATAATCGAGAAGATAATCTGTGAGCCAAAAGAAATTCATGCGCTAGATGTTGTCCCCCCGGCTTCCCACTTTCTCTTTTCTACACTGTTCTTTTACGACGAATAAAGAACGAGCGAGTCTCTGTTTGTTGGGATTATAGTGGATTTGTGGGAAAAGTGATTTTCGAGAACATGTTTACTGGGAAAGCAATTGTCAATTAGAGGAATTTCCTCAACTTTGAGGGACCACAAGAACACCAACCTTTTATGGTATAGGCTATAGCCGATCGTAAATTATACGGCATGCCCCTTGTATTTTTACAACTGGAAGGGACCGGGTCCCCAGGAGCAATGGGGCATCTACGCCTTCGCCGCAACACAGGCCGGTCCCTCAATGTCTGCTGGGAAGAAGGGAGACGAAGAGATGGAATAGAGTTTTGACACGGAAAAGGCAATTCATGAAAAGTTTGTGTTTGGATAGAGCATGAAAAGTACATCATTTTCATACAAAGTAACCTTCAGCGACTCATTTTGGTCCCTCCAGGTTGGACCCAAATATCTCGAGCGCCGAGTTGATTGAAAGTTTGTGGGAGGGAACGTTTGTGCTGAACAGCCTTCTAAAGTAACATTTTATCCCGAAAAGCCTTTTTTCTGAACAGTACCAACGTTGAGGGTTAAAGTTGGTCCGTAAAAAAAAAGACGAAAAAAATCCCGACGATAGTTTTGCCATTTTCCTCAAAAACGCTCCAAAACTTTCGGTTTTTCGATGAATCCCCTTTATTTTTCATTTTATCACTATTCCAATCACTTTCATACCTCTAAATCACTTGGAACTAATCACAAATTGATAATATCTCTTATCCCGCCCCTTTCGTCCCAATAGGCCCCGCCCCTTTACGTCTCCGCCCTCAACAATCGGGACCTGAATACGTATATAAACCGCCAATCTGGTCCCATCGGATAGTCATTCGATTCCACATCGACCATGTCTTCTACTTCCACTTCCACTTCTTCTTCCTCTTCCTCTTCCTCTTCTGCTGCTACTGCACTAATCCACGTGCACTTCCCAATGTCTGCGGCGGAAATCCGTATGTGCACGCAGGACCTGCTCCAGGAAATCACGGACTTTATCGAGCACAAAGTGGAGCTCGAAGTGGCCGACGTGAAGCTGCCCGTCTTCTACGCGACCGCCTTCAACTTCCTCAAATCGAAGGCCAATGAGATCGGCCACCGGGATCCGGTGCTCGAGTTTCTGCCGCACGCCGTCGAGATGCTCCTGTTCACAGAGGTCGGTCCCCCGCCCGCCGGCACCCTGCCCGTCCGCTCCGACCAAGGACTGCTCGTCGACCCGACCGCCACCGGCAACCTCGTCGCCGACTCGCACAACTTGATCGTCGACGTGCTCGACTACTGCGAGAACCACTACCGCATCAACCGCGCGCTTCCGAAGCTTCCGTTCGGCTACCAGCTGACCATCAGCGGCCTCCAGACCAAGTACTGCAACGATCCGGAGAGCTACCGCGTGGTTCACGAGATCCCCAAGGAGATCCAGAAGTGCCTCAACTTCTCGCTCGAGGGAGTCGTGCCCAATAACTACGTCCAGGATAATGATTGATAACAATGCCTAATCTTCTAATTGATAAGTGCTTTCCTAATAAATATGATCTCGAAAAACACATTGTTCAGCACTTTTCACACAAATTCATCGTTTTCGGGTGGAGATGGAAAAATTCACAAAATGTTCAGGATAAAAATGAGGGGAAAGGGGCTATAAGTTAAGGGGGAATTGGGAAACCGTTTCGAGCAGAAAAAGGTACAAAAGTGGGATTAATTGAGTTTCGAGGCATTCTGATAGAGCGCGTCGACGACTTCTCCCATCGCGTGCAACGTCTCGACGGCAGTCTGGTAGGCTTCGTCCGCCGGCGCCACGTCGAAAACGATGAGCATTCCCTCGCCCTGGTCCAGCGAGCCCGACAGCTTCTGGTCCAGGATCATCTGCGACAGCTTCTTTTCCACTTTCGATCGGTCGATTCCAATCTGCTCGGCGACGTGTTCGATTTGCACGAACGAGTAGGGTTCGATGATGCGGCACAGATCCTTCTCGAGCATTCGTTCGCTCAGCGAGTGGAAGTGTTTGCGGACGACCGGGTCCATTTGCAATTCTTGCGGGTACGCCCCGAACGTCGCCTGGAAGTCCTTCAACGATCGCTTTCGAGCGGCCGCCGCGATCGCTTTCATCGCTTCCAGGTCCCCGCCGCTGTATTTGAGCGCCAATTTGGCCGTGAGCAAACTGTTCACCTCGTCCGGAAGGTCCAACATCACCTGAAAACCGAGAAACGTTCGGATGCTTTCTGGGGTTACATTTGTTTGCGATTATCGATTATCTACATTCAGTTTCAGCTCCAAGACGAAAACGCCTCACTTTTTTCAAAACACGAGAACTTCAACTTCAAATAGATTCAATCATGCTGAAACTTTTCTAAGAGAAACCTCTGACTAATACTGATAACTGTACAAAGTCAGAGAACGATTGGATAATCGATAATGAGCATAACAATCAAAATTTGTATGTTCTTTCTCAAAATTTTCTAAGCAAATCCCGCGATTACCTTGCAGAGGAGCATGTACTTGAGTGCGGTGAGTGCGGAGGCCTTCTCGTCGACCGAATCGTATCCTTCGAACGCCTCGTAAAAGTACGAGAAGGCCGTCTTGAAGTCCTTCTCATCGGCCGCGTGCAGCACTCCCGACTGGAGATCGAGGGCAGACTGCATGCGCGGATTCACGTAGATCGCATTGGCGGTGGTGCGGGCGCCCGTCAGCGAGGCACGGGCTTTTCCGATGTTTCCGAGGTTGTAGTAGGCCTTCGACTCCTCCAGTTCCACCTCCACGAGCACGTCTTTGTCGTCCACCTTCTTCAGCTCACGGATCAGGTCGGCCGCTGCAAGTTTTCCGGTGATTTTTAAACAAATTCGGGCAGCATTGCAAATATAAGAGTCGCAGAGCTTTAGAATCTTTTTAAAAATGGGAAATGTTTTGCACTCTAAAAGCTCGAAAAGCCGTTATTGCGTACCAAGCGGAAGAGCCTGAGTAAATCTCAGAAGATCATTGTAGAGACGGACGAGACGAGCGGTAAGTGTCTGGCGGAGGAAAGTACGGTTTTGTTCGGTGGCCCACTGAATACACTCCTTCACGAGTCCGACCTGCAGCAATTTCATGAATTTTAGTTATTGTTTGCTTTTCGTTACCTTGATATCTCCATCCTGGTCCTCAATTTTCAGACATAAATCCACAAGATCTCTGACCAATTTGGCCGCTTTCGCCTTTCCCAAAGACACCAGAAACGGTCTCGTTTGCTCGATCATCTGCAGAAAAATTGGGTTTCAAGATCAATTTCAGCCTAAAAATCACCTTTCTCAACTCTTCGGTCTGTTTGTTCTGCGCCAACATATTTCCGAGCTCCATAATCGATTCCTCCTTCTTTTTGATGTCATCGTCGTTGGAAGCCGGCGATTTGACTGCAACTTTTTAGGTTTTTAGGCATTTTCGAACATTTCGGCGCTTACCGAGGTTGGTGAGATGGCGAATCACGTTCTGATCGTTCTGGTGCGGCAACGAAGTCATTGTGTCCATGATGGTGCCTCCAGACATTGCAGATTCTGCAAAATTATGAAAATTAGGGAGTTTTAGGTGTTTTTATGAAACATTTAGCGACTTTTGAGCGAAAAATGATTGTTGACATCGTTTTTATTGAGTTTACCGATTTTTATGGCAAATTTCTTGATTGAGTACAGAAATTTTATTCTTAGAGACTTAACTTAATGAAGAGATAGTCTATTATCGATTTGCGGCTAGGAATCGGCTAGAACTGATAGAAAATGTTAGTTACAGCGAAAAATCGAACAAATTTGAAGAGATTTTTCGCTCATGACTTTTAGCCAAAAATTATGAAACAAACAATAATTTCTCACTAATGTTTACTAAGCAACTTTAAAAATCAATCAAAGTTTCCAATTTCAGAGCAAAAAGTACGAAAAATGATCCGAAACCACACGAAAGAACGAGTTTCGCCAAAAACGATGACAAATTGGCGCCGATGGAAATTCGGCGGGAGGGTACGGTTAACATCGCGGTGTTTGCGGACGGGCTACGCAAAACTGCACACAAACGAGAAAGCACGCGAAACGTGAAGACGCAGAGAAATTTGGAGCATTTCCACCGGTTTATGCTCTTTTGGAAGCGTTTTCAGGTATTTTCCAACATGAAGGATTGTTAAAAACACAATTGTTTCTTTAAAATTGTTTCAAAACACCTAGATATTCAAGAATCAGACGTTTTTCTGTCGAAAAATTGTTTGAAAACGTTTTACAACGACAACTAGTGAAAATTCAAAGAAATAACCAAAAAGCTAAGCAGAAATTAGCTGTCAATCCAAAATCTATAAGAAATGAGCCGAAAACTCCCAAAACCTGCGGAAAACGAGTTGTTTTTGCGAACGAACTTCTTTTTCCTGCTCGCCGAGCCCGGTGAGCAAACAACATGAAGTAGTTCGGAAAGTCAACAACATTTAAGATTCGACTAATATCAAATCGAAGGAAAACCAGAGAAATTTTAAAAAGCAACAACCAAAACGCGGTTTTCCAGTTTTTAGGCGGAGATTCATGTTTTCTCAGTGTTTCTAATGCTTTTACACCAACTTTAAACCCGTTTCATCGCATAAATTACTTCGAAACACTTCAAAACAGCTCACCATTTTCCAAGCCATTTGTCTTCATTTTCAGTCAAAAATTCGGGAAAAATGTGTCTGCGAGCACACGTGCGCTCAAAAGTGTCTCATTTCCTCGCAGAGCAGCAGCTGACACTTTTCAGATTTCCTCCGGCCTGAAAATGAAAAAGATGACGTGGCGTTCGTCGTTCGGCCGTTTGTTATCATCCCGATCACTTCTAGGTAATATTTCTCTTTCGCTCTCTCTCTTTCTTTTATGATATCATCCATTTCCGCGTGATAAACACCATAGAAAACGGCCGAATTTGCAGTGCGCACTTGCCAATCAGCACGTAGAAACTACTCGATGGACACGCCGTCGCTCGATATTCAGGGTATGTATTTAGCATAGTTGCCACGGGCCGAAATTTCCAAAACTCCGGCCCGGCCCGGCCCGGTCGGCCCGGTTCAAAAAGCGGGAATTCAAAATTTGAATTATTGATCGCATGAAGCCATTTTTTGTAGAATTAGGGGTTTTTTGCAAGCATCGAACATTGAAAAACAAATGTATTTCTCATAAAAAATTCATAATAGCAAAAAAACAAAGAAGAAACACTAAAACTTTAGTTCGAAAATTTTTTTTGTAATAACGAAAAAAAAATTTCCGCGAAAATTTGAATTCCCGCCTTTTGAACCGGGCCGGCCGGGCCGGCACTTCACCGACCCGGCCCGGCCCGGGCCGGCACTTTACCGGCCCGGCCCGGCCCGGCCCGGGCCGACCCGGGCCGGCCCGCATGGCCGGCCCGAAATCTGGCAAGTCTGGTATTTAGATTGATTTATAGCTCAACAAAAGACTGACAGTTTCATAATGCCGCGTCCAATGTCTCGGAAAAACCGTAAAAACCGCAGGTTTTTCTGTCCAAAGTCGGCCGAAATTTGCGTGAAAAACGGGGATGCGCACAGCTCAATGAGTGTAACCGTACCCCTAAAACTACGGTATTTTTTGAAAATTTGCGCAAGAAATTTGAGTATTTTCAAATAACCTCAAGAAATTAACAAATTTTCAAAAAATACCGTAGTTTTAGGGGTACGGTTACACTCATTGAGCTGTGCGCACCCCCGTTTTTCACGCAAATTTCGGCCGACTTTGGACAGAAAAACCTGCGGTTTTTACGGTTTTTCCGAGACATTGGACGCGGCATAACTTTTATCGAAAAAACACAAAATTGAGAGGTATTTCGAGTCTTCACCCGATTCGACACGTCTTTTTCGAAAAAAAAAGCGATGCTTTCATGTAGAAATGTGTTAAGCGATCCGTGCGAAATACGCGAACAAATCGGAGCCGTACCTTCTGGAAGAACGTCTTCCGACGACGGACCCGTTCGAATTATTCGACATTTGGTTTCGCGACGTTGCCAATCAATCCGACCTCACTTTCGAGGAAATCAACGCAGTCTCTCTGTCGACCGTCGGAAAGTTAGTTTATAGTGCCGAAAACATGTGACAAATCATGGGAAAAGCGCATAAAAAATTAATTCTAATTCTAATTTTCAGAGACCTCCGCCCGTCGAGTCGAATGGTGCTTCTGAAGGCGTACACGCCCACCGGATTCTCGTTTTTCACGAATTACACGAGCCGAAAAGGCGGTCAGTTGGAGGAGAATCCGAACGCGGCGATGCTTTTTTATTGGCCGAAAGTCAATCGACAGGTACGCGCCCATTTTTCTGAAAAAATCGCTGTGCTCGAACTTTTTGTCGGCCACTTCATAAATCGCTTATTTTCGCAGGTTCGCGTCGAAGGAGCCGTCGAAAAACTGCCGGACGAGCAGGCGGTGGCCTATTGGAATTCTAGGCCACTCGCCAGTCGCATCGGCTCCAAATCGAGTGTACAATCGGAAATTGTGCCGGATAGACAGGTAAGGGACCGGGTCCCAGTCGGCCAAGCTTTCGGGCGCTCAAAGTTTCAGTTTTTCAATTGTTTCAGCAGAAAATGCTGAAATCTCAACAAAAAAAACGTCATTTCCAGTTCCTCGAGTCGAAAAAAGCGGAGCTGACGGAGCTGGCGGCTCGGGAAGGCGCCCAATCGATAACGAAGCCCGATTCGTGGGGCGGATACCATCTGATTCCCCGCTATTTCGAGTTCTGGCAGGGACAATCCGACCGGCTTCACGACCGAATCGTTTTTGAACGGGACGTCGACGTCTGGCTGCTCAAACGATTGTCGCCGTGATTAATTTGAGAAGAAACTGTGCCCAAATTCACTTAAAACACATTATTTAAGAGATAAATTGACACAATTTTAGTGGGTGTACAATAATAAATCACATTTTCACAGGAAAAAGAGTGGTACAAGATCGCAAAATGGGGACAAGTTATTATGGGAATACAAATTTACAAAGAATACAGAAACAGTGCATGAAGGGATATAGGTGATCACATTGAAGAGGGGGCGGAGCCTGAGACGTTCGTGTCGCGCATCGTCCGCCGCGTCGAAATGACGAGCGGCGAGGCCATCGGATTCGGCGACGGGCACGACGACGCCGGAATCGCGTAGATGCGGTGGATCTCCGAGTTGAGCTGCTGCCGCTCCTTCAGCTCCAGGTACTTGTGGTACACGCGCAGCGCGTACCGCGCGTCCACCACCGAATCGTGCGTTCCCTGCTGGATCACGTCGCCTGCAAACGATCCGACGGTCGTCTAGCGTTCTACGGATGACCTGGGATCCCGGGGTCTAGAAGTCCTACCGAAATTCGGATGAAATCATCAAATAATGTGAGAGGTAGCCTAGCAGATGTCTAGAAGACCCTAGTTGTTGAAATTAACCTCTAAACGGCTTCAAAACCATGAAATGAATAGAAAAACTGCGTCAAATTCCTTTCTGATGGCCTAATAGCTGACAGTTTGCAGGAAATCAGCGAAATGAGTTAGACGTGGCCTAACATTTACTCGTGGTGGTCTAGAAGCCGATGTATAGTTCAAATTAACAATCAGATACACTAGGAATAATGAGAATTTTAGAGAATACGATCGAAAAGGTCTTTTGATGGCCTAGACTCCCTTACCGAGCAGTTCCTGGGCGAGAATTCTGAGCGAGAGCATGCGTTGCGAGTCCATTCGGAACAGGAACACCGTGTCCATTATCTGCGGTTCGGCCACCTGCAAATTTGGCAAAAGTTATTTTTTGTTGTGGAAAAAACGCCTCCGAGATCAGACTCACGTGCAAATTCATGACGCTAAAGTCGTTGTGAAGTGCGTGTCCGACGAAAGTGACGCCCCTTTGGATGAGCACGAGCATGCGGAGGAGCATCCGTTTGTGCGAGCTCAGGAACTTGTCCGTCTCGTTCACGTTCAGATCGGCGGCGACGATTCCGGAGAACGGAGTGAGGTAGTCGACTGGGTCCACGTCGTCGGGCAGCCGGATGTGGTCGTCGAAGATGATCCGTTCCTCGCGGGTCACACACGACGCCCGTCCGACTGCCCGCATCGTCACTTTGCGACCGCCGAACTCGAGCAGTCCCGTCTGGATCTTGATGAATTCGGCATCGAGTCCCACTAGCTGGCCCTCCGCCGGCAGTTCTTCGACCGCCCGTGGAGTGATCACTCCGTTCGCCGCCAGATTCTCGTCGATGAAAAAGTAGTGTTCGGGAATCTTCGGCTCGCTCGCCGCCATCTCGAATCCCTTTCGTTTGTAGGCCAGAACGACCGGCAGCTTCCAGCGAGCGTCCACATGCCGTGCTTCGTTTCCGTGCAGCCGCGAGACGAGCTGCTCGTTGAGCAGGGTCCACTCGGTCGACGGGACCGGACTTTCGCGGACCAGCGCCACCGGGTGCGTCCATTTCACCGCGTGCTCCCCGTTCCCGATCACGTCGACCATCGCGTCGAGTTCGTAGATCACCGCCGACGGCTCATCGTAGTCCGGAAGGTCCGAGATGTCTGTCAGACGAAGTTGACCTTCGCACACCTAAAATCCGCACACTTTCATAGTTTTGCTTACTCTCCGACAAACCTGTGCGGCAATTCGTGCGGGAATAAAGTGGCGCCACCCTTCGGCGTCGACGTCCTCGAGCAGTTTGGCCTGCTCGCTCGGCCAGTCCACCTTGGTCGCGTGCCGGAATTTGCACGTCGTCTGCTTGCGGCAGTCCACTCCGAACCGACAGCTCTTCCTCTCCGACGGCGACTCCGGATCCTCCGGCTGCACTCTTTTCGGGTCCGTCGGCCGTCGTTCGAACGTCCACAGCTGACGGCGCCAGAAATCGAGAAACGCCGGCGCCGACGCGTTCGTGTCGATCAGCAACACGTTCGAGAGCTCACGCACTTTCCGACGGCACTCCATTCCGCTCTGCAAACACGGAAAACTGAATTCATCAATTTTTGGCGAGCAATTCAAATTTCAATACTATTTTTTAAAGTTGTTCGGTTTTCAAACAAACATTTCGTTTTGTATCGAAACATCTTACCGTGTGTCCACAATCCTCGCACACCCTCGCCCCCTCGCCTCCTCCGCCGCCTTCCTCGTCGGTCGTTCCGATTGTGACGTTCAAATGGACGGCCTTCTCGATGAGTTGGCAAAAAGACGCCTTGCGGATGGCCGTGTAGTCCAATGAAATCAAGTGTTCCGTCTCCGTCAGGACCGTCTGCAGTGCCCCACACCGAACGCATTTCAAATGTCTCTCGAGTCTGCTGCTCGTGCTCATCGCTTCCGGCGATTTGCGTGCCACGTCATCGAGTGTGGTGAGCACGATGTGGTGCATCGCGTCGAGGAGCGATCCGTTCTGCAGACTGACGCCATTGCGGGCGAGCGCCCACGCAAAGTTGAGCGTCGCCGCGCCGTCCTTCGGCTTCGTCTGCAAACCTGCGAATAGGAAGTGCAACTCGCACGTGATGCACGAGTCGCGGTCGCAAATGTGGCGGAAAACAGAGTTTCGGAGAGGGGATAGGGAGTAGATGAGATGGACGAGCGGGTTCGCGAGCAGGTTCATCGCGAACGTCGACTGCAGGACCAGCCGGTTCGTCACGTTCCACTGGTACGTCTCCTCGTCGCTCGAGTACACATTCAGAGACTTCGTCGGCGGCACCCTCTTTTTGTAAAGCTTCGAGACCCGGATCCGTGGCGGCGATTCGATTGCCAGTGGTTCCAGAAGATCCACTGGCGAACACTCCTCGATCATCGGCTCTTCGGGCTCCAAAATGTACGGAACGATATTGTGCTTCTTCAGTTTCGTGTGGCTTCGCGGGTTTTCGACCTGCTTCGCGTAGTGCATAATCTTGACGACCTTGTGCTCGACGGGCGGTTTTGTCCGTCTCAAAATGGGATCGATAATATCGGAAATTTAAAAACTAATGGTCTCCTACCGGTACATGATCCTGGCCAATTCGAGCGGCCAATCGCTGACGTACGGCCGTTGATCCTGCGGAAACGGAAGGGGAATCGTGGCCAGCGATTGGGAGAAATCGTCAATCGGAAAGTTGCACGGCGGTTGCGCCTGCAAACGGATCCACAATATTTTTTATAGGGGAAAACGGTCGGAGCCTACCGGCGGGGCCGCAAACATCGACGGTTTCGACGCCTCGTTCACCATCGGCGGCTGGTCCGAGTCCGAGAACAACTGGATAATGCCTGCAAGAGATTTTGAAATTTTCCATTTTTTGCTTCAATTTACAAAAAAATGCCTACCGACGTGTGTTCCGAGTGCGATCAGACGTTTCGTGGACGAGAAATCGAACGAGGTGATCTGGGCGACGTCGGTGAAGAGGTCGGCGGCGTTTCCCTGCGAGTTGAGGTCGAACATCCGCACGGCCGCCGGCTTGATCCACGTCATCTCGGAGGTGCTGTTCGCGTGCATCTGATAGACCATCGCCACGCGCTCGCAGTACGACGGCATGAATCGGACGAACCTCGGAGGGAGCGGCGACGGAATCGGGGCCATCGCACGGTACATCCGCAGGTCGTACACCTTCATGAACGTGTCCGTGTTCTTCAGACGACTGAAACCACTTCACCCGATTAGTTTGCGCTCTTGCTTTCCGACTTTTTTTCAATTTTGCTACACATCAAAATGTCTAGCAAAAATATTCAGTTCCCATCTCAATTTCCACCCAAAAAAAAACGTACTTTTGTGAAATACCGCACGAAATGAGCTTGTTGCCCTGCACGTCAAAGTCGAGAATTCGGCCGCCGTGGCAGTTGAGCGTGTGCACCGTTTCGAACGTTTTCGCACTTTTCACGTGGACGTTTCCGTGATCGTCGGCCGTGAAAACACTCGTTCCGTTGTACTTTATCATCAGAGACGGCTGCGATGCTTCCACCTTAAATTTTGCAGTTTTCTGCTTGATAACAGTGTAAAATGAATACATACAGTTCGAACTTCGCACTCCTTCGCAAAGTCCCACTGGACGAGTCGTGACTGTCGTCCTCCGAGTACCAGAGTGTTGTTGGTGTTGTGAAGGACACAGGAGGCGGTGAGTCTCTCAAAAGAGGGCGACGAGTACTTGGCCAACGGAATGCCCTGCCGAGTCGTCGCGCGGAGCATCGTGTCGCCGACAGAGAAGACGACGTGCTCGGTCGGTTCGATGGCGTGCACTCCCGAAAGTTTGGAGACGACGAACGCCGAGTAGCGGGAGCACTGGTTCATCGGCAGAAACCCCGACACTTTTCCCTAAAGTTTTGAAGATTTTTGAGCTCATATGCTTTGTTACGCGTGTACATTGGAGGAGCCGACCCAAAAGAGCTCTTCGAACGGATCGAATCGGACCACTTCCACCGGATTGTCGACGATCGAGTTGATCGACGGCTGCGCGATTTGCCGCCACTGAAACATCCACTGGCGGACGGTTTAACTGAACTTTTACATCGAAAAACTTACGTCGTGGCTTGCACCGGCGCCGGGCACTGTCATACGGGGTTAGTAGAGATCTGAAACCAGTTTTTGCGCATTTTCAAAAAGGAAACATTCGATTTGATTCGGAAACCCGCCGAAAAATGCCCAATTTCCACTGAAAACGGGTTGAATTGATAAAAGTCGCGTGAGAAGAGAGAAAATCAGTGTAGATTTACGATAAACCCCGCGCCCCGCCGTCATTTCGGAGCGTCGTTACAACCAAAAGCGGCGGAGGTTCAAAATTGAATTTCATGTTTTACATGAGTGAGAAATTAGCAAACCAGCCAGAAAACTGGCTTAAGATTCGAAAATTTGATTATTTTCGCAAGAAATCAGTGAAAATCAGGAAAAGATCATTTGAACATTAACTTCCACAAATTCCCGGCGGAAATTTTCATTTTTCGCGGGAAATCATAGGATCAAGAGTTCCGCGCTGAAACCTGTACCTTTTTTGAAATTGTTTGTTTTTTTGTTACAAATTCAAGCTCAAATTTTAGTAAGCCACATCTGAAACAGTTTGCGTCGTCTTGAACACGCATTTTGAGAAAAAACGTATAGAAAGTGTATAAAAAGGTTTGATTATCGAAAAAAGTACAAAGATTACACATTTTTGCAATGCTGGTGACGTCCGAAGTTCTGAAAATAGACAAAATTGAGGGAGCTTCGTGAAAAAGCGGAGAAACCCGAGAAAAATTACGAAACAGGCTTTTTTTGCGAGAAAAATCGAGCGATTTTGAGAAAAACAGACGAGAATTAGGCATTTCGAGAGACGGGCAGATTTCAAGAAAGACTCCGAAATAATGAGTGTGTGGATTTACGATAAACAGCGAGAGTTCCCGTTATTTCGGAGCGTCGTAATTACTCTTTTTCTTGTTTGGAAGCGAAAAATAGACAGAAAGGAACTGTAAAAATGGAGAAAAGTTCGGAAGCCAGTAGATTGGTTTTTGTGGAAATGTTTGCATTGCACACGGCAAACAAATAACCGAATAAAGCGATCGAAAATGGGAAAATGGGGCGGAAAAAGAACTGAAATGTGTACATTCAAATAAGAACTCGCACAGAAAACTGCGCATTTTCTTCGATTTTCCCACATTTTTACACAGCCATTCTAATGAAAATGTCAATTTTAGGTCATTTCTTCAGTTTTTCAGCAACAAAAAGTCGGAATTTCATGAGAAAACGGACTCGAACTGCTCACAAAGCCCGTCTATTTCCCCGCTCCGATAGTTCGGAGCTTCCGTTTGTGTGCTCTTTGTCCCATCGTTCATTTATATTATTATGCAAATAAGCTCCTACTCCCTCTTCGCCGCACTAATTCCGCAGTGTGCACCCCTCTGACCCCCCTTTCCTCCCCATTCTGTACTATCCTTTTATCATTTTACCTTCCTCTTTTTAAAGTGAATTTCAACACAATGACACAAACCATTTTGGATGGCGGAAAAGATGACACTGGGTACTACACGCCGAAAAACATACTGAATCCGGCCATGTTCAGGTGAATTCCTTTCAATTCAATCCGTATAAATAGAAGCTCTAGACTAGCAGAGATAACTCGAGCTTTGAGCGAAGTCAACATGGAAATCGAACAGGAGAAGCTGTTCGACGACAGAAGACACACGATCAACGTGGAGCAGTTCAGCCACGAAGAGGAAGACCGACTCTCCCCACAGCACATCAAAGACGTCGAGGGGTGAGCGAATCACTGCCCTTGTTCAACTATCACCTGATTGCAGGATACAAATGAGAAGACAAAGCGAACGAAGAAAATCCGGATGGACGAAGACTTTGAAGAAGCACGAAGATAACATCGGAAGAGGATTACTAATAATCCTCGTGATTTGCATCGCCTTAATAGTTGTCCTAATCTTATGGAGCTGATTCTCATTTTTAAGTTTTATTACTCATAATTCAATAAATGTAAAGAGTTGATAATTTATTCAAAAATCAACGATAAACTCAACAATGAAGATTTACTTCTTCTTTCCGGCTGGGGCTCCGGCCTTCTGGGCGGACTTGGTGACCTTTCCGGATGATCCATCGGACTTCTCGACCGACTTGATGACTCCGACGGCGACCGTCTGCCTCATGTCACGCACAGCGAAACGTCCGAGTGGGGCGTAGTCGGTGAAGGACTCGACGCAGAGTGGCTTGGTTGGGATCAGCTCAACGATTCCGGCATCTCCGGACTTGAGGAACTTCGGGAAGTCCTCAACCTTCTTACCAGTACGACGGTCAACCTGAAAAAAGAACATTAGAAAATTTAATTGTTTTTTTTTCAAATGCACCTTCTCCTTAAGCTCGTTGAACTTGCAGGCGATGTGAGCGGTGTGGCAATCAAGAACTGGAGTGTATCCAGCGGCGATCTGTCCTGGGTGGTTCATGATGATGACCTGAGCGTGGAAGGTGCGGGCCTCCTTGGCTGGGTCCTGCTTGGAGTCAGAGCAGACGGATCCACGACGGATGTCCTTGACGGAAACGTTCTTGACGTTGAATCCGACGTTGTCTCCTGGCATGGCCTCTGGGAGGGACTCGTGGTGCATCTCGACGGACTTGACTTCAGTGGTCACGTTCTGTGGGGCGAAGGTGACGACCATTCCTGGCTTGATGATTCCGGTCTCGACACGTCCGACTGGGACAGTTCCAATTCCTCCGATCTTGTACACATCCTGGAGTGGGAGACGGAGCGGCCTGTCGGTCGGGCGCTGTGGTGGGATGATGGAGTCAAGAGCCTCGAGGAGGGTCTTTCCGCTGGCGTTTCCTTCCTTGCGCTCAACAGCCCACCCCTTGAACCATGGCATGTTGCTGGATGGCTCAAGCATGTTGTCTCCGTTGAATCCAGAGATTGGGACGAACGGAACGGCCTTCGGGTTGTATCCGATCTTCTTGATGAATCCAGAGACCTCATTGGTGATCTCAGTGAAGCGGGACTCAGAGAATGGTGGCTCGGTAGAGTCCATCTTGTTGCAGGCAACGATGAGCTGCTTGACTCCAAGGGTCTGGGCAAGAAGAGCGTGCTCGCGGGTCTGTCCGTTCTTGGAGATTCCAGCCTCGAATTCTCCGGTTCCGCAAGCGACGACCAAGACGGCGCAATCAGCCTGGGAGGTTCCTGGAAAACAAAACTTGCTAAATGAACACCTAACTAATTTCTTACCGGTGATCATGTTCTTGATGAAATCACGATGTCCTGGGGCATCAATGATGGTGATGTAGTACTTGGCGGTCTCGAACTTCCAGAGAGCGATATCGATGGTGATACCACGTTCACGCTCGGCCTTCAGCTTGTCGAGGACCCAAGCGTACTTGAAAGATCCCTTACCCATCTGGAAGACAAATCATAATCTGATGCTGAACTTATAAAATCAATTTACCTCCTGAGCCTCCTTCTCGAACTTCTCGATGGTTCTCTTGTCGATTCCTCCGCACTTGTAGATCAAGTGTCCGGTGGTGGTGGACTTTCCAGAGTCGACGTGTCCGATGACGACGATGTTGATATGAATCTTTTCCTTTCCCATGGCTGCTGCGGAGTGAGCAAAGTGTTTCCCAACTGAAAATAGATCGATGAGAGCAGTAGAAAGCAAAAAACTTTTTAATAGAAAGAGAAGTAAATGAAATTGTAATTTGAGTTTCTAACCTGAAAAACTTGGTTGAAATTTGACGAAATAAATTTAGGCCTAAAACCGTATTTCAAATATGAGTAGTTTGCCGACGTTTAATGCGATAATAGCGAATAAACGTGACAAACATGCCGGAAAGGCTTTAATTTTACAGAGAAATAATTAAAAAATACAATAACATTAAAGAAACATCATACACGTGCAAAATCCACATGATTACTCAGATGACAGAAAATGCGAGTTAATTTGAAAAGGCCCAAAAAATGTCTTCCCTCGCCGCCGCCTGCACATCTAACTTTCGCCGCGACCGGCCACCGTAACCTTGATTTAAACATTTTCGGCGCGAACGTTGACGGGAAAATTGTTTGTTGAACTCAAAATTCAAAGCAAAATGTTGAAAAAACAAAAAGAAAAATGTATTTTAAACTAAAAATTCACTTTCCGTGCTGTTTTTGATGAAATATGAGAGCAATTATCGATTTTTCAGCGAAAATGGACGAGCCAATGGAAATTGACGAAAGAAAATCTAAACCAATGACTTGGACTGAAAAATAGTCAGTTTTCAGCATTTTTGTAAATTAAAAATGCAAAAATACAATGCTTCAGCCGTCCGAAGACGCTTGACGACATTTCGCATCAAGATGAGGTGGTTACAATGCTCAAAGGCGCCCTTGAAGGCAAAGATGTTAGTTTTCCGTCAAATGTCTTTGAAATATTGAAAATCTGCGTCCAGATGCCACATCTTCTGTTCTACGGACCGCCCGGAACCGGAAAAACGTCGACGGCGCTCGCTTTTTGCCGCCAACTCTTCCCGAAAAAGCTTTTCCAGTGAGTTTTTCGAGAAAATGTATGAAAACTGTAGGAAAACTAATCTTCAGTGACCGAGTGCTCGATTTGAATGCTTCCGATCAACGCGGAATCGCTGTTGTCCGTGAGAAAGTGAGCTTTGCTGTGAAATTCTCAAAATTTATTACTAGGGATGCAGAACAGGCGATTTCAGGCGACTGTTTATTAACGCAAAAACGGAACAAAAACAGGCGCCTGTTCTGCATCCCTATTTATTACACGTTCGACGAAAGTTCCAAAATTCTGTGTAAAACCGAAGTGTTGAAAATTGCCAACTAGTTCAGGATTTACATGTAAAATTTTAGTAGACGAAATTCCACGCAAATTGACACATTTCGCTTAGAAATCTCTATTTTCTTTAGATCCATCACTTTTCAAAGCTTACGCTAGGCCCGAGCGACCAGTGCCTCAAGCTAAAAGTGATTATTCTGGACGAGGTGGACGCGATGACGCGTGATGCGCAGGCGGCGATGCGTCGCGTGATCGAGGACTACTCGAAGACGACGCGCTTCATCCTCATCTGCAACTACGTCTCCCGCCTCATCCCGCCCGTCGTAAGCCGATGCGCAAAGTTCCGATTCAAGTCGTTGCCCGCCGAAGTACAAGTGCAGAGGTTGGTTAAATTCAGGATTTCTCGAAAATTCGATATTTTTGTTGCAGATTGCGCACAATTTGCGAGGCAGAGAACACACCGATGAGCGACGACGAATTGCTGCAAGTGATGGATTACGCAGAAGGCGATCTGAGACGGGCGGTCTGCACTCTTCAGTCCCTCGCGCCCATTCTCAAAAGCGTAAGTGATCTGAAAATTGACATATTTACATTTCTCTTCTCCTAAAATCTAGCTCCCTAACGAAAAGTCCAAACATTTTCGACCAGATACCATCTGAAACCCGCGTTTTTTCAAAATTTGTAGTGAAATGACTGTAACTTTCCACCAAAAACCACTCATCCCTCGAAATTCGATGTTCAGGAAGACGCCTCTGCCCGTGCGTGCTACCTGCGCGGCTCATCGGACGCCTCGCTCATCTCGGAAGTGTGCCGTTCGGTGCGGATCGCCGACGTCCCCCAGGTCGTGGCCCTCGTGCGGCAGATCGTCCGCTCGTGCACCGGCGTCTCTTTCGTCCGCCGCTGCTTCCAACAGATGCTCGACGACGATCTGATCAACGACAAGAACATTGCGGTGATGGGCCGACTGGTGGCCACCTGCGAGAAACGGATGCTCGACGGATGCGACCTCGAGAATAACCTCCTCGACTTTCTGCTCACTCTTCGAGAAACCATTCAATGATTGCTTCTAACCTCTTCTAATTCCTCTTTACGTGTATCATAGTCATCTCGTTGATCTTCCAAATAACTCGGAAATCTTTATTCACAATATTCTAGTATTCTATTAAAATCATCACACAGCAATAATACGGTGGGCGATCGGCACCGCTTGCGGCCGCGCTTTTCTCTTCGTGCTCTTCACCTTGTCGCCCGGCTTGCTCGGCGCGTAGCTCTTCCTTTGCGCCTGCTCGACCTCCTTCTCCTCCTCGTCATCGTCGCCGAACTCGTCCAGTTCGTGATCGTCGCCCTTTTCGCGGATCTCGTCGAAGCTGTCCAGCGATTTTCGGTAACGTTCGTCCAATTTCGTCCAGATCACACTCGGGTCGTTCAGCGCTTCGTCGCCGTACTCCTGGAAAAAGGTTTTTCAGCGGAGAATGCAATTTTTAACACGATTTTTTTCCCGAAAATGCGCCCCTTTTCTGCTCAATCTGCTCATCAGAATACGTACCTGAATGAGAAAAAGCTGCGTGGCGATGAGAGTGTAATAAATGTCGTGTGCGAAGGGGAAAATGCCAGGGCGGGCGCGATGGAGCCGCACGAACATCTCGACGGGCGGCAGGTCGGTTCTCCGTTCGGCGAGTCGGCCGACGAACGCCACGCCGACAAACTGGCCCGAGTAGCGGAGGCCATCGGGGCAGTGGACGAGCACGCGCGGCTCCTTTCCCGCGAGCACCTTCCGCACGAGCGCCACCGTCTTCCGCGGGTCCTGCCGTTCTCCGTCGCGCTTCTTGAACGAGCGCACGTGCAAATGCGTCACCTGCCACGTCTCGTCCGTTCTGAAATCATTTCGGTGCGTGTCGGTCGTAGCGACGAGAACCACTCACTTTTTGTTGCGAATGACGAGATCCCGCTCGTCGACCTTCTGCACGTCCGCCTCTTTCGCGTCCTTGAGCGTCACCTCGTAGTCGCCGAACGTCTTTTTCCGTCCGATCTTGCCGGGCACGTACTGCAGCGTGATCTCGTCGAAGAAATTCGAGAGTTGCACAATGTACTCGACCTGGCAGACGGTCACCATATAGAGGAGATCGTCGATCGTGTGCGCGTCGGTCGGATCGCTCGTCATGATCATCCGTCCGCCGCCCTCCAGGTTCACCGCATTTGCGTCGACGAATCGACGGTCCGGAAGTATGAGACGTGTCTTCGCCGCAGCTTTGCCCTTTAACTTCTTCGGCTGCTGCGACTTCGAGATGACGGTCTTGATGGTTTGGATGTAGGCGACGGCCTGGTCCACTCGCTCGAACGTCGCCAGTCTGATCCATTCTCTAACCTTCGCCCACTTCTTCTTCCGGTTTACTGAATATTACACAGTTTATCATATGAATACTGTGTTTCAAACTCACTTCTATAGCGGCGTAGGAAGAAACCACCGACAGCCAGGATTACGAGGAGTGCCACGACTCCCAAGATTCCGCACACCAGTCCTGTCCAGTCACCACCATCTCCACTCGCCTCCGTGCTCTTCTTCGGCTCCAAAAAGGAGGTGAGGAAGTCGAAGAGGGAGGTGAGAGCGAGCGGAACTGCGGCGATGGAAGAGTGGTAGGCGGCAAAGTCGAGGTCGAGGGCGGCCAACTCATCCAGTTTCTCCTTCTTCTGCCTCAGATCCTCGAGCACCTTCGGATCGGCAGCGAACGGGATGAGAATGGAGAGGGCGTCGGACTTGGCGGCAGCCGTCACACTCAGAGATCCGACATTCCGAGCACTGGCGAGCGGTGCTCCGATCTCGCGGAGGTCCTTCGGCTGCGCAGATTGGACGGTGGTCTTGAAGGTGTTGATCTGCTGGAGAGTGGACTCGATGGAGGCGATATCCTTGCTGTGATCTCCCCACTTCTTCTCAATCTCCGCCCTCGCTCCGAGATCCGACACGTTGCGGAGGGCAGTCGTCACGTGAGAGACGTCCTTCAGAACGGAAATGTCGACTCGTTGCAGCTCCTGCATGTTCCGCACCATCGCCGTCGGCTTTCCGATCTTCTCCGCCACGTCCTTCGCTCCTTTCATCCCCATCAGATCCTTGACCACGTCCGACTGCTTCTTCTTCATGTCCTCGAGCACCGTCGGAAGATTCTTGAGAGTGGGAGCGACGGAAGAGACGGCAGACACGACCCATTCGAAGTTGGTGACGTCACTGGGGGCGAGTGCACGAATCTTCTGGGCGGCCTGGAAGCAAATGATATTATATTGTGAACCCTTAATGTAGACATACCTGGATGGCCTTGGAAACCTTTTCAGATGGTTGCTTGGCATCTTTCAGATTATTGAGTGCCGTTAACTGCGTCTTCATTTCACTTTGATCATAGAAACCGTCGACTTTCGCTTTTTTCGATTTAATTTCCTTGGCGAGTGTCTTTGCTTGCGAAGCTTGTTCCAGTCTTTCAAAGATTTCCTTGGCCGCCTTCAACGACTTGATGACCGTCTCGACCGTATCCTTGGCCGCTTTTACCGCATTCATCTTCTCTTTCACATCATCAGCATCGATTTTTGAAGGTAGGGTTGCAGTCTGTTTCAATTGAGACAAGCCATCGAAAGTCATCGATTTCGAAGCGAAGGTATCGATCGAAGTGAATGCATTTCTCAGATTGTTCACCTCCTCCATTAGTTTTTTTATTTCGGAAAAATAAACCGGATTCAATATGGGCAGTCTAATAGTACGGAACTCGTCGAACACAGCCTCTGCCTCCTGCTTACCGACCGACGCGTCCTCTAGTGCCCGCTGGATCTCCACGATCTTCCGTATCGATGCGAGGTTCTCCTGCGTGGCGACCTTCCGCAGCTTCCCGTCGACCGGCTGCAGCTTGTCCGTCAGCTCCATGACCGGTTTGAATCCGTCTCCGAAGCGGGCAAAGTTCTTGCCTCCGCCGACCGTCTTCTCGACCAAATGGTCCCGGGTCGCATTGGGCAAGTTGCTCAGGTCGGACAGTCCGAGTACGAGTCCGGGGGCGTACTTTCGACTGTTCTTCAGTGGATTCAGACGACAGAAGAGCAGAGAGTTGACGTGCGATACTGTTGATTTGGATTTTGCAGACTGAGTGGAGAGCTTCGAGACAATGTCCAGATTTTTAATGACTTCAGATCTTCCGGAAGTTCCAAGTGGCGTTGGGAGTTTCGTCTTCTCTGCGAAATAAATGAAGTTAGCCAGTGGGATCAACGGGTGATTCTCATCCTTCAACGTATTGTAGGACGTTGATTTACTGCTGATGGTACTTGCGGCACTGACGACTCCTTCCACGTTTGTGAGACCTTTCACAATCTTTATAAAGAAACTGAGGATGTCGCCATAGTTCTCATTCGTGACCTCAGGCTGTCCAGTCACGTTGTTCAGCAATTTAATCGTATTGGTGATTATTTTGCCAGCATCAGTCAGATTTTTGAAGTCCATGTTCGGATCGTTCACAAAATTGTCGATGACGGAAAAGTACGTGGCTTTGTCGGGAACTTCTCCGAACAGTCGGTCCGTCATCTCCACCTTCATCCGAGCTAAGCCGACAGTGTGTTCTTCCAGATCAAGGGCGTCTTTGGTCCCATCCAGCCCGGGTGCCTTCAGGTCGTTCGTCCACGCGTTCACAGAGTCCTTGTTGATGGCGGCGACGTCGGAGACCTTGACGGATCCGAAGTTCAGCAGTTCCGCGACGGCCTTGTCCATTGCAATGTGCCCGTTGATGAGTCCGTAGAGGAGAGAGATGCCACTCGAGATGCACGAGACCGTCGACATCTTCTGCACGTACTCCGACCAGCCACCGTCTGAAACAGAACCCAATCAGATCAGCGCGAGACCTCCGCACACTCACCTCTCTTGAAACGGATATTGTCCTTCGGGAGGGTCTTTTCATGTCGATTATAGTGTCCCACAGAGATAATGTCTGAATGTAACCAAACTCTGCCGCATTTCCAGATTTTTTATAAACTCACGAGTCAAGTAGAATGCTCCGATGAGAACGACGGCGAAAACAACGAGACGGACCTTCATTCACTGCGGATTTTCACGAGAATCTTCCAGAATATCGGAAGAACGTATGTGCAGTCAGACTGAGCTGTCATTGTGAACCCAAGTGCTGGCAATTAGTCCGGCCCGGTCATGCGAGGGCCGCGGACAGGACAGGACGGTGCCGGCTGGGGTCAGGGGGGGCGCCACGTGGCACGCAGCTTGCATTTTGGACCTGGCAAGTGCGCTCTATAGAAAAAACGCCGAATAAAGTAGGGAACTTGATACTTTTCTTACATTTTGAGCGGATTTCTCGCTGAGATTAGAATGATGAGCAATAGCCGCAATTCATAAACATTCATTTGGGCTCGGAAATAACAATACGATCATCAAGTTTACTAGAATTGTGATCAATACGAAGCCACACCGCCAGATTCTTCCGTTTTCAATTCAGTTCTCAATGTTAGTCATCTCCTGTTCGTCGTCCTCCTCAATTCCGTTACGCTCGCGGTAATCCTTGTCCGCCTCCGCATTCGCGTCTGCATTGTGTTTGTCGAATTGCGGCAGCGTGTTCGTGAAGAGCGCTCTCTGCCGCTCCAGGCCCATCTCTTCCTCCTTTTTATACTCCTGCAATTGCCCATTTCACACATTTCCGTGCGTTCTCTCCATCGCTTACCTTGCACAACAAGCAATTGACTCCAAAAATCGCGTAGAGAACCTGCGAGGGTTTGATGAGAACATTGTGACGGTATTCGGCAAACATCACGAACATGTCCTGGACCGGAATGTCGGGACGACGTTTGGCGAGCGACACGACGAACGGCATCGCTACAAACGAGCCGGTGCGTCCGAGTCCGTCGGTGCAGTGCACCACGACCGGCTGCTTGCTCCCGTTCACCTTCCGTATTATCTCGAGCGGTCCCTCCTCCAGAATCGGAACTCCGTTGCTGTAGTGAGTGCACGCAAACTGCGTCGTCACCAACTCCTTTCCCGTTCTGCAATTCCACAATTCGGTTAACACGGCGACGGTGCGCCCAAAACTCACTTGGTGTTCACAATCTTGAGAGTGCGTTCGGTGCACTTGTGCGCCAGTTCTTGTTCCTTGACCAACGTGACCGTGAACATTCCGAATTTGCGGCTCGTTCCCACCGTTCTCGGGTAGTAGGCATCGGTGGGGTCCAACTTGACCACAAACTCCGGCTTCTGGCTCATGAGCAGTGAGAGAAAGTCTCTATACGTGTTCCTCGAGTAGTCCTCATCGTTCTTCCTCTGCGGACTCTGAGTCATGATGAACCGGGTCCCGTCTTTCGTTTTCACCACGTTCGCGTGAATGAAGCCGCCACCCGGGAGTCTGACGGCTGTCTTCTTCACAAATCGAATCATTTCCAAGCTCCTTATCGCCGCTTTCTCCTGAACACGGAGTTCCATCACTTTATGGGCGTCCATCATTTTTTTGTAGTGCAGCTCTATCTCATCGACAATCTTTCTCGAGGTGGCCTCCGTACAATTGATGTCTTGAAACTTCACGTTTTCTTCCACCCATTTCATAATCTTCGTCACATTCTTGATACGATTTTCTGAAAAAAAAAGTTGACGTTGTTTCGATAAATGCGTGGTTACTTACTGAACCAGCGAAAAAAGAAGAAGGAGCCGGTGGCGATGAGTCCCCCGAGGACAACAGCTCCTGCAACTCCTATCACTATTATCACCGTGTTGTCCTTCGCTGTCTCAGCTCCTGCTCTTCTTAATGCGGCTGATACTGTTCCTACTGCCGCTGCTGATGTTGCTGCAGTTGCTCCTGCCCCAGCTCCTGGTCCTGCCGCTCCACTTTGCACTTTCGGCTTCAAAAAGGAGGTGAGGAAGTCGAAGAGGGAGGTGAGAGCGAGCGGAACTGCGGCGATGGAAGAGTGGTAGGCGGCAAAGTCGAGGTCGAGGGCGGCCAACTCATCCAGTTTCTCCTTCTTCTGCCTCAGATCCTCGAGCACCTTCGGATCGGCAGCGAACGGGATGAGAATGGAGAGGGCGTCGGACTTGGCGGCAGCCGTCACACTCAGAGATCCGACATTCCGAGCACTGGCGAGCGGTGCTCCGATCTCGCGGAGGTCCTTCGGCTGCGCAGATTGGACGGTGGTCTTAAAGGTGTTGATCTGCTGGAGAGTGGACTCGATGGAGGCGATATCCTTGCTGTGATCTCCCCACTTCTTCTCAATCTCCGCCCTCGCTCCGAGATCCGACACGTTGCGGAGGGCAGTCGTCACGTGAGAAACGTCCTTCAGAACGGAAATGTCGACTCGTTGCAGCTCCTGCATGTTCCGCACCATCGCCGTCGGCTTTCCGATCTTCTCCGCCACGTCCTTCGCTCCTTTCATCCCCATCAGATCCTTGACCACGTCCGACTGCTTCTTCTTCATGTCCTCGAGCACCGTCGGAAGATTCTTGAGAGTGGGAGCGACAGAAGAGACGGCAGACACGACCGATTCGAAGTTGGTGACGTCACTGGGGGCGAGTGCACGAATCTTCTGGGCGGCCTGGAAGCAAATGATATTATATTGTGAACCCTTAATGTAGACATACCTGGATGGCCTTGGAAACTTTTTCAGATGGATGCGTGGCATTTTTCAGATTATTGAGCGCAGTTAACTGCGTCTTTATATCCCTTTGATCATAGAAACCGTCGACTTTCGCTTTTTTCGATTTAATTTCCGTGGCGAGTGTCTTTGCTTGCGAAGCTTGTTCCAGTCTTTCAAAGATTTCCTTGGCCGCCTTCAACGACTTGATGACCGTCTCGACCGTATCCTTGGCCGCTTTTAATTTCTTCACGATTTTTGCAACTTCCTTAGGCAAATCACTGACTTGCAGACTTGCAGAAACGCTCGCCATCTCTTTCAACTGATTCAAGCCATCGAAAGTCATCGATTTCGAAGCGAAGGTATCGATCGAAGAGAATGCATTTCTCAGATTGTTCACCTCCTCCATTAGTTTTTTCATATGCTCCAAATCAGCCAGATTCAGTTTGGAAAGTTCAATCGTACGGAACTCGTCGAACACAGCCTCTGCCTCCTGCTTACCGACCGACGCGTCCTCGAGTGTCCTCTGGATCTCCACGATCTTCCGTATCGATGCGAGGTTCTCCTGCGTGGCGACCTTCCGCAGCTTCCCGTCGACCGGCTGCAGCTTGTCCGTCAGCTCCATGACCGGTTTGAATCCGTCTCCGAAGCGGGCAAAGTTCTTGCCTCCGCCGACCGTCTTCTCGACCAAATGGTCCCGGGTCGCATTGGGCAAGTTGCTCAGGTCGGACAGTCCGAGCACGAGTCCGGGGGCGTACTTTCGACTGTTCTTCAGTGGATTCAGACGACAGAAGAGCAGAGAGTTGACGTGCGATACTGTTGATTTGGATTTTGCAGACTGAGTGGAGAGCTTCGAGACAATGTCCAGATTTTTAATGACTTCAGATCTTATGGCAGTTCCAAGTGGCGTTGGGAGTTTCGTTCTCTTCTCAGCGAAATAAATGAAGTTAGCCAGTGGGATCAACGGGTGATTCTCATTCTTCAACGTATTGTAGGACGTTGATTTACTGCTGATGGTACTTGCGGCACTGACGACTCCTTCCACGTTTGTGAGACCTTTCACAATCTTTATAAAGAAAATGAGGAAGCCGCCATAGTTCTCATTCGTGACCTCAGGCTGTCCAGTCACGTTGTTCAGCAATTTAATCGTATTGGTGATTATTTTGCCAGCATCAGTCAGATTTTTGAAGTCCATGTTCGGATCGTTCACAAAATTGTCGATGACGGAAAAGTACGTGGCTTTGTCGGGAACTTCTCCGAACAGTCGGTCCGTCATCTCCACCTTCATCCGAGCTAAGCCGACAGTGTGTTCTTCCAGATCAAGGGCGTCTTTGGTCCCATCCAGCCCGGGTGCCTTCAGGTCGTTCGTCCACGCGTTCACAGAGTCCTTGTTGATGGCGGCGATGTCGGAGACCTTGACGGATCCGAAGTTGAGCAGTTCCGCGACGGCCTTGTCCATTGCAATGTGCCCGTTGATGAGTCCGTAGAGGAGAGAGATGCCACTCGAGATGCACGAGACCGTCGACATCTTCTGCACGTACTCCGACCAGCCACCGTCTGAAACAGAACCCAATCAGATCAGCGCGAGACCTCCGGACACTCACCTCTCTTGAAACGGACATCGTTGGACGGTTCGGTTCGGCTAGGATCGTTGACTGTGTTCACCGCTCCTGGAATAATTATGTTCGAGTTCGGACCAGAGCGAGAGTACGTACCATTCAAGAAAACGGAGAAGAGCAACGTGGCGGCGAGGCCGATGAGGAGTGCGCACCATGTGCGACTTGCGGGAAGAACACGCATTCAGGGCAATCTCTGCAATAGGTGAATGCGGAAATCTTCCAGAAAATTGACAAACTCACGCTTTCCGGTTTCTTAGAATTGAGACGGCTGTTTTCGGAAACTCGAAAATCGAGAACTGATTTTTTCTCGAACCGCCCAGGGAAGGAAGAACATTTTCGAGGTCACGGAACGTTTACGTGACTAATGCGTGATCTCTTTTTCTTTCGAAACTGCTAAAAAGAGTGCGGCGGAATGGCGGAGTGTCGTTCCGAGTTGCGCCGCTCATTTTTCAGCGAATCTCCGAATTTGTCTTATTTCTCTGGCATTTCGTTATTAATCTAACGGCGGCCTAATAAGATTGATATGACACCTAATTAGATTAATAAATTGTCTAGCTAGATTAATAAATCTTCTAATTAGATTGATATGTGCTCAAATCAAGTTTCACGCCAACCGTCTGCTGGGTCAAATCTCGATTGCGCCAAGAAAAAACAGTCGAATCTAATTAGGTCGCGTTTAGATCAGTAACTTTCTTATTAGATTAATATCGAATTGTCAGAGTTTTTTCTCTATTTTTCAGTTCGAATTGCTAAAGAACATTGAAACCTTAATGTGAAAGCGGTCAGTTCAATCGGAACTTAAGATACTCGCCGCAATACCCTTTTTTCAGAGATCTCATATTGCGCAAAGCCAAAATCGAGCGGAACCAGAGAAATAGTTGAAGAAATGGACATGGACTGATTCGGTCGACTGAAAACTGGTTGAAATACGGATTTTTTGTTTTTACCATTTTTACCACTGTTTTACCCGACCGAATTTGCACAATAGACGAGAAGGAAGAATCGCGATCAGTTTGGACGAACTCAAAATGCTCCCCCGGAAAAAAGTTATTTTAGGTAGCACCGATATGCGGAAAGAAATGGAACTCGACAATTATTCATTCGAGGCAAGGCTCCGATTTGATATTTTTGAAAACTGCAAGCTTATTGGCGGACCGAAGAAGTTCTCGAACTTGATTGTCGCATTCCGTTTCGGACGAGAACATCTTTTGACATTTTTCAGGAGGTTTTCATCATTCTTCATTTGCTGTTCCAGACCTTCGATGGATATCCAGCACATTTCTCACGCGACAGTCGAAAACGCGAGTTTTTCTACCTCCCATATCTTCTTGCTTAGGAGTCAGGCGTGAAAATGAAGCTACAAACTGATTAAACGTCTGATTTGTAAATTTGAGCATCAGCGCGATCACTTTCCAATACTTTTTCCGCTTTTCCGATGGAAGAGTGCAGTTCGACTGCTCCTCTCGTGAATTTTCAGAATTCTAAACTGATTTTTCAGATCGGGAGCATCAAGAGCGATCAACAATTTGACAACGAGGACGATTCCGATGAAAACGTGGAGTTGAGTCAAACAGACTTGTGCCGAATTCTCGAAGGCGTGGTCGCAAAGCAGTGCGAGCTCGACGAACATGTCCTTCACGTCCATATTGGCTCGGCGCTGCGCCAGACGGGCAATGACGAACGTGTCCGTGACTTCGGTGTAATTCGTGACCCCTGCCACGTGTCTCTCCACCCCTTGAACGTTCTTGTTCCCGAATTGATTCAGTTCCAGCTTTTGCAAAAGAGTCCAAATGAAGCAGCTCCTCGTTCTCCTCGTGCTCTTCGCTCCGTTCTGCTCGGCGGACGTCTGGCAGGGTGCCGTCCACGGCGTCGGACAACTTTATTGCAACGAAAAACCGTTCGCCAATCAGCTCGTCGAAGTGTGGGAGAAGAATTTCTGTGAGTCTGTTTGTCCCCAACCAACCAGAACGATCGGATGTTTCAGTGTGGGGCGACGGTCTGTGGGGCAGCACGAAGACGGACAAGCACGGCTTCTTCCAGTTGAAGGCCGCCGGCTGGGAGTGGTTCGGCCCCACTCAGCCGTACCTCTTCATTCCCAATTTTTGCGAGTCGGACGGAAAGTGCGCCAACAACGTCATCAACATTTTCTTCCCCGACATTTACATTTCCAAGGACCAGTTTCCGAAGATGGTAGAGTCTCAAAACGAAAACATTTCCAATATTATCGCATTTCAGAAGTTAGACATTGGTCAGATGGAACTGCGAGGCTTCGATCGGACCGAACAAAGAGGAATGGCGGTCGTGCTCGGATCCGGCCGTTACTGCAACTAGGCACGGATATAATAATAACAATGTGAAAATAAAGATTGCTTGTCCCGTTTTCTCCCCGAAATTGGCTTCCTCTTCCTCTTTTCCTTTTCCTTTTTCTCCCTCTTTTTCCCGCTGTCGCCCATCGATTTTAGTGCCTTGAAAGGAAAAAAGAACGGGTTTTGCGGAAAAGTGTCCGATTTCAATGGCTCTTTCGGGACCAATTTGCTTCTTTTTATACTTTTAAAGACTTTCTAGTACTCTAAAGTTTTAGACATTTAGAATTTGAGCGAATTTGAACTCTCGGACTTTAAAAAACTTCAATTTCTTATCAACTTTGGGGAAACATGCTCATGATCTTTTTCCTCTTACTAGCAAACTTTGAATGAATATTGTAGGATTCTGAGAAGTCCAATTGTTTTAGAAAATTTTGTGTAACATCCTGACATCTTGTACTGTATTTTTGTAGTTGATCACTTTTTTATACGACCACTTCCTGGAGTGCTGTAGCTCGGAAAAGTAGGCCCCAACTTCTAAGCGCTACATAGAAGTGATTGTACAGACAAATGATCAACTTAAAAGTTAGCGAACATAATTTGTACTTTGTTTTGTAGTCGACAACTTTTTTGTACCTCTTTTCTCCGGGGTACTGTTGCCCTTCAAACGCGAGCTACGCTACCGTACCCCAGAGAGTGGTCAACTACAAAAGTACAGTACTAGACGTGAAGATTTCACAAAAAAGGTTTCTAGACCCATAGAATCAGTTCTAAGCCGACAATATCCGTTCAAAGTTCCACTATTGGAAGCTACTAGTTCTGCGGATAATTTGATTGGGAGCGCTGATGATCATGATCCAGGATGTTCCTCGTGTACAAGCAACAAGAAACGGTGTGCTGCCTGCTCATAATCCCCCTTCCTTCATTTATTTGCTCGTTTTCGTGTTTGTCCGCCCTCTCTTTCATCTTCTTTTCCTCCCGCTCTCATTCTTGTCCGAATTCTTGTTAATCACACTCTTCCTTTTCGTTTTCAGGCTCAAATGGGCAATGTGGCAACCCGCAAACGGCCCGGAATTCATCCGGAATGCCGTGGAAATGAGGACGACGAGGATGGCGGTCCGGCACGGAAACGCATTCGGATCGACGACGGAGGAGCGCATGTCGAGAACGAATATCAAAAGGTTTTCCCGGTTTTTTGCCACAACTAACCCCAAAATCTTCAAAATTCGGTTGTGCACCTTTTAAAATGCTTTTAAAAGTTACTGTAGCCGATAAAAAGCGCATAGCACAATTTTTCACGAAAATTGCCAAAATTTAGCTGTTTGAAGCTGTTTCAATTGAAAATCTGCAGAAAAACATGCGAATCGTTGTAATTTGAAGGCGCTTTGCTGCAAAAATCGCAAATGCGCCTTTAAACTATCAAATGACTCCAGTTGGAACGTGTCACGTCATTCGCTGCGCGCTCAATGATCAAAATCAGAGTCGGGCAGAAAAGTCAATAGAAAGTCGGATGTTAAGACACATTTATCGAACCGATTTTTTGACTACACCACAAAAAAGTCTAATTTTCTCAAACTTTTCCAGCTCGCCTTCAAATCCCGTCTGCAAAAGTTGCGAAAATGCCGTCCGCACCTGCGGCGGAGGACGTACAAAGTGGAAGAAGGTGAGCGTGCGCCGGAATTGACGCGCAATCGCGTACCACGTACTTTCGGCGCCAGCCCCGAATTGTTTGTTTTGCGGTCGGTGTAACCGAGCCGTTTTCATCGACGAATCCACTCGAATTCGATTTGATTTATCATGTTTGACATGAGCATCAGCTGATAAAATAAAACAAAAGTGCGGCTGATAACAAACAGTAAAAAGAACTGGTACTGATCTTCGCGCCTCTTCCAGCCGATCCTCGACCGCCGTTGCCTCGTTTTATTGTCGATGACGAGTATGAGAACTATGAAAAACGTGAGTTGCTTTCGTTCAAATTTTTTGAGAAAAAAAAATTTTCCAGCCGAAGGGCTCAAAAAAGAGTACGCTCTGCCGTGGTTCGAAATGCTTTTTCTTCCCGAATTTCCCACTCGGAGCATCATAAACGAAAAGAGTTTTGTGGTAAGAAATTGTTGATTTTTCTGTATTTCTCCGTACTTTTTCAGCTGGAACGTCAACTGGGACGTGGTTCGTTCGGAGTCGTCTATTGTGCGAGTGCAATTCACGACTCGGAACGGAAATTCGCAATAAAAATGCAAGAGAAACGAGAAATTATCTCGAAACGCGCAGTTTTGCAAGTGAAAAGGGAAGCGAGCATTCAGGTAAGCCTCAATTTTATTTTTGTCCACAAAAAGTGCAAACCCGCTCAAAAGCTCTTTTTTTCCGAAAATTTGTGTCGCCTTTAAATTTGCAAGACTATTGTAGTTTTGCAAAAAATGCACCAATCGGGAAGGGAAAACCTGCTTTTAGATAGATTTTGGCAGGTTTTACGTGAAAATTAACATTTCATCGAAAGTTAACAGGAAAAGTGTGTTATTCACCTTTAAATTGAGAAAATTACAGTTGTTTAGTTGAAATTCCATGAATTTATGTAGAAAACAGTGTTTTAGTCGGAGCTTCACAGTTTTCAAGAAAACCGTAAAGCTTCTTAGAAACTAACGAAAACAAAGTGTTCTGTGTGAAAATACTGTAGCTGGGTCACAAAAAACCGTTTCAGCGTCTGCTGCCCGCGCATCCGTTCATCGCTCGCACGTATTCCACGTGGCAAACGCGCACACACCTCTACTCACTGCTACAGTACCCCACCGGCTCGACCGGCGACCTTTTTTCGGTTTGGCGTCAGCGGGGCAGTCTTTCCGAGAGTGCCATCAGACTGATCGGAGCTGAATTGGCGTCTGCCATTGGTAACATTTCAAAAAAGTTTGAAGCAAAATGTTTTTGTCGTGTTCAGATTTCCTGCATCGGCACGACGTCATCTATCGAGACGTGAAGCTGGAGAATGTGGTGCTCGATCAGTGGGGCCACGCATTATTGATTGATTTCGGGTTGGCGAAGAAGTTGAAAGAGGGCGCGAGCACGGGGACCATCTGCGGCACCCTCCAGTACATGTCGCCCGACGTGGCGTCCGGCAGGACCTACTCGCATTACGTGGATTGGTGGTCCCTCGGAGTGCTCCTCCACATTTTGCTCACCGGAATCTATCCGTACCCGAATTCCGAGGCGACACATCACGCCAATTTGAAGTTAGTCTTGTTGAACAGCGCCGGTTTGAGGGTATATCTTGAAAACTAGAAGAGCTAGCGAAAAGTATCAAGATACAAAGTTAATCAGCGTGAAATTCTCTATAAAATGCTTTAAGTTTGATGATTCTTCCCTCAAAGTATCGTGAGATCCAATGCTCGGTTCGCAAACAACCAAATTTCAGGTTCATTGACTACAGTACCCCGCTGGGCTGCTCCCGCGAGTTCGCCAACCTCATGGACCGGATGCTCGCCGTTTCGACCGCCCATCGGCTGTGCTCTTTCACAGTTTTGCACGCGCACCCGTTCTTCCGACCCGTAAACTTTGCGAAATTGGAGCAGAAGGAGTACACGCCGGCGTCGGAAATCGGAAATGCCGAATATGACACGTGTCAGAGCAACGAAGAAGTGCTGGATGGCAATCTGTTCAAGGAGAATTACGATGTAAGCGTCTCGCAGCGAAATTTTTATTTTCGAGTAACAGTAATGCGCCTTTAAATTGAGCGAGTGACTAGCCACTCAACTAAAATCGATAAATCGGTAAATCGCTTTCAGTTCGACCGTTTCGACTACTTCAACGACCGCTTCTGACCGTCCAGTCCGTCGCCAATTCGTTCATTTGCCCGCAGTCAACATGTCGATCGGAGCGCGCTTTATTGCCCCCCAATTAATGTGATAAAATGTCCCAACGCACACACAATTCTCTCTTTTATCTTTTGAGTGATACGGGGCGCTATAATAAAACATTTGTACCCGCCTCTTTTTCCGTCTTTTCCATGGTGCATCGGCCCCAAAAAGCTACTTTTTCTTCAGTTTTTCGTTGGAAATGTCCGAACCGTCAACTTCTGGATCTTCCGGCGGCCAACCGAGTGAAACCGCTTCGAAACAAGGTAAGAATGATCAAAAATTGCCAAAATGTAAGATAAAGTTCCAAAAAGTGGTGCCAAAGTAATTACCAGCCAATTTTGAAACTGAAAAGAGCTTCAGTTTTAAAGATTTTGTGAAAAAGGAACTCTGTTGTTGCGTTGCGTTGTTTACCAGATTGGCCTGTGGGAAGACTGAGAAGAAGAAAAAAAAAGAAGACGAGAATGGTCCCGGCCGCTCGAATGAACGGACCGTCAGACTACACACACGTGTTCCGATGGTCCGTCGTAAACTCCTCTGATCTCTGCGACAGGTGTGAAATGCGTGAACGGTCCCTGACCCGGTCACGAAAACGTACACTCACTTTAAAGGCGCATCCGCGAGACTTGCTGGTTTTCCCTTGTTTTGATTCGATGCGAGTTCGAGTAAACCGGGTATGAGATATTGTAGGTCTAGTCACTTTTTTTTTGAAATACAGACGTCTAGTACTCTATTTTTCTAGTTGACAACTTGTTTGTACGACCATTGCCTGGAGTGCTGTAGCTCCGGAAAGTAGGTGCTGAAACACAGGCTTCCAACTAGTTCTGACTTCCAAGAGCTACAGTACTTCAGGCAGCGGTCGTACAAAAAAGTGATCAACTATAACATTGAAGTACAAGTCATGAACTTTAGTTTTGTAATTGACAACTTGTTTGTACGACCACTGCCTGGAGTACTGTAGCTCCTGGAAGTTTTGGTTTGCTAAACTGCTATGAATTTCAGCGCCAACTTCCCGGAGCTATGTACAGTACTCCAGACAGTGGCCAGCCACAAAGATGTAGTACTAGACATGATAATTTCATTTTTGAAAAATCCGAAGACCACATGACGTCTCTAAACATTACAATATTCGTCTAAAGTTTGTCACTTCCATTTCCATCGGAAAATTGGTATTGTTTCAAAGTTTTCAACGATAAGACATTGCTTCTAAACTATTCTTCTTCCTTATTTTCGTTTCAAGACCCATTAATACCATTTACACTTCTTGAAATGCCCTAAAAAGTGCCCTGCAGTTGACCGTATCCGAGCCCAATTACCTGGCGAATAGGGGCTATTATCCTCTTCTTTTTCTATTGTCCATCTAGTTAGCCATCCCACCGGGGGGAGAGAGAGTGAGAGAAAACATATTGTGAGCGGTCAAATGTGCGTTGGGACGCATTCATATCTATTACAATTGCAATAACAATCTCCTCCAGCCTCTCTTTGCTTTTCTGATACCCTCCTTTTTATGACTCACAGACCGCTAGCTGTGCCGCGAAAAAAACTCCTTAAACCGAGTTTCTTACCAGTTTTTACCGGTCAGTACATCATTTAAACAAAATGAATGGGTCTTAAGACACCTTTTTCCATTGCTCTTGAGAATACCGTTTAGAAACTAGACCATAACTCAAGAATGGCAAGTTTTTGGATAAAATGATCAACTAGAAAGTTGTAGAGCACAAAATTGTCTACAACTTTTCTGTTGACCAATTTTTGAAATAATCATTGGATCTCGAGATATAAGTGTCCAAAGATGAGGGAATTTAGAGTGGGGCGGAAATATGATAAAAGGTGTATGTAACTTTTGACGCACTATCAGATGGCAGTTTGAGTACCAATTTTTCAGTGACATGCTTCTTTTGATAACCAGTTCATCGCTCAGTTTCAGAGTATTATTATTCTTCAACTTTTCTCCAAATCCTAGCCAAAACGCTTCCTCTCTCTCTCTCTCCCTCTCCTCCTAAGAATTTGAAGGAAATGGTGGGGGGGGGGGCAGATGTGGTAGACCACGAACATCTGGCAAGTGTGTCGGTTGGTGTGGTCGCCTCTTTCGAAGAGAGAAGAAGAAGAAGAGGAAGAGGAAGAGGAAGAGGAAGACAACGGCAAAGGTCATATCAAAGAGAGAGAGAGAGAGAGAGAGAGAGAGGTCCTTGGACCGCTTCGCCGACACGCGACGCTCGTCAAACGTCAACTTGTTCCCCTGAGGCCCCCGCCGTTTCCCCTACGGCCGAAAAGATATATTATCCATTTTTCTCTCTCTCTCTCTCTCTCTTTCTTTTTCATTTTCACACCCCAAAACTAGAGGATTTTTGAGTGAAATATATTCGAATTTTGAGAAAGTTAGGGAACTTTTTTGTACTAACCGTTCTCAAAACAATTTTGCTTCTTACAAATGCGAATATTGTGAATTTGACAGGAATGGTGGGGACGACGTCACCGTCGACTCTGAGTGATTTGCTCAACGAGGTGCTCAAAATCAACGAGCAGACTTTGGATGACAACGACAGTTCCAAGTGAGTTTACCCTCTTTTTTTCTTGTCTTGAAATTCAAAAAAAAACAGAAACTTCCCATAGCGTTCATAAAAATTGTGCCAAATCATCACAAAAAAAGTCGGGCTAACGGGCGTTCCAGTTCCAGAAAACAAGCGCTGCAGTGTCACCCGATGCGACAGGCCCTTTTCGACGTTCTGTGCGAGACGAAGGAGAAGACGGTGCTTTCGGTGCGGAATCCGGTCGACGAGACGCCGGAAGACCCGCAGCTGATGAGACTGGACAACATGCTCGTGGCGGAAGGAGTGGCCGGGCCCGACAAGGGCGGAACCTTGGGCAGTGATGCGAGCGGCGGCGATCAGGCCGATTACCGGCAGAAACTGCACCAGATACGCGTGGTTTACAACGACGAACTCAGGAAGTACGAGGAGGTCAGCGCACTTTATTGTTATTGCACCGAAAGTAAAGCTAGCATACAGGGGACTGGAAATTGTGAAGCTGTAACTTTCCACAGAAGCTCATTTTGAAGAGCACAATGCAATTGAACTTTTATCAACAAAGCAGAGGTCTCTATGTCCGATTTCTGGAGATACATTGAAAAAAATCGATAGTCTCATGTATGAGTTGCCGTATTCCGATCGGATCGAAACGTTTCCCCCCAGACTCGCATTGGCATACCGTAAATAATGTCTCAGAGAGAGAAAGGCTTTCCTTTTATAATTTTCCCGAAAATTTGTTGGAAAATTCCATATACATAACAATTTTCTTCGAAAAAGAACCCTTCTATCGCATCCGTACGTACGGATGCCCGAAAATTTAGCCGCTTGTTTGTTCTTGACGAGTTTCACCTAGAAAATCTAGTCTTTCGGTGTTCAACATGTTCTACTAGTGTTTTTGAAGTAATTCTACGGTACTGCGGCAGGAGCCCTTTCTATTTTAGGTGACAGTATTTACAGTATCTTGCGTTCACGATTCTTAGACTTGGATTGAAGTGTTTTGGGCCCAAATTTCAGGCCGATCGGATTATCTGGTCAGGAGATATGTGAGTAAAACTAATTTTTCGCAAAAATCTACCTTGTCGGCCTCTGATTTACATATCTCCGGACAAAATAGTCCGATCGGTCTGAAACTTGGATCCAACGTGCTTCAATCCAAGAATCCAGGAAGCATGCAAAGTTTTGTGAAATGTAAATGCCTTTTGTGCCCGAATCTTATCATTTTCGTTCTTGCAGGCGTGCGCGGAATTCACACAACACGTGCGCTCGCTGCTGAAGGACCAGTCGGTGATCCGTCCGATCGCGCACAAAGAGATCGAGCGGATGGTCTACATAATCCAGAAGAAGTTCAGCGGCATTCAGGTGCAACTGAAGCAGTCCACCTGCGAGGCCGTAATGATCCTGCGCAGTCGGTTCCTGGACGCGCGCCGGAAGCGGAGAAACTTCTCGAAGCAGGCGACCGAGGTGCTCAACGAGTACTTCTACGGTCACCTCTCGAACCCGTACCCGTCCGAGGAGGCGAAGGAGGACCTGGCGCGACAGTGCAACATCACCGTCTCGCAAGTGTCCAACTGGTTCGGCAACAAGCGCATCCGCTACAAGAAGAACATGGCGAAGGCGCAGGAGGAGGCGTCTCTGTACGCGGCGAAGAAGAACGCGCACGTGGCTCTCGGCGGGATGACCGCCAATCCGTACGGGATGTTGCCCGGAGCAGCCGCCGCCGGCCTCTTGAACCCCTATAATCCGATGGGACTGCCCGGACAGGACGCCGCTTTGCACATGGGAATGCCGCCGTTCGACCTCTCCGTCTACAATCCCCAATTGGTCAGTATAGCGGAAAAGGAAGAATTTCGCAAAAAATAGCATTTTCCCGAAAGAACAAGCTCGCGCTCATTGCCTACCGTGATTTGTTGAAATTTAAAGGCGCATGACACTTGTTCAAAGTATTTCGTCGCTAATTTTTGCCATGTTTCAGATGGCCGCCGCCCAATACCAGCAGCAAATGGAGAACGCCGAGCAGAAATCATAATTGTTTCGGAAAAAAACATTGTTTTCTTTTTGAATTTCCGCCAAACCGCTCTTGCTTGTTCTTTCCATCAACCCGATCGCCCACTGTTTCCGCACAAAAGTCGATAATTTTCACCCAAATTTTCCAGCTCCAACGACCTCTTTCGTTTTTCGTTTTCTGTTTCTCACCACCACAATTAACTAAGACCCAGTTCAGATCTCTCATTTCAACATGAGTCTTGACCCCCCATTTTTTTCTGTATTTTTTTATCCGTTTTGAAAAAAAGTAATAAATTGCATTGGCAAACAAGCGTGGAGAAGAAAAAACGCGGAAATTCTCGCTGAAAAATGCCGTTTTCCGGTACCAAATGAGCCATTTTCCGTGGTTTCGCCGCATTTTCGCCAAACCGCTGAAAAATGCGCAAGTTTTCGAAATTTGCATAATTCGCACCAGAGCGCATTTGCATTGCACCGAAAAATGAAGAAACACGAACTTTGATCGGAAAATTCAAATTGGTGGCCTAACTTTTCCTAGTCCCTCGCAAAGAAACATGAAAACAAGGATAAACAGCGCGTCAAACACTTCCTTTTCTTTCCCCGAAAAAGTTCCCCATTTTTCGTGTGCATCACCACATCCGAATCGGCCGCAATTCGATTGGTCCCCGGAGGAAAACGTGCTCAGCCGCCCATTCTCACGCCTTTTTGGCTCCGAAAAAGACGAGCCGTTTTGCAGAAATGTTTCAATTTCATTGTTTTCTTTTGTGGCTTCTCTCGTTAGGCCATGCCATTATTGAGTTTCGGATTGTCTAGGCGACGAATTGCAAAAGTTGGGCCACGTGTGTACAAGTTTTGTCAGAAATCCAGACCACACTTGTTGTCTCGGTGCAAAGTTTGTCGTGTTCGTCATGTGTAGTAGTACCCGGTGTAATGTATGCAAATGCGCTCCAATGCAAATTGTGGTATTGTCAGGGTTATCGAACCACAAACCTACAGTATCTTTGAGATCAGCCCGACATTGGATTCTAGGCCACTCAGGCCGCAACTTTTTGAGAACCTCAACGCAAGTTACAAGTTACCGACGGGAACCCTAGGCCATCAAAACTCGTCGTAAAGTTCCCTCAACTTTGCCAAAACCAAGTCTTCTCGATTTTCCTAGGCCACCACCCCAAAATCCTAGGCCATCATCTACCGTTGACCATTTGTCTCCGCCATTCCGAAAGGACGCCAACTGACGCGTGTTTCGTCATCAATTGCACACTCACTCGCTCAAAACTTTCAACATTTCCCGCCCTCTCTCCCTCGCATTATCACTGCAAAGTACGTGTTTTGCGACGGAGCCGATGGATGGCGGTTGTGTGCTCAAAACAACAAAAAAAAACGAGTGAACTGACAAATTGTCATTTGGGAGAAGTGAAGCGAATCGCCGATTATCTTCTGGGGAGCCAACTGTTCCGGGCCCGTTAAAACTGCTCCGCGCTCAAAATTGGAGGAGGAATTCTGTGCGAGTTCTCTGACTGAATTGTCAATTATTATCGTTATCAGCCGGTGAGAATTTGGCGTTGAAATTTGTTGGACAAAACTTGAATTTACATAATTTATTTGCACACAAAATGCAAAGCGGGGGTGACGGATTTGCATACGAATCGTAGCGGATCACTGGTACACTAGGAGTTTGCTGAAAATCTGCAAAATAGGCAGAAAAGTGCAGAAACACACGGATTTTCGGGCTCTCTGTGGTCTTTTCCTGGAAAAATGATGCATTTTAGCGTTTCGCCTAACAATCGATTATCGGGGCATTTCTTGAGCTACAAACATGCTAAAAGTTTAATCTTAGGGGTTTTTTTATCATTATTAAAAGAAAAAGTTTTCAATTCCATCTTTTTGCCAGGAAATTCGAGAAAACAGCGAAAAATTCTGCTTTTTCCACATGGAGGCCGTGGCCGAGTTGGTGCGTTTTCTAGGCCATTCGAACATTTCTTGGCGCTTTTTCGAGCTTCGCGCCCGTTTTCTGCATGTTTCCTCTGTTTTTCCGCGCTTTTCTTGTGAAAATTAAATTGCTGTTGTTTCCCAAGGTGATTGCGTTAATTTTAAATCCTAAATTCATAACATTTCGTGAAATTCGTTGAAGAACAGCGATTCCGAGCCGATTTCCAGCAAAAACAGCTTTTTCGAATAAAATTGGTCAAAATGATCGGAAAGTCTTGTAGAAAGTATGTAAGCACAAAGATCCACTTATCTCGGTGCTACAATCTCTTTCTCTCTCTCTCCGTTTGCCCGTTTCCCATCCGATTTGCGACTGTTGGCGCCGGGAGCGAGCGAGAGAGCGTGCGAGACGGAGAGACGCACACAAATCAACAGCCATTCGCGAGGCGCCGCCCACTTTTTGTCCGTCGCCGCTGCGCCCACCCCGCTGGACGCCATTCGGTGCGTTGCACGTATAAAAGTGCTGAAACTGACAAAGTGTTGGCTGGAAATTTCGTTCGCAGAAACGGAAAACAGAGCAAAAATTTAATTAAAAACTCGCTGCGTTTACTACTGTTTATTCCAATTGATTCTTCTTCTTCTTCTCCGGCTGCCGCTTCCGGATTCAATTTCCAATTAAGAAGGCGTCAAATCGAAATGATTGTGGCGAGAAGAGGAGGAGGAGGAGGAGGAGGAGCCGCCCGGAGGCAAAGATTGTGGCTTTTCGAGTCTGTCAGGTTCGCTTTCCTTTGGTTTTCACTAAATTGTGTATTTCTTGTTGTTGTTGTAGTGTTGTAGCAGCATGCTTTCCTTATTTTCACGCAAAATGCAAAAGTTGTGAAAAATTAGCCAAATCGTTTGCAAACAAGGACGCGCACGGGACTCTCCCTCTTCACAAGCTGTCAAAAACCTTGAAGATTTGACAGGGAAGCACACAAAAAGGTTGAGAAGAACAGAAAACAGAAAATAGAAAACCGATTGGTCTGAGTGAGAAGAAACCCTTGCTCAAGTTTTTGTATCTTGTCCATGGCCCAAGTTTTGTTCTGATGACCTGCAATCCGAACATTGTTCTTCTAATTTTGTAGACTCTTTTCCTAATCTTTGGTTCCCTCCAACCAAAGCCTAGAATCCGAGAGGTCTGTTAACATTTTGCTTCTCACGGCCTAGCTGACCTAAAACTCTACAAAATTGAAATGCCAACAAGTTGTAGTTTTTCCCGAAACCGTTGTTTTCAATCGAAGTGGCCTAGAATCCGGCTGCTTTCGCCTAACTTCAAATTTTCAGTCCCTTGGCCTAACTTTCCATTCCGAGTGGCCTAGAATGCACTTCCACCCAATTTGTTTCATCACACTTTGTTCCGGCCAATTTAAGCAGCTTTCTGCTCTTTCTCTCGTCCCAATCTGATTCTGATTTGCCCGTGAGCGCACGTGACGCAAGTGTGTACAAAAATTCGGTTTTCGATAAGAAAAACACACACACACACACACACACACAAATTTGTGGTTTCCTTTCGATTGTCGTCAGAGCCAGAGGCATGTCAGAATTTGGGGGGAGACACTTCCACAAATCAGACTGATAGCAAGAGGGAGAGGCGGTTAAAAATAGGTTTAAAAAGGGAAGATGAAGGAGAAGAAGAGGAAGAGAACGAAAGTGGAAAGTGGCGATAAAACTGCACATGTTTACCCATTATCCAGTGCAAAAAACAAAAAATGTAAAGAAGGGGAGCTGTGACGTATCGTTTTGGAATCTGGCAGTGGCCTAACTTTTGCCCTAGCTGACATAGGAACCCAAACTCCTGTAGACTCCAAACTTTGTGGCCTAACTTTCCGAGACTGTCCACGCACTTGCGGGAGAACGGATCAAGTGGAAAAACAACAGACAAAACGGCTCTTGAGCGTGATTTTCGAGAGCGAACGCTTTTGTGGCCGAACGTTTAGACTTGAAGACCCAAAAATCTTACAGAGATGTCTCCGACCAAAGGTTCCGATCGGTTTCGTTGACAGATAAGGGAATGGAAGTGGATGATATCATCTCGATTCCATTTCCGATCAGAAGATGTCTGATCACGAATGACCAGTCTGACAAAACACAGAATTGCATCAAGTGGTCACATTTTGTAATGCCGTAGAAATCATTGAAGTCATCTCCAGACCCATAGGATATTGTGCATCTCCGAGCGCTCTGTTTGCTCTCTTCTTCCTCGGCGCCAACTTACGGCTCTCAAGTAGATTGACACGTGTCGTCGCTCCAAGAAAGAGCCGTGTGACGTGGCAGTGAGCAAACAGATGCTCGACGGCACAAGAGATTTCGGATAGTATCACCTGAGTCGAGGGGGATCGAATAGGATCGGATCGGCGGGGACTCGGACTCGGAGCAGCACATCTGGCAGTTATTTGAGAAAAACAGTGGAATCGGGCGGTCAAATCCCATTGTTTTCGATGCGATTTTAGTGGTTTTCTTGGGTTTTATCCGCAAAAAATAGACGAATTTTTTCATTCTTTCCTGTAAAATCTCTAATATTGTCAGGTTCCTCAACGCGTTTCCAGTTCCCCCTGACATCGTACTTTCGTTTGCGCTTTTCCGGTGCGTCGACGCAATCCTGGTCCCCGTGACAACTCGCCAGAAATATCGAATTTCTGGCGGAAATTCGTAAAAAAAACCCATCAAGAACACCATTTGCACCTCGGCAAATATGCTCTGTGCATGTGCTCTTTGTGCTCCTGAACCTCCCGGAGCACAAAAAAAGAAAGAAAGAGAGAGAGAGAGTGCGACAATTGCGTTCTGACGGAAAACAATAAGGAAGTTGCGGGAGAGAATGAGATTTGGAGCACATTCGGAGCAAAGAATGATGACGAGAAGATTTTGAAGTCCCGGTCTTTTTCTAGCGGAAAATGTCCCTAATAGTCAGTTCTAGGATTGCGATCTGCCAACTTTTATACAAATTTGCGAAATTAGCAAAAACTTCCCGACCCGTTGCAAGTCTGTTGAGAAGAAGCGAAAAAATAGAAAAAAGGGTGGTCCCGCCCGGCTGGAATGAGGCGACAAATCGAATTAGCACTATTCGACGGACGACCGCTGACAGAACATTCCGGCTAAAAGCAGCCGTTTGTGTCGGTCGCTCCACGTGTTCTTGCGCTTTTCCGGATGTTTCTAGAGCTTAGGTTTGTAAGAAAGAAAGTCCCAAATCTTATTCACACATTCTCAGTGCCCTGGCGCACTTTCCGATCGTTCTAAAAGCCGGCTGAGAAGAAAATAGAAAGCGAAAGCGAAAAGGAGGGAAAATAAAGAGGAAAACATTTTGCGCCATCGTCCACTCCATCATATTTCAATCATATTCTCTTTTCTGGAACAAGAATGGCGGCGGAAAAAACACGGAATCTGTGCGCGCCTCGGGCCGTCCAGATGTCGTTATTCTCTCCGTCGGCTCCCATTTCTTCGTCCCTTTTCTCTTTGTTGTGCTTTTGCTCGCGGAGCTCCCTCTCTCTCTCTATCTCTTTCTCTCCTCAAAAAGTCACCTTTGCTCCCCCGATTGCCTTTTTGTTGTTTTCAATCGGAAATCTGGAGGAAAACGGATGTCTGAACGTTCCGCAACTTGTCAATCATCCACCTGAACTCGTGTTACTTAGAAAACTACTTTGAGAAATTGGAAAAACGACAGCGTTTTTTTGATAAGACCACAAATCTGATCAAGAGCAGAAAAAGATCAGTCACGGGGGTGTTTTCAGTTTCTCCCCCGACGTACTTTGCGTGCAAAGGTCCCAGGCGGGCAAGTGCCGTTTTGATGGATAGCTGACAGCTTTTACGGGGTTTTCGAGGTGTCAAAGGCTGGAAAAACGCATCGCACGTGATTTTACACTATTCTCCAGTTTGTATGATCTTGATTTCCCGAATGTAGGCCTTCCGCAGTGCTTAGCAGAGATTTGCCGCGAAACAAATTCATCAAAATTTCTGTACTTCCGCTAGGTACTATGCTTTTCGGTTCGAGTTTAACAGAGCTCGTAAATTTGATAAGTTTTCTTTAAAAATATGCTCCAACTAGTCGTTCGCCTTCCAGTTGTTGTTCTCAACTGATCCTTCGAGAACGTCACAGATACAAGTTTGAGGCCCACTCATCGTATAGCTCTCTTGTTCGGTTCAGTTCCGTATAGCCGCCTAGTTTACACCGACTGACCCACCTGAGAGAGCACCTGAAGACTCATGAAAAGTGAGGAGCGCGAGTTAAGCGGTTCGAGTTTCACAACACACACACACACACACAACTTTGCGGGAGCCCGCGACGGGAACAGCTGCTTCCCAACCACATAATAAATGCGTTTTCCGTCTGACTCTCTCCGATCCGACCGCTTTGTCTGTGTTCGCTTGGACTCGAAAATCCGCAGGTTCAGCATTTTCGAAATGTTTATCAAAATCCTACTAGCAAGGCAGCTTCAATCTTTGTTCAAATTTAAGCCTATTTTTAGTGCAGAGTAATAAAAAGCGACTCCTACAGTAATCCGCGTTTAAAGGGACATACTGCGCATGCCCTCAAATGCCCTTAGTACAATAATCTTTGCAAAAATCGCTGTGAGACCCGAAAATCTCGAGAATTCTTGAAAAACACTTCACCGCCCGAAGACCCCGAACGAAAAACCAGTTCCTTCCCTTTTCCCAAAAAAAAAGAAGAAAAGATCATTATCTCTGCGAATTCATGTGACTTATCGTCGCGAAGAAAAATAGGAAAATTCTCGAGGAATCGAAATGATTATTTACAGAATGATCAAACGGAAACTGCAAGATTTGGCCGTCTGCTGCTCCTATCAGGTCGACTTTTTGCACGAGAAAAGTGAGATTTGAGGGCACGCAAATTTGCGGGGAAAATGCGAATAATTTGCAGAGCACTCGGTGAAAGAGTTCAAGCGAAAGTACGAGGTACTCGACGAGATCGGCCGCGGCGGATTCGGAATCGTGTACGAGGCGACGAGTCGGACGGACGGGCAGCAGCCGGTCGCCGTCAAATTCGTGCAGCACAAGCACGTGCGCAGCTGGACCATGGTCCGTTTCGCTTCTTTCTCTAGAAATTAGAAACTTCTTCTGAAAAGTAATGAAAATCACCCCTTTCTCCAGACTTTTCCGCTTGAAAATACAAATTTCACCTAAAATGCGAGCTTTCAGACGTGTCGCCAGCTGATTCCGTCGGAAGTGTGTCATCTGGAGACGTGCGAGGACATTCCCGGCGTCATCCGAATTCTCGACTGGTTCGCAAAGTGAGGACACTCGTTTTTGCATTTGTTAGACGAAAATTGGTCTGAATATGGAAGTTCCCAGAAAAATCCCAAAAAATCGTGATTATTGCACAATTTCCCGTCTAAAAATTGCTGTTTTTTCAGCTCAAAAGGTTTTCTGATCGTGATGGAGCGTCCGGAGAACTGTATGGATCTGTTCGATATGGTCTCGGTGCACGGACCTCTAAACGAGGAAATGGCCAAATTCATATTCAAACAGGTACGGTTGACTCGCTCGTTTGTGTGTACAAATTGTCGTCAGGCGGTGACGACGGTCTTCGAGATGTACAGTAAGCACGGACTGCTCCACCGCGACATCAAGGACGAGAATCTGATTGTGAACATGAACACGGGCGAGGTGAAACTCGTCGACTTTGGCGCCACCGCCTACGCGGAAAAAGCCACCAAGAAGGAGTTTCAGGGTACGGGATTGGTGCGAAAATTACCAGAAAAGCGTTGAGCATCGGGAAAATCAACTAATTTTTTCAAATAGTTTCAAAAAAGTAATTAATTCTGGTGCAGTTACGTAAAGTTAGAGCTCTAAAAAGTGTAATTTCTTGCAGGCACGCGGTCGTATTGTCCGCCGGAGTGGTTCCGTGACCAGTTGTACCTGCCGTTGGAGGCCACTTCCTGGTCCCTTGGAGTTCTTCTCTTCATCCTTTTGACGGGCAAACTGCCGTTCCGAAACGAGATCCAGATCTGTCTGGGCAACGTGAAATTCCCGTCGGGATTGTCGCGGGAAGTGTGTCAGCTCGTGAAGATGTGCCTGACGACGTCCACCTCGGCGCGTGCTTCCCTCGCCCAGATAGCCGCCCATCCGTGGATGGAGTGCGACCGTCCGTTCTACGGAGATCAGCTCACGTTCGAGGACGCGCTCATGGAGATCAGAAAGCCGCCAGTTGCGGAAGAGGACAAACAGGCGGAGGAGGAGGACCAGGAACTCAACGATGTGATCGTTCTGACGAGGAGCCGGGACAGTCGGGCCGACATGGACATGGAGAGCATTTGCACGATGGTCACCGCCAACGAGGAGGACCGCTACGAACCGACGCACGAGGCCATCGAGCAGTTGGCCGAGCAGGGAGACCTACTTGAGAATGGTAAGTCATTTATGAGAAAAAGTAATAGGACATTGCGTTTACCGGCGATTTTTTGGAAAAAAAAACAACTGTTTCCGGTGATAAATCCAGCTGAAATAGTGAAAATAGTCAATTTCCCTGCAGGCGAATCGGGGAATCTGATGCGAAGCGAGTCACGATACGACAATATCTCGTCGTCGTCGTTTTGCGACTACGTCTCCCTGGCCTCGTACGACGATCAGTTCGCCTCCACTTCGGACATTTACCAGTCGGCGTGCGACGTCTTCCCGCCCACCAGGTACCGTAAACCCCTACCGTAACCCCATCGAAACCCACTTTTTTCAGTTCCGGCTCCTCTTCATCGCTCAGTCGTCAATTCGGCGCCGTCAAATCGGCATCGGCGTATAATTTGGTACGAATGCGCAAGAAATCGAGCATTTTCAAGTCGTTCGACACCGAATTGGACCCGGTTTCGGAGAACGATCTGCAGCCGGCGTCGGCCGAAACGACGTCGGCGATGTGCGAATCGACGTACAGCAACGACGAAGACGTGACGATTTCGGAGGACGTCGTCGTAGAAAAAGTCGCGGAGCCTCCGAGGGCCAGGGATTCGGCGGTCCGGATGTCGCGGCACCGGCCCCTTCAATTCGGAATCGACTCGACGTCGCCGCCCCCGCAACTCGCAATATTTCAAGTTTCGCCCACTGTCGGGTGAACGGAGCAAAGTGCAGAATGGAGAAATTCTGTCGGATTCATTTAACTCATATATAACGGGTCATCTTTATCATTGTGTATACAGACAATTAATGGGTTTGAAGACAAAATGAAAATGTAATAATTTGTAATAAAATGGACATGATTTATTGTGAGATCTCGGCGGTTAGCTACAATATCTACAAAATTTTTGAGCAAAATGTACATAGAATTGGTTGGGGACCCGTCTTGAACAAAAAACATTTGTGGGTCTAGGCGACCAAAGTCTCGGCGGTCAGCTGGGCGATAATGTGCTCGTTGAGCAAAAAGTTGGTCTCCAAGAGCATCGACCTGGCCAGAAGGGTCAATTTGGGCTTGACGAGCTTGAACAGCGGATGGATCGGAATCGGAATGCCCTGTCGCAGAATATCGTTGACCATTCGCTGCAGAATCTCGCGGGACAGGAAACCGGCGTCGTCCAACTCCTCTTGCAGCAAGATTCGGGGCGTTCGCGACGTCTGAAATAGCGGATTACGTTTGCAAAAAAGTTTTGGCGAGATTTTGCACTGGGTGGGGTTCGAACCCCGGCCGACAGAATGGGGTCGAATGGCGCAGTGGAGAAATTTATCGAATTTTAGAGAATTTTCTTGGAAAAGTGCATTTTTCACGATTTTGCTGGAAAAAAGCAGCGTTTTTTCAGACTCACAAACTGAATCTCCTCGATCGTCACTTTTCCCTTCACACTTTTCGGCGTCAACTTCATTTTCATGAGCGCCTCGATGCGGATCTCCATCTCGCCGATCGGTTCGTTTCGATCGGACACCAAGCGGATCAATCCGAGCAGGTTGAAGTGGATTCCACCTGGAAAAAAATGATAAAAATTTGGATCATTTTCGTTTTTGGTTGGTTACTGTAGCTTCGCTTTGAAGCGAGTTATGCTCGTTCAAAGTTTGAGAGCAAAACCTGCTGAAACTATGTACAGTAACCTACAGTACCTCTAGTTGCGTTGCTCACCTTTATCCTCCGGTTGCATAATGACGGCGGGCGCGCGCAAAGTGGTGAACACGAACGCGATATTCCGATCGGGGAGCAGTTCCCTGAGCGCCGGGAACAGGTCGCCGATGCAAAAGAGCGAGCCGGTGCTGAGATCGCACGTCGTCCTCATGACGGGTCCGAACTGCGGGGTGGTCCAGTCGATGCGCGTGTCGAACAGTTTGATGCGATGGCCGTGGAACATGAGAGAGTTGGGCACGAAGTCGCTCACCACAATCTGCAGCATTTGCGGGGAGGGCGGCTGGGCGGACCGCGGCAAGAAGATGGGCCCGGCGCCGAACGGAGTCGTGTGGCCCGTCTGGAACACTTCCCCCGACGTTTGCAGTTCGATTCCACGGGCGGTCAGCGACGGCGCCGAGAGCATCGCGTAGTCGAGCATTAGGGAGTCGGCACGCGACTGAAAGAGGCATTGAAGCGTGATAATCGTGCAATTTGTCTTAAACTCACGAAATTGAACGAGTTGAGGATGAGATGGAACTTGTCTTCGGTCTGTCTGGGCACTCGGGACACCCTTTTTGCGGTGTGCGCGTGGACGGTCCGACGGGCGGCCACGTGGTTCGAGCGGAGCATGCTGCAGATTACACTCTACAGTAGCCATCTCAAAACCGCTCATATCTCAGCTGCCAGTGGAGATGGCAAAAAGTTATCAACTGATAAATTGTTCACAAAAATATTGTAGACATTTTGTCAGTTGACAACTTTCTCATAACTCTTCAAACAACTGAGATACATTGTCTCAAACGATGCACTCACTTCTGCCGAACCAACCGCTTCATGCGCTCCTCGGCCTGCATTATAATCTTGACAATATCGAAATTCTTCGAGTCCTCCAACGAGATTCTGCTCGAGAGAAGGGCGAATCGTTGATTGACGCGGTTCGTCACGATGTGCTCCAGTTTCGGACAGATCATTGAAAAGAAGATCGCGTTGGCGTCGACGGCGATCGCGTCAGCCAGCGATTTTCCGTTCCGAGGATCCATGGGCTTCGTGACGAGTTTGATGCCTTGCGTACGCACTTGACAGTTTTCAACCTGCAATTTCAGATGCGTGTGTTTGTTCCAATTCAAATTAAAAAGTGGCGCAACTCACCTTCAACGCAGGGTTCCCGCCCGCATTCTTATTGATCCGAACGGCGACGTCCAACCACAGCGCCGGCGTCCGAAAAGTGATATTGTCGTCGAGCCGGACGCCGCGGAGCTCTCCGCTGAGCACGGCCGACGAGCTGACGGACACGTTGCGGACGGAAATGCGGAGGAGTCCGTCGGCGGTGCCAGTGGTGACGCTCTGTTTGTCCAACTGCAGGGTCTCGAGCATCAGGCGCCGCAGGGATACGGTAGAAATCGAGGTGAGCTGGTGGTCCCTGCGCATTTGGGGCGGACGGATGTCGGCGAAATGAGCGGAGAATGCGGCGGCGACCACCGATGCCACGTATTGCGTTCCCGACGGAGTGACTCGTGCGATCACACCCGGTCCTTTCTGAAACGAGCGAGATGGAAGAGGAGAAGCTAGGCCACCACCACTTACCACTGTCCGATCATTCTGCAGCAACGGGTTCATGTCGAGAAGGTCCTGTTGGACCGTCGAACCGCCCACTTGGCACAGCGCCAAGCCGACGCATAACGAAATCTGAACGGCTATCCTCTCTTCTTTTCAAAACGATATATCTCAGCTATATGTAGAAATATCAAAAAGTGGGCAACTAATAAAATGTGCAAAATGTTCTAATGAACAATTTACTAGTTGACAACTTTTCGATATCTCCACCGGCAGCTGAGATATATCGCCTGGCGCGTCGCACTTTTCTGAAAGCGTCAACGTCAACGCATTTTCCGCTTCCGAAGGCTTTGTGCGAGTCTTTCGGATTAGTTTCCAGGTAATCGCGTTAACTTTTTTTTTATGACAGACAAGAAAATCTGACTAGAAAGGGGAGCTCGTACAGAAATGTGTGCAAAAAAGAGCCCGGAAAAAAAGCAAAAATGTGTCAAACCACTGCCGGTATAAACGTACCAAAAAAGCGGTGCGCATAATATTCGACGTGTCCTTCCGCACTTGAATTCGATCGAGAACTTTAAGCTGAACCCAAACAGATCAGATCACTTTCTTTGCCAAGGTCAAAATGCTTCTCCCTCTTCTTCTTCTTCTTCTTTCAAGTGTCGACACGGTTTCGGGTGTAATGCGGGTCTGAAACAGTGTTGAAATTGGCTGTTTTCGACAAGAAAATACAGTTTTTCACGGAAAATTTGCAGAAAATCGAGAAAAGATGGGAATTCCGAAGAATACTCGCACTTTCACTCAATTCCGTTCGTTTTTGTTCGTTCAGAGAAAGAGAGAGAGAGAGAGAGAGAGAGAGAGAGAGAGAGAGAGAGAGAGAGAGAGAGAGAGAGAGAGAAAGAGAGAGAGAGAGAGAGAGAGGGGAGGTGGCAAAAAGCTAGTTATTATGAGACTTATAAACCTATACTTATAGGAGGGGGTCAAGGGAAAGAAGAAGAAGAAGAAGAAGAAGAAGAGGGGGTGGCCTAACTTTTCACAAGCTCGAAAGCTAGGCCTTCTTCAAACTTGATTGGCTCGCGGGTTTCTAGTGACTGTAAACGATGGCCTAACGTTTTTCAGTTCTCTAGTTTTCTAGGCCATCTTAAGCTAGACGCCTTTCCGCCTTGGTCCCAGGCGGCCTAGCTTTATACTTAGCAAAAGTTAGGCCACCATTTGTTCTGCCAGCTTTGGCCCCCCGGTGATCCAACTGTGGCCGAACTTTTCAACAAGAGAATCCTAGGCCCTCTTCCCACTTCTTCGGTCAAAAAAATGTGATTGCAAAGATGCATTTTTCGGTGATAAAAATGCAATCTGAAGTGAAGATTACATTGAACACATTTTGGATGGCAAAAACAAAAACTGGATACCAGCCAGCCAGCCTGGTGGTCGCTTTTTGTTTCGTTTTGAACATATATTTATATGATATGGCAGCAGCCGATTTGGGAAACAAATTAGAGATGAGGGGGGAGGGGGTACTGTAGTTTTGAAAAGTGCAAAATTTAGACATGAAACATTAGCGATCATGAAAGGTTTGACGAAAGTGCGAGCAACGGTGTATCTGGGTTGTTTGCAAAGATATCAAAAAGTGGTCAACTGACAAAATGTACACAATTTTTTAATGAACAATATGTTAGTTGATAGCTTTTTGATATCTCTACCGGCAGCTGAGATAAATCGTCTGCAATGAACGCTATTGTAGGTTTCCAAAAGACACGCAGTCCCGCGTTAGAGAGCGGGAGTAAAAGTGACCAGAGGGTGTCGATTATATACTTTTGTCGGCGGTCCCTTCGAAACCATTGTCCACTCGTCTGCGTCTCGCGAACAAAGGGAAATTATCAGTGGGGCTACTCGCATTGTTTCACTTCAAATGTACAAATGTTGTTACACAGTAGCGGCGCAAGGGCAACGGCTGGAACGAAAGAGAGAGAGAGAGAGAGAGAGAGAGAGAGGAAGCACACACTGAAATGGACAAGAACCGATCTGATTTTTATCATCCGCCCCCCACCTTCTCTGAAGAGAAGAAGAAGAAGAAGAAGGAGGAGGAGGAGAAGGAGGACAATTGGGTAAATTCAAAGAGCGAAAACACTCAGAAACACTTCTTTGTCTGTCCATTGTCTTTTGTCAATCAACCCCGGGTACCACGAGGCGCGGCGAAAAGCGTTGGCGGGAAGGGAGGGCGCAAACAGAAGTTGTTACAATCTGATCAGATCTGTTCCTCTTCTAATCAAAACGGACAATAGTGTTCTGGTGGGACACACCACTGCCAAAGACGGTCGATCTGTTTGTGAAGAAGGAGACGGTCAATGTTCGCATTCATTTGGACACTTGGCAACCAGACGAATTGGGAGCATCAGCCGGATTGTTTTATGAACAATCTTCCAGACGTAGACGTTCTGCAACTTCTTTTGGCACCCTGTACTGCAGAGTTGAGCGGAAATGGAATTTTGAAATCCGGAAGACGGAAGACGGAAGACAATTTTTCTAACGGAACACGGAAAACGGAATACGGAACAAAAAATCGTCAATGCAGAGCCTTTTTCTCCGGTTTTTTTTTTGAAAAAAAAAATTCCGGAAGACGGAAGACGGAATTCCGCTCAACACTGCTATACAGTATATATATTTGCACACACAAATCCAAAACTGTTTAGAGTCACTTAAAAAAAAACGTAGAATTAGAAAATTGAAAATTTTAGCATGAATCGATCGGAAATTGGATGCTGAATCCGTTTTTTTTTGTAAAAATTAGCCGCGTGTCAGGTACCTGTGCCGCCCAAATCCCCCGAAAACTGAAATTTCGGCGAAACCGGCTCCACTCAAATGAACACAAAAGTGCTCCCAGGCGGTCTAGGGCTCTGAAAAATTTATATTTGAGTTCTCAGAGAGTCTATCTATAGATTTCAATTTTTTTTTCACAATTTTTTGTGCCAGTTTGAGGGCCTCTAAAAAAAAACGGAGAAGACGAAATTTGATTCTGACTTCAAAAACGGATTCCCCATCACTTAAACTGTAAATTAACCAAAAATTAGCCGCGTGTTGCACAAACTCCGGCCACACGGGCTCTCAGACTGACTTCCATTTTCGTTTTCGCCGTTTTTTGGAGAAACGGTGCGTTTTCACGGGAAACTGAGGTGTTCATTGGATTCAGCATGGTCGATTACATAAAGTAAACTGTTTTGGGTATGGTACTTGATTTGTGGACCTCGGTACATGGCCTCAAACATGCGCGCTTCTCACATATCTTCGGCTATCGATTGGTTGCGAAATGTCCATCTGTAATCTAAACCTAGTTGCGAAATGTCGGCGACAATTCGATGACCCTTTGTCTTGACAGAAACGTGGCAACCAGCCCGGTCGGCGGTCCGCGGATGTGCTATTACCCCAGCTTTTCCAGAATTTTCGCCCCCAATTCCCAATTTCTGGTCATTCCAAGTGCTTCTAGTAGAAAAGTGAGTTCATAATATCTAAACAAATCATTTGATTTTTGACGGTTCTCTGTCCAGAAAGCAATGTTAGGCAAATTCAAAGAAGCGGTGAACAAGAAAGGCATAAAGGCGCCGAATCTGGCGGGGTCCGTTCTGGCGCCGGTCGGACCGGGACCAGCGCCGACGCCCGCCGGCACTCCGCGCAAATCACCACGGAAGAAGAGAGAGAAGACGAGGAAAACGACGGAGAAGCCGAAAACGGTGCAGAAGAAGAAGAAGTCGGTGGAGCAGCCGGACGGGTCCACGACGGAAGAGGAGGAGGGATCGAGGTCGAACGAGGACCGGTCGGACGGGCCGACAGAGGTCAGTTTTGAGCTTTAGAGCTCCGCGAGCCCTAGAAATCAAAGGGTATCAAATCACTGCAAATTCTTTCATTTTCAGCTCCTCGGGCAAGTGTATTCCAAAAAGGCCGATCCGAAAGGCTTCCAATACCGGATCCTCCGAACCGAACGCCCGGATCTCTTCACCAAAACCTCTGAAGAGCTGACAGGCGAGGCGGCAAAGCTATTGGACGATTATCTGACGAGAAAAGGTCAATTAAGTGACGGCGCCTTTCTGACACTGGGCCGAGTCGTGGATTCCGAGAGGTGAGGTTGGGGAATTTGAGATTTCCAACGGTTTGGTACTAGCATGAGCTCAGGCGAGCCCGAGAATCTCACGTACTTTCAGCAAAGTGGAAGTGGGAAAGGGGGACGGTGTGGAGGTGAGTTGTCTGTTTGCACACGGACGGTTCGGCGCAGTCTACCTCGCCTACAAACAATGCGACGGCGGAAAAACGTCGTCGACACAGTACGCCCTGAAAATCAGTCGCCGAATGCTGGCGTCGGCTCGCATCCAGCACGAGATCGCCGTTCTCGATCACCTTTACACGAAGAATCGGACGGGGAAGTGGAAGAAAGTGCCGTACCCGACGCACATCATTCCGGTGTTCTTCACGGGAACCGCCGGCGGCACCACCTACTTTATGATGCCGATGCTGGACGGATCGGTCGAGAGGGTCCGTCAAGACATTGGGCACCGCTTCCCGTCGGCCGACGTCTTCTTCATCGGTCAGGAGTCGATCGTGGCGATCCGAGAGTGCCACGCTCACTCCATCGTGCACCGGGACATCAAACCGACCAACTTTTTGCTCGGAGTGCAGAATACGAAAAGTTGGTGGCTGTGCGACTTTGGCGAGGCGAGTCCGATTGGGAATAAGAGGATTCTCTCGCCGCCCGACGCCCTCACTCTTCCCTTTTTGGCGCGGGAATCCCATCGGGCGGTCATGGAGTTGGTTCCGAGCAGCACGAGGATGGATATCGAGAGTTGGTTCTATATGGTCCTCGATCTGTGAGTTTTCCGCTTGATTTGCTCTTTTCAACTTTGACAACCTCAACTCAGATTCGTTCCACTTCCCTGGCATTCGCTCACCGAAGAATCCGAAGTGCTGACCGCCAAAAACGTCTTCTGGTCGTCGCTCGACTCGTTTTTCCAGTCCGCCGGCGCCCAAACACCCCCGCAATGCGCGGCACTCGCCCAGATCGTGGCGGGACCCATCGACGAGCACGTGTACGGTCGGCTCACTTCGGTGCTCCGCGACGGATTTCAAAAGAACGTGGAGTCGCCGCCGTGGAGGCCTTCGTGGGCCGACAAACGGAAAAGAGCCCAACTGCCGGCACCGAAGGAGGCAACCGCGACGAAGCCGCCGAAAAAGGGCATCATAATGGCGATGGTCGAGCAGAAGGTTTCGAGGAAGAAGAACAGGAAGAAGAAGTGATTGTACTCGTTCCCACTGATTCATAATATAAAGTTCTAGTTGCTGGTGGCCAAACTTTCGAACATTCGAAAAAGTTTCTTTTTTGTCCACTACATTATTTGGCGTGCTACTGAAATCAGCAGAAGATTTCCGACAAAAGGGGGCCGATTTCTTTCGTTTTCTCAGTTTTTACATCAATAAATCAATAATCCAGCAAAAAAGTCGGAGGTTGTCAGGATGCCCCTTATTTTTGAGTCCCGGACAATTTTCAAGACGTCGTATCACTTTATTACAATCAAAAGAAGCTCAATTCGTGCATTACCATTTGTTTAACAGTAGAGCAAAGTCGAGAAATCGAGCGAATCCCGTAAACAGATTTTCAAAACAATGAGGGGGAAATTTGTTGTTTTCTCGGAAAATCACCGTAATAATGTTTTGGGTTGAGGGGGGCGGGGGCGGTATTTGGCCGAATCAATCAATAAATAGTGATATTAACAGAATATTCGCACTGGGTCACACCATTTTCGGTTCCGGTTGGGGCTTGAACAGGAACGCGCACACCGAGTCTTTGTGGACCTGCAAAACGTTGGCAATTTTTGGAAAAAATCATGCGTTTTTTCTATGACACGCTACAGAATCCAGTTTAGGCTTACAATATATATATATATATATATATAATATGCAAAATTAGGAGAAAAATATGCGTGTGTACCTTCTGTTTCTTCCTGAGCATGGCCCGCGGATCGTCGTCGAAATTCTCGCCACTCCTGATGCACCTCAAATCGCCGGTCTCTGGTTTTCGTACTTTTTGCGGCTCTTCGTCTTCAATATAGATTGAAGTGTTCTGCGATTCCGCCTGTTGATCTTCACTGCAAAAAAAGCGTACTTGCAAAGCTTCCTTCGAGTGCTTCTCCGCAAACTTCAAGAGAATAGGGACCAAAGACAACTTTGATCGACTATTGTAGACTTCTGCGGTGACCTATGGCTCTAAACGTTTGTTTCGGCAAATCTTCGCACTAAGTGCTTGATTTTTGCAATTGACAACTTCTTCGTACAACCATTCCCAAGGATACTGTAGCTCCGGGAAGTTGGGGGTAGTTAAAGTGAATTCTCATGAACGCCAACTTTCCGAGGCTACAGTACTGCAGGGAGGGGAGGAACCGAATAGTTGTCAACTACAAAAATAAAGTTCATAACTTATACTTCATTTTTGCAATTGACAACTTTTTCGTACAAACACTCCCTGGAGTACTGTAGCTCTCAAAACTTTCTTCTGAAAAGCAACGAACTAGGCCTATCTTTCCGGGGCTACAATACTGCAGGAAGTGGAGGTACCGAAAAGTTGTCAACTACAAAAATCAAGTACTAGACGTGAAGATCTCGCAAAAACGTTTCTAAATCGTTAAAACTTTGCAGAAGCCTACAATATCCACATTTTCAGAAACGCACTCAATTTCGCTAGGGTCCAATGGATCGGGCGGTCCCGTGAAGCAGCCCTCTTCCGCCTGGATCTCATAGACTCGTTTCGAGTGCATCACCACGTTGTTGTACGGATTCGCAGCTCCTGAAATGAGCGTCGGTTTCGAATGCTCAACTACAACTTTCACTTACTGAGCACATCCTTTGAGTCGTCCCTGGCAAGTGCTCTGTGCATGAATCGCATCATGAGATAACAGCCGAAGAAGATGACGACGACGGCAGTCAGCACGATGCACAATACTATCAGACCGGTCAGACTGCAATACGGTTAGGTGATTTCATACTTTACTTGCAAAATTTGAGAAGCCAGGCCACCGTCTATTTTGAGGGCAATTCGGGATCAATTTTGAACTTGAATATCTCGAAAATTGAGCGAGAAGCACCTGAAAACGTCGTCAAATTCGAGTGGCGGCTGCGAAGTTGGCGCGGATTTTGACACGAACAGCATATTTCGAGTGAACGAGTGGGAACACGAAAAGGCAGAGTGGTCGAGGGGGCGGTGCCGGTCGGCGAAGGGCTTCCACCACAACGACAAATCGAGTTGCGAGGCGGAATGCGCATTTTTTCCACTTGCCACTCAAAAATAGGTGAACACATGTCAGAATGAGCGTGTTCTTGAGCAACCAGGGACCACACGGGTGACGACTTTTGACGGTTCTTTCGCGTCGATGACGTCATTGTGATCATGAGCATGACACGTGGCAAGTGACACGCCACATTGCAAGTGACAGACCGATTCGTCTGGCGGTCTTTTTGGTGGAATTGGTTCAGAGATTAGTGGGTGGACTAGGAAAACAAGGTGATGGCCTAACTTTTGCAGACACGGTCCTATTACTCTATTGTTTTGGCCTAACTTTACACATTAATGGCCTAGAAACCCAAAACCATCAATAGATGCTTGGCGGTCTAACTTTTGCAGTTTGATGGCCTAACTTCCCAATTCGGTGGCCTAGAAAGTCCCCCAATCCCTCAAATCCATTGCAGACGAACTTTTCGGCGCCGCAAGTATCCCTTCATAAATCTGCTTATTTTTATTGACTTTGCCCCCCCTCTCGGATTGACATTTTCGCCGCCCGATATCATCATTTTGGCTTATCCATTCGAAAAAGGGGTGTTGAAAAAAACGGATGGATGATATTTGATATTCGCAAAAAAAACAGAGTGTAGGAGAGGAGATAATCCGATTATAGTCCTTTTTGGTTATAGATTACGAACCGACTAATGAGCACGGATCGCTTAGAAAAAGCGCGTCAACGCAGAAAAATACGTTGAGCATCTACTCTGGTTCAGTTTTTGAACTCAACATTTGAGGAACTTTGTATTATTTACTATGACTTTTCTGGAAGTTTGTGCGTTGTTCGCTGACGCGGAATGCGTTGACGCACTTCCGTTTCTCACCTGACGGGCAGATACTCTTCGAATATCCAGTGCTCCTGCGGCTTGTTTTCGAACGATTTCATTCTTTGATTCTCACGCTAGAATATGTGTTGTTGGAGGAAAACGTCGGAAGAGTTTCAGAAAAAGTGAGTGGGATTTCGGGGAGGGAGAAGAAGTGGGCGCTGAATCTTCAAAACTAATAATATTAAGGATCATCAAAAAGTGGTTGCGTCAACGTTGTCCCCCCCCGAAAATCCCGTAAAAAGTGAGCGTACAATGGACTTTTGGACCATCCGAATCATGACGGTAACGTTGGACGGATGGGGTCCGGAAACGGAAGAATACGAGGACGGAAGGCCAATTTTGGGGAGGGGTTCGCGGCTCGCGGAGCAACGAAGACGGATGTGCTCGTGAGCAAAGAGGGGCTCCTAATCTCCCCCCACTCTTAATCTTTTTTCGGCTCCATATTCGATTTCTTTTAGCCGGATTTCGGAGCAGATGAGGATGTCAGCTGAGTCGAAAACAAGAGAAACTTTTGACGCAATTTCTTGCGTCAACGCACTTTTTTGTGTTGAAACTGCGAAACGATGCGTTGCCGCACTTTAATGCGTAAAAGTATCTGCTTGGGGCGAAGAGAAACAAAAGGAGTCGAGTTTTTCGAGTCAGCGACAGAAACGGAAGGTGACGGAGGGCGCAGACGGGCAAAAATGCAATAATTACGGCCAATCAACTATTGCGCACTTTTTCGCGTCTGAAAATGCGTTGGACGCCAAAAGAAAGTGAGAAAATGGCGCATTTTCGGTGCGTTGACGCGTTTTTCGATATCTACTGGAAAATGTTAGAAAAAGAGCCGAAAACAAGTGCTCACGCATTTTCAGTGTCTAGACAAACTTTTTTTTGAATGCAAAATCTGGCGATTTTGCTCTTATTTTATGCGAAAAATCGGGAAAATCCGCACAAATCGGCTTCATTTTTTCGAGTGAGTCACTGGGAAAATGAGTGGGATTTCGAGCGCGTTTTTTGCGAATCCGGGCCATAGATCATTCGGCTTTTCATCAATATCAAAGTCGAGATTATTTTTATCCATTTATTATGCTCACACGCGTGCACATTTCTCGAAAATACGACTGAAAATGTAGTCTCGCTGATCTGCGCCGGAAAATTGGTTTTTCGAATGAGTTTCTGCAAAAAAGCGATCACCGAAACGGCGCAAAGGCACTAAAGACGCGTCAGCAAAAAGTGTCGACTTTTTTTTTGAGGAAATTGGAAAAATTGCGGTGGTAAACGGTAAAAGGCTCGAGAAATGCGCCGAGGCACCAAAATCGCGCAAGCAAGAGACTTGCTTTGTTGTTTAGAGTTTGTGATAAGGAAAGAAGCCAACAATTTGCTAGACAATCAAAGTTTTTTTTTCTAAAAAAGCGGAAAACGAGAAGACCTCTGGCATTCGATCGGATCGAGTGGGACCAACTGACAGAAAAGGGGGCGGAGCCTGCCGGACGACAAGGTTTTTACACAAAGTACACAGAATGTAACATGGGATCCAAGTAGTTGGAAGTCACGTAAAATGGTCCCAGTGGTTGGGCGCATGGTCCCGCTTGGATAGGGGACAGAGTCAACTTTTTGAGGGAAAGGTTGAGAAGGGGACCGAAATAAAGGAAGGGGAAATCAGTCATCCGATCCCAAATTGGAAAGAGAAAGAGAGAGAAAGAGACCGCTTTTGAATGGAAAACAGAAAGAGAAAGAGAGAGAGAGAGAGAGAGCGAGCGAGTGGGACCAGGACTCAAGCATTGTAGTTGTTTGTGACCTTCTTTTGAGGAAAAATAGATGAATGGAAGATACTTTCATTCATTTGAGGGAAAGAGCAAGTATTTGGGGAGAAGGACTTATTTTGAGTTTCTAGGCCACCACTTGAGGACTAGTTTTCCTATTTTGAAGTTCTCTAGGCCATCCGTTCACTTGGCGGACTAGATTCTCAACTTTAACGACATTTCTAGGCCATCAACCATTGGGGACCGCTTGGCGGATCCTAGGCCGTGAAACTCACTTGGAAGACATGCCGAATTGTTGCTTTTTGCCGAAAAAGTCGGCCAAAAACGATTTGTCGCCGACGGAATCGTCGGCCGAAAACACAATTTCGCCGGGACTCAGATCGTCCGGATCCAGCATTGTCATCTGCAAACAAAAGCGAATTGTTTTTAATCTCGCAAAAAAAGTAAGGTCACCCGTGCGCTGACGTCATTTTACCCCTGAAAACTAGAGTTTTTTGAGTGGGCAACCGAAAAACACGTCAGTTTCACCCCGCAAATTGCATTCGTTTCCGTTCTTTCTTTGCTATTGTTACAAGTGATTGGAGGGCAGAAGGTTATATATCATGGGTGTTCCAGACTCGTGGCCTAGGAAAAAGTTAGGCCTCACGGTTTCATTGCCTTGAAAACTGTAGAAAAAGTTAGGCCACGTGGTGTTATTATAACTTTTTATAGGCCATTAAAGGCATTCTTTCCTCGTGGCCTTGAAAAAGTCAGGCAATCTCGATTACAAGTGAAATATTATCCCATCCGGAAAAGTTATTACCCAAATCCAGCCCAAATTGAGATAAACGCCCCCGTTCGTCCCATTCTGTGCGAAAAACAACGTGAATAGCCTTCTCCTTCTCCTTCTCCTTCTTCTTCTTCTTCTTCTCCTTCCATTCTAACAAAACAACTATTATGAGCTCACAAAACAGACGAAAGAGAGAGAGAGAGAGAGAGGAAGAAAGGGGAAATGATGAATCAGAGAAGGGAACCATCCGCAAAGTAAGGCCGATGCACCATGTGATGGCCTGGGATCCGACACTTCGGCCACAAGATCTCATAGTCTACGGTGGCCTAGAAAACTCTTTTGAATAATTGGTCGATGCACCATTTGTGACCTGACACAACATTTTTCCACAAACCGCAAAGTCTCAGTTTCTGAAAGGCGGCTAGAGAATCGGAAATGTGCACAAAATGTGATGAGGTGCACGGCAAACACGCGTGTTTTTCCGGTGTTCTTTCTCTTTTTTGCTGCCCGCCGCATTATGACATCATGGCCGATGCACCAGGTGGAATTAGTGGTGGCCGAGGATCCGAAAGTTAGGCCACACAGGGCCTAGAACCCGCCAAACTCACGTCGTACTCGTAAAGATCGGAATAATCGCGTAAATGAATGTGGGTCATCCGTTTCGTCGGTCGATGCACCATGCGTTGTTTCGTTTTCGAGTAAAATGTGTGGAATTTACCGGAAATGCGAAAGGAAGCGAACTGGATTGAGTGAGCCGGGGATGCGGGCAAAAAGAGAAAAAGTGGGAGGGGACGGCAAAACTAATTTTGCGGTGACAACTTGACAGGCTCCTTCTCTTTACTATTAATGAGGTTTCTAGTTGCTGAGCCCTGGTTTTTCCGGGTCTAAACGTCCACATGGTGCATCGACCGATTCTCGGGCTTTTACAGGCCACCAAATGGTCCTAGTGATCTAATTTTTCGAAAAACTAGGAAAATGTTTATTCTCGGCCTCACCGCATCCTCTTCGTCCCAATTTTCGTGGGGAATCAATAGAAATAGCTCTCTCATTTCGTTTTTTTTTCCGAAAAACGAGCGGTTTTCCGCTATTGTGACCTTCCTTTTTGCCGAAATTTCCAGAGGATTTGCATACATTTCACCCTTGCCTTGTTTGCTTTCTATTGTTCATCCGCATAGGGGGAACAAAAGAGAAACTGAAAAATTCTAGAAAACTCGCAAAAAATTAAAAAGTCGTGTTTACACTTCCGGCTTGGCATGGCATGGCTCTAAAACTAATCGCCTTTTTCTTTATCCCCCTAAAATTTCAGTTTTTTGGCTCAAAACTCACCACCATTTTGCAGGGAAGAAGACAGGAATGGGGAGCGAGAAAGATAATGAAAAAAAAGGGATTCCCGTTTATTTTTCGGTTTTTTGACTTTTGATGGAAAGGAGAAAAAGTAAATTGAAAAAGCGAGTCTGTCCTCATTGCCACCTACTACCACCATGCACTGTCCGAGTGCCAATTCTCAGAAATGACTAGAAACGGAACAGCGAGCAGTTAGAGTTGTGGCCAGAGTTGAGCGGAATAACTCAACGGAAGAACACGGAAGAATTTTTATCTTTTTTAGAAAATTTTTTCATGAAATGTGATCAACTGACGGGGGGCTAACGGGGAAGACGGAAGGACATTTTCACGGAACAACTCGAATAACTTTTTTTGTATGAAAAAGCTAAATTTACAATTATTTTTTTATGAGCAGAGTTCGCTTTTCTATACATTTCGTCAGTTGATCACATTCCATGAAAAAAATTTATAAAAAAGATAAAAATTATTGCGTGTTCTTCCGTTGAGTTCTTCCGCTCAACTCTGGTTGTGGCGGTGGCCTAGAAAATCCGCCAGCGAGAAAACTCGGTTTTTTCTTCAATTTCTCACGGTGATTCTTTGCGAGGGTGCAGCCTGCGTCCCGTGAACTGTCGGCTGCACGCTCCCCAATACTTTTTCCGTGCGCCGAAACTTCCGATGCGTGCCGTCGGACGAATACCGATTCATTTCACTTTATTTTTTGGGAACACAAAAAGCACGCACGAGCAGTCATACTTCGAGAAAACAACTGTTTTGGCAGTGACCCCTAGACATTTTGGCGAGTTTCTTGTTGCTGCTTGCGAGGGTCAATCATAACGAACTCATTCCCAAAAAATTAGGAAAAATGAATCAGAATTCTTCGAACAACACGCATCTGAAGTTTCGGCGCACGGAAAAAGGCGTGGGAAGCGTGCAAACTCTTTCCTGCTCGGGAAAAAAAACGTCGAAATCTTACCCAAATTTCAGCGAAAAAAGGAATTTTTTCAGTTTTGCTCAGAGAAAATGAGCCCAAAAAATTGAAACCAATAAAATAGAAAAGGCATAAAACGAACCGGTCTCATGCGGAATTCGAGCAAGAAATTGAAGGAGAATATTTTGTTTTTTTTTGGGGAACAAAGAGCCGCGGATGATCTCATTTTGCATTCTAGTCTAGCTGAGCAGTTCTAGTCTATCTTCCAGATTTTCCAGATTTTTTTGAGTGCAGTTTGTCCGCTCACTTTCAGAACGACAATAGTTGCCCAGTTTTGTTCTTGGACTAATTTTTAAAGAAGAATCAAAGAATTACCCAATGTTTATCCAATCGGATCGTATAGACAACGTTATCGGGACTCCGGGACATGTTTTCTTGACCGAAAAGCTAGTCGTTTTTACATATAAAACACACGAGGTCCGCTGAAAGGGCAGCACAAAGAAAAGCTTGTATTTATGTACTAATTTCAATGAGATGAGAAGGAGAAATGAATACAAGAGGGAACAACTAAAACACTCGCAAACTTTGAAATTTTTCTGTCGCCTGCCAATTTTTTACGGAATTTATCAGAGAGCAAGCTTGCCATTAACGTAATGCGGGCATGGGTACGGCATGAGTCAAGCAGAAAACGGGCACGCGTTCGGCACGGCTACAGCGGGCCGGCAATCGGGTCACTTTTCACAAAAAGGGAAGGTGTGATAACGGTGGAAGGGGCACGGGACCGAGGAAAAGAAGGTTTGCGGCGGCCTCTTGTCTCATTCATCCAGACGAAAGCAACACTTTTTTGCAATAAGGAAGACTACGGAGACTAGAACTTTATCGCTAATCAATAAGGTCTCTAGACACCTTCTTGTTCACAGAGAAGACGGTCTGTGCTTTTTTACCGTTACCACGCCTTCCGCCTTTTTGTGAAAGGTTCGTCTTTGCATGTTCATTAAATACGGACGGCCCGTGACTTTCAAAGGTGTCCGGCAAGATTGCAATGAATCTGTTTTGATGGGAAAGCAAGTGAACACTTTGAAAAAAAGTTAAATTATTCATAGAAAATGTCGTCAGCAGACATACGTGGAAGTAGAAAAAACAGACGAAAAAAGAGGGGGGAAAACATTTGAGGCATTCCATTTTTCTCTTGCCACATAGTAATTATGAATTATTACTTTTCTCCCCCCTTCGCCACCCATTTCTCCTCTTTTTTGCATCTTCACTTCCTCCGTTTTCTAGTGAAAAAAGTGTGAGATTTCCGGAAGTTTCGATTGAAAATTCAACCTTTCAGGGCAAAAATCACGTTTTTTTGAAAGATGAATGCAAAAATGCGAAAGTGTCACGGGAAACGGATGAATACGAAAAAGTCGTGAGAATCCGGAATCGAGTTATTCGCGACTTTTTGAAACCGAAAAAAGGTTGGCGATTTTTGAGGTTCGAGCTACCGTAGTAGTCCCTGAGAACATGTTTCAAAACATGTTTTTGTTTTGAAAAACATGTTACCAGCTCTTTTTTCTGAAATTTGTCGAAAACAAGTTGCCTTATGACATTGAGCCCACTTTTTCTCATTATGATATGGAAACATGGTGCATCGACCTCCTTTAAAGACATGTTCCAGACAAGCGAATTTGATGGAGAAACATGTTTTCTACCGTAATCCTAGCCGGATCCCATTTCATTTCAGAAAAGACTCACCCACACTCGAATTCTCATAAAGAGCGCATCGTTTTGGGTGGAAAATGGAATGAAATCAAATGATGCGAAAGGGAAAAAGGGAATGGATGGGCGGCACGGCCATTTGTGCTCTTTTTGTGCTCAGGAGCACAATGCGATGGCCTCGTGACACTCCCGATTTGCGGAATGATATAATAGAGGAAACGGATGGGTTAGTGCTAGTTTAGGACGCGACTTGGTGCCTACAAATCTATTGGAGCTCCGATTTCACTGTTTTAGAACAAGTTTTTGTGCTAAAACTTTCTCAAAACCGAAAAAACATGGTGCATCGACCGCCTACCTTCTGTCTCGTGTGGACCGGAATAAAATAGGTTTTGACGGGCGAACAACACAATCGGCTGAATATCATCGTGTTCCGCGTGCAGAAAACGGAAGGGATCTCCTGAATAAATGGCCCAAGATGTCCTTTTTTCTCCGTTTTTCGTCCCCTCCGAAACCACAAGATGGATGTGTTTTTGCGCGGAAAAACGGCTTTTTAGGCCCAAAAAAGCATTTCTTTTTCGGATGGTGTGGTTGTGAGCTTTGCGAGCACTTTTGAATTGACGAGCAAATTTCCGGCGGGTGATTTCCGGAAGAGAAAAAGTTATTTGGCGGCCCATTCAATGATACAATATCTGTTTTTTTTACCAGAACCCCCTGACGACATTGTTTATGGGCGAAAAAGCACTGAAAGTGCGTCAAGGGTCGGCGCGTTTTCGGTGGCACTAGATTCTCAACAAATGCGTTGCGCCAAGGCACAGAAAGTGCGTCAGCAACTTTTTCCCGGAAAAAACGTACCCCACGATTGAATTGCGTCCGTTTTTTGAACGCATTGAGCCGCTGTTGAAGTGATGACATCTTTCTGAATCTTTTTTTTTGGGCCAAAAGAAGTGCATGAGAAAAGATGGAGACATTCGGAAGATGCAGGAGTAAAAACGGGTAAATCCGCACATGTTTAAGTGGAAAATGGGCGATTTCGAGGTGGCGGGAAAACAAAAACATTTCCACTTTTTGGGTTTACAGAATCGCCCAAAATCGGCTCAAATACTACTAGACTGCTCTTCCCCTCTTTTCTAGACTGTCTTTCTCTCAATCTCAATAGGGGGAACTCATTTCTAGTTTGGACCAAACTATTTGGTGCCTTGTTGGGACTCGTCTGTTTATGATCCTGTCATCACACCTTTTATGAGTCTGCTGCCACCCGTCTGACTGTGGTCGTTTGTACGACTCTCTGTACACACCAGAGTTGAGCGGAAATGGAATTTTGAAATCCGGAAGACGGCAGACGGAATTCCGCTCAACACTGGTACACACACTAGTGGCGGGGCAAGCACTTTGGCTGAAAAGATGGATAATCCTTCAGAAATACTTCTAAAAGGGTAGAGGGCGATTCGGTGGTGTGATGGGGGAGTGATTAACCTATTTAACCAGTGTGTATCCTATTCCTGGCCAACATTTCTTTCCCAGAAAATATCAAATTACAAATGTGTTCAACTCTCCACTTTTCGGTGCCAGACGAAAGTGAAGTTTGAGCAAATGTTTTTCGGCGAAAAGGGGTTCATATTTCCACTAATTCAACTGATTTCGAGTATGTACTTTGAGCCACTTGGCAGGATTTTCGAGATGTCCTCAACAAGTGCGAAAAGCAAAATATTTTGAGTGATCTCGAACATTTTCTTGGCAGAAATAGGAAAGTTTCGATACTCATCATGGGCACATTTGAAGAACTTTAAAAAAAAAGGTACTTGGGGGGTCAAAAGATGTGAAAATTTGAATTTACCGCATGATTAGTGTCATTCGATTGGAAATTTTACGTAGATTTCGAAACACTTAATGATATTGCCGTAGAACTTGAAAATTACAAGGAAAACATCTCATTTACCTGCTGAATTTGCAGTTAACGCAAATTTCTCCAAGTTTTGGCTCTAAATGCATCAGGAATAGATTCAAGAGTGAAAATGCAAAGTTTTGACATACAACACGACAATCCTACAGAGATTTTGATTTTTTTTCACTTTTTCGGACCCCATAATATCCGAAAAGCAAAATTTCTCAAAACCCAAGAAATCTAGTACCAATCGATCGGAAATTGAACGGGGAGTTCGAAAATCACAATAGAACCGCTTGTAAATTGAAAATAACAGAGTTATGTTCGAAAAACGTGGATGGAGGGTGAATTGACGGTGGTTTTGCGGGAGGAAAACAAAAAGGAAAGGCGGGTTTCCTTCGAAATTTCCATAATTAGCTGAGGCCACCCGGAGGAGCACGGCACTGCCATTTCCGACTTCGGATCGGAGCAGAAAAACATTCTGTTGAATTATTTTCAATGCTAACTCAATTCTAGAGTTCAAAATGAGCGAAAGAAGCGAAAAAGATGTGTGGTTCTTGGAATTCCGCAAACTTTTTCCCTCTTTTTCTCTTCCTCCAACTAGATTATGCTATTAGTTGAGGAAGAATGGGAGAAGGGGGCAAAAGCGGGGAAAGGGCGGTGCATTTGTGATGATGGGCACTCAATTTTCAAATGGGATAACTAAATTTATATTATACTTTTACAGAAACTTGCGTCGAAAAGTATAATATTGAGAAAAAAGATGAAAACATTTGAAAAATCCTAACTAATTTCAAAAAAATCCCTCAGACCCCAGTTTGGGCTTGAAATGCTGGAAATCATCTTGACAATATGAAAAAAATACAATAGTTCCTAGAAAAAATTCATCACGGCCATAAATTTCGCAAATTTAAGAGGTTATCCCGACAATTCCAGACTTCTTCGGATTCTGCGCTAAAAACGGCGAGAAATCACGAGTCGGTGGTCAGAAACCGAAAGAAAAAGAGAATATAGCACGAAATCCAGGACTACAAACAAATGAGCACCGGATTACGGTAGTTTGTGCTTTGCCGTTTGTTCAATACAAATACTTCGATGTTGTGATCAAGATTCGAAGAACACGGGCGATTTTCAGGAGAACAGCAATTCTACAGTACTTTTTGACTTGAACATCACTGTACCTATGATGGAAAATTATTGAGTACGGTACAGTATCCCTAGGACTACTGTAGAATGACAATTTGTCAAGTTTACTACAAAAAATGGAATGTTTGCGCTGAAATCGCAAAATGTTCGGTTAAGACTATTGTAGGTCCACAAAAAGGCGGAAAGTGACATCCTTCTTCTTCTTCTTTTTCTACCAGATGCTATAAATTTTATAAAAGCACGTCACACATACACACACAAGAGCCCTTTGATTGTCATGTGTCCGCAGATGCTTCACTTCTTGTTTTCTTTCGTATTTCCTTCATTTTGTGACATGCCACGTCACGAAAAGTACAAATTTAGGGGTAAAATGATGTGATTTAGCACAATGTGAGAACCTTTTCAGTGGCGCGCATTCAAGGCGTTAAATCTCGGCTGCCGGTAGAGATATCAAAAAGTTGTCAACTGATCAAGTGTTTATAGAGAAATTGTGCACATTTTAGCAGTTGACCACTTTTTGATATCTCCACTAACAGCTGAGATATACTGTCCAGAACAAACGGTATTGAAAATGTTTCTATTTCAAAGAAGCTGACGCATTTCTAGTGCCTTGCCGCAATTCTGGGGTTTAAGACCTTGACGTACTTTTAGTTTTCGAAAATTTTAGAAGCCTTGACACACTTTCTGTGACCTGACGCGTTTCCGGTGCTCCTTTTGAGAATTTTAATCAGTACAGTACTTTTTCGAGGCAATTGACACATTTCCCGTGCCCTGGCGCATTTCCCGTGCCCACTCACATTCTTTCCCTTCCATCCGCTCGTTTTATTGATGAAAACGTCCTCGAAAAGCAGAGTGTAATTGTGAAATATCGCCCGGTGCCGACCGGCCATCCTCCCAAATGGGTCCTGCAACGAAACACATTGTCAACATTTTGAAAATGGTCTTAAAATTCAAAAATTACAACAAAAACTGGTTGGCTGGCCTAACAGTTGGTTCGAAACTTTTCACAAAACGGAACGAAAAAGAAGAAGGCGTAATTGATCGAAAGCCGAAAAAAGAGGCCATTATAAAACAATCACCTAAAAATGAGAAGAAGGAGGCGAAAAGGGAAGAGACAACAAAATACTAACGGGATGAAATTTCACATTGTTTTTTTGCGTCTCAAATCGTCGAATTTCAGTGTCAACACAAGAAAGGACACTTATTTTTTCGTCTTCTGAAGAAGAATCGAATCGAAATTGAAAACAGAGTGGGATGACGTCGAAAAAGAAGAAAAGATGGTGTAATTTGATAAGAACAGGTCAAGCACGAACATTTTGGAGGAAAAATGGCCTAAGAAATTTCAAAACAATGCGAGCCACTCACACTCAACGCCATTCGATTCCTCGCTTCTTTTTGAGCATTTTTATGTTGACATCAATTTTTTAGCTCCTCATCTTCATATGGAAAAAGTTGATTTTATGTTCGACTGCTGAATTTGCAGGCTTCTTTTCCATTTTCAGCACCTTCATATGTAAAATCATGTAAATCTATACTGTAATTCAATGAGTTTGACTTACAGATTATAAACTGATAATTTATCCTGAAAAACACGTCATTTTCCGCTCGGAACACGGTAAAACCGCGAGAGATCGATCCTCACCGTTCTGCAGAGAAAAAGAGACAACGACACTCCGTTTTGTCCGCCTTGGCGCCCGGTTTATCGTAAATCTACCCGAATTCTTTTTCGGATTTTGCAACTAAACCTCACCAACCTTAACCATTTCGCATCGTTTTTTCTGCGAATTTTGTGATTTTCAACAGATTTCCTCCCAATAAAGTCAATTTCAACCCATTTCTGTCAGTTTCTTGCCGATTTTCGCCATTTTTCCTCAAAAATTCCGCAGGCCGAACAGTTTCCAATGCAGAAACGGATGGTGAGCGTGGATCCGTTGGCATCGGAACGCTGGCGAAGTGTCCGACGACTGACGGACCGCGCCTCCGCCTACACGGTCGACTGGTTCCGTCCGGGCGAGCACAACTTCGACTGTCTCCAAAAATCGCGGATTCTGGTGATCGGAGCCGGCGGATTGGGCTGCGAGCTGCTCAAAAATTTGGTAGGTGTTCAATATCGGATGATGAATGTTCAGATAATGCGAAAAATCGATATTTTCTATAGTTTTTATAAAAATTAAAAAATTTCAGGCTCTTAGCGGATTCCGTGAAATTGACGTCATCGACATGGACACCATCGACGTCTCCAACCTGAATAGACAGTTTTTATTCAGGTTTTACCCGAAAATTCAAGATTTACCCAAAAAATTCGCGATTTGCAGAGAATCCGACGTCGGACACTCGAAAGCCGAAGTGGCGGCCGCGTTTGTACAAAAACGGGTAAAAGGATGTCAAGTCACTGCGTACGTGTCAAAAAAATGCGAAAATATTAGATTCTTTGCCTTTGCAGCCACAACTGTCGAATCGAAGATAAAAGCCCAGAATTTTACCGCAAATTCTTCATGATCATTTGCGGATTGGATTCGATTCCGGCGAGACGATGGATCAACGGAATGCTGGTAAAAACTAGTTTTTTACTACAGGCTTTTCAAATTACCCGATTTTCAGTGCGATTTAGTGCAAGAAAACGCGGACGGCTCGATCAACATGAACACGATAATTCCGATGATCGACGGAGGGACTGAAGGCTTCAAAGGTACCGCCTCCTGTCTACAGTAACCCTCTTCCACTCAAAACACAGGCAACGCCCGTGTAATCTATCCCCGATTGACGGCCTGCATCGACTGCACCATCAACCTCTACCCGCCACAAGTCAACTTTCCGTTGTGCACCATTGCACACACGCCCCGTCTTCCCGAGCATTGCATCGAGTACATCAAGGTCATCGAGTGGCCCAAGCAGCAGCCTTTCGACGGTCAGAACACGGGAAAACCACGAATTTCCGTCTTAAAATTCGAAAATGTGAAATAAAAACAGCGCGAGGTTTTTGAACGGAAATTGAGCATAATACCAGAGCCTGGACTTTAGACCCACTTGCAATAATCCTATGTGGTACAAACCTTGCAGGCTTCTTAGACTTGGATTAAAGTGTTCTCGGACTAAATTTCAGACCGATCCGATTATCTGGTCCCGAGATATACAGGTTGACACCGGAAAGTCCGAGATTTTGCAAAAATTGCGGCTGTTTAGGCCTCAAACGAGTATATCTCGGGACCAGATAGTCTGATCAGCCTGAAACTTAAACCCAATGTACTTCAATCCACGCCCGAAAAACCAGCAAAGTTTGGGTTTGATCGGAGTATCGCAAGTTGTTCAAAAGTCAAGGCATTTGAAACACCTATACCAGAAAAACAGAGATTTTGCAGGAGCACAGCTGGACGCGGACGACCCGTCGCACGTGGATTGGGTGCTGGAACGGGCGGCGGCACGCGCGGAACACTACAATATCCGCGGTGTGGACCGTCGTCTCACTTCGGGAGTGCTCAAAAGAATCATTCCGGCGGTCGCCTCCACGAATGCAGTCATCGCCGCCTCGTGTGCGTTGGAGGCACTCAAACTCGCTACTAAGTCCGTCTTTTTCTGGAACTTTGAAAAAAAAAAGTGAAAGTTTTGCAGCATCGCGAAACCAATCGACAATTACCTGAACTTCACGCAGTTGGACGGCGCGTTCACTTGCGTCGTTTCGATGGAAAAGGACCCGAACTGCCACGTGTGCAGTGGCGGACGCCTTCCGGTCCAAGTGGCGCCAGAGGACACACTCGAGTCCCTCCTCAACAGGCTCATCGATCGATAGTCAGTTGAACTTCTTTTGTTGAAACATTTTTGTAGCGGGCATGTCAAGACATGTTTTACCCCGTAATTGGAACGTTTAGGTTCCCCCGCCAGTGCAAAGTGGGGGCTTTTATTTAAGAACAGAGTACTACTGGGCGCTAGATTATCCAGGACACTACATTTGGGAAATGCGGGCTTTCAACAACATGGCCGACTCATTTTAAATGTCGAAAATGTTAATGTTTGCAGTCATCTGAAGAACCCGACGCTGGAAATTGCGTCGCGCAAGCTCTACTGCATCAGTCTGCTTCTTCCGCAGCTGGAAGAAGAGAGCAAGAACAATCTGCTCACGCCCATCAAAGGTACTGTTTTTTTTTCAAAATTGAACAAATAAATCGATATTATAGATCTGATACCGGACGGCTCGGAAATGCTGGTTACGGACGAGGTGCTCTCGCGCGCCATCACCCTCCGCATCAATTTCGAGTGAAATGTTATTGTCGTCCATGACTACACGGGTCATTTTTCTATCGTTTTATCCCTCTTCCTCTTTCTGTTCGATGCACCATAAAACAATGCACTTTAAGCCGGAAAAACCGGGCGGAAAAACAATTCTTTACCTAAATTTACAATTTTTGCGAAAAGAAATGTGTGTGTGTATGTGTGACGGATGGGATTATGACAAAAGAAAAGCGGAAAAATACAATTACCCTGTTGTTTCGAGGAGAATATGTGGAGAGAAGGAGAGAGAGGGAAAGGGAGAAGAACCGAAAAAATACAAACAAAAATATTATAAATTTCAATTTTAATTAACCAAAAATAGGAGGGAGGGGGATAAGAGAAAAACGGGAAGAAATGACTAGAATCGGGGGCTGAAAAAGGGCTGAAATCTCTTAGAATTCGTTGAGTCTCGCCAGAAGATCGTCCGTCGACGGAACCGACCCTGATGACGTGGCAGTCGCGGCTCCAGACGACGTCGGATCGTTCTCCTTGTGCGTCGGCGACACTTGCGACGATTCCGAGAAGTTCTGCAAAATTTCGAGGCTCGAAGGAAGAAGTTCATCGAATCCACTGGCTTACCGTAACCGGAACGGCGGGCTGTCCCTTCCTGCGCACGCGGATCTTCAGTTCGTTCTGTCCGATCGGCAGTCCCACTCCGAACGCCTTCGCCCTTTCCAACGCGGTGCTTCCGCTTCCCTTCCGCGACGCTTCCGGAGGAGCGGAAGAAGAAGGCTGCTCCAGGAGCACGCTCTTTCGTTGTGTTCCTCCGATCGATCCTCCGACGGCCGCTCCTCCAATGATCGGACCGCGATGTCGGTCCCCAAGCGCGCCGCCCACTCCACGCACTCCCCCGCGTGTCCTCGCAGGCATTCCCGTGCGGGGCGTCCTCGACGTCGCCGACATTAGGGATTGGAGGAACGCGTCGTTCCCGGTCGCCCGTTCCAGCTCGTCCAGCACTCCCGCCTTGTCCGCAGCTGCAAAATGAGCAAGATATTATGATAGACACTACAGTAATAGCCCTTCAGACTCTACTTGTCGACCTTAACCGCTAAGCTCCACTTTTTTGGACGATTTTCTCGAATTTCAGATTCCGGCAGAGAAGAGGCACCGGATTCGGAACCCTTATCAAATTTTCTTTTGAACCATGTATGTCCGGTCCCATAAGGCTAGCTTTTCTTGGTATCATTCCCTAGTTAGCGGTTACGGTCGGTAACCATTCATTCAAAAAGGAGCACTAGTTACAATACCGTTTTTTCCAGTAGACCTACAATGTTTCCTCCCTCTAAATCAACCGAAATCTTCTTCCAAGACACCGTGATCCCAGTGTTCCCTTACCAGTGGACACTCGTATCATGGCCGCCGGAGTCCTCGGCACTGCCTGTCGTCCGTTGTTCTGTCTCTCCGCGAGGGGCATCCTCTGCTGCTGCTGCTGCTGTTTCCGCTTCTGCGTCTCGACGGCCGCCTCCTTCCGCTTCGCCTCCGCGTTCGCCGCCTCCGCTTCCGCGTCCAGCTCCTTCCACGCGGTCGCGTACTGCTCCGAGAAGGTGCGAATGTCGGCGAAGAACTCCTCCATGGGGTATTTGTTCGCGTTGAACGCGTAGTACTTGACGAGCGCCTCCCAGTCCCTGCGCATCTTTTCGGACATCGTCGACACCGTCGCGAATTCCTTCGCCGCCCGCTCCAGAAACGGACGCATCTTCTCGTCGAACCGGTCGCGCTCGCCCTGATTCTTGTACACTTTCAGACAATTCTCGAGTTTTTTGATCGAAGAGTCCGTCAGTTGGACCGTCTTTCGCAGCTCGTCCGCGTTCACGCGCGACGATTCGATGCAGTGGTGGAAGTCGGTCAGTGCGAATCTGAAAAAGAGAGAATGGGCATCACGGAAACTCGGGAGAAGCGCAAAAAAGTACACGGAATGTTCTTGGAATCCAAAAAATCCGCCAAAATCGGTTACCTTGCGTGTTTCGGGTCGATGCGCCTCATCTCCTCGATGAGGTGCTGCAGAAGAGTGTGCCGATTGTCGACGTCCTTCGTGTCCACCAGTCTCGTCAGCATTTTCATGTCGAATGCGTAGGCGGACGCGTAGTTCTTCGTCGCTCCTCCCATAAAGTTGCCGGTTGCGAGCGTCAGCTTCAGGAACGTTCGGAATCTGCAAACAAATGAAAAAATTGAAAAATCGATGTTTCTTTTTCAAAAATAAAATCTAAAAATTCAGTAACAATGTTGTTTTCTCCCAGAACGAACCCATCGGATTTGCGGATTTCCTCACAGGCCTCCATGACGGAAGACATGGCCGGTTTCAGTTCGTTCAGCGTCTCGGCGAATCGCATTTTGAAGAGGATGAGGTCCAGCCGGAGGGGCAGTCCGTTCACCTGCAGCAGGCGCGTCATAAACTGTTCGCCCTCGGGCATCTCCTCGAACTGCGACTTATCAACCGCGCGCAACTTGTCGATGAGCTCTTTTTCGGGCGGAACCGCCGCGCGCAACTGCTCCAGAAATCCCACTGTCAGCACTTTTTCGTTCACCTCCAGAATCGCCGTCTTCAACTCCGAGTGCGACATTTTCACCGATCCTTGGAGGATTCCTGCAGAAAAGTTAACAATACAAGAAAAAACAATACAACCCCTCAAATGTTCATAAAATCCCGTCTGAAAACACGTACCCAATTTCTGAAGGAGCTTGTCGTCGTGGATCACCTGCGCCGTCTTCACCTTCTTCGTCTTCTCGAGTTTTCCTCCGATTCCGGCGCCTCCGAACACCGTCGGCTTCGTCGCGAACTTTGTGCGTAGGCGTTCGAACATGCGCTCGCTGGTCAGCTGTTCCTCGTTGGTTCCGACCCAGAAAGAGTCCCTCGGGATGTCTCTCGGATTGATTGTATGCGCTCCCCACGGGAATTTCCGCATCGGTCCCTCCACTTTCGGCACTTTTTTCGGCGGCAGATAGTCGGGGATGGGAGGTGCGATGGGCGCGAACATTCCGGGCGGCGGTGGCGGCGGAGGCCCTCCTCCCTTCAGACCTCCTCGGGGCAACGGCGGCGGCGGCGGCGGAGGGGGCGGTCCCCCTCCGATCGGAGGTAGCGGCGGCGGGGGTGGCGGTCCTCCGGTGATCGGAGGGAGTCCTCCGGGTGGGGGAGGCGGCGGCGGACCGCCTGTGATCGGAGGCAATCCCGGTGGTGGGGGAGGACCTCCAGTGACGGGCGGAAGTGATGAGGATCCGGATCCTGAAGAGGTGGACGGCGCCGAGAGGGTCATTCGCGTGAGCGGAGGCAGTGGAGTTGATTTCGGATCGGCCAGCTGGAAAGAGAAAAGGGTTCGAGTTGGGATTTCATTCTATTTTCTGACATTTTCCAATACTGATTTACGCATCAATCCCTGTAAAATCGATGCACTAGGACACAAATTCCCCATAAGTTCACAGATTCATCCTAAAATCTACAGTAATTCACGTAAAATTGATCATACTCGTTGGACAAACAGTCAACCACAAAAGTTACCCTTTTTGTCAGCCTACAATAAGTTTCTACAGTAATTGAAAGAATACTGTAGTCAGTAACCCCTTCTCCACCGTAGTCCACTGCACGTACATGTTTCCTGAGTGCGTGGGTCTCGGTCTGAAGCTCGCACAGCGTCTTCCAGTACTCCCCCTGCATGGCGACGGCTTCCTGCTTCGCCGCCGTCGCCTGCCGCAGCTTCTTCGCCATTTCCTCGTCCTGCATCCGTTCGATGATCTCCGTGACCGGCACTTCGAACACAAACTTTTCCTCGGCCTCCGGGTCCAGCGGCGTCCGGTGAAGGACTATTTCGGTGACGCACGTCTCGATCAGCTTCAGATAGGCTCTTTTCGTGGCCTGGTCCTCGGGAGTCAGCGAGAGCAGCTGGAGGATCGAAAGGAGGACGGATTCGGTGCCGGAGGCCTCCGAGTTCGCGGCCAGCAGCTCGAAGCATCCGTCAAGAGTGTCGTACTCTCCCTTCACGCTCTCCAGTTTGCCCCCGAGCGTTTCGAGGTCGGCATTCTGTTCTGTGAGCATGTTCTGCGCAACTTCGCGGGCTTTCGAGTCCGCACTATCCGAGGCGATGATTTTCTGCAAAAACCGCTCTTATTCCGGCGCGTTCCGGTGCTCGATACCTCGATCTTCTTGCCTAGCCGGTCCTTGGCCGACTCGGTCCGCAGTCTCATCCGTGCCTGCCACATCGTCTCCTCGTTCCAGATGCTCTCGTCGCCAAAGTTGCGATCGACGCAGTTGATGAGCATGTTGAGCATCAGAAGGACGCGCATCGTGTGCGAAGGGTCCCGTTGGCCGAAGAAGTCGAGACAGGAGACGAGCGGTTGGAAGCGCGAGACTGCGTGCGTGAGACGCTTCGACTCCGCCGTCGCCAGGTCCGTCAGCTCTTTGTACATCTTTTGTTGACTGGAAAAGAGGAGTTTGCGGTTTTATGAAGTCAGTCTACCGTACCCGGTCATTTCGATGGCTCTTGCCGAAAGAGTGTCGTGCGAGACGAGCATGAGTCCGGCGCAGATGGCGACGACGTCACAGCGCAACGCGCGGATCTCCGGCGCCTCGTGTTCGCCTCCGCTCCTTTTTCGATTCAGAATCATCATTGTTTGAATGAGAAGCGAACAGACGGGCGAGTTGCGACGGAGCACCAGTTCGAGGCCCAGCTGAAACGAAGGAAATGAGCGGGAGATCGGAGAGAACTGGGGATTACGTGGGTGTTGACGATCGAGCGGATGCACTTGACGATCTCCTGCAGGAAATCGATGAGGTCCAGCTCGTTCTTGGAGCCCGGTTCTGTGCTCCGCAGCCTATTGAGCACGGCCGAGTAGAGCCGGCAGATGAGATCCGCGCCCGTCCGGCCCGATTCGTCTCGAACGTTCTCGGCGAACTGAAAATCACCGAATTGCGGGGGTTTTGTGGGGAATGCATCAGAAAATGCCGTTTTTCAGAATGCTCCGTTACCTGATAGAGAAAAGAGACGGACTGGCACTGCAGCTGAATGCGCACGGTGACGATGTCCTGTTTGCAGTCGACAAAGTTGGCGGAGGTCTTCAAAATGTGCGCGAGCACGTGGATGTTCCACTCGGGACTCTGCTTCTTCGCCGCCGCGTCGTCCGTCCGTCGCGCGTTCGTCACCATCGCCTTCACTTGCTCCATCGACGCCGTCGCCACGAGCTCCTCCACTTTCGACGCCGGAATGTTCTTCTCCAGCTGCAATAGTTGAATGGAAAATTGTTTAAAATCAGGGCTGCGCAAAAGGCCAACAGTGTCCGACCCAGACTTTTCGAAGGCCTTCCAAGGCCTGGACTTTTGACCTTTTTGCAATGATCTGATCGGGCCCAAGCTTTTCAGACTTCTTGTACTTGGTCCCAAACACTTCAATCCGAGTACAACAAGTCTGAAAAGTTCGGATCCAATCGGAAGTATGCAAAAGGCTCGGCAAGTCTTTGAAGAGTCTGGGTTTATCAATTTTTGAGAAAAACACGCAAAACCCTCACCATAATGTGTCGAAATTGCTCGCGGAGCTCTTCTTCGGTGCATGATCGAGTGAAGGATTCTCCTGGAACTGATATTGTGTTAAAATGTGCACTTTCACAATTGTTGATAGTTGTTTCCTCATTTTCCACCGAACACACGCATTTTCGCCCGTGGCGCCCCCAATTTACCCTCTTCCAGGCCGGGAAAGTATTCTTCGACGGATTCGGATTCGGAAGACGTCGTCTGAGTGTCACCGTGATCGAAATCCGGCGAGAAAAGGAGGTATTTCGTGAACATGCTCATAGAATTTAGAAAAATAGCCGATGACTTGGCAATTGTGTGATGAAAACGCGGTAAAGTACTGGAGAGACGTGGGCGTGACCTAACCGATTTCTCAATTTTCGAAAGTTCTCAAATTTTTACTGATTCACTATTTTTGCCCATTTTTTCCTAGTGATCTCCTAAAAAAAGCGAACCTGATGAGTTGGAGGCCAAAGAAATGCCTCCGATGCTCCGTGTGCCTCCATAAGTACCGTAATCGTCGTTGCTCGCGGAAGAGGCGGACGGACCGTTCTGCAGAGAAGATTTGTTCAATTTTGATAAAGTAGCTCTTTAAAATTAAAAATTTTATCTGAAAATAAGCATTCTCCCCTCTTCTCCACTAACATTTGTCAATTTCTGTCTAGTTTTCCTTTTAAATCGGTTCGAACTGAACAAATCGGTCCATTTCCCGGAATTTCCCTGAAACGGGCTTCTCCGGCTTGCAAAATCGGCCGCTCCGGCGAGCATCGAATGCCTTTCGGCACTCCGTCGCTTGAATTTCTGTCCCGGAGCTTCGTCGCTCAAAAAATGGGATATGGTAGCCTTCTGCTGCTGATTTCCTCGTTTTTCTCGCATTTGCACACGAGTTCCGGGCTCCGGCGGCCGAAAAATGTGTTGGAACGGCTCGAGGAGCACGTTTTGCGTGGAGGGCGTCGGCGTGAGATCTTCCGCCATGTCCTCATCGTCCGTGGATTCTGGAGGCGGCTGACGGGCGGACGGAAGACGTGCCAAATCGGAGAGAGACGCCACGCGCGGGGTGTCTAGCGACTCGTAATCGGAAGAACTAGACATTCTGGAATTCAACTCGAAGGTTGAGAAGAATGGGAAAAAAACGGAGGACGGTGAGATTCAGAAGAAAATCGGGAGATCTAGAGCAGTGTTGAGTGGAGATAGAGTTTGAAAATCCGGAACACGGAAGAAGGAAATCGGCTCAACACTACAGTAATCCAGAGATTGACAAGAGCACAGTAGCTTCGGACGTTTCGCAACCAATTGTCGGTTGCTAAATGTCCAAGTGACGGGAAAGTGAAGAGAGGTATAGTTTCTGGTTGCCAAGTGTCTACACAAAAGAAATCGAGGAAACCGTGTCTGAAACTGAAGGAAAATTCTAGAATTCAAGCAGAATGTGAGCAAACTGGATATTATAAGACTCCAAAACGACAGTAACCCTCTCAATTCTTCACAAAAACCGGCACAAATGCCATCAAAATGAGCCCAGTTTGGCATTGAATCGAATTGAAATGGCGGGCAATCAGCGGCCCGGCGTCACTTGACTTTCTCGCAAAAAAGAAAGAGAGAGAGAGAGAGAAGGTCGTTCTATTCAAATTTTTCTTATGATTCCCATCGAACGACCCGATCGATAAGTGTATTTCGGAGAATTCGGACGGAAATCGAACTTGTGATAAACAAATAAACAGAGCGAAATCGGCCGGCCAGGCGCAAAAATGGGTGCGATTCGCTCGGTTCGAGTGATTCAGAGTTCCAAGGGGATTTTTTTTACAGGGGGAAACATCATTTTTATGGTTTAGAGATCAGAAATCATCGGAAAATGGAATTTTTCCGTTTCGAACTGTTTCGAACTGTAAAAATCAAGCTGAAACGATGTATTTAAATGTGAAAGACTCTAGACGCCGAAAAATGTGATAAAGACGGCTAGAGGAGCACGTTTTGTGTAGAATGCGTAGGCATGACGTCTTCCGAGAGTTCCTACGCTCATTTCTTGAAATCTACAGTAGCGGAACCATCCAGAAACGCGCGAAAAACCGTCCTTCGGCTCTTTTTGTCGGCACGCAGCTAATCAGAATTCACAATTCGATACGTACTATCATCGTTATTATGCAAATCCCTTCTTTTCCTATTCGGTTCCCTTCTGATCAGAGAAAACCGCTTGAGAGAAAGAGAAAGAGAGAGAGGGAGATGGAGAGGGAGAGTCAAGTGGTCAGACTGTGAATGAGAGCACTTTTTGTCTGTTTTGCATAATCACATGACACTGGAGCGAATGTTGACATAGATGCGATGATAATGCTCAAACATTGAGAATCGGGGTGAAAAGCACCAAAATACATCTGCACAAACAGCGAGTTCACGAGAAAACTAGAAGAAGTCGTCAGAAAGGTTCGTCAAAACTGTGCAAAACCGCATTATCATCGAAATTCTACGAAATTCTTCAAAACCTCAAAAACGGTCTAAAACTGGATCAAAAGACTGCAAAAAGTTCGGTGCCTCATGCTGGAATCGAACCAGCGACCTTCTGTTTACTAGACAGACGCTCTGCCACTGAGCCAATGAGGCGGACGGAAACACGCGGGCAAAAGGGCATAGATATCAGAGAGGCAGGCGGACGGACGGAAAAGAGGACATCGACAAGAATGTACTAAAAGCAACTAGAACTTGCCCAAATTCCAACTGAGTAACAATTTTTCGTTACTGACAAAAGCTGTTGCCTTTTTTTTGATAACTCACATGATAAGTCTGTGGGTAAACATGGAAATGGTTTGACAAAGAAAGAACACCTCATAGAAGAAAAGAGAGAAAGAGAAAAAGAGAGGAAAGGAATAGGCAAACAGATTGGGAAGACGTCAATGATAAACTTATTCTAAACTGAAGGCCTTTGAGCTGACTATTAAACAGTTGGAATTTGCATGGCAGTAACTTTCAGAAGGTTTAGTTTGTAAGGCCAAGAAAATTTTCTTTGTAAAAAGTGTAGAAAGTGAAGACTAGAAGCACTCATTATTACATCCAGAGAATATATATGTATTCGGTTGAGTTGAGCCGAACAAAATGAACAAAATTCTCTGTGTGAGGAGCCAAGTGACCACCACCGGCCAACATCTGCCGCCATTCGTCGCGTCCGTTTAGCATCATCATTTAGTGTCAGTGCCAACTGGTTACACACCGACTTTCACTTTTTCAAGAAAAATGGGCTAGAAGACATCAAATTCCCGCGGTTTTTCAATGAATTTGGGGCAAAGACGTTCAAGCTCAGAACTGAGTCATTCGAAACCAAGAAAAAGAAGTGATCGATGTCAAATGGCAACCAACTGACGGAATGAGTAATCGGACGGACAAAAAACGTTCGATTGGTAGGAAATCGCATAGATTTCTCAATTTGCCTACTGATTACCCAAGCGGACGGAATTCACTATCAAAAACATGTTTACTGTTTGAAAAATTGGGGGTTTTAGGTGAAAAACAGTGGAAGACGGACAGAAGAGGGAAAACTCCAAAAACGAGTCTGGGTTCTTGGAAAAGAATGCATTTCAAGTAGAAACTAGCTAGATCAACCTAAATCATGAAAAATGACAATGCATCTCCAAAAAAAAAGCGTAAAAAAGGCGGGAAAAGACAACGAGACGAGCCCCCGAGGAATCGAATGCGTAAAAATGCGAAAGAACGTAGTATTATTCAACAACTTTTCCCGTTTGAACTCATCAAAAATCAGTGTGAATCGGGAGAGTCTCAATTCTCTGCGCACTCTCCCCGATTCGCACACTATTTCCGTGTGGCCGCCAAAATGTGATATTCAAATGGGAAAGAGGAAGAAGAGGGAGGTCGCGCCGATCGGAGAGACGCAGACGGACTGTAGAGAGACTTGGCATCGTGCCAGGGGGCTTTCCTGTTCGGTACGAGAGAGTAATGAGTTACCAAGTTAGGGAAAGCTGGAATTTCACAAAAAACGTGAGAACGCAATGGAAAAAGACTCGTTTCTTTCAGTTTCCAATCCCATTAGAAAACCGAACGATTTTCGTAATTTCCTTCCCTTTTTCCCGTGTCAAACACCAATTTTCTCAGCTTCTCGACGAGTTACGACCGGTTCTTTCCCGTGTAATTCATCCCTCGAGAATAGTTTCATTTTGACGAGAAAATGAGGGGTTGTTCGAGATTTTTTAAACAGAAAACCGCACAAACCTTTCTGCCGAGCACTTTTTTCTCCTTCTTCGTGAGCGTGTTGGTTGCGTTGACGGTGGAGGTGCTCGGCGCCGCTCCGCCCACTCCTTCCGCCTTCTTCTCGACTCCTATCAACTTTTTCATCGCGTTCCAAGCTTTCTGGCTGAAAATTAGAGATTTTTCGAGAAAATTTGGAAGTTTCACGTTAACAATGAGTAAAGCAAGTTGACGAAGAGAAAAATAGTGAAATTTGGCGAACCTATTGCAAAAAACAAAAAACACAGTCTTCCGAATGGATTTTGCGTAAATTTGCAAAGATTTGTTTGTTTTCGTATCTTCTCATTGTCTCAAGGAGCATACTTTGCAAAAAATTGTGCAAAATCAGTTTTTCACAGAAAAACATGGTACAAATCGAAAACTGATCGAAATCCAGTCGCGACGATCAAAAATCCGTCAGCGATGGTAATTTTTGCGTGACGGAAACGCACTTGTGCGGAAAGCTGTTATTATAATAATAATATCATCACGAATTGTACGATTGTTCATGGAAGAGAGAAGGAGAAGAAGAAGAAGAACAACCACCGTTTTATAGTAGTCGTTTTATACTGCTATCACTATTGTTTCGAGAAATTGAGTAGTACGCTCTAAAAACTTGAGAAAAGATGGGGTTTCACAGTTTTCGGAGAGCAAAACTGCATAAAAAGCTCAGTTTCAAGTCAATGGTCAACGGAGAATAAGACATTTCTCGGCGATGAAACTTTAGACGGATATTCGCGTTTTTGAAGCAAAAAGCTTATTTTCTCCGGAAAATGATAGAATTACACAACTTGTCCGTTCAAAAAAGTGAACGAACAACAACTGTGACTCACCCATTACCCCTATCACTTTGACCTTTTTGTCTCCGAACAAAAACAAACATTTACCCAGATAGCGGTCTTTTTGTACTAGGAAATGACAAAAATGACAGAAAATGTGGAATTTCCCTGTGTTTTGAGAGAAAACTGCGAGCAATTTCAGTCTCAAAGCATAATTTTTCTCAAAATAAATTTCTTAGAGTTTCGGAATGAATTACAGATGTAAAACACGTTTTGCGCGGCAAAAATTGCGGTAAAAAGGTAAAAACTTTGATTTTGGCCGGTCGGACAGGTGTCCAAATGATTTGAATGAGGCGCGCGCCCTTCGAGTGAGAGAGAGAGACAGAAAAGAGAGACGCAGAGGGGAGAAGGACAGAGAAAAGTGTTTTGAATCACCGGAAATGAATTAGGGGGATGTTTAGTGATTTTTGAGGATTGACTGAGACTCTTATTGAAAAACCACAGAAGACAGTCTGCAGACTCATTGGAAAACAGGAAATAGGGGACAACAAGTGGGAGTGCGGACCTTTGGGTATAATAGAACGGGAACGGACAATAGATGACCTTTCGCCCCTTTTTCGATACTTTTGTACACTTTCTATTGTATTTTTATAACAAAAAAGGGAGGAGAAAGTGGGGAAAACGATAATCGGATTGCCGAGTTCTCGCATGTTTGTGATGCCATGTTCGGGTGAAAACGAGAAAATTCGGGAATTTCCGGAAGAAATGACATTTTTCGATGGTCAGGACATTGAAATGTGTGGAAAATATTTTAAACTCAAAGGGAACTGCTGGGATTTTTGGTTTTTCTGATTTTTTTGAAAAATCAGCTCTTTGTGTCAAATTTGTACACTTTTCTGAGATGTTTCGGTGTGAAATAGAGTAAATTACTCTGAGTAACAGATTTCAAAAAAACAACTCACAGAATTCGCGTTTTCCCCGACGAAAACGGTCAAATTTTAACGAAAAATTGTCAATTTGTCACTTTTTTGTGCAATTTGTCGTCAAACACTCGACGCAAAATTGCGTACTCTACAGTAATCTTTTCACGGAAGAGTCATATATGGCCGGTTTTCGGGACGAAAAAGCGAAAAATAAAGCGAACGTCATCTAAAAGGTTTTCGAAAAATGGTGTGAAATCGGATATTGTCCACAATATTTTTTTCCAACAGAGCCGACCAAAAAGTGTCAAAATTTCACAGAAATTAACGGGTATATCGAATTTCTCGGAAATCGTTCCGAAATTCTGAATCTCGTGTTGAAAATCGAAATTGTCGCTTTCTCCCGATGAAATTTTCACTTTTCTCGGCCGCCTCTTCGTCTCGGTCACTATTTTGACGGTATCTGGGCAATGAATCTGATGAACAGATAATAATAATAATAATAATGATGATATAAATTGTCATATTCAGGATGGAATTTGTTGAAAACTGGGAGGGGAAACGGTTGATTCAGCTTTGTGAACAATATCTTTATTTGATTAAACGAGAAACTTTGAAAAACAACTTCAGTCTTTCAGTCTTCCTCCTCCTCCTTCTTCGGCTCTTTCTGCACCGATTTCTTCTCCGAACTCTCCGACGCCTTCGCCTTCTTCGCCTTCTTCTTCTTCTTTTTCTTCCTGTCCACCTTGCTCATAGTGCTCCTGGACCGACTTCGCGAGACGGAATCCATTCGGGACCGTCCGGATCTTCTCGGCGGGGGCGGTGGTGGCGGAGGCTTTGATTGCGACATGAAGAACAAGATGATCGAGCAGGCGACGAGACACCCGACTGCCGCCAGAACGATTCCTCCGATGATCAGTCCTATGTGCTCCGACATGAATCCGCCAGAACTCGTCGTCTCAGGCACTTGCTGCTGCACCTGCTGGATCGGTTGCTGAGAAGGAATCTGTGGAGGGACGTGTACAGGAGGAGCAACAACTGGAGCCGGCGTGGTGGTGGTGGGCGGAGTGCACATGGAGAACTCTGAAGCCACCATTTTGTATTGAAGACTAAAGAAATTCGAAACTAACGGCTTCGCAGACAAATGATTTTCTTGACAGTATCCACCCACTTCTTCCTCTCCTCTTTCACTAAAATTTATGAAAGTTGAAGAAGACTTCTCCTACTCACATCTCTCAGGCTGGAACCGGAGTGTCGGGACCGCTTTCACAGCAGCATCCTCCAGCAACTGTTCGCAAGTGGTCAATTGGGTCAAGGTCACTGCAACGCACCTGTTGTAGAAGACTCTCAGACTGAAATCGACATGGAGATTCTTTTAGAAATAGGACGTTTTCACTCACGTTAACCACGGGATGCTCTTGTCGCTGTTCATTAAGAACGGCCTGAAACAGTGACATCGGCGAGGGAATAGTGCTTCTAAACTCACAGCATCTCATCGAAGGTAGACATGTTTCCAGAACTGATTCCTATTTCGAATTGGTGGAAGGGTCGAGGTGACCGTGTTGCGTTTTCAGGTTTTCGGAACAAGGCTATGAAGACCTAGGTTACCGATGCCAGGCACAAAATGCTGCATTCATGCCACTATAGCTGATACTATAAGAGAAATGCGCGTTCTTTCTAGACAGTATACCTCAGCTATCGGTAAAAATATCAAAAAGAACATGGCGTACATTTTGTCAGTTGATCACTTTTTGATATTTTCACTGGTGGCTGAGATAAATTGTTTTAAATGAACGGTGCTCAGCATTCGTAAGCTTGGATCACATTCTACAGAAGGTTCTAGAAAAATGTTTTCACAAGGAAAAGGTTTTTTAAAACAAAGCTAAACAAGTAAATGAGATGATTAGGGTATCAAATGCGGCGAGTTCTCCTCCTTCTCCGACTCTTCCTCCTCCTCCTTCTTCGGCTCTTTCTGCACCGATTTCTTCTCCGAGCTCTCCGATGCCTTCGCCTTCTTCTTCTTCTTCTTCATCTTTTTCTTCCTGTCCACCTTGCTCATAGTGCTCCTGGACCGACTTTTCGGAACGGAAGCCATTCGGGACCGTCCAGATCTTCGTGGCGGGGGCGGTGGTGGTGGAGGCTTCTTATTCGATTGCGACATGAAGAACAAGATGATCGAGCAGGCGACGAGACACCCGACTGCCGCCAGAACGATTCCTCCGATGATCAGTCCCATGTGCTCGGCCACGAATCCGCCAGAAGTCGTCGTCTCAGGGACTTGCTGCTGCACCTGCTGGATCGGTTGCTGAGGAGGAATCTGTGGCTGGTTCGGGGTGCTTGGACCCTGTTCCTGGGGTGCTTGTGGTTTCTGCTCCGACGGCTGTTGTGGTTTCTGCTCCGACGGATTTTGGGAAGGTACGGGTTTGTTCGGCGCATTGCTCTGACACGCGATATCTGAATAGATGTCAGCACGGCGCCGAAAAACGTAGAAAGGGGCGTGGGGCCGAGCGCGTGCACGGTTTATCACACCATTTTGGCGCAAAATTCGAAATTTAACCCCATTTTTCATATTTTTCGTCAAAAATTACCCAAATTTTGTACGATTTCGACGATGCGATTGCATAACTTTGTTAAACTAATCATCGCGCACTTTTTGAGCTTAAAACGAGCAAGTTTCATTCAGAAATGAATCAATTGAATCGATTTTCAAGTTTTGTGCTGAAAATGCGCGAATTTCAGTCATTCGCCGATACTTTTTGCCGTTTGAAAGCTTAAAATACTTGTATTAACGTGTGCTTAATCACTTCCGACACTCACTTCGTCTCAAAATTATCCAGATCGCCCGCTATGAAAATTCGGAAATTGCGGCGGAGAGCGTATTGCGAAATATGCCAAAAACGTCTCAAACGCGGCGTTTTCACGAAAAGTGCAATTTTTTCTCTCTTTAATGTCTTCTTCTGTCGATATCAAACACAAAAATGTCGGAAAAGTGCTGGAATTGCGACAATTTTCAGAAAACGCCGCGTCTCAGAGTTGGCCACGCCCCTTTCTACACTTTTTCGTCGCCGTGATTAGGGAAACTTACTATTGCCGACGATTCCACAGATGATGTTCTTAAGCGATTTGACCATGTACAATTTGTTCTCTGAAATAATGCACATTCTCTTTTGGTTCGCGTCGTTTGCATCACTCACGCTGATCCGAGAACACCTGGCTCGCCAAGTTCCACACGGCTTGCTCGCAGAAGACCCCTTTTTGCAGTTCGATGAAGCATTCTCCTGCAAACAAAGCCAACCTGAAATAAGTAAGTTAAGATTTTCAGCGCGGATCTAAAAAAAATTGGCTCACTGTCCAATGTCAACATTGATGCCGTCTTCTTTGAGACGATTCCTGAAGTGCCATAGTTGAAGGTGGGTGGTCTCGGTGTCAAAAGTGGAAACTCACAAAAGTTCAGCGGGTTTTAGAGAGGATACCATTCCGACGACTTGCCACTTTTCGCAACTGGTTTTGCGAAGAGTTTAATGAACTATTTGAGGTGACCGGAACAAGAAGGGGATAGTTGACCCTAGGTTTTTGGGCTATCGGGCCGAGATTGATGAGGACTGTAAAGGATTGGGGGCAAAAGATGTGACTTGGACTGTCAAATTCCAGGCTAATTCGTCTGGAATTCTAGTGTTTCTGATTGACCGATTGCTTACTAAAATTCATTGGAAACATTCAAAACCCGAAACAAGTTAAAGTACAATATCTAGCTGCCGGTATTGGTGCCAGAGACATCAGTAATCGTCGGCTCATCGCCAGTCTTAGTCTTCTCCACTTCCTTCACCTCCGACTCCTCCTCCTCCTCCTTCTCCGACTTTTCCGACGCCTTCTTCTTCTTCTTCTTCATCTTTTTCTTCCTGTCCACCTTGCTCATAGTGCTCCTGGACCGACTTTTCGAGACGGAATCCATTCGGGACCGTCCGGATCTTCTCGGCGGCGGGGGCGGTGGTGGCTTCTTCTTCGCCCTCAAGCACATGAGGACCGCGCAGACGACGAGACCCCCGACGGCCGCCAGAACCACTCCTCCGATGATCAGTCTCATGTGCTCGGCCACGAATCCGCCAGAAGTCGTCGTCGGTTGCTGGGGAATCTGTGGAGTGAGCGGAGCTTGAGCGGTCGTCGTGATCGCACAGAAATACTGTCCCGGATAGTCCTTGCAGAACAGTTTTCTGATTCTCTCGACCCATTCCTTTCGGTTGTTCGCGTCTCAAAACGTTTGTTTCATTTTTGTACGCCAGTTTGCTCACTTTCATCAGCTGTCAGAAAACGTGGTCGAATCGGCCACTCTTCTTCCGATATCTCTTTCAGAACTGTCTCACACCTCGCACCCATCTCTGATCTATTGTCAGACTCGGTCAAACTCAAAGTTCTTGTAGTGCAGACCCAAAACAGTTGAAACACTCTGGAAATGTTTTCTGAAATTGTAGGCCTTTTTCGAAATGCTTGAAACTCACGATGCGTCATCATCTGGTTCGACTAGCTTAACTTTAAAGAGGTCCACGTTCATGATTTTCTGTCGTTGCTCGTACTAATCCAATCGAAAACTGAAAGTGGGGGTGTCAAACAGGAGAGCAGGACAGGTCGGTTCGTCCCAAGTGAGTTCAGGGAACTGGCACAGGTTTCTGGACTAGTAGCAAGTGTTTTTTTTTCGATAAATTTATCTAACGCTGATGCAAGTGCGCTTTTTCAACACATTTGTATTTACATTTTTCATGCTCGCCTACACGATTTCATTTATTTTTTTTTTTGAAAATAAGGTTATTATTTTACCAATTGTTTTCTAGAAAATTCTAGAATTGACACTCTTGGCCTAAATTCTATTTACAACGAAATGAATTGTGAAGCTCTTTGACTCGACCAATAATAATCTCTTCGATTTCGGCGTCGCTCTCCGGGTACAGCACGATTTCCTCGCCGTCGGATTTGTCTTTCTGCACAAGAGTCACTCGGTGCTTCCGCGTCGACAACATATTCGCAATCACCAACTGATGTCCGTACTTTGCCAACGCCGCCTTCGCCTTCGGAAGCAGCTTCTCTTCGTCCGTTTCCAGCTGAAATATGTTCTTTTGCTCGAAAAATAGATGAAAGTGAGGGAATTACCTTGAAGGAAACGATGTAGGCGTTGGGAACATAGTGGTTGACGACCCTTTCGATCACTTTCGGAGCCACACTCAGTCCCAGGTTCAGTTGCACGTTTGACGCTATTTTGTGCGTTGGCTGGAACGTTTTTACTAGAGCATTTTTTATTAAAAACAAAATTTCCCTTATAGCAAACGATCGCTTCAAATTGTTGGTTTTTAGCGTCGCAAAAAAAAACACAAAATTTGCATTTAAACTTTAAATTTCGCTCCAAAATGTCGCTTTGTGCCTATTGTAAGCTCAAGAGGCCGTGCAGAAGAGTATGTTAACAACTGCAACGTCAAAACTGACCAAGGAGATAGAGGAAACGGTGGTGCTGGCCGAGAATTGGCGGAACGAGTGTGATCTCCACGACACTCCGCCGTTGCGTTGCGTTGTTTACGAGATTGGCCTGTGGGAAGACAGCGAAGAAAAACCGGAAGACGAGAATGGTTCTGCCCGCTCGAATGGACGGACCGTCGAGAGAAGGAGCGCAACGCGACACCAGACTACACACACGTGTTCCGATGGTCCGTCGACGTGCGGATGTGTCAATCTCACTCCCTCGTAAACCCCTCTGATCTCTGTGACAGGTGTGAAACTCTTGAACGGTCGCTGACCCGGTCACGAAAACCGCACCGCCGGCTGTCTCCAACCCATTCGTTGGTCAATCTCTCCCCGGGACCGTCCTCTTTTTTTCTCCTCGGCCCACTGCCTTCCCAAAGGCAAACGACTCACGCGCACTCACTTTAAAGGCGCATCGCATTTATTCGCTTTGTTTTATCCAATCGCTTCGAGACCCGTCTGATCTACCGCGCGCACCGCGAAACTAACCACTTTCGACCGGTTCTCTGTCAAAACAATTAAAAAAAAAAGAAGATTACCAATTGAGTGACGACGAAATCCGAGACGGCGGCCGCCAAATAAATGAGCGCCTTCGAGCCAAGAGGGTTCAAATGTTTGCAAATCTGAACATTTCCTTCGTGTCGAGACCCTTCACTTCCCGCCCACCTGCTCCAGTTTCGCCATGTACTGATCGAACGTTTTGAACGAGATGTACAATATTTTCTTTTCGAATTTCAGCTTTTCGCTCAGAATTTCCGCTAATTTCGGTGCCTGACACGTCACTTTTCCGTCTTGCAGTGTCAGCGAATTGAATAAATTCGGAAAATGTCTGGAATAGGGCTTCAGGGACTCTTCGCGGTGCATAAAAATGACCGAGTAGCTGGCGCGCAGGAAATATCTGAAAATGTTTGAGTTTTCAGTCGTTTTTGAACAGAAACGCACTCGGCACTGGCGGATCCACGTGTGCCCGCCGAGAAATTGTCGATGAACCGGACAGTGTTCTTTTCCAATGGAACTTGCGTTCCGCCACTCTGTCATCATTTTTATTTTTTCTGTCCTCATTTTCCGGTAAGTACCGTGATGAACGCCACGGAACTGTCTCGATTGTCCGCCAGAAAGCGCTCAATGTCGGCGTCGGATACCGAGGAGCTCATTTTTCGCGGATATTCTGAAAATTTCGCAATTTTCAATTTTTCAACTCTTTTTTGTGCGTAAACCGATGAAAAGGCGACAGAAAATTTTTATAGCTCTTTTTCGTAATAAACTGCAATCACAACACTTAACACTCGATTCTATCCGGTTCTCGCTGAAAACGCTGTAAAATTGGCTCAATTGCTCTCGCGAGAAATTTACGGCGGGTGGTACGGTGGGCAAAAGTCTGCAAACACGGCGACGGCGTCTTGCACACTTTCGCAGTTTGGGTCGTCCAATGTTCCCGCAATTCCACATTTCTGTTCTCGGAATTTTTCGATTTCCGCCTCGTTGTTGCGCAAAATTCTGATTTGAACGCGTTTCTCAAATATAAAAATTCTGAAAGTAGTGGGTGCCTGTACATGTCGAAAAAATTAGCAAAAATTTTGGCATGCGGCCTATTTTGGGTAATGTTGTGAAATTCCGCCGACTTGTCCGGTTCGTTTTAGAATTTTTCTGCAATAAGATCGTTTATTGCAACTCTCCGTACCGAATTTTTTGTAAAAGACAGCTGAAATCTCGGTTTCTAGCCCTCCAATCCAATTTTTCAGCGCCAGTTACTGCAAAGTAGTGAATTTCTGCGTGGGTGGGCTCTGTAATGAATTCATTTCCTTTAATTTCATCGACTTTCAGTGCAATGCTCCGTCCCTGGACACGGGCGGACCGAAAATCGATAGGGTGTCGCGTCCAGAGATTCTCTGCGACTCTCCATCTCGCTTTTTCTTTCCGCACGGCGATTCGGCGATTCTTTCCGGCCGGGGCCAAGTGGAAAAGGGGAGTAGAAGGGAAAGGAGGAGGAGGGGGGAACGCGATGCCCCCCTCGGAGAGCTTTTCGTTCTCTTTTCCATATACTATACTACTCGGCTTTTCCTCCTTTTTCGTCGCATTTTACAAGTTGTCCGCTCCGTTTTAGTAATCCGCTCTGGGGTTTCGACGAGGATTTGCACGATTTTCGGTGCGAAAATCGTCACGTTTATCGATTTTCATGAAATTCTGCTCCCATATCGATTTGTCCAGAAACAGTTGCCACAAACCAGTTCCTCGCTCTTGTTTTGTCCGTTCTTGTTCGCTTTATCATCGTCGCCACACGTGTTCTCTGTTTTTCTCGCTATAAATTGGTCTACATTCTTCGATAATGTAGACATTTGTTTTTTTTTGAATGACTCATTCATCATTTCGAAATTTTTAATCGTTAAGATTATGAAAGAATTGCAGAAATGCCTACAATAATATTTCACAGATTTTAGAAGTTCTAACCTTTTTCATCTCGCTTTTCTCTCTCCGATTCTCTCCGACTCTCCGATAATTTCCGCCTCATTCCAGGGTTGATCGCATATTGCGCATTGCTACTTTTTGATGGAAAGTAACCAAACAAACAATGGAAGCAGTGGAAATGCCGCTGTGAACAAGGGAGGTCGCTACGTGCCGCCACCTCTCCGCAACGCCAACGGAAATAACGACTCCGCGCCGGCTGCCGGGGGCGACGATCGTCGTTCCGGCGGATCTTCGGGAGGTTACCGTCGTGGCGGAGGATCCGGAAGTGGTGGCGGCGGCTTTGATCGTGGATACAACGACAACCGCGGAGGCGGAAACAGCTACGGAAGAGACCGTTACGAGGATCGCGGCGGTTACAGTTCCGGAGGCGGACGCGGCGGATTCGGAGGCGGCAGCGGACGCGGCGGAAGCTCGGGCGGATACAATAACCGTCCGGATCGAGGCGACGAAGGATTCAGCCGCGGTGGAGGCCGTGGCGGATACAGCAATCGCGATTCGTACGAAGACAGAGGATCCGCGCGATCTTCCTTTAACGGCGACAATCGCCGTCCGGATCGTGCTGGCGATGCGTAAGTGAACATTGCTAGCTGGTTTTCGCCTTTTTGCGTGCTGTAACGCGGTGTCGGCAGACTCCCATTGTCAACCGTAACCGCCAAGCTCGACCTCCTGCGCTTCTGAAAATTGCCGATTTGAATGAAAAAACGCGTTTTTTTTTTTGCCAATTCCGCTGATTTTTCATCCGATTTCGACAAAGAAATTTTAAAATTTGTCGAAATCCGATGACAGCACGCAAAAAGGAACAATATACTGAAAAATACTTTTATTTTTGCAGACCTTCTCGCTGGTCGAACCTGGACGCTCCGCCGACGAGAAGCGAGCGCGCGCCGTCGAGATGGGAAGATCGTGGGCCGCGTGAGGAGCGCGTCGAGCAGGAGCTCTTCTCCGGACAGCTATCCGGCATCAACTTTGACAAGTACGAGGAGATTCCGGTGGAGGCGACCGGAGACGACGTGCCGCAGCCGATCGGCTTCTTCTCGGATCTGAGTCTGCACGAGTGGGTCGAGGACAACATAAAAAAGGCGGGCTACGATCGTCCGACGCCTGTCCAGAAGTACTCGATTCCGGCACTGCAGGGCGGCAGAGATCTCATGTCTTGCGCGCAGACTGGATCCGGAAAGACGGCCGCGTTCCTCGTGCCGCTCGTCAACTCGATCCTCCAGGACGGTCCCGACGCGGTTCACCGTTCGGTGACCAGCTCGGGCGGCCGCAAAAAGCAGTACCCGAGTGCTCTGGTGCTCTCGCCGACTCGCGAGCTCTCCCTGCAGATTTACAACGAGTCGCGCAAGTTCGCCTACCGCACTCCGATCACATCAGCGCTTTTGTACGGAGGACGCGAGAACTACAAGGATCAGATTCACAAGCTCAGGGTTGGTCATTTTGCATAGAAAATTGCCTAAAAAGCACAATTTTCAGCTCGGTTGTCACATCCTGATCGCCACTCCAGGCCGTCTGATCGACGTGATGCAGCAAGGACTGATCGGACTCGAAGGGTGCCGTTACCTGGTGCTCGACGAGGCGGACCGCATGCTGGACATGGGATTCGAGCCGCAAATCCGACAGATCGTCGAGCTGAACAAAATGCCGACGAAGGAAGAGCGCGTCACCGCCATGTTCTCCGCCACGTTCCCGAAAGAGATTCAGCTGCTCGCGCAAGACTTCCTCAAGGCGAACTACGTGTTCCTGGCTGTCGGACGAGTCGGTTCCACGTCGGAGAACATCATGCAGAAGATTGTGTGGGTGGAGGAGCACGAGAAACGATCCTACCTGATGGACCTGCTCGACGCCACCGGCGACAGCTCTCTGACGCTCGTGTTCGTCGAGACGAAGAAGGGTGCGTCGGATTTGGCGTGGTATCTGAACAGACAGGAATACCAGGTCGTCACCATACACGGAGATTTGAAGCAGTTCGAGCGAGAGAAACATCTCGACCTTTTCCGGTTCGTAGCCTTTTTTTGTATTTAGAACTTTTTTTTAAATGTAGGAGATGTAGAAATAGCTCAAAATTGAATTAAAATGTTCCAATCGTCAATATTTGCAGTACGGGAACAGCGCCGATTCTGGTGGCGACGGCGGTCGCCGCGCGTGGTCTTGATATACCGAATGTGAAGCATGTGATCAACTACGATCTGCCGTCGGACGTCGACGAGTACGTGCACCGCATCGGGCGTACCGGACGCGTCGGAAACGTCGGACTCGCCACCTCGTTCTTCAACGACAAGAACCGCAACATCGCGCGCGAGCTGATGGATCTGATTGTGGAGGCGAACCAGGAGCTGCCCGACTGGCTTGAGGGCATGTCCGGAGACCTCAGAAGCGGCGGCGGATACCGCGGACGCGGCGGTCGCGGAAACGGAAATCGCTTCGGAGGTAAGACTGCAGAAAGTTACACTGTTCACGATTTTCTCAAGATCTTTGTATATTCCGGCACAAAAAATGGAAAATTCATATTTTCATGTGTTCCTAATGTTTCTTATTGTGTGCTGTCGCTCAGTGTACACAAACTCGTGTTATCAATCATAACCGTCAAGCTCCGCCCGTCCGTCTTTAAAACTTGCATATTTGCGTGAAAACGCGCGTTTTGTGCTAATTGTGCTGATTTTCTATCCGATTTCGAGAAATTCTCTCAAGAAATCAAATGGAAAATCAGTGGAATTTGCACATAACGGTTGTATTCATCCAAATCAGTAATTTTTAGAGGCATCGGGGCAAAGTTTGGCGGTAACGGTTTGCAAAACAATTATGTGTACAGTGTACACAGCACTCAAGAACAATTGTTGTTGTGGAAATACCTTTTCGAAACACGTTTAAGTCTGAATATCACTTTGTCTCGCTCCTAAATGTTCTAAAATCTTTGTATTTTTCCAGTTGTGGAAAAAACATCTGTTTTAAAAAAATGTACTAAATTGTCTTTGCAGGTCGCGATCACCGTTACCAGGGCGGCGGAGGCGGCGGCGGACAGGGCGGAAACGGAAGCGGCAACGGAGGCGGCGGATTCGGCGGCGGCGGACAGCGTTCCGGAGGCGGCGGCGGAGGCGGATTCTCATCGAACAGCCGTCAGCAGCAGCAGCAGCGTTCTCAGCCGGCTCAGGATTGGTGGGGGTAGACGAACCTTCCCCTTCCCATTTTCTTTTCTTTTCTCTTTTTCTTCTATAATAATCACCGTTCTTCTCCAATAGTTCTATTATTGTTTCCCCGATTTCCATGAGCATATTGTTCTTCCTATCCCCTTGCAGATTTTACGGAATGCCTAAAATCGTTTCTTTTTTTCCGCAGCTCGTCGTCGCACTTTCGTTTGTGGGAAGTGGTGGTGTTTTTGTGTCCCGAGAGAATGAGATTCAGCCGTTTCGTCCACTTTTAGCGTGTGTCGCGCCTCCCCCCATCGTTCGTTGTGTGCTGTATTTCCCCTGTTGCCTAACTTGTTGGCTCTTCCCGTACGGTTCGAAAAATTCACTTTTCGAGCTGATCATTGTCCGATTTTTCTGTTTTTTGCTCCTCACCGAGCAAGAAAAGTCGTCGGGCAATTACGGTGGCGCTATAAGGCAATCAATGCATCACCCTCAACACTTGTTGGTTTTTTAAAGCCTCCAACTCTACAATTTTTGACAATTCTCGTACCACCCACATTATAGGATGTTTTTTCGACGTTTCTAGGATTATTATTGATTTCTTTTAATTTTTAATAACTTATTCACCAAGCACCCTATAATAATTGTCAACTCTTTCCACTTTTTTTTCTTTTTTTCCTGTGACACACGCTGTTTGTTTTGAAATGCTTGTTTCATAGACCGTCTCGCAATCCTTGTATCATTTCTCTCCGCCCCGCCCCCTCCAACCAACTTCTTCCTCCAGAAGCGAATCTCGTGTTCTTCTCCCACAAGTTCTCGATGCAGCGACGGGTCCGCATCCCCCCCCCAAACTAAAATTGATTTTCCGAAAATTTAGTAGCTCCGGCCCTTTTTCTCCTGTAAACTTATTGGATATGAACGAAAAGAAAAATAAATCAAAATTCGAAATTGTTCTGTTTTTGCTCGACAGGTTGCGCTCCAATTTGACTACCGAAATGCAAGCGCGCTCCACCGCACTCTGCCCAGCAGCGGGGGCATTCGAATTTATCGATTTTCTAATCCTTATGAGGCCTTCTCCAAGAATTCTATAATACTCGTTCGTTTTTCGATAATAATAGAGGTTTTTCAGTGAAACATTGTAAAATGTCGAATTTCCGTCATCCGCAAGCGACTCCCGCCAGAAATGTAAGTGTTCCCACAATATTCATTCGATTTTCTGTTGTTTTTGTGAAAAATTACATGTGTTCATTGAATTGTAACGTTTTTAAACGGAAAAAATAATTGGCAACAAAATTGAAAACGACGAATTTTCCTCAATTTCCCCCCGTTCACAGCGTATTTTTGCAGTTCCAAGAGATGGGAATGCGTGGCGGCGGTGGCGGTCCGAAGCAGCCGGAAAGGCCGATGGCGCCGTACATGCGGTACAGCCGGAAGACGTGGCCGCGAGTGCGTGCGGAGAACCCGGACGCCCAGCTCTGGGACATTGGGGCGCTCGTGAAGCGGATGTGGACAGAGACGAGCGAGGCAGAACGGGCACACTACCAGCACGAGTTCGAGATGGAGCGCGCCGAGTACGAGAAGCAGATGAAGCACTTCCAAGCCGGAAACTCGGGCGTCTCCAACTTTATCATCAACAAGGTACGCTTTCGCTCTCTCGCTCTACACTTTTTCCACAGAAATCACTGATTTCTTCTGCTATTAAATGAGGCGCTACAACGGAGCAGAACTCGAACGAGTAAAAAGTGACACTGTTCTTTCCGATGTAGCGCCTTCAAAATGAAATGAGAATTGTGCGGAAACAAGTGGTGAAAAGTTGAAGGGTCGCGCGAAGAACAACGAGAAGATGTCGCGGAGCCGGATGGACGCGGGCGGAGTCGTCATCCAGCCGGTCGACGAGGACGACGGCGGCAACGAGATGAGCACGAGACGACTGGCGGGAGTCCGCTACGAACGCAACAACCGACTCATCGCCGACCTCTTCTCGCCGAGCATAGTGACGGACACGCGGTCGGTGGTGCCGCTGCATCGAATGGAGATGCTCAAAAGACAGGCGGCCTCGTTGGGCACGCATCAGAGTAAGCTGGAGGAGGAGCTGAGCAAGCTGGAGAGGGCGCACGACGAACGGAAGCGCGCCATCGAGAAGGGCAGCGACGAGTTCCAGGAGCAGCTGAAGAAGGTGGTCAACGAGAAGCCGGTGGTCGACGAGCAGAAATTCGAGGAGACGGTCACCGAGTGGGAGGGCAAACTCGCCGTCGCCTACGAGGAGTACAAAAAGAAACAGGCCGACGCCGCCTCCAAGAATGGTAAGCACGTCTAGACAGTCGTGTTTGTGAAATGTTCAATCGATTTCTGTAATTTTTAGGTGCAGAGAAGTGAAATTAATCTTGTTTGAATAGACCCATAAAAGTAGAAAACACTGACTGTACTCTAATCATCGTTAGCGCGTGGTTCTTTGTTCAGCACAACGGGAAACATTCATTTGATAAAAACTGTGACAATTTTGACGCGCCGATCGTTTTCTCATTTTCACTGAAAAACGCACAATTTTCATACCGACAGTTCGGACGAACTTTGAATGAATTGATGGAGTGATTTTATTAATGAAAACAAGGAGTTGAAAATGGGAAAGAAAAGATAAACTTTTAATAAATATTGTAAAGTTGAGAAAAGTGGTGTAGTGCTAAACATTTTTAAGTGAAATCTTTATGTCTAGTACTTTGTTTTTGTACTTGACAGCTTCTTTGTACGACCATTCGCAAAGGTATTGTAGCTCCGGGAAGTTAAAGATGCATTTGAGCTGTCCTAACTTCCAAGAGCTACAGTACTCCAGGGAGTGGTAGTAGAAAAAAGTTGTCAAGTACGAAAGCAAAGTACTAGATGAGAAGCTCTCACTAAAAAAATTTCAGAGCGATACCACTTCTCTCCGTCGCATAATATTCATTCAAAGTTTGCTTCCAATTCAAACTTTAAAAAAAAGCGGTGCCCAATTCAATTCAAGTTCCAGCCAATTCGGCGCCACTCTTGCGCAATCTGGTGATGGAAGACGGTCCCAAGACGCAAGAAGAGCCGGAAAAAGTAGAAGAGCCGAAAGAAACGGACCCAAAAGAGCCGGCGACGGAGGAGAAGGCGCCGACAGAGCCGGTAGAAGCGGAAAAAATGGAGGAGAACTGACTCGAATGATCTTTTGATTTTTGATATTGTACACTTGCTTATTTATTCTATTTACTTCCCCACTTTATCGATATTCCCTCCCTCCCCAATACGATTCTCATTTCGTCGTCTAAAAATAGCGCCGATGAACGGTCGCATGAGTGATGTGAATCAAATGGAAGTTTCGAAAATTGTCACTGATAAAGAGACGCATCATTGTTCATTTTATCATGTGAACAAATGAAGCTTGTCTTCGACACAACACCCCCTTTCCCCACTTTTTCGTCCTTTTTCGCTCCTCACTCAAAATGGGGCGGTACACGAGCACTCTTTCGCTTCGGCGCTATAAAACGGCGGCGGCGCGACGACGAAGACAGCTGACAGGGCTCCTGCCGCGCCAAAAAAACACAATGATCTACCGACTGCTGTTCCTCTATTTTTCCGTCGTCCACGCCGAATTGGAAATGGTCCAGGTCTTGGTGAGGTGAGCGCGAATTTGAGAACTTTTTTTGAGCCAGAATTCACGCATTTGCACAAAATCGCAGTTTTTTCTTACAGGCACGGAGACCGGGCTCCATCCTTCACGTATCCGATGGATGAATCGTTCCACGTGTCGCAACACTTTCCACGTGGCTTCTCGCAACTGACTCGACGGGGATTCGAGCAGGCGCGCGAGCTCGGACACTTTCTGCGCACGGAATACTCGCGGCTCGCCGAGCACTTTGACCGTCGCCACGTGCTCATTCGGTCGAGCGACAAGGACCGTTGCATCGAGACGGCGACGGGCCTCGTGCAGACACTCTTCCCCGGCGACATTGTGCCCGTTCACACCTTCTCCCACTACAAACACGATCTGGTAAGGCTTCTTTTGTTTTGAGCTATCGTAACTGCCAAATTTTGATATTTTGTGACGGTTTGACAGTCAATCGAAAGAGAATTTTATGCGCTACAACTTCATAGTTGATCGTTTCTTATCAATTTGACTGACCGCTCTGAAGTGTGCTTTGGAGTCGAAATTTCATGATTTCTTGACTGAATTGTGTAAAATGACAAACTACATGGTTTTTGAATCATCAAAAAACCTTGAAAACCAACACAAAGACCAAGTTCCAATTGTTCAGCTGCTCAAACCGAACAGTGTGGCGTGCCGTCGTGCCGATCAGCTCGTGCGCGCCGATAAGAAACGTCTGGCGGAGACGGTCGATATGGCGCATCGGCCGCTTTTTGAGTTGCTCTCCCGGAAGACGGGCTGGACGGTCTCATCGGCGAACGTCGCCGACGTGTTCAACGTGCTGCATCGAAAAGACGCGAACGGGATCCCGCAGGCTGCGTGGGTGTACGACGTGCTTCGCAATGTGACGGAACTGAAGAGGGTGTTCCGCACGACGGAGTTCAATTCGGACGAGAAGGCCCGCCTCAGGACCGGCTACCTTTTGGGCCAGATGACGAAAGAAATGAATGGAGACGTGGCAGAGGAGAGGAAGAAGATGATAGTGTACGCGACGCACGACGCCACGATCACCTCGATGCTCTACAGTTTGGGAGTGTCCGACCATCAGCTGGTGCCCTACGCGGCCGCGTTGATCATGGAACTGCACAATATCGGACAGAAGAAATATGTTAAGGTGAGAGGGGGACTAGATCAACTACAGTATCCGTTCAAAGTTCACCCGATATTGTACAAGCCACAATCTTGCAGATCCTCTACCGTAACTCGACGACGACTCGCCCGCACGCCCTCCGACTGCCCAATTGCGGACTCCTCTGTCCGTTGGCCTCTTTCAATCGCCACGTGGCAGGCAGAACGGTGGCGAGCAAGCAGCAACACGAGCTTCTCTGCCAAAACAACCACGACGATTCGATCTCATTGCCGCCAGAAGACGTCCGATCGGAAGAGGACCACGAGTCCCTTTTCTCGGCAATTATCACTTTCGCATCTCTCTCCTTCTTCGATCTCTTCTCTTATGTAAAAACGAAATGAAATGAAGCAACGCGACACTTCTCTTTTGGAAATTTCTATGCAAATGCGCTCTGTCGGACAGCTGGCAGATGTTCGTGCATATGGTGCATCGCCCAGTCTTCGTAATGCACCAAAAAACTCTGCAACTATTGTCGGTTTGCCCCCCCCCCCCCTCGATGGCAGAAGAATGTTTCGTTTTTGCGTGCTGTCCTAAGAGGCTTATCGCCCCCTTCCGTTCGGCCGTTTTCCATGAGATTTCTCTTGTTTGCCGTGCGCTTTTGCAGTGGTCAGTTGAGCAAAGAAACGCAGAAATGTGCACAGTTTCTCTCTTTTGCCTGTCTCAAACTCAAGAGCCGCGGAGGAGCCACTTGCGCCCCATGCAAACACACTATATTCACTCGTTTCTTTTTTTTTTTGCGTCTCCTCAGATCTTCTTTTTCCTTCCTCATTATCGCTTCATTTACGGAGAGATCAGTAAATTTTGAACGAATATTGTAGAGTTCTCAAACTCCCTTTTTGTGATCCTTACATCTGCAACTTTGTTTTTCTAGTTGACAACTTTTTTGTATATGCACTCCCTCGAGTACGATGGCTCTTTGGAACATGTGACTAGTTTTTGCAGCAACCCCAGCTTCCATGCGCTACAGTACCCCAGGGAGTGGGTGTACAGAAAAGTGGTCAACTACAAAAATACAGTTCATACCTTTTTCTTCATTTTTGTAGTTGACAACGTTTTTGTACAATCACTCTCCGCGGTACTGTAGCGCTTAGAAGTTAGGACCACCGAAAAGTGTTAGAGTTTCAATGCTAACTTCCCGGAGCTGCAGTATTCCAGGAAGTGGTCGTGGAAAAAAGTGATCAACTACAAAGATACAGTACTAAATGTCAAAAATTCAAAAAAAAAAGTTTCAGAACCAGCGCTCACTTTCTAACCATACAATATTCGTTCAAAGTTTCACCGTTACAAACAGAAGCCCCCCACAAACTTCAATAATATTTCCATGCCCAAAGCCTTTATATTCTCTTCAATTCTTCAAATCCCTATCATATACGGTCCCCTATTGACTAATGAATGGGTGGCCTAACTTTTCCGTTTCGTGTTTCTAGGCCATGCAATTTTTCAGACAGATGTTCGGATGTATAGCCCCGCCGCGGCAGTCCAGAAATGTCATGAGATCCTATTCACAGGTGACAAAAAATTTTCCTCTAAAAAAGTAAATTTTATTCCAACTTGTTTCTCAGGATTCTCGAGAATTCCACGGCGATCCCCGATTCCAGCGCCCTGCTTCCGTCGAAATCCGTCAGCGACATCAATCTCTCTCAACTCGAGGTTTTCCCCGGTTTTTTTCGCAACCAGACACCTCGCAACTGCTTCCAGAACGATCCGCAACTCCGCCAGCGAGCCTGAACCACGCGGACACGCGAACCAAACCGCCGAAAGTAAAACGACTCGACAAATGGATCGGCAATTTGTTGAATGAACGTAAGCGCCGGGAAGTGTATGGTGCATCGGCCCGTGGCATTGCGTACTAGAACAAAAAAGGTTGAAATAGCATTTGGAACAAGTTAAAGTTCCAGAAAAACAAGAAAATCGTACAATTCTGGCCTAAATTGTGGCCTCAAAAGTATGTTGCCTTTGGAGGCTTATATCTCGGAGACCAATAATAGTTTCAAAAAGTTGTCAACAGAAAAGTTGTCGAAAATTTTGTGCTGAACAACTTTGTAATTGATCAGTTTATCTCAAAATGCGTACATTCCGAGTTATGAGCCTTTATCTGAGCAGTGTTCCTAAAAGAGTGATGACAAAGTAACGCGACACTTATCGACAAGTTTTTAGTGGTCTTGGATACTTTTTTCTCGATAAATGTATCGGCGAAGCGTGGCGAGACCCCGTCTCGTGCTCATTTCTCGTAGTCCTATTAGTTAGTACGTGTGGAGCGGCCGTGTCCGAGATGATCGGAAGGGGACCGGAGTGTAACAGTCTTTCTCTCTCTCTCTCTCTTCCTCTTTCTTTCATTGAGTGAGCACAATCACTCAATAATCTCTCCGCTTCTTCTTCTTCTTCTTCTTCTTCTTGACCCCTCTCTCTCTCTCTCTCTCTCTTTCATTCCCTTACACAATTACACTTCTTCTCTCTCTCCCCCCCCCCCCTTTCTTTGAAGTATTATACTACAACAATTTGTGACTCATTTTCTCCCGCATTTACCATTTGATTTACTACTTCCCGCTTCTTCTCTCACATTTTGGACGTTTTGCAACAACTGGCAGGTTCACTTTTTTGGTTTCTATCAGTTGCAAAGTGTCTATTCAAACTCGCAATGGTTGCAAAACGTCCTAATGCCTTGAAGGCTCTCACCTCTTGAATATCGGCTCTTTGGACGTTTTGCAACTGAACATTGAATTGCAAAGTGTCTTGAACAGTTCCTCAAGTAGTTGCAAAACGTCCTACGACATCCATGCTCTCTCTCTCTCTCTCTCTCTCTCTCTCTCTCTCTCTCTCTCTCTCTCTTCCTTCTCCTTTTCTTCCTCGCTTCTCACCGTGCCCACCCTAATACCGTCTATTCTAGACAATTTATCTCAGCTGCCGGTAAAGATTCAAAAAACTCGTCAACTAATAAAATGTCCAGAAAGATATTCTACACTTTTTATCAGTTGACAACTTTTTGATATCTCCCTTCGCCGCCGAGATACATCGTCCAGAATATACAGTAGTCGGAAGCTCTTCTTTTATAGACAGTAACTCGCTCATTTCCAGCGGCCCCTTCTCCAATTCTCTCGGCGCGAAAAAAAGAGAAAAAAGGAGATGCCGGGCGGTCTGTTCAGTTGGCGTCCGCGTATTCTGGGCGGTCGGAAGACGCCCGAAGCGACGCAAGCCGTGCAGATCACAATTGCGCCGGAGCCGCCCGAACTGCCGGAGCCGGCGGGCAAGACGCGGAACGTGCGGTTCGAGCCGGAGAGCCAGAGGGGACCGGGTCCCCTTCCGGCTCAAAATGGGTCAAATGAGTGGACGACGAACAATTACGGGTGTGAGGCACGAGTCATCGGCACCGTCCGTCCCGAAAAGAGTACGAGTTCGAAAGAAAACGCGTCGTCCGATGCACCATAGCAAATGAATTGAATTGAAACCGACAATAATATCTGTTGCAGGCTCCACCGGAAGAGTGCCATTGGACAAACCGCCGCCGGCAGACTGGAGATATGCGAATGATGTGAAGGTACACGTGGCGCCACTCGCCAGCAGTGACATCGACGCGGACACCAGGTGAGCGTTGGAAAATACTGGAAATTTGAGAGGAAAACGCACGAAAATAGTGTCAAATTTCGGAAAAACGAGAAAAAACGGTCAACTTTGAGCGAATATTGTAGGCTTTGGGGGTATTCTTCACAACATTGGCTACAGTAATCCAGGAAGTGGTTGCACAAGAAAGTTGTCAACTAATAAAATTTAGCTCACAAGTTTTGCTTCATTTTTGCAGTTGAGCACTTTTTTGTACGACCATTCCCTGGAGTACTGTAGCTCCGCAAAGTTTGGGCGCTGATAGAATCAAACATTTTTCGATTCCCAACTTCCAGGCGCTACAGTACCCCGGAGAGTGGTCGTAGAAAAAAGTGGTCAACTAGAAAACTGTAGTACTAGATGTCAAGAATTAAAAAAATAACTTTTTAGAACAGTAACCATTGTCAGAACTCTACAATATTCGTTTAAAGTTGGTCATATTTCTCAGCTGACAAAAAGTCGAAATTTTGCTGCTATTGTCCTGTAAAGTGACAAATTTGCAGGCACCCCCTGGACACGCCGAACTCTCGCTTCGGACCGCCACCTTCCAGAGCCACGTCGGTACTTCAGAGCCTCAGAGAACAGAAGGAAAATCTGGAGTACGAGGAGAGAAGACGCGAAGTTTCGACGCTTCCGAGCAACTATTCGAGCCAGCGGCCAGAGATTTACGGCACAATTCAAAGGGGATACGACACGGCGAGCAGGACCGAATCGCATTTGTGAGTGCTCCGGCAGGTTTTCGTGGCGAGACCCTTGACGTTGCAGACACTCTTCGGAATACTCGTCGACGAAGCATCTGGACGACATGAACGTGGTGTTCCTTCAAGCGAACGACGAGGTGAAACGGACTCTGCTGCCGCGGAACCTCCACTCGATGCACCAAGTCAAGATGTCGTTCGTCCGCACGTTTCCGAATGTGACGCGTTCTTTTGTGGAGCAACCGCACGTCAAGATCTACATCCAGGAGCCGAGCAAAGGGGCGCTCTTCTACGAACTCGAGGATCCGGGCGACATCAAGAACAAATCGGTGCTTCGGCTGCGAGAGAAGACGAGAATGACGTCGCCGATCGGATATCTGGAGCAGCAGCCGGACTATCACTCGGAGACGGAGCACGACGACGGACGACGGACGGTGCCGATCGGACTGCGGCCCGCATCCGCAATGGCCGCGCCCACCGTCGACTTTATGCACAAACAGAAGCCCGTCTACGACATCTACTCGGATCCGTACAACTCGGATACGAGCAGTCACGACAGCCGCAGTGTCACGAGATCCGGATCGGCGACGCCCGTCATTGACAGAGAATCCAGGTACGTCCAGAGACACTTTGACACTTTAAAGGACCAGGGAACCCAAAAATGTTTTGATTTTTTTGTGAAATTTTTTGTGTCTGTTTGAATTGTTGCCTCACTTATTGCCTCATACACTGGTGAAATGCTGCCTCTCAAAAATGCCAATGAACGAAACGGCGTGCAGTTGAAGTTGTGGCCGTGGCCTAGAAATATGCGCTTCTCGGCCATTTTATTTTTTCCGCTTTTTTACCGGTTTTTTCGCGATAAAATCGAAAAACTCGCGACTTCGTATCGACTGAATGAAAACAATTTTTAGCAGTGAAAAAATAAGTAAGTGCCGAACAAATGTCAATCAACAGAAAAATGGGAGAAACCGTTAATTTTTGGAAAAAAAAGCGGTAAAAAAGCGGAAAAAATAAAATGGCCGAGAAGCGCATATTTCTAGGCCATTGGCGCTAGGCCACGGCCACAACTTCAACTGCACGCCGTTTCGTTCATTGGCATTTTTGAGAGGCAGCATTTCACCAGTGTATGAGGCAAAAAAATTTCACAAAAAAATCAAAAAATTTTTGGGTTCCCTGTTCCTTTAAAAGTGTCCAGAATAGTTGAAAAACGAGAAGAATGAGAGAGTTTCAGAGTGCGAATGGAGACAATGGAACGTCAACTGGCGGGACTGTCCAATCTGGTGCACACGGCGCTCGTGAGCAAGGGAATGAGCGAAACGACGCAGAGAGACATGGCCGAGCTGCGCAGAGAGGTCAGCTTTTCACTAAATTACTGATTGCCTGGTCCCTGTATTGAAATACTGCCCAACAAATTGCACCGTTGACGAACGAATCCTATGCTAGAATCCCTCTCCTAAACCAGCTTGTGAGCCCCGTGCCGACTGCTTGCAGATCCTTTCGATGCACCCGGAGCAGCCGAGGGACTCGTCCGAAGAGCCCGCTTCTTCTTCTTCTCTCTCCGACTCCATCTCCTCGCACACCGCCTACCAACTCTCCGTTTTCCGTAACAAACTCAAAGAGACGCACAACGAACTGCGTCATTTGAAGAATTCCGCACAGGTTTAAAGCGCGAACGCATGCCTGGAAGAGCTTTTTCTAGGCCACGCACCCGAGATAACATTTACCATTGAAATTCCAGTCAAACAACTTTTTTCAATGCGCTTGTGCTCTAGTGGACTTGCTGGCCGAGAATTTTCTCGGCCATCGTGTTCGTTGGAGCCTAAACACAGTTTTTTGCATTTCTAGTGACATTTTTAGGTGAACGCCCAGACGGGAAACACGCTGCTGCGGGAAGCGGGCGATAAAATCGGGCGAATCGTCGCGGACCGGCTCAAAAATGCTCCGGGAGCCGGCGGTCCGATTCTGCAGCCAATTGCGGCCCGATTGACGCCCCCGCGCGACGAAATCGACGAATCGGAAAGGAATGAGCACGCGAGCCGACTCGCAGAGCTCCTCCATTCGTTGACGTGAGTTCCGAACGGATTCTGATGCCATCACGTCGCGATTGTGTGCTTCAGAAGCTTCGAAACGAACGTGGAAACTGTGCGTGGGAGTGTTTTATCGAATCAGAAGAAATTGAGAATGAGCGAAGTGGAGGACATGACCGAGAAACTGACGAACATTGGAAGGATCGCCGCCGAGCTCAAGAGTACGCTCTTAAACGACTTTTGTAGAACTTTTAGAGATCTCGTGAGGTTCTCAAAACTTTTCTGTAAAATCTCGAGATCTAGTACTGTCTTTTTGTAGTTGATGCTTTTTTTGTACGACCACTCTCTGGAGTACTGTAGCTCCGCGAAGTTAGCGCTCTAAATATTAGTTTTGCTATTGTGTACTAGCTTCCAAAGGCTACAGTACTCCAGGGAGGGACTGTACGGAAATTTTGTCAACTACAAAGATAAAGTACGGATTATTAACTTTATTTTTGTAGTTGACAATTTTTCCGTACAATTACTCCCTGAACTACTGTAGCGCCTGGAAGTTGGCGCCTACAAAATTACGCGTAATGTGCAGCCCCTAACTGCCCGGAGCTACAGTACTCCAGAAAATGGTCGTACAAAAAAGTAATCAAGTACAAAAATACAGTACTAGAAGTCAAGTTTTCACAAAACAAATTTGAGAACCATTCGATGTTTCTCGGTTCTACAATACCCGTTCAAAGTAAACCTTCCGAATCCCTTCTTTTTCAGCCGACTTCCCACCGATCCAAATGTCGATCGAACAGCGGATCAAACGGGACATGGAGCGGGTGGTCCGCGAGGAAAAGTTCATTCGCGACCAGAATGTGGCCGTGGACCAGAGCCTCCGCCGCTGCAAGGCCCTCGCCAACATAATGGTGACGATGAAGAAGTTGGCGATGGTGCAGGACCCGTCGATCCAACGGCGGAAGAAGGGATCCGAAGGGACCGTGATGGGCAGTCCCCGGCTTCCTCCGAAGCCCTCCGTCGGCCAGGCGATCGCCTCGAATCCGCCCGTTCAACTACAGTTCCCGCCGCCTTCTCCGCCGGGATTCCAGCAGGCTCCGCCCCCTCCGCCCCCGCCGCCGCCATTGGCTCACGTGCCGCCGATTGGAACTCATGAGCAGAGTTTTGGTCCCAGGTATTGTATATTAAACACATTTTTCTTCGAAATTTATTCGTCAAACATACAAAAGAGCCATTGCAGAGCCTCTCCTCAATTCGTACCTCTTCCACCGGCTCCTCCTCCGAAACTGAGTTACATCGACCAATCCGCTCCAGTTGCTCATCCTCCGACCGTCGTAAAAGTGGCCCCGCTGGTCGAGTACGTTCCGTCGCCAAAGTCCCCGGTGGCCGAACTGGACGGCATCCTCGAAGAAGTCGGCGAGCCGGGCGGTCCTCCGCGGCCGCCCAGTCGTTACTCGGTGGCCGACGTGCGGCTCAAGTTCCAGAAGCCGCCGGAACTGCCCGATCAGTTGCGGAGCATGATCGAGGACGTCGCGCGGAGGGCGTCTCCGGGTCCCGAGCAGATGGACAATAGACGGGCGGATCTGGAGGAGCGGCAGGAGAGATTGGCCGAGAAGCAGCGCCAGTTGAGGACCCAATTCCAGCAGTTGCAGCAGTTGGCGCCCCTTCCTTGAGTTTCAGCTGCAAATTGTTGAATACGAAAAAATTCGCAAAAAAATGAAAGAAAAATGTTAATGTTCAACGCCTAACTTATCTAATTAGAGATTTGCCTGTTATACCTATTATTTTCGATCTTTTCAATTTTCAATGAATATTTTTGCCAATTGTTTCGAATTTGCGTTTTCTTGATATACATTAGAGGAAACAAATGGCGGAAAACAGAAAAAGAACAACAAAAATCGAGGCCTAAGACCGTGTGGAAATAAAAAATCTAAACCTAAACACACTAAGAAACGGAAAAATTGGCTATAAAGATTGCGGTCTTCCGGTCGCGATAATCGTGTCCAGATCCTTGAGCTGCCGTTCGAACGCGTCCAGCTCCTTCTGCAATTGACGCTTTTTCAGCACACTGTAGTAGTTCACACCTGTAAACAATTTTTCAATTTTTCACATAAGCATGGGGTGATTTTTGTATTCTCCCATTTGTGAAAATGTTTTAGCGATTGAGCAAAAACTGACCATTAAAAGTAAAATAGATTTTGAAAAGTTCGAAGGAAGCGCCGGCAGTGCACCCGATCAAGAAGAGGCCCTCCCATTTCGAAGAGAGCGAGATGAGAACACGTGAAAATGGACGATTCATCTGAAAACGGCTCAGTTTCAACTGAAAACCAGGGAATTGCTCACTTTTTGATCGCGAAGCCCAACTTGTCTGCTTCGATGAGCTCCCTTTCCAGAATCTCACGCTCTTCCTGACGAATCGGTCGCACGAACCTGGAAAAATGCGATTTTCAGGAAAGACTGGCTATTATTCGACAAACTTGTAATAAATTCCGGCGTTGACGATGCAATAGGAGGTACTGAAGACCAGAAAACCGAGGATCGAGCGGACAACGACTGAAAAATGAGCAATAGTGAAATCCCGAAATTCCTATGGAAAAATCCTTTTTCACATAGAGTTTTAGCAGTAATAAAATATTTTATCACTATGAACTGCAAATGGAGCGTGTCTAACCTTTGTGAGCGATATCCAGGCGGCGATTAGTGAAAATTCGGCGGTAAAGTGGTCGACTGTCCTCCCGTTTTCTAGCCGCGAACTGAACGCGCGACCAAAACATCCACTGCAAATTTCAACAATTCAAGACTGAAAAAACAACATTTTATGGCAAAACTTCTAAAAAAATTGGGTTTTCTCTTCGAAATTTGTGCCAAAGTTCAAGGAAAAAAATGGTGAAAAATGCGCCTTGTCCGAGAGGAGTACACAGAAAAATCGCACAGCTATAACGAGTGCCACCGTAGTTTTGGGTCTTGCCGCGGAGAGCTCGGAAATACGCAAAAATTAAAAAATTAAGCAATACTGACATCATGAAATCTGCAAATTTTCCAGAAAATTGTGTCGAAAATTATTGACTTCTATCAATTTTTCCCAAATTTTAGTGATATGTCTTCTGCTTTCTTGATTTTTTTTACAATTTTCTCAACAAATGAATATTTTTTGCAGATGGATGGATTGACGTTCGACGATGTTTTCAAGCCTTCTGCCAACCGTGCTCCTCCTCCGCGGACGGATTCGCCAGGATCGCCAAAAGACAAAAAAGTTCCGAAGGCCCGAACGCACCTGGACAATTTTCTGAGAGTATGTCGAAATCCTTCTTTTTCATCGTTGTTTTTCCTTCCAGAAAACTCCTTTGATGCTTCTGGAAGAGGGCGCGCATGCCGTCTACGAGCAAGCGCCTTCCTTCCAAACCAGCGAATACCAGACGACCAGCGGACCCGGATTCGAGATCAAAGTGACATTGCGAGGAGTTTCCACGTCGGCTCGCGCGGTCAGCAAGAAGCTGGCGAAGCAGAAGGCAGCCGCTTTGTATCTGCACGAAATGCTCAAGAAGGGCGACCAGAAGGCGTGGTTCATTCCGGGCGCGAACGAGGAAGAGGCTCATCAGAACGTGGACACGACCCTTCGGATACTGGAGGAAGGACGGCAGGCGGTGGTTCCGTTGAAGGAGAAAAAGGAGCTGTTGTCGGGCGACGAGAGCCAGTCGATTCCGACGTCCCAAGGCAATGTGCCGGACGGAAACTGGGTCGGAATGGTGCAGGAGAAGCATCAGAAGCTGAAGGTGCCGCCGCCGACCTACGAGGACTCGCAGCTGGCGAACAAGCAGTTCGTGGTCACGTGTACAGTGCGTATTGGCCCTAAAATTCCTCAAATTGCTTGAATTCTCATTCCAGATGTGCAACAAGAAGACGCGAGGGGTGAATTCGACGAAAAAGGGCGCGAAAGCCGGTGCGGCGTACCTGATGACGCAATTACTAGATAAAGGAATAGATTCGCTCCAGGATTACCTCATCGGTGAGTCTATTCTGCCTTGAAATCTGCTCAAATTACAATTTCAGACGATTCTTCCGACATTGAGGACGAGGAGCACGGCGAGATCGCGAGGATCGCCGAAGCGGCGTTCGCCGAGCAGAACAAGGAGGAGGCACTGAAGAAGGTGCTCTCCGACAAGCGGAAATTCGGTCAATTTGAGCTGAATTTCCGTCTTCCGTCGGTGAACGTCCAACATGTGCATCAGATCATTCTAGAAGTGAAGGTGGCCCGCCCGGATTCGCCCGATTCGGACGATCTGGCGGTGGGCGCCGAGCACACGGACACGGCAGAGCTCGAGAAGAAAGAGCGGGAGCGGCAGCAGCGGACTGTCACGGACCCCGGGCCGAAGGTCTTCTGCGGCTTCGGAACGTCTGAGGAGGCAGCGCGCGAGAAGGCGTGCCAATCGGCGCTCATTCACTTTAACACGTACATTCTCAACGAGAATCTCTAGCTTTTCGCCTTTTCCAATTTCAATTCGTGTGTAAAAATGTATAATAATAATACAAGTAATGTTAAATTTCCATCGCTTTTTCTTCGTCAATTTCTTCTCGCTGGCTCCGATTCCAGAGCATTTCTCTCTCTTTATCTGCTTCGAACAGTTCTTTGCGCTCATTTTCATTTTCTCTCGCGATTTCTCACTTTCTGATCGTTCTTTGCGCATCCACCGCGTGGTCGATAAGTGTACACTATATGACGGCCGGCAACGTCATCAACACAGTGCGCGTTTTTATGATTTTCTCGCGTGTGCCACTATATCACAAAGTGCTTATGAGAGACGGGCGGTCACCGAGTTCTGCTCGCGATTTTTGTACTCATTGAAAATTAGTGAAGTTTGAGGTTTGGTGCCAAAAAAAACCATTGAAAACCCATAAATGTGACTTGCGTTTTTTCATCAAAAAGTTGATATTTTCATGGAAAAACAAGTTCAAAGTGCTTTGCAATGGAAATTTCCATCGAAATGCGAACTTTGTGAGTGGAATTTGCAGAGTTTTCGAAAAAATGTCGTAAAAATACAGATTTTCGCTGAATTTCCAGTATTTTAAACGGAAAAATTCAAAAGCAGATTTCACACCCTTTTTCAGCGGAAATCGAGTAATACTTCAATTTTCCCACATTTTGCAACAAAAATTGTCGTTTTATGTTCAAAATCCTATCTTTGCCAATAATTATGCATAAAATCGGCTACTTCCGTGTGAAAAACGCCCTGTGATGCGACTTTGAATGCAAACAAAACAAAGTTCATTTGGCGTCTTCAAGAATCACGTAAAAATCAGTGATCCCTCTGTTTCCTGCAGAAATGAGGCATCAACAGATGATTTCGGGCTCAGAGAACGCGCAAATCGTTGGCTGTCTTCCATAAAAACCGGTGACTCCGACCCCGAAACGGACCAGAGGTCAAAGTCCTTTTTCGACACACGGACGGTCCGATCGGATCCGTGTTCGATTCCCGTCAATCATAGATTCTTGGCCTCTATTCCCCCACTTCCCCTCTCATTTTCCCCCCACTACTGCTGCCTGCGCTTGCCAGCGGCCGCCTAAACGACGGAGTGAGAGGAGGATCAGAGAAAAAGAGAAGAAAACGTGCGGTCCGCGCGCCGCCCGTCCTCATTTTTGAACGAGACGCACACAGACACACACACAACATTTTATAGCCTTGCTACTCCACTCTCCTTTCGCCTTTCCGAATATTTTGTAATTTATTATATCAATTAAAAATTGCGTGAACCTTTTCCTTTCGGCCCCCTCGAAAACGTGGAAATAATGATGATGATTGTAGGTTTAATCCGACGCAAACGAAGAAGCAATGTCGCTGTCCGGAATGGCCATCCGCAAACTGATCACAAAGGGAGTGATCCCGGTGTGTCAGGTCGCGCCGCTCTCCACCTCCGCCGACGGATCCACCAATCTGAAGGAGGTGCTCGCCAAAAAGATCCCGGCGCACAACGCGAAAGTCAAGTCGTTCCGCGCCGAGCACGCCTCCACCGTTGTCCAGAATGTCACCATTGACATGGTAAGCGAAAGCGACTTTTATGACTGCTTTATCATAAAAATCCTCTTCTTTTTAGATCTACGGAGGAATGAGAAGCATGAAGGGAATGGTCACGGAGACTTCAGTGCTGGACCCGGAAGAGGGAATCCGTTTCCGCGGCTACTCGATCCCAGAATGCCAGAAGCTGCTGCCGAAGGCCAAGGGAGGCGAGGAGCCGATCCCCGAAGGCATCTGGTGGCTCCTCTGTACCGGAGACGTGCCGACCGAGGCCCAAACGTCCGCCATCACGAAAGAGTGGAACGCGCGCGCGGATCTGCCGGCGCACGTCGTCCGCATGCTCGACAACTTCCCGGACAACCTGCACCCGATGGCACAGTTCATCGCCGCCATCGCCGCACTCAACAACGAGAGCAAGTTCGCCGGAGCCTACGCTCGTGGAGTCGCCAAGTCCGCCTACTGGGAGTACGCTTATGAGGTGAATTTAAAGAAGATTCACAATATTTACAAGTAATTTTTGTAGGATTCGATGGATCTTCTCGCCAAGCTGCCGACAGTTGCCGCGATGATCTACCGCAACCTGTACCGCGACGGATCCGCCGTCAACGTGATCGACCCGAAGAAGGATTGGTCGGCGAACTTCTCGTCGATGCTCGGCTACGACGACCCGCTGTTCGCCGAGCTGATGCGTCTTTACCTGGTGATCCACTCGGACCACGAGGGAGGAAACGTCTCCGCCCACACTTCTCACTTGGTCGGCTCTGCGCTCTCAGATCCGTACCTTTCGTTCTCGGCCGCCATGGCCGGACTGGCGGGACCACTCCACGGACTCGCCAACCAGGAGGTGCTCGTCTTCCTCAACAAGATCGTCGGCGAGATCGGCTTCAACTACACGGAGCAGCAGCTCAAGGACTGGGTGTGGAAGCACCTGAAGAGCGGACAAGTGGTGCCGGGATACGGACACGCGGTGCTGAGAAAGACGGACCCGAGATACGAGTGCCAGCGCGAGTTCGCCCTCAAGCATCTGCCGAACGACGACCTGTTCAAGCTGGTGTCGAACCTGTACAAGATCACGCCAGGAATCCTTTTGGAGCAAGGAAAGGCGAAGAACCCGTGGCCGAACGTGGACTCGCACTCGGGAGTGCTCCTCCAGTACTTCGGCATGACCGAGATGTCGTTCTACACGGTGTTGTTCGGAGTGTCGCGAGCGCTCGGATGTCTCTCGCAGCTCATCTGGGCCCGCGGAATGGGACTGCCGCTCGAGCGCCCGAAGTCCCACTCGACCGAGGGACTCATCAAGCTCGCTCAGGCCGCCAAGAACAAGTAAACATCCATCATGATCCTCTTTTTCCCTTTTTTCTTTTTCAGTGTAATAAATTTCCTTGTTTTCTCTCTCTCTCTTTTTTACCCCCTCAAAATCTCCCTCTCCCCGATACCAATTCTCTCGCTGTTTCTCTAGGTTAGCTGCAGGATAAACGACATTATCCGCTCGCAAATGTTCAGTCTTCCCTAGATATCAACGTTTTTATAAGATTTCAAATTGCAATAAATACTACGAAATTTAAACTCGCCCCGGTCGCCGACAATACCCCATTTTGATGCACTTTTTTAATCGGATGAATTCCAACTTTATTCGGTTTTATTATTATAATTGATCGGCGAGGTGGGGGCGGACTCGGGCGCAGCCAGCTGATCCATTCGGAAACTGCCCGGACTCTGTTGATTGTGGCGTTCCAAACTGCGCGCCGACGACGAGTTCCTCATCATATTCAGAAGAGAAGAGGGACGGAACAGGTCTCCGATTCCGCCGTTGCTCCGCGATTCGATCGTTTCTTCGCTAAAAATTTGAAAAATGCGCGTTCCCTCCAACTTTTTCCCTAAAACTCACGGCTTCACATCGACAATGCGTTCCTTGAGAACACTGGCTCTGCGGCCGTCTCGCGGCACCATTCTCACTTGCGACACTGAGCGATTCAGTCTGAAAATTGACGGATCGTAGGTTGCTGACAAGTCTGTGTGATTTGACAGCGTCAAATTGAGACAAAACATTGAAAACTTTGGCATTTCTCCAGAATTTCATTGCTTTGGCCGTGAAATTTTGAGTAAAACCTGTGAAAATTCAAAGTTCATTCGCTCACTTGATGTGCGCGAGGGATCCCTGTCTCTGCTGGTATCTCTTCTCGTGAGCACTCGCTTCCGAGTACAACGGCACCCACGCGTCGTCCCAGAACGCGTCCTTCTCGAGTCTCGGCGTCTTTCCGTACCCCTCGTCCACGATTTTCAGGCCCATCTGACGAGAACCGTGTTTCGTTTGTGTTTTGTCAAAACAAAAACGATTACCGCGAGATTCCGGTCGATGAGCATGTTCGTCTCGAAGTCGTCGTCGTCTTCGCCCCACGGATTCAGAAGACCTTCGCCGACTTTGAGCCATCCCATGTAGAGCACGAACTGGATGCTCGTCATGAACGGGAACATCAGATCGATCATATTCGGATCCGTCTCGGATCCTTGCACGTACTGACGGGCCATCACGCAAACGAAGAAGTACCTGAAGGTTTGCAACCGCTTGGTTTCCCAAAAAAAAAAAAACAGACTTGCAACGAGCCGGGCCAAAATTGGAAATTTTCCGGCCCGGCCCGGGAGGATGCACAAAATAGAAATTGCTGTTTAAAGTCGCAAAATTTTCACAAAAATTACGAAAATTTTCTCAAGAGTGGGCGGAGCGATTGATTGCAACTCTGGCACGCCATTTTAGCAATTTTGCCGCACGCGTTTTCCTCTTCCTTCATGTTTTTTTTGCATATTTTTTTTGAGGTCTAACTTCCGGGCCGACCGGGCCGGGCCGGGCCGACGATTTGCTGGCCCGGGATTTGGCAAGTCTGAAAAAAAACTCACATGTGCACAGCCAAACAGACAATAGTGGGATAAATGATGGGCAGGGGCACCCAATCGTAGTTGCAAACCCACGCGAGACCGGTGCGGAACTTGCGGATGTCCTCCGAAATGACCGTCACATAGTAGTCGCTCTCGATCAGACCCTCTTTTCGCGCGTTGTACACAAGTGCCCAACTCCAGTTGAACGGCAGAAAATACTTGTTGTAGTTGTACTGGATCTGGTCGAAATTCGCCTTCTCGTGCGGCATCATGAAGCCCGCCGCGGCGACCGTGTCCAGCGTCGGAAACCGTTTTCGGGCCTTCATCGAGAGGTCACGGAAGATGAGCACCTGGGTCAGTTCGCAGTATCGGATGATGTTGCGGCGGTACTGACGCGCGCGGTCCGAATCGCCGCGGATGTACGTGGCTGCAGAGCAAGCGATGCTGAAACGAATATTGTAGGGCTAGGAGATGTCCGGGGGCGCTAGAAATTGTTTTGTGGAATCTTGGCATCTAGTACTACACTTTTATAGTTTAGCACTTTTTTATACGAGCACTCCCTGAAGTCCTGTAACTCTTCGAAGCCGCCAGTAAAATAGCTGCGTCGAAATTAGCCTCCAACTTCAAAGAGAACTATAGTAGACTTAGGGATGATTTTTTCAAAAAGTTTTCAACTACAAAAATATAGTCCCTAGTCCGTACTACACTTTTACAGTTGACATCGTTTTTGTACAATCTCTCCCTGAAGTACTGTAGCTCCGGGAAGTTAAAACTAGTTCAAGGTATCTAAAAAGACGTCTAGCTTCCCGGAGGTCGTACAAAAAAGGTGTCAAATGCAAAAATATGGTACTAGAAGCATAGTTCTCAAACTGACTTGTCAATGAATCCGATAATTTCGTACAAATACCAGAACCTTCTGAGCACTGCGGCAATGAAAAAGCCGAGGATCCAATCGAGCGGCACGTAGGAAAGTCGTGCGTTGGTGTAATCCACGAGTTTCACGAAAACCTCCCTCTGCCAATCGGACAATACGAATCGATAGAGGAGCGAGGCGAGTGAGTACAGTACCAGCCACACGGAGTACTGTATCCAGACGGCCTTCCAAACGGAGCCGCGCCATCGGAAGATTAGCGCGAGGAAGGTCCACGGACGGGAAGTGGCCACCGATTGATTGTAGCTCACCGTCATTTCATTGAGAGGAATCGGACAATAGTTGACTGTTTGGAAAAGAGGCAAACAATCGGATTATATTGCGAGTTCCCTTGAATTGAATTGAAATATTCAAATTTCGATGCGGTCCCCCGTCAGTTGGTCTTCTGTTCTCTTCTGTTCGCCAAAGTGATGTTTGTCATATTATCAGGGATCCATATTTTGACGTCTCTGATGGATTTTTTGTCTTATCTTCTACCCGTGCTCTATTTCAAAACTCTCCCATCTTGGCCTAAAATTCTCACGACCTCCCCTCCCCCCTCCTGTTACGGCTCTTCCAATTTTATCGATTTTCTCTATTCTTTCACTTCAAACCTTCTCTTCTTCATCTTTTCACTCCAATTTCAGCTCAACTTTTCTGTTTTTTTTTCCAGAGATGTCTCAACTGTCGAACATGCTGAAAGAGCACCAGAAGAAGCAGACATTGCGGCGGGAAGTGCACGAGAAACTGCGCAACGAGGCGGTCGTCGCCGCGCAGACACTCTCCACCGCCGTCGTCGATCATCTCAACGCAAAGTTCGTGCTCTATGGAAGAAATGTATAAAAAGACGTCTCAAACAGAGAAATACGGCCAAAAACTAGAATCTTCCACTTTTCCCGTCGTTTCGGTTTGCCGTTCTTCTAATAGAAGCGAAAGAAAGAAATTGGCCCGCTCAAACTGCAAAAAGTGTCCGAAAAATGACTGAATATCGAGCATTTTTAGCGACAAAACTCAAAATCGATTCAACTATTCCAGTTCCTATTAAAATCTATTCGTTTTAGGCTTAAATTATGTGCTCTTTTAAATTTCACAAATATATGCAAGCACATCGCAGATTCGGCGAAAAGTATGAAAAAATATGTTAAAATTAGGCCACGCCCCTCTTGAACGAACAAAATTTGAAAGAATAACTTGCAGAGTGGCTCAAGCGTACGGAAACCAGAAGCGACTGGACGTCGAGGCGAAACGCTTCGAGAACAATTCGGCGGCGCTGGCCAGACAGACCGAGCAGTGGCTCTTCATCACCGAAGGACTCAACTACGCACTCAAGGTTTGCAATCGTTTTTTGTGTGCAACGTGAATGTCAATTTCCTTAAAAAATCTGCAAATTTCCAGGAGATCGGAGACGTCGAAAATTGGTCGCAGACGATCGAGAACGACATGAAAATCATTACGGAAACGTTGAGAAGAGCCTATGGTAAAACTTCCGAAAAACTTTCTTTTTTCACTAAAAAATTCATTTTCAGAAGCGAAAAACCTGCCCACCGTTGCTCCGAATTCCCTGAACGCTTGATCTCCTAAAATTTGCCAATTTTCTGTATAAATGAGCACAATAAGACCCGTTTATTTTCACATGGTTTCGAACATACTGACAGAATGGAATTGAGGGAAGACAACTAAATTACACAAATTTGACATGAAAAAGTGGGAAAAGAGGTAGACAAACTGCAAAACATTTAAAAAAAAATCGATAAATCACAGCTTCTCGAGTTCCTTTGTCAACTTTTCGATTTCCTCTAAATATTCCTGTTTTCGCTCGATTTTCTTCACCTGATTCGGCTGCGGAACCAGTTCGCCGGCGGCCACGCGGCTCTGAAATCATACAGATTTCATGGGAAAACTTAAAAAAAAGGTGCTTGCCTCCATTCCTTCAATATCGTCCACTTTCTTCTTCACCAACTCGATTTTCTTCTTCAAATGGTCTTGCGGAGTGATTGCCACGTTCGCTTTGATCGCTAAACACGCATTTTTGAGAACTTTTGAGTTTAAGAATGTGATCGTATGAGCCTTGGTCTCGGATTGTGAATTTACGCATTTTAACCGAATTTTAAATAAAATCGATACAATTCCAGATAGTCCAACAAGGCTAAACTTCCAAGGAAAACACTGCTAACCAAGACTGCTAATCGTGCAAAGTTATTATAGGGGCACCGGACAGAAAGGGCGCGCTGTTCGGAATCTGGACGAATTTCTAGGCCGCGAAGTAATTTTCTACTGAAAACGTGACCTAACTTTTCAAAATCGGCCCCGAGGTCGGTCAATTTGCACTGCAAAAAGAGTTTCTCAACAGAGCGCCATTTCTGTGCGGTGCCCCTATAATAGGATCCATTCGGATAACTTCAAAAGGTCAAAAGGCCAGAAATTGCAGATTTCCTTTAAAAATCTGCGTGTCTCACCACTAATGGGTTTCCTGGTGCCCGCCTGTGCGGCTCCTGCCCCGTGTGTCCTCGGATTCATTCCGATCGGTCCGCCGCTCCGTGCTCCTCCGTTGCTCGCCTCCATTTGCATCCGATTCTGGTACTTTGGCTGCTCGTCTTGCGGAATGTACCTTCAAATGGTCCGTCCGTCCGCTGGCTCCACTCTCTCTCTTTCTGTCTTACCCTTCTCTGACCCTGCGGGCTTTCCGCCACGAGCCGTCCGGCCGTTGCGTCGCCGTTATGAACGTCTCGCCGTTCTCCGTCTGAACGCGCAAGTCGCCGCCTTCGCTGCATCCGCTTCCTTTCGGCTTACTCTTACTGGCCATTCTGAACATTTCGCAACATTTTTCAGCTTTGTATTTTTCAGCTTTGCAAGAAAAAACTATCAAACATGTGATAAATGTAGGGCTTTCGAACGGTTTGAAATAGCCAATTTTTCCATTTCTTTGTTCTTTTAAAGTCACATCGCCTAGTTTTTTCTTCTGAAACTTTGGCCACCACCATTTTTTCACTTGTAGATAGACAATATAACAACTTTCTCACTTTTCAATATATCGTGTATCTTCTGGACAAAAACCAATCGCATCATCATAAATTCGGAAAAAAGAGAACCATCGATTTGTGGGGGCAATGCAATAATTCATTCATATTTCCTCACAAAAATTAATAATCAAAAGTCTTTCTTTAAATTAGGATATCTGTAAGAGAACGGATTCGGGGGATGCGGGGACGGATAAATAAAGATAAAACAGACCAAAAACAACCTTTTGTAATAGACTGGAGGGACGAAAGCGAACGATTAGAAAATGTCTGATTAGGAGAAAAAGGGAAAAGGACCATCACAATTCAGGTAAAAATGACGGGGCGAATGGGGGAGAGGGGAGCTGTAGAAACAGGGAAAAATAATTAATTTTTATAGTATAAATATAGACAATGCAATAAATTACATGAATCCTCCCGGAGCATTATATCCGGGCTGTCCGGGCGCTCCGTAAGGGGCTCCGCCGTACGCTCCAGGGGCTCCCGGGTACGGCATCTGAGGGGCGGGCGCTCCGTAAGTGAGCATCAGTTGCGGCTCCACTGAAACAAGAAGGAATTAAGGGCTGAAATGCGAGCGGATCCACTGACTGCTCATTCCGTTGTTTTGCTGCTGCTCGGCCTTCTCCTCCTTGCGCTCGTGCTCCGATCTCTCCAGCTTCTCGAGCCTCGTCTGGTAGTCTCTCATCACCTGGATCATGTACGGCATCGCGTAGTCCATGATCTTGTGCTTCCACGCCAACTCCATGATCACGTCCGGATGCAGGAGGTCGTAGCAGTGGTAGAGCGAGGCGGCGAAACAGTCGTACAGTTTCTCCTCTAGGAAGAACGAGAGCAGCTCCTCGGAGAGCTCTCCGTTCCTCGACTCCGCCGCGTACTCCATCGCGTCCTTGTAGAGCTTGTCCTTCTTGCACAGCTCGATCGACTGCTTCCACCGGTTGTTCCCCTTGAAAAGGTAGGCGGAGATGCGGCGGAACTCCACCAATTGATGCTTCTCGAGCTGCTGAGCCAACGAAATGTTGTCAAAGTTATCCTGGGCCTCGATGGAGGCGCGGAGACCAGCGTGGTCCTCCTCGTCGATGAGCAACTGATTGAGCGCCTCGTTGATGGCCTTGTTGTTCAGGTTCTGCACCTGTCTCAGGTACGGCTTCACCAACGGAATCTGCTTCACTGAAATATACAGAATTATTATTCGAAAAGCTTCTCAAAACTTTATAAACGCACGCTTGTTGAAGAAGAGCACCGTTCTCGAGTGGTCCAATCGCGGCGAGAGCACTGTGAGCAGGTCGTTGAGCAGCAGTGGCTTGAAGTCCAAGTAGAACTGCATCGCCTTGTAGTACAGTTCCACGTTGGCCACCTTCGCGATGACCTCCTTGAAGTGCTGCTCTCTCCACGACTCCGTCGGGTGCTGCATCATCGTGAGTGCCGCATTGTCGTACTCCTCGTACTTGTCGTACAGGAACACGAGCTCCGCCCACAAATGAGCCTGCTCGGCAGCTCGCAGCACCTTCGGAATGTTGACGCGGCTCCAGAAAAGCTCCAAGTGCTCGCGCATCTTCTCCGGCTTGTACTTCGAGTAGAGGATCGCCAGCTCCGTGAACATTCCCATGTGGGCCCGCTCGAGTCCGAGAGCGGCCTCCAGAAGGTTGATGAGCTCCTCGAAGTGTCCGCGATCCTGGTAGAAGTTGATGAGCTCCTCGAGTTCGTCCGCGTGCACCACAATGTGCAGACCGCACATTTGGGCGAGACGGAACTCGCCGTTCTCGACGCAAGCGAAGCACACCTGCTTCCACGTCTTCGTGCTATTCGCCTTGCGAGCAGCGTCCACGGCTCCCTGGTACTCTCCGAGGCGCACCTGAGTGACCGAAAGCTTCGCAAAGTTCGACACGTTCGTGAAGAGGATCTTGGCGGCGTCGAACATTCCGTTGTCAAAGCATCGGTCTCCGATCTGTCCAATCTGCGCGTGGTTCGGTCCGGCGATGAACTCCTCCAGCTCGGTGAGCCTTCCGGTTTTGGCGAGCGCGTAGACGAGCTCCGTCTCGATGTACGACTCGCGGCTCTTCTTGCGAGCCATCTGCAGGTAACGGACAAGGTCCTCCCAGTGCTCCGTCTGCGAACACTTGTTCACCACCTCCATGTACGCTCCCGGATCGTCGGCCTTGATGAACGAATCTACGGCTTCCTTGACGAGATCCTGCTTGAGCTGAGCCTTCGCGAGCGACGCCCACACATCCGACTGGTTGCACTTCTCGGCGAACTCATAGGCACGGTCCAAATTGTTCACATTCTCGATGAGCACGTTGATGGCGCTCGAGTTGACGTCGAACTTCTTGAAGATGGCAAACGCCTCCTCGTAGAGTTCCGAGCTGATCGCGATGTTCGCAATGTCCGGGGCGTCGTAGTTGTCGAGCTTTTGAATGTATTCCATGACACGGGTTCGGTCGGCTCTGATCGCAGTCAAAATGAGCAAATTTTGCAGATTGCGGTGCTCCGAGAACGCCGAGTTGTCCAGCACGATCTTCTCGAGCAGTTCGATGAGCTCATTCGGCAGATCGGCAGCCATGAACGCCTTCACAGTCACCGAAATGTCCTCCGGGTCCTGGGTCTCCGAGAGCGCCGTCTGGACGACCTGGTCGATCAGCTGACGGCGGTAGACGTTCTCCTCGTTCAGCACCTGCTCCCACAGTCCGAAGTCGCGTCTTTTGACGAGGTAACGGGCAAGGTTCTTGAAAAGAGAGTTCTCGTTGCACACGTTGATCAGCTCGGCGTCGCACTGTCCTCTCTCGTACGAGAGGAACGCGTAGTGCGGATCACGCTTCTCGCAGTACTTTCCGACCACTTTGCTGTCGTAGTACGGGTTCTCCTTGAGGAACCGCTCCGGATTGTTGTTCGCGTCTATGTAGATCTTGGCCATGGCGTTGTGGGTGGCCGCGTCGGTGGCTCCCTCCTGGATTCGGCTCTCCAGCCAGTGGTTGAGCAGCTTCAGACGGTTCCGCTTCTCCACTTCCTCGACGAGCTCGTCAATGTCGAACTTTCCGCGCGTGTTCACGATGAGCTGCTTTATGGCGTCCTCGCTGCAATCCACGTCGAGAAGTGCTCCGACAACGATCGGGAGACGGGCGGCGTTCACTTTCTGCACGAACACCTCGATGTACTTTTGGAGCTGGTTCCGGTAGAGGTAGAGGACGAGGTCGTGCACCATGTTGTGACGGTCGCAAACGATGATCAGCGGCAGCTGGTCGTTGAGCTTGGCCTCCTTCAGGAAGTTCTTCACTCTTTCCGCATCGTAGCACTGCGATTCGCGGCAGATTCTCTCGACCTCCTTGATCTGTCCGGTACGGGTGGCGGCCTGGATGTACTTGAAATGCACCTCCGGATCCTGGCTGAAGTTGACGATCGATCCGAGGAAGTAGAAGAGACCTTCGTAGCTCTTGTGGTTCTCGAACATCTCGATCAGCTTGTCGGCGCCCAGTTGCTCGTGATATTTGGAGGCGATTTGAACAACGACCTGGAGGTTCTGCCGAATGTTCTGAGTCAGCATCGCCTTCAAGCATTCCAACGAATCCTCGACCGAAAGGCTTCCGAAATATCCGACGAGCCACTGCAAACGAGTCATATGAAAAGGGAAGAGAAATACGAGGAACTTACATCAGGCTTGAGCAAGTGCGTGTGCACGACAGTCCGCTTGATATCGTAGAGATCGGTGAAGTGCTCGAGGGCTCTCTGAAGGAGTCCGGCCTTCTCACAGAGCTGTCCGATGGCGGCGCGGTCGTAGTGCGAGAACATCTTGTTGGCGAGGATGGCGTCGGCGACGGCGGGGGCGGCGAGCAGGTTCATCTCGAGCAGTCTCGTCTGAAGGTGTCCCTCCTCCGGCTTGTCTCCCTTGAGCACCTCGAGCAAGAAGGATGTGCACGGCTGCACGGCCTGCACTTCCATGAAACAGTCGATGATCTGCGAGAGATCCGCCAACGGCTCTCCGTTCTCCGATTCGGAGACGAGAAGTTGCGCGAACTTGGCTCCGTTATCCGGGTTCGAGTTGCGAAGGATCTGGCGCAGTTGGAAGAGGTAGTCCGGCTGGAATCCCACTCGCTTCGCGTACATGACGATCTTGTCGAACTGTCCGGTTTCGGCGAACGATTGGACCACCTTGTGCGGCACATTTCCACGCAGATAGACCGAGAGCGCCGTGTTCACATCGTGCGGCTTGATCAGATCTCCGAGCTCCTCACAGCACTCCAACTGCTGCTCGTTCAGCCATTTCGTGATCAGCTCCTTTCGCCCCTGGGCCAGAACTGGACGGCACAACTCGAGCGTCTCGTATTTGTTGAGCTTTCCTTGGTCCAAAAGGATTCCAAAGTACTGAAGAAGCGGCGACGGGCCCGCTCCGGTGGCCGGGCACTGCTGGAACTTCTGGATGGTGGCCGGTGTTCTGAGAATTCCCTGTGGAGCCGAGGCAGCCACTTTGGCGGCTTCTCCGAACTGTCCGTTGCTGAAGAGCAGGTTGAACTTGCGGACGAACAGCTCCTCGGCTCCCGGAAGATCGCAGCGGACGGCGAGTTTCAGAGCCAAGTCCGGATTCTGCAGGTTATTCGAGACGAACGGCACGAGGTTGGCCTCGTCGATCGAGACGGAGAGCACTTGTCCTTTCCGGTTGATGCCCATGATTCCGCCAGTCGCCGTGTACTCGCACGTAACGAAGACCGTGTCCGTCGAGATGCGGTTCGAGTAGATGCGTGTTCCCGACTCGACATCGTACAAGTGCACGTATCCCTGCTTTGTCACCAGGTAGATTATTCCTTGCTTTGCAGACACCTGAAGAGAGTTTATAAATATACAAGTAATTTAGTAAACATTTTGGGGAAGGTATCGAATTTTTGTTTACATGAGGGGAACGCATCAATTAGGCACGGTTTGAGTTGATTTTCACAGCTGTTACCTGCATGGAAACGGGAAAATCGCTGGCGGTGTCGGCCGTGTACGGAACGTCGACGTTCTTCTTCTGGAACGGAGTGTTTCCGGTCGGAGGAGTACCCACTTCGATCACGTGCAGTTTTCCGCCCGTCTCAGTCTTCACCGAGAAGCAGAACAAGTTCGACGGCTGCGAATTACCGTCGACCTGCAAGAAAACCATTAGAGTTTGCACTCCAGAACCTCCGAATCACCTTGAACTTGACAAAACTGGCAGCGTGTCCCTCGATGGGCTGCGAGACCTTGCGCTCTGTGCTGTACAACTGCATGCTGCCCACGACGCGCGAGTCCTTCGCCGAAATTCCGATGAGCACGAGCCATTTCGAGTCGGCGTCCGCACGGTAGTTGATGATCTGCGTGCCGGCCAGCGACTGGTGCCGATCGAACATCTTCACGGGCGCCGCGTCTCCTTCTATCGACCAGTGGTAGACAGCTGTGTCGGAGACCAATGCGATCGTCTTCTCGGTGATCCACTTCCAGAACACCACATCTTCCACATTCTGATGAGCTTTCACTTTGGCTTTCAGCTCAATGTTGAAGATTTGAAGCGTCTTTCCGGCTGAAAATGGGGATTTCAAAATCGATAAGTCATTGGTTTTGGGAATTTGACGAAAACAACACAAATTTTCAGAGGAAATGAGTCAGAAATAGCAGCTTTTTTTACAGAATTTCGAGGGAAAATGCGTCATTGCCCACGATTTATTCGAAAAGTAGGCCTGTTGATTGCGAAATCGTTCCTTTTTGACGAAAACTCAGGGTTCCGAGCGGAAAATGTGAAAATTTCGGACTCGGCCAGAATTAGCCATTTTCACACGAAAAGTGCTCACATTTCAACGCGAGAATCTTTGCGGTCGGGTGCATGATGACTGAGTCGGCCGAGATCGGACGGCGCGTCGGATTCGAAGTGTCCGCCATGTCGATGATCACCACCTGTTGCTGATCGCCAATCTGAACACCAAATACTTGCATTTCTCCGCTTTTCCGTTTCCGAAAGCCTACCATCTCTCTGACGACAATGTTCTTGTCCGACTCCATGGTGACGTTGGAGAACGTGATGTTCGGCACTCGGATGCCGGCATTCGGAAGCTGCAGGTGCTCGTGGAACTTGATCGGGAGGGCGGCCATGATTATTGTCGGTTGCGAAACTCTTTTTTCCTCTTTTTACAATAAATTAATACCTGAAAAGCAGAAAATGTATGCTTTTAAAGGGAAAGAGCAAGAGAGAAGCAAGGAAAAGCTGAAAGCCACGTGGCAGCGCGTAGAATCGATAAATGGTCAGTTGGACAGGCGGAATAGTCTCGAGAGGCTCGTCCTCTTTGTCGTCCAACATGGATAAGACCGGTTGATTCGGGCGCCCTTCCCTCTCCGATTCCTGTTTGTTCCCCTCTCTCGCAGCAGCAGAAGTCTCCCAGTCATCGACCGCGTCGCCGCACGCAGCGCTCTCCGCTGGGGCGCGTTTGCACTGGGGATCGATGGGCGAAAAGGTCAAGCTGGACGGAGAAGGGCGCCGATGGAAAAATGGATGGGGAAAAAGAAGAGGGTGAAGGACGCATTTGTTTATGAATGATTCATCGGCCGGAAGATTGACATTCCGGACGGTTTTTCGGAGAGAAATGGGCACAACTTGCGCGGAAATTGGTCAAAGCACTGCAGAAAATGTGAAAAATTGAATTTTAGGTTGTTCACATGAGAATTTCAAATGATAGCGAAAAATTAAAAGAACTAGAGGAGGAAATTACTGTTTGCCGATAGTTTCAACCCCAAATAGAACATTTGAAACATCACAGCGTTGCAAAAGCGCGAAACATTGAAATTTCAGCCGTTCACTGAAAATTGTGAAAAATGACGAAAAATGAGAACGACTTGAGAAGAAAACGTTGCCTTTCAATCGTTTTTACACAAAACATGAATTTCGAACTAGCAGAACACGCGAAACATTTAAATTTCAGGTGTTTACTGAAAAGAAGAGAAAAACTTAAGTTTCTTTGCTGATTATTGCGCAAATAAAAGAAAAAACAGCTAAGAAACGAAGAAAAGCACAGAAGCAATGAAATTTTGAGACGAGAATCACTTTTTTCCGCCGGAAACCAACGAAGCATGACAAAGAATTCGAGAAAATTCGGATTTGCGCGATCTCTTGTGACTGTTACCGTAGCCCAAAATTAAAGGCACATGCCTTCATTTGCGAGAAACTTCAGGCCTACAAATTGAATTTCTGTTTGAAAAATGCATTACCAACGGTTTTCCGTCGGGAATTTATGGAAATTCGTCGTCGAAAAAAGAGAGAACAGGGAAAAATGAAAAAGTGAATCACAAGACAAGAAAGTCGACGATAAATATTGTGAGTTCTCGCTTGGTTTCATAATATCCGGTAGCAGATGACTCATCAGAAAATGAAAACACATTTATTCCGAAAAGATATTATGTAACTTTTGAGGAGTTTTAATAAATAATTGGTTTGTACTGTTTTTCCTGCTTGCGCGTCTCGAAATGCCGCACGGCGTCCGTCTTCACGGTGTCGTAAAAGCATCGTTTCATGTCCTCGAACCTGCAAATCACCCAATACTGTCCGTTCGCTCGGATCGGCCCAGAACCTGTCGAGACACGGCGCGTAGCTGTAGTCGATAGGCGTGTAAATGTCCGGTCTCTGATCGCAGAATGTCAGGCACTTGCTGCCCGCAGTCGTGCCGTCCACCTGGCTTTCCGAGCAACACTGAAATTCACGGAATTCGGGTTGGAAGTGTGCTCTACCGCACTCACCGCACTGTGATCTTTGCCCTGCGCGGCGCAGAATTGCATTTCCGGCAGGAATTCCAGCGGGCATTCACTCGTGCCGAAGAACATCGATTCCAGCTGTCAAACGGCATTTTTTACGGGCTTTGCAAGTGCGCTCTACCGCACTTTTTTCAAAAATTGGCAGGAAAATGCTTCAATAATCGTTTTTTGCAGATTTTTTTTTAACTCGCTATGAATTGACTTTTTCGTAAAATTTGCGTTGTAGCGCATCTAGAAATCTGTCTTGTGCTCTTTTTACAGCGAATTTCGGGGAAAATTCGAATTTTTCGTCACAATTGCGTGAAAAATTCACAAAAAGTATGCATTGCGCTGTTATTTCCATCAAATTTCTGCAAATTTTCGAAAAATTCGCGGTAGAGCGCATTTCACGTCGTTTCGCGAAAATTCCGCATTTTCCCGGAATGTCATAAATTCACGCACCACTTCCTTATTATAAACGTTGAAATGACACTTTTGGACGCAGGCGGGCGGCAATTGACGTTCTTCGCAACAAATGTGGAACAAGTGGTTCGGATTCTGCAAAAATCGGTAATTTTCTCCAAGAAAATGCTGATTACCGTCAATTTCGGCAGATTTTTCTCGTTGACCGTGCTGGAGTCGTTCCAAACTCGGAGTCCGAAGATGTTTCCGTCGTCCTTCTCGTCGAAATTCTCCACAATATCTCCGCTGACTCTCTTCGAAGCACGCGCTTTCGCTCGGGCTCTGCACCCACAGCATCCGCACGCTCCGGAAGAGCCGCAAGCGTCCGAGAGCAGGATTACGGTAGCCAGAAGGAGGAAAAGGGGGCGGAGCATTGTTTGTGAGAAGCCTGAAAAGAGACGGAGCCTTTTGTAGGCCTCGGATGGAACTGGTCTGAAGTGTTGTTGGGGCAACTTGTTAGCCACCAACTGGATTACGGTAATTAATCCTCTCGAGACCATTAATTTGACATCTCCTTCTCAAAAGTTCTCGAGTGTTTGGGCCAGCCTAATTACCTGGACACCTCGACGTATATAATCCACGTTTTCATGGTTTCGCTTGATTTTCCACCGAAAAATGTACATTCCTGTACTTATTCTGTCAATTTTTTGGACAATTCGAATCGAAGCGTGCAGTGGAGGGTCGGGAGGATGTTGTAAAAAGTCCCCTCCGGTTGTGGTAAGCATTTTGAAAGTTAAACTCTGCAAACTCTGAATGAATATTGTAGATCTGTGCGGTGTCCTAGAAGTCTGCAAAATTTTTGGTGAAATCTTGGAGTCTAATACTTTGTTTTTGTGGTTGAAAGCTTTTTTGTACGACCACTCCCTGGAGTACTGTAGCGCTTGAAAGCTGGGGATCACAAAAGTGCACTTTTGGAGTTCCAACTTTAAAGCGCTACAGTAGTCTTAAGGACGCTCGTACCAAAAAGTTGTCAACGACAAAAACACAATACTAGACGTGAAGTTTTTCCAAAAAATTTTGTAGACCTCTAGAACAGCGCAGAGATGTACAGTATTCATTCAAAGTGGACAAAGAAGATTTTACCGATTTTGCCTTAATTTCGATATTTCTTATGATTCTACTGTACTTTTGAACAACCCCAACTACAGTAATCTTTCAGGTGAACTGTGGCGGCCAATCGCAATGTCAGCAGGGCTACGGATGCGGTCAGTACGGATGCGCGCGTCGGAAGGCGTTCGGCGGCCTGACGAAGAGAATCGACGGAGTGCTCGTGGACGACGAGCTCGAGGAGCAAGCGGAATTGGCGGACGCGAGTAGCAGACTGCGGCCGGAGCACGTGCACGCCCACAATATCAGCACGGACCGCCTCGTCAACCCGAACTTCATCTTCCGGTCGTGCTGCGAGGCGAGGGGACTTCCCGATGCTTGTCTGTCGCATTGCCATTTCAACACCTACACTGCAAAGACTGTGAGTTTGTTCTACACGGCTGGTACTTTATTTCTCCAGTTTACCATTTTTTGGTACCATTATTCCTAAGACTACTGTAGTCCTTGGAAGTTAGCACTTCAATATCTCACTTTGTCAGTCCTAACTTTCAAGCGCTACAGTACTCCAAGGACAGGTTGTATGAAAACGTTGTCAACTACAAAAGTGTAGTACAGATTATAAACTTTATCTTTGTAGTTGACAACTTTTTTATAAAATCACTCCCAAGTCTACTGTACTTCCTAGAAGTTAATCACTCCAACGTAACCGTTGCAGCTCGAGCGAATGTTCAACAAGCGAGACCGTTGCCCGATCGAGGCCATCAACGAGATTCACTACTGCGCGGCGCAAGGAATCGACCATCGGCAGTGCTGCGAATCGAACGGAGTCGGCGCCACGGCCGCCGGGACCAAGTGCCTCGCTTTCTGTGACCAGAGACCCAATCGGTTCACCCCTGTGGACGCCTCCTATCTGCCGTGTTACGAGGTGTTCGAGGGAATGAAAGAGTGCTTCTACTATGAGATCAAGTGAGTTTTTATGGGGTCTCGCAACGAAACATCACGAGAAAATCAGCGACAAATTGTATCGCCGAAAGTGTGACAATATGGGCGTGGCCTCGGCGGCCAAATGGCGTTTTCATGAATTGAGCAGGTTTTCTCTGATTATTGTGATCAACGGCGATGAAAAATGATTGTTCGGCATGAAAACACACTTATTCTCATAATTAATGACGTTTTGGCGCATTTTTCACGGACTTTGCTTTTTCGCCTTCGCCGCCTCAAAACCGCACTTCTCATTTTGCGCTTTCTTGGCCGTTTTCAGACAGAATTGGTTTTGAAAATGATAAATCACGTAAATACAAGCATTTTGAGCGCTCAAACCGCGAAAACTACCGAAAAGCAACTGAAATTCACGCAGTTTTAGCCAAAAACCTTCAAACGGATAAATGTGATTTGCGACTTGACCAAATTTGACGCTCTTGCGCTTAAAAAATTCGTAATAGCCTATACAATCGGTCTATAGAGAGAAAAATGAGAAATTATCGGTTTTTCGTGGCTAATCTGGCAAAAAATACAATTTTTGCTGTTAAAATTTAAATTTCGCGCCAATGTATCGCTCTATTGGGCGGGGCGCACTTGCGAGAAGCCATTGTCAGCTCTGGAGACCGTGCTGCGCCTTTAAATACTGACAAAAATGAACTTTTGCAGACGCCGAGCGCAGAAAAAGTTCAAAACGTTCGAAAAACCGGCGGACATTTCTTCCATCTCGATTCTGTGAGTATTGTAAGCTTGAACAGATATTATAAACTTTGCGTTTGTGGATAAATACTGTATTCTTTGACGAACTTAAGACAAGACAGACACACACATGAAAGGGTGGAAAGAGAGGGGTTCGACGACGACGACGACGATGATGATGACAGCGCGACAAAAAGTTGTGAAGTTGATAATATTTGGGGGAGGGGGAGGGAGGGGAAGTCCGAAAAGGTTTTGACAGAACTTACGAGTCAGATGACCAGTCTGAACACGAAAGTTCAACAGTTTCGGGGATAGCGAGGTGACTAGGAGAAGAAGAAGGGAAAGGCGCTACAACCTAAAAGTAGGGAGCAAACCTAGAGGGACCAAAGAGAGGGGGAATGTTGGAGTTGGAAGGGACCGAACCGAACGGTCTAGCACTTTCCGCAAGTCTTGGCGCACTTGGCGGTGTAGGCGGCAAAGTCGGTGTTGTCGCAGAGCTCGGCGAACACTTTGCAGTGACCCTCTGCAAAAGGAATGGATTTTTAAGGCCCCCCCAGCGAGTCGGATGTGACGCGTACCTTCATCATCGGCACACGTGGCGTTGGTGTAGACGACGAGAGCGGAGAAGATGACGAGGAAGTAGAGGGCGAGAGTCTTGAGGGTGAACATGATCGGAAGCGGGAGATGAGACTCGAACAGAAGATCGAATGTGCCTTTTGCCGCCTCCTTCGCCGTCATTTATACCCGCCAGTCTTTGCCCGAAACGGCGGAGCCACGCCTTCGAATTTGTGCACCTGCTCATTCATTAAACAGTCCTTCTTTGTGTGTGCACAATGCGATACTGTGAGTCACAACGGAAATGTACACTATACATCCAGATCAGCACGTGGATTCACAGTTTTAGTATGCGATCGACTTTGAGATGAAACGACACCCGGACGGCCAGGATTGTTAGGCGCTGAGCGGAAGGTTTTGCATGAAATGTTCGCTACACGCCGGTTGCGGAATTAGTTGCGAAACGTTCCTTTGCGAAATGTCAGATTTAGACCTGGAAAGCCTAGAAGTACTCCGAAGGCGCCTGGAAATCATTGAATTAGTGTAAATCCCCGTCATTTTCACTTGTATTCGTTCTCGTCAAACCCGGTTGTCCTGAAATTCACGGAAGCCCAATCGTAATGCATTTTTCTCTCATGGATCTATTCAGCAGAGTATTTTACTGGTTTTTTACGCAAAAAACCCTATTCAAATGAGGAAAAAACTTCGGGGAAGAGGTTTTTTTCCTGTGTGGAAACCAGAGTTGAGCGGAAGAACACGGAAGAATTTTTATCTTTTTTAGAAAATTTTTTCATGGAATGTGATCAACTGACGAAATGTATAGAAAAATGAACTCTGTTCATAAAAAAATAATTGTAAATTTAGCTTTTCATACAAAAAAGTTATTCGAGTTGTTCCTTCCGTCTTCCCACGGAACAACTCGAATAACTTTTTTGTATGAAAAGCTAGATTTACAATTATTTTTCTATGAGCAGAGTTCACTATTCTATACATTTCGTCAGTTGATCACATTCCATGAAAAAATTTTCTAAAAAATATAAAAATTCTTCCGTGTTCTTCCGTTGAGTTCTTCCGCTCAACTCTGGTGGAAAGCCTGTTCGTTGCGAGACCCGTGCTAATAAAGGCATGAGCCTTTAAACAATTTAAATAACCGCCCGATTGTGTTTAAAGGCTCATGCCTTTATTAGCACGGGTCTCGCAACGAACAGGGTTTCCATACAGGAAAAAAAACCTCTTGCCCGGGGTTTTTTGCTCATTTGAATAGGGTTCTTTGCGTAAAATACCAGTATTTTACTGAACTGAATAGGTCCATTAAAACCCCGTAAAGTTCGTGTCATCTGTTCATCTCTCTGAAACTGCTCACATGGTGCATCGACCGTTTTTGTAAGCATTCTCAAAGCGAATCCGTTAGATCAGAGACCTCCTACACACATAACAACACATTTGACTCACTGCCACCACACACACACACACACTATTTCCACGCCCGAAAAGAAGATCATCCCGTGTTCATTGACGGTCGAGAGAGAGAGAGAGAGAGAGAGAGAGAGAGAGAGAGAGAGAGAGAGAGAGAGTAGACAAACAGAGTGATATTTTTCTATTTAAACTAGCTCCGCGACCAGTGAAAAGTTTCGTGTACCGATTAAAATAGACACGGTCGACCGGCACACACACACATGTGTGAGACTCTATGATGATACTACACATCACCACTTTTTCCGCCCTTTTTTTGGTTTCCCTTATTCGGAGAGCCGACGGTCAGCAGGTAACCGGAAAGTTTCGTTTTCTAGAGGTATAATAGCAGCCATTTCTGTTGGAAATTGGTAGAAAAACGCAAGAATGGCAGCGAAAAGAACGAATTTTATGAAAATCCTCCAAACTCGAGAACGTTGACTCAAATTCAAATTTCGCGCCCAATTCCGTCAGATGCCGCATTTGCAGTGTCAATGTGTTTCTCCGGAAGTGGCGGCCTCCTGTCTGGACTACGATTCGACCCTCCAAGCAGAGACACTCGACCAGGCGATCGCCTCGTTCACGGATTTGTCGATGAACGGAATCGACGCGCAACAGGTATCCTTTTCAAATGTTCCATAAATATTCGAAAGGAGTAGCATTTTTGAATCCGCAACGTCTTGAACCTCAATTGATCAAGTGTTGAAGGCTTAAAACAAAGCCAAGAGCAGGCCTGACGTTCCGAATGTTTTTCTGTGAAATCTTCAAGTCTAGTACTTTTTGAAATAACCTCTCCCAGGAGTACTGTAGCTCACAGAAACTGATATAGACAAACAGTAGGTGTCTTCTTGTGTTTACCTTCGATTTCCCCGATCTTTTGATGGCACACATCACTATCAAAACGCGTCTGATTTTTTGAATGTTCGGTTTCACAAAGTTTCACAAAGTGTCTCACTTGATCCGTTCATGATGTTTGCGTAGACTTGTGACACATCGGTCATCAAACTTTTGCACTTTCAGCCCGTCGACGTGGGATGTCTAACCGAACAGTGTCAAGATTGTCGGAAAGATCTGAGGAAACAGCTGCGGAAAGTCGGACTCCTCGCCCCGGACATTAATGACATTTTGTCAGCGACGACGGACCGAAATTCCACGTGTACACGGTACCGATTTGTACTTGAAAACAGTCAGAAAGGTTTGCCGAACACAATATTTGAAGCTATAAAGTGCATTCAGAAACGAAAGAGGATGAGGATGGAAGTAGCAGTGAGGAAGAGGAGAAGGAGAAGAGGGAAAAGGTCTCTTTTTGTTTCGAATAAATAGTTTGAATATCAATCAATATTCAGAAGGACAAATCAAAAAAGCCAAAGCGAGAGAAACGAGCGGCCAACCTGCAAGATCCCACTGTTATCGGTAAGTTTTCAACTAATTTGGGGTTTGGGAGTCTTTGGGAATGCATTTCCTGGAAAACCTGAAAATATAAGTGTTCTGTTCCCAGTGTCATACTCCTCTGATCCCCTCAATAAATCGCCACATTGAAATGTTCCTCCATTCAGGAACGCGTTTCACAATATCGTGTTCTCAAAAAGGAGTGAGCGTCGACCCGACGGGAACAGTCTCTCTGTGCAATTCGTGTTGGGTCTGGCGGCAGTTACCGTCCAACTACCGGCCTCAGTTCATCAACGAACTCGTCTGCGACACCAGTGATGACTCTTGTTTGAGTGGTTAGTTATTTGACTATCTTCTTCATTTATCACTTCTTTCGAAACTCTAGTTAGCCACGGGCCTACAAAGGTTACATTTCTTATTCGAAAAACAATTTAAGAGGCGCTCTCCCAGAAAGTCGACATAGTCACTACCAGTGTTGAGCGGAATTCCGTCTTCCGTCTTCCGTCTTCCGTCCTCCGGGAAAAGGTTTTCTTCCGTCTTCCGGGATTTTTTTTTAAAATTATTTTTTCAAAAAAAAAACCGGAGAAAATGGTTCTGCATTGACGATTTTTTTGTTCCGTCTTCCGTCTGCCGTCTTCCGTGAGAAAAATTTTCTTCCGTCTGCCGTCTTCCGGATTTCAAAATTCCATTTCCGCTCAACTCTGGTCACTACTAGGCTATGGCACAAAAAATTCAGAATGGTCTAATTTGTCCCGTGTTATTGGGTCCGGCTCCGCGAGCCCTGGGCGTAGCAGCAGCTGAAAATATGTCTGAAAACTAAAAAATTTCAAAAAAATCGTAGCAACACAAACTCAACGCCATTCGATTCCTCGCATCTTTTTAAGCATTTTTCATGTTGACACCAATATTTTAGCACCCCTTTTTCATGGAGAAATTTTGGGAATAACGTTAAATTTATGCGTTTTTTGAATAAAATTCAACTTTTCAAAAAAAGTTTCTAATTTTTTCCAAAAAGCCCTTATCACCATGACATTCTTTGCTTTATAAGGCGTCGATCAAAAAAAAAGAGCGAAAAACAGAAACCCTTAAAAGAGTCTTATAGCGGGGAAACAGAGCTTTGAACTTTTGCACGACGACCAAAAGTGTAGAAAGGGGCGTGGCCTAATCTGAGACGCGTTTTCTGAAAATTGCCGGAATTCCAGCACTTTTCCGATATTTTTGTGTTTGATATCGACGAATGAAGACATTAAAGAGAGAAAACATTGAAATTTTCGTGAAAACGCCGCCCGTTTGAGACGTTTTTGGCGCATTTCGCAATACGCCCTCCGCGGCCAATCGCCGCCGCAATTTCGGAATTTTCATACCGGCCGATGTGGATAGTTTTGAGACGAAGTGAGTGTCGGAAGTGATTAAGCACTTCAATACAAATTTTTTAAGCGTTCAAACGGCAAAAAGTATCGGCGAATGACTGAAATTCGCGCATTTTCAGCACAAAACTTGAAAATCGATTGAATTGATTGAATTTCTGAATGAAACCTGCTCGTTTTAAGCTCAAAAAGTGCGCGATGATTAGTTTAACAAAGTTATGCAATTACATCATCGAAATCGTACAACATTTAGGTATTTTTTTACGAAAAACATGAAAAAATGAGGTTAAATTTCGAATTTCGCGCCAAAATAGTGATGAACCGTGCACGCTAGGCCACGCCCCTTTCTACGTTTTTGGTCGCCGTGTTTTGCATACTCAAGAATTCAATTGAAAACCGTATGTCATCTAATTCCAGGATACGCGCAGTGCACAGTCGGACACCGAACGTTCGAGGCGTTGCGAAACGACAGTGGAGTGACGACTACTGTCACACTGACCGCCGGATCCTACTGCGAGTGCAGAATATCCGAGTTCTCCTCGCTTCAGTCGCTCGTGGCCGGAACTGGAATCAGCGGCACGTACACTCCCGTCGGCCATAACAACAACAACACTGTTTCCGGATAATTATTGCGATCACTTTCTTGCCATTGTTAATAAATTGTGTACTTTTCAACGTATGTACGTGCATTTGGATGATTTCAATCAAAATCTCATGTCTACAACTATTTGAAAGCCTGAGCGACTACTTTTAAGACATCCGAAAATGTCTACAACGACTCACAGTGAGTAGGAGACTGTTTGCTAATTATAACTTTTGAGACGTCGGCAAAAACCACCAATTATACTTGGCTGATTCGTCCGATATCCAAAAAGTTTTATTAGCAATAAATATGATAACATAAAAATATAATTATTTGCATCTAAATACTACACCGTAGGCCCCACCACAGCACTCCCGCATACTGAAAAGGAAAAAAAAGTTGGATTAGAGAAATAATACGTTTTTTTGAACTCACCCTCGGTCTTTTTCTAACCGCGCTACTTTCTCTTTTAGAGAGAGAGAGAGAGAGGTTTTCATTCTCGAGAGCGGAATGTCGGCTTCCATCGAAAACCCGTGCTTTTCTAAATACATGTACTAAGTTTAAAAGGCGACAATAAAAAAGACTTACGTGCAACAATTTGTGTCCGTCAGTTTTCGTTATTGACTGGAATAAAAGTGAAGGAAAAATTAAAGAAAATAGTGGGAATAGGGGGGTGGGCTATCGGTGCGGCCTCGGAAAAATCGGAAAAGAGCAGATTCCGGACGGAACAACGGGAAACGTCAAACAAAGAAATATTCACATGTTACCGAGGAAATGTGAAAATTAAAAAAAATAGTTTAAAGGTTCGGAATGCGGGCAAGTTTATATAGTACATTTCACAGAATTCCAGACATTTTCCTTCACAACATGTTTTCACGACACAAATTATGGAATTTCCTTCAAGCGGAGCTCTTGGTCTTTTTGAAAATGACGCGGTCCACTTTGACCTTCTCCTCCTCGAGACGGTACAAATAAGTGACGACGTTGTCGGCTTGCACGTCCAGAAGGGCGAACGACGGCGTCACGGAGTCGGTCTTCGTCACGCTGAACGAGCCCGTCGCGCTGCCCGGGTCCACGAAGAAGCGGCCGTTCTTCTCGACGGCGCTGCACTCGTACGAGTTGCCCGTCACGAGAATGTCCACGTCCAGCTGGCGGGCAAGCAGTTCCAGCATCTGAAAATTCGACTATGTTTGCATCTAGGATGACGTTTTTAGTGCACTCTTCCGAAGGCCTGTCGAGGCCTGGACTTTTGCCCCACTTGCAATAATCCGATGGGATCCAAACTTTGCAGGCTTTATGGATTTGGATTGAAGTATTTTGGGTCCAAGTTGCAGACCGATCGGATTATCTGGTCCCAAGATATATGGGGACCGAAATAACCGCAGTTTTTGCAAATCTCGGCCCTTCCGGTCTGTAATCGATATATCTCCGGTCAAAATGATCCGATCGGTCTGAAACTTAGACCCAATATACTTCAATCGAAGCCCAAGAAGCCCACAGAGTTTGGGTAACATCGGATTATTAGAAGTGGTTCAAAAGTCCAGGCTTTGCAGGCCTTTTTTGAAAATTGAAAGTTCTGCTCGAAATGTAATTCAACCCCTATTTCTAATGGACAATTCCGCGGGACCCATGATAACTGACCCTCGGATCGCCCCAGGGCACGATCTGATGTCCGTGGCAGACTCCGATGCGGAACTGTCCCACAGTCACCACTTTCGTGTCCGGGTATTTGAGTGTTTCGTCGTCGAATTCGCCGCGAACGACGTGCACGTCCGAAGACAGCGTTCTGCAATTTTTCCACATTTCTCCCGAACAATTTCGCTTTTATAGTAGCGTACAAACCTGAGATAATCGAAAGTCTCTCGGGAGCACAAATTTCCGGTGCACAGGACGTGCTGCATCTTGTTCGGAACGAGAAGTTTCCGGAATTTCGGCGAAATGTTCGCCGACCGGTGCGGCATGTTAAAGTCGCCGATCAGCAGGACCAACTGCAAAAAAACGCGGTTTTTTGAGAAAAGTTGCGATTTTTACCATTTTTCGGCGGGAAACCGGGTCTTCGAAGAGCTGCGTTCAATGGGAAAATGTCTGCAAAAACTGGGGGGAAATTGAGGAAAGAAGGTTAAGACCAAATAAAAACCGGCTAAAAACCGTTGACAAATCAGTAAATAAGCAAGTAAAGCAAAGAAACACCTTCATTAAATCAACAAAACATCAAAGAGCTTCCGTCTCTTTTTTCATATTTTCTTTGGTCGCAAATCCGACGGGACCGCCTCTTTTTTCGAGAATAAAGCTCAAGGTTTTCGGAAATAACGCGAACGCCTTGAATTTCTCGCCCATTTCTCCGATTAGCATATTGTAGGATTCTGCAACAAAAAAACATTGATTTTCCGGAAAAATGTGAAGAATCCTACTGATGAGGTGCTCCTGTTCCTGTCGATCTTTGCATTTCGGCAAAAGCCTTCGGAGCCGGTGCTCAATTCCGAGTTGCGACAGAAAATCTCTGCAAAAACCGAATTTGGAAGCTTTTTTAAGAAAATGACTATTTGAAAAGCCCGCGAACCTTTGCGTGTTGGGCCCAAAAACGAGTGCCCGATCGTCGACAATACTCTTGAGATATCCGAAGTCCACGTCGGCGGTCAGATCGATATTGCCGGGTTCCGAGAGCGAATCCACTTGCCGGTGGGCCCGGTAGGCCCGGAAAGAATGCGAATTCCTGGTGCCGTCGTGACCGTAATCCACGAAAAGCGAAAAACCGCCGAATGTGGCGATACGGTCGACGATCTGGCTGATTACGGTGGCCGATTCGGGCGAGCACTCCCAGAATTCACGGGACTGATCCGTTCGGATCCGCGGCGGAATTAAGCCTCTGGAAAGTCATTTTGGTGGAAAGTCGAATAAAAAGCGTACTTTGTGTGCAAATTCTCTCCTTTCGATTTCATAAAGCACAATTCGTCGTTTCGAGTCAGGTTGACGTAGCTGAAAATTTGAGAAATTTTAAACTTTTTCACGTTTTCACCTAAAAACACGCACATTTCATTCCAATCCTGCCCGCACCGTTGAAATTGATGAATGGGAAGGGCGTCGAGAAATTCGTTGGCCACAAAAACCGAAAATGCGTCGGGCACGTCGTCGACCGATTTGTACCAGTAAACATTGACTCCGTGTCTCGTCTTATTCTTCCGCACGTGTGCGCAATTATCGACTTTTTCGGAATTATAGATGCACAGCACTTTTTCCTGCTCGTCGATCAGCGAATCCGACGTCTCCACCAAGTGCACCGACACTTTTTTGTCCTCGAACTTTGACAACGCGTTCAGAACGTCGTTTATGAGCTGAGCCCGTCCGGGACCGAGTTCCACGAGCTGCCAGTCCCCTTGATGACCCGTATTCGCCAGTTCATTGAAGATCCTTCAAAAAATTGCATTTTTTTTTAATAATTATCGAATTTCTCTTTGATACCATACTCCGATCATCTCTCCGAACAATTGTGTGAGCTCTGGAGACGTGATGAAATCGCCTTTCGGACCGAAAACCTGGAAATTTTATGAATTCCCGCAGAAATCTGAAAGTACCTTCTGATCATTGGAAAATTGCCCGTAATAGCCGACTTGTGGCGCCGAAACGCATGTTTTCATGTATTCTGCCACAGTAATTGGTCCCGACGCCTTTATCTTGTCCACCAGAAACTTTTTCAGCAGATTTTTGGGTTCGGGCTGAAAACTTCCAAATTTTCAACTTTTCATTGACTTTTCTGGGCTTACCTTTTTGTATCCGGGCGGTGTGATCACTGAATAGTGGCGGAGTGCATTAATAAATGAATTTTGACGCCGAAACGCCGAAATCATGCTGTGAAATAAGGAGGCCGTACCGTTTGGGGAGAAACGAGAAAACGGGAGAAACGAAAAGGGGAGATTCGAAAAGGGGAGAAACAAAAAGGGGAGAAACGAAAAGGGGAGAAAGGGGCGGAGCTTCAATTGCGTGCGGCAAAACGGCAAAACTGTGTGCCCACATTGCAAATAATGCCAAAATTTTGCTTTATCGGCTGATTTAAGTAGAAATTGGATTTCTAAAGAGGAAAATAAACTTCTTAAAAATAAAATTGAGAAAAACATTGTCATCTGAACACTATACATTTCTTTTTTTTTACCAAAAACTGAAATGAAAATTGTTCCAGTCGAGTGTGCCCTTTTCAGAAAAACAGTGTATATTGGAACGACCAGGGCTTACTTTCTGGAACAATTTTCTCTGAAACTCATCGTGTTGTCTGTGAATATTTTGTATTCGCTTCGAAACGATTACACACAATTCTTCTGAGCAGCGGACTCAGGTACAAAAGCCCTGTATTACAAGTATCAGCATTACCGAGGTGATCCTTCCATTCTTGCAACCATGGCTGGAAAATCGGCCGTCCCGGGATTTTCAAGAACAGACCTTTGCCTGGAATTTTGAAGCACTTGCAATGGTCCGATCGACCCCAAACTTTGCAGGCTTCTTGAACTCAGATTGAAGTATATGACCGATCGGATTGTTCACTTTCGAGATATAGAGATTGAGGGCCGATTTTGGCCGACATCCGCAAAATCTTGGGACCGGATAATCCGAAACTTGGACGTATTAGTCCTGCTTGCAAGTTGCAACGTGTTGAACCAGGCCGGGCTAAATTGGACATATTCATGAGCCGGGCACCGCGCGCTCAGCTCAGAAATCCAAAATTCAGGAAGTTGTTGAACTAAAACTGTATTTTTCGTGTTCCAAATAACCTGAACTTGTTTTTCACTGTAAAGTGATTATTTTGTTTATGCTTTTTATTATTTCAGACAAGACTTTTAGCGTGGGCCCGCTGCGCGGTCCGAGCTAACGCTCGGAAGCGGCTTTTCCGATTTCTTGTAAATAAATAAACAAACAAAGAGACAGACCCCGTAAGACTTTTATTGATAAGAATGATAAAATGATGTCTGTGAAACAATTTCCTCCGAAAATTGCAGTTTTTTTTTCAAAAAAAAAAGAAATGTATAGTGTTCAGATGACAATGTTTTTCTCATTTTTATTTTTAAGAAGTTCATTTTCCTCTTTAGAAATCCAATTTCTACTTAAATCAGCCGATAAAGCAAAATTTTGGCATGACTTGCAATGTGGGCACACATTTTTGCAGTTTTGCCGCACGCAATTGAAGCTCCGCCCCTTTCTCCCCTTTTCGTTTCTCCCCTTTTTGTTTCTCCCCTTTTCGAATCTCCCCTTTTCGTTTCTCCCGTTTTCTCGTTTCTCCCCAAACGGTACGGCCTCGAAATAAGCAAAAACCAAGATTAAAAGTTGCGCGTCATATGAAACACATCGCAAAGTCCGCAAAGTTGCGCCCGCGGTGTTTGCACACGTACGATTTACGGCGCCCATTTTTTCTCAATTTCCCTACGAAAAAATCACAGAAACGGCTTTATGTGATGTCAAACAACAATGATATGCACCCACGTAATCCGTACAAGGACAAACCGCCAGATTTTAAGACCCTGGCCATGGAATACCCGGAATTTCGACAATATTGTCAGTATGTTGGAAATGGAAAAGTTTCATTCGATTTCCGGCAAGATGCAGCCGTTCGGTGCCTCACTCAGACTCTTCTTAAAAAAGATTTCAAACTAGAGGTAAGATTTCGTTTAGAAACATTGAATTGCTTGCAAAAAATCTTCAAACATTCATAAATTTCAGGTGGAGCTGCCAGCCGGTCATCTGGTCCCCCGAGTGCCTCAGAAGCTCAATTACTGCCTGCTAATCGATGATTTGCTGCGAGAAAACGGGCTTTCCGGCGGCAACGTGCTCGGAATCGACATCGGAACGGGCACCTCGTGCATCCACGCGCTCCTCGGCGCCCGTCATTTCGGCTGGAAGTTCGTCGCCACCGACGCCGACCCGGTTTCAGTCCGCACCGCCCACGCAAACGTTGCCCACAACGGCCTCGGCTCGGAGATTTGCGTGGTGCACGTGAACCCGGCGGCCAAGTGCATCCTCATGGACGTGCTCATGCTCGGCGAGTTCTCCGGGAACGTCTTCGACTTTTGCATGTGCAATCCGCCGTTTTTCGACGCGAAAAACGATGAGAAGTTTCGAGAAATCTCGGAGAATTCGTATTCGAACGACATGAGGGACGGAATGGATGCTCGCGGAGCCCCGCACTCGGCCACCCACGCATCCGCCGCCGAATTGTACGTCGAGGGCGGCGAAGTCGCTTTTGTGAATCGGATCATCGATGATAGCGTTGTTCTGAGGGAGAGGGTCAGGTAGGAAAACACACCTTTTTTTTTTGATTTTACACAAATTTTCACATTTTTCGATTCCAGAATCTACACGACAATGTTGGGTCGAAAACAGAGTGTGAAGCCGCTGTGCCAACGACTTCAGCGCTTCGGAGACGACGTCAAATTTATGGTTTCGCCGTTGAATCAGGGAAAAACGAAGAGATGGATGCTCGCGTGGACCTTCTCAAAATCTATTGCACTCACAGCACTGGTCAGCTATTTTTCAACAAATTTTCTAATAAATATATGAAAATCACAAATTTCAGATGCAAGAACGAGCGATCGAAATTCAGTGTCCAAAGCCGGGTCGAACAAGAATATTGCAGCAAATTGAGGCGTTGAACGGAAAAACGAGACAGCAATCGGCGGAAATGCTCGTCGTCGAGTTCAGAAGTGTCACGTGGACGCACCAGAGAGCACGGCGGAGGGCCGAGGCCGAGCTGCACAAAAACGAAGCGAAACGGGCAAAGTAAGCAGTTTTTACAGAGTTTTTTTCAAAAAATTCAAAACTTGCAGACTAAACACGCGATCGATCGGCTGCGAAGCGCTTTTCGGCGTCGGCGACGGCCGTGACTCGTACACGGACTCTGGCAACTTCACATCTTCCGAATCCTTGGCCTCCGGAGAAGACGTGCGCGACAACGCCACCCAAACGTACCATCCGATGCCGCCCGGAGTCACTCCCCGCTACATTCTACGCGTTAAAATCTACATAAACTGCGAAGAGCCGCAGGATTTGCTCACTTTCGAACTGATTTCCGGTTCCAAACAAAGCATGTGTCAATTGGTCCAGTATCTCAGAAATTCACTTTGCCGGTAGAAAACAAAATTCTTGTTTTAATTTATTCTTACAGTGTCTGAAAATTCTTCGTGTTACTTGATAATACTTGTGTGAATAAATGTGTAAATTTTACCATTTTCATCTGAAAGACCGATTTTCTCTCAATTTTTCACCATAGAATTCAATGTTCAGGTCAAATTTGGGACTTTCCCGCCAAAAAGTCAAAAAAGGTCAGCTACAGTAACCCATCAATTCGTGGCGAGACCTATCCGCGAAAAGCCCTGCTCCTTTGAACCGCGACTGAGAAAAATAAGTTTTCGAAATTGCTTTCAGCCATTTTCCAGCTCGAAATTGCAGATTTTCAGCCCAAGCTTTAAGAAATGCGATAGATAATTGATTAAACTCACGATTTTTTTATAACATTTCTCTGAAAATCACTAAAAGAAATGGTAGAAATCGAGCCACAACCGGGTTTGAAACATTTTTTGAAAATTTCAAGTATCCCGAAGAAATCTGCTTCAAAACTTTCAAATTTGTGATCTTTATGCTCTAAATTTTTGAAAGAACGTATTTTTCTAGTGTCGACTGAAATTGCCGTAAATTTCTCAATTTTTAGCAAGCTTTCCCTATTTTCAGCATTTTCAGCTTGAAATCGACTAATAATCGTTCTTAAAAGCATCAAAAATGGGGAAAAAGAAGGTAATTTTCCAACAACTCCGCGAAAGTTCGCCAAAATTGTATTTTTCAGGGAAAGCGCTCGCAAAACCGCCAGCTGCTAGTGACTAACTCTCCATCTAACCCGGAAAATTCTCTTCTTAATACTACTCGTCTGGAAGAGGTTTTGGTAGCTGGATAACTCCCAAACATTGCAATTATTACAGGATTTGTTGGAAGATTTAGAAAATTTCGAAAACGTCGGATCTGTAGGCCGAAATTCGCTGGATCAACCGCCGAAACACGTCTATCAGACGGTGTTCATGAGCCACGAAAACGTGACGACAGCGCCGACGAATTTGACAAAAACGTCCAATTCGGGGAAACAAACGAGCTATCATGTAGGCCAAAATTCCAAAATGTGGCCTAAACATCATGTTTTTTCAGGATCTGATGGACGGCGGCGCCTACAAATCCTTCCACAATTCTCATCAATCGCTCGCCCATAAATCCACGTCGAACACGTCGAAAGGCCACGAAATAACGGAGACGTCGGGCGCCGGGGACCGTATTCTGGCGGGAAGTCGCTCGATTTCGCACCGAAGTCTCTTCTCGGACAACCGATCGTTCGGCGGGCTTCCGAAGAGCAGAGACGGCTCGCGCGTCAGCGTCCAATGGGACAATTTCGGGGACGAAAACTACGACCTGAACGGGACAAACTCGCAGAATTCCGACGAGGACCGCGTCCGAATCAGCCGCGAGGTGATCGTGCCGAAAGTGCGCAGCAGGACGGTCAGTTCGAGTTCGACCGGACGCAAAAACGGAGGGAATCTGATGAATTTGCACCAGATGAGCACTTCGCAGAGAGGAATTCACGACGACGAGATGGACGTGAGGACGTACCACGCCGGATCCGAATATCTCAACAACCGACTCAGCAAGGCGAGTGCACTTGAAAGTTACAGAGTTTATGGGAGGGGAAGAGGGTTTTATGAATTTTCGTTATTTTCAGTTTCCACTCATTTGAACCCACTAGGATACCTGATACGAGCACTAGAATCACTAATGTCCCGATTGCAGGAGTGTCCTTAAGGCGCCGCAATCTTGACATTTATCACTTTACCCGGACTGTAACAGGTTGCCAGGTTGTTTCAACTGCCAGGTCGTCGGAAAAAATCGGAAAAATGTTTTGACGTTTTTCAAACATCCCGCACCAATGATTCATGTTATAAGCTTTTTCTCAAATCTTTATCTTTCTTCTGAATTTCTGTTCTACTAGGAGTCACGTAAAAATGAACGTTTTGCAGTTGTCAATCCACTCGAACAATGATGAATTTGTGTTGGTCGGAGGCCATCCGCCGGCGGATTCGGTCGATTCGAGATCGGGATTCGGAGGAGGCGGAAACGGAACGACTGATAGTATCCATCAAACTTCCGTGCCGACCGTCGGATTCGGAAGCTACGAACGATCGCTGGAGCGAGGATTTCACGAGGATCCGGGCAGATCCATATCCCAGCAGAGCATCAACCGCGAGATCGGTGCCCACTTTTCCAGATCCTCTTCCCGGCATTCTGTGGTAATTTTTGAAGAAAAGGGTTTTTAATTTGTATACTTTACTGGAAATTTCATCGTAAACATTTTGGTCTCGCTTTTTCATAAACAAAACTTTTACCGATGTGAAAACTTCATTTGTGCTTGCAGGGGACCACTTCGAACACGGACGATCGTCTGATGCTCGCCGCCCGTTACAGTTTGTCGCCGGAAGCGGAGGGCCTCCTCGAGATACCCAAAAATCGTCCGAGAGCTGCGGTAGACCCATTTTCCCTTTTAAAATTGCAAATACGTTTATTCTCAGAGCCGTCGAAACAGCGTTTCGAGTTCGGTGTCGGATCGTGTGGAGTTCGCGGAGATTCCGACGCTTTTCAGTCATCCGGACGACAATTTCAACGACGATGAGCCCGGAGAGTCGTTCCGACCGACTTCCGAGCACCAGGCCACGCCCACCGGACTGCCGAGGGCCAGAAACAGCAGATTCTCCTCTTCTTCCAGCATTTCTGTAAGAATTTTGTCTGAATTTTATGAAAATTTCACATTTTTGCAGATTCCGAGCGGAAAAGAGCCGCCAAAGGCGCTTCTGGTCACTTCTGCGCTCACTCCGATCATTCCGAAGCGTTCTGTGATCTCACTGAGCCGTTCTGACGACTCAATCGTCCTCGCCACACCGGACACTGTGCAAAGAGCCACGAAACCAGGATTCCGTCCGTTTGAGCACCAGAAGGAGATCGAAATTCCGGCGGCGACGCGAAAAACGACGGAAATGGCGGTGCAAACGGGCGACACGATACGTCTCCGTCAGAATCCGTACACGGGAGACGTTCTCAGCGAGAGAGCCTGGATTCCGCCCACGCAGCCGAGAGACTTCGAGATTTCCAGGGCAATGACTGCGAGTTTTGTGCCGTCCGACGCCGGATATGCTCAGAAATCGGGGAGCGTGGTGGAAATTCCGACGGGAAGCGCTTCTCCGGCGACGTCGAATTTCCGCAATCGTCTTCGTCACATTTCGGACATTTACGCTAATGATTCCGACGTCGTCGTGGAGAAATCTGAAGTTTCTGCTCCTTCGGAAGTTAAAATTGGAAGATCCGAAACTACTTGGGGTTCGGAAGTCAAAATTCCAAGCTCTAGACAATCTGAAGTCAAAATCGGCAGTTCCGGAGGTTCTCGAGTGAAAATTGGAAGTTCTGGAACCACTTGGGGATCTGAGATCAAAGTTCCGAGTTCTGGAGCATCTGGAGTCAAAATCGGTAGTTCCGGAGGTTCTCGAGTAAAAATAGGAAGTTCTGGAACTACTTGGGGATCTGAGATCAAAATTCCGAGTTCTGGAGCATCTGGAGCCAAATCCGCGCCGAAACCACCGCAGAGAATCTCGCTGGGATCCAGCTCATCTACCATCGTCATCCCCAAAAAGTCTTCGCCTCTGAAGACCCAAAAGCCCAAAGAGATTCACATTCCGATCTCCCGTCACTCTTCTTCCAACGATTCGGGCGCGGACACGATCCGCAAGCACATACCGCGCGGAAGGATCCGCGACTTGGCCGACGCGTTCAACCGAATGGACACGGGCGCGCCGCCCACCTTTTTCCACCAGAAAACTCTCGAAAAACCGGAGAGAACGCCGCAGAACTCGCGTCCGACCAGCGAGCATTTGGACCATTTTTCGATCGGAGACGTCCGAAACGGGTCTTCGTCGAGCGCGTTGCTCAGCTCCACTCAGACTCTCTCGCAGGAGGATCGCCGCAGATCCACGTCTTCTTCTCTTCAGTATCCGCCGCACGTCTTCACGAGAAACACCTTTTTGCAGCAGACGGCCGGAGTCAAACCGGGTACGGTTTGTTAAGGGCGAAACGAGTAGAAACTATGATTTTAATGAAAAAAAGCAAACAAGTAATATGCGTTTTCTTCCAGGCGACAAGTCGATAATCCCAACGAACGTGGCCATGTCGACGAGCTACCGTACCAGCCAAGAAGCAGGGAAAGGCGACGGATTCGTGTCGGAATTTGAAAAGATTCCATCGATTCCGTCCGATTTGAACATCCACCGCCCGTTCTCCAGTCAAACTGCGCCTCTGAATCGCTCGAAAACGCTCGAACCGCAGAAATTCGCGGAATATTCGCGAAAAGTTGATGTTCCGATTCGAAAGGAAGTGCCGATCGGCGGACAATCCACGCGAAATACCGAGCTGATCAGGAAGAAGGTGTTGCCGAGCGGACTGAGGGCCAAGACGCAGGAAGTTTCTCCGTCGACACTCAAATTCAACGCCGCGCATCTTTACGAATCACGGGCGGTCAGCGGCGATTTGCAGGAGGACGCAGGATTTTTCAGCCCGCAGAAACCGTTGTATTCGAAGAAGAGGGAGGCGTTCGGAAGACAGACTGCCGAGGATTTGAGACAGGTTGGAAAATGGCTATATAGAAAAAAATATTCATCTCAGGACCACTGGAGTTCTCACCATGTTCATCATCAGCCATGGACCGGTTCCTCTTCTTCATCTCAATATAATAAATGGGAAATGGGCCATCATCGTGATCCGAATGAGAGAGCGACGTCGTCGATGGACAGAATGGGACAGAAGCACGCAAATAACAACCAGCCCACTTACACTACCACCACTGAATACGAGATTAATAATCAAAATATCTATAAGGTTTGTGCCCGCGCTCAATTTTTTATTATTATTCCAGGCTTTTAGATGCACAATTTACCTTCCCTTTTCAATTTGCAGCCTGTCAAATTGAACGAAAAGGAGAACTTGCACCATGGTCCATCCGGAGCATCGTCCTATCATCACCAGCCGAACAGGAATGTCAGTATCCCGCAGAACATGCCCTCTCCGTACTCCCCGCCGGCCACCGAAGACGCCGGCAGCAGAATCACGCATCACACTTCGCAGACTCTCCAGGACGATCTGTTCGCCACGGAGGACTCGAGCATTCGCGGAAAGATTGACCGAATGTTCGATTTTGTGGAGAGCGACGATTCGAGGAAAACGATGAGGGGAATGGGCACTGGGGGAGGGTCGCAGGCATCCACGGACACGATCGGCACCAGTGCGGGCATCATCGGCAACAAGTTCCAGCACGACTCGTATCTGAGAGAGCAAAAGTGAGCGCTTTCAGAACAAGACCTGCGCGAATCGAAAAGGCTCAACGAGACGATTCTGACTATATTCTCAAACTTTGTTGCCGACCTCTGACTCAGGAAAAACTCATCTGATTTCAGTTGAGGTTTTCACGATTTTCAGAAGTCAGACCAACCTGCAGTTGTATACAAGAAAATAGATAAGCATATTAATAATTTCTCAATTTGCAGACATCCGCGACGCTACGAGTCGAACCTCCGTCCACCTTCCTCTCATTTCCTCGACGCGGTGCCACCCGCGCGTCCTTCCGAATCGTTCAAATCGAAAATGAAGTCTCCGGACCGTCGGAACACGGTCACCGGCTCCGAGATCCACCAGTTCGACACCTCGGAACTCGAATACTCGCTTTCGCAGTACCGTGAAATGCAGAGAGAACAGCTGCGCAGACGTCTTCCGTCGGCCGACGAGCCGCAGTTCTTCCGATCGCCGCTGCTCTCGGCTCCGCACGCTGGACAGTCAATGCACGCGTACGGGACGAAGGACCTGCACGGAACGCCGACCGCCGGAGAGAAAGTTCGCTTTCCGAGCAGTTCGAGCGGCCTGAAGCTGGCGGTTCCGACCGCTTTGGCCACATCGACCCCCATAGATTCTCCGCAATCCAGAACCTTCTCTTCCATCAGCAGAGAGGTACGATTCAAGGGATAGTTGACAACTATTATTGAAAATCATTTAAAGCTTAATTAATTCTTCAATTTTCGTTCAGGTGAACAACAACATAAACCTGAGCGCAATTCCGCCGAACGACACGTTCGTCTCGTCGATTTCGGGCGTTTCGGCTGTGGACAAGCACGCGGAAGTGATGAGAAAGATCAACCGCCTGTCGTACATGATGGAGAACACGCAGAAGCAGATGAGCATGAACGAGGCGGCGCTAACGGACGCCGTCAAGAAGGGCCGCCGCTCGCAGGAAATCGCCGCGCACCGCTCGATCCTCATCACGCGCGAGACGCTTCGTTTGCAGCGGAACGAACTGAGACGCCTGCACGCGCTCTCGGCCGTCAGAAGACCGCCGCCGCCGGTCGCCAAGGAACTCCGGGGCGCCGTCGTTTTCAAGAACCTCACCGTTCAGCTCAACAAGCGCTTCGTCTCCAGATTGACCGCCAAAGATGGTTGGTCTTTCGGAAAATTGTTTTTCACATTATCGGAAAATCAGTTGCAGATAACTCGTACTCGTTCGTCGGGCTCTTCAAATTCGGACACCAAGTGGAGGCGACGGAATTGGTCCCTCTGCGAGTGTATTCGGGAGAAACGACGAGCGACAAGCTGTACTTTGAGAAGCAGATCCAATTCTCAGATGTGTCAATCGATTTCATGGTCTGCATCGAGATTTATGCGATGGTTAGCCGAAAATGAAGGATTTTGGGTATAAATTTAATATTTTGCAGAAAGTCGCTGCGCAGAAACCAGTGGAATTATCTCTCGGGTCGTCGTTCGCAAACAAGTGCAAGAGTCTGATGGGACCGCGTAAGTACAACTTTGTATTGAAAATACTAAAAAGGGGCATTTTTCGAATTGAATTCCTACCGATTTTTCCCATTTTTTCAGCGCAAAAGAAATCACACGCTCCGTCGACGGAAACGGCGTTCAAATTCCGCGGCCGTCTGATTCTGGACCGTGACGCCGCCGGAGACCGATGTCTTTATCTGGACGACGTCACTTATCCGCTCGAGGGGACCGTCATGATCACGACCGAGTGCAGCCGACTGCCCGAGGCGTTCGAGGTCGATTTCCGAGGTTTTCTGGTGCGGTTTTCACTTTTTTGTGAATTTTTGTGCTCAATGTTCATATTTCAGACCATGTTCCATACGATCAGCAACATGGCGAGTTGGGAGCGCTACTGGGCGGTGCTCCGCCGCGGAATCGTCTTTTTCTGGAAGTATCCGGACGACGAGCAGATGGGTCGGGAGCCGAAGATGCAGATCGATCTGACGAAGTGCACTAACAACATGATCGAGAAGTGCGCGTTTGATTTGTGCCCGCGCTCGAACTCGTTCGCCATCGAAATCCTCGTCGCCGCGGAGGAATCGAGCACTGTCGGATCGGTCGTCGAGAAGAAGAGGTCACTCGTTTCCTTTTGTTTGAAAAAATAGAAAAAGATCTGACAAATTTCCAGTGTATTTTCTCCTAAAAATGAGAAATTCTTCAATAAACCGAAAAGAGCGCAATAACTGTCTGGCCTAAAGTTTCAGAGTGCTCCTGTCGGCGGACACCCCGGAAATGCTGGACCAATGGCTGTTCACCCTCAATCAGACCCTCGACGTCATCCGCGGACCCATTTGAATCCCATTCTTTTAACTTTTTATTCTGAACTGTGCCATTTTGGCTTCGAATTTTTATCCCAAAAATTCCCAAATTCAGACATTTTTGTGCCCCAATAGTAATATTCTCTAGTAGTAATGTAATAGATTGTTGAGTAAAAATTGAGAGAAAAAAGCAGAAATTCATTTAGGCAACAAGATTAGGCAAGCATGAATGATTAAGTGAAGTCCTGGGCGAGCAGCTCGGCGGCCCGGCGCAAGTCCTCGAGTTCCCGGTCGACGTCCTCGTAGATGCCGTTCTGGATGAGCGTGTCCTCGTCGAACCGCGGGACCCGATTGTAATTGCGCGGCAGGACCGTCTCCTTCATCACAATCTCCAGCTCTTTCATCGCTTGCGAGTCCCGCCCACGCACCGTCACCGTCGACTTTTCCGGATTCTCGGGGTTCGGATCCGAAATCTGGATTTGCACGTTGAATTTGTCACGCAGACTTCGGATGTTACGGCCGTTGCGTCCTGCAGAAAATGGTTGAAATCAAAATATTTTTTTCTTTTCTTGAATGCATTCGAAAAGGCGTACCGACAAGATAGCCGACCATGTGGGAATCGACGAGAAACTCGGCGGACTTCCACGGCTTCTTGACCACTTCGATAATCTCGGCGATCCGCAGACGGACCATCCGGAGCCTCGTTTCGTCGGCGGTCCGCACCAGCAAGTACGTGATCTTCCGCGCCGAACTTTCCGTTTCCTCCTCCCCGAACCAGTCGTCCGCCGTCAACTTTTGCGTCCATTCCGAGTCGACCGCACTGCAAAAAATGTCAATGTTTCTATTTATTACTAGAAAAATGCATCCGATTCGAGGCCACGTTTGTTGTTTTCTCTGTCAAACAGAAAAAATCGACTTTTTCGAGCACGCCATGAAATCCGAGCCAACGCAGGCAAATTCGTTTCGGAAGTTGCCGAAAGTACAGTCCGTTTCAAAAGTATAGGGCCACCGCAAAATCACCGTCTTCCCCAGGTAGTATCATGCCTCCGCACCTTGAAAATCGGATTCAGCATGAAAAGTTACCCCTGGAAAACAATTTTGGGGCCAGTACATTGGGTGCTGAGGCCATGGTGCTGGAAAATCTGAAAAAGTGGCTTCTGCAGGCGTTTCATAAGTATAGGGCCACCCCTTAAATGTGTGGTGGCAGGAGCCTGTATCAAGAAGCTGAGGTGGACAGAAATGAACTCAGCATCAAAAATAACCCCGGGTGACCAGGTCTGGCCTCATGGCAAGAGGTTCTGGGTCTGTTACGCTGAAAAGTGCGGCTAAGTCTGAAAATCAGCATTCTAAAAGGTAGATTGGCTGAAATCCAGAATTAAATATCATTCGTGACCTCCACAAGTTGCCAGCATCACGCTTGAAATGAGGAAAACCATTATCTTAACCATGCCTCGTGGCAAGCACCTCTCGGATGCGGAGCAAGTCGAAATCAGCGCTTTCAAAACTGCCGGATGGTCCAATCGAGCAATCGCCAAGCATCTCAAGAGATCGAAGAACTGTGTGAATCAGTTCGTCAACAATATTCTCCACTATCTGGAATCCCGTAAGGTTGGTGCTCCATCGAAGCTCAGCGTTCGGGATAAAAGGAACATCAGTCGTCAAGCTTCCAATACCATGAAAACGTGCAATGCGATCAAACGGGGTTTGAACCTCAACGTCTCGAAGACGACAGTCTGGAGAGTCATTGATCAGGATCCGAACATCAAAAGACAAGTCATGAAGCCGTGCCCACGTCTGGAGAGCCACCACAAGACTCGACGGCTGAATTTTGCTCGAAGCAACATGGCTACCGATTGGAAGACGGTGAATTGGTGACACTGCGTATGAGAACTGGCTATCTTTTTTCAGTTGATCTTTTCGGACAAGAAGAAGTTTAACCTCGATGGGCCGGACGATCTGCGGAAAGACCTGCTTCGTTTCTCCAAACGAAACTACGGCGGCGGAAGTGTTCTGTGCTGGTGTGCTTTTTCGTCCGTCGGTTTCTTGGAAATCTTCTTCGTCGATGGTCGTCTGGATTCGGCCCGTTATCAAGATCTTCTCCGGACCCAACTGCTTCCGTTCAAACGTCGTTTCAACCGCCGTCGCTTTGTCTTCCAGCAGGACAACGCGCCGTGTCATGCGAGTCGGTCGACCAAGGATTGGCTCCAGTCCAAGAACATCGACACTCTTCCTTGGCCGGCTTGCAGCCCAGACCTGAATCCGATGGAAAATGTGTGCGGAGCGCTCGTGCGTCGTGTGTATTCGCAAGGAATGCAGTATCACTCGGTCGGAGCACTCAAGGCCGTTCAGAACGAATGGAATAAGCTCGAGCAGGAGTTCAGAAACAATACCAGCGCGCTTATTCCGAGCCTTGTTAGCTCAATGCCCTCTCGAATTTACGATGTGATCACACGGAGAGGTGCTGCTGTTGATTATTAACTTATGTTCTTCATGTGTACCCATAAATTTTTGTGGTCTTGCTAATTTTCAGACTTAGCCGCACTTTTCAGCATAACTGACCCAGAACCTCTTGCCATGAGGCCAGACCTGGTCACCCGGGGTTATTTTTGATGCTGAGTTCATTTCTGACCACCTCAGCTTCTTGATACAGGCTCCTGCCACCACACATTTAAGGGGTGGCCCTATTCTTATGAAACGCCTGCAGAAGCCACTTTTTCAGATTTTCGAGCACCATGGCCTCAGCACCTAATGTACTGGCCCCAAAATTGTTTTCCAGGGGCAACTTTTCATGCTGAATCCGATTTTCAAGGTGCGGAGGCATGATACTACCTGGGGAAGACGTGTCGGTAATTTTCAGGGGTGGCCCTATACTTTTGAAACGGACTGTACAAATGTTGCAATGGAACTCAAAGGTCTCGGGCTTTTTGCAGTTCCATAACCGTTTGTTGAGATTTGCAACGTCCGAAGCGCGATTACCTGAGAATTATCGTTTGAACAACGAATTAAATTTCAAAACCGATGAGCCCGATTTTGAAAAGACTGGAAACATTGTGAAGAACATATTGTGCCTTTATTACCGATTCGGCCGACAAATCGATTTTTGCGCTGATTCCACTGATCTTCTATCCGATTTCGACCAATTCGATCAATTATGGGTGTTCGTAAATGCTTTTTGTCGGAATCTAATGGAAATTTAGACAAACTAGCACAAATCGTGTGTCTTCAGCCAAATCGGCAGTTTTAAGATTCGCCGGGGGCGTGGCTTGACGGCTACGGCCGTCTGCCAACACCACGCGAAAGCACGCAATAGTTTCTTGAAAACTACTCGAAAAATTGAGAAGGTTTGAAAAATAGGTGGAAATCTCACAAATATTCGGCGACGTCGAGTTCTTCCGGAGTGTACGAACGGATCACACACTCTGTCTGAAAACAAATCAACATAAAAGTGTACAAGCATCAAGAAACAAACCTGCGAGTCGTACATGAGTCTGCGAAGAGTCTGCCCGCGTTTTCCGATGACGGCGGCGACGGCGAACGACGGAATTCGGATGTAGTGGTCTTGCGGCCGTTCTGAACACTTCTTTTTCACTATTTATGAGGATTTTTTCCAGAGTTTTTTACCGGCAAAGCACCAGTTTTTTGCTCGACTGAATAGGCCCATTAGTGAAATATTTGTAATTTCTCACCTGATTTCTCGTTTTCCTCCTCAATTTCCTCGTCCGATTCGCTCATTTCCGGTTTCATTTGCACGTACGCCTCCAGCCTCTTTTTTCTGCAAAATTCAAATTTTCGCCCTTTTCTCTGAAAATCCGAGTGTACCTGAAGTAGCGGATAACGAACGGCGCGGCGATCATTCCGGCCAGCACCACATTCGTCAGTTTTCCCATTTTTCCACGAAAAAGCTGAAAAAACTTGAAAAATACGGGTCTAACGCGTTCTAGCCTGTGATGCGCCTTTAATTTTCGGGGTACCGTAGCGAATATTCACTATGACGCAATTTTGCGTATTTTTGTTGCTTTTTGCTGCAAAAATTGAGAAATACTGCATTTATTCATAGAAAACCGAACGACGAAAACAAAAACGAAAAAGATCAAAGTGTCTGGAAATTTCTTTAAATAATTGTCTTGTTAGCGAGGGGATAATTTTGTGATGGTCGGAAAATTTAAACAAAAATAATCAAAAAAATTCAAAAACTAAAAAAATAGGGAACAGAGCAGAATTTCAGTGTGAACGGGGAGGGAGAGATCGCCACGAAAAAAGGGTGAATAAATTACGGGAAGAGGAGGAAGTTGAATGGAAAAGAAGAGATAAAAAGTTGGACGGAGGGGGTGGGGGATTACTGTGGATGGGTACTGTAGTATTGTGGCTGTCCGCCAGTCGGATCCACGACCGCCGCCGCGGCTGCTTGCGACCGTCTCATCTGATTCTCCACCATCGCCGCTTGATCCACCAGTCCTATCGAACTGCAAACATACTTTTTTCAATCAGCATTTCATTTTTCTCTCTCTCTCTCACCGATAGTAAGCAGCCCATTGGGCAGAGTAATCGGCGGCTCCGGTGGCCGGATTGATGGTCGGCGCCATCGAATCAGCGGATTGGGCGGCCGAAGCGGTCGGTTGCGGAACGACGGCCGTCGGTTGCAAAGTGACCGGCGCGTTCTGGTAGACGTCGCCGACGGACTGCAACTGCGGCTGCTGCTGCTGCGGAAGGATGCCGCTGTTTTGTGCCCATTGCTGGATTCCTGCAAAAAGAGGGAATTTCTAGGCCATCATAGTCTAAAATCCAACTTTTTCCACGAAAACATCTAAGATCGTGACCCCAACGTCAACTTTTTCAGCAAACGTGTTCTTCGTTTGCAACGAGTCTCTGACCTTCCCGATTCGGACATTTCTACTAACAGACAGTTGAAAAATACCGCATAAGCTGTTCGCAAAGAGAAGATGGAAGCGAGTGCGAGTTTTCAAAGTCTGAACACCAATCTGAACAGCGAGATGAGCGATTTGGTGCATCAGGTGAGCGTTTCGAACGATTCTCACAGAAAACGGTCGAAATCGCAGGCGGAAGAGTGGGCGATCGTGCCGACGGAAGAGCCGAGGGCCCAGTGGATCATGAATCAGGTGCTCACTCGGGCCGCCGTCATTCTGCTCGAGCAAATGGGGATCAAGACGGGCGAAGAGTTCGAGAAGCACTTCGGCGCGCAAATTCGAGAGGAGAAGGAGCTGGAGGTGGCGAGGGACGAGGTCGCCCATTCGGCCGCCGTCTCCCCAATGTCCGTCGAGGAATTTCAGGTGCGAATTGAATTCGCACGAAAACTCTTGAAATGCCCCTTTTCAGAGTATTCTGAAGAACGGCTGGGCGCAACTGGACGAGCCGCTGTCCGGTTCTCTGTTCCACGGACGACGTCGCACCTCGATGCTCGCCGACCTCATTCCGATGTCGCCGATCGTCTCGGAGTGCAGCCAAATGTCGCCGGAGAAGAAGAGATCGCCGCCGCAGAGAGTTGCCGAGAAGGCCGTGTTCGAAAAACCGCTCTTCGTCACTTCTACGCCGAAACCGAAGCGGAAAACGCACGTGGCGACTCCGAACTTTCCGATGCGACGGACCAATTCGATGCCCGGCACTCCGCGTCGTCGTCGTCGCGAGACCATTACGGTTACGGTAGGCGAAAAAAGGGCAGAAAGTCGAGAGATTAACTGCTATTTTCAGCCGATAAAAGCGACGAGCTCTTCACGTCTGGACAAATACACTCCGATGCCGATGGAGGGCGAAACTCCACTGGAGAACCGGGCGAGTCGGCTGAGACGGATGAAGTTGGAGGAGACGATGGGACGATTGAACAACTCGTCGTTCGGATCCTCCTCTTTTCTATTCTAACATGAACATTTCCGTTTTCGCTTGTTGATTATGTCTAGAAATTGAAGAATCTGTTGATTTCTGACTAACTAGGGACCAGGTAGACTGATTTCAGCTCCGATATTTTTTGCAATTTACAACCGAAACCTACCAAACTGCTGGTTCTGTGGCTGCTGCTGCTGCATGAACTGCGGCTGAACGGTTCCGATGCCTCCGGCCGGTCCCCCTCCGAATCCTCCGCCGCTTCCGTACATTTGCTGCTGCTGCATCGGCTGGAATCCTCCTCCGCCTTGAAGTGGCGGAACGGGCGTGTTCGGCGCCAGCTCGCCCACTTTTATCTTGACGAGATGGGCGGCGTGGTGGATCTGCTGCGCGTTTCCCTTGATCTCGAACACCTTCTCGTCCTCTTTCTTCTGCTCGGAAGCGGGCGCGAGTCCGCACGTGGCGCCCGTCTCTCGCTCGATCTGCTTGATGTTCTCGCCGCCTTTTCCGATGACGAGGCCGCATTTGTGGGCCGGCACGTGCATGTAGAACACTTGCGTGGCGCCACCTATTCCACCCATCGAGTGCATCGAGCCGCCAATTCCGCCGCCGCCGCCAGGACCGTTCACTTTCATCGCTCTGTTCACAATTTCGGTGATTCGCTCCGTGGCTCGGTAGATTTGGTCGCGCGTGCCCATTATTATCGCGACGCGATCGTCCGACTTCGGATCGTCTGCAAGAACACGAATATATTTTTTTTTTTCGATATAAAGTTCAAATTTGAGTCAAAGACTTGAAATCAGTGTGCGAAGTGTCTCACCGTCGGGTTTGAACTGGATCTTGGTGCCGGTCTCCTGTGCGAGCCGCTTGATAGTCTCGCCTCCGCGTCCGATGATCATTCCGGCCGAGGATCTCGGCACGATCACCTCGCCCTTCGCCTGCGCCTCGGCCCCGCCCCCTCCGAATCGGTGTCCTCCGGTGCTCGGAAGGCCCGTCGTCCCCTGGTTCATGATGTTGTTCACCAGAGCTTTCGCCGTTTCTATGGCCGCCGGCGTTCCGATCATTCGCAGCGGCTTCGGCTGGCCCGTCGTCGTTGTCGAGTCCTGCACGACCGAGCACGAGCGGAGCCCCGACTGCTCCTGGATCGTTCGGATCGTTTCGCCGCCCTTTCCGATCACCAATCCGCACTTATCAGCCGGTATCAGCATCTCCTCCGTGATTTCGCCGCCTGCAAATGTGATTGAAATGAAAAAATAATGAACAGTTACGTTTTCCCCGAAAATACGTACCCAATGGCTGGAGAGGCGGTCCCTGTGGGCCACCCGGTCCTCCGACCTGATTGCGCGCGATGACCTGCGAGATCATCTGCCGCGCCAACGCGACGTTCGGAGGCGGTCCCTCGATCGTACAGTTGCGGAATCCGTTCACGGACTGGTGGTCCGGGTCCATTTGCACACGGCACCCGCTGTTTTGCTGGATTTGACGGATCTCGCTGCCGCCTTTTCCGATCACTGCAAATTGAGAGTTACTTTAAATTAAAGCAGAATGTTTCGAAGATTTGAAAATGGTTTTTTTTATCAAAAATGGCACTTACCGAGTCCAACGACCTTCTCCGGCACCTGGTAAACTTCGGTGACTTTGTCCACGTCGCCCATGTTCACTACTCCGACTTCCGATACTTTTTTCGCCGGTATAAGGTCTCCTGAATCTGCAAAAATCACATTTATGAGAATTTGCTTACAGTTGAAGCTCAAACGTGAATTTTAGCGTGATTCTGTTTGCGGAATGTGGAAAACTCACGCGGAAGCTGCATGAACGCAATATTACAAGTTTTCAGGCAAAAAATGGCCAAGAGTATTCAAAACAACACGAACAGTGAAGAAAACAGGTAGATCAAACAGAATTTAGCAAATTTCCAGAATTTTCCCGCGCATAAACCATTTTCGAGTATAAAAAAAACGAAAAGATCAGGGCGGCGTGCCCGAAACGAACTGATTGTCCGTGATCGGCAAAGAGGACGAAAAACCAGTTTTGGCGGTGAAAATGAAGAGAAAAATGATAAAAAAAAGTGCATTGGAGAACGGGGGAAGCGTAAACTTGACGCAACACATGCAAATTTTTTCTTTTGCTTTGTGCACTTCGCTCATTTTCAGTACGGTAGCGCGTTTCGCGGCGAGACCCACCATCCAAGAGTCCGGGAAGCGGTCTTTTCAGATTTCCATCGTTCCCGCCGATAATCTGCAAAAAAAAGGGTTTTTGGAGGGAAATCCGCCTGAAAGTGAGAATAATTCTTCGTAATTCATGGAAAATTTCGAAGAAATTCGCAAAAATGGGCAAAAACATAGGGAAACTGGCGTGGGCGTGGGCGGAAGTGAAGAATGAGACCTGAATCGTATTGACACCGTTCATTATCGTGAGCGAGAAGCGAGAAACGAAGACACACAACAATTTATGGGGAAACTTCCTGAAATTATGGGTTAAAGAGTGAGCAATCAGTCGTTTCATTGTTTTAAACACCAGAATTTTTGTAAAATTAATAATTTGACAGAAAAAATTACAAAACTTGACTAGGAAAGATCAGAAATTTAAGAAATTCGAATTTTGGCCTAAAACTTTAAAAATGCGAGTTCCACGTGGAATCCTCGACGGAAATTTTGAATTTTCAGATAACTCCCTGTGAAATCTTCATTTTCAGACAAAAATATTTTTTTGAAATTCTCTAAAAACTACAAAAACTGAGCCACTTGGCACCGTGCCAGCAGCTATCGATCCTCCGCCCCTCTGCAAAAGTTCGGCCACGGCCTCGTGTACTCCTCTCGGACAAGTTGCAAATGTCTTATTTGTTGCTAAATATTGCAAAATTCAAGCATTCGGGCTCAAATTTTTCCAGGAAAAACACACAAACATTGGGTTTTCATCAGCTTTATTCATCAGACAAATGCATCGAAAATTAAATAAAACGAGTCGGCGGCCGCGAAAAAATTGAGAGAAATAAAGATTTTAATAAAGAACATGGGTTAAAAAGAACAAGTTTACGAATCATTTATTGTAGATGTGTGTGTGCGTGCGTGGGCGCGGGTTCACAACCGAACTTGAGGCCAAAAATAAAGGGATAATCTGTTTTTGGTACCACTTTTGGTTTTTTTTTCTTTTTTTGCATTGGAAATAAAGGCAGAGGTCAGCAAAAGACGACTATCCGATGATATGAAATTGAAGGAAGGGAATTCATTTTTGGAGACAAAATGATGATTTGCATCTAATAATGACTAAAAACGTGCCCGTGACCCATAACAAGCGGTTTTGGTGACCTTTTTGCGGAAAATTAACGAGTTGAAAGTGCGTTTTTCTCGGCAAAGTTTGAAATTATTCTCTTGACGTCCTTCTCGTCCAGCTCATCCGATTCTTCCCACATGGGCTCCTCTTTGATCGGAATTTCGTCCGCCACGTCGCCATGCACGTCTCTCGAAGCGTCCGAAGAGCACGAAGCGTGTACTACCTGCAAAATGGCGAAATTGTTCTGCTTTTGCTTGAAATTTCAACGAAAATCCTCGTTGTTTTCTTTTTTCTCGTTCTCAAATCGTACAGATTACTTTTCTAAACGGTTTTATCGACAAAATCCTCAAGAATGGTACCTTTCCGTGCACAGTGACAGTGTCCCTAAAGCGCCACGTCTCGTCGTCGTCGTCGAAATACTCGTCGAACTTCTCCCTGCAGACGGCGCACTCCTTGGCTGTCACTCCGCTCGAGGCCACTCCGGGCAGCGGCTCCTCCCGTTCCTCCTTCACTTTTTTGCTCGGCTGTTCGGCGGCGCGTTCGGTGAGCCAGTCGGCGGCCAGCGGATACCAGAGCCGGTACTGAGCGCCCGCGGAGCCGACCTTCGCGAGGTTCTGCTTCACGTGCCAGTCCATATGGTCCTGCCAGTCTTTCGAGCGGCCCTGCGAGTCGTCGAGCCGCATTCCGCAGAACTTGCACGCGTCGGCGCGCTTCGTCGTCAGCTGCTCGACGACCGAATCGTAGCGGATCTGCAGCAGTCGGATGTTGAAATCGGTGATCGCCGCCGGAGGAACGTGTCTTTTCTCGACGCCCAATGGCGCCGTCTCCGGCATCATCGTCGCCTTTCCGCCGCCGTTCGGACCCCATTTCTGGTGGTTTCCTTGGTTCGGACCTCGGTTATTCTGGTTGTGACGGCCGCCTCGGTGCTGCTGAAAAATGAGCGGTTTTTTGTAAGAAATCGTCGAAAAAATGAGCGTACATTGTTGGTCTGCGGGGGCGGCGTTCCGCGGGGCGATTCAGTTTTGACGGGCGGCAAAATGCCCGTCTTCTGCAGGTTCTTGAGGTAGGCGAGCCATTGGCCCGTGTCTTTCGGGTTCTCCGCCTTGATCTCGATCTTCTTCTCTTCCCGCATCTTGTGCAGGTACCGCGTGAAGTGATACGCGGGCTCCGGCTCGATCTTTACTTCTGGGGCGCTTCCCGTCAGCCGGATCTCGTGCCGGCGGCCGTTGATTGTCGCCACGATCGGAGCACCGCCGAACGATCCCTGAAAACATTGATTCGTAGAAAACATTGAGATTTGAAGCTGCGAAGTGCTCACCTTGAACGGAAATCCGCCAATGTAGAGTTCGCGTGAGGGGGCGCCGTATCGGAACACGTGCGTCTGTCCCTGAATGTCGATTTTAGTGGGCGTGTCGAAGGGAACCATGTGCGCGACGCCGTCGATGATCAAGTTGCGCGGATTGCCGGCGAAGTAGATGCGGTGCGGCGCGCCGGCCCGCTCTATAACCGCCACGTCGTCCACGAACATCACCTCGTACGCCTTGCCCTCCACGAAGATGCGGTTGTTTGCCGGCACGTCCAGCTTCGTCGTCTCCGACGCGTAAATGTTTTTCTCGGGCGGCACTCCTTGCTGCTGGTACTGGTTCTGTTGAGGCATCGGAGCAGGGGCCATTCGCATCGGCGTCGGATCCTGCGGGGGCGAGTTCCGATGCAGGAACGGGACCGGCGGCGCCGCGGAGGACGGTGGGATCGGTGGCTGGGCGTGGTAGACCGCAGGAATCGGAGGGATCGGGTACGGTTGCGAAGGGAACGGCAGCTGGACGAGCGGTTGCGTGGGCGGCATTGGCAAGATGGGTGGACGGACGGCCGGCGCCGAGAATGCGTGCGATCCGACGACCGAAGTCGGTCTGAAAGAGGGCAAGCATTAGAGAAATACTTGCAAAATCTAGAAAATTCTGCGAAAAAGGGCCTACTTGAGTGGTCGCACGGTTCTGAGATCGGTGTCCTGCGGGGGCTGGTGACGTGGCGCCGATCGGAGGTCCTCGTCCGCCGTCTTCGGCTGTGATTTCTTCCTATTCGGCGCGTTCGTGTGCTCCGGCGGTGTCGCTTTACGTTTCGAAGAGCTCGCCGGGCCGGAGGAGGAGGCCGATTTGGCGGAGGAAGACGGAGGCTGGGTCGGCAGGAGCTTGTCGCTGTAACTGACCGGTTTTCAGTACTTTTTCAAAAGCTCGCTTTGAGAAAAATTTAGAAAATTACTAAAACTTCCATTTTTCCTCAAAATTATTATTTCCTAGAAGAAAGACGGTAAAACAAAATTTTCTGTCTGGAAAGTTGAATTTCCGCCTAAAAACTATTTTTCGTTCAAATCATGCAACTCACAGCGGATCGATAGTCTCCTTTTTCGGCTCCCGCTTCGGAACGCGTTCTTTCGTTTCCTTGGTCGCTTGCGTCGGTGTACTCGTCGTTTTCTGAAACCAAATCAACAATTCAACCCACTCTCTCTCTCTCTTCCTCTCTCTCTCTCTCATTATTATCCAACCATCCGCTTCCACACGTGTGCAATCGCGCTCCAATGCAAAAAACTGACAACACATTTATTAGTGCGATGGAGCGCGATTTCTTCCGGTCGAAAAATAACGACATTTGTTAGATTCCCGAAAAAATGAGAAGGAAGAAGAAGAAGAATGTGGTGTTTCGACGACGAACCGATGTGTGAGAACATGTTTTCTTTTGCGGAGCAAATTCGAAAAAAAAAGACAGAGAAAAGTGCGGAAACGAGAGTAAAACATAATGATACATTCGAGAAGAACTCTTTTATTTTTACCGTTTTTTCAATCCGTTTTCCGGCCGCCGCGGACGATGACGTCGCGTCGATGAACTTTCGGTTCACGAAAACGCGTGAAGAGGAAGCGGAAGCGGAAACTGCTCCAGAAGTGGGAGTGGCTGGAGTCGGCGTGGCCGGCGTGGGCGGGGCCACGGTCGGATCGTCGCGGAGGGCACGGCCGGTCCGCGGGTTCGAAATCGGCCACGCGCTGTCCATCTCGTTGATCTGAATTGCAACATTTTCCCGCGTTTCTACTCGAAACTCACCTTCATGTCGAGTTGGTACAATTTCGACGGCATGAAAATGGAGGTGGAGGCCCAAGTGATACGCAATTTGTACAGTGCACTGCGCACTTTTTCGTCTCCCTGCAAATTGAAAATGCACTGGAAATCCTAAAAATGGGTGCGTACCTGTCGGAAGACGTGCTCGAACATGTTCACAATCTTGCGCCCGAACAGCATGTCGTAGTCGTGCGGCTTTTTCGTATTCTTCAGAATCGAATCGCACACGTACATGACCGTCAGCTTCTGCATCGGCGGCACCGTCGTCAGGTGATTCTCCAGCACGTCCACAATCTGAACATTCACTGTTTCCGTTAAATCTTCGAGGTTTTACTAGGAAACCCCGATTTTAGGACATTTCTCATGATTTTCGAGGAAAACATTAGGGTACCTGTGGAGCCGCTTCTTTGTAGTCTTCGGCCAAAATGGTGAGCAAGTTAATCTGCGTCTTGTTGTTCGATTTGAGCTCGGCGAGCGTCAGTCGATACTCTTCGGCTGCCATTTCCGGCGACTCCATTTTGTGCGCACAAAAATCGAATCGATGATTGATAGGGAGGAAGAAGAAGGAGAAGAAGTGAATGAATAATAGTTGGATGAGTGGAAAACCCGATTTGAATGTTTACGTGCTGAAAGAAAAGAGCACGTTATCGGTGGGTTTTTGGGGCGAAACGGAAGACGCGAAACGAGAAATAACACGGAGAAAATGAGCGTAAATGGGGGATTTTTTCGAAATTCGAAATTCGAAATTTAACGGAAAGAAATTGAGCTGATTTCGAAATTTCTTCCTAGAATGTTACAAGAAAAAGGTTTAGAATAATTCTAGAACTTTTTAAAAATTTAAAATCCGAAAGTGATGCAAATTTGGTCTCTATGGGTATTTTCGAAGGGAAAAGACGACAAAGGAAGGAAAAAGAGGAAAGAAGGTCCACAACCGGCCTGAAAAATCGATAGATCGATTACGCGAGCGGGCGGCGACGCGCGGAACGCGGTCCGCTCCATTTCTGAGTCGGAGCGCACTTGCAGAACAAAAAAGTGACGTGATCGGCGGCGAAGACCTCATCGTTTGCTAGCAGGGAGACTCTTTTTCTCACATTTTTATTATTTTTTCGTTTTTTCATTTAGAAAACAGGGGTAAGAATAAAATATTGCTCCGGCCGGCGAGGGCTGACGATTGGCGCGGTGACTGCATCCAATCGAAACGTGCGCGGAGCTGCCGGAGAATCCGTGGCGCGGATCTGAAAAAAGTCAGTAGAAGTTGGAAGGAAAACGACGATTCCGGACACGAAAATCGAGATTATTGACACAAAGAACCGGTTTCCCAATAGGAATTAGGTCAGCTTAGAATGTACGAATTTTTAAACGATCTTGCTTTGATTTTCACGGAAAAACACATTTTCATAGTGAAAATAGACAAAACTTCAGCTGATGGAAAAGCAGCACGACCCAAAAACAGCTGAAAATGACGGTGAAAAAGGCGTAAACAGGAGAAGCGAAGAGCGGAGACGGAAGACGGTTAGAGGCGAGGCGAAATGGGAGGAGGAGCGCGTGCTTCCCGGGCTGATCGATATGCGGCTGGGTCTCGCCGCGAATTGACAGACAAAGCGCCGAAGCGGAGACTAAGACGAGCAGAGAAAGGTGTGTGACGCGTGCAGGTGTCTTAGCGAGCGGAATGACAAAGAAATGTAATTAAAGGTGACGCAGAGTCGACGTTTTTCGCAGAATTCGTCTGAAAATCGAGCTGGGCTGGTTTTTGAGCTTGCTTCGATGACAAATATTCGAAGAGCCCCATTTTCAGCATTTTTCTAGAAGCCCAAACAGAATAAAGAACCGTAAAGTTGAGCTCAAATTTCGGCGGTACAACGCAATAGAACTCGCACGGAATAAAACTGTTACGATATAGAACTCGCAACGTTTAAAAACAACTGCGAGTTCTATTACGTTGTAGCGCCCAAATTTCGCCGTTTTTCTCAGCGAAAATGTGTTTTTTGATGCGAATCTGATTTTCAGCAGAAATCTTGCCAATTCTAACGTAATTTTATCTAAAAATCAAATAAAGAAACCGATAAACGCAGGAAAAACTCAGCATGCAAAGTGAAAAGCATTTCGAAATGACGCGTGGCGAATGCCTGCGTCTCCTCGTTTCGCACACTATTTCGTCGGTACGCAGTACGTAAACATTGCATTTTACGACATTTCGAGGTGTACGGTCGCATAAAAACTCCGGATGAGCAATAAAGTGATTACGAATTCAGGATGATTTAAAGAAAAAGAAAACATCGGATCGGCAAGAAGAACTACAATACAGGCGTTGAAAAAAATTCCTACAAAAAAAAACATGAAATAAATAAGATTGCACTAAAAATGGCAAAAATTAGCTTTTATATTGTAAAACTTTGGGTTGTGAATGCGGAAATTCGGGCGGTCCGTACAGTTTTTCGGCACGATGCAAAAACGCCGAGACCATCGTTTTGACGACTTTGTCGAAGAAAAGATGGGCGATTCTGGAGTGGAACGCGGATTCGAACTCGAAAACGAGGTCGTAGTGGAGGGTACACGAGCGGGCCACGTCCGGTTGTCCCTGAAAATAGTCTGGGATTTTTTCAGAATTTTCTAGATTTTTTTTACAAAACAATAGTTTTTTACCTTTCCGAACCGAAAAGTGGTGTCCAAAGTCCGGAAAAGGTTGTCATTTTCGATGACAACCGACTGAAACATGCAAAAATTATTTCAAAAACTACAGTTCCTCGCTCACATGGACAACGGACGGTTTAATATAAATCACGCGACTCGTGTACTTCTCCAAAAGTGGCGGGAATCCGATTTCGAGCGTCGCAATCTGAAATGGGTCTCGGCACGAAACGGCAGCGGGTTACTGTACCTGCGAGTTGTCGTGCTCTTGGGCTACTGTAGAGGAACGGCACCAGGGCACGAAATGGTGGTAGTCCGACACGTTCGCCACCACTTTGAACATTTCGTCGCGCGAGAATCTGGAAAATTCGGGGTTTTTTGGTATCATTGGCCGTTCGAGGCCTGGACGCCAAACTTTGCAGGCTTTTTGGACTTGGATTGCAGAAACCCGGCTCTGGTTGGTTTCTATTTTGAAACTGTTTCATAGCTCCATCCTCTCCCTGTTATTCTTCGCCTGTGCATCACATTTATTACACATCCAAGACCATTTCATAATTGAACAATGTCTGTGTCTCGTTCTCTCGTTGCCTTGAGACGACAGAACGGAATGTTTTCTCTATCATTCATTCTTTCTGCCGGCTTCCATCGGGATGCCCCCCTTTTCTTCTTATTTTCTTTAATTTCTCCAAACGTCTTTGGGCACATTCCACTCAATACAAAACTTTCAACAAAAAAAAGGTAAGCATAGCCGATTACATCTAGATTACACCTTCTCTTGTTTTCTCATAAAACCCTACCCCATCCCCGTTACAACATAAAACTCGATACGTAAAGTAATTCTTACAGAGATGGTCAATCATCGAGCTGCTGACCGACGGATGCACAGAGACTTTGAGATCCGTTTCGAAGGTAGCCCTCACCAATGCTTTCACTGAGAATGCAAGCAACTGGAAGACCATCGAAGGCCGTCGGCAGGCTTAGTCAGAGGGTTCGTGTAGAAGCCAATCTGCGCCATATCGCGTTCCGACACCATTGAACATCACATTCATTTCAACCCACACAACGTCCCGCGATGCGCCAGGCCTTTTTCGCCTGACCCCCACTTAGACGCGCCCAGTTACTTGTTTGTATGTGTTGTAAGGGATCTGGAGATCCCAAACGCCACGGGTAATCAGCACATCTCCCAGGGACCACTTTTCGATCGAGAGGGCTCGTACCTCGCCCTCTCGCACCCATCCAACCTTTCCGAGGCACGGACTTCGTCCTTTCCCCCTCCGATCCCATTCACTACAAACCGACGACATTCCAGATCACATCCCGCTTCCGGCCTCACGTGATCTCCCCGCACCGACATTCCAGCCGCCTCTGCTCGATCACGGTCTCACCGCATCACTTCCGGCCAGCTCCACATTCCAACCACCTCTATATTGTAAGGGATAGGTCATCCCTTATTAGGCGCGCTAGAATAACCCATTCCCATGGCGCTTTCCCGGTCGCACTTTGCCCTTGACTCGCATTCCTGAACCAGGAAGCTGCAGTCAGAGCGAATCCATTAGACGCGTCCCCGACGCGTCGCGAGCCCCCGCCCGCTGCGCCTCGGTTCTCGTCACAGTCTCTAGAACGGAATGCTTTCAGAGCCGACCGTCGAGCCAACATCCGATCACGCCACCAACGCCCCTCGACTTCCGTCCGATCCAGCTCCTCCCCGACTGATCAATATATAAGCCCTCGATCTCGCTGTTACTAGGTCTTTTCCCTTCTCACCGAACCCGTTCTGAATAAACCTATTAATGCTAGCAAGCCTTTATTATATAATCCCCCAAGTCCCGCCTACAGGGAGTTCCCTGGATTGTCCGATCCTGAATAAACCTTATCCCTCGATCAGTGTCTCTTTGGCCAAGGTCCTTCGACCTTCACACCAGAGCTAGTTACACCTCATTGTCGAAACCTTCGAGACGTTCCCAAGCTATGTCAGTAATGTTTTATAAAAAAGCTGACTCACTTTGTTTAATACAATTGTATCACGTATGAATAAGCAATTTAGCAGTGAACTCCTAAAAACGAACCCGATTAACCGCTTCTCCGAGTAGGCCATTTCGTTCGAATTGAAACGGCGCTTCTGAACGAGATGACGTGGCAGTGACGTCATCGTCCGTCGCGCCAGCATCTGAATATCATTGGGAAAGTGAAAAAGTTGAAAGAGAAACGAAAAAGTAGAAATTCCGAGTCGATTTGTACGATTTTAGGCGGACAATAGAGCGAATGTTTTTGCAGACAGAACCCGTTTTATTCTGTAAAACTTGGAAAGGAAAAACAGGGAAAAATGGGTTGAAAGACTCGGAGAATGGCAAAAGGGTGTCTAATATTCGTACTCGGTGCCGTCGATGGTCTCAATCTGTTCGAATGCTCCGAACTCTTCTATCTCCTCCACTTCTTCCACAGTTTCCTCGACCACCGGCACCATTTGTTCGTACGATTCCGTCAGCATCGTCCCTTCGTTCATTCTGAACACAAATTTGAATTGGAACCACGAAAATATAGTACCGATGGTGCTCGTACTCCCTCTGCGCCTTCTCGAGTCTGTGTACTTTGGGAGCGTTGGGCGCAATGACCGAGTCCACCTGCAGCATGCACTGACTGTTGTGCTCTTCTCCGATTCCGCGGTGCGCAAGCGACAGGTGCATGATCTTGCGCTGCAGAAAAACATGTATTGGGTTAGCTCAATGTTTCCAGAGATGCAGTAATCCGATCAGACCGGAACTTCACAGGCTTCTTGGACTTGAATTTAAGTATATTGGGTTCAGGTTCCAAACCGATCCGATTATCTGGTCCCGAGATATGTGCGAAATTTTGAACTCTTCATTTCAAATAGTTCAAAAGTCCATTTTCCCTCTTTTCCGATGCTCACCCTGACAGTAGTCCACTTCTTTCCGCACAAAAGACACGTGAGATGTTTGGAAGTGGCGCTCATGACGTCCTGATGGGCGTATGACACGTGGAATGCGAGCACTTGAACGCATTCGAACGAGCGGCCGCAGTGGCCACTCAGACACGTGAAAGTGGACAGACTGCACGGGTGGCCGTGTCTGAAACGGATATCATAAATGGATTGTGGGGGGCGGGGCGAGGGGGACTGACTCTTTGAGCCGTTTCAGCACGAACTGCTCGTCGGTGCCCAGTCGCTGTCCGCCTCGGATCGCCCGTCGTTCCGACTGCTGACTCAGGAATTGCTTGCGCAGCTGTTCCACATAATTCTTGTCGAAGACTCTCGGAAAGGCACTCGACGATGCGAATTCTGAAAAGAAAATGAACATCTCAAGGCATCTTTCTGAAAAAATGCGTGCCTTGCTGAGCCTGCCGCTCTTGTTCTTGTTCCTCCTCGATCGGTGCTTCGCTAGCATCGTTTTCGTCTGCAAAAACTCGAATTTTCGAAAATCTATCAAATGAAGACATTCCAAAAGTTGGAAAACATGTTTTGAGCTCACAGAACTCACAAACAAAAAACTTGGTGTCCTGCAGAGTGTTCTGTGGTTTTGAAGGTCCTAAATACTGCCAATTCGGCAGCATCTGAATTTTCTTCAATTGTTTTCGAGGAACATGTTTTTTGGGTGGCTGGGAAAAGTAAAATTTCATTGGATTTTTACCATTTTTATAGTTAAAACCAATAAATTGGCATAAAAGATCGTATAAATTTTATTTTAAAGCATGACAAATTTTACATAAATCACATAAATTAATTTATAAATTATTGGGAAAGAGATCGTGTCGAGACCCGGTTTCACTCGTCCATCCGTTCCGTTTCTTCAGGTGTCTTCTGCGCGTCCGTTCCGTTTTCCGAAGGCGTCGAGGCCGTCGTCGGCTCTTCCGCAGCCGGCGACTCTTCGGCCATTTCCACGGACTCCGGCCCGGATTCGGACGCGATCGGCGCCGGATTCATGCCGGAGATGATGTTGGAAAGGTCTGAAAACAGCGACGAGCACCCGGATTGGGCCAGCAGCGAACTCTGCAGCGTTCCGAACGTCGAGCCTGGAAAAAATACAATGTTATATTGTTCCTTTTTGCGCAGACGTCGACCGTAACCGCCAATTGTCGAAAAATGAGACCTTGATGGGAGGAGCCGACGCAAACGTGCGACAAGTATTGCATTTGGGCGCCGAGCTCGTTCTCCACAGTCGTTATGAGCCGTTTGAACGTGTTTGCGTTCTCGTCCATTTTGTTCTGAAAGTTCTGAGATTTACAAAAAATTTGTGATTTTTCGAAAAAAAGAATGCTAGTCTGCTCACTTTGCTAATTTGCTTCTCTTTGTGCAAATCGTTGATAATTTCACGGGCGCACCTGAAAAATTTCATTTTTTGAAAAAATGAGAATAATTCTAATTTTTGCCCTACTTCATCATGTCGTCAATGTGCTTTTCGGTGGCCACAATCGCATCGATTCGATTCGATAATATCGGATCGCCCGACGTTCCGTTCTCCATTCTGTACGCTAAAAAAATGCGCGAAAATTATAATAAATTCAAAAAGTCCAAAAAAATAATATACAAGCGCAATGGACACTTTTCACTATTTCCACAAAATTCCAAAAACGTTCAAAGATTTTTCATCGGTGAAAAAAAGCAATGGGGACTAGAAATGAGCAGTGCAAAATGGTCGAATCGATCAATAAATGGGAGGGGAGAAAAATTTCGGTGAAAAAATTCACAAAGAAATGTGAGAAAACCATGGGGTGCACAGGAGAGAAAAGAGCTGAAAAATTGGATTTTTCAGCAAAGAAGTGAAATTCGGAATCACAGTGGGAAAGGCAACGAAAGTCGAGTAGAAAGTGGAAAAATTGGAAAAATAGGGTCATGAGCAGTGTGGATGATTTATAGATGATTTTTAGAAGTTTCCAGATGAAAAATTCAATTTCGACCTCCGGCTCTCGGTGGCGGCGGCAGATTCGCGAGCGGCGTAAAGTGGAACCTGCAAAAAACAAACGTCGCGATTTAATCAATTTTTTTTAAACAAAAAACCAGCGATACGAACCTGCTGAGCGGATGAAATAGAACATTTGACGAAACGATGGCCGTGGACATCATGGTCGGGTACGGAGAATGAGCTTGCGGGGGCGCCGGGGCCGGCGAAGCGCTCAAAATCGGCGGCGGAGGGGCCCTTCCCGGTCCCGCAGAGACCGTCGCTTTTGAGGCGATCCGAGGCGGCGGGGGCGGAGCGTCTTCCGTGGATCTGCAATGGAATAGCTATTTTTACAAATTTTATATTTGTGCACTGTCAAATTATTGTCAATTTTCGAGTGAAAAAGCGTACCTGGACGGCTGGAATCTGCTGGACAACTGGGCGATGGAGGGTGTGGCTATGGGGACCGGCGGAGGGGGAGCAGCCGGTCGAGCTGGTGGCGGGGCGGTCGGGCGGGCCATTCGGCTCGACGAAATTGTGCCCGTTTGGGGTATGTCCTGCAAAGAAATTACTAAAAATTTAGGAAGATCAACAAACGAACCGATTTTCTCCACATTTTACACGAAATCGAATGAAAAATGAACATTTTAACAAAAAACAAGATATGTCACGCGTTTTTCGACCGAAAAGCCGCAATTTCACAGCAAAAGCGAACCTCAGAACTGCCGCTTCTTCTCATCATTGTCGGCTTGTCGTTGGCCGGACGGAGAGGACGCATTGTGCGGAATTGTTCACGATCCACCTGAAACTGACGGAAACGATGCACGGAAACACGAAAACCGCACAAAAACCATGCTTTTCACTTTTCTCACAGAAAAATTCAATTCTTCCTATAACTAACCCCAGGTTTGGCTTGTTGAGCTGGCGGCGGCGGCGGGGGCGTCGGTTTTGAGCTCGGAACGGACAACGGAGGCGGCGAAGGTGGAGCCGGAGCGGGAGAGTGAGAAAATGAGGAGGAGGGCACGATGGACGGCTTCCGACCTGCAAATTAGAGGAAATTAGTGTAGAAATTAGGGGAAATCACTGAAAAACAACGGAACATAGAGGGAAAAACAACCGAAAAAGGGTTGAAAACTGAAAATGTTACCTTCGACAGCTGGAATTGGGGCCGGAACTGGTGGCGGAAGGGGCGGAGCAGCAGAAGCCGACGGAGGAGGTCCTGAGAATGAGTTAGTGCGCTTTTAGGGTAAATTCATGCAAATATGGTTGGCTTTAATCATGCAAAAAACACTCAAAAATGTTACCGATATTCGTGGTGGCTCTTCTGATCTTATTCTCGCTCGGTTTCGACGGTAATCCGTTGGCGAAAAGCCCTCCGATGCCTCCGGAAGCCATTGGAGGCGGTTTGGCCGCGGGAGCAGCCGCACTTCCGTTCGAACTTCCCGAATTTCCACCGGCTCCGACCACTTTTCCCACTGAAGGCGACGATCGATCGTTTGTTACCGTCTTTTTGAGCTTCAATCCTTTCTGAAATTATTGTTTTTAGACGAAAAAAAAATCAGATTTTTCCGGTAAAAACTCACGTGAATATCGCCGAGGAGGGCATTTCGGGCGTTATCCGACGGCGGTGGAGCCGCGGCAAGTGGTGGCGGTGGCGGTGGAGGTGGCGGGGGAGGTGGCGGAGGCATTCTGGAATGAAACTATCCGATGATTCATCATTGATTTTGCGGTAAATTTTGAGAAAGGCTCTAAAAAGCGGGAAGAATCAAGGAGAATCGGGAGAAACGAGCGATCAGAGGGCGAAAACAATGAAAGAAATTGTTCCTCGTGAATTTCTACACAAAAAACTTTGATTCTTCACCCAAAACAATCGAAATAATCCGTCCGGTTCATGGTTTTGTTTGTTTGGCGTCTCACTGGCCACCGTCGCCGCCGACCTTTGGAGTGTCGTAATGTCGCCCGGTTTAGCAGAAAGCGGCAATAACGTCGGAGAGAGGAAGAGAGCACGGTCTCCAGAGCTGACAATATGGGCGTGGCCTCGGCCAAATGGCGTTGTTATGAATTGAGCAGGTTTTCTCTGATTTCTGTGGTCAAAGGCGATGAAAAATGATTGTTAGACATGAAAACACACTAATTCTCTGAATTAATGATGACGTTTTGGCGCATTTTTCGCGGACTTTGCTTTTTCGCCTTCGCCGCCGATCGCCGCCTAAAAACCGCACTTCTCATTTTGCGCTTTCTTGACCGTTTTCAGACAGAATTGGTTTTGAGAATGATAAGTCACGTAAATACAAGCATTTTGAGCGCTCGAACAGCGAAAACTACCGAAAAGTAACTGAAATTCACGCAGTTTTAGCCAAAAACCTTCAAACGGATAAATGTGATTTGCGAGTCGAGCAAATTGCGAATTACCAAATTTAACGCTGTTGCGCTTAAAAAATTTGTAATAGCCTATACAATCGGTCTATCGAGAGAAAAATGAGGAGAAATTATCGGTTTTTCGTGGCTAATCTGGCAAAAAACGCAAATTTCGCGCCAATGTATCGCTGTATTGGGCGCGGGGCGCACTTGCGCCCATTGTCAGCTCTGGAGACCGTGCTGCCCGATAAAACAAAAACGGCGAGGTGGCGTCGGTGACTGCCGGGAACAGAACGATTCTCTTTGATTCTGGAGTGTCCGTTGCTGTTGAGAAAGGTATGAAAACAACATTTCCGACTTGGCGACATTAATTTGCGCTGAAATAGTCTGAAAATGAAGGAAACAGAAGGGAAGATGAGGTGAAAGCGAGAGGATCGTTGCATGTTTGCGTGATAGGGCGAGAAAGAGAAGGGCCAGGGCGACAAGTGAACACGATTCGCTCTGATCCGTCTGTGTCGAAAAAAAAGCTTGAATCTGGACAGAGTGAGCGATTCGGTTAGTGATGGGTGAGAGAGCAGATTGAGCAAGCAAGCTGTCCGGTCTGGAACGCGAAAATAGAGCGACTGCGGCGCTGTTGAGTGCCCAAATGGATATGTATATATATATTTCTGGCCAATTCTGTATTCTGTAGTACAATTAAGCAGTCTTTATGAACAAATTCAGCTGTGTCATTTGAGAATTGCATGTTTTAATGAGGCCGTTTGTGAACTTCTGATGGAAACAGTGATTCCGTGATAATTATTTTTATTTTGAAATTAATTTTTTTCATCTGCAAATTTATTTTCATTCCCAATCGGAGTATTTGTAACCCTTTCCTGTCCTTTGTGAGCGAAACGCCTGAAAAATCAGTGAAAATAACGGGGGCTAAACAGTGCGCGCCACGACAATCCGTCCGTAGGCTCGTTATCGCCATTGCGTCGCCGATGCATCGCATTTGAACGTGCAAGAAGTCAGCTCTTCAGCTGCGGTTCACCGCCGATACATCGGAAACCGTTGCCTGAGGGCCGGGCACGAGAATCGCGTCAACGCATCGGCAAAGACGCAAGGCGGCGTGGATTGACGCGTTCGCGGCGCACGTTTTGCCGTGCAATTTCGTGTGTGCCCCTTATGCATTGGCCGACGTCTAGTGCAATGGTTAAGGATAGGGGCGCTACGCACACCTGAACTTTTCTTTCTTTTCCGCACCCTTTCTCGCGCTTTTTTGGCGATTTTCTGGCAAAAATTTGAATTTTCCGGCAGAAATGTGGAAAAATCGAACGGAAATTGAGAGGAAACGCCTAAAATCGGGCCGATTCATCGATTGTTACAGCGTTTTTTGGCCAACTTTTTGTCGAGCATCTCTGTTCCTCCCGCTCCTCCGCCCGCCACTCGATCGCCGTTTCCCCAGGCGGATCCGTGCATTTTTGACGATTTTCAATGTGACTTTTGCTCTGGAAATTTACAAAAATCTGCTCGAAAGTTGGGCAAGTTTTATTGAATTTTTGCCAGACTTCAAAAAATCCTCCAGACCTTTCCTTATGAATAATTGAAAATTGTTGTTATTTTCTTAATTTTTTCGTTTGGAATTTTTGTTTTCAAAGAGAAAGTCAACAACGTTTAATTTTTCCAAACAAAACGCTTCTTTTTCGAAAAAAAATTGGAAAACTAAAAAATTGTTCTTGTTAAAATTTCCCGCTTTGATGTTTTGCGTCATTTTCAAGTTCCCGGCACAATTACCACATAACTTAAAATCTTACTAGTTTTCATAAAAGTCGTCATCTGTTTTTCTCTGTTTTCCACGTCCGTGGGAATTTTATAAATGCCAATTGTCCTTCAATTCAAATACAGTCTATCTGGCTAGATGTCTGGCCATTTACGTTTTTTTCCGACCGTTTCTCTCCTCAAATTATTAAAATTCAGATTTTTGCAGGTAAAAAATACTTGCTACCATCACCAGCAAGTAGAACAGAAGATCGAATGGCTGAGAAGCAGCCAATGCTCTCATTCGCAAAAATAGTGTCCGGGCAAGCCGTTGGCGACGGCTCGTCGTCTCTGCAGCCAACTCAGCAGATTTCCGAGAAAGCTCCACCACAAAATGCTCAGAACGACGTTCAACACGACTCCAACTCACAACAGCATCCGCAGAAGCGCGGCGAGAAGGAGAACGAACGTCGTCAGCCACGTGGCGAGGGAAAGAAGCGTCGGAATAACAAAAAGGGCGAGCGCCGGGCGAAAGAGTTGAAGACGACCGAAAAAGCGGCCGAAAAGATTGTGGAGGAGGTGAAAGTGGTCGAAGTTCCAGTCGTATTGGAGCCAGCTCCGTTGCCAGCGGTTAACGCTTGGTTTAAGAATAAGGGTGAGGGTTTTACCGATATTTCGAATTTTCTAGGAAAAATAGCATAAGAGCAGTCACTAACCTCGCCCAGTTTCAGAAGAAGCCGCCGCTGCCGCCGCCGCTCTTTCGACGAGTCTAGTTGAGCAGAAGTCAGAGCCAGCTGCTCCAGTTGCTCAAACTTCCGCGGCCTTAGCACCAGTCCAGACCGTTTCGGCTCCAGCGCCTGAGAAAAAGAAGGCTTTGGAGTCGGCGAAACAGTCACAACAACAGCAGATTGTAAAGGAGAAGACGAAGCCGAGAGAGGCCAAAAAAGAGGTTTGGAAGACGGTAAGCCGTTGGTTCGCGGCTTTCGATCATCTGTTTTGCATTCTAGACACCAGCTCCAGTGGCTGCTCCGATTCAAGAGCCAGCGGCTGCTGCCAAGTCAAGATCAGAGGTTTCTAAGGAATCTGTCGAGCAGAAAAAGTCGGTGAACGACCCGGAATGGCCGTCGCTGGCTAAAGCCGACCTCAATGGGCACATTTCGCCATCGAACTCGGTAAGGACTTATTAGGACCATGAGGTTTTGCAAAGTGCATTTTTCAGGACGAACACAACGAGGGAAGCAGCAGCTCACAGCACAAGACTGTCGGCGGAAAAACGACGAAGAAAAGTTGGAAAAGTGTTGAAATAGACGTCGATTACGGAAGCAAGGGAAAAGGTGCGCCGAGAGCCGCAGGCGGAGCAGAGAAGGGAACGAGAAGAGCTGCGAACGACGAAGCCGGTGAGCAGAAAAGGGGTGGAGCGGAAAATAGAGGGGAAAAGATGTCAGGATGCTATAGATTCTAACAGCCGGGAGAGATTGCCATGGAGACCAGGCGCTGTACGACTAGTTGTTTTTTGGGAACGTCTGGGGGATTATTGACGCGATAAAGACGATCAAGGCGGAATTGCCGAATATCGGCTTTTCCAGCTATTCTTTTAAGTTTGGAAAGTAATTTTTACGAAAAAATTCAAAATTCTGTCCACAATATTGCCCACGGGAGAAAGCGCAAAAAATGCAGCTGCTTTCGGAAACAGGAAAAATTGAGAGTGAATTGCTTTTGATATATAGGCCAACAGCGAGGAATAGATTCATTTCGGGCGGATTGAAAGAGCTTGAATGCGCTGGGAAATTGAGCATGTGAGATGATGTCAGAATGCTCCTTTTGAGAGCTACAGCCAGAAATTCGACTCCAGAGGGCCCGGAAAAGAATGGAAAACACTTGAAAACCGCTTCTGTTTTTCAGTGCGACGACGATCGGGCGAAGAGGATTCGGCGAGCGGAGACGAGCAGTACTGGTAAGTATTAGGGCGATTATTAGCCAAATTCGGTCGTCGCGTATATTTTCCCCATTTGCTATAGTGTCCCTCTATCGTCGTCATCATCATCATTTCGTATTCCGCCTCCCTGCTTTGCCCCTGTGCTCTATCCATTTCTCCCTTGTTGTCAAAGCAGCGATTAAATGTTCTCCATGCGGACGGACAGCTCGTCCGTCACGATGGAAATGGAGCGTAGCGGCTCTCGGAGTCGCCCGCCAAGAGCACTTTACTAGAAGAGAAGAACCTCTTCTCTTTCTTTTTGTGTCCGCCAACCAACTTTTCTCCGCAAACCGCAGGGTTTTATACGCATAAATTTGCGTGCGGCCCCGCACTTTCTTTTGCATTCACCATCGTTGTAGCGGCCGGTGACGGATGGTTTCTCATCCCCTTTTGCCGTGCGAACTTTCCTCCCATTCATCGTCCTTTTTTGCTCGTTTTATCGTCAAAAACGGCGCACAGGAACGTGTGGTCATATCTAGTTGTGTCATGTATGCATCCCATAAAATCGCACATTTCTCCGAATGTGTACAAGTTTTTCTTCTTCTCTATTTTCCTTTTTCCATCTTTGTTCTTTTCTAGAGCAACAGAAGTGAGGAAAGCGAAAAACAAGCGCGCTTCTCGAACCCGTTCCTCTTTTTTTCGTTCACCGAAAAAACACCAAAAGTAGTGCAGCTCAGCGCGCAGAGCGGTGGGTCCTTTTTCTCTGTGGCGCACATGCACACCACCACCACCACACGCAATTATTTTCGGGAGTAGAAGAAAAAGGAAGACGTTTGTGTGTGTGTGTGTGTGTGTGTGTGTGCATGTGCACGGACCTTTCTCTCCTTTTATTTATTCCCGATTTCTCACGGTCAAAAGAGAGCCGAATTCATCAGTTTAGTGCCGAAAAAGTGGTGTTGCTCTCTTCAGACATCACTATCATGACAAACGAAAAAGAGAGACCCGGAGTAAGGTGATAAGGCTCCCAATTCACCGTCGTCTCTTGATTTGTACACTGATACTGACCACCACCGGAATTTCCCAATGTTGCCATGAAAAGCGCGCTCAAGATCACCTGTTTTTCTGCGTGAAAACGAAATAAATGAAAAGTCAGCGTTTTTATTTTCAGGTCTCGCAGCAAGGACGACAAAAGCCCGGTGAACGAGATGTCAAGCGATCGGTAAGCAGTTTTATTCACATTTCTTGGCTCGTTTCGCCGATTTTCCCGGTCCGGCCAGTCAGTTCGTTTTCGGCCTTCACAAAGGCATAGTTGCCACGGGCCGGGCCGGGCCGGGCCGGGCCGGGCCGAAATTTCCAAAACTCCGGCCCGGCCCGGCCCGTCGGCCCGGCCCGGCCCGGCCCGGCCCGACCCGGCCCGGCCCGGTCGGCCCGGTTCAAAAAGCGGGAATTCAAAAATTTGAATTATTGATCGCATGAAGCCATTTTTTTGTAGAATTAGGGGTTTTTTTGCAAGCATCGAACATTGAAAAAAACAAATGTATTTCTCATAAAAAAATTCATAATATCAAGAAAACAAAGAAGAAACACTAAAACTTTAGTTCGAAAATTTTTTTGTAATAACGAAAAAAATTTCCGCGAAAAATTTGAATTCCCGCCTTATGAACCGGGCCGAGCCGGGCCGGGCCGGCACTTCACCGACCCGGCCCGGCCCGGGCCGGCACTTTACCGGCCCGGCCCGGCCCGGCCCGGGCCGACCCGGGCCGGCCCGCATGGCCGGCCCGAAATCTGGCAAGTCTGCACAAAGGTGTTGTTATCTTGTCAGTCGATCAAAGCGAGACGGTCTCTTTCTCTCGTTTTCGTTTCGCATTCCCTTCCTCTTCATGCTATTATTCGTCGTGTCATCATCCGCATCACAGAAACATCATCGAGGGCAATACTAGTTTTATGACACATTTTCGGGAAACCACCGACTTTTTGTAGAAACGAACAGAGGGTTTCGAAATATTGCCAAACGTTGGGATCGGATCGCAACAACAATATCACCTCCAACTATGACGTCTTCAAGAAATTCTTCAAAAATTCGGCTCTTCGCGTTCTTCCATCCACCATTTTACTCGGTTTCTCTCCGTCTCACTCTCATCAAGATATAGCGGCCCGCGCGCGCGCTCGTTTCTCCACACTTTTTGTGTGCGCCTTGGGGGTGAGGGGGGCAGCTGACTGACAGGGCCAGGGTCTCTCCCCTCTTCTCGTCTTCTTCGTCGCCGTTTTCCGTCCTCGTAGCGTTTCGCGCGCTCTCTCTCTCTACTTCACCGTTAAGAGACGGAGAGAGAGAGCCTAGAGAGCGAGCGAGCCTTCGTGTTGGTTGGTCGTCGACATTGGCGGCGGGTGAAATGAGTGGCCGATGCGCGTCTTCGCTATTGACGCTTTCGATGCGCTCTCTCACCGTCGCAATTCTCCTCTATTTCGCCTGCGCCCGCGCGCACACACACGTTGTTTGTGATTGCGTGTGTCCCCTGTGCGCAAGAAGAGAGGGGAGCGGGCGGACGGAGTGTGTTTGGACGGGCCCTTCTGCGTCCCCCTTCCCTTCTCCGTTTTTCCCCGTTTCTCCCTCTCTCAAATGTGCCCCTCGCGCGCAAAAGGCAAAGGGCGGTTCTCATGGGCTCATCTCGCTCGGCTTTCACTTTCGCATCCACATCCACATCTACATGATGCTTTATTCGGGTCGACAGATGACATCGCCTACGCGTTATGTGATAAATGAGCTTGAGACGAAGCTCATTTTCGTTTTTCTCCCCCTTTGGGACATCCAATTATGCTCGGTGAGCCCCTAAATTTGGGCATCAACTGTCAACAAACGTAGCTCGCCTTTTTATGTCTTTGGCTTCTTCGTTTTCTTCTTATTCTCCTTCAGAACGAAGACAAAGGGCTTCTTCCCCGTCCTCCTCCGTTTTTTCTCTCCTCCGAATTCAATTTGAGAGCTCCCCGGCTTCTCTCGCACATACATCGACGTCATTTCTCCGGCATCCTTGCCTTTAACGGGCCCCCAAACAATGACATCACTATTTTGCTCTTTCTCTCATTTCTCTCCCCTCCATAACCCAAAAACACGATAATTTGCAGTGTCGTGGATTCCGGATCGAATGGAATATACTACCAACAAGGTGGTACTCACGGCTGGAAGAAGAAAGTAAAAAACGATTTACCGACGCCGCCGAATTCGACTTCGCCGCAAGACAGCGAAGAGAACACGCCAGAGCACTTGCCAAAAGAGAAATCCGCCGCCGCAGCTTCGAACACTGCCGCCGCCGCCCCCTCAGTAGTCGCAATGAACGGAAACGCCAGGGTAAATATGCATAAAAGTGTGGGCTGTTCTTTTAGTTTCTTTCTATCCAATTTCCTATTGAAAAATCCAATTTTTCCCGCGTCCGGTCCTAATTCGATAGAAATTTAAGGGATCTGCTCCGAACCGCAACGGAAACGGAAACGCCTCGTCGGGCGCCAAAACGGCCGACTATTGGCACAAGAACAGCGAGCGCAAGGACGACAAAAATCAGAGGGCCTACTATCAGAGATCCGACAGATATCAGGCGCGCAACACGAATGCACAGTCACATCCGCACGCGCCGCCGAAGCTGACTCCAGCAGAACGCCAGAAGCGCGGTCCGCTGCCGAGATGGGAGGACATCGAGGCCGGAGACGACAATTTCGACTACATGACTCTGATGGAGGCCCAGTATTCGCAGTACTATGGAGCGCCGCAGCAGTTCGACCACCAGCTCGATCCGCACTCGGCGAACCTGCTCATCCAGCAGGCTCAGCAGCACATGGCCGCGTTCGCGCCGTTCCGGCCACCGATGCAGATGATCTCGCCGCATCTGATGTCGCCGCCGTTGGACCGTGACGGCGGAGTCACTTCGCCGATGCAGAACGGAGAGCCGATCAACACGTCGATCCCGTTCGCACCGATCTATCACCAGCCGGCGCCGCCACGTCCGGTCACTGACGATACGCTCAAGGAGTACGTCAAGAAGCAGATGTAAGCTCTCTTTTCCGAGTTTACAATACAATCTTTCCCTATTTTCAGTGAGTACTACTTCTCGGACGACAATCTCCAGAAGGACTTCTTCCTTCGCCGCAAAATGAACCTGGAAGGCTACCTGCCCGTCTCGCTCATCTCCTCGTTCCCACGTGTCCGTGCGCTTACCGAGGATCTCAGTCTGATCAGCGACGCCCTCAGGGATTCAACGCGCGTCGAGCTCTCTCCGGACGGGACTCTTCTGCGTCAGCGCGAGAGACCGACGTTCTGGCCGCTTCCTCTGATGCACAGCGGCGGAGACTCGATGCCGGGGCCTTCGCATCAATATCAGCCGCAGCACCAGCAGCACTACCGGCCCGTGCAGCAGAACGGACCGGCTCTGTCGGCCCCACAGACCGCTCCGGTCGCTCAGACGGCTCCGGCGAGTTCAGCTCCGACAGCTGAGCCAGTCGCCACCTCGTCCTTTTCGGCCGCTCCAGAAGCTGCTCAGGACGAGCAGTGGGAGGAGGTGAAATCGAAAAAGAGCAAGGGAAAGAGCCGACATACGTCCGGCTCGCAGGACAACAACAAGAAGGCGCCGGCGGGAGCACAACAGCAGCAGCAGCAACAGAAGCCACAACAACATCAGGGCGGCGCCGGAGACCAGCCAGAGCTGGATTTTCAGTTTGACAATGAGATTTCGGGTGGTGGAGGAGGTGGCTCAGCTGCCAACGCGACCACTCCGAAAAGAGCAGAGAAATCGAAGAAGGCCTTGTTGAGGTTGGTCGTATTCTGCTAATTCGATTAGGAAAGACTAGTCATGGCGATTTTTTGCCGAAATTTTGCCGAAAGAATATTTAGCAGAACATTGCAAAGAATTAGGGAAATTTTCAGTGCGATCGATTCGGAAGAGATCGGAGACGATGTGATAAGCAAACTGATCATCATGACGCCGTCGCGACGAACGCTCGACCGCACCGGCGACTTCTCGACGAGATCGCAGAATCAGGTGGAGTTCAACGAGGAAGTCGAGATCGGACTGCGCAGATACGAAGAGGAGTTGTGGACGGTCCCACTGGAGAAGGAGGCACCGGTAAGAGAGACCCCATTCGATCACATCTGAAATTGATAACCCCGTAACATGCCCCCGATTGCCTGCCCTGCCACCCTTTCTCTTCCATTTTCTGCCTTCAAAGTTGTTCTCGTAACCGTGTTGTCGACCATTTCAGGCGTCCAAAGTGACCACAGTTTCCCCGCAGAAATTCCACGAACTGCGCGGAGACGACGTGAAATCGACGACGGCTTCCGAGCAGCAGCAACCGCCCGAGATCCCGCCCTCGTCGGCTCAGACTCCGCCCGACTCGGTTTGGACGAAAAAGGCGAAGGAACGCGCGGCCGCCAGTCAGACTGTGGTACTGTTTATGGATATTGTGCACTTTTGAGTTATTCTCAAGAATTTACCGCGTTTGAACGTGTTTTCCCTTCTAAAATCTCCGAATTTTCATGTTTTTGTCCGGAAAAGAGAAATTTGAGCTTTTCCCTAACAACTCCCCCCGAAACTGGACGGCGGCCACCCTCAACTCGCTCTTTTTTCAGCCAAAGTCTCCGATGCAACGTCGCGAGTCGCAGGAGCAGAAGATGAACCGCTTCTACCCAGTGTCGAAGCCGGCTGCTCCGCTCGACGCGAAATCGCCGCGCAAGAAGAAGACGCGTCACAGCGAGAAGCCGCCGGTGGAGATGCCGGTCGCGTGGGTGCTCGGTCGCGACGACGCGCTTCCGGCCGCGCCGATCGGGATCGCCGCCAGCTCTTCGCAAGTGCCGGCCAACCATCCGTCGATCCGACTGCTGCAGGAGGATCAGTTCGTGCAGAACGTCTACTCGACATGGCGACAGTCGTGTCTGAAGCAACGCAAGAGTCTTGGCTTCGATTGCGCTGAAATGAACACGCTCTACCGCTTCTGGTCGTTCTTCTTGCGCGATAACTTCAACAGGAACATGTACGAGGAGTTCCGCAAACTGGCTCTTGAGGATTCTGAAATTGGGTTAGTTTTTGTAAAGAAATCTTAGTTTATTCTCAATTTCCAGATCACGATACGGAATCGAATCGTTGTTCCGCTTCTACAGCTACGGCCTGGAGAAGAAGTTCCGGCCGGAAATCTACAAGAACTTCATGAAGGACTGCACGACGGACGTGCAAAAGGGAGAGCTTTACGGACTCGAAAAGCTTCTCGCTTTCTTGCAAAGGTACGCGGATTCTGGAGCGATTTCCGAATATTCACGTCGTTTTCAGGTCGAAAATCTCGAAGCAACTGGTTGTTGACGACTTTTTGACCAAAGAGTTGAACAAATACAGTTCAACCGATGACTTCAGAGTGAGTTGAATCTTCTGTTTCTCTCAAATATTGTCTCTCTTGCAGAAAGCGCCCCAAACGGCCAAGAAGTAATCCTCCATCACCTCGATCCGCATACCCCTTATCACTTTGCTCTCAATAATTTTCGCGCCCCCAAAATCACCTCAAGTGTCCTTTTTTGATAATTTTGCTCAAAAAATCTCTCCCGCACTTTTTCTCCGACCACCCAGTTTCTGCCGATGTTTCGCCCCCACCAGTTATATATTATTTTTCTCAAAAATGATTTCCCTCTCACATTTTGTGAGCCCCTTATCTAAAATTACACGGTTTCTCTAATTTTTTGCTATCTTTGACCCCTTTGCTCCCGCCTACCGTCCGTCCTCCACAAACACCCAAAACTCGATCTTCGCGAATCTTTATCTCTTTCTCTCTCTGAAAACTCACTCTAATGGCTTTTGCACCACCACCACCACCACCACCACCACCAAAAAAAGAAGAAATTTTCGTTATGCCCGATTTAATCGTCGTTGTTATCCCAGAAGCTGTCGAACATTTTTGTAGTAGCCATTTATTTAGACCGGAAATTTTCGCAGCCCGCCACCCGCTCAAAGTTGTTATTAGTTTGAAAACAAGATAATTTTGTTGTACGCGGCTCCGTGAGCACCTGCCGAGCTCTTCCCTTGAGATGCTCAGAAAGTGCGCCACGAGCTCTCCTAGAGTTTGCCCGCCCCTTCCGCCCAGTTTCCCCATTATTTTTGCCCCTTAGTTTCACCTTTTAGGCCTTTTTGTTATTCTTTTTTCCCCAATTCCTCTTTCCCACCCCCCACACACTCTCTCAATCCGCTCTTCTCTTTCTTTCTGACACAGAAAAAATATCGGGCTGAGAAGATTTTTTTGAACTAATTTTTGTAATTTTCCGAAAAATTTTCTCGCTGAAAAATCGGTAGAATAGTGTTTTTTGTTATATATGACTCCCTTTTGCTCCTCCTTTCCCTGCTTTTTTTTGTTTTTTTTTCTTTGTTCGCTAACTTGATGCTTGTGATTTTGGGCTTCTCAAAAATACTCGGGCTCGTATAGATTAGATCCTCAAAAATCCCGAAAATTTGAGACCGCGCCCTCATCCACAAACACATTTTTTCCCGATTTCACTATCGACGAAGTACTTGTCCAATATCATCAAATTTGAGCACATTTTGTGGGCTCCTCGGGCTCCGCCTACCCAAAAACATACTGTCTCCGCCCCATTCTTCTCTTCTTTTTTTCGTCTAACTCTCTGTTCCATTGGATCGATCAGTGCTCGCAAGGGCCAGAAAAGTTTCGAAAATTTCGGGGCTCGCAGAGCATTTTTTGACAATAAAACAAGTGAATCCGAATTTTTCTCGACCCGCTGGCTGATCGATCCGATTATCTCTAAATCCACCGCAAGTCTTGTGTATTATTTTAATGGACGGAATAAATCGGAAAAATACAAAAATCGAAGTGTTATGCAACAGAAATTGTAGACAACAGGTGTAAAAAGTACTTTTTTGTTCTAGAAAACTTGAAAGTTTGGCTAAATGATATTTTAGAGAAATGAGCTCATCATTCGGGCGGCTCAAACAAATTTATTTGGGAATAATTCCGATTTATCCGCTCGGATACGTCCTCGTTCACGGTAATTCGCAACCGGAAAACACGAGGGAAATGAAAAGGTTTTAGGATTTCGAGGCGATCAAATTTGGGCGAAACCCTACATGAATCGGAGTAATTTGGAGCCGAGCGAGCATTTGAAAGAGCTCGTCGAGGCGGAAATCGACAAAATGGACGGGCTCAGAAAGGCCAAGGTTCGGCGAAATTCTGCGGAAAAATCGATAAAGATAATTGCAGTGTACAGTGGCGCTGACGGACGAAATGGAGCCGAAAGTGTACGGAGGACTGTTTCTGAGCAGCGGCGCCGAGCTGCAGTTTCCATTGAGAATGTCGCTGGACGACGTCGAAACGGCGAGGCGAATCGGCGCCAATTTGGAGGTGGACTTGGGACTGAGCAAGTGAGCATTTGGAAAGAAATAATGTCTTAACAGAATTCTCGCCCCAAGAAATGTCAACTCCAAAAAGTCGGCTCAAAAGTTGCAGAGGTTTACCGAGTTTTTAATCAAAAGCGTTTTCTTCGCAACTTTCACAGCTAAAAACATTTAGAATCACGAATAACAGATTTGAATGACGGAAACGTGATGTGAAATTTGCAGACACCGTCGGAAAGTGGAAGTGAACAGCGAGACGGGCGACGAACTCATCGCCCGACTCATGCTCTCCGACGCCGCGAAACGGTTCCTCGTGCAGAGACAGTTGCAGATTGCCAACAGGTTCGTTGCACTCGCACCGGGTTTTTATTGTGCAAATCGGCCTCACAGGGGAAATCCGTTTGCAGATAATTCGCTCAAACTTGGTCATTCGCCTTATTTTAATCAAATTCTTAAGGTTGAAGCTTGAGCAGGCGGGCGATCCGTTTCCCACTGTTTGAGAAAAAAAGGAGCGAGAGAAATACCATTTGCGCGGTAGAAACGAGAGACGCAGACGGTAGACAGCTAAAGGCGCATATCTTGAAATTTATTTCTATGCGGCTCTCTCTCTCTTTTACCGCGCAAATGGTATTTCTCTCGCTCCCAGATTTTTTCTTCGTTTCAATCGGTAATCCGCCCAGGCCTGAGCCTGAGCTTGCTTGATTTGGCTTTGAAAAAGTGATCTGAAAGTCCTTCTCAGGCCCGAGTTCTTTGATTACGGCTTAATCAGATAACCGCTTTAAAACAAGTCGATAAAGTACGTACTGGAACTTGGAGAATACGCCGTTTCTGCCAAGTTTCAGCAATTTATTGTCAACTGACTATCTTTGTCGTTTCTAAGAAATTCCTAATCAACACACAACTCTTCTTCAGCGGCGAATACTTCTGTGCTCCGATCTTCGCGTGGCTCGGCGTCTCCACAATGGGATACGGTGTCTTGAATGGTATTTATAACATTCTTATACGTGTTTCCCTCAATTCTTCAATTGCAGCGGTGTCACTGGCGGCCGGTCCGTTCGTGGCCACTTTCTCCGCGCTGGCGTTCACTCTCACCGCATTTTCTCAATTTGCGAAACATTTTGAGAGTTACAAGACGGAAAAGGCCGATGAGATCACCGTCAGAAGGTTTGGAGTTTTCAAAAAAAAGGTACACGTTAATTAAAAATTTGGTAATTCAGAGGCGATGAGTACGCGATCGGAGGGATCGATTACCTGGAATCGACAATGAAATTGAATCGCTTGTACAGAAAGGTACACAAGTTTTTATAGAATTTCTCAAAAAAATGTACTTGCAGGTTCTGGGCGAAGAAGGAGACCGTCGGATAGCCCGAAACGGCGATTTGGTCGGAGACGCCGTCACATTGTCGGCGCGAATTCGAGAAATTCGAAAAATCCGGAAAGAAATCGCGAAATCCGTGAAAAACGAACAGGAGCAGCACGACGATTAATTTACGATTGTTTTGTTGATTTTTAAGTTATTTTTCGTACATTTACGGGTTTTAGTAGGACAGACCCTAGAATTTTTAATTTGAATGATGCATAGTTTCTTTGTTTTGTTGCAATTTTTCAAGGTTTCCAAGCCTTTCTGATATTTTTAAAACACGTTCTAACATTTTCCCCCAAAAGTTTCGAGTTCAGAGCGATGGGTTCGACGTACGCGGAATGGAACGGAAAGGCGACGCTGTGGCTGCAGTCGAAAGTGGGACGGCGGGCGAGAATCGGACTGCTGGCCGCCACAGTGGTCGGCTATCCGATCGGCTCGATCCTCATCAACGGACCGTTCGTCAACCTCACTTTTCCCAGGAGGTCTGTAGTTGAAACGCGAAATGAGGGGGGTTTTCGGGTGAAACCATTTTCTTTGTTTCCCCGATTTTGACGAGCACCCGAAATCCACGAAAATCGTGTTTGTTCAGTTGTTTTTTCCCGTTTGTTGGCAGAAAAATCGCTGTAATTGAAATTTTCACCATTTCCGCTTTGGCCTCGTGCTTAGAGATAGGGGCAGAAATTTTGAGACGTTGTCTAGCTGAATACTAGTTTAGCCTTCCAGAAGAATCGGTTTGCCGCCACGTGGTAGACACACAAACACAGACGGTTATGTATCTGATAAGCGGACACAAACAAACCGATTATTATGCGGAGAACGTTTTCGATTTCAATTGTTTTTCGATGAGACCAAATTCATTTTACACAATGTTCTCTGTTACTATAGTACTAGTTATTACTCGGACGATACAGTGAAAGTTATTGGTTTCTTTGCGGGAAAAGTATGTCACTTTGTCGGCCTTCCTATCGATTTCACTGCTGTTCTCTTGAATTTGTTGTATTTACCGTTTAGACGGTCATGAGTATTTTAAAAGGCGGAATGATAATCCTTCTTTAGAATGTGAAATACCTTTTGGGAAAACAATGAGTGAAAGTTTGAAAAATGTGCACAACTCGAGCTCTAGATGTTCTTTTTCAATAGTCCATTCTGCAGACACTCCATCGACAACCTTCCGCCCCGCCTCGTTCCGATCGCCGACCAAGAGTACGGGCGGTTCCTGGAACGGGAGAGTCGGATTCCGAAGGACGCCGTCGTGTCGGTACACATCCAGAAGAGCGTGAAGGACTCGGACGAGACGGTCGCTTCCGGATCGCTCGGAGTGCGGACGGGACTCCATCTCGCGGTGCCCGCCTACGCGAAATTCGCCAGTGCCGCCGAAGCACTCGACTATTTTAGGAGTCAAAATGAGGAGGGCGTCGAGTTTCTGGGCGAGAAAGTGCCGATTCGGTGGGACTCTGAGATTGCCGAAGAGTTTGCCGACTGCTATTCTCTTTCGGATAATGTACGGACCACGAGGACCGCCTCAACCATTCCCATCTATTCCAGGCCTATCGCTTCCTGTTCCTCCGTGATTTGTACGCGTACGACGGATACGCGTCGCTCGCCCAACGCAGCATTTCATGGGCCACCTGGACCACTTTCAGCTCCATTTTCACCTACTGGATCCATAACGTACTGCAGTTCTGAAAAGATCAAAGAAAATAAATGTTTGCAGAGCTCCCGAATGTTGAGTGGCTCCGCCGCCTCGTTCGCCATCGCCTATCCGCTGTTGTTGGGCGCCGCGTGGTACGCGAACACTCAGTGGCACTTGTTGTACAGGTGAGTGCCACGTGGCAGATCTTGTTCTCTTCCAGAGCTCTTTTGAATCTAGGCCACCGCAAACCAATGATCTTAAGAATTTCCACTTGATTACTGGCTGGCCTAGGTTTCGCGGCCATTTCCAGCTTGAAAACGTCTAAAACGCATGGCCTAACTTTTCTAATTCGAGCAAAAACTAGGCCACGATCGAAACCTAATTCTTTTGACAAAATTTGAAGCCGCGGCCTAACTTTTGCATGCGCAGATATCTGACGGACATCCACGCGGACGCGGAAGCGGCACGAGCGTCGTTCGAGCACGCGGAAGGCGGAAAAGAGTATTACTGGAAGATGCTGAAACGGAATCGGATAATGAGGGACCTGAACCCGTCTCTGTGGGAACAGGTCACCGCGACCGGCGACATTCGCGGCATCGCCACGCCCATCATCACCCGATACGATCATTTGAAGGTACTTGAACTGAAAACGGATACTGTGCGCTTCGGAAGGGCCCTATGGGTCTAGAAATTTTCGAGTGAAATCTTGAAATCTAGTGCGTTGTTTTTGTAGTTTATCACTTTTTTGTACAATCACTCCCTCGAGTACTGTAGCTCTTGGAAGTACGAGATTGTTCAAATGCATCTCGAACTTTTAAGAACTACAGTACTCGAAGGAGTGGTCGTACAAAAAAGGTGTCAAATACAAAAATAAAGTACTAGATATCAACATTTCACTCAAAAATTTCTAGAACCATAGGACTTTTCCTGGTCCTACAATATCCGCTCAAAGTGAATCGATTTAAAAATGCATTTGTTTGCAGGACGTCAACGAGGAGGACGACGAGTTGAAGGCCGTCGTCGGAATGGACGACTGATCATTTTTACGGACATGTTTTTGTTGTTGAATATTTAGGTTTAGACTGGTAATTTATTTGTTTCTCCTCTTTTCCTCTTTTTTCTATGATTTCCTTAATAGCGAAGAATTACTGTTTTAAAAGTTGCATCTTTCCTAATTTCGTTTTCGAAAACCCGTACCAATCGGCTTTGATATTCTTCTCTCCTTCCCATTTTTTTTTGTTGATAATTGTAAAACAAAAGCAATTTCAGAGATGAGCGTGGCGGTGGGGCTGAGTGCGTGCGCACTCTCCTCATTTCTCTTCGGCTCCATGTTCGTGCCCGTCAAAAAGTGCCAATCGGGAAATGGTAGGCACATTTCTAGGCCACCAAACGGGTTCCTAGGCCATTGCAAACGTTAGCATCCGATCGTAGGCTTCAGAATTTCGTAACGCTATTCTTTGTTGACTTGGGGGCCCCGCGGCACTGCGAAGCCCTTCTCCATTTGGTATTCCTAAATCAAAGACCTCTGTGTTCTCCAGGAATCTTCGTCCAATGGCTAATGTCCGCGGCGATCCTTCTGGTCGGCCTCATCGTCTTCGCCACCCAAGGATTCCCCGAATTCGAACCGCTCGCCATGCTCGGCGGAATGTTCTGGGCCCTCGGTAATTGATTGCACTTTCTCCGTGTCCCCCAAATGTTCGTTGCCCTGCAGGAAACGCGACGGCGGTGCCGATAATGAACTCGATCGGAATCGGAATGGGAATGCTCGTCTGGGGCACCACGAATTGCGTGGCCGGCTGGGCCGCCGGCCGTTTCGGCCTTTTCGGCATCAACGCCACCGTTCCCGCGTCGCCCCTCCTCAACTATTTCGGACTTTTCTTCGTCGTTTTCGGGTAGGTCACAGTAGCGGCGCAAGTCCGCAAACACCGTCCCAACTGCGTACGTTGCAGCGGCTTCCTCTTCTCTCTGATCCGTCCGATCGACGCGAATTCGTCGGAACGCAGTCCTCTGATGGCGGCGCCCGACGAGGAACTGGGCGATGAGGCGGCCGACGAGAGCGACATTGTGGTGCCACGTGGCGGAGCGGTGCCCGCAAGAGCCCATCGGAATCAAAAGAGACTGGCGGCGATCGCCACGTCATTAGTGGCCGGACTCTTCTACGGAATCACTTTTGTGCCCGTCATTTATGTGCAGGACCACCCGGAATTGGTAGGCGAGAAGACAAACGCGCTCCACTGCACCATTTAGACGAGAAATTGCTTTAAAATAACCGAAATGCTGACAAAAAATTCATTAGAGCGCATTTAGTTAGCAAATCGCTCATTTTGTGCAGAAAGAAAACTTCTCTAAATTTGCACTGGAGCGCGTATGCATAAAGAAGTTTATTAGAGCGCACTTGCTAACCTCGTCTCGATTTCAGTACCCGACAGCCCCGAAAACCGGTCTCGGATTCGTCTTTTCCCACTTCACGGGCATTTTCGCCACCGCCTCCTCCATAATGATCGTCTACGTGGCAATTTCGAGGGTTTAGCGGGTCTCGCAACGAAAACCTGTTCTCAATTGCTTTCAGAACAATCCGTTCGCGTCGGCCCGTCTGATCGGACCCTCGCTGACCGCCGGATCCATGTGGGGCGTCGCCCAATCGTCGTGGTTCGTCGCCAACGATAATCTGTCGCAGGCGGTCTCGTTCCCCATCATTTCCATGGTTCCCGGCGTGATCGCCTCCCTCTGGAGCGTCTTTTATTTCAGGTTTGTGTGTAGAGCTCACTTGCTGCTCTCCTCAACAGAGCCCGTTTGCAGAGACATCGCCGGCGCCCGCAACCTCCGTCTTCTGTTCATCGCCGTCGCCATCACAATGATCGGAGCGATTTGCGTGGGCGTCTCGAAATAATGTACAAAATATTATTGTCGTGTACAAACCTTATTGCATTTTGAGAGAATTTATATTTATTTTGGTGTACAAAAGTTTGAAAATAACGATTTATTTTTTATCCTTTTATGCTTTACAAGCCTGGGCCCGACAACGCCGGGTTTCAGGCTTTGCTGGTTCTGCGCTCGCATAGTGTTCTCGTACCATTGCAGTTATGGCAAAAAGGCACGGCGCGGCTTTTGCGACGTTCACCAAACGTTTGATCCTCAGTCTGTGCATTTTGACACGCCGGTGTTGCTCTGCGTACAGTGCATTTTATGTTACGCGCAAAGTTCTTTTTTTTTTAGTTTTTGATGAATTTTCTCCAAATATTCATCTCTTTAAAGCGTTTTTCTCCACTTTCTAACGCAATAAGACCTTTTTACAGATTCCAGGTGAAGTAATACGCGAAGAGAAGTCGATGCGATGAAAAGAAACGCGTAAGTAAGTGAAAGTAAGGTTTTATTCAGACAATGCACGATTTCTCGAAAAACGTGTCTAGATTTTCTAATGTTTTGGTTAAAAAACTTTACTTACATTTCTGAGAATGTTTTGGAACCAAAAAGAAGTAGAGTGAAAGCTCGATTTCGCGGAAAAACCGATAGTTTGCCGGAAGACAGTGAAATTTCGTTTAAAAAAATTTTTTTTTGCTTCTATGAACTGTCACTTTAATTTTTTTTGGTTCGAAAACATTCACAGTCATGTAAGTGAACTATTTAAACAAAAAAAGTAGAACATCTAGAGACGGTTTTTGAGAAAAAATTTTTTTTCAACGAAATGTCACTGTTTTCCGGCAAAAACCCAATTTTTACGCGAAAGCGAGCTGTCACTCTACTTTTTTTTTATTCGAAGACATTCACAGTCATGTTAGTGAACATTTTAAATCAAAAGATTAGAGGATCTAGAGACGTTTTTCGAGAAATCGTATATTCTCTCCCCCCGTCACCCGTACCTTCTATCCTCCCTTGGCCTACCCCATGACTCTTTCTTACATACCCATCTTGCCCTTTGGAACCGAGTGGCCAAGTTGTTTCCCGAAAGACTGTCCTCTGAGGCCTTCGCAGCGCGCATCGAGAAGATCCCCCCTAGCTTTTTGTATTCTAACTGACCTCTGGCTACTGCCGGCCAATGGTCATGTCAAGCCATTGTTCCTTCCCCCACCCACATTCCCCCTCTTTTTTTCTCTTCTTTCTTTTTTGTTGTAATTTTATTCCTAGGTGGCTGAAGAGAATAAATGAGTTATTATAACATTACTTCCATTTACTTACGCGTTTCTTTTCATCGCATCGACTTCTTTTTGCGTATTACTTCATCTGGAATCTGTAAAAAGGTCTAATTAAGGTAGAAAGCAGAGAAAAACGCTTTAAAAAGATGAATATTTGGAGAAAATCCATCAACAACTAAAAAAAATGACTTTTGCGCGTAACATAAAATGCACTGTACGCAGAGCAACACCGGCGCGCAAAAATGCATACCATTTTGCTGCGTATGTTGCGAAAGCCGCGCCGTATAAGGGGTTAAACCTTAGAAACTTAGAACTTTACCAGACGGGACGGGGCCGAACTTTCTCCCTCTCCTCACTGTACCCTCGCAAGGAATTACCATGAGTAAAAAATTGCAAGATTCAAAAATTTCTGATGTTGACCGTACTGCGCCTTTAAATCTACAGTAACCTGCTCTGCGTACAATGAACTACACTGCACGCGCAAAATTGGGAAAAAACAACAATTGCATCACCGCGCTTTTGAGCGCAAAATTAATCGGAAATCTGATTAATTTCGGTTGCTCCGCCCCCGCAAATGCATTATTCGTCCAATTTAATTTGCAGGTTCGACGGAAATGACTCAACGGCGCGGCGGAGCGAAAGGACTCGTTATCGTTGACTCCCGTGAGCACTTTCTGCAAAAATATTGGAAAACTAGGCCTTATATTGCTTCTTCATTTTCTGCGAGTAATCCAGAATCAAATTTCATTTAATCCGAGTTTTAATTTTCGAATTTCCGCTTTCTCCTTTCATTTTTCCGCATCTTCACCGGAGAAGATTGGAATTGAGATTGGAAATTTTTATGGGCGAGAAAAGGAAGTGTGCTCTTCAGTTTTTCGTAAAGCTTAACACAAAATTGCAATCAAATTTAACGTCAAACAATCTGAAACGTTCAAAATCATTTCTCAATGTACTCAAAAATGATGGATCAAAGTAACCCTTTCTATTCATTTTTCGCATATTTTTGTCGGCCGAAACGAAGCCCTTCAAGAATCCCGGAAAAATTGAAGGAAATTATATAATTCCGCTTATAAATATTCAAATTAGTCGTGCTCATCTGACGCCCGTTTTCCGCCGTTTTCCCCCATTTTTTCGTCGCCGTCTATCGCCTAATTCGCATTACTTTTTCAGTCGAATTTCTCACGTTTTCCGCATTTTTCACATGGTCAAATGATTGGAAAGATCTGCTGATTTTTCAGGGCTGGGCAAGTTTCGGCCCAGGCCTTTTGAAGCCTGGACTTTTGACCCACAATTTTCGCAAAACCCGGCTTTTTCGGCGTCCGGTCCACATATCTCGGGACCGGATGAGCCGATCGGTCTGAAACTTGGACCCAATATACTTCAACCCAAGTCCAAGAGGTCTGCAAAGTTTGGTCCCGATCGGTTTATTGCAAGTGGTCCAAAAGTCCAGGACTCGGCAGGCCTTCAAAAAGCCTGGGCCGGCCTTTTTCCCAGCCCACGTTTTTAGGATCTTTGCACTCGAAAACGTGCCTAAAAATTCGTTTGAAAATTGAATTGAATGCTAGCATCTTTCTTCCAAATGTCTGTGTTCGCCTAAAAATTCGTTTAAATAATCGCGTTTTGCAGAGGCGAGTAACATAAAAAAGATCGCATTCATGGCCAGTACGGTCGCGTTCGAATTCAACAAAGCCACGCTGAAATTAAGGTTTCTATGCTTTTTTGGAAAAAAAGTAATTTGAAAATTTGCAGAAGAAGTCTGCACATTTCACCGCGCGGATCGCCAGAAGTCGTCCGAAAATGCACGGCCGGAGATCCGTTTGAAAACGAAAATGAGTCGCCCGGAAGCATCCAAAGGTCGAAAATGTTGTTTTTGATCAATGTTCAGGAAAATACTTCGATAATGCTGTTCTGTTTTTTTTGAATCTTTGAAATTTCTGTAAAATTTGAGAGACCTCTTCGTTTCGCAACGTGATATTCCACAACCGTTACGCTTCGCAACTGTGACGAAATGCAACCAAATGGGGCACTAGCAAGCAAATCGTGCTAGTTGCGAAGCGTACTGGTTGCGAAACACGTGATTGACATTCGTTATGATTCAAAATTGCAGCACATCCAGAAAAAGCTCAAAGCGAAATCGGCAATTGTGCGCGGAGCTCTCCTCGTTCGCTCTTTATCCACTTTTCGGTAGTTTCTGAAATGGCGTTTTGAGAAAACGATTTTGAAAAACGCACAGGCGCCCTCTCGCCGTCGCACTTTTCCTCGCCGAATCTTCTGTTCCAAAACGAGAAGAAACCGACGAAACGGATGGAATTTATGGATTTTTGCGACTCGGATTTCCGTCACATCTTCGCCTTTATGAATCGTATGTTACATTGAGAGTTTGAAAAAGGATTCTGAAATCAAAAAAAAAAAAAAGTTTTGCAGCCCAATCGCTATTGAATCTGTCACAAACTAGCCAACGACTGCGTGCTCTGTGCCACCACCACGAATCGAATTCACCGAAAAGAGATGTAATCCCAATGCCAACATTTTACACCAAAAACATTGAGTTTCCAGGTGACATCGCACGAAATCGTCATTTCGTTCAATCAATTGCGTCGACGCACAGAAGTGCGTCTGCTGAAAAGGGACCGAACTCGCGCGGACCCGAAATTCACGGGCGACACGATTCGATCGGTGCTCGCGCCCTTTTCCAGAGCACTCACCAGAGTTGGTTGCCGAAAAATCGATATTTTCCAGAATCCTCTTGCAGATAACATTCGAAACGACGGTGTTCGTGACGGATTGGCTCGACGAGGTGCTCGAATTGCACGCGGAACGCCGTCTGATTCCGCTGAGTCTCGTGTTCACGGGCGGAGCACTTACGAAGGGAAACCAGAGGAACGGCGCCGATCTGCGCAGCATTTCAGAGGCCGAATTCATCGGATTCGTGCACAAACTGCAGCCACACCTCCAGGAAGTGCAACTCTCCACTTCCAGGTGAGCAAGTGCGCTCCAGTGAACTCGCGGAGGACTAGGACGCCTGACTGCAACTGTGAATTGCTCGAAATTTCAATCCGAATAGCAAAAAAGTAGTTTTTAATAGATTGGGAACAAATGTGACCTAGTAGCGGCCTAAAATTCCGACCCGATTGCAGAATGTTCAAAATGAGCAGATCGCCGGCGCGCCTCCTCGAAATGATCCGAATGCTGTCGAGTTTCGGAATCGTCTACGAACGGCCGCCCCTTCGGTTCGCATTTGAAGAGATCTCCGACGCGATCACGGTATGGGTCTCGACACGAATTTATGCATTTTTCAAACGACTATTGTAGAACTCTGAGGGATCCTATGGTTCTGAAACTGTTGTTTGTGAAGTCCTTGCATCTGATACTGTACCTTTGTAGTTGAAAACGTTTCTGTAAGAGCATCCCCTGGAGTACTGTATCCCTTGGAAGTTAGAACTGAAATAGAGAATCTATAAAGTTTCTAACTTCTAAGAAAATGCTCGTACAAAAAAGTTTTCAACTAGAAAAGAACGTACGAGATATTAAACTTTATTTTCCTGTTGCAGACGTGGCGCTCGGACCCGGTTTCCCGAAGCTGCGACGTGTTCATGCGGCGGCCGTGCGACCTCCCGTGCTCCGACGACGACTGGCTCCGGATGGGCGGCTCCGTCGACGTGAGCCGCGTCGACCCGTACTCGGAGGAGGTGCTCATCTCGAAAGTCTCCATCAAACACTCTTTTCTTGTACACATCGACTTGATATTTCACTTCCACTGATCTCCCCTATTGCCCCCCTTTTTGTGAGTGTACAATATGTTCAAACTGCAAACAATGACGTCATTTTATCATGCACCTACCCTTTTTTTTCGTTTTTCAGCTGCATCTCAGTACTGCGTGTTTTGTTCCCAAACAAGTACGGAAAAAACTAGACAAAAATCATAAAAAGAAGAAGAAACTGATAAAGAACTGCGGGTGAATCAGCCGAACATTTTATGTAAATATCACAGGAAATGACGTGTTTTTGGGCCGATGAGTACGATTTATTTACGCTCTACGGAAGGCGGCGTATAAAATGCGAAAGTTTTGACGGAAAACTGAAAATGCGTTTTTTCGCAAACCTTTTCGGGTTACTGTAGATTTAAAGGCGCAGCACTCGGCTTGACGGAAATGAGGTGTTGGAAGTGCGCTCCGATGAGAATAGAATAGAAAATCCGAGTCCGTGACAAAAGGTCGGAAAACCAAAAAGGTCGGAAGACAAAAGGTCGGAAAGCCAAAAGGTCGGAAAAAAGTGACAAAAGGTCGGAAAAAAGTGACAAAAGGTCGGAAAAAAATGACAAAAGGTCGGAAAAAAGTGACAAAAGGTCGGAAAAAATGCCAAAAGGTCGGAAAAAATGCTAAAATACATGTTTTCCGGCTTTTTGTAATTTTTTTCCGACCTTTTGGCATTTTTTCCGACCTTTTGTCATTTTTTCCGATATTTTGTCACTTTTTTCCGACCTTTTGTCACTTTTTTCCGACCTTTTGTCATTTTTTTCCGACCTTTTGTCATTTTTTTCCGACCTATTGTCACTTTTTTCCGACCTTTTGTCACTTTTTTCCAACATTTGGTCACTTTTTTCCGACCTTTTGGCTTTCCGACCTTTTGTCTTCCGACCTTTTTGGTTTTCCGACCTTTTGTCACGGACTCGAAAATCCAGATTTTCAGCTAATTTTTGTGCATTTTTGCTTCGAAATTTGCGTTTTGTTTGCGTCTATCACTGCGGCGCCCCAAGTGTACTATTTGCCGATTTCTGATCAAATAATTCTCGGCGTGTCCGACTCGTTTTGTGCTCGGTTTTGGCACACACACACACACCACTTCACTCTTGCCATTTTTAAGCTGAAAATTGCGCAATTTGCGGTGTTTTAAAAGGAAATCCTCCTTTTTTTTTTGATTGAAACGACTGAATTGATAATTTTTGAGAAAAATAAGTGTTTTGAGCATTTTCGAGTGGCTTTTAGACAGAGATCACCGAAAAACCAGCTTTTGCCATAGTGCTTTCGATTGCGAGTGACATCATTTTGTGTACGAGTCAATCACTTTTTTCATTGATTTGTCAGAAAGAGAAACCCATTTTTTGTGACACCTGAAACCCAAAATTATTTTTTCATCACTCGCCGTTCTTATCAGTTTTTTTGGGACAGTCTGACCCATTTTCAGCCGTTTTGAGTTGGTGTTTAAAGCGGTTTTATGTGGAAATTTATTTTTGCGAGTCATTCTGTGTTCTTTGTCACTTTTGCGAATGCAAAAACAATTATTCACCTGATAGTTTATCGAAAAACAACTTATTTTCAACTTTTTGCATGATTTGTATTAGAAAAAGTGAGGTACGTTCATATTTTTATCATTAGAGCGCATTTGCCGACTTAAAATGTGCTCAGAATCACAGAAAGATAACGAAAAGTGTGTATTTAGCCTCAAGAATTAAGAGAATGCGTTTTTTTGTTAAACTATTCGCTGTTTACCCTTTTTTCTCAATTTCCTTATCAATTTTTCCTCATTTTCACTTCCGTTATCGTTAAAACGGACCAATGAAAAAGTTTCAGTTTGCCTCGAGCACAAACTACTTTTTTCGTACTTTCTGCTATGATATTAGCAGTTTAGATAATTTTCCGTTCAAAAAACGCTTCGCAAACTGCAAGAGTGCACTAGAGCGCAGTTTCATTCGCAATTTTCGTGAAACATCGAGAAACTTCCGTTTTTCGTCATCGCCATTATTGTTTTCCCACAAAAATGCGAAATCCGATCGAATCAAACTAGTCTCTATTCGGTACGCATCAAAAAACCGAAAAAAATTGTTTTTATTATTGTCTATCCGTTCAACCCTCACCTCCCCTCACAAAAACTGTTTTTCTGCTCAACCCTCAAATTATTTTACCTAAAACCATGAATTTGTAAGTACAGTAATCGTTACCGTACTTTTTTCGGACTTATCTGTAATTTTCGCGATTTCAGACTCCACTTCGCCGTCCATTTTCTATTCGGAGATGGTAAAATGAGCGGCGAGCCGGTGCCGCTCATATTTTTGGTAAGAATTGTCGTGAGATTCGATGTAAAGCCCACAAACACTCGCTTTGCGGACAATGCACCATATCTCACGGCATAGTGTCAAAGAATACCGAAAGGGTTTGCAGAACTGCTCCTCAATATTTATTCACGGAAAAGATGAAAAATATGCGAATTGCCAGATCGAAAACGGCACGGATCCGTGTTATTTATTAAAAGTTAGTTAACGGGTGGATTATCAATGGAGCGAACTTGCAACATTTCAGGAATTGCACCGCGCAAAAGAGTTTCGCACCTATTTTCTGGCCATTTTACCCATTATTTTGTCGGTCATCGCCTGTCTGCTCAACATTGGTTATTTGATTGCACAACTGAAATGTTTTAGTCAGGAGAAGACGAGGTATGTCTGCAAACACTTTCATTGATGCACAAGACCTTACGACACGTGTTGTTCGTTTTGCAGTTTCAAAAAGCGTCAAGTGTTCCTCATCAGCCGATCTCTGTCCATAATTCTCGCCAACCTCCTCTTCTACGTGGTCGTCATTGTTTGGAAGGCGAACGGATTCATGTACACCTCCGCCATGATCTTCATTCTCATCGGAAGCATCAACTTCCTCTCCGTCACAGGTAATTTCGATCCTACAATAGCGGATCTGTTCAGCAATTGGTCTTCGATCTTCAAACGACTATTGTAGAGTTCTTAGAGATCCAGTCGGCCCAGAAATTGTTTTGTGAAATCTTAGCATCTAGTACTACATTTTTGTAGTTTGTCACTTTTTTGTACGACCTCTCCCTGGGGTACTGTAGCGCCGGGAAGTTGGGACGCCTCTAAGTGCCTTGTGGATAACCCTTACTTTCAAGAGCTACAGTAACCCGAGGAGTGATTGTATTAAAAAGTTGTCAACTACAAAAATAAAGTTCTAGGTGTGAAAAATATTTTTTCAGTTGATGTTTTCATTGTCAGACACCTCCTTGGAGTACTGTAGCTCTCGGAAGTTAGGGGTGAAAACTTGGTGCTTTAAGTAGCCCCGACTTTTCAGAGCTACAGTACTCTAGAGAGATGTCGTACAAAAAAGGGGCCAACTGCAAAAATGTAGTACTATTTGTCATGATTTCACAAAACAATTGTCTAGAACTGTGGGACATCTTCTAGCCTTACAATAGTCTATCGAAGTTTGCGCACTTTTTTTCCATTTTCACTATTGTAAAACCGCTTTTTTGCAGGCACCTACATCGGTCTCACAATCCTTTTATACACGGCAATCGCTCATCAGTTTTGGTACATGACAAGACTGACTCTCACGCATTGCTGGCTCATCATCGCCCTCATTTGGTTCCTTTCCACTGCTTCATCGGTAAGGATTGCAGTAACTTGACATAACTCCTACAGTAACCCTACCGTACCGTTTGCAGGTGTGCATCGGTCTCTGGGGCGCCACGCTCTTCTACCCCGAGTCGGCGCCGATCTCCTGCTCGTTCGGCTCCTGCCAACAACCGCTCGCCATCATCATCGTCGTGGGACTGTCCATCTGCTACGGCACCGTCATCGGTCTCTACGTGCTGATGGTCGCCCGTCTGCACCGCCTGTTCCGCAAGAGTTCCCTCGTCCAGGCGCGCTCCCGCTCGAACAGCATGACGGCGATGAAGCGATTGTGGCTGAATATGCTCACGTTCGCCGTCGGCTCCGTGCCCATTCTCGTCGTGTGCATCGTCGCCCTCGTCAACCTCCGCGAGCTTTCGTCGCTCGGAGAAGGCTGCAAAAGTCCGTGCAAGACCTTTTTGCACAGTTCGCTCTTCGTCGAAGTCGAGATTCTCGCCAGTGTCGCCGCTATTGTCTGGTCAGTTTTCCCATCTGCAAAAATCGATTTAAAAAGGTTTATTTTCGAATTTCAGGATAATCGGAATGATCGCCGACCCGGTAATCAATATTTTGGCGGATAAAAAGATGCGCGGCCTGTTTCGGCGCCAAATAAATCGAGTTTCGACGAGTTTGCGACGCATCCGACGCGCCTCCACAAAATCCACAATTTCCACCGACGATCAGTGATTTCGATTGTAGAATTTGCCAGAAAATGGTGTCAATATTACGGGTTTCCCTCTGTTTTTGTTGTTGATTTGAATAACATTGCCAACTACTGTCTGTTTAAAGGCGCATAGCGAAAAATCGTTGAAAAATACGTTTATTCGAGAGAGATATTATCGATAATATGTGAATGGAGGAGCATTTATATCTCAATGTGTTTTTGCCTCCGTTCGGGGGGCGGTTTCCTGAGTTGGATGGGCGGTTTCCGTAACATTTTAAGAGAAAAGTCATAAATATTGGGTAAATTACAATAAATTAGCTTAAATAATTACAAAATCGACATTTCCGACGCGGAAATGCAAGTGCGCGCCAACGAAAAATGAAAAGTTCGATGGAGCGCACTTGCAGAGCACGTCGAAATAATCAATCAATGATGAGATCCAGTTTTTCGAAAAAGGACCTGAATAGCGATGGAATAAGGGAAAAAAGGGAAAAAAGGGAAAGTTTTCGGAAAACACTGACAAGAGTAAAATGGCGATTATCGATTTTTACAAGAGAGTTGAGGGCAAGATTACACTTACGTTTTCAAATAATTTTCCGCACTTCTTGGAAGCGCCGGAAAACGACTTTTTTGGGGGGGGCGGAAAAAAATAAGTTATGTACACGTGATGGAGGGGCGCTTCTCAAACGGCGCTCAGCGGATCACCGTACGCGTCGACGGGCGTTAGACGCCAAAGTTGCGGTAGATCCGAGTTGACGAAGAAGAGACGGCCGTGCTTCCAGTTGAGAATCAGCTGCAACAATTATTCGAGTCAGTGGCATGTTTTAGTACTAACCGATTCATGAATGAGCACGTTGACTTTCGGCGAGCAACTCATTGCCAACCGTCCTTCGAATCGTTTTCCGGTGAATCCTTCGAGAGCGGTCACGAGGGATTTCTACAAGCAAAATTTCAAAAATGTCAATGTATCTCAGCTGCCGTGAGAGGTGTCAAAAAGTGGTCAACTGTCAAAATGTGTAAAATGTTCTTCCAAACAATTTACTAGTTGACAACTTTTTGAAATCTCCACCGGCAGCCGAGATATACGCATAAATAGACGTACCTCTGTGCGATTCTTGACGACAACTGGAAAGAAGACGTTCTCCTCGGCGCCCTGATCGTTCGAGAGGAACAGCAAAAGACTCTCGTCGTCGCGGTCCCATTTCACGCCGATCGTCAGTTTCGGACGCATTATCTCCATCAGCTTCTTGGTCAGATCGAATGTTTTTTGAAAGTCCTCCTGTTCCATCAGCTCCGCCGGCGACATCTCGTCCATTTCTTTTTTGATGAATCGCGGCTGCAAAATTTTCATATTTTTCTCATAATTTTCTGAAGCATTTTTCTTGAAATAAATTTTGATTTTTGGCCTAAAATCTTACCGATTTCATTTTAATCGGAACCATTGGCGGCGAGACGGAGGGCGGCCTCTTGGACCCAACAACCACTGCGCTTGTCGAGGGGCCAGCAGTGGTCCCGGTCGGCTCGGCTCCATTTATAGCCTGCGCCAGACTGCTCATCGCCGCCTGCAGCATTATCGAATTCGTGGTCTGCGCGCACGTCGCGTCCGTCTCCATCGGCTCCGGCAACATTTGAATCGTCTGGACCTGATGGGCATTGGAGGCACGCGAGAGTTTTCGTTGCATGTAGGAGCGGTTGATCTGTAAACGGATATTGTAGACTTTCACGGCGCCCTGGACGTTTAGAAACATTTTAAGTAAAATCTACACGTCTTGTACTATATCTTTGCAGTTGACTGTTTTTTTGTACGTCCATTCTCTGGACTACTGTAGGCCCGATAAGATGGGTGTCAAAAAATTAGGCATTTGGGTTGTCCGAACTTCCAAGAGCTACAGTACCCCAGAAAATGCTTGTCGGAAAAAGTTATCAACTGCACAAATGTAGTACAATTTATGAGCTATATTTGTTTAGTTGACACCTTTTAAATGCAATCACTCCCTGGCTTACTGTAGCGTTTGGAAGTTGGCCAAACTTTCAAGAGCTACTGTACCCCAAAGGAGTTGCCTTACAAACATGTGATCAACTACAAAAACATGCCGATTTCATAAATTTGTTCAAACTTTGCAAAAAATGACTCACACTCTTCACGGGATGCACGAAATTCGGCTCCAACACTTTGAAGTCCTGCTCGTAGAAGGCCAACTCCTCGGCGGAGGGCGGATCGTGATTGTGCGGATGCAGTTTACGCACGATTTCGCGCGTCTGACAGTCCGAATGCATGCGCGCGTTGCAATCGTTTTTCCGTTCGCACCGCCAGAAGATTTTGGTGCCGCAGCACGACTTTTTGTCGAACGACATGATGAAGCCGTCGGCGAACACTTTCTCGCGGATGTTGCGCGGCTTGTACTCGGGCTCCTGCACAATGATCTTTTGCATTCCCGACGTGCTCGAACTGGGCGACGAACTCGACGATCGCTGCGAGTCCTCCTCTTTCAATTTCTGGCCCAACTTCGGGTGCGCCTCCATCAGTACCGTCGAAAACGTTTTTATCGTTTGGTAGGAGGGATTAGGGCCGGCGAGCGTTTGGAAAACCTGGAAAGGAGTACGGTAGGAGTACGGTAGGTGAGTTGGGACGAATGAAGAGCCAAGGTTACTGTAGAAACAGTATGAATATTCAGTTTTGATTACGGTAGTTCAAGTTCATCTCTAATGTTACGAAATTTAAAAAAATATTCGCAAAGACTGGACTAAAGTACCATTGATGTTGTTGTTTATACAATAGATACATTAAAGGTAAAACTACAGTAACCCCTCAAAAGTATAGTATCCCAATCAGAGATGTTGGGAATAACAATTTTACTCTACGGAACACGGAACACGGAAAACGGAAATTTTTTTTTTTACGGAACACGGAACACGGAAAACGGAAAAAACTTATTTCTACGGAACACGGAAATTTTTTTTTTTTACGGAACACGGAACACGGAAAAAATATTGAAAAAAACGCGGAACACGGAACACGGAAATTTTTTTTTACGGAACACGGAACACGGAAATTTTTTTTTTACGGAACACGGAACAAGGAATTCCCAACATCTCTGATCCCAATACAAAACTATACTGGGAGAAGGAAAAACGAAACGAAATGGCGCCGGTGCCTGTGAAAAGGGGGCGTCGCCGATTCGAATCGGCGCCTCTCTGACGCCTTTTCTCATTGAGTCCGATAAAAACGGCGCCGGCGCCTTTCAAAAAGACGCCAAATCGGCGCCGGCGCAGTGACCTCACAGCGAGAAACCCCGGGTACCTGAATGAGGTGTGCGTAGTCTGTCTCGTTGGTGCCCGGCGACGGGCTTCCGCTGACTTCCGCCTGCACAATTGTGGGCCTCTGACGGAGGAGTCCGGCCACAATTTGCTTCTGGGTCTGGTCGAGTTGGTGCTCCGCGAGCATCGTCGACGGCTCGTTTGTCGTCGTCGTCGTCGTCGTTGCCGTTGCCGTGATTACCATCGGATTGCAAAACGAAGAAGGGAATTCGGAGAATGGCACTGTAATAATGATAAATTGAATGGGGAAAGAGAGAGAGGGAGTGGAATGGAATGGAGGGGGAGCAGACGAAGACAGGTGGCGACGGGCGCCTGGCGCCGGCGGGGAAAGAAAGAGAGAGAGAGAGAGAAAGAGGGGAATGGAGTGGTAAACAAAAGCGTTCTAGACTATTAAGGCCTATGAATCTGCCGTCGTCGAGGCGCCACCAGGATTACTGTACTTTTACGGTTGGAGTTTGTTTGAAAGGAGGGATGGAAGAGAAAAAGTTAGGCCACCCTCTTGCCCCGATGCACCATGACAAGGTATTTCATAGAAGCAGCTAGAACTTCTAGATATGGACGATGCACCATGTCATAATCGAGTTACACAGAACACCATAGGGAAGGGAATTTGGAAAGGTATCAAAAAGCTCTAGCAGGTCGATGCACCATGTCAATTCAACGTTTTCGAGTGTATAGAAGCTTCCAGGAGGTGAAGAGGTGCCGGCCGATGCACCATGTGACACTAGCTCGCGCCTAGGCTCCGCGGCTCCCTCGAGAAAGCACTAAAAGGGCACGCACATTCAAAAGTGGGCGTGTCTTCTCAAGCGGAGAGAAACCGAGAGAGAAAGAGGGCGAATGGGACGGGGACAGGAGGCGCCAGGCGCCAGCTGGTCGCCCGCAGCATGGGGTCCGACCCACTGGAGCCACTAAATATGCTCAGAGCCGAGAGAATCCACGCGTCCGACTACGGAAGGGCGATTTATCGGCGCGGCACATGGTGCATCGGCCATCCGTCAAGCTCTCCGCACGAGCGTCAACGACTCCTGAATTAGAACGAAGAAGAAGAAGGAGAGGGAGAAGAAGTGGAAGAGAGAGAGAGAGAGAGAGAGAGAGAGACGGGCGGGAGAAAAGTGAAAGTGCACGGGATGAGCCGAGCGGAGCCACGGAGCCACGGGGCCGAGCGCCCGAGCGAGAGCGGGCTATGCAAAACAACGAATTGTACAATCGTTTTTGAGGAGACCCTTGTGGCCGATGCACCATATGCGCATTTCAAGAACAAGAAAACGGGTAGGTAATCGACTGGAGTTTTGGCAAAATTGCATTTCTAATCTAATTTTTGAGCTGTTTACTTCGAAAAGGTGCAAAAAATCGAAGAAATTGACGGTTCTATAAGTGGGATCCAGTCTATTTGCCTGAAATTCTTTCCTTTTCGTGCCATTTGGTGCATCGGCCATCCTAGATTGTCAGTAGTGATCCCAACGTCACCAACACGGAAGAACAGGGCAAAAATAGAAAAGCATCTAGAATTCTAGACACCATTTATAGAAAGGAACCTTTAGGAGTAGATCTGGACCCTGTTTTGAGCACAGAAACATTCTCACACAGTGGATCCTGACTAAAAGGGAAACTGAGGATCTGAAATGACTTAGGAACATATTGAGAGCAAAGTTTAGACTCAGAACTAACAATTCTTGGTCCCCCAACCAAATTTCTTTGAAGAAATTACTGCCCAAGCTCTTGATGGCAAAGTTTAGCGATTCTCGTTCCTTTTATGTTGAGGTGCAGCCCCCACAAGACCTATAATATTTGGAGCCCGACAAAAAAAAGAAAAAAAAGCGGGGAAAACAGGAGTGAAAGAGTGTGCGTGTGTGGGAAAGGGGGGGGGGCGGTCATCTGACTGGCGCCCGACCCCCCTCCCTTCCAGAAGTCCCCCTTCTTCTTCGTCGCCGTCAAAATAGAGGCGCCTCGCGCGAGACCGCCCATCTAGAGGGGGTCCACACAACGACGTGCCTATTATCGTCCGTCTCGCGCTTCTTCTCTCTCTCTCTCTCTCTCTCTCCCTCTCCTTCTTTCTCTTTCTCGTTCTCGGGGGGGCCGCCACCACCACCAGACCACCCAGGCTTTCCTCCCTTTTCGCCGCCGCGACTGCCACCTAGTATACGAGAGAGAGAGAGAGAGAGAGAGAGAGAGAAAGAGACGCCCTGTTTTGACGACGACGGAAACGGGGCGTGGCGCCAGATGGCGAGCGAAGCTCTAAGCTGTTCTTGGAATTGAGAATTGAGATAGATTAGAGCATGATTTTGTGACGGTTAGACATGGTGCATCGGCCAGACGCCGAACCACCATTCGTGGAAATCCAGAGCACTTTGGACGGGGAAAAACCAGAAATGACAGCTTTCACATGGTGCATCGACTCCCAGAAGTGGTGTCTACTCAGCTTGCCGAACACTTGGGAAGGTATCAACTTGAAGTCTTTACATGGTTGCCAATAGTCCCCGTTTGTGGCCGATGCACCATGTGAATCTCTGATTTCAAGGAGACTACAAAAACCTACTCATGGTCGATGCACCATAGGTACACCTGGCAAATGTGAAAGTGATCGAAAACAAAACATTGCAAGTGAAACGTGGATTGCGTGCAGCATACTGTACTCATGCTATTTTTCACTTCTTTCTCTTGAATATATCCACTTTTAGCGGCGAATAAGCGGACGATGCACCATGTGAGAAGAAAATTTGAACGGTTCCAAAGATACTAGAAGATTTGGCCGATGCACCATTCAGTACGCTAAGAACAGTTGTAAAGGAGCTACGGGAACATGGTAAGTGTGCCGATGCACCATTGGCGCCAGAGAAGTACAAAAGGTGTAGCCGAGTACAAAGAAGAAGAAGAAGAAGAAGAAGAAGAAGGAGAAAAACGAGTAAAGTTACAATCTTTTACAATTCTGGCCGTCAGGAAGCGTCGCCGGGGAAAGTGTAAAGGGAGCAGAAGGAGCACACGCGGGACCCCTCCCGCCCGCAACTATTATCGATCTGCTGGGCGGAGGAGGCAGCGCCGGCGGCGGAATGGCTACGCGGCGGCCACGCGCGCGCGGGAAGGGGCGGACGACCGCGCGGAAACACAGACGACGCGGAAAGGACGCGCGCAGAAACGAATGATGATGAGATAGTAGTAGTAGTCGGTGGAAGGGAATCGGAACGAAACGGGCGACAGTGAGTCAGGGGGCCGACGGCGCCGGTGCCCAAAAGGACAATCACTTCCGGGCTTAGTCACACTGGTGCATCGGCCGGAACAAAAGAGGAACATGGTGCATCGACCGGAACACATTTCATGAAGCAACGGATCCCAAAAAGTTGGGTTCCCATGGTGCATCGACTAAACTCGCGTTTTCTGGCTAGTTCCTCCCAAATCGAGCGCCGAATGCATTTGCATAGACTGGTGCCACATGGTGCATTGGCCGGGGCATGGGATTAGGCCTAGGAAAGCGGAAAGGGTTCCAAACTAGATATATCCATTGAGATGCGTGTTCTATTGCAAAAACTAAAGAGAACATAGTCTATGGTCTAAAAGTGTTCCAAAAATGCTGTTTTCTTCGCAAAACCTAGAATATTTTTGCGGATTCTTCTAGATTTCGGTGTTCCAACGTGCCCAACCGCTTGGCGCCGTGCTCTCTGACCATCTGTCGTGCCCTTTGGCTCTCTCATTTCCCACGAATGCACCCTCCGAACTCCCGGTGTCCTTTTCTCGGTCCCCTCCGCTCAGAGCCGGAGCAGAAGCCACTCCTGGTCCTTCTCGTGTCGACCTTGGGACACTCTTTCTCTTTCTTTCTTTCCCGCGGCCACTCCCGCTCCTCCTCCTCCTCCTTCTCTTTCTTTCTCTCGCGGCGGGGGTCACCAGGCGGACGGGGAATGGCAGATGGCCGTCCTGCTGACCAGAAGAGAAGAAGAAAGAGCGAGAGAGATAGAGAGAGAGAGAGAGAGAGAGAGAGAGAGAGAGAGAGAGAGTCATTAGGCGTACGGACGGACCTCCGCCCGTCGCGAGGCGCGCGCAAACAGACGGAAGAACGCGCGCGCGCGGACGAGCGCCTGCCACCCACACTTCCCAACCAAATAAGGCAAAGAGAGAGAGAGAGAGAGAGAGAGAGAGAGAGAGAGAGAGAAGAAGGAGAAGAAGGAGAAGAAGAAGAAGCCAACGATGGGTGACCGATTGGGGTGTTCTCCGCCGGGGCAAATGCATAAAAAGGGACCTCCACATGGTGCATCGACCGATTGGCACTTCCAGACTAATTTCAGAGCACCAAACTTGAAGGGACCATCTGATATTGTCCAAAAATGGCTAAACAATGTTGAATGTTCCAATTCATTTAGAAGGGTACAAACTATTGCTTGTGTGCCAAAATTTGCAGATTTTTGAGAAACTTTCAATAAATTGGGGATTTCCTGACAATTTAGTACCTAGGAGCTCAGAAAATGTCAATTTCATGTTGAAAAGTGGTATTTTCGAGAAACAAGGCCGATTTTTTTGATTATCACTCCCAAATTCGAAGAAAAAACCTATAATATCACAAAAAACAACGCCCTGGAACATTGAGAACTCAATTGTGACTTACCGAGTCACGGACGTCCTTCGAAGATGTTAAACGATAGGGGCATGACCTGAAAATGGAAACGGATAATATTCATTTAGTCGAATTGAGAGCAAACCCAAAGAACAAGTGATCATTTTGATACGAAACTTTCAGGGACTACAGTACCCCAGGGAATGATTGCATCGAAAAGGTGTCAACTACAAAAATGAAGTACAAACCATGTACTTTCTTTTTGTAGTTGACAACTTTTTTGTACAACCACTCGCTGCAGTACTGTAGCTCTTGGAAGTTGAGTCAGCTGAATGAATTTCAGTGCCAACTTTGCGGAGCTACAGTACTCCAGGGATTGATCGTACAAAAATGGTGTGAACTACAAAAACAAAGTACTAGATGTGAAGATTTCACACAAAAAGTTTTAAACTCCTATGACTCCGTGGAAGGCTACAATATCAGCCTAAACTTCGCACACTTCATCTTTCTCTTTCGCTCTCCCCCCTTTTTCATAACATTTTGTTTTGTTGTGCTCATTCTCACTCCAACTCGCTCATTAGTATGCTGTCATTTTGGTCTTTCTCTCTCTTCTTCTTCTTCTTCTTCTTCTCCTTCAACTGATAAAGGTTTTGAGATGGAAAGAAAGAGAGAGAGAGCGAGAGAGAGAGAGAGAGAGCACAAAACTGATAAGCAAGTGAGCTCCGCGATAATGTACTCTTTTGGCGCCGTACTTTTTAGGAAGAGAGAAAGAAAGAGAGAGAGAGAACTGATATTGATCGCCTAAAATCACAAAAAGGAAAACACAAAACGATTCTCTAGTTCTATGGGACCATTTTGAGGATCTGGACTACTGTAGATGCACCAAAAGTGCGTCAGCAAAATGCATCGGAGCATGGCTAACAGTTACGAGAAACGCGTCAAAGCAGAAAATTCGAGTCAAACAAGAGAATAGGGAGGTTTCAGATTTGAAAATTTTCAGATTTCTGTCGGACGGACCCTAAAAGTTGGACCACAGGGACCACAGAAAATGGGAAAGTGACAGAATGGGCAATGGGATAACAAATATTGGGTGGAAATGCGTTTTTTTTGGCTCCTTTTGTTTATAGCCGAATTTGGACGAGCTGAAGAGGTTTTCGTGTTGGAAATGAAGCGAATTCGATCAAAACTTCAAAAAAACCTTCTTACTTGTTCGGCAACATTCTCGATATGGTTTCAAAGATTTGGACGAGAGGATTTTTTTGATTTTTTGTGAATTAATCAGTTTCGAAAGAATTTAGACGAAAATCAAGATTCCTCTCGTCAAAATCGTCGGAACCAAGTCGGGAATGTCCCCAAACAACTAAAAAGGTTTTAGAAAGCGTTTTCGCTGTTTCTACATCAAAATGTGTCGAAAATTCGCTGTTTTTTTTGCTTCTCCTTCTTCCCAGCTCCTCCAAATCCGGCTAGAAACGAGAAAAAGGGGCGCCGGAGCCACACACGGCGTGAAATGACGCCGAAAAGAGGGGCGAAAGAAGAAGAGAGAGAGGGGGGGAATCAGCTGGTTGCGGGGAGCTCGTGCTTGGCACGAGGAGCTCGCCCGGCCGGAAAAAAGGGGCACTCGGAGGAGGCGCAGCACACGAAAACAAGGCTTCCGCGGCCGCAGAGCAACGTGAAGACGAGACGAAACGTGTGTGTGTGTGTGTGTGTGTGTATTCGAAAGAAATGAGACAATTAGAGACGGAGGTTGAGCATGTTCAGGTGGCCGAGACGCCGGAAAGCGTCGGGAACGCGTTCGTCTTCGAGATGACCAGTTTGCCGTGCTGATGCGACAGATAGCCCTTGATCTTCTTCTGGAAATATCAAAAACCCGTGGATTTTAGGCTGTTTTAGCTGGTACCGATGCGATGAGATTCGCAATGATGCACTCCAATTCGTCCGTATCCACGTCGGTGACGCCCACGAATCGGAGGGCCGTTTGGAAGGCGTCCAGCGGGATTTGCGTGGTTCCCACTATTGCGCTCCTGAAAATGGACTAGGTTTAGCACAGGAAAATTTAGATTTCAGGTGCAGTGGCCTATAAAACTTACACTTTTTTGAAAAGTGTCCTAAATGTGATCATCCGCAACTTTTCGAGCATTAAAAAGATGCCGGATCGGATGAAAAACGCCTCATTGTTGGCAAGAGCCGCGTCCAATTGTGCCAGATTTCCGTCCTTGACCGCCGCGACGACCTCCTCGAACTCGTCGAGATGGTAGTCGTGGAGGAGCGAGGCGGACGGCATGTGGCCGAGGAACATCTTCACGGGAATCAGGTAGATCAGAATCTTCCGCTTGTTCGACATCGACTCGCGCGGACAGTTGCGGAACGCGTACAACAACGATTTCTCGGCTGCAAATATTAGCGTAAGTTGGCGGCCAATGAAAAAACAAATGCTTACGTTTTTTAAGGTTAAAATGGTTGTAAACTTTAAAAAAGTATTGTAGACCTTGAAAGTGTCAAATCAGTTCAAAAATGTTTGTATGAAAGTTTCACACAAAACACTACAGAGTGATTTGACATTTCCTGACTCTACAATACTCGTTCAAAGCCCATTTTCCACTGAAAAACGTAAGAGTTTCTATTGCCTTGGCCGTAGTTTCGAGTAAAATCTTCAAAACTGTACCCAAGTTCAAATCGGCGTCAAACATGGCCTTCCGGCCCAGAAAATAGCTGTAGGCCACTTTGTCGGCCATCAAAAACTCGTTGTACAAGGTTCCGCAGTTGTCGATCGCCCGAATTAGCGGTTTCAGAAGGTTCAGTTTGTTAATCTGAATATCAATGTTTCGGGAAACATGTGGAAACTGGCAGACGTACCTGAAAGTAGATCTGGAAGAGTTGGTTCGTCATGTTTAGCATCGCCACTTTCTTCGATTTCCCCGCTTCGGCGTGTCTGAAAACAAAGACAGTTTCCACCTTTTAGCATTGTTTTCGACTCCATAGGTGCGTGGTGTTTGAGAAACGCCACAACATTTTTCCGATCTGGCGGTCGGATTGAAATTTCCGTATCAGGCCCCTCTCACTCGAGTGTCCCGAAATGCCGGCGCTCAACTCAAAACACCTATGTTCAACTCACACGTCCGAAACACAAGTACGGTAACACTCGGTGATCGCTTTGGCGGCGCTTTCAAAGAACGAATTCGCGGTCGAATCGCCCTCGTCCTCGTCCGAAATGCACGTCTCCGCCTGCTTGCTCAGCCACCGCAAATCGGTGCAGAGATGGTAGAAAACGGGCAGAAACCAGTTTTCGTCTTTCCGCTTTTGCAATATCTCCTTGTTGAACAGTTGGATCATCTGGAATGTGAATTTGAACATTTTCTACAAATTAATTTGGAAAAAATCCGAGAAAATCTAGAATTTATTTGGTTTTTCAAAAGTTTTCGAAAATTGTTGAACTTTACGGAACACTACGGCAAAGCCGAGAATTTGTAAAAGCCAAAGGAGAATCTTACAAATAAGTGTATTTTTTAGAATTTTTGAAATCCAACCTGTATCTGAGTGCCCTGAGCGGTGATGAAGTCTCTGGCGACGTGGACGTTGTGGAGAACGTGGAGATGCAAACAGACGAGCTCGTCGAACGCGTCATCCTCGGAAATTCGGCAACGACGATTCCGGGAGCCGTATGCTTCGATCTAAATTGATTTTTATTGACTTTCCGCGCCTTTTCAGTGCTTACATGCAAAAAAGGCGCCTGGGAATGATCGTCGTCCAACGACAAACTTCTGGCGATTTTGTCGCCGGTTTTCCAATCACAAATGTCGACCAAACTGCAATTTTATCAATTTTTGCTTGAAATTCTATGAACAACAGACACTTACTTATTAATTTTAGCAAAATAATCGTCAATACTGAACACGGACGCCATTTTGACCGGTTTTAGAGCTGTAATTCGAATTTTTGCAATGATAATCGGCGTGGGACTAGGTTTGGTCAAAACTCGGCCAGCCGGGAATTCTAGTCCGCCGACCGATTCTTTTGCGCAAAAACTCAAATGGAAAACGGAAATTGAGGATTTTGCCGGTTCCAGGTCGTTTTTTCGGGTAACAGTTAAAGAACAGACTTAAAATCATCAGAAAAAAAAGTTTGAAATAGGTCTCGATGTGAAAACTCAAAGCATTAGAGCCATAGGAAATTGTCGTGTGTATGCGGGTCTCCATGGCAACTGCGGCGAAACGTTTAAGGGAAAAGAGCAGTTATATTATTTGCGCGTACTCAAATTCATAATATGTCCTCGAAAAGTAGAAGTTCATCGAAGGAAAAGTGAGTTCTCTTCTTGTGAAAAAATCAAAAATTAAAATTGTCTTGTTTCTAATACTTTTAGATCGTCTTCCTCGAAAAAAGATAAAGAAAAAAAGAAGGAGAAAGAGGAAAAACGAGAAAAAAAAGAGAAAAAAGAGAAGAAGAAGGATAAGAAGCCGAAAACGCCGGAGCCAGAGCCGCCGGAGCCCGAAGAGCAGTACGACGACGATTTTGAAGATTATGAAGACGACTTCGAGGATGAGGACGAAGTTTCGGAGCCTAAAATTGAGGAAAAACCGAAAAGAACAGAACCCGATGAGGTAAATATTGAGAAACCTCAAAAATCGATAATTTCGCGTGTTCAGGAGCCGTTCGAAAGTAATATTTTGCAAAGATTGGCGACGAGTCACTTGAGAAGGACGGAGGCGCCGAAAAAAGCAGAAAAACCGACAATTCCGCAACCGAATCCCTTGCCGAACTACTCGGCCGTGAGTTTATCAGTGGAGCGCGTTTCCATCATCGTAAATTTTTAGATCAATAATCAACCGTTTTCCCATGATAACTATGAAGAACGAAAGTCCACGGAGCAAAGGGCTTTCGGAAGATTAGCGAAACTTCGAGGCCTTATAAGTTGGAGCAATTTTTAAAATTTAAAAATAAAAAAATTTCAGCAATCGAGACCACGAAATCGACAGTATTCACGGACCTGTCTTCCAATATTTTTGAGCCTTTCCAATCGATTTCCTCAAATCTGGCTCATGCTTTCGCGCAAACTGGAAAAGATTCGAGCAGTGAGGAAGTGCAGACGGAGCAGGCGGAAACGGAGGAAAAAGAGACACAATGTCCGCATTTGGAGAGCAGAAAACGGGAAGATCAAGAGGGAACGGATGGGACCGGCGAGAGGACCCCCGCCGATCGGGCACGACTCAAAAAGTTCTTTTTCGCCGCCACGCAGGTGAGGGCCTCTGTGGAAGCACAAGTTTAACTGAGCACTGCAAAGTCCGGAGGTTTCCTAACGTTCCAGAAATTGTTTCGTGAAATCTTTACATTTGGTACTTCATTTTTGTAGTTAACAACGTTCCGGTACAAGAACTTTCCGGAGTACTGTAGCTCCTGGAAGTTAGAGCACCAAAACTGCACTTTGCTTGTCCCAACTTCTAGGAGCTACAGAACTCCAGGGAGTGCTCGTACAAAAAAGTGATCAACTACAAAAACACAGTACTAGATGTCAAGAATACGCACACAAATTTCTAGAACCCTGGGACGTTTCTTGATTGTACAATAGTCATTTAAAGTTTGCCATCCCACACTGTCAGTTTCAACAGTACATACAACTCTCAATGTTTCCCCCATTTTTCAGTGAACCGATGTCAAGACTGTTTGATTATTTTTCCAGACGATCCGCGAGATTCTGATAAGCGACGACAAGACGGTCGAGGAAAACGAAGTTCGGGAGAAGTCGAGTCTCAATTTCTCCCGCGGCTACAATCCGTTTTCTCTGGGAGCCATTGTCAAAAGTTCGTTCCCAAGTACCCTTTTTTCCAAAGTTTCTCTTACATGTAGGGAGCAAAGTGACGTGTATCCAGCAGGGCGAATCGGACAGTGTACTCGTCGCCTTTGAGATTTTCGAGACCGCCGCCGCGGATCTCGTCAACAAGAGTCTCATCGCCGAGTTTTTCGTCCACAAACGAAGACCGCCCAAAAGGTTTTCGGTTTTGTCGCATTAGAGCGCACTTGCCAATTTCAGACTTTTCGTCGTCGAAAGTGTCGTTTCGGCAATGGAATTGAGCTCCGCCACACAGACCCTCTACGTTTGTTTGGTAACCAAAAAATTTGAATTTTTGTCTCCGAAAAACAGTGTATTCAGGTCGACGGAGCGTTTTGTGCATTCGATCTTTCGATCACAGACTCATTTTTCAAAAATCCTCTGCCATGGGTCGGTAAGTATCGATTTTTCTAATTTTTTCGGTTAAAACCCAAATCGCTCAGATTCCGACGTGGACATTGCTCTGCGCCGGCCGACTTTCGACTCCTCGTTCCTCGCCACCACCATTTCCGACGCCACGCCCCTTTCCGCAATGGTCGTCACTAAATCGAGGTGAAATTTCAGTTTTTTAAGACAAAAAAATCGATAAATTGTCAAGCGCGGTTGGAACAGCAAAATTTCAGTAAAATCTATAAAATCGCACTGAAACTCGAAAATTTAGCGATGAAGCACAATTGCAACACGGCAAATTTGAATTTTTGCTGCGAAATAACCGTTTACAATAAAATACTAGAAACTCGATAATTCGTCAATAAAGCGCCCATTTTCCGCTCAATTTTTGCAGCGTGGGCGAAGACATCACCACAATCGACACGGCCGGGACCATTTCCTACTGGGTGTGCAGTCGTGTCGAAAAGAACGAACTGAGAGTGCTCCTGGCGGCCGTGATCCGTGCCCATCCGGTGCTAAAACGGTAAATTCGCAGTGGAGCGCACTTGCACACTCCTTTTTTCCGTTTCAGACACTCGAATTCGTTCGCCGTTTCGGCGTTTTGTCACACGCCGAAACCGCTGCGTTTCTTCATCGGAACAGACACCGGAATGATGTATTCGGTGTACAAATCGGACACTTCGCAGGCGATTCCCAAAATATTCAACACCGAGAAAGGTATCATTATTATTTTTATCAATTTACGAGTACTGTTCATTATATTTATTCACAGAAAAGTATGGAGAAGTGACCGTAATCTCCGCGAATCCATCGGATAACACTGTCTTACTCGTGGGCTTCTCGTCCGGCTCCTATTCGATCTACCGTACCACGCAGGCGTCCGCCCTCCTCAACATTCCAATTCCCGACGTTTCGACGCGGGTGACGTGGCTCACGTGGAGTTTGACGTGAGATTACTGCAGATTACGGTTGTCATTTGAAGTGTTGCACTTTTACAGTAATCCGTCCGGTTTCTACGCAATTCACAATGGAAATACCATCGTTTTCTGGGATTTGGGTCACAAAACTGCTCACCGGAGTACTGATTTGAGGACGGTAAGGGGCGGGGTCTTAAATATCAACATTTTTGCGTTTTTTCCAGGACTCGGCCACGATCCTTTCGGCGTGCACGTGGCACTCGGAACAAGCGCGAATCGGATATCTGGCGTTCGGACTCGACAACGGAAGTTCGGAAGTGCACGTTTTGGAGGATCCGGCGCGGAAGAACGCGAACGAGACCATTCTCGAAGTGCTCCGAAGGCTATGACCCTCTTTTTATTATCCCGTATATTAAAGACAGTGTATTTACAAATTGATCGTTTTGCTCGGTTTCGCCGTTCCCTCTTGTTTTGCCTTCAGTTTGAGCCGATTGAACTTTTCGAAATCGATGCCCATCAGCAGATTTACAATGATTTTCTCGTCGTCCGCACTCAATTTCGACAGTTCCGCGCGTTCGGAGGAGTGGGCGGAGCGGAGAAAAAGGAAGCGACAAAGGTAGACGAGTTGGCAGACGTTCGTCAGGTAGGCCACGATGAAGAGGATCAGAGAGCGGTCCGACGGGAACCTGCAAAGTTTCAATGAATGATTGGTGGACATTTCGGCATGAAACGCAAGTCTTTACCTTCTTTTCTTGTTTAGTCCAGCCAGAAGGGTTCCGTCGTAGGCGAACGTCTTCAGAACGCATCTGGAAAGGTGCCGATTTGGAAGGTCTGATACAGCATAGTTGCCACGGGCCGGGCCGGGCCGGGCCGAAATTTCAAAACTCCGGCCCGGCCCGGCCAGCCCGGCCCAGTCGGCCCGGTTCAAAAAGCGGGAATTCAAAAATTTGAATTATTGATCGCATGAAGCCATTTTTTTTGTAGAATTAGGGGTTTTTTTGCAAGCATCGAACATTGAAAAAAACAAATGTATTTCTCATAAAAAAATTCATAATAGCAAAAAAACAAAGAAGTAACACTAAAACTTTAGTTCGAAAATTTTTTTTGTAATAACGAAAAAAAAATTTCCGCGAAAATTTGAATTCCCGCCTTTTGAACCGGGCCGGCACTTCACCGACCCGGCCCGGCCCGCATGGCCGGCCCGAAATCTGGCAAGTCTGTGATACAGAATTGGGAAAAGTACGCCGATATCTTGCTGAAACTTGCTCTCAGAGTACTTTAATTCTAGACTGATAAAATTGCGAAGTGGTCTCAAAGTCCAAGCCCCTCTAGACTTCTACCAGACTTTGGTTCTTACCGATTCATATCCAAAACGTGTCTCCATCTGGCCAATTTGCCCGTCTCATTCCGATTGCACAAAAGACCGGCCAATCCGTTTCCGATTCTGAAACTTTCCAATTTCAGGTCAAATCACATTTCTTCCCCTTCATCGATTCACAAATATTTTGAGTAAGGTCACGAGTTTTACACTTTTCGCCGACAATCTTGACAAAGAGTCAGTTGAATGAAGAAGACAAATGAAAAGCAAAAAAGTGAACGGATAGCCGCCCTCTTTCTCTCTCTTTCTTTCTTTCTTTCTTTTTGCCCCGTGAGCTCATTCCGGCCGAGCCGCCGCCTCCGGATGACAGATGTTTCCTGAGCCCGCCCGGGGCGGACGTCCTTCGCCCGGAAAATGTGAAGAGGCCATGAAAATACAAGAAGAAGAGGAATTTTCTTTTTTCTTTTCCAAACTTGTTCTCAGTCCCTTCTAACTATTTATTTTTCCAGGATTCTAGAAAGAGTGCGACAGAAAACGGAAAAATAAGATTTTTGATGTAGGATTTGCAACAAGACGCGGACGAATGCCGACTAAACGCGTAAGTCCTCAGTAGTTCTAATTTCTGTCATGTCTGTAAAAACATCAAATTTCCCAAACGTTGACAACGCCTAGATCGTCCATTGTGTGCTTTCTAGATTTGAATTTATGGAAAACGAGAAGCAAAAGTAGAGCTCTGATTATTCGTGTAAATTTTGACATTCCGTGCCAATCAATAACGTTTTCTTTTTCGCTTCGAATCCGACACAGGCCCCAAAGATGATAATATGCTCCTCCATGAAGGAATGATATTAAAATTTTGATGCCAACACGAAAATGCTTTAAAAAGAAGCGAGCAATCGAATGAAATAGAGTCGGAGTCGATTGGACATTTTCGAAATGTTTCAGGCTTCGGAGCTGTGTTGGGGATGTCCTGTAGTACAAAAGGGTACACGCGGAGATTTTGCTAGCCAGTTGGTGTACCTTCTAAATGTACTTTTCCTAGTGAAAATGTCGTACCTATTCGGATCGGTCTCCATGGCGACTGGCTGCTGTTCCCGTCGTGCGGCCCTTTCCCGTGGCACCACTCTGCTCAGCTTGCCCACCATATCCTCTACCGTACTCCTCCGTTGCTCGGCCCCGCACACAATCACGTCTTCCCCACTCAAAAGGGGGAAAAGGACGTCTCCGAGGTGTCCGGTCACTGCTTTCAGTGTCTCTTCTCCTCGCACGTCTTCTGAGAATTCAGAAGAAGAAGAGGGGAACGATGATGACGCGGCGGACGTAGAAGTCGTCGCAATCGGTCGGAGCTCGCAGAAAAGAGCTCCCGGTTGAGGCTGCGAGCAAGAAGAAGAAGAAGAAAGGTTTCTGCGCGAGGAGAGTTGACCCAAAAGTTGACGTAATTGGGGAATTATCGAGGAATAGGCCTGGAATATCGGAATTCTTGTTTGAAAAAGAGCTGGGGGATTTTTCGTACACATGGAGCGAGGGTTTCGACGGGACTCAGCGGAATTGACGGAACTCGAAATGAGCAGATGATATCCTCGGCTTCCGACATGTTTTCCGCGTTGTGTCCGCAGCAGATGTCGTCTGCAAAGAAGTAAATAAAGGGATTTTATGATTTTTCTAGAATTTGTTTTTAAAAAAATTCTCACCATCAAAAGTCATTTCTTGGAATTTCTTTGTCAAAAATTTGCTTTTGAGTAGACGGGTCTGTTCGAAAACCACATTGAACCGGCTCGAATCCATCAGTTTCTGGTGGTCGCCGTCGAAAGTGTAGTACTCTTTGAACGCCGTTTCGTCTGCAAAAACGCTTTTTTGACACATCAAGGCACTGAAACGACGCGTACCGACGTTGTCCGAAAACTTGACAATGTCGGTGACGTGGCGGATGAAGAGACGGCGATTGCAGATTAAAACCGGCGACACCATCTTTTTCATTTGCGCCGAAAAGTGCGCCAGCATCTCTTTCGACGGCTTCTCCGAGCTCAAGTACGCTACGCACAGGTTACGCTGCAAGGTTTTTAAAAATTGTGATTTTTCTGCCATTTTTAAACTCGCACAAACATATTTTGTTTTGGGGGTACCTGAAAAGCCCTCGCGCGCATATCGTACAAATTGAAGTAGTAGGCGGCCGCGTAGACGCCCGTTTGGTTATTTTCGAGAACAATCATCGTGCCGGGCACCGTATCCGACGACATTAACCAAATTGACATTTCGTTCATGTCCACACCCGACACTGCAACAATTTTGAGCAATTTTTTACAGTTTTTATAGTCAAAATGGCTAGAATAATTGAGAAAAATGTGTTCAATTCAAACCTTTATTATCGGACCGCGAAGAGACAATCGCAAGCGGTCGGGGGCCCACAACTTGGCAAAATTCGACCAAAGTGAGAAACGGGTCGATTTTGGCGACGAATCTGTTGAACGGATCCACCACTTTTGAGGGCCGCAGCAGAAAATCCTCGAACGAAATCATTCCTGCAATTATTTGTCTTTTTTCCAGGGCTTTAGCAATTTTTTCCAGTCAAAAATGAGATGGAAGAAATTTCCACTAAAAACAAAATTTCGACATGCGCCTTTAAAGCTACAGTACTGCTTTTCGTTCATTTCGGCATTTTGATGGAATTCATGAATTTCTGCCGATAACATCATTCTTATCATTTCAAAATGTGCGTAAAAACGTAGAATCGATGACAAGGCGGCCAGACAAATCAATTTTAAATCGGGAAGCAAACAGTGTAAAGTCAGGCATGTCACCCGACGAATGGCCGTGGCCTAGAAAACTCCGCTCGGCCACCCCTGTCAGTTAATTCATTTTTTGACCGGTTCCGCTCTTTTTTCCCAGTTTTACTCTCGATTTCGGCATAAATTTGAATGCAAATTTATGGAAAAACGATTTTCACTCTTTTGATCACTTATTTTTACAGCTAGGGCATTCAGATTTATCGACTTTTAATTACTCAGTTTTTAAAAGTTCCTTTGGGTATTTAAAGTTAATTTTACATCTGAGAGCTTTCGAATTTTGTAATCAATTTAATAAATGCATTTAAAACTGAAAATACACTTGAAAATCCATTTAGTCAAGCAATTTCTCCATTTCATACGCCCTTCTCTTATGCGTTTCACTTTCTCATCAGAAAATTCTGTAAAGCACAAAATTTCAGCTTAAAATCAATCTTTTTGCTCGAAAATAACCTTTTTGCACGATTTCGAGTGCAAAAAAAGTGGATTCTCGAGGGAAAAGAGTGCTTTCATCTGAAGAGAGTGCTCAGAAGGGCCTTGTCAACTTTGGGTCCATTAGTGCGATTTCCAAAGACGAGCTTTTTTGGCCACGTTCTTTTCGAGTTCAAAGACGCATTTTTCGTAAAGGAAATGCCACAATAAGTCTAATTTTGCGACAAAACCGTTAATTGCCTAAATTTCAGTCAATTTTCTTCATCGCGAAAACTTCCAGTTCCAATTTATTAAAAACGAGAGCTTTATATTGTCCGTAATCCCATAAATTTCCATCAAGTCTAGACTGACCCATTTTCGCTTTCCCCCAAAAGATAGCGATCTTTTTGGATCGCTTCCACGTCGGTCTCCAATCAATTCGTCGCCTCCTCGTTTTCTCAGCCTAAAACCAGATCCTTTGCGAGTGATGACGTGTTCCTCGAAAAGGAATCAATCGATTCGGAAGTATCTGCGTCTCCGACGTCTTCTTCGTTTCCTTCGTTTCCTCCAGACGGTACGACCTTCTGTCCGTTCTGCGTCTCCGCCCGACAATTCTTCTTCGTTTGCTGATGAGGAAGAGAAAAGAATCGAAGCAAAAATGACTCGCCTCCTCATCTCGAAGGAGAAAATGTGTTCTATCTTCTTCTTCTTCTTCCATTCCCCCTCTCTCTGTCTCTCCTCCGTCTTTTAGGGTTAAGGCCTGGTAGCCTAGTGAGACACGTCAGCTTAGATTTCGACACAAATTCTAGACTATTCTAGGCTTAACTCCTCAAAAATACTACATTTCTTTGAGATCCTTCTTAGGTAGTTTCATACATTCATCACTTGTTGCTAGCCAAAAATCAGTACTTAAGACCGTCCACCGTGAATTGCAGTCCCCAACTAAAGGTGTGGAACTTGATTTTCGCTTCCCTGTGGTTTCTTATGAAATGACTTTGGCCAGTTCTACGATAGAACTTATTTTCAGCAGACTTGAAAAGGTTTGCATGGCGGGAAAGACCTACCATGAATCATGTGGATTTATCCGTGATTTCCAGTGTGTAGCAATTTCCTGAAAGAAAGTTGTAACTTTCACAAGACTTTTCAATACTTGGACCCGCCACACGAGCCGAGCAAAATAAGAGAAAAACAACAAGACATCCACTGAGAGTTTCGCGGTGCGCGCGGTAGGTCAGACGGATCTCTCGGTCCAAACAAAGTGAATAAGCGAGGCGTTCGCGGGAGAGGAGAAAAAAGAGGACGGTCCCGGGGAGAGATTGGCCAAAGAGTGGGTTGGAGACGGCCGGCGGGGCGATTTTCGCGCGAAAATTCGTGACCGAGCCAGGGACCGTTCAAGAATTTCACACCTGTCACAGAGATCAGAGGAGTTTACGAGTGAGAGATTGACAGATCACGCCGACGGACCACCACCCAACCTAAGACGTTTGTTAGTTAAAACGGTAGTTCCGATGCATCATGTTTGTGTTTTTTGTTGTTTAGTTGTGTCGAACAACCTTGTTTTTTCGGTGCTTCCGCATAGGAACTTCCTCTTTTTCTCCCTTCCTTCCTCCCTATACAAGTAATTAATTCTAGATCACAAGACCCCCTCTCCTTTCTTTTCCGCCCCACAAACAGTTCCGATAACCAACTCATCCATTCTGCAGATCGAAAAGACCGCATCAAATGTGCGAATGCCTTTCTCGGCACTCGTTCGGGTCTCGACACGATTTCGGATGGGCTCCTACGCCCTCCTCTTCGCAATTTCCCTCTTCGCTACAACCGTTCTAGCCGAACAACAGGTAACATTTGAGACAATTTAGAGGAAAAACCTATAAAAGAGAAAAAATTCGCAAATTTGACAGGCATGGCCGCTACCGGAAGAGGTTTCCGCGTCGTTGCTGCACGAGATCCCGCCCCTGCACACGGCGTTCGTGCAAATCGGAGAGGAACTGCACTACCTGAACAAGCCGATTCAACAGGAGCACGTGCACCATTTGCCCGTATTCGACCAGTTGGCGCCCGCCCTCAAAGGACACGCAAAAGCGGAGAAGGCGGCGAAAAAGGCGCCGAAAACCACGTTTAATGTGCTGAAAATGGCCGGAAAGGGAGAATTGCCGCTCGAAATGGACCCGCCCATGCTCGATTTCGGACAAAAGTGAGCTGCCATCTTTTTGCGAATTGTCGATTTTGAATTGAATTGCAGTTCTGTGGGCAACGCTCAGAAGGCGAAAATCTACATTCGGAACATGAGAAACGAGGAAATATTTTTGGACGCGATCGTGGTCAATTCCATCGAATTCCAGGCGTCTTATTTCGAGAAATATGTGAGTTTAGAATACATTTTTTTCTAAAACAACACTTTCCGTCTCAGAAACTGGAACCGCACGGCGTCACCGCAGTCGAAGTGGCCTTTTTGCCGCGAGAAATCGGAAAACGCTCAACGATCGTCAATTTTTACACGTCCGTCGGAATGTTCACTTATAAAGTACGTTTGGACCCTTTTTTCCGGTTTCAAAGTAAAAAAGACGGAAAACTGATATTTTACTTGGTTTTCTACACACTTTTAACCGGAAAATGGTTTAGGTGCAAGGAAACTGCGTCTCGAATCCGTACCGGTTGTCCCCGTTCACAGGGTATCGAATTCCGATGAACTCTTCGATTCCGAAGCCAATTCACCTTTACAATCCGCATCCGTACACTATACGAGTCACCGAGGTACGTTTTTCACAGAAAGAACTATAGACTTCAAATGTCTCACTTCTAGTTTTATAATAATTTTGCAGATAAGTTCCTCCGGAGGCAACGCGCACATCGAACTGCCCCATGAAGTGGATAGTATGCTGGCGGGCGAGCCCCCGCAGTACTGGGACATCCGTCCGTTCCAGTCGAAACACGTGGCCACTGTAGTCCTTGTGGGCTGCACGGCCGAAAACTCGACGGTCTTCGTGCGGATCGCGGCGGAACTGCAGCTGAGCACGGAGCTCCGGCACCGACTCGACGACATCTTCATGACGATTCCGATCGAAGTGCTCAAGAAGCGGGGGGTGTACGCGACGGACGAGATGCTCGACTTTGGACTGCTCCGACAGGGCCTCAAATCGGAGCCGAAGGTGTTCTCGGTGGCGCAGTATCAGATCGGCGGACGGCTGGAATTCGAGTCGCTCTACGTGGAGAGGGGCGACCACACGGCCATTTATATGGAGTTCGCGTCGCATCCGCCCATTATTGTGTACCCGCCGAACAAAGGAAGCGTCACTATGGGTAAGGGAAATGCAAATTGGGGAAAATAAATAATCAAGGTCAATTCTGGTTGCAGGACCGAAAGCGGACCTGGTGAAGGTGTACATGGAAGCGAATCGGGTGCAAATGGCGGCCAACCAGCAGATGAAACACATTTCCGGACAGATAATAGCGGTCTCGCGCGGCGGGAACTACAATATCAGCATCCCGTACCGCGTGGACGTCTTCCGCGGCGACCTCGTCTCGATCGGCAACGATCTTTCGATTCAGGAGGACCTGCGGCCGCCCCATCAGAGGGTCATCCGCATAGAGAATCAGCTGCCGTTCGACGTGGCCGTCTGGAACATCTCCCTCTCCGCAGACCTGCTCGCCCACTTCTCGGTCCGTCTCGTCGACCGCACCGTCGCCATTCAATCCGGCCACATTTCCCCGGTGTTCGTGCTCAAATACAACAAAAAGTTGCCCACTTCCTTTGAGAATTCCACAATTTTCCTCCACACGAACGTCTCCACATTCAGTCTGGAAGTGTCGACGTTCGCGGGGAAGCTGGCCGTCGAAATGACGTCGGTCGACAAGAATTCGTTCGATTTCGGCTTTGTCGAGAAGAACGACACGCGGACGATCCGATTCGTCGTCTGGAATCACAACCGCGCGGAGATGCGCCTCAAGAATCTGGCGGTGCCGTTCCGAAACGCGTACCGATTGTACGAGGTGGGCGTCAAATCGATCGGCAACTTTTCGGACGTGCGCAACGACGAACGGCTCGAGTACGTGGAGCCGACGGACGTGGACATTCCGCCGCTTCGGGGCAAGATCTTCGACCTGGAGTTGAAGGTGCCGTGGGACGGGCACGTCCGCAACGGACACATCCTGTTCGAGACGGACTACGAGTCGAAACTGTTCGCGGTCACCTATCAGGTGTCCTCCGGGTCCCTGCAGTCGATCCCCGACGAAATGTCGTTCGGGCAGACGTTCCCGTCAAAACTCGTCTACCGTACTCTCCAAGTATTCAACTCGTTCACCGAAGATATGACCGTAACCCGACTGACCACTCTCAACGAGGATCCACGCTTCTTCTTCGAGGGCTTCGACCCGTTGAACCCGCCGGTTCTGAGGTCTGGACGACTCACCAATCTGGGCAGAGTCATGTTTTCCCCTTCGGCGCCATGCGAGCACGAATACTGCTACCTGGGCATTCCGCTGGGCTCTCCGGACGGCGCGTGGTTCACGCACGGACTGGGACTCCCGTCGAATCTGCCCGAAATAGACTCGTACCTTTATAAACAGTTGCGAAGGAAGTACGATGCGCTGGTGAAGAGCGGCAAGCACCACGTGAACACGACCATTATTTTGGACACGGACAAGGCAAAGAATATCAAGGTGCGTAGGGGAAACCTCGAAATTTTAGGGCCAGACGCTTTGAATGTTAAGTTTTCTTTTTTCTCCCTTACTTGTTCACTTCACATGTAACTCTTCTCTAATTCAGATAAAAACGTCGGCGGAACTAGTGTGGCCCCGTCTGCTTACCCGCAACTCCATCCATTTCCCTCTGACGGCGCTCGGCAACTTCACAATAGTCAACCTGACACTGGCGAATCCGACGAGCGTTCCCGTTGCGATCCAAGTGATTCCCCTGGTCATTTACCCGGACGCCGAGTCCCTCGTCGAGCTGATGAGACCGCATTTGGCCTCGGAACTAACGGACCACGTGGAGATGAACGAGACGCTCATGTTCTCGCTGCGGGACACCGAACTGTTCACTCTGAAGCCCGATTCGCCGGTACCGAAGCTCCGCGAGGCGTTCGAATACCATCTGAACCACGAAATGCCACGATATAATAATGAGGTCAACATTCCGAGGTACCCAATGAAATTCTTCGACAAAAAAAAAGAATGAAATCCGTTTAGATTCACGCTGTCGATGATCCTGAAACCGCACATGAAAGTGCGTCTCCGTCTGGGATTCCTGCCCTCCGACTACACTCTTCGCTCCTCTCTCCTCCTCATCCGCAACAATCTGACGGCCCTCGAGCCGGTGGTGATGTACGGAAAAGGGGCGAGGATCGGAGTGCGCGTCGAGGGATCCGAGGCCAGATCCAAGAAAGCGTTGCTGTTCGAGATCCGACACGACCATCTCACCGACTGTAATAATCCAAAGAGTGAGTGGGCGGCGCCGAGGGAGGATTTCCAAAGGGGGAATGATAAGAGAAACGGGGTGTTGAGATAGAGAAAGAATCACTGAAGAAGTCAGGGTCTCGCCACGAATTTCACGTTAACAGGAATTGTAAAGTAGTCGAGCTCCGTGGTGTTAACAATGGCTATAAAACCTTTTACCCAGAGTACAGTACCCCTTTTACAGGACTGATGCACAAATTGCACTCAACACTGACGGTCCGCCGTCCGTTCCAAGTGATGAACAGCGGCGAAGTGGGCTTCACGGTCACGAACATGAGCATAAACGGGGTGCCGTGCGAGAACCGCGGCTTCCGAATTCTCAACTGCTACCCGTTCCGACTGCAACCCAACGAGACCTACGCGCTGGACATTGCGTTAGTTCTGGTTAACATTTCAGCTCGATAATATCCATTTCCAGGTACACGCCCGACTTTTTGACGACGACGAACGAGGCGGACTTGCAGCTGTACATGCACATGAACGGCAGTGCGTGGCTGTTCCCGCTGGCCGCCACGGTGCCCGGGGACATGCTCGCAAAGTGTCATCAGGCACTGCCGAGGCCGCCCTTCGAGAACATCATGTACTATAGCTGTGTGACAGCACTGATGTGAGTCATTTTTCCGAAAAGATATTGTAGATTTGCACTAATAGTGTCTCGCAAAATTCGCTCCACTGCGCAGTGCTACAGTACTCCTCCTTACCGTAATCATTTTGCAGATTCTGTTTGGTGTGCGTGCTGGCGTGTGCCTATCTGGAAGGGGACCGTGCGATCGCTTGTGCAATCCGTCAGCAATTCGCGATTCCGCGCCACGTCTTCGACCTGAACGCCCTCAAACCGACGCCTTCTCTGGTGCCGGCAGCCGCCGCCGCTTCCGTTCCCACCGGATCATCATCATCGGAGAAGTCGTCGTCGTCGGAGAAGGAGAAGAAGAAGTGGGCGACGACGCCGTCCACGCTGAGAGCCTCCTCCGACGCGTGGCTCATCTCGAGATTCCTGATAAATCTGGCGAATTGGGTGGTCGGATGCGTGCATCTAGTGTGGAGGGTCTCGCTTTTCTACCGTAAGGAGAAGCCCGCGTCGGCGGAGAAAACGGCGAAGACGTTGAAGAAAAAGAAGACGGCGGTGACGATGAAAAAGGATAAAGAGTCTGAAGTTTCGAAGGAGCCGACGACCGCCTCGATCACGATGGAAGACCTCCAGAATCTGCCGCCAGAGTACCGACAACTCATCGAAATGATGGAGGCGAATAAGCTGGCGCCCGCGTCGGTGGCTCCGCCCACTTCTCAAACCTCGAATCCGACGGAGCCGTTGCTTTCGAAGAGCCAGAAGAAGAAGGAGGCGAAGAAACGGGCGGCCGCCGCGCAGAAGGAATGGGAGAACAACAATCCGTCGAGCGCGACCCGGAAGGCTTCCGCGGCGAGCTCCGAGCACAAAACGCCCACGCCGTCGCCGAAAGCACAGGTCCAGCAGAGGAAGCCGCTCCAGACACCTCCTAAAAAGAAGATCGCAGCTCCGATCCTCGTGGAAGATCGGAAACCGCCCCCAGCTCCGGCTCCGAAAGCCCCGACCACTCCAGCTGCTCCGACCACCTCTCCGATGCCGATCCCGACCGCCCAGGACCTCGCCAACCCGATCCTTCAACTGTCGCCGGACATGTTCTATCGCCAATTCCTCGCGTCGACAATGATGCCGATGGACCCGGGCGTCTGGGACTCTCCGGCTGCTCAGGCGGCCATTCCCTACATGAATCTGTGGAACTACGGGGGACCGCTGCTGAGCACGGAGCAAATGGAGGAACTGATCAGACAGGCGTCCGGAGGCGTTGTACCGGACTTTGGTGCGATCGGAAATGAGCAGATGATGGAAGAGCCGGAGACGGAGGATCAGTGGAACGGAAAGGACGAGGACGGAGAGGAGGCGCCCGATTGGGCAGATGAGGTACGTCTGCGGAAAGTGATTTGACTAGAAGTGTTGGGAAAACTCACCATATTTCACAAGAATTTCACTCTAAAATCAGTAGGAACCTAAAATATCTTGCAGGAAGTGAACGCGAGCGACGCCGAAATGGACTTTTCCTCACTGGCGGCCGCCTCGGAGGACATCTTCCACGAGCAGGATCCGTCCCCATCCGACGGTCTCCGTCACCGGCACCGCAGTCCCAGCCAGGCCTCCTCGACTCTTTCCCGTCGATTGGAGAGCTCCCCGCAGAAAATGGGCAGCCGCCGACTGACGATCGGATCCGAAAAGAAGGACTCGCTGACGTTCTCGCGGACCCCCGGCGCGCCGATCGGCTCCATTTGGACCGATTCTTCCGACTTGCTCAGCCCGTGGAGCACTCCGACTCCGCCCACAAACGCTGCTCCGGGAGCACCTGTGGGAACGGCGACGAGCTCGGCCGTCGGACAGAGTGCAGAGGATCAGCTGTCGCTTTCCCATTTGGGCATCAATTTGGGTACGGTTTCGAGATTTTGCAACTAAAAATTTGGGAAAATCGTGTTTTGCAGCCGACGGTCCCCTGTTCGGAAACACAATGTTCAGTGGGCCGGAGTTCAATCTGTGGTCGTCCAGCTCGATTTTCAACCCGCCCACGCACTCGCCACAAAATGAAGAAGATGAAGAGAAAAAGCAGAATTGAAGAAAGACAAAACAATAACATCCGTTTTACACTCTGTGTTTCGATGAGATTTTTTGATAACTTTGAGTTGGCCTTTCCCGAAAATGAACTGTTTTCAAGAGTGAGACAATCGTTTAATTATGAGATTTTTGGAAAGATTTGAAGATGAGGACAAGTGAAATTTAGTGATGAATGAGATTAAAATGCGGAATGTTCGGCCTTCATGTCCGGCGGCACGTACACCTTCTCCAGCATTTCGATACTTCTCGCGTACGGAGCCGTTCGGCGGCGTTGATGAGCACACCACCTGCAAAATGTTATTCGTCTTCTCATATTTGAACTGTGCGATTTCTTTTCAGTTTTCACTCAATTCTACAATCAGAAAATGCGAAAACTCGGTCGACGGTCCCTTCACGTACCCTTTCTTGACGGCTCTCCAGTGCCGCAAATACTCGTTTTTGAGGTCGAGAAAGTAGTCCGGATTGACTGTCGTGTCGATTCGGTCCGTTTGTTCGGGACACACGGGCAGTTGCGGAGCATTGACGTCCGCTCGCGGCATACGGTAGATTTCACGGCACGAGAGATAGTCCTGCAATCGGTTACAGTAGAGAAGATGGTGTATGTGGGCATAAGGGCTGGACAAAGGGCCGGCGCCCAGGCTTTTGGTCTCAAGTTTGGTCCTGAGATTTACTGGTTTCAGACAGAAAAGGCAGGATTTTAGCAAAAATTGAAAAGAGCAGCTAATCGGATCGGTCTGAAACTTGGAACCAATACACTTGAATCTAAGTCCATTGCAATATTGCAAGTGGATCAAAAGTCCAGGCCCAGGCCGTGAAAAGAGCACTCACGATGGAGAGATTGGGGGCGAATTCGGTGCGAGAGGGCCGGATTGGCTCGTGGTCCGGCTGCATGTACCCCTTGACCCAGGCCCTGCCGAGAGAATACTCTTGTTCGTAGCGTCCGGCGACCATTTCGAACGGCTTTCCGCGCAGTTCAAACGAGATTTTCGAGTCGCGCGTCATCGTTTTGCGCGGCGAATCGATGAGCGAAGTGCTCGAATCGTGCCGCATTATTTTGCGTGGGCGACCCGGCGGACGATTCGCACGGCCATCCAGGGAGTCGTCGCCTCTTCTGAAATCATTCTGGATTTTGCGGAAATCGAGGGAATTCGGGCGTCTTCAGTGGGGAAAAACGCCGAATTTTCTTGAAACTAACGTGTAATCCTCGGGAAGCACTCCGATTATCTCCGACGGATGCTGCTTTATCGTCGTCAGCAGGTTCCCGAGCCGTTTTCGCGCGAACTTCATGTCCGGCGACTCGGGAATCGTCGGATCGTAGGTTAGGAGGGATCTGCAAGTTTTAACGTTTTTGAAGATTCAATTCAAAGTTGAGCAAGTACGTGAGTTTTCTGCTGGGTGAGTCGATGGGAATGAGTCCGCCGCTGATCAACGGGTCGTTCTGCATCATTTGCTGATCGGGAACCTCTTCGGGCAGCAGAAACTCCGCCAGCGGGTCTATTTCGGTCATCTGAACGAGCAAACAAATGTGAAACATTCAGAAAAACGGTGAAAACGGTAGAACACTGGATGAGAACCATTCAGATTACTGAGAAATTCGAGAAAAAAAAAAGGGAATTTAATTATTACGAAGCAGCACGAGGGAAAATAAATATAAACATGCGATTTTGGATGGGAAACAGGAAAATTGAATTCTTTGGAGAACAACATTCGAATAATTATGGAAAAACTATGGAAAAAATGGAGACTTTCAGAGCAATTTCAACAAGTTTCTAGTCGTTCTTTCTTCCCGAAGACGTCCGATTCGCCGAATAGACAATGACGGTGAGGAAGGCGGTGGCGGCCGAGTAGACCGCCCGGAACGCCAGCAGCGACCAGCCGTACAGCGAGAACGTGTGCGCCACCGTTCTGAAAAAGGAATGTTATAATTCTATGCGCTTCTTTTTCATGCAAGAAAATGTCTATAGAACGAGAAACTAACTGATAGACGAAAGTGGAGAAGACGGCCATGGCGAGTACGGGAACGACGATGGCCTTATTCGGGGAGCGGGTGATCATCCACGTGAGACAGGCGAGCGAGACGATCAGAAGGAGATCGGAGGAGGAGTCGAGGGAGGTCTGCACCCAGCGCCACGTGAAAGCACTTCCGCGGGCGCCGACCCACAGCAGCACGAGCCGGTGTGCGACCGAATGGGCGAATCCCCAGCCGAGGCCGCCAACCACGAATCGGACCTCGCCCTTGCCCGCCAGAAAGTTCGTCATTAGAAGGTGCAGTCCGATCACGTCCACGATGTCAGCACAGCTTTTTAGGAACTCCTGAAATATACAAATTTTAAACTTTTTAGGAGGGAAACTTGCTTTTTCCTAAATTTTTAAAAAGTATTTTCGGACCAATCGAAGTTTTATCAACCTTTATTGTGAATTTGTTGGTTTTTGAAAGTTTTTGAAAGTTTTTCAGTGGTTTTCATGATTTTTACGCAATTTTCGCTGACCGGCAAGATGCTGAAGCCCTCTCCGTCGAGAGCGGGGAAGAAGGTGGCGAGGAGAAGAAGTTTGACCAGTTGGGTCAGTAAATAACCGCCGCTGGCATTGGCACACTTCCAAATTGAGCTATATTCGTTGATTCCTGCAAAAATCCGAAGTTTTTACGATTTTCTCAGAAAATCCTAAACTTTTAGGATTTGGCTTACCGGAATACTTGTAGGCGATAAAATAGGGCGCAAATGATAGTGCAAAACAATTGATAAAGTGGAAAAATGACATTTTCGGCGGATTACCCTGCAAAAATCGATTTTCAATTTTATTTTGGGGACAGGTGCAAAAAAAATAAGAGAATTTTAGGTTTTCGCCCAATTTTGCGAGAGAAAATGGGGAAAATTGATAATTTTAGGTAGTAATATGATTACTGTACAGTTTTCGCGTGGAACAATTTGAAATTCCGATGAGAAACGACGGCAGTATGATGACGTTCAGGAGCAGTCGGAGGCATTGAGCTGTGGTGCAACCGCGCTCCATTGAGAACAATTGTTTGGCGGTAATTTTGAATTTTAAAGGAGCCGATTGGTTTTTACTAAAGTTTTCAGCAGTTTCAGCTCGTTCTGCACTTTTTTTTAAGTTGAAACAGTTTCCATAACTGTTAGTTATTGACAAAATTTTGTTTTACACGTATTTCACGTCGGCAATAGCATATTTTTCTGTCCAAAATGTTATTTTGCAGAGTCCACTCGGAAAATGGCAGAAAAAAAGGAGCAACTCACACAAATGCTCAACACATCGACAAAAACGTTTCAAAAAGTGTTGATGGAGTCGACACATGCTATCAAAATCGTAAGAAATTTTTATCTATTTTCTGGAAATCTCGATATTCAAATTTCCAGGCGCGCCACACCGGAATGAAGATAGAAAATCACGAAATGGACGCAATAATGGCTCAAATGTCGGAAAAGGCGGTGAAAAAGGTGCAGAAACGGTTGAATGTGCTCGTGGACGAAAATAGAATCTGCGAACGGTTCGAGGAGTTGGAGCAGTTGCGAAAAGAGTCCGAAGAGCTGAATCGGAAGCTCGGAAAGCCCGTCGGATACCATTTTATCAAGGTAAGCAAGTTTATTATAAATTTGGTCACATTTTCTATTCTTTAATCGTATATTTGAAACTTTTGCAGCCCTCCCGAGACGTCGGCCTACACATTTCTGAAACGAGCGAACGAATTCTGAGTGCGGCGGACGCGGAAATTCAAAAACTGAAGGCGGAGCTCGAGGCGGAGGAAAAAGAGCTTGAATCGCGGAACGCCGTCTTCTCCGAACTCGTCGCCGTCGTCGAATCGCAGCAGAAAACTCTCTGGCAATAATATGAATTCGAATTCAATTTCTGTGCAAATAAATGACTTGTCTTCTTCTATTCATTAGATGCGAAAGATGATTTTTAGAAAACCCCGAACAACAAAGAATCAATAAATTAGTCAAAGCATTCACTTTCTGGCGGTTTCGTAATTGTCGACGAACCAGTCGACGGACTCGCGGATGGCCGTCTCGAACGGAGTGAATTCAAAGTCCGGGAACAGCGCGAGCAGTTTCTCGTTCGACGCCGTCTTCTTGAACTGTCCGTCCGCTTTCGAAGTGTCGTACTCGACGGCGCCTTCGAATCCGATCGCCTTCACAACTGCCGACACCGCGTCGCGGATCGATACTTCGTCCGATTCGCTCACCGAAAGGATGATCGGCTCGACCGACTGAAAATAAGAGCATTAGCCTTTAGTCGGGTCACGAAAAATATTTCTCATATTTGGCGCTGCATCTTTAGAATCGTACCAAGATCGCAGAGTTAAGTAGTGTTGTGTATTTTTAAAATACATTTTTGAGTTTTCTCTTGTGACCTATTCAGTCGGGTCGCAAAACTTTCTCATTCTCCACCAAAATCTGACCTCATATTCGCGGACGACTCGGACGAAAAGCCGCGCGAGGTCGAGCGAGTAGATGAACTGTCGGAGCGGTTTTCCGGAGCCGAACACCTGAAGGGCGGTCCCTTCTTTCTTGGCCACGTAGGCTTTGTGGATGAGCGCCGGCAGCACGTGTCCCGCCTTCAGATTGTAGTTGTCGTGCGGTCCGAACACGTTGCACGGCACCACCGAAGTGTATCTGAAACGGGTACGGTACGCTCGGAATGCTCTGTGCGGTGCACTGCGTACTTTCTGCCGTGCTCCTGCGCGTAGCCCTTGTTGAGCACGTCGATCATCCGTTTGGCGTACGAGTAGCCAAAGTTGGAGTCGTGCGGCGGTCCCAAGTGGACCATCGTCTCGTCGATCGGATAACTCGTTTGATCCGGGAAAATGCACGTGGACAGGCACGAAACGCACTTCTCCACATCGAATTCGTGGCACAAAGCGAGCACGTTGTCGTTGATGGCCTAGAAGGAGAAAGTTAGGCCGCCGGCCGATTCGGTAGACCGCGGTTTACCATGTTCTTGCGGAAAAACTGCAAATTGTGAGCGAGATTGTGGAAAAGACCGCCGACCATCGCCGCCAAATGGATCACATGCGTCGGCTTCACCGATTCAAACAGTTTTCTGCAGAAAATGGGAAAATTGAGGGGATTTGCGAGGGCAAACCAAACCGGGTCGCCTCGAGATTCTCCAAATCGCAATCTTTGCTTCCGATGAACACCCACCTCTCGTCGTCTCGTTTTTCAGTGGTTTCTATCACCTAAAATCAAATGTCAACCTAAAACTGCCATTTTCCTTTTTTTTTCAACTGAATTCAGACTTTTCAGTTCATTTATGGCCTAAAATTGTCATTTCGGGCGCCCACCTTTTTGATGGCGCTTCCGACCAATCCGGTGCCTCCGGTCACCAAAATCGTCTTCATTTCGGCCTAAAAATCGGGAAAAATATAGAGAATTAAGGGAGTTTTAGAGCCGAAATTGATAAAATAGGAGCGAGAGAGGGCGTGGCCGGCCACGTTCTGCCCAGTTGGAATGCAAAGTGAAAAGAAGAGAGAGAGAATGGAAGCGAGAGACGGGGAGAAAGGAGAGGGAAAGTGTGCTTGCACAGCCGTCGGCCGCGTTGGCAACCGCTTCCATTATATCGATTTTCGGCAGATTTTCGAATTTATAGAAAACATCACAGAATAATTCGAGTTTTGGGGGGACGAGAGAAACCCGATTTAGGTTTATTTATAGAAAATTTAGGGAATCAACGGAGCGAGAAATGAATAAATACAGGAAAATTAGGGGAGAAAGGGAAATTTTTGTTGGTTGTTGTAGAATTTTGAAAAAAAAAACGTGAAAATCGAGCAGCAGGCATCTTCTGACGAATTCGTGGTTTATTCGGGTCGTTTCTCGGCGAACTTTCGCGTGTGCTCCTCTGCCGTTTTCATGAACTTTTTGTGGTCTTTCTGGAACTCCTCGGCCACGTCCGCGCGGATCGGATGCGACGGCTCCGGCTCGTTGATTAACGACAACAGGGCCATCATTACTGCAAAGATAACGAATTTTAGGCAATTTTCCTGAAAATTCCACGAACCTTGTTCAGTTTTCGTCGCCGGTTTCCAATTTTCGGCGGTCACAATCGGCAAACAGAATTTGCCCTCCTCGTCAACGTTCGGATGATAGATCTTGGTTTCAAAAGCGACCTTCGGCGGCTTGAACGGATAATCGACCGGGAAATTGATGCCCACTTTGAACGCACCCTTATTGTATGGCTCCTTGTCCTAAAAATTTACGCTTTTCTAGAAAAATTCAATTTTCTCGATTACCGGGATCAAAAGAACCGTCCATTTGAGTAAATTCGTCTCCTCGCACTCCACATTTTCGTACGCCTTCACTCCGCACTTTTTGAGATCCCCCAACTCCTAAAACACAAGAACATTTGAAAAGTTTGTAGAGAAACAACCATTTACCTTTTGAAGACGCCGAGTTGCTGACATTTTTCTATAAGCTCTTAATTAGTGAGGTCGCTGCAAAAATCGATATATTCGACGTTTTGGTGGTGAAAAACAATAAAAGCGAGTAAGAATGATGACAAATCTAGGAAAATGTAATTTCACCTAATTTTCGGTAACTATAATCTATTTTTTTCAAAAAAAAACATGTGGAAATTCGATAAAAGAAAACAAAATCACAGAGTGCTCGCAAAAGAATTACGAATATGGCGAAAAACTATGAAAGACCGGTCGACCTCGACGAAAACAGAAGTGTCGTAGGATAGAGTGCAATGAACGCAGTGCGCACCGTCACGTCATATTGCACTATTCCAAATTGGCGCGAGTTCAAATATGAAGTTCTCCGAGAAATCGTGAGGATTTGCAAAGTTTAGCGCAAAAAAATGGAAAGAGCGTTGGTTATGCAAACCAGCTATGAGAAAACAAGCGAAAAAACTCCGGGGAGACTCATTTCTAAAGGGGGAGGGTGCTCCGCGAGCAGCTGCTGTGTATCCATGGAAACCGGAGCGGAAAAGGTGTCTCCGAGGGAAGTAAACGAAAACAAATCGATAAGTCGATGGACTTTGATACCAACTACGTCATCGCACCCGATGAGTTCCGAAATGAGGCCGAACGCTTCGTCACGATCGCCTTTATGCTCGTCATTTTCGCGTTTTTCGCAATGACACTGATTGTGGCAATTTTGGTCGGATTACTCAAGGTTTGTTTACGCATTATGCCGCAATACAAACATGTTTTGCTATAGAGCTTTTGATAATTTTCAACGGAGCGAACTTGCAGCCCCAATGGTTCCGTCTGAATATCCAGCCGGACCAAGTGCCGACAATGGCCGACTGCTCGTGCCTCAACGTGTGCTTCCCGTGCAAATCGTGCTCGTTCCGGCGGTGTGTGAACGCTTGTTGTCCGAGATTGGTAGGCTATTTCGGTCAATAAGTTTTTGTTAATAGCAAGGTTTTTTGCAGAATTTGAAACAACGCCTAAACTGCATCGCAATGTGTTGTAACCGCCCGGGACCCACTAGAATTGATCTTGTCTGTTGTTCGGTTTGACAATAGTAATAACAGCTCGTTGTTATTGTTTTTTGAAATAATTAAAAATTAATGAATAAACGTCACACAAAACGATGGTTTTCTTCTTTTCCATTCCAATTCTCGTAGGCAGACTCTCCGCGGAGCGCACTTTCGGTTGTCCTGGCAACCAAACCGCACACGCCGTCCGCGTACACATTTTCTGAGAAAATTCTCTCAATTAATTTAAAAATGAGCCGCCCAAAATTGGAACCCTTCAAATTAGGTAATTTTTCCGAAAATTCCCTCAAAAGCCCGCCGCGAATTGCAGAAATAATCTCGAGTTTTCCGCTCCAAATGGCAATTTATTTCAATTTATGCATTTACCCGATGCATTTTATCAATCTGTGCCTTTCGCTTTATTTTAAGGTTTGTTCGGTTCGAGGCAAATTGTTTTGATACTCAAAATTGTTTAATTTCAGCACAAACTGATGACGGTCACTTATCAGGTGATTGCACTTTCGGCGTGTTTGGTGCATCTGGGAAGTGAGGGCGTTCGATTGGGCCTCGGATTTTATGGGAATTTAGCGGAAAATGTAAGCTGGACAGGGCTGGGCAATTGGCCGGCCCTTGAACTGGACTTTTGAACCACTTGCAATATTCCGATCCGACCCAAACTTTGCAGGATTGTTGGACTTGGATTGAGGGCCATTGGGTCCAAGTTTCAGCCCGATCGGATCGTCGGGTCCCGAGATATGTGGATCAATGGCCGATTTTTTCCAAAAAGCCCGGGCTTCCGGCCAATTTCGGCCAATGATCCACATTTCTCGGGACCAAATGATCCGATCGGGCTGAAACGTGGTCCCAATATGCTTCAACCCATGGCCAAGAAGCCTGCAAAGTTTGGGTCTGATCGGAATATTGCAAGTGGTTCAAAAGTCCAGGCCGGCCAACGAAAAGCCCGTACCGGCCAATTGCCCAGCCCTGAAGCTGGAAACTACTACCTTTTTGAACAACTTTTATTTTAAAGATGTCGGCACTTTTCGGCTTTCTAATCACCTCAATTATCATCCAAATCCCATTGACCGTGTTTTTGGCGTGTAATAATTCTTTTATCAATTTACCACTCGAATACATTTTCTACGCCATGATCGTGGCGTTTAGCGGATTTCAGGTCAGCTTTTTCAGCACACAAAATTACGATTTATCGATAAATTTTCAGACAATATTCGCGATTCAAGCATTGATGAAAACTGCGGATCGACAAGTTGCAAAGTATTTGGACAAAATCGAGCGGGAAAAGTTGGACTCGCTCTTCGGACCGGAAAAACGGAAAAAGTCGCCGATAACGACGAGACGAGTACGCAAAATTCGATATGATCCGCAATAGAATTGTTTTTTCGAAAAGTCACCTAAATAAATCAATTTTTTGCGTTGCCATAACAAAAGTGTCACGCTTCTCATTTCCCAACCGATCCGATCATTTCTACTCGAAATTTCTAGGGAAAACCTTTTCGGATTGGATTGACAAAACAGTTGAATGTATACAGAAGCGAATTCTGATTCGGAGTCCGACGATGCGAGCACGATTCGGCGGATGAGTCCGAACAGCAGAAAAGGTTTTTTCTCTTACTCAAATTTGGCCTAAGATCGTCCGAATGCTCAGATTTCCGGCGGAACGTGAGCGTGGCGGTGTGCGTGTCGGCGGCGCTCACTTTATTCGTTTTCAATCTGCTCGGCGCGCTCATTTTCTGGCTCATTGAGCACAATTTCACGGATGAGGAGGAGACCGAAAACGCGTGTCTGAAATTACTGAAAACGGGCACAAAAATCACGACGGAGACACGCAAAAAAGTGGAGAAATGTTTGAGGGGGAGCTCGAAAATCGAAACATTCGGCCAGGCGCTCTACTTTTCGTGGACCCTTTATTCGACCGTCGGATTCGGGAATTTGGTGAGTTCCGAGAAATTGGGATAGCGAAAAATCGCGAAAAACGACGTTGTTTGAACTTTTTTTCGCTTTTAAGAAGTTTTACGGAAGAAAAAACGGGAATTTCTCGAAAATTGGGAAAAGTGCAGTAGAGCGCGTTTTCTCATATAACCGCCAAAACCGAAAAAAAATGTGTTTCTTCGATAAATAATCAACCAATTTGCTGACAAATTAATAAACGAATAACATTTGTCTGAATTTGCTGAAGTTTATTTGAAAATTTTGAAAATTGACGCCTTTTTCAGTACCCGCACACGTCGATCGGGCGGTTCACAGCCGCCAGTTACTCTCTGCTCATGATACCGATTTACATTGCGTTCAAATTCGAGTTTGGCACATTTTTAGCACATTTTTTATTGGTTTTCGCAGAGAAAACCGGGATGGCAATGCGAAGAATTTATGAAAAGTCGGCACGTGGTGCATCGGTCGACCCGAAATCGGTTTTATTTCAGATTAAGGTCGTTGCCGGGCCAAATGCATCCGGAAACGCGATCTCTGCTCCTGCTGCGAACCCATCGGGACCATCTGATCTTCGCGTGTTCCCTCGTCCTCTGCCTCGTTTCGCTGCTCGGCTCCAGTGCTCTTTTCTCGTTTTCCGAGGGCATCCCGTTCCTTTCGTCGCTTTATTTCGGAGTCATCACCATGTCGCTCATCGGAATCGGCGACATTTTTCCGTCGAATTTGTCGTGGTTCGCCCTCTACACTCTCATTTTTCTAATCTCCGACGTGCTCTCCAACCATCTCTTCTATTATTGTCAAGTAACCGACGTGGCCGAGTTTTCTCCCCGTCTATTTCTCGGTTTTCTAGGCCAGGATCCGATTGTGTTTTCATTTCGTTGCCCGTCGGATATTGTTGTTGAAGGAGAAGGAAGAAGTGAGGTGTCAGGAGCAGCGAACCGTTTCCCTGAATCATGTTCCGGTTATCAACAGCCAATGCATGCCGAGTCGTGAGTCCCCACTGGATGGCCTAGAAACCCAAACCTCTTCCAGATGTGATGGAGTGCGAAAAGGAGGAATTGGACAAAGACGAGAAGCTTCTGAGCTCTCTCTCCACAACGTGTAGAGAATTGAAATAAAACGTTTTATCACATGACATGAAAGTGAGAAGGGGGAGGTAAAAACGAAAGACCATGCAAACCCATGCCCATGACCCGTTACAGTAGCCTAATCGCACAGAGTCCACCACGTTTTCACGTCCTCGAGCTGCTTCAGGCTGTCTCCGTGGTGCGGCGGATAGTCGAACGAGGGCCGCCGAAGGTCGCGGTCCCCGTCCGTATCCTCGTCCTCTTCCACCTCTTCCAGCTCGTCGTACGTGCCCATTTGCATCTGACGAAGTGTTCCGCGACGTTCTTTTATCTTGTCCGCTCCTCGTTTCACACTCTTCTTCTGCGATTCTTGCACGATCTGAAAGCAGTTGCGGTTTTTGTGTGATCCCGTAACGGGTCATACCTCCGTAATAGAGTTGCCTCTCTGCGTCTTCTTCTTCCCGCTTCCGATGCTCTTATCGCCTTGAGCCTCTTCTTCTGGCGACGGCTCGGTGAGCACCATTCCCTTCGCGAGCACATTCTCTGCCGATTGCGGAAATTGGAACGTCGAACCGATTGAGCTCATCTTTCCGACAGTCTGCAATCGAATGCTCATTAAGATCGGGGAAAATGGAGTATACATTATTCTGTTTGGCCTTGATGTTCTTCAGACAATTCTCGAGCCACGTGCGTATCGTGTGCTTCGCCACTTCCTCCTCGATCACGTACTCGAGCTCTTCCCTTTGGAGCAATTCCTCGAGTTGCAAGCTCTTGCGGATGTCGACGCTTCGGTAGGAGAGCATGCTGAAACGGCGGGATTTTAGAAATTGTCGGTCACGATAACTTCTCACTTGAGGACGTCGTGGAACGAGACGTCGTCGCCGTTGTGCAGCCGTTCCATCTCGTGACACATGTGCTTGAACAGCAGTCCGTCCTTCTCGTCGTCCACTTCGAGCCGCCCTTTCAACAATCTCAGCAGAAACTTCACCCTTCGCACCGGAATCGATCGCTTCTGTTCGGTGTCGACCATATTCCAGACGAGTTGGAAGTTGCGGATGTCGGCGTACGAGAGAAGGGCGTCCTCTTCTGATGAGTAGAACAGCGAGAAGTTCTCCATGATGATGGCTGAAGATTTTAAGCTCAAGTTTCAGGAGATTAAATTCACGAAACTAGAACTCACCGACAAGAAGATTGAGCACAATATAGGTGATGATGAGGTAGAAAGAGCAAAAGTAGACAATTGCTCCGAAATAGTTTCCGCAATCGGTTTGCCAGTAGCTGAGTCCCGGATGCCAGTTGCAAAACGGCGGAGCTCTCATACAATCGTGCATAATATCATTCCAATCCTCGCCCGTCACCGACCGAAACAACACGACGAGCGCTTCACGGCCATTTCGAAAGTTGACATGTCTGAAGACCACAACACGTTGCAGTTCTGAGCCGAAAGAGCACTCACTTGCCGACCGCCTGTCCGTACTTGACCATTCCGAACAGGACGACGCCGGCGTTCGCGTAGAACAGCACGAGCAGAAACATGGCGGCGATGATGAACGAGGAGCGGACCATCGACATGACGACGGTGAGCATCAGCATTTTGAGCGTGGACTTGCGGCCGGCGATCGTGAAGAATCGGAGGATGACGACGAGGTAGCCGTACGTGTAGGTTAGACGCTTCCATTCGGAGATGCCGCCGGCGAAGTAGGCGGGCACTTAAACGTGTTTTTTAAAAGAAATTATTGAGGCTAATCGAATCTACTCACACTGAAAAAGGAAATGGAAAACGATCCAGTTGATGCCCAAAATGGTGATAATGAAATCGATCCTGTTCCGACGCGACTGCCAAAACCCGGCGATCGTGAATGCGATCATTTTCAGAAGACACTCCAAAGTGAACAAGACATTGCAGACTGCCGAGATGACCGTCAGGCTGAGCAGGAACGTCTTCCGATCTTGCTCCTCACTGACATTCCACGGGATCACGAGGGTGAACGAGTTGAGCACGACGAGTGCGGCGAACAACTGTTTGAACCAGCGGCTCGTCGTCAGATCGTACAGGTAGCAGCGGAGTTTGGCGCTTTCCGGCGGTTTCGGCGGCACGTGCAACGGCTGGGCCATCTTCAGACGGGCTTTTAGGTCGTGCCAACGGCGCTGGTCGACCGTCAGCAGCGCCGTTCCGCGGTTCTCCGTGTAGTTGGCGACGACGACTCCGACGAAAAGGGTGAGTCCGATCATGCAGCCGATGAAGACGTAGATGTGGATGAACAGCACCGCCCACTGAAACAGATACGCTACTTGTATTCGATTTGTTGTGGGGGGTTCACACTTACGGCTCCATGTCGAATGTACAAAATGTCCCTGACGACATTCCATCCTTTGTAGGAGAGCGTCTCGAAAAGCGCCAGCATTGCGTTGCCGATGTGATCAAAGTTGAAGTTGCGTGGATTCGTCCACACTCGCGGCACGATGATCGACGGATGCATCGCGTTGTCGTGCTTTCCGAACACTTCCATCCGCGTCACGAACAATTTCACTTCGTAGAGTCCCGTGCAGTTCTCGCGGGCGGTTATCATCGGATCGTTGCACGAGGCGAGCTTCCCGCCGACCAGCTGCACTCCGAACGACGCGAAAATGAACATGAGCACGACGAGGAGGATGGTCACCAACAAAATCTCACGGAATCCGCGGCACAACTCGACGACGACTCTTCTGATGTGCGGAATCAACGCGTAAACCCGAAGGGGTCGCATCGCTCGGCAGATCATCAGAAGCTGTGCCCAACTGTTGATCTCAATGTGATCGGGCATCCAGATGAGGAACATCAGACTCGTCTGTAAGCGAGGAATATGTAGAAGGACGTCTAGAACTTTTGGAGGGGGGGGGGGGACCTACAATATAGATGAAGATGGTGAGAATGTCGCCGACGTCGGTGACGAGCGCTTTTGGAGTGAAGAAGAGGCCGTTGGCGATGCATTTGACGCAGAGCTCGAAGCTCATTACGAGCACGAATATGTACTCGGCAATCTGCAAAACCTTATTATGCAATCACGGTCTCCAGAGCTGACAATATGGGCGTGGTCTCGGCGGCCAAATGGCGTTTTCATGAATTGAGCAGGTTTTGTCTGATTTTTGTGGTCAAAGGCGATGAAAAATGATTGTTCGACATGAAAACACACTTATTCTCATAATTAATGACGTTTCGGCGCATTTTTCGCGGACTTTGCTTTTTCGCCTTCGCCGCCGATCGCCCCCTCAAAACCGCACTTCTCATTTTGCGCTTTCTTGACCGTTTTCAGACAGAATTGGTTTTGAGAATGATAAATCACGTAAATACAAGCATTTTGAGCGCTCGAACCGCAAAAACTACCGAAAAGCAACTGAAATTCACGCAGTTTTAGCCAAAAACCTTCAAACGGATAAATGTGATTTGCGACTTGACCAAATTCAACGCTCTTGCGCTTAAAAAAATCGTAATAGCCTATACAATCGGTCTATCGAGAGACAAATGAGAAATTATCGGTTTTTCGTGGCTAATCTGGCAAAAAACACAAATTTTGCTGTTAAAATTTGAATTTCGCGCCAATGTATCGCTCTATTGGGCGGGGCGCACTTGCGCCCATTGTCAGCTCTGGAGACCGTGGCAATGGCTTCTCTAAAACGCCATACTTGAAGGTAGAAGTTATTGAAGATCAAGTTCTCGCCGGTCGTCGGCCACGGCGATTCCCATAACATGCTGCAGCACGAGAGCGTGGTCACCAGAACCATCGCCCAATCCAAATAGGTCATAATTGCGAGGAAGTCGCTGAACACGCAGTAAACGGATTACTGTAGAAGGTGTGGTACGGTACTCACTGAAACTGTTTGTACTTGTTCGAATGTTTCCGGTGCTGGCCGTCGTTTTGATCGTACGAATGGCGAGAATGGGCGATCATCTGGCACATGCGCCGAAGGGAAGACTCGCGGCCGACGAGGAAGAGCGGACGGTCGAAGAACGGGTGATTCTCGCGCATTTCCTCCTCGATTCGATTTCTGAAAGTTCAAATGTTCTCAGGCTCTCTCCCCCACACACTCTCACCTCGTGATCTCCGCGTGCGCCCTCTTCATCTGCAACGCCTTGAAGTCGATCTCGCCGTGCTTCTCGACCTTTCTCGCCGTGTCCTCCGGCCGCAAATCCCCGTTTTCCTTGAACCCCTCCACCATGTTCTTTCCCTTCAACGAAGCCAATCCGCGCGTTCGGGACCGTGAATTGAAGCTCAACGTGTGTTTTCCGTGTTTCGACGAAGTGTTCGAGCGTGCCAGACTCGCCAAATGCTGATTCGATTCCGAGAAGAGCGCGCGGTTCCGGTTCGACTCGGTCAGCATCGACGTCAGAATCGTCTTGTTGCTGAGCTGTCCCACGTGCCGAATCGTCGTCGTCACGCGGGTTTCCCGCGACGGTCCCTTCCCGGACAGCATCGAACGCACCTTGAGGCCCATCTCCTGAATTAAATCGTCGTTCGTCTCGACGAATTCGTCGGCGAACTGGCGCGTGAACGAGTCGCGGATCTTGGGCAACGGAAACTCGGACGACACCTTCTTCATCGTCACCATCGTCGGCGCGGTCGGGAAGCGGTTAAAGATGCGCAGACGCATCGGAAGCGTCGTTTTGATCGTGTCCTGCTCGCGCGCCTTCAGCTGTTTCACTTTTTTGAGTTCCTCGTCCATTTCCAGGTTATCGAGGATGACGGCGACGAACAGCGAGAGGACGAACTGCAAACCAAAGTGGGCGCATTGGTGATGAAAGTCGATCACTTACGAGTGTAACCAACAAGTGATAGGCGACAAAGTAAATGGCGACGAACGGCACGGCCTGCTCATTGCACGCCCTCAAAATCTCGATGACCACATCCGTCCAGCCTTCCTGCGTGATGATTTGGAACATTGACATGAACGCCTGAATACAATTCATGATCGGAACGCGGCTCCCCGCACCGTCTTACCACTGCAAAGTTGGTGAACTTGTTGAGTTTGGGCACGTAGCAGAAGAGCTGCAGCGAGATGGCCGAGGTGACGATCAGAAGGATGCCGGTGAAGACGACGAGGCCGCCCAACTTCTTGCCGGGTCCAAAGATCTTGTAGACGAAATCCTCGAGCATCGGGGAGGCTTTGATAAGGCGGGCGATGCGGAACACTTGGAAATACGTAAAGATGTTCGTCTCGTACAGGTACCAGATTGCGTTGAGTGAGGATCCTGGAAGACGGACGTTTGTTGGGGTGCTGGGAGGACTGGTTCACGTAGAAAGTAGGTCACTGACCCTCCCAAAACTTACCAACACACAGAATACAGTCGAACTTGTGCTGGCCGCGTGCGATATAAGCCTTCCAGCCGAATGAGAATATTTTGATGGCCACTTCCGTGTTGAAAAGTATCGTAAATCCGACTTCCACGTAGTAGTACCAAATTTTCCTGACCTGATCCGATGCATCGTGATAGTACACAAAAGTGGCGTGGAAGATGGCGTTGGCGAGAATCAGCAGCTGCATGACCGTCTGGAACGCCAGCGAGGTGACTATCTGCAAGAAGAAAAGTGCGGGCGGTACTGTAGGAGCATCTACCGTATGCAGGAAGAGCGAGTTGTTCGAGTGGCCTCTATTGTACTTGTCCACTTCGACGAGCTTCCAGCCGTCCTCATCCTTCTCCAGTTTTTGAATGTACACGTGATCGGAGGTCGCCTCTCGTGTCTGCCACATTTCAGAAAACTGAACACGAATCTCGGCGAACGTTTCTGTGATGACGGCGATGAAAACGTTCTGGAATAGGGCGGAAATGTAGTCAGGAAGGAAGGACAATTTCGCGCACCTTGACAAGCCAGGCAAGAAAGAAGATGAGTGTGACAAAGTAGAAGAAGGCCAGGAAGCTGGGCAATGAGTCGAGACAGTCGTAGAGCACGTAGACCCATCCCTCCTGGCTGGCGGCCAAGTAGACGGTGAACAGCGAGGAGGCAAAGTCGCTGAACTGTCCGTAGAAGCCCTCTTCCTGGGGTTTCAGCTGCAGCCGCATGCACACCATGTTGCCCGGACACTCGTATCCGCCGGCGCCCGCCTGCGAGCACATCGTGTCCGGAATCGCCAGGTCGGCGATCGTCACGTTGTTCGGATCGGTTCCGTTGACGACGCAGTGGTAGTTGAGGCGGCCGAACAGTTGGACGCCCATGATTGCGTAGGAGAACACGAAGAACATGAAGAAGATGGTGACGTTCTGGATTTGTTGCGAGGAACGTCTGCAGAGGGCCAAGAAAGTAAGTCATCAGGTAAAAACTCACTTCATGATAAGTTTAATGCGATTCTTGGGAAGTTTGAATCGAACGATAGACCGGATGAATCGAAGAAACACAAATGGGCGGGGCGAACGAAGAGCGCCGAGCCATGGATAGTACTGGAAACATGCCTCGAATCAGACAGTATCCCTTTCAAACTCACCACAAGATTGAGCGAGGGAAACGAGACGGAGCACAACTCGTAGACGTGCATCACGCACGACAAAATGTGATTGATGAGGAGAAAAAACTCGAACTGATACCAGCGGTCCCTCAAATACGAGTTCGGGTTGTCGAGCAGACCGTTCTGGTTGGCGGTGACGGCCGCCTCGACGATGAAGATCAGGGTGACGAGGAGGTCGTTCGCGAGGATCACGTACGTCAACGGCGGCCACATCTGGATCGTTTCCGGCGTGTGCAGACAGACGGAGATCATCGAGAGGAGGCACGCCGCACGCACCATATCACGCAGGAAGCGCTCGTGGAGCAGCTCTGCAACACTTGTCAATCTTGAAGTGACTGCACACAAAACATGGGAAAGTGCGAAAAAGTCGGTGCGCACTTTTGCCGCCTCGTTTGGCCGCACACATTTGGAAGAAGGAATAACCAATGTTCAATTTGGGGGCGACGACGCAAGAGAGAGAGAGAGAGAGAGAGAGTTTTATTCTATTTCCGTTTCTGCTCTTTCCGCCGCCGCTGCCGTCGCAAGTTTCTGATCGTAGCGTTCAGGAAGGGGGGTGCCAAGAAATAGACCGTGAACTCGACGAACCTGTCGACTTGTTGATGATGCTCGTCGGCTCGATGTTGATCATGTCGGTGAACGCGCCGCCGATCGACTCGCCGCGCCGTCTCCGCTCCGATTTGGTGCCTCCCTCGATCGACGACTTGCGACGCGTCAGCATTGTCGTCGACAATGCGGCCGCACGGCACGCTGACAGTCCTGCAACTTTTGCGCGGTGAAAATGAGGTGGAATTGGATGCGGAACATTGAAAAAAAATCAAGCACAACCCAGCCGACATCAATTCAATTTTCGTGTTCTCTGTTCAGGTCAAAAAGGAAGAAGGGCAACTAGATCACTAACTTTCGTGTAAGGTTGATGGCACGCCACGGTCTCCAGAACTGACAATATGGGCGTGGTCTCGGCGGCCAAATGGTGTTTTCATGAATTGAGCAGGTTTTCTCTGATTTTTGTGGTCAAAGGCGATGGAAAATGATTGTTCGACATGAAAACACACTTATTCTCATAATTAATGACGTTTCGGCGCATTTTTCGCGGATTTTGCTTTTTCGCCTTCGCCGCCTAAAAACCGCACTTCTCATTTTGCGCTTTCTTGGCCGTTTTCAGACAGAATTGGTTTTGAGAATGATAAATCACGTAAATACAAGCATCTTGAGCGCTCAAACCGCGAAAACTACCGAAAAGCAACTGAAATTCACGCAGTTTTAGCCAAAAACCTTCAAACGGATAAATGTGATTTGCGACTTGACCAAATTTAACGCTCTTGCGCTTAAAAAATTCGTGATAGCCTATACAATCGGTCTATCGAGAGACAAATGAGAAATTATCGGTTTTTCGTGGCTAATCTGGCAAAAAACACAAATTTTGCAGTTAAAATTTAAATTTCGCGCCAATGTATCGCTCTATTGGGCGGGGCGCACTTGCGAGAAGCCATTGTCAGCTCTGGAGACCGTGCTGCGCACATATAACTTTCTGCGAGCCAAAAGTAGGTCACTGGGTCAGTGGGTCACCAAGCTCTACGCCAAATGGAGCCAAAACTTGGCTCGGCACGCTCAAAACATCAAAAAGTGAGGGTACGTGTGCGCGTTTACACGAGTGCCGAGCGGAACAAGAGAAAGTGTTCGGTGCGTTTCCAAACCTTTTCGCCGCCGTCCTCAAGGGGCTCATTTATTCGATGATGTGAGCGTCAGGAAACCGGAAAACCTGCTCAAATCGAATCGGCGTTTAGTGTTCTCCAAAAGGGGGCGTGGCCTTACAATCATAATTCTTCGTTCGACCGAATGTGTACTGGGCGCTTTTCTCTGTTTTTTTTTGTGTGGCCGGGGCCCTACGGGTAATCTCTTTTTCCCTTTTTTTCCCCCAATTCCTTCCTTTTCTCGTTTTCGTTTATTTTCGGGACCGCCCCACACACACTTGTTAGTGATTCGTCGTTTCTTTTCAGGCCGTGCAAATTCTGTGGCCACGCGGCAGAAGAAAATGAATCAATCCAAAAGTAAAAACTCTTTTTTTTTTTCAAATGGAGAAAAGTTTGGACGTCAATCTCGGCTAATGGCTCGGAAAGAAAGGAAAGGGGCACAGGGAGGGGGTGTCCGATTACACGTACTTCCGGAATGTGTGAAAATTGGATGCCTGTGTCGCGTTTAGAGACAAAAAACGAGGATGATTGCGGAAATTTGAGGATGAACGGGCAAACGCACGTTTGGAAACAAGGTCTGCGGCCGGAAACGTGTTCAGAGACAGATTTTCGTACAAAAACATGTTTCAGTACAGTATTCCGGTTTGAGACAGATTTTTTAAAGTGAGAAGCATGTGTCTGAAACTGTGTTCAAGACAAAAACATGTTTCGGGATAGTTTCCAGGCCGGAAACATGTTTCTGAAACTGTTTTGACGACGAAAACGTGTTCCAGTTCAGTTTCGTATGGCAAAACATGTTTTTGGGATCGCTTCTCACACAGAGCACGTTCCGAAACAGTTTTCAAGGCTGAAACGTGTTTTCGTTCAGATCCCAAAACTCGTGGCTCTGGAAACGTTCAGGCGGAAGTGGCGGCAACTCGTAAAATATGAAATAATGAAAAGTAAGTATGTGTGAGACTGCCCGAGAGAGAAGAAAAGCAAACAGAAACGGGGGAAGGGGGTCCGGGCGCGGAAAAAAAGAGAGAGAGAGAGAGAGAGAGAGAGAGAGAGACGTGCTTTCGTTGCCGAAGGGGGGCTCTAATTGGTGATGCTCATCAGATGAGAAAGGAAAGGAAGAGAGAGAGAGAGAGAGAGTGCTCCAGGAGCAAAAGAGTTCTGGCTTCTACTCCTTCTTCTTCTTCTTCTTCTTCTTCTTCTCCATACACTCACACAAGTGTTGACGACGTGTTAGCTCCTCGTTTTTCCGAAGAAGCAGGAGAAGCTTAATGAGATGCAAATGATGGGGCGGAACCCGCAAAAACCCACTAAACACACTTGTGCCGACCCGATGAAGAAGAAGGAGAAGAAGGAGAAGAAGAAGAAGAAGAAGAAAGAGAGAGAGAGAGGAAGAGATTATCTTGTTGATAGAAACGCATTTCATTTGCATTTAGGGCCCTCCAAAAGCGTTTGAACGTTAGGTGGTCCGAGGGTAGAAGCCGGTCAGCAGAAATACTTCCAGATCAAAAGTAGATCAGTTGGTCACCACCCGAAATCCAACAAACATGATTTAGTTGGTCACTTTGGCATTCGAAATGACGATTTACAGAAAACGACAATAGTTGAACGTTATCTGATCTGGAACGTCATTGATTTGAGAGTTGAGATGGAAACAATTTGAAAATGTTACTTTTTCAAAATTGGTAGATGTACTACGGTTCCAATAAAATGTATTGTAAAGTATTGACATCTAGAACTTTCGTTTTCTAGTTGACAACTTTTTTGTAGGATCACTTCCTGGAGTACTGTAGCGTCGGGAAGTTGGGCCAATAACCACCAACTTCCAATAGCTACAGTACTCCAGGAAGTGATTGTACGAAAAAGTTGTCAACTACAAAAATGAAGTGCTAGATGTCATGATTTCACAAAAAAATTTCTAGAACCGTAAGACAATTTGTGACTCTACAATACTTATTCAAAAGTTGAGGGCAGTTTTCAGATTTTCGCAAGTCCATGAAAGTTTCTAGCCTACCACATTGTTCTTTCTCCGTTTTCAGCTATCTGAACGCTCATATTTCAGGTAAAAATACGAATTCATCGAAACAAAACGAGCATTAATGTGAATTTCCGGTCAAATTTCTGCACATCTTCTAAAGAAGTTCTTCCCTTTGTTTGGTCTTTATTCTTGCGAACAATCGGGGCGAGCCTGGGGCGCAACAGTGGTAATTACCCGCCGAACGGGGCCACCAATTGCTTGGGAGTTTATAGTAGGGAAGGGCCATTATGTACTTGCTCTCAGAGCCTTGAGTAGATATTGCCGAGTCAGGATATGGTCACACAATTTCAGATTGACCCACCCGCATAGCCCACTGGTTTAAGTGGTTGCAAGGCAGTGGTCATCCATTGTGATTAAGCCATTTCCAGCCCATTTGAGTTTTATCTCCAACGAACCCAGGGTTCCTCATGTTGTGTCAGCGCCGTTGGATCCGAAGATCGCTAGCATCTGACTGAGTTACCCGCCTGTAGCCTCACGGCCATCCCATTCGCATTGGAATGAGGAATCTGATCAATCAGCTCTTTTTGTTCCTTCCCGTTCGACCCTTTCTTTACCCTACGTACTCGGTTAGGAAGTACTAAAGAGAAAGGCGAGGCTGAACTTTGGGAACAAGCTTCATGAAACAGTAATACCAACCTGGCACCTTTGTGCGTTTAGATCGGTCTTCCCGTCTGTTCTAGACTGTGTTCTTTGCACAGTCTCAAGAGGGGGGATCGGCACCCAACTATTTTGTCTAGTTAGATGCCTTTTTGTGACTCTTGTGTTTATGATCCTGTCATCACACCTTTTAAGGGTCAGCTGCCATCTTTGTGGCTATGGTCTGTTCCTTTTTGGGAATCAGGTGGTAATTTGAAAGAAATTTATTGCGATTTCTCCTGGAAATTCACAATATCGATCAATTTGGAGTGGTTTTCCAGGTTGCTGTTTCCTGGTTGGGTACTTCCTGGTGATATGATCCTGTCATTTCACCAATACTGTGTGTATCTGATGCGCTGTATCCTTTTTCTTTCCTTACAATCTTTATTTACAGTGGGAAAGTGAGAAAGAAAGAATGGCGAGATACTACTATTGATTAATTGATCGGTTGGTTGGTTGGTTGGTGGGCTGGTGGCGGTGGCGGTTTGGCGTGTGCTGGATCTACTTCTCTCCATCAATCACTGTCTGGAGGTCCGCTTCCAGCTCGCCGTCCACACTTCTTTCTTTGAGGTGGATTCCGCACTTTGTGTAGCGTTCCTTCGTTTCGTCCGAAGTCCCATTCGGGATCACGACGGTCGCGGCTCCTTTCTTTTCGCCGAGCAGACGGATCGTCGATTCGGCGTGGTCCGCTCTCTCGCCACCGACCTGTAGCATTCCGATCTTTCAATATTACCTGGGTTTGCCCCCAGCCGTCTTTGGCCGGGTTTTCTTGGGCACTCACCCATATGATCTTCAGCGCTTTCTGGAGCTGCGGTGCTGCCTTGCCCGACTTGATCAGCCAGTACGGCACCTGCATTATGGATTGCTGGTCCATGCCCGCCGCTGGTGTGAACCTTTTCGGTCCTCCATTGACGATGAGGATTTTGCCGTCCCAGGTCTCCGCGTTTTTGCTGTGGAGCGGCTTCTCCTTGGGGTGGCTGGCGCTCTTTTTCGGTGGTGGGCCGGTCTTTTTTCCCGGTTTCACGATGCTCCGGCGCTTGCGGCCTCTGTCCCTGTCCTGTCCACTGCGGTCGTGGTCCTCGAACTTTCTCGGGTCCGTTCTGCTACGCGGCAGCGTTAGTCGGTTTCCCTGGAAGTGTCCGTCCTTCTCCATTTGGAGTAGGATGCTTCCTAGGGCTTCTTCTGCGACCATCATGTTCCAGTGTCCCTTGCTGGTGAGGGTCGTCTTCGCCTTCTCCATTATTTTTTCGTGGAGCTGGTTCGCGTATGACGGTGAGGACATACTGTAATTTTAGCAGATTTCAGTGCTTTGCGATTACAGTGATAGGTTAACGGCAAGAGCAGAGGAGAAATTGGAGAAATTGGCAGGCTGGTGGCAATCGATACTGCTGGTTTGGGCAGAGTGATTGGTTGGCCCTCATCGCGATCGCTACGCGGTTGCGTCCCCTGCGGTGCGTCGCGGGGACCCCCTCTTTTCGCGGTTTTCCTTCTTCTCTGCGTCTTTACTTGCCATTTGTTTTGGCTGAATGTCTCCATAAGGGCGATCCTTGTTCCTTTTTGGGAATCAGGGGGTAAATTGAAGGAATTTATTGCGATTTCTCCTGGAAATTCACAATATCGATCAATTTGGATTGGTTTTTCAGGTTACTCATTCCATTAATCAGTCTCGTTTTCAGTCCTATCCATGTCCATTCAGAGCCAGGTCTTTTGGCATGTTGACTTCGAACCCGGCTACGTCCCCGGAAGGGTCGGAGCATGTTTTGCTCTTTCCTTTTTCCAGGAGTTGCCTTTTGGTTTCTCGTCTCCGAATTTGAGTGGAATTTCAGTGTAGGAGTCTCCGAAGATGTGGTTCCAATAAGCGTTCTTGCTGTATTCTAATACTGTAGAACACAATTCAGGAATCACTTTACGGATCACTGCATCCTCTATTCCCAACTTTTTCAGACTGTCAGTTGTGGGCTTCCACCAACTTCCGAGAGATCCAACTATTATTGGTAGGACAGTAAGCTTTTTTTGCCCTGAGCCTTGAGATTGCTGAAACCGTCAGAGTACTTCTGAACCTTTTTGTCCCAGCTTCTTTTCATGGCTTCCACACCATGCTCATATGGGCAGGCTACATCGGCCATGATGATTTCTTTTTCCATCTGGACTTCTCATGTAGATGTCTGGTCGAAGTCTGGTGAATCCTGGTATTTCCTGATCTATTTTCAGTTTCCAGTCTTTCTTTGAACCAGCTTCGATGAGTTTTTTCACTTTCATGAGCACTGCGTCATGTCTTTCAGTGATTTTTTTCGGGAGTCCGAAAGTGCAACTTTGTAGGATGTGCCACTGAGTTTCATTCTCATAATGACATCTTCTGCATTCTTTTGACTTTGTGTTGTCGTACGTGTTATAGTTGCACGACAACAAGTTGAGGCGAGCTCTGTGCACAAATTTGTGTGCTGCTCGACTCACTTTGCCACCTTTTCTGACAAAGCTGTTGCACTGAGGATACTGCTGGATGACTCGGACTACCTCACTCTTCACAACTTTCTCGGTCGTGAATCTGTGAGAGAGAGCGTCATTCACTTCTCCTTTTAGCAGTTGTTGGAGTTTCTTTACATTCTCTTTGGTAAAGATTCTCTCGTTGCCTTTCTCGATTGCTTGTACGGAGATTGCCAATTCACCATCGAACTCAACAATTTTCACCTTATGCAAAGGAGCGGACTTGATTTTCCACAGACTGTTGCATACTTCGCGTAGTCTTGTGAAACAACTGAAACCGAACGCCTTTTTATCGATTGGTATCTCGTTGCTGAGATAGGCCGCCAGGTCGCCTAGGGTGACCTGATCTTTGCCCGTTTCGATTCGGGTCACTTCCTCCAGATATTCCCGGTACAGTCTTTGGATGTACTGGTCTGAGGACCACAACTTTTTCATTGTGGACACTAAGAAAGTGATTTCTGCGGTTATTCTTGGACACGCAACGCCGAGTCCCCCTTTACTAGTTGGTATTTGCTCAAAACTTGGGTAATTAAACCTTTGAATTAACATTATAACAGACGAGGAGACGATAGTAATAACGCCTACTCTCAAACAACAATTTAACTTAAATAAGAGTCACTACTACAATTGAGAACGAAGGAAATGAGTGGGACTAACACAAGAGATCTCAATTGAGCAGTAAACAGATCACTGAAACACCTAGAATTGGCGGGCTAAAGCTTGCGTATATTGGCGCGGGGGCGCATGATAATACGCGCAATTGCGGACTTAGTATGAAATAGGTCTGAAGTGGGTGGGGGTTGGGGAACATTAGATAGGATGAGGGGTCAAAGTATTCTGAGTGCTAGAAGATCTTGCACATCTTCCAGGAAAATGTTGCCAAAATGAGTGAAGGAGAGAGAGAGAGAGAGAGAGGAAGAGAGAGAGAGAAAGAGTACTTTCATGGTCATCCGAGGGAAAAGTAGGAGTAGGAGAAGAAGAAGAAGAAGAAGAAGAATCAGAAATCAGAAGGAGGGATGGACACATGAAATCTAATAATCGGAGGGGAGGGACTCTAGGAAATGCTTCAAGAAAAAGAAGAAGAAGAGGAAGAAGAAGATACTCTTTCTCTCTCTCTCTCTCTCTCTCTCGGAAGAGGAAGAGAGAGAGAGAGAGAGAGAGAGAGAGCGGAAATATTATGTTGTAATGCGCCTCTCTGAAAAACACCGGATGGCATCTGAATCCGACGTCTTCTCTCTCTCTCTCTCTCTCTCTCTCTCTATCTCTTTTGTTTTCCCACTTTTTTTACTAAAATGAGCAAAAAATGAAATGAAATGGAGACAAAAGCGACGGAGAGGGGCTCGCACATCGCTAATGTTCTTTTTTGATCACGCAATCTTTTCTTGGTACTTTAGAAAGCAGCTTGTCACTTTTGGGAGCAACTTCACTTGACTGACAAAGTTTGAGCTGATATTGTAGGTCCTGTAGGTGCCCTATAGTTCCCAAAATTTTTTTGTGAAATCTTGACATCTAGTATTGTCGTTTTGTAGTTGACACCTTTTTTGTAGGACCACTTCTTTGAGCACTGTAACTCTTGGAAGTTGGGACTGAAATCCGGGTGCAATATGGAAGCTGTTCTTCTCAGCGCTACAGTTTTCCAGGAAATGGTTGTAGAGTAAAAGTGTCAACTACAAAAATATTATACACATCTTCATCTTCATTTTTGTAGTTGATCACTTTTTGGTAGGATTACTCCCTGAAGTACTGTAGCTCTTGGAAGTCAGGACCAGCCGAATGCGAAGGTGTTACATCGCTTCAGGGCTACAGTACTCCAGGAAGTGGCCCTACAAAAAAGCTATCAATTACCAAAAGTAAGTTCTAGATGTCAAGAATTCAGAAAACAACTTTTGGGGACTACGACACATTTTTCAACTCTACAATATTCATTTCAAGTCGATTCGAAGGACTCACCCAACAATTTAGCGGTGGTCGACGTCATTCTTGTTTCGTGACGAGACCCTTCCTACCGTAATCCTTCACGTCTTCCTGGCGGTTTCCTCATCGACTACTGCAAAATAAAGTGATGGCGGGCAGAAAGGTATCGGAAGGAGAAGAAGAAGAAGAGAAGAAAAAGGGTGCGAAGAGGGAGGGCTTTCCAAATTAAATTTATGAAAATTTCTTCCAAAATGTCTTCGAGCGCCACTCGCGTCAAATTGAAAAGGGCTGATCGGTTTCGGGGAGCATTTTTGAGTGGAGAACGATGAAAATTTGGAATTTTTGAGAAGGTAGGTCACGAGGTCAAAAGTCGGTCACAAATCCTGCCATTTTAGACCCAATTTGCGGTGCGTAAAACAAAGTGCGCCAAGCGAATTTTGGCAGGGATTTCGCGAGAAATGAGTGAGCATATTATCCCTGGGGACCACCGCGAATAACCGCACTTTTTGGTCGCCGGAACGAGCAAAAGGCCCAAAACGTATTGAAAAGCACTTTTTCATCATCTTTTCATCCCCCCCGGGACGTTTTTTGGGTGAAATAGTGCAAATTGTCGTCAGGTGTTGGGTATTGTGGCGATATTTCGATAAATTCAGAGATTTCAGTGAAAATTGAGCAAAAAACAGGTGTCAAAACACAAAAATGGCTTCCGTTCTAGAAAAAAAAACGAGGAAAATTTGGGGAAAATGTGCCAATTTGGCAGCTTATAATTTGATGACGTTGATTGATATTTCTCGATACGAAAATGTGTTTTAGTGTGGAGAAATTCGGGAATATCACGAGGAAGAGATACTCGTCCCGGACACGTGTAAACACAAAAATTAGGGAGAGTGGTCATTTCGGATAGGGGGCGAAAAGAAAGGATTTGATGTCTGATATAATCGAATTACGAGCCGACGGCCTGAGCCCACGGGCATCACATTTTACGCGCAAATCGGGTTACTGTAGGAGAATTGCGGACAAAACGGCACATTTTACGCGATTTCCGGCTTTTGTCACAGAAAAGATTGAGAAACTTTATAAGTTTTCCTCGAATTACTCAAAAAACAGAGCAAAACTGGGAAATGCAGGTAAACTGAGCGAAAAGTGAAACTTTTCGCTCAATGAATAAGAAATGCGCGGAAAAGAGGTTGGAAAGGTCAGAGCGGGCGCCGAAAAACAAAAGAAATGCGTGCTTTCGTGCGTTTAGAGCACTAAAAGAGTCATAACTCATAATGCACACGAGTATGCGTCGTCGGCGAAAAGTGGCAACGAAAAAGGAGACGCCCGTGCGTATTCGAGCCGAAAACTTGAAGAAGGCAAGAAATGTTCGTCCGTTTCACTCCTTTCCCCTTGTTTTTTTGTCTTTTCCCTCCCGGACAGCATGTCATTCATTCACCGACAACCGAAACGGAAACGGATATTTCTTCTCTTTTCTTTTTGGGTGCGCTCATAACTTTTTGCATCTTTTCCTGCCTCAAAACAATTCATTTTAGCGTTAGAGCGCGTTTGCATCGTCTTTGTTGTTCTGAAAAAAATCAGGGTGGTACTATAAGATATGGAGAACATTTTCCGAGTTTGTGATTCGGCAAAATATTTCTGGAAAATTCTTGAAAATTCGTAAAATTTTCGCTATTTTGACTTTTGTGAGACGATGACCAGTGTGCCTTACCGAAATTTTTTTTACCGAAAGAAGTGAATTTCGGTAAATTTTCGGTAAATTTTCGGTAAATTGTTTCGAAAATTTACCGAAAGAGTTTCGGTAAATTTACCGGTAAATTTACCGGTAAATCGTTCCTTTCGACAATTACCGAAAGAACAATTTTGAGAGCGGAGAAAAAAATGTGAAAACATGTTTTTTTGGTTTAAATTTTTTTATTTTTTTTAATAATAATAATTTTTTTTGTTTTTAATAATTTTTTTGTTTTTTTGTTTTTTAATTTTTTTAATTTTTTTGTTTGTTTTTTTAAATTTTTTTAAAAATTTTTTTAATTTTTTTATAATGCTATGCAACGAGTTTCGCATTTAATGTGTCCCCAAAGTTCCTCATTCGAAAATAAACTGTTCGTTAAAAAGAAAAACTGAAAAAAATTGAGGCGCCGAGCGGTGCCGTCGATACCGAAAAAGGCGCGGCACCGGCGTTCTTTTTGACAAGGGAAGTGACTGATGTGACCAATTTAGAACATTCTGAACAACATCCCAAACATCAGGAACACGCTGAACAGTCGCCTCAATGTTCCGTTCTCAAAATTGAAAATTGTTTCGAACAAGTACCCATTTACCGATAAAATTTACCGAAACTTTTACCGATAAAATTTACCGAAACTTTTACCGAAATAGTTTCGGTAAATTTACCGGTAAATTTATCGGTAAATTTTCGGTAAATTTTCGGTAAATTGTTTCGAAAATTTACCGAAACTCTTTCGGTAAAAAAAAGTTTTACCGAAAATTTACCGACAATTTACCGAAATTTTTACCGGTAAATTTACCGGTAAATTTACCGAAACCCTTTCGGTAAGGCACACTGACGATGACCCTCCCAATGGAACCAGCTAGCGCGAATTTGCAAGAAGTTTCCGGAAATATTTTGCCAAAAGTCAAAGTCGGAAAATGTGCTCCATATCTTATAGTACCACCCTGATTTTATCAGAATTTTCCAAAATGGTAAAAAAAGGAATTCCCCAGTTAGGCTGGCTGCTGTTCAACACGCTGAAAAGTTTTTAATCTGAGCAATACGAAAAACCACTGTATATAGCTTTTCTACTGTGAATTTGGCTGCTTTTTCGCATTTTTGAATACATGTACTGAATTGGTTTCGAAATGTTCCGGAGCCGTCGCCGTCCTCTCCCTACCTTCTACGCGCTCCTGCTGCTTCCAGTAAGCTTCTGATGCCTTCTCCAGGCTTCTCAGAAACCTCGCCCGTCAGAATCTCCCGACGTCTCCCCCGGAAGCTCGAAGGACAACATCTGCAGCATCAATTTCACTACATTTTCGAAAACCAGAGGGATTTTGCTGTAAGGAAGCTAAATAAATGTGATATGGATTCCGAAAATGTATTCTCGTATTTTTAAAATAGTCACTTTCACTTATTCTTGTGTGTTTTGGCTTTTTTACTCTTGTTCTCTTTTGATCTTCAACGAATTCTTTGGCGAATTCTGAAAATGCCGCTTTCTGCTAAACCGGGCGACAGTACGACACTCCAAAGTCGGCAGCGGCGAGTGAGGATTTTTTCGGTTTTCCTCGCTGTTTCACATCGATTTTGGAATGAAAAAACTCATTTTCTGCCTGCTTTTCGCCGTTTTTACCCTCGCCAGCCTCGTAAGTTAACTTTTTCATTCAATTTCACCGCACTTCGCCCTAAATTTCGCCATTTTTTCCAGGAAAACGGCGGCTGGACGACCGAAGAGAAGGATGTGGTGGAGCAGAAAACGGAAAAGTGCAATATCGAACGGCACGATGCGCGCGAGCTCACACAGAAAGAGTTTCTGAAGAGGTGAGTGATCGATAATTGTTCGGAAAGTTTAGAAAATTGCGTTAGTTTTGCAGGTACGCTTATTCGGAGCCTGTGATCATTTACAATGTGGACAATGCGGAATTCTCGAAATTGACGGAGAAATCGGAAATGTTGGCCACGTGGCACGATGTAGACGTTACCCTGAATTCGGCAAACACCTACAGTTACACCAGGGTTCGTTTTGTGGGCCAACAATTTGTTTCTTAATTGATTTCTTATGGGGCTATTCAGCGTATGTTTGTTTTCCGTTTGTTTTTCGTTTTTTTACATCGCTGAATTGGATTTTTGACGTAAAAAAACGAAAAAAACGGAAAACAATCATTTTTTTCACAGCCTGAATAACCCCATTAGGAAATTTCGCAATTTTAGGTGCCCACCACGTTCGGAAAGTACATTGAGGAGCAAATGAAGCCGCAGAATCTCGAGATGCTCGGAAATGAAACACTTTACTTGTTCGGAGATATCGATCAAAAGTTAGTTGAGAGAATTTCACCAATAAAACTGGATTTTTGTTCAGAATTTGGAAGCCGCTTCTAGAAAAATACCGTCAGCCGGCGTGGCAACTGCCCGGCCACTCGGCGGCCCTCTCTTTCGGCATCGCCGGCGCCGGCACGGGCGTTCCGTTCCACTTCCACGGTCCCGGATTCGCCGAAATCATTCACGGATCGAAACGGTGGTTTTTGTATCCGTACGAGCAGAGACCCAACTGGAATCCTGACAAAACCACGTTGGAATGGTACGTTCCGGAAGGGAAACTTTTTGAAGTGATTTCTGTTAAAAAGACGAAACAATTGAACAAAACGTTATTTTTATTTGCAGGTACATGTACGACTATCCGAACTTGTCCCGTGACGAATTGCCGCTCGAATGCGAGATGAAACCGGGAGAATTGATTTATTTTCCGGATAAATGGTGGCATGCCACTCTGAACATTCAATCCTCCGTCTTTATTAGCACCTTTTTGAGCCCTTAATTTATTGTTTTTTTTGTTGTTGTTTTCTTTCTAGTCAGAAATTTGCATTTCGAGGTATTTTATTTATTCACTTTGTTGTCAAGTTTACAGGTATAATAATTCATGTGATTCTTTTCATAACTGTTCTAACATTTTTTAAATTGTGTTTTTTTTTACTGTCTAATGGCTGCATTTTCACCATTTCTATACTTTTATCGTGCTCTAATTCTTATTTAAATCAATTTTCCGCTCCAGAATGGCCACCAGGCGACGAATCGGCGTGGCTGCGATCCAAAAACGGCAAGAAACCGCCAATAAGGTTGGAAACTTATTCTTACCCAAAAATGTCCGTTTTTCAAAAATTAAAGTGATTTGCAGTTTGCCGCGAAAGGAGATCAATTGGCCGGCGAGCAACTGGCTCAATTCTCGCAACAATTGGACCAATTATCCGCTGGGTGCGTGTAATTTTTTGAATCCAGAATTATTTTGAAAAATGCAATTTTCAGACTCGAAATGTTCGCTCAACGCCATCGCGACGAAATCAAGAAGAACTCGCAATTTCGGCGATACTTCCAGGAAATGTGCGCCAGCGTGGGCGTTGATCCGTTGGCTTGTACGCGGATTTTTCCAAAATTATGGGGAACTATCTGAAATTCTCTATTTTTAGCGAGCAAAGGATTCTGGGCGAAAGCACTCGGTTTCGGCGACTTTTACTACGAGCTGGGCATTCAAATCGTCGAGGTTTGTACTTTTTTTGAGAACAAATTCCGCAAGCATCATCCAAAATACCATTTTTTGCAGATTTGCCTCTCGACGACCCATATTAACGGCGGAATAATGACTGTGGAGGAGATCCGCAACCGGCTGATGCGGACGCGTTCTCGCACTCGCAAAGATACCATTTCCACGTTAGTTTTTGAAACGTTTTGTGATTTTCATCGACTTTCCTGAGGCTTTCTCCACAAATTTACCCAAATGATTGCAGAGATGACATTCTGCGCGCGGTGGACAAGCTTAAAGTGCTCGGGAACGGATTCGAGCTGGTCCCGCTAGGCGGAGGCCGGTTCCTCGTCCAATCGGTTCCCGGAGAGCTGAGTATGGATCATTCGCGAGTGCTCCAGTTGGCGGAGGACGCCGCCTACGTCACCAAAGAGCTCATTATGGACAAATTGAGGTAGGCACTACGGGAAATTGGGAAATCACCCAGTTTCCATGAAAAAACCATTGAGTAGGCAGAAAATGTTGAAAACTGCTGAAAAAACAGCTGATTTGTCTTCAAAATTTCCTTTAAAAAGCTCGTTGGCCTAGAATTCCAGTCAGAAACGTGTAAGATTAGAGGCCGCAATGGTACACTGTTCTAATGAAGATAGATGCCCCTTTCCATCTGTAAAGACAGAAGATGTAAAAGAAATTAATTAGAATTGAATTAGATTTATTATTGGAATTAGAGGGATCCGATTTGAGCAGCCAACTGCGGGTTGTAGAACGGATTCTTCACGAGAATCGGCTGCTTCTTCTGCTGGATCTGTGCGGCGAGAGTCGGGTTGAACGAAGATGCCGGCGACGCCTTCCGGGGGGTCCGGAGGTAGAGGGGCACGCGAGTCGGCGGGGGCTGCCCAGGGGAACGGCTGTCGATCGGGGAGGCGCCGAGTCCGGAGTCCTGACCAGAAGCGATTTTCTTCTGCTGCCGAAAGTAGAATCTTCTTTGTCTTCTCTCCTTCCGCACTTGTCGCTGGGCTTCCTTGAACTCGCGCTTGAGTTGTTGGAGACGAAACTCCTCACGGATGTCGTTCATGAACGCGTACATCTCTTTGGCGTGTTGGTCTGCCAGACACTGCTCGAAAGTGGTGAGACGACGGTTTTTGAGGAACGAGCGGAACGTGTACGCCTCCATTGTTAGAGAATGGGAGCAAGGAAGATAGAGAGAGAAATAAGAGCAAAGGAGATGTGTGTGCTCACGAGAACGGAATGATCCGAATGAATGACTCGGGATGGTCCGATTGGCTCACCGGTTAGGCCACGCCCATTTATAGCGGAGAGGGGCGGAGATAGCCATTCCCATCTGGACCATAACAATAAAATACAGTATCCCATCGTGAGTTGTAATTTTATGGGGGGTCGGTATGTAAATGGAACACTAAGATGTTGTTCGCCTCTGGGAAGAGGCGAAACGGAAGAAGAGGGTTTCGAAAACGACAGAGAGGAGCTGCAATAATTGAAAACGTACAAAGAAAACGAGTAAGATGAATCCTCTGAAGTCTCGAAGTGGACGTACCGTTCAAATAAAGACCCATGTCCTATAAATCGCTCTTCCAGATGGGACGAAGCACGTGCCGAATCGGCGCTCGAGTACCTCGTGAAGGAGGGACTCGCGTGGCTGGACGAGCAGGCCTCCGACACGACGCAGTACTGGTTCCCTTCTCTTTTCCTGCAGCAGTACTGCCACTCTTCCTCCAGCACCTCCGTCTCCGAATCGCTGCACAGCATGAGCGTGAACAACTACAATTGACTCCGCCCTCTAGACATCTGTACCTTTTCCTCCCATTTTTAGTGAAAAATCTGTATTTTTCTCCTTGCCATCGCCTCTATTCCCCCCTGTAAACTGAAGCTTTTCCCCCATAGATTACTGTAGATTACTGGCCTAGAATTTCCGCTGATTTTTCTAGGCCATCCCAGTCCATGTGTATATAATCTTCTCCATGCCTTTGTAGTATTTATCCGAATAAAAATTGCATTTATTGTCTTTTTCCCTGTTTTTTGTTGTATTTACTGTGATTTTTTGATCAGCTTATCATATATTTTCAAAATGCTTTCCCAGAATTTCAAAACTCAATGACATTTTAAGGTCAAAATGGCATCGTTCAAAGTGCGACCGGAGCACTCGGGACCGCCCGAATTGGTAAGTTTCAAAAGTGTCTTTGAAGAAAGTGAAAATCGCAATTTATCGAAACAATTTTCTACAAATATTATCAATTCAGTACTACAATGAGACGGAGGCGGCAAAGTACGCGTCGAACTCGCACATCACGGCGATCCAGCACGAAATGGCCGAAAGAGCACTCGAATTGCTGGCGCTCCCCGAGGGAAAACGCGGATTTTTGCTGGACATTGGTAAGCGCGGGCACTAGCATCACAAATATGCGAAAGTTAGGCCAGCCAGTGACAGAAGGAGATCCTGGCTTGCTAAAGCCAGCACAATGAACGTTTTAGGCCGTAAATTCAGTTTTACAGGGCAGAAAAGATAAACTTGCAGGATGTGGAACGGGAATGAGCTCGGAAGTGCTTCAGGACGCCGGCCATTTGTTCGTCGGAGTGGACGTCTCGCGGCCGATGCTCGAAATTGCCCGACAGGACGAAGATCTCGAGGAGGGCGACTTTGTGCACCAGGACATGGGACTCGGAATGCCTTTCCGGCCGGGAAGCTTCGACGGAGCCATCAGGTACTGAAGTTGAATGGGAACTCCGAACTATTACTGTTCCTTAATTGAGCCGGGAAGTCATATCGTTCTAGACCATTTTTGCTTGAAACCCTGCCGTCTTTTTGTACGACCACTCCCTGGAGTATTGTAGCTTTTCCTCTATCTTTCCGGAGCTACAGTACTTTAAAAAGCTAAAAAAAACAATATACAAAACAAGAGGATTCCAATGTTCAGCGCAACTTTTTTAAAACAAACCTTTTGCAGTATTTCGGCGATCCAATGGCTGTGCCACGCGAACGCGACGAACGAGAACCCGCGCAAACGGCTGCTCTTCTTCTTCCAGTCCCTGTACGGATGCCTCGGAAGAGGATCCCGTGCCGTGTTCCAGTTCTATCCGGAAAACGACGAACAGTGCGACCTGATCATGGGACAGGCGCACAAGGCCGGATTCAACGGAGGACTCGTCGTCGACTTTCCCGAGGCGGCGAAACGGAAGAAGGTGTATTTGGTGCTGATGACCGGAGGGACCGTCCAGTTGCCGAAGGCGTTGACCGAGGACGGAGAGCACGAGAGGACGCAGATCGACAATGCCGGAAGGAGGTAAAAACAAAAGGGATCGGCTAGGCAGGGGGACGCGGTTTTCGAGTGAGTTGGTGGCCTAGAAGCCGACCGAGGGTTTGCGATTTGAGCAGCTAATAGACCCGAATCAGCTAAAGCTTTGAAGTCTTTAGTTTTGGTGGACCAGTTTTGTCAATATAGAGACTACCGACAAACATTAAGCAAACGAAGCTCAAAGTGATACTTTTGGCATAAAAATCCAACGGACTAACTTTTCAAGTGGCTTAGAATCCGAGTATCACAGTAGTTTCACAGTTTTCCAGATTGACTAGCATGGCCGCAAATCCTTATGGGGCTATTCAGCGTATGTTTGTTTTCCGTTTTTTTCGTTTTTTTTACATCGCTGAATTGAATTTTTTGACGTAAAAAAACGAAAAAAACGGAAAACAATAATTTTTTTCACAGCCTGAATAACCCCATTACTGATCAGAAATAGAACCACAGATGATCTTGAATCCAACAAGTAGACACTTTGACCGCCTAACTAACATCGCCTAGAATCCGACATCTCAATCGGAGCCTTTTTCAGATTCGTGTGGAACTCGCGTAAAAACGAGAAGGTGGTGAAGGGATCGAAGGCGTGGATCGAGCAGAAACGGCAGCGGCAGATGAAGCAAGGACGCGACGTCCGTCACGAATCCAAGTATTCGGGCAGAAAGAGAAAGACCAAGTTCTGATATCTTTTTCCTCTTTTCCATTGTTTTGTTTTTGTTTCCTTGTTGTCTTGTTTCATTCTATAAAAAGGTTATTTGTGTGGAAAAAACTGAACAAGTATGAATTGTACGGTAGTTCATAATGTACCTCCAGTTGTATTGAAACCAAACTTTTGCTTTTCCCCTTCTTTGTCGATTTTTGAGTCTTTTGCCTCTTCTGTACCTCTATTTCACAGCTCCTCTTGCTCACTTTTCCCACTTTGCTGTGCCCTCATGTTCTCTGCGAATGCCACGTCACCTTCTGATCTTTCTGACTCTTCCAGGACCTTTTCTTCAAGTATCTGGCTCCACAGACGATCGGAAGGCACAGAAGAGCCGCCACGAGTACACCGACCACAATGAAACTCGTGTGCTCTTCGATAAATCCTTTGCGCGGAGCAGTTGAAGCAGCAGATCCGGACGGACAGAACAACTGAAAGTTAGTTCTTTGGGAAAGAAATGAGAAATCGAACCCTCCGGAATATTGTACGAATATTCTAGATCCTGGAGGCGTGCTATGGGTCCACAACTTTTTTTGTAAAATCTTCACGTCTAGTACTACACTTTTCTAGTTGATAACTTTTTTGTACGACCACTCCCGAGAATGCTGTAGCTCTCAGAAGCGGAGCTACAGTATTCCAGAACAAAAAAGTGAGCAACTAAAAAAATGAAGTACTGATTGTGAAGATTTCACAAAAACCTTCTCACTCACACTCCGATTAAGATCTGTTGCCGCAAATTGTTCCGGAACATTTCAAAAACCGAAAAATTCCATCCCAGCACTCTTAGGGCCTGATCTGGGCCCACGAAGTTCCAAAAAAAAAAAACGAATCTTGTCGTTCTGAGACCTGTATCTCAAGAGCCACGAGTCCGTTGAGAGAGTAGTCAACTGGAGAATAACATCTGTGAAAACATGGGAACTGTCCGACTCTCATCAATTTAAAATCTTTATTCTTATGACACTTCCTGTCATCATTCAACAGGAACATCGTCTCCGTTTTCTCCTTCTTTGTTAACAGTTGTACTCATTGTTTCGTCTTCCGGCGTAAACACGTATCCGCTCTCCGCTAACTTGATTTCCATAATCAAGTGCCCGCTGGACTTTGCCTTCTGCGCGCCATCCTTATCCTGAAATGAATCAATCGGAGGGGCGAAAAGACGGCAGTTGTGTACCTCTCGTCCAAGTTGAACATCCGTCAAGTAGACGTAATAGTAGTCGAAGGCGACCAAGAACGAACCGTACATCTTTTTGAGCACTTGCTTCGCGGCGCCCTTCGGAGTCGCCTCCTCGAGCGAATTCCAGTTGTGATAGGCCTGGCGGATAGCTGCACAACGAGTATTATTGGTCTTCAAGACGCCGCACTACTTACTGACTAGCACTTGGAGTTGTCGATACGTGTCAGCCATGTACATGACGACTCCGAGGGTGGCCACCTCGACCGTGTTCACTCTGCGACAGAAACGAGCCATCACCTCGACTGAGGGCCATTCGTTCACCCAGTCAGCCGTGAGAGTGTTCATGAAAACGGTCATCTTCTTGGTAGGTCTGAAAAAGAGGAAAGTTGTCAAGTCTCTCGCCGAAAACCAACGAATCGCGGTGCCACAGACGAAGTTTCGCCGAGTAAATGGCCTCAATTAACGTTTCCGAGACGAGCTCCACTCGGTACTCCGCATGCTCTCTGACCGTGCCGACCGCACCCCAGAATCTCTTCACACTGTCCAACACTACTGAAATCGATATTGTTGAGGAAGAAGTCGATCAATGAAAATCAAAAAAGCCCACCGTCTCCGGCATTCGTCAGCCACGCCAGGTTCACGGTCCCCGTCTTGTAGATCCGTTCCAACAGGCCCGCATATTTCGCTCTCGGGCGTCTGAAGTTCATGAACGATGCGGCGGTGATTCGTTTCATCGGACACTCACCTTCATGACTATCACCGAATCGGGCTCATAGACCGGGACATCATATCCGCACGCGTTGTCGAATTGTCCGAAGAAGTCGGAAAGGGCGTTCATCTTTTGAAATTTATATTGTTGCGCCAACGCCAAATGCGTGATCTCGTTCGCCTCCTCTGTGATCTGCTGCTCACTCTTCAATTTGAGGCTCCTCAGGAACGATTTGGTCCTTTCTAAAGCTCTACACTTAATCTTTGAAATCCGATTCGTTTCGCTTACCAATACTGACGGCAACCGCCGTCTTGATTCCTGTTATCATCGTTACAATCATCTTCGGCGGATTGTCGTAGTTCGGATCCTTGAAGACGCCGAAGTTTTGCTTGAAATTATGCGGATACAACTTGACGATTCCGGTGGGGTATTTGTCATCCGTTTTTCGAAGTTTCTTTTCCACTTCCTCTTTTGAAAGTTTCTTCTGATCTTCTTTCTTCGTTTTAACCACTTTTGCATCCTTTTTTTCAGTCTCTTTTTCCACCTTCGCATCCTTATTCTCCGTCACTTTTACCACTTTTGCATCCTTATTCTCCGTCTCTTTTTGCACTTTCGGATCCTTATTCTCCGTCTCTTTTTGCACCTTCGGATCCTTTTTCTTCGTCTCTTTTTGCACTTTCGGAGTCTTATTCTCCGTCTCTTTTACCACTTTTGCATCCTTTTTCTCGGCCTCCGTTTCTACCTTCGGATCCTTATTCTCCACCTCCGTTTCCACCTTCGGATCCTTATTCGCAGTCTCATCCTCGATCTTCACCTCCTCCTTTGTCGTCGCTTCTTCCGGAATCTCTTTGCTCTTCGACCCGCTCTGCTTCTCTTTTGAACGGTCCTTCTTGGCTTCATCCTTCTTTCTCTTCGTTTCGTTCGACCGGTCCCCTGATACCTTCTTTTTCTTCTTCTTCTTTTCTTTCCCATCCGTTTGCAAGTTTGTTTTGTTTTCGACATCATCTGCACCCGATGTTCGCTTTTTACACAAACACCAAATGGCCAGTGCAGAAAGACCAAGAACAAAGATGGTTAAGATAATCGAGGGAATGTACCAGTTGGATTCAGTGAAGGTTTGCCACATTCCCGGAGTTGTCTGAGAGAACGACGCGCCGAACAACGACTCGAAGAACATCGCAGTTGCTTCGATGGCGCTGGGCGCCGATGTGATGTTGGGTGAGAAGGTGGCGAAATCAAGGATCAGAGAGGAGACCGTCCTTAAAGTGCTTCGAACGGCCATCACTTCGCCGGAAAACTCTGTTACGGAGGAAGTGTCGAAAGATGACATCTGTGCGGCTTGCTGCGTGAGCTTCGGACAGCTGAACACAACCGGCTCCATCTTCCCAATGGCTCCGACTAAGTCGCGAACAGTCTCCGCTTTGCCGACTTTCACCGCCTCCTTCATCGCATTGTCGACCACTTCGCGACCACTTTTCACTTCCCACTCCAATGACGCGTATCCTCCCCACGCCTTCGCAATTTCGTCGGCTTCCGTCTTCCGCGTCGGCGACTTCAGTTTTGTGTCCAATTTCAACCCGGCCTTTTCCATCTCATCGGTCCGTGCCGAGAATTTGCTCAAAGCGGAGGCGCAGCGAGCAGAACTCCCGATCGTTTTCGAAATGTCTGTCACTCGCTCCCACGTGGCCACAGGTTCGGAGACGGCCAATAGTTCCGTGGCTTTGAGTCGGAGATTCGTGAGCGCGGCGGTCGATGCTTTCATCGTCTCCACCACAGTCTTCATCGCATTCACAAGATCACTGCTTTTGCGAATTCTCTGAACTTCGGTAGCTGTGTTACGAGTGGTCGCAAGTGCTGATGTGAGGTTTTGAGGAGCCTGGAAAGTCCTGACGCCCATCGCCCATTCGGTCATATTCGAGGTAGCGGCGGTCGGCATTTTGCGCGAGAGATCGAGCACCTTGGCGAAGATTCCCTGGACCGTAAAGCGAAAACTAGCTTGTTTGAGAACTTCCTTAATTTTCTGATAATCGGAAGTTGCCGCGATCTCTTTCTTGATGGCAGGCCACGTGTTCTTCGTGGTGTCCAATGCTTTCTCAAACGTGCTCACCTTCTCCAGAACCTTCAAATCCTTCGTGCCCGCCAAATTTCGAAACACGTATAATCCGCCTCCAAAGGTTTGTCGCAACTCGTCGATGTTCTTTTTAAAGTCTTGAAAGCGTCCATTCGAGATTTCGGGTGTAATTATCTGAAGCTTTTGTGAGAAATCGATCAGAGAACTCGTCGCCTGCTTGGTACTATTCACACTTCTCTCGAATTCGCTCAGCTTTTCAATGATCTTTCCGATTGATTGTATTGGCGTTTTCACTTGAGGAATCAGGCTTGTACTCTTCACAGCCTTTCGGAAGTCGACTTTGAGCTCATCGATCCATTTGAGATTCTCTTTGAGCACGCCCATATCCTCTCCTCCACTCATCAGTTTCAGGTTCCTTTCGTTCTGAAGATCCGACGAAATGGCCTCAAGATCAGAGAATCCATTGATGAGACCGAAAGTGTGTTGGATATGTGGGCGATTTGCAGAAGACGTCAAATTTCTGAGCGTTTCGAAAGGCTTCCGGCTGTTGGGCAGTGCACTCAGGAGATCTCTCATCTTCTTCGACTGATCCGCAAAAGAAGTCAGTTCCTGGGCCAAGCCCGCCAAGACAGAAAAGCTAGCCGAAGATTTGTTCAGATTATCGACGATCGACACGAACGGACCGATATTGTCTATGTTTGACTCTATCTTTATTTCGATTCCGTCCAGTGTTGGACGATGTTGTTCAAGAATCTTCAAAGCGGAGAGCACTCGTTTCGAGTTGATCACAGTGTCTTCGAACAGATGAGCCGGATGGGCTGTGATACTTTCGATATCGTTTAAATTTTTAAGCAGATCGGCGGCCGGATTTCCGTCTAATACTGTCAAATTCAATGTGGACAGTTCGGTGACTCCCTTTAAAAACTCGTCAATCTTCGCGGCGTCCAACTTCTCGGCAAACGGCTTCACGTCTTCCGCCAGTCTCTCCAACTCTGCCAACCCACCTTGGATCTTCGTATCGTCCCAAGTGGCACCGGTTCCGAACGCGGCAATCTGCGTGGTCATGGCTCCGAGGTCCTTGTCCAACTGGTCCCACTCGGTCCCTTTCCATCCGATCACCTCGTTCAGCAGTCCGATCGGAACTCCACTGCCGGCCATCTCCGTCGCCACCTCGACCGCATCCACAGATCTCGATCTCAGCTGGCAGTCCAACGAAAGTCCGTTCAGAATTCTGGCAAGTGCCGACAAATCGTCCACGAACACATCGAACTCAGACGAAAGGGACCCTGAAGAGACTGGTCCGCATTTGAGGAAAAGTTATAATTTTTACTTTTTGAGATGTTCGTCGAGTCCTCTTGACCGGAACTGTGCAATGCGTCTTGAACGACTAAAACTCGAGTTGAGCGGCCGGAATCTGATTGTTGGACTCACTTGGAAATGTGCAAAATAATAAACACACGACCACACTTTTCAACGTAATCATTCTGACAGTGAGAAGCAAGAATGATCAGGAAAGTTTGGAGGGAGTTGAACTTGCGGAACCGACGTGTACAGTTCACGCATTTGCAGGGGCCGTTCCGATTACGAAAGAGGAATTGAGAACGAATTTCACGTTTTCCAGTGAAACAAACAGAAATCAATACACCTTGAGCAGATTTGTTGGTCTAACTTTTAGGTTCCATCCAACAATTTTTTATCTACAAAGCATTAAAAAACCTTTATTGAAACAGACGAACAAGTAAAATCATCAGCTACACTGGAGCCGTTGCCGAGTACAGATTGCGGGCCTTGATACCGGACAAATCGGACTTTTCCTTGCCCGCCGGCGATTCCTTCTTCTTCTTCTTCTTCTCCTTCTTCACATTGCTCGCCGAACTGTTCGATGCGGAGACCGACGTGGAAGTGGACGTCATCTTCGAGTCGCCGCCATCTTCCGCTTTCCCCTTCTTCGTCGATTTTCTCTTAAAGTACATGGCTCCGCAGACCATCAGAAGGCACACGAGAGCGATTCCGATGATTGCGGCGATGATGAGACCCATGTTCGCCGTGACGAATCCGTCGGAAGTGGTCTCGTCGGGAAGGAGAGCAGCCGCGGTGGTCAGAGGGGGAACGGAAGTCGTGGTGGTGGGCAAGGCTGTGGAAGTGGTTGTAGGTCTCAGAAAGTCCTCACAAAATTGATCTAAACAAAACATGGTCGAAGAAGTGGAAACGATGGAACTGACGGAGCGGATGATACTGGCAGAACTTCTTCTTGACTTGCTCCTTCCACAATTGTGGATACATGGCTGGAATTCAGATTTTCCGATTCGTTCTTGTTATAAATGAAAGAAAATGAAAATTACCATTTAGTTTGAATTTTCTTCGTTCGAACTCCAAATCCAATGCTGCGCAGATTGAGATATGCTTTCCAGTCCTGTCTCGCAAGTCCCCGAAGACAATCGCGAACAAACTTTGCTGAAACCTTCTGTTTCGAGATCGAGAACCGAAAAGTGTGCTGAAAACGTACGCGTCCCGGATGCGATCATCATTGAGCCCTTCGAAGTATACGCTGAAACTCTGGAAACTCGATTGCAATCTAATTAGAAAAGTTTGCAATCTAATAAGAAAAAGCTCTATTTCGCAATCTAATCAGATTCAATTGAAGTTCCAGTAAAATCGTATTAGATTACAATATATTTTTCCTGGATTGCAATCTAATAAGAACAAATTGCAATCTAATTAGAAAACATTGCAATCTAATTAGAAAAATTTCAGTGATTGCAATCTAATTAGCAGATTTTGCAATCTAATTGAAGCAAATTCTATTTCAAACGAGTTCGTATTAGATTGCAAAGTTTTCTAATTAGATTGCGATCGAGTTCCCAGAGAAACCAAAAAAGTTGGAGAAACCGTAAAAACTTCCAGACCCGCATACACTCGACAATTTCCTATGGCTCTAATTCTTTAAATTTTCTTATCGAGCCCTTTTTCAAACTTTTTTCCTGATGATTTCAAGCCTGTTCTTCAATTGTTACCGGAAAAAACTACCTGGAACCGGCAAAATCCTCAATTTCCGTTTTCCATTTGAGTTTTTGCGCCAAAAGAATCGGTCGGCGGACTAGAATTCCTGGCAGGCCCAGTTTTGACCAAACCTAGTCTCTCGCCGATTTTTATTACAAAAATTCGAATTACAGCTCTAAAACCGGTCAAAAATGGTGCCCGTGTTCAGTATTGACTATAATTTCGCTAAAATTAACAAGTGTTTGTTCTTCGTAGAGTTTCACGCAAAAATTAATAAAATTGCAGTTTGGTCGACATTTGTGATTGGAAAACCGGCGACAAAATCGCCAAAAGTTTGTCGTTGGACGACGATCATTCACAGGCGCCATTCTTGCATGTAAGCACTGAAAAGGCGCGGAAAGTCAATAAAAATCAACTTAGATCGAAGCATACGGCTCCCGGAATCGTCGTTGCCGAATTTCCGAGGATGACGCGTTCGACGAGCTCGTCTGTTTGCATCTTCACGTTCTCCACAACGTCCACGTCGCGAGAGACTTCATCACCGCTCAGGGCACTCAGATACAGGTTTGAATTTAAGAACAATTTGAAAATAAACATGTACTTTGTTGAATTTCTCTCCTTTTTCATAAGATTCTTCGCCTAACTTATAAGAATTCCCAGCTTTACCGTAGTATTCCGTAAAGTTCAGAATTTTTCTGAAGACCTTTGAAAAACCAAATAAATTCTAGATTTTCTCGGATTTTTTCCAAATTAATTTGTAGAACATCTTCAAATTCACATTCCAGATGATCCAACTGTTCAACAAGGAGATATTGCAAAAGCGGAAAGACGAAAACTGGTTTCTGCCCGTTTTCTACCATCTCTGCACCGATTTGCGGTGGCTGAGCAAGCAGGCGGAGACGTGCATTTCGGACGAGGACGAGGGCGATTCGACCGCGAATTCGTTCTTTGAAAGCGCCGCCAAAGCGATCACCGAGTGTTACCGTACTTGTGTTTCGGACGTGTGAGTCGGACATAGGTGTTTTGAGTTGAGCGCCGGCATTTCGGGACACGCGAGTGAGAAGGGCCTGATTCGGAAATTTCAATCCGACCGCCAGATCGGAAAAATGTTGTGGCGTTTCTCAAACACCGCGCACCTATGGAGTCGAAAACAATGCTAAAAGGTGGAAACTGTCTTTGTTTTCAGACACGCCGAAGCGGGGAAATCGAAGAAAGTGGCGATGCTGAACATGACGAATCAACTATTCCAGATCTACGTTCAGGTGCGTCTGCCAATTTCCACATGTTTCCCGAAAAACTGACCACTCCCGAGAATGCTGTAGCTCTCAGAAGCGGAGCTACAGTATTCCAGAACAAAAAAGTGAGCAACTAAAAAAATGAAGTACTGATTGTGAAGATTTCACAAAAACCTTCACACTCACACTCCGATTAAGATCTGTTGCCGCAAATTGTTCCGGAACATTTCAAAAAACTAAAAATTCCATCCCAACACTCTTAGGGCCTGATCTGGGCCCACGAAGTTCCAAAAAAAATAACGATTCTTGTCGTTCTGAGACCTGTATCTCAAGAGCCACGAGTCCGTTGAGAGAGTAGTCAACTGGAGAATAACATCTGTGAAAACATGGGAACTGCCCGACTCTCATCAATTTAAAATCTTTATTCTTATGACACTTCCTGTCATCATTCAACAGGAACATCGTCTCCGTTTTCTCCGTCTTTGTTAACAGTTGTACTCATTGTCTCGTCTTCCGGCGTAAACACGTATCCGCTCTCCGCTAACTTGATTTCCATAATCAAGTGCCCGCTGGACTTTGCCTTCTGCGCGCCATCCTTATCCTGAAATGAATCAATCGGAGGGGCGAAAAGACGGCAGTTGTGTACCTCTCGTCCAAGTTGAACATCCGTCAAGTAGACGTAATAGTAGTCGAAGAGGACCAAGAACGAACCGTACATCTTTTTGAGCACTTGCTTCGCGGCGCCCTTCGGAGTCGCCTCCTCGAGCGAATTCCAGTTGTGATAGGCCTGGCGGATAGCTGCACAACGAGTATTATCGGTCTTCAACACGCCGCACTACTTACTGACTAGCACTTGGAGTTGTCGATACGTGTCAGCCATGTACATGACGACTCCGAGGGTGGCCACCTCGACCGTGTTCACTCTGCGACAGAAACGAGCCATCACCTCGACTGAGGGCCATTCGTTCACCCAGTCAGCCGTGAGAGTGTTCATGAAAACGGTCATCTTCTTGGTAGGTCTGAAAAAGAGGAAAGTTGTCAAGTCTCTCGCCGAAAACCAACGAATCGCGGTGCCACAGACGAAGTTTCGCCGAGTAAATGGCCTCAATGAACGTTTCCGAGACGAGCTCCACTCGGTACTCGGCATGCTCTCTGACCGTGCCGACCGCACCCCAGAATCTCTTCACACTGTCCAACACTACTGAAATCGATATTGTTGAGGAAGAAGTCGATCAATGAAAATCAAAAAAGCCCACCGTCTCCGGCATTCGTCAGCCACGCCAGGTTCACGGTCCCCGTCTTGTAGATCCGTTCCAACAGGCCCGCGTATTTTTCGCTCTCGGGCGTCTGAAGTTCATGAACGATGCGGCGGTGATTCGTTTCATCGGACACTCACCTTCATGACTATCACCGAATCGGGCTCATAGACCGGGACATCATATCCGCACGCGTTGTCGAATTGTCCGAAGAAGTCGGAAAGGGCGTTCATCTTTTGAAATTTATATTGTTGCGCCAACGCCAAATGCGTGATCTCGTTCGCCTCCTCTGTGATCTGCTGCTCACTCTTCAATTTGAGGCTCCTCAGGAACGATTTGGTCCTTTCTGAAGCTCTACACTTAATCTTTGAAATCCGATTCGTTTCGCTTACCAATACTGACGGCAACCGCCGTCTTGATTCCTGTTATCATCGTTACAATCATCTTCGGCGGATTGTCGTAGTTCGGATCCTTGAAGACGCCGAAGTTTTGCTTGAAATTATGCGGATACAACTTGACGATTCCGGTGGGGTATTTGTCATCCGTTTTTCGAAGTTTCTTTTCCACTTCCTCTTTTGAAAGTTTCTTCTGATCTTCTTTCTTCGTTTTAACCACTTTTGCATCCTTTTTTTCGGTCTCCTTTTCCACCTTCGCATCCTTATTCTCCGTCACTTTTACCACTTTTGCATCCTTATTCTCCGTCTCTTTTTGCACTTTCGGATCCTTATTCTCCGTCTCTTTTTGCACCTTCGGATCCTTTTTCTTCGTCTCTTTTTGCACTTTCGGAGTCTTATTCTCCGTCTCTTTTACCACTTTTGCATCCTTTTTCTCGGCCTCCGTTTCTACCTTCGGATCCTTATTCTCCACCTCCGTTTCCACCTTCGGATCCTTATTCGCAGTCTCATCCTCGATCTTCACCTCCTCCTTTGTCGTCGCTTCTTCCGGAATCTCTTTGCTCTTCGACCCGCTCTGCTTCTCTTTTGAACGGTCCTTCTTGGCTTCATCCTTCTTTCCCTTCGTTTCGTTCGACCGGTCCCCTGATACCTTCTTTTTCTTCTTCTTCTTTTCTTTCCCATCCGTTTGCAAGTTTGTTTTGTTTTCGACATCATCTGCACCCGATGTTCGCTTTTTACACAAACACCAAATGGCCAGTGCCGAAAGACCAAGAACAACAAATATGGTTAAGATAATCGAGGGAATGTACCAGTTGGATTCAGTGAAGGTTTGCCACATTCCCGGAGTTGTCTGAGAGAACGACGCGCCGAACAACGACTCGAAGAACATCGCAGTTGCTTCGATGGCGCTGGGCGCCGATGTGAGATCTTGTGAGAAGGTGGCGAAATCAAGGATCAGAGAGGAGACCGTCCTTAACGTGCTTCGAACGGCCATCACTTCGCCGGAAAACTCTGTTACGGAGGAAGTGTCGAAAGATGACATCTGTGCGGCTTGCAGCGTGAGCTTCGGACAACTGAACACAACCGGCTCCATCTTCCCAATGGCTCCGACTAAGTCGCGAACAGTCTCCGCTTTGCCGACTTTCACCGCCTCCTTCATCGCATTGTCGACCACTTCGCGACCATTTTTCACTTCCCACTCCAATGACGCGTATCCTCCCCACGCCTTCACAATTTCGTCGGCTTCCGTCTTCCTCGTCGGCGACTTCAGTTTTGTGTCCAATTTCAACCCGGCCCTTTCCATCTCATCGGTCCGTGCCGAGAATTTGCTCAAAGCGGAGGCGCAGCGAGCAGAACTCCCGATCGTTTTCGAAATGTCTGTCACTCGCTCCCACGTGGCCACAGGTTCGGAGACGGCCAAAAGTTCCGTGGCCTTGAGTCGGAGATTCGTGAGCGCGGCGGTCGATGCTTTCATCGTCTCCACCACATTCTTCATCGCATTCACAAGATCACTGCTTTTGCGAATTCTCTGAACTTCGGTAGCTGTGTTACGAGTGGTCGCAAGTGCTGATGTGAGGTTTTGAGGAGCCTGGAAAGTCTTGACGCCCATCGCCCAGGCGGTCATATTCGAGGCAGCTGCGGTCGGCATTTTGCGCGAGAGATCGAGCACCTTGGCGAAATATCCCTGGCCCTGAAAGCGAATACTAGCTTGCTCGAGAACTTCCTTAATTTTCTGATAATCGGAAGTTGCCGCGATCTCTTTCTTGATGGCAGGCCAAGTGTGCTTCGTGGTGTCCAATGCTTTCTCAAACGTGCTCACCTTCTCCAGAACCTTCAAATCGGGAGTGCTCGCCACACCTTGAAACACGTATAATCCGCCTACAACGGCTTGTCGCAACTCGTCGATGTTCTTTTTAAAGTCTTGAAAGCGTCCATTCGAGATTTCGGGTGTAATTATCTGAAGCTTTTGTGAGAAATCGATCAGAGAACTCGTCGCCTGCTTGGTACTATTCACACTTCTCTCGAATTCGCTCAGCTTTTCAATGATCTTTCCGATTGATTGTATTGGCGTTTTCACTTGAGGAATCAGGCTTGTACTCTTCACAGCCTTTCGGAAGTCATCTTTGAGCTCATCGATCCATTTGAGATTCTCTTTGAGCACGCCCATATCCTCTCCTCCACTCATCAGTTTCAGGTTCCTTTCGTTCTGAAGATCCGACGAAATGGCCTCAAGATCCGAGAATCCATTGATGAGACCGAAAGTGTGTTGGATATGTGGGCGATTTGCAGAAGAAGACGTCAAATTTCTGAGCGTTTCGAAAGGCTTCCGGCTGTTGGGCAGTGCAATCAGGAGATCTCTCATCTTCTTCGACTGATCCGCAAAAGAAGTCAGTTCTTGGGCCAAGCCCGCCAAGACAGAAGAGCTTGCCGAAGATTTGATCAGATTATCGACGATCGACACGAACGGACCGATATTGTCTTTGTTTGACGCTATCTTCTTTTGCATTCCGTCCAGTGTTGGACGATGTTGTTCAAGCATCTTCAAAGCGGAGAGCAGTAGTTTCGAGTTGATCAGAGTGTCTTCGAACAGATGAGCCGGATGGGCTGTGATACTTTCGATATCGTTTAAATTTTTAAGCAGATCGACGGCCGGATTTCCGTCTAATACTGTCAAATTCAATGTGGACAGCTCGGTGACTCCCTTTAAATACTCGTCAATCTTCGCGGCGTCCAACTTCTCGGCAAACGGCTTCACGTCTTCCGCCAGTCTCTCCAACTCTGCCAACCCACCTTGGATCTTCGTATCGTCCCAAGTGGCACCGGTTCCGAACGCGGCAATCTGCGTGGTCATGGCTCCGAGGTCCTTGTCCAACTGGTCCCACTCGGTCCCATTCCATCCGATCACCTCGTTCAGCAGTCCGATCGGAACTCCACTGCCGGCCATCTCCGTCGCCACCTCGACCGCATCCACAGATCTCGATCTCAGCTGGCAGTCCAACGAAAGTCCGTTCAGAATTCTGGCAAGTGCCGACAAATCGTCCACGAACACATCGAACTCAGACGAAACGGACCCTGAAGAGACTGGTCCGCATTTGAGGAACAGTGAAAATTTTTTACTTTTTGAGATGTTCGTCGAGTCCTCTTGACCGGAACTGTGCAATGCGTCTTGAACGACTGAAACTCGAGTTGAGCGGCCGGAATCTGATTGTTGGACTCACTTGGAAATGTGCAAAATAATAAACACACGACCACACTTTTCAACGTAATCATTCTGACAGTGAGAAGCAAGAATGATCAGGAAAGTTTGGAGGGAGGTGAACTTGCGGGACCGACCCGTTCCGATTACGAAAGAGGAATTGAGTACGAATTTCACGTTTTCCAGTGAAACAAACAGAAATCAATACACCTTGAGCAGATTTGTTGGTCTAACTTTTAGGTTCCATCCAACAAATTTTTATCTACAAAGCATTAAAAAACCTTTATTGAAACAGACGAACAAGTAAAAGCATCAGCTACACTGGAGCCGTTGCCGAGTACAGATTGCGGGACTTGATACCGGACAACTCGGACTTTTCCTTGCCCGCCGGCGATTCCTTCTTCTTCTTCTTCTTCTCCTCCTTCACATTGCTCGCCGAACTCTTCGATGCGGAGACCGACGTGGAAGTGGACGTCATCTTCGAGTCGCCGCCATCTTCCGCTTTCCCCTTCTTCGTCGATTTTCTCTTAAAGTACATGGCTCCGCAGACCATCAGAAGGCACACGAGAGCGATTCCGATGATTGCGGCGATGATGAGACCCATGTTCGCCGTGACGAATCCGTCGGAAGTGGTCTCGTCGGGAAGGAGAGCAGCCGCGGTGGTCAGAGGGGGAACGGAAGTCGTGGTGGTGGGCAAGGCTGTGGAAGTGGTTGTAGGTCTCAGAAAGTCCTCACAAAATTGATCTAAACAAAACATGGTCGAAGAAGTGGAAACGATGGAACTGACGGAGCGGATGATACTGGCAGAACTTCTTCTTGACTTGCTCCTTCCACAATTGTGGATTCACGGCTGGAATTCAGATTATCTGATAGGATATTGAAAAGAAGGCCAATAATTGCTCAACTTCGCTGTCACAGTGCGTGCCATAAGTATACGCCACCCCTATTTTTGATAATATCAGAAGAAATAGTAACTTGGTCGAAAAACGGCGAGTGCCACTAGCTTCAGAATGTAAAATAACTCCCGTGTTACGGGTACCAGGTCGGAAAATCGCCATTTGTAATTTCTGATGTATCCCACTGCGTCCCTGTATTAAATGAATAAAAATGGACATTACCAATCTTTTCGATGTTCTTATCGCTCGAATTCCAGATCCAATGCTTCGCAGATTTGGATGCGTTCTCCAGTTGATGCTCACAGAACGTCGAAGGCGAATTCTGCGCCCATAGAAGGCCATTCGAACACGTTGAATAGAGATCTATCGCGCTGAAACCGTCTCCTTTGAGGACAGGAACTGAAAAGTATGCTGAAAACGTACGCGTCTCGGATACGATCATCATTGAGCCCTTCCAAATAAGCACTGAAAAGCAAAAAGGTAAAGAAACCGTAAAAACTACCATTACCGTCAATTCAAGACGATATATCTCTGCTGCCGATAGAGATATCAAAAAGTTTTGAACTATTCAATTCATCATTGAAACGTGGTGTACATTTTGCCAGTTGACCACTTTTTGATATCTCTTCTCGCAACTGAGATACATCGTTTCGGATAAACGGTGTGTTGGAGTTTCCCTGTTTCACTTACGCTCTTTGCTCGGGAGTCGCCTTCGACCAGTCATCTTTAAGAATCGCAAAAGACATTTTGATTCTTTTTACCCTCTCAGATCCTTTTATATCAATTCTGGAAGGTCAGCGAAGGACGAGCAAGGATGAGGGCGTGTCAGGTTAGGTCTGGAAGGTTTCTGGGATTGTAGACCAATTTTCCACATCATCCTTTCACTTCCCAATCCTCCCTTTCCCCAAGCAAAATGGGCGGAAAGTGTTCGGAAATGCATGTGTGCCCTATCATTGGTCTCTTTTGATATTATATTCCTCCTCTTCCTCCTCCTCCTCCTCCAAACACACAAAAACGAACAGAAAGTGGTGGATAAATGAGGTGTTAACACGATATGACGTCGTAAGAAGACGTGGGGGTTGGGGGGAATCTGGAAATGCTGGAAAAGAAACGACACGTTTGGTTTGGGACACAATAGGACAGAGTCAAGCTCAACTCAACTTTGAGCGCATATTTTAGATCCTGGAGACGTTCTGTGCTTCTAAAAATGTTATGTGTGGCATCTTCATCTCTAGTACTACATTTTGATAGTTGACACCTTTTTTGTACGACCAATCCCTGGGAGTACTGTAGCTTCGGAATGTTCGGCTATAATCAACGCGCAAGATTTTATTGTCAACTTCTAGAAGCTAGAGTGACCTGGCGAACATTCAAATCTGTCGGATCCTAGGCCACCGTAGCTTTGTCGTATCCTAGGCCGCCTTTTCCACTTCCTCTTCTCTCCGGTACGCTTCCTCATTTCTCCATTCTTCCAGATTCCGCCCCGACTTTTGCCCTTTATTGTCTTCAAACACCTGCAGAGATAATGACTTCTTCTTCTTCTTTCTCTTGCCGCTCCTGAAGACGTCATCCTCTTCTTCTTCTTCTTCTTCTTCTTCTTCTTCCTCGTCTTCTTGGTCCTTTTCTCGGCATGCGGCTGCCCGCCCTCTCATGTTTTCCGGTTGGAAAAGTGGGCGGGGCCTACGGGTGCTCCTCTTTTCCCTCTCTCTTTCTCTCTCTCTTTCTCTTTCGGTCCGTGGGGCAGAGGAGCCGGCTCCGTGCTCTTCACTTCTTCTCCTTCTTTTGGCTCCTACGAACAGTCACGATGACGTGGCACCAGAGGACACTTTTCCTCTTCTTGTCACTCGCCGCAGTCGGAGTCATTACCGAGCATCCACCGGTAAGCTTTGCAAACGACAATTCTGACCTCGGCGAATCTAACCTACGGTCTTTGGATTGATAGTCGAGGGCTTTATCCGCTGCGCCACCCGCGCCGACGGTGTTCCAGGTCTGAACCCACTGACTTTAAAACGTTTTTCTCTCAACTTGTCAGCTATGTAGTTCTTAGTGCTTCTCGATACTGTAGGATGACATTTTTGAAATTGCAGCTAATGAAAAGCGACAAACTGATCGAGTACGCACCGCAAGCGAGCACAGAATCCTCAACAGGGTAAGTCGTTCTCTCTCTCTCTCTCTCTCTCTCTCTCTCTCTCTCTCTCTCTCTCTCTCTCTCTCTCTCTCTCTCTCTATCTCTCTCTCCCTCCCTCTCTTTTTCCCTTCTCCGCTCCTTAACAAGTCGTTATCCCCTTGAGGAATCCGGCTGTTCCAGACAAAAACAGAAGAAGCGAGAAGAAGTGCGAGACAATTATATGTACAAGTTTGCGAGGCGCGCGGTCATCGACACTTTGTTTATTTCCCCTCCAAAAAAAGAACACCAAGACCCTAGATTTGTCTGGAAATACACAAACTTTCGGTCTTTGGCGGGCAACAAAAATTTTGAGGCCCGGGGCTTCGGACTTGCGGCACCGTTTGATTGATAATGTTAGCCACCCGAGCCGGGACCGTTTTTGCTCATTTTTGCTCCCGAAAAACGTGCCCAACTTGCTCCGCTCTCATTTTTCTCACCAACGCGCGGCCAAACGCGTTCCCATCAAAATAATGAGGTTTTCTGCGTGTGCGCGGCTGAGAAAACCGAAGAGAAAGTGTCAAAACAAGTCCTCATTTGATGAGAAGAAAGAATTTCGGATGTGTGTGCTCTCAAATAATTTTTCGCTTTTTTGGCCCTAACACTGAAAATTGTTTATGATTTTATCTCTCGCCGCGTGGGTTTTCTGTGTCATTAAACAAATAATTCGCTCTTCTTCTTCTTCTTCTTCTTCTTCTATCTAAGAGAACCTTTTCGGTATTAATGCAATTAAATCCGCGCCATTTGGGTCTCGAACCGATTTTCTTCTTTCGCTGTGAGCCGGAGCCCAAATCGGGGTGACAGCTTTCGGTTCGAATTTGGGCGAAAAAGGGGGGAAAAGGACTCTCTCGTTTTCCAATTTGGCCAAGATGGAAGACGGGCGGTGAAATGGGTAGGCAAAAATGATTGGCGCCGCCCGGGAATCGAACCTGTCACCTTTGGATTGACAATCGAATCTGTAGGCCAGGTAGCTCCAAGTTACAAGTTCGAAGCCTCTCGATGACTCAAACATTTTGAATAATTCATGAGATACCACATGTGATTTCTGGCCGCCAGCCTTCATTTTTTTCCCTTCGTTTTCATCATTATTTTAGAAATCTATAACATTCGTTCTCTCTCTCTCTCTCTTCGTTTCGCCCTCCCGACTATTGTGAATTCCTCGGGCGACGGCGAAAGTTGAAAAGCAGGTGATGCGGGGCACAAAAACGCATTGAGCGAGGCAATAGATCGCATATGAAAACGATAAAACACTTTTCCGACATGACGACGGCATCTACGATACATCACGCCAGGATTCCTCAGTTACACTATAGTACAGGGACCAGGATTGGGGATTAGAGTCGGCTGAAAAGTTTTGGGGCTTTGCGGGTTGAGACATTTTCGGATTGATAGACAAACGTGCTAGCAACTGAGCTCGGCGCCCGGGCGGTCACGTGGCTTATAAGTTGGACTGTATATCTTTTGCCGGGAACTCAGATCAAGTTGAACATGTCTAGTCATCCAGAGACCAAGGTTCGACTCCCTGGCTAAAGTTTGACTAAAAGGTACTTTGAACCCAACCCATCCATCTTTTTTTTGCCTTTAGTGATGACGTTTCCCTCCTCTCTCTCTCTCTCTCTCTCTCCTTCTTCTACCAAAAAAGAGTTCGAATGAAAAAAGAGAAGAAGAAGAAGAAGAAGAAGAAGAAGAAGATGGAGAGGATTTGCACGCAATTAGAGGTGCTCAATGAGCACAACGATGGGAAAAGAGAGAGAGAGAGAGAGAGTGACTTCGAATGGGTCGGATGAATGTAGACTACTTGGCTGGGGGTTTGAACTTACGTCTTGGGTATGATAAGAGGGGAAAAAATGTCTTTTGACCCGAGCGATTCGAACCTTGACCACGTTCGCGCGCTGGGGCGAGGAGAGCCCCCTGCTGGCTAACAGCTTTGAATATATCTCAGGTGTCTCACATTCCTCACATTTTTTTTTCGCAAACTGTGACGTGGCAGATCTTTGCGATAGCCGCATAACAAGGCTAATCAGAGGTATTTTTGTTCCGGGAAAAAGGGAAAAGACGAAGCTAATAAGGCGCCTGATGCGAACTGCTCCTTCAAGATGAAAACTTCGGTGCTCCCCAAGGAAACCCGAGGGGTCCGAGTCCGAATTCGATTAAATCACACACACACATCCATCCGGGTGGTCCCCCGTCGCCCACGATGCGCGGAAGCGTAACGCAACATGTTGCGTCGTACGTTTTTCTGTGTTTTGCCTCCTTTTGACACCCTGCAGAGTATCAGTTATGCACAGGAAGTGCGTTGCGCACCAGCACAAAGAGCCCACACGGAAACTCGATTTTCGCGACGGGTAAAGGTCGGCAAGTCGACGCGAAAAAGTTTCGGGGGGCGGGTGAGTTCGAACGGGCATCCTCAGATTGACGTTCGGCCGATAATCTAGAGGTCCCCGGCTCGAACCCACCAAAACCAAAACTTTCCGTGGATTTCTTCTGCCCTTTCCACGTGATGAATTAGTGGGAAACCCGAGCGCCTTCCTGTGTCTGCCGTGTTATTCGTGACACGACATGACACGTTTGCATCGGATTTCTTTCCATATTCTCAGAACGAAAAATGAGTTACTTTCTCGAGAGCAAATAATTGGAAAAAAACGACGATTTTATTACAGAGATCAGAGCAATGAAAATCTGGAAAACAATGTGACGAGACTGTTGGACAAGCTCATCGCGAGTCACGATCGACGGATCCGGCCCAATTACGGAGGTAAACGAGTCTGGAGCCACGTGGCTTCGAACCTGGATTGATATTCAAAGCTAAGAGCGTCGGCCACGAATCCAAATGCCACAAGTTGAATTCCTCAGCTTCGAATTAGTGTTTCCCCCTCTAGTGCTTACTTTTTGCTCAAAAAACCACTCGAAAACGCACTTACACTTGCTTCTCTCAAGTTTTTCGTCCTTTCCCACTGATTTTTCATCCTTTTCCACTCCTCCTCCAATTTGTCGAACACACACACAAATATATGCCAAAGCGCTTTCCGACCGAATCGAGAATTCAATTTCAACACACTCGGCACGCCGCCGCCGCCGCCGCCGCCGAAAAGCGAAGAGCGAGGGCGAAAAGAAAAAAGGGGGGAAAAAGTTTTTGGAAGTTGTGTTCCCGAAAGCGGGGGTCATACATTTCTCGAGTGGAAAAGTGGAATTTACACGCTTGTGACGTCAGTTTGCAAGAAAGTTTTGACACAAAAAGGGGGTTCGAACTTGCGGCCAAAGCGTTTGACTATCAATCTAAACGTGGCAAGTTCGAATCCCATGGAATAATTTCATTTGAATGTACTTTTTGAGGTCCCCCGATCGAAGTGAACATCACCGCGCACATCACGACCATCAGTGCGGTCTCGGAAGTTTCCATGGTCTGAAAACCAACAAATCTTTGCATTCAAACTTTCCAAAAATATTATGCCATTGCAGGACTACACCCTGGACCTGTACCTCCGTCAAATCTGGAAAGATCCCCGATTAGCGTGGGAATCGGACGTCGAAGACTCTCTGACGATCGGAATTGACATGGTCAAGACCATTTGGACGCCCGACACCTTCTTTCCGAACGAGAAAAAGTCGTTTTTCCACGAGGCCACCAGCCATAACTCTTTTCTGCGAATCGATAATCACGGAAATGTGCTCAGGAGTATTCGGCTCACGGTCACCGCGAATTGCCCGATGAGCTTGCATACAGTGGGTTTGAATAAATATTGTAGACTCTGGAAACTTTTGTGTAAAATCTTAGTTGACAACTTTTAATTAGGTCCACTCTCTGGAGTACTGTAGTTCCGCGAAGTTGGGACTAAAATGCGAAATGCCTGAGATGGTCCTCTAACTTCGAAGAGCTACAGTACCCAAGGGAGTGGTCGTACAAAAAAGTTGTCAATTACAAAAATACTGTACAAATCACGGACTTGTTTTGTCTAGTTGACAACTTTTTGGTACGGCCACTCCAGGAAGTACTGCAGCTCCGCGAAGATGGCAGTTATTTTGAACTGCTCGAGTTTAGCACAACTTCCAAGCGCTACAGTACCCAAGGGAGTAGTCGTACAAAAAATATGTCAACTACAAAAACACAGTACTAGACATTTATATTTCGCAAGAAGGTCTCTAAAGCAATGCTCATTCAATCTTTTTGCAATTTTTGAGCCGCCAACCAAGGCACATAAAAAGTGTAGTTTTGTGTGTGCTTCGACGCCAGAAATGGTTTCCGGAAGTGCGTAAATGACCTAATTTGCAGTTCCCGTTGGACAAGCAAGAATGCGCCCTGGAAGTGGAGGTAGGCATTACTGTAACTGCCGTTTTCCGGTCCCCATTACCCCCCAAATATTATAGAGTTACGGGTACTCGACCAAGGATATTATCTATCACTGGCACGGGACCACCGCGGTCACAATCGACGAGAATGTCCATTTGGCGCATTTCACGATCGGAGAACACTATCACATCGAACGGACGATCAGTCTCTCGACGGGAAACTATTCCAGACTCACCGCCTATTTCACTTTCAAGAGGAACATCGGATTCTACTTGATTCAGGTCTGCATCTTCGATTTTGCGAGAATTTCCGCGAATGTGTGCCCGTTCAGATCTACTTCCCCTCGAGTCTGATCGTCGTCATCTCGTGGGTCTCGTTTTGGTTGAATCGAGAGGCGGTGCAAGCGAGAGTGGCTATCGGTAATCGCCCGAATATGGCAAGTGCGCTCCACCGAACACTTTCTTGCAGGCGTCACGACAGTGCTCACGATGACGACCCTGATGACGAGCACGAACGCGTCGCTTCCGAAAGTCAGCTACGTCAAGTCCCTCGACGTTTTCCTCGGAGTCTGCTTCTTCATCGGTGGGTCTCGGCACGAAGATGAAACTTTCATTTTCCCCCTTTTTTTCCAGTATTCGCCTCTCTGCTCGAGTACGCGGCGATCGGATATCTGATGAAGAGGACTCGGACGGTGCCGGCCGCGTCGCCAGTACAATACTACGAGACAGGTACCGTAATCCGCGGGCCCATTCGTTTTAAAGTCTCTTATAGAAGAGTTTTTTGAAATTCAATGCCATCCAAATTACGTGAAAGGGGCCATTGACTATTGTGAGTTTCTCGAAAAGTGGTGTAGAGATGACACGTGGCTTTTGAGAATTACCGCGATGTTTTGTTCTTAAGTTCCATGACGCATAACCTGTGCCTTGGCGCACCTCCCGTGCCCCCCGCGTTGACCTATGTTCTCCGCTCAGAATTTCAAAAGTGCTGGTCCCAAAAAAGGAAAAGTTTTTCAGGCGACGGTGTGCTGAAGCGTGAAGCGAGCCGAAAAAAGAGCCGGAACCGACGCGACAGCTCGATGAAGGCGAGTTTGCGCACTTTCGGGGTCTTGGCGCGATTCTCGTGCAGTTGAGGGGGCTAGCATGCAAAACATGTGGAAAAGTGTTCGAAAATGGACGGTCTCCTGGGATCTCTCTCTCTCTCTCTCTCTTCTTCTCTTTCTGACCACCAACCCACGCACACATACGCACATCAAACTGAACTTTTTGGAATTTTGAAAAATGACGGACAAGTTTGTGACGATGCACAATATTCGAGGGTCCAAGTGAGGGATCTTGAAGGTTCACGTGACTCGACGCACTTTTGGTGCTTGGAAATTGGACCTGAATCTGACACAAAAACACAAAAGTAAAAGCAAGAGAGACGGTAAACTGTGAATGAATTTTGTAGGCTTAGAAGATTTCGTATTGACTTGAAAGTTTTTTTGTGAAAACTTCATATCATGTACTACATTTTTGTAGTTGACAACTTTTTTGTACGACCACTTTCTGGAGTAGTGTAACTCTTGAACGTTAGGGCTAAAATGCGATGACCCTGAGATGGCCGCAACTTCCCAGAGCTACAGTATTCCAGAGAGTGCTCTTACAAAAAAGTTGTCAACTACAAAAATGTAGTACTAGATTTGAAGTTTTCGCGAAAAAATTTCTAGAACAATAGGACGTCTTGGAACTCTACAATATTCGTTCAAAGTTTGTGCATTTTCACTTTCAATTGAAAGTTGTGCTGGAGCCAATTTCAGTACATTTTCAGTGCCTTAACCAATTCTTCCCCCAACTACAGTAATCCTTTAGCCACCAAGAACCAATCTGTTTTCTGTTCGCCTTTTCCTCCGAAATTCCATTTTAATCGCATCACATTGTCCTCCCGTCTCTATTTTCGAACATTTTCCCTGATTTGCCATCCTCCCTTTTTTCGGGTCGAAATGTCAGTCACAAATTATTTCTTTATCGGAAAAAACGTAATATTGTGTGTTTAGAAATGACTGAAAAGGGGCCGAATTAGAGAGAGAGAGAGAGAGAGAGAGAGAGAGAGAGAGAGATGAATAATTGATAGGCCAAATGTTAATGAAAAACGATGATCGACACTTCAAAACCCGGACATTTTTGATGAATTCGAGAGGGGAAGAGCAGAAATGCACGGAAAAACAGGAAGGAGGAATCCGATGACGTGGGGCGATTCTAGGCCAGGGATAGGGCCGGCCTAGATTTCTCATTTGTCGCATTCCAGGCTATGGAGCTCTTTTAGGCGCAGTACTTTGTCGTTCCGGATCCTAGGCCACACATATGATCGCTTTTCGCAATGATCTGCGTAATAATCAAGACAGAACTAGTGGCCTAACGTTTGCCCGAGTCGGATCCTAGGCCACCAACATCTTTCACGTTAATTCCCCGTAGAAAAGTGGTGGCCTAACTTTCCACTTTCTGGAATCCTAGGCCATCCACATGTTCACTTTCTCCGACCAAAAACCAGCCGTTTTCACTTTCCCCGTGTGGAAACAGTCCGTTTTGATTGATAACATTCCATGCAAGATCACACATCTCGCCGACCATTTCGTCATCGCTTCTCGATGATTTTCAATCTTTCTGTTGAGCATTCTTCGCTCTTTTTGCAGGAAAACAGCAGCAGCAGCAGCGGGTTTTTAATGATTTCCGTCGGAGGAAAGGTGACCGCAATTATTGTAGACTTGGAAGAAGAGGTTGCGAAATTGAGTGACGTGGACTAGAGCGAAAGTTAGGCCAGTGGCCTAGGATCCGACAGTTATGCAATGGCTTAAAATTACCATGTTGGGTTTCTAGGCCACCAGAAGCAGAAGTTAGGCCATGAGATATTAGGGGAGCTGTTCTCTCAGCTGCTCGGATTCCTAGGCCACCAAGTAGCGCGGCTTAGGATCCGACAGTAACGGAGCACACTTTTCTAGGCGATCCCCACTAATCACTGACTTCTTTGCAGAACTACCAGAACAACAACATCCACCACCGACCGTCGGACGGCCACGTCGATCAGCGGATCCCTCTTCTCTCGATGGTGCCGATGCCGCCGATCCCGTTCAAACCGCAAAACGGCGCGTGGGGAAAAGTTCGGCCAGCACAGGTGGGCGCCCGCGCGAATTTCAACTTTCAAGCGAATTCTGTTGCAGGTCGATCTATTCTCGCGCTTCGCGTTTCCCATCTTTTTCGTAATATTCCATATCATCTACTGGACATATTACATCAATCAATAACTGATATTGTATGCACACAATTGCTGATCTTCTTCTCTCTTCGGGTTCTGTTTTCTTTTCCACTCGAGACCTTCCTGTAATGATGTCGCCTCGTTGCTTCCCCTTTTTTCTGTGCCTTTTTCTATAAATCGGTTCTTTTTGCATTGCGTTGCACTTTTTTTTATTGTTAAATGGATAATATCGGGAATGATTAGAGCTTGTAGCTGCGAGACGGACATGGACAATATCCGGCATCCGGTCCTGGCTCTCCGTCGCCTCCGTGCTGAAATTTATATGATTTTGAGGTTCAGGATGGTCTAGGAAGAGCCTAAAAGCCCACAGATGGCCCAGAATTCCACCCACCTCTCCGCAAGTTCCACTCTTTCCGGGCACTCCCGGCCGTCCAGGAATACCTCCGTGCCCAGCTGGACCCGGATTTCCCTCTGCCCCTGGAGCTCCTGCATTTCCTTCCGGTCCCGGTGGTCCACGTGGTCCTGGTGGTCCAATTCTTCCCGGCTGTCCCGGTCGGTACTCGGTGCCCGGTTCTCCGCGTGGTCCTGGAGGTCCCGGTCGTCCGGCGGCTCCTGGTCTTCCGGCGTCTCCCTGCTCTCCCGGTCCTCCTGGTCCTCCCGGTGGTCCCGGTGGTCCGTTGCGTCCCTGTCCTCCGGCTGGTCCAGCCGATCCTGGAAGTCCAGAAGGTCCACGTGGTCCCGGACGGCCTGGCGGGCACTTGATACATCCGCCGGGGATGTCGTGCGTGATGGCGACGATGGGACCGGGGGCTCCGGGTTTTCCGTCGTCTCCGTCCCTGCCCGGCTCTCCGTGATCTCCCGCCTCTCCCGGTGGTCCTGGCGGTCCAGCCGCACATCCCTCGGACTTTGGCCCACAGTTGCACTGCTCCGGATAGGCCTGTCTGGCCACACGGGCGCCGCTTCCGAACAGACTCTCGTAGGTGGGCTGGGCGGAGATCATTCCACGTGGATGCGTGTGCTTCGTGACGATGCGCTGCCACGTGTCCTTGGTGATCGCGCGGAACTCGAACATTTCGTCGTCGAAATCGGACTGGAGTTGCGAAATGTCCGAGAGAAGAGCGGCCATCGTGTAGAGCGCGACGGCCACGCACACAAGCATGGTGGCGGATCCCGCCACGATGAGCGTGTTGCTCATTCTGAAAAGAGAATGCATTGATTGAGGAGCGTGTAGCTACAGTAACCTGACAAAAAAAGAGAAAGTGTGCGGCGTCTCGAATTCGGTTCGGGTCGGCCTTAAGTACAGTTCCGTTTATTATCAGATCCTTCGGTTCCGCCTGTTTTCGACCGTCAAAACCAGTTCTCCGTTACCTGTATCATTGGTTTGTCGGCGTCTCCACACTTTCGCGCACTCTTTCTCCGTCGTCAAGTGTCTCTTTTTTCAGGAAACTTTGCTGTTATCTGCCTTTTCGACGACGACGACACCGAAGCGAGAAACCGAAAGGGAAAGTTTGCAAAATTGGAAAGGGAGCGGGAGCGTGTTAACAGTTTCCAATTGGGGAACCATTCGGCAAGGACTGAAAATAACTGGGAGGAGAGATGATCAGAGAACAGTGTCACGAGGTTACTGTAGATCTTGGCGAATGTCTACCGAGCATTTCGCTGAAAATCTAGTGCAATAATATCTCTTTGGCAAGTTTGTGTAAACTGTTCAGAAACAGCGTCATAACTCAAGAATTAGTGGTTTCAGAACGAATTGGTCAACTACAAAATTGTTAAGGAGAACATTTGCAACAACTTTTCAGTTTACATGTTTTTGAGACAATCATTGGTTCTCGAGATATACAGTACCGCTCAAAAGTATATTAAGTTTTGGTTTTTTGGTGATACATTTATTTTGAGATATGGTATCGGTCCAAATTTTTTTCCATACTTTCCTGGAAGGGTTAGGCGTGTTCTGGCAATTTTTTTAAGCCACTAGCTCAATAAAAAAATATTTCGAGAAAAAAATCGAATTTTTTTGAAAAAAATCGAATTTTTTTGGTATTTTTCATTAAAAATTATCTTGGCTCAACGAAAACAAAGTTTATTAACAAAAAGCAGTGATAAAACAATATTTGGGATCTAGTACTTCGTTGCAAAGCCCTTGGCATCAATAACTGCCTGGCATCTTCTGGGCATTGAGTCGATCAAAGTGTCGATGGTCGACATGGGGATCTGATTCCATTCTGACTGCAGTTGGGCAGACTTCTCGTCGCAATTCTTGGCTCTTTTGTTAGCACAACGTCTCTCCAACTCCTCCCAGAGGTGTTCGATCGGGTTGAGATCCGGAGATTGACTTGGCCACTCCATGACGTTGACCCGACGGCTCTTGAACCAATCCTGAAACTCAACATAATACGGATTACTTGTCAATTTTCTCACCTTGACAAAGAGAGAAGTGTGCTTTGGATCGTTATCCTGTTGATAAACACTCCCACGACCCATAGCTCTCAAGGGCGGCAACATCTTGTCTTGAAGAATGTCTTTGTAGACGTTCTTATCCATGATGCCCTTCACGCGATGAATCGGCCCGATGCCATTTCCAGAGAAGGCACCCCACACCATGCACGAACCTCCACCGTGTTTCACAATCGGCAGTTGATATTTTGGATCATATCTGGAACCAATTGGTCACTCCCGAAGAGCAGGAATTTGCTTTCGTCGGACCACAGAATCCTGTTCCAGTCCTCAGTTGAGGTGATCCTTTGCCCACTTCACTCTGGCTGATCGGTTCTTCTCAGAAATCAACGGTTTCTTTACTGGACGTCTTCCCATGATTCCAGCAGCATTTAGACGACGTTTCACGGTCGAGACGGATGGTGGAGATGGCGAATTCACGAAAACTTCCCGTCTGATCGCAGGGGCAGTCAGTCTTGGATTGCTTCTAGAGGTCCTCAAAATGTTTCTATCGTCATTGGGATCAGTGACACGTGGTCTTCCAGTGCGGTGGCTCACGGGAAAGCCACCCTGAGCCTTCCAGCGTTTTAAGAATTGAGAAATACACGCTTCTGTCACGCTGAACATTCTTGCCAGCGTTATCAAAGTCAGCCCATTTCGACGACCCGCTACGAGGGCTCTTTTCTCGTTATCAGTCAAATTCTTCTTTCCAGACGTCTTTCCCATATCTGAAAAACATAAAAAAACAAACATATGGACACATTACTACTTTAAAAAAAATTTTTTTGGAAGAAATAAAAAAAAGTGTAAAAAACGAAAAAACTTAATTTTTTGAAAAATTGTGTGAAATCGCGTCACAGTGATTGCAGGCATGTCCAGGTATACCGTATATGTTTCAAAGTCTATTTTACATTATCCCTGAAAATTATAGGTCAATCGGATTAGTACTCACTGAGGTATCACCAAAAAACCAAAACTTAATATACTTTTGAGCGGTACTGTATGTGTCCAAAGAGGACCGATACATGCGATTTTGGTACGATTTTTGAAAAGACTTGACTTTATTAGATGAAAACCAAACAAGTAGGTGAAAAAGTTATTGGAATTGCAGCTAGACGAGTCCTCCCGAGTACAGGTTGTGAGAGTGGATTCCGGAAGATTCGGCTGCTTGCGGAAGTTCGGCCAAGTTGTCGTCTGGATTCGGATTCTCGGCGACTTTCTGCTTCTCCGCTTCTTCTTCTTCTTCTTCTTTCTTCTCTTCTTTCTTCTCCTTCTTCTCTTCGATCTTCGATTTCTCCGGTTTCTTCTCCTTTTTCGACTCTTCCTTCTCTTTTTTCACGAGTGTTTCCTGCTTCGATTCCTCCTTCTTCTCCGTCTTCATCTTCTTCTTCTTCTTCCGCTTCTTCTTCTTCTCCACCTTGCTCACAGAGCCTCTGCCCACCGGAGACGGAGCAATCGGAGCACTTTGAGTGGTCGCCGTGGGACCGCTCTGTTTTTTGGAATAGTACCAGGCGGCACAACTCATCAGCAGACAGACGACGGCCAATCCGAGCATTCCGCCGATCACTAGAGCCATGTTGCCGGCCAGGAATGCTTCGGAAGTCGTCTTCGGAGCATCTGCATCACTGGGACCGTTTGGAGGAGAGTCCGAGGATTGGGGAGGCTCGCCGGAAGAGGAGCAGAACAGTTCTGAAGGGAAATTCGTAGAGAAGAAGAAGAAGAAGAAGAGGAACCTCCGGGGTAAGTTTTGCAGAACAACTTCTCGATCTTCTGTCGGTAGTTCTCTCGAGGGCTCGCATCTGTTAGAAAAGTACAAAAGTCAAGAGAGCATTTGAACCAACTAACTAGAGTCCACGTAGTTCGCGCCCCAAACTGTCGGATATTTCGTCTCGGCCAGTCGTTCCAGAAGGTTCTTACACGCATCTTTTCCCTGAAAACTGCACCAAAAGTGCGCATTTTCCACTCTGAAATTCATTTCCATTAATGGATCGGCCTCTTCAGTTTCTTTCCAATTCTCACGTCTCTTTGTCTCGTTGGGCTTGTCTGAAAATGAGTGATTTTTGCGGGAGAGAGAGAGAGAGAGAGAGAGAGAGGCCGAGAAACGTACGCAATCTTCAAAACGGCGTCGACGGCATTGATATTCGCCCAGTCGACGTCTCCCATTTTTGCAAAGATTGATTCGAGAGCACAAATATTGTCGTTTTCCGTCTTTGGCCGGCCTTAGTCAACCTTGGTCAAGAAATGGTCGAGGCTGGGTTTGTGGACCGAGTCAAGGCCGTGATAATCATTCAAAATACCGTAGGGACACTCCAATACCATGAATTTGGGGCAGGATATCTCTCAGTTGCCAGAAGAGACATCAAACAGTTTTCAATTGATGTTTTGCATGATGTGCACAATGTTCTTCAGACCATTTTATCATAACAACAGTCAAAAAGTGTCAAATGAGTCCCAAAAATGTTCATTTTGACATGAAAAGTCACAAGTCAATCAAGTATTCGTCTATTCGCACTGCCCACAGTCACATCCACGTGGCACCTTCTCGAATCGCTTCGGGCACTCGCTTCCATCCTCTCCTTCTTCTTCGTCTTCCTCAATCAATCCGATCGTCGTCCTCTCCTTTTCGTTCTTCTCCGTCTCCTCCTTCTCAATCGCCTCAATCTCAGCGGCCTTCTGCTCGCGGAAGCGCTCCCAGATGGCCTTCGCGTCCGCCTCTCTCGGATTGTCCGATTTCATCACCTCGTCGAGCACAAATTGGAAAATGAAGTCGTTGACTCGAATCTTGGTCCGATTGACGTTTGATTCGCTCATGAGCTGACCGAGCAGGAACGCGACCGAGCTGTTTCCGTTCGTCGACGGCACAATCGATTCCACGTCGTAGCCGGGCTCTTTCCCGTCGAAATAGTCCCATTCCTAAAAGAGTTTCCAGTCAGACTTGGTTCCGACTGCTCAATCTGACAATCACCTCATTCCTGACCATGTGGTACCAGTACTCGAACGGATCCGCACACTGTTTGCACGCATATCTCATCGGACACTGCCGTTTCGACTGAACACATCATAATCTTGTCGTCTCTAACGTGTCAAACCTGCGTGTCCTCGAACCATCCCTCCTCGTGCACACTCCGAGCCATGAATCCGCAACGGACCGACGCTCGGTAGTCCGCCTCGACGTCAGATCCTTTCGGCTTCCCGACCGACGAGTACAGATCCTCCGTGCTAAGCAACATTGGCGTTTCTGATGAATGACTCGCATTCACTCACATTTTCTCGATTATTCCCGCTGGACACTGATATTTGAGCGTTTGCATCGGATCGGTAACAGTCTGATCCGAGTACTTGTTGTCTGGAGCATAAAATATCGTAACCGGATGATATCAAGAATGCACTTACAAGCAATGATCATGGCGAATCCAGCATTCTCATCAGCCTTCTGCTTCTTGTACTCGATGGCTGCCACGTAGGAAAGTGCGATGAACGAGGTCGGATCCACCTCTTCCAGCGGTTCCTCCGTCTCCGAATCCGTGCAATCCGATTCGGATCCGACAGGGAACTCTGTCGGCGGGTGCGGTGGTTGGAACTTTCGCATCTTCTCCGATCCCTCCGATCCCTCCGACACTTCCGAATCCGAATTCGGCTCCCCGAATCTCACCTGCTCTTCCTCTTCCGAATCCGAGACGTACTCTGACGACAAACTCGAAGAGAGCACCAGCTCCGACTCCGACTCCGACTCCGACCCGACAACTTCCTCTTCCTCTTCCTCGTGCTGCTCCACGTGATGAATGATCGCTTCCATCGGCTCCGTGCTCGACGACGAAGAGATGGCCGACTTTCCGAACTCCTCCAGCTCCTCCTTCACGCCGCCGTTCTCCCAAGAGAACTCCGACTGGTCCGACCAACTCGAGCCCATCGGATATTCAGTGGGCACCAATCCGACGAGCCCCGACAACCGACGCTCCCTTCGTTTCTTCCGCAACTCCGCCAGAAACTTCTTCCGCTTATTTAACCGCTTCATCAGATCCGCACGAAACCGTGCATTGTCGTTCGGTGGCTCCGTCGCCTCCTTCTTCTTCTCGAGCACCTGCACCTCCTCCAACCCTTGCATCTCCACATGATTCATAAACTTCATCACTGCCGTGTTGTACCAAATCTTGAGGAGTCGGGTGCGGATGGTGCCCGTGCCGAGCACCTTCTCCAGAGTTTCCATCTCGCACGAATTGGTCAGCACGTGGAAGTCGTCGGCGATCTTCGTGGTGAAGTTGGGCAGCAGGAAGAGTTCAAGGCCGCCGAGCGAGGTGTTCGGGTGCATGACGACGGTGCGGAAGATGCGCGCGACGGAGACCAGGGGGCTCCCGGGCAGCACGGAGACGGCTCTCGCAATCACGTTGCTCTCCTGCTTCGTGGCGTTCTCACGGCTGAAACAGAAGGACGGACCATGATTTGATTGGAAATAAGAGAGAAAGGAGAGAGCGTACACGAAGACGAGGTCCATTTTGAACTGATCCATTCGGCGGATCTCCACACTCATCGACTTCTTGACGCCCAGGTAGAAGTGCACCATCACGCTGTTCTTGTTCTTCTGATGAACACGGACACGTGGAATGTGGAGAGGTGTCGCATCGACGAGATCTCGCGTCGATTTGGCCACGAGGCGGAAGCGGAATCTGAAAAGGAAATGGGCTCAAGAGAGGGGAAGGATTTAGGAGTTTACCTCTCTCTAAACTCCATTCTCTCGATGATTTCCCTTTGTAGATTGGGAAGAAGAACGTTCCAATTGCTCATGATCGTACGAAATTAATCTGGTAATTAATTGACGGAAAAGCGGAGAGAAATTGCTTATGTACCCGGTTTTGCCACGTATTCGGCATCAAGGGTTAGCACGTGTGAACATGAACAGAAAGCGAAGAACAGAGAACGGGAATACAGAGGCAAAACGGAAGAAGAGGGTTTCGAAAACGACGGAGATGGTATACAAGTACGGGAAAACAATGGAATGCAGTTTTGAAAGTCCACTGCTGAATCAGAGCTGAGCGGAAATCGAATTTTGAAATCTGGAACACGGCAGACGGAAGAAAGTGTTTTTACGGAACACGGAAGACGGAAGAAAATTTTTCTCCCGGAAGACGGCAGACGGAAGACGGAACAAAAAAATCGTCAATGCAGAACCTTTTTCTCCGGTTTTTTTTTTTTTGACAAAAATAACTAAACAACAAAAAATTTGGATCTGGGTCACTGCCCGTGGGAGTTCGCGTTCTTCGGGGCTAGTAAATGGCTTCTGAAAAGCTATTACTTTTTTACGGTAAGAAGAAAAATCCCGGAAGACGGAACAAGAAAAACCACGGAAGACGGAAGACGGAAGACGGAAGACGGCAGACGGAATTCCGCTCAACACTGCTGCTAATGTGTATAAACAAAATCGTCAATTTTTTCATGTTTCATTCCAATAGAAAAGAGAACAATCATAATGGTTTCCAAACACAGAAATGCATGCTTGTTCGGTCCGCCACAAGCGTAGCCATCTTTCCGTCGACCGATCGAAAGTGCTTCTCGATCTCAGCGTGCACAATATCAACTGTGCCGCCTGGTCCTTCCGTTCGATTCGGTTGACAGTCCACGAACGGAAGGTCCATAACAATTCGCTCGTAATCAATCCTTTGCATGGTGACTTTCAGCCTCTCGAGCTTCGGAAATTCTCCTAGAATCCAGCGGAACACGTACGAATTGACGACTGTTTCCGGAAAGATTGTGCCGGAAATCTCTAGCAATCGGCACCGGCATTTGAAGAGATATTCGGGATTCGACCACGACGGAACATTTATGATGAGCGTGTCCAAATCGATGCCGTCCACGCATTCATTTCCGGAGAATAAGTGCAATTCGGCCGATTTCGTGATCGTCACCGTCTCCAGAATCGGTTTTATTCCAATGTCGCCGGTTGGGCCAACGAATAGATGGTCGACATTTCTGAATATTTGACGGCAGCACACTTCGAGCACGTTCTGCCTCGTCGTCCGTTTGATCGTTAATCTTGTGATGCGAGTGTGGAAAATGTCCATAAGATATTCAATGAATATCACGTATCCGTCCCAAACGTTCCGTCCCGACCATACCAAATGCATGAACAATGGCTTTCCGTTATGTCTGAAGCACGTCTTTGATGGATGGCCTAGAAAAAGGAGAACCTAGGCCACTTACAGAGTATAGAATCGATGGCCTCGGACCATTCGAATCGGCGTCTCTTCGAGTGCAAAATAGTTCATGTAGGATCCGATTTGATAAGTCGATTTCTTCTTTTTAAAAGTCAAAGCTATTCGAGAATCCATCGAAACTTCCAGTTTTTCCGCCCTCAAGTGCATCCCTTTCACCAGTTTGTACGCCTTTTTCGAGCACAACGATAGATCGACTCTGAATGATGAAAGAACGTGACAAACGAACACTTGAAAACACTTACAAATCAAGAACGTCCATTTGTGAAGTTATCCTTTTGAGTGCAAGATACGGAAGGGAAAACAGGAGAAGAGGTTGCATTTTCTCGCGAGACGGAATAAAATGGGGAATTCCGATTGTCAGGTCGTAGAATTGGTGGGACATTGCTCGGAAATCAATGGACTGCTGCGAGGGACCGTCTTCTGCGAGTGCCTGCGCACACGGGGTCTTCAGTGCTTGGCGCATTTTCGGTGCATTTCCACTGTTTTTGAGAACGGTGTTCATACAAGTTTTCGAGGTTGAATATCTCAAAAGATGTGCCGTAGAATGACATTTTTGAAGAGAAAAGACAATAATCGATACAAATTTGGAATACAACATGTATTTGACACACATGGAGGTTTTTCTTGATATTGTGACACACGCAAAAATGTTTTAACAGAGCGGGAATTGAACTCTCAGTCTGCCGCGTGAAAGGCAAAAAGCTAGCCTGTTGAGCTACTACACGTTCGCTTGCATGGTGAAATGCGGTTTTGCAATTATACAATTGCGCCAATTCTAGACAAATCCCGAACAAATATTTGGGAATTTTTGTTTAGGGGGGTGTTGTAAGGTACAAACCAGAGTTGAGCGGAAATGGAATTTTGAAATCCGGAAGACGGCAGACGGCAGACGGAAGACGGAAGAAAATTTTTTTACGGAACACGGAAAACGGAAGACGGAAGAAAATTTTTCTCACGGAAGACGGCAGACGGAAGACGGAACAAAAAAATCGTCAATGCAGAACCATTTTTTCCGGTTTTTTAAAAATAAATAACTAAAGCAACAAAAATTTTGGATCTGGGTCACTGCCCGTGGAAATTCGCGTTCTTCGGGGTTAGTAAATGGCTTCTGAAAAGCTATTACTTTTTTACGGTAAGAAGAACAAATTCCGGAAGACGGCAGACGGCAGACGGAAGAAACATTTTTTTACGGAAGACGGCAGACGGAAGACGGAAGAAAACTTTTTTCCCGGAAGACGGCAGACGGAAGACGGAACAAAAAATCCACGGAAGACGGAAGACGGAAGACGGCAGATGGAATTCCGCTCAACTCTGGCCAGAGATGTTGGGAATAAAAATTTTACTCTACGGAACACGGAACACGGAAAAAAGCGTTTTCAAGAGAATTCCAGTGATTTTTTTAAAATAATGTTTTGTTTAATTCGATTATCTGACTGACAAGGCAGCTGTTTGACTCATGTGAAAGTCTTACTGAAAATTTCATAAAAATAACAAAACCAACAACACAACAGTAAACAACTACAGTAAAAAACGACTGAAAATGGAATCCACTTTTCACGAATATGTATGTATATGTATATTCGTTTTATTGAGGAAGAAAGGCATTCGTAGGCGAGAGAGAGGGGGGCAACAACAAAACTAAGACAGTGTGCACCCCGCATGAGGTCACACTGAATAATGGGGTTCAAATAATAGGATACAGTGGCAAGATGGGCGAGAGAAGAGATAAAACCGAGCACAGGTTGGGAGATCAAAGTAAGTAAGGAAAAAGGGAGTGGGGGGAGAACGGGAGGAGGGATTACAATTTGACAATGTTCGCGTCTAAATGTTTCTCGAATTGATAAGGGGAGAGAAAGTGGGGAACATTATTAACAATACTGTTCCAAATGGGAACAGTAGAAGCAAAGAAGTGGGCAGATGTAGAGTCTCTGCGAATGAGGGACATGGGCCGTCTCTGAGAATTGGTGAGAGTAATGAAATCAGAGAGACGGGGAAAGTGGGCACTCTTGGTAACAAAGCGGTAAAGAAGAAGCAGCTGAGCCTTGAGCCTAAGCTGGCGAATAGAGTTGAGGTGGCGAATAGAGTTGAGGTAGCGAATAGAGTTGAGGTCGAATATGGTCCGAATCCGAAAATTTTCAAATTTTGACCACAAAACGTCAATTGTCCTAATCTTTCCGGAGATAAATGTGATCTACGAGGCGAGCAAACCAAGCCAGAAAAGCTGAAAAGCTGAAAAAAAATGATCGAATTTTTCCGCGGAAAATATAGTTTCTCTCTTACCTTCGGTTCGCGAGAAATAGTTTTCCCCTAATCCTCACGAAGCAGGGTGAGTATAAAAGTAACACCGTAAACCCATGTACAGATTCATTTTTGGGATTTTGAGTCTTGGCGGGGGTTTCCGATTCGCCGGCTTGTCCGACTTAAATAGGTGGCCCCAGGCCAGCATCGCAGTGTCCATTGCTCCTGGTGCGGCTCCCGTCAACTCCTTCACTGCTTTGATCTTTTCCCACGTCCTCAGGGTGTCGGGGTCTTTGTCGAGCAGGACGAGCTCCTTGTTTCGTTCACTCATCAAGTTGAGCACCTCTTTCCCCGCCTCCGTCATATCGCCTCCTTCCAATCCTTCCGAGATCAGTTTGATGACTTTTGCGTTGAGCTCCGCCTGCATTTGAAGTCCCTTCTGCGAAAGCGTCGGCGCTTTCTCTTCTTCTTTCTTCTTGGACATCGCTTGCAGAGCCGGCACCATTTTCTCCATGAGAATGGCCGCGAAATCGTCCATTAGTCCTGTTTTTTCCGTCATCTCACTCAAACTCGGCGCTGACATGTTGGTCCTGAGCGTCCAGTTACTCTACAACTCAAATTATCCTGCTAAACACCAAAAAATACCAACAAAACAACCAAATTTCACGTTCTTCACGCTAAAAAACTCGTAGAATGATGTTGGTCGTGCCGCCCGACTACTGTAGAAAGCGTGCGTTTCGAGACCCGTCGCTTGTTAAATTAGCTGCGCCTTTAATCGCGCGCCTAAAAAAAGAGCTCGTTCGTCTTGGGGAAAACACATAATTATACGGAACACGGAACACGGAAAACGGAAAAAAACTTATTTCTACGGAACACGGAACACGGAACACGGAAATTTTTTTTTACGGAACACGGAACACGGAAAAAATATTGAAAAAAACGCGGAACACTGAACACGGAATTCCCAACATCTCTGGCAGTGTTGAGCGGAATTCCGTCTGCCGTCTTCCGTCTTCCGTCTTCCGTGGTTTTTTTTGTTCCGTCTGATTTTTTCTTCTTACCGTAAAAAAGTAACAGCTTTTCAGAAGCCATTTACTAGTCCCGAAGAACGCGAATTTCCACGGGCAGTACCCAGATCCAAAGATTTTGTTGCTTTAGTTATTTTTTTCAAAAACCGGAAAAAAGGCTCTGAATTGACGATTTTTTGTTCCGTATTCCGTCTGCCGTCTTCTGGGAAAAAAGTGTTCTTCCGTCTTCCGTCTGCCGTCTTCCGTGGGAAAAGTTTTCTTCCGTCTTCCGTTTTCCGTGTTCCGTAAGAAAAATTTTCTTCCGTCTGCCGTCTGCCGTCTTCCGGATTTCAAAATTCCATTTCCGCTCAACTCTGATCTCTGGTACAAACCTGGGAATGACCTAAAGAAATTTAGCGTCAGCTTTCTAATTTTTTAATGTCTCATTTAGGGGGGACAAAGTAACTAAAAGTAGAAAAATCGGATGTGAATTGATCGAGTTATGCCAATGATTTGGGATCAAGGCAAGGATTTTACGTTTACGGTGGTTTTTTAGTTTTTTTGTGATAAAAGCGATTTTTCTCGAATCTATTACATTTGTACTATTTGTCTAAAATCAGAAATGCCTGATTTGATCAATAAGAACAAGATTAGGCATCAAAAGACACGTTTTTTTTCAGACCCGCACTCATTTTCACTCGAAAACGCCCGAATACAGAAAAAAATGATGTATTTATTCTTTGAAAGGTGAAAAAACGGATTCCTCAAGCAACGATAGCACTCCTCTGGACAGTGCCAGTCTCCGTGGCGGTCTCCGTCGCTCCCCCAGCAGTGGTCCCGGTGGTTCCTGTCCCGTTTTCTACCGTTTTCCCCTCCCCTTCCCCTTCTTTCTGCTCCTTCTTTTTCCGGAACCACAACAACCAAACGGCGACTCCGCAGCAGCACAGAATCAGAAAGAGGATGACGAGAAGGACGGCGATGAATGTTCCGTCGCGGCTCTCGAAAGTGGTGGCCGACGGAGGAGGTTGTCCAGACGGGCCTGTCAGATTCCGGGCAGGAAGAGGGGATGGCGCGGGCGTCGGGTCGATCACGTTCACGATCGGAGAGAGCATGTTCTTGAGGACCAGCCAGACGGATAACTGAAAACATGGGATCAGTTCCGGTTCAGGACCGTAGGAGTTTCTATCTAGACTCACCGACATCCTGAATCAATTGTGGCCTCAGACTTGTCTTCCGGACCGTCAAAGGTTGATATGATCTTCGAATAATTCCGAAGGTTTGCCCCGGTCACCCGGGAACATTGACCTTTGTAATCTATGCAATGGGAAGGGTGACCAGGAGGTTGAGGTCAAAAGAAGCATGGATGCTAGGGAGCGAGTTACGAACAATTTGTGATTGATTGTCTGCGGGAGTTAAAGCCAACATGGTGGTGAGTTTCTCAAAGATTACTGTACTTTTGCAAGCCATATACTTTGCAGGTCCTCATGGCAATCCTGGGAATCGCGACGGTGGTGGCCACGACGGTCCTTCCGATGATCTTCCCTCCGCCAACGCCCGCACCCCCACCAGAGCCGACTCCTCCGCCGACTCCTCCCCCAACCGCCGCCCCTGGATCCACCGTCCCGCCTACAGAACCTCCGACTTCCCGTGCTTCCACGGTGAAGACGACGACCGAAATGGACGTGACGCCCGGAATCATCCTGCTCTCCGCCATCGCCGTGATCTGCATCTTCTGCTCGGCACTCGGTGCCTGGTATCACACAAGGAAGAAGAACCGGGAGAAGGAAGAGGAAGTGGCCGGGCAGCAGGGGTTGGATGCGGATCTGGAGAGTGGCACGGTGACCGGGACGACGACTTCGACTGGGTACGGCACGACTACTGGCTCTAGGGGGACGACGACGAGCAGCGGGACAACGGGCACGCGGACCAAGGGAAAGAAGGAGCGGAAGAAGAAGAAGAAGGCGAAGAAGGAGCGAAAGAGACGGACCGAAGAGTACCCGGATATCCCTCCGATGTCTCCGGATCCGTTGCCGACTCCTCCGGTCCCACCGGTCCCTCCAGTTGACGTTCCTTTGTCCCCTTCTCCAGCAGTCCCGCCAGTCAATGTTGCTCCGTTGGCTCCAGCTCCCCCGGTCTCACCTACTCTTCCTCGTCAACCGGAGGCTCCTCTCCAACCCTTCATTCCCAGGCCTTCTCCACTCCCATCCGCGGATCCTCCTGTTTTCTCACAAAGTCTTCCGCCGACCCCGGTTCCTCAAGAGGCTCCAACTGCTCCACCCCCGATTGCTCCCGCGGAAGTTGCCAGTCAGATGCCCCCGATGGTTGTGGAACAGCCGAACGTCGAGCCAGGACCATCCGGACCACCTTCAGCAATGCCGAAAGTGTAGATGTTGGAAGAACTCGATTTGTTTTCACCTTTTTTGTTTTGGAATAAACTTTTTTATTGATGAGGATTTGTTCCAGGTTTTCTGGGGGACTACTCTAAAAGTCACATCACCTTTTCTGCAAATGAGAAAATGAGTGTGTCGTAGGCAAAGTACGCAAACACCATCGTCACATTACTCCAAATTTCGCCCCCATTTTGCTACCATTTGCAAAGAGTTTATAAAATGTGGCAAACATCCTTATAGCCTTGGAACTTTTCGAACCTTCCTCCGACTATCCCGTGAACATTGGCCTCGGCCTCGGGCTTTTTCAGTAGTAACTAAGACTAAAATGTCTGAGATCAGTTCAGTTTTGTCTCATCCTCGGAAACACCATGGGGATTGGAGTGAGTTCTCCTTTTTGTCCCTCCATCACACACTTTCTCTCCATCAGGATTTCATTATGAGTACAGTGAAGGCGATCGCCGGTCCGGTGGTCAGGCTTTTTGTGAATCCGCCGCCACCGCCGCTGCTGCCCCCGATCATCGAACCCACCGTTGTGTACAGCACGCTTCCGCCGGCCCAGACGAGCGGTCCCACCACGAAGAGAGGCCCGACGACGTCGACTTCGGACCCGCTCACCGGCACCTACTTTGCCGTCTTCTTCGGAATGGTTCTGATTGTGGCTGTGTGCGGGGCGGCCATCTCGTGGTTCTTCTTCTGTCGAAAGAAGAACAATCCGGCGGAGAGCGTGGGAGCCGCCGGAGGGGATCCGCAAGTTGACGTTGTGGACGGGACCACAGGAGCCACGTCGACGATGGGAACCACCGGGACCACGGTCGGTGCTTCCACGATGACGGCGACAAAGCACAAAAAGAAAAAGAAGAAGCGGGCGAAGAAGACGACCGCCTCGACCACCAGTTGAGATTCATTGTTTTTGTTGCATAAAGTTCATGATCAATGGGTTTCTTCTGAAAAAATTAATTAAATACACATGCCATGGTTGGATAAGATTATATAATAAAAGGAAAAATGACAAATAATCGGGTGGGTTTAAGTACGGAATACTTGATAAAACGTGTGTTTCGTGGGAACTGGGAGACACAGAAAAGAGCGAGTTGTGAAGGGAAAAAACACGGAACAAACGCTGTTATGAAGAAAAACAACCACTTTGGGAGAGAAAGAGAGAGAGACAAAGAGCGAGAGATTTGGCTTGAATTGGCGTGGATTCAGATAAAATTCGAAAGAAAATGATGAAGCAAAAGTTGCTATCGTACAAGAATCATGGACGGTTGATTAGGTCAGACGATATTTGGTGATTAGGCCGAAGAGGTCCGCAGTGAATTTGTAGTAATCATCAGTGTCCCGACGTTCCTGCAGGCTGTTCAGGCCGTTTATTATTAGTGAACCTGCAAAAGACAACATTTCGTTGAAATTCCATTGGAAATCACGTACCAAGCAGTAAATTCTGACTTGTGGCGGCTCTGTTGATGCTCCCAATGGTCTCTTTTTGCTGATTGGAAAATTCGATTGCGTCCAGAATGCCGTTGTCTCCGTCCGAATGCAAATCTCGATCTATTCCAGCGGACACTTGGATTTTTATGGGCGATTGCTCTCGGAGCATCGTCTGCACGTCGAGTGAAGAAGCGGTCGAAGTGCCGGATCCGCGCGACGAAGAAGCGGAGGAAGAGCATGGAACGGGTGCCTTCCGGAAGTTCTCTCCGGCCCTCCCGCCGTTGTACGCCACCAACGACGGTCTTTTCATCAGCACCGCCTCCTTCTTTGCCCCCAACTCGCGTTTCCGGCCCTCCAGAAGACGTGCAGGGCCGATGGCAGTGTTGGATCCGACGCCGACAGTGGGCGGAGTCGTGGATCCGGAAGAGTTGCCGACCTGGCGTTGGCCGTTAGGACGGGGCGGCGGGTATCCGTACTGTCTGACGGCTGCAGAAGATCCTGGAACCGGTCGGAGATTGGGGAAGCGGGTGGAGGTGGACGGAGACGAGCATGTCGCAGGACGGACACTTTTGTGGAGCAGAAGTTGCGATTTCGGAACTGCAAGAAGGTCCAAAATGTAACAGGAAACGAGCGGTTAGATCGTAATTTCGTTTGAGAGACATTTAGGGAGGAACAAGCGAGGAATCACATGCGATCAAGCTTTTTTCCAATGAAATTTGGCCAAAATGAACAGAAAAACGCTTACGTATATTTTTTTTCGCGTCGGGCCCTGGGAGAAGAATAATTGGGGGCCAAACGCGTTTTTCTGGAAAACCGAGTGTGAGTGAGCGGAAAAAAGGATGTGAAAATGGTTTTTTTGAGCTTTAAAAACAATCGGAACTGCAAATAAAAGTGGGTTAGCATGCTGGCGAAACTAAAACGTGCTCAGATTTTGTCGACTTACTCGGTCCGCCACGAATGACCGGGGAGCTGATGGCGGGAGTCTTGAGCGGCTGCTTCGGGTGCACCGGTGAGCGTCCCTTCCGCAGTCCGAGTGTGTTCTTCGGGAACGGATCTTGCTTGCCGGATCCGTCGTCGACGACGCTGAACACGTGCGACAGCGCTTCCATCAGATTCTCCTGTTTCTGCGACGACACACCGCTCCCTTCCTCTTCTTCTTCGTCTTCATCGTCGATTTGCACCACTTGCGGATGGCTCTTGTTTTGTTTCTGTTTTTTCAACGGCGGCGACTCTTCCTCTTCCTTCCCGTCGCCGTCCGTATCGTCGTTCTCGCCACAGCCTGAGCGCACAATAACGGGGATTATTTGAATTTTCGCGAATTTGCGGGGTGAACTCACTGGGCTCTCGTTCCAGAACCGGCGGCGGAGCATCGTCGTCGTCCACGTCTTCTTCTTCCGATTCCTCCGATTCTTCCTTCACTTTTTCGGCCTCTCGCTCGGCTCGTTTTGAGTTGGTTGTGTTCCGACGCGTTTTTGTTGCCATTTCTGAAGTAAATCGATAAATGTTAGGGATCGGAAAGGTTGCTGAAGAAGTGTAAACCGTTGTAATGTCAAAAGTTACCAAAAAAAGTGACTGTTTAGTGTAATATTTGATCAACTGATAGTGAAACGGAAGAGAGACAGCAGCATGTGCGCTCTACTGAGAATCTGCGTGGATTTTCAGTGGATAACTGGTTTTTCTCTCGGAAAACTTTGAAACATTGTTAAAAGCTAAAACACTCAATTTCTAATCAATCTTGTTTCAGAAAATCATCACAAAACATGTTACAAGCTCAAAAACTGATAATCGGCGTCAAAATCGATCGTCAAAACCGACGGCGAAACCGTTTGCTGATAAACCCATCAAACGTATTATCTCAAACAACGCTGGAAAATCACACAGTTCATGTCGTGTAGTAAACAAGCGGCCCGGGCCCGTAGCGGGGACGCGGGAGGATGCAGACGGCGATGCACGGCCGCGTGCCAGGGCGGAGCGACGGGTCTCGCAGCGAACAACTGAGATACGGTAGGGGTTCTGTAGCTGCGTCCCGGGCTATTGATTATGAAGAAGAAGTTAAAGAAGAAGCAGAAGAAAAAGGAGAAAAAGAGGGGCAGTGGCAAAATGCTGAAAGCGTTCAGAAGAAGGGCAGAAGGGAGCGGAGGCCGAGTTTGAGCATTTTGAACGGAAGACATTCAAATTTATGGGTTTCTTGTTTCCAGGGTAAATTTTGGACAGAAAACGGTGCTAAAAGCTTTTATTAAGACCAGAGAACCATCTGAAATTTGAGATTGTAAAATTTTTGAGCAAAAATTTCAGATTTGAGCATTGAGATTGAATTTGTCAAAATTTTGCACTCCAACCGAAATTCTAGGTTTTCAACTGTGCTGGCTTCGATTTTTGAGCCGGAAATGCTTATTAATGCGCTTTTTCGTTTCAAAACCTCAAATCCTCATTATCACCTGACCGGACGTTAAAAAAAGAAATATTTTTTGGGAGCAATTTTCCGGACTATTTTCCTAGTACGCTTCACCTTTTCATCAAAAAGTTTCTCTCAAGAAGCGTCGGTTTCCATCACAACGAAACGGGTTCGTCGCAGCCGAAACACTGCGTCTCTCGCCGTCGCGAGAGAGTACAAAAGAGAGTGGACGGCACAGACGGTGAGGGTTTAAAGGCGCACGCGGCGGGAGGGCAACGGGTGGCTTCACACGGACAAAAGTGGGGGTTTCGGGTTTATGAACTGAAAATATCAACAAGAAATGTCAAAAAGAAAACAAAAAATCAACAAAAAAAGGGATATCAAAAAGTCATTCGTCCATTTCCTCGTCTTCCACCACTTCTTCTTTCACTTCTACTTTCACTTCTGCTTCTGCGACATCTTCTTCTTTGATTGCTGCTCTGAAAATCGAAAGAATGCCATAAATTAGATCAAATTCTGATCTTTTTGCTCACTTTTCCTTTATTTTTACATATTCTCCGCGCAAATGACAAAGCGAGTTTTTGATACGAATTCCCGTGTACTTTACAAGGATTTTGTCATCAATTGCTACGTGGTCTTCTGGAAAAATGAAAAAAAAATATATATTTTTGAGCTGCAATGGCTACCGGAAGTCTGCTCGCTCTGCTTGATGTGAATCGTGATCATGTCCATTACGACGCCGACCATCAGTCCTTCTTGAGCGTATTTCACTTTCGCCTCGTACTGATCACCGAGTTTTGGGCTGAAAATCGGCGGAATTCTACAATTTTCTATTATGAAACTGATATACATAAAAACAATTTGATTGATGAATACGTCGGTGTGGAAGGCGAATTGATCGGCAATGACACGTGGCGCCGAAGCGGTCTCGACGCTTCCCACCGCCACCACGATTCCTTTGTATCTGCAGCGATTTTTAATGATTTCAGTGCTTCAGAAGCCCAACTCACTCCTTCCTGTACTTTCCGACGGTGTTCTGAGCAATCCAGTCGCACGCCTCTTCGGTAGCCGCTTTTCCGGACATATGATAGGGCAGTGACACGTGGCGCAGCATCTTCTTGCGCACAATCTGCCCGCCTTTCCCCTTCGCATTCATTTTCTTGATCAGTTTCAGTCCGTCCTTGTAGCTCATGAAGAACTGATCTTTGAAACTCTTCTTCCCTTTTTTGATGTTCACTCCTTTCGTCGTCAGTCGATAATCCTTCTTTTTGTCCTCTTTTTTCGGCGTTTCCACATCCTCGGCTTTTATGTCGCCGTCGTCCGTTTCGACAAACTCTTTCTTTCCCATTTTTGCTGAAAATGTGCGCCTTTTTAGCAGGATTTTTTCTCGAAAACAGTTTGATAAGGTAAAAATGGCTGGAAAACCATCAAAAACAAAAAAAGCGCAAAAAAAGGTGGAAGGTGTGACTTTTATACAACAATTGTGCAAATATTCACAATATGTTTTAGAATTCAGAATCTGAGCGGGATATTTGGCCACATCGGTGGATTCTTTGCGTATTCGCTCTCGAACTTCATCTCCATCGCACTTTCCAACGACAGAATCTTTTCGGCCGCATCTCCGTACAATTTTTTCGCGTTTTCTCGTTTTGCCATGAATTCAGCATTCGCATCCCGGTGTTGGGCGGTGTTTTGCCCTCTTCCGCGCACAGAAACTGCAAATAAAACGTTTTTGATAATTATTATGCTCAAAATAACTCACTCTGCTCAACATTGACGTATTCTTCCTCATTTTCCTGTAGCCAAGGCTTTCCGGACGCTTCCTTCTGTTTTTCTGCGATTCTTTGTGCTTTCACTGCAATTTAACCGTTTTTGTGCTGGTAATATTGAAATCTTACATTTTTGTCGATGTTCTTTTGTTTTTGCAAAGAAATCCTTCATCTCATCGCTCATCTCTTCAATTTCCGGCTCTTTTGCCACTTCGAGCTCGTCTTCGTCGCGAATTCCACATCTTGACAGTCTTTCGGTGACTTCTGGCTCCTGAATCTCTTCATCAACGTCTTCTGACTCGTCTCCAGTCGTTTGACCATGTTGCGATTGAACTGAAGCGGTTTTTGGGTTGAAATAGGAAAGGTTCACAAAAAACATCGATTACCCTGCCGAAACGCTTCGGAGTGTTGTTTCATCCACTGTTGGCAGACGGCGTAGTGACTCCAGAAGTGATCGTACTCCGGATTCCGCGCCCATTCGTTTCTCGACAGAAAATTTTCCATTTTGCCAAAATTTAGGCTGCAAAACGGTTAGTCCGAGAGCACTCCGCAGCTGCGTGGAAGAGTTTTCCGCTCGTCCACGCCTCGTTATTTTGGAGCGTCGTTGGAAATTTTGAACGATTACTTTCGATCTTTAGTAGATTTCCGGCGTCCCTTATCGATTTTTAAGTTGAAAATGTCGCCATTCGAAGGGAAAACTTTAAAAGAAGTTGATAACGACACTGTGACGTCACAGGTATTTCAATCTTACCCTCAAAAGTCTTAAAGTTAAAAATTTACAGGTTCCCGTTGAAAAACCGCTCGGACCAACTGGAAAACGAGTCGATTACATCACGTGGCATCAAAATCACATGTGTTTGGCTCGAATGTTAGCAGGAATGAGTCCGAAAAGCGAAAAAAGGCCGACCGGATGCTATATTGTCGATTCGGATCATTACACCGTCACTTCAGGCTATTCTGGAGGTGAATTCTACTAAAAGTCTATTGAAAACTCGAAATTACGTTCAGAACTGCCAAAATCATCTGAATTCTGCTCCGACGCCGTCAGCGTGGCCCTTAAGAAGCTCGAATCAAAGGGACAGAGTGCCGAAGGATGCCTGATTTACACGACGAACTTTCCAGAGTGCCGAAAGTGTGCCGAACGAATTCGGGCGTCGAAAATAGCGAAAATCTGGTTCTGGAGTGATTCTGAAACAGAAGACGTCGAAGTGAAGCGATTGCTCGGCGAAATTTGCGAGAAATTCGTGCCAACCCAAATAGTAACCATAGATTTCCGGGAAATTCAATAATCCAGATTCTAACGCTTCTGTTCTTCTCTCTGACAAACGGTTTATTGAAAAACGTGTGCAATTGTGATTGCTGTAACATGTAAAAGTAATAAAATAAATATATTTTTCTTTGAAAAAGGCGGGCGGGGAGTGGGAAAGAAAGAAGGGGGATAAAGAGGAAGGGAAATGGGGGTTGGTCATGAAAAATATTCGGTTTTTTCTCCAGCACACCGGTAATAACAAGAATTTATGAATTTCAGGGTATTTTAGTATTTTAGCACTCCATCGTCGCCATTTTCTCACGTCTTCTGGCCAACGCCGCCTCCAGATCGCCCTTCGCCGGCGCCATCGGAGCCATCGGCGATGCCGTTTGCAGTTTCGTCGAATCTGATCGCTTCGGCGGCGGTGGAGGCGCTTTTTTGGAGGAAAGCGGCGTGCACGGCTTCGGCGGAGTCACCGGCGGCGCCATTTTCACGACAGAGCACTGCGGGGGCGGCGCCGGGTACTCTTCGTCCGAATCTGATTCTTCTTGAGCTAAAAAAGGTTACGCTCATTTTTCCAAAGTTTCTAGAACTTACGAATCGTGGGAGAAGAGGTGGAGGCTCGGGAGACCCTTCGCAGCACATCCAACGGGGCTCTTTTGATGGTCCCCGTTGGTTGTTCATCGTATTGCACTTCCAGTTTCTCGGAGACGATCGAGGGCGACGGGTGGGATTGTTGGGAGTTGGAAATGACTGAAAACGACGCGGGCGACTGGTTCCTGACGTTGACCGAAAGGGGACGATTGTTCATTATCAAATGGGAGGATAGTTGAATGGAAGAGGCGACGGAGGGGGTTCTCTGGTGCATCGGATGCGCCACTTCCGAGATGGCCGTGGAAGAGGAGGCGGCGGACATCGAGGAGGCCGGTCCGAGCGTCTCCCGACGGATCTCGCACGCCCGCTCGTAGTTTTTCAACAGATCCGCACCGTTTTTGGCGATTCGCAGCGCGACGAGCCACTTTTTGAACGTCTGTTCGTCCTCCGCGCAGATGTACTTGATGAACTGGCTGCGCTTCATTTGAAGGGCGGTGAGCTTGATGGAGATGCACCAGGGACTCGGCGACTTGTACTTCTTCTCCCAGCCGACGCCCGTGTACACCTGGTTCGAGTGCAGGTTCATCAAACACGTCAGGTCCTTCGTCGTCGTCGTTTTCTTGCTCTTCGGAGCATAGTACAGTCCGCTGGGTCTCAGCACAAAGTAGTGTTTCTTCCAGGATTTGCGTCCGTCCGCCTTCAAATACAAAAATCCCTCCATCTCGGGCGGAACCACTGGTTCTCGGTGGAAATAGTCGGAAACGAACTGCTGCTTCACATCGATCGTCCATTGATCCCCCGCCGGTATTTCCATGTGATCCGACGTTTTCGGGGTCAGAAGGTAGAGTTCAGGACGAGAGATGAAGGCGTACTTATCCGGACGGCGCATGAAATAAAGCTTGTTCGGCGAGTCCTGCACCCACATTTGGATGTTCTCCACCACTTTTTCGTGGTCTTCGTACACTCGTTCTGAAAAAAAGGTTCAAGATTGATTGCCATCTAACGTCAAACGCTTGTGTCCCTTTTCAAATGTGGAAGGTGTCAAACTCACTTATATAAAGTTCGGGATACTCCTCGACTATGCAGTGATCCTCCATGAGGGCAATATGGTTCTTCTCGGCCAACTGCTTCAACGTCTGAAATTCAGAGAATCACAGTCTGCCACCAGAATCTCGCTTTCTTACGTCGGCAACAGTCCACCGCTCGTCGATGAGCATCTGAAGGGGCTGTCCGTCCTCGACGAAGAACTTCACAAAGATGCGCGTCACCTTCGCTTCTTTCATTTTCTCGAGCGCCTGTCGGATCTTGAGCGCCTTCGCTTCTTCTGCGCTCAGCTCGCTGCTTCCATTTCGTGGCGAGACCTGAAATTGGGCACAATTAGGTGATGCAATGTTTTAATTATGATATTCGTCTTTCCAATACCATCTGTCCGCCGGTTTGCCCAACTCGAAAGCATCTGTCAGAGAGATTCCCAAACAGAAATGACATATTCTTATTCTTATTCCCCTTCTTGACTGCTCGCCATTACAATCAAATATTGTGCGCGGCACGTCTTTGCGCTCTCTCGTCGGGTGTTACATTAGGCGACTATTAATAATGGACAGGTGAACGCTTTTGATAGGTACCGACCGAGTAAATTGCTCGGCAATGGCCTAGGTCTGGCTTTTCGGGATTCTAGGCCATAAAGCTTTTGCCAAATCATAAGTCATAAGATCCTAGGTCATTGGGACCTCTAAATCATGTGGTCTTACTGTCCCTCTACCGTTTCCATACAGTAATATTGCTCGGTCCCTTTCAATAGAGCCAACTCAAGTTTGTCGGATCCTAGGCCACCTGTTTCCTGCTTTCCCCGTTCCCTACACTCCACACCATCACCATCAATCACTCGATCTCTCGGCTAATGAACACCCCCTCGAGTAGTACTACAACTTGTTGGTTGTCCTCTTTGCCCCCTATCATCAGTTACAAGTACGTCCTCTCGTTGTAATGCGAAATCTGACCTGAGTGGGGCTCGGCGTGTTCAGCGAATCGCGACAAGAGTCGTTCGAGGAGGAGAACGCCGAGTTGCGGCAGCGATTCGTCGACGATTCGGTGGAGCTGGAGTCGCCAAACGCCGAGTCGCCGTCAGGCGAAGAGCACGAGGAGGCGGTGGTTGGAGCCATTGAGGTCATCTGGAAAAAGTATGATGTTTGGAAGGTTTTTGGAAGTTCTGGAAGCGATTGGAAATAGAAAGAATGCTTCAAAATGCCTGGAAACTTCTGTGTACTTTTGAAAATCTTTCGATGGTCTGGGATTCTTCCCGATCTTAACAGTCGGTTGTTGGGTTCTTGTCCATTGTTCATTACAACCAAATGTTAGGATCAGGCAGTAATAAGAACGTCAGAGGAGCATTTAGGAAAGCTCCGGAAGATTCTAGAAGTTCCCTCAAACTTTCATTCAAACATTGAAGTCTTGTAAAGATTCTGAAGCTCCTAGGTGTTCTCAGACCTCCCAGAACTCCCCCAAAAGTTCCTAAATTGCGCTCTAGGTCCCCACAGACTTGAACTTTTTGGTTCTGCTCCGATGCCCCATCGTGCACCGTTCCCAACCTTTTCATTTCTTCGGTTCCTTTTGCGAGCCCGCTCTTTGCTCCAAAAAGGCCATGAGAAGAGTGAGTCCCCTGCGTGTCTGTGACCCTTTTGAGTAAATAAACATGGTCTCACTGGGAAATGGGTGTTAGGCTTTGGAGACTCGCGAATCTCTGTTCAAATAGATTATGGGTCAACTGGGCGAGAGGGATCTGGGGGGGGGGGGTCTTATGGTACAGCAGAGAACCTTCTGAAAAGGTCTGGAAGCTTCTGACGCCTTTTAACGCCGTCTCATCACTGCCGGATCTCGACGTTCGGTCCCCAAAAGGTCCGAGTCCCGTCCGGATATCAATTTCCTCTCCTGCCCTCTCCGTCTCGATCTCAATATGTCGCCCCCCATTCTAAACAATAAATGCTCTTCTCTTTTCTCTTTTCTGCCATGTGTTTTCTGTTTTCTATTCATGCTCTCTCCCGCCAACCATATGCACCAATGTACACAATGCTCTCAGCGCATGTTCTGTTCTGTTCATCATCATCATCTATGACGTTGTATCAAATTTCTGCTCGGATCAAGCTCATGGCCAACCAGTAGCTCCTAGAGCTCGGGGGCTCTTCCGGTGGGGAGCATCCGGCGGAGAGCAAGCAAAGGGACAAATCAAATTTCTTGGAGGATTCAAAGGGGTGTCTGGCTGGCAGGAAGGGCCACAGAGTATAAACAAATTGCGTTCGTTTGTGCGCACAAGATGCAACTTGAGAGAGCACATATTATACGGGACTTTTTTCTTGGAATATAAAGACATCTATACAAGTTGTGAAGCTTTCATATTTGCTACAAGATCCAAAGAAAGCCTTTCAGAGCCTTTTCAACTCTAATTTGAAACGAAAAGTCCGAAATACCTGATGGATTCCATTCTGATATCCGCCCAAATGACCGTTATGATGAATGCTGTGATGGTGTGGCTGTTGGTGTGCCGGAGCATGATGGTAAGAGAGAGCCGGTGGCGGAGGCGGCAAAGTGGACACTTGTTTGACATGGTCCCGACTGGAAGAGGCCGGAATTCCAGACACTCCTGAAAAAAATAATCACTAGCTTATGTTTCGGTAGAGCGCACTTACCGAGCAGCAACTGATCTCCTCCGTTGCTCGAGTTCAGCTGTGTCTCCAGAGCTTCCAACTCCTCCAGAAGTTCGTCGAGCTGCCAATCGGCCGATTCTACAAACAAGTTTTATTGAAAACCGACGAAAAATGGGTTATTTTGTGTTTCTATGCCTACGTTTCTTCTTCATATAACTCTCGTAGTGCTTGAAATCGGTTCGACGCGCCAGATTGTTGTGATGGTACATTTTTGTGAGTTTTTTGCTCTAAATACTTTCCTTATCACTCATTTAAGACGTATCGACTGGGAGGTGTTAGGAGCGAGAAAAAATGACGAGAGACTGTATACATTTCACTGGAAATTGGCATTTGATACGAATTGAAATGGGAGGGGGGTCTAGGAAAGCGGGGCTATAAAATTAGACAAAAATTAATAAGTGTTTGTGTGTTTTCGGGGTTCTTATCATATTAGAGAAGAGAAAGAAATGTTTATGACCCACTAATATCATTAGTGTTTGAATTATCAGATGATAGACTCGATGTTGACGCGTTTTGAATTCGCAAATGCACTTTTTTGGCGTAAAAAGGGTATTTGGACGGGAAATAGTTTGCTTGAGCCCTAAAAAACCCTAAATGGAATAGCCTTCAGATCTTGTAGAGCAAGAAAAGTAACAGAAAAGAATGGTTCCGAATAGAAAACAGCAACTTTTTGATCTCTGAGAGCCCTCAGGAGTCAGGCAAGACTTCAATAGAGTAAAAGAACCGACTGGATAATATCCAAGACAGTTCGGAGCCCAAAGAGCGAGAGCGTAAGGAAAAAGAGCACTTTAAGGGCGAATAGCAATTAACGAATTATGTTCTAACAACTCCTAGAGCTCCAGAAGCCCACAGATTTCAAAAGATCCCAATTAGGTCCCGGCTCATTAGGTCCCAAAAGTCTTGGAAAGTAAAAAGATTGTGAAAAGGCGAGAGAGGAGCACACAAACAATGGACAGGTGCACAGACATCTGACCGGCCCGAGAGCGACGAGAAGGAAAAGAGAAAGAGAGAGAGAGAGAAAGAGAGCAGGAGAAGAAGAAGAAGGACCACGGGCGGGGGGCGGGCCGGAGAACAGATTGCGGGGGCGAAGCGAATGAACGGACAAGGCAAAAGTCGGGTTATCAGAGCTTTCTAGATGTCTTTCGAGGCAAAGAGTCTAGAGAGCGCAGATTCTGAAGCTTCTGGGCGCTTCTGAGCCGAATCTGAATATCTAGAACCAAATGTAGGCGTCAGCAGATGGTCAGAAACTCTAGAAACTTCAGAAACCTCAGGAGCATTCAAGTTTGTCTGCCCTTTTTCGAGCAATGCTGTGCCAACTTTGCAAAGGATTAACAGACGAATGTTTATGTGCCCGATGGCACTTGACTTTTCCGATGACGTGGCAACAACAGTCTCTACTCGAAAACCACTCGAAGCTAATTTGACCCCTTCCCGGGTGACGCAACATTTGATAGGTACACCCAGGTGGTCCGCAAGAATTGAACAGAATCACAGCTGTTCTCTATGTGCCAGTGTTTTTTGCGAGAATAGAATTTGAAAACGCGGAAGACGGAATTCCGCTCAACACTGTTATGTACAATTGCGTGGGCTACCCAACGGGGACCGAAAAAGGGCAAGGGGGTTACGTAAAGGAGGTTAAGGGATTGCGTGGGCGGATGATGGATCGGTTTCTTTTGAATGGATCAGATGGATGGTACAAGGTTAATGACGTGGCAACTGGATGCATTTGGGTCGCATTCGAGTGAGGCGAAAACAGGGCAATCGAAAGGACGATGGACTACACTATCAGTCCATTTCGCTATTGTCCATCGAGCCAACTGTTGCTCATTCATTCGAATTGACGATCGCGCGCGGCGGTGTCGGCGACAAAAAGAGCGACAATAACAGATGCGCGCCAGATGAGAAATTGGGTGGAGAACGCTAATTTAGGGGGGTTCTCCAATGTTTTTGGCGGGAAATCAGCGAAAAACTAGTGAAATGTAGGTGAATCATGTTGATTAATGAGTTTGACATGTCAAAAGATGAACTGGCCCAAGAGGAACTGATGGAGAAAAAGAAGGATGGCGTGGCAGTGATTTACGATCGTTCGCTGAGGTGTTTGATCAATTCTGCAGATGAAAAGGTCATAGAAGAGTTCAAGCAGCTTTTTGCTAGGTTTGGAGGGTCTAGAACGCATCCGGAGACGTCAGAATTACAATAGATGGCTTCTGAACATTTCTGAAGCATCAGAAGACGCGGGAAGCATTCGGAAACAGTCAGAAAGCATCAGAGGTCTTTAGAAAACTTCAGAATGCTTAAAAACTCATCTACAATGGTCAGTTCACGGTTTAGAAACTGTCAAACGGTTTTAGAGGAATTCATGTCAAAACCGTCACTCCGAAAACTTCCAGAAGATCCCTACTCGTTCCTAAAGGGTCCTGACCCCTTTTCTATTCAAAAGTAAGGACAATACCATTAGAAAGTACCAAGTACACCTCTCTCTCTCTCTCTCTCTCTCTCTCTCTCTCTCTTGTTTCCTTTGTCCCCCCAACACGTGTAAGCACACACACAAGGTGCCAAACTGTTTGCCGAGGCTTCCAAGCTTAAGCTGCGAAAGAAAGCGAGGAGAGAAAGAGTTGTACAAATTTGGGAGCGTCTCCGAATGTACGGTTGTGTATGTATGTGACACTTTAGCGAGGAGTCAAGATGTGTGGGCGGACGGGGATCGAATATTATGGTGTGTATAGTGAAATTGAGATGGAGTTCGTGAAGAAAACTGAGAGTCGAATGGCGAGAAGGAGGGGGATTAGTGATGGGAAAAGGGCTTGGGACCCGAACGGGAGGAGACGGCGAGGAGGAGCACCGGAACCTTCGGGAAGTACTTTTTGGGCTATTGTAGGAGCTCAGAAGTTACTGGAGCATAAGAAAAGGTTCGTGCGCACCTGGGAGCTTCTAGAAGAGCCCTAGATCATCAGAAACATTCTAATTTGCTCTAAAACCACCAGTAACAGTTCTAGAGCGACCAGATGCCTCATTTATGATCTCTGAAGCAATGTGAGCACTTTCGCTTGCTTTTGAAGCAGCTCAAGAGCTTCTGACACACTATTAGTTGCTCCTAGAGCTCTACAAACAGTTAGATAACTTCCACAGCCGTTAGGAAGAGCTTTGAAGCTCTTTATTTTGCTCTGAGAGTATTGAGAGCACCCGTAGAACTTCAGAAATCCTTTCAATCAATCCTGGAGCATCCAGAGCTCGTGGTGCTCTTCCAGTCAACCCTCACCCTCCTAACTTCATAAAAGTGTAACTTTTGCGTCAAAGCGTAAAATCGTAAAGCTCTCCGCCACTTTTTCCACATTCTTCTCTCTCTCTCTCGCTCTCTCTGCAAAGAAATTCTTTCATAAATCAGAGCGACGCGGCGTTTTTTGCCAACACTTTTTTGCTTTTTGCTTCTGTTTCCAATTCGAAAAAATGTGTGTTCATCCGCGCGTATTTACATATCAAATGGTCATTTTAAACGCGGAGTAGGAGGAGGAAAGTGTGAAAAGAAAAAGGAAGAAAGGCAAATTGGAAATGAATCGGAATGGAACGGAATTAGAATGAATGAGAGGAAACGACAATAGCCGAAAAGCCTTGAGGTTAGGCCTTCGGAGACACTTTGCAGCTTCAGTGGAGAGAACGGAGCTTCTGATCTTGGTTGCAAAACGTCTCCGATTGATTGAATTGCACAAAAGAGTTGCGAAATGGGCAAGTGCTGTGTGCTCAAAAACGGCTCAACTACCTAGTTCCAAATCTCCGTACCTACCTCGAAAACACGCGAGAGACGGCTAATATGCTCGACGCAGACGTGCTCTCGAGCCACTATAGCAATAATAATTTGTCACTTTTTATGTTCTCGGAGCTCCGAAACTCTATAAATTAATGCTCAAACAGGTGGTCGTTGAATTTAATGAAATATTGTGAAGCTTTCTGAAGATTTGCATAGAAAGTCGGTCAGTGGGTACAAGAAAGAAAGAATAACGAAGGAGAAAAAGGGAGGAAAGGGGGGGGGGATTGGCGGGCAGTGGAATGGGAAAGGACAGCTGTCCGGAATTGGATGGGATTCGAATTGATAGGTACGGTTTCCGAAAGGTTTACGATGTTTAAAAGTTGCTCTCAAGCTTTTTCAGTGCTCAAAAACTGTCTAGAACTCAAGCGGAACAAGTTAAAATGTACCGTTTATCAATAGAGCGGAGTCGCTTTACCGAAAGTCGCTCAATTTTCTCAAAACTGAATCACTACTAGAAATTGCCAATGGAGCAGAGTTGCTGTTGGAAGATTTGCCTCTACACTTCTAAAACTTCTCAAAATGTTTGCAGACAACTGGAAGCTACACAGTTTTTCTTCGAAATCCTTCTCATTCGATCCTCCGATCCTCCTAATCCCAGGTCGTAAAAAATGGATCCTATCCGATTCGGAAGGTCAGCAGACAGTCAGTTTGTTTCTCTCCAACTGACATTCATTTGTCTCCGAAAACAACCTTCGGCAACACCATTTCGCACATAATAGTGCGCCATTAGAGTGTCGGCGTCTCCGCGGAACACCCAATCTCATCCAGGGTGCACGCAAAAGATACGGGGAAGCCGCCTTTGAAGAAGAAGAAGAAAAAGAGGAAAAAGGATGGGAAGGAGATGGAGATTACTGTTTTGGATACGTTCCGAATCTAATTGGGAACACGTACCTTTGGTGGCCTGAAAGCTTCAGGGGGGAGTTTATCAGGAAAGCTACAATATGTATCGCTACTTTTGTGAGCAAAAAAATGGCTTCAAAACAATTTTTGAACAAAATGATGTCTGAAACATGTTTGACACAAGTTTTTAACATAAAAACATAGTTTAGAATCGGATTTCAGACAAGGCCCTATTTTCAATTGTTATTTTTCTAACACAATAACCTGTCTTACGATGTTTGGACAGAAACTTGTCAAAAACATGTTTCCGAGACATTGTTCAAACAAAATATTGTCGCAAACATGTTTTCTCAGACAGTTTTTCAGACAAGAAACTGTTTGTGGACGCGTTTTCTCACACATTATAAGCTTGGATTTTCTCTGTTTTCGACAGAATTTCTAACAAACGGGCGGCAAACTGAAAAAATTCCTACGCAATCTTACCGATTTCAAGCACTTTTCTTCATAATCCTGAAAGCTCCCAACAAATGTAATAAAAGAGCCAACCTTTAATGTTGTTCATACTGTAGCGGACCGTGTCGATGGGCGGTTTCGGCGGCACCTGCGGACGGGCTCGCACTTGCACCGGGTACGGATCCGGAAAGTCGTACGTGTCCATTATAGACGGCTGCAAAAAACAGAGATTTTAATGAGGGAGATCAATTGGAAAAGCGAAAAGAGCTCGAGCAGCAATGTGGTGTGAACAGGAGGTCAAGAGTCAAACAAGTACGTGCTCAGGATTACTGTAGATGGTACTTGTAGTGGTAAAACAGGCGCGATGGCTGGTGTGTAAAACATAAAACAGTCTGTTAGGACGCTTCCCGAGTACCCTGTTCCGCGTGTGTGTGCGCGCGCGCGCGGAAGCTGCTCACTTATTCAAATATGAGCGCGCGGAAAGATTGCTCCGCTTTGTTTATCTTTCCGGACGCGGAAGGGACACGCCGAATGATAGAAGCGAGTGCTCTTTTTGATCGGATCATGTTCGTGTAAATGCGCGTGTTTGTAAGTGATACAGAACGGGTGATGACGTAGAAGAAACGAGGATTCTGGAGTCTTTTTGGAATTCAGGTAATCTGAAGCCAAGAAAAAACTGGCGGAAACAGAATTGGTGTCAGATTTCAACAAGTACAACGGAAAGGGGAGAAGACGTCGGGATTAGGATGAATCTTGTTGGATAAACGTTTCAGAAGTCTTCAGAATGTTCTAGAAGATCATAGACATTGTTGAGTCGTGGAGAAGCTTTAGACCGTTTGTATATGTCTTCTGGAGCATACAGAAAAGGTATCGTACCTGGGAAATGACCAAAAAGCCTCCAGCTACCTGTTACGGCATTCAGAAGCTGTCAGGAAGCTTCCGAATGTTCCAGAAGAGGTCCTGAGTCTTCTAAATAATGAAAACGCATCCTAGCAGTCGTTGAAAATCTTCAAAGTGTCTTGAAAGCTTCCAGAAGCCGTAAAGAAGCCCTAGACACTTTAGAAACTTTCAAATCACATAAAACCCGCCGAGAACTAGTACAAAACTAGTAGATACAAACGTTCGTTTCGTCGAGAGAAGCGAAAGGAACGAAATGGATGAGACATTGCCGCCGAAAACGAAGAAAACGAAAAAAAAAACAATATATGTGTACGTATTCCGCCCGCCAACAAGATGTCGTCGTTTTCACTTCAACACATTTTGTGTTTGCGAAGGAGAGATTCTCAACAACGCTTCTGATTCTGATGAGAATCAAAGAAGCACTGAAACTGAGCAATTGAACTTTCTAAAAGAAGTCTTAAAAGTCAACAATACTCAAATTAGGATTCTAGATGTTTCTCAAAGCTTCAGTGCAAATTCAGAAGCCCTAACGCCTTCAGAATCCGAAAGAATGAATGTAAAAAGGGAAAAATGTGAGTCAGTCGCAATAATATATCAAATTGGCACCAATTCGGTGGGTGCAACGAAGAATTCGAAACAATATGAGGCCCCCGGCCATGGGCCAATATTATTAGTATACTATACATGTGTACTGGGTCTAATGAGAAAAAGAGAGAGAAGAAGAAGAAAGAGCACATATTGAAGTGGAAAAATGATGGAAAGTGGGCTCGTTTGGTACGAAAAAATGGTTGATGGGGGGAGGAGGAATGTTTTTGTTTTGCTTTTTTATGTACATGTCATATTGGCCCAACATTTTTGTGGCAGTAACATTGGCTACTGTACGAAACGTTTCTTATTTTCGCTGTTTTTAAACTTTTGAAAAACGGGATTCTTAGCCCCACTTCAAAAAGATTTTGTAGAGTTAATAGGGGTTGTCTGGCTCTGAAAAAGTTTTTGGGTAAAATTCAAGTCTAGTACTTTATTTTTGTAGTTCACAACTTTTTTGTACAAGTACTCCCGGGAGTACTGTGGCTCCGGGAAGTTGGCGCTGAAATTTGCACACACCAAAGTAGGCCAACTTCTCGGAGCTACAGTACTCGTAGAAGTGGTCGTACAAAAAAGCGGTCAACTACAAAAAGTAAGCACTAGACATTAAGTTTTCACAAAACACATTTCAGAACGATATGACATCGTATGACTCTACAATATTCGTTTAAAGTTTATCAATTTTAGGGCTTGCAAAACTCAGCAATTCCACGTCATTTCCATCCAAAAATGACCTCAAAATCGAATCAATAAATGGAAATTGATAAGCGACAAGTGATAACTTCAACAGAAGAACATCGTGCCGATAAGAGAAGAAGAAGAAGAAGAATGTCCTCGTGACGTCATCATCAGGTACTTGAAGAGAGTCAAAAAGAAAGAAAGAACATCATGAAAATGGTCATGTTGGACAAACAAAATGATAATATTAAATGAAAATGACAAGATGTCTCGGAGAAATTCGTGAGATATTGAAGAGATTCGAATGTGGATGATAAGGGCGAGAGAGTGCGCGAAACGAGGAGACGCCGACCGAATCGGGAAAAGGTGTTTGCATAATCAACAGGTGAATTGGAATTGGAATCGGGAAGAACATGATGATGATACAGGAACGCCCACGCATTTTCAAAAGGGGAAAGAAGAAGAAAAAGGCAAAGAGAAATGGGAAAGCAGAAAGTTTTTTGTTTGCATTTCTAATACAATCACACCTTTTAAGGAAACGCACACAGTGAGACGCAGAGACACGTTCCGAGCACCGTCTTTTCCTGGGGCTCCACCGGCTCCGAATGAGTAATTCGCCGGGCTCTGGCTCCCCCCAAAATCCTGGGCCCTTTGGAATGAGTAATCATCTCCGGAAACCAGAGGGGGCCAGGCGGGTGGAAGGAAAGGACAGGCGGCCCGGAGGGAGGAAGTGTTCCGTGACATTGGATGATGAGTCACAAAGGGGCGAAGCAAAGGGACACGCAAACGATAGAAGGAGAAGGAATGGGAAAAGGAAAAGAGACTTCTAGAAGTCGTCACGAAGAATCTGGAAAAGTTTTAAACAGTTTCAATGGGTTTAAGCAACTTCGAGGACTTTCTAAAAGCTTTCAGAAGCAACCCTAGAGTTATAGACTCTAGAAATTTTCCAGGAGCACCTAAGACGCTTCAACATCTTTCAGGGGCTTCCGGAAGTTTCTTGACCTTCACGTTTAAGATGTTCAAGAGATTCTGGAGCTTGCCTTAAGTCAAAAAGGCTTCTAGAATCTACATATGATTCATCAAAATGATGGGCAACTTCTGAAACTCCACAAAGATCCAGAGCCTTCCAGAGACACCAAAACTTATTCAAATGTTCAAGTACTGTAGGTGTGTTTGACAAACTCTTCCCTTCCCTTTTTTGGGGGAGTAGAGATGAACTGGATGGGATGATGATGATGGATTACTTGTCACAAAAAGGGACAGATACACAAAACTTGACCAAAAGGGGTTAAAGTTCCTCGTTTTTCAGAAGAAAAGCTGTCAGAAATTATGAAAAACTGGTGCGTTTTCACTCAACTTCCTCTTCTTGTTCCCGTTGTACTAACCAGTGTGGCACCTGTTCGTACCAGGCTCCGCCCCCTTTTCTCTTTCTTAATAATGTGTCACAATTCGTCATCAATCGGAACCAGTCTTATGAATATTGGATTAAGCTGCTCGGAGGACAGAGCCAATAATAATAAATTTATGGAGAAAAAAAGTTGTGCTCCCGTTTTGTGTTGTAAAGTGCAAATTGTGATTGCTCGGAGCATCTGGAGCGGCGGCGGAAAATTGAAAATTACGAAAAGCCGAAGAAGATCAGATTAGAAATGGTGGAAGCATTTGGAATATTGCGAAAGGGTGGGGAGCGGACACACCCAAAAAGGGAAGGAAAAAGACGGAAGAGGAAGGGGAAGAGATGACTATCAATTACCAGCTCATAAATCAGAGACGATTCAGTTCGAGGTTAATTAGTCAATTGACTGACTGCAGGGTGTGAGAGAGGGAGAAAGAGAAGAGATCGTAAATCAGAATGGGTTTTGTTAGGTGATACACATCTTTGAAAGGGCGAAATACGATGCGTTCGAAGCGAGTGACGAGAAGAGGGAGGAGTTCGGAAGCTACTGGACTGTTGGAAGGCTTCTGAGCTATTTCAGGGCTCTTTGAGCAAGTTTGAAGTAAAATGGGAGCTCTGGAAGGTCTAGGGGGGTCTGAGAAGCTTCTGATCTTCTGGAGAGCTTTGGAAAGAATTGGCAAGCTTCTCACTTATGTTTTTAGCACATTTAGAACGTTTTGACAGTACAGACAACTCTTAGAAAGCTTGTTACCAATTTCTGGAAGCTTCTGAACTTCAAAAACCCTTTCCAGAGCTCTTGTGAACCCAAAAAAGCTTCAAAATGAATGCGCGGGTCATGTGGCAAAGCGCACAACGCGCGCGAATCATAGCCAATTTTGTCGATGAATGATGATGATCGCCATCTAAATCCTATTACCGGCCGACGGCCCATAAACCGCACAGCTTATCGCGCATCATCTTCTCGTTAATTGGATTATGGCATACACAGTGGAAATGGGGGAAAACGATACCACTTCGGGGCGACGAATTGAAGTGAGAATGAGAATGATCAAAGTGATAGCGTTGAATTCTCATATCACATCTTCCGAGTCTACAATACTTGTTGAAAGTTTGGTAACTTCTAGTATATTGACAAGAAAAGAAAACTGGGCGGAAACGGGGGGCTCTCACGGAGGTACACAAAGGTACGGGAAGGAGGAGAAGGGATATCAAGTTTCTTAATGCATAAGAAAAAAGAGAGTGCGTAAGGTGCACTTTCGAAACTCCCACGGATCTTTTTCGCCGAAGAAGACCACAATAGTGCTTAACGGTATTCTGATCGCGGAAAAGTGATTTCAGGAAGGAGGATATCCGAGAAATGCACACAATGCTCTTGCGGAGCACACGGAGCAAGAGAGAGAGAGAGTGAGAACAAGATCGATGGAGATCGGGAGAGAAAGGAGTAACAATGATTGGAAACGAGAGATCGAGCGGGACCGAGAGACACAGATATTATCATCTTATCTTTGGAGCCGCACCGACTTCCGGTCTGCATCGCTTTGCGCCTAGGCAAATTCGAGAGAGAGAGGCACTTTCCAGGGAGCGCCCTAGTATTCCAGAACTGGGAAAGTTAGGCCACTTGCCCATAAATAGTAGATTTTGAATCTTAGAAAACTGTCCGACAAATTTGGTTCTAAGCAATTGTCTAGGCCTCTAGACCAATAAACATCTGGCCTAGAATCCTTTGCAAAAGAAAAAAGTTTGAATTTCGCTGTCATCTGCTGTCAAAAAAGAGCGAAAAAATGTGGTGTGACATGTGGTCAAGAGGGACCTTCTCCGTCCAATTGAAGGGTCTCCGCTTCTGCCCGCGAAAAACGGAAACATTTTGTGGGGTCACCACTCTCCCTCGCTCTCTCTTTCTTTCTTTTCCGTGACGGCTCCTCGGAGCACACACCAGAAGGGCTCCGATGGTGGAAACGAAGGGAAGGAAGGAAGGGGGAGGAGGAGGGAAGATGGAAGATGTTTCATCGGCGCCCGCTGCCAGAGAGAAAGAGAGAGAGAGAGGGAGGGAGATCGGAGAGGGACAAGAAGAAGAAGAAGAAGTCATGACGGAGATTGATGGGTCCAATAGGGTACTGAGCAGCTAGGGACCGAGAGAAAGAAAGGAGAAGGAACTCTTGGCGCCGTGCCAACACACTTTCATTGGATTCTCTCGCCAGATAAATGAGAGTAACTGGCGGTGCCACGACAACTGTTCCTCATTTACACCACCCGCCCGGTCCCAGTGGATACTGCTGTAACACTTTTAAATAATTTTGATGAGATCCCGGCGTACACACTCTTAAAACAACACTCATCACTGCCCTGGCGCAGTCGTTGCGTTTTGAACTGGTAACTTGGACCGTGCGGGTTGCGAAAAAAATAGATTTTTGGCATTTTGCCCTTTTGCTTTCATTTTCCAGCTCACTAAGCCTTGCAAGAAACTCAAAAAAGTGTGAAATTGTACGAAAATGTCTTGGCGGCCGGGTGAGAAGGGGCAAATAAATGAATAATAGCTGGGCGGAGAAAGTATGTATATTATGTGTTTGTTAGCTCAAAACAAGAAGGCAACAAAAGCGACGGCGGCGGCGGCGGGAGGAGGAGGGTGTTTAAAAATTGATGAAAACAAATTTGGAGCTCATGGACGGCGGGCGCATATTTTAACGGAAAAAGAGGAGAAAGAAGGACGAAAAGAGTTTGTGACAAAGATTTTGATGGACCGACAATAGACAAAGGGATTTGAGCAAGAGAAAGAGAAAAAGAAAGAAGAAGAAGGAGAAGGAGAAAGAGAAAGAGGCCACACATTCAGGAAATGGCCAATTCCTTTTCGAATAAAGAGAAGCATCGCTCATCTCTGAAGATGAAGGACAAAGTTGTTGCCTATGGCCTAGAGCTTACGATTGAGCAAGCTAGTTAGGTCATCCACGGTCACTTGGAATTAGTGCATTTTGTCGAAGAGCATTCGCGGTACCTTATTCCTGGGCGTAAAGTGCATTTGTTTCTCAGTGGTGGCATAACTTTGAAATTCTAGACCACGTGGACGGAAGGTGTACAAAGAGTGAAGCAAAAAATATGGAAAAAGAAACACGGCGATTATGGAGCGAGAGTGATAGTGACGGAAGTGCATATCCTCCCTCTCTCTCTCTCTCTCTCTCTCTCTGTCTCTTTCTGTCTATGCCCCGTTTATGAAGGTCATAATAGTTAGGATACGCGTGCTGAACATACCAATTGTGTACGTATGAATAACCTCCGAATGGAATTCAGCGCCGAGAATCGCATTGAAAAAGCTCGGCAAACCGTGAAAAATCAATGAGGGCGGCGGTGGTCGATGCACCATAGGTTCCCACGGGAGACGGAGAGGGAGAGGGAGAGTTTGTATACAAAAATTAGAAGCCTATAATATTTCGTTTGACTCTCCTCGGAGAGTCTCTAAACGAGGTAATTAGTGGGGGACCGGGAGGTGACAGACGGTCCCTCCTGGTCAATTAGGAACGCCCAAAGACGGGAATGGACAATAGAGAAGCTGTGACTTGTGGTAGGCCTAAATGCCACGACAAACAAACGACATGTGGAAAGAGTGATACGTCCCAAAAAGATACGGATTGTTTGCGTGTTTTTGTGTGTGTGCTTACGGTTGTTTTGCTTTGTTCGGGTGACGCTTTTGGTACAGAAACGGGGTGATATTGGAAGTGAAAGGGAGAGAGGAACACGGAGGAGACGCAGGAAGAGAGACAGAGGGACTTTTTTAAGGTTCAGGAAGGAGTTGGAAGGCGAAAATCGGGTCCTAAGGGTTTCAGATGGTCTTTAGAGAATTCTAGATGAATATGACGACCTCTGAACTTGTTTTAGGCCTTTAGAAGCCTTCCAGCAACTTCAGAACACGTTACCTACCTACTTGACAAGAACAACTAGAACTAGATGTCATATTCAAAAAGTAAAAGGCTAAAACCAAAAAAGCGGCAGAAACTAGTGGCACAAGTGATACAGAAAGGGAGAGAGGAAGTGTTCAGAAATGATGCGCTTTCTCTCTCTTTTTCATTCTTTCCTGGCCAACCATTTCGGGCCATAAAAGAGCGCCTCAGCGGGAGAGAATCGAATCGAATCGTGCCAATAAAACCATCATCACCATCTTTTTTATCTATCCGCATCGCTTCACGATCAAATACACTATGCAAATGATGCTAGAATCACAAGATTGATTGATAAATGCGTGGGAGTCGGCTAGGCACAGTCATCATCAAAATTTGACTCATTTTGGGGTTTGTGAGAACACATGAAGCCTGATGAAGTTTACGGTTTTCAAGAGATTCCATATGAAAGGTTTTTCGAGCTTCCGAACACTCCTGAAGCGAGCAAGTTCCAAAAATTGAACTAAAACTTGGAGTTTTCTAGAGTCCGGGCCCAAATTTGAGCCTTTCCAGAGTTTATCAAGCCTATGGCCATCTGAATCTTCTACATGACTTTCCAGAAGTTCTTTGTAGAGTTCTAAGTTCCTAGAGTGATCAGAAAGTAGATTTCCATCTATGTTCACTTTAGTTAGCGCAAAATAGGAATCTATACAGTGTGCACTTCATCAAAACTTGAAAGTTCCCAAGATTTTCAGAATTTCAGTTTCAATTCATTAAAATCACCCCATTACCCCCCAAAAGCTGTCTCTCATCGCCGTGTACAGTACATAAAATGATGAATGGTGTCAAAAGGGACGAGCCGAGCAGATGCGAGATGACAGTGCGTTACGCAACACAACAGGTGCACGACAAATTGAAAAACGGAAGGAAAGGAAGAAAAATAAGAAGAAGAGGAAGATCGGAATGGGAATGAATTAGGAGGTGGGGGCGGAACGATGATCTGAAGAACGACAAGGTCGGAACGGAAATGAAGAGGAAGAAGAAGAAGAAGGAGGAGGAGGGGAAGAGAAAGGGCTGGAATGGATTGAAATGGGAATGTTGTACACAGGAATGTTTTGAGAGTTTGGGGGTCACTAGGAACAGCTGCCGGACGAAAGAGGAAGAGGTGAAAGCCCGCAGACAAAACATTTCGGGTATTACAATATTTACGTAGATTCTAGAAGGTCATTTCTTGCTGCTACAGCTCTGAAAGAGCACTGTGCTGTAGCTCTCGGCAGTTGGCACTGAAACTTGAATGCGCCAAAGTGGTCCCAACTTCTCAGATCTACAGTAACTTGTCAACTACAGAAATAAAGTACTAGGTGTCAAGATTCTAAGACGTCTTAGAAATTTTCAATACCCATCCAGCGTTTGCCTTTTTTTCTACTCAGAATTTCAAAAATTTTGCAACCACAGCAAAAAAGAGTCCCGGAAGAATACCAACAAAAGGGACCAGGCTGCTCATTTGCATATTCAATCGAGTCGCTCTTTTTGGCGTCTTCTCGGGAAGTGGACCCTTTTGGCGGTAGAGAGGAAAGGGGGTGGTGGACCGGAAAAGAAAGAAGAAGAAAAAGAAGGAGGAGAAGAAGCCGACAAAAATTACAGGGAATCTGAGCGGAAAGAGAGAGAGAGAGAGAGAGAGAGAGAGAGAGAGAGAGAGAGAGAGAGAGAGGGACACTCAGGGAGATTGAATTATTATGTAAATGATATGTGAAAAGGAGGTAGGCCTTTTCCTTCTGTACATATTGTATAAAACACAATATGTACGACACAATCTGCCACTTCTGTTGGCATCTTCCTCTCCCTCTCCGAACTGGTTTCCCCATTTGATTTGACAAGAGGATTATGCTAAACCCAACAAGCGGTTCGATTCGGTTTCGGCCAGGTGAGAAAAGAGAGAAAGAAAGAGAGGAGACTGGCAGCACTGTGTGACGGTGAACATGAAAAGGTAGGTTCTCGATGCTAGGGGAAGAAGTTTTGAGGGGTTACGAATGAATATGGACACTTCGATAGAGCGAACAAATGTGCAGAATAAGGACATTTCGAAAATTACTATAATATTTACAAAAACTTACATCAAGTGTCTCCATGGCTTCGTTCTGTTCTGAAGCTTCTGAAGCTTCTGGATCGGTCACTTCTTTTTCTTCTACTTCTTCTTGTTTCTCTTCTTCTTCTTCCGTCTCCAAAGTCGTCTGGCACAAGTGTTGCTCCTCAAGAACACTGAACAACTGTGGCTCGAGCTCGCGGAGCTCTTGACCGGCGGTGCTCAAAATGGAAGATGCGGGAAGGAGGCTGGCGAGCAGCGAAATGCTGTAAAATGAATGGAATATGGAAGAAGTTTTGGAAATTGAAAAGGGGGAACGGGGAGAGGAAGAGGAAGAGAGAGCACAACATTTTTGATGAATGGCTCACTCGAAAAGACGAGGAGCGACAGCATTTTGATGCCTTCAAACGACGTTGAAATGGTTCCTGACCAACTGGAGACATGGTCCATCCACTAGGGACCAAATGAGGGAACATGGCAACAACACGGACCGATGAACACCTGGCATCAGAGAATGGACGGAAAGAAAGAGAGGATTAGAGTGGATTTGCGGGGGGTTTACCGCCTAGGGTTTGTTAGTTTTTGACGCCTAATAGGTCTAGGAAAAGTCTCTGCCACGTCACACCATAGGTTTTTTCCGAAAAATGCAACTTTCCACGCAAAAAGGACCAGTTTTCTAGGCATTTTGCCACGTCATCGTCAATTTCTCAAGTCCCTGGATGTTCCTAACGTGCTCAAATATTCAGAGCTCCAGAGATGGTCCTCAATTTTCAAATAAAAGTTATTCAGAAGAGTCCAAATAGACAAAAGAAAGAAGAAGAAGATCCATTCCTTCTCTCTCTTTTGTCCATTAAACAAGAGGCGGGTGAACATGCTCGTGCGCACAGATTGGAACAGAGGAAAATGAGGGAGAAGGGAGGGGCGGCGCATGATTTATTCATCACTGTTCTGGCATGCACACGCGTTTCATTCCCAACTGCAACACATGCCAAAGAGAGAAGGAAGAGAGAGAGAGAGAGAGAGAGAGAGAGAGAACGAAATCTAGAAGGAACAAACTTGTACTTTTCAATAATTGACCTTGAAGGGTTGCAGAGGTTTGTGAGTTCCTTGACGTGGTAAGACCAACTATCTCATGTTGAACTTCTAAACTTCTAGAAATCTAGACTATAAAGCAACTGGAAGATGACGTGGAAAATAGTTTGGCTACTGTACATCTCCCAGACAGTATTACGTTCTCAATCTTGGCCAGATGCCCCACCGCATCCGGAGATTGTGTCACTAAATCATCTGCGTTTGATAAATGACCGTAACCTACTATTCCTATTCCGTTGACCGTCAAGAAACGGATTGAACCGTTCAAGGGTATATAATATGAATCACCTTGACGAAAGGTTCCAGTAGCATCGAAAGAATCAAAAATGATCGAAAGGGGATGAAAAAACCAATCAAGTTCCGGTTAATCTTGTGGTTTGACTGGAAAACCAACTAATTAGTAGCCTCTAGAATCCTTCTTTCTCTTCTTCCTTTCGTTCGGAACAAGAAGAAGAAGCAGAAGAATGTACTGGCAATGAATCAGGAAACACGCAATGGAACAGAACATATAATCAAGTTATCGGACAGCCAATGGGGACCGAGAAAGTAGGAGAAAGGGAGAGAACACAGAGAAAGGGAAGAGATTGTAATCTGTGCTCCTCTTGAAAACGGACCATGAAGGGAAATAGAGAGTGATGACCGTGGCAGATAGCGGGTCGCCAAGGCTAACTTTGACGGTTCCGAACGGGCAAAGGTGAGAATGGAAGGGAAAAGTTAGGCCAAGCTTTTCAGCTTTTCAACGATGTCTACAAGAGCGCCAAAGTACCAACTTTGAAATTCTCGGAAAACAGGTGGCCGAAGAAAAAGTTAGACCACCCCTGTTGGAGCCCAAAAGCTCCAGCCAACTCCAAGATTGGCGAGATCAAACGGCAAACACTTGAAAAGTGTGCATAAGGTAATTACCAGGAAAAGCACATGACTTAAGAAAGAAGGAGAGGGAGAGGGAGGGAGAGTCAAGTGTTTACGGACCACAAACGGACACCATTTATTCAGCGAATTACTCTTTCTTACCATTTCTCGCCGAGCTCCTCCTCCTCGTCGCTGTCGATTTCCAGATCGCACTCCTCTTCGCAACTGTCCATTTTTGGCTGAAAGTATTTACAAATGAAGGAGAGGGTCAGAGCTCAGGCTTTAGTTGAACGGAAGCGGAAGAGAAACTTGAGAACTTTCGCGATTTTTGGAGCAGAAAGTGTTTTATGTACTTATGAAGGAGGGGTGTCTTGTGAAAGTCTAACTTTGTCTAGAACATATTGTAATTCTAAATCAACGCAAACGGAAGTTTGGCAACTGTTTCCCAAAATAAAAGATGGTTGCGAAATGTCTGGTTGCTAAAACTCCCGCATAGCAGCTGAAACAAATCGCAATCTATCGTTTTCGGTTGCGAAATGTCGAGTTTTGCCAAAAAACACTTTCGCCTGACGAACATCTTGCTAAGCGACCGAAAAAGGGAAGAGCGCAGTGACCGGAAGGCTAACAACAAAGTGCAAAGCAATGATACTACGAAAGGGCGGGGAAAAGGGGCCGCTTTCCTCCCGCCCCGGATATCTCTTCCGCGCGGAAGAAAGAAGGCGTCGGCGGCAAAAACGTACTAATGCGCGAGGAAAGAAGCATATAATGAGCGTGCGATGATAGGCTCCCCAGGGAAAAAACCCAAGAATCCGATTCGAAGAGACGCGACAGCCGGCAATATGGTTTCATGCAAATTGAGCTCACTAAAAACAACAGATTGTGTGCACTTTTCATCTGGAGTTGCTTCACATCGAACGAACTGATAATAGTGGAAAGAAAGAAATGGAGGCGGAGGACAGGGAGTGCTCCGCGCAGTAAATACGGAGAGAGAGAGAGAGAGTTGACATAAAAAATAAGAGGATTATTATTAATGAGTCGCTCGGCACGAAAATTAGAACACAGAAACATGGAGCGGAACATGCGGCTCACTTCGCGGGTGGCCTCGAGCACGAAACGTCTCTCAGAATCTTCTTGAAGACTAATGGAAATTTTTTAAAGCTATCATGTTAAAAAATATAGATTTTTTGCAATCTCTTCAAACCTCCCGAAAAAAAGAAACGAGAAAAACGGTCGAAGAACGCATGTTTCGCGGTGCGCACGTAGGTCAAGAACGGGTTTCGCAGTGGCAAAATTCCAGCGTTGAAATGTCTTGCTATTTTTTTTTAGAAAACTTCGATACTTTTGCAAATTTTCCAAAGCTCTGACTTTTCTGTACAGCGAACTGTCTTTTTGGAAATGTTTCGAGCGAAGATTTCTAGAAGTTTTACTGCTCGGAAACCTTCTAATTTGAGTGAAAATGAAAACAATGGGGCTCAGAACGGGCAATTTAAATGCGAAATGAGCCGGGACCAGTGGCTGACAAGCAGAACGAAACGAAGAATGAAATGGAATGGAATGGCCGCCCGTTCATTGTGCTCCGTGAGCTCAGAGCCCCCAATTAGTCATTTGCCAACCTCAATCACGCACATTTCGCACACAAACTAATTGGTTCTAAACGGATAATACGGACAGCGATGAGAAATATTTACGGACGAAAACGAACGGAAACTAGGAGTGTAACGGAAAAAAGTGAAAAAAAAGTGAATGGGAAAACGAGGTGAGTCAGCAGGAAAGGTAAGGAAAGAACCTTGATTGGAACGGAGACGGAGACGCCAAGGATAGGAAAAAAAGTATTTATTGCACAAGTGTCAAGCAAAAAAGAGTATTTGATCTATAAAAGTTGGCAATAAAGTTCTGTCACCTCAATATTTGCTTTGTCTAAAACTAGTACTTGTATTGTTTTAGATGGTTTGAGCAACCAGCTCCGTAAATGACTAAAAAACCTGAAAAACGCTTGAGAATTTTGTATTTACAGAAAAAGACTTTTGCTAAAGTTAGTTTGAAAACACATTATGGTTCGATTCAGCATGAAAATCACTGAACCACGTCGAATTAAGCCTGAAATTGTTTGAAAGCAGTGGGACGAGTGTTTTCAGAAGCGTCGCGGTCGCGTCGCGCTACCGTAACCTGCCTGATCTACCCGATTTGGCCTCTTTTCGCAGCTCGTCCGTCGAAGAAACCGACTGTTTCGCTGGTGTTTTCTGGAATGTTTTGCTCGTTTTCAGGTCCGTCGGTCTCACTCGTTCGGTCCCTTCGCTCACATTTCCCTGCTTTTCTTGATTTGGTTTTTTTTCGAAAATATCTTTTAGGAAACTCAATCATTTCCATTTAGAGTGTGAGCTTTCAATTCTTTTCCTGTTCTGTGCTTGTGTAATTAGACAAATTCTCTTAATTTCAAAGATTTTTTTCACTTTGCAATATTCTGCCCTTTTTCAGCCACCTCGTTCGCGTCGCCATGTCGCACCTCAACTACGAGACTCGTCTTCCGCTCGGACAGGCCACCGTCGACCACTTCCTCCGTCTGCCGCCTCATCCAACCAAGTGCCAGGCGACGTACGTCTGGATCGACGGCACCGGCGAACACCTCCGCTCGAAGACGCGCACGTTCGAGAAGGGAGCGCCCGCGAGCATCGAGCACTATCCGATCTGGAACTACGACGGCTCATCGACCGGACAGGCGGAAGGCGTCGACTCGGATCGCTACTTGCGCCCAGTCGCCGTCTTCCCCGACCCGTTCTTGGGCGGTTCGAACAAGTTGGTGATGTGTGACACGCTGGACCACGAGATGAAGCCCACTAGTGAGTTACAAAAACCGTCTTCATAACCTTGCGTTCCCTTCAGAGACCAGTCACCGCGATTACTGCGCCGGCGTCATGAAGGCAGTGGCCGATTCGCACCCGTGGTTCGGAATGGAGCAGGAGTATCTGATTGTGGACCGTGACGAGCACCCGCTCGGATGGCCGAAGCACGGATACCCGGCCCCACAAGGCAAGTACTACTGCGGAGTGGGGGCGGACCGCGCGTTCGGCCGCGAAGTCGTCGAGACTCACTACCGCGCCTGTCTGCACGCTAACATTAGCATCTGCGGAGTGAACGCGGAGGTCACTCCCGGACAGTGGGAATTCCAAATCGGCACTTGCGAAGGCGTCGACATGGGAGATCAACTGTGGATGGCGAGATACATTCTGCACAGGTAGGCAAACGAAAACCTTGTAAGTTCTATGGATGATTTCAGAGTGGCCGAGCAGTTCGGAGTGTGCATCTCCCTGGACCCCAAACCGAAAGTGACCATGGGCGATTGGAACGGCGCCGGCTGCCACACCAACTTCTCGACGACGGAAATGCGTGCCGCGGGCGGAATAAAGGCGATCGAAGCGGCTATGGCGGGACTCGAACGGACGCACTCGGAGGCGATGAAGGTGTACGACCCGAACGGCGGCAAAGACAACCTCCGTCGGCTCACCGGAAAGCACGAGACTAGCAATCCGAACAAGTTCTCCTGGGGAGTCGCCAACCGCGCGTGCTCCGTTCGCATTCCGCGACAAGTGAGCCAGGACGGCTGCGGATACCTCGAGGATCGCCGTCCTTCGTCCAACTGCGACCCGTACCTGGTGACGGCGATGATTGTGCAAAGTGTGCTGCTCCTCTAAAAGAGGTTAACTCGATCGTTGTATAATGTGATCATTTTGTACTAGTCTCTGTAATTTTTATGCACCCACCCACTCACTAGCTAACCCATTCACCTTGAAGAACTGAAATATAAAAGCATTGCATGTAAACTACATTTGTTGTCTGAAGATTTATGGAGGGAGGAGGGAGATGTGAGAACTGTTCTGCCGTTTCAGAATTGGCAGAAAGCTCAAATTACCACAAAACTTCTGGAATGCAGCTGCAGATTCCTGAGGCACTAAAAATGGACAGTATCCCAAAGTTTTCATTCTTATCGTTTCTCGAATTCCAATATTAAACTGATTCTTTTTCCCATATTTGGCAAGGTTTGCTGCAGCGGTCTCCGCATTGGACTGCTTGCGTTCCTTTCCCTTGTCCGCGATCTCGAGTTTTACAGCCGACCCAACTGATTCCATCTTTTCTGCTTCATCCAGATCCGCCGGTAGTGGCAATGCTGCTGCTCTCACTCCATCGAGTCCTTGAAGGCGACGAAATCCATGTTCGTACCGCTCCTTCATTGAAAGAAATCTTGATTGCCCTTGTTGCAACACCGGTCCATACTATACTTCTTGACTCTTGACTTGACTACTATACTATACTTCTTGACTACTATACTTCTATACTTCTTGGTATACTTCTTGATGTAGTAATTGTAGACCACCTCCTCTTCCTGGTTGTCTTGTCGAAGTCTTCTCCAAGCTCCGTCTAGATCTTCTAGAGATCTAACAAACTTGATGAGAGCTTCGAAACCCTCATAGATGTTCATGAGGGCCGCATCGATGTCTCCTGCATCGAAGACCTCGATTTCCTCCTTGGAGGGTACAGCCTCCGTCATCCTTTCTTGAAGCCGCCTCCTCGCAAGTCCGATCTTCCTCCTGAGAGGACCACTCTCGGACGCCTGGGTCACCATATCAGAATTGTACGGCTCTCCGCTTTGGTCTCAGGAAGGAAGAAATAGTAGATTAGTAGAACTGACTTTATCCACAAACGAAAAACGATTTCATACAACAACAACGAGAGCTTATATACTACAGTTTACGACCGAGCGGGCCGATAAAAGCTGCAATAATATTCTGCTGCCGATCTCCTTTGTTCCTGGTGTTTGTTCTACCACCTTCTGCTGATCTTCTGATATCGACGCTTCCGTCGACAAAGTTTGACGCTTTCCTCTGCGCATCGTGAGCATTCAAACAAACAAGGAAGAGACGCACGAACATTTCATTTCAGATGCACCAGAAAAGTCCATCGGCACCGCATATTCAAGAGCATCCACTCAATTTCCTTGAACTTAGATGGTCAAAAAACGAAGAAAGTTCCCTCAAAGTTGGATAATTTCACAATTTCACGGAAAATAGGCTCGTCTTTCAGTGTTCTCTACTACGCAATTTCACGGCTTCGTTCTCTGCATCAGATTCCGAGTACAATTTCAAAGTGGCCATTATGTAATTTATAAATTTTATATTTTTTCACAATTTTTATCAAGGGCCGTCGGTTTCTGCTCTGTCGCTGAAAACGGAGCTGCGTGTGCGAGAACTATCGTCCTGGTATGAGTGTCTCATTTCTCACTGGATGTGTCAGGAACTATCACTTCTTCTTCCAGATATTCACGGTCTCCAGAGCTGACAATGAGCGCAAGTGCGCCCCGCCCACTAGAGCGATACATTGGCGCGAAATTTAAATTTTAACAGCAAAATTTGTGTTTTTGCCAGATTAGCCACGAAAAATCGATAATTTCTCATTTGTCTCTCGATAGACCGATTGTATAGGCTATTACGAATTTCTTAAGCGCAAGAGCGTTAAATTTGGTCAAGTCGCAAATCACATTTATCCGTTTGAAGGTTTTTGGCTAAAACTGCGTGAATTTCAGTTGCTTTTCGGTAGTTTTCGCTGTTCGAGCGCTCAAAATGCTTGTATTTACGTGATTTATCATTCTCAAAACCAATTCTGTCTAAAAACGTTCAAGAAAGAGCAAAATAAGAAGTGCGGTTTTTAGGCGGCGATCGGCGGCAAAGGCGAAAAAGCAGTCCGCGAAAAATGCGCCAAAACTTCATCAATTTTGAGAATTAGTGTGTTTTCATGTCGAACAATCAGTTTTCATCGTCGTTGACCACAAAAATCTGAGAAAACTTGCTCAATTCATGAAAACGCCATTTGGCCGCCGAGACCACGCCCATATTGTCAGCTCTGGAGACCGTGAGAAGGGAAAAACACTGGGAATAGCATAAAATCCTGTCCCTTCCCCCCATTCCGAACACTTTCCACTGCCATTTCCCTCCCCCATTCGCCCCGATTCTCTCTAGAAATAAGGCGCTTTTTAGGTGCGATAAGGTGCACAAAAACCGGCGATAAGACCCTAAGAATCATTGTGACGCGGTGACGTTTTGTTCGTGTTCCTTCCAGAGAGCATTCTTCACATTTCACTGCAAAAAGTTCCAACTTTTAGGGTACTCCGAAATGATTATTCCATTGTTATTTCTCTACAGTAATCTTGTGACTACTGTACTTTCAGCTGGTAGGTACCTAATCACAGATCTTTTAGGATTTTTGAAAACATACATCAACACCAACGTTTCCCCAGAATGCTACGTGACTCCGTGCACCCGTGACATCATCCTGGTCGTCGATGGATCCAGTTCAATGCAGACGAGCACTTACGTTTCGCAGGTACAGTAATCCTACAGTAACCCGATTTGAAAACGAGAAAATGCAATTCAGGAAATCAATATGATCACAAAGTTGACCTACAGTTGGACTTTGGACGACTCGAAAGTTCGGTTGGCGCTGGTCGGAGCGTACTTTGGCAACGAGTTCAATGGAATGGATTACTTTACGGACAGGTGAGCGGCGTGGCTACAGTACTCCACCTACAGTAATCCAATTGCAGCTCGACAGTCGAGAAACGGCTCCAATCTTTCCGCATCGCGGCCATGCAATACGGACTCTTCAACGGAGACTTCAACACGTTTGGGCGGTTTCTAGGCCACGGCCACTCATTTTTTCGCTTCCAGAACAATCCGATTCTTGGATGAGCGGTACGTCGGGCCTCGTGCCAACTTCAATCCGCGCGACAATATCCAAAAACGAATCGTCCTCTTCACTTCGCATAACGGCGTCGCTGACGTGGCATCCACAAAGAACAAGCTTCAGGAATTCGCGCAACTGGGATACGAGACGACGATTGTGGGCATTGGAGTCGAGGAGAGTGTCTACAAGAACACGTACTATCATAAGGTATCAGGAAAAGGATTACGGTAGGTTACGGTCGCTTACAGTTCGTCGCCGTTCAATTGTTCGAGTTGGGAGTGGTGGCGCAGTCGATTATCGACACGATCACAGACGAAGGCATCTGCTTTTTGGATAGTTCGTTTCGTTTTGAAACCGTACAACGTCTGACAACTCTACAATATTTTTCAGACGGCTGGACGACTCCAAAAGCCGAAGTGTGCACGACTACAACCACTACAACGCGTGCTCCAACGACCACAACGACGAAGGGCTCTGTTGTGAGCGGTGGCACGACCAAGAAGCCGACGACTCAGAAGCCGGTGCCGCCGACGCAACCGCCGTTCCCAGTTGGCGACTATCAGAATTGCAGTTGCACCACTCAAAGTCTCTATGTCCGTCTTGTGAGCGTTTATCGTTTTCGCCCAAAGTTTTGTTTCAGATCGACATTGTTTTCGTGGTCGACACGTCGGCTGGAATGGGATCCGGAGGGCTTATGATGGTAGTGCAGACGCTACAGTAACCTACCTACAGTAATCGTTTACGTTCAGGTCAAAGCTGAAATCAACACGCTCGTCGGACAAATGTCGTTGAGTGCGGAGTACGAGAAGCACGTGCAAGTGGGACTCATCAAGTACAGTAATGTAGCGCAGGTACATTATTTTTCCTTAAAGGACTGTTTGTGACTGTTTGAATTGTCTCTTATTGCCTCATACACTGGTGAAATGCTGCCTCTCAAAAATGCCAATGAACGAAACGGCATGCAGTTGAAGTTGTGGCCGTGGCCTAGCGCCAATGGCCGAAAAATATATAAAAATATATGCGCTTCTCGGCCATTTAATTTTTTCCGCTTTTTTACCGGTTATTTCCAAAAATTCACGGTTTCTCCCATTTTTCAGTTGATTGACATTTGTTCGGCACTTACTTATTTTTTCACTGCTAAAAAATTGTTTTCATTCAGTCGATACGAAGTGCTAGATGAGTGGTTTCCGTGGAACAAGGGCGATTTAATCGCGAAAAAACCGGAAAAAAGCGGAAAAAATAAAATGGCCGAGAAGGGCATATTTCTAGGCCATTGGCGCTAGGCCACGGCCACAACTTCAACTGCATGCCGTTTCGTTCATTGGCATTTTTGAGAGGCAGCATTTCACCAGTGTATGAGGCAATAAGAGACAATTCAAACAGTCACAAAAAAATTTCACAAAAAAAACCAAAAAATTTTTGGGTTCCCTGGTCCTTTAAATCTGAGGAACTGAAAAAAGTCTTTCAGACCGTGTTCAATCCTTCGGACTACGACGACGAGGACCAGTTCAGCGAGGATCTGTGGACGGATCCACGGCTCGACGACGTCGACGAAAACGAGGACGAAGTGAATCTGCACGCGGGACTCAGAGAGGCCGCCAACATGCTCGCCACGATGCGGAAAGGCGTCCGCAAAGTGGTCGTGGTCTACGCGGCCAGCTACGAGTGAGTCCTTTCGACAGTAATCATACGCTAATCCGTCTTTAGCGACGAGGGAAAAGACGATGCTCGCACGATCGCATCGAATATCAAAGCATCCGGGCACACGATCATTACGGTCGCATTCGTGGAGCCCGAATCTTCGAGTCTCGTCATGCAAATCGGCGAGATTGCTAGCAAACGAATGAACTTTACCTCTTTCAAAGACGAACTACTGGTTGAACAATTGGAGGACGCGTTCTGCCAGGTCAACTGCTACTGTCCGAACGGCTGGGAACAGCTGGTGCTCGAGGAGCGCAAGTACGGAGAATGCTTCTTCCCGACTAAACTGGACGCGAGTTGGACGGCGACCAAGTACGAATGTCCGCTTCTTTCAAAGGATCACACCGGCAACGGACACCTCGTCTACGTGAATTCGGCCCTTAAAAACACGTTCATCAACGACTTCTACATGAATCCCGACATTTGGGACCCGGAAAACTTGGAGACGCCCAACTACGACATTGGATATTATTACGAGAAGACGAGCCAGAAGTACGTGTGGGTGAACGGAGTGACGAACAATCCGTACACGAACTGGGCCGAAGGACATCCGAACGTGACAAAGGGCGAATGCGTGGCGGCGAGGCAGATCAACGGGACCATCACGGATTTCAGATGGTTCTCGATCAATTGTGCCACCGAAAGTGGACGGTAAGTTGGGGATTTCCATGCAATCTTCCCGGAGCCACAGTACGCCAGAGGATGGTCGTACGAAAAAGTCATCAACTACAAAAATAGCGTACTAGATGTCAAGATTTCGCAGAAAAATTTTGGGAACCATAGGACATCTCATAACTCTACAATATCCGTTCAAAGTGCATCCATTTTTCAGAGGACTGTGTCAGGAAGCCGCTTGTGACTCTGACTTCTACTGCCAACCAGAATAATTGACAGCTGCTCGAATAAATGCATTCTTTCCTCGTTTTTTTGAACATTTTCACGTTTCAACAATAGCAACCAACTTTCGGAGGCAAAAAAGCAAAGGAAGGGGAGGAATGAATAAAACTAGTTTTTGGATGATATTCACGAGTGCATTTGAATGCAAAATACGAATGAATCACTCTTTCTCTCTCTCTCCTTCTCTCTTTTCAGTTATTGTACTATTCTTTGTCGGCACGCCGTCTGCTTTATTGATTATATTATTTGTAGAGAAAAAAGGAGAAGAGGGGGGATGTTTGTTTTAATAACTCTGTGCCTTCCTACCGTAATCCTTCTCTAACCATGTCTTCAGAATGCGTCAACGTCGAATCCTCGAAATGAGCCCCGAAGAGCTGCGAGCAGTGACGGCGATAGTGTTGCCGGGCAGAAAGGGCGACGAGCTGAAGATTGGCGAAATGCAGGAAATGTGCATCAAATGGTCCGCCTACAATAGTCATTTTGGAAGGATAATGGTCATTTTCAGGTTGTTCGCCAACGGTCTTTCCATAAATCACGTGTTCGAGCTGCACGACGACGACGACGGCGATCTCTTTTGTGTTATGCGCAATTCGGAAGCGTGCTGGTGTTGTCCTAAAGGTTTGGGGTCTTCGGAGCGTTCACTCTTCTTACAGCAACGTGGCCTTGAGCTTTGCAATCGATAGATCCTTTGAAAACACAGTAACCCACGCTGTTTTCAGCTTCAAAGACTGGAACTCTATCCGATTTCGACCGTGGTCCGATCGGAGACAACTTCAAAAGAACGCCCTCCCCAACCAGAAGACCTCAGCATCCTGCCACGCATTCCAAACCTTCAAAGCCCCAATTCACACTCTCGGAGCCGTCTCCAAACGGCCAAAAGATCGGCCCGATCACAGTTCAACCGACAATTGTGACGATTCCGGATAAACCGAAGGAGGAGGAGGAGCAAAAGCAGACGGCGTGCGGGTACTGTAAGCGCGAGTGCGGACTGTGCATCGTCAATTTGTGCTCACAGTTTTGACGTGAACTTGATTCGCTTCATTTCCATTCATTTTCATTCCATTTCATTCCATTCCAAATGTCCGATCGTTTCGCCGGCTCCTCGTCCCTTCTGCAGCCGCTTTTCGGAGAATTTCTCCACTGGAGTTCCACGTGTAATCGGTAACCTCGTCTAAACCAGACTTGCCAAATTACGGGCCGGCCCGGCTCAAAAGGCGCGAATTCAAATTTTTGGGGGAAATCTATTTTTTCGTTTTTTTGCGGAGATCAAAATTTAAAAAAAAAACTACGACACTCCGACATTACGGTCGCGCGCGCTCTTTACGCTGCTGTGATGCCAATAAAAACTATTTTTGAGAACTACATTTCTTTTTTATGCTCGATACTTGCAAAATTCGTTAGTTCTACGAAAAACAAACATTTTATTTAATCAATAGTTCAAAATTTGGATTCCCGCTTTTTGAACCGGCCCGTGGCAACTCTGGTCTAAACTGTCAAATCCTGACAAATCTGACTTTTTCAGCGTCTCTCTCGACCCTAAATACTTTGATTTTGTGCTCGCCCTCGTCATTTCGCTCACTTTTTTTCTCACATTTTATCTGATTCTCTGGTCGGATTTCTGGATGGCCGCGCAACGAATCGGTGAGGTTTTGGGGCAGAAAAAGTAGAAGAACTTAAAGTTTCAGATCCCAAAAAGCGAATTTTCCGTCCGGAAACCGAAGAATCCAACTAAACCTTCTCATTTCTTTGTTTTGTCAATAAATTATTAGTAAATGGAAGTTACCCTGAAAATTTATTAGGTTAGCAGTGAGTAAAGCTCTTTTTTAAGGCAAAACTGAGGAAAAAATGGGTCTTGAAGCGTTTTGTGTCCTATTTTGACGCCCAAAAGCTCATAAATACTGCGAGGAACGCAATTTGAAGTGAAAAGTGATTCGAGGATTTACACGGTTCAACTTGGACAACAGAAGAATGATAGGTCTGCCAGAGCGCACGATTCTGGATGCACAACGCGCCGCCGCCACGTTTCAGTTGAGATTTCTGAAAGAAAGACGGTCCCTAAAAGTTGGTGGTCCTCTCCGGAAACAGTGCTCACTTGTCTGTTCATATCGCCAAAACACACGATCGGATTGCTGTCCGTACTCGAGACCGCCCATTTCGAATGATCCTTCGAACTGGCAAAGTTGAGACCGCTCACGCGCATTTCTGTGACGTCGTGGGTCTGAAAGCGAGTACGGTCGTATGCGAATACTGTGAATCGTATCAAATTATTCGGACCTGGCTGCTCGAAGTGCACGTCGTGTGCAGATCGTCTCCGCTGCCGTTCAGCCAGCTCTCGACGGCCAGCGTTATTCTGTTCTGGCGCGAAATCACGTCGTTCCAGACGTCTCCGTCGAACTTTTTGTGTTTCGCGTACGCCATCATCACCGCTCCCTGCACCGTTTTGATGGGTTTCGCCACCGAAAATTGCGTGGCCGACCGTGCCAAACTCTGCTTTGCCTGCACGTTTTTCAGAGTCGGGAAGCGAGTTGCAAACTTCTCCGGCAGGTTTAACAAGTACGGACTGGCCTGCAACCAGCAAATAACTCCCTCTGAGCCTACAGTAATCCCACACCCACCTGAATGTACTTCCAATGCTCGGCGAGATCGGCCAAGTGCTCCACAGGCAGGGACGAGCAGAAAAAGGATTGTCCGTACTTTTCGGCGGTCGGCGGATAGGCGAAAGACTTTGTTGGCGGGAAGTTTGGCACACTGTGAATGAGCCAGAAGCCTGTTTTCGTGTCGAAAAGCGCGACTCCTTTGGCGTGTCCGCGGTACGAATCCGCTGGTTTCACCGGGTCGTCGTCGCTGTACATAAACGAGAAATCGTCGTTATCCGACTCGTAGACTTGGGATACTGTAGCTCCGACGGCCACTTTCGGGTCGTTTATATCATTTCCTTTCTGCCAACTGCTCGGCATCTCGGAATCCACGTACACAAACTCTTTTCCGTCGGTGCCGCCGCTCAGTTTCGGGAGCTTGTAGACCACGAACCTGAAACATTTTGGCGTCAAATGAGATGTCACTCAGGTAAAATGTCAAACTTTTCTTGGCTCTTCTGAAGACATTCTCAAACTTTCGCAAGACAAAAAACTTTTCCAAGACCTTTTCAAACTTTCTGAAGCACTAAAAAGTTTTCTAAGCCTTTCTTAAACTTTTTCAAGAAATTCTCAGACTTTTTCCAGAAATTCTTAAACTTTTCTAAGCAATTCTCAAACTTTTCCAAGAATTTCTTAGGTGGCGCCTGGAAAAGTTTGAAAATAGCTAAGAAAAGTTTGAAATTTTACCTGAGCAATCGATAGAAAATCACGTGCTCATCATTTTTTTTCCGTTTTTTTTTCACAATTTTCAACCGAAAAACTCACCAATCGACAGATTTTCCTTTCATATTTTTGCACTGATGCTTGCATTCTGTCTGCCAAAATAAAAAAACAGATAATAAAAGTACAGTGGCGGTCCGAAAAGACGCCATTTTCACGGGCAGACAATTGACCGAATGATGCGTTGTTACAACATCGTCGCGACCCAATTTTCTTTCCCTTTTCTTCGTCACTTAAAATTGTGTGTTTTCTCTCTCCTTCTCTCTCTTTTTTTTTGGTTTTTTCGCCGCTTTTTGTCCGTCCCAATGACGCATCGATCAGATGATGGCCGTGCTTGTGGCGGCCGTGCTTTTTCTAGGCCGTCGCTCGTTTTGGCTGATTTTCAGCCGATTTGAGCTCATTTTTACCCGTTTTTTCTTGATTCTTTCGAATAATTCGAGTGATTTTAGAATGAGCAAATCGAAGAAGTCAAAGCCGACGTACTCGCTGCAAAATATCACGCAAATTCCCGGACTTATCGCATTTCTGGTGTGCAAGGGAAACGCCATCGTGAGTGATTCCGAGCACTGAGTTTTCCGCATACTTTCTAACGAAAAAAACATTAAAAATTTCAAAAGCTGCAAAATTTCAACTTTTTCTAAGCTAAACCTTCGATTCGACGAAAACTATGAAAAAATCGCTGAACGATTTGCTCCAGCTTGAGTATTCCAGCAAAATCGTCCTCATTCAGTAGAATTCTTAAAATTTCCAGGTGCACAACACGTTCCCAGAGTCAGAAAATCCGCGCCAAATCGCGTACAATGCGATGCGAATGGCGACCCGAACGCAAGGACCGGAGCTCAGCGAGCAGAAAGTGCACACGATCCAGGTTCAGTACGACGATTTCCAAGTGGAGATGTTCCAGATCGGCGGACACTTTTGCGTCATCAAAAAGAAGATTGAATTCGATTAATTCGCCCACACCCGATTTCTTGTAATATTGCCTCATCCCATTTTGATTCGCGTTGTAATTCTCGGTTCTTCTAAATATTTTAACAGAAACAATAACCTTGAAAACAATAATTCTAGATGAGAACTACAAAAACAAGAGAGGAAAGGTAAGAGTTAACGTCGTTTCCAGATCCATTTGGCACGTGCTCCCGGCTGGTTCACTTTGCTTCGCTCTTTCTTCCTCGGGTCCAGTGTGAGCAGTCCGGCTAGTCGAAGCGGTTCGGCGACATCTGGCTGGAGGGCTGCGATGCAAAGGGCGGTTCCGTGGCGGACGGCACGTGGCAAACTGCTCATTCCTCCGCTTCGATTGCTGCAAAAAGAGAATTCCCTTCTCAATTCTCAATTTCCCATCACGTACAGAATCTCTTTATTCGGCGCTTCTGGAAGAGAGTTCGAGACGCAGGAAGTGGTCGCTTTCACGTCGAACCGACCCAAAGTCTGGCTGATTATCATCGGGGCGAGCAGAATTTCTCTGCAATAAAAGTATTGGGAAATTCGAGGCAGAGAGGGGCCTACCTGGCCATGAGATGTCTGAAATCGTGCAATCCGAGGCCGTCCACGTTGAAAACGCCCTTTCCGGCGTCGGTGACTGTGACGTCGGCGCGGGTGTCTTTGCAGTGCGTTCTGAAAAATTCCAGATGAAAATGGGCGATTTCGGGGGTTTTGGTAGCTTAGCGCTTTTTGTCTCTATTTTCAAGTCAAAATCACTTACGTGACTTGGGCGAATCTCCGATTAGTCAGCGCGCAAATCTGAACGTCCGGAATGGCCGGTCCGAACAGTTTCGAGCCCGTCGTAGCCGTCATCGGCTCTCGGAATTCCATCAGGAAATTCTGTTCGATTGCAGAGCCGGGAAGGGAAGCCAAGTGCTCGAAAGCGATGATAATCTGGCCGTAGAGCTCCGGAGAGAACTTTTCCGACAGCTTCTTCTTCATTCTATCCGCAGTCATCCATTGTGAACCGCTCAGATTTCTAAAGAAAAAAGTTAAACTTTTCAGGAATTTCGATAAAATGAAGTAAACTGACGCTGGTTCCAGGTCGCTGGGATTCGCAGATCGGCTTCCGACGTGCTCGTCGTAGAATTTCATGACCGACTGCGTTTTGACTCCAATTTCCGACATTAATCCGTAGATTTTCGGGCTCAACGTGTAAAAACGCGATCCTTCGGGCCTTCCCTCGTTGTCGAAAGTGAATCTTTGGAATTTTGGAAGGATCTCGTCTGGCGGACGCATCACTGGCCGCGCATTAGGATCTGTGAGTCCCGATGGAAACAAATACTCGATTGCTCTGCAAATTAATCAGTTCTTTGGATTATTTCTTTAAAAACCTGTCGATAGCTTTCTGGTCAAGCTCGTGAATATCCAAACTCATCATTTTCGCGAGATGTCGTCGTCCCGTCTCGAATTCTGCTCTAAAATAGAAATTTAAGATTGCATTACGAAAAATGAAGAAAACCTGTGTTTTTCCATCATTGCCACGTGCTTCTGACTGTTCTTCAGGTACACTTCAAGCGCTTTTCCAATTTTTCGAGCCGATGAGTCGCTGTCGGGTCTGAAATGCGTAAAACTGATATTGCAGCAGGAAATAACGAAAACTCACACGGAAGCCTGAGCGGCGGAGCTCATCGCCCTGCTCGATCTGGTTATAATTACTCTGAGCATCTGAAAGTTGATGAAAATAAAGGGAATCTGTTGAAATGAGTGAAAAAACGAAGGAAATCCATGGATTTGCATTGACAAACTGAGAAAATGTGCACGTTCGCAATGGAGCGCGTTTGCAACATGCAGCTGGAAAAGCGGATTTCTTTCTTGTTTTCAACCTTTATTCCACAAAAAATCAGTGAACAATTGTTTTTTCAATTACAGAAAAAATTACAGAAAACTAAAAAATTACAGAAAACATAAAAGTGTGAAATGAGACTCGTTGTGTGCGACAAAGCGTACACACACACTAGCGAAATAGAGAAATCACCACAAAAAATCAAAAACTATCGTTTTATGTAAAGTCTTTTCACAATGTAAATAATCAAATGAAATTCGCATCCATTTTTGTAAAGCATTCAAATGTCGGAAACAAAGAGATCTCAACTATTTTCACTAAAGACGTGTGTAATTCTCGTCTAGACGCTCGTGGTCGAAGTGCTGCCGCTGGAGCTCGTCTCTTGCATTTCCGTCGAGCTGGGCTCCGTGTTGTGGACCGGCTGATAGTTGTCCGGACCGAAGATCGAGAGAAGGATGGGCATGTAGACGACGCCGTGGACAGTGCAGACGAGGCCGATTCCGAAGAGTTGGAAGCAGAAGTAGGTGATGAGCACCTGCGAATCGGCGAAAGCGAGGCAGCCGGCAGTCAGGACGATGGCCGGGAAGATGCCGGAAAGCGTCTGAAATTGTATTTTCAATTGACTGAGAAGTTGATTGATCCGACCGTAGCCCCGTTATCGACAAGCGCCGCCACTGCTCTCTCCTCCCGTTTCGCCTTTTTCGAATTGTAGAACCCATGCAGAATCTGCACGACAAACTCGACGGCAATTCCGAGAGACTGAAAAAGGTCGTCGGGTTACTGTAGGCGGTTACAGTAATCTCCTACCATAGTCATGTTGATCATCGAAACCACATTGACCTGAATTCCCTGCAGGTACATCCAGGCCATCAAGTGAAGGAATGAGGAGAGGAGGACGAATACTGGGAAGCCGATATTGTGGGGCTGAAAGAAAGAAGAAAAGGGGGTCTTACCAGTGACCAAACTGCCGGCCAAATTGACTCTCAGAAACAGCGAAATGGTGACGAAGGCGACGAAGAGAACAAGAACGACGAGGGTGTAAATGGTGGTCGCCAGTGTCAGATATTGCTCGTAGTACGGGAAGAACGTGCTGTACACATAGACTTTCGCGCCGGTTCCCTTCAAATTTCCCTCAATTTCTTGGGCGACGAATTGAGCGAACCGCCACGCTTCTAGAAATGAAAGAGCAATGATTGAGTGCGACTACAGTAACCCTCTCACCGTACAATTCCATCGAGTCCGACAGGTTGAGCTTTTTGAAGAACGTCCAAAAGTAGGAGGCGTGAATCTGTCCCGCGGTCATGTTGATCGCCGGAGCGGCAGTGGCCAGACCGCCGTGAGCACACTGTACGGACGGCGGAGTTTTGAGGAAATGCGCGAGGTTACTGTAGAATTCGTCGGCGGCCGAGAGGGCTGAATTGCGGGCGGAGCACGAGAAGCATTTGGACGAGGAGTTGGACGGACTGCCTGGAAAGAAGAGGAAGAGGAAGAAGAAAAAGTCTGACGAGAACACAATCTTTCCGATTCCAGCCATCCCTTATCGCCCGACTTCCCGGTTAAACTATTGTCATTCAAGACGGGCCGCTTCAAAATCATACGCGTCTTTCAAACGATAACTTTCACTCTTCTTGGGGGGGCGCCTCGGCGGCAGTTTAACAGGGAAATACTTCTCAAACTATTTTCTTCGGGCAACAACCTTGTGCCCACCAGTTTACACCCCCCAAACCGTTCTGAAGATCACCGCTATAAAAGGAGCGTACAAATCTTGTGAAGGCGTCTGTACAAGAGAGAGAGAGAGAGAGAGATAATGGCATCTTCGTGCGTGTCGGTCGTGAGTGCGATCAGTGGCGTTGCCGTTCTCGGCGCGCTTCTCACCGCCGCCTTCATCTTCAACGATATCAATCGTTTCTACTACACGACGATGGAAACGTTTGACGAGTTCAAGGTTGGTGCCACATCTCTCGCACGTACGTCTTTTGTCAAAACTTGCAGATGAACGAGAAAAGCGCGTGGGACAACATGATCATGACGACTCGTTCGCCGCAGCAGGTCTTCATGGGCCGTGCTAGGCGTCAAGCGGATCTTCCCGATTGCCAGGCGCTCGCCAAGAACTGTCCACCAGGACCGGCTGGAGCACCGGGAGCTCCGGGAGCCGCAGGAGAGCCAGGAAGCGACGGAGAGGCCGGAAAGCCGGGACTCGACGGATCGGCAGTTCCATTCACTTCCGCCTCCGGAGGAGCTTGCATTCAGTGCCCAGCCGGAGAAGCTGGACCAGCTGGACCACCGGGACCACCAGGACCAGCGGGAGCGGACGGAGAGGCTGGAGCCGACGCGCCAGCCGGAGGCCCAGGAGCGCCAGGACCACAAGGACCAGCGGGAGACGCCGGAGCGCCAGGAGCACCGGGAGCCCCAGGAAACGGCGGACAGCCAGGAAAGGACGGACAGAGATCGATCGGAACTCCAGGAGCCGCCGGAGCCCCAGGACCACAGGGACCTGCCGGAGCCATTGGAGAAGCCGGAGCCGCCGGAGCTCCAGGAGCACAAGGACCAGCCGGAGGGCCAGGAGCCGATGGACAGCCCGGAGCCGCCGGAGGACCGGGAGTGGCCGGAGAGCGAGGAAAGGACGGACAGCCGGGACCCGATGCGGCCTACTGCCCGTGCCCAGCCAGATCTGCTCAGTGATCACCGCCGCCCATTTCCATTGCCATTTGTACATCTTCTTCTCCTTGTTGTTGTTACCTCATAACTTATCCCAACGTGCCAACACCGAATAAACTCGCTAGAACCTCCTCAACTTACAGTAATCCTTGCCGTCGGTCTTGCAACACGTGCCACGTGGATGCATAAACTGAAGAAAAGAGTCGAGCCAAATGTAGACGTCGCCGTGCAAAAAGTTGCCGTCGTAGTTGTTCGTGTAGGCGAGCGATCGGATCGTGTTGCCCATCGAATCCTCGTGGCAACCGGCCAGCGTACAGAATTTGTTCTGAAAACCGAGAAAATGGTTCATTTGTTTGTTTGGGCCCTAAATCTCCTCACCTGCACCTCCTGTTCGTACCATTTGACGTTTCCCTCGACGACAAACCAGACGGGCGGTCCGATGTTCAGATTCCTGTTCAGATTCTCAAAGTGCCGCGACAAATAGCTCGTCTGCAATGCGGTTTTCGAAAAGGTTTCCCGGGACTACTGCTGTACCTTGGAAAAGGCCATCGTCTGATCGAAACCGTACTCGAGATGAAGAGTGCAATAAACGGAGACGCAGAGAGTGAACGCGTGCGTCGAGACGATCCACAACCGGCAGAATTTGTAGTTGATCAGAGGCGCGATGGCCAATTTGAACCAATCGACAGGACTTCGGAGGGATCCGTTCACCGAATCCAGCACAATATTCGTTTGGGACGCATCGGACAACCGGTAGCACGGCCAAATCTCGCATCTTCCAGACTGAAACGAGTCATTGTACGGTAGGCCCTACAGTAGGCCTACAGACTTACCATTTCCCGCTTCGCGTCGTACTGATAAAGTGGCAAAATAACGAGGAGATAGAAGAAGGTGTCGAAAAGAATGGCCAATCCGGCGTGTCTCGCAAACACCTCGACGGAGGGCATCTTCACGGAAATGTACGGAAGGACGCCGCCGGCAAGGAAGAAGCACGTCGAGCAGATGAGCGAGCTCGTGAGCACAATCGGAATGCTCCGTCGCATGGTGTCCGTGATCCGGTGCTCCATGTCTCGCTTCGACATCTCCGGCCGTCCGTAGCAGTGTCCGTGGTTTTGGAACGTGCGGATCGTGACGAAGATGCGGTTGATTCCGATGCAAGTGACGACGAAGAAGAGCACGACGATCGCGTTGTCCGTCGCGTGGATGTCGAAGAACGAGAAGACGCCGATCGAGCACCACACACTGATCACGTTGATGAGCACCGCACTGATGGCGATGATGAGCTTGTGATGGACGAGGGCGGAGAGGAACGAACTTTCGGGCCAGTGGTAGATGCCGAGTTGTGCGAGCACCCAGAGGAGGACCAACCCGCACGAGAGCACAGAGACCAACTTGTCCGTCTCCACCTCTTTTTGCAGTTCATCCTGTTCAAATTGATCCCCTACTTTGAGAGCCTTCGTCACCTACCGTAACCGAGGATTCGGCCATGAAAGTGAACTCGGCGTGCTCCATCCGATGCTCTTTCATCATCCGTATAAACTTTGCCTCCCAGGCTGACGCCAACTCCTCCGGGCCTTTCACGAGTATCGTAATCATCAAAGTTCGAGCGGTCAAGAACTGAAACCCCCACACGTATACTTCTACAAATGAGCCTACAGTAATCCCCCGCACCCTCTCGGCTCCCTTCTTGCTCGTCTCATTGTATCCGCCAAACACGAGAACCGGATCGATCGGGCCGCCAAACTCTCCAAAGCACGTCATCTTCGAATAGGTCGACATGCGAAGCGGATCATGAATACAGTACTTCAGATGATTCCAATATTGATCGCCCATGAACAGATCGTCGGCTTCTGTCGGTGCTCCGGCGTTCAGGAATGTGTCCGGCGAGTTCTGAAAGTAGCCGGTCGGGCTCAGGATGGCACACCCGTACGCGGATCCGAGCGGTTTGAAGCAGATGTCGTTGAGGGTGACTGACGAGTTTCCGTGGATTACCGTCATGTTCTGGACCTTTCCGACGAGTGTGAACAACTGAAAATCAAGCCAGAGTGATATACTCTGGTATTATAGGGGCATCTCACAGAAATGGCGCGCTGTTCGCAATCTGGCCGAATTTCTAGGCCACGAAGTAATTTTCCACTGAAAACGTGGCCTAACTTTTAAAACTCGGCCCCGAGGTCGCTCAATTTGCACTGCAAAAAGAGTTTCTCAACAGAGCGCCATTTCTGTGCGGTGCCCCTATAATCAATCAAAAACTAACTTCTTTGAACAAATCCATATCGAACATGTCCTCCATCTCCGCCGGAATGTTCACGAAAATGAGTTCTTTCCGATGAACAGGTCTATAACACGAACAAAACTTGAATGCTTTGGAAATCCTACCGTACCCGAAAGTCTCGATGAACGTCTTTTCGTTCCGTCTGGTCACTCCGTCCGCCGCCGAAACTTGATCGATCGAATGCGTCAGACTGTGGAATTTCGCATTTCCAGAGCAACAAATGGCGGCGACGAAGAGGCCGAGCATCGCGCACATCCACGGATGTTGGATAACAGTCTGCACGGGATGAAATGGGTCAAAGTACAGTAGTCCGGGTGCTCACTCACATTCGCGTACCATTTGCACGAATCGTCGAACAGAATCTCGATGTTTCCCTCGGAGATGTCCACGTAGCAGCCTTCGCCGTCCGTCAGACGAGTGTGGCACGAGTATTTGAGGAGAACGACGACGAGAAAGACGAGAGCGAACATTCCGAATATTTTGGGAACCCAGAGCGATTCGGGGAACGTCGAGGTGACGACCGTCTTGCTAAGCTGGAAGGAAAATGATTACGACTCCAGCTACTAACTACAGTAACCCACCTTGTCCACGCCGGAGAGATCGAGAAGTTGAACGGAATTGGTGGGGCAGTCGATGAATCCACAAGCGGGAACATTCGGACCCGCAGACTTGTGGCACGGGGTCGTCGGCACGTTCATCGCATTCTGAACTCGTGGCCTAGCTGTCCAAACTTTTTTTCTCTTCCACCCACGATCTCCAGAGTTGACAATATGGGCGTGGCCTCGGCCAAATGGCGTTTTCATGAATTGAGCAGGTTTTCTCTAATTTTTGTGGTCAAAGGCGATGAAAAATGATTGTTCGACATGAAAACACACTAATTCTCAGAATTAATGACGTTTTGGCGCATTTTTCGCGGACTTTGCTTTTTCGTCTTCGCCGCCTCAAAACCGCACTTCTCATTTTGCGCTTTCTTGACCGTTTTCAGGCAGAATTGGTTTCGAGAATGATAAATCACGTAAATACAAGCATTTTGAGCGCTCGAACCGCGAAAATTACCGAAAAGCAACTGAAATTCACGCAGTTTTAGCCAAAAACCTTCAAACGGATAAATGTGATTTGCGACTTGACCAAATTTAACGCTCCTGCGCTTAAAGGACCAGGGAACCCAAAAATTTTTTGATTAATTTGTGAAATTTTTTTGTGACTGTTTGAATTATCTCTTATTGCCTCATACATTGGTGAAATGCTGCCTCTCAAAAATGCCAATGAACGAAACGGCATGCAGTTGAAGTTGTGGCCGTGGCCTAGCGCCAATGGCCGAAAAATATATAAAAATATATGCGCTTCTCGGCCATTTTATTTTTTCCGCTTTTTTTACCGGTTTTTTTCCAAAAAAATTCACGGTTTCTCCCATTTTGGCACTTCATATCGACTGAATGAAAAACAATTTTTTTAGCAGTGAAAAAAATAAGTAAGTGCCGAACAAATGTCAATCAACTGAAAAAAATGGGAGAAACCGTGAATTTTTTTGGAAAAAAACCGGTAAAAAAAGCTGAAAAAAATAAAAAAAGGCCGAGAAGCGCATATATTTTTATATATTTTTCGGCCATTGGCGCTAGGTCACGGCCACAACCTCAACTGCATGCCGTTTCGTTCATTGGCATTTTTGAGAGGCAGCATTTCACCAGTGTATGAGGCAATAAGAGACAATTCAAACAGTCACAAAAACATTTCACAAATTAATCAAAAAATTTTTGGGTTCCCTGGTCCTTTAAAAAAATCGTAATAGCCTATAAAATCGGTCTATCGAGAGACAAATCAGAAATTATCGGTTTTTCGTGGCTAATCTGGCAAAAAACACAAATTTTGCTGTTAAAATTTGAATTTCGCGCCAATGTATCGCTCTATTGGGCGCGGGGCGCACTTGTGCCCATTGTAAGCTTTGGAGACCGTGCCACCCCCTCACCTTCTTCCGATTGAACTGAAAACTCGTGGAAACCGGAATGTTCAGCGCGTCGTTCTTCTGTCCCATAAACTCGTAAAAGTTCTCGAAAGACACGGTGCCGCCGATGGACATGAGCCGAAGGGCGGGACCGTTGGCGAACCACATGTAGCGGCACGAGTCGAAGAGTCCCTCGGCGAACTTTCGATTCACCTGATAGTCGATCTGCTCGATGATCTCCTTCTTTGCCTCCACCGCAAACTTTTGCACTTTCATAAAGTCCGCCTGTCTCGGCGAGCACGTGTACTGGCACCACAACTTCGCAAAGTTGTCGAAGCAACTGGGACAGGAGCCGAGGATCGCGACGGCGTTCGAGATGCGCTCGGTCATTCCCTTGAGCTGGAGCGGAGTGCAGCACACGGACGCCTTCTCGTCGTCGTGGAGCAGGTGCGAACAGTACTTTTCGAGACGGTCCAGGGCGTCCGGGTGCTTGGATCGGGTGAGTGTCAGGGGGAATGAGGCTGCAAGAAAGGGCATGTATATTGTTTAATAGGTTTGTGAAATGATCCAGAAAACTCACTCGAATGATTGGTTCGGCACGGCGGAAAGTTGCTGTCGGTCTCGCCCTCGCACTCGGTCATCACACATTTCCCCTGGCACGCTGCCAAGTGCACCGTCGACAACAAGAGAAGCAATCGCAGAAGCATTATTTTGAAAATGACCGAACGAAACGGTCAAGGGGGGGCAACGAAATGAACTTTACGGGCGGGGGGAACGGAATGGGGTGAGATGATAGCCGACGTGGCAAGCAAATCGGGCACGTGATTTCAATTCGCACACACTTTTCTTTCTTTCTTTCTTTCGTTATTAAATTTGTGTACAGTGTCGTCGAGAAATGCGGAGAATGCGGATCGTACAGGAGCAGCAGCGGCGGCGGCGGCGGCGGAGACAAAAAAAGCGATATGGTCGAAATTTGGATTCAATTATAGCTGCGGGGCAGATGTTTTCCATATGGGCGACACTTTGTTTTTGTCGCTACTGTTTTTGCGCTGTTTTCGAGCGAATGCAGATCTTTAGAAATTGTCAATCAAATACAAAATCGCAATTATCTCTGTTTCTTGAGTCTCCTCTGCGCTTCATCGACGACCTGCCGGAGCCCGTCCGGATCCAGCTCGTCGAGAAGCACCGACACCGCCGACATGATCTTCGTGAGTCGCTGCTCTCGCGCCGGGCTCATCGAACTCGCGCGACACGTGTGATTGGCCGCCCGACGACGTGGCATACTCACCGATCTACCGTATACCTGAGGAACAAACGTTTGGGGATCGGATCAGAAGAGCACTCACTGGGCGTTTCATCTCCATTACCATTCCCTCGTGCATACTCTGGTACATGCGATGGGAAGCCTGCAGGGGCATTGGGACCATGACCCGGTCCTCGTCGATGCTGGAAGTAGTGATTCAAGACGATGTATCTCCGTTTCCGTTTGAGATATCAAAAAGTGATCAACTAGTGAACTACTAAGGAAGACATTTTGCACATTTTATTAGTTGACAACGTTTTGATATCTCCACTAGCAGCTGAGATACACCGTTTCGAATGTTCCACCCACCTGAAGTCATTCCAGTCGTCCTCTCCGTCCGCCGAACTCGGCTCCTCGGCCAGTGTCTCACAAAGCGTTCCGTACATTGACTGCGACATCAGATTGTGTCTAGACCCCCTCTGACTGACGGGCGCACTGTCCAAATAGACCGTCGTGTGCTCTTCGGTCATCGGCAATCCGGCCACTTCCACCGAGAACGATCTGGTCGGAAATGTGGCCTTCTCCTCGTCGGAAGTGTCGCCAAAGTGCAGAATTTGTGAGGGCATTACTCTGTCGACGACGGTCGGTCCTACTGTAAAGATGAATTAGTGTAGTGACGGAGAAGAGAGGGGAAGGGCTACCATAAACGGATCGGCTCATGAGGTCCATCGAATTGGAGCGGTTCGATCGGGTACTGTAGATGGAGGTGAGCATGTCGCATTCCGGAACACTTTCCTCGATTATCTCCTGATGGTCCGCTTGGGTTACCGCTGAAAAGAGCGAATAATGCGATTGTATAGAAAAAAATAAGAAAAGCGAACGTTTATCATCCAATTTGGTCAAATTCGGAAGCAATTTGCAAATTTTGCGTCGGTAATCCTGTCCGCCCTCGCCCACGCACGGATTCTCGTCGATCCACAGTGTCCTGAGGTTCGGAAGATCCTTGATGTACTCCAACTCGTCCAGACTCTCCAGACAGTTCTTCCGCAAGTACAGCTCTTTCAGATTCTTGCAGTTTTGCAGAGGAGCCAGCGTTTTCACTTCGTTCATGCTGAAACAAATGTTTTGGAGCTAACGTCATCCTCTCTCGAGCTAGTTTTCTCTGATTTTTGTGGTCAAAGGCGATGAAAAATGACTGTTCGACATGAAAACACACTAATTCTCAGAATTAATGACGTTTTGGCGCATTTTTCGCTGACTTTGCTTTTTTTGTCTTCGCCGCCGATCGCCGCCTAAAAACCGCACTTCTCATTTTGCGCTTTCTTGACCGTTTTCAGACACAATCGGTTTTGAGAATGATAAATCACGTAAATACAAGCATTTTGAGCGCTCGAACTGCGAAAACTACCGAAAAGCAACTGAAATTCACGCAGTTTTAGCCAAAAACCTTCAAACGGATAAATGTGATTTGCGACTTGACAAAATTTAACGCTCTTGCGCTTAAGAAGTTCATAATAGCCTGTACAATCGGTCTATCGAGAGACAAATGAGTAATTATCGGTTTTTCGTGGCTAATCGTACAAATTTTGCTGTTAAAATTTAAATTTCGCGACAATGTATCGCTCTATTGGGCGGGGCGCACTTGCACCCATTGTCAGCTCTGGAGACCGTAATATATTTAAATACCTGAGGGATAGTATTTCAAGAAGAGCCATTTTCTCGCACACTTGAATATCATCGATTCCACATCCCCTGCAACAGCTCTTTCTTCAAAAGATTTCGCGAAAAACGCATACCACAAATTCAGCTTTTTCACATTCTCAATCGAACTTTTCGTACGAATATAGACGGCCGACTCGGTGAGTTTCACCATTTTTCAATGTGGAAGAAGAAGAAGAAGAATAGGGTAATGGAATAGAATTAGAGTGGAGCGGCCACAGCTGGACGTGCGTTTGCGAGTGGAAATGGAGAAGGGGCGCCGCCGGAGAGAAACGGGTCCGAAATGGGAAAGAGAAAGAGAAGACACTTTGGAATGCACGAGAAATGGAGACGTCGAGACGAGAAGAAGACAAAGAAGAAGAAGAAGGAGAAGAGGAAGGGCACAAGCATCAAGTGTGCTCTTTTTGAGGCGAATGAGACAACTTTTGGGCCAAAAGGCGGCAGAATTGTGAGCACATTGTGCTTGAACTGAAATTCGCTTTTCTCGGGGGACTTGTACACTATACTGTGAAGTCTCAAAATTGTTTGCTCTTTCCAACTGCATCTCGTTTAAGTAACTATTCGAACGCACTTTGTTTCTCTGTCACAATCTTTTTTTTTCTGTTTTAGAAATGAAATTGGGGACGGACAAACGGAGAAATAAACAAACAAGAAACAGAGGGACAAAAAGAGTTCCATTAATAAGAAAGATAAGAATGATGCATCATATTGTATGATCGGAAGTATGTGAATAAAGTATTATCCGAATCCAATGAATAACCCAAGTAAGTATCCTCATCATATGATATGATAATGATACTTATTTGGTGAAACCAGCAAAAATGTGAGAAGAAGGTTTTGACAACTCGAACTTTGTTTAACAGAAAATTACATCGAAAAGATCACAAAGTGTATCATCTCTTGCTGGTCGATCTCGTCACTTTCGCCATCTCCGGCTCCGGTGCCTCGTCGGCCGTCTTCTTTTTCAGTGGAGTCCTTCGGGGCCGATCGCCCTCCTGATAACCGCTGGCCTCTCCGATCAGCTCGATCCACGGAGAGTAGCACTTCCGCCACAACTCTTTCAGCTCCTCGTCGTTCATCTGATTTCCGCCGCCCTCGCCGTCCAGATCTCCGCTGATCAACGTCTTCATTCCGTATCCCTGGACCCGCTCGCTCGGATGCTCTTTCGCGTAATGCGAGCGCACTCGGCGGACGTTCAGCGCTTTGAATCCGCAGATTTTGCACGGGATCCTTCGGTCGGAGTGGGTCAGGGCGTGGTCCAGGAGACGGAGTTTTCCGTACTTGACACGCCAATTGTACTGGTGGTGGCAGTTCTAAAATAATGAGGGTTTCAGTTGATATTTCAGGTAAGGACTCACTGGATAATGACACACAATACTGTACACCGTATTCGAAATGTCGGGATCTTCAATCATCAACTTCCGCCTCGTCTTTACGATTCCATTCATTCCGTTCATGGCCAGTGACGTGGGAACATTCGAACCGACTCCTGTTCCGTTCCCGAACACATTCTGACTCCAAAGATCCTGAATCATGCTCATTTCGAGTTCATTCGTCTGGCTCGAATCGTTCGTTTCGTCCAGCTGCTCCATCTTGGGCGCTTTGAAGAGGTGCTCATCGGATGAGTTGAACGTGGAAGAAGTCGACGGCGTCATGGGAGCTTGGGAAGTGGAAAAGGTCCGAGAAGGATCATACGTGAGTGTGGCATCCCATTCTTTCTGAAAACGGAAGGTTTAGGAGATGGTGTTCTAGAAAGAGAAACTAACCGTTTCTTGTTCCCATTGGCCTCTTTCTTCTTGATTTTTAGGTACATTGCCCGTCGGAAATGTCTCAGCCGAGCTCATTTCGGCAGGAGCATTGTCTTTGAACGGCTTCGAACCATTCGCGCCGTCCGGGGCCAACGGAATCGGAACGTCTGTGATCCACGATTCTGAGCAGCCTATAGTTTTCTGAAAGAAAAATATTTTTTGAAAATTTCTGTAAAAACTATTTTCCGAGTGCAAAAACTACACAAATTAGTTGTTTTCACTTCATATTTGGCTTGTAATTTTCTACACGGGCAATATTTCGAAAATAACTCACCAGCCAACTTTGCAAACAGATTCCGCGCGATTTCAGCGATTCCAGACTCTCATTATAAATATTAATTTGGATAAAAGAGGACATTCTCTCTTTCTCCTCGCGGAATTAGCCTTCAGAAGGCCAGAAGTTGGGAGAGAATGAATCAATTGGGACGGGCAGACCAAAGAGGCGAGAGAGTGCGAGACGCAGAGAACCTTAGCAGCGCCGGCGCGCCTGCCCCCCACGCGTTTCTCGTGCTATTTCGCTGTGCGGCGCGTGGTATTGCGGGCAGCAGCCGACGTACAATCGCGTGTAGTTTGTGGCCGCTGCGACAACTTACGACAGATAAAAAGGGAGGGCGAATGACTAGAATGCGAATCTGGAAGCATCCGAAGAGAATGAATTTATCAGATACCGGGGAAGGTAACAGAACAAATAGAAAAGTTTGGGAAATAAGTTAAGAGTACAGAATATGAACGGATGAAAAGCAATTAATCCTCGCGAAGTGGCAGGAACTTCTGGACGATCGGCTTTCCGGCCTCAGCGATCACCAGATGGATCTTGTCACCGGTCGAGATTTCACGCTCGGCAGCTCCGCGGAACGAGTCCTGAAAAACAATACTCTTTATGAATTCTTCTTAAAGTTGTGCACCTTCATCAGAGAGATGGCTCTCTCCAGAGTGAGCTGTGGGCGCTCGTATCCCTCGGCAAGAGTGGCGTGTCCGACCTGGCAATCCAAGAACGGAATGATCATTGGCTCGGCGGCTCCACTGGCCGAGTATCCCAGTCGTTCGATGCATCCGATCGGATCGTAACTGAACACGGCTCCCTTCCCGTTCTCGTCGACTCCGGCCAGGATGGCTCCGGTGTAGTAGGGGAAGAAGCGACGGTAGTAGAGGTTGCGGGAGAGCAGCTCAGCGCACAGATCCACGGACATATCGGTGCGGTAGTCGAAGCGGTATTTGTGAAGACGCGATTGAAGCACCTTCTTCAGTTGGAGCACGTCTCCGTAGAATCCGCACGTCGTCAGAATGATCGAGTCGTTCCTAAATGTACACTGTCTTTGATAGCACCCCATTTTCCACTTACAAAACATGAATCTTCTCGGCATCACGCGTCAGAATGTTGACGTCGCTCTGCGTCATTCTCGTGTCACTTGCCACGATGGCGAAGTTCTCTCCGGAGATGGCGCACGTCGATCCTCCCTCCATCGAGTACGGATTCCAGCGCTGACGCTCGATGAGACGCGAGCTCATCCATTCCGGGTTTCTCGAGACTTCTCTCATCGCTTGCTTGAACTGCGACATGTTGTCGGTGGCGTTAGCGACGGAGGTGATTCCGGTGAACGTGGTCATTCCTGAATGACAAAAAATGCAATGAAAATCACGAAAAATCAGTGGAACACAAAGGAAAATGTTTGAAAGTCAGAAACGACAATGATGACAATGAACTTGTCGTCGGGTGTGATGCCGGGTACGCAGAGGTGTCTAGCGCAGACTTTGCATTTAAAATTACGATACTTCAATTAAATTCACTGGAAATCAGAATTTCAGCTGATGTTATTGCTTTTTCCATGTATTTTTTATAATTTGCTCAAAACCAACAAAAAAAATCAATTTTTAGATGTCAGAATTCACGGAGCACACGCTAAAGTCAAAGTTGGCCAGTCTGTCAAACCACGTCAGCTCGATTCAATCGACATCAAACTGGCTGCTGAAGAACCACAAAAACCGCGAAATTATCATTCGGCTCTGGCTTAAAGTAAAATTTTCTGTCAAGCTCTGCATATTTATGAAATTTAGACAGTGAAAAAGGAGTCCAAAAGCCCCAGAGTGGTCAATTTGTTGTATGTGGCGAACGACGTAGCACAGAATGCGAGAAAAGCGTGCCCGCAGTTCAAGGACGAGTTTTTCCCGGCAATCGAAAGTGCATTCAGGTGAGAAAATGTCGAAGTTTACTGAAAATTGTGAATTTCAATTCCAGACACGCATGTGAGCTGAAAGGAGCCAAAGATCTGGAAAACGTGATGGGTAAGCTGATCAGTGTGTGGAAGGAGCGACAGATATATTCGCCGTCGCACGTGAAACGCCTTCAGGAAGTGCACAATCAGATGAAGATGTCCGGAAGCTTCCCGTCTCCGGCCAGTAAGGATCAGGGAAAGGTTTGTGGTTTTTTGTTCGGAATCTTAGGATCCTAGTAAACTGAAACATTCAGAACTCGCAGCCGAATCAGTTTGTAATGGAAGAGGCGAAGAAGAACGCGCAGGACGTGCTTCTCAGCCTGAAACGCCTTCAAAACCCACCGAGCACAGAACGAGAGATCAGAGTGCAACTTTCGAAATATCCGGATAACATCTCCTGCCCAGAAAAGCTGCAATCCGTTGCGAATAGCGAGGAGGCAAAGTCCCTTCTGGCTCAAAACGAAGAAGCGCTGCCGATGTTGGAGGACTACGTGAAACGGCTGAAAGACGAGACGAGAGAACGGGAGACGCTCGAGGCGAATCTCAATCTGCTGATCCAGAATGTGCGCATGAGCATTGAACACCACGAGAAACTGTGCAGAGATGTCAAGAGAAGGGAGGATCGCATCAAGGCCGATTTGCTTGAGGTAAATACAGATTCTGGGCGCTTCTGAATCTAATTAATTACTATTCTAGGTAGAAAAGACGTTCGAATCGCTGCCGGATCTCTCGAGAGACATGCCGAATGCGCCTCCTCTCCCCACGCTTGAGGCTCTTTTCGGAAAGAAAAAATAATCGATCCGCCGACATAATACCGCTTTTTCTTCCATTTTCGCCCCGCTGCCTGTACGTTCCCTTACCTCATCCATTTAATTTCGACGATCTCCTGTTAATCTTTGTCGTCTCTCCTAATTTGTCACTGAAGTTGTTATGTATAGCTCGGTTAGCCCTCTCTTTCTCTTTTTGCACATAATTTTTTATCATTTGAACCGCTAAAGTGCCAAAACCTCAAGGTTTCTAAAGTTTTTGAAACAATAGAATAAAAAGTTCAAAAAATCTATTTCGGCAGGAATTGTGTGCGGTTTTTCGGTTTCCAACCGATCTTTTTATCTGATCTTCGTGAATTTCTAAAGAAACTTAATCTTCCAGATGGGTATTCTGGAAAAGATTGCGGAAATCGAGCATGAGATCTCGCGAACGCAGAAGAACAAGGCGACCGAATACCATTTGGGTCTTCTGAAGGCCAAACTCGCCAAGTACCGTCACCAACTTCTGGAGCCGACGGGAAAAGGCGGCGCGAAAGGAGAGGGCTTCGACGTGATGAAGTCGGGAGACGCCCGCGTCGCAATGGTCGGCTTCCCGTCCGTCGGAAAGTCCACGTTGCTCTCCTCGATGACGTCGACACACTCGGAGGCGGCCGGCTACGAATTCACGACGCTCACCTGCATTCCCGGCGTCATCTCGTACAACGGCGCCAACATTCAACTGCTCGATCTGCCCGGAATCATCGAGGGCGCCTCGCAGGGAAAAGGACGCGGACGGCAGGTCATTTCGGTGGCCAAGACCGCCGATCTCATTCTGATGATGCTGGACGCCGGGAAGAGCGATCAGCAGAAGATGCTGCTCGAGCGGGAACTCGAAGCGGTCGGCATTCGGCTCAACAAGAAACCGCCGAACATATATGTGAGGCAGAAGAAGGTGGGCGGAGTCAAGTTCACGAATACGGTGCCGTTGACGCACTGCAACGAGAAGCTGATCATGACGGTGCTCCACGAGTACAAGATCTTCAACGCCGACGTCATTTTCCGCGAAGACTGCACGTAGGCTCACTGTCTCCCTCTGTTTAGCACGAGAATCCCTTGCAGAGTGGACGAATTCATCGACATCATCCAGGGAAATCGGGTGTACATGACGTGCCTGTACGTCTACAATAAAGTCGATCAGATCTCGATCGAGGAGATTGATCGGTTAGCGAGACTGGAGCATCACGTCGTCATTTCGTGCGAGATGAATCTCAACATGGATTATTTGTTGGAAAAGATTTGGGAATATCTGGCACTCGTCCGAGTTTACACTAAAAAACCCGGAAATGCACCGGATTTGGGTACGGTTTCACAAAGATTTCCCGTAGAAATCGGACATTTGCAGGTCCGGAAGACGGCATCATCCTCCGTGGCGGCGCCACAATCGAGCACTGCTGCCACGCCCTTCATCGTTCGATCGCCGCGCAGCTCCGGTACGCGATCGTCTGGGGCACTTCGACCAAGTTCTCGCCCCAACGCGTCGGCCTCCATCACAAACTCGACCACGAGGACGTCATTCAAATCGTGAAAAAGTGATTCGGATTCTGATTCTGCTCGTTCTTGTTGCTTCTGGTATTAGTAAATAATTATAATTGTTTTCTTTTCCCGTTTCCACCTGATTTGAATATATAAAAATCTTGTCATGTTTTATTAAATTTTCTGCCATCCGTTTTAAAGGTGTACTTTTTCACTATTTTACTGTTTAAAAGTTGATTTATCAAAGTTTAAATGGAAGTTCAGATGAGAAGGTTAGCCTCTGCACTCTTTTCAATTATGATATTCGGAATCGTGGGCGGAAGAAACGACGACTTCAGAGTGACTTTCGAAGTGAATTCCATAAAAAGAAAACTTCAATGAATCACCTCAAACTTTCAGTACCCGTACAGCGACTCCTCCTCCTCAGAAGACTGCATCGAATCGCTGCGAGACGCGGAACTGTCGGAAACGCGATTCACTTCGAAGAATCCTCTGGGCCCGCTGACCGAATGCAACCTTCTTTCGGATGCGTTCATCGTCTGCGAAGAGCCGAGTTCGTTGTACGGACAGGGACAGACTGGGCAGCAACCGGCCAACGAGAGCTTTCGGAACGAGGGAAAGTGCCTGCGGATGGGCGGCTATCGGGCGGAGGACGTAGAGTACACGAACGTGCGGTGTCGAGCACTGCCGTGCATCGAGTGCCGAGGCCCGAGGACGTTCTTGAAGGAAGTACCGTGCATTATGTAAGCAACGACACTTTTGATCCATTTCCGATTATTTGAGTACTAGTATTGGATTAGTGTGTCTGACCTTGAAAGTTACAGTTCTTTCGAATCATCTGATCTAGAGAAGTGAGAGATTTTCAGTTCCAAATCACTAAATCTTCAGTCTCTTCCCCTTCCCAATCCTCCATTTTTGCAGCTACACCGGCCACTACTTCCTGACCACCCTGCTCTATTCGATCTTCCTCGGCGTCGTCGCAGTCGACCGTTTCTGTCTCGGCTACTCGGCGATGGCCGTCGGCAAGCTGATGACCCTCGGAGGGTTCGGCATCTGGTGGATCGTCGACATCTTCCTGCTCGTGCTCGGAGTGCTCGGACCCGCCGACGACTCCAACTGGGAACCAATCTATTGAGCGGGATAATCATTTTTATACGTTTTACTGGAATGCTGTAAATTTCAGCAAGAAATCAATGCCATTTCGTTCGTTTTTTTCCGATCTCTTTCTTTCTTTCCCCATCCCGATCACTGTTGTTTTTCCCTCCTCGTGCTGATTGTCACCTGTAATTTTCGCAATATTTCGTTATTATTCTTGCCCATTAATGCACAAATGAACCTTGATTTGCGAGAGATCCCGCCCGTCGATTATCTCGCTGAAAATGCGCCCCATCATCTGAGCGAGTCGGTCGGCGCGATCATCGGGAGCGGCGACGACGATCGGCGCGGGCGGCTTCGTCTTGGTGATCGTCTCGACGATCTCCTTCGACCGGCACGGACCGCTGAACACGGACACCCGGTTCGGCGCGTTCTTCACGTTCAGCAGCTCGGCGGAGAACGGCTCGTCCGAAGCGTCCCACTCGCGATCCGTGCATTCCGACAACTTTTCGCCCTTGTCTGGAATTGGAGAGCTGATGAAAAACTGAAAATGTGCAGACCTTCTTCGGTGACCGTCATTTTGGGAAGAACTCGAATCGATTGCTGGGCGATGAGCTCGAAATGCGTCGCATCTTCCTCTTTCTCTTTCTCTTTCTCTTTCTCTTTCTCTTTCTCTTTCTCTTTCTCTTTCTCTTTTTCCTTTACCTTTTCCTCTTTTTTGTCGTTTCCCGACATTTTTTTGCCGATTTTTCGTGTGAAATAAATTTGAAATGTATTCGCTCTGACCTTTTCAATATAATCGGAAAAGTTCGAAGTTCAAAGAAGCGGTTATTTCTCGGAGTGAATGGAGAATAAGAAACCGGAAAAATCCGGTTCCGGTTCGAATTCGAGCAACTCGGACACTTCGCTGAAAGGTCCGTTTCGCGACCGCAAACGATCGGTCTTTTTGCACAAAATTGCACAAAATGCACAAAAGCACAAAAGCACAAAATTTTCAGAAACTGCCGCTGGAGAAGCTCTTCAAGAATGCTCGGATCGCGAATGGGACGCTTCCGATGAGCCCTACTCGGCCGAGTTGCTCAATGTGAAAAAGAAGCCGGTGAGTACAAAACGCCGCAGTGTCGCACTCAATTATCGACTTTAGAACCGCGTGAACGTGTTCTCGGCGACCGAAAAGAACATGGAAACGATAATAGTGACGGAAGTCTCGCCGCCCGGAATTCCGACGGTTCCCACGAGTAACTCGACGCCCTTCCCCCCTTTCCCAGTGACTCGCGGTACTTGCAGAGCCAGCTCCGGAGCACCACAACCTTGCGCGTCTCGTCCAGAAGACGTGCGAACTGCTTCTAGAGTCGCCGCTCGGAGCAGAAGGCACCGAAGTGCACATCAAATTGGAGCTGCCCGATTGGAGAAACTGACCGAAACGGGCGGGGGAACTGAAAAAGACAAGCCAAGGATACGATTGAACTGAGCATGTTTTGTGGTTTTTTGTCATCGAATAAAGGACATTTCTTGCATTTTCAATTTAATTGATAAGGCGGAATCAGTGCTGAGCGGAACGTAAATGTGACTTCGCTCAATCGATTTTTTGAGTCATATTTAATACTATTATCTTTTTGAAATAAGAACCGGACTTATTCTCGGAAGTGAAAGTGGCTCGCATTCGGAAAAATACGGAATTTCCGAGTAAGCCATCAGAAATCATTCCGAAAGAAATGCAGACAATAAAAGTTGCGTTTTGGGATGAGCTCGTCGACGTGATTCCCTCAAAAATGGCAAGGATCAAAAGAGCATGGGCGTGAGGAGTGAATAAACAGCAATGGACAACTACGCCTGTTTACTCCTGTCCACCTTTTTGTCTGTTTTGTTCACACCTTCCTCCATTTGTTCAGTTTCAGTCCCCTCCGCCCCCGAACTCCTTCAAATACTGTCTAGTCTGCTAATCATCTTCGATCGCATTCTTGTCGTATCAAAAGGTGATTGTTTGTTGACTCACCTCTTCTTATTTCTGATATCATCTCCACGCTTTTTCGCAATATTTATTCGATCAAGTGCAGAAACACTGACTCATTCCGGACTGAGCGTTGCCAAAAACGGCGCTTCGAAAATAACAATGGCTAAATGGATATTCTACACGAGGCTTTCGATTTTCAATCTCAATCTTTTGATGTTGGTGAGTCTTATCAAGTTATCTCAGCTGGTAATAGAGATATCAAATAGTTGTCAACTGATAAATTGCTCAGAAACACATTCTGCACATTTTATGTGTTGACAACTTTTTGATGTCTCCACCGGTAGCTGAGATATACCGTCTTGAATGATGTTCCTTCTTTTACACACGTCTGCAGGTAGCCTCCCTTGCTCTAATCTCTGTGGGCTTCTGGATGCGATATGACAACTCTTTCGACACAGATCTCAAGAGCGTCGTCTACAAGTACGATGACCCGAAAAACCTTGCAGATGCCAAGTTCACAATTCGAGTTTGGGTAGGATCTTACTGTCAAATCCCCATTCTTCCAACCCGTCCTTCCAGCTAATTGTCGTCTACTGGAGCATCACCGGATTGGCAATCGGAGCCTTCGTCACTGCCATCTTCGGATTCCTCTCGTTCTTCGCAAAAACAAGATGGATTCTGATCGTCTACCTGGTGCTGATGATCGTTCTGATCGTGTTGGAAATCGGAAGCGGAGTCGGGCTCTTGTGCTACCGAAACAATCTTCGCAACTCGATTCACACTCTGATTTCGGCCATGTACACCTCGAATTCGGTGGCCGATTTGGCGATTATTCAATCAAAGTACTCGTGCTGTGGAACCCAGGACGGCGCGTTCAATCTAATGTACTGTCAAATGGTGAACGAGGTGATTTGCCGGCTTTTCAAGTGTAGATACAATACTCGTAATCTTCCAGCCCTATTGTGACGTGGCAGTCTTCAACAGCGTCGACAACACCATGATGCTCTCCGGAATCGTGTTCCTCGTCGTTCTGATCCTTCAGCTGATCGCCGTCGTCCTTCCCGTTCCGGTCCTGCTCGGAACCTCCGGATCCAGCAAGAACCGCTTCGAATCCACTCAAATCGACCGCTTCTAATAGGGTAAGGATATCTGTGTATTGTTGTGTTCTACGGGTACTTAATCACTGAATAAACAGTTCTTATCTATCGAAAAAACGCACATCACCGTGCGGGTGAATCATCCGTTTCGCTTATCTTCCGCATGATATGAGACGAATAAGTTTCGTAAAAAAAGAAGACATTCTGACGGTAGATCATTACTCCGAACATGTCGTCTCTGAAAGTTGCGTTCGTCTCCCGACTTCTCATGTTCTGTCTCGACCTGGCAATGCTGGTGGGTTACTGTATAAGGATTACTGTAGAATTGCTCTTTCTTTCAGCTCTGCGCATCGGTCCTCGTCGTCTGGGGCTCGTTCATGAACAACTCGGCGTACGACCGTCACCTCAAAGACGTCGTCTTCAACTACAACTCCTCCGAACCTCTCGCCACGGATAAGTTCTATTTGAGAGCCTGGGCGAGTCTAGATCCTAAAGTAACCGGAATATTATTCATTTCACAGGTGTGGGCAGTGTACTGGAGTATTTACGGACTGTCCATTGGCGCTTTCCTCATCGCTATCATCGGATTGATTGGAGCGTTGAGCCGGAAAAAAGCGGTGATCGGAACGTTTTTGGTGTTGATGGTTCCGTTTGTTCTTCTGGAAGTTGGTGGAGGAGTCACCGTATGGACGAAACGGGGATCTGTGAGTTGCCTCGGCAAAACACCGCAACTTTAGCGCAAACCTTGCACAACTTCTCTTTCAAAGTTGCGCAAAGTTTGTGTAAGGTTATGCTGAGCTCCCAGGGAACCTTGAGACAAAAGTTACAGCTCCGCCGTCTAATCGACAGTTTCGTGGCAGACATGTACACGATAAACTCGCTGTTCGACATCCAAATCATTCAGAATACGGTATCGAACTCCGTCTGACTCTAAATAAAAACCGGTGCCAATTCAGTACAATTGCTGTGGAATCCGAACGGGAGAATGGACTTGTGACGCCCGTCCGCCGTGCGACATGGCAGTCTTTAACAGTGTGGACAACACTCAAATGATCGCTGCTCTCGTCTTCCTTCCTGTCCTTTTCTTTCAAATTGTCCTCGTCGCACTCCCGATTGTCATTCTCGTGTTCGAACCGAGAATGGAGAGGAAGACGACTTCACAGTAAACGTTCTCTGGAAACCATAACATTTTTATCAGCATGCGTGCAATAGGGTTATATGACAATCAATGGGGTTTTCAAAAGGGAACAATTCACAGGAAAAGAAGTTAGTGATTAGTAGAAGTAGTGGTAGTAATAGTAGAAGTTGCTTATCAATACGGGAACATTCCCGAGCTTTTGAGCACCAGCGCTGCGCAGAAGGCCTTGTCCGTGTACGTGGCATTGGGGCACATCGAGTACGGAGAGCACACTTCGTCACGCTTCAGGCAGCGCTTCGAGCCGTCGCACATGTACGTGTTCGAGTGAGCTCCGACGCATTCTGGAAACGAAATAATGAGAATCGGGAGGGTTAGACGGGATTACCGGCGCACGAGCACTTCTGTTCGTCGCTTCCGTCGGTGCAGTCGACGGCTCCGTTGCAGCGGGTGTACGCCGGAAGGCACTTTTTCTCAGAGGAACAGAAGATGGAATCAGATGGGCACTTGGCACAGCCCTTCTCGTCCGACTCATCCTCGCAATCGTAGACTCCGTCGCATCGGCGGCTCGAATCGAGGCACTTGCGATCGCAAACGAACTGAGTCTCCTTCGACTCTTCGCATTCTCTCGCTGACGTGCAGTCCGTCTCGTCGGAACCATCGGCGCAGTCTCGGACTCCGTCGCAGACCTTGCTCCGACGGATGCACTTCTTCGCGTTTCCGCCGGAAGCGGGGCAGGTGAACGTGAGCTTCGGATGGCACTTGGGACATCTCTGCTCGCAATCCTCGTACAATCCGGAACACGCTTCCGCCTCGGTGTATTCGTTCCCGTCGGCACACATCACTCTCTTCGTCTTGCTGCTCGTGCTCGCTGCTTCGATTGCGCACGAGCCCGGACAGTCCTGCTCGTCCATTCCGTCGGCGCAGTTCTTCTTTCCGTCGCACACTTGGGAGCGCATGATGCACGTTCCGTCGTCGCAGAGAGCCTTTTCGGAGCCGGAGCAAGTCTTGCAGTCGCATTCTTTCTCGTCGGAGCCATCGGCGCATTGGGCCACTCCGTCGCACACTTGGCTCGGTTTCACGCATTGTTTTCCGCATTTCTGAAATAAAAACCAGCAATGTTTCAATCTGAACCTGGAGGGAAACATACGTGGGCTCCTTTGACGCACTTCTCGCAGTTCTTCTCGTCGCTTCCATCGGAGCAATCCCTGATTCCGTCGCACTTTGCGGAGAGCGGCAGGCACGCGTTGTTACCCGGACACTTGAACTGCTCTTTCGTGCACGTCGAGCTGCAGATGGCCTCGTCGGAGCCGTCCGGGCAGTTCTGCACGCCATCGCACAGTCTTTCGGCGGACAAACAAATGAGTGTCGGCTGGATCTTCGTCTTCCGCTTCTTCTTCGACTGCTCCTCGACATGCGACGGACACGAGAAGACCGACTGGCATTCCTTGCAGTTTTCCTCGTCGGATCCGTCCTGGCAGTCGTTGAATCCGTCGCATCGCTGCGAAGCCGGGATGATTCTGTTGACGGCGTCAGTGCAGGCGAATCCGAATCCGGAGCACGTGGAGACATTCGGCGGGAACAACGACGTCATCGGAATTCCGGCCAGGTTGTCGAACCGCAGTTTGTCGACGTTCGGCCACGATTTGGGATGCCGACTGAGGTGTTGGGAGAGGTCCGTGCTGTCGGAAGACATCTTCTGCGCCGAAGAGGTGAGCATGAGCGTGAGAGGGACGGCGGCCAGAATGCCGAGAAGGACGAGCGCCAGACAGAGCACGATCGCCACGGACGGACACTGAAAACTCGGAATTCGAATGGAAATTCTGCCGATTTCTCACCTTGCTGGCACACGAACAACAGCCACTCGAGACCATTTCCTTGAATTGGTCCATCCGATGACTGATCTTTTCGCCCAGAGTCCTGAAATTGACAAATTCTGATGAGAATCGATCGATTCCGTCACTCACATCGGCTCCTCTTCTGCGAAATTCACTCGGTGACCGCTTCCGGCTTGCTGGCTCATTGCCTCAAAAGAAAAACAGTCGAACGGAAAGAAGCACGGAAACTGTTGTCGAAAAGGGAGAAAACAAGATAAAACCGGCGTCGGAGAGGGAGAAAAGTGGCAAATGAACTCAAACAAACTAGCAAAACGCTTGGAATTTGCGCCTCAAATGACGACGAACCGGGTAGATCAAAGTAGGTCAGGAAAATTTAAGAAAGCGCACAATCGATAAGAAAAGCGAATAACAAAAGTTTCCTCCCGAATCTCGTCATAAAAAAAAGCAAACGGTGGGTCTTGGCACGAAAAACATAGCTATTACTGTAGCGCTCGCTACATCTCGAAATCTGAACAAGAAAACCTTTGAAAAAAGTGTCAAGAAAGGGAATACACAGAGCAAGAACTTCATGATAAAGGGTTATAGCGTCTTTATCCTTCATTTCCGGCCGAAATCTTTGTGAGCTCTCTAATTTCTCCGTGACACCGTCTCTTTATCTCCTGTTCCAATCTAGCGGGACCTTCGTATTCACCGATCGCTAAACAACGAACAATCGAGAATAACTCATTGCGACACTCGCTCCGAAGGAGGTAATCCATTTCTCTTCACTTCAGTATCACCGATGGACCCGATTCCGCCGTACGACTTCCACAAGTACGTGTTCGCCGCCCGATGCGCCGTCCTCTCGTGCTCTTCCGTCGAGGTACCTTAATCCCCTTCGTTCCCCCTCGAAACTCGATTCTGCAGATTCTTCTGATGCTCTTCGGCGCTCTGAGTGACAGCAGCATCCTCGCCAAACTCTTCTACTTGCTTTTCCTTGCCGTTTCGACCGCCGTTTCCGCGCACAACATCGCGCTGAACGTGGACGGAAGAGCCGAGATCGGGAAGGTTCTCGTCTCCGGCGACAGCGAAGTCCGCGCCAAATCGACGGTTCTCGTGATCGCTCCCGTATTCTCCGGAATCTTTGTCTTTTTGTGCGTCTCCGGCCACGCCTCCTTCTCGTTTTTCGTGCTCATCCACGTGCTCGCCGCCGTCGGACAGCTCGGATTGGAGGCGCACGAGGTGATCAGGGGTTCGAGGAAATTAGATGCCAACGTTCCCAATCTTTCAGGTAAACAACTTGATCCCAGCTGTTCCGTCGGTCTCTTCCGATACTCCGATGCCCCAATCCCTGCCGCAAACCCCCCAGCCGGACCCTCGGGCCTCTCCGATCCAGCCGCCGGCCGACCGGAATGCGAGAGCGGCCACTCACGATCCGAATTACCAGACATTGAACAACATCCACAACGACGTCTTCGCCAAGAAGTGAAATGAGTTGCTCTCTTCAGCGGATAAACGATAAAGTAGTTATTTATGTCTCAATTTCTTTGCTTTTCTTATGTATTTGTCATTATAATTTCACTAGTTTCCCTAACACCCGACCAGATTCCATACGATCAAAAAGTGTCATTCCTTGTCCAGCTGAGAGATGTGACATGAATGAAACGAGGCATCAGAAGCGGGCACTCCATCTTTTTGGCAACTCTCGGCTTGCTGGGATTATTTTCTTCTTCTTCTTCTTCTTCTGCTTCTTCTCGTAAGCTCCGCCCCTTTCCGTAGGTCATCAAGGAGCACGGAAGAAGGAGGAGAAGAAGAAGAGAGAAGGCAAGAAAATGATGATCTTGGGCAAACAAAGCGACAGAAACACACGACGAACCGGCGACGAGAAGTCAGCTGTCGTTCCCGCTTTGCTCGTGTGCCCAGCCGCCGTTTCCTCCGTGTTTCGTACCCGCCTCTTCCTCATCTTCATAGTCTCTTGTGGTCGACGAACGATGAGCCATCAATCAAAATTTATAAGCTCTCTCTCTCTCTCCCTCTCTCTTTTTCTCTTTCCTGACGCCCCCGGCCGTTCGGAGCAGACAAAAAACAAAAAGTATTCGGCCTTTCAGACTTTTTCTTTCTTCTCCTTGAGCTTTCGTTTCTTCTCGTTGGTTTGAGATGTTGTCCTTCGAAAAGCGTCGAAACGACCTACAGTAGTCACGGAAATCACTTTTCTCTTCATTTTCACACCTTCCGAATCGTCTTGACACCTTTCTGTTTCTCCTATTCTGCACTGCTGCAATGCTTCAGAATCTCTGCGAAAAAGCGGTAAAAGTTCAAGAAACTTGACGGAAATTCAGTCGGAAATTGAAGCCCACTTTTTTCTTCGGAAAAAACTCTCTCGGCCGCGCCGTTCTTAATGATATTTTATGAGCTCTTTGAGCTCATCAAAGTGCTCTCTCCGAGAAGAAAAGAGAAAAGAGAAAGAGCAAAGTTATTCTATTTTCATTCTTATGTTGAACAATTAAAAGTGGGCCCGGCGACCACATGTTCGACCCATTTGTCATTCTGGCGCCCAGATATATATTGTCGTAAAATTTGATGTAATGCACACATTCACGGCTACAGTATCCCTTTTCGCTCTGAAGTCTTCAATTTTTTCGCTGAAATGTGAGTAGTGAGTTCCTTATGTTCCCCTTTTATGTGCACATGAAATATGGACTCAAATTCTTCTTTTTGCTCAAAAACGTCCCCGGAGATGGGCCATTTCATGGAGAGTACGTGCGAATGAATGGGTTCACAATTTCTCTGCGGCCGAACGAAATCTAGGCCAGAAACTTACGTCAATGATAAATGTCGTCTGATTGGCCTGCTAGTTCAAAGAACGGGACGAAAGTTTAATTGAGTTATTCAGAAAAAAAAAGTGAGTCGGGCAGGCAGACGCATTTTACGACAGACTCTCGAAGATCATAAAAAGTCTAGAAGGACCTGCTTTGTATTTTTATGTTAAAAGTTATACTTGTGCCCTCCGTAATCTTCAATCTTCGGTGCCAGGCGCCATTAATCACCTGGAATTGTTGTGTTTATCTAGGCGGCGAGCAGGATCTTTCCGAGATTTATTGGTTTGGGTTCATGTAACATTCGAGCGGCGCCTTTTCTCTGCAATCTGGGAGTTTAAAATTGACCGATTATTGAGCCGTTCGGTCCAGAATCTCATCCCTTCTGTTTCAGCGTCGGGTCTCACAACAAACGCAACTTTTTCATTTTTCGTTGTTTGTTTTTCGTTGTTTTGAGATCCACCCGTGTCAAAAATGAAATAAAACGCATCGCTCGCAAGATCCTTCTTGCAACGAATTGAACAGTGAGTTGTGCACTGTTTTTTTCTGAAAACGGCTACACAGAACAAATTTTTGCTGAAAATCTATATTTATCTGACTTTTCGAAAATCGGGCCGGTCGATGAAAAGTCTGTTGTTTTCTTAAAGTTTTCGGCAGTTTTTCTTCTTCAAAAACTGCAAAAAGCAGCGGAAAACGAACGAAAAGTGACCTAGAGGTACGATAGCATTAAAGGCGCAGCACCCGTTTCCGCGCATTCCTCTCCCCCGCCTCCCTTTAAAACTACCGTATCCCGAGCCGCTGTTGGGGGGAGCAAATAAATAATTGGGTGAGAATCGTGACAAATGACGCATCCGCGACACGACGAAGACAATTTTCTGCCATTTTTTGTGCGAAATGCTCTGGTCTCGACGTCGTGGATGCCAAATAAAATTAATGCGATTTTGAGGCAGCCGCATTTCTGAATTCCTGGATTTTATTGGGGGGGAGCCAAAACTGAAAACAATCTGTCTTGGATTTGTGAAATTACTTGAGAAGAGAAAGCAGAAGAAGAAGAAGAAGAAGCTGAAGCAGGAGGCGAAGTAGGCGGAACCAAATTGCATTTCGTGTCTCCATTTTCCGCTCCGGTGCGGCTCCTGGCCTGGAAGAGGGCCGCCCGCCATTCCTGAAGTGCCATTTTCCTATTTTGACGTGAAACTATTCATTCATCTTCTTCTTCTTCTTCTTCTTCTTCTTCTTCGCTCGACGACACATTTTTCTCCCAATCTCATCCTTCAAAACTTCCGAGAAGAAGATGTCAACGCCGAAAGTGGGCGGAGCTTCGGCGAAAGATGATTGAAGGGGATTTTCGAAAAAAAAGAAAGGAAGGGGGGAATGAAAAATGAATGAAATGAGGCGTGTGTGTAAAAGGGGCGGGGCTTCGGAAGAGAGAGAGAGAGAGAGTTGGAAGCAAGAAGCCAAAATGTCATCGAGTTCATTCTCGTGGGCACTAACATTTCACTTTCTCTCCGAAAAGGTGTCTGCTCTTTTTATGCTCTGGAAGGTCTTCCTGAGAAGACGTCCTCGAGTGAGAGTGGTTAGGTACAGTAGGATCAGATGACGTCGTCTCTCCAGAAACCCTCAACACTGGTGCTGACGTCAGACTTCTATTTTCCGCCGAACACATTCTCTCACACTCTTTCTGGAATCTTTGCCGTGTTCCACCTGTCCATTCTCCTCTTCTTTGCCTTCGTTTTTTTTCGTTTTTTTCCATTCAGCTCGAGACTTGAAATCAAATTACCCTCCTCCTCTTTCTTCTTCTTCTTCTCCTTCTTCTCCCCCCAAAAATTGGCCGCCCCAATTTTCCCATTTGCGTTTATTTTTTTCTCTTCCGAGAGAACTTTGGTGATCTACGACTGGAGGGGGAGGAAATGAGCATGCAAATCAGAGAAACGATGGAAGAGATAAGTAAATTGACGGCGGAAAAGATGCGCCAAAACCTTTTGGCTTTTTGCTTTTTCAGTAGAGAGAGAACGTGACTAAAAGGGTTTTCGGTGCGAGTCTGGGCAATTTGGGGCGAAAAAAAGGTGAGCGGGAAGTGGAATTTCTGTTAGCGAAAAGCTAGCGAAAAGAGGGAAGTGAATGGGGTAAACTGATTTAGTCTACGTGAGGTCTTCGCGCCGATGACTGGTCTGGTTAGTTTTGTACGAATACTTCACACCTAGTACTTCACTTTTCTAGTTCACAACTTTTTTGTACGACCTCTCCCAAGACTACTGTAGCTCCGGGAAGTTTGACCTGAAGCAATTTAGAGCCCCAACTTCCCTGAGCTACAGTACCCGTGGGACAAGTTGTACGATAAAGTTGTCAACTACAAAACGAAAGCACAAAACATGAAAAATATTTTTGTAGTTGACAACTTTTTTGTACAACCACTTCCAAGACTACGGTAGCTCTTGGAAGTTGGGACTTTAAATTGCTTCAAGTCAAGTCTCACTTCCCGGAGCTACAGTAGTGTTGGGAGAGGTCGTACAAAGAAGTTGTCAACTACGAAATTGACGCACTAGACTTGATGACATCACAAAAACGTTTCTAGAATGATCGGACGTCTTCTGACCCTACAATATTCGTTCAAAGTTCGCACTGCATTCGCGTGTACCCTTGCGAAGCAGAGATTGAACAGGAATGTCTGTTTTTTTTTCTCTTTCCCGCCCACACGACAAAATATTGGATTACTGGCATGAGAACTGACAAAAAACTAACAAACATTTTCGATTTCTCGATCGGATTACACTTTTTCCCTTTTGACTTTTCGAATCTTGTGAAAACGTGCACAATTTGAAATGGAAAACTTGGAAAGTTTTTCGCAATCCAATTGGCCGCCCGTTATTCCAATTCTCGTGTAGTTTGTGGCGTGCTTTCAAAGGATACCTGTCCTAGACAGGTTAATACTATTGTTTTTCAGAATCTAATAAAAAGCGGAAGGAAAAAACAACGTGTTATCGGTGTTAGAGGATGTGTGTGTGTGTGTGTGTGCACACGGTGACGCAAAGTTGCGGACTTGCGGACTTACCTTACTTAGCTGGCCTAACTTTCTCTCCAGCATTCGTTTCCTGTTGTTGTCGGTCGGTCCACGGCGAACACATTTCTCCACATTTTGAACACCTTCTTCCGGCCGCCGTCTCCCTTTTCGAATCGAATTCTCCGAGGCCCCGCCCACCTGTTTGATTTGGGCGCTCATTCAAATTCAATTTTTCTCGCCTCACTTCATCCTTTTCTTCTTCTTCTTCTCCTTCTTCTTCTGTCACTTTTCCCCGCGTCTCTTGCGTTTCTCATCTGATATTCCTGAAAAAATCCAGATTTCCAACGGAATTTCCAAAAATGCCCGTCGCAAAAGACAATCAATTCTGGGATGCGTTGATGGAGAACAAAGTGGCGAAGAAGTTGATCAAGAAGCACAAAAGCAAGGCTAAATGCGAGAATATTGACGAGTTGGCGCAGAGATACGAGGTCCCGAAGCAGGAGGTCGAGAAGGTCCGTCCGCAGTAAACCGCAGCAAACCCGCTCTGTCGTACTCTTAGTACTTTCCGGAAAATCGCTTAATTTTTGATAGTTTTTCGCTAAAACAATGCGAAATACTGAGCTTGCTCAGGCGCTGAGCAAATAGCGATCGGAATGCAATAGAGCGCACTTGCAGGTCTTCAAAATCTTCCAATTGATGGACGACGACGGTTCGGGCACCATTTCCTCGTCGGAAGTGGCCAAAATGCTCAACGAGCTCGGGATCGACGTTTCGCCGAAAGTGGTGCAGGCGGTGATGAGAAGCAGCGATGTGAGCGGCGACGGACAGATCGATTTCGAGGAGTTTCTCGCGGCGGTCACCTCTAAAATCAAGGTAATTCAAGAGAGAAACACAGACGAACGTACAAAAGAGAGCTGATTTCAGTTGAGTTCGGTGAAGGCCGATGTGCGAGTGATGCTCTCGAAAATTGATCAGAATCCCGAGAAAGTGGTGAGTTATCAATGAAGCGCAGTTGCTCAGCTCTGATATTCATTTTAGATCTCGGCGGAAGAACTAGTGGTCGCGTGGAGCGAGACTGTCTCCACGAACATCACCGTCAAGGAGGCGTGCGCTCTGATCCAGCAGGCGGACACGCAGGGACGTGGAAAAGCGACCATCAACGAGTTCATAACCATGTGCCAGACTGTATAGTACTCCCTACTCGCCGCCTGTCTGCTCCATAGAGCTTTACAGCTAAATCCCGCCGTTTTCCTCTCACTTATCCCCATCTTCTGATCTCTTTTTACACTCAATTGCAGCCTCAGCTGGCAATTTTGCCTATTTTCCTACTCCAAAATGGTGTTTTTCCCAACCGATGATTAATTAATTTACATTAATAATAAGTGAACTGAATAAATTGCGTTCCACGGTCTCCAGAGCTGACAATGGGCGCAAGTGCGCCCCGCCCAATAGAGCGATACATTGGCGCGAAATTCAAAATTTAACAGCAAAATTAGTGTTTTTTGCCAGATTAGCCACGAAAAACCGATAATTTCTGATTTGTCTCTCGATAGACCGATTGTATAGTCTATTACGAATTTTTTAAGCGCAAGAGCGTTAAATTTGGAAATAAATTTATCCGTTTGAAGGCTTTTTGGCTAAAACTGCGTGAATTTCAGTTGCTTTTCGGTAGTTTTCGCGGTTCGAGCGCTCAAAATGCTTGTATTTACGTGATTTATCATTCTCAAAACCAATTCTGTCTGAAAACGGTCAAGAAAGCGAAAAATGAGAAGTGCGGTTTTGAGGCGGCTATCGGCGAAAAAGCAAAGTCCGCGAAAAATGCGCCAAAACGTCATTAATTCTGAGAATTAGTGTGTTTTCATGTCGAACAATCATTTTTCATCGCCTTCGACCACAAAAATCAGAGAAAACCTGCTCAATTCATGAAAACGCCATTTGGCCGAGGCCACGCCCATATTGTCAGCTCTGGAGACCGTGCGCGTTCTCCAATGGAAATCTTGGAAATTTGACCTACCACGCATCATGTTTTCTGCGCTCTGGCGTGGCAGTGCTTGCGTATCAGACGCCAAACCTTACGACATTGTCCGCCTTGGCTTATTTGAAAAAAGAACAGTTTCATCGCTCGAATTGCAATAATTCGAATTATTGTGTGAAAATGGGATCGCATTTTATCGAGGAAAATATTGTACGCGAAATTGAGGTTAGTATCGAAAATTTCCGGCCGAAACGTAAAGAGTGAATCTCTAGGGTCGTCGTGTAGATGTGCTCCAGAAGTTTTCCGATTTCGAGCAAAAAGCGTCGGAGAAGCGTCGTTTGCTTGTGCAATCCGGTCAACTTCAACGTTTTCTGAGGTGAACTCGACAAATTCTCAAAAAAATTCGAGAATATTCGGGAAAAAACTAACTTTTTCCAGAACTGCAACCGAGTTCCGACAAGCTATCGACTCGTTGATTGAAACTGCAGAGAGTGTGAGCATCCGCCACAATTCGGAGAATTTGGCGCGTGCGCAGAAGATTCTGAATCGTTTGCGCGGCGACGTGGACGGAAAACGAAGCAATGTGACGTCGTTGGAACGGGAATCCGCCCGTCTTGTCGACGACGGCCATTATGCCGCCGAGGAGATTCAGGTGGGCAAGAATTTCTTCACCGAAACTGTGGAAAACATACCATTTTTCAGAAAACCTTATCGGAGATTCATTCTCGCTGGGAATACCTGCTGAAACTGCTCGAGCTGAAATGGATTCAAGTGCAAAAAGAGCTGGAGTCGATGGATTTCGCGAGAAAGTGCGAGTCCGTTCTCTCGTGGATCCAGAAGACGAAAACAGTGGAGAAGCCGGCGCAGAAGCAGCAATTCGACGATATTCGCAAGTACTCGATCGTGTGGAACGAGATTTCGGCGGTCTACGAGCAGATGTCCGATCCATCGCCGCTGGACACTGAGAACTACGAAAAGGTTGGCTCGGCGTGGAATGACTTCCAACAGCACGTGAATTCGATGCTCCGCGAGCTCGACGCGCACGATCGAATCCAGCGGTTTTTGGAAAACGCGGAAGATGTCAAGGGATGGATGGAAGAGAAAGAGACGGAAATCCGAGAGAAGTACTCGAAGATGGACGTGGAAGAGTCGATGCGATATCGAAAAACCATTGAGATCGAGATAAAGAGCACTGAGCAAAGAGTCAGAAGTCTCAGAGAGCCACGAGAACTGCAGGAGAATCCGAAACTGCAAGAACACGTGGAGCAAGTCGAGGAGCGCTTCAGAGTCTTCCAGAAGTTTATTCACAAGTGGCAAGTGGATCTGGAAAACGCCGCCGATCTCGACTCATTCGTACGCGAAGCGGAGGATATTCGATTCTGGTGTTCGGAGAAAACGGAAGATCTGAAAGTGATGAAAGAATCGGAATCTGTGGATTGTGACGAGATCGCCATGTGGATTGAGACCAATCACTTCGACTTCAATTCGTGGGACGGCGCCGTCAAACTCTTTATCAAAAGCGGAGAAACGATTCTGAAGAAGCTGACATCTTCTGAGGATCTTCGAAAAGTGAGAGAAGAGGTGGAGAATGTGCAGAAGGCGTACGAAGCGGCCAAGAGAGCATCGGATAGGACCAACGAGATTCTCGAGGTCAGAATCAAGACGATCAACGTGGAGAAGCTGGTCTTCCAAACGCACCAGAAAGCCGCGCATCTTGTGAGCGTGCTTCAGAAGTCGGTCGCCGAAGACATTAAATCGGAAGACGTCGAGAAAGAACTGCGAATGTTGGACGGCGTGGCAGTCAGATGCATTTCTGTCGTCGAGCAAATCGAGCACATCGAGCAGCAGATGCGCGGGCAGCCGGAGCAACACGGGAGGCTCAGTGAGAACGCGTCTGAGCAGATCAATCAGCTGTCGGATATGAAGGAGATTCTGAAGACGTCGACGGCGGAAAGGAAGCGAGAACTTCAGCATCGTCTCGACACCGCCTACTTTGTGGACTCGTGCCGTGAGATCAGGATGCACACGGACCAGGTTCTGAAGCAGCTGAAGGATGGAAGAGCGAAGAAAGAGAGCGTTCAGCCGATCAGAGAGCAGATGGACGAATTGAAGCAAAAAATGGAGGGGATGGATCTGAGGGAAGAGGATCGGAAAGTGGCTGAAGAGGAGTTGGAGAGAGGAAGAGAGAACTTGAAGAGAATCGAGAAGGAGCACGAGAGAATGACCGGAATGAGCGAAGCGAGGAAAGTGGTCAAGAGGACCGAGAAGTTCGTGGAAAGGGTACACAAATGGATTGAGAAGAGCCAGGTGAGCGGGAGGGTCATTCATCCGAGCAATCCCCTAATTAGCATTCGCGCAGTGTTCTTTCCTTTCTCGTTACCCTGACAACCATTTTCTCTGCAGATTGACGACGACGAGACGGACTCCCCCCTCCAGAACCAGCATCTCCGTCGTGTGATTACCAGTTGTCGCCATCTGCTCTCCACCAGTGACACCTACAAAGAGGCCATCGAGGAAAAGCGCAACGAGCTCTCTTCTGCCGATTCGCCGAGTTCCAACGACGAACCGAATTGTCTTCTAGACGGAATTCAACATGCGCTCGAAGAGTTCGCTGCGAAGATCCGCCAAAAAGCGGCGGAAACCGAGAAAATATTGGAATCGGCCGAACGGATGACCGAACTCAACTCGCATAACGATTGGATAAAAGCGAAGATCAAGTCGCTGAGCACCGAACCCGTCTGGGATTCTCTTTTGTCCGCCCAGAAGATGTCTAGAAGATATGAGAAGGATTCGGAGGAGATAGAGGCGCGCAGGAAGCATATTAACGATTTGCTCAAAGAAAAGAGCGCTTCTGGACCACGACTTCCCATTCAGGAGGAGATTGAGCACAACTGGAGCAAGATGAAGACTATGTTCGACGAGCGTGGAGGCATTCTGGAGAGAATGATCAGGCTGTTCGAGTACGACGAGGAGTCGACGAACACTTCGGAGTGGCTGCGCGAGAAAATGATATATGCGGATGCGATTGAGCCGAAGGATGACGAGTCGATCAATCGGGTGCAGGCGAAGAAGCTGGAGGATCTGGCGGATGACGTCGAGAATTATAAGCCGAAGATTGTCGAGACTCATGCGCTTCTCGGTGGGTGTTCGACTAAACTTCACTTTAATCTGAATCTTTTCACTTTCAGAAGATGCTCTCGTCACCCCGAAGTCCAAAGACTCTGTTTCTCCGCAAGTAGTCAAGTACAAAGCGGCGTTGACCCGAAAACAAGGAGAAATCGAGTCGGACTACGTGGCTTTGCAGCGTCTCATTGTAAAGAAGCTGAAAGAGCTCCGACATTTGATTCAGGATGCCGACGTGCTCAGAGAAATCGCCGATATGGAAAAGTGGATCGAAGAGGAGGAGGCACAGCTGAACAGAATGTTGACTGCGAATTCAGAGGAGTTGCCGAATCGACTGGATGACGTAGCAACGAATTTGCAGAGGAGAAGAGCCAATTTGACGGAGATCAAGTGCACGGTGAGCCGCATATTCGTTATAGATCGGAGAATTGACAAAAAGCATTGCAGGGAATCCAATCTGCCGACTCGGCTCCATTCCAAACCCATAAGGTCGACGATGCATTCTCGATGCTCGACGTCTTCTCGTTCGAACTCGATCGTATTCGTCAGCGCGCTCATCGCGGCGCTCTCCTGAAGACTCTGACGGCCGAAGTGGAAGACGTTATCGATTCGATTCAAACGACTGTCGAGAAGATCGAAGCTCGCCCGAGCATCGGAGGACATCGTAAAAGTCAGCAAGGAATCAGTGATCTTCCGAATCTTGACGGAGATTTGGAGACGCTCAGAAGACGTGTGATCGCCAGTCTGGAGAAGGCGAAGGAGGTGAGAGCGGCTAACGCGGAACTGGCTCCACAGGTGTACGATCTGGAAGAACGGCTCGAAAAAGAGTGGACTGAAGTGAGCAGAGCAGCTGAGGAGCGAAAGAAACGGGCGGAACGCGGAAAGTTGCTCTCGGAGCTCGACACGGAATTGCTCGATATGGAACAGTGGATTGATACGTTCAATGAGGAGGTGATCGTGGTGACGGGAGGAATACACGACGGACTGGGTGTGCAAGTGGGACTGGAGTCCATTGACACTTGGAGGTGAGCAGCATTACTGTAGGTGCGCCGAAAACAGATCACAATTTGCAGGGAAGAGCTTTCCCACCGTGTCGATCAACTCGGAGACTCCAAAAATCTGCTTGCCTCCGTGCTCAACACCATTTCTGCGATGGAAGAGAGAAATGCGTGGCTCGGTCGAGTTGCAGACATTGAAAGTGACCTCGTGAAGGCGAGAAAGACGATCGATGCGAAACAAGACGAGCTCAGTGAATTCTCGAATATTCTAGGAGCAGAAAGAGACTGCGAACGACTTCACGCGTGGGTGAACGGGAAAAGAGAGCAGCTGGAGACGGAGGCGTCGAGTGAGAATGCGAAGACGGTTATCCGTCGAATGAACGAAATTGAAAAGATGATGACGAGCAGAGCGGGCGAAGTGGAGCAGCTGAGAGAGTTCCTCGAGGAGTTGAAGGCGAGCAAGAAGCCGAGCAGCTTCAAGAGCACAGAACTCGAGCTCAAATTCGAACGGCTTGACGACGAATGGCAGCAATTGGAGGACGAATTGAGAAGAAGAGAGGTGGATTTGAACGAATCAATGAGCCAACTGTTGCTCGACGAGCAGTTCGACAAGATACAGCAGTGGATCGAGGAACGTCGGGAGACGATTCACCAGGATTCTGACGTCGGAACGAAACCAGAAGACATTGAGAAACGACAGAAGAAGTACGAGAAGATGGCGAGTGAAATCAATGAATATCGTCCGATCTACGAGGATTACCTGAGCAACGAGAACTATGACGATGAGAAAGTTCGAATCGTCCGAGAGCTCTGGAGTTCGCTCATCGAAACCACCACAATTCGTCAGAAGTCGTTGGCTGAAGAGATTCAGAAGCAGCGGCTGTTCGACCTTCTCGATGACATTGAAATCTGGCTGACCGACGCGGAAACTGAAGTCCACACCGCTGTCAATTTCACGAGTCTTTACAGTACTTCCGATGCGGAGAAGTCTTCCAGACGACTGAAATCGATAGATGAGCAAGCAGGCGAAAAGGATGAGCTGCTGAGAAGAGTCCGTCCGAACGAGGAGACCGATCAAATTATCGTGAAGCTCAGAGCCGGAATAGATGAGCTCAAACACTTGATAAAGGCGAATTGTGAAGATTTGGATGTGTGGAAGAGTATGCAAGAAGTGGTGAAGGCGATCGACGATGAGATTTGCTGGTTCAAGTTGGTGTCCGACTCCGGAACTAGGAAAATGGTGATGATTTCAGAGAACTCTGCGTGATCGTCTCTAGCACGGACGTCGGCCACGACACTTCATCCCTCGAAGTGCTCCGCCGGAAACATCAACGTCTCCATCTGGAAACTGATCGCCGAAAGCAAAAAGTGGCGAAGATTGTCGATAAAACGACAGATCTCGTCTCCCGCAGATCTCGTCCGTCTCTTTACTCGAAAATTGATGAAATCGATGAGAAAGTTGCTCAAATGACCGAGCTCATCGAGAGTAACGGACAAATTTCTGAAATTCGAACTCACCGCCTCGAGAAATGGGCGGATTATTTTGCGGTAAGCAAACTTTGTGCTCAAAATGCTCCCAACAAAAACAATTGCAGCTCATTGACGAGTTGCGCGAGAAAGAGCACGTCCTGGAGAAAATCGTGCAGCTTCCAAAAGCCGGAACTCCAGAAGCGATTCTGGCAGATGTGGAAAGAAAAAGAGAGGTTCTGGAGACTATTGGAGAGCAGATGGGCGCATTGAAAAAAGCCGGAGAGCAAATGAGCCAGGACGAAGTGATCCGAACGAAAACGGCCGAAAATGCGGTGGACAAGCTGCGTCAGCAATGGGCGAAAGCGACGGAGGAGATGGAAGAACGGAGCCATCAGCTGCGCGAGAGCATTCAGGCGTCGAAGTTCGCGTGGAAGTGCGATACGGCCATACAGTGCATTCGTGATCAAGAGGAGAAGGTGGCGAATCTGGTGCACCAGAAGAAGGCCTCCAGCAACTTTGAGAACGCCGTTTATCACTCGACGATGAGTTTTGTGGAGAGCTACACAAAGGAAACGATTGAGAAGTTGGTGGAGACATCGAGAGGATTGAAGGATTCCAGCGAAGCGGTGCGCAAACTGAGAGTGGTCGAGGAGAGATTGGCTGAATTGAAGAGGCATTTGGCAATGTTGGCTGAGAAGATCGGAGCCGACGGACAGAAGAAGGGCAGGATTCAGAGCATACAGGTTGGAGAAAGTTAGAGGTGGAGAATGATATCTCTTTTTCAGGACGAGTATACGAAGTGCGCGTGCGAACTGGCGAATTGGCTGGAACAAGCGGAAGAAGACGTCGCCGATATTGTCTGTTTCCAAACGAAAGAGTCTTCTGAGGAGAGTCGCCGTATTCTCAATGAAATCCTCGAAACTCTCCGCTCTGAAAAGATTGAAATGCTTGAAGAGCTCGAACTTTTAGAGGTCGAACTTGCAGAGCTCAATGAAGACGTCAATACGTTCACGTGGTATTCGCATAAGACGTTGTCGCAAAGAATGGAGAGATTGGATCAAACGATCACGGATCGCATCCGAATTGTCGACGGAGAGATTCATCGTCACGGAGAGAACGAGAAGATCTGCAAAGAAGCGGCGGAGACTCTTCAGATGTGCAAGAATGTAATTGTGGAGGCGAAGAAGGAGCTGGAGCAGCTGCAGCATCTGAAACTCGACGATCAACGGGAGAAGCTGATCGATCTGATCGACAATGTGCAGAGCAGCGGGATGATTGAGCAACTGGAGGAGTGGAGAAGTCTGATGGGCTCTCGGTACATCTTCGATAACAAATACACTGCGGCCACTCCGCACGGCGTCCTCGTGGACACTTGCCACACTCTGGAGCTCATGAGCTCAATGCTCAGATCGGTGGAGCAGTCGATGACCGAGCGAAGCAGCAGCGGAGTGACCGAGAAACAGCTCAGAGAGTTCGAGATGGCCTTCGAGTATTTCGATCGGGTAAGGGCAGTTCTGATGGGTTACGGTAGCGTCCGGTACATTTTCAGGAGAAGAAGGGCTGGCTCGACTACGAACGTTTCGAATTGTGCATCAAATCGCAAGGATACGAGTTCACCATCGAAACGGCGACCATTGAGACCATGACGATTCTGGATCCGACCAAGTCTGGCGAATCCTTGAATGTTCTGAAACCAACCGAATATTTCAGAAGCGGACGAATTCTGAAGACGGACTACATGCGTTGGATGGTGAAGAACGAGACGACCAACATTCTCGACGATCACTCGGCCATAGAGGAGGCTTTGAAGAGTCTGGACGCCCGGAAACTGTCGGATGTGAGTGGACGACCTCATTGTGTAGACAATCAATCCCGATTCCAGAGTATGTCCCGCAAAGAGGCCGAGTTCTTCATGCGCAAAATCGCCAAACACACGGAGACGTTCACGGAGCACATCCACCTCGAGTACAAAGATTTTGTCGACTCGTTTTATTGATTTGTAATAAAGACTATTACATTTTTTTTCACATAGGCTAGAAGACAGTAGTTGTTCTTGTTCTTTGTTTCCATTTTATTCTATTTTATTCTTCCTGTTCTTTTTTTGTATTGTACCCGAAGCCCGAAGTAATCTCGGTGTTTTTTAATAGGAAAACCAATAAACGCACCGCGTTGTTTTAATAGCGTGAAATTTTTTGTCGTGTTCAATGTCAGCTGACGTTTCAATATCTGTATTTTCACGAAAACAAAACATTTCGAAACGGATTATTTCAGAACATGTTCACAATTCGTAAACGGAGTCTAGCGAAGCCAGTCAAGAAGATCGTTGGGGTAAGTTTGCATTCCGAGCAGGTTTTTCAGGGGAAAAGTTCAACGTCGTGAAAATTGAAGAAAGAAATCAATTCCAGATATTGCGATTCCCGTCATCGGAAAATGAGAAGAAGGAGCGGAAATCGGTTGGATTCGTGGATACCATCGGAAAGCCGCTGGTCGAGTACAGAGATCTTCCGCCCGCAGAACCGACGCACAGTAATCGCTCCCTTCCATTTCCACCCAAGAAAACCTGTTTTCTCTTTCCAGAAGACTTTCCGCATTCCTTCCATCATCATCAGAAAACATCGGGCAGACTGATATCGACAGGATCGTACGAGCCGTACACGAAATGGGCTTTGCTGCCAGCGAAAACGGCGAGGCCAGTGGCGGAAGGGCCCACGGAGATGGGACTGATCGAGGCGAAACGACTCGAGGAGAACGGCATCTCGCGGGCGCCGCTCTTCGGAACGTTTGAGACGATCGAGCTGCCGCACCTGCACGCCGATGCGATCCTCCGAGCCCGAGCCGTCGTGCCGATCATTCCAACCGACGTGCCCGCCAATCCTACCGCTTCTATTCCCACCGTTTATTCCGCCGATCCTGTTACTCCCACCCAGAATATGAATACGTACGAGCAAGTGTTCGAGCAGAACGGGACCACCTCGTCGACCTCCTCATCCTCCAACTCCGATCCGAACACGTTGCCGTCGACGAATCTGTTCGCCCTGATGGCACAGCTCAAGCAGCGCGGCCTGCTGCCCGGAAAAGGCCAAACGGATCCGGTGGCCCCGTCGGTGGGATTGATAGTTCCGCCGCCGCTTATGGTACTGAACAAGAAGAGAAAGGAATTTGATAGGAATTTGAATAAATATCATGTTGACATCCTCACAAATAAATGCGCATTGAGAGGAATGAATTGTGTTGTGAAGTCGTCACTTGAACTTAGAGCACATTTCTGATTTGGATGAATGACGCCCACGCATGCCCTTCTTCTGCACTCCTAGAATCCATCAAAACCAATCCAACCACTAGGATCCAATTTCCATCAATTTCAGAATCAAGACGTTGGTCGCGTTCCGAGAGCTCCGCGAGTTTGCACATTTTACATCAACAAGGCAAATGGATGCAACAAGGGAAACTCGTGCCGATTCTTGCACGATGATCAGCAGGTAACGCATCACTGTAGTTTTGATAGATTCTAAAAATTCAATCTTTTTTCCATATTCTCCAGATATTTTCCGTTAATTAGTTATGAATTTTTTCAGCGAGAGCTCCGTCAAAAAGTCCGTCATGAACCGTACCGAAAGAAGGACGAAAGTTGGCGTCGTACGCAGGGATCCCAACCGAAACCACGTCATCAGAAGGCGAAAAGTCGATGGAATCGATCGAAAAGTCCGTTGGAAAACGAGACGCCCGTTGCCTAAGCACTCTAATATTCTCCACTTTGTACCCCATTTCGCATGTACTATTCCTGTGCGTCGTTGGTTTCAATATCACTTTTTGCTCTTTTCTTTTTATAAACAACTAGTATTATAATGTACAAAAGGTGGTTCAATGTAAACCATCATTTATGATGAAAAATAGACACAGTTCGACCCGCTTTGGAACGCGAAAAAGTTGTGCAAAAACTGAGATACACTGGAACGAAATGAACCAAAAAAAAATCGAGAAATTTCCTAACAATTTGAGAATCACGGCACGTTTTGAACAGAAAGGGCACTTTTAGAAGAGGTGAAGTCGCACGAACACGATCGAAAGAGCGAGCAGTCGGAGCACTCCGCGGCTCACGGAGCACGGGCGGCGTTCGTTCTGAAAAGGGACGGGAATTGAGGGATTTCCGAGAAGGGAGCAAGTGCGCTCTACTGAGAACTAATGTTTTCACAGCTAAAAGTACCATTCCTGGCTTATATTTACGGGAAGTCGCAAAATAATGTAAGTGCGCTCTACCGCAAACAATTCTAGCTGTAAAAGAGCGCTCGATTACCTCGGAATCGTCGTCGTCGATCGAATAACAGACGTCGTTGGCCTTGGATTTTCTCTTTTCCGTGTCCTCGCAGGCATCGTCCTTCTTGACCTCCTCGAATCCGAAAGGGACCGTCTGGCTCGGGTGCTCGATCGGACACTCGGTCTCGTCGTAGCAATTCTCGCTGTCTTTGTCCTGTGTTATCCACACCATCACCAGATTCGTTCCGTCCACAAACGCCGCCTCCATTTTGCTGAAACGCACAGAACTCATCCGCTGGAATCTCTTCACTTACACAGAACACTTGGAGTTCTTGCACGGCCTCGCAGACCGCTGCTCCTGAACGAGGTGCGAGCTGGCCGGACGGTTCTTGCCGTCCTTGTTCGAAAAGTAGAAGAAGGACTGCTTCGGACACGGGTAAACGTCGGTTCCTTCGTGGAAAGAGGCCGTGTACGCCTGTGTGAACTGAATGTTCGGCAGCCAAACCAAGAGACCGCCCGAGACAGAGCTGGCCAGGCGGACTATAAAGTTGTAGGTTTGCATGAGGAAACGGAAGATCGGGTAGAGCGGCTGCAAGGCAAAGAACTTGAGAATTATGAATTTTGAAGATCAACACAACATTCCCAGCAACTTTAAATCTCAGAAGACAGCGGACTCACCCTCAACTTGCTGGCAGAAGTGGTGACAACCTTGACGGCCTTGCAGACGGCCTGATTGTCCGTATAGGCGAACTTTGTGTAGAACTTTTTCTCCACCAACAGCTCCATCGTCTTCTGTCCGATGCGATTGATGCCTCCGAAGAACTGGCTGATGTGCCGTCCCTCGCCCCGCAAATAGTCCTCGTACGAGATGCGTTTGTCGTTGCTGAAGAAGACGTAGCCGTGCTCGTCGAGCAGCAGACACCACTTCCGTTCGTCGGACGCCGGACATCCGTGCTCGGCCATCGTGTCGACAATGTGATCGTAGACGAACTCGTAGCCGGACACGCCGAGCACCGCTTTGTCCATGTAGACCGCCTTGAACGCCTGTCCGAGCATCGTCAGATTCTCGTTGAGACCGTATCCGGTCAGCTGCGTTTCCGATTTGTACCAGATTTTCGAGTTGTTCGACACGTCGAACATGATCGTGTCTTTCATTCGGACCGCCCGTCTGTAGTATCGGTCGTCCGTCGACTTTCGGTTGAGATCAGTGATGAAGTGGTTGTAGGATTCCTGGAAGAGGTACGGTAGGCAAATGAAGAAACCGATTCCCTTGTACCTGAGCGTGCTCAATTGAGAGCAAGAGTCCAATGTGATCGAACAAACTCCAGTACGGATCCTCGTAATCGTAGTCTTGCAGCGTCAGATTGTAATATCGGATCATTCCGGCAGGCGTCGAGAAGAACGCCAAATGGATCAAATTACTGAAACATTGCTAGTCTCAATTGTACAGTACTCCCTTCTCACTTCTTCATAAACGAGTACAAAGTGTCCCAGCTGTCGATGAGATTACTCGTCGCTTCCATGTCCAAAAGAAGCTTCTCGACCAGGTTCCGACGGTATTCGCAAAGAAGAGGAGCCTTTCCAGAGTCTGACATTTGCTGCGCATAAATCTCGAACGCTTCTTCCTTCGACATGTGCGTGTCCGTGTCGTTCAGGAAGCAGTAACGCCTGGAACAGTGCATTTTGGCTCGAACCTTCTGAAATTACGGGCACCGACCAATGGGGATGCAGCCGCCATCTCTTGTCGCCCATCCAATCCATCTTGACCCTACCGAAATCGTACTTTTTCTGCTTCTTCACGATTCGATAGTCGTCGCCTTTGGCCACAGCCAATCCCAACCTGAAAATGCACCGCCGTACACATTGCTGTCGACAAAGACGTACACAAAGTTGGCATGATTGATGCACTCCGAGTAGTAGGTGTTCGTCTGCGGATAGACTCTGTCCAACAGTTCGGTCGCGTAGAGCACGTCCAGTTGTTGCACGTCGCTATTGTCGCATTCAATGATCATTTTCCGGACCGCCTTCCTCAGATCCTCAATGCATTCCGCGTAGTTGCCCGCTTCGCAGACGAAATCCGAGACCGCCTGCGACTTTTGACTGTTCCGAATGCTCGAGTGCTGCTCCACTTCCAGCTCTAGAAGATCCATGTTGTTGTAGTTTTGTTTGTGATATTTCGTGACCGGGTCGATGGGTCGGAGCTGCGGATGCGACATTACGAATCCGTTCTGATCCAGCATGAAAAAGTAGCTCTTGGCGCCGATCTGAAACGACGAATGCATGGAAACCAATGTAAAAGAGGGAAATCGGATTTACATTTGCTGGATGACTTTTCTGCGAAACTTCAGTGAGTGGAATGTTGACAGCGGCGACGCCCATGAACGTTTCATTGACAATTACCGGATACGAGACGGTCGTCACAAACATTCGGCTTCTCGCTTCAGTCTTCTGGAGACGAATCTTGCGGCGGGAGGCCATTTTGTTCATGACCGCGTAGGATTTGTTCGTGATCGGCGTTGGCTCCGCGAAGATTTCAGGCCGCGGCAAGTACTGAAATGCGGGGAGTGAAGAGTATTTTCATCTCCGTACTCACCAGACGCTCTCTGTACACTCCGGTCCACCAGGACAACTGCCCGGATTCCTTGTAATGCCTTCCGACGACTCGAGACATTCTCCGGATGTAATGATGAATCTTCTCGTCGACGTCGGCCATGTTGGCCACGTGCACCATGTATCCCCGGTTGCTGCACGCCATATCTCGGACTTCATTGAAGTCGATCGCCTCGTCTCCGACCAGAAATGTGAAGACACGGACCTGGAATACTGTAGTTTTGAGGGCGTACTGTACTGGAGGTCTTACCTTCTTGTCAGCATTGTACATGTCAAAGATCTTCTTGTAGGCGTTCGGAGCTCCGTCCGTGATGAGCATGATCACATTCTCGCACGCGCCACGGTTATTGTCGCCTCCGCCGTTGTTGATCTACAAAAAAGAGGGTCAGCGGGGTGATCGCGAAGCGACATTTCCGAAAAGGGGAATTCTGAACACATGCTCTTCAAACCACGACGACAACATTGCGAACAATAGGGCGGACGGCACGCACGAGGGGTTCATGCGAAGCTTACAGAATCGATGTACTGTTTGGAGGCGGTGAGCACGTGCTCGGGCAGCTCGACGAGGAACGGATGCTCCGCCGTCGCGTTCGCCGACATCATCGACATTTCCTCTTTGGTGTGAAGCGCGTACGAGCCTTTTAACTGAACAGAAACAGAGACAGCCGTGCGAAAGCGGTGAGAGAAGCGAAACAGAAAGACTGCGGAGGGGCGGGGGAGGCGGAGAGCTTACCTTCGGAGGGCTCCGCCGGAGAAATGAGGGATACGGTACCTACCGTAATCATAACGGTTCCCAGAAGTTATTAGCAACAAGCCAGAAAGCAACATTTAAAGCAACACAGGTTTCCCGGGCTATTCAACTACCGTAACCCGCTGTAATAAAAGTCCGCCGAAATACCGTTTATTCAAATCTATGTATCTTTGCTGTCTGTAGAGATATAAAAGATTGTTCAACTAACAAAATGTACAAAATTTCCTAATCAATAATTCCTTAGTTTACCACTTTTTGATATCTCTTCAGGCAGCCGAGATATAATTGACTGTATCGAGGTGTCACTTCTCCAGTCCCTGAACACATTCCCTCCTCATTTTCATTCTCATTTTCTCCTGAACAAACAAGAACAAAAAGCCATTTGCGCCCTCTTTTCTGCCAACAATTAAAGCGTCAAATTAGTAAGCACAGCCCGTCGTGGAAAGCCAATTAACCGCTCGAAAAGAGAGAGAGAGAGAGAGAAGAAGGGAAGGAGGCCCGCAGACACACAGACTCTCATGGTTCTGAATTCGGAAAGAGGGCCGAGGAAAGGCGCGGACTCACGTCGAGCAAAACACTGAACGCCAACGGAAGCGCCTTCTCGTATTCGGCTTTTCCTTCGCTCATATATGTATCCATCTTACGCCGAAGAGCTTTTTTGTTTCGCATTGTCGCCTGAAGAAGCCCGTTGGTTCCGTTGCAGCCGTCCAGCAAGAACGTGTTCTTCGAGAACTGAAACAGAGATCTCCAGGGTCTAAACTTGCAGTGGGAGAGTTACAGTCATAATATTGAAGTAGTCATTGTGCGAGAGTGTCTCTAGAATCGCCTCCGTCGTCTGCTTCGCCACTTCGTATCGCTGTCCCAACATCGAGCCTGCAACCCGATTCCTTCTCCTCTCCTAACCTAATAATAAGCGCACAAACCCGACATGTCCAGCATAATCAGCACGTTCTTCGAGTTGGTCGCCGAGTTGATGTACCATTCGGTGTTTCGGCAGTCGAAAAGGTCCAAATGCTCGTCCTGATTGTCCCAGAACCACGAGGCGGCCGGGTAGTAGCGCATGTAGCCGGCTTCCGAGCAGAACAGCTGGAACGCGAGGTCCTTTGTCTCTTCTCGATTCGTGCGGTAGACGGCGTCGATGTCGGACCAGTCGATCTTGCGGAGGAGCTCTTCGTCTGAAGACAATCAATTTAAGGGTGCGGTGGCGTCGAACTCACTTCGATCATAGAGCGGCGTCGGAATGTGAACCGCCGAAGAGGCAGAAGACGTGGAGAGCGTGTAGAAGTTTGCATTCTGGGTCAAATTGAATGATTTCGTCTCGTTGACTTTCAACTTGCGGCCCAAATGATTCGATTCGTAGATTGTCGTGCCGTCATTTCCTGGAAGTTCTTCAAGTTTTGACGATTTAGAGTGAGGTCCCACCTTGTTTGGCCGACATGAACCTGATGAACGACTTGGATTGAGGATCATTCACTGCCGTGTCATTTCGCACCGATCGGGCTTCCAATGATATTTTCGCTTTCTGAAATGTGCTTGATTGTTTCTCTCTCACAGTCGACAGTGAACACCTCATGACAATTTATCTCAGCTGCCTAAAGAGATGGCAAAAAGTGGTCAACTACTAACATTTTTATCAAGAATAAGTGTACATTTTATCACTTGGCAACTTTTTGATATCTCTATCAACAGCTGAGATATATCGTTTTGAATCGACCGTATAGAACGTCTCAGGAGATTTCAAGATTTCTTCAAACTTTCAATATAAAACTCACATAGGCAAAGCTGGATCTGACTTTCAAGTAGTCCTCGATGCGGTGCTTGCTCCGTTTGAGCTCGGCCCTCGGATCGAATTGCTCCTCTTCCACGAGTTTCTCGAAATTCTGCCTCAGTATCGTCTCGTGCGAAATCTTGTTGAACGTCTCCTTGACGTGCTCGCTGAGCACTTGAGCACATTCTTTTATACTGTAAACTGGGTTCGGTAAAAAGGGAATCCTTCAAAAGTCGAAAATACCTTTCTTTATTGAAACTGTTCGTACTGGTAATGTTCAAAATGAGCCAGATGACGAGACGAAATGCCGTCCGTTTCATCATTTTTGCCGTGCGCTCCACCCACTTTTCAGATGTTCTTCATCGCTTTTTTGGTCCTCTCGAATCGACTAACCTAGGAGTTCGTCTGAAAATATGTTTTTTTGTTCTTAGTGAGCATGCTCTTGGAGCAAAGAAGAAGAGGAAAAGGGAGGCAATAATTGGAAACGAATGAAAATGAAAAATGAATGAAAAGCAGGAGTGAGTAGAAGAAGTCAGAAGGAGTTAGAACAAAAGAGAGAGAGAGAGAGAGAGTGTGTCGGCGGGGAAAAGAGAGCTCAAAACCGAGAGTTTCCCCTCTTTTTCTCTCTTCTTCTCGTTCTCTGGCGCCAAATCGATGAGCCGTCGGGGTCCACTAGAAGACGGATGACGGGCTGCGGAGAGAAAGGAGGAGAAGCCGTGTGCTCGGCGAGCAGCTCTCTCTCTCTCTCCCTCTTGGAGCAAAGAAGTAATGAGAGCGTGTACACTGGAGAAGAAAGAGAGAGAGAGAGAGAGTGGGCACTGCCGAAGAGACGCGGAGCAACGGCACGGAGGGATGGGGAGACACAGGAGATCCACACGAACAGGTGTACTTTTTATTCTACTTTCCGGAGGTGTTTATGGGAGAAAACAGGTCGAGGCGGCAGCGAGAAGGATATAATGAAGGGGTTCCGAGCGGATTTATGCGGTGAAGCCCGCGAGAGCAGATGGCATCGGAGTACGGTAATGATCAGGGGCTGGAAGAAGCTCTCCGGGCATCAAGACAAATGGCTCTTCAATCTTAGTAAGCTTGCCGGTTCTCAAACAGTTGTATGTTGTACGTTACGAACAACTACTATATCCCTGAACGCACAACTAGAACTACCGTATCTCATTTGTATTTTGCGTTATCAACAAGAGTCCAACTGATATTATAGGGGCACCGCACAGAAATGGCGCTTTGTTGAGAAACTCTTTTTGCAGTGCAAATTGAGCGACCTCGGGACCGAGTTTGAAAAATTAAGCCACGTTTTCAGTGGAAAATTACTTCGCGGCCTAGAAATTCGGTCAGATTGCTAACAGCGCGCCCTTTCTGTCCGGTGCCCCTATAATAATATGCATATCACGGTCTCCAGAGCTGACAATATGGGCGTGGCCTCGGCGGCCAAATGGCGTTTTCATGAATTGAGCAGGTTTTCTCTGATTTTTGTGGTCAACGGCGATGAAAAATGATTTTTCGACATGAAAACACACTAACTCTCAGAATTAAAGACGTTTCGGCGCATTTTTCGCGGATTTCGCTTTTCGCCTTCGCCGCCGATAGCCGCCTAAAATCCGCACCTCTCATTTTGCGCTTTCTTGACCGTTTCCAGACAGAGATGGTTTTGGGAATGATAAATCACGTAAATACAAGCATTTTGAGCGCTCGAACCGCGAAAACTACCGAAAAGCAACTGAAATTCACGCAGTTTTAGCCAAAAAGCCTTCAAACGGATAAATGTGATTTGCGACTTGACCAAATTTTACGCTCTTGCGCTTAAGAAATTCGTAATAGCCTATACAATCGATCTATCGAGAGACAAATGAGAAATTATCGGTTTTTCGTGACTAATCTGGCAAAAAACACTAATTTTGCTGTTAAAATTTGAATTTCGCGCCAATGTATCGCTCTATTGGGCGGGGCGCACTTGCGCCCATTGTCAGCTCTGGAGACCGTGATATGCACACAATTTGTTGTATAGAAATTCCTTAGCTAACAACTTTTTGATATCTACATAGGCAGCTGAGATATATGGCCTTTTACAGAATGTATCGGGTGTGTCTTTCTATTACAGTCTTGCGAAAAGAAAACAAGAGTCAAAGGCTAGAGTTTTATAAGAAAAATGCTAAGAACGACGTCTTCTTTATGCGTCTCTGAGGATCGTGGTCAGAACGGACTTCTGACTGACTGATACACTACAATATACGGATATCATGGATACATTCGGTGGCGATACTGATCAGAAGCATAGCAGTTCGATTGTGTCTTCTGACTCACAGACTCACAGGACCACATTTCTTCAGATTCACATTGCTTTCGAGAAGAAAGCCACGAAAATGGAACTGACAAACTTGCAGCTTCTTTGATCTTATATTTGACAACTTTCAAGAGTACTGTAGCCCATAGGACTGGCAAGAAAAGTTCAATAGACCATCTCAAATGATGATCTCTAATCTGACGAAGAAATGATATCAAAAGTGTGTGTGTGTGTGGTGGGGGAAATGTCTGTTATCACTCGACAGTTCTCCCCTTTTTCCTCCCTCTTTGCCTCTCGTTTCTCAAAAGAGCCACTCCAAATCGTCTCGCAGTAAGCACCCGCCAACCAACAAACAAAACAATCCCTCCTCCTCCTCCCCCCTCCTCCTACTTCTGCAGAGTTGATGGCAATTCGTAGTAAAAAGAGGATCGCCCGTGATGGCCCTTTGCCACGTGGCACCCTGAGAACGTGGGATACTCTCGCGACTCGAAAAGTCGAATGACATTGTCATCAGAAGAAGAGCAAGAAGAAGATTCAAATTTTCCGAAGCAAACAAACACACTGTGATAGTATGGATCCGCCAGTGAGCCGCATCGGCTGGAACGATCAGAAAATTATGAGAACGAAACGCGAGTTGAACTCGGTGAGCAAACGGAAGGCGAATCGAGCGAAAATGACGAGTTTTAGGTGAAAGTGATCATGAAGGAGAATGTGAAAAAGATTATGGAAAGACAGGGAAACCTCGATGAGCTGGTCGACAGAGCTCGTGAGTTTCCGGCTGGACAGATCACTCAAACTACTTTTTTCTGTAGAAAAGCTCGAAGAGGCGTCGGACGTGTACCAGAAGTGCGCAGTGAAGATTCATCGTGAGGCGAGCTGGAAGCACCACGCCCTCCGCAACGCCTTCATCGCCATCTCCAGCGTTTCCGCACTCGCCGGCATCGGTCGGTCATTTCCGTACTTCTACAGTAATCGTTCCCTCCTTTCAGCCTACTCACTTCTCTAAACCCAACCGATGTCATCGTTCTTTATTGGTATGAAATGAAATAATGAGTGTGTTTTTGTTTGTGGGGGGGGTAGATGTGCAATAAAACTTGGAATGTCTTTGTCTTTGGACAGTGTTTCTTTGGGGCTCTTTGAAGGGTCTGATCAGGCGGTCGGGAGTTCTGAAAACAAGAAGATTAGCGGGACTTTTGGGCAGTTTACCTAAATACCGTATGCCTCGGTTCCGTAAAGGGAAGTGTTCCTTCTGAGAGTTGCTTCCGATCCTTGTCTCTTGTCCATCTGCATCGTGGATTGTGGATACGTGGACGCCGTGTGGTAGTTCTTCATCAACGTCATCTGATCCTGAGGCGAGAGGACCACTTGCTGCAGCCAGTTTTCGTTGGGCTTCTGTAAAAACGTCTGGGATCCGTTTTGAAATGCCACTCTACCTGCATGGTCCCACACTCGGACACCTCCTTTTCAGAAGATCGGCCCAGATGGCAGAGAAGCAGAGAAACGAAGGCAAAGATGAGAATCGCTGAAATCGAGCAATTTCATTTTAAATTGACTCGACAACTTACCAGTGGCCATTACAGTATCCCGAGTTTTGTAGGGAACTAGCGGTAGAGAGACGTAGAGGGCGGTTTCGAAAAGGATGGCCAGGATCTGAGGTACGGTAGTTATGGCAGCTGCGAGAGTACCGTACTCCTTACCGAGATCATGAGATGTTGAACACTCTGCGGATGTTTGAGAGTAGCGAGGGCAAAGATGAAGGAGAGAAGCGAGAGAAGAGCGATCAGACAGCAAGAGAGAAGGATCATGGCTTCGGCAGAGTCGCCCGGTGAGCATCTCCACATGGTGCCATGGAGGCTCGCCACGAATTCAGTGGCAGAGTCCGAGGAGAGGAGGAGCCATTCGGTCGAGATTACTGTAATGCTTATATCTCAGCTGTCTGTAGAGATATCAAAAAGTTTCCAACTAATGAATTGATTCCGAGGAAATGTTGTACATTTTATCAGTTGACCACTTTTTGCCATCTCTACCGGTAGCTGAGATACAACGTACCTGTCTGTATGATGACAATGGAGCACGCGATGAGCACAGAACTGCTCGAAGACGCGATCGACTTCCAGATGAGAACAGTCTTCACAAAAACCGGCGCAATCGTAATGCTGATAGCAATGGGGAAAAGAAGTTTGCGTAAACTACACGAAATACTGTTGGGCGGAATGATGAACGCGGGGGCGCTCAGCGAAAGGAACGCGAGTCCGAGCAGTGTGACGGCGGTCAGATTACGGTACTCGCTGACGGATATCACTTTCAGGTACATGCACATGAGACACGTCAGCGCGGAGAGCACCGAGAATATCGTGAACACCATGATCTCCACGTCGGTCAGCGCCTTCACGATCGACGGAAGTTGCTGACGGACGGTGCTTTTGGCCAACTCGCGAGCACACGAACTCTTGGGACACGTGGAGGACATGAGGAGGTAGCTGCCGCGCGCCGACGGAGACGTCGAGTCACTGCTGTCCTTGTAGACGTTCTGGATGGCGTCGAAGTGGCCGAGTTCGGAGAACTGGAGACGGTCCTCGACGAACTGGACACGGTTGATTCGCAGAGAAATGTCACGGAAGCCGGTCGAGTAGTTGAAGGAGACGGCTGGAAAAGTGGGTTAGGGAAGGGGTCTGGGCAGTGAGTCTCACGGATATCACTAAGATGATGCACGAAATCAAGATCGAGAATCGATTGGTGGAAGGCCGAAAACGGGTCATTCACGCAATCGGACAACGAAATGACGAGGGCTCCGGGACAGACGCGGTCCACGAACGAACGGAAAGCGATTCCGATTGAGTGGGCTGAAAGATCGAAACAATTGAGAAGACGTTGAGGAGTCTGTCACCTACCTGCCAATGAAATGGAAGCCACGTCGACATCAGGAGCCACTTGGGTGAGGTTGAGAGACTGGGAAGTCGCGCATTCTCTGAAAGCCTCGTAGACTGGCGAAAGAACAGTGATGGTACCTCGAGAAGCTGTTCGACGTGGCGCCGCCCGTCATGCCCTCCTCGTTCTCCACGTGGCACTTGAAAGCCGACGACCAGAACTGTTTGAGCCAGAGATTCGGCAGCGAGAGTTTCGGAATGTTCTCCGTTAACTTTTTGATTTCTTCCGGCTGATTGATGGGCGGTTTTGGGGTGATCTGAATGAAATTTGAATTGAAGAGTTGGAAAGACCGGGAAACGGTCACCGAGATCAAGTGTTGCTCGAAAGTCGGCCAGCTTTCGATGAACTTTCGGGAAGTCGTCCACCTCTGATCTTGCATCGAAATGAACACGAATCTGCCGGCGATCACCTGAACTTATGCTTTCACCACGTCAAACTTTCCTTCCTTACCATCTCGGTTCTCAACGCCTTCGCCATCTGAATCCACGTGTCTTCCGAGAGCATCGCGACAACGATGCGAGCCTCCGAAAGGAGAAGCCTTCGGACGACCATCTCGGCCACCGTATTGCTCGAGTTCTTCACATGAATCGCAACTTCGACGCACATTCCCTCGAGGAGCGCCACTTTTTGGAGCTCTTGCACCGATCTGACAAACAAACGAGGAGAGCTAAAAGTACAGTAATGCGAGAAACTTACTCGGCATAGTTCTCATCGAATATCACATTCACACAAGTGCTCTGATAGTGACGGAGAGCCGCGATTATCGATTGAATCGGCAGGGACATTGAGGGAAGAGTTCCCGAGGTTTGGGCCTGAAAGCTCACTTTCAGTTCAGTTTGATGCACTTGAGAATCGCGAGACTCACCGCCGAGTTGGTCGTGAAGAAGGTGTTGATGACGGGCAGATTCAGCTGGCTCATAATCTGTTCGGTGTTCGGCATGTACGTCGAATCGTCGCGGATAATCGCAATCAGGTCGCTTCTCTGAATGTTCGTCCCCGACAAGAGTTCGTAGAGATCGGCGACCGATCGGAGGTCTGTCGAGCACGAATCCACGATTATCGCGCCAATGTCCGCGCCTATCTCTTTCAGCAAATTCGATTCGTTTATCTGAAATGCCCAACTATTATTATACGTTATTAAACTTTTCGAAAGCTTACCGTCTTCAGCGCCTCCAAAAACGCCGCCATTCTCACGATTGCGTTCACATCGATTTCTCCGCATTCAAAGTTCTGAAACAAGGAAAAAAATGCTCTCTATCGATTGAGGAAAGGGCTCGAATTGGAGTACCTGTTGTCCGGAAGACTGATGAATCGGAAGAATTGCCAAAATGTAAAGTCTTCTAGAAGATGGAATGATGAGGACGTCGTTCAGAAGTCGGTGCGAAAGAACCGAAAGTTGGGCAGAGTCGAACGAAGTGGCGGAGGACTTTGCAGACTTCTGATTCACTTTCGACGGCTTCGGATTCTTCGATAGTTTCATCGGCGATTTAGAAGTCGTCCACAATGTTTGTGTGCTTTTTTTCGTCGTTCTGCTCGTTGGGATTACTGTCGGTGTGGGTGCGGTAGTGGTTTTAGTGGTGCTGCTCGATGGAAGTGTACTCGGATTCTGATAGTTCGGCTGCCACGTCACCGCCGCGGCAGAAGAGGGCGATTGCCACGTGGATGCGACTTGAAACTGCGGCTGGGTTACGGTAGTCTGCGGGCTCCAGAAGCTTCCAGTCGGAGGATTCGCCGCAGCCGCCGCCGCCGCGAGACTGGCCATCGGAAAGTCCACCAGACCCGTTTTTTGCGAGTTTTTCACGAAAATGTCAGTGTAGGGGTTGATGGCGGCCTGCGCCTGGCTGAGCATTTGAGGATCGAGCGTCGGAAGCGCATTGTTGATGATCTGACGGTAGTTGTTGGAGCGAAAGTCGAGAGGCGCCACGTGTGGGATTACGGTAGACAGGAGAAAGAGTAGGAAGAGGTCCGTCATGCTCCAAGAACAGAGAAGGAGCAAAAGGGGCGAAAGAGCGGCGACTCGCGACAATTCAAAACAATGCCTTCTTCTTCTTCTTCTTCTTCTTGCTCTTCTTCTTGCTCTTCTTCTTGCTCTGCTTGTTCGCCGCGATCGGAAAACAAGGGAAAGCGAGAGAGAGAAAGAGAGGGAGGAGGAGCCGCCTGTTTGGTCACTTTTTGTGTTTGCACCACCGTCAGATTAGGCGGGTTAACAAGCGCAACTCCGAAATAGAAGAAGGGGCACAAAAAAGAACGGAATCAGCCGGGAGCGCAACAGTGCATGGGATTTTGGGGACTTTCTAGAGGTTACATATCAGGGGAACCTCAATTGTTTTCGCTTTTCGAAAGTTCAAAGCGAGGAACGTGCTCTTTTACAGTACTTCACAGTCTTTGGGTGGTGGAAACGACGAAAAGAAATGAACAGAATCCGCTAAAAGTCTATCTGTGAATACTGTGAAGTACTGTAAAAGAATACTGTACTCGGAGCACACTTTCATTCCTCGCTTCGATCTTCCGAAAAGCGAAAACAATTGAGCAAACAGAAAAGTGGCCCCTCGTGGCCGAATCAGTCCGATTAATTGACCCACCGCCGGCGCTGCTCTCCGAATAATTCATTGTTGTCCTCTTCCGACAAATGCTCCAAGTTTCGCGCGCTTCCCCTTTGTTTGTTTCTTTTCGAATTCGACCGACACACACACACACACACACACACACACACACGGCTCGGGCTCGCTTGTAAACTTTTCGGATTATTCTAATTTTTCGAGAAAGGCAACACTTCAAGAACAAGGGCAAACTTCAATATGTACTTATCATTTATCCGCGTGTGATGAAGAGAGCAGCTCTTTGGAATCCTCTCGATCCATTCACTTCTTGGCGCAGACGTCGTTGTGGATGTTGTTCAATGGCCGCTCTCGCATTCCGGTCGGCCGGCGGCTGGATCGGAGAGGCCCGAGGGTCCGGCTGGGGGTTTGCGGCAGGGATTTGGGCATCGGAGTGTCGGAAGAGACCGACGGAACAGCTGGGATCAAGTTGTTTACCTGAAAGATCGGGAACGTTGGCATCTAATTTCCTCGAATCCCTGATCACCTCGTGCGCCTCCTCGTGCGAATCCGAGTTGTCCGACGGCGGCGAGGAGCACGGAAAACAAGAAGAAGACGTGACCGGAGCTGCGAAAAAAGACAAAGATTCCGGAGAATACGGGAGCGATCAACGGGGTCCAAAAATCTGCAGGAGGGTGCAAAAGGGTTTTTGCCCAGAGAGGCGTAGGGCATGACGAGCGTTTTTCATTCTCAACGCCTTTTTCTCGAAACTTTTGAATTTTTCCGTTAGAAATGAGAGAATTCGAGACGAGCGAAAAAAGCACCAACTCTTCAGCTTACTAGGGAATGATCAATAGGTAAGTTGGCCTTTTGGGCCGTGACTGACATAGTTCGATAGCTTATACCAAGAGGATCAAATGTTCTGTTGATCGTTTTTGCTGCCGGCACCTAGATTTCCAGAAAACGGCGCCGGAAAATTTCCACTGAAATCCTGTATTTTAGGCAATTTTCTCCCTGGTAACAGTCGCGTGAATTCCCTTGATATCAAAGTATACGGAAACAACTGAAATCACCGATTGGATGGCCATCCAACCATATGGTGCAGCTGTGGGTAGTGGGTTCGACTAGTAGTAGCAAGGGTCTCGGTTCGGTCCCCGCCCGCTATTATAATTTTTTGGGGGTTTTTTTGTCGACTGAATATCTAGGTCAAACGAGGTTTCATGATGATTTTTACACATTTTATGACTCTCCACAACCGAAGCAACTCAAAAATCGATTAAATAGAGTTTTGAAGAAAGATACATTTTCCATTAAAATCTCCATACAAAGTATGGGCTTCAAAAAAATTTTTATGGTTGCTCAGATTATTATATCATTAGATAGAGCATGATGAAAAGTTGTACACGATTGCAGTATATCATTTTTCTCAAAAATCACAATTAGGGCCTGATTTGAGGTACCATCGTCCAAAACTTCCTCATCTTCGGAGACCTATATCTTTAGAACCCACCATCAATTAAAAAAAATAATCGGGTATATTCAAAAAGAGTCCCCCCCCTAATTCAAGTAGAGCCCCCCCAAAAGAGGCCTTGGAAAAGCCCCCCACCAAGCAATTTATATGCTGTCCACTTGTTAAATAACAGTCCCCCACTTATTCAATAATAGCCCCCCACCCAGATGCCCCAATCACGGCTGGGGACTCATTCAAAATCAGTCCCCCATCATTCAAAATCAGTCCCCCACCATTCAAAATCAGTCCCCCACCAAGATCGTATTTTTGAAAAGGCCCCCATTCTGTCGTCAAATAAAATGCATCAGCATTAAAGAAGAGCCCCCCACTTTTGCGTCATTTTGAATGCATCGGAAGACTACCGTTCTCTGGGGCAAATCCCAAAATTTTTTCAATTTTTTTATTGTTTTTTTCAAGTTTTAAACTGTTTTCCGTCGTTTTTTTTTCAAGTTTTTTTCTTTTTTTTATGTAAAATTATTAATAATTAATTATTCGTGTTGTTTGTAGGTAAAAATGAACATTGGTGATATCAAATCACTGAATGATATTACTACCAATTTTCCAACTGAAAAGGACGTCGCCCACTTGTTTATGGACGCAAATCTACTGAAAAAAGAAGCAAAATGCGATAAACGCGGTAAACAAATGGCACTTCGAAGCCGAGGATCATCATACGAGGTATGAATTTTATATCAATTGAAAATAAAATATTTGTTGCATTCCAGTGGCGATGCCGTGTATCAAAATCGATAGATTGCTCCAGCAAAACCATCAAAGCAGGAAGTTTCTTCCAACATACTAAGCTCACTTTGACTCAAGCTCTCAAAGTGTTGATCATGTGGATCCAAAAGTACAGCTCGGGACAAATTAGTGCTGAAGTTGGAATTTCCAAACAAACCGTATGCGATTGGAGAAATTTTCTAAGAGAGCTCTGTGTGCAAATCGAAAAGAAATATTTGCTATTTGTTTAATTGGATAATTCTGCTAAAAAGGCTTAGAAAATTAAAAACCCTGGGACTAATATTGAATGGTGGGGGACCTCTTTTTTAAGAATACCAGGTTCTTAAAAAACAGTCCCCCACTTTGTACTGGTGGGGGGTGATTTTTGAACAGAGACGTTCAATTAAAGCCCCCCGGCGTCAGGTAGAAGCCCCCACCTATTTAGTGCTGGGTGGGGGGCTCTTCTAAGGTTGTTTACAACGTGGGGGGCTCTGTTGAGGTGGGGGGTTTCTTGAATTATCCCAAATAATCAACTGGAAAGTTGTTGCAAATTTTGTGTTGAACAACTTTGTAGTTGATCATTTTATACCGAAACACTTCATTCTCATTTTATACTTCTGTTTTTAACCGCCATTCACAAAAAATACAAATGTACGGCCAAAATGTTGGTTTTCAGAGGGTTTTTTTTGAGCACGCTTTCCGTGACATTTTCACGTATGAAGTCACCCAGTCGTGGAATTTCTCGTGGTTCTCTCCATTGCTTGTGATGTCCTTCGACATAAAAACCGTCCTCTCCCTTCTTCTACTGCAATTCAAGGATACCGCCGCAACATACCGCCGCATAAAACAAGCTTGATCCAACCGTTAGACAAATATTGGAACGGGCCATGGAAGGTCCGTTTTTTGGTGATGAACTCCGACAACTACTTGCATTTACAGACCTTGGTCCGTAAATTCACCTCTTTCGCCATCAGTTTCCATCCGGAATATGTCATTGCAAAGAGAAACAACTTGGTCTGGATGGTGGTCGTCCTGTTCCACCAAATATCTGCCGCGCATTTCAAGCCGTTTCTTCAATACTCGTGGAAGAAATGTGGATACATGGATCTCCCTTCAACTCCATTCCTCACGCCTGTTCAATTCTGTTTCGAGCAGACCGGATTGAAACGATGCGATTCCCCCCAGATGCGCCAACATGGCTTTCATAAAATGTGCTCGGTGCCTGGAATACCGCTGTTTTGACCATTTTGTGGTCGTAGATCATCATCTCTGCCCGAATATATAACTGTTCGAATGTTCTAGAACAACTTTTCATGCTCTATCTAATGATATAATAATCTGACCAACTATAAAAATTTTTTTTTGAAGCCCATACTTCTTTGTATGGAGATTTTGAATGGAAAATGTATCTTTCTTCAAAACTCTATTTATTCGATTTTTGAGTTGCTTCGGTTGTGGAGAGTCATAAAATGTGTAAAAATCATCATGAAACAGATGAATTACCTAAAAAAAAAGAACGCCCGCGAGTACTATGAGAATCCGGCAGAGAGGTGCGCACTCCGAAAACGCTTTCACGTGTGCGAAATGTTCTTTCGGATTGGAAAGTGTCATGATTACCCTAGAATGGGGCTGTCGAACTCTCTCTCTCTCTTCCTCCTTCCGACGTTGTAGCTATGCAAGAAGTCAACCAATTTTTTGTTCTTCATGACTAAGCCTCCTCGCGGTGAAGAACGGAAACGGGGGCTTCCTCAGGAAGCCCGCCGGATAATTAGTCAACGTACCTTTTCTAAATAACGGTATTTTTCTATTTTTCTTTGGCCCTTCAGAAGTAAACCTGGTATCTTTTGTTATCCGTTTTTCTTGTCGATTGTGCGCTTTCGTAAATTTTCCTGACCTACTTTGATCTACCCGGTTCGTCGTCATTTGAGGCGCAAATTCCAAGCGTTTTGCTAGTTTGTTTGAGTTCATTTGCCACTTTTCTCCATCTCCGACGCCGGTTTTATTTTGTTTTCTCCCTTTTCGACAACAGTTTCTGTGCTTCTTTCCGTTCGACTGTTTTTCTTTTGAGGCAATGAGCCAGCAAGCCGGAAGCGGTCACCGAGTGAATTTCGCAGAAGAGGAGCCGATGTGAGTGACGGAATCGATCGATTCTCGTCAGAATTTGTCAATTTCAGGACTCTGGGCGAAAAGATCAGTCATCGGATGGACCAATTCAAGGAAATGGTCTCGAGCGGCTGTTGTTCGTGTGCCAGCAAGGTGAGAAATCGGAAGAATTTCCATTGATTTTCAAAGTTTTCAGTGTCCGTCCGTGGCGATCGTGCTCTGTCTGGCGCTCGTCCTTCTCGGCATCTTGGCCGCCGTCCCTCTCACGCTCATGCTCACCTCTTCGGCGCAGAAGATGTCTTCCGACAGCACGGACCTCTCCCAACACCTCAGTCGGCATCCCAAATCGTGGCCGAACGTCGACAAACTTCGATTCGACAACCTCGCGGGCATTCCGATGACGTCGTTGTTCCCGCCGAATGTCTCCACGTGCTCCGGATTCGGATTCGCCTGCACTGACGCCGTCAACAGAATCATCCCGGCTTCGCAGCGATGCGACGGATTCAACGACTGCCAGGACGGATCCGACGAGGAAAACTGCAAGGAATGCCAGTCGGTCTTCTCGTGTCCATCGCATGTCGAGGAGCAGTCGAAGAAGAAGCGGAAGACGAAGATCCAGCCGACACTCATTTGTTTGTCCGCCGAAAGACTGTGCGATGGCGTGCAGAACTGCCCGGACGGCTCCGACGAGGCCATCTGCAGCTCGACGTGCACGAAAGAGCAGTTCAAGTGTCCGGGTAACAACGCGTGCCTGCCGCTCTCCGCAAAGTGCGACGGAATCAGGGATTGCTCCGATGGAAGCGACGAGAAGAACTGCGAGAAGTGCGTCAAAGGAGCCCACGTATGTTTCCCTCCAGATTCAGATTGAAACATTGCTGGTTTTTATTTCAGAAGTGCGGAAAACAATGCGTGAAACCGAGCCAAGTGTGTGACGGATTGGCCCAATGCGCCGATGGCTCCGACGAGAAAGAATGCGACTGCAAGACTTGCTCTGGCTCCGAAAAGGCTCTCTGCGACGACGGAACGTGCATCATGCGCTCCCAAGTGTGCGACGGAAAGAAGAACTGCGCCGACGGAATGGACGAGCAGGACTGTCCGGGCTCGTGCGCAATCGAAGCAGCGAGCACGAGCAGCAAGACGAAGAGAGTGATGTGTGCCGACGGGAACGAATACACCGAGGCGGAAGCGTGTTCCGGATTGTACGAAGATTGCGAGCAGAGATGTCCCAAGTGCCATCCGAAGCTCACGTTCACCTGCCCCGCTTCCAGCGGAAACGCGAAGAAGTGCATCCGTCGGAGCAAGGTCTGCGACGGAGTCCGAGACTGCGCCGATGGTTCCGACGAGACGGACTGCACTTCAGCGAGAGAATGCGAGGAGTCGAAGGAGACTCAGTTCGTTTGCGATCGCAAGTGCCTCGATTCGAGCCGCCGATGCGACGGAGTCTACGATTGCGAGGATGAGTCGGACGAGAAGGGCTGTGCCAAGTGCCCATCTGATTCCATCTTCTGTTCCTCTGAGAAAAAGTGCCTTCCGGCGTACACCCGCTGCAACGGAGCCGTCGACTGCGCCGACGGAAGCGACGAACAGAAGTGCTCGTGCGCCGGTAATCCCCTCTAACCCTCCCGATTCTCATTATTTCGTTTCCAGAATGCGTCGGAGCTCACTCGAACACGTACATGTGCGACGGCTCGAAGCGCTGCCTGAAGCGTGACGAAGTGTGCTCTCCGTACTCGATGTGCCCCAATGCCACGTACACGGACAAGGCCTTCTGCGCAGCGCTGGTGCTCAAAAGCTCGGGAATGTTCCCGTATTGATAAGCAACTTCTACTACTACTACCACTACTTCTACTAATCACTAACTTCTTTTCCTGTGAATTTTTCCCTTTTGAAAACCCCATTGATTGTCATATAACCCTATTGCACGCATGCTGATAAAAATGTTATAGTTTCCCGAAAATTTTAAATGTTTATTGTTTCTCGGCATCTTTCGTGTCCTCTGAATTCGATTCACACGGATTTGTTAAAATTTATTTCCTTGAGCAAGCCAACAAGTAGAGCTGTTTGCAGCTTTCTCGGCCCAAATCGTCAAAGACTACATCATCTTTCACACGAATCACATCCCTCATGCGCGAACCCACGATGGTGCGGTTCTGAAAAAAAGAACTATTTCGAGCTTAATCCGGACGGTAAGTTTCTCGTGGACGATCTCCGACTGATTTTGCTCCTTGAAGTTGCCGTAGAAAATTGCGTGGAAAATTTTTGACGCTCGAGCGAGAATCTGAAATAAAAGGTTGACGTCTTCAGAAAGAGTGTTAATAACTTATAAAAGCGCACCTGTTTGTCAGCGTTCACCTTCTTTCTCTCAACAAGGAAGACAATATCGCTGAGATGTTCATCGGGCTCAGCGAATGACAAAAAGAGTTTTTTGAAGGCTCCCACTTAGATTTTCACCTCCACGACGATCGGTTCGCTGAGCATTCTCCCCCATTCGTCCAAACTCGCAAACTCGTTCCAAATTACACTCTTGTCTCTGAACATCTCTGAGCACGTGCTCCGTCTCCATCGGCAGCAGTTCTGATCGACCACAGACTGATGGAGGGACCATCGCATCCCACACTCGCGCAGAACTTCGTTTCTTCTCCAGAACCCTCAAAGCTGATACAAAAACTGCTGAAAGTTAAATATTTCTAGGCCACCGATTGCATCCGGAAAAACTCACAATTCAACGGAAGCGACGTCGAACATGGAATGTTTTTTGTAGATTTTCAGCTCTTCAAGAGTCTCTATCTGAGCACGCTGAACGACAATCTCGGAGATTGCAGTCATTCTCCGCGAACTTTGGAGAATAAATGCAATTTTCAAGTTTAACGGGCGACTTGACCTTTTCGGCGTGTTTGCACACATTGCGTACTTTGCTACCGCCATATTCGAAAAAATTAATGCGAAACTGAATTTAGATTAATTAAGTTTTTATCACAAACTTCTGGAAAAAAAACGTTGCCAGACTTCTGCTCCAGCAATAATTTCTCAGCCAAAGCATCCTTACCGAGAAGTTATTTAACGAATTCGTTTGCTCTGAAGTTTGGATTTGGACAGTGCCTTTTTAAACATTCAGAGCAGCGCTGGACAGACCTCAAAAATGTCTTCCTCTGCAGTCCCTCAAACCGTCGCCGTCATCTGATCGTTCTGTAACTTCTCTCAAATTGAACTTTGCCTTCTTCTCAATACTATTCCATTTTTCCCACAAACATCATCTTATTCTCCCCATCTGGTGGCCATCACATTCAAAATTTCGGAAAAAAAAGTGAGAATTTGAAAACCTGTCCGCCAAATTATGTGTTTACCGTCGTCGGCCTTGACGTCTTCCTCTTCTTCTTCTTCTTCTTTCCCTCTTTTTCCGTCCTGAGAGGGATTATGTTCTGAAATGGGCGTTTATGTGTGTGTGTAAATTTGAACGCATTCTGGACTTTGATCAACTTCCGAACTCCCAAAACTCCTCCGACAGAGAGTGCATTCTCATTTTCATGTGAAAAGAAGAAACGATGGAATTAGCGACGGTGGAAAATAGTGTGTGTAAGGCGGAGACGCAGAGGCAGTTCGGCTACCAAATCCGAGCGATTTTCCGCCTCGAAGCCCCGCCCACTTTCACTTGTTTGACCTTGTTAAAAAGCGACCAGGAACACTGGTGATAACGAAGAAAACACTCTCGATTCTCTCTTCCGACCGCCACGAAAATTCACTTGTTTTCCTCGAGATGAAGGTGTGTTTTAAGGGGGTCTAGGATTGTTGTAGCTCCACTTGCATTGTATTTCGGCCGTTTGCAGCTCGCCACAGCTACCGTACTCCTCTCCTCGCTTCTTTTGAGCTCTTTCTCTTTTGAGCACGGCCAGGAGGACACTCTGGAAAGCCTTTTCCCGCGTTCCGGAGACGGTGACGTCATCTTTCTGGATCTGTCCGATGTCGACCACGCAAATGGAGCCGAGGTTCCTTTAGACTTTTTTGAACGCAATTTTATGTGGATGCTCTTCAGATTCCGCGAAATTTGACAGAGGAGGACACAAAAATCATTCCGACCAACATTGATTTCGCCGCTTTGAAGTGAGTTTTCCCTGAGCATAAATGCTGAAAATTAAAATTTAGAGAGGCGTATGCGAAGGAGAATAAGGCCGAGAGATTCCTTCCGTCTCGACTCTTTTTCGAGGACAAAAAGAGAAAGTAATAAAGTGTACATATGCAGTATTTTCATCAGTTTTCGCAATAATCTCAACAAACCCTTAGGGACCCACAATAAACAATCGGTCAATACTATACTTCACGCACGGATGCACGGCGAATAAAACAAATAAAACACATGTAACAAAAGGGTGAAAAAAAGAAAGTGCGCCCAAGTCATTTGAGTTCATTTTTCCGGACCGCCTGGATGATTTCCTCCTTTGTGAAGTGCTTCTGAATGGCGATTCCGTTGAAGCCGTGCGTGAATTCTCCGTCCACTTTGTGCGAGGTCATTCCCATGATGTAATTGCTGCAACGACTCGGGGTATCTAGTGAGTTCAACGGGAAATTCCACTCACATCGCCACTTTTTCGTCAATCGTCGACGCGAAACTGATGGGCGCGTGCAGGTGATGAAGGACGTGTCGGACATCGTAAAGGTAGTACACAAGTATGCCCTCCTGGAAGCATTTCCTTACAATTCTTAACGATCTTCAGCTTTTCCTCACCTTTTTAAGCTCCGCCTCGTGGAATTCGATCTTTGTGATCCATTCCAAGAAGGCCTGTCTGACGAGGTTATAGGCGACGAGTCGGCTGCCCAGACGGCATGGAATCTGTCCCACCTGAAGCATGAGCATCTCATCAATATGCATCAGAAGTCCGAGCTTTTCTCACCACTTCGTATGGCAACGTATCCTGCGGCAGTTGGCTGTTCAGATTGTCGATGAGGCGACAGACCGCTGCTTGCGATGCTCCGTTCAGCGATTCGTGTCCGCGAGTCATTCCGATGTAGTGCGGAGCGTCGATTTGGTAGTGCGGGAAGCGAGCGGAGAGCTCCTCGAGCCACGCTGCAAACTCCTGACTGCTCATTTCGAATTTGTGGTCGTCATGGCGGAACTCGCCCGGTTTCATGCCGAACACCTGGAAAATTGGATAGACTCTGAAGCACCTTGCTCGCTTACCGCATTGTACTCGTGATTGGGTGTCGAGAAAATGAAAATACGTGGCATGAGCACTCCGAGCACATTTGCCACGAACTTTCTCGCATCGTCCAGCGGAATGTGCTCAACTCTATAAATAATTTGAGAAAATAATGACTATTTTTTTTAAATCCTCACACTTCCATCGAAACAATGGCGTCAGTGTCGGCGAAACGATGATCCGGCACGAGGATGTCGCCGACGTACGAACGGAACAGCACCGGAAGACCCGTCTCGGTGGCGAGGATCTCGCTTTGGCGGGTTATGTGTTTTCTGGAAGAAAATCGCCTTTAGCCGAAGAAAGCGGAAACTGCTCACTGAAGAAGCTGTTGTCCGACGGACAGCGAAGTCTCGTCAATGTCCACGGAGATAACGTTGATCGTGCCGAGCGCGCCGAGATACTCGCACATTCCGCGCTCGAGCGACATTTCCCCGCAGCCCATCACCGCCAATCGCCGAATGTCCTGCGTTTCGCGCTTGAACTTCATCAGCGTGTTCTTGACGAACGAGTTTCTCTGGACTTGGAGCGGCGGCTGGAAGTAGATCTTCTTCTGCTCGTGATCCGAATCCGATTCGTCCGTCGACGGCAGGTTGTAAATGGCGTCGAGGTACTCCTCATCGTCCGTCTTTTTATTCTTTCTGTTTTTCGGATTCAGATGAAACTTGAATTTCGGGCGGAACACTTCAATGTCCGCCTGCTTCAGCTCCCGATCCAACGGCTCCAGAATCGCCAATTCCAGCTGATCGTAGGCGTTCACATAGGTTTGCTAAAAAAAAGGAAAAGCTAGGCCACGTATGCGATGGATCGAGCTTACATCGTCATAGGGTGCACCCCATCCGTCACCGATAGCCGCCATTTCAGATGCTGAAAATGTACTGTTTTTTCTTGACACTCAAGTTCGCACGGGTATTCATAGAAGCAGGCAGAAAACCCTTTAATTATCCGAAAATTCAAAGAAAATGTGTATTTTTAAATAGACGAGTATAAATATGTACAAGCTTCAAAAAGTGAGTGCAAATTGATGCAAATGCGCTCTATCGATAAATAGTTCGTGAATAAATTCGCATCAATGTGAACCAGTATCTAGCTACAAATGGGAACGGAAATAGGATTAAAATGAATAGAAACAATCATAAGTATTATCGGTGTGTGGCTCGACCCGGTGAGCGCACGGTGCCCTGTCCGTTTGATGATGTGTTCAGACTTCGTCGATTTCTTCCGTTTCTACCAGCTTTCTATAGATGCCGTACAGCAGGGCACACAGATTTAGTCATAAGATGACGCAGCAGCGACAAATGCCTGAAAACGAGACACTTTATTGTCTTCAGCCAAACTAATATTAATGATCACACCGATTAGTTCTGGTTATTTCTATCCTAAGTCAACCAGCCACACCATGCCTTTTGTCCGCCGTTTTCGGCGAAAGTACATACCTGACCGGGTGTGCCTGATTGAAGAAACTCAAAGAGATAGAGAAAGAAGTGGCACTACAACCTACCGCCGCGATTGACGATGTTGTCGGCGGGAGGCGTGGCCGGAGCGAAATACGCGTGGATTTCAATGTTCGGACGGTGATGCTGGAAAACGGTGAGTTTCAAGGGATTCTGAAGTGTTTCCGAACCTGGAATCGAATAATCGCGTCCTTTGACACATTCTGACAATCGTACAAATCGATTCTCTTCAGTGATTTGCACTGTCTCAAGTGCGACAGAGTCGAGTCCGTCAGAAGAGGACAGTTGTCCAATTCGAGCACTTTCAATGATTCGCGATGTTTCGCCGCCAGATTCTGAATCGACTCGTCGGTCACATTCTCGCAGTGCGAGAGGCTGAGTTCGCGGAGAGCCGTGCACATGTTGGCGAGCGAATGGATGGTGTGATCGGTGATTTGAGAGCAGTCCTCCATGTCGATACGTTCCAATTGACGGCATCCCTTGGCCAGCGGCACAAAGCCGTTGTCGGTGAGCAAATGGCAGCCAGAGAGCTCGAGAACTTTCAGGTTCGACGAGTTGTGGGACAGCGAAATGAGCGCGCGGTCGGTGATCTGATTGCAGTTCGAGAGACACAGGTACTCGAGGATCTTGGCGCCGTTGGAAATGTTCTGCACGGTCGTGTCGGTGATTTGCTGAAAAATAAGACTTTCAAATATGATCTATTGCAATTCTCTATAGTCCACTCTTAATTAATTTCAAACAGAAATCCCTTACAAAACACTGCAACAAGTTCAGCTTCTTCAGCGATCCCATATTTCCCTCGACAGGCCCGAACACGTTCTCAGTGAGCCCTTCGCATCCTCTTAAAATCAGCGTGTCCAACTCGGTGCACGATTGGAAAATGGTCTGAACACCATGATCCATGACGCCGTCGCACCAGGAAATATTGAGATAAGTGAGGTTGGGGCAGCCGTCGCCGATGTACTTCATGGCTCGGTCGGTGATCGAAGCGCAGTTCTCCAAGTTCAGATACTTCAGTTTATGGCAGAATCTGCCGAGGTTCTCGCACGACGCGTCAGTGACTCGCTTGCAACGGTACAAGCTCAGATGCTCGAGGTTGGGGCACTTGGAAGTGAAAGTGCGGAGCGACGAGTCGTGCACATTCTCGCATCCTTTCAGAGAGAGCTCCTTCAGGAATCCTCCACAGCGACGTGCCAGATTCTCAACGACGGCCGCTTTGACGTCCTTTTGGAAGGTGAACAGGTCGACGCGTTGCCAATTGGATCCGTCCAACGCGAGAATGTTCCAGGCGCGACAGACTTGGGCGGAACGGCAAAGGGCCTTTGTGTCGAGGAAGGAGAACACTCTAGAAAAGGAATGGGATACAGTGGAATTCAGATGTCTCCCACTTGAGAAGTATTTCTTTCGGAAGAGCACGATTGATGAGCGAGTTATCGGCTTGAACTTGCGAAAGAGTAGTGATCAGATACATCTGTAACCCAAAAAATGCGTCTAAAGTTTCCGAATGAAACGCTCGAACCTGATTCTGTTTCGCTTGAATGACCGGATGGGTTTTATGCGCTTGTTGGGCCAGTCGTTTGGCGCGTCTCGAGTTGGCCGCCGCTGCACTTCTTCGTTCCGTCTCCATAATGTATTTGGGCTCAGAAGAAGAAGGAGAGCATTGTCGTTCGTCGACGGGAAGAAGTGTTCTGCAAGAGACGACGTGCGGATGAGGAGAGGAATGTGAATACGAGTGGGGAGGCGGAGGGAATGTCTCAAAAAGCGCTGGGAGGAGACGAAGAGCTCCGAGAGCTCGAAGAAGGAAAAAAGGAGAAGCACACGGCTAGTTTGTGCATTGACGTCAGTGGGGAATGATCATTAAAACCTTATTCAGAGCGAGAAAAACAGAGCGACTATTTTAGGTATAGATTGAGTGAGAGGAGATCTTTCTCGATTGACAGGACTGACAAGGGACCGGCTTCGAATAGCACCTGGCGCCATCCCCCCAACGACCTCCTCTGTTCCCGCCCATTCCTTTGTGTTCTGCCGCCGCAGACATCTGTCTTTTCCGTTTCTTTCTCAATTTCATCAGGGGGAAGTAGTCCTTGGATTGTACTTGCGGGCAATGTCGATGGATTTCCTCTCGCTCACGCTCCCTCTGGTAGAATGAAGTGACGGGCGAACAAAAGAGAACAAAAAACTAGCCGATTGAACGAGATGAATGACTGTCCAGGTGGTCGACAAAGTCACCGGATGGCCAAGGACGGCGGATGCGAATGATTATATGAACGACAATTTGGGAGGGAATGGGTCGAAACGGACGGGTTGCCTGGAAACCAGTAAACAAGGAAGTGACTCCATGAATTCCTTCTGCTCATCCGACTCTGGGTCTGGGCCCATTCCATCTTTTATTGTCCCTCCTCTACTTTGTCTAATGCCTTTCTTCCCTCGGGGCGCTGTTGGGTACCAGGAGGCACCATCAAAAGGGCATCGCTATAAAAAAAAAACGCCGTCTGGACGGCGTGCCATTCTCGTCAATTCAAAAGAGAGGATTGGAGTATCGAACAAAGATGATGAATTCAAAGTCGAAACTGGTTGAAGTGAACGAGACGTTGTTTATTTGTGCAGTCTACACCCGCAGAAGAGCCCGTAAATATACTATACATTTGCAAGCACACACACATATATTTTTGCGGTGCCATTCTCTTCTAGTTGTTGTGCCGGTTGAGGAGGAAAACAACGATACGAAATAAGCATAATCTAGTTTTCAGCTCATCTGAACTTGTGGGATTGTTTTTGCATAGAACAAAATACTCTAATCGGTGAATTTTCAAGCAGTAAACTTTTCCTAGAATCCAGATTCAGAGAACTCATTAACCGGTCAATTCCGAAAGAGGTCGGGTAACCCGAGGCTCTTCGATTTCCAGACTCGCTCGTCACATCTCCATTTCCCTCTTCTACCGTATGCCTATCACCTTATCTTGCACTGAAACATCCAATTATCATAAATTCTACACGCTGACTAAACCCTCCTAAACCCATCCGACATCGTTTAATGCGCTCATTCCGACTGGAAATGTGAATGGGTCTGCAGTTAAAGGGAGACGAAAGAAAGGCGGAAAAGAAGAATAGGGAAATAGAGAAGGAGTCGTCTATCAATTCTTCACCGTGTCCGTCCGTCCGCTGGGCGGCAATTCGCACGGAAATCAGCTGACATCGGTGGCTGACCGCGAGACGTCCGAACCGAACCGACAGCGACGAACGCTGCGTGGAGACACAGGCGCAGAGAGTCTGGTGACCCGAATCACGCGGGGGCTTCTTTTCGGCCGTCTCGAACCGATTCCACTGGCGTCGCACACTATTTCGTCGCTGTTTCTCGCGTGCTGGCGCAGCACGACACTTCGAGCCACCGAGTGAGCGAGTGAGCGAAGTGTGAGCGCGAAGAGAGCGAAAGAAAGAAAGAGTGTGTGTGTGTGTGTGTGTGTGTCCTCAGCTGATGTGATGCCTGGTCGATTGGAGGAGAAACGAAGGGACTGGAGGCACGTACGGACTCTCAACACGCATAGATCTCGTTTTAGGCTTCACGCCAGTGCTCGAGGGTTGAATTTGATGGATTACGGGGTGAAAAGAATAAGTTTCTAGCAAACTTGTCGCTAACCAGGCCCGATCCAGGTGTTTTAGTTCTCATAGTTCACCACATGATTTCCGAGACAATTTTTACCAGAATCGTGACTGAAAAACGGCGATTTCCGACCAAAAAATCGATAACTTCTTCTAAAGATGTTCAACCCGGATCGCACCTTCAATTTGCTCGTTCCAATCCTCGTGAGCCAATCCTAAATTGCATTCGAATCGGCTCCGTACTTCCCTGCTTCTAAAACGAGCACAAAATCATCAGAAATTCACCGTATTCATTTATTTACCAGCGTGGAAATCTCTCTGACATCCGGTCGATCTTCCAGTTTTTCCACGTAAATACGATGCGCAATTTGGGATTCCCAGTGAATTCCGAGCGCCGGCGCCGGGAAACCGCGCCAATGAGTCTGGAAATTGGAGCATGAGAACATGCACAAAAAGATCAGTTTACAATGTGGTTCGTAATCACGACGGTCGCTCCGTTCCTCGTCAGTTTCCGCAGTTTCTCGGCCACCGCCGTCTGCGTCTGTCTTCCAGATTCCCTTTCGTAGACGGTGTCGTGCAAAAGTGCGTCCACGTCTTCCACGACAATCAATTGCACGTTCATCAGCTCGGCGAGCCGGTCCAATGCTCCGCAGAGTTCTTTGATATTTTCTGCCCGTTTGCACACAATCCGCTCCATTTCGTGCTCGTTTTGCGCGCTCAAATGGAGTGAAAAGTGATCGGTTCGCATCGGAATTGCGGAAATCCATCCGATTTTCGCCGTTTTTTTCGTCTCGAAAAACTTAGCGACGAGGGAGTAGCAGATCTATAATTTTGAGCAAGTTTTTATAAGGATTTTAGGTTTTTAGCGAACTTGAGTCTTTCCCACTCCGATATCTCCATCGATTTCGTAGCATCTTCCGGGAAGGAGCGCCAGAATCGGATTGAGCGCCGCGAGTTTCGAGTTCAAAAACAGCTCGTCGGGCTTCAAACGAAGCAATAATTGGAAAGCAGTTTCGTGCTCGAAAGCAATGTCCGGAGCGCTCATCCGAAAACTGAACGGGAAGAAATTAAGCAAAGCCATTGAAAATCAAAATAAATCAGATGAAAAGCTACAAGATCAATCTAAAATTTTAAAAGAATGTCTCCGACGGGTTTATTGGACCCTATGTACAAGTCTAACTTGAGTTGTTTCGTAGTAGAAAAAAAAGAGAATTGTGGATGGAGATGAGAGTAGATTGCACGAGTAGACAGGTCGAATTCAATGGGGAAAAAGCGAAAGTGTGGATGATACAGAGAAAAGCAACAAAAAGAGCTGAAAGTTAGAATTTTGTGCTGGAAAAGAGGAGAATTCGTATAGGAAGGGGGAATCGGATTGATACGGAATGAGAGAAATAAAGGTATTTTCTTTAATTATCATGGATTAGAATGGGTTTGGAGAATTATTGAGCCGTCTGTTGGTTGGGCAAGATCGGGACGATCAGGTGCTCCTGCTGCATCAGATTGTACTTGGAGACGTACGTCGTGAACCTGAACATCCAATTTTACTAGTTTCAGAAGATATCTAATTCTTACCGCTTGCAGAGATGAGTCTCGCTCTCGAACTCGTCGAACAGTTTGCGGTGATGGAAGAAAGCGTGCGAAAAGATGCGGTAAACGCGACGGGCCACCGATCCGAGCTTCGAAATAGAGATCTCCTTGATATTAACACGGCTGGGGAAATATTTATTAGAGTTGAGCAGCGTGGCCGCGCCGTCCAGCGTGTGACGCGTGTAGTCGATCGCCGGGCACTAAAGAAAAACACGTGTTTAGAAACAAATTTTGAATTTTCCCACCTCATTGGGGTTTTTGTGAGCAGCGCAGAGGAATATCCATTGCTCGGTGGCGGTCATCTGTTGGCAAGTCTCCGGAACACATTCTCGCTGAAAAAATTTTAAAATTTGCTAGAACTGAGATGAAATCGATGAAACCTGAAGCAAAAGAGCCAATCCGTTGAGTTCGATGCAAAATTGGCGAAGATGCTCGTATTTCCATACTCCTTCGTCTTGATCTGCAAAAAACTAGCTGATTTGAGAGGTTCCACAGAATTTCGGAATCGTACCGAGTGGCGGTGTCAAAATGGCCTCCACATCGGCCGGATTAGTTTTTATCAGCTGCTGAATGTATTGCTGAATGTTAAGAGCGCTGTCCATTTCTTCGAAAGCCATCGGCGGCCAGGCATTCCACTCCTGAAATCAAACATTCCGTCGAAACGCTGAACTTTCTGTTTCGGCTTACAGATCGCTTCGTTCCGGGACCGTTTCGTCGAACGACGCGACATTCGGAGCTGGCTGTCATTTTTGACGCTGTAAAACGGGAATAATTACGAAATTCCACTAAATTTGCGCTGTTCGGAGCTGGAAAAACACGGAAAACCAAGAAAACGTGAGAAAACTCACTGGCCGCCGGCTACTAGTCGGCGACTCGTCGCCGACCTGTGGAGTGTCGTAATGTCGCCCGGTTTAGCAGAAAGTGGCCTTTTCAGAATTCGCCAATGAATTCATGAATTCGTTGAAGATCAGAAAAGAACAAAAGTAAAACAGCTTAAAAGCACAAGAAGAAGTAAAGGGACTATTTTACAAATTCAAGAATATATTTTCAGAATCCATATCACATTTATTTCGCTCCCTTATAGCAAAAACAATTGTTTTCGAAAATGTAGTGAAATTGATGCTGGAGATGCTGTCCTTCGAGCATCCGGGGGAGACGTCGTGAGATTCTGACGGGCGAGGATTTTTGAGACACCTGGAGAAGTAATGTCTCAAAACTCTGAACCTTTTCCAAGCGAACCCCTCTCCTGCTGCTTGCATCACGCTTCCAATTGCCTTCTCCGGGCTTTACTGAAGTCCCGGCTGACGTGTTCCTGGCAAAATTTTGAATAGAAAATATGCAAGAAAATAAATGCCGATTAATTAGAAAATTTACAACCGAAAAGCTGAAAAAAAACGGTTTTTCTACAGCCCCTGTTGACCCCCCGCTGCCCTTTTTCTCCAAATTGTTTCAACAATTGGCAAGTGATCTCGAATAGCTCTTTGTCTTCGTTGCTAACTATCCGTTGAATGCGTCGACGTCTTCCTCTTCTTTCTTCCATGAATTTTTCAGTGGAAATGTGTAGATGCACTTCTGAACGGGTGGCGGCAAGTTGAGGAAAAGTGCGGCCTTCATGTCTGTTGAACTTTGATCTTTCCAAGCATACTGTACTTTCTCCAAGTCCCTGCTCACCGCGGAAATGGAATATTGTCGTTTCCCTTCCTGTCCCATCATAATTGTCCGTTCGTCTTTTGTGCCGTCTGCCTCTGTTCGGTCGGATGCTCCACAAAGAGCTCCTGAATGCGCGAAGACACCTGTCGAGATAACTACCTGCCAGCCGAAAACATTCGGAGGTGGAAAAACAATCGGAGGATGCGAAAAGGGAGAGAAAGCGATTAAGATCATCCAGCTAATTGGTTTACGGATTATTGCCTTCTAACCGCAGTTTTTCGGAGGCGAGATTAGGCCCGCTTTTGGTTGATTGAAGCTCCGAGAGAAGGCTATTCGAACGCTTTCTGAGGCCTGAACTTTTGAAGTATCTGGGGGGGTCCAGGTTTCAGACCGATCGGATCATGAGGTCCCGAAAAGACCGGGGTTTTTCCAAAAAAAGCAATTCAAGTATTAGAAGTCTGATTCAGTGATGTCTGTGGCCTAAGAAAACACTCGGCCATCTTCGAACATTGCTAAACATCTTCGGAAACAAATCGCGCGGGGAAGAAATTCTGCTCTTGAGTTTTCTAGGGCATAATATAGCTTTTGAGTACTCGTATTCGGATAGAGTTAAATACAATTGTTGCCGAAAATCGGTCCGGCCCGGCCTGGTTTGTTGAATACATTCAAAACCTAAAAAGGTTGAGCCACGGCTCTGAAAATCTGAAAATCTGAAAATCTGAAAAAAGACACAGATTCCAGGAGCATCCAGAAGTCCCCCGAGCTCGCCGCGTCCCCCAAAGCTTGCGTATCAATTACGGTGCCGCTCAATTACCCCGTGAGATCGGCACGTAAGATTGCATAAGTGCACAAAGACATCAAAGGATCGGCGTGCCGTGTCTTGACTGTTCCCGTTGAAAATGTCATGAAATGTCATGAAATGTCAAACGTCTGTTGCGCGTTTTTCCCTTTTTCGCATCGCGCTTCGCACCGCCCGTGTACGTTATCAATTAGATATTCAGGTCATGTCATGTCAGCTGCCAGATGGTCTCCTACACGGATTACTGTAATAGAAGAGGTGGAAGTTTGTCTGGGAAGTCATGTAAATGGACAGTATCATCAGCTGTCCGGCGTTGTTTGGTTAGGAATTAGCACGCGCGCACGTATCTGTGATAGGAACATTTTTTAAGCATACAATACACAAAAATAACGGAAATCAACTGGAGAGTGTGGGAACAATATTAAAATCAACCCAAAACGACCCCTTTGCTTGTCGAACCTCTCCTCTTGCAAACCCCATAAAATACCATGTTCTAATTGCTCCGGCACCGTCCGTTCTCCTCAAATACCTTGTGTTAATCGGCGCGTTTCCCGCCTTTGTGCGTCGGCTTTTGACCCCCTTTCGGATAAACCATAAAGTGACAAATGACTACAAAATGCGGGCATGTCACGAAACAACGCACATGTTGCCATGAAGAAGAAGAAGAAGAAGAAGCCGCCCGGCGCACACGCAATATTATTACCCGCTTTCGGAATGAGTGCTGGTGGTCACAAATGATGACGATAAAATTGGAAATGAGCACAATCGAATGCCAATTTGTTTCCCCGATCTTTATGATCTCTACAGTAGTACAAGGAGTACAATTCTTCTGGGCCTCGTTAGAAATACCGTATATCTTCTTGTTGAGGTACTGTAAGGTCTTCAGAATCTTCGGGTAAACTAGTCACTTACATTTCCTCGAACATTTCAATGGTACTTTCTTATTTTGTGCAGACTATCTCTGGAATTTGAGGAAAACACGTCTGAAGTGTTAGTACTTGCGAATTTGATGATCTTTCCTGAAGATTCTAGTACTATATTGTGCTTCTAAGTACCGTATTCCAGCCTAAAATCATCTGTCAATGCGGTTCATTCAAAGCTTGATATCTCATCTGTCCGTAGAGATATCAAAAAGTGATAAAGAGAAAATATATTCCTTAGAATATTGTGTACATTTTATCAGTTGACAACTTTTTGATATCTTCACATCCAGCCGAGATATCTCGCTTTGAATGAAAGGTGTTGAGCGGGTCGTTCTAGGATGAACAGTATCTATAAGATCCCTGTGGCAGAAGTGATACCCTACTGTAATCCGGTATTTACTCAGATCAAGCATGTAAATCACTGGATTAGCGTGTCATGATCTCATGATCCGATGCTCAAACAAAAAATAACCCCGCATTGCAACCAGCTGACCCCCTCCCCAAACCAATTAATCCTTGCGCTCATCCATGAAAAAGTTATGATGGTGTGTGTGGCAGTCGAAGTCACGAAAGGAGGCAATCTTGAAGGAGTGCAACAAGCATGCTGCCATCCTTCATCTTCCAAATTAATTGTCTCCGTCTCTTCGTGCTCTCCGCCATCATCATTCCACTAATAACCGAGCCCCCTGCCTGTCATGTCAATCGAAACGGAATACCTCAGCCGGAATGCTCGCCCATCTGCCACTTCTCTCTCCCTCTCCCACATTACAGTATTGTGGCGTTCTTCTGAAGCGTGAGAAGATGATGCTCCGGCTTTGCGCGAAAACAATGGAGAGGTGCAGCTTGCAGTACTTGAAAGTGTCAATGAGGGGGGAAAAGAATGAGAGGGGTGCGACAATGGAAGGTACGAGCACTAATTGACTCGAGTGGACGAGCCAAAGAGCAGCGAATTTGAGGCTGGAAATATTGAAGTTTTAGTTTTAGAAAAGGAGCAGACAATACTTGGATTTGGACACAACTTGAAAGCGACAATAGCGGTTGACTCAACACTATATATCTCAGCTGTTTGTAGAGATATCGAAAAGGTGTCAACTAATGAATTGTTTACAAAGACATGGTGTACATTTTATCAATTGACAACTTTTTGATATTTTCACAGCCAGCTGAGATACATCGCTTTGAATAGATGGTATTGTGCGTTCCGTTCTAATAGTGTCAATAAAGGCTATTTTCTCCAAACTTTAAGAGTGCTCCTTTCACATTTAAGATTTTTCAACAAATTTGAGATCCTTTTCTAACTTTCCACCAGTTTCTATTGTAAATCTTCTTGTCGAAGCGCGGTAACCTCGACAGAATGTACAGTACAGATCCCTCTGGACACTTCCTCTTCTTGTTTCCGTTAAAGCTTTCTCTCTCTCTCTCTCTCTCTCTCTCTCTCTTTTCTACTCTCACACACCACCTTATTATTAATGTATGACTCTTCTGCTCGGCGGCTTCGGTGCTCTCTCTCTCTCTCTCTCTCTATCCTCATCCATCCTTCCCTTTTTCGCGCCGGCTTCTTTTTCGTTTAACCTCCCCCTCCTTTTCCCCCTTTTTCTTCTTCTTCTTCTTCTTCTTCTTCTTCTTTTTCTTCGTTCTAGACCAACTACTACGGTAGGTCGGACGGATGGGACGGACGGAAAATGAGGAGAATGGGGCTGACTGGAAAAGAGAAGAATGGAGGAGGAAAATGGAAAGAAGAAGAAGGAGAAGAAGAAGGAGAAGGTGTGGAAGAATGACGGGGTTACGGTAGATGTGAACGATTCTCCGGAGGGCTTCTTCAACTTTGAGAAACGTCAGAGAACACAACTGGATAGATACCCCGCGGTAAACCAAGACAATGTTCATTGAAACGGATCGGGATGAGAATGGCAAAGATTATATTTGAAACAAAATTCTCTAACTGAAATGGAGATGGACAATTTTGTGAAATTATGGGCTCAAACTGATCGAGTTCCTCTCAAAAATAGAAACAATCAAGTCAACTGGAGAAATGGGTACCGTGAAAATAGTCGTTTGTTCAAAACGATGTATCTTAGCTATTTGTAAGTTTATCAAAAAGTAGTCAACTGATGAAATGTACAAAATGTGTCAATGTACATTTTACTAGTTGAAAACTTTTTGATACCTTCACGGGCAGCTGAGATATAACGAGTTGAATGAACAGCATAAAATATGATTTGTAATAGAACGACACGAGAATACCGTTCATTCAAAGCGAGATATCTCAGCTATTTTAACAGATCTCAAAAAGTGATCAACTGAAAAAATGTGCAGAATTTTCTAAAAATCACTTCATTAATTGACACCTTTTTGATATCTCCACCGCCAACTAAGATACATTTCGTTGAATGTACCGGTTTGACATAGATCTATAGAACTTGAGTTTCATCGTTGAAAACTCGCGAGAACTCACTATTAGAAGATCAGATTTTTTAGGGAAGGTACTAAAAAGCGTGGTTATGAACAGTCGTTCAAAAATCCGGAATGATAGAGAATCAATCAGAGCGACAATATCAGGAGGAGAGAACGGAAGCGAGGCGAGATGGTCGAAAAAGGCAATTGAATGAGTGGAGCGGAGTGGCTCGTGCCATCGATTCCAGTCGCTTTCTCCTTCTTTTTGCCTCCGTCCCGTCCGTCCGGTTTTAATATTTCATCACTCGGCTCCATTTTTAATTCAACTCGCTTCCCCCCCTTCTGCTGCCTCGCCAAGCGCTCGAAATCAAGGTTCGTGAGGGATGGGCGGAGCACTCCGGGGCGCTACCGTATTGGCGGCGGGGAGCCAATGGGCACCGACGGGTCCTTAGGAGGGGGAGGAGACCCGGCTGGGGGCCTGCAGCAGCACGAGCAGCAGCGGCAGGCAGCACACGGTCCCCCCGTACACACATCTGCGCCCGTTGGCCCCCGAAGAGAGCCCTCCTCAGATGCAGAACACCGCACCGCTCGTATCGACGACAGCTTCTACCAAAATGCAACCGGTAAGTGTCGCTTGTCTCCCAGCAGTTTGAGCACAAAAAGTTGGGAGCGCCGGCGCGGGCCACCGACTTCCTTCGTTACGGATTTATTCATTGAATTGTTGATTAGAGAGTCGGCTCGTTTTTATCAAATATTCATTCTTTGTATGTGTGTCTACTCGTGCTGCTTCTGCAGGCCCCCCGCCAAGCCTTATTGAATATTAAGTTAAGTGAATTTTTAGGTAGGTCACTCTGCCCCCCGCGCAGCCATCCACACTATCCGCTTAGCGCCGCCACATGATTCCACGAGCTTCTTTTTTTGTATTCTTTCCGAGATTTCGTTTCACAAAAGTCCGAAAGCTCGGAGCCGCTAGGCAAGTTTCTATCATTTTGTATCAAGATGAGAAAATGAACGATTGAAAGTGAATATCAAGTTTTGCTCCGATGAGCCGCTTCTCTTTTTCACTTCCATGTTTCCATTTCTCTTGCTTCAGGTCTAAATGAGAGAATAGTTAGGGCTTATCAGGTTTTTATGAGACATACAATAGTGTAAGATGTGCTGGAGCTTTGACTGATCCAATTCCTAGTTTCACAATATCTGATTGACTATTTTACGGGTAAACGAATCAGATCGCCATGAAAATCTCAATTTTCGGGAGCGCTTTTACAATCTGCTAAATTCTCATTTCTTAAACTTGTCCAGCAACATTTCTGAAACTATTTTACAACCTTTAAAGGCCTAGAAACGTCTTAGATCTATGCAGAATCTCAGAAGCTTTGGAACTATCAAATCTAGATAAGAGCCCCCAAGACTGTTCATTCAAATCAATGTATCTCAGCTGTTTGTAAAGCTATCAAAGAGTAGTCAATTGATAAAATATACACAATTTCCTAACGAACAATTCATCAGTTGGCACCGTTTTGATATCTCCACCGGCAGCAGAGCTGTTTCGCTTTGACTCAACCGTATCAGTTTGCCCTTCTATTACGGTACACAATCTGTGCCGCTTCTGCTGCTTCCACTCCGTGCTCTTCTCCTCACAAGCGATCTAAAATGAACTCTAATTCAAAATTCGAACCGAATTTAGCTTCCTCTTTTCGAAGCGAACCGCTGTTTAATAATTAACCCTCCATTAATTTTTCAGCCTATTGGCTTCTCCTTTCGTCCCGTTTTTTGCTTCATGAAATATTGAAGTGCGGTTGAAAATTGGAGAGAAAGGGAGCGAGAGGGGGAGGCAGCTGATTAGGGCAGAAGATTGAAACAAAGGGCAGGTGAAGTATGAAAATAGGAGGAGTAAGAAGAAGAAGAAAGCGGAGAGAGGCAGGATGACGCACAAAGGACGTCTCCGTGTGCTCATTCTCATCCAGTCTGCTCAGCGAAATGAAAATCATCGAATTGCAGTTCAACAATAGCCTTTTCGGCTCTTTCGACGATCCGCTGCTCAATGCGCGAGCCGCTCAAGTCGCGCTCGCCGACATCGACGTCAAAAATGTGCAGCAGTTGACGAATCCGTTGATGCGACCGCATGACATGTTCAGGTGAGAGTCCTTTAAGTGTACTGTACTAGAATTCCTTCCGATTTCAGCTACAGCAACTACTTCACCGGCATCCATGACACGTCCTCGGCCACCAACATCTACCAGGGACTGCCCAGCTCTTCGGAGCCCTTCGACGCGTCGGTCGTCGTTCCCACGTCTTCCGACGATCAAATGACTCCGCTCCAGCAAGTGATGGCCATGCAGTCGTACGGAGCGCCGCCGCCTTTCCAGTACAACATGGCGCACTCGTTCGCCACCTCCACCATTTCCAACACGAACAGTATCAGTCGGTATCCGATTGCTCCGCCCACTTCTGAGCTTGAGACGGATCCGCGACAGTTGGAGACGTTCGCAGAGCATTTCAAGCAGCGGCGGATAAAGTTGGGAGTGACGCAGGTTAGTTGGGATAGATTTCGAAAAGTTGTCAACTGATGATTCATTTTTCTCTCATTTTTCTCCAGGCGGACGTCGGAAAAGCGCTGGCGCACCTGAAAATGCCGGGCGTGGGCTCCCTCTCGCAGTCGACCATCTGCCGCTTCGAGTCGTTGACTCTCTCGCACAACAACATGGTCGCCCTCAAACCGATCCTCCACTCGTGGCTCGAGAAGGCCGAGGAGGCGATGAAGCAGAAGGACACGATCGGAGACATCAACGGCATTCTGCCGAACACCGACAAGAAGCGCAAGAGGACGAGCATTGCGGCGCCCGAGAAACGGGAATTGGAGCAGTATTTCAAGTGAGTCATTCGGGAGGGGGCCACTCTTCTCAAAGTGATTCGTTGATCGTTTGCAGGCAGCAACCTCGTCCATCCGGGGAGCGAATCGCTTCGATCGCCGACAGGCTGGATCTGAAGAAGAACGTCGTCCGTGTGTGGTTCTGCAATCAGCGACAGAAACAGAAGAGGTACTAAATACGTGGCAAAGACCAATACAAATCAGTTGTTCCAGGGATTTCCGCTCTCAGTTCCGTGCTCGAAGTGCGGCCGCAGTCATGGGTCCACGCGTGATGCCAGTGGCCAACGGATCCGGAAACAACGGTCTCAAGCAGACGCAGAACTACAACGGACTGCCCGCTTTCTTCGATTGAGTCCAGATCCAACGACCTCTACAGTAACCTTTTCTCCGTTCTCATGGGTATTTCTCTCTCTCTCTATTTTTCTGTTTTCCCGCCTACTCCCTCCTCTATTCGAACGATCTCTTTGTATTGCGACAATTGACTCGAAACCAATAAAATGACACAAGCACAGGAAATCTGCTGTCCGCTCCTCCTCCTCCTCCGCCCGCATCCATCCGATGGCTCATTTCCAATTCTTCCCACCAGTTAACGATGTTCAAACACAACTACCGTAATCGGTTTCTTTGCCTCCCTTTAAGCGACACACACGCATCCATACCCCCCTCCTCTCCGCACAGGTTGATGAATATTTCACTATTTCGGCCTTCTGCCCACTTCTCTGCGCTCGCTCAGTTTTGCGTGCTCTTTCGCTCTCGCTCATCGGAGTGGATGGGGGAAGACAGGATGCGACTGCAAAATACATTCAGAATGGAGGAAATCCCGGCGAGAGGGACCGAGTTTTCAGGTTTACGGTCACTTTATGATTATAAGGGAATGGGGAAGAGATTCCAATTTAATTTACAATTTCAGTCGACGAACAAAAGAAGTGATTCTTGAAGAGCGCTAACGGGGGACAGTGGAAGGAGATAAAAAATTGAGACAGAAAATCTGGGGGAATACAAACACGATTTTTGTAGGAGAAGGAGATACCGTGAAGAGAAGCCGAAGAGAATTAGTGTTTTAAAGAGCAACTAATTGAAAAAGGCGAAAATCAACAAAATGAGAATAAATTAGGGTGGATCGAGCAGCGCGGAGAAAACAGATAAAAAGTTAAAAACAGAAAGGGAAACAAGATGATTATGCGAAGGCGTCCTCGCGATCGGCGGATCCAGTTCCCAGTGGATCGTCGAATGCCTGAAAATAATAAAATTAGAACGGGAAGCTCTCGATTCTGTCTAAATCTCACCTTGAAGTTATGGAAGTGCACGGGCCGATGATCCTCATGATAGTACTCCTTCGGATTCGACAGACACACGTCGAACTTCATCGCCGGCGACCATCTCTGTCCCTGGAAGTTGTAGTTCCAGACACCGTTCGACGGGACCATGAAGTAGCCGAGGAATCGATCTGAGAGCAGCATCTGCACTTTCTCGTAGTGCGTCGGCATGTATCCTTTCGGATTGTTGCCCTTGTCCGTGTTCGCTTTGCCCCATTCGTAGCCGGAAGGCGTCAGTTTGTAGGCGGTCAGTGAGACGGATCCGGGGGTGAACGAACACGTGATCATCACCGTCTTCTCGCCGTCCCAGCTGATATTGTCCGTGAGCAACTGAAAAATGAATATTATATTTCCTACTGTAGCCTATCGGAACTCACTTTTGCGTGCGTGGTCACATCCTGCGGCGACAACTGCGGCAACTCGTTTGGCTGCGTGTGCATCCATCCAAGCGGCTCGAAATCTCGCAGCAACTCGTGATCCGGCAACTGTGTCGGAAGGTTCACCTGTTGATGACTTCCCGTCTGCGGAACGAGCACAATGCACCGAATCTCCTTGACTTGCGGGTTATCCGAAGGCGACACTCCGTACATGAATCCGGCAATTTGAGTACGAAGATCGGAGATGGTGATGAACTTCTTCAGAATGTTCTTCGGCAGAATGTACGTGTATCCAGTGTCTTTGACGTCGTCCGAATTCACATAAATGTGTTGGGTACGAAGATGAAGATTCGTTGAGGAGATGGCTCTGACTCGCCACTCTGTTCGACTCGCGAAAGAGGCCGTCTCGTAGTTAGAGGTGGTCGCCGTGATGATCTCGTCTCCGTGCTTGTTCACAGTTCTCGTCGTTGTCGCCGTCACCTGCGACTGCTCCTTTGTCTGCTTCTCAATGTCGGCAATTTGTTGACGTTGTTGACTTGGCGCCGAGATCTCCATTCCGAGGATGATGTCACGAACTTCGGATTGAGTCAGCGAGGCCACATTCACGTTGTTCTTCTTTCCGTAATCCGCCAGAATCATGTCCTTCAATGCCAACTCCACCTTGATCCAGTCGTCGTCGGAAAGTGTCGGCCAAATGTGATGCGGTTCGGTGATTGTCGTCTTATCCGGCTTCAGAATCACCTTCGTCTTGTCCGGATTGATGTGCATTCCACGCATAATAAGCACGACACGAGAGAATGCAGTGTACGAGGAGATGGTCTTGAGCCAATCGTCGTACAGATTGAAGAGCACCATCTGTGGCTCGGTGGCCTTCAGAATGAGATCTCCGAACTTCTCGACCTTCATAATAGCCTGGAACGGAAGCATCAGTTCGGATCCCTTGATGACAATGTTCGGGAAATCGAGAAGATGCACTTCGAGCGGATCCAACATAGCCTTTCTGGTCACGATAATCTGGCGCGGCTGTTCTTCGACTGGAAGCGAGCGGATCAACGCGGCCACTTCTTCGGCGGTCTTCCATTTGGCCAACTGCGAGAGACGTTTCTGTCCGGCCCACACAGAAGTGTGAATGATTTTGAGGAAGAGTTGTCCGGTACGTGGATTGAAGATGAAGATGGCTCCGTTGATTGGCTTCGTCGTCAAATTTCCTTCGAACGTCTTGTGAATGGTCACTCTGTACACATTAGTATCGTCGACGAACCAAATGATCTGGTTGCTGAACAGTTCTCCGTAGTTCTGACTCGTCAAGTACGGCTCCGTTGGCTCAGATGAATAGAGCTGAAGTCCCTTGCGGATACGCTCACGGAGCACATAGAACGCCGGATTGGCCTTGATGATCTTGGCCATTGCCTGTCGGATCAACGGCTTCATTCCCGGGAACCAGTTTCCATAGGCCGAATACAGATTGTAGGCGAGGTCGATGGCGATGAGCACTCCGGTCGGCGACGGGTAAATCGACATGTTGTCTGTCGTGTAGTCGAGGAATTTGGCACGCGCGTACCGCTCAATGTCGTGAGAATCGTAGTCTCCCCAACGAAGTTGCACGTCGAGCCAGTACTTTTGGGTGGTGGTGTTGTCCATCACGTCCCTGGAAAATGGGAGTAATTACTTTAAAAAAAACAGATAATCTTCGAATCAAGCCATTAAAAGACTACGGGAAAATTCAATTTTCTAGCTAGGAACAGAAACTCACTTGCTGTCGGCCATCAAAGATGGTCTGGAGACGTTCCATTTGTACTGTGCGAAGAGGAGAACATCGGCGCACGAGCTGTTCATTTTGTAGGACTTTCTCGGATGGATCGTTTCCTTCTGCACCGTCTGAATCTCTAAAGCGTCGAGCTCTTGATCGAACACCTGGCACAAATCCATGACAACCGACTCGTGGATCTTCTGCCACAAGTGAGCACGGAAGATCTGGATGAGCGAGATCTTGAGCGTCGGAATTTTTCCGTGCATGAAAATTCCGGTCAAATCGAGCTGCACTTGGAAACCGACGTACACGTTGGCACGGTTGATGGTGGGAGACCACCAGAGAGTGAAACGACGATTCGGAATCTGGTTGAGACCGGAGCGCTGAGCGTTCGTCAACTTCTTGAACTTCATAGACTCCTCGAATCCGGAAGCACGCTCCCAGAAGAGACCCTCCCAGGTGGGGAAGTAGGTTCCGCGGAACAGAGTGTGCTCCAGAATACCTTCCACTCCTCCCAGCGCCTGAATCATGTCGGTACGGTAGTTGTTGAGGTTCCACAGTTTTCCATCGTGTCTTTGATGAGTCCACCAGAACGGATTCTGCTTCAGAATCTGATAAGCCTTGAACTCGGTTCTGACACGCCATCCCTTGTCGTATGCCAATGTGTGACGATCCTTTTGGAAGAGCGTGTTGATTCTGGGAATTCCGCGATCCCACGAATCGTCCAAGTCCTCCAGAGTCAATCGCCGATTCTGAGCGTTCGCTTCTTGACGTTTCAGCGCGTATTCAGCCCAAACACGGACAGAATCCACGAACTCGGCCTCCCACGGTTGGATGTATCGGTAGAGATTTGGAATGAGTTGATCTTCGTCGTGGCTCATTCCGGAACGGAAGTGGGTGACTCCTCCGGCCTCGGTCTGCTGCATCCAGCGGAGATCCGATTGCGGAATGAGAACGTGTCCCATTGAGAGCATTCCGAGTCCTCCGATTTCTTTCGGGGTGTAGAAGACGACTGGCGGGAAGCGGGAAGGCATCTTGGAGTTCAGTCCGATCTTGATTCTCGTTTGGATCTTGTTCTCGCATTTCACAAGCAGATCCAACAGCTCCTGCGTGTTGACAACGGCCTCTCTGAAGTAGGTCATCAGTCCGATGAGTGCGGTGTTCCATTTGTTGACAATCTTTGTGAACGTCGTCGATCCGGAAGACATCAGAATTTGACGAATTCTGTTGTGGAACTTGGACATGGACTCCTCATCGACCTTCAGGAAACACTGAGCAGTTCGCTCCTTCGTCACCTCGTTCTGAAGATTCCACACTCCGTCACGATGCACGAATTCCTCGTTGGCTGTACGGCACTTCGGAAGGATACGGCACTCGAAACCGCCCATATCGAAGAGCATGTTCGGGTTGTCTTTCGAGTAGACCGACACGAAAGAGTTCTCCCATTCGACGGTGGTGATGGAACGCGGAAGACGATTCTGAAAAAGGAAAATAGGTTATTTTAAAAGGTTTCAAAAAGTTGGAAAATTAAATGTGCGCCTCTAAAGTAGACCTAACCATTCGGTGGAATTGATGGATCTGTTCATGAGGCGAGTTATCGCTAATTTCCATTCGTTTTCGAGGATTTATCAACGAACAACCAATGAAAAGTTGGTCGCTTTCTTATACCTCGTCTTCCTATTCCCCCATTTTGCTCACCTTGATATCCCAGAACACAGCTCTTCCCAGATTGACATCGTGCTTCATCAGACGCATTCGCGCGTCTCTCGGCCAGCACTTCTTGTTGTTGTATCCCACGATATTCTCGTTGTTCGGATCCGGATGCTCAGTCAGATACCGTTGAATGAGATCACGAGCCTCGTCGGCCGAGAATCTGAACATGATCCAGACGCGATCGATATAACGGCAGTAGAGACGAATCGGATGTCCGATTTCGGTGGCCACGTCCTGGAACTGAAGGAATTCGTTCGGACACTGAGGCGGTCCGGCGATTTCCGATGCTCTGCGCAGTCCGAGAACGAGCAAATCGAGGACGAGTCCGTAGAACTGGACGATGAACGAGGCGAACTGAAGACCACGGATGATACCGAACGAGTTCGTGTGGTTCATATCCTTGTAGTTGATCAGAACGTTGTTCTTCGAAGTCATGTAATCCGCAATGTTGTGATCCACAATCAATCGGAGCAGTCTGTTCAGAAGCGTCAAATCCATCTTCTCAGCTATTTTTTCCAATTTTGTCTCCATTATTACATTGCACTCTCCCTCCGAAGTCTCCCAGACGTCCTGCAGATTGTTGAGTCCCTGGCACCATTTGTAAGTGAGCAACGGTGGCGGCTCAGTGTCTCCCGGCTTCACCCATCCTGGGAACAAGCGTCGTTTGTCCGCCTCGTACCACAAATACTGATCGAGGTACGCGTCGGTAACCTTCTCCAGTGGTTCAATATCGTAAACCGGTATAAGATGGGTGTAGAGATCCATGAATTCGATGCCGACTTCCTTGAAAGCTCTCTGAGTGAGCATATGTCTCTTAATGCGAGAGAGCGCCTCGTGCGGATTGTCGTAAGCTTGCTCGATGAGCGCCAACTCTTCTCTTTGCGACTGATTCAGCCGATTCTTGACACTGTAACTCTCTTTGAGTCTTTCCAAAGCCAAAATCAACAGTTTCGTGTCGTGTTTGTAGGAGAGCGGCGGGAACGGAATCGGAGAGAATCTGCGAGATTCGAGCCAATGCACAGTTGTCGTGTAGATGGCGACGGCTTCCTCTGCAGAAATGTACGGTCCGTCCTTCAGGTAGTTGTGCTGCCGTTCTTGCTCCGACTTCAGGTACAAACGAGTCAGTCTTCCCAAGTTCTTCTTGCACACCGTCTTGTCGACTGTGGCTCCGCGACGCACACGTTCTCTGTTGTAGTGAGCCGAGTTGGTCCACCAGTCGGCCTTCGCCTTCACGTAGCGGAGGATCATGTTCTCAACGGGCGTCGGCAGTCCGGGTACCTTCCATGGAATGTTGGCCTTCCAGCATCGCCACGCTTCGGACAAGTGCTGGAGGATGACACGAGCCTTGTTCTGCTTGATTCCATCCGGCATCATGTCCAGGATATCGTGCATAACAGCGGCACTGAAAACAAGTGATTTCTAAGAGAAGCATAGAGATTAGCTTTTGTAATAATTCTGATTTCTACAATGTTAACGCTAATAGAAAAGCATTTGGAAGTTATGTGAACGAACCGTAGCTCCAAATCGAAGTGGGACTCGACTCTCTGTTTGGTGACCGTCTTGGCGACTCCCTTCGAATGTCTTCCTTCGAACTGTCGGGAGAGCAAGTTTCCGAGCCATCTCTCGAGCAACGGAGTGATTCCTCGGAGGAAGAAGAGCCAGACTCTCCATCCAGGTGCCCAGAATCCGCATCCGGGTCCTTTTCCGACCGGTCCAGTGTTGAAGCGATAGTAGATGAGATGTTTGAGATCTTTGCACATTCTCACTTGTCGCATCAGCTTATATTTGTATCTGTACATTCCTGTCAACTGTCCGACGTGCGCGAAAATGTACTGAAGACCGTCAGCCAGCTGATAGGCATCCACATTGTTGAGACGGTACTGTACATGAGCATCCACCACCAATTTCGTCAAACGTAGAATTTCACGACACAAATGGAACGCGTTTCCGAATCTCGATTTCTTTCTTTCCTTCGTCGTCAGTGTCTTGACGGGCTTCAGATTGAAATTGTAGTCCAAATGGAGGTAGTTGAGATTCTTTCGGTGAATAAGCAGATTGAGCATGTTGTATCCCTGACGGAGCACTTGAAGACCTGCCTCCACCCAATCCAGTGTGGTCGTTTGGAAGAATTTGGTGGCCTTGAACGAACGGAACAGGTAACGACGCTTCTGCGGCTTCGGCGGACGATGCTTGAGAGCGTTGAGCACGAAGACTTTGAGCAGTTTCTGGTAGGAAACACGCACTTTGACGGGCATTCCTGAAAATCAAGATTTAATTTAGTTACAATGCTTTGAATTTTCGAAACTAACCAGCTGGACAATGTTCTCTGTACCACGACTTGACCAACGGCACATCGACAGCTCTTCTTGTCCTTCCGGATCGGAGATTGAATGGCCGTGGAGCCCAGAGAAGAGCCAAACCGTTGGCGGTGTTGTCCGAGTAAAGTGGAACGTCCTCGAAGATCGGACGGACATCTGTGGGGAGCTCCCACTCGTCGTCCTCCTCTCCTTGCGGAAGGCTTTCTTCTGTCTGAAAATGTTCCCAGGTTAAAAATCTAGAGGTCACCGCAAATTCTAGGTGATTTCTCGCCTTTCAAGGTGGTTTATCTCGCGAATTTCGGCTGCCAAACGCCTTGTAAATTTGCAAGGTTTTGCTTATTATATTCGCAAATATGAGAATTTTAATCGCAATAAAGCGAACGCTCACCGCTTTAAGATTGCTGAGCACAATCGGATTGATCAGTGGATCGTAGTAGAAGGCCGGAAGATCTGGGTCTTCGGTCTTGATGAAAACGACAGTGGGTGTGTGATACCACGAGACTTGCACAGGAAGAGAGCTGATCAGATTGTTGTACATGAATGGGAAAGCGATACGGTATTCGGTACGAATCGGAGCACGAATGATCACTTTGTTAATGTCGTTGAACTCGTTCCAGTCCTCATCACTGAAAAAGTCACATCTGATGAGAATTCTCAGGAACAACGTACGTATGCATATCCTTGACCAATGGTTCGAACTTCGGACCTCCCGGAATAGCGACATTTAGAGCTTTCGCAGTGAAGAAACTCTTCATATCGAAAAGATAAAAGTAGTTGTCATCCACCAAATCGGTCAGCAATTGATTGGCCAAACGGTACAAAGTGGACATTTGCGGAATGCTGAACGCCCATTTTCTGTAGGTGGGTCCATTCACGAAACGAGTCGTCGCCAGTGGTTTGTGGTCATAAAACCATTCGGCGACGGCGCCGTCTTCTTCTGGGTCCAGCTCCATTTGGATTGGTTCCAACGGCTCCACATCCAAAATGTTGTCCGCGTAATCCAATGGCGGTTCTTCGTCATCGAACGGCGGGAAACGCATTCTTTTGAAGTGACGACGATCACGTTTTTCTCTTCTCATCATAATCCACATTGTACCCCATTGAGCCATGTAAACTGGCTCGATAACACGTGGAATGTCGTTGACAAACGTGATGGCTCCAGTAATATGGTACAGCACTTTAACATCGCGAATCTGCTCCCAGGGCATAGGCATGTTCTCGAGAAGCTTCAAAACGGCGTGAGGCATGTACTTAAGAGCTCCAAGGTAGACTCGCTTGTCGTGACGGTATTTGCGGGAAGTCATGTCTCCGTGGTCCCTGATCACTTTACGGACGTGCTCAGGCGGCATCTCTTCCTTTTGGGTGTCCGCCATTCCGAACTTCTTCTTCTCGGCGTACCGTTTTCCTTGTAGTTGTTTCCATTTTCGCGATTTCTCCTCTAGAACAGAGTCAGGGATCGCGTCTGCTTGGGGCGGCCCACCATGGTCGGCCATTCCTGCAAAAATGATAAAATGCGGGAGTGTACAGAAAGGGGCGGAGCTTGCTGGATGATCATTGCCAGAAATGAATAAGAAGCATAAGAAATGAGAAGAACGAAATGATTTAAGTGTGAGCGATAGATAATTTGCAGTGGTATTGATTTTTGAGAAAAAACATTTTAAAAAATGAGTAAGGCAGTATTACTAATGAAATTTAACAAATTCTGAAGCAGTTCTTGGTGAAGATTTTGATATAAGCGCTGATCTAGCCACCATTCAAAAGCATTTTTGAGTAAATTACAAGTTTTCTGATAAGTTACAACAAAATATGAACCACCGTGCGCACCGTACATTTTTTAACTGATTAAAATCTGAAAGCTGCAGTTTTGCAGTCTAGGAACGGGATTTTCATGCGAAAATTGCAACAAAGCGACATAATTCTAGTGAATGTTGACTAATTTTGTTAGTTTTTGCCAAATAAACGGTAGAAATCAATGAAATGTGCACAAAAACGCAGTCTCCTTGATTTTCGAAAAGAAATTCAAATTTCCACTCTCACTAAACCGGGCGCAATGCGGAGGGTCGTACTTAGATCAGCAGGTTCGCGGGATACGGTGAGGCGGCAACTCAAACGGTCCGCGGCGTGCCGTGCGGATCGATTGGCTCCGCCCACTGTCCGGACAGCCATTATTTGCGTTCGCCGCCGCCATAGGACTAGTTGCCATAGGCAATTTATCGATTTTTGGGAAAAAGTTTTCAAAAAGGGCCGAATCAGGACAATTCTGAGCAGAAAAGTCGATTCCACGGGGTCTTAAAAGTCAGAATTCACGTGATTCATTGTTTTTCTGAAAATTTTCAGAAGAAAAACTCGAACTTTATTGTTAGAGTTTTTTTTGGTTCTTTCTATGTATTACTGCCAAAATTCAGCGGAAAAAGCACATTTTGTCGATAATTGGTTTATTTGAATGCTCTCGGTGATTTTCGTAAACAATTTTCGCAAGTTTATAACATCTTCGCATTGTCCCGTTCTTTTCGAAACCTTTTGCAATTGGCCTCTATAAAACGCGTCATTACTTGCAGAATTCCACTCAATTTTCGCTGGAGATCTTCACAAAACCCGGAATATTTTGCAAATTTTGCAAAGGATGTCGTCACGAGGCTCATGGCCTTCCATAGATTTAAATCGAAATTCTTCTTCCAGGGGTTAGTTTTTTTCAGAAATTTTAAAAAAAACAAGTTTTTTCCGGGAATTTGGTGATTCCCTTTTTCATCTCCGATTCATACTCACAAAACTTTTTGCAGCCGATGACCTTCCGCCACAGCCACGTCGCCTCGAGGTCGTCTCCAAACAGGCGACCCGCGTGACGGCGCTCTCCACGAAATTGGAGTGGAAGATCGAACAGTTTGAGAAGCTTATGAAGCTGGTGAAGAACGGATCGAACCTGATTTCACGAATGTTCAGTGTGCCAGACGCGCCCACAGTCTGCTGGGAACTGCATGTTTATCCGAACGGAAAACGAGAAGAGGACATGAACAACGTGTCGTTTTTTCTTCGACAAGTCGGTCTATCGGTGAGTTCTTTTTCACTTTACGCCTAATTCAGTGCATTTTTCAGAGAGGAGAAGAGCCGATAATGACAGAATTTCAAATTTACGCCCTGGATCAAAATAGTCAACGAGTCAGCGTTTGCCGAGATACAAAAGACTTTACAAATCAGCAAGGACGAGGCAAATTCCAAGTGACACGAGACAAAATGACGGGCGCCCTACGCTCGGACGGAACTCTTTTCCTAATCTGCGAAGTCGAATACTTTCCGCCCGGCTCGAAGATATCCGTGGAGCCGGTGGAAGAGGAAACGAGCTTAGAAGAGCAAGAAGAATTGCCGGAAGTGATAGTACGCTCGAACAATCGGAATATGTGGGAGGAGGAGTTGTTCACGGACTGCGTCATCCACGTCGGAAACAAGTACATCAAGGCGCACCGCTGCATTCTCGGACAGAATTCGCCCGTCTTCAAGAGCATGTTCTCGTCGCCGAGCATGATTGAGGCGCAACGCGGAGAGATTCACATCGAGGACGCCAAATACGATTCGGTGAGAGCCATGGTCGAGTTCATGTACACGGGAGCCACGGAGCAGCTCGAATCGCAGGGAAATATCGATGAGATTCTCGCTATCGGTAAGTGAATTTTCAAAACAATTCCTCAAAATTTGTGGATTTTCAGCTGACAAGTACGAAGTTCTCTTGCTGAAGGACCAATGCGAACGCCTGATCGCCCAGACGATCAGTCTGAAGAACGTGACCTCGATTGCCATGTTCTCCGACACCTACACTGCCGACTACCTCAAGTCGGCTGTGATACGATTCCTGACGGGCCACCATCGCACCGTCATGAAAAGTGCGGAATGGAGTGTTCTGAAGAAGTCGCGGCACGAACTGGCGAACGAGCTGCTCGAGGCGGTGCTCGCCAGGAACCCGGATAACGGAGACGGCGCTGGAGCTGCCCGTGGCCAGAGCCCCCAGCCAGCGAGAAAACGGCTCCGTCGCGGCGGTGCCAAGTAATTTGCACATAAAATTTAGACGACTTGTCCCTGTTTTTGTATAGTCAATAGTCAATGTTTTATACCTTTTCTCTCTGTCCTTGTTGCGGGTTCCCCATCTTATTCAATAATTTCTCTCGCCCCAAATGCCCAAAAATCTGAAAAAGTCTGTAGAATTCTGTTCACAAGTGTCAATAACCCAAGTGCCCCGGTGGATGTTAGTCTAGAATTTCAGCCATTTTCAGATTTTCTCCTCTCTTTCGCCTGTACACCTGTTTCCATTTTCGTGGTCCCAATTCGCATTTTTCACCTCTCCATCCACTTTTACTGTTCATCGTTTTATAATCACTTTTTCGTCATCACAATGCATGTAATTTTACCGCTCCATCCGGAGAAAATAAACGTTTTGGGAGCTCTTGAGAGACACTTTTTTGGCCAAACTTTGAAACTGGAAAAGCTGCCATTCTATGTTTCTAACCCCCCTGGAATCGACTTTCTAACTCATTGCCAGAATGGATTGGAAAGTGACCGTAATCACTTACAACGTGGCGATGAAGCCGTCGGATTCGCAGGCAGTCAACAATTTGCTCGCGGAGCAAGTAGACGAGCAGACGCACGTGGCGGCCGTCGGATTGCAGGAAGTGGCGCACTCGGAGACGATCGGAGGCGCCGTGCAGACGTGGGCGGCCGCCGTGGCCGAGTGGATGAACCGGAAGGCGCGCATGGTTCTGCTGGCCAAGAACTACCAGGCCACCAACCAGATATTCGTTTTTGCACGCAAACAACTCATCGGACAAGTGCGAAATCGCCTTAAAACGAAGAATTTCTGAATTTGCGTTCTCAGATAAAACGGATCGATTACCGTTTCGAGCGGAACACGATGGGCGGTCTGACCGGCCACAAGGGATCGATCGGAGTGCGTCTGCAGCTGAACAGTCCCTATTCGGTCGTTTTTGTGGACAGCCATTTCATGCACGGTCCCGAACAATATCGGAAACGCGTCGAACAGTACCACACCAACCGGACTTGCACTTTTTATGAGGATAAGAGTGTGAGGTGAGGACCGACGAGGAAAAATTCAAAAAAAAACCTAGAAAATAAAACGATTCTCACATTTCAGGGCCGCTTTCTGGTTCGGAGACTTTAATTTCCGTGTGGAAGAAGACATGGACGTGGTGATTCAAAAGATCAAAAACGGCACATTTCTAGAGCTCCTAGGTGCAGAACACCCCTTTTCTTACTCATTTTCACCCATCTCTCCAATTGCAGACAGTCGTGAGCAGCTGAAAAGAGCCATGATCGAGCGAGACGCGTTTATCGGATTCCATGAGCAACCGATCACGTTCGAGCCGACCTACCGAGTCGTTGTGGGCACTTCGGAGCCGGACGGGAAGCGAGTGCCCTCGTGGACGGACAGAGTACTGTACAAGGGCGACGGCATCACCGCATTGGAGTACTCGAACAATAAAAAAGCGCTGGCAAGCGATCATTTGCCCGTCGTTGCCAAGTTTCGGATAACGGTAGGCTCACGAATGAGTACGGTAGCTTACTGTGCTCTCTTCAGGCTCCGGTGGCTCCGAAACCTCAATGGCAAGTGGTTTTCGAGCATCTTCCGCCCTGGTATCGATCGGTTCCGCTGATCGGACGGTTCCAGGTCAACGAACTGTATTACAAGCAAAACGGAAGTTATCGGGACTGGATTGGAGTGTTTCCGGTAAGTTGATCGTGAGAAAATCGCATCCGATCGATACATTTGCAGGCCTCGATCGACGACTGCACATCGGCCACCAACTGGATTTACGCGGCCACGTGTTTCGAGCAGACGATCGAAGAGGAGAAGTTCATGGCGTGCGAGTTCACGGACCTTCCGCTCGGCACCTACCGTCTCGGCTACTTTTCAGTCTACCTCAACTGCCTCGTCGGACTCTCCAAAACTTTCCAAATGACTGACCAACCCTAGATGACTGCACATTTCCTGTATCATCTCTATCGCATCCTTTACTTGCCCCGCTTTAGCTACTTGCCAACACTTTCTAGTTTTGGATAGCCCTCTGTGATAAGTGATAACCAGTCTCCCGTGCCACATATTTTTCAGTGTGATTTTACTTTTTCGCGGGGAATATTTTATTAACTCGAATGAATTCGAATCGATTAACACTAGCATTCGATGCTTCTTCAGTCCTCATCATCGTCTTCCGAGAGTCGCTCGGGCATGAGAATGGTCTGCAAAGGTCAACGCTTCGTTATTTAATTCATGTATTTTCTGTACCGCTATGAGATTTCCAAAAAAAAAGCTTCTGAAAAAGAAGAAGCCGTAACAGCTCCATTCCGTGCGAGTACTACTTCGTTGTAGCGCCAAATTCTTAGGCCAAATTTGGGAAAAATTAAAAAGTGCGCAAACGGCGTTCTCTGCGCCAATCATTCGAGTTGGCATGTTTCCGGATAGCCGCATCCTTGCCGCCGTCCTGCAGCAGCTTGCCGTTTGCCTGTCCATGCCTTGCCGATGCCTTGCCGTCATGCTTTTCAAAAGAGTATCTTCTAGAGCCTGTTCTCCGTGACTTCCATCATTGTGTCGGCGTCCCTCCGCTGCTCGAATTGGCCTCACTTGCCGTCGGGCGGTCTTCTTCTTTTTCTTCTTCATCAGGCCATTTATGTGTCCGTCTCTCTCTCTTTCTCTCTCTTCCACTCAACTTCCCCCTTCCCTTTTCCATGTTCCCCCCGGCTGCATAATTAGTGTGACTCCCCCGTCTGGCTGTCATGCTCTTTTTCATTTTTCATTTCAATTGTTTACTGCTTCTTCTTCTTCTTCCTCTTCTCGGTGACGTTCTGTTCTTGTTTGAATGCAGACATGTTTGAATTCAATTTAGTTTTTCAATGTTTCATTTAGACGCGCACGGCACACGCTTAATCAAATTCCAATCTGAAGGCCTCCAGCACTGAGCAAACATTTCATTTCGTGTCGTTTCGTTTTTCTCGTTCCTCAGATCACTTTTCGTCTATTTTCAGCCATGCCCACGCGCTTTTTCGAGCCCTCTTTCATCTGGAACCGAGCTCCGAGCTCGGGCCGAAAAGGAGTACTTTCCCGTTTGCTCGGCGAGCTCACACTCAGCGAGTCCATCGAGAAGATCGGTTTGAACTGCGAAGACGAGGAGCACGACGAGCTGAAGACGTTGAGCATTCAGGATTCGAACGCGAAGGTGAGCAGTGAGCCCAGAGCTCCGAGCTACGAACCAAGACCTTTTTAGATTTCATTTCTGTTCCAATGGAAACACGAGCAGGAGAAGCAGCTAATTTCCGGAGACGAGGCGGCGGAACTGCTCTCGCTGACTTTGCAAAGATGCAATTATCGAGTTGGAGAGCTCTTTTTGGACTTGGTAAGAGAGCCGAAGGGGAATCCAAAGAGTTCACTGGGATCAGAATGGTTTCAGAAGGATCTGGAGCCTCCGAAGAAGTTGGAGAGTCTTCTAGAAGTGAGCAAAATTCATTTACGATTGGCCTCCGTGGATTCCATCCAAAAATGGCTCAAGCTGATTGCTCCGAACGGGCTCGAAGAGTTGAACATCTCACCATTCGGAGATGAGCCGGTTGATGTTCCGAAAGAGGTTTTTGAGCTTCCGCACGTGAGTTGGTTACAGTAATCCTCATCTCTTCACTTAATTCCAGTTTAGCAAGTGTCAAGTGCTCCGAGTAATGGAGCATTGCTCTTTTACCCCCCGTCAATTCCTCGCTCTCTCCACTTCCGTTCCTCATTTCTCATTTTATTCGAACGTCATCTCGGAGAATCTCATGCGAGACGCCATCAAAGTGAGACCTTCAGAATAAAGGCCCGTAATGTGATGATTTTCAGAGGCGCATTTCCGGCAAGAACGAGTTCGTCGTGCTCGAGTGGTTCTTCTCGAAAAGAGTGGAAGTGGAGAAGGTGCTGAAGGAGTTGGTCATGCCCAAAGGGGACCGAAAGTGAGTACGGTAGCCGGCGGCGATGTTAGTCGTTGATTTCAGGGAGAGGTTCAGTGCTCAGACGCAGAGTTTCGAGCCGGTCGAGGTGTACTCGATGGTCCAGGACGACGAGAAACCGAAGATGTCGCTGATGGTGGCGGAGGACGGAGCCACTCAAAAGCCGTACAGTCTTGCTCTCTACGCGTCTTCCTAAAACGCTACGATACCTTTAATGCTCTTTTCTTTGTAGCCCAACTATTTCCCGCTCGTCACTCTTTTCCCGGTGATTTTGATCTCTGATCTTTGTGACCGCAAATTGCGAAACATTTTCTAACCCATTACCATCGATCTCTCTTCCTTTGCCCTTCCTGCGCACTTCCCGATCGACACGAGATGGACGTTCACTTTCCTTTTCTCTTCCTCCTTTCTCGTTTTCCATTTTCTCTGTCTTCTTTCTCCAAAATGGCTCCGTCAAAATTGTTCCTTCGAACTCGTCTTGATTGCCTTCGTTGCGCACATAAAAGTGTTGACCACTAAAAGTTCCGGAGAAAAAAACATTTTCAAGGAATGTCTGGAGACGCGGAAAGCAATTCGCTCTTCTTTTTTTCCGAATGCGACGACGATGACTTATTCGGTGGAGATGGGGAATTGAAGAAGGCTAGCAAGCGGGTACGGACTTTGAATGCATATTGTAGAGATCCAAGACGTCCCATTGTTCTATAATGTTTTGTGTGAAATCTTCATATCGAGTACTTTGTTTTTTCAGTTGAACACTTTTTTGTACGATCACTCCCTGAAGATGGGGCGATAGTTTGGAACAACTTTCGAATCCTAACTTCCAAGCGCTACAGTACCCCTAGGAGTGGTTGTACAAAAAAGTTGTCAACTGCAAAAACAAAGTACAAGTTACAGTCTTTATTTTTTTAGTTGACATCTTTTTTGTATAATCACTCCCTGGAGTACTGTAGCTCTTGGAAGTTAGGGAACCCGAAATGCATGCACAACTAGTGCTAACTTCCCGGAGCTACAGTACTTTTGCGAGTACACAAAAATTGTCAACTGCAAAAATGAAGACCTTGATATAAAGATTTTACAAAACATTTTCTAAAACGATATAAATACGTATTCAACTATTGCCGCGACTGCATGATTTCCAGGAAAAGCTGGAACTTCTCGAGTTCATCGGTGGATTTGAGCGATGGGAAGAGATACCGAACGACTGTAAAAAGCGCGTAATCGAGTTTTTGGACTATTGGACTCGGTAACACACTCTTCATTTCCTCTTTAAGCCCCCGAACCTTCCAGATGTCACTTGTCGCTCTGCTCGAAAGAAAACCGTCGTCTGGTCCGAGATTCCGTGCTTTTCACCTCCCCGGACGCTCGTCCCGATTCCGGTGGGCTCCGACTGAAACCATCGAATCTGGCGGTGCTCTGCAAATCGGATTTCGAGCAGAAACAGATTGCGCAGGCGGTTATCGAGAAGATTGTTTTGGTGAGCTTGAAGAGAACGTCTTCTTCGTACCGTCGAAATCTTTCAGGCAAACGATTCAATTAAAGTGTTCACCGCTTCCGGATTCGTCAGGTCGTGGAAGTTTACGCAGAGAGGAGACGAGTGTACAGTTATCAGCAAGTCCCATTTGAAACCATCGATATCTTACTCGAACATCTACACAGTTTCCAAAGCGAAATTGGAAGAAGAGCATGCGAAAATTGCGATAAAGATGCTGAAAAAAGCGAGAAATGACCTCACAACATTGGAGATTTCAATGAATTGGGTGAGCATTGGGTGTAGAAATTGAAGTTTGCCCAGTTTTCAAGAACATCGAGAAGAATGGATTGCCCAGTGAACTGCCACGTGTCAGGGACCTGGTCCTGCCGGCCGACTACCGCGAGGCCATGCTCTGGCTCGGACGCCTCGATCCGGAATGTGCTCTCGAGCAGCTCACTGTGCAGAGGAACTGTGAATCGTTCCGTGATCCGCCCGTTTCAATCGAGCCATTCATATGTGGACCCGTGAGTTTCACTTTGAGTTTTCAGTGGGAAATGAGCAGGATTCAAGTATCTTGGGTCCAAGTTTTAGACCGATTGGTGCATCGATCAGATAATTCAATATGGCTGAAACTTTCAAGACTTTCAAGATTTTGCAAGTGGTTCAAAAGTCCAGCCCGGGCACGGCGACCAAAAACGTAGAAAGGGGCGTGGGGCCTAGCGTGCACGGTTTATCACCATTTTGGCGCGAAATTCGAAATTTAACCCCATTTTTCATGTTTTTCGTCAAAAATTACCCAAATTATGTACGATTTCGACGATGTAATTGCATACCTTTGTTAAACTAATCATCGCGCACTTTTTGAGCTTAAAACGAGCAGGTTTCATTCAGAAATGAATCAATTGAATCGATTTTCAAGTTTTGTGCTGAAAATGCGCGAATTTCAGTCATTCGCCGACACTTTTTGCCGTTTGAACGCTTAAAATACTTGTATTAACGTGTGCTTAATCACTTCCGACACTCACTTCGTCTCAAGACCGATCCAGATCGGCCGCTATGAAAATTCCGAAATTGCGGCGGCGAGCGTGTTGCGAAATATGTCAAAAACGTCTCAAACGCGGCGTTTTCACGAAAATTTCAATGTTTTCTTTCTTTAATGTCTTCTTTTGTCGATATCGAACACAAAAATATCGGAAAAGTGCTGGAATTGCGGCAATTTTCAGAAAACGCGTTTCAGATTAGACCACGCCCCTTTCTAAACTTTTGGTCGCCGTGAGCCCTACAAATAAGCAGAGTTGCCACGGACCGGGCCGGTCCAAAATTTTCAAAACTCCGGCCTGACCCGGCCCGGTCGGCCCGGTTCAAAAAGCGGGAATCCAAATTTTGAACTATTGATTAAATAAAATGTTTGTTTTTCGTAGAACTAACGAATTTTGCAAGTATCGAGCATAAAAAAGAAATGTAGTTCTCAAAAATAGTTTTTATTGGCATCAAAGCAGAAGTTTTAATTTTGATCCCCGCAAAAAAAACGAAAAAATAGATTTCCCCCAAAAATTTGAATTCGCGCCTTTTTAGCCGGGCCGACCGGGCCGGCCCGTAATCTGGCAAGTCTGCAAATAAGTGTATTCCAGGTGCGTCGAGCGAAAACCTTGAGATTTCGGCCCAGAATTCACATGGAAGACGTCTACTTTTTGAGCCTCGAAGCGACTCGAATGATCATTCCGACCGATTCTCTGAGCTACGTGGCGCTCATGGAGTTCATTCGGGTACCGCCGCACAATCTTTTCCATCTTCTCTCAATAAGTTTCTTAGAAATGGTCCGACGACGAGTTGGATCCAGAATTCTGTCAATGCGTCATTCTGACCCGACACAACTATCGTCGAGAAATGAATTCTGTGCCACAGAATTTCGAAGCTATTGAACATCAATTCACATTCTGGAATAGGTTGGTTTTCCACAAGATACTGTTTATTCAAAACGATGTATCTCAGCTGTCTGTGGAGATTTCAACAAGTGATCTACAGAAAAAATGTGCACAATTTCTTGATAAGCATTTCATTCGTTCACAATTTTTTCATATCTCCACAAGCAACTTAGATATATTGTCTTGAATAGACGATATTCGGATGTCATTTGAAGTGCACTTTATTTTCAGTCCACACAGCCGATTTTTCAAGAAGTTTGGAATATACGATAACTCTGGCGACTTCTACCAAGTTAGCAAGCGCAACGATCCGTTCAGCAGCATTTCGGTGTTCGTGGCAGCGCAATGCGTGGCCATTATTCGGACGGGATTCGCGTGTGTTCGGGACGGACGCCTAGGCACCGATCTCACATTTCCCACCAACATTCTCGATATTTACAATTGAATTTAATTCGACGTTTTCTCTGACCTTTCCTTCATATCTACTTTCAATCATTTCTTATTTGTATACCGGATAATGTGAGTATCTCTTATTAATTCTTCTACTCCACAAGGCTCTCAGAATCCGAATCGGCTCAATAAAAAATGATCGCTGCATTAATATGTCTGATTTGTTTCGTTTTACACCCTGTCTGGTTGCAATGCACCGCGCGAATAAAACCGAGTCGGCGGAGGATTGAACGGCGTGCGGCGAAGGTCGAAGAACGAACGTCCGCTCTGGATGGGACGGCGATGAATGCGAGCCAGGAGATGATGAAAGAGCCGCCGCCGCAGTTGGACGATGTTCAGAATATAAAGATGGTGGAGCAGGATGCTCTTCCGCCCACTGTCGAAACGAAAACAAAGTCGAAGACAAAGTCGAAATTATTGACGGTGCTTTCGAAGAAAAAGCAGAAAACGCCGGTGCAACAGCAGCAGCAATCGCCCAAGAAAACGGATTCGAAAGAGCCGGCGTCGAAGGAAGAAAAGAAAAAGGTGGGGGGAAGTTAGGCCATGCCTCCCACGGCCATCATTTCAGACACCCGAGAAGGTCAAGTCGATGACGGCGACTGCGGAGGAAGAGAAGGCAGAATCGGGAAAGAAGACGCGGACGAAGACGACGGACGACAAGACGAAGAGTGTGCCGAAGTGAGTGCGGTGAAGCTCATTTGGCGCAAACGGGGAAATTGCAGAAAGAAAGGACGACAGGAAGAGTTTATGGAGTCGCAAGGAGAGGATGACACGTTGAAGTGCGTGAAAAGCATCGCCTGATTGAACACCGATAATGAACTGATTATTCTCGTGTCCTTTGTACGCTCAACTTTGGTGATGCGCCTTTAATACCGTAAATGTTACAAAAAGAGAACAACACCGTATTTTAGAAGTCTGGCAATCGCGCTCTATCGCCATCGATGTGAATTCAGTTGTATATTGGAGAACGTAGTATTTTTCTATTCCCCGATAATTTTTCAAAAAAAAATCCGGCTCTCGTACTGAAATTAAATACGCTAGCTACAAGAGTGTCATGGAACTTTTACGTTGTATTACACTCAAGTTGTCACCGGGTCAGAACACAAAATAAGTGTCTAGCAAATCAAAGACTGCAAATATTTCCACTTGCGATCAAAAGATCTCTCGATTCAAGCACGACCACTCGTCCGAATTCCGCAAGTCTATAGTTTGCTTCTCCTTTAAAGGACAAAATTTTGTCCGTAGTCTGTCCGCCCGTGAAACCTGCCCTTCGTCCATTCATTTCGACTGCCATTCGCCTCAAAAATGAACTTTGCGTCTGCCGCCAAATGTCTCGCTTTCCGACTGCGAACCGGTTCAATCCGAGACAATGTTACATTACATTGGGGAAAAGTGAGGATTCCCCGCCGCGCACAACATCTCTGCCATTAGCCGCCGCGCGTTTTTCGGCTTGTCCGCAACCAAAACACGAACGAAAAACAGCATCTCCTGGTTCGAAAAAGAAGGAAATAAGTAGGCTCCCGCCCTCCACGAGGTTAGAGGAGACGGGCGGCCGGCGGTCAAGTGTATGCCATTGTGAGCAGTGGGGTCCGCCGCTTCCGTAGCGCAGTAGGCAGCGCGTCAGTCTCATAATCTGAAGGTCGTGAGTTCGAGCCTCACCGGGAGCAAGTGCCCTTTTGCAGTTTCGTGAATGTTAGCAAGTTCTTGATCATTAGCAGCTACGGTGATTTTTTCGAGAGGCGCAGTGGAGAGAAGAAGAAAGTTCGGCCTTTGTCCCGTGAACTGTCGGCTGCTTATTTCGCCGGCCGGCCGCAGGATCAGGGACTAGAAACCTCCGCAAGACCCCAAAGAGAAATCACCGCTAGCTGCGCGGCAAAAACCAAGAAGATTTACTGGTTGATGACGGAACAGCGGCTATGCATTCTCCTTAACGGTCTGTGTCAAAAACAACTTATTCTTCGTCTTCTTCTCTTTGTTTAATGACAAGTCCTCCTTGTCTGAATCTTGATTTCATCTCCTTCCATCCATCCAAACACGTCATCTTTTTTCCTTTTGTGAATAATGTTTGTGTGATCATTCTGATACCTTTCATTCTCTTTTTTGTCATTCATTGTTGACCTCGTCTCTCTCTCTCTCTCTCTCTCTCTCTCTCTCTCTCTCTCTCTCTCTCTCTCTCTCTCGCTTTCCCTTTGTTACCCCTTCGTGTCAAAAATAAAAGGCTTCTTGACGGTCACTTCGTTTTCCGATTTGAGAGAAAGAAAGTGAGTGTCCGAAGACTGTAACGTCCATCTCATTTCTTCATTCCATCTAAATCCCTGATTGCATCGTCATGACACTTTTGTGATCTTTTCGGACACCGCTACCGTACTCCTCCTCGTTTCTTGTTTCATCTTCTCAAAGCGATTCATGAACCGTCACTTCTCGTTCTTTTTCAAGGCCTTTTTTCCGTTCCGACTATTCATTTGTTTGTTTGTGGTCTTTCCATTTTTCGCGCATTTTATATCCTGAGGGATTAGGCTTTCTTTTTTCCATTTTTTTTGAGGAATTAGGTGTAAAGCCAAGGGTTTAGGTATAAACATTGAAAAGTTAATAATACTTTCTATGTAGTAACTGAACTTGACCTACTTGATTTAGGAATTGATATTGGCCTTCTCAACATTGATTTTTCCTTGATTTTTCTTTTGAAAACAGCGACAATAATCATATTTTTGTTGATTTTATAAGAATTCTGATAAAAATGCAAATTTTGTAAAGAATCAGAGTCCGGCGGTTGTCTGGAATTTGGGCAATTCGAGCATAACGCATCTGAAAAATGGTCACTTTTGAATGAATATTGTAGAGTCCAGAGATGTGATATCGCTCTAGAAATTTATTTGTGAAATCTTCATGTCTAGTACTATATTTTCTCAGTCGACATATTACTTGAAAAACCACTCCCTGGAGTACTGTAGCTCCGAGAAGTTAGGGCTCCTGAAACGTATGCTGAGAGAGTGCTATCTTCCCGGAGCTACAATACTCTTGCGAGTGGTCGTGCAAAACGGATGTCAACTAGAAAAAGCAAGTACTATATGTCAACATTTCAGAAAAGAAATTCTAGAACAAGCGCACATCTTTCGAGCTCACAATACTCATTTCAAGTTGGCTTCCGACAAAAAACCAAATTTCACCCAATTCGTCATCCTTCGGTCCAGATCATTTTCGAATCGTTCCACTTTGAACTCGCATAAATTACTCAGTCCATTTCCTCCCTCTCTCTTTTTCTCTCTTTCTTCTTCTTCTTCCTCTTTTTGATCCAAATCCTTTAGAATGGCGGTTGTTGCGTCGACTTCCGATGATTTATATGCAAACTACGCGTTCCAATCGACACCAGACACGAGTAATTCCACGATAAGGGTGAGCGACGAAACGTGCCAATTTTCTACATTTATTTGTTTCCAGGTGCCGAAGAATTCAGAAGAGAATCGGAGGCTAAAGTACGGTCATCAGGAGGAGGACAACGCAGACATCGCCTATTTGAACTTTCCGGTCATAGTTCCCTCGCTGCTCTTCACATTTATCTCGTTCGGATGTTTCATTGGTGAGCTACTACTGCACGGAGATTTCTCTTTGGGGTCTCGCGTCCGATGGCACGCATCTGAAGTTTTGGCGCACAGAAGAAGTGTGTTGTTGCTGTTCTGAGACTTCAGATGCGTGCCGCCGGATGAATACTGATTCATTTCACTTAATTTTTTAAGAACGTGTTCATTATGATGTAAACAAACAAAGAGACACAAAAAGCACGCACAAGCAGTCATATTTTGAAATAAGCTGTTTTGTAAGTCACCTCTAGACATTTCTGCGAGTTTCTCGTTGCTGCTTGCCAGTTTCAATCATAATGAACCCATTCCCAAAAAATTAGGAAACATGAGTCAGTATTCTTCGAACAGCACGCATCAGAAGTTTTGGCGCGCGGCCACGCGCGGAAAAAGGGGTGCTGCCCCGAATCAGAACTGCCACGAATGAGAACTGCGCCCGTATCAGAACGCGCCCGAATCAGAACTGGTACGAATCAGAACTGCCCGAATCAGAACTCCTTATGGCAATACTTCCTAAATCAGAACATGAACGTAAATGCAGAAAAATAGGAGCAGAAAAGAGACAACGGAAACGAGAGAAAACAAAGAAAAACAAAACTTTTCATGGTTTTATAGCCAGCGAAATACTGCGCAGGTAATCGAGTCCGGTCAACGGGAGATTAGGTGGCGTCGGCTTGTTTTTGAGAGCTTTGACGAGCCGTTCATCTTTCAGTACATTGCTGGTTTTACGGCAAGATGAAACCTAAAAACGCGAAGTTTCATTCCAAATTTCGTACTCCTCACCATACCTTTCGCACTGTTGCTCGCTGGAAGTGAATTGGTGATTAATTGCTCAGGTAAAATTTCAAACTTTTCTTAGCTATTTTCAAACTTTCCAGGCGCCACCTAAGAAATTCTTGGAAAAGTTTGAGAATTGCTTAGAAAAGTTTAAGAATTTCTGGAAAAAGTCTGAGAATTTCTGGAAAAAGGCTTAGAAAAGTTTAAGAATTTCTGGAAAAAGTCTGTGATTATCTTGAAAAAGTTTGACGACGGCTCAGAAAATAGTCGGAATTTATTGGAAAACTGGAATTTAAAATGAGAAATGAGAACAGAACGGGAGAATGTAAAGAACAGCCGAGAACACAAAAAAAACAAAAAATAGAAAGATTTCAAACTAAAAATTAAGGGTCCTCTTCTGGCGGGTTTGAACTTGTCATTGCACTTCGTGTGGCCAGATCTTCTCGAGATACCATTGAACGCTTCATCTTCGTCTCCTCTTTGGAGGAACAGATAGAATTTTTGCTGAAAACCAAACTTTATTTGATTAATTTCTCCACTGCGCGTACAAAAGAGATTTCAGCTGCGCTTTGATGAGTTCCGGCAAGAGAAACACAAAATCACACATATGAAAATAATACTCAGTTATCACACATTTTGCAAAGGGTATCGCTCTGAGCAGGTTCCAGAAAGGTCGCAAAATTTTCCAGAAAAATTTTCCGCGGTTCCAGAAAGGTCGCAATTCGCCTGAATTGTTTATTAGTTTTTCGGTCGGGATATGAAGCTAGCCGCTCATCATATCAGTGTAAATGTTCAGCTTAGGTGCTTTTCGTCTCCACGATTGCATCAAGTGGAAATAACAGGCGTGAATTTCAATATTCGGAAACTGCGATGCAAATGCTCGGCGAATATTAATTTCGAAATCTGAGCACTTATTTTCGCCTTGCAACGTGTACAATTTTTTCTAACCGCTTACCGCAAAGTAAAAGTTTCGGAACCCAATTCGTAGCCAACGGATTAATACGAATTGCTTTGATGGCTGCTTCGTAGCAAGGAAGTTCTTTGGATGGTAGAAGGGCATACGCAACGGGGCGGACAACTGATTCCGATAACTGTAATAGTTTCCTTACTATAGATTTTGCATAAAGACTCACATTAGGCTGGTCGAACAGGCGCCTGAAAAAAACAGGCGCCTGTTTTTCAGGCGCCTGTTTTTTCAGGCGCCTGTTTTTCAGGCGCCCGTTTTATCAGGCGCCTATTTTTCAGGCGCCTGTTTTTTCAGGCGCCTGTTTTCTCAACGCAGGGATGCAGCGGCGCGTTGAAAAAACAGGCGCCTGAAAAAACAGGCGCCTGAAAAACAGGCGCCTGAAAAACAGGCGCCTGAAAAAACAGGCGCCTGAAAAACAGGCGCCTGATAAAACAGGCGCCTGAAAAAACAGGCGCAGGCGCCTGTTTTCGCCTGTTCGACCAGCCTAACTCACATAAACGTGGAAAGAGAACAATTGATAGAAACCATTCTGATATGTTCGCAGGTTATTGAACCAAGGAGGTGGAAAAGACGGAAGACGAGCGTATCGCAAAGACACGTTTATTCAGATTGAATAAAAGTAGAAGAAAATACCAGACAGAGTAATTCGAGTAGCAGGAACTAGGCTAACACACGGAAAGCTAATTGTCGTAAACTATGATGTTTGCGGCACCGAGAGAGTGTGTGCGCAGAGAGAACAAGCTGTGAGAGGAAAAACACGAGTTTGTGTGTATCGGAGAGTACACAACACATTCGGAGTACAGTCGAATGTACCGTCCACGAACAATACGTTGCTCGCTGAGAGCAGTTCGAGACCTTTTGGTGACGAAAACACTATTATCTTCTTGTTGTTCATCGTCTCTTCGTGAATTCTGAACGGCTCTCCGTTTTAAGCTTCATTATTATTCCGGTAAAAAAAGTAATCAAACCTGTCGTAATCGCATAACTTCCTACTACTTTGCACTCGTTGTCGACAGACTGACGATCCGGGTCTTCCATTCTGGCTCGCTCTACAATTTTCCGCATTGAGTTGTAGTCACCTAAATGTTTTTATTACAAAATTCACTCTATACAACATGTGAAGTGATTTTCAACGTACCAGCTCTCACGATTACTTCAGCACTGTAACGATGTGTGGACGTTTTGGCGTTCTCCCGGAGTTCCGATTTTACCAGTTCCATCTTAAACAATCATGCTATTCCGATTCTAAATGTAGGAAAGAAGCTTACCTTAGTCTCAACTTCATCTTCTTCGTGCCGAGAGTGATCTCGAATGACTCGAAGATTTCCATTTGACTTGTCTACGGCGAATGATTTGCCTGTCCTTTTGGCATGCTTCACTCTGTAATTCGACACGATTCTGATACGAACCAGTTATATTTCAGGTATTCAAGGGCAAAACGAAAGGCAAAACGAAGGGCAAAACGCGCAAAATATAATAAACTATTGAAAAGGCAAAACGCGCAAAATAAAATAAAACTATTGAAAATAAAATATAAACCCGTTTTCTTGTATTAAAACCTCATTGCTCAGCGTAAAACGCAGTGAGAAAGTTAGTCAGCGGCCAGCTACAATATCCCAGAGATCCTGGATCAGAAGCTTTTCTATTCATTTTCGGTTTTTTTGAAATTAATATTGGCAAGGTGGTATTAATTTGATCAGTTCTGATTAGTACCAGTTATAGCTTGAAGAGTTCTGATTCGGGCAGTTCTGATTCGTGGCAGCACCGAAAAAGGCTGGTGAAGCGTGCCGCCGGCCGGCAGTTCACGGGACGAGGGCCGAAAGTTCTTCTTCTCTCCACGGCGCCCACAGTAATGCTTTTTTTAATTCTAGCAAATTCGAAAGTTTAGGTGCAATATTGACGTCGTTAAAAACAGATTACGTGCCGGACGAGCGGGAACTATTACGTGGCTTCATCATCAGATACGGGAGCAGTCGGTTTCGATGCAACGTGAGTAGGCGCTGGGGAGTGCGTGCCGGCCGAGCGGCCGACTCTTTTCCTCAAAAATAAATTCCACGCCATCATTTTTTCAGTCCACCATTCCATTCCCAGTCGATGGATTGCCCTCAATTCTCAACCTTTTCGAGTTGAACGTCATCGGAAACGTCCTGTTCCGCTACGCAACATGTATTCCTATTGTCATTCGTATTTTTCATGCAATTACGCTCAGGTAATTTTTGTTTGGCTCCATTTAGGGATGCAAAACAGGCGATATTGAGTTGAAAAACAGGCGCTTTTTCCGCATCCCTACCTATTAATACATTTAATATTGTGCACACTTCAGAAACTTACTGCGCCACGAATACTCATCGAAATTTTCGAATCTGCACAAAGTGATGGCCGACTCGATGCCGGTTTTCACGGCGCTCGAGACCCTCGCCCTCGGACTCTTCAGCATTGTCACCGTGCACGAAGACTTCCCCGAGGCGAATCGCTTCTTTAAAATCGTGTTCGCAATGGCTTCCGTCGTCAATATGCTCGCCACCACCATCGTAATGTTCGCATTTTCGTCGGACACCGGCAGTGTGAGTTCGGATGAGTATACCGTAATTCTATGATTAACTTCAGGCGCTGGACTCGGGCTCTATCGGAATAAAGCTGTTGTGTCTGTTCGTTTACGCGTATTTCATGCCTCAATACATTCAGTTCCATCAGTCTTCCATCACTTTCCCCATCTGCCATTCCTACAGTAAGCTCTAGCTTTTTTATAATTCTCGATAAACTATCGACAAAACAAAATGTTCGGCATTACGTTTTCGTCCGCAAATTTTTACAAAAAATTATCAAAGTATCACCAAGAGTATCACCAAACTGTGGACATGTGTCGATAAAACGTTCTGATTTTCAAAAACTTTTCGACAGTTATTTCTGTACATTTTAATGTAACTTTTGAAAACTTAATCGGGCAGATATCTGAGCTGCCAGTGGAGATATCGAAAAGTTATCAGCTGATTAATTGTTCATTACGACGCCTCTGTACATTTCACTAATTGACACCTTTTTGATATCTCTAGCGGCGAGTGAGATACATTGTTTTGAATAAGCGATATTTGGATGTTCTTCTATTGCGCTAAGTCAATCGATTTTTTTTCCAGTGCCGTGGTTGTTCGCAATGATGGAGTACTCGATCATCGTGGCGTACGCCCTGTTCCACCTCACCTTCCTCGTCGACATCCGTCACGTTTCGTTCGTCTGCTTCCCGCGGTCCTCCAGCGGCGAGTGCGAGCCCATCGATCCGCTAAACTACCGAAAGGGCGCCAAGTACGAACATTGCCGAGCGTTCGAGTACAATCAGAGACGCATTCAGAGCCTCTAGCCGATTCTTGTCAAAAGCTTATTAATTTTATTTCATTTTACAGTCAATCGTAAAGAGAAAGAGTAAACATAAAACGTTTTGAATTGCAATCCGAATTGCAATAGATGACCGCTCAAAGATGAAGACGAAAAACTGACAGGATTGTGGGGGGGGGGAGGGGATTGAAGGCGGGGAATTTAACATGAAGCGAGGGAATTATGATAGAAATTATTTAGCAGGGACATTGGGGAGGTCAGACAGCGAATTGAAGAAGCAAAGAAAAATGGGATGAAAGGCGAGTACTCGTACTCATTTCTACACGTTCCTTTCTAAAAACCCGGCGGGGCTTTAAAGGCTCTCTACAGAATCCCGAAAAATGATAAAGAAAGAAGAAGATGTCATTACTTAGATATCAATAAAGATTACAGGAATATCAGTAAGATTTTGGTTAAAAGAGAGGTAGATCATTCACAGGGACGCATGATGGGATTACCGTAATCCGAGAGACCTGCACATCGATGAATTACTCCAAAATGGAAATCACATTAAGATGAGAAGAAATGAAATGAAAGGAAATGAACTAACAAAAGAAGATGATGGGGATAAATATGTTAGAGACCATCATCGTCCGACAGATCCTCGTAAATTAGATTCTTGCACGGTCCTCCGGCAAACTCCTTTGCCGATTTGATGCCGTTCTCTCCGATTACAATGTAGTCCGTGTACCTCGCTTCGGCGGGAGTCGTGACCAGCGCGCCGTCGGCACGCCAATCGATCACCGATTTGAACACGTTGACAGCGTCTGAAAATATGCACATTTTTCCAGTTTTCTCTTCCAATTCTCTTCTCACCTTTGGCGGGTGGATAGTAATTTCGCGGCAGGTGCAGCGACTCTTTCTTGCCGTTCTCGTCCTCGTCCGAAGAGACATCCGTGGCGCCCGAGTGGATCGACGACGGATTTCCCGGCAGCTGGCCGGTCTGCGGAGTCTGCGGCGCCGTCTGCACTCCGATCGACGGAGATTGTTGCATTTGCGGAGTGGGGACCGACGGCGGCGGCGCAGAGGCCACGGTGACCGGCTGATGGACAAGCTGAGGTTGGATGGGATTGGACTGGGAAAATGAGTGTCCGACGGCCGAAGTGGAGGGGACCGGGCCAGCGGAAGTGGTCAAAGGACGGTGGAACAAGAACGGATTCTCAGTCGTCGCAATCGGGCGGAAGACTGGCGGAGGGTTTCCGGATCCGCTACTTCCAGAATGAGGGTTTGTAGGCGTGGACAAAAGTGTGGATTTGTCAAATTCTAGAGGTTGAGGAGGCTGTTTCTGCTTTTCTAAGAGAGGCTGTTTCTGCTTTTCTGGCTCATTCTTCTTCAGCAGCTCCTTTTTCAAAGTAGCAATGTTCTCCTTGGCTTCTTTCAGCCACGCACTAATATTTTCCTGCACTTTCGGATCCACATTGTTGCTATTTGTTGCCAGATGCGCCCTATGGTTCTCAGTTCGTTGCACCGCATCTTCATAAAACTTCAGCCAGTGCTCGGCTTGCCTACGAAGCACTTCGGCGTAGATGTCCGAATACGAACATGTTGCGCCCGTCCCAAGCATGCCGTTCTCGAGCGTGTGCACTATCTCGTTGATCGGACGACTTCCGGCCGGCAACGACATTTCCGCCTGCATCAGAACCGCCAGACAGTCCATCTTCTCTTCAATCGTCCTCGCCTTCTCTGAGAACAGCTTCATCGGCTGCGAAAGGTTTCGCTGCAGCTGACGTCCGCAATCCGTTCTCGGCTCATCGGTCGCTAGCAGACGTCGGGAGGCCGGTGGATTGTTTTTGCCAGGGATCTCACAAAGCACCTGCACTTCGTCAGAGCTGTTCGTGTTGGCCGGCGAGACCGTCTGAGAGATGCTGCTGCTCGGTACGGTCGTTTTGGTTTGAAGCAACTGCTTGCCGTCTCGAATCACACCCATCTCTTCGAGATCCTGAAAAGAAAGGTTTGAGGCTATTCAGATACTGTACTTTTAGCAATCGGGGGAAAGGAATACAAAAGGTTGACGCGGTGGCGTCAGAAGAAAGAGGAAAAAGAAAGGACATGTGCACACGTCGGCACAAAAACAAACAAGACGCCGTGTGAATCATCATCGCATTTCAGACAAAAAAACGTACTTTTGATGTTTTCGCGCTCGACTCCTGCATGGTTCCAGACGTTCCGGCAGTGATACTTCGTGCAGACGCCTTCTGAAATGAGCAGAATACGGGCAGCTGACGTGGCTTTCACTTACCGTTGGTGCAACGGGCTGGACTGCCGAAATGCCGGGAACCCTCGGGAGAGCAGGACTACCGCCGCGAGCCGCCTGCATCCGAGGAGCATTCAACTGCATATGGCGCTGCGGAGCGACCTGCATACTCGTGATGCTCTCGATTCCAGACTTTCTCTTCGACTTGGGCTCTTGCTGCTGCTGCTGCTGCTGTTGGGTTTGAGCAGCAGCCACTGCAGCGTGCTGCTGTCCTGCCAAATGTAAAGCAATCTGTTGCTGCATCATGCTGTTTTGATAGTGTTGAAGGATTTCGTTCTGAAATAAAGGGGAAGATTATGAAGAGACACTTCGGATCAATCAATACTATCACACAGGGGGGCTTTCTATTGCACGCCATGCTCGGATGACTAAGTACGAACCCTCTGCTGGTGTTGTTGTTGAAGCTGTTGCTGATACGGATGATTTCCTATGACAATCGGTGTGTTTGAAGAGGGAGATGCCTGCGACGGCGTCACGTTTCTCTTGATGTTGCTCTGTGGGCCGAGCTTCCGCTTCTGAGTCTGAGTCTGCTGCTGGAGATGCTGTTGGGGTGCTTGTGTCGGGAACTGCAAAGAAACAAAGGGGTTCCGCGGGGAGGGAAATCGGCGGAATTGGTGTGTACATCACTTTGAGCATGCAAAACTGTTTGCACGAACTGACTCTTACCTGTTGCTGTGGGTGACGGATTCCAATGATGGCTTGTTGCCGCATCAGTGATTGGTACTGATTCGTCTGCTGCTGCTTCTGTTGCTGTTGTTTGGAGAGTTCTTTATTGGCCTCCTCTAAGAGAACGCGAAGCGTATTTCGGTTTTCCTGAAATGGTAAACGTCAAAGCTATAACTGTCACCGTCAGAGCTCACCTCATCAATCTCAGCAGTCTTGACGAGATCCGGCCACATTTGCAGAATCCGCTCGATGACTTTCGTTGCTTCCTTGTTGATTTCATGGGTCTTCCCTTGGAACGCAGCCAGATCTGCGTTCCGCTGATTATAAATGGCGTCCAGTTCGGGATGCGAGCACAGCCTCATCTGGATCGTTTTGAAATCCGAGAGATCTTTTATCATCTTCTGTTCCTCTCTTTTGTTCTGCGTGAGGATGGCCAAGTTTCTGAGAAACTCGTCTCGGCAACGTCGGTAGTCCGCTTCCTGCACAGCGTTCCGCGGCATCGACGACGGATGTGCCGCCGCAGTTGTTGTGGCGGCGCGTGGGCGGTGCGCGGGGGGAGTGGAGCTTGTGGATGGCTCGGACGGAGTCAGTGACTTCTGATAGGTAGTGCTGATTCCAATTGGAGAGGCCATGTTGGACGGGACCGCCTGGGCATGTTGTTGCTGGAACTGGAACTGATGCATGGCTTTCTTATGAGCAATTGATTGAGCTTGGGCATGAGCCTGAGCTTGAGCATGTGCCTTTGCTTGTGCGGCCTGAGCGACTTGTGCTTGAGCCTGTTGCTGCTGCTGAAGTTGTTGCTGCTGCTGCTGCTGATGTTGTTGAAATTGATGCACTAACTGCTGCTGCTGCTGCAATTGTTGAGCCTGAGCGAGAGCGTACATTGCATTGGTATTATGCACGGGTGTCTTCAGGATGTTCAGGAAGTCTGTAAGAAAGCCAAAGTTTATCAATTCGTCGTCCCCGGTGAGCAAAGAGAAAGAAACATTTGAAAACAAATGCAACAATTTTTTGTGTCTCTTTTTTCTATCTCTTTCTTTTCTCTCTTTCTTGGGGGGTGTAAACAGAACGGTCGGTCGGCGTCAGATCGTCATGCAATCGGAATGCAAAGTGCATTTGGAGAATTTTTTAAAGAGAAAAAAGAGAAAGCTTTGTGCGAGAAATACGAAAATATCGATTTCGAAAGAGAGAACAGTACCTTGTTGTGCCGCCGGATTCGAGTTTGCACTCGCGATCAACTTTGCCAAGTTCTCCAATTCTTGCGGTTTCGGCTGTTGGAACGCCGGAGTGCCTGCGGTCAGAGATCCCGGTGCAGCTTGTGCCAGATGCATTTGATTCATAAGGGCTAATTGCATAAGTAGTTGCTGAGGCTGTGCCTGTGCCATTTGGATTTGCTGTTGGCGTTGCAGCAGCAGTGCTAACGGATCCATGTTCACTTGCGAAGTTGTTGGCGTGGAAGTGTTCGTCGGACGGAGCGGAGTGGGTGTCACAATCTGCGCAGGAGTCGAGACTGGCTGTGGAGCCAGCAGCTGCTGTGGAACTGGTTGGGCAATCGGGACCGGCGAGGCGACGACGACGGGCGTGTTGGAGCCGGAAAGAACGATAACCGGCGGCTGTACTGCCTCGGTTGGCTGCTGTTGAGAGTGCACAGAGGGCGAAAGGGCGGCGTCTCTGGTTGGGAGGGCGCCAGTAGCGGCAGAGGAAACAACCGCAGCGGCGGCGGCAGCGGTGGCCAACAACGACTGTTGTGGCGGAGGAGGCGCGGACGGCTGAGACTGCTGTCCTTGCTGAAGAAGCAGGCCACGCCCTTCCACGGCTCCGGCGTGATGTTCGTCTTGAGATGAAGAATAGGCAGAGTGAAGGAGCGACGTGACGGGAGTCGGCCTCTTCACTGGCGGCTCGTCATCAATTTCCACGACATCGTCCTCTTCGTCGTCGAGCTCTTCGTCGTTGTTGCGTGTATCCATGGGTTCCGCCCGCGGTTGCGACGTGGAGGGTTTCTACAAATTAAATTTCAAATGTTTAGTGTAACACAGTCCCTAATTACCTGAACTCTATTCGACGAAAAATCGGGTGGAATAAGTGCTCCAGACGTGATTTTTGGCGACAACAACTGTGGTTTCTCGATCAACGTCTTCACCGGCGAATCGTTGTCCCTGTGCCCCTCATCCTCGTCCTCATCTCCGTCGTTCTCGCCTTCGGGAGAGTCTCCGGGCGGCGATCCGTCGCTGATGCTCGGCGCCTTCGAGCCCTTTTCGTTGGTTCCGTTGCTTGCCTCTTCGTCGTTGTCCTCCAGTTCCATCTCGTCTATCTCTTCTCCGAGCTCTTCGACCGGTTTCGGAACGGCTTGTGCTCGTGTGACCGCGCCGCTGCGTCTGTTGCTTGCTCGCGGAACTCTCGGCGTTTTGGGACTGAAAATGGATATAGAGAACGTGGAATTCACGTTGAAACTAACGTTTTCTTGGCGTTCCTCGTCAGTCCGCTTCTTCTGGTTGTTGGAGTGGGCGTCGGTTGCGGAGTGGACGGATCTGCGAGCTCGTCCTGTCCGCCGTCCACATCATCGTCGATTTCTTCGATGAGCGGCTGCGCTTTCACTCCGTTCAGCGCATCGTACTGCATTTTGCACTCGTTCGGCCGCCGGTTCATTCCCGCCGAGATGACGTTCCAGTCTAGCGTGGCCGACGCGTTGATCAGCGTGACAAGCTTCGTCTTCTCCATCTCATTCCATCCGACCTGTCCCTCGTAGTTCGTGAGCTCCGAGATCATCGTCTCATCTTTGCTGTGTATCTGTAAAATGTTCAAGTTTTTTCTGTTTCGTTTTCCATCCGAATTGCCCCAATTTCTCAAGCCCAATCCGCTTTGTCAGAAACGCGGCCAAAAGGATGAGAGATGAATCTAAAGAAGACCGGAGCCATTTGAATCCGATTCAAATGATGTTCTGCTCGAGAGCTCAAATAGGACAGACATCTGTCCAAACGCACTTTGTCTGACACCAGTTCTTTTCGGTGTTTTTTCTGAGAAGAAGCGTCACTTCTTCACAATTTTTATAGCCAAATCTCATTCACTTTTATGAGCTCGACACGACAAAAAGAGAGAGAGAGAGATACTGTACGTTTACGAGCCCACATTTGATAGTCGTTCTCGTGAAGAAAAGAAGGATATTCTCTTTCGGAATAATTGCTTTGCGCTCTCAATTATGAGCTTTACGATGCGGCAGTGAGAGAGAGTGGAGCTCTTTTTGCACACATTTGTGAGCTCGCCGAGACACTCACATCGCTAATCCATCGGGCAAGTTGGTTGCGGCACGAGGTGCAGAATTTGATTGCCACGCGCGTCGAACTGAGTTTATCCATGAGGTACGCGCGAGTGCGCACCGGCAGCTCGTTGAACTCGGCCGGAATTGTGCGAGATCCGCGAACTCGGCGCTTCTGATTCGAGCATCTGTTGCCGAAGCAGCGACTGAAAAGGGTAAAGAGTAAGATTTGCAGAGTCCAGGAGAGGTGTGCTCACTTGTCCTTGTACAATTTGGCGGCTTCTTCTCTGCAACGACAGCAGACGACACGATCCTCGTCTGGTGAGATGGCTGAAATTAAGGGAACGTATAGTAATCCTGATATAGTAATCCCAAAGATCTGCAACTCATTTTGACTACCGTACCCCTCGGAGCTCCCATTTTATTCGTACAAAGCTACAAATTTTCGTGTCCGTCCGGCTCCAAAAAATATAAATTATACGTTTCTTTCGCGACAGCCTCCCGATAATTGTTCCCTTTTTCGGCGGCGAACGGACTGAGGGACCCACTTTTCGAACGTTTCGGGTCGAAACTCTTCTGTAATCTATCGAAAAAGCCTACCAAATGTCTCGTAGGCCTCCTTCGGCAAAAGGGTTCCGTCCAAATCCACGCCGTTCACAGTCTGACAACAGAAGAAGCACGTCAGTGAATTCTTTGGATACGCAGAATAGTCGAGAGCCGGCATCATTCGAAAGAAGGCCAACTCCTCGTTTCCGGGGAACGGCGCCACTTTGTATTTTGTGGACCGTTTGCGCTGCTTGAAATCCTTCTTGTAGTCCTCTGTCTTCTTGTTCATGTAGTAGAAGAGCACGAGGTCGGACGGCGATTTGTTGACGAAAAACTGTGTGAGTCCGTGGAAGATTTTCACGTGCTCGACGGCTCGGCTCTTGAAAAGAGCCCGCTCTTCTGGCGTCCATTCGTTGAGACGGTCGAGGATGGACTTGCGGTGCGCGTGCTTCATATCGTGCACAATTCGGTCGGTCGGCTCGACCCACTCGTCGAGCTTGCGTTCTTGCTCGGTGAGCAGTCGGGGCAATGTTGCCACGCCTTTGCGCACCTTCTCCTCCTGATGCTTCCGCGCCACCATCTGCTTCTCGTCGTCGCCGCGAATTCGTTCGGCGCGCTCCCATCGCTCCCGATCTTCCCGCTCTTTCTTCAGCTCGGGGAATTCGGTTTCCACGAGAATGCGCAATGCGCCAACAAAATCTCTGAAAAGGAATACATCGATGACGGAACTTCGAAGGATGACTATGACTCACTTTCGTTCTGTTGTCTCCTCCCATTGTTTAAGCTCGTTTTGGAAAGCATCAAACTTTTCGTCGTACTCTCTGGCGAGTTGTAATTGGCTGAAAGTTATTTCTTCATTTCTAGAAGATGTCTAGCAACTCGAATCTAATAAATCATTTTCCAAAACTTTACATTCTTCCCGTTTTCCGTACCTTTCCATGCTCTCCGGCGTCGTCGGCTCCTGCGTTCCGATAAAATGCAACGACGGCCGAGAGAGCGTCCGACACGGTCGTCTGCCCAATTTTTGAACGTCTTCTCTTTTTTCGCTCTATTTTCTGTGAGTGTCTTCTCCTCCTGTTTTTCGCTGTCTTTTGATAATATGTGGGAAGGGAGAGACCTGAAACAACTCGGAAAATTAAATGATAACCGCGAATCGGTGATAAGCTCGTTACGCAAAAGGAACTGGCGAAAAGATTGTTTTTGCGGTAATTAGGAGATTGTGCAGTGGAGCGAGCTCTTATGGTAGATCAAACTTCAGCCTTCACAACTAGACAAATAACAAGGCAGTGACTCAAAGGACATTTCCAAACAAGGTACGCTTGAGCAGATCAACCCAACATTAGATTTTCCCGAGAATATCCATTCAACCATATAGGTCACGTTCCGAAGCGTCACCTATCAAGGTTCAAAAGGCTCTCGACTACTTTGTACTTTTGTGTATTCATTCTCTTAGTCAGTTAGTCGGCGTCGACCAATTTCTTTCCTTCTATGCGTCATCCGACGACATCATTTTCTCACAAATTGATATGAAGGGAGAAAAAGAGAGGGAGAGAGGGAGGCGAGAGAAAAAGTAAACATTCGGAATGAGTTCGGTGAGCGGTTCAAAAGCAACAAAAGTTCAGGTGTACTTAATTAGCAGCCAGTGACCGAGAAGAGGAAGACGGAAGACGGAAAAAAACGGAAAAAACAAAGCTGAGATGCAAGCGGACAGAGATTGGAAAATTCAATCAAGTCTTGATTCAATAAGGAACAGACCAGGTGACAATGAGACCCGAACTTTGGATCCGGAAGACTAAAAAGTGCAACAGTGGAAAAACAACGTGGACCGACCGCATAAATACGCGCACTGACGTTCGCACCTGCATATTGTGGGAGAGTTACGTGCATAATCGCTTCGTAATTGCCACTTTCAATGTGCTCTCGAGTCAGCATCAAAGTAATCTCAATTCCAATTCCGAGAAAAGTGTTCTCCTTAGAGCCCGCCGGATTGTTGAGCTTCGAAATTCAAACATCGCCCTCAGAACTCATTATAAAGACGCGTCGGCTTATCAGCTAAACTTCCGAGTAACCTCCTCTTCACAGAATCGAGGTCATTTCGGGAAAGCAAGAGAAAAAACAGATCATGTCCTTTTGCACACGGATATCAACGAAAAAGAACACCTGGCATTTGGATGCGGGTAGGCGGGGGGATGAGTGGAAAAGAGGAAACGACACGGAAATGAGTGAATCGGAGCGAATACTTGATTTGCATAAATAAAGAGCTCGAAACGGAGATGCGAGTGGGGAGGATTAGTGATCAGATGTCGTTGCGCTCCAAACTCTATCATCTCAAAGTGCTCCGCTCGCAAAGGAAACGGATAGAAAGAAAAGGAGAAGAAGAACACGAAGCTCTTTTCGTCTAGCACCACCTCTATTTCCCTTTTTTCATAATCAACTTTTTCTCTACGCTGTCGCTTCAAAAACACAAACAGAGGTGCATATTTTCTTTGCGATTACGAGAGAGAGAGAAAACGGGACGTCTGTCTGAATCGCGTGGGAAAAGCAAAAATGTTGGCCTTACAATTACATTTATTTGGGCGTCGAACGTCTATGGGCGCTTTTCAAAAGGTGCGAATGAGAGTGATGATAGGGGTGATAAAGGAAGCGCGAAGTCAGAAAATGTGTACAACCCGTTGTACGCTGGATAAGTAGCGACAAATTTCGTAACTGTGTAGGATGCAGGGAGTGGTGAGTTCGGAGAACGCTCACGGAAGCCCACGAATAGTAAGTTCAATAAGTGACAGACAGACAACAACTATTCTCGCTAATTGATAGATCATCATGTAGTCTGTCTACGTATTTAAAGTGAAAGTTGTGCCTATGATTACGCCATTCACAATCCCCTCTTTTCCCGCCGGAGCTAATTAGCACTCGTGACCAGTTTTGCTCTTTCGATGTGACGTGGCACCTTCAAGCGGTGGGGGCACGTACACAATGTGACATAACATCATCTGTTTGGCAGTTGGAAGATAGTGGAAAGATGAGCGAGAAGGAGTGGGAGAGAGGGAGAGAGAGTGCAGAACAGACAGAAGGAGACACCAAACGACGAGCAGTGTAACAAGCGCATACGTACTAATCGAGAAAGGAAAGCAAAAAAAGGAAGCGCGGAAAAGGTCTGTCTGAGACACAATCAGAGAACTTCGCCCGCTGATCTCGTCCCTTTTACTTTTCAGCTGAATTTGACTAAAAAACAAGCGCAATTCGAAGGAAAAGAGCGGGGAGGAAAATGAGTTCCGCCTCCAAATGGAGCTGGAGAGAGGGCCGGAACAAAACAAAAGAGCAGCCGGAGAAAGTTAGACAGTGTTAGGTAGCACTTTCTGGAAGTAGGTGATCAGGGGGAGAGTAATGGTTGTACACGTTTCGAAACTTTCTCGCAAGTTTGTGTATGACCTAGATAAGCTACAAATGATCAGTCATCGAAACGTTTGCGAAGTTTCCCCACTTTCTTCCGGTTCTTTTTGTTTTGAACCGGAGCAGTAGCTTCCAGACAAGAACAGCTGACCTTTCGAACTATGAACTGAAATGAATGGACAAGAGGCGAGGCGCAGAGAGCTGAAGTGAACAAACAGAGACGGACTGAAAGTGCATGCACAGTTTCAGAAGTCGTCCGAATACCTTTGCCCACACACTTCCAGAAGCACGCGTATTGTTCGCCGTCTCCCTCGTTCTCCCCCTTTTTCCCTCCCACGGCGCCCTGCATTCGTCGAAAGAGTGTGCGGATCGAAGAGAACGAGAAAAGATGAGAGAACACAATTCATTGCGTGCGGCGTTTGGGAAGCGAGGAGGGGAGAGGGAGGAAGAAGACAGTTTGACTGGTTCGAACATTAAAAACCGACGTCGCGACGTCGCGGAGACGTTAGGACGGTAGCTGCAATCCTCGGGAGCGGAATGGCAAAGCGACGCGGAAGAGACGCGGAACCGTCGATTGATAAGATGGATTCGAGTGCGCCGAAAAGACGGAGAAGGAGAGGATAAGAAGAACTTTGAGCGACGACGGAATGACAAAGAGGAAGACGTCTCCAAAAGGAAGGTGTAAATAGAGGATGAAATGCGATGAAAAACAATTTTCGATGGAGCAGCAGAGTGCAATACTGCTCTAATGAGGAATCGAAGAACTGGTTGAAGTGATTATAAACGCCTTTGCAACTATTTCTAAATTGTGCGAAATTCTATTTCACGGACATTGATCTCAAGGCAGTCAGTACCTTCATTCAGGATTGATTCGTCATCGGAACACCTCAAAGCTCCGGAAGCTCTCATCTAATAGAAATAGGCCCCGCCCCCAGTGAATTAACACACAAAAAAATGGCCTTTTTTCGTCGTCCCCCTCCTCATTTGGGAGTAGGAGAAGGAGGGCGCGCAGACATTGAGTAGCAGTCTCTCGGGGCACGGAGAGTGGAGCAGAGAACGAGGGTGACGAGAGAGCACGCGAAGTGAGGAGGTGCCAGACAACGAGCGGGTCTGCGTCTCTGCAGTTTTGTGCAGATAGCGTAGCGGCGGACCCTCGAATAGCACACTATTTTGGAAAAGAAAGGAGGAAGGCTCAGTGTGTGTGTGTGTGTGTGTGTGTGTGTGTGCATTAAATTTTGAATTTGGCGTTTCCATCTGACCGTTCGCGGAACTCTGAACGCATGGGTACCGAACCACCAACACGATGATATCGAAAAATGATAAGGTTGATCTTTCCGATCACTATCTCTCATGACACACAAGAACGGAAAGAAGGGAGGTGAAACTTGTGATGCTGCGGCAGTTTCTAATTTTATCAGCAGACTGTTTGGACGAGTAAAAACAACTTTCACAGTTTTTGATCGAGCATTGCGTGACGTCACAATAGGAGGCTCTCGGAGCTCGGCACGGAAACAGACCGGCTCGGAGCAACAGCAAAAAATGACCTAGACCCAAACGAACCGCACCTGGCAGACCTTGGACGGATTTCTGTCCTCCAGTATCAATTCTACTGAAAACAGGTGACGACGACAAGTTCCCACCAGTTGACGATGAACCTAGACTCTCCGTACACTTCCGAGAAGCGGGACGCTTTTTCAGGTAGCAAAAACGTGTCAAAACCGTACATACGTATCTATATTTTCCTCCTTAACCAGTCACTTGGAAGGAGATGACAGATCGTCCCTCGCAATGACAACTGGCGAAATAGTGGGGCAAAACGGGAGAGCAGAGAGCAGACAGTGGGTGGTCGACGGGGCGATCATCTCGGAGAGAGTGCACGAACCGAAGAGATGCAGAGAAGTGAGTGGAGAGAGAATCGGCTGGGAGAGAGGTCAGAGAAGAGACATTTATATGTATTTGGAAGTGAGAAAGTGAGATGTAATTAAAATTTGAATCACAATGAGAAGGAATGAGGAACTGGAAAAGCTTACATTCCCATCATAGATCAGGTCGCAAGGTGCTCTGTGGAAGTAAGCAAAATACACCAAAATAAGAGTTCTGTGAAACGTCTTCTGAACCCCTGAATTCTTTTGGGCTCAGCTGCAATGCTATAAATGATTAAGGAGTAAGCCGGAAAACTAATCAAACAGCAGAGCTTTTAGAGTGAAAAGGAAAGCAAAACTCTTGAGAGCTGATAACTAAGAGTTCAGGCTTAGAAAGGATGTGAGGAAGGACGAGAAGCCTTCTTGCATTCAAGATCAAATCAGATCACATGGGCAGTTGATCAAGTTGTTTGTGCATTAAGATATCAGGAGACATCGCAAATCTCTTCGAAAGAGCAAAGGACGCAAAAAAGGCCTAATGCCCTGCGGGGACCTGATACAGAAGAGGCCCGGTGGTGGCACCGAACCCATCCATTTGTGGGCCCTGTCCCCCAGTCTCTCTCCCTTCGTCAGCAGTCGGACGCCGGCGGCGGCGGCGGGAAAGGGAAGACGAGTAAGCGCGAGCGGCGAAGAGAGGACGGAGTGCGTGGAGAGCGCAGAGACCTGCTGGTGCAGTGGACAACGCGGGAGGAGAGCGCTCGCAAGGACTGCCGGCGTGCACGGAAATGAGGAGGGATGTCCCGCAGGCCCGATTTGACACATTTCGGGCCACGAGGACTGTTGGATTTTGGATTCGCTGTGGGGCTGAAAGGACCATGAAGCCCAAACTGATAGAACGTGGGCTTTGACTGGAGTGTTGTTCAAATGAACTCTGGTCTTTAATGTTAGAGCGGATTGAATTGATAACACGTTAAGTTTCAACTAGTTCCGAGCGTTTGTAGGATCGATACTGTAATTCTTAGAAGGAATCTTTGGGTCGAAGCAGGTCGGATTAGAGTTCAATAATCTCAATGAGATGAGATCAATTTGTCAAAGATGCAAATTGAGTCAGTATCATTCCACGAACAAAACTGGCACATTCCATTTCGTCCGATTGCTTCTCACTCACTGTTGCATTCCGGAAGAGCATTCAAAAGAATCTGCAAGCTCTAATCCCCCGGGAAGTTCCACATCTTCTAATGATTAGCATTTCTTTTTATGAACGAAAAGTGAACTTCTGGTTTTTCTAAAAGTATACATCTTGTTTTTCAGTTTCATTTTCACACTATTGTTGTTCCTTCGATGACGTCACCGGCGTTCTTTGCATCTTTTTCGCGGCGACCATGTGATATCAGAAAATTTGATATCAGAAAATTTGATAACAGAGACGAAGACACACTTTTCAGCGAGCAAACGCAAACATTGCGACTCTCGCTTTTCCGTTCTTGACATACGGCGAAAAAGAAAGAGACTCAATGTTCACACATTTATTTATTAGAGGAAAGAGCGCGCGCTGTTCTTGCTTTGACGAACTTTCGAATTGAGAAGAATTCGTTTTTGACCTCTTTCTTCTCTGCATTTCCGACTGCTTCCGCCCTGTTAGCAGCGACAGCATGAGCATGAGCAAGAGCGCCGCAGATTCTGCTCTTTTTTCCTGCTCCACGTTGTGCTTGCCACTTTTTTCCACATTTTCAAACGCGTTCAACGCCTTGTTCCGTCTCTGTGCGGCAGCCGAGAAAGAGATTGCCAGGTGGGAGACGCAGACGGACAGACGGACACTTGTCAAGGACATTCTGACAGACGGAAACCGAGTGATGAGGGCGCGGAAGATCAGAAATGCAGACGCGGTGACGATCCTTCGATCCTTTGCTGCGCAAAGTTTGTTTTTCAGAAGGAGAAATGTGAGATGCGGATTCTGAGAACACTGAGAACGTTCCGAGAACTTTACGCTAATAATATTGGAAACCAAGCAAACATTCCTCGAAACAAACGCATTGCAGCATGAAAAAACAAAATGTTAAAACTCAAAAATCTGGAATGCGGAATTCTAGTAAACTTTCCATTATTTCCTGTTGGGCAAATCGGCAGCGGAAATTAAATGGGGAGAATATATAAACGGATATCCTAACTTATGTTTTCACCTTTTTGGTCACTGAGCTTCCGGAAATTGATATTGGGCAAAAGGACTGTTTTAACAAGTCTGATGACGTCGGAACACAGACTTTCCTCTGAGGACAGAAGGATTATCGCATTGAGAACACAAACTCCATCATATTTGTGGTGAACATTCAGAAACCCTCTCGAATCACATGAACTCTCAAATGATCTACTCATTTCTCGTTGATTTCTGATCCTGTTGCCACATGGAATGAGTCAGCAAGCTCAGCAGAGCATTTGCGGAATGCGTAAAAAGATGCAAATCTGGAGAAAACAGCAAGAAACGGAAAGGATTTAAAGGGATTTGAAAGCTGCTGCGGGGAAAAGAACAAGAACAAAGCAGTTGCACGCTTCGAGAGAAAACATCAATGATCGCAGTAGCAGCGAGCAAACCAGGAACGCATTCAGCTCTCGATTAGTGAACTTTCGGGAATCTTCAAAATCTCGATATGAGTAGATCAGAAACTGATACACTAATTTTATGAATCTCGTGGATGCATGCTCCAAATCCGATCACAAGGAGTTGAAGCTAAAACGTCTCACTCGACACCACACGAAATCTTGTAACAAGTTTATAACAAAGAATTTATAAACAAGAAAATCACGCAACAATCTCGAAACGGAGAGGGGCGAGAAGTTCTGGCTCATTGTTCTGGGTGGTGACGGTGTGAGCTCCTCTTGGGGCAACCGGGAGTCTCTTCAAAGCTGGCACTGGTTGTCCGGCGGTCTTGGCGGCCTTTCTCTTCTCGTCGTTGGACTTGACGCGGTTCAAGAAGTCGGTTCTGCACTTGGACGGCTTGATGTGCTCGACACGGATGTTGATTCTCTTTGGGAGGATGTTTCCGCTATAAAATGAGAACATTCAGATGAAATTGGAACGTTTCGTTTTTTTTTACATGGAAAATAAACTGCTTGTCGAAAAACTTGTAAAAGCACAAGAATCCGTTTTTTGAAACGTTCAAGACACAAATGCGTATCCAAAAATTTCTAAATTTTCCGTAGAAAAGTACAGCACTTTGTATTTTACTAAATACTTACCGGACTCTCTTGTTGACGATGATTCCGACGGCTCCCTTAGTGACGTTGAAGATTCTTCCGGTTCTTCCGTGGTAGGCCTTGAATGGCATACCCTTCTGGAAGGCTCCGTTGGTCTTGATGTCGACAAGATCTCCGCGCTTGTACTGGGTGTAGTAGGTGGAGAGATGCTCGACTCCGTGCTTGCGAAAGTCGCGAGCGAACATGTAACGCGTTCCGCGTCTGAGACCCTTGGAGTTAGTCATTTTTAACCCTGAAAAAAAAACCACTTTAAACAGAGATCTCCTAAACTTCGTTATAACGCATAAGAAAATCGCAAATCAATCCAACAAACGAAAAAAAAATTGGTCATGAATTCATCACAAAGAGAACATCATTTTTGCGAATTGCATTAAGTTTTTCCTAGATTTTCATAGAAAAAATTACGGAAGCAAGTGTGAATTTTAATTTTTGAATCGAGCCAATAATAAATTTCGTACAAAAATTCGAAAAATCCGTTAAAAACACAAAAAAAAGTCTTTAGGCCACGGAAACGTAAAATATTGAAGGCGCAGGCAGGGTACGGTGGCACTCGTTTCACTTGTGTCGTGCTTCCCATCGCGCGTGGCGAGACCCGTTGTCTGCCGTCTCTTCACAATTCTGTGTCTCTCACCGCCAGCCGTTTTCAGCACTGTTTTTCAGATTTTTTGCTGGAAATAAATTGATTTTTTACCGAATTCTTCGATACGAATGTCTATTGAGAAGAATACGCATCTTTTGAGTGTAAAACCAGCTTATAAGTGTACTTTTCCCTGTCTTCCGCTTTTTTTTCAGCGCCAACGATCATATGCTCAAAATATCCAAAACCTGGAATTTTCAGAATGTCGTTGGGTTCCCTTGTCTACAATAATATCTCTCGCCGCTTCTCCACCATTCTCCTGGCGTCGGCCTTCGGAGCCTACGTTTTCAACTACACTCTTGATGGAGTCACCAACTTCTACTGGGATACCGTGAGTATTTCATTTTTTGTCTTTAAAAATGTGTAATCAAACAAGAAATTGACTCGGTCTAAATAGAACTATACATCTTCCAAAACTTTAACGCAGTTCCTTCTCGATCTAAAATCATAGAAATGAAACCTAGAAAGAAAAGGAAGCTATTATAGGGGCATCTCACAGAAATGGCGCTCTGTTTGCAATCTGACCGAATTTCTATGCCGCGAAGTAATTTTCCACTTTAAACGTGACCTAACTTTTCAAACTCGGCCCCGAGGTCGCTCAATTTGCACTGCAAAAAGAGTTTCTCAACAGAGCGCCATTTCTGTGCGGTGCCCTTATAATATTTATTTATTCCAATTTCTTCTAGTGAAAAATCAGGTTCTTATAAACTTCAGCTCTTGGTTTTAGTCTATTTTTGCGAACTTATATGGACAAAATTAGGCAAAACGAGATAGAGTCATGTTTTTCTGATTATACGACAATCTCAAATTCTAATTTTCACTGAATACGTTTTGCCAGTTAACTGTTCATGCTTTTCAGAAGAACGCCAACAAGCAGTGGAAGGACGTCAAGAACCAAATTGCTCAAGAATAGACAACTGCAGACGAATGAGAACTCCGTTTCGATGGCGTTTCTAGCATCAACTTAGTCTCCTAATTTTTCTTGTCGAGATAAACTTCTTTCGGTTATTCAGTCACCCGAGAACGTTTACGAACTGTTTGGATGTCTCAAATCCAATGAATTCTTGTGAATGCCCCTCTCTTCCATTGCGCTTTTCTTTTTCATTTTCTTTCGCACAAACCAAACCAGTAAGAAAGTGTTCCGCATTGCCGCAAGAGTCCGACTGCAAATATTTACCGCCGGATAAAGCGGTGCCCTGCAGGGTGAGAGAGTCATTAGGTGGATACGCGGATGACAAAAAGAAGCTGGCCAGGGCAGGTCAACTGTGGGCAAAGGGCACGCAAACAGCGGCGAAGAGCACTGGAAACGACGAGATGCAGAGACGGCTCTCTTTCGTCCGAATACTGACAGTCTATAATATTTGACGAGTGTCGGACCGTACCACGTACTGGGGCGGCCAAATAGAGAGAAAGTCGGAGAAGGACGCGAACGGGGCAGTTACTCGAGTAGGCTGACCTTCCATTCACTCAAACGATTTCCTCCTCGCAGTCTATTGATCCGGAATCATTTCATTTCCTTGTTTTGTCTTGAGCTGTTTACAATATTTGACTTAATTTGCTCTAAATTAAAAAAGTGAAAATCAATTGGAAATTCAAATTCAGCCACGCTTTTCCATTCACAAACAACCGTTTTTTTTTCTCTCTGCGTCTCCCGGTTTAGTACACGTGTATCAACTGCCCCTCCTATCGCTTTCCCGTCCTCCAATTGACATACTTTTCCGATCGGCGCTCAGTTATTTTCCTGCCAATTACTGACTTCATTCGCTTCAGGGTCTCCTTCGAAAATGGTGTTCGACCGGCTCTTCTTCGCCTTGGTCGTTCTTTTGTTCGCCTCGACAGTCCGTTCCGAAGAGACTGCCGACGAGGAGCTGAACTACGAGTTGGACGACGGAGTCGTCGTGCTCACCGACAAGAACTTCGACGCGTTCCTCAAGAAGAACCCGAGCACACTCGTCAAATTCTACGCGCCATGGTTTGTAACGACGGAAATTCGATTTCCACAGTTTTGACACAAATCGTTTTTCAGGTGCGGACATTGCAAAACTCTGGCTCCAGAGTACGAGAAAGCCGCCGCGAAGGTGACGGTCCCACTGGCCAAAGTGGACGCGACAGTCGAGACGGAACTGGCGAAACGCTTCGAGGTGCCCGGATTCCCGACTCTGAAGTTCTGGAAGGACGGACAGGGACCGATGGATTACGACGGAGGAAGAGATGAGGCGTCGATCGTCTCGTGGGTCGAGTCCCGCGTCGACCCGAACTACAAGCCGCCGCCAGAGGAGGTCGTCACTCTGACCACCGAGAACTTCGATGAGTTCATCTCGAACAACGAACTCGTTCTGGTTGAGTTCTATGCTCCTTGGTGCGGACACTGCAAGAAGTTGACTCCGGAATACGAGAAGGCCGCCCAGAAGCTGAAGGCTCAGGGATCGAAGGTCAAGCTTGGAAAGGTCGACGCGACGGTTGAGAAGGATCTGGGAACCAAGTACGGAGTCTCCGGATACCCGACACTCAAGGTAATCAGAAACGGAAGACGGTTCGACTACAATGGACCACGTGAGGCCTTCGGAATCGTCAAGTACATGACCGAGCAGGCGAAACCAGCAGCCACGAAGTTGCCAAAGTTGAAGGACATCGAGAGATTCATGAGCAAGGATGACGTGACAATCATCGGATTCTTCGCCACCGAAGACTCCTCTTCCTTCGAGGCCTACTCCGACGCCGCCGAGATGCTCCGCGAGGAGTTCAAGACCATGGGCCACACATCCGACCCAGCCGCCTTCAAGAAATGGGACGCCAAGCCGAACGACATCATCATCTTCTACCCGCCCACCTTCCAGAGCAAATTCGAGCCGAAGAGCAGAACTTACAACAAGGGAGCCGCCACTTCCGAGGACCTTCTGGCCTTCTTCCGCGAACACTCTGCTCCTTTGGTCGGAAAGATGACGACGAAGAACGCAGCGAACAGATACAACAAACGGCCACTGGTCGTTGTGTACTACAATGCCGACTTCTCGGTGCAATACAGAGAGGGAAGCGAGTACTGGAGACAGAAAGTGCTCACGACTGCCAACAAATATCAGAAGGACAAGTACAAGTTCGCCGTCGCCGACGAGGAAGAGTTCGCCAAGGAGCTCGCGGAGCTCGGGCTCGGAGACTCGGGACTCGAACACAATGTCGTCGTGTTCGGCTACGATGGAAAGAAGTACCCGATGAATCCAGACGACTTTGACGGTGAACTCGACGAGAATCTGGAGGCGTTTATGAAGCAGATCAGCAGCGGAAAGGCCAAGGCTCACGTGAAGAGTGCGCCGGCGCCGAAGGACGACAAGGGACCGGTGAAGACGTTGGTCGGATCGAACTTCAACAAGATTGTGAACGACGAGTCGAAGGACGTGCTCATCGAATTCTATGCTCCGTGGTGCGGACATTGCAAGAGCTTCGAGCCAAAGTACAAGGAGTTGGCTCAGGCTCTGAAGAAAAGCCAACCGAATGTGGTGCTCGCGAAGATGGACGCGACTGTCAACGACGCTCCGAGCGAGTTTGCCGTCGAGGGATTCCCGACAATCTACTTTGCTCCTTCTGGAAAGAAGGTAACGGATTTCAGGTCTCTCGGCACCCTTCTATTCCTTATTTTCAGAACGAACCGATCAAGTATTCTGGAAACCGCGACCTGGAAGACCTGAAGAAATTCATGACGAAACACGGTGTGAAGTCGTTCCAGAAGAAGGACGAACTCTAAATCCATTCTTCTTCTCATCTAATCCGTATTATCAGGGCACCCACAAACCCATACAAACTCTGTGATGACTATTTCTTGTTTCCCTTTTCTCACTTTTTTTTTCTGTTCTTCACTTCTTCAATTTGCATTCTCTCTCTCTCTCTCATTTTCGGTTACGTGTATCTCGGAATGTCAACGACGACAGTAGTTTTGAAACTATTTATGAGGATGAATAAACACACTGATCGCTGAGCACTTTTCGAGCAGTTTCTGAGAAGCCACTTGAGGCGAGAGAGACGGAGAGACGCAGAAGAAAAGCGGCGCGGTGTTGATTTGAACTGTGGAAGGTGCTCGACGGGCAGAAACGAAGAAAAGCGACGACGAGAAGATCAGCGGAGAGATCAAAGTGACACGTGGATTCAGATGAATGCGCCCACGTCCTCGCGTGGCGCACGCGTGGCGTAGAGCACGGTTGCGGCAAAGTATTATAGCGGCACCGCACAGAAATGGCGCTCTGTTGAGAAACTCTTTTTGCAGTGCAAATTGAGCGACCTCGGGGCCGAGTTTGAAAAATTAAGCCACATTTTCAGTGGAAAATTACTTCGCGGCCTAGAAATTCGGTCAGATTGTGAACAGAGCGCCCTTTCTGTGCGGTGCCCCTATAATAGATCTCCGAGCGTCCGAACTTTACAAAAGAGCCGCTCGGTGAGCTTTGATCGACTCCGCGAGGAGAGAGCGTAATGGCGAGGTCAAACTACGTACATTCAAGACGTGTATATCTCATCTGTCGGTAGAGATATCAAAAAAGTTTCAACTATTTAACAAATTGTTTATCAAAATGTTCTGCATACTTTTTGATATCTCCACCGACAACTAGGCTAAATCGATCCGTTTCAGCGGTAGAGCAAGCGGTCTAGAATTCGCTCTCGAAGAAGTTAGGCCAGTACGAGTACGGTCCCTCGATCGTACCCCTTCTCAAGACGTCAGACTCCCGCGTACAGTTTACAAATCCTCCTCCTCCTCCTCCTCCTCCTTCATCTCGCGCATTCTTGCCCTTGGCCGCCCGTCGTCTCCAGTCGCTCCCCGATCCCTCCCGATCCCTCCCGATCCGCCAATATCAACAATAGTTTCTTCGTGCGAGCTCCCCCTCCTCCAGCTTCATCTCAGCTCAAGCTCTGCTCCGCCGAGCCACTCCGCCCTACAGTTTGCGGCCTCGCTTGCTCACAGCTCACAACTCGGAGAGTCGTCTCCCAGAGCCGCGAGGGGTCAGAGTGCTCACCGTTTTTATGATTTCATTGTAATGTGCTCCGCCTTCTGGCTCCAACCTGCGCATATGTTTTCGCTTTCGCATTACATTCGTGCCCGCCCGCCATTCGCCCTTCTTCTCGCACTTCCGATCCTCAACGCTTTGCAGAGAATGTCCGCAATCGAGGTGACCGCCGACGCCGCTTCCACCTGGGACTGGCCCCTCCAGCACAACGACGGAGTCGTCAAGGTTTGCTCGGCTCCTCGAAAGCTCAGACACTTACACTTCTCCCCCCGTTCAGGTTCACAACACCAAGGAAAAGTTCGAGGTCGGACTCGACGTTCAGTTCTTCACCCCAAAAGAGATTGAGGTCAAGGTTTCCGGACAGGAGCTCCTTATCCACTGCCGTCACGAGACCCGCAACGACTCGCACGGATCCGTCGCCCGCGAGATCAACCGCGCCTACAAGCTTCCGGACGACGTCGACGTCGCCACCGTCAAGTCGCACCTCGGAACTCGCGGAGTGCTCACCATCACCGCTTCCAAGAAGGCTTAAGCTCGATGATGTTCCGTCATCGTTGAGCTTCTAGAATATTCTCATAGCGGAGAACGTCCAACCAAAAAAAAAACGCGCAAATATCAAAGTACTCTTCACTTAAACTTTTGTCTATTCAACTCTCTGTCTGCTTTCCAATTATGTCAATAAATTGTCACGAGCAAGAAAAAAAAGAAAACATTCAATGTACACTACCGCAGGCTTATTTATCGTTCACTTTGTCTCTGGAGTCAGCAAGAAGCGTTTGCACGAGGTGAATTGCATAATATTGGTCTGTGGGAGGGTGGCGGACGAAAATCGGAAGTCCTGGTTACCCTGAAAACCTTCTCGTGCACCTCTCCAGATCGTTTCTGGTACTCACCGGCAGAAGGGTCGCCTCGCAGGATGGAGCCTTCATCAAGTTGACCTGGAAGCTGCTCTCCATGTAGGACGGCATGTGGAAGTACTCGATGAACGGAAAGTCCGGTCCGTTGTCTCTTCCGTAGGCCAACTCGACGACGTCCGGAGCGCCCGCCGACTTGCTTTCCAGTTTGTGTCTTCTCAGCGAGAGCATTCCGATTTGCGTCGAGTCTCCGTAGAGCGGACGCGCCTCGTCGCTGTCCGGAGGGACCATGAACTGCTGATCGAAGAAGATGTCGATCGTCTCGGCGAGCTTCATCTTTCCGTAGGCCTTTGCATCCTGACCTGCCGCCGTGAGCCAGATTCGCAGCCAACTGCACTTTCCAATTTTGATCAAAAAGTTCTCGTTTCGATTGACCGCATTCGCATTCTGAGTGCCACCGAGCCACGAGTCGATGGAAATCGTTCCGATCGACGTTCTCAACGGATTCACAGACTTCGAGACGAACGAACTACACACGTCCTGAGGGATTCTCGAATTGGTCACGAACTTCGGGTTTTGTAGCACCTGCAGACATTGAGATTCATCCAATCCGACCAGAAGGACCAGAAGCTCTCACCGGCAACAAGTCAATCGATTTCTTCGTCGTCAGGTCGATGGGCGGTGCGAAGATGGACGTGTGTCCCTTGGCTTTATCGTATGACGTGGCGAACGTGGGCAGTGCGGTCTGGTTAAAGTACATGTCCGGATCGAGCAGCGCCGTGTACTGCATGCTCGGATTTCCGTTGGCGACGTGCGCGAAGCAGAAGCGACTGTTCGTCAGCATCAGCATTATCTTGCCTTCCAAGTCGAGGGTCACCGTCTCCTCCTTCCGTGCCGACCAGTCGCTCTCCTTTTCGTAGAACTTGTCGGTCACCGGAATATCAAAGTTCTCCAACTCCTGTTTGATGAATCGGACCGACGTCATCTGATTGTACTTTGTCTCGGCCTGCGCTCCCGCCTGCCGCTTAATGTCGATTCTTCCCGTGTGCGGGTAGAACTTGACGAACTGTTCGTCGCACATCTTCTGTTCCACGTGGAACATTCCGATTCCCTTCTTTGCCTTATCGATGAAACAGAGATGGATGCTGCAAACCATCATTGTCAAACCCTACCTTATCGGATAATACTCACGCGTGACAGTACTTCGGAGGCCACGCGACCACGTGGAACGTCTTGCTGGACTCCCACAAAGTGGCGAGCGACGGCGGGTTCTCGGCGCTGAAAAAGCGAGCGGAAAACGTTGAAAGGTTCTGGAAGATGCTCTAACATTCTGGTCCGCACGAGCCGGTAGGTTCCCTGGATACTGTCGATCGGATCGTAGAACTCCCATTTCACATCGTAAGGCGTCGTTTGGCCAGTAGCAGTTGCTGGCGTCTGCGAAGTGACTGAGGAGAACAGGAGACTGTAGCAGAGGACCGCCAACTTCATTCTGTCGTTTACCGCAAGAATCGAGGAGAACGTCAACTTGATGATTTGCAGTAAACTTCTGATCGCAACGGTCGTCTGTGTCGACGATTTGCTTTTCCTTTTTCTTATCGGTTCTTCTTATCTGTGCTCCAATTCTCGGCGAATTGGGGTGAGGTCACGGAGAAAGTATTTAGAGATAATTAGAGACTTGAAAAGGAGTTACCATCTACTAAAATGTACCTGAATTGCATTGTGTTTCTGAAAAGAAAACCATAAAACTGCAACTTTCTGTATCTGAAAAACAAGGATGCCCCGATTTTATTTTCTTATCCGTTTTCAGATATGCTCGTTGTTTCAATTTGGAATCTTTCGGAATGAAGAACGCGTTCGTCTTTTTCATCTTTCTGCTCTTCGGTAAATATTCGAATTCTGATTTCCCCTTCTGGAAATGCCTCTTTTTCAGTGAGTTCAGCGTTTGGAGAGCATTTGTTTTTAACGGATCCGTAAAAAACGCAAATTTACGGTTTCAAGAAGCCGTAAAATCCGTAAATTCCGTAAGATCTGAAAACTGAAAAAGGCTCGGAAGGTTGTTTTCTTCTTACCGTAAAAGTGTAATAGCTTTTCAGAAGCCATTTACTTGCTCCGAAGAACGCGAATTTCCACGGGTAGTGACCCAGATCCAAAATTTTTGTTGCTTTAGTTATTTTTTTCAGAAAAAAACCGGAGAAAAAGGTTCTGCATTGACGATTTTTTTTGTTCCGTCTTCCGTCTTCCGGATTTCAAAATTCCATTTCCGCTCAACTCTGGAGCCCAGGCCAGACAGTTTAAATTAACGAACATGGGAAAATTGGTAAAACCTTTTTCTCCGTGAGGAAAAGGTACCAGAACTGGTTTTGCAGACGTACGATAAGGCGATGGGCAAACTGGCGGAGAAGAAAATCGAGGAATCTTAACGTTCACGCGGACAAAGGATTCCGAGCCGCTCCGGATGTCGAAGGCGTTTGGGTTTTAGCACCGATGGAGGCGGAAAGCGAAAATTCTTGATTTTGGATGAGAAGGAGTAAGTAGGAAGACAGATCCCCAGTGAACACCTCGATATTTATAGAGCATGGAATCTTGGCATCGGAGGTCCTCCAGGATCGACGTGCCCGGGAGCAGTTGATAATGAGCTCTGCGTTTCTTCCGAAGGATCCGTCGCCTTCAAGGGATTCTGCTACTTCGCCGCACTTCTCTCCATCTTTTTGCACTTGTGAATAACCGCGATAAATTGATTGAAAATACACAATTTAATACATAAGAGAATCTTGTTACAACTGCAGTTCTACGAGTTTTTCAAAATACAACAAAACGGCAAGATGCAGAGACTAGACCATCGAAGGAGGAAGAGGACGAAAATATACGAGAAGCACAAGAAAATTCTGAATTTGGAGAGATTTGGAGAGAGTTGCCTAAGTAGTTCACAGGAGAACAATTATGCGAAATTGAATCATTTGATATGGAAGGGTTAGGAGTAGAGTTGCATGAGCGCACGGATGATGTAGTGGCTGGTACCGTACTCTCCGGCGGGCGCTGAGTCGTAGAAGTGCTTACAGATTCCGCGGGCGCCGTCACATCGAGTCGTGTTCGGCGTATCCGAGGCGCAGCACTCCATCACAATGGTCTCCAGTTGCTTCTGAAATAAACGTCTATTTGGTTACAATAATTTGACGATGCAGACATTGTGATCCACAAAAATGCTATTGGCCACGTGAAGAATGGCGTCCACATCCAACGGGCGATCTTTGGGAATTTTGGGCTCCTCCATGAGCACCAGCTTCTCGAGTCTTCCGAGCAACCACATAGCTTCGACGATGATTTCTCGGTACTCGGGCTCCGCAATTCGATTCAGCGCCTCTTCCACTTCCAATGCGAACTTGATCTCTTTGCGCGTCATCTCCTGAGTGAGCCCCCAATGGAGAATCGTGTCGTTGATCTTCACTCCGTGCGGCATTCTATGTACAGTATCCCAGAGAATGGCGTAGAAACTGCTGGGGACTCTGTTGAGTGCTCCGTCGATTCGGCGGTGTCTCAGCCAGATTCCAAACTGGAAATCGTCTTCGTCCGCTTCATCGTATTCGTCCTCTTCCTTGGGAATCTCCATTCCTCCCATGCTTCTCGTCGATTTCCTCAATGACTTTCTCTCCTCGATTTGCCGACGGAAAGAGCCGATTCCAGTGCGCGTATCTCTCATTGTGTCGCTGTAATGGAAACCGTCCTCCGCGTATTCTTCGAGAAGGCGTCCCGACAGAAGTGAGAATATCATGGACTTCAATTCGAATGGAGAGACCGTCAGAAGCGTGTCGGCGGCTTCGACGCCAGACAGATTACGGAGACGTGCTAGTTCGGAGGCGAGCACTTGGATGATGAGTCCGATGCGGAGGCGGAACATTTCCAGAAAGAGTTTGGGCTCAGTTCGAACCAAAGAGCCTAGATAAACAATGATTTCCTGGGCGAGAGTGAACGAGTTTGGATCGTCTCCGTAGGCTCGGTTCATGATCTTTTCGAGCTCTTCGTTTGTTTTCGGACACGTGATCACTTCCTCTTTTTTCGATGCGATTCCGACCTGAAATTGAAGTAGATGAATGGGAAAAGCAGGCACAAATCTAACCGTGATCTGCTTTTGTCTGACCAGCAGATGAGTGACTGCTTTGCTCAGTTCTTCCAGTTGCTTTTTGAGCAGACCGGCTGTCAGACGTACGAGTGCCCATTCACGGGCTTCGCACGCCTTCGCATGAACCTCTTCCATGAGCATTCGGACGGTGATGTGCTGGCAGCCGAGCTCAGTGTCGTAGTCGGGTCCGCTGAACGAGTTATTTTTCGAGTTTTGTCCCAGGGAACTTACAATTTCATCCAAAGACAATGCACAATCGATATTTGCTCCTCAAGAACGGTAGTCTCATTGAGTAAATCTAGCAGATCGTCCGCCTTCATCTCGTTCATCTGCTCCGCTTTCAGATCCCGATGAGCCGTCTCATTCTCCGCTCCTCGTCTCGTCGTCTTCAGTAATTGCTGCCTCAGCTCTCCGGAGCTGTTTTCTTTAACTAAACCGAGTGGGCGTTGAGCCGACGGCGGAGATCCTCCGGCAGCGTCTTGCAGATCTCTGGGACGCGATTTGTAGGCGAGACGAAGCTGAATGAGATCCGCGTCGTTGCTGTCGAGGGCGATCGATCGGTGACGCATTGAGGCCTTGTGGACGAGCGAGTACGCACTCCGATCTTTGACGGATTCTCCGCGACGAAGGCCGCGGTTGCCACGTGGTGAAGCGATCTTCTCGCCTAAAGAATCTCAGAAGGGGTTGAGAAATCGTCAAATCTTTCTGATTATCTCACTTTTAGCCTCGGTGGTATCCTCGGTATGAAGAGTGAACTGCACTTTCTCAGCCATCACACTTCTCAGCATTTCCTCGGCACTCGTGTCTCTAAACTCCATTTTGCTGACCGCTGTAGTGCGGAAAAAGTCCGATAAATCCTTCATGACGACTCTGCAAAAGCTGGAGGGGGTGAGTCCGTTCGAATGAACCACTGCTCGTACCTGGCTCCGCTCAAATATCCCGTGTTTATCTTCTTGATTGCTCCGATCACGGTCGACTTCATGTGACGATTAAGGTGAATGTTCGAGAAGTGAGAAAGACCCTCCTGGAATGAATGAATGAGCATAAATTGAAAAAGTGATGCTTACGGTGGAGAGCATTCCCTGAGTGATAACCAGGACGACGAGAGGTCTTCCGCTGATGCTCACACTGTTCCAGGAGGCGTAAATGTACTGAAGTTCACTGCTCCATTCGTCCGTAAGAATTCTGATATCGTACATTAGATGGGACCGTCTGGAGTCCATGAATTGCGGAGTGAAAATGACGAATTTGTTGCCAATCTGGTATAATCTCGATGTGCTTAGAAGGCCGATCGGGCGTTCTAGAGGACGGCCAGAGAGATTCAGCTTTTTGGATTCGCCAATTCTGAAAAGCTGGTTAGCTGAAAACGTTTTTGGATTTTCTCCTACTTGGCCAGCAAATGAGCCAACGCCGAAGCTGGAAGAATCGTAAACACCGGGTCGATCTCGTCGACTCTTTGCACGAAGATGTCGTGAGCTCTGAGCTCCCTCTGGACTTCCGCGGACTCGGCGAGCACAGTCACTTGCACTTCGCACGGTGGTCGCTTCTCGTAGACGGAAAGACGACGACTGAGGGGGTCGAGTTCAGCGGGACTGAGGAATCCTTCGTAAAGAAGACAGATGATCACGTAGAGCGATTGAGCCCAGAGGAACGGTCTGTAAAGAAGTGAACCTTTACAATATCAGGTTGTGAGACTTACGTGGCTCCGCCTGGAGCTCTGACTTGAGTGTTCGGATGTTCTTTCTCGGCAGCCACGTGTTCTCTCGCGACCACGTACAACTCGGGAACCAGCCGGAATCCCTTTTCGCTCAGCACGAGAACATTCTCCAACTGCCGCCAGTACGCCTCCACCGCATCGTCGTCCTTCGAGTACATTGCGTCGAGAATAAGGTAGCAGAAGAAGATGGGCCATTCGCATTCAATATCTTCAAACTGTTGCAGCTCCGATTTGTTATAGTACAACCGCGAAGCGTCTTCCAAAACGGTTTTGTAGCCGTCTCTCATAAATCGCCGACATCCGTACTTGCCCATCAGGCGTTGAGTAATGGTTTCGCGGGTTTGAGAGACTAGTTCTGGGTCTTCGACACAGAATGCCGGGTAGCTGATGATGCCGAGAAGGGCCGCGTCTGTCTCTTTACTGAACGACTCTCTGGGGAGCATGCTGGAAAGAACGGCCGAGCACTGTTCGATTTCGTCCGGAAGAACGTGCACAACTGAGCCTCTCGAGCCGTCCACGAACAGATCGCCGACGTCGTTCAGAGCCTGAAGCGCCGCTTTGACCATTCCGATCGACGTGGCGTTGAGCTCTCGGATGCCCTGATTAGTCTTGTCTCCGCGTTCCCAAATTCCGTAATCCGGAGTGCGATATCCAGTTTCGATGTAGTAGACGAGGTTCTGGATGAAGGCGACTTCGTCAAAGTTGCGAACGACTTGAAGACCGGATGCGGTGATTTGAGCGAGCGTCAGAAGGTACAGGGAGATGGCGTCCATCTGAAGATGTCCCCAGTCGGCGTCTCCGCACACTGTGCTCTTTGTGTCCACTGCGAACTTGGAGTGCAGGGCGTCGAGCGGACGTTGGAACTTCTTGAAGAGCTCAACTTTGTCGGCTTGTCGCATCAAACATTCCAGTATTGACTGCATCATTTTGACACTGAGAAAGGAGATATTTTTGAGTTTTCATGTGGAAATTTACCAGGTGAATCCAAGCTCTTTGGCCTTTGTGAGATCCTCGTCGAAATCCGCGCACTTCATGTATGCTCTGTACAGAGCCCACAGAGCCTGCGCGATGTACACGTTGTCGCGAACCCAAGCGTGACCTGGAATGACGATTCGATCGATAAATTACACTGCTTTATTAGTTTCTATACCTGGAAAGTCTTTCTGATTGGCAAAAAGCGCTGTGATCGGATTTTGATGCGCACAAATCGTCTGCTCGACCATGAATAGAATGCGGTCCAAACGGACCCCGGAGCCACTCCGGGATCTCATTTTGATTAAAGTTTGTGCTGAAAATTAATAAATACTTTAACGTTTTTATAATTTTCAATTTTTGAAAGCAGGAAAAGACTGAGAAAAGGACGGGAAAAGCAATAAATTGAGATCAGGTGCCATGATCCCGTTGTCCGAGAGAAGTACACCATGCGGGGACTAACAAATTCAGAGGCCGTACCTAGGCCGCCTTGCATTCGGTGAGTTTTTTGCTCTTTTCCAGCATGATTTTGTGCTTTTTTCAGTAGTTTTGTGTCACATATTATTAAATCCTATTTGTTAATTTGTTCCTTATCAACGTTTTTTTCAGCTTCATGTAAAAGCTTTAAATGCATAAATAAACAAACGTTTATTTTTGCAGTCATGGCGACCCGATTCATCAGATCATTTGTGAATCGAAATCCTCGGAACAATGAGTTGATGGGCAGACAGCCGCCGAACAAGGGATATCAATTCGAGAAGGACCGCGCCGCACGCAGTTACATTTACAAGTGAGGAATGCTTTGAAACAAGCAAGTTACAACTCGTAACATTTTCAGAGTGGAGTTGATCGAAGGAAAATCGCATCGGGAAGGCCGTCTGGTGCACTACAAAGACGGCGTCGTTCTGAGCGCGTCCACAAGAGAACCGGCGATCGCCAGTCAGCTCTACAGCAGAGCCGACACTTCTGCTGCGTTGAACGTCGGCCGAGTCCTCGCTCTTCGTTGTCTTCAGTCGGGAATTCACTTTGCGCAGCCAGGATCCACGAAAGAATTGATTGAAAAGAGTCAGCACGTAAGCTCGGAAACATTTTTGGGAATGATTGTTACAACCCTCGATATCTTTCAGCAAAAACACTTCTTCAAAGCGCTCGAAGAAGAAGGGCTGATCCTCCGCGAACCGGAACACGTGGAACACTCCTACGAAAACGATCCGTCGTTCACCTGGAAGAGATACCCTCAGAAACCGACGCGGCAGGAAAAACTCGACGAACTCTAATAATTGTGCTCTTTTCGTGCACTTCTTTTGTAGTTAGATTCCATTGTTTCTCCGTTTACGTTCCTTTGTTCTTGTTTCTTTCAAGTCTATCATTAAAAACGCCAGGCAAAAAGTTTGAATGCAGTTCTTCAGTTCGAAGCCCATTCAAATTATCCCCAAGAGCGTCGTAAGTACCAGACGTTTTTGCCGGCGTGCGCCTCCGCTGATTTCTTTTCGCCTCGACCAACGGCCACTCTCGGAGGGAGCATCGTTGGGCGCAGATGACGAATGATGTGTCGAAAAGTTGTGTATGGGCGAGAAAGAGAGCAAAGGGGAAGGGAGGGCTCCCAAATATTCATGGGCGCTCGGCGAGCACAAAATAGGAGATGGACGGACCGAGATATCTGGGGATTCGATCTGACAACACCCCGAAGGCCTCCCCACCCACCTTATTCCCGAATGTTTCATTCTTCACGAGTTTCACAAAATTCTCCATTCTCTTTTTCGTATTTTGTAACCTTGCTCTGCCTCCGCTTGTTTTCCCATGGACAATCCATGGCGTGCAACTGAAATGACTTGTCCCTTCTTCTTCTTGTTTACCACTTTTCCGCCTCCAGAATCCTCCTCCGCCCCCTCCTAACTTGGTTATCACAGACCTCAATTCTTCTCCGTTTCCGTTTCGCTCCAAAAATAGACGAATAGTACTATTTCCGGAGCATCCGAACGAACTCTTTTTTCTGGAAAAACAAGCTCGTTGACCATTTGACCGCATTCAATCTGATAGCCTTCGTCCTTTCGAATTGACTTCAGCTCAGAGCATTTGCACAAAAAAGAGCAGAGCTCTTCTTCTTTTTCCCCTTTCTCTTCAAATTGTCCCTCATTTCATTCATGAATACATAATAAGGCAGAATATCTATTTATTCTTACAAAACAATAGTGGAAAGGGGGGCGGAGACTAGAGTATTCATGATTGCTTTCCGAGGGGGCGGGGCCACGGAGGAACATGAAAGAAACTATTGTCGCTTTGAACATTTGGCCGCGTTGCGATGGAGCACAGTAGCCTCACGTTCCGCAAAGTTAGTCAGGCGTGTTTGGTTGAAAACAAAAAACAACGTGACTTTTGGAAAGAGCTGTCACCAGAGTTGAGCGGAAGAACTCAACGGAAGAACACGCAAGAATTTTTATCTTTTTTAGAAATTTTTTTTATGAAATGTGATCAACTAACGAAATGTATAGCCAAATGAACTGTGCTCATAGAAAAATAATTGTAAATTTAGCTTTTCATACAAAAATGTTATTCGAGTTGTTCCGTGAAAATGTCCTTCCGTTTTCCCCGTTAGCCCCCTTTTTTCACGGAACAACTCGAATAACTTTTTTTGTATGAAAAGCTAAATTTACAATTATTTTTCTATGAGCACAGTTCACTTTGCTATACATTTCGTCAGTTGATCACATTCCATGAAAAAAATTTATAAAAAAGATAAAAATTCTTCCGTGTTCTTCTGTTGAGTTCTTCCGCTCAACTCTGGTTGTCACCGGTCGTAACTTTGCGCGGAAACAAAATTTGCCTTATCTGCATAGAACTCATCAATATCTACATTTCGCCGGAATACTAGATGTCTAGTATTTTCTCTCTATTTACCATGACTCTTCCAGACTCAAGTTTCGAGCCCTTCTCAAACTTTTACAATAACTCTTTGGCAACACTCGGCTGAACTTGCCCTGTAGTCCGTTCCGCACGTTCTTCTGACCTACAATATCTGCTCTTCCAGAATGGCTGAGCAACTGGCCCTCGAGGACATCACAAACTGTCCGATCCACAATATCGACGACGACAACAACGTGTTCTCCTCGTCCGCGCAACGTCCCTCACGCACCGAACACCGCCTCCGGATGCTTGCGAAGGTAAGTGAGAGCCGGAGAAGACCAAGAAGAAGAAGAAGAAGAAGAAGAAGAAGTGCTCTCACTCCATAACTCGATTACGTTTGCCTCCAATTTCCGAAACTCCCTTCTCTTTTTTTGCGAAAATTTGCGGATAATTCGTTCGATTTCTGATCTTTTAACGGTGAGAGCGCGGGGAAAAGTTAGGCCATCGCTTTGTTTTCGTTCGAAATTCGTTGTTTTTTGCGAGTGAAAAGTGAAACCATTAGAAATGTGTGTTTTCCCCACCGCCCCACCGAAAAAAACAATTCAATTTCGGCGCTCATCTTCTCCAATGTCACCTGTCTTTGTCTTCGGTGCTCTCCGAGCTTTCGAGTGATAAAAGTGGCGACCACAAACGAGCTCGGCTCCTCACTCTGGGGAATAATATCATGTGACGAGGAGAAAGCGAAAGAGAGAGAGAGAGAGAGAGAGCTTTTTAGTGTCATTCAGAGAAACACTTTATGTCACAACTTGTCCCCCATTGCCTTTCTTTGGTGGCCTAGTCCGGTAAAAAGTTAGACGACAGTTAGAACAGGAACTACAGTAATCTATTTCCCATTCTCTTTTTTCTAGCGCCTGCGATGTTTTTAATGTACGTGAGCCAGAAGCAATTGCACTTTTCAGAAATTCCAATCATAAAAAAGCAGATAAAATGAGCCATAACTTCCCATTCTTCTCCTGCTTTCTCTTCCCATCTCATTTCACTTCCTCTTCCTCTTTCTCTTCCCCTTTTCACCGAAACCCATCCGTGAATATTCCCTTCCGAAAGGTAAAGTTTGACCAGTGCTCCGTGCTCAATGAGCCCTCCTTCACCCATCCTGACCATCGCATTTTTCGAGCCGCTGAGCAATTATATTATGCTGCTCATCGTGAGAGAGAGAGTGTGTGTGTAATATTGTGAATGTACGAGTTCGATGAGCACAAAACTTTTTTACTTCTTTTTTTTCGGGAAATGCCGAGCACTTTGACATCATCTTTCTCTCTGTGAGTTAAGTGGCCTGTTTGGCGCTTTCGCCTTCTTTCTTTTCAATTGTTGCTATTGTTGTTGTGAGCGTTGACCTTCGGTTTACTACAGTAATCTTAGAGTCTCTAACGTTGTAACAATTATCGAAAAGTACAGTAGTCCTCTCGCTACAGCATTTGGTTACCGTACCGTCCAAAAATGTACGCAATATCTTAGCGGACAGTTTGTTAGTTGACGACTTTTTGATAGCTCTAGCGGCAGCTGAAATCTATCGTCTAGAATAGACAATATCAGCGCTTGTCTGTTAGAAATTTACGAAAAATCGCACACTTTCGAAACTACCGTAATCTATCCGCGGCCCGCCCACACACCTAATTGCGCCCTCGTCGCCCACATTCTCGCCATTTCGTTGTGCCGCCAAAAGGCGTGCACCCTGGGCAATTTCCGGAGAACATTCGAAGCACTCTCCTCCGCACTCGCACTCTCTTCCCCTTCTTCTTCTTCTTCTTCATCTCGTACAAGTCTCTTCCGCATCGCCGCGACAAATTGTCCTCTGCCGGTGTTGAAGGGCGGCACGAGGGCAAAGAAGGAGAAGAAGAAGCCACTTCATTTCTGGCTTCAAGTGTCTCTCGTGTTGTGCGCGTTTCAAAGGTAGGAGTTCTGTGGATGTCTGGACTGACAAGGTTACGGTGGCGTCGAAGAAAAATGAAAAGTTGATGTCCTTTAGATCTCTGAATTCCTAAAAAGTTGTTCAGCGCAAAATTGGCAATAACTTCTTAGTTGAACATTATTCTGCGATGATTTAGATTTATGATGTTCGTAAAAATCCCGCCTAAAAGCCTTCTTTTCCATAGAAACATCCTCTCGCCCTCAAATCCCATTCTCTTCTCATCAAAAGCCTACGAAACGTGCTGACGTTTCCATAGAAGTGTCACCTGCAGAGTTGCTCTTCTTCTCCTTCTTCTTCTTTCTCCTTCTACTCCCCAGACACTCTCTCCCTACACTTCATTTCCAATTTGCAGAACTTCAAGGACATCCGCTCCTCCTCGATGGCCTCTTCGAGCTCTTCGGCGGTGCGTCCGTTCGGCACCGCGCGGCTCACACCGGGAAGAGCCACCGGAAGACATCAGCATCAGCAGCAGCAGCAGCAGCAGCAGCAGATCAACGCGCCGGAGCCGATGATTGCAATCGCGCTCTCCGATATGGAGTATCTGATGCGATCGGCGAGATCCAGCAGAAGTTCGGGCAGGTGAGCATATGATTCTCCACCGGAAACCTTCTCGAGGGGACCACAGCTCGCTGCAATTTTGAGTGTGCGCGTGTGGAAATTGTCGGCGACACAAACTAAATTGGTTTTCTTTCTCCTCCTTTTCATTCCCCAGTCGTCTGCTATTTCGGGCAGCATCGAAATGATGAGTGTGTATAACGTGCGACCGAATTGCGCTATTCCGAGCTTCCGAGTCGATCGGCCGAGTTCCGCACGGCTAACGGACAGGTATTCAAAAAGACCAAAGCATGTTTCTGAACTGTTCCGAGTCTTCCTCTTCTTTTCAGATCGGAGCGTCAGCCGGGATGCACTTGCTGTTGCCACGTGGCCGCCGGCGTCACAGTCATTCCACGTGTCGCGCGCTTCTCCACCGAAGGCGGACTCTCCACGCACACTCTCATGAACCATTCGGACAGTGAGTCTGGAGCAGAACCCTCTAGAATTCAGTGAACCGTTTGCAGACAGAATAGCAGTGAAGATCACGTGCAGTGACAACAATATGTACCGAGTGACGCCCGTCTACGCAACCGTCGAGCCGGGACAGAGCCTTCCACTTCACGTGAGTTTCCCTGCAACTGCCCTCCACTCAATCTACCTGTGCTTCTTTGCAGATTGCTCGAATCACAAGCGACCTGATCAAACGGGATCGTCTTTGTGTGAATATACTCGAGGCCGATGGCAACAAAGAAGCGCGGGAGGTCTTCAAGAAGAACACTTCGAACCGCGCGCCGGCGTCCATCAACATGGCCCTCGAGGCGGCGGACAATCACAACAATCACAACCACAACCACAATCATCATCAAGAATAATAATAATAATGCTGATAATCTGCTCTTCTGTACCTTGATCTATGAATAACATGAGACTAACTTCAAACCAAACCAATGTTTGTTCAAATACTCAAGTGGTTTTGTCGCTTTTGAAGAGAAAACGACGAAAGAGGAGCACGTCACATTGGCACGCATTGTGAATCACACCTTTCTTCCATTCTTACTTGGCTATTGTTCGATTGCTTTTGATTACTTTCAACTTTCAGGTAAATTTGAAGCCTTCTCACCCCCGGTTTTTAATGAATTCCATTGCCATCCGATGGAATCCTAACCTATCCATACAGATCTGTCCGAGTCATCTGAAATGTGCCTAGATAATTTTTCAGCCCAATAGGATAACTTGAGCTGGAAATAAAGCAAGTTGAAGGAAAATTTCCTGTAGAAAGAAAAATCATTTATGGGAATTCAGAGACAAAGTCTCAGGACGGCCAGTGAAAGCCCGCCAAGACGCGTAGAATATCCCTCCTGTTCCGTGTCCTCAATCCTCAATATAATCCTTCTCGTCCTCCACTTCCCCCCTCTCAATTTTTTATCACCTGACACGAGTGTCCAGCTCTCTCGGCTGCTCTCTTATCCTCTCGCTCTCACTCTTCTCCATTCTTCCATCCTCAGAAATGAACGTCTTCTTCTGGCTGCTCGTGCTCGTTTCCCTTTTCGTTTCCGCCGAATCCGTCGCCTCGAACAACATATTCTCCTCAATTTTCTCCTCTTGGGGAAAGAAGAAGCCGACGACGACACCGCCTCCGTCCAGGAGTGAGTCAGGCTTCGAGTGAACATCGATCGATATTCCATTTCCAGATTATGGATCGTCGAGATGCAACATGCAGACGAATCAGTGCTCGGCTTACGAATGCTGCAACTCGGATCAGACTTGTCTGAGAAATCGGTGCTTCCCCAGAATTTCGGTGAGTCCGTCAAGTGGAAGTCCAATAGAGCGCACTTTGTGATTCCAGAACTGCCCAGTAACCCGTGATCAATGCGGCAATTCCTGTTGTAGAACTTCTGAGCAATGCAGGAACGGAGTGTGTACGCGTTGATTGATCGCCTTTGGATAAAGATTTATATTTATTTGTGCAGTAAATACAGAAAAAAGTGTACAAATGTGCATCACAAGGGAACAGTGAGAAGGAACCGGGAATTCGGTGGTTAGTCATCGGAGAACGAGTTGATCTGCTTGAGGAAGTCGTTGAAGTTGGCCGTGTGAGAATTGATTTTGTCCAGCTGAAAGTTCCAACTTCGTTTCAACCTATTCGGAACTCTACGCTCACCTCAGTTTTCAAATCCATTCCCACAATGTCAATCTCCCCGTTGTTGAGCATATCGGGCGCCGTCTTCAGCTGCTTCAAGTAGTCGCCGAGCTCACTGCCTAACGAAAGCGAGCCGCCAAACTCGGAGATCTGATTGAACTGAAACGGAAGAAGTTGATGATGATTGGCTCCTCGGGGAGCGTGCTCACGTGAACAAACGAGTCCTCGCTGAGCTCCATCGAGCCCATCGGCAGCTCTTCTTCTTCGTCCTCTTCCAGAACGACCTCGTCGATCTTGGCGGCTCGGAAGCTCTCCGCAACCTTCTCCACACTCGGCTTCTCCTTCTCCTTCTCCTTCTCCTCTTCTTTTTCTTCTGGGACCTGCTTTGGCGTATCTGAAAGTCAGTTGTTTCTATTTATTTGCAGATGACACGAAAACTCACTGAGGCTGATGGAAGAGACGTTCTTTTTGCTTCCATTCGCTGGATTGTAGGCAGATTGAAGGAGGTTCACAAATGGGAACGAGTGATTTCGAAGGTCCGCGAGGGAGGGACGACGGTCCTCTTCGAAGGAGTGCGCGTTATCAGAGTGATGGGAATCGTCGCTCGAAGTGGATTGCCCCAGAATGAACCGCGGAGCCGCTTCCCGAGAGACCGAACTGCCGCCACTGTTCGCCGATTCCACACTCCCGCTGGCCTTCCGGATCTTCTTGGTCGCGTCCGAAATGGGCACGCATTCGGATTGGGGGTGTCTTGTCGGCGTGGCGGCCACGTCTTCCTCGGTGACCGTTTTGTTCACGTCCGTCTCTCCGTGCTCCTCTTCCGCCGGCGTCTCCGGAGCAATCTCGGGCTCCTCGAAGTGCATGGAGGTTCTGTAGTGAAGAACGAGGGTGATGTTGCCGAACTGGGAGGAGAGCTCTCCGATCTTCCGCGTCTTCTTGCCCTTTCCCATGTCCGAGCAGATGTCGTTCTCGTAAATCTAAAATCGACGCACATTCTCTTTATAAAGTAGAACTAATCTTACCCTGTACATGATCACAAACGACTCTTCATTCTGCTTCTTCACGTATAATCTGTGCATCGGAGTCATTCGTGCAGACACGATCGCAGACCTCAGCAGGGTTGCCATCTGGTGGTACAGATCGTTCAGCGGGCATCCGTCCTTGTCCTCCGGCTCTTCCGTGCTCAGCACCCACGCTTCGAGAGGAAGGCATTGGCCACTGGGGGTGTACAGAAGGAATTCGAGGGTCAGAGTGCCCAGCGGCGGATATTTCTTGATGTTGGACTTTAGGTAGGCAGCGATCTCTCCGAGCTCATCGATTTTCATGTTGAACCAGTCCTGCGTGTGCTCCATGTACGGGGCGCACTTGGATTCCACGTCATCTCCAAGGCGGGACTGAAAGGGAAACAAGGGAAATTGAGCAAAAACCGGCTCGAAAATGGACGTACCTGGATGAGAGATTGGACAAGTCTTGTCGAAAAGTACTTTAGATACTTTTTAAAGTTATCCTGCTGCTGCGAAATGCTCATTTCTTTCATTTTGAGACGGCTATTATCGATCTGAAACACAAGACGAATGGTCAGTCACATGAGAGCGAAAGATAAGGGAAACGGAGAGACGACGGCGACGGAAACGAAAACGACGCGAAGATTCGCATGGAGATTTGCGAGAAGGACTGGACTGGTTTAGCATTTTGAAAAGACAAATGGGAATGAGAATGATGAATAGAATGGACTCTCTTTTGCAGCCGAATGGGTCCAGTTGAACGTAGTAAAAACAGCTGACGGGGGCGAGATGATATATAAAAGTTTTAGTAGGTGTGTGTGTGTGTGTGTGCAGAACACTATTACTTTTTTGTCTGTCTTTCAGTGTCTTCTCGAGGAGGGGATCAATACGCTGTGGGGGTTCACGTGCAGAAGGACGTGCTGGCCGCGGACTAGGATCCGACAAACGGCGGCCGGCGGCTATTGATTTGGGGCGAAGTGGTTCGGCTTTTGATAACGAGCAATTTGTCTATTTGGGATCATAATAATAGGTTTCAGCCGAACTACCCGATTGCAAAGAGTGAAATTGAATGGCCTTCCGAAGTGCCGAAAGGTTTTCCTCACTTTCCAATCGGACGAAGTGCTCTGGAAGATCTGAGAATCGACATTGACATATACGAAACAAAAATAAGTAAACTAACGATATACAAAGGTGTTTTATTGAGAAAACCAAGAAATGTTCAAAAGTTCACAAACATTTCCAATTTGGAGAGACTAGAAAAACAGGGACGCAAAGGTGTTTGTTTGGTCTGCTAGACGATATGTCATACAATACACTGCATAATATTAAAGATCAAACTTATAAGGATGACGTTTTTCAATTTTGTAGCAATCGCGCTCTATCGCACTCCACGTGAACCAGCGGTCGTACAAGATTGAAGAAAAAGAACAGATTTAGATGAATACATGAATCAGGATTTGTCAAACGGACAATAGTACTTGGTGGTTTTGATCTCATTCTCCACCGAAGCCCTTCCAGACGCGTAGATTCGAACGTAGTCGTCATCGAGCAAAATCGTGAGGGAGTTGAGTGCATTTATCCAGTTCCTCAGCTGATAGAAAGTGCCGCGGGACGCATTTTGTGTACGGAAGCGTTCACAGAACGTTGGTCTGTAAGAAACGAACAGTTCTAATGTGAATCTATTATAGGGGCACCGGACAGAAAGGGCGCGCTGTTCGCAATCTGGCAGAATTTCTAGGCCGCGAAGTAATTTTCCACTGAAAACGTGGCCTAACTTTTCAAACTCGGCCCCGAGGTCGCTCAATTTGCACTGCAAAAAGAGTTTCTCAACAGAGCGCCATTTCTGTGCGGTGCCCCTATAATATCAGTGAGACTTACTCTTGCTCCTCGAAATCGTTGGTCCACGGACGGGCGTTGAGTTCTGCGAGCACTTTGTTTTTATCCATGTAACGGTTAAAATACAGCTCCAGATCCTTGAAATCACTCTGCTTTGAGTTCGCCCACAACTGAAATCGGAACCGTAAAGATCACTTTTAGGTAGCTCCACGAACCTTCAGAAACGAATTGATGCCCTCGTCAGTGATGCCCGAGGACTCTATAGTCAACTCTTTGATATTGAAGGACTGCAGATGTTTGTCAGCGAACGGATACCACGGAACGATCAACGACTTCGCATTCGAGACTTGTGTAATATTCAGGAATCGGTGCGGGATCTTCACTGAGCACCTCTCCGGAATGTCGATTCTCAGCTCTTCCAGCTGCTTCGGCATTTTCCTGAGCCACGAGCGGAGCACTTCGTCCGATTGGAAAGTGAGGAAAACTTTTCGGCACTTCGGAAGCCATTCAATTTCACTCTTTGCAATCGGGTAGTTCGTCTCAAACCTCTTATTATAAATCTACAATTTCAATTGACGCTTACCAAATTCATTCCGAACTCTTCCACTTTGTACTTGCACTCTCTCATCAGTTTTTCCACAAGTCTCACCGCTTCCTTCTCAAAGTTTTTTCCCTTCACAACTCTAGCTCTCAGCTCTCTTTTCCCATCGGCTCTCTTTTTTATCCACTTGATTTCGGTGCCTTTTTTATTCGAACAGAAGTTGATCTCCGAGAGCTCACCGCCGTTTTCTCGCATACAAACCGAAATGTGCTGGAAGAAAATGAAATGAATGGGCTGATGATTCTACACTAACTCACATTTTCCACCCCCTGCTGATTTCGAATCGAAATGAACTTCAGATCGAGCGGAGTTTTGTTGACGGTTTCGTAATCGCTTCTCGAGCACACTTCCAGACTTTTTCTCGTCATGTAATCCAAATACCCGACCACTTTTTTTTTGCAATCATCGTTGAGCATCGACCAGTTCTTGAAACCTCCGATGTGCTCGTTGAGCTCTTTGATTTTCTGGAATGTAACTTTTTAGACATTGATCTCGACTTTTCTCGCAAACCTTTTGAGCATTGTGCTTTTGCCACGCGTCGTTCGTGTATTTTCGCTTAGTTGAGAACATTTTGGAATAGACGAGGGAATTGAATGAAGAAAAAGAGGGTCGTGGATACCGTCCTACCCTTCACCGTGGTCACATAAAATAGAGAGGATGGCAGAGAGGATGTACTTGGGAAGAAGGTGGAGGCCACGCGACGCAAGTGTGCCTGCAATACTCGAGAATCCGTTTTGTGTGACTTTTCACGAGAAATGTTCGTGTTAAGACCAAAATCTCAGCATGTTTCTTTCTCAACTAGTCTTTTGTCCGCTTGTGAACAATATGAAAGTGGCTGGCTCTGAAACTGAGATGGACAAAGTTACGGATAAGATACCTCGATTGCAAGACCAAATACCCGCACAAATCTCACAAATTTCCGATTCGATCAGCTCCCAAGATCGGCCAAAGATGAATCGTCGCCGTTTTTTGGGTTTTTGAAAATTTTATTATAAGGCATGAATGAACAGTCGTGTAAAGTGAGCAGAAGGAAGAAAACAACGACGAACAAGTGCAATATAGAAAAGGGAATTTGAAATGGAACAGATGTCAGTATTGTAATGAAAATGTTTTTTTTAAATCACGAACCACCTAGATGTCTAATAGAAACTGGGTTTCGAATGGGGGAGAACAGAAAACAAGAAGCAAGCGGTGACGTGAATCAAAGGGAACGGAAATGAAGGAGAATGAATTTGGTGAGAAAAATGAGGGTATGTAATTAGAGTAAAGTGAAAAATCATTAGAAACCAGTTTAATAATCTTCTGAATTTTCGAGGTAAATAGGCTCGACGTGACGGAATATGGGATTGCGTTTTTCAAACTCGGGATTCTCATATTTTTCGGGGAAACGGTACTCGGTCATCATTACGCCGTCCTGTTTGAATCCGGTCCGGACGATGGAAGTTTCGTAAGGTCCGAAGATGACCGTGATACTCTCGCATTTGCGTTTCGAACTCAGCACTTGGAACATTCTGCCAAAATGGTAATCCTCTGTCATTTTTTCGTAGAAATCCTCGCTGCAATACACGATTTCTTAATGAACCAACTAACCAGATACTCACTGCTCTTTGATAAACACCGCGTCCCATTCGAACGCCCACAGATCTTTCACTGCCGCTTCCGGATTGAACGCCATACAAATATATGCCTCTGTTAACTTGTTCTTGTCGTCGACATCGTCGGCCCACTTCTTGAGGAACGCGTGTATTCCCTTTTCGGTTATTTTGGTCATCGCGAATCGGATTGTCCCGGCAGCCATGCCAGCGAACTGTTCGTCTGTGACTTCCGACCTACCATTCAGGTAGAAGTGTTGCACGTTCATGATCTGTGGCGTATCGCTCGTGACGAACTCTCTCATTCTGCCCGACGCGTGGAATTCGACCAACTTGTCCGGCAGCATGGCTATCCAGCGGCTCATATCATCTTCGTTCACTTTGATCTGGAAGTGAGTGGTCTCCGGCAGCTTCGTCAATCCGCACTGTTTGAAGGGAAACTGATTCTGAAACCGTTCTCATTTCAACATTCTCATTTTCTATGCATACTCACAACGTTCACCGATAATTTGGTAATCTTAGAGTGGCATCTGTCGAGCGCCATCCTCAAGAAGAATGTGCAGGTTTGCCAGAGATCCCTGCGCGTCTTCCTCCTACGGTTGTGGTGCGGATCATGAAAGTATTTTATAGTGCTGTGTCCGTATATTCCCATCGGATCATCGCAGTATCGGAACATGAATTCGCTCCTGGGCGAACCGTCCGTGAACTTTATGTCGACGAACTTCCAAGGCAGATCCTTCGCCATTGAGTAGATTAATCGGACTCGGGTATTGGGCTCATCCACAAACAACGTGGCTTTGTACTCTATGTTCATGTAGAAAATGTAAAGTGGCATCTTCTTCACAATCCAATACTCCTCTCTTGCCGTACACGAAATGGCACCTCTGAAAGCACGGGGAATGTTCGTTTGGGTTGTTCGATATCTGAATGCTTACTGGGTCTTCAGGTCCATGTTTTTGACGATCTCTCTCTTGCAGTCCACTGGCAGAAAAGGCCAGAACTTGAAGTCACGAAGATACTTGCACAATGATCTTATCTCGCAGAAGGTTGCCGGTAGGCGCATGTCTCTTTCCAGCTTCATTTTTTCCAATCTGGAAACAAAACATTTCGAGAGTTCGATCCAGAAATTCCATACTTTTTATTGAACTCGGCACGTCCTTCACCCGGTGCAACATTGAGCTCTTGTAGACGGCGCCAGTTGTCCATGCCGCCGATCAAGCTCCGAATCTCTTCGATTTCCTTCCGGGCTAACTCCAAGTTCCGGCTCGTCTGCGGTTTTGGTGGCGGACGATCCATTCTACCTAAAAATGTATCTAAATATCGTCGGGAAACAAAGAAGAAATGAAGGTGCGAAGGGTCGACAGCAAAAACCGAAGGAGCCTGTCTCGTTGGCCGTAAATCGACAAGCACACCGCCCGCTTTCCATGCGAGACCTGCAGAAGAAAGGCCGAATGCGTTTGCGACACGCGCGACATTGATCAGGCAGCGAAGACCGGCACAACGGGAGAAGGCGACGAGGGCAGCATGCAAGTGTTCAGGCCAAAAAACAAAGATATGGGCGTCGCGGCGGACGCGCAGACGACGAGAGCGAAGAAAGAGAGCGGACGCGAGCGGGAGACTCAGACGGGCAGCCTGCGACAATCGAATCATGCCGACGCGCGAAGCAAACGTTTCGTTTGTATCATTCGATGGAGAAGACGCGACTGATAAAAGCAGGGGAGAACGAGAGAATGCAGAGTCCGCCGGCGACGAAGTGAATTCAAATTGTGAGCACACAGACTCGTGTCGATTTACGGACACAGCTAGAAAACTTATTTTTTGAGTTTTGCGTAATGATTTCGCTAGTCCGCAAACACCACGCCGCAAGAAAAGTACTGTAATACACAACAACATAGTGGGCATACGAAGTTGCTCATTTCCCGTAGGCTGACAGTGTCGTTTTCTTCACCATTCTGCTTCAAAGCAAGTAAGAACAGTAGGACCTTTAAGAAATGTATCGAGCTCTTTATGTATTCACTAAAAATCATAAAAATATTCAGACACATAGAAAACATCACCATTTCTTTCACGGTACTGAACACATTCGACTCCGTCATTGCGCATGTGAACTCCTCTTCCGATGATGACGAACAAAGAATTCTCGTTGGGCTTCCCTAAGCTGGACACTTTAAACTGTTCATCATACGGTCGCCTCCAAATGCACCAAAAACGATTGTGAAAACGAAAATTTGTGCTAAAATATACCGGTTGAACACATGACAGAGCTTACAGGTCCGGTTTCAGAAGGTTTTTGTCCCAGCGCACGTGCTTTACTCCGTCCATTATCATGGTAAGAGCACGACGTGCCGGTAGCCGTCCGCCATTTTCAGTTTCTTACTAGTTCCAATTGGATCTCTTCCACATTATAGTTACTTCTCTTCAACCAGTCGGCTATAAAGCGTGCTGCTCCTTCATGAATGGTTACATCCAGCCACAAGTTCCCGTGGAAACGGGATCCTAGGAAACCGTCGATATTTCTCGAATAACGGAGGTTGAGAAACGTTCAGCCCCGTGATCTTTGTTGTAACTCGGCCACAATGTCATGGTGCTGCTCGTTTTTGTACTTGAAAAGGTCGACGTTAATTTTAATGGAGTACTGAAAGCCATACATTTTTGTCCATTTACATGTTTTTCTTCTCTCACCTGTCTTCTTCTTGAAAAAGATGTTAGAATTCTGTGCACATGAATTTACACCTTGTTCACTAGCTCATAATCCGATCTGGAGCACTTTGAAAGCCTTACCCTGAACGCAATTTGTAAGTTGGAAAAGTTTTGCATAAAAATGTGATACATGGACTTCAATCCGAGATATCCGATGACGCTTCTTTTGTTGTCATAGTCCAGTCCTAGTCCAGTCCAGTCCATAGTCCAGTCCGAGCTCCATGATTTCTCGCCGTGTGACCATCGTTCTAGGGGGGTCTGCTTCCATTCTTCGGCTCCAATTCAGACAGATGAAGAAGGATGTTGAAAAAAAAGTGCTACGAGAATGAAAGCAACGTCCGATTCGACACGTTTCTGGGGGAAAAGTGCGATGGAGCGGGCATGCACCGCGGAGTTCAAGGAGCGACGGAAAAGTGATAAACGTCTCTAAATAATGAATCCAAAATCTTTATTCTCTATTTAAATACTACTTTTACAATAAAACTGGGATCAAGACAGTCTTTAATGGGCGATGGAGCTCGAGTCGGAAGGCTGGGTGGCCGAGAGACTCTCCGAACTGCTTGAGATCGCAGTCATCAGATCCTGTAAATGGGGAGTGGAAGTGGAATTCAAAACTATTAGCAAACTCACCGAAAGGGCCACTCCGCACTTGCTGGCCGAACTTTGCAGAGCCTCAAACAAGTTGCCCGTCTGGATTTCCGCTAAAAGAACAACAATTGGAGGGTGACGAGAGAGGGCGAACCAGTAGGAATTGCCGCCCAGTCTAGAGCTCCAGACTCTTAATCTTGTCGTCGCGGGTTTCAGCCCCGCACTGGGCGGATGCTTTCTTCCCTTTTTCTCACTACTTACCGGCTTCTTTGGCAGTGTGCAGGGCGTCGTCGACCATTTCAGAGAGTGAGACGGAAGAGAAGTTGAGAGAAGGCGCCGAAGTGGAAAGAGTGGTGCCGGACGCGACGGACACGTCGGGAGTGGCTCCACCGGATCTCGGAGGATGGTCTCCGATCGTCATCTCCTGAGAAAGAGCAGTCTTCACAGAAGTTCCGGCCGCGTCTTCGGCCAGCTGATTCCGCAGAGGATCGACGTTTTGGAAAGGCATCGAGTGCGTCGACACTGAAAATTTGCAAACGGGAATTGAATTCAAGTGATTTTGTGTTACAAGAAGTCATAGTCGATTCTCCGGATCCTTCAGAAGAGGTGAACGGTTCGTAGGACGATAGAGTCATCTGTTCCCCGAGAGACTGAACGCTTGATTTGCCAGAAGTGTTGAACGAGGCGAGCAAGGAGTCGGTCGACCAGGACCCGCACTCCCCGAGCGGAGTTCCGATCGCTCTTCTCGTCTGTGCGCCACGCAACTGACCATCCAAATCCGACAAATTCGAGTCGTCGGTGCTCAAATCGCTCAGCGAGCTCAGACCGAACGAAGAGCTCTGGAATGCGTTCGGAACGCCGCTCTGCTTCTCCGGGACACTGCGCCAATCGACACTGTGCAGAGTGCTGAGCGACTTGGATCTTTGAGCAGAGTCCTGCCACGAGTTCATGAGGCTCAGCAGACGGCGGAGCACGAGCTCACACTTGTAGACCCCTGCGAACTGAGAATTCAACTCGACGCTCCCGACAAAGTGGTCCAGATCGGCGCGCTCGTTCTCGTGGAGCGGAAGGTTGCGGACCATCGTGGTCAGTTTGCGGAACACTTCGCCGACGCGATGGTCCTCGTGCTCAAAGACGGTCAGAGCTGCGTGCTCCGGATCGTTGACGTGCATCTTCATCCGGAGGGCTCTGATGCGCCGTTCGTTGTCCTTCATGAGCTCCAACGTCTTCAGACTCGCCTCGAACGCGCCCTCGTTGTTTTGGACAAATTCCTCGAGTTTCGCTTTCTTGTGGAAAGTGCTCTTCTTCTGGAAACAACTGTTGAGGGTCGAGTGAAAAAACTGGAGAAACCTGCGAGACAAGATCAAAAAACTGCTCCATCTTTTCGTCAATCTCTTCGATGATCTCGTCGTGATGCTCTTTCGAGGCGTCCACCCTCAGCTCGTTCTTTTTCCAGACAGCCAGGCTCGTTTTGAACACCTCGAAATATTTCTCGGTCATAAGACGAAGATGCTCGTCCAGCTGGCCGATGTTCCTCACGAGCGCCTCGTCCAACTCCACGAGTCCCCACATCTGGAGGGCGAGACATTGCCGTTCCTCGTGCGTTTCCGTGTCAACCATCAACGCCGACGGCGGTCCGGATGGCTCGGAAATGGTCCCGGAAGACGGAGAGGAAGAGGAAGACTGATTGGTGAGCGTCTTGTCGGAAGCCTCTTCGGAAGAGGAGATGGAGCCGATGGAATGGAGAGTGGGAGCACCGGCGGAGGAAGAAGAAGAAGAAGAAGGTGTGGAGTAGGAAATGGAAGAGATGGGAGTGGGCGTGGCGAGCGGGGAAGGTTCGGACGCGGAGTCGGACGAGTAATCGTGGCGCTTCACGTACGAATCCACCTTCTTCCAGTGGGATCCAAGAGAAGAAGTGCTGCTGGAGACGAGCCGATCCGCGGGCTTGCCCTTCACTTTCAGATCGAGATACTCGGACGAAAGGGGGGTCGGACTGAAATCAACGAGTTATTTGGGAAGGAGGCGAAAGGCTCACCGCGATCGTGGGTAATGGAGTTTATCGAGACTCATGCGGGGTCCGTAATTGAAATGCTCTGTCATCTTTTGCGGAAGAGTTCTCGAACAGAATGCAATTCTGATGTTTCGCTTCGTGGCGGCGACGATGAAATAAATTTGAGAGCCAAAGAAGTTGCATGTGGAAAAGCGGAGGGGTCACTTGGAAGTTCAGAGTTCACGTTCACGTTCCTACCCTGATCTTTGCTTCTTCTTCTTCTTTTTTCCCCCTTTTGATCTTGTCTTGTTTCATCCGAAAACGAAACCGAAAACAGAAGAACAGTTTCATCCATCATGAGGAAACCAGTGTGTGTGATACTTTTCTGTTACACTTCTTCCCAATCAGCCCTCCTCGTTCACCCCTTCCTCTTCCTTTTTCTACCGTATTCCATCTATACCAGGTCTTCGTTTCGATGACTGCAAACCGGATACGTTTACAAGATTTGCCATTCGAAGACGACGCGCGAAGTTTGACATGAATGCTTGTCCCGTGTGACCTTTCGAGGTCAGATATCTCGAGAGAAAGAAGACGGAGAAGGAGCGAAGGACGCACGCGCCAGTGGCCATTCGGAGAAGAAGAAGAAGAAGAAGAAGAAGAAGAAGAAGAAGAAGAAGAAGAAGAAGATGTTGATGATGTTCGGAGGGGAGAAGAAGACGTTCCGAGTGATTGAATGGCAAGGACGAATCGTCGAGACACGCGAAGGTCATCTGAAATCTTTTTTTTTTCATAAAATCTGACAAACTTGTGTTGTGATAGATTACGATAGCCTTCAGGTCGCAAATAACGTTTCTCTGATTACGGTTCTCCACCTTTCAATGCTGTACCGACGCATCTTCGACAGCAAAAGCGCACATGATACGGTAGTAAAGGCGCAGAGCCTGATTTTAGAAATGAAACGTTTGATTACTGTATCCGTTTACAAATTTGGCGATGCGCCTTTATTACCGTACCACCACCGAGTGTTTTTAGAACGGATTTACTCGCTTTTTTCTCAGTTTTCCTCTGGTTTCATGATCCGAAATAAAGAATCATGAGAATCGGAATTTTTCAGATTTTTCAGACGGCAGTTTTCAGAATTTCAGAATCCTCGGCGCGCCCATCAAGTTGTTCTCCCCTCTGGTTCGTCGAACTTCATTTCCATGCCCTTGTCATTACGCATTTCAGTGCCACGTCATCCTCATCTGAATCACGGCTTCTTCTTCTTCTTCTTCTTCTTCTTCTTCTTCCTCTTCCCCATTCATTCGTTTTCTCGTTTCAATACCAATTGAAGCAGTTGTGTTGAGGGGTAATAAATAGGAGGAGGAGGAGGAGGGAGAGTTGATTGAAACACTCACTCAACATTCATACAGTGTATTATGGTGGCATACTCTCTCGGTCTCCTCTTCTTCTTCTTCTTCTTCTTCTTCATCTACCCAAGATGTACAAATAGAAGAGAGAGAGAGAGAGAGAGAGAGAGAGAGAGAAGGGTTTCAAGAAACCAGTTAGAAAACTGAACACACAGGTGCCCCCGCAGATCTCGAGATTCGGCAGAAGAAACGACGATGACAATGGGCGGCTTGTGTAATGGAATCCTTACACTGAAATGGGGGAAGATGTCGAGAATCAACCTTGCCTCCCCAAAAATGAATGATCAAAGGATTAAACGGAGAGGGACCGAATTCAAAAGTCGGACCGCCGTGCGTAGATCTGGGCCTCAACTAGGTATAATATTTCGAATAGTGACCAGGTTGCAGCTCAAGCAAAACGAAGCTCAAATCGTCAGTTCCCGATGGATTCTAGTTGGGAAATGATCTTTTCCTCTCCACTCCACTTTCACAGTACTACAATAATGTTATTATTATTACTGCTGCTGCTGCCAGAGAAACGCACGGTAAGCCCCCGAACAACTTTTCCAAAGACGCGCCATTGTCCCGTCCAGTTCGAGAGGTTCGAGACCTTGAAACTTGGTCGGCAAAGCCTCTTTCAAAGCTCTTCTGTCATTATCGTCTTACTGTTTTATAAGTCGAAAGTCGGAACCCTCCATTGGCATTTGAACTCTTCTTGTTTGTTGTTTGCCACCAAAGCTCCTAGAAGTTACGGTACCCTGCATTTCTGTGCAATTTCTCGTAAGAGTGTTCGTCGTCACCTGTTCGTTCCAACAGCTGATATCACAGATAAGCCGAGGGCGATATCCCCTCTTTCCCACCCCCCGATATAGATTGTTCGTCTTCTTCTTCTTCTTCTTCTTCTTCTTCAGAATGCTTGCCCCCCTGGTCTCCTCTTCATTTCTCCTCCGTCCCCCCTCCCTCAATATACTTTTCCTCTGCTTCTGCTTCTGCAAACCGGTGTGGTGGTGGTGGTCGTCTACTACTTCTCTAGTACCAGACACACCGTCCTTCTCCCCCCCCCCCTCAGAATGAAAGAAGCGGAGAGGGGAGAACGAAGGCTCTTCCCTTGGCTCCGCCCACTTTCTCCCCCGCCAAACTTTTTTTTGCGTCGTCTCGACGATGGCGCCCTCCGACCGTAACCTCTCACGCCTTCTGACTTGTATCTCTTCGCGTCTGCGTCTCCGCACGTCTCGCCGCAACCGATTTCGATTTGCCATTCACTTGTCAGAGACTGTGTATGGCCGATCAAAAAATCGCTTGTTTTTCTATCACTTCCTCCCTTTTCCATTCTCAACGTCTTCCAGGTCACTGTCACCTCGAAGCACCAATGACTTCATCATTGGTGCTCCTTCTTGTCCCGTTGGCTCTTTCGGCCATCGAACGAGGAGAAGCGGCGTTTGGGAACACGTCGAAGATCTTTGAGATTCCCGGACTCGAGGTGATGGCCTCGGACAAGTACCCGCACTTTACCACCATCGAAACGGTCAGCAGGACCAAGGTGAGACGCTTTCCCAAAGAAAGTATTGTATTCAAAAGCCGTCAAGGGTCATGTGTTTTTAATCAATTTCATCATGATTATCACACCCTGTAGCCAGTTGGATAGCCAGTGTTTTCGATTTCCCCCTTCCTCCTTTGCCCTCTCCCCGCATGCACATCTATGCACTCTTTCGCCCCTCCGAACCGCAGCAGCGTGGCGCAGTGGAAGCGTGCTGGGCCCATAACCCAGAGGTCGGTGGATCGAAACCACTCGCTGCTAGACCGTTTTTTGCAATTTTCCATTTCCAATGTTTCCCAATTTGCAGGTGCATCGACATCGTCGCGAGGTGATCGCAGGTCCGATCTACGACTGGAACTCGTACGAGATTCCATTTCAAATTTGGGGTGGCGATTGTAAGTTGGCCAGCCGAGTCGGGAAGCTTTTCACTTTTTGCAGATGAGATTCTTATGCAATCTCTATCTATTCGCAGTACAGTAAGAAGCTTAGGCGGTTGCGCACACACACACACACACCGATTATGTGGTTTTTGCGCAGGCATCATTCGCAGAGAGAGAGAGAGAGAGAGTTTGGCAGATGAAGTGAAAGTATTTCTGTGAAGGGCAACGTGGCCAAAGCGGCGACGCAGACACCCCGAATCACGCGTATTAAAAGTGTTATGAGATGAGGAAGTAGCCCTGGAAACTGCATCAGAATCCCCCGCGGCGGGGACAATCTGGAGTTGAGTCTGGAATTATTAGAGAAAAAAAGGGATCCGATCCGAGTTCAATGACCGAACGAAAACCGAAAGTCAGCTGCAGTGCGGGTCGGCCTTGTCACGGCTTGCAACACACGGAAAAACTTGTCGTTTCGTTTTCGTTTCACATAATTAACCCGCCAGTCCACACACACACGCACACAAACGTTTTACGCCATTTTTCCGGCCGATTTGGCGATGAACTCGGGAATGGCATTTATTTTGGGAAGGGAAAGGTTTCCCGAGACGAACTTGTTCAATTTTGCAGATAACTTTCAAAGTCTGATCCGACGAGGCATTCGCATGTGGGAGGACTCCACGTGTCTCAGGTTCCGCGAGAATATGCAGGTGAGTGGGTACGATGGTTTGAAAAATTTGTTAAAAAAACATTTCGAAAAAAAAACAACGACACTCCGAAGTAACGGAACTGCGCCTTGTTTAGCATGTTCGAGAATTTCTTGAAAAATTTGTGGGGCTATTCAGCGTATGTTTGTTTTCCGTTTTTTTCGTTTTTTTTACATCGCTGAATTGGATTTTTTGACGTAAAAAAACGAAAAAAAACGGAAAACAATCATTTTTTCACAGCCTGAATAATCCCATAAATCACGTTTTTTCCCAAAAAAAAAGTTCAATAATACTGATTTCAGAGCCGCGACGCAATCCGATACGTTCTCGAGAAAGGAGACAGTTGCTTCACAGAGTACATCGGCCGAAACGGAGGGCATCAGGACATCATCATCGGTTCCGAATGCGCCGAAGAGTACGTGGTCGCCCACGAGACAGGCCACGCCCTCGGCTTCTGGCACACTCACCAGAGGCCCGACAGGGACCGGCACATCTCGATCAATTGGAAGAACGTGATGGAGGAGGCGACCGCCTCGTTCATGCCGTTCCGGTCGATGCTCCAAGCGTTCGGCATCCGACAGGTCTCGCCACGAAGAATTCCGTACGATTACGGTAGTCTCATGCATTACCACGCAGTCGCGCACGCCGTCAAAGTCTCCGATTTCACGATTGTGCCGAAAGAGCTCAAGTACGTGACCACGATGGGAACGGAGAAGATGGCGTTCCTGGATGCGAAGGTCATCAATGATATCTACTGTCCAAGTGAGTTGAGCTACTGTTTTCGTCTGCATAATCGCTTGATTTTCAGGCGCGTGTCAGGGAAGAAACACGTTGAACTGTCTGGCCGGAGGATATCCGGATCCGAACAACTGCAACGTCTGCAGGTGTCCGGAAGGACTCGGAGGAGCCGATTGCGGCAGACTTCAGCCATCACGTGGGTTCCCTTTTTAAGATCTGTATTCAAGTGTTTAGTTTCAGCGTGCGGGGGTGAAATCCACGCGTCCGATCAGTGGCAGACACTTTCGAGCCCTCAAGGACGGGATGTCCACTGCTACTGGAGGATCTCCGTGAGTCGGATCACTCCATCTCAAACGAAAGTCTTGATTTCAGGTACCGGAAGGCTCGCGGGTCCGTTTCCGTCTCTCGGACGGAGAGTTTCCGTGTTCGTACGGATGTCAGTCGTACGTGGAGATCAAGCATAAGCTGGATGTGAGGCTTACTGGATTCAGGAGGTGAGTGTCTCGTTTCATTGTCTCGAGAAGCCATGAAAGTGGCCATAAGTGTTCGCATCGAATACCGTAATTCCGTTTATTCAAAACAATATATCGCAGCTGCCATTAGAGATATCGAAAAGTTGTTGTCGCATAAAATGTTCAACGAGACATTGTGCACATTTTATCAGTTGACAACTTTTTTATATCTCTAGCGGTAGCTGAGATACATCGCTCTGAATGGACAGTATTGGGTCGATCTTCCAGTCTATGTATGAGCATACCCAGGGCTGGGCAATTGGCCGGCCCTTGACTTGGACTTTTGAACCACTTGCAATATTCCGATCGGACCCAAACTTTGCAGACTTCTTGGACATGGGTTGAAGCATATTGGGACCAAGTTTCAGCCCGATCGGATTATTTGGTCCCGAGAAATGTGGATCATTGGCCGAAATTGGCCGGAAGCCCGGGCTTTTTGAAAAAAATCGGCCAATGATCCACATATCTCGGGACCCGACGATCCGATCGGGCTGAAATTTGAACCTAATGGCCCTCAAACCAAGTCCAACAATCCTGCAAAATTTGGGTCCGATCGGAATATTGCAAGTGGTTCAAAAGTCCAGGTCAAGGGCCGGCCAATTGCCCAGCCCTGAGCATACCGTAACCTCCTTCAACTTTCAGTTGCTGCTACCGTCCCAAGGAAGACACCGTCTCCGAATCCAATCAAATATTTGTGATCTACCACCCGAACGGTCGCACCGCCCGATTCTCGCTCAGGTTCCGACGACAAGCCTGACGCGTTTCCTAGTTCATTTTCCTATTTCTCTTCCTCCCGATCCCAGGCTTTTCTCCCCATTCGATCTCTTTTTTCCGCGACTTCCTCCCGAATACCTTTTCTGTTCTCTCGCCCGGTGACTCACGTCTCGAATGCTCAGTTTCAGGTCCCCCTCCCACCTTTCTGTATATTTTTGGCTCTTAATAATTTAGCTTTTTTGACCGACTTCCTTTTCCTATTCACCTCTACGGGACTCTATGCACTTTTTGTCCGGCCCAGTGTTTTCCGTTTCGAATGAAGCTCTCTGACATTTCTCTCGTGATCGGCACCACTCTGCCTCTCTCCAACTCTCCCGTTCTCTTCATTGTGTTGCCGCGGGACAACTGATAATTAAACGTCTCCATGACAACTTGGAGCCGCCGGAGCCCGACGGAGCTCGCGCGGAGCCCGTCAGTTGCTTCTGACCGCCCAACCCAGCCCAACCAGGAGCTCGATCGAAGAGTTCGCTTCCACGCAAGAAGATGTACTTCTTCTCCATCTTCAACACTCTCGCCGATCTGGCGATGATGTGGCTGTTCATCTCGGCCACACGGCCAGACGATAAGATCCATCCGCTGGCGACATTGGTCGCCTGCTCCACCGGTCCCTACTTCTTCAATCTCTACCCGACCATCATGAACTCGGCCGTGTTCGGACTCGATATTCAGGAGTTGAGAGACGTCAAGGAGACGCTGAGAACATTTGAAGTGTAAGTGAAAAAAAGGGAAAATGTTGTTGTCCCGTTTTGTTGATCAAAACTAATGAAAGGGTAGAAGGATCAGCGGAAGTGGACTTTGACTTGATCCCATTGATCGCTGGTACTCGTGGCTTCGAGAGAAGAGCTTTTAAAGCTACCGTATTCCCTCCAAACCTGATCTGCTAAGAGCTCCCAACACTCCCGTTTTCCCTCTTCTAGAATCTACATCCGCGACGCGAACTTCAAGTCGATCATGCTCGGAACCTACACGTTCTTCGTCGTCTTCGCCGGCCTCCTCATGTCCTCCACGCTGTTTCGTTCGGCCAAACGCGGCCTGAAGATCACGCGCTGCGAGCTCTCGTGAGTATTTGGCAACTACCGTAGTCCACGGGCGGAGAAAACTTGATTATAGGCTTCGGACGGGCGTGCCGTGCGCCGTGGGAATCATCTTTTGCATGGCATTCTACAACAAGATGTTTGACGTTTACGGACATAAGGTGAGTCCGCAGGATTCTCAAAATGATGATAATGATAATATTGGAAAGTTCTCCCCGAACTGTCCGCTATCCGTTCTCATACTCGGACATTTCTTCTTCGTCGTCTCGCTCGTCTACGGCATGTTCGTTCTGAGAAAGATCAAAGATCCGGGCGAGATCCAGCTGGAGTCGATCCGCAACTTCCACTCCCTCTACATCTTCGGACTCATCATCTCCGTCCCGCTCTGTTTCATGGAATGTAAGTGCACTACACTGACAACTACAGTAATCCCCTTTCAGTCCAAATGTTCTCGTTCCGCGCCCACCGCTTCATGTTCTCCGACTACGAATCGTTCGTCCGTCTCATCTTCTTCGCCTCCATCCTGCTCCTCGAGCCCTACAATTCCCGTTTCCGCTTCCGCGAGCGCTTCTACCACCGCACAGGCCCCGAAGTCGGAATCTGCCCCGCTCCGTCCTCCGCCGCCGCCCCGGTCTCGGTCGAAGCGAGACCGCTGCCCAAGAAGATAGTGAGTGTGTTTGAGTAGCCTCTCTCGTTCCCCCAAAGACCGAGTCATTCTGGCCGAGTGGTCTAAGGCGCTGCGTTCAGGTCGCAGTCCTCTCCGGAGGGCGCAGGTTCGAATCCTGCGGATGACAGCAACCTTTTTGCAAAATCTTGGTTCAGAACCTGGACGACATGCCTCCAAACTACGAGAACTCGGCCCCACCGAACTACGAGAGTGCCCGCAACTTGCCGACTTCCTGGACCATCACCCCTCCGTCGAAAGAGTACACCGGAGTACAGATGACTCCGGTCGAGACCAAATGAACCCTGACTGCTATTGTCTCTCTGGTCTTTTAATAAAGCGTCAACCTGTTTCTCTCGCCGCTTCTTCCTCTTCATCTTTTCTTTTTTCCAGGTTGTTTTTGGCTTTGGTTTTTGTTTCGGCGGTTGTCAACCCAACGTGCGGACTCGACTAATAAACAGTTGACTGAGCGGAGTGTCTCCCTCTCTCACTCGCAAAAAACGGCTGAAGGAATGAGAGACTAGTAGAGATGCGAGCGTCGGATTAGTGTGTGGTGTTGTGTTCTTTCGGCGAACCCGCAAGCCTTCCCCCTCCTCCGGCCTCTCTCGGCGCCCTCCCTAATCGCCGCGATGCCTCGATTCTTCCTACAAACGAATAATAACAAACAGAGTGAGAGACACACAAAGAGGGAGAACACATGTGACTGGGCTGGCGAGGCAGCGCGGGATCCGTGGAGAGTCCGGGCGACGCGGAGAGAGAGCGGGGAGAGACGCAACGAGAGTCAGCACGCGCCTATCGATCGGCGCAGAGAAGCGGGCCGGCCAGGCAGATTGCGCGCAACACCGCCAGCGTCACAGACGGTTCTCGAATTGTCTGCGTCTCCTCCGACGGCCCGCACTATTTCTCCGCCTCCCATCATTCCGCCACCCACACCCAATCTCTCCGGCATTTTCCGCCCACACATAACTTTACTAAATTACACGCATTCCCTTTTATTTCTTTTCCTCCCCGGTCCTCTCAAATTGCAAAAATTCCTCTCAAATTTTGAACGTTGATTTCTTCGTTTTTGATCTCTGAAATTTGCGCGTTAAATCAGGTGTGGCACGAAATTTTGAATGGAAATTGTTGCGACTTGCTTTGTTTTTGTCAGCTTTCTTGATTTTCAATGAAATTTCTATAGGAAAATCGTAAAGTTTTAATGCAAAACGCATTTTTACGTGCGGCAATGTAGCCCAGAAGAAGCCAAACAACGCTGCCGGTTTTGCAAAATTTTGCCGAAAAATCTGTTTGTCAAACTATGAAAACACTTTTAATTCCCACTTTCCCATGTCTCAATTTTTGTGATGTTTGTCTTGAATGAAATTGAAAAAAAGCGTCTGCCCCCGCAATTCGAATTAAATTGATACAGCTGCTGACCGTAGGAAATTTTGTAAAAATTCAATGTTGTGCGCCTTTAAAACGTACCTTTCATTAGTTTTTTTCTCCAAAACATCTTGGAATTTGCTTGAAAAAACTGCAATTCTGCAACTCAACCCTTCCTTCAAGCCCTTTCTTATCTCGACTCTTTTTTCTAATTCTGCTTCGGTTTTGCTTTATCAACAAAGAAATACTTTTTTCGTTCTAATCGGCCGCATTCCTTTTCTATTCGCAACATTCACCGTCCGATTCGTGTCTCTCGTTAACGCTAATTCGTTCGTTTCAGTGAACATACATATTCAAAAGGTGATAAAAAGAGAAGAGAAGAGGCGAAAAAAAAGTTTTCGGTTTTTCCCCCCGGCGCACGCATTCTCACTTACCGTTTCCATCGCTCCCGAACCGGGTGAGTCTGAAATTTGTATAGAAATAGACTAGAAACTGTTGTGCTGTTTTATTCGCTTCATATTTAAACCTTCTAGAACATTGTAATTGACATTTGAAATAGTTATCGTTTTCAGACACGGACTGTCTTCAAGAATGACGGGCACGTGCACTCCGGCAATGGACATTGGCGGCCGACGATCGGAACGCTACGATTCGGACCGCACCAGCGAGGACATGTCTTTCATCGCGAGCCCCGAAATGCGAAACGTAAGCTCAGCGAGCCAACCCCTCGACGGTTCAAGCCTCGATTGGTTTCAGATTGGGACCTCGTTTGTCGACGTGCAAGGCGAGACGTCATCGGATGGAGTAAGAGCCGTTAGTTTTAGTTTTCCATTTTGTGATGAGTTTGTCGCCGTCTTTTCCGTTTTTGTCGTCGCCATGCTTTACGGCCCCGACACGTGTATGCGAAAATCTGAGACAATGGCATTGAGAGAGAGAGAGAAAGATAAGAAAAGAGAGAAAGAGTCAGGTGAGGCTCTCTTTTCTCTTTTGTTGTTCACTGATAATAGCGGTAATTGGAAGTGACACAAGAGCGAGAGAAAGAGGGAATTGGAGAGGAAAGAGGGAGCGGAAGCGTTGTCAGCGAACTAGAAATGTAAATTTGACACAAATTGGGTGAGAAACTGAAGGGTCAATGGGACCAGTTTAGACGATTCGATATTTGAACTGGAACTAGGCCTTTCCATTGATCATTCTAAGGACCGTTTTCTGTAAGACCTTGTAAAGCGTCTACCGTAACCCCAGAGTATCACATTTTGAGCGCGAAGTAAGCAAACAAACACTTAGCCACATTAACAAAATTAAAAGCGATCAGCCTGATCCTCGAGTAAACAAACGGGCTGTAAACCGAAACAGCAGAAGGGCGCAGATGGGTTTCCTGCTGAAATTCTCTGCAAATGGGTCCACATTTGGTCGACTAAGCGGGGCGACTGGTTGTTGTCTGAAAACAATTGTGAGGGACATCATTGAACACAAAGTTGCTGAACGAGAAGATTCTTTTCATTTCACTCTCATCAAAAACAACGTTTTTGCTGATATCAAATTGATTGCTGGAAGTTCATTTGTGTCGCTTTCCCTTCGTTTTTCTTAAATTGCCAGTTGTTGAGTCGCCCTCTACCTCATCGATTTCCAACCGAAAAGCCGGACACAGTAGTCGTTAAAGACGGAAAGATGACTTTCTCTAGCCCATTCGAGGGCTATAATTTGGGCGTCGAAGAAAAACACCTAGGTGTGCGTCCGTCATTTTCTCGTCTCCGTCCATCCATCTGTCCGTTTTCGGTTCCGAACTAGCAATTTACTCATTCGGAACGCTGACAACTTGTCCTGAAGAAGTGGCTTCTACTCTTAATTGACTGACTTTTTGACGGAATTCCCATCTCAGCGAACCGTCCGTGTTGACCATCGGTTTCTCGCCTGTTGACCTTCAATACTGAAACGCCCGTATTTCAGTTGATTTTCCCGTTTCTTCTCGTAAAAAAGTAATTTCCACTCGCCCTCTGTCACCTGTTTCGTAAATGTGTTAGACGGGAAGAGACGCAAAGAAGACGATTCTTTGCCAAAATGAAAGTAACTAACTGGTCGGTATTTGATTGGAATGCCAAGTGTTTTTGTGATTCTTTTCAAATTAGTGAAGAGGGTTCATTCGTAACTTTTTATGTCTCAAATCAAAGATCGAAAATGGGAATCACCCCAAAAACAAATCCGAAAATAGACCATTCTACGGGCAAGATAGTTATCAACTTCACTTCTCCACACGTGACTTGGAACTGCTTTTTTGTTCTTTTGCTCTATCGAAAGACTGACATCACGACGCCGTTCCTCAGTCTTCCTGTTTCGAAATAGTTGTGGTTCTTTCCCAAGGCGTTGACCAGACAAAATCCGAAAGAACACATAGATACTTGAAAAAGTGGAACGTAAACAGAAATGTTTGAATGAAAGCAAGCGAAGTTTACTTGTTCGCAGACCCTATGGCCTAAAGTGTTTACATCTGACGGTCTGTGAACCCGACGGGAACGAAGAGCACCGCGACGAGGAACGGAAGATCGCACGTGATTCGTCTCAGTGTTCGATCAAAGAGTACCAGCAATGGCGCCCTGATAACAGCGGAAATTTTATTGGGTAGATGGAAGGAGAGGGGGTATTTTTTGATATCGAGATGGGGGTCAGATCGGCAGAGGGTCACGTGTTTGCTTGCCGCCTGCCACCTGGGAATCACCCCGTTTCTGATCGTGACGTCTTCGGAGGGACTTTTTCTCACGATTGATTGGTTCTATGCCCTCGACAGATGCATATCTCTCGACGCTCGCAAACGTGTTTTCATGTTTCCATAGTTACTTTCTTTTCGAGGTGACAGCGACGATGGTGTTCTTCGGTTTTCGGCGATGTTTTTGTGTTCGGCCAGCTTCTGATTCACACCCCTCTCGTTTTCTAAGAAAATGTGACTTGGAACACGATTTATTGTATCGTAGAACACATTTTTTGTAGCTTTCAATGGAATTGAATCTGAAAGGGGAATTTCTGGCGTAAATATGCTATAGATCGGGGTACAGTACCTAAGCTTGCTCCAATAGTTTTTTACTGTTTCAAACGGCAGCCTTGCTCCTTTTTCCGAATGATGTGTGTGTGCTTGGCGCGAAGGTGCTCCAGCTCCAGAGAGCAAATACGCTCCCGAAGCTGCTGCCGTTTTTTGTGCGTGCACACTGTGCGAATTGTTGCGGAAGCCCTATCGATTATGCCAACTTAGAGAGAGCTTCCCCATCCTTCCGTATGCCGCTTCCTCAGCTGATCCGCTCGTTTTATTCCTCGAAAAGTGTTGGCGGCGGCGTTGGCGATGACACAAATGTGTGTATGTGTGCGTCTTGTTGTCGTAGTAGCGCCATGTTCAAAAGACTTTAACAAAATTGTTGTTCATTTGCAGACGGTGCATGTGGCAGCATTCAACTTTGGAACGATGCCAAGCGTAAAAGAAGAAAATGATGCAGTGAAGCCGGCGTGCGATGTGGAGTTGCTCCCTGGAGAGACGCGGATACCCATCAAGGGTCAGACGGTGTACGTCGTCGAGAATGGAACTGTTTTCTTAACCAACTACAGAGTGAGTAGCCGAATACACGTGTTTTGATGATAATCCCTCTTATTTTCAGCTTATATCAGTGTCCTCGAAGAGGCTGATTCTCGTGTTCCCCCTTCTGGAAATTGATCAGTGCGATCTCGGTCCCGGACTCATCAGACTCTACATGAAAGCTGGCCGAATGCACGCGATTTCCTTCCCGAGCACACACGAAGCCGAATACGTGCATGCCGGAATCACCATTGTGCTCAGTCGGCTAAACAAGCGCAATCACTATCTGTACGCCGACAGGCCGCCCGCGGACCCGACTGCCGGCCCCGATCCAACTCCCCCCATCTATGACGTGTTTGCGTGGAAATTCTCAGAGGCTGTCGATGCTATGCCGGAGCTTCCATCCTGTTTGAAACGGCCCGACTCGGTGGCCAATGAGATCACGCACGTGGATTTCGATCGACTTGGAATGAAGGACTTGTACAAGATCACCAACGTCAACGAGAAGTTCGATGTCTGCGCGACATATCCGGAGAAGGTGATAGTTCCGAAAGGAATCACCGACGATGAGATCGTGAAAGGAGCTGTATACCGGTCGATCGGCCGATTTCCCGCAGTCATCTGGCGGTGTAGAGCAACCGGAGCGGTCCTTTTGCGGAGTTCCCAGCCGCAAGTGGGGATACTCTCGTGGAGGAATGCGATGGACGAGAAGATCATCGAGGAGGCGGTGAATGCGAGTCGGATCGAAGGACAGGACAAGAAACAGTTCATTATCATGGACGCCCGCCCGTACTCCTCGGCTTTTGCGAACCGGGCGAGGAGCGGAGGCTACGAGGTCTCCGAGTACTATCAGTCCGCGAAGATTGAGTTCCTCGGACTACCGAATATTCACAGCGTCCGTTCCTCGTTCGCAAACATCCGCTCGATGCTCCACAACCTCGGTCCCAACGAAAATCTTCTCCAGAATCTGCAGGGCACTGGATGGCTCAACAACGTGAGCAACCTGCTCGCCAGCGCTGCCAGTTGTGCCGACTATCTTTCCAAGGGACATCCAGTCCTCGTTCACTGCTCCGATGGCTGGGACAGAACAACTCAAGTGACGACTCTCGCTAAGATCATGCTGGACGCTCACTACCGTACTCTCGAAGGATTCGAGCAACTCGTTCGGAGGGATTGGATAGCTTTCGGCCACAAACTCGCCGATCGGCAGATGATGCTGACGACCACATGGAGCACAGACACGGAGCGCTCCCCGATCTTCCTGCAGTTCCTGGAAGCTGTTCGACATCTGCAAAGAGAACAGCCGACGGCGTTCGAGTTCTCGCACGCGTACCTCGTCAAACTGGCGAAGCATGCGCATTCCGGACTCTTCGGATCGTTCTTGTTCAACTCGCACAAGGAAAGAAAGGAGATTATGGCGAAGCGGAATGCGACGCTCGTTGAGATATGGCGGTTCATCGGAAAACACAACGAGGAGTACGTTAACATGTCGTACGATAGTGCGTACACCGGCCCATTGAAGCCGATGAATCTGTCTGTGCTCAATCTGAGAGTTTGGCACGAAGTGTTTGCCGACGAAGGAGAACGGTATACGGTAAGTGCATACGCGGAAACAGACAATGAACACGACGGGAATGTATTTCAGCTAATCTACAACACCGCTCCGAAAGAGGAACGTCCTGCGTCTGGATGCAGCACGCCGATCACGACGACTGCTCCGGCGATGCTGAAGAGCAAGAGCTCGGAGAGCATCAATTCGGTGACAGTCGAAAAGGAAAGTGGAGTGGAAGTGGCGAGCATCGCGCCGGCGAGCCTCAATATCTCGATGACAACAAGTTTCCATCAAGCAACTTCGTCGAGCGACGAGGCGACGTCGCTGGATTTCGACGGACTTCCGCAGTTCCAAGACGATGAGCAGGCGACTTTGAGGAAGAAAGCAAAGCAACAACAGGTACACAAATACGTTTTTGATCTTTTTGTAAACAATGAAAACTTCAGGAGAAACTTCAAAGGAAGCAACAAGAGATCGACGAGTTAAAGAAGCGATGTGAGAGCGGAGACAAGACGGCGAAAGGAAGGATGGGATCGGTCGGCGACTTCGACAGCGAATCGGAGTCCGGAATGACGAGGGCAATGTCGGACATGTCGATGGTGGATCCGGAGAACGAGCTGCCGCACTTCCGGCCCAACACGACGTGGGAAGCGGAGGCGACGAACTGTTGTCTGTGCTCGCGCGAGTTCAAGAAGATGACTTTGTACGGGGAGGAGCGGCCGCATCACTGTCGGAATTGCGGCCGTGTTGTCTGCGATGGATGCTCGAGGCAGCGGTTTTCGGTGGTCGAGGAGGGAGTGAATGTGCAGAAGAGGGTGTGCGACCTGTGCTACGATTCGATGCACGAGACGAGGGTTGTCAGGTACGGTATCAAAGTCGAACCGAATGTTTTTGTGTTTGTGTTGCTTGCTTCACATTGTGCATGAGTTTCTGCTAACCTCTTTTTAGTGCTGAGCCGTCAGAACAAGAACAAGAACAAGAACAAGAACCAGAAAATGAAAGTATAGAGGTGGAAGAGGAGTGCGAAATCGCAGAAAAAGAACAGAGGAAAAGGGCTAAGCAATGGAATCGCCGAATTCTTGCCGAAATCGAAGAGGAGTGCGGTCCCACAGAGCAGCCGATCGAAGAACCGACTCCGAATTTGCACATAAACTATCAGGCACAACCGAACTATGCCGAGTATGAGTTCGAAGATCTGTCGAAATACGCAACGAGTCCCCCTGACGCTGAGATCGAGAAGAAAAAGGAGAATGAAGAAGACAAAGAAAACGACGGTATAGTGGGGAACTCGCCCGTTTTCCTCCACCTTGGTTATTATTTTGCATGCGTTTGCACGGCACCCTCATCCTTTAGTTCACTGTAATCATTTAGCTAACAAATTCTTACATTCATCCAATTAAATATGTATAATTTCAGAACTTCCTCGCTGAGTGAGATGTCGTTCGACTCCTCGTTCGGCGCTTCCTCCTACCCGCCCGCCTCGTCGCCTTCTTCTTCCTCCCTCAACATGCTCTCTTCCGTTTCGCCCACTTTACCCCAACCCATTCCCATTTCCTGTAAATCCTCCTCCAATTCGATCTCTTCACCTCGTCCCTCACCTGGCGAGTTCAGTCGGCACGGCTCCTCACAAGCGGTGAAGGGCTGAACGTTCATCGGGTAATTGCCCATTTCTTGTTAATTATGATTGGAGCTTCTAGGAAAGAGGACACTGATCGTTTGGATGTCCACGTGGCACACTGAAGCCCACTGTGCTCTTTCCCGTGAGCCGTGCCCCTTCCCCCTACCTATTGTCCGTTCGTTCGTAGTAGTCTCTGTGCCTTTATACCTTTTGTATATTTTGTTTAGAGTTCTATGACGCCGTTGGCGTCCTCTTCATTTTCTTATTCTGCGTACCGGTCACCTCTGAGTTTTCTGTTTGAGATCGTGCGTGTCAATGGTTGCTCCTGTCCTGTTTCCCGCGTTCTCTCCTGTCGACTATGTATGTGTGTTTGTATTCGTAAACATTTTGTACTTAAACTGTGATTCCACTCTTTCAGAGCCTAACTTTTTCCCCCTATCCGCTTATTTTCCTTTCTTCTGCTAACTCGTCGCCTCAGCTCATTTTGATGTACATATACTGATAATGTTGGTGTGAAACGCCCCGCCCCCTCCCCCCCTTCCACAACTGCCCACTCTTTTCCACCATCTCTCTTGTTTCCTGGCTCATCATCATCATACGAACTATTTTTCTAAACTCTTGCTATATTTTTGTATTTATTTTCATAACATTGCTCACACTTCATGTAGACTTTTAAAGCTGTTAGTTGATCGACTACATTTCACAGACTTTTAAAAATAAATTAGTTTCTCAATCGATGCCATTTTCTCGACTTTTCCGATTGCTTTGGCCATTCATCACTTATCTTGTTGGTCGAAGAACACGAGGCACGCGGTAGCGAAACACTTTGCTGTCTTCTCGCCAAAGCCTTCTGCCCGATTTCTTCTTTTTCAACACTTTCGACAGAATTACACTGCTCCGCGAGCCGACCACGTGCTCCCATCCTTCTGTCTCTTATCACTTTCCCTCTGTGCAGATAACAACTGGACGGGTCAATCATGGCGAAGTGAGTTTTTCATGGCGAAGTGAGTTTTTAAACCGGCTAAATATCGGTTAAAAACCAGTAGAAAAAATTCAATTGAGAAATATCTGTAATTTTCACAAAATCGGGGGCTTTCAGAAACCGTGCCGGCCGTATCACGCTTCCCCTCATTTTCGCCGCCTTCATCGTCTCCCTTGGTATTCGTCCTCCTTTCGCACTCCCCAGAATCCCACTTTTTCAGGCGGTGGCTTCAGTTTCGGCTACCAGCTTCTGATCACCAATCCGGCGGAAGATGCATTCAGATCCTTTGTTGCCGAATCGTACTCGCTGACCCATGGGACTGTCGAGCACTCTAACTCGCCCCACATCCTCGTAAATTCACTTCTTTTCTCCCACCCCTTGACCATCAACTTCAGAACCTGTGGGGCGTGATCCTTGCGATGTTCTTCTGGGGAGCCACCATCGGCGCCTTTCTCATTCAGCCGACGAGCGAGAAATTGGGAAGAAAGAACGGACTGCTCGCTTCTTTTGTCGCCCAACTCGTCGCCGTTCTCCTTGTGATCTTCGCCTACACGGTGAGCATGACTTCCAAAAATTTTGAAATTTTCTATTTTCAGAGAAAAGATTACATAATCTACTCGATCTCACGAGTCATTTCGGGCGGCGCAATCAGCGTTTCTCTGGGAATCGCCACGTTCTTCATCACCGAATGCAGTCCGACGCACTGTCGAGGTAAGAGAGACAGTCTCATCTGAATAGAGAGCATTCACTCCAGGCACTGTCTCCCTGGCCACCGCGATCCTCATGCAGCTCGGACTCGTCGTCGGAGCCATCGTCGCGATGCCGCAAATGTGGGGAACCAGTGACTCGTGGCACCTGATCTACTTGGTCCAAGGTGCCGCTCTCCTCATCTCCATCGTCGGAACCCTTTTTCTCAAAGAAGCGCCGACTTTCCTGGCGTCCCGTGGAAAACGTCAAGAAGCACTCGAATCTTTCAAATTCTACCAGGGAATGGATTCGTCGGAAGCCGAAACTTTTCTGGAAGAGAGCGGAAGTCAGGAAGAAGCCGTCGGACTGCTGGGAATCTTCAGGAAGCCAGAGGCGAGAAGAGGAATGCTGGTGGGAAGTGTGGTGATGGGCGGAATGATCATGAGCGGAATTATCGCCATCAACGCGTTCGCCTTCAAGTTCCTGCTCAGAGTCGGATTCAACGCCCTTCAAGCGTCCATCGGGAACATTGTCATTTGTGTGATGACTGTGGTCAGTGGGAGCATACAGTAATCCAAATCAGTCTTGTTCCTTTCAGTTCGGCGTCATTCTCTCCTCCCAGTTCATCGATCGCTACGGTCGTCGCAGCCTCCTCCTCGTCACCTTCGCAATCCTCTGCCTTCTGAACATTGTCATCTTCATTTGCATGCTCCTTTTCGAAACCCACCAATCGTCGCTTCTCGGCTGGGGCGTCGTCCTCGCCATCTGCCTCTTCAACCTCGTTTTTTCGGCCGGTCCCTGTCCGATTGCCTTCTTTATCACCGGAGAGCTCGTCTCACAAAACGCAAGAGCCGCCGCCTGCACTTGGGTTATTGTCGCGTTGAATCTATTGTAAGCGATTGAATTCCTATGCTTCATTTTACTCACTTTTCGATCCTCCAGGAGATCCATCGTGCTCGTCATCTACGGTCCAATCGAAGAAGCGCTGGGCGGTCCGATCGCCTACTTTGTTCTTTTCTTCCCTCCGTGCGTCCTTTCGGTCCTTCTCATCTACTATTGCCTGCCGGAGACGAAGGGAAAAAGCGCAGAAGAGGCAGCCGAAAGCAACAAAAATCTTCCGAAACTTTGTGCCTAGGTTGTACTTACTTTATGAAACTGTTATTTATGCATAGATTCACGTGCTCTCGATTTCCTTCGATATCCCTCGAAGACGCGATCATTTCAACATTTATTACCATTCTCAATTCTCGTTGTGAGAAACTGAAAACTAGGCACGCTCGAAAATGTGCGCACAACGATCCAATGTAAGTCCGACGCCGTCGGAACAATCCGAAACAGTGGGTGCCGTTCAGAAATCGACAAAACCGCCGTCGAGCGAACGATCGAGCGAGGGCTCCGCGAAGAGTTCGGAGAACACGGCACGAAGCGAGACGAGCTTCGAATTGTCGGAAATGTCGGTAAACATGAAGACGGCGGTGGACGAAAAGGCGAAAGAGGAGAAGCCGCACACGACCGAGAACCTGATGGGCACGCTGCCAGCGTTCGTGTTGGAGGAGATCCGTGCACTCGAGGGCGTCTCCTACTACCACGGGATGGTCGCCCGGGACCTCGTTGAGACCCGGCTGCTCAGGGTCGGCGACTTTCTCGTTCGCGCCACAGACAATCGGATCATGTCGTTCGAGTTCATCCTCTCGTTCTTCAACAAGAAACGTCTCCATTCACATTTGACAATCAAGTCAGTCACTGAATTTTACTATTACGCGATCGGATCCTAACGTTAGAAATGTTTAGAGGCGACGTGGCGACTGAAAGATGGTCCCTGGGCGTCTCGAACATTGTGACATTCAGGACCATCGGCGAGCTGTGCGACTACTACAAAGCCTACCCGCTCGGCAACACAATCGTGCTCGCACGAGCCGTCTCGAAAAGCAAGCACATGATCGCACCGGATCGGATCGTCTTCGATCTCAAAAAGGATTTGCTCGGAAGCGGCAACTTCAGCGATGTGTACAAAGGAATCATGGCGTTGGAGACGAAGTACGTGAAGGTGGCACTGAAGAACACGAAGCTGTTGGACGAGGTGATGGATGCGGACAAAAATCCGAATGCGAACAAAGTGAAGAAGGAGATGATCTCGGAGGCGGAAGTGATGAGCCAGCTCCGACACGCGAATATCACTTCGGTAAGAACCAGAACATGAGGCACTCTCATTCATAAATGCCTTTCAGTTTTTCGGAATGGCCGCCGACCGAATGCCCGTGCTGCTCGTCATCGAGTTCTGTCAAGGAGGGAACCTGGAGGGCCATCTACGGAAGAACGGATCGATAATAACGCACGGCGAACGGATGCTCTACCTCGTCGACGCCTCCGCCGGCCTCCGATACATCCACGCAATGTCGATCACTCACCGAGATCTCGCCGTCCGTAACTGTCTCATCTCTGTCAATGGATTCGTGAAACTCTCCGATTTCGGAATGGGGCTCAAAATTCGAAGACACAACATGACAGGGAGCTCCGAAACTGGAGACAACTGTCCGGCACGCTGGATGGCGCCCGAGCTCATTTTTAAACATCCAACAAAGTTCAGCAAGCAGTCGGACATTTGGTCACTCGGAATCGCCTCGTTCGAAGTGTTCACGAACGCGAGCAAACCGTTCGCAGAGCTCAACGGCACCGAAGTGATGAAGGCGGTGAAGTTGGGAAAGTACCCGACGACGCCGCCGGAAGCGGGCCCATTCCTCACGGGCCTGCTGACCCAAGTGCATCGGCTGGAGGCTTCCACTCGCATCGGAGCGGACATGTTCCACAAGCAGATTCTCGATCACTGCCTCCACAATAATCTACTCACTCTGGACAATCTGACGCTCAACATGATACCCGGAGTCAAAAGAGAACGAATGTTTCATGTAAGGTTCTCCGATTTTCAGACAATAACACACGAGTGTGTCGTTTCAGTTCGACGGATACACGCCGCAGGTGGTGGTCTACGATAAAGAGCACAAAGATCAGGGATACCAGGACGCGCCGTCGGAGATGTTGGCTAATATTGTGTGGAAAGGATAGCCAGAAGAAGACGAAGAAAGAGAAGGATATAAAAGAAGAAGAAACTCCCAAACTCGAACTAGCTTTTTCATTTTATTTTAACAAATGTGGTAAGCCTGTAAAATTTTGTTTCTCCACACCACCGGCGCTTTCCTGAATGCTATGTAATTTGCGAAATTCGATCCATAACATCATCAGTGTGGATTATTATTATTATTATTATTGTTGGTCGTTGCATACTCTCCGTAAACCAATTATTCTACATGGATGGGTCCGTTACTGACGATCCTGTAAGAGAGGAAAGGGAGCGAAAGAGAAAGTTAGGGCAAAAAAGGAAACGAATGGCAGTAAGGTAAACAGAATTGGGCGCAATTTCATTTTGGTTTCGTTTCGAACATTCTCCTCGTTACCTAAATTGGCCTAAACGGGCGTGCCCCTCACTCGCTTTCCGTCTTTTTCCGAACAACAAACGATGCAAACGGACGAGCTCTCCTTCCTTTTTTTATGAGATCTCCTCGCCTCCTTTCTTCCACTTTTTCACTCCCAATTCTTCTTTTTTTTCGGCTCGTTTCGAACAAAGCTCGAGTCCTTTTAAACGATTTGTACTTGCCTGACTTTTCGATGTTTTGAATGGCTGGGTGTCACTTTGCATTTCTCTGAATTTCTCACACCCACCGATTATTTTAGTACGCTTTTTGAGTTTTTCAAGTTCCGTTTTTCAGTCGGAATCCTTTCGATATTTTATTGCGCCGTCCGTCGTCGTCGTCGTCGTCGGCACGCAAAGATTGAAAAAGAGGCAGATGTTTTATTGGTTCGGTCGGAAAGCAAAACGTCATTTCGTTCGGACGGGGGCTCCTCCGGAAAACCTCCAATAGATTAGGTTTTGTGAGGTTCTGAAGGTAGACTTACGCTGAGGTCGAACATTTTTAAACTTGTTTTTAGTTCTATGCACATATGGTACACTTGTTGAGTGAAAACTTCATATCTAGAACTTTACTTTTGAAGTTGACAATTTCTTCGTACGATCACTCCCTGGAGTACTGTAGCTCTTGAAAGTTGAATCTCCAGCTAAGCGTGTGCTTACTTCCATGAGCTACAGTAGTCTTGTGGTTGGTCGTACAGAATAGTTGTCAACTACAAAAATGAAGTACTAAGTATAAATATTGTACACAACAGTTTTCAAGATAAATAAGTTTTCCCTTCACTTTTAATCTTCAGGAACTCTAGGGTCCAACGTTCAAAAGTTCTCTGCGAGACCACGAACACCCTCACTAATAAGCAGTCATCCTAATCTGATTGTCTCTTTCTCTCTCTCTCTCTTCCTCTCCTCTTTCTCCATCTCTCCAACTCATGCCACCATTTTCTTGTAAGCACATCAAAAGAGTGTCCATCTCCATCGAAAGAGCAAAGGCGTCAAGTACGTGGTCCTTCTTGTGAGCATCTGGTCGAAAAGAAGAGAAGCCGAGCGGCAAGGGAAAGGGGACAAAGTGTTGTGGAGGCCTTGCTTCCCGTCGCAAATCTACTTCACACCCAATTCATTTCCATTCCTTCTCACTCAAATTTCAAACTCATTGTCACTAGTGGCCCTGTGGCGATTGGCACGCAGATTGTTGACTGTTCCGGATCTTTCTCTGCACCTTTTTGCAAGTTTCCGTGCCGTTCTTCATGACCGACACCTGAGAGCTCGCCTGAGATTCTCGGAGTCGGTTCATGATCTCACAGAGCACAGAGCCGAAACTCAGGTGTCTTACTTGAGACTGCACCTGAAACTCTTCATTTAGGATAGATTATTTTAAGATTCTTCATTTCTATCTTCTGCAACTTCAACTTTTGAAGATCTCGGTGACCCATCTCGATATTATGAAATCTTAGGCTCTCAAAACATCCGAATCCTCCACTTGATACCTGCAAATTGACGGACTTCCTTGTAATCCGACCCATTTTGAGTGTGTTTGTGTTTGCTGTTTGCCATCTTGATCTCAAACCTAAATTTGGCTTTTTTAATACGTTTCGGGCCGCCGTTCCTCTCTCTCTCTCACTTTCCCGATGCTTCTGTTCAGTCTCCCGGGCGGAGAGAAATAAGAGAGAGAGAGAGAGAGAGAGAGAGAGAGAGAGAGAGGGAGAAAGAGGCAAATGAAAGTAGTAGTAGTAGTGCACCGATCAGGGAGAGAGAAGAGAAAGTGTGTGATTGGAAGAGACGCAGCCGGACGGACAGATAACCCGACGGTTGGGGGGGAAGAGACGGTGCGACGAGACGACAGACGGGTCACGGAGGGGCGGGACACCGCCAGCCGGGTGGCGCGCGCCTCTCTTTCTCCGCGTCGGTCACTTTGTGTTCTCTTTTTCTCTGCTTCTCTCTCTCCCCCTTCGGCTTCTTCTTCTTCTTCTTCTTCTTTTTCGTTGACTCCTTCTTCCCTCCTTGACACTGATACCTATCCGAGTTATTTGCAGACCAATCCTGTCTCCTGCAGTCGTGGTCCCATGGGCTTCTCCAGTGAATGGCTGGAACAGTCCTACCTGAACTGGAGGCATGCCGCCAGCGCCAGGTAAGTACGGTTATGGGGGAGGTGATGGGAATGAATGGCAAGGACGGTCGGGGATGGGAAACCGACAATAGGATGGGATAGTAATAGATAGTTAGGGATAGGCTAACGATCATCCATCCACCCATCCATTTGCAGACTCATCCGAATAGTGCTCTTCATAACTTCTGGCTCCGCGTTCCTTCGAACCCTCGGTCACCTGCCCGGCTTCTACGCGCTCTGGACGGCCGCCATTCTGCTGCTCTCCACAGTCACCGTCATCTTCCACGTGCTCCGTCCGGCCCGAATCGCCGCCTTCCAAATCCTGTCCGCCGTCGTGCTGATCCTTGACGTGGCGTTCGCCCTGCCCGACTACGAGTCGCTTTTCCCCGCTCTCCTGGCCGTATTCTCTCTTTACGTATTCTTCTCGCTGCCATTCTATGCAATTCTGGCGACGTCGACGCTGCTGAGCATTGTTCAGACGTGCTCATTTCTGCTGTTCGTCGAACCGCTCCACACAAACGAGGTGAGTCTCTTATCGGAAAGCAAAAGAGAGAGAGAGAGAGAGTGTGAGTGCCTTCTCCCTATCATTAGAAAATGTTGCACTTTTTATGTCCCTAATGCCACGTCGTGACACTTAAATGTGGGCTAGTCTAGCCAAAGTCTTGTACAGTCGAAAAAAGTGATAAAGATGGCAGATATCTCCGCGCCCATCGGATATCATTACGCCGTCAGCCCTCCGATTTATTGTTTTTTGATTGATAGGCGCGATGAGAAAACGGCGACGCAGAGAGGGAAACCAAATAATATTCGTGAGAAAATGATGTACGATTCCGTCGGAGAGGGCTTCGAAAAGCGGTGATCCCGAATTTGGTGCTGCGCCTTTAATACCGTACCACAACTCTTCGTTCAAATTCTGCAAAACGAGCTGCTCGTAGGCAAAAACAAGCGTAATTTCCTCTGAATTGGGCCGGCCAATTCTAATTTCCGGAGTATACAATCAATTAATTATCGCCCCACTATTATCCACTGACCAAATTGTTTCTGCGTATTGTTTTTTCCGGTTTGATCATCATCTTCCTCTTCTTCTTCTTCTTCTTTTTCTTCTCGCGCGCAAACAAAGCCACCACCTTCTTTTCTCACTCATTTCTGTGTGTTGTCGGAAGAAGGAAAAGTAAACTATTGTTGTTGTTTGTGTGGCTGTTTCATTCAGAGGATTATGAATGAAAAGTAGAAAAGAGAGAAGGAGGGCGAAAGGGCGCTTCCTTTTCATTTATGTCCCTCTGAAGCGGGGCGATCGAACTCGCAGATAAACAGAAAAGAGACGAGGGAGGGCCGTTTATCAAAAATGTGTGACGAGCTCTCTTGTCTTCTGTTTCGGAATGCGCGACAGCCAGGGACGCGTGTCAAACTTATGACAGAGCATATGGAAGAGAAATGGACGAGAAGGGTTAAGAAGTTGGACGGGGAGAGATTAGAAGGGGCAAACCGAGCGGTTAGGGGGTCGGAAATAGCAGGGACCGGCGATCACTGTAGGTTCAGAAGTCTGCAAGCACACAGTTCTAGCCTACCGTACTCATCCATTTGGTTAGTGAGATTTCCAATGATTTCGGCGTCTCTTTCATCTATTTCGAAAATGCGCTAATAACTTGATTAGAAGGAGAAATTGGATTTTCCAATTAGTTACAGTACCATCTCTTTCTGACAGATTCGCTGTCGCTTCTTACCGCTTCTTACTGATCTGTGAAAAGTCTAGGTGTTCTTCTTCTTCTTCTTCTTCCTCCACTCTCTTCCAGATGCTTCCGATCAGTTTCCAACACTGATATGACACCTGACTCTCCGTAGTCCGCACCAATCCATTCATCTTTTGTCCTTCCCGCACCCTGGAGTAATTTCGAAATCCGGCGGCTCCTGTCGTTTTGTTTTACAATCGCTTTTCACTTTTTGTGCCAGTGTTAATCACTCGACGACAGCAGCCGAGAGTTGGAAAGAAAGAGATTGAGAGAGAGAGTTACACTTGTAGCAGCTCGTAAGCAATGATATCCCGCTCCCTCCGTGTGTGTGTGTAGTCTCAGAAGAGAAGGAGAGAGAGAGAGAGGAAGAACAGGTGAAGATCGATGAGAAATTTATGAGGGACCGAGGGACTCATTTTATAGGAAAATTGAGGCCCAGAAGGGGATGATAGTGAAGAGAAGGGATCGGAAAATACCTTGAGTTGAAAGTTAGAAGTGTGCACCCAAACAATTCATTAATCACCGTTTCGGCAACTCTTTCGACACTTTGCTCCCTGACTTCTTGGCTCCACGAGCTTCTCCGTTTACAACGTGCCACTCTCCTCCCGTGTGTAACCGATTCTTCACCCCTGAGCCCTCAATGAAATGCAGAAAGAGCCGCAACCACCAGTACCACAACTTTTTTCGAAGGTTGTAACTTTGAAAGTGAAAGTGCACTCTCCTCATGGCTCAATGAGCACATTAGATATGAAAAGTGAGATGGGAGAGGGGGATAAGAGAAAGGAGAAAAGAAAGGAAGAAGGGGGATATGAAAATGAAATGGAATAAAGAGTCGAGGGATGTAACTCTAGGGACTAGAGCAATCTTTGACATTCCCATGTGAACACCCTTTTCCAGCTCCTCGCCATCATCGTCGTGCACATCTGGACCAACTTCACCGGCATCTACTTGTGCTCCACGGCCGATCGGCTCGCCCGAAACGCCTTCCTCTCGGCGCGAAACTCATCGGAAGCCGAGTCGAGTGCCGAGTTTCAAAGCAACCGTCTGGTAAGTTGTCGAACGGAAAAGCAAACAATCGCGTCCTCCCTCCGCGAGGAGGGTGTCAAAGGCCATGAGGTGTCAATTCGGTTGCGCAGAGCCAGCAAACAGCCCCGGGGGCACTGTACATATACAATGGGCGCGCAAATTGGGACTGTTTTGAATTGTGAAAAGGAAAAGGCGAACGGAAATTGCGAGCGGGAAAAACTATCATGTTACACACATGTCTGGGCAGAAAAAGGAGTCGAGAAGGGGGGAGAAATGAAGTAGTAATATGAGGGACTTTTTGCAGAACAAGTTACTATCCTCGTTCCTTCCGTTCCATCTCATCAACCAGGCCAGACATCAGATCACCCTCTACAAACCGCATTTGTACAATGAGAACTATTCACAGGTACAAAAATAGCTACAGTAATCCGTCAATCTACAGTAACCTTTCAGGTCTCTGTCGCCTACGGTCGTCTCGTCGGCTTCGAGTCCGTTCTCGCGCAGTGCTCCTCCATCGACGCGGCCCGTGTGCTCAAAGAGCTCGACAATCGAATCGAACGGCTCGCAGCGGCCAACGGATGCACCCGCGTGGCTTCTGAAGGCATCACCGCCGTCTGCTCAATCCCCGGAATCGATTCTCAGCACGCGACGAAGCTCTGTCGCTTTGCCGTCGAGCTGGAGACACTCGTGAATTCGTTCCGGGACGCTACAGGCGCCGACGTCTCCGTGTGCATCGGAATCGACAGCGGAGCCATCACAGCAGGAATTGTGGGCGTGTCCAAATGGCACTATGACGTCATCGGAACGGTCGTCGACAATGCGCTGCTGATGCAGAGCAACGCCACTGAGCCGTAAGTTTTCGAGGCAGTCCAGTTCTCTCAATACGTTACTTTCTTCGTTTTTAGAGGGGTCTACGTGTCAGATGAGACTCGCCGATTTCTGAGTGCGACTGGAGAGTTCGAACTGGAAAAGTGTGCAATCGGATGGAAACTCTACGGACATCTCCCGTCATCGGATCTCTTTCCCATCAACAAACGGTAAGAAATGAGACGGATTCGAAACGATTATGTGTACTTGCAGATTCTCACTGGTGACCGTGCCCCAAGCCGTCAACAGAGTGCTTCAAAGCATCGTCGCCATGAATCCGACGCTCAAAACGATGGGAACGAACAAGAAGCGGAAGGCGGAGAAGAGTCAGGAGAAGTTTGATATGCGGAAGGAAAAAGTGGAGCACTCGACTATAATCTCGGCAGTCAGCCAGAAATTTCGCAATCCGGGACTCGAATCCGAGTACCACAAAGAGACGGATCACTGGTTCATCCCCTCGCTGGCCATCTCCATCTTCTTCCTCGTCGTTTATGGCATCTATCACATGTTGGTCATGCCCAGACTCATCACAAGCTTGGCATTGATCGTCGGCGCGTTGACCATCATGTTCTTCATATTGCTGATGCTCTACATTGACTATTTCCATGTAAATACTGCATTTTCGAGTTAAAGCCTCAAGAATCGGTTGCAGACGTTCTCCCAGTTCATCACCAGAACATCAGCAGGTCACGCCGTCAGCATCATTCTCATCATCGTCATTCTGTTCGTTTGTGGAATTGTGAATACGGTAAGCTTCGTTTCTCATTGGAGCGCACTTTCATTCCCCTCTTCTTCCAGTTCTCATGCCCACAACCAAATGCTCCGGACGTGTGTCAGAAGGCTCACTTCTCCACGTATTCCTTTGCGATGTGGACCATCACCACCGCCGTCTTCGTCCGTTTTCCCTCGGTTTACCTGGCCGTCCTCCTCGTCATCTCACTTTTCACCTACGGCCTTCAAATATACGTCGCCCGTCCCGAAGACTTTGGACCAAAGGAGTTTATGACTGAACTCGACCTCACGTGTTTCCTGATCTCACTTGCCGCCCTCGTTTTCGTTCATTCGAGAAGGTGCGAGAAGTTGCTCCGCTTGGACTTTCTGGCAGTTGTGAAGGGAATCGAGGAGACTGCGATGAAGGACAAGTTGATAAATCTGAACAACCAGATGCTGCTGAACCTGGTGCCCGCGCACGTGGCCCCCGGAGTCATTCAGAAGGCCGGAGACGTCTGGCACCACTCGCATCAGTCCGTCGGAATCGCCTATTTGGCAGTGAGCGGGTTCGATTTGGAAGGAGAGGCCGGCATAAGCGGACTCAACTACGTCTTCTCGCATTTCGATCAAACGATCGCCAACTTCAAGGGAGTGGAGAAGGTGAAAAGTGCGAATCGATTCTACATTGCGGCCGTCGGATTACTTCCGGACGCCGCGCAGAATGTGAACGAGACTCCGTGGACGATCGGGGAACTTCTGAGCACGCTGGCGCACTTCATCATCAGCATCTCCCAGTTTGCCGTGGAGAATGAGTTTCATGTGCAGATTGGGGTCGACTGCGGAAGTACGCTTGCCGTCGTCACAAACACCGATCAGCCCCGTTACGAAATCTTCGGCGAGACCCTGGACCGCTCGCGAACCCTCATGCAGGCGGCCGGCCACGACACGACCCTGGTCTCCGAAGAAGTGTTCCTCGCCCTGAGGCCCCGCCCACTTCGGTTCAGCCAACAGGCAGTCAAAGTGGCCGCGAACCTGAATGCTTACGAACTGGTGACTGGCATTCGGGAGATGTCGATCGAAGTGCCGACGATGCCACGCGAAGAGCAGGAGAGGCACACTCAGGGCATGGTCGAGGCGCAATTTGCCAGCCATTCCGGGATGTACGATACGCAGACGTCGGAGGTGAGTGGATTACTGTAGTTTGATGACGGGGTGATAAAACTATAGGCATTTTCGATTCCGACCGCAAACAAACAATGACTCATCTCCCTTCGCTTGAAAACTGTTTTCCTTTTCAGATGGCCTCCTCGATGGCCTCTTCTTTCTCTTCGGAACTTCGCTCTATGGATGGCGATGCTGAAACGGACTCTGATTTGGAATGGATAACTCCTGAAACGGCACTGATGAACCAGAAACATCCGCATAGAACTCAAAAGTATCAAATGAGACACTCGGACTACGATCCTTATCGGGAGCCCGTGCATCGGAACATCCGGGCGGCGTCGGTCGAACAAGAGTACATGAGCCGGAGGATCAACTCGGGATCCGACATGTCCGACGCGGAGTGTGCGCCCACCACGAGCAGGGCAAACAGCAGAAACAGTTGTGAGTCATTCATTCCCTATCAGTGTCGTTTTAATTACCAGTATTCGCTATTCAGACCGTCGTGGTTGGCGCCCTACTTCCAAAAACTCGCTGCGAAATGGATTCGGACTGTTCCGAAAGGGAATGTCGGATACGGAGCAGTCGGTCGAAGCGGTCAATCAGATCGAGGCGGCCGCGAACCGAGTCGACAAAATGATCCAGGAACTGAATGCATTCGGTGATTTCGCCGACGTCAAACCGCTCGAATATCAGCCGTTCCCAGCCAATTTCGGATCCGTCAAGTCGATCCACAGGGCGATGTCGTCCGCGTGTCACACGGAATACGACAACGCCGAGTCGGACGCCGCCATTTCGGACGTCGAGTCGAATGCGAACGTGAGCTCGAGAAGATCGCATTCGCGACAGAAAAGAAAGTGGAAGGACGCGAGAAGATGGCATCAGGACGCCGCCGACGGGGACACGGAGTCTCAGTGCAGCAGTATGACTGGAAGTCTCGACTTGGATCCCATCAGGTGAGCAGTTAGTGGGCAGAAGCCACAGTAGGCTTCACGGAACTTTGAAAAATCATAACAAATTTCGAAAATATGCAACAAACTCCAGCTTTGGCTCAAAATGACAAAAAACGTATCTCTACTGAATCCTCTTTTATTCGTTTGTTCCAGATGGAAATCCACGCACTCGATCGGTTACGAAAACGAGTACGAAATGCAGAGTGACGTGGAAGGCCTGGCTCTCGAGGAGATGGCCGCCCTTTCCCGTGACATCCGCAACAACTTTGGCGACTTCCAACTCGCCACTTTCGACGATATCGATCAGGACTAATCACTTTCTATCTCTTCCCACCAATTCTACTTTATTCGAATCTCTTCCAAGACGGGTGATCTCTCAAAAACCGTACCAATATTTTGCTCAACTTGTTGCCTTCAAAACTTTCAACAATACCCGGTTTTATCGCTCTTCACCTCTTTTCCGCTCTTTCCATCATCATCACGAGACGGTGCTGAATGTGTTCGTTCAAATGTTCTTTCAATGAATATTTCGAATTTCTCTTTGAATCGACACAATACACAACAAATCAAAGGCCGTTAGTCGGAGGAGGAGGAAGAGGGAAACGGAGAGAATGAGTCAGTTCAGGGTCACTTTGAGACATTTTGAAATTGAGACGGAAGTGACAGAAATGAGACGGAAACTGATAGGTACGAAGATGACGGGAGGCTCGCGAGCTTCGGCCCGATTCACTGAACAACAAATGGGATTACTGTAGTCGCAAGACCTCCGCTCATGTTATGCCGCGTCCAATGTCTCGGAAAAACCGTAAAAACCGCAAGTTTTTCTGTCCAAAGTCGGCCGAAATTTGCGTGAAAAACGGGGGTGCGCACAGCTCAATGAATGTAACCGTACCCCTAAAACTACGGTATTTTTTGAAAATTTGCGCAAGAAATTTGAATATTTTCAAATATCCTCAAGAAATTAACAATTCGTTGAGCTGTGCGCACCCCCGTTTTTCACGCAAATTTCGGCCGACTTTGGACACAAAAACCTGCGGCTTTTACGGTTTTTCCGAGACATTGGACGCGGCATTAGCGTTTAAAATTTGTTAAAGGTCGTCCAGCCAAGGCTACCGTATTCATCCCAATTAGTTCCATCTGAGAAGTAGTCCTTGAATTCAAAATCTGAAAGCTCATGCGGATTACTGTAATCTAAACCAGACCCGATCCTTCCAGTTTACCCTTACATAGACGATAGTAGAAGTTTGTATAGTACCAAAACGAATTTACAGCCAGCAATCGAAACTGCCCTTTCCTCTCGTTTTCTATCAATAAAACAATGCCCGATTACTCACCCTTCCCCAGCTATTTCATCAGTTTTTTCTCTTCTTCTCCGCCATCCCCCAACAGCACACACACGGCCGGCCGTCGCTCGACCAAACACTTTTATTGTCCGTGGCGCCCAAAAATTCAAAAGAACACACTCTCTGTTCCCATCTTTTCCATGTCTGCGTCTCTTGTTTATCTGCTTTCTCTCCACTTGTTTTTCGTCTCTTTTTTCCATTTTTCTCTGCCTTTCTGCCGTCTCCTGGCGTCCCGTACTCTTTTATCAGTTTGTTTGTCCACATAGAAGCCCCGCCCACTTTTAGGCCGCTGCCCCGAAGTTTCCTCGCCTCGAAGTTAGTCTCTCTGTTTCGTTCCGCTGTTGACATCGACAACTCGGAAATATGGTGAGTCTAGTAGATCGCGATCAAAAATAGTCACAAGCGAACATTGACTTTTTGCTCTTTTTACCTACTATCGTAAAAAGTCAAAAACGCTCAGCGCTCGGGGAGAGTGCTTGGATGGCATCCATGCTGATCATTACACGCCTGACTTCCGATGCTTCTCAGTGTATAGACAAACGTGTTATCAGACCGGGAATTGGGCCGCGACAAGCCCCAAATTGCCTTGTTTTGGAGAGAGGCAACGCGGCGTGTTTTTGAAAACAATATTTAAGCTGCCGTTGTATTGTTTTCGCTATTGCAGACTTCTCACGAGAACGATACTCCTCTTCCGGTGCCGTACACTTCCCGTCTGGGACAGCCGCTCGACGCCGGACAGACTCTGAACGTGCACGGAAAGATCAATGAGGGAGCTCAGGTGTAAGTGGAGCGCAATTCACATAGTTCTATTTTTGAAATAGGCAACTCTATTTCTCTCAATTCAGCAGAAATCTTTCAGTGTCGAGCTCAATCTGCTCCAAGGAGGAGGCGAAATCGGACCGAACACCCAGGTCATTCTCCATTTGAAGCTGAACTTCAAGGACAAGAAGATTGTGCTCAACTCTTACGATGTTAGTTGAAATACAGAATATTGTGATTTGAGCTCTCTTAAGACGAAATTATGCGAACATTATCTTAAAACGTAATTTCGCTATTTCAGAACGGTGTCTGGGGAAAGGAAGAGCGCGAATCGCTTCCGTTCAAGGCCGGAGAGGAGTTCGATCTGCGCATTCGCGTGCTTGAAGAATCGCTCGAGATCTCGGCGGACAACAAGAAGGTGCACGAGTTCAAGCACCGTCTTCCGTTCCAGTCCATTGAGTTCCTGGCTGTCCGCGGCGACGTTTCTCTCAACGGAATCCACTGGGGCGGTCGATTCTACAAGCTGCCGTGGGAGACCGGATTCCCGGCCGGACACCTCGAGAAGGGACAACGCATCCATTTGTACGGAGTGCCGAAGGGAGACCGCTGGTCGTTCGACCTGGTTGCTCGCAATCAGGACGTTCTCTTCCACTTCAACCCGAGACTCAAGGAGAAGGCGGTAAGGATGCCTGTGGCCTAACTTCCCGAACTCGATTTGTTCTTCCAGGTTGTCCGCAACTCGCACCGAAATGGATTCTGGGATAACGAGGAGCGTGAGGGCGCGTTCCCGTTCAAGAAGGACGTCGGATTCGATCTGACCATCGTCAACGAGGAGTATTCCATCCAGATCTTCATCAACCGTGAGCGCTTTGGAACTTTCCAGCACCGTACTCCGCAGCCGATCGGAGATTACATCGGTCTCAGAATCGACGGAGAGATCGAGGTGACTGGAATAGAGTTCTCGCACTAAACAATGTGAATGTTGAATAAATAACTATGTATATTCCGAACGTTACATAATAATAAATGCATATTGTTCGCTTTTGAAACATTGGTAGCTTTACATATTTTCGAGTCTTGACGCCGAACATCCATTTAAATAATTATTACCAGTACACTTTGAAAGATCAAACGAGTAGGCCTTGAGCCAAGGGAAGATCACATTATGAATTCTAGCTTATACAACACGAACTTCTACGATACATACAAAACACAAGAACGGAGGTAATGCGCAGTTTGACTGCTGGAGGCAAATAAAAATTTAGAACATTGGCTCGTTTATAAACCATTGCTGGGGCCGGGTTGATGGTAAGACATGGAACTCATTTCCGGTGGGAAATCCTCGTACTTGACCACGTCGATGAGCTCGTCGGAATCCTGGATCTCGAGAGCCGTGTGCACCGATTCAATGCTTCCGCCGGTGGTAGTCAGATCTTCCGGATGCTTTTGACGCTGCTCCTCTTGAACTTTCGAGTGGATTTCTACGAACATCTCTTCGTGCTTGCGCTGCTGATGGACGCTCCGCTCGATCGATTGGACGCGATGAACAACGACGTTTTGAACTCCGAGGGCAAAAACGGCACGGGTGAGAGTGTTGGCGACTGGAAAATACGAAAATTATGTGAATTCTTCGATTCGGAATACCTACCAGTTGGAGTGAGCTGATTCTCGATGGCAGATTGCTTCAGGTTGATGGCGCTGACAATTATGTCGTCGCAGAAGTGGCTGATCACACCGGCATGTTGCATTTGCGACCAGAAATTAACAGGATCTGCAACGAAATCTGACTTTCCATGAGTTTTCAGCGCAAGTGCAAAGCTCTTACCATTCTGAAGGCAATTAACGATGTCCGCAGACGACGAGCATCCATTTTGGAAGCGATCCGGCGGCGCAACGACTGCAGGATGAAACTCTTGTGATGGCAACTGCGCGTCGACTAACGGTTCGTCGGTAAAGAACTCCTCGAAGAAGGTCTCGTCCTGCTGTTCTTTGTTCGGAGGCCTCGGCTTGTTCACACTTCCACGTGGACGTCCGCGCGTTTTCTTTCCGTCTGAAACTGGATGGCTTCCAGTGGATCTTCCGAATCTCTGCTCACTCTTCTTCTCTTCCAGCTCCTTCCCGGTGATCTCGCACTCAATCTCGTTCTTCAAAAAGCTGACGTCAGCATTGCGCTTCGCTTTCCGCGACTGAGCAACCTCCTCGCGTTCGGTCGGAGCATTAACATAGTTGCGGCTCTGACACTTTCCGCTGCACCGATTTTCGTGGTCGAAGAAGTCGATCGTCGAGGCTTCCATGTGGGTTCTGGAAAAGGAGAACTGAATATGCTGTTGGAATGTCACGCGAGAAGAACATATTTTCCACGTTTTTAATCGGCCCTGTAACGGTTTTTTGGCCGGCCGGGAGGGCCAAACGAGAACAGCTCTCACCTCAACGAAGATCTTCCTATGCGAATGCTAGCCTTCCAGTCCTTCTGTCGCTCCTTATCACCACGGATTGTAAATTGTTTCGGCGAAAGCAGTTCGTCTGAAACTTTCATTTTCTTTTCAGTTTAGAACTTTTTGCGGAAAGAACTCACTTCCGATTTCGATGCACGGCTGATGGATTCCCGGACACAAGAACATGTGCAGATGCATCTTTCCGTGGGCTTGTCCGCACGAAACTGGTACTGTCGGCGACGTCGCATTGCCTTCGGGTGGCGAAATTTGAAGCGGAGTCACCGGACGAGCGTAGCTGGATTCTGATGTTTGCGAGTGCTGAAAATTTTTTGCGTTTTTTTGAGCCAAATACTTTTTCCATGCAGCGTAGCAATTTAAAAAAACGATTTACGACGGCTACACTCTAGTCGGCATTTTCAGAAACAAACATTGCAAAAAGTACTTTTAAAATGAGCTCACCGGATAAAGAATCTGATAGATATACGTTTTGTCCTCATCGGGAAGCGACCGCCCGATCGGCTGAATGAGCGGCGGCTTGTCCTCTTGCTCTTCGTCGTTGAAACCGGAGGGATCCTGCGGCGGCGTGAGAGTCGGCGGCGGGCTCATCTGATGCAACTCTCCGTGCTTCATCGTTCACAAGAAGACGTCGTCGTCGGACGGGCGGATGATTAAATGCGTGAATAAGACTGAACGGGCCGGGACGCCGGAGGCCACGTTTCACGCGAACTCGCCCGAATTTCCGCGTCAATTCTTTTTTGCGCACCATTTTCTTTTCGGGTTCCGAAAGAAAATGCACATAAGACGACGAAATGTACTGAAGCTTCATATTTTCCTGCAAAAATTATGGAAATCTTGTTAAATTGATCGAGACGTGCACTTTTAGAATTTTAAAGTCAAAAGAAAAAATTTTCAACGAGTTCGAAGAAAAGTTTTCAGAGAATGTCTCTGGAGACTTCATTAGCGAGGGCGTGATGATTTTCAGAACTCTTCACACATTGGTTAGTCATTTCATATTAAGTCACGATGGTTATTTCTCTTTATTTTCCGGCAGAAATCGCCTGAAAATCACGAAAATGTTGAGATTTCGATCAGAGTTTCAAAATTCGCGCGTATAGAGAGTGTGCAATTACGCGGAAATTATGGCGCCTACCGTAACCCACTTTTGCGCGGGTGTTTCAATTCCAGCTTTTCAATTGAACTTTCAGAAGAACTTCAGTGTTTCCGTGTGAAGCCGATTGAGCCCAATTCAATTTTCGGTCCAAACTACCGAACGCGCCCAAAAGAGACTCCGTATCAAGTGTTTTAAGATGATAGTATGCGCTTGTTTTTGATTGATCAAAATCGAACGTGGTATCACAAAACAAATGTTTTCGCTCTGAAACGAAACATTTTTAGTATATGTAACAAAATTGGGCCTTGTAAAGTGATACCAACTGCTGATATTGTTTGACGGTCGGTCGTTCATCTCTCTTGTACTACCCCCCTCTGCTCTCGGTGTGAGCCGATTGCATTCCGAGCTAAACTCACTTTGTCCAGAGCCATATTAGCAGAAACTGGGCTGATAACGCCCCACCCCCTCGTATGTCTTTATCATATTATTTACACTACATCTTCTATTTGCCAACATATGCTATAACCCTTCATTCATTTTGAAACCCCCTCCTAATGAATCATAATACGTGGTGGTGGTGGAATGGAGTGCGAATGAGAGAGAGAGAGAGAAAGAGTCCGTTCCATTTGTCGTCCACTTTACCCTCTTTTCATTGCCCCCCTTATCACTTTTGCCCTCTCGGACACCACACTTATCGTAAATCGGGGCGCGCACCATTCTGTGATAGTAATTGTCATTGTTGCAAACCATTTGACTTGTTTCATTGGCCGTTTCCTAGAGTTTCGAAATCTTTTTCACTTCCGGTTCCATGTCAGGCACGGGGAAATGTATGATAGACGGCTGTAGGCTGAAAAGTTATTGCCACGTGTCAATAATCACACTTCCGGAAAGTTCTACATGAGTTGAAAGTTGCAAAACTTTTGAACAAGTTACGTCACTCGATGATAGTTTTTTGATTTCATGAACTCTTTTGCAACAAGACAATATTTGAGTTTCGATGAATCCTCACTGAATCCCCACACAGTAGAAGGTTTTCTTTTTAAGTTTTTGTAAAGCGGCCCTCGCATTGTTTTCTGTCTCACAGCCGTTTAGAAAAGTAAAGTAGCGGTAGATCTTTCCAGATCCATAGTATTTCCCTTCCACCGGATTCCTCCTAAACTTCTCATAAATCCAGAGTTTCAGACAGATGGGCATGATGAGCACGAGCAGTAACAAACGCAAGTGCAACATTGACAATCTGCTCGAGGTAAGTACATGAAGATCCCTCGGAGCCGGCCACAAATGGAAAAGGTCGGCACACCGGCTGGCTCATTGCTCTTTTGATGGGGGACTGGGTGATGATGAAAGGGTTCCGCGGCGGTGTTTTCTATGGCGGACATGTTTGCGGACTCATTCATGGTGGGCTACATTAATCGAAATGTTTCGAATGAATAAACAGGAAGATCCTGTTTGAGGGGGGTTACGGTAGGAAAGGTACTGACTTTTGAAGAAGTATGTACACTTGAAGCAACGAAACCTATGTGCTCCGTTCTATTCTAAACCCTTCTCATTTTCTGCCTAATTACCCTCTCGATTTCAGGCGAAACGCTCGCACAACTTGGCTCAAATGCGACAAGAGCTGGCGTCACTATGCGATAAGAAGTCGGAATTCTTGCGAGCACAGAAAAGGGCATCTCTGTTTGTGGACACTCGTCGCGTCGCCGAACCGAGTGTCATGAATGAGTAAGATAAGGGGAAAGTCTGTCTGGGGAGAGAGAGAGAGAGAGAGAGAGAGAGAGAGAGAGAAAGAGCATCATAATAGTGTCTGGGCGCTTATCATCACGTACTGGGAGCCCGCATCTTGCAGATTCGCCACGTTCTTCAAGAAAGTGAACTCTTACCCGCTGGAAAACGCCGTCGAGCAGAATGAGTTGATTGAAGACGTCGTGAAAGAGTCCGTGGTGATTGAATGGCCGAGAACTTTTCCGGGAGTGTTTCCAGAACAACCAGAGACTGATCTAGACTTTGCTCCGCTCATTCACAGAGCCAGAAATGTTGTAAAATGTCGGACAAGCCATCCGACGATGCGAGTAAAGTAGGAGACTGACAACCGGAGCTGACACTCAGCAAAATGATTCCAGAATCTACGCCATCTCAGAAGCCAACGAGCTCACATCTCCGCAAGTCGTCGAGACCTTCTACAGAGCGTCGCTGGTGAAACTGGGCGGAGATCAGATGGATTCAAAGTTGCGGCAAGTGGCCGGAAAGATGATTTTGACGCAGAGAGAAGGAATCGCGGCCACGAAGAACACGGAGCACAGCGGAGCCGTCGTGAACGCGGACGGAAAGCTACTGTGCTCACAGGTACGAGAATTTGATTTCATTCGGAGCAAGAATTTGACTTTTTCAGAGCTCCTGTCACGCTCAGATATTGCTCTTTGCCACCAAGTTGAATGAGGAAAACGTTCGGACGACTTCTCTGAAATATGACAACGGATTCCTTTGCGCTACGTTTCCAGAAATGGTAAGGCGGGCGTTTTGAAGGGATTACGGTAGGGTTCATTTGCAGGGAGTCACTCTGAACTCGATGGTCGACCGCCGCCAGCTCTCCACTCGCTACGCAATCCAAGTGGAAGTGCACATCAACATTGACAACCGAATCGTTGTTATCCACGTAAGCTGGAGCACGTCTTCTTCGTCCAACTCTCAATTTCAGTCCCTGGTAACTCATCCCTTCCTGATTGCAATCACAAACGATCAAACCGAACCGTTGCTCCAATCGATTTTCTGGCACAGGCTGCTAAATTGTGATCAGCATGTAAGCTCAGCTATCTGTCATCGTGGCCGTGGCCTAGTTTCTCTTCTTCTAGGATCCATCGGACTACTTTCCCGAGAAGAGCCAACTGGATTGGGGCACTCTTCGTCAGGCCCTCCGAGCATTCATCAAGGCGCAAATCCCGCAGGCTCGTTTCCTGACAGACTATGAGCTCCGCCACGTGCAGACGATGCTCCTGCTCCCCCGAATCTTGCGATGTGGCAGTCGGAACGAGCTCCAGCTGCTGGAGATCAACCTGTTCGGAGCTGTAGAACCACAAGAACGGGACCTTCACGAAGAGATGAAAAAACTGAGAAATCGGCTGCTCTCCGAACCCGTTTTGGACTCGTTTCTGGTGGAAAGAAGAGAGTTGATCGTGGAGAAATGCGTCTCGATTCTCGATATGAGCACAGAATTGACACACACAACGTGGCAGTGGCTCTATAAAACATCGGAAATGATTCAAGACGTCGGACACAAGATGTGTCCATCTCCTGTATGTGATAAGAAGTCGTCGAAGACTAAGAAGCAGATGGCCGCCTCGGAAGACTATCAGACTATTATCAGTCTGTTCAATAAAGGGTTTGAACGCTCTTAATCTATTCATTTCCAAATACTCGTGTTTTGTAGATTCATCACATTCTGCTCAACCCAAAAAGCCGGCGAATCCTACTCGAGCTCCGAAAGATCTATGCTCTTGAGATTCTGCGATGAAAACGCCGGTCACTTCTCGATATGTTATGGAATTGAAAACGGAAAACCAAAGATTGGCTCGATTTCAGCGGAGCAAGTGAAAGATTTCAAGCAGGGACTTCCGGAGATGCTCATCGACGAGCGTTATCCGTCAAAATATCCGAATCTGATTAGAATGTCAATGGACGAGGAGTACGAGGGAATTCCGGCGATTTTGGTGCCGAAGAGAGAAGTATTTCACAATTATAAAACTGAACGGAGAGCCGTGGAGAGTGTGTCGATTATGGACGACGAGACGAGTCGCGTGGACGTGCTCAGCGGCGCTCTCCTCGCCCGACAGAGTCCTTCCCCGCAAAGTTTGAACTTGAGCTCTTCCTTTGATTTTAGCTCATTAGCAGCGAGTGAGCACAGAGTACGATAGGGCGCACTTGCAACCTCTGAGTTTCAGGCAATCCACAACTGGCTCAGTCCATCTTTCCGTTGCTGCAAAGCGTGACCGGCTCCATCTCCATCGATCACCTCGATTTGAACTCAGTGCTCAAGAATCTCTGCTCCCACTCGCCGCACACTCAGGACGACCACTCGGACACTTCTGGAGACGAGCCTGCCACGACATCCATCGCTTCTTTGCTGCAGAACGCCGAAGTGCACACGGAAGACGACGAAGAAGTGGAGGAACGGTCGGGACTCGCGGAACTTCTCATGAGACACTTCCACCAGTAGTCCCACGCAGTTGTTCTCAGGAAAAAAGGCGCTGACGTCTCTTTTGGCGAAGACACAGGCGTCGGTGCCGAATTTACGCTCATTTGACGCCGAGCCTTTGCCGGTGGTGCCGAAAAAATGTCGGAGCCTTTTTTTCCTGAGTTGTTGTTGTTGTTTGTTAAGAGGAGGCCGTGGCCTAGCTTTATCTCATTTGTACATGTTCGAATTAGTCTTTCCTTCGTTCGCCCCTTCCGTTTTTCTTTCTTTTCGTCTCGAAATTAATTCTTCCACGGTTAGTTGTTTGAGTGTAATAAACGAAAAAGCATTGGCCTGCTTTCCCGCTCAAATCCGGCAGGCAGCTCACACAAAAGGGAGAGATTATCAATATGAAAAGATAGAAAACTCCGCATCAATTACGGGTCCATTCTTTCTTTCCAGCGCAAGCCCCGCCTCTCCGATGACAAAGAAGCTCACCGTCATCCTCCGAGCCGCCCGTCTCCGTCTTCTTCGCTAATCTCACTGCTCGTCTTCTTGTCAACCGACGGATTATTCATAATTTAGTTGATATTGATATAATATAGAGGCGAGAAGAAGAGGAGGAGAGAAGCAGAAGGAGGAGACGTCTCCCGGATGGACATGCACGTCGCGATTCCGCCGCCGCTTCTAATAGACGCCGCCATGGAAGCACCCGGAACGCCGCCGAACATGCCCGGAAAGGCTCAAAAAGTGACGGTGAGTTCTGAACAGTGTAAATCGGACAGTAGGTTCTCTCTGAACTTTGAGCTCTTCTTGATATGAATGCCAGAGATATGTGGAATCTGTATTCCGCATTCCAAATGATCCTCACCTAGGAAAAGGCGTTTCGAGTAATGTTACGCGCGAAAATATCCAAATTTTTTCATTTGAACCCCAAAAATATGATTCCGCTCTTCCGCGGATCAAAAGTACTGAAAGACCACAAACTTTCCAAACTTTTCAGATAAAACGTCGTCGCGAGAGCATCGCTACCCGTGCTCGAGAGTTCCTCTCCGCTGTTGTCAAGGGAAACTTGTTGGAGGTGTCCAGAAAAATGTCTCCACAAGCATTGAAGGTGAGTAAAGGTCTGAACTCTGAATTTCGAGCCCCATTACTCATCAGATCGCCCACCCCAACACCGGAAGCGTCGCGCTTATCCTGGCCGTCCTCAACGGACACACTTCCATTGTGGAAGCCATTCTGGAGTACTCGCTTAACACCCTCAACATGCACGACAACGTACGTCACTAACAGAGACACACTTTCGACATCACCCCCCTACAAATCCGTTTTCAGGACGGACGCACGGCTCTGCACTACGCCGCCGCGTTGTACGGCCTCCGACAAGATCCGACGCTCTACTTTTACTTGATGGAAAAGGGCGCCAAGGATAATCTGGTTGACTCGGAGGGGTTCACCGCGCAGGATGTACGCAATAATCCCGGATTGATTGATCTGGACAGGGCCAGATACGCAAACGTTTGTGAGTGGCGCGGAAGGACGATGACGATGATGAGCTGAAAACTGAAATAGAGGGGAAGGGATGATGTGATTGAACTTCCGGTCTTTCGGTTATTTTAGTCTAGGTCATCAAATATCTCTTCACATTGGTTGAGCTCTGAACTCACTGGACGCACTTTTAGACCCCGTGCCCCGAGAAACCGAATGGGAGATCCGATTCGCCACGAAAACGCCCGAGGACTTCACCAACGACATCATCAACGGCCAAATCGACATGACCCACGTGCCGAACATCCCGGAGCACTTGGAGCTTATCGGGCATCTCACGAACCTTCAAGCCCAAGTTCTGGGCATTTGGGACGCCGTGGCCGCAGAAGACGAGCGCGCTCTGAAGCAGTTGATCTGCGAGCGACAGATGGGACTCGTGAAGGACCGCGACGGACGGACTCCGCTGCATCACGCGTACATGTAAGTGATTTTCTACGTCACACATACAAGAAGCAACAAACAGGAAAAGGAAATGGTCGTTTTCGCTTCCGCCTTCGGGCAACTTTGTCGCCATGCAAAAACACTACTAATCTAAATCTGGGAATATTTTCCAGAAAACGCCGGAAAGATCTCGTCGACTACTTACTCTACATCTGCCCCGAAGCGGCCGACGTCAAGGACCGGGTAAGGAAGTGATGATAACGCGCTCCCAAATCGGATCACTTTCGACGTCTTCCAGACTCTCCCCTGTTTTTTCTCCTCCAATTCGTAATAGTAGTCGTCTTCCTAATCGCATCATGTTCAAATCCATCCGGAGCCCAAATTCTGCTTCTTTAGCACCACAAAACGCCCATCGAGTACAGCCCGACGCCTCCTCCACAACTCGTTCTCGAGCCGACCACCACCGTCACCACCGACTTCTTGCTCACTATTCCGAGAAGGGAACGCAGAGTGAGTATCGTAAAATGAAAACAAAGCAGTGCTCCATGCTCCTCCTCGAAGCCCAACCTAATTGTTCACACCTTTGCGCAGCGCAGTCATCCGTCACTTCCTCCCGCCTTTCCTTCTCCTCTCTCTCTCCCTCTCTTTCCCGTTCTAAGAAGCTTTTCCCTCTTTTCCGAAAATCCCAATCGATTTCAGCCGTCCCGCACCCAAATCTTGCACAAAGAACGGTTCCATCTGCCGCCCGAGGAGAAGTCGCCGACGCTCCGACAGCAGAAATCGTCGGACAACATGAGGTGAATCGCTTTGTGGCGCTCGCGAATACTCTAATCGAATCCGCCATCTCATTTTATAGTACCTCCTCTTCTTCTTCTAGAAGTCGCGATGCCGACTCGCCCGAGGGCGTCGAACCGGACGTGCTCAGTCGGATACACAACATTGACATCAAGAATCGCGACTATACGGTGTTGGAGCAGTTGCAGATGGAGGGTCAGTTGCTAATGATCATGGTTTATTCACGAAGGAATCCGATTCGAATTAGTCCTCGGATTGGTCTAGCCCGATAAACGCTCCGGAGGCGTCCGTGGGCAGTTGAGTTCCGTCCGGTCTGAAATTTTGGCTTTAGCCTAAAGCCTGAGGCCTGAACCCAAGTTCTTACCCGGCCAGGGCCATGTTGATGACCATGAGGAGAACGGAGAGAGCAGCGAAGAGCTGGAGGAAGGAAGGCATTTTCAGTCGAACTGAATGTGGTTGAAATTGGAGAAATGTTTGCTTTCATAGCATTTTGAGATGTTCGATTATGCAAACTATGTCGTTTTCCGTGCCCCCACAAATCAGAAGATCAACAAAACTTTCAGGAAAAGGCGATCAAATCTGGAGAGCCGCCAAAAAGAGCAGCGAACGGTTATCGCGTCACGTTCAAGAGTTCCGTCAGCTCCAGAACCGCCTCTCCGCCGCCATCGACGCAATTGAAAAGGGCGATAAGAAGAAGTTGAACCAATCGGTCGATGAGGAGGTGATGGCGACCCGCGACTCGAGAGGCACGTCATCTGGCCGAAAAGAATAACTAATCAGCAGCTCATTAATTCATCTATCATGTCTTTATTTTCTTCAGGAATGCGCCTTCTCCACATCGCCGTCCTTCGCGAGAAACACGAACTCATCGAGCATCTCGCCATCACTTTCCCGAATCAAATCGATCTGACAGACACGGTAAACATCATCATCCTCTTATCTTTCATTCCTTCCACCCTTCCCACACAATCCGCTCATCCCCTCTCCTCTGCTCCTTTCATACATCTTTCTTTCCAGCTCGGTCGTACAGCTCTCCATTACGCCGCGTGCCAGCAGAATGCCATCTACGATTCTCTCGTGGATCTAGGCGCTCGGAAGGATCTTCCCGATCAGGAGGGCGTCAGCGCCGAAGAGTACCGCCAGAATCCGAGCCGATTGATCCGTCCGTCTTCTGCCGTTTCGTCGGTTATGCTCAGATCGATGTCGACCGACGACGAATTCTTTGATCCCGGTGAGTTGGATGACGTGGCAGCAAAAAGCCTTAACCGGAAGGCAGAAGGAGGTGTTCTGGAAGGCTAAGTAAGTTGATACTATTCATTGCATTGAGTGCAAGGATTACGGTATGCTTGATTCTCGGAATTGACGTCATATCAGTTCAAAATTTTATCGGAAAGCTCATGAGCCGAAAGCCCATCGTCGTGTACTAATTTGCTCCGGCCTCCACCTTCACACTTCCTTCCTTCCTTCCTCCGCTGCTCTCTGCAAAGCAAAACTTCCTTCCTGTTCGAGCGATTCGCCGAAAAGTGCATCAAACGTGCCATTCCTCTCCTCATTGGTCCGTCTTCCTCGAATTATTTATAATTCTTCTTCTTCTTGCCATCTCCTTCTCAGACATGTTCCAGTCTTGCCTGTTTGTAAACTAAAATCCTAAATCCAATATTTTCCACAGCACCTTCCTTGGTAAACAAGATTATTCAGGACCTTTGATTTGTATCGTATAGTGGAAGTGATATGACGTGGCAAAGAGGTTCCGATTAGGTGCATTCAATTTGAGCTCCAGACTGGAACTAGATTAGCTTCGAACAGATTTCATTCCAAATCAGATTAGATATTTAGATTCATATATTTACGGCGACTAGGTTTTTTAGCCAGGGAAGTTGGGTCGTGACTTTTAAAGAAGGATTTCAGTTGCCCGTTTCAAGTACGCCATCTGATCTTTGATAGTCTATTGTACCCTCTATTGCTCCGTTTTCTGTCACTTTTCCATTTTTACACATTTCTAGGCCAGCGGTCAGAGAAAAGCCCGCGACATTCAAAAATATTAGCATATGCTCAACAACGTAGCTTATGCTTGATTTCCGGTGCCTCACCAGCTTCCTGCTTCTTCCTCATCATCATCGTACGTCTTCTATATCTTCTTCTACTTCTTCTTCTTCTTCTGTTAATCCCTGTCATCCGCCGCTCCATGACAATCTCTCTTCCGTCCACTATTTCGGCGACCTTTGCGTGTTCACCTGTCTTTTCGGGTCCCATCCTCCACGCACAACTCTCGCAGAATTGCGTGACACACCTCCATAAATATTCGCCGCAAACTTGTCGGCCGTCTCTCCGGAAGCCCACAATATCTGCCCGCGAGGTTCTGATAAATTGATAATAAGACGGAGATCCGTCTCTCCGAAACGAGTCACCTGGTCCCGACTGCTCTCCGTAAAAAGCTCTCTCAAATATTCTGTGGTTTGGCAGCGCAAATGGATGCATGAGCGTCTACCATTCGCCGATTTCTACTTCATGTCATCCAGTGACACTTTTGGGAAAGTGTATATCGAGCAACACGGTTAGCTTCAAACGTCAGATTGTGGGATGCCATTCGGACTAGCCCATACTCTCAACCCCTTAACTCTTCTATGTCTTGCAGATGCACCATCTGAGGAACAAGTCGAACAATGGCTGGCCACTGGAGAAGTCACCAAACTGGAGCAAATCGTGCTCGACGGCCGGGGACACATGCTCAAAGAGAAGAAGACGGTGAACGCGGCGAGCAACGAATTCCTCTCGGGGCTCACTCAGTACCTCACAAAGATCGACGCAATCCACAAAGCGGTCGAAGAAGGAGACGTCCGAAGAGTGAAATCCCTCATCGATAGACCGCTTCTCTCAACTGCCAGAGACAGCTACGGTGGGCCGAGTACAGCGGAGCGCACTTTCACCTTCATCTGTTTGCAGGCATGACACCAATCCACAAGGCTCTTCTGCACGGCCAAACGAACACGGTCCGCTTCCTGCTCGGCCGTTTTCCGAGCTGTGTGAACGCTACCGACCACGTCAGTTTCTTCAAAAAGAGATCCGTTGTGGGCAGAGGATAAGCTCTCTTTATGAGGCATTCGAAATACTCCCCTAATCCGTGGGCTCGCATCATTGATTCGAAGTACTTAGGGCTTCTTCCCTCTTTTTCTATTTGGCTTGATTACGTTGCCTAGTGAGCATTCGCGTAAAGTATGATGTGCAGTACTCTGTGTTTAGTATGGAATCTCATGAAAAATTCAGTTAGAACTGCTAAGTCGATGTATTCAGTTCATGGTTTGCAGGCTGGCCGAACACCTCTCCACTATGCGGCCGCCGATCCGAACGGAGAGCACATGATAAAAGTGCTCCAGAAGAGCGGCGGCGACGCGTTCATAGAAGATAAGCACGGCCACACTCCGTTCTACTACCGAACGCACGGACAACGTCTGAACGTCCGTTCGATGAAGGACAACGCAGTGATGAACCAGCTGATCTCGGGGCAACTGAACCGCCCGTTACTTCAAGACTTGGAAGAGGACGTCTACGATTGGATTCACACTGGAAACATTGGAAAACTAGAAGAGCTCGTGCTCACGGGGTACGCCGATCTGTTGTTGGGAAGGAATCACGAGGTGGAGGACGCAGACAGCATCGGGTTTCTAGAGGTGTTGCCGCAGTATCAGGCGAAAATCCAATCGATTCACAAGGCAGTGGAGACTGGAAACTTGCGAGCCGTCAAGCTGCTAACTGACAGAAAGAAGCTCTCGCTTTGTCGGGACACCCGCGGACTGTCGCCACTGCACAAAGCGATCGTATTCGAGAGAACCGACATCGCCAAGTATCTGATCCGAAACTATCCACAATCGGTGAACGCGATGGATCAGAAGAAACGAACTCCGCTGCACTACGCGGCCGCTCTCAAAGACGGCGGTTACCTGTACAAAGTGATGAGAAAGTCCGGAGCTGATCCCAATATTTATGACTGCGTAAGTTGTATCCTAAGCATAAATTTGCCTCAAAAATTCATTCTTAGAACGGTCGCCCAGCCAAATATTATCTGAAACACTCCGGCGAAATCGACCTGTCCGCCATGCGACTCGACACTCGCGCCGCCCTCAAACAAGTGCTCCATAACCGAGTTGCTCCGAGCTACTTGGAGAGCTCAATTCAGCAGTGGCTCCGTGACGGACAGCTCGCAAAACTGGAGCAACTTGTGCTCTCCGGTTGCGGGGATCTGCTTCAGAATCGCACGTCAAGTCATCCGGATACACAAGCATTCTTGGATAGCTTGCCAGAGTATACGGTAGCCTTCGGAATTTAGAGCTCTAAGGAAGTCAATTAGTTTTAGGAGAAGATTGATGGAATTCACAAAGGAATCAAGGAAGGAAATCTGGATAAAGTGAAAGAGTTAATGAAGACCAAAAAGCTGGCGATTGCTCGTGATCGCTTCGGATGCACACCACTTCATTCGGCCATCGTACATGAGCACACCGAGATTGTACGGTACATTGCGGGCCATTATAACTCGGTACTCAATGCTCCGGACTATGTAAGTATCCTTATCACTTCAAAGAATTACGTGTCTTCTTACAGAATAAAAGAACAGCAATGCACTACGCGGCAGCCGCTCGGGACGGAGGACATTACCTGAAGATCCTTGGAAAGGCTGGGGCCGACCCAATGGCTGTGGATAACGAGGGAAGAACTCCGGATTACTACCGACGGAACGCTGTGATCGATCTGAAACTAATCAAGGACCGCGATGAGGACTTCGAGACGATCAACGAGGAATATCTGGAGGACGGACCACTCATCGACTCGCCGGCGACTCCGGACTCGGGCAGTGAGGGCTCGTTCGTCGACAGTGCCCGGATGCTCGAGGACGAGGACGAAAGCATCGAGAGACATCGCTTCGAGAAGACTTTCCGAGGAAAGATCGACCTGCCGACCTCGGAGAACGGAGTTTATCTGGCGAGAACTGTGGCGCCAGTTCTTACAAAGGCTTTGGCAGAGGTAAGTGCGCTCTGATGCAAACGTTCAAACCTTATTCTCTTCAGGTTTTGCTGCGCCGGCCCGCAGATCCGATCGGTTTCATTGCCGAATGGCTCACCAAGTACGTCGTAGAAGTTCCACGTCGCAACGGAAACGGACACTAATCAGTAGTAGTTTTTCTAATTTGAGTGTCACTTTTTGGAAATGTAAACAATAAACTGAATAAATCTTTCGAATCTTTTCCGTGAGTACAAATTTCATTTCCAACAAAATGTTGATAAAACTCGCACTATTCTTTCTATCAGTACTTTCTCAAACTTTCGCGAACAAATCGCTTTCATGCTACACGACACAGGTATAGTCCCCCGAATCCCTTTCCCTCCGAACTCGTAGAATCTTTAGAAAGTTGACTATGACACTTTTCCCAAGTTCACACTGGACGGGCGTCATCCGGAAGTGATCGAGTACACTGAACAGGACGAATCGGTGACGGGCTCGCCCATCTGTGTCATGTTCTTCGGCCACAATCAGACACACTCTGCCACGTGGCAAGGCCATGTAAGCAGTTTTGCACTGCCGATGGATTGTCTTCTTCATGGAGGTGCTGACTGCCATAATTCAAGTCTATGAATGGTTTCAGCGTATTACACACAATGCTTCGAGTCTCCAAACCTGTTCACCTTCCTCGAACTTCCTTCCGGATGGGCTTGCTGCTGCGGAATCGACAACTGCAACATGTACAATCCGTTCTTCTTTCAAATGTTCGAGAGCAAGACGCTCGACCGATCGGCCCTCATGCAACGAGTTAGACCCATCTGCAAATACTTCTTCTGCGTCACCTTCATTCTGTTCTTCGTCGTCGTTGAAGCAGTCATCGAGACGTACATTTTCATGTGGTTGGACTGGATTCGGAAGAAGAGAGAGGCTCAGAAGGCGCCCACGGAGAAGTCGGCGATCGGACAGACGGTCCTCGACGAGCCGAGTCCCATGCCCCCCGTCTCTTCTCTCCAACTTCAGCAGACTCAATCGGTTCGGAGCGGAACACAGAATGTGTCGGAGATGTCGGTGAAACCCTCGGCTTCTCTGGAAGTGGACAAGACTCAAGAGGATGACGAGGAGCCGTTGTTGCCGAGAAATTCGGAACTGGATCCGTCGAGCACGCAGAGAGATGATACCGAAGGGAATGTGGTAGGCTCTGTAGGCGAGCCAGCGATTTGAGACTCTTTTCAGCCGATTCCGAAGAGACCGGACCTGAAGATTCTGCCGTCGGGACGAATGGGAAGGACTTCGATGAATTACGAGGAGAGCACCTACTCTGATTTGCAGTAGATTTCAATGAATAAAGAGTTGAAATGATTATGCTTTATTCACCGATCCATTCAGTTGTAGGCATCGGTCGGGAGTTGGGTTCCCGAGAACTCTTGCTCCTTTGCTTCGATGGTGATTCTGAAAGTGTGCTCTGAAAATCATTTCTCTATTTTCCTTACCCTCGAACGACGACGGCGAAAGCCAAGAGCAGAAGAGCGAAGAGCTGGACGAACGAAGGCATTGTCGGATGCTGATTCTTGTCCAAAACAGAGAAAATTTTGCTTTTATGCTATGGCTGCCGGTCTTGTATTATGTAAATTGGGTCGTTTATGAAGAGAATGGAAATTCTTGGAAATGTTAAACTTCTCTCTTCTCTAAACAAAACTATGAGTCACTTGCCCTACTTTCCACGTGACCCCTCGTCGCCGCATGCCACGTTTCCTTCCATTCCCCCAAATCAGTTCCCAATTTTGTGTTCTTTGCTTTTACACTTCGTACTCTGTCTTCGCCGCCGAAATGGAACGTCTTCTCCGTTCGTTGCTTATGAATCAAAACCGTCAGCCGTCCGATGACGTCAACCACCCGGACACTTCTGAAACGTAAGCTTCTCTCTCTCTTTCTTCTACCCGAACTGTTCAACCGAAACTCTGTTTTCAGCGTGAACATCTCATCGTTGGCCCTTCTCAAAATGCTCCGGCACGCGCGTTCGGGAGTTCCTCTCGAGGTGATGGGACTGATGCTCGGACAGTTTGTCGACGACTACACCATCAACGTGATGGACGTGTTTGCGATGCCGCAGAGCGGAACGAGCGTGACCGTCGAGTCGGTGGATCCGGTCTATCAGACGAAGCACATGGACTTGCTTAAATTGGTCGGCAGAACTGAGAATGTGGTCGGATGGTAGGTCGCGAAAATTAGTGTAGTTTCATTCGTTTTGTTCAGGTACCACTCGCATCCAGGGTTCGGCTGCTGGCTCTCTTCGGTGGACGTCAACACTCAGCAATCCTTCGAGGCCCTTCATCCTCGTGCAGTCGCCGTCGTCGTCGATCCGATCCAGAGTGTGAAGGGGAAAGTGATGCTCGACGCGTTCCGTTCGATCAACCCGCTCAACCTGCACCTTCGCCCTCTTGCTCCGACCGCCGAGCCCCGACAAACCACCTCAAACCTCGGACACCTCACGAAGCCCTCGCTGATCTCTGTGATTCACGGCCTTGGCACCAAGTACTACTCGCTGAACATCACCTATCGAACGACTCCGAACGAACAGAGAATGCTGATGTGTCTGAACAAGAAGAGTTGGTACGACGAGTTGAACATGATGTCGTACACGGATCTCGGAAAGGGCCAGGATGAGAAGTTCAAGAACATCAACAAGCTGATCTCGGTGTTCACGAAAGAGATCGACGAGACGAAGGCGAGCCCTAAAACCGAGGAAGAGATCAAGAAGTTCGGAAAGATCAATGTGAAGCAGCAGTTGCAAATGGTAGTGTTCCCTTGGCTCCCCCAGATAATTGTGCTATTTTCAGCTCACCTCCGACCTGCTCAACGACACGATTTGTCATCAAATCAACGCCATGATCAACACAAAGTCCATGAACTAAAAGTGTTGACTTGCAACAAGGATAAACTGTTTTGTCATTCATTCTGTCTTTTTCAAAGTGCAAATTGTTATGGAAAAGAATAAATAATATCATGGATCCAACTAGTGGTTTCGGGGGTGTCATTGGGGAGGGAACTTTGGTCTTGGATGGTAGAAAGTTTGGGTGGTCATTGGGAGACAAAGTCACGGGGTGAGAGGGGAACGGAACGGGACGGAACTAAGGAAAGAATGACAGATTCGAACGGAAAATGGGCGGATTGGAGTGCGGTAGAGCGCACTTGCATGCGGGAAGAAACTAAAGAGGAATTCTAGGAGGAGATCTTGGAAACTGTTTGCTTTGGAGTCACTGCGCCCTTCTTCTGAAGCTGTGTGAACCGGAGATACGCGGCGGAGAACGGGTGGACCGTCTTGATGTGCGACAAATACACCTCGAACTTTTCGTCGGTGTACCCGCAGTCTTCACAGACAAACACCTGAAGAATAATTCATTTAACGATGTCGTCGCAAGTTGGACTCACCTTGCTCCGACGCTCTTTATAAGCGTACTGATGAGTGACGCCGTGCACTTTCCGGAGGTGGGATTCCAGAGAGCACCGTTGAGTGAACGACTTCTCGCACTGCTCGCACTTGTACGGACGGACACCTGAATCGGATTCTAGAAGAAGTGCAGGCAATTTACGCGAATATTCCGCCTCAATAGAGAATCATTTCAATGACACCTGCGAGAGAGAGAGAGAGAGAGAGAGAGAGAGAGAGAGAGAGAGAGAGAGAGAGGGACGGAGACACGCAAAGTGAGTTCTTTCCGACCGTAAGTCAACGGAGGAGAAGAAAAGGCGCGACAAATTAGTGGTTATAACGATGAAAAATAAGGAGGCGAAAGAGAGGCAAAGTGCCTTTTGCCTCCGCACCAACCTGTATGCGTTCGCGTGTGTCTTTTCAGATCGAAAGTGTCGTTGAATCCCTTGCCGCAAAATGTGCACAGATACCGTTTCAGGTCGCTGTGACACTTGATGTGCCGGTTCAGAAGACGTTGCAATCCGAACTTCTTGCCGCAAATGTGACACGTCAACGAATCGGACGACTCCTCGTGGATCGTCGACGAGATGAGAAGAGAGGTGGACGCGGCGACGGAGGACGGTGTTTCCAGGGAGTTTATGAGCGGAGCAAGCGGGTTCTTGACTCCGTAGCCGCCGTTGACGAATTCAACGGCGGACGGGAGAATCGGCTGGAAAGAGTGGACAGTGGAGGTGGGACCAAAGGGTCTTACACTGGGTATGGCTGCCTGGGGAGACGGCGAAAGAACTGGAGAAGAGGGCTCATCGTCGAGGAATCGTTCGATGAGAAACTGTTTTTAAAAAAAAGATAGAAAAAGGTTTATCAACAGGGCGCGGTTACCTTTTTCGAGTTCTTCTCTTCGGGTTTGCTGCTGATACTGCTGCTAGTCACCAACGAATGAGTGTTGTTGTTGTTCGCAAAGATCTGAACATTCAACTCGACTTTCGGTGTCAGTTTGTCCGAATCTCACCTGAGTGATGACGTTAATGTCTCGGGGCAGCAGATGTGCTCCGATCAGCGGCAGCCATACCCGTGAATCCATGTGAAGGAGAGCAGAGCTGCAACCAATTCACGGCTCGAATTTGAAACGAAAGGACGGAGGAGTGGGGAGGTGGAGCTTCGAGGATCTTATCAACGAACGTGGCAATTATGTGGAATTCATGGCGCCAGATAATGCTGGGTGCAATGTCTCGAATGCCGATAATAATTGGGTCAGGGCTCTTGGCTCGGAGCAGGGTATACGGTAATTGGATGGGATGCGAAACGTGTAATTTGGGGATTCTGGAAAGGATCCGGCGAAACGTAGGAGAAGCGAACGGCACTGCGATATTATGCAACTGGTAGACGGTTACAGTGTCTGTTGTTGTTCGGCGCGAAACGGATGAGCACTTGACGCACTTGAGAAGCGGTTTGAATAGCATCAAGTAGACGGCGCCCGCGACCAAAACAGGGCGGCGTTCTTTGCCACGTGGACGGACGACTAACAAAACAGACGACGGATTGCGCAACAACTGTTCGAATGCCAAACAACACGGACTGAGCGGAACGTTTAGCAACGGATGAGCTTGGCCGATTAGAAGAGTGGCAAGAGGCGAGGGGCCGGTTCGGAAGCGGGCGCAGAAGAGAGGATTACGGTAGACGATTGAGAAGAAGAAGAAGAAGAAGAAGAAGAGACCGTTGGATTGAAAAGGAAGGCACGGATTATTGCGTAATCGCTCGCGGGGTTTGAAAGTTTTTTTTAACGTTTGTTTGAGAAGTTGAAAAGTTGAAAAGTAGAGAGAAGGTTACAGTAGAGCCAAAAGTCCGCAATCTGTCGTAGTGATGATCGCAGAGTGACTGAGACCGTCGAATCCAATGAAATACCAGTTGTGTACCGGTTGTTCCCCCCGGGGGTACGGTATCACATAAAATGGAATCGGTTGAGTCGGTCCGCAATATCAGCGGTACGCACACACACACACACATCGTCGACCTCCCCTTCTGTATATATTTGATTTCGAGGAAGAGGACGAAAAAGAGGAAGAAGAAGAAGAAGAAGAATACACGAACGATTTCAATTACCTCTTCCTCTTCCTCTTCTTCTTCTTCTTCTTCTTCTTCGCTCACCGACCTACCGTATCGCTTCGTCACGCCGTCTGGCGTCTATTCAACGCGTTCACGCACAAAAGAGGTGTTGAAACTGTGCGTGTCTGTGTGCGGATGACGAAGAAGAAGAAGAAGAAGAAAGAGGAGGAGGAAGAGGAGGAGGAGAGGGACGTCTTCTGAAGGCATCGCGCGGTGCATTTATGAAGCGTGACGGTACAAGCGGGGCGCACGTTTTTGAATCACTCGCCGATCAGCCAGTTTGGCGGGAAAGAATCGAATTGAGGAATGATGGAAGAGGATGGGAAAAAGAAGATTAGGCAGGGAAGGGGTCTCTGGGATCCAGTGTAGCTCCAGAATCTCCATCCGTCACTTAAAAGGCTTCAATGATCTAAGCTCTTACTATTAGCCTTTTCTCAGCCAAACCAGCCAGCCAAAATTTAGAATAGTTTCACAATTTCATGAACTGAAAACGATCAGAAAGTTAAAAAAAAAAGACCGTCAGCATCCGAAAACTGCTCAATTCTCTTTAGCACCGTTTTTTGCTTACAGAAGAGAACTGAGGCCAGCAGACTGATACGGTCATGTTACGGTGGTCATCCTCTTCTTCTTCTTCTTCCTCTTCTTCTTCCTTCATTGTCGTTTCGTTACGGTAAATCGCGCACCGCAAACTTGCAGCCACCTTCCTCCTCCCCCACCCATCAATCCGGCCATATTTTCCGGCAAATTGCGGACAAACTTGCGCCTCCCCTTTCTCTCGCTCTTTCCTGGCCGGGGCCAACAACACCTTGGGGCGAGAAGAAGAAGAAGAAGAAGAAGAAGAAGAAGAAGAAGAAGAAGAAGAAGGAGAAGAAGAAGTAGATGATGAAGACACTAATTATACGGATTTTGCGACACGACCACATTAGCAAAGGCCGCGCCTGGCTTCTTGTCCGACAAAAAGCCGTGTCGGATTGGATTGGATGAAGCGACGATGAAATGAAAATGAACATAACGAGGTGGCGGAGAGTTATTCGGAACTTGACAAGACAATTGAAACGCCGACGGCCACCGCTGCTTTTTTGTTGGAACGGACCGTCCGAATGATGGTGTTCCCGTAGGAATGAGGAGCGATGAATGACCCCTTTGAAAAGGGTACTGTAGCGATGGGGACTGAGGATCTTCACAGGGTTTCTCCTTGACTCAGGGGTCAGGATTTCTGAATAGAGTCCCTAACCAGTTAACGAAACAGTGAAGAAAAGTTTCACATTTAGTCTGCATCATTATTAGTCTCATTTGTTAACATTGTTTTGATTATTGAATGAGTGGCTTTCATCCTTCAATGAATTGACTTTAAAATATTTTTTTAAAGGAGCAGGTTTGCTTCCCAACATGAGAAATTCTAACGGATCGCGTAAAAGTTGCTCATAAACTAAAACAATATTTTGGAAGTTTATCGATGTTTTCTTTGCGGCCACTAAAAATATGTATGAGAGAATAAGAGAAAAATTCACACGGCAAGGTAAAAACGCTGAAGAACGTTTTTGAAAAACGAGAAGGAAGAGCAGAAACGGAAACGGAAACACGGACCGTCGTCAATCCGTAAGAATAGTCTGATTCCTATTCTTGAGAAGCGCGAAACCAAGGACGGTCTCCGTCGTCGCCGCCTTTTCTACAGTAAGTACGCTGTGGCTGTGTGTGTGTGTGTGTTTCTATGTGTCTATTATTAAGAACCTGACGATCGTCTGGCCGAATCTTCTTATTACTCAGTTCAATGCGTCGTCGTCGTCGTCCTTTTCATCCGAAGAGTAACTGTCCCGGCTAAATTGACACCTTCCGCAAGGCACTTATGCACTTTGAATTTTGAATCATCAAGTGACGTGGGAAAAGCTTTTCTTATTGAGTTCTGTCCTGAATCCACGTCAATCGCCTGATCTAATCCCAATATTTCTTCAGTTCTGTAGACGCTCAATGTTTGCGGAATATTGAAAGGGCACGCCTTTTCCCACTTCAGATGACGTCATGTTTACACGAAGAGTATATCTCTCTGACCTCTCGAGTCTAGACATTACCAATGTTGTATTTAAAACGTTTTTTCGTTCCCTGAAAGCGTCACAAAGGCGACAGTGCAAACTGTCGGACAGTGCGATGCAAACGCGCCCTGGCGCACTTCGTAGGCGCGAAATAATTATTTTGAAACGGAGACCAAATTTCACGGCTTTTGATTGATTTCATGGCCGATTTTATCCGCTTTTAATCAATTTAAAAACAGGTTAATAATGTTTAATTGTTTTCAGATGATTATTGAAGACGATTTCCGGCAGGGCTTCTACAATCATCTCAAAAAAGGCGACAAAGTGAGTTCCTTGGCGGTTCAAGCCGAAATTGTCTGAAAATCTGTAACAGTCCTTGAATTTCAGAGTGTGGTTTTGCTTGTGGCAGTCGATACGGATGCTTTGTGCACGACACTCATCTTGACAGTGAGTTTTGAAGCTGAGAGTCGGAAAGCGAGTGTCACCCGAAAATTTCCGTCAAAAGTCTGTTGCTGTGATGGCTATATTGCTGTGAGAAACATTTATAAAATCTTTATCACTGAGAAATTGATGGAAGCCAAATGAAAAATGTAATGTCATCGGAAATTTGAACAATAATGCGAAAAATGTTTCTTAACCGGTGGAAATCAACGAACACTGTTTTGCGTGTTGCTTTTCTGATAAATACTGACAAGTCGGCGAGTGAGATCTGCAAAAATAATGCCGCAAAAAATCCAGAACGGAACGAATATTATAATGTAGGGAATAGAATCGGCCCAAGTGAGACGGACGGCGATCAACACTTCGAATATCACCTTGCACACGATGCACACTGAAAAATAATAGTTATTGAGCTCGAAATCGTTCTCTGACTTACCAAACTGTCCGGTGTACACATTTTTGAATGGAAAAAGGAATGTCCAGAGCGCCGAGAGACTGAAATTGTGTCCTCCCGACCGAATGCCCATGTAAACTGTGTAGAACAGAACGGCGAAGCAGGCGGCGTCAGTGGCGAAGACAATGAGGCTCAGGAAGATGTACTGCTTCTCACCGCTCGTGTTATCCTGCAAAACAAAACAAAGAAATGGTTTTGCTGATATTGTAAAGGTTACCAGAAAGAGTGCCAAACAAATAGTGGTGGCAAGAAGGTCCAAGAATACACAGATCGCCTTTTGACCCGAAACCAATCGCATGTTCATGGATTCTATAGGTTTTACATAATAATCTAGTTATTGGTTTTTAACGTCAGAAGAGGACCGCGATAATGAGCGCTGAAGAATGAAGAGAGAAAGAGAGGGGGGAACTGGAGAGTGCGCAGACAAAAAAATGCGTTGGGGCGCGTTTGCATGCGGGATGTCTGGGAGATTGAGTTGTTTAAAAGGTAGAACTATTCTAGCTTTCAGCACTTGCTCCGATGCGACGACATCACACACTCGGTGCTGGCGGTCGACGGATGGGATTCAATTGACAAGATCTTCGAGGCTTCGCAAGAACAGAGTGAGCCCTTACTTCAAATGTCTCCTGTCATACTGTATTTTTCAGAATGCTACTATGTATTGGTAAATTGTGGAGCGACCCGATCCCTCGGCCGCCTCAAAATCCCTCCGGCGGCCACCGTCTACGTCATCGACACACATCGTCCGTATCACATTGAAAACGTGTACGACAACGAACAAATCTACCTGCTGCTCAAGGAAACCGAGCGAAAAGAGCTGGAACTGCCCGAGGCCGAATCTGTTTTCCGCGACGATTTCGACGATTCAGACGAGGACGACGAGGATGAAGACGACGAAGAGCACGTCTCCTACGAGCAGCGAATGGAGAAAATCCGAAGGAAAGCGATTCGAAGAGAGGAGAAGCAGTTGTGGGAGCGTCAGCGGAAGAACATCCTCTGGAAATACTACTCGTCCACGTGGTACAGCACTCCGAGCTGTGTGATGATGTTGGAGTTGGCTGCCGAAATGAATCGAATATCGGCCGAGATGATGTGGTTTACGACAGTCGGCCTGAACAGCGCCTACGTCGATAGATTAGTAAGAGAGATTCTGATTCTGATTCGGAAAAATGTTCTGTTTTCTAGATCAGTATCGAGCTGTACACGAACATTTGCATCGAACGAATGCGTCCATTCGTCAACAAATTCCTGCCCAGAAACATCGTAAATCAGGGAAAAGTGGACGATCTGTTGCACATTTCGTTCGGCCGCGAACTGCCTCTCCTCCTCTACTCGCACTGGGATCTGTTCAATTCGATGATGTTCAACGAGTACTTTGCAATCAAAACCAAGAATTGGACGCAGAAAGGAGACGCCAACATTCGGCACTTGCTCGCCAATCTCGGAATCACTCTGGCAGAGACTAAGCAAAAGTTCGAGGCGCTGCCGACGGAGCAGAGGAATCTCGTGGTCGATGTGCTCGAGAAGGAAATGTCCAAGTCGTTCGCTTCCTTCTTCGGAACTTTGGGATATTCTGGGAAGCTCAGCGCCTACGACGTCGGCTACGCGGTGTCAGTTCGGTTAGAAATTCCAAAGACAGAAGCGGTGAGTTTTTGGCTCTAAACCTTTTGCTCACTCTGGTTTTCCAGCTGATGAGCCGCTTCAACGCCGGTCGCACGACCCTCCTTCAATCGACGACCGGCTCTCGTCAGGAGCGTCTGAATCTTTCGCAAACGTTTACCACAATCTGCCAACGAACACTTCAAGTCGTATGGAAGACGGTGGCCGCAGCCATCAATCAGTCCGAGATCATCCCAAACGGACCGTACTATCTCTTCTCGTGCACCAGATCTATCGGTTTGCCCACGAACTCTCTGAACTTTATCGCAATTTTCCGTTCAGATGACGACATGGTCGAATCGCGTCACTTCCTCTACAATACCACGCAGTTCATGCTTCGCGCGTTCGCTTCGATGAAGAAGGGAAGGACTGCGAAGCCGTTGATTGTGATGTTTCCGTTGAGCGGAGAGAGCAGCGGATGGATGATTGTGACGGGAGCGATGCCGATCGCCACGGATTATGAGGATCACTCGCAGAAGACGTGCATTGGTCGGGCGTTCGAACGGGTCAAGAAGATGGCGCCGGCGCTTCGAATCAACGACGACTCCTTCCATTCGGATGTCATTCGTCTGAAATCAGAAGACCGAACCCGCTTCATCGACTGTCTTCAGTCGGTTTTCGAGGGAACCTAAAACCTAAAACTGATTCTATATAATTTTTTTCGAATCCTTTTCTGCATAAACACACGGGCTCCATTGCACACGCTTTCAGTATTCCATGTTTTATAAGTTTTTTTTTCTGATCAGTTTGCTCGTGATTTTCTCCTACTGTCAGTTGAATTATCCTCGTTTCTCGTCCACGCCAGTCTCAAATGAATTCCGTTCATTTCTTTCTTTTTATTCTACTCGAAATGCTCGCAACTACTAGCAATTTTAGCAGTCGAAATACACCTATTTCATCACGTCGGAAAGTGGGTTCCAGCAAGGCAACCGGTGAATGGAGTAGCTGAATTCAGGAGTCTTACTTTGTCAAATCGACGCCACGTGGCCTGGAGCAGGCTCAGTTTCTGGCCGTCAACAAGGACGGATCCGTGCTTTACGGACTGCGGTTCCGTATTCAACTGAGCATAATCGAACTGCCGGAGCAGGCGCCCGAAGTGCTCACGGAAGCGACGGAAAAGACGGTGTGCAAGTACCACGTGGCATCGGGAAGCCAGCAGACATTCCATCTCGACGACGACATCGATCCGCTCCAGCTGACGCGGATTCTCGAGTTTTACGTGCTCGCCGAGGATCTCGTCGTCATTTTATCCTACGACACGGAGCAATTCCAGTTCACCCAAATGGCCGTCCATCTGGAGAAACGGAAGGCGTGGGCGCAGACTGTCGCCACGAGACGGATGACCGTCAGCCGAGTGGCGGGACCGCCGATCATCAGTCAGAAGAGCCGCGCGGCTTTCGGAGAATTACCCAAGATTTTATAGATTTGAGCTTCCTCGACCGCGGACGGATTCTGCTGTGCGGCGCCCGGAATACGGTGGAAGGGCGGAGCGAACGCATGACTTTGAGCATTTCCGCCGATCCGTTGAGCAGTTGGAAAAGGAAAGACGAGGATTTGAGCGCGTTGGTAAGGGGAGTGTCGGTGAAGCGAACAAAGATTCGCTCAATACCGTGTTCCGAAAATGTACATTTTTATCAAAAACTTATCAGTTTTTGAATTTTTTTGTCAAAAATTGTGTTTTCCTGAATTTTCAGGTAAAATAACGCAAAAAAAAATTCCTCAGTCCGCAAAATTTCGCATTCAGATGGAAGACTTCAACACGTTTCTCTCTTCGCGAACGTCGGAAACCGATGGGAATTCACTGATCGGTCTGTTCCTTCTGGATTTGGACGATGAAAGGATCTCGATTCTGTTGTCACAGTGAGTACGAAGTCCGAAGAGCTCCAAACTCTCCAATTTCAATTCAGAACACTGACGGAAGATCCGAACAGTCCACCGCTCCTTTCGACGAACTTCATCGGTGTAATCGATCGGAAGGACAACAAGTTTTCGGTGAAAAAGATTGACAACTCGGCGATTGCGTATAAGTTCTGTATGAAAGTGAGCTCTATCGAGAATTTCTAGAAATGGCGAACCTCTACGAGTCACCTCGATCGCCAACTTGAAAGTGAAAAACGGAAGTCTTTGGATGAGTTTTTCGTTGAACGACGTGGAAAAGCTCAAGACTCTTTACTGGCGATTCAAGCATCTCTACGTTCGGATTATGCTGTGAGCACTCAGAGTTTGACGATCATCTGAAGACGTTGCAGACGGCTCATGATCATCGGATTCCACGGAAGTCTCTACCTCTGGCGCTTCGACAACGGACTCTCTTTCTATTGTCTCACTAGAATTCTCACTTTCCTCCATGGGTTCGGAACTACAAATCAACATCATCTCACCGTTCCGAGCTTTACTTTTCAGTCCAACAATGATCCCAATCTACTCTCCACAGAGGAAGTTCCATCTGTGTTATCTGAGCATGGAACGGTTGAAATTCTTTCGTTTCAACCATTCGGCTCGAGTTCTCAAAAGCAAGAGAGACCCGAATGACACGGATTTCGCCGTCAACTTCGACGTGGATTCTTCTGGAGGAGCAGTCGTTGTGGACTTTCCGACGGAAGAAGAGAAAAATGAGCAGATGATGTGAGTACTTTTGGGGAAAGAAGTGTTTAGGTATTTAATGTTCAGAGTGAGCTACTATCCAAACCCCACGGAGCCTCAAACCCTGGCAAAAATGACAACGTATTCTGCGTACAAGTATGGAAAACCGTTCAACTTTCAAAATATCACATTTTCAGACACTTTCCGAGCTTTGAAAAGTGCAGTCTCCTTCGACGGATGACGGGTATTCTCGACTGGAAATGGACCGTATAAATCGACGAATTACTAACCTCATTCTGACATTATTTTCTTTTTTGAAATGAATGTTTTTGTGTGTTTTTGTTGAAATTTTTCGAGAACGTAAAATTTTTGATACGGTAGCACTCGCTCGTTTGTGTGCGCGGTCTCGCGACGAAACGGGAAAAGTTTTGGCGCGAAACTTAAAATCGCGCTTTGTCTTGAAAACTATTGTTGAAGCCCTTTCAAAGTTCTAACGAAAACATGATTTTTTTTTTGCAATATTCTCATTTTCCAGCTATGCGTCCCGTTTATTTCATTCTGGGAGCATTTTTCTTCGGAACTCAAGCGGCTCCTCCTGGACTAACCGCCGATGACTCCGTCAACATCGTCTCCAAGATTATCGGTATTTTTACTCAGAAAATGATGCTCAACGCCGTCTGAGGTTCGTTTCAGGGCTCCAATTCAATAAATTTGACGCACTTCTTCACTTCGTTCGACATGCCGACGTGTCTGAAACGATGTATGCCGGCAATGGACAGCATCGGAACGGTTCTGACGGCTTTCAAACAGCCGGAAGAGATCAAGAAGCTGTGTTCGAATCTGACAGAAGCGACGAAGTGCGCGACGGCCGCCGGCTGCAACGAAGTCTTTGTCGGAGCGATTTCAAACGCTTTTCAGTTCATGTGCATGGATAACTTGGACAGTAAGTCAGATTTTTCAAAACTTCGTGAAACATTTGTTTGTTTTCAGAAGTCTCTGGTCAGTTGGCATGTATTCAAGACTCAGCCGGTGACTTGCAGCAAGAATGCGAAGCCACGTGCGCCGTGCAAGCCGATGTGATCGAAAACGCTAGAAAGAATACAGTTGACACAATATTTACCCTCGAGAAAATGTGCAATTCGACAAGCTGTCTCGTCGACTGTTATCAGGACAACATCCAGAAGTATTGCGAGATTGGCGAGGATAATGTGATCGACACGATCTTCTCGCAACTCGAAGCGATGGAGGAGCAGCAACAGCCGGCCATCTTTGCCTATATGAAAAAGGACGACAAAAAGAAAACCGGACTGCAAAAGATTCTTGGATGGATGATGCCGCACGGATGCGACGACGAGAAGCTCAAGATCAAGTTGACGAAAAAACCGACTCTTACGGACAAGCCGAAGAACGTCGGATCGCCCCCAGAAGCGGCGAAAGAAGCACCGAGCCAGAAGACGTCGCCGTCAGAGACTCGCAACAATTCCACCGATTCGGACGCTCTTTTGAAAGCGAAACCTGCAAATGTGTCCTCGGCTGCGATGATGATCAATGGAAAAGTGCAGACATTGCAGTGCGAAGTGTTCGATTCCAAGGGAAATGCCCAGAATGCGCCCGATTTCGAGTCTCTTGCCAAGATTTTGATGGTTTGATTTTGACGTTCTTTGGTAAATTCCAATTCCCAATCTATTCTTTTCAGGAGCACTTCCACATGAAACTGCCTGCAAAGCCTGTCGAGCCAGCCGTCAAATCCGCCCCGGAGAGAGAATGCCACGAAGTGTCCGAATCACAATCCAAAAGCTCCGGAGCCGCCACCGCCGTCATTTCGAGCATCATTCCCCTGGTCGCTTTGAGAATTTTGTAAAAAGAACCTTACTCGATCGCTAACCTTTCTGTACATTTTATTTACGATTGCATGCGAATTTGATATAAATTTGTCTTCTCTATGCCTTCTTCGGCATTGTTCAAGAGGTTGATCGCTCCATATCGATATTTGGTATGCCACCACTTTTCCAACTTCATTTCAATTCGATTTCTCAGCCGAAATGCTCGGAATCTACATCCAAGCATCCGGCGGTAGTGCAATTCTAAAAGCGCCGATGCGCAAATTCACCGGCATCCAAATGCCACGTGAAATGGTTGCCGTTCGCGAATATCACTTCCAAACAGAACAATTTGTAGCGGAGAAAAAGGAAGTGATGGTACGGACCAAGCAGTTAGGAAAAACGGCGAAGCAAACGAAAATGAGGAAAGAGGAGGAGGAGATGGGAAGAGAGAAGAAGGCGGATGGCTCCGGAGGGGAGGAGGGCAGCGTGCCGCAGCTGGTTCGTGCGTTAAATAGGAGAAGTCGTATGCTCCATTAACAGTTGCAGAACGCGAATCACGAGCAAACGGTCAAGTTCATGAGACTGGTGGGCACGAAGGACTCGAGCATGTGGGACGACGCCGGCTCGCAGACCGATCACTCGGAGATGTCGGAGGGCCACTACTCGGACGAATCGCCAGGGGATCGACAGCTTCGCGAGCGCCGCAACGACCTGAAGAAGCAGAAGAGAATCCGGCGTATCAGGGCGATAAACATGCGACACGGCATTGTTGACTAGAGCATTTCTTTGTATTGATATCTGTATTTTCTTTTTTCTTTGACTTTTTTTGAATGTAAAGTAATAGATAGATAACTGTGTTCTCACGTTCAATGATCATGCTTGCTGCCGGTGCCAAGCACACAGTCCCTCCGTTTCACTGTCTGCACTCTATGCACTTTCGTTGGCGTCCATGTGCCGGCCGGCCGCCGACGCCACTCCTTCCCGTCCGTTATCAATTCAGGAGCACCGGTTACTCTTCTCTCTCTCCGTTTTTCACCTTTACTCTTCAACTAATATTCGACAGAACGAATGAGTGTAAAATCAATTTGGAACTCTCTTTTTGGAAAAGTAGATCCAATGGATGTTCCCAATGATGGCCAACCAGAATTGAGGAAAATTTTTTACGAAACGATTGTGAAAGAACCAATTGAAATTTACGGAATGTACCTGACTGATGTCGTGGAAGCTCCCACGAGTCTCCAAGCGGCAGCATATAAAATATGTAACGAGGAGAACAAAGTGTGCTCCGTTACACAGCCCCAATCCGACAATTGCTCTTTCAGGAGTTCTTTCTGGCGGTGGGTGCTTCGTTGACGAAAGAGGCGAGTTATATGTTCAACGCCGCCAACAGCCACGAAGACCGTTTCGAGCGATTTTTTATAAAAGAGGGCACAGACACTTTGATCTATTATTACGATGAAAACCGTAATCGGATGTGCTATCGTCTGGAGAACACTGATTATCGCGATGCGGGCGCCAGCTTCGCGAACTACCTGCTTACACAGTGTGACTATCAAATCAAGGAGCTCAAGCTCGAAATGGTGAGTTGAGCGGCTGTTCTCAGATATCATAAAGTTCGTCCATTCAGTTGGAAAACCCGATTCAATTTTGTCTGGGAAGAACCCTTCCCGTCTGCAGAAAATTCGAGACTACTGATTCACGAGAGACACTTTTGAAGTGGTGGTTGCCGAAGTTCCCGGAGCAAATGGAATTTGTGAACTTTGACGATGGCGTCATAGACGGAATTGACGAAATCGTCGGCACTGAGATCATCAACCTTCCACAAATTATGAATGCCGAGTATCTGCGACTCGAGAAAAAGAATGAGTTCGGAGATGAACAACTTCTGGCTTGCCGCATCAAAGATCTCTCCCTCGACTGGGGAAGAGTCACCGAAAGCGGGATCAACACCTTTTTGACAGTAGGACAAGAAAAGAAGACACCGACAAGAAAACACTTTTCCTTATTTGCAGAAATGGGTGTACGGAGACGGTGTCGAAGGTTTCAAACACGCAAGTTTTGGTTATCCATCAGAAGAAATGTGGCATCTTTTTGATGGTTTAGAAATTAAATTATGGAATGAGGAGTTCAACACAGAGACGTAAGCTCAAAGTTCAGAACGTCAACAATTCATAAAGCGTTGCAGGGACGGATTCTGCGAGAGGTTCCTGAATTTCTACAAGCGTAAGCGTCCGCTTGCCTACAATGACTTCTATCAGCTGCTGAGCAAAAACGATCCTTTCGAGAGTCTCACAGTCGCATTGAACGATTCATTCATCGTCGTGAGTGCGACCGGCAAGCGAGTGGAGACCGAAGACGGAGTGCTCACGCGCTACAGTATTCCCGACAATCCCTACTTCTACAACTAGCTGAGAGTTCTCTACCCAAAGTTGGTTTTGTGTGCCGAGACCAAAGAAACACTCATTGATTTCTCTGCATTTCTCTCTTCTCTCACTTTCGCCATTTTTTGAACTTTGGAACACTTTCAAGGCCAATTTCTGTCTGTTTCCTGTCCGATGTCCGTATTTCTGTATTTCGCCTGTAAAATGTAAAATGAACCTTCTGTCTTACGCGTTCGATCGATTTTTTTCGAGTATTGCACAACATTGCGAAACACACTTTTCGTTCACATTATTATCGTGTTTTCAGTTTTTAGAATCCATCATGTCGAATCCAGAAGACTCAGAACCCAATGACGCCTACGATTTCGCCGTCTTCGATGAGTTCTTTGATGATTTCTCGCGACACGAGCAAGTCGCAAACGCAGGCGCGAAGACAGTGAGTACAATCCCCATCGTCTAGAATTCAAAGTAATTTCAGAGCATTCTGCCACATTGCAAATACATTGAAGGATTTGAAAATTGGCCTCTTATGAACGACGATTGCAAGAAATTGGTGATCGAATGTCTCGACTACAAAACGAGATGCAAACTGGGACAGTGCTCGAAGGCAGACTACGCAGTTGTCCAGAAGACGCCTATTCCTTTGTACAGAATCAGTCTCATCGATTCGGAACGCTCTCATTATTCATTCGAAAAAGAGGAGTTTGTGAGTTTTCAACTACAGATAATCCTTCAATTTCAGTTCCCATTTTCAGGATAACGTTGTGGTCAGCTTCCGATTCGGCGAGGACTACAACACCAGCGAGCGCTACGAGCTTATTTTCTCGCAGATCAGAGAGCACACACAGATCAGATGGCTCCAGTTCCACCCGAAAAAACGCCCCGAGAAACAAAGTGTCACTCTGGAAAACAGCAATTATTACGAGGAAGCGGTGAAGTTCGCGGAGAATATGATAAAAAGGAGCAATGACGGAATCGGATCCATCGTCGTCGAGATGGAAAAGTATCCATTCGAGAAGAGTCGAATCAAGTCGCTTTCCAAGTGCAAATCAGTTCGAGTGACGGCGAACGACGAGATGGACATGCGCTGGTGGCTGCAGAAGGTTCCCGAACAGCTGGACGATCTTGATCTTCTGAGCAACCAGGACAGAGACACTTTCATTCTTTCTTCCGAGTTCCTTTCGATACCACAAGTATAAACTGACCAGAATGCAGCAGGTCAATCAATAATCTTTTCAGGTGATGAACGCTCGGAAGTTCTATTTCTACTGTCGTGCGGCATTCACCGACAAGCAGTTTCTCGCTCTGAAAGCCAAGAAAATTGCGTTCGATTGTGTGAACATCACAGATGACGCCGTCAACACTTTCCTCCGGGTATGTCTCTTGCGAAAAGAACATATATAATCAAGTGCACACTTTCAGAAGTGGGTAAAAGGAGAAGGTGTGCAGCACTTTCAGCAGGTCCTTTTGTGGTCCACACGAGTGCCAGATCAGGAAAAAGTCACCGCCGGATTGGAAGTTCGTCCGTGGGACGAGGCGTTCCGGGAAGAAGCGTCAGTGACTGGGATTTGAGTCAGAACCACCAACGTTTTTGTTTTCAGAAGAGGATTCTGCGAAGATTACGACCGAGTCTGTGGCCGCGGAACAACCTTCCAGATCTGCAGCCGAGTCGACCCGTACGAAAGTCTCACCCTTTGCTTCAACTCCGATCGAATCTCCATTTACGCGACTGGAAAAAAGTACATTTCGAACAAAGAGAATTTCACTTACTACAGTATTCCCCTATGAAACAGTTCTTCTCAGCATTTCATCTAACTTTTTATGATCCTTTTTCTCCAGGATGAATAAAAATCGCATAATCGTTCGAATTCACCCCATCTTGCTGTAATTTCCTCAAAAATGCTCGTTTTTCCACTTTTCTCGTTTCGAAATTGTTCAGACGAGACGCTTCATCGAAAAACTGTTGAGATTTGGCAGATTTTGCGAAGAATGGGACTTTGAATGTTCTTCGCTCTCCCACCCCCCTCGCTGGCTGGCTGTCTCTTCTGCGTCTCTGCCAGCCCGCGCTGGGTACATAGGGGAGTACTCTTCCAAGATGAGAGGCGGCACCCACAGCGCAGTCGGTATGCGCCTCGCACAGGTAAAATGCGGAGGAAGCATATGGGTCTAATGTGCTTTCAACGCGGATCGCGCGTGGAAAACATAGGAATACCATATGGAAGCATTATGCTTGGAATGCGCCGGATCCTTTGTGCTTTCGCGGCGGATGCTTTATGCTTTCCCACCCGAAAATGGAAAACGCGACGCGCGCGCCACGAAACCTCCCACAAACCCGAACCCGTGACCCTTCCCGTATTAATGCGCGCGCTTACCTGTGTTCCCGTCCCTGCTGATGCTGCGCAGTAGCGCTACCAGAGGCTTGCATGACAAAATGGGCGAGCTCAGCGACTAACCAGCATATTAGTAACATAGCCTGGGATGCAGAACAGGCTCAGGCTCCTAAAATCGCTTGTTCTGCATCCCTACAGTAGCATCGAGATTTTTCAGGGAAGACAGTGAGAGAACAAGAAAGTTCAGACTTCTTACCCGTTTTCTTCGGGAACGTGTTTATAATGAGGAAAACTTACAAAGAGCGACAAGAAATTCGCAGAAATGTGTATAAGCCAATGGAGAAATCGTCCCTTTCGAAATACGACTGTTTCGTGCTTGCTTTTTCTGTCTCTTTGTTAGTTTTCATCATGATGAACTCGTTCCCAAAAAAGCAAGTGAAATTAATCAGTTTTCTTCCGACGGCACGCACCAAAAGTTTTGGCGCACAGAAGAAGGCTTGGGAAGCGCGCCGCCGCCCGCCTCCCGTGTGTTCCGAGACTTCTGATGCGTGCTGCCGGAGAAATACTGATTCATCTTACCCGTTTTCTTCAGGAACGTGTTTATAATGATCAAAACTAACAAAGAGCAACAAGAAACACGCAAAAAATTTCCGAGGTTCAGCACGAAAACAGCTAAAATGAATCGGTATTCGTCCGGCGGCGCAAAGAAGGCTTGGGAAGCGCGCCGCCGCCTGCCGCCTGCCACCCGCTCCGCGTTCCGAGACTTCAGATGCGTGCCGCCGGAGAAATACTGATTCATTTTACCCGTTTTCTTTAGGAACGTGTTTATAACGATCAAAACTAACAAAGAGCAACAAGAAACTCGGAGAAATGTGTATAGGTCAATGGAGAAATAGCTTTTTTCGAAATATGGCTGTTTCGTGAGCGCTTTTTGTGTCCCTTTGTTAGTTTACATCATAATGAAGTGACCTATAGACATTTCTCCGAGTTTCTTGTTGCTCTTTGTTAGTTTTGATCATTATAAACACGTTCCTGAAGAAAACGGGTAAGATGAATCAGTATTTCTCCGGCAGCACGCATCAGAAGTCTCGGAACACGGAGAGCGCGAGCGAGCGGCGGGAGGCGGGCGGCGGCGCGCCTCCCAAGCCTCTTTCTCTGCGCCGCCGGACGAATGCCGATTCATTTTAGCTGTTTTCGTGCTGAACCTCGGAAATTTTTTGCGTGTTTCTTGTTGCTCTTTGTTAGTTTTGATTATTATAAACACGTTCTCGAAGAAAACGGGTGAAACGAATAGGTATTCGTCCGACGGCACGCATCTAAAGTCTCGGAACACGGAGAGCGCGAGCGAGCGGCGGGAGGCGGGCGGCGGCGCGCTTCCCAAGCCTTCTTCTGTGCGCCAAAACTTCTGGTGCGTGCCGTCGGAAGAAAACTGATTAATTTCACTTGCTTTTTTGGGAACGAGTTCATCATGATGAAAACTAACAAAGAGACACAAAAAGCAAGCACGAAACTGCCATATTTCGCAAAACGGTTTTTTCCCAGTGACCTATATACATTTCTGGGAGTTTCTTGTTGCTCTTTGTTAGTTTTTATAGTTATAAACACGATCCTGAAGAAAACGGGTAAGATAAATCAGTTTTCTTCCGACGGCACGCATCAGAAGTTTCGACGCACAGAAAAATGCTTGGGAAGCATGCCGCTGCCCGCCGCTTCTGTGGTGCCGCTCGTGCTGCCGTTCGGTTCATGTAGGAACTGCGTTTGAGTGCATTGAGCGAGTTCCTCCATAACTCAAAGAGCATAATTCGTAGAGAATAATGGTCAACTACAAAGTTGATCAGCATGAGATTTACTCCAACTTTTCAGTTGATTACTTCTTCCCGCAACGTTTAGTTCTTGAGATACAGGCTGATGAAAGCAATAGTTCTAAATCTTGCTGCATCACGAAATCTAGTAAAGATATAGCTACGTTGTCAACTAATGAATTATTGATAAAGACATTGCGCATCGTTTTTCAGTTGACAACCTGTTTGCAAGTCAGCTCGTTTTTGTGATACGACCCACTAACTATTTCAACAGCCTGTATCTCAAGAACTAAACGTTGCAGGAAGAAGTAATTAACTGAAAAGTTGTAGTAAATCTCATGCTGATCAACTTTGTAGTTGACCATTATTTTCTACGAATTATGCTCTTTGAGTTATGGAGGAACTCGCTCAATGCACTCGAAGCCGCGACGCATAGCGAGTGATACCGCATGACTGAAAGCATATTTCATCCGTGCGCGATTCGGCAGCCGAAGTTCCCCTTTCTACGCACGCGCGAGGCATATCTTGCTTTTCGCTCGCGGAGGATCCTATGTGGATCCTATATGCGAGCATATGGCATTTTGAGGCATTTTTGAAGCATATGCTTCCTCCGCATTTTACCTGTGCGGCTAACATGCTGAGAATATAGCAAGATACTGGTTCAATTCCTGAGGGTGCCGCATATTTTTGCCTTTTTTGTTTTACTTATTACTTTGGTTTTTTCAGAAAATGATGCTCAACGCCGTCTGAGGTTCGTTTCAGGGCTCCAATTCAATAAATTTGACGCACTTCTTCACTTCGTTCGACATGCCGACGTGTCTGAAACGATGTATGCCGGCAATGGACAGCATCGGAACGGTTCTGACGGCTTTCAAACAGCCGGAAGAGATCAAGAAGCTGTGTTCGAATCTGACAGAAGCGACGAAGTGCGCGACGGCCGCCGGCTGCAACGAAGTCTTTGTCGGAGCGATTTCAAACGCTTTTCAGTTCATGTGCATGGATAACTTGGACAGTAAGTCAGATTTTTCAAAACTTCGTGAAACATTTTTTTGTTTTCAGAAGTCTCTGGTCAGTTGGCATGTATTCAAGACTCAGCCGGTGACTTGCAGCAAGAATGCGAAGCCACGTGCGCCGTGCAAGCCGATGTGATCGAAAACGCTAGAAAGAATACAGTTGACACAATATTTACCCTCGAGAAAATGTGCAATTCGACAAGCTGTCTCGTCGACTGTTATCAGGATAACATCCAGAAGTATTGCGAGATTGGCGAGGATAATGTGATCGACACGATCTTCTCGCAACTCGAAGCAATGGAGGAGCAGCAACAGCCGGCCATCTTTGCCTATATGAAAAAGGACGAAAAAAAGAAAACCGGACTGCAAAAGATTCTTGGATGGATGATGCCGGACGGATGCGACGACGAGAAGCTCAAGATCAAGTTGACGAAAAAACCGACTCTTACGGACAAGCCGAAGAACGTCGGATCGCCCCCAGAAGCGGCGAAAGAAGCACCGAGCCAGAAGACGTCGCCGTCAGAGACTCGCAACAATTCCACCGATTCGGACGCTCTTTTGAAAGCGAAACCTGCAAATGTGTCATCGGCTCGATGATGATCAATGGAAAAGTGCAGACATTGCAGTGCGAAGTGTTCGATTCCAAGGGAAATGCCCAGAAAGCGCCCGATTCTTGCCAAGATTTTGATGGTTTGATTTAACTTTTTATGATTCTTTTTCTCCAGGATGAATAAAAATCGCATAATCGTTCGAATTCACCCCATTTCGCTGTAATTTCCTCAAAAAATCTCGTTTTTCCACTTTTCTCGTTTTGAAATCGTTCAGACGAGACGCTTCATCGAAAAACTGTCGAGATTTGACAGATTTTGCGAAGAATGGGACTTTGAATGTCGCAATTTTGAAAAAAGTGCCATGGCAGTCGAAGATGCGTTCAAGCAGCGACAAAAGAATGCGATGGAAAACGAGGCAGACGCGAAAATATACATTTTTCAGTACAAATTTGTTTCGCGCGCGAAAACTTCTGTTCGCCGCGAAATGACGCGGATTGATCGATCTGCAGCGCTCCGCGAATTCGTTATTCCATTTCTTCTTTTCTTTCAGTATCACAGAGTCTATGACACAAATTAATATTGTCTTTTTTCAGATTCTTCCTCATTCGATTGCCCAAAATGTCCGACTTGAACACTGCTAGCTCTAGCCAAGACCCTTCTCCGGCTGACCCACAAGTTGAACATGAAAAAAAGGAAGAAACCGACGACGCTCCACTGGAAGAGGAGAAGATGTACAAGCTGAAGGCCTCTGACGGCGTGATTCTCGAGATGAGTGAACTCGCAATGAGACACTCGGAAACTCTGCTGGAAACGGCGAGAATACTCGCCAACGCGCCTGATGGCACGGCCAAAGATTACGTTGTGGTGGAGAGCGTGGACGGACAGAGCCTGAAGAAGATTGTCGAGTGGTGCGAGAACTACAAGCACACGCTTCCGACACAGGAGGACGAGGATGAGCACGCTGAGATTGTGATTCCGGAGTGGGACCGCGAGCATTTGAATATCGACAATAAAGAGCTGTTCGATCTGCTTTGTGGAGCCGATTACCTCGGCGTCAAAGGGCTCGTGAACGTCGGATGCAAGACGGTCGCCAACATGGCCACAGGAAAAACTTCGGCGCAGATGAGGGAGACTTTTGGAATAACGGCGGACGAGCAAGATGAGCAGCCCACCGATAATAGGGTAGTCGCGATATGGAGAGGTCCCGGATCGTCCCGCTGAACTAACGAAAAACGAGCTCAGCTTTCTATTCTTGTATATTGTATCTCTATTTCGCTAATAAATTTGCCACTTGTCCAAGGTTGTTTGAATCGAATGAAGAAACCGAATTTACGTCATGAAATGATAAATTGACCGTATCTCTCAGCGGATCCAAATGCGAGAATTCGGTGTGCGAACGATCGAAGCGTCGTTGTAACAAATCAATGGGACAGGGAGAAAGAGAAGGGAAAGGGGGAGAGCGCGAGGGTGTCAAAGCATCGTGCGCTGTGTCAATCAATGCCGAATGAGAGACGACGGACGCCGTTTCGGTGAATGCCTTGTTGGCAGTTTCGTTCGACGAACACGTCGGTCTCTCACTGATCTTTTTTCGATATTCGATGCGTCTCTCCCTTCCTTATGAACCCCATTTGATCCCTTTTGAGTCAGAATTTGCAGTTCTTCCGTCCAAATGTCAATCGACGAAGGTTCCATCGAAAAAAAAGCCAACGGGTTTGACTTGAAAGTCTTCGGTGTCGTTCTAGATGACGCCAAAAGCGCAGAAGAGATTCCTCCGAACAGAACAGCAACACTCGATGAAATCGAGTCGCTTTGCAAGTTCATCGGAGGATTCCAGTACTGGTCGCTTCTCAACGAGGACTGCAAAAAAGCAGTGATCTCTTTCCTCGACTACAGAACTAGATGCAAACTGGAGAAATGCTCGAAAGACGATTTCATGTGTGTCAGCACCAGTTCGATCCACGTTCATAAGATCGAAATCAAGGACAGTGCGCAAGCGCATTATATTAATGACTTGAAACGTGTAGGTATTCATGACGGAGTGAAGCGTATGGCTGCCTAGCTACTCGAATTGTATTTGCTGGCACAGTGCCAGTGTCCATAGGCTGAGGGCAATGTCTTTTTCGTAGTGGAGCGTGTTTGCAGCTAATACGCTTCAGCTCACAGTGAACTAATTCAAACATTGGAGGTCAAAGACATATTTACAGGACAGTGTGCTTGTTCGCGTTCAGTTCACGGAAGAGAACAAGCCCGGCGACAGCTTCCAAGTCGTCTTCTCTCAATTGGGGGACGACACACAAATCAAATGGAGATTGCAAGATCGGGGGAGCACAGGTACGTCAAAAATCAAAATGTGAATTCGCGCCAAATTGAGAGATTCGTTGCGTGGCTACTCAATAGTGTTGATACAGGATGACCCAAATGTATTCTATAGAGCACGTTTACAGCAAGGTACGCTTCTTCGTTCCTGTACAGGAGAGATCCAAAGTTCCGAAGTGTCCTTCTCAAAGACTGCTACTATTATGAGGAGTCGGTGAAGTTTGCGGAGAAATGGTTGAAGAAGTGCTTCTGCCGAGTGAGCAGACTCGTTGTGGAGATGGTAAGAATGAGAAAGAAGTTCATCAGCAACATCAGTCTCTTTCAGTCCGAGATTCCCGACATTTCGAGTGAAATTAAGCTGCTTCCCACGTGCAGCAGAGTTCGTCTTTCTTCTTCTGACGAACAAGTGCTGTGGTGGTGGCTTCGCAAACTGCCCGAATACGTCGACGACCTCGGACTCGTGTGCCCCACTGACACATTCGTCTCTCCGGAATTCATGTCCATTCCACAAATCACAAACGCCAAACAGTTCTCGTTTTGGTGCGATGCTGCTCTCACCGATGAAGAGTTTCTGAGTCTGAAAGCGACAGAGCTCGGTTTCGATCCGGCGCGCATCACTGACGGCGCCCTTAACGAATTCCTGAAAGTAAGGCAGAATAATAGAGGTTCTGAACCAAAGTCGTCATAATTCCATAATAATTCCAGAGATGGTCCCGTGGAGACGGTCCGTGCAACTTCAAGAGCATCGTTCTGTGGTCCCACAAAGAGCGAAACGAGCAAAAAGTGCTTGAAGGACTGTACAGTCGATCGTGGGAAAGCGGCTTCGAGACAGAAGACGGAGTGTAAGTTGCACCTCGGAATAAACTTAGTAAACAGAAACTTTTCTAGAAAACGATTCGTTTCCGATTTCTACCAAAACTGTGGTCTCGGAACGTGCTACCAAGTGTTCAGCTCCGTGGAATCGTACGAAAGCCTAACCGTCTATTTTTCGGACGAACGGTTTGGAGTCTACGGGACCGGAAAGAGGAGGCAAGAGTTGGACGGCACGATGTACACCGAGTACAACATTCCATAATATATTGTGCATGAGCCTTTATTCACATTATTCAAACAAATCATAAATTCGTTCGTTCTATTTCTTTTCATAAAACTCTCTCAACTTCTTGTGGATGGCATCCATCGTCGTGCGTTTCTCCGGGTTCTTCTGCCAACACGTGCCCGTCACGATCTCGGCGACCAACGGCGGAGTGCCGTCCGGCATCTTCATGCGGTAGTCGTTGACGAGAATCTTCGCGCGAGTCTGGATTTTCGTGAGACCCGGATACGGCTCGGCGCCGTCCGCATAAATCTCCCAGATGAGCACGCCGAACGTCCAGATGTCCGTCTTGTGCGTGTACACCTTCTCCTGCATCGTCTCCGGAGCCAGCCACTTGACCGGAACCTTTTCCAGCGACTCTTCTTTGATCTCCTCCTTGTTGTCCGACATTCCAAAGTCCGAGATCTTCAACTCCTGAAAAGCTGTCTATAATTTTGATCCGATCAGATCCGAGCAGAACCATACGTTCTTCTGCGAAAGAAGACAGTTGCGCGCGGCGATGTCTCTGTGAATGCACTTGGATCGTTCGAGATAGGCGATGCCATCGGCCGCCTCCGTCGAGAATCGCAGCTTCTCGGCCGCCGAGATCTTGTTCTTCTTCAGATGACTGAGCAGCGATCCGTTCGGACAATACTCCATGACGATCATGAGCGGGTGCTCATGGATCGCGACGCCCATGAACTTCACCACGTGCTTGTGCTCAAAACCAAAACAGTTTCTTTTCGAGAGCTCTTAGCTTCCCACCTGATACTTGCGCATCAGCCTGGCCTCCTTCATGAAGCGCAGACGGGCGTCGCGAGTCGCTTCGGCTCTCATCGTCTTCACTGCCACTTCCTGCTTCCCGCCGCCCTGGTCCAGCTCGGCAATGAAGACGTCTCCGAAGGCGCCCTCGCCCAACTTCTTGCTCGCGACGACACTGTCGTGGTTGATGAGCCACGGCGAACGCTCCATCGGACGTCGTAGTTTGGCTCCCGACGCAGCGGACACCGGCGTTTTGGTGGTCATGTGCCAGGTGATGAGGTCGGGAATCGTCGTCTCCTGGTGGGTCACTTCGAAATAGAACTTGTTGGTCGCCGGATCCATGTTGAGCATGAAATGGCGGCACAGCTCGTCGGTGACTCGCACAGAAAGAGCCAGCACCACTTTTCCGGGCTGCTGTTCGGTCTTGCGGATCAGGAAGTCGCCCTCCCGCTTCAGAATCGCTTCCGTGTCCTGACGGGACACCATTCCGTGGTAGTACTCGGCGCCTGAAAACTTTGAATGAACGTTCCGATTGCCCCTCGGATGGAGATACCTCGAATGTCGTCGGTGACGGACGCATCGTTCGATGACTTTTCGACGGTGCCCATCTGCGAACTTCCGTCCTTCTTCTTTTTAGTCTGAACTTTCGATGCGCGGCTCTAAAAAAAGACAAATTCCAACTCACTGCCATAGCAAATTGAAATTCACGTTCTTTTCCGCTGACGAAAACTTGAGAACTAATCAATTCTCTTTAAATTCTTTGAATTTTGAAAGAGAGAGAGTTCAAGTTCACGTAGACGTTCTCTTTTCATCAAAAACCTTTATTAGGAAACAAGTGTTTATGGATTCAAAAGAATAGGCATAGTAATTATCGCAAATCTATTACCGACGGAACTTCGAATGTCGTGCGATTCTGCCTTGGATCCCTCTTCCCGGTTGCCGAAATCGTGACGCATTCGGTCGAAATGCAAACGGTCAGACTTTGAAGAGAATCGACTCGGCTGGGCACTTGATAGCACGTTCCGACGCCGTGCAACCTTCCGAATTTCTGGCAGAATTCGTGGCTGAAATAGAAGGAGACGCATGGAGATATTGTGTTTCCACTTACTTATCCTGTTTGAACTTTGGATTCCACTCCCAGAAAGCCAAGCCAAACGTGATTTCCGTGTGATTATCATTCTCGGGCCGAGCGGCCAACAATTCGGCCGTTCCGAAATCTTCAATTCCTCCGCCGTTGACCCATCTCTGAAATGGACAGGTTCGGAAGAGACATTCTTTCGATGGACGAACCCGGATGAACTGATTGATGCCTTTATCCGTAATGTGCATTGAATTGAAGCGAATCATTTTTGATTTCAAGTCGAGAAACTGCTGATCGGTGTACGCACATCTCTCGTGGAAGGAGATCTTCTGGGCGTTCATCAGTTGTGGAAGTGACAGAAAGTCTGCGGAGAGCACGGCGTCATCTCGGTTGCCTTCGTAGATGTGGATGTTCTTTATCTTCTCGGGCAACTTCCCCATCCACCACCGCAGCTCGTTCTCGCTATTCGCTCTAAGTCGAATGTTCTGGCAGAAGGGCAGCGGTTCAATCGAATAGTTCTGCGGCGGGTTGTTCACCATCTGAACATCAATTCCATCCACTCCGAACTTGCACTTCTTCAGCCACTGCTCAGCGCATTTCACCGCCTCTTCCGAGTAGTTGCACTTCCTGATGACGTGGCTGACTGGCGCTCCGTCACGATGACGTTCATAGTCGATCCATCTCAATTGGGTGTCTTCTCCGAGCGGCGAGAACACCAATTCGACATGTTTTCTATCGTCGTCGCAACTGCCGAATTGAAACTTCACAGTTGCGTTGTCCTGAAAATCGTGCTTTCTATTTGGCTGTTCTCCCAAAAACTGAGGACTTACAAAGGGTTCCCACTGGTATTCGAACCTCATTCGCTGGTTATCCGTAAGGGATATTGTGTGAATGTACGCGGGAACCATCTTGACATTATCGTAATCGGATTTCGAGCATCTCGCCAGTCGGATCTTTGTCTTCTCGTCCAGATACCCAATCACTCTCGTCTTGCAAAGCACGTTCAGAAGATTCCACTTCTCGAATCCTCCGATGAATTCGCTCAATTCTTTGATATCCTGTATTCAGTTCCTTTTATTAATTCTTAAGTGACTCGGCTAACAGTTACCCAATAATCTGCAAAAGGATATGGGCCAAATTCGTCCTCCAAACCGTCGAAGTCGAAATCTGTTTCTTCTTCAGCGAGCATTTCAGCTCGCAACCAATCGATAACGACGGGAACGGGAGAAGGGGGAACGTGGAATCGAATAGACAATATCGATTTTGCCAACGAGGATTGCTTGATGGCTTATGACACGATTTGAATACGTCTACGAACTGCCACGAAATGTGCGTACACTTTGGTTTTTCTCTCCTTCTCTCGCCTCTCTTTCTGGCCTCCACTACACTTTTGCATGCAGCCAAAAATGATTCGCGTTCTTTGAACTCGGTTCTTTCTACATCTTTTGCAATACTTTTTCACACTTGTCAAACATTTTCTCAATTCTATAACCGCTTCATTCCAGGTCTCTCTTCGAGATGTCAAACGACGGAGAGCCCGTCGAAAACAACGCCGATGCGTTCGATTTCGGAATCTTCGATGAATATTTCGATGACGAGGTCGAACAACTCGATCCGAACAGGAGAGCAACAATCCAAGAAATCCAGTTGCTCTGCGAGTTTATCGGAGGATTCGCGCACTGGGAGCTGCTCAACGACGACTGCAAGAAGGGAGTGATCTCATTTCTGGATTACAATTCCAGATGCAGACTGGAGAGATGCTCGAAATACGATTACAGAATGGTCAAAGCCACTCCGATTCACGTTTATCAGGCCGATATCGAGGACTCCGAAACGTTCCATTTTCAGTTTCAGGAAGAGGAATTTGTAATTGCGCTCAACTGAGAGATAATTGAATTGGAGACACTTTCAGGAAAATGTGATAGTCCGCATTCAGTTCAGCGAGAACTACACCTCTGGAAATGCTTTGGAGCTCATTTTCTCGCAATTGGAGCAAGACACTCAGATCAGATGGATCAAGTATTACGCGAGGCAGCTGCCGCAAATTCGGAGCGTTCTTCTCAAGAACTGTGACTATTACGACGAATCGGTGAAGTTTGTGGCGAAATGGATGAAGAAAGGCCACTACAAACTGACCAAACTCTCTGTTGATATGGTAGAAATAGATATAGTTTTTGGAAATGATAATATTTTTTCAGAAGAGAGTTTCTACCGCTTCCAATTCGATTCGATCGCTTCCCTCCTGCACCAGGCTCCGTTTGGGTTCGAGCGACGAGGAAGTCTTTCGTTGGTGGCTCCAGAAGGTTCCCGAAGAACTCGACGTCCTTCAGCTGGTCTCACGGAGCGTTAGTAACGATTTAGTACTCTCCCCACAACTCCTGTCACTGCCTCAAGTGATGAATGTGAAAGAATTATACTTCTGGTGCAAAGCAGCCTTTTCCGACGAACAGTTTTTGAGCCTGAAGGCCAATCGGATCAGCTTCGACCCGATTCATATCACCGATGAAGGAATAAATGCATTTCTGAAGGCAAGACAACGTGAAGGATTCTAAAGATTTTTAAAAGACTATTTCAGAAATGGGCGCGCGGAGAAGGCTCGAGCGACTTCAAAAGAGCTCTTCTGTGGTCTGAGCAAGTGCGAGACCAGCAAACGATTCTGCGAGGACTTCACGCTCGGCCATGGGACAATGAATTCTTAGCGGAAGCGTAAACAACTCACGCAGGAGCTTAATCTGAAGCAGAAACTTTTAGACGTGGCTTCACCGATGATTTTAATCGAGTCTGTGGTCGTGGCACGTGCTTTCAGGTCTCCAGCAACGTGGATTCGTACGAAAGTGTCACTGTTTGCTTTGCAAATGATCGGACGTCATTTTATGGAACGGGGAAGAGGCGAGAGTCGGGAGGACGGATTTTCACTGATTTCTCGGTCCCATAATTATGTCTGATGTGCTGCATTTGCTCTTTTAATAAATTTTGCGTTATTATGACAATCTGAAATTTCAAAAGCTGGAAAAACACCCGGCAAAGCAGCTTTCTTCGCTTGGCCGACTTTCTCTCGAGACGGCCTAGAATTCCGGTCAATTCGGCCACCGAGCAAAATTGCGTTTCTGTCCTTTATTGACTTTTTTTCTGCCCTCAAGTCAACTATTTCGCTTCATTTTGATTGTCTTAGTGTACGTAAACAGTAAATGAATTTGTTGAATTACAGCAAAAATGGACGGATCAGCCGAAATCGACGCGTTGGTCAATTCGTCGAGAGACATGATGATGATGACAAAACATGGTTTTTCCGTTCGATTCCAAACCCATTCAATCAGTTTTTGCAGGAGAAAACAATCTGGACAACATGCTGAGCAGAGCGCATCGAGTGGCCGCCCGTATTTCGTCCATGTACAAATACGAGAAAGTACTACAAGACATGCAGAGTAATTCTGATCGGCTCGGCTGAAAAGGAACGTTTTGTGTGATTTACAGGTCTGACGGTAAACGGCAACCGGCGGAAATTGATTCTGAACGATTTGCAAAGGGAAAACAAGCAGATTATGGCGCTTCAGGACGAGAATCGGCAGTTGAGAGAGACGACGGAAGAGTATTTGACGACGATGCGCGATATTCTGGAGTCCCACGCCGAGCTGGAGGCCACCATTCTTCTGTAAATTTCCCTGTATTCGATAAAATTCTATCTAAATACGTTTCAGACGTCGTGAACATCACGAGATCGACGACATCGACAACATCATCTTTGAGATGGCCAACACCGAATTGGAGAATAGTCTGAAGTACGTTCAGAAGTTAATAAATCGGCGAATTGTTATGATTTACAGAGAGAAAGCTCTGAAAATGGCAGAAATGATGGACGATTTGGAGAAAGTGCGGAAGGAGGAAAATCGAGAATTGGCGTTGGCCGTTCAGAGAAACAAGAATTACAAGTGAGCAATTTCTCGGGAATTTTCGAAAACATAATTTTTGCAGAGAGCTCTTCAAAATGGCTTGTTTTTCGAGTCCCGCTGCCGCAAATGTGCTCAGAGCGGCGATGGCAGCGATCAGGGAGCAGACAAACGTCAATGATTCGGAAGAGAAGGAAAACGGGCACGAAGTAGAGATTCCGAAGGCGTCGGATGTTCCTGCTGCTCCAGAAGTTCAGAATGATGCTCCAGAAGTGTCCGAAGAGTCGGTAGATCTCGACGAAACGATAATCCGTCTAAACTGATGAAACGGGCTTCTCAATTGTTCAAATTCCCTGCCAAACATGTAATTATTATTCGCTACAAACCCCAATTATTCAGCCTCCTGTGAATTCGCCCGACAGTATTAGCATGAAAATAATCAGACCGTTTATTTAAAGAAAATAAATTGGGAAAACAAGTTTCATTCAGGACGCGCATATGCTTGGTTAGCCCTTACGTTCTGAATTTGGTGATCGCGGAAGTCGTCCATGTTTCCCTGTTCTTGATATTTTACGCGGAATTTACTATCTTTGTGCGGTCTAACACTCTGGTCCTCGGCGTATTTGTTGTAATCACGACGTTCCACAATGAAGAAGCAGCTGTTTGCGAAACAGTTTCCTTTCTTTATGAAGCAGTCGAGGTAGGAGAAGTAACTGGAAAAGATGCTTTTCAGAGAGGTATCGGCCGTCCGATCTCTCACATTTGCTCCAGCTTTCCTTCATAATATCCATTTTCCTGTTCAGCCAGATCGCACCACTCTGAATACTCGATACCGTACTTTGCTCGGATATCGAGCCAATGGTAGTTGCTGAAAGTATGTAGTGCTTATTTATTTCATTGCAAAGAGAACACAGTATTACCGATTTCCGGACAATCTCAAACCGAGGAACAAGCGTCTGGTTGCTTCATTGAACTTGATCAAATATGCTCTCTCTTGCGGTTTATACGTCTGAAACCATCAATATGCACTATTTTTAACTCGAAATCCACTCACGATTCCGTCGAGCCAATCTTGAGCGAACCAGAGAACGGTCACTCTTTGTAATGCTTGAATTGCCAACTTTTTCATGAATCTGCAAATACATATTTTTCACTTTTTTTTTTGATAATCAACAGGTATTATTTACTCGGAGAAATCGTCGATTCGGAATCTGGCGCATCCGCCGAACGCGAAGATGATAGTCTTGATTTCGAGGTTGGCGTCTTGAAGGATATTCGTCAGATAGAGTTCCATTGTTTGGCTGAAAAGAGAAATGAGGGAAAAGGGGGAAGCGGTGACGCGCTCACAAGAAGGCCGTGCCGAGATTGGTGGGCATGAACTGGACGACGGCGTTGGTGAGGCAGCTGGTGTTGAAGTGAGCGAGTCGCCAATCGGTGAGCACCAGCACACTTTTCACCTGGTTACTGTAAATTTCCGAGAGTCAGAGGGTCGAATGAAGCGGAAATAACGAACTGATGGACGTCGATCGCTTTTCTCGGCTCTTCGCCAGGGTCTTCCTCGTGTTCATCAATGACCTCTTTCTTTTTTTGGAAGGGTGGATACAGCTTTTTCACGGGGCGAAGATACCCGGGACGCATAGGCTCGCTCAACCCCTCCCGCATGTCGCAGCACATTCCAAAAAGCTGAAAAACCAATGAAATTTCGTCGGAAATCTTCCCGAACCCACCTCTCGCTGTGTATAAATGTCGAAAAGTCGATTTTCGGAGATGAAAGTAAAGCGGGGGTCAAAGCGGTCCATCTGCTTTTCGATTGCTTCGCGATGGAAAAAGAAACGCCCGAGAAGATTCTGCTCGTGAAGGCCGAAACCTGAACAAAGGAAATGAAGCGACAGAAGTCACCGGATATTTCTTTACATGAATGCAAGTTGGCTATTGTCAGTTTCTGTGCCGTTTCAGTCATTTCAAGTTGAAAACATGCTAGCCGATCGTGCTGAAAATATTTTAACGATTTGAGTGACAGTAGGCAGTGTCAGTGGTTACCTTCGTGCCCGTCGGAAACGGATCTCCCTGCTTCAAGAGCTCTTTCCATCCTTTCTCAAGGCTGACTGTCGTGTGTGTTGTCATCGGAGAATTGTCGCATTTGTAGAAGTTTCCGTTCGGTTGGACGTACAACCGCATCGTGTTGCGAGGGTCAGTGAAGGCTGAAAACGTCGGAAGTAAACTAAACATCCCATTCCTGTTCACTTACCCACAAACCCCACTTTCTTATTCTTCTTCCAGCTCTCCGTGTACCGATTCTGAACCCACCAGTCGACCAAGGTGTCCGGCGCTTCCGGCCCGTCGTACCGGTTGCCTCTTCTCTCGATCCCAAAAAAGTTTCTCCATTCTTCGGCGTTGTCATGCACTATTTCTGATTCGGAATCCTCTTCTTCGCTGTCGTCCTCTGAACCGCTGCCTGCCGGCTCTTCCTCGATCTCTTCCGTTTCCGGCTCTCGAAAAATGGCTAGGTTTGCGAACAGCTCCCTGGGTGCTACTGTCGGCCGCTCGTTCGGTTCTTCGACCACCTTCTTCAGAGGAGCCGTCTCGAGTTGTTTCATGGCCATCGAGGCCAAGTCTTCTCCGTCGTCACTTTCCTCGTCCTGCTGCTCGTCCACTCTCACCGTTTGAGGCGGAGCAAATTTCTTTCCAGTTCGGACATCTCTAGTGACAAGCATGTTTTTCAAGAGTTCAGTCAGCTGCTCTTTTGCCTTTTCCGACAAAGCGCCTCTTGAAGGGCTCGTGTCTCGGACTGCTCTAACCTCGTTGATTCCAATATTCTGAAAAAGAAGCATAAAAAAATGAAGCTGAAGCAGTGGTTGGGCAATAAAAGGGAATGCTTTCAAGGGTTTATGTCGACGGAGAGCGCGTACTCCCACAATGTGCTGGTCTCTAATAGTAAGGTAGCTCGTGCGAAACGTGTAATTTCCCAAGCTGCTCACGTTGAAATGTTGTGTGACAAAGGCAGAAGTGCATGCCTTCTTTTTTCTTTCAATAAAAACGTTAATCTTTACGAATCCGGAAAACCGTGAAAAAAGAGGATTCCGTTATTGAGCTAAAATGTAAGCTTCCAATCTAACCGACAGCTCCTCCAACAGCTCGTTCTCCACTTCCTGACCGAACTCCCGCAGTTCCATCCTCGTGTTCGCCACGATAATCTGATTCTCCAGCTCTTCTTGCCTATAAATTTATGCTTTACTATTATTAATTCAAGACTACTCACAATCGTTTTTTCCTCGCCAACTCTGTGAACTCTAACGACATATTTTTTACAGCCAAATTCTGGAGCGCCGTATTTCTGGCCTCGACAAACACGTCTCCAATGGCAATGGCGGTGGCTGCCTCTTCTTTCGGGATACTCGTCATCGCAGCCAACACTTCTGCAATCTCTTTCTGGTATTTAACGAGGAAATTGTGCAAGTCTTGATCTTCCGTTTTCGTCTCGTCCGAGACTATGCTCTGATGTTTTTCATTGATGAATCTGACAAGTTGGGCCCATTCTGAAAGCAAGTTATTTGAATTTCGTTTTTCTTTTCCTCATCTCACTTCGAAACCCCTTCATTCTCTTATTCAGAACGCCTTTTCCGTAGCCGTCAAAGTGTTTTTCGAGGCGCGGAATGAAATTTATGAATTCGTTTCTTCCGTCCAACGCCACCGCCATAATTTTTTGTTTGAGCTGCTCGCCGAGTGTCAATGGTTCCAATCCTAAAATTTTTCTGTAGTTAGTCCGAGAATATAATAATATATAATCTATTTTCCAACTCACTGGTCTGTTTCGGGAACCTTCTCTCCTCTTCGGCCTGCCGATCCGCTTCTCTCTTTTGTCTCAGCGCTCGTGCGGCGGCATTTCGTGCCTCTATCGCTCTTTCTCTCTCGCCCGGAAGTTCTTCTTCTTCCGGCTCAGAATCAGAAGATATCAGATTTTCCATTTTTTCGCTGAAACAACGATTTCGATTGGCATATATATAAGATTTAAGATAAATTTAGAAAGCAACACTTTCGATGTTTTGAACATATTCATAGCTCGAGCTGAAAATCAATTTCGCACTTTAACATTTTCATGATTTCCTCGTGCCAAATTCGGATTGTTCATGCATCACTGTCTCCCCTTCGACAAAAAAAATTTTTCGCGCGCTTTTCTTTTTTTTCGCGCGCTCAGTGTCGATTTACGGGATACGGTTTTTCAACTAAAAACACTGTCTTCCCGAGTTTTTGGGATTATGCACAGTTTTCCTACAAAACGTTTGCCTCACGTTTGTTCATATGACCGATAGCTACAAAATGATCACAGAGTGCTCGTGTAAAAGTGAGTGAAATTCGAAGAGTACTCAATTTCGTTTTTAAAATTTGGCTTTAAAAAAAGGAACTTTCGGAAGTTTTGAGAAAACAGTTGACAGAATCAAAACAAAAAACAGTTGCCTCACGATTGTTGCCATCACGATTGATCACAGCTGTCATAGACAATTCGGACAATCCCTGTTTTACTTAATTTTCCTTATTTTGGGATGAAATTTCGGGTTTTCGCAAAAAATCCAGAAATTTCAGACCTGCTGTTGTTTTCAACAACACTCCGTTTTAACGCAGGCGCTCAAATTAGTATTAGCCATTGGGGAGACAGTGATATGCACTTTTATTAGACGCAAATGATGTGGTAGTACGCGTACGTACGTGTTCATGTGAAACATTTTGTGTCGGAATGAGAGAGACAGATGCCCGGGCGCTGTTTCAAAAAATCGTTGGAGGCTCGGAATCAACTATGATCAAATATGACCACGAACAACCGTTTAGAAAGTGATAAACAGATTTTTTCAGGTGATAATGACTTCTTGGGAAATATCAGAGGATATCCGTGACCGCAAAGTTGATGCTTCAATTAAAATGATATTTTTTGGCAATAAAAGCTATAGAAACAACAACAACAGTGAAAAACGACGAATTAGATCTTCTGCGCAATGATAATGTAGTTTCCTTGCTCTTTTTCCACACTTATCATCTCACATCCATCAACGCTTTCGACCAAATGCTCGGCTTCTCCTTCCCGGAACACGTGGTAGTAGCGAAGGAAAGTTTCTCCTTTCTGATCGATCGTCCACGGAACCAGCACGTCCTGCTGCTCGAAATCCTTCCCGTCGTGCACTTTCAGTCTCTCCGACTGTCCGCCTTCCGATCCTTCCGTCACAACAACATCATCCTTGTTTTCTCGCATCTTTGCGTATTCCGACTGGCTCTGATCCATCGACCACACTGTCACACATATCTTTCCGCCCGTTTTCACCACTCTCAGCAGTTCCTCAATCATCCGTTTCCGTCTCTCGAACGTGGCGATGTGATGGAGGACGGCGATGGAGATGGCCGCATCGGCGGAAGCAGTTCGGAACGGAAGAGCCAGGGCGTCGCATCGTGCCACGTGACAATCCTTCTTGCGGGCGATTTCGCACAGTCCCATGCACATGTCGCAGCCTATTTTGTGCAGTCCGTCCTTTGGAATCAGGTACTTCCCGTTGCCGCACCCGACGTCGTACAGGAGACTGCCACGTGGGATCTCGTCGATGAACTTCTTCACGGCCTTCCAGCTCGAGTGGCGGGTCTCGTCGAAGTGAGATGCGATGTTCTCGTAGACATCCGAAACGTACGAATTCTCGAGCTTCAGAGCCAGATCCTCGCTCGAGGGCACACTCATTTCACCTTTTCTGTCCCAATCGCAAAACTCTTTCCACTGACATTCGCACGGCCTCCTTCTGATCTTTCTCAACGTCAACGAGACCCTCTTCTGCCTCGGAATGACTCTATTCGTTCGCGGATCCACATCATATTTCCGATTCACAATTCCGTGTTTCCATCTATACCTCGACTCGCTTTGAATCAAACACAAGCTTCTCGCTTTCAGAAGGACCGGGGCGATTCTCGCAGAGTTGGCGCCGTCCTTGAACTCCATGACAACGTCGGAAAGCAGACTGATAGAGACGATCGGATCCTCGAACGCCGAGTGCGTGTCATAATGCGAAGGGATGCCGTGGCCGGGTTCGTAGACGTTGGCGGTCACCTGATCCGGCCGCTCTCTCATGTAACCTTCGGAAATGAGACGGTCCACAATCTGCTCGATCAGCTGAGGGATCGGCTCTGCCTCCTTCCATTCGGACGCCGAATTGGTGCTGTAGTCGAAGACGTGTCCGAAATGAACGACGGCGCGATGTTTCAGCGACTGAACTGAAAATTCACAAGAAATTATAACGTTTTCATTGAAAAAAAACCATTTGGATGATTGGTCAGAAGATTCACGAGCTCTTTTTCAAGCTCTTCAGTCACATAATCCTCAATGATTCCTAGATCGGCCGGTCGGAAGTCTTCACACTTTTTCGCTTCCGGCACTGAAAAATCAGGCTATTTTCTCGTCAGCTCACAGTATCTCTTACATTTCTCAACGAATGAGATCACGAACGGCTGATGCGAACTTTTGAGAATCGGCGGAACGAGTCCGTGGAGCTCCGCGCGGACATGGACTGCCGCTTCGACGGAAGAGCACTGGACGAACGAGTAGGAGCGTTTGTTCGGGTAAACAAGGAACTCGGCGTGTCCATCGAGAGGAAGGAAGATCGCTTCGAGCTCTTCGAGGGAAACGCCGCAGAGAATGCTGCTGTTGCTCACGAGCAGAAACTGCAAACGGGGAAATTGGGCTCAGTTTCAGAAGAATTAGAGTACTCTAGTTGGTTCCTTCGACACTTCCACATCCGGATCGTGTCTTTTCAGCTGCTCCACACTTTTGTGCACTTTTTTCGCCAGTTTACCGCCCTCAAAACGAGTGCCCATCGGTTTCGCCTTCTCTTCGTTGAAATCTGTGAAAATTCGAAAGTTTTTCAATCAATGATATCCGTGTAAACTCACACATGGATGTGGCCGAGCTGGGTGTTCTAAAGTTTTGAAGTTTTAGCGGAAAATGGGAAAAACGTGTAGATATTGAACGTGGAAACGAAGAGAAAAAGTTTGGAAATTTTTTAGCAAAGAATTTAGTTTTTTTTCCAAATTGAAAATCGAACAAATCAACAAAAAGACTAGAACTTCAACAAAATGTTTAAGAAGCCTCCGATCTAATAACCACACGAGGCCTCCTTCTTTCTCTTTTCGGCCTGTTCGCCTCATTATTATTGGTCCATGGACCCAACGAATCGTTCGAATAATAGTCCATCGGCCAGTGATCATTGGGCACGGAAATCTGAAAATGCATCAAGATGAAATGTTGCGATAATTCGGGAGGCTTACATTCTCAAGGGCAACCGCCAACTCGAACGGGTAAAGGAGCGGTTTCGGGAACTGAGTTCCCCAGTCGATGGACAATCGGGGACACGCCACCTGGACCCAGCAGTCGACCTCCGGGAACATCGCCAGTTTTTCTGGGAAAATCTCGGAGAGCAGCACTCGCAGGTACTTTTTTCCCTTCCGTTCCAACTGCACTTCGAGCTCTTCGATCACCTTCAGATTTCCCTGCCTTCCGAGCGTTCCCTGAATCAATCCGAACGTCCGACACCTCTTCGCAATGTCAATCGCGCCCAACCGGTTCTTCCGCATCAAATCATGATCGTATCGCTCGCGTGTGAGCTTCCGTGAGTATGGATCGTACTGGAATGCTTCGATGGACGGATTGTGAATCATGATGGACTCGAGATGGAATCGACCGTCGCCGAGATAGACAATCGCGTCGAATTTGGAGGCGTCGAGGCGCGGAGACGTGCATCCGAGCACTTCTCCCGGGGAAAGAGGCTTGCATTGCGGGATGTCGATGTGGATGGAACTGTCTTCGGGAGTGTTGAAGGTTGTACGAAGGGTTTGGAGCGAAGGGATGAACTGGACAGTGCTCACGACGGCAAGACGTTTTCCCTGAAGAACCAACTTAAACTGCTTTGCTCAGCTCAATCGCACCTGGAAATTCTCGCGAACACAGTCGATTAAATGCGAAAGATTGATGTGAATATTGACGAAAACGTAGAGCATCGCAATTCCGTCGGTGTTCTGAATGGGCACGAGACACGAGTGTCCGTAGTGCACCAGTAGATCGCATCCCATCGATTTGGCGGTGTAGTCGTCGACACAGCACGCTCCGTACGTGACGTCGCCCATGATGACAGTGTCGCAGCCCGTGTACTTCTCCAGAATATCGGCGATGACGCACGCGTACATGATAAGTCCTTCCGGGAATTGAAGTGCCACGTAGGTGCTATTCGTCGAGCGGATCTTCCAAATTGTTTTCGGAACTTCGAAAGTGTAGTTTGAAGGGAGCTGCAAGGTTTATTTGAAAAAAGAAAGCAATTTTCCGCTCACAATTTTCAAATCTTCCTTCAAATTCGGATCATTAGCTATCTCTTCCACGAGAGTTGAAATTTGCGCCGCCCGTACTGCCATCTTCAACTTCATCGTCAAATGTCAGAATTTAGGACATTACAACAAAATATTATCGAAAAGAAACGATCATGTGACCTTCGGGTGCCTTGTTTTCGGAATAACTTTATGTTGGCGCAATATGAGATGAGAATAGACAGTACAGAAAATACCAAAGCTAAACAGATTGAAACGAGTGCTACAGAAGATGTTTGTGAATGAGAACGAGAGATCTGCAGCACCATCCAGGAAAATAAAAAAGGGTCAAAATGAGAGAATGAAGGATTATTTACACGGATAAATGTAAAAACAATCGAGGAGGGAATGATCAATGCGAGTAGTGACAGGTTAGAGATGGGGAGAGTGGAATAGCTTTAGGTTTCTGACCGCCAGATCATGATGTTGTTGTCCGGCTCGAGGGCTCCGGAAGCGATGAGATTCTGGAGTGGGTGACAATCGGAGGCGATGACGGGCTCTGTAAAAAAGACAAGCAAACTTAATATTTATGGATAAACGGCGTACGAGTGTGTCCTTCTAGAGTTTGGACTATTTCCTTTGTCTGCAAGTTCCAGATGTAAATCTTGTGGTCTTCCGATCCACCGATGATCCATTTCCCGCCAGTCACCGAGAAATTCGCAAAGATGCAGTACTTGCTATTCTCGTGACCAGTGTACTGCTTCAAACTTTTGGCCTTGGTGAAGTCCCACAGCTTCAGGGTGCTATCCAGGTTCGAGGCCAGAATGTACTTTCCGTTCGGCGAGAACTTCACGAAAGCAACTGGTGGGTTCTCGTCGTCCACAAGAGTCTTGACACATTGTCCATTTGCGGTGTCCCATATGCGCACAAGGCCGTCGTAGGATCCAGAAGCAATGAGGCTTCCATCGCGGTTGAACGAAACTGCGGAGACGGGATCCGAATGAGCTGGAAGAGTCTTCATGCACATTCCAGTCTTGACATCCCAGATGCGGACGGATTCGTCGAACGATCCGGAGACGATAAGCGAGGACTGCGGATTAAAGTTGCAACAGAAGACGTAGTTTGTGTGGCCTTTCAACGTCTTCTGGCATTTTCCCGAATTGATTTCGAAGATCTTGAGCGTTTTGTCGTCGGAAGCCGAGACGATGCATTTGCTGTCAGCACTCCACGCGAAATCGTTGATTCCCAGCTTGTGTCCAACGAGCTGAAAGTTCTTTTTATTTATGTCTAGTAACTGTCCACTTACAGTTCTTTCTTTCGACATATCTTCCATCTTCCAGATATTAACAGTCTTGTCGGCGGAGCTAGTTCCCAGGTACTTGCCGCAAGGCGAGAATTTGACGGCCGAGATAGATTTCAGATGTCCAGTGAACGTAGCGACCAGTTTGTAGTTAGCGGATCCTGGCACGGGGGCGACTGAAGCTGCCGCAGGAACTGGTACTTCAGCCGGAGCTGGAACGATCGCCGGCGGAGAAGAGGCATCCTGAAAAGACCTTGTCTAATCCATAAATTCATCTGAAAATCGCTAAAAACAAACAGGGACAGCGGCGGAAGCGAGAGACGCGTCTCCAGCTTGATTCGTTTCCATTTGTTGCTCAGCCGGGGCGATGGCGTTCTGCTCAACCATTGGGATAACTGCCTCCGATGTGTCCATATCTGAAAATAAATAGAAAATGCGAAGACAAAATGAGAAAAAAGGGAAGAATAACAGGAATAGGGATAATCAAAAGGTCCCAGAGAACGTGTTCGGCGAGTTGGATGCATTGTACGCAACGCGGTGTTTACACACTTTACACCAAAATCGACGCGCACTCACGTCAGGATATTGAGGCCGTACCGTTTGGGCACGGTGATTCTTTGCGAGGGTGTAGTGAGAAACCCGCCGCGAACTCGGCCACCATTCAAAGAAGGGGCGTGGTCTTGCGCAATTGCCGCACGCAATTTTGCAAGTTTGGCGCGCGCGCTTTCTGTTTAGCCGCAATTGTTTCTGACAGCATTTTGAAGACGTTCTTACTGCTTTTCAGGAATATTACACAGCGCTGTTATTGGTTTTTGCTGTTGGCAATTTTTCTCTGTTGATAACAATTACTAAAAATAATAAAGCTTCTATAAACTGCGTTCTTTCATTTTTGAGATAAAAAAAATACAAAACTCAGCCGAAAACAAGCATTAATTGACAGAGAACAAGCGCTAAAATATGAAACAAGCGCGAAATTCGTGAAAAATTCCCCATGGCCGAGTTTCTTCGGTTCGGCCTCCTGGCCTAACTTCTGGCGTGGCCTAATATTTCTTGTTCAGCCGGGGGACTCGGCGGAAACCGTGGCCTAGTACCACGGCCTGCGACCCCGGGGCAAATGGACTAGAATTTTCCTCGTCACCCTCGCAAAGAATCACCGTGTTGGGGAGAAATGAGGAAACGAGAGAAACTAACTATAAGAGGGGAAATTCGAAAAGGGGAGTCGCGAAAACGGGAGAAACGAAAAGGCGAGAAAGGAGCAGAGCTTCAATTGCGTGCGGCCAAACTGGAAAATCATGCCGCATTCATGCGCCCACAATGCAAATTATGGCTGACTGTCGCTTTATCGGCTGTCTGAAGGAGAAATGAGATTTCTAAAGAGGAACATAAACTTCTTAAAAATAAGAATAAGACAAAAAATTAAAAAATGGCTCCGGGACATTTGGAGTTCGAACATTTCGAAATCGCACTGTGCACTGTCTCCCTTTCGACGAAGAAAAATTTTCGCGCGCTTTTTTGCGTGCGAACGCGTCTCAGTGTCGATTTCCGGGATACGGTTTTTCAACTAAAAACAATGTTTTCCCGAGTTTTTGGGACTATGCACAGTTTTCCTTCAAAACTCTTGCCTCGCGTTTGCTCATATGACCGATAGCTACAAAATGATACAGAGTGCTCTTGTAAAAGTGAGTGAAATTCGAAGAGTAATTTCGTTTTTTAAATTTGGCTTTAAAAAAAGGAACTTTCGGAAGTTTTGAGAAAACAGTTGACAGAATCAAAACAAAAAACAGTTGCCTCACGATTGTTCAGCATACTAAGGCGGTCATTTTGAGCACAGAGACGGCCCATAAAATGCAAAAAAATGTCGGAGAAATTTCAGTTTTTGAGGATCCGGACTGAAATTCACAGAAAAGTGTAATAATGCGCGCTTTCTTGTGGGCAAATGTGGGCAGTCGGCTAAAGTTTGAAGCGCAGTCTCGGATAAAGATGCATCCGTACCAGTGCTGGAAACGTGGGCCTAAAATACTTCAATACTTCAAGTCTAAGAAGCTTGTAAAGTTTGGGTCCGATCGGAATATTGCAAAGGGGACAAAAGTACAGACACTTCTCAGACTAGTTTAGAGCGGTTTTTATCATCCATTCTCAAGAAGTCCGACCAGGAACCATTGTTTTTCTGAGGGTACCTTTCTTTATTTTAGGGAGCCCATGTTTTTCCTGGAGGTCTGACAGGGACCTTATTTTCTTATTTATTTTCATCATTTTTATTTTATTACACTGTCACTATATAAACCAAGTCCAACGTTCATTAACCATCTCTCTCTCTCTATCTCTTCCTTCCTCTGACGTTATTGCTATGCATTGCCTTTTTCGTAGTGAATTAAATTAATTTTTCCCTTTTCATGTATAGAATTTCTATAAAAACCTATCGCAGTCGAAAAACGGTGCACGTCGTTAATATTTTCTTTTATTTTCCGCAAACTGTTAATTGAATCTGTTTAGAAACGCATATTTTGAACATGTCAAAAGTTTCAGAAGGTACGAAAGCGAATCAACAAATAGAAGGATCTGTAGAAAGCAGAGAATCGAGGTTTGTGTGATGAAAAATATGAAAAATTCTAGAGAGGGGGAGAGAGCGAATAAAAGTAAACGAGAGCTCAATCGTCATAATAGAAATATTCCAGACGTTCCGTTTGCGCCCAGTCTGGTAGCTGACGGTCGTTGGCGAAGGCTGTTTCCAGTTCCGCGACCCCGTCCGCCTCATCTTCGACGTCGTCGTCGTTCTCGATGTCCAGCAAGAAATTGTCGTCAACATCATCACCATCTTCAAATTCGGCGAGCTCCTCACTCTCGCTCATCAAGCAGCTCGCGAAGTGAGTTTTCCGAATTTTCGATATGTGAATACAACTTTCTTGCAGATGAGGCAGAAAATGCGTTGAGAAAGTCGAGAGTCGTTATCCTCACCTGAAGGTGAGTAATGTTATCAGATAGTTCTCCTAAAAAACCCACTTCCGGGAGTGTAGAGCGTGTCTCTTACTCTGCACGTGTCTTTTCGCTTGGCTCCATTCCAACTCGATGGGACTGAGAAAGCAGTGATAAGGAGGAAGTCTGACGACTGTCATCCCGAGAGTTCTGGCATACTCGTCCACGACAAACTTTTTGCAGGCCCATCTGCCCCCATTGGACTCAGGGCGCTCTTCAATCCGGCGATAAATCTCATCCTTCCGCAGTTTTGCATTCACAAAAATGTCCTTCGACTCCAGTCACTCGACCATCTCCTTTCGTGTACAGGAGAGTCGCATATTCGGCATTCGCTTTGCTTCTCGATTAACAGGAACCGCCATTCTGCTCTGAACAGCGGAGCCTGAAACTCCGAGGATTCCGGCACACAAGTTGATGGCACTATCAAAAATTGTTCCCGACGACGATTTCCCGAGTTTTCCTTTGATGAAAGAAAGCGAAGCGATCGCGTTGCACACCAGGTCTTCTTCTCCTCTCGCCCGAATTTCTCCTTCCAGTTTTTGATGTGCGGGCAGATCGGATAACTTGATACCCATCAGCGTCCTTCCGAGATCCACGGCCACTTCGTCTCTCTGCAAGCGTGCACCCCCAGGTAAACTCAATTCATCGCTATTGCCCCTCGGTGTTTGCAGACGCAAGCCAAAATTTCCTGAAATTAGGCTTGAGTCTGCAAACACCGAGGGGGCAAGAGCGGTAAATTGAGTACTCTGGCATTTCGTTATTAATATAACGGCGGCCTAATAAGATTGATATGATACCTAATTATAATTAGGTGTCATATCGTTTGAGAATGTCTTCAGAAGAGTCAAGAAAAGTTTGAAATTTTACCTGAGTAGATTAATAAATTGTCTAGCTAGATGTATAAATCTTCTAATTAGATTAACAAGTGCTCAAATCAAGTTTCACGCCAACCGTCTGCTGGCTCAAATCTCGATTGCGCCAAGAAAAAACAGTCCAATCTAATTAGGTCGCGTTTAGATCATTAACTTTCTAATTAGATTAATATCGAATTGCTAGAGTATATCGAATTGCTAGAGGCTGGTCGAACAGGCGCCTGCTTTTCAGGCATCTGTTTTTTAGGCCCCTGTTTTTTCAACACGCCGCTGCGTCCCTGCGTTAAAACAGACGTTCTGAAAAAACAGGCGCGGGCGCCTGAAATCGCCTGTTCGACCAACCTACCCCCAGGCATGTTTTCACATTGAAAAGAAAAACGAGTCCTCTGATTTGTAAACTGTGTTTTTTCCCGGAAGACGGCAGCCGGAAGACGGAACAAAAAATCGTCAATGCAGAACCTTTTTCTCCGGTTTTTTTTTTTTGAAAAAATAACTAAACAACAAAAATTTTGAATCTGGGTCACTGCCCGTGGACATTCGCGTTCTTCGTTGCTAGTAAATGGCTTCTGAAAAGCTATTCCTCTTTTACGGTAAGAAGAAAAAATCCCGAAAGACGGCAGACGGAAGACGGAAGAAAACTTTTTTCCCGGAAGACGGCAGACGGAAGATGGAACAAAAAAATCCACGGAAGACGAAAGACGAAAGACGACAGACGGAATTCCGCTCAACTCTGAACGCTAGGCGTGAAGTGGACAAGAGGATGTGGCGGAAGAGTCGGCGACGGTGGCGGCTGTGAAGGGGGAAGAGGAGACGCCAGGAACTATTGCATAATTATTCGTGTATTCTCGTGATTGAAATAATCGGTATCGTCAATGAAGAGCATATGAAAGATACTTCGTTTTATTCGGTCAAAAAGTGAGTCGCAGAGTGGACAAAGTTATTCGTCATCGTCAGAATCCGGAGGCGGAGCTTCACGATAGATAGCGGCAGGGATTTGCCACGCGCCACGGAGTCTATGAAGGGGGTGTACACGCGGTCTGGGGTCGTCGGCCAGTCTCTCGACTTCCGCTTGATCTGTTCCTGACGGCGTTTCCCACTTCTTCAGCACCGTCTCTTCAGGCATAATCACTTCAACACGCAGATTCGCAATTTTGGGACCGTAGAAACCTCTCCAGTACTGGCCATCTCTGCCCTCGTTTTTGATGATCAAGTGGCGAAGTCCGGAAGGATAATCGTCGAACTCCAGGGTCCATTCTTCCCATTTCACTTCTAAAAATTCCAAATTATTTTATTCTTTTTTTTTTCTAATTAAGCTCACCACTCCACTGTTCCCATTCTTTCCTTATTGTTTTGCACTGCGGCCCCGATTCTTCGGATGGGCTCGTCCACGTCGCTTCCTGCGCGTTCAACTGAGCCGCAAAAGTCAGCGACGCCGAGCAATCGTGGCGATGATTGACCATTTGGGTGATTCGGATTTTCGGACGCACGTAGTCCATCACCCAATCATCGATTCCAGAGTTTCTCAGGTCGACAAAAGCAAACATGTAGGAAGTGGCGAAGGAGAAGGAGAAACAGTTGGTCACATCTGGATGGTGTTCGCAGCTGGCTCCTCCGTCGGACTCCATTTGAATTCTAAACCGGACAAATTGCGAGAATCTGGCTCTGAGCTCATTTACTCACCCACTTCCAGCACTTCTGATCAGAAAATCATCGTTACGAAACGTTCCCGTTCGCACTTGATTCGGTTCGCGCTGAAAGAGCGGTGCAAAATCGCGTTCGTATGAAGCATATCCGCGACCGGAAGCCACCTGAAAATAGATTTGCGAGTAAAAAAAGTCCCCAGATGTTTTCTAACAATTTGTTTTATATCAAAATGGAAGTGTGTTGTGTCGATTGCGCCGTCCTCATTTCCTTTGAACTTGTTCTGAGCAGCAGCCTTTCTCCATGTGATCGACGGAAGAACGTCCTCGATTCCTTGATATCGAGCTTTTTCGACCCAAAACGAGTCGACTTTCAGCAATTTTTCGAATCGATGACACGCCTGAAAATGAAATTACGTTTTCGACAGCTTTCACAGAAAATTATACCAGCATGCAGTTCAACAACGATTTATTGTCGAGTCTTTTGAAAATTTGCGTGAAGCATTCGTCGGTGACATTTTCAGCATCGCTAAAAGGAAATCGATGATTGATATTGAAAATCTGGAGCTTTTCGAGCTTACATGAGAAGCAGGGGATCCGGTTGTCCGAGGAGACGAGCCATGAATGTGTTAATCACTTGAATCATTACGGAATGGCAACGGGAACCGAAGAATTTTCGGTTTTTAAACAAATGGTGAGTCAGCCAGTGGACAGGAGACGCAGGCGGAGAGTGAGTTACGAAATGGGAAGGGGCATGTGATGTTGGAACGAAAACAGAGAAAAACACGTCGACGAAATGTTCTGTAGGGAACCTTAAGTACGAACTGGGTTTCTACTTAATAGTTCTAATTCTGAATTCTTCTCACTGGTTTTTAGGCTTCCTCTTCTCCGGCCGCGGATCGATATTCTCAAGGGTCCCCTTGTGATTCTCTTCTTCCCCCTATTCACAACACTGCTTCTGAACGAAACGAGGTCTTCAATCGAATGCCCCACTTCCCGCATTTCCCGGTGATCGCCGGCGCCAAGGTCACTCGCATATCCCATTTTACAAGTATCTCTCAATCCGTTTTCACGGCTTCCGCACGAAACAACAGGCGCCATCTATCACGACCTGCCTTTATCCGAGAAAATGTGTGCGATAAAGATGAAAACCCGTCAATGTACAATGTCAAGTTAGTGTGAAGGTATATATATATACAAGAAATTAGAATGATTCGTCGCGTTCGGTAGAGGGAACCGCATCATAATCGAGTCGGTCAACGGCCTGTAGCACTTCCTCCTCTCTCACTTCCCTCGCCATCTCGAACTCCGCCATCGGATTATCGATAGTCATCGGAGCACTCGGTCTGACATTCCTTGTCGCGATACTGGTCAGCGGCAGGTTATAGTCGGGCGCGTCGAACGCAACATGCGAGCTGAAAGCACTTCGCTTTCGACGCTCCTCCTGTCCCTCGTTGAGCGATAAGAGCGCCTGAAAGAGCATTCCACTTTACTTTCCGCCGTCTCTGTTATCAATGCGCTACCAGCTTGATAGTGATGAAAACGTAGATGAGAATGATGGCCAGTATGTTGAGGTAGACTGCAAACATGATCCGTGTCGCCTCATCCTTCTTCAGCCCGGTCATCAAGCCGTCCGACGATTTGCGCGACGTGGCCTAAAGACGGGTGTGTCAATATGGCCCCTCCCACCAGTCGCTATTATATACTTACTGTGCCCTTTCCGAATAGACCTGTCGCCGAGTCAAACATTCCCCTTGTTTTCTCAGCTGCAGTATTCATCCAGGTCGGCACTTCGACACTCTGACCGAACAATTCGATACTATCCTTCTGTAATCGCCTGTTATTTTTACATCATTCACTCTAATTCCTCTATCAACCTTCGAGCGCAATTCCGCAGTCACCGGGCCTTCCGAAAGTTCGGACGCATTTTGGTTCTTCACGTAGAAGGCGTCGGAAGAAATGGCTAGTAGAACGAGCAAACTGAAGCGTATCCAAAACATTTACTGAAAATAATTATCACATTTTGAGTGGAATTTTTGTAAAAACTAAAATTTGAAACATCTTGTAAAACTCCGCGATAGAAATCAGTTTATTCGAGAGGAGTTTAAATTTAAAACCGTGTCGAGACCTAATTCACCTGGCTAACTGTGCGCCTTTAAAATTCAAATTTTAGGCGAGCTTACACAGTCGTTCTTCAGCATTTTTCCAGCCTCGTTTCAATTCCAATGTTTGTTTGTCATGTTAAAAATTTTCTAAATTACCAAGAAAGAAATTTTTCCAGTAATAATTGTCGGTTTGTGCAACATATAATTTGTCTGCATTTCTTTCTCCTTTCCACTCCGATTTTCCAACGATTCACTCGAATTTCCATATTTCCCACGATAAAAAATATTGCGCGTGAATTATTCATCGCGGGGCCATAAACAGTCTCCACGACGATGGATCCACGTGTTCAAACTGCGCTCGGCGGAGGATGACGTGTAACAACTGCACACCGTCCACTCTCCTTCGCCCCTCCGCAGCAGTCCTTCAGTCTTGCGTCTTGCCGGGCACTTTTCTCTTCCCTCTCGCTCGTTACAACGTGTGTGCGTTGCCCCGTCGCCCGCTTCTTTTTCTCTTTCGATTCGCTCCCGCCGCTGTGTGTGTGACCAGAGAGCCCTTTTTTCGAAGTTGAACTGCGTCCGTGTCTGTCAACAGACAACGTTCGTATTGGCCGTGCCAAGTAACGGCTAGCGCGTAGTTTACTCACTCAATTGATTCTCGACTGTTCTTCGTTTTTGAAAGCTCTCACAGTCTCAAACAATCGATTTTACAGGTAATTATGACACCATCATACTCCCTTCTCTTCCTGCTTGCCGCTACCATCGCGGCCGTAACTGCCGAGAGCGAAAACGTTCTCGTTCTCACAGAGGTATTCTAATTCGAAACTCGTTCCCAGTGGTTGATTTCTTGGTTTTTAGAGCAACTTCGACGAGGCTATTAATGGAAACGAATACATTCTGGTAAAATTCTACGCTCCATGGTGCGGACACTGCAAGTCGCTCGCCCCGAAATACGACGAAGCCGCCGATTTGTTGAAGGAGGAGGGATCTGACATCAAACTCGCCAAGGTCGATGCCACTGAAAATCAGGCTCTCGGATCGAAGTACGAGGTCCGCGGATACCCGACTCTTCTTTACTTCAAGAACGGAAACCCGACCAAGTACACTGGAGGACGCTCCACCGCTCAAATCGTCGATTGGGTCAAGAAGAAGGCCGGACCAACTGTCGCCACTGTCGAGTCTGTTGAGCAGCTGGAGGAGCTCAAGAGCAAGCACAGAGTTGTTGTTCTCGGAAACTTCAAGGTATATTTTGTGCACGTATTCATTCTAAAAATTATTTATTTCAGGACGCCAAGTCTGAGGCTGCCGTCGTCTACAGCAGCGTCGCTGATTCTGTCGAAGATGCCTTGTTTGGTCTTACTTCCTCTGCTGACGTCCTTGCTGCCGCTACTCTCACTTCCGAGGGAGTTGCTTTGATCCGTACTGATGGAGATGACTCCGAGACTAGCACCATCGCAGCCGAGGATATCTCTGATGTCGCCGGACTCAAGCAATGGATCCACGGATACAAGCTTTCTCCAGTCACCGAGTTCACTCAGAATTCCGCCCAGGAGATTGTTGGAGGAGACATTAAGCAGTTCCACTTCCTGATCATCAGAAAGTCTGACTCTACCTTCGATGCCACCATCAAGACTTTCACCGAGATTGCCAAGGAGTACCGCACCAAGATCGTCTTCGTTCTTCTTGATGTCGACCTTGAGGAGAACCTCAGAATCCTCGAATTCCTCGGAGTCGATGCCAAGATCACCCCAACCAACAGAATCGTCAGCCTGGGAGATCAGGTCGCCAAGTATAAGCCAGCTGAGGGAGATGACTACAAGACTTTCACTGATAGCTACCTCGACGGAAAGGCCACTGAAGACCTCAAGAGCCAGGATCTTCCAGAGGACTGGGATGCCCATCCGGTCAAGACCCTTGTTGCCTCCAACTTCCACGAGTTCGCCCATGACAAAACCAAGACCGTCTTCATCAAGTTCTACGCTCCATGGTGCGGCCACTGCAAGCAGCTCGTGCCAACCTGGGACAAGCTGGCCGAGAAGTTCGAATCGAACCCGAATGTCGTCATTGCCAAGATGGACGCAACCCTCAACGAGGTAATTCGTTCACGCATCCGTACAAGTTCTCATTCATAATTTTTAGCTCGCTGATGTCAAGGTCAACTCTTTCCCAACTCTCAAGTTGTGGCCAGCTGGATCCACCGAGCCAGTCGACTACGATGGAGACCGTGATCTCGAGAAGTTCGCCGAGTTTGTCAGCAAATACGCCACCGAATCCGAAGCCACGGAAACCGCATCTCAGGACCACGAAGAGCTTTAAATCAAATCGCTATGTATCAGTTATTTATTGTTCACAATCACGGTGTTTCATTGTGATTTACTTGTTTTTTTTTCAACGATGTGCTTAATTAAGATGTTTGAAAATACGTATTTCGCGTTTTCTCGAATCCCGTTTTGTTTGCATGCTGTAGTTTTGATATTTTGTTTTGCCTATTAGCAATTCGGCTACTTGGATTGCAGATCTCGAAAATGGCTGGTGGTAGCGAAAAACGGGTATTCCTCGACATGTCGGTGGATGAGAAGCCAGTCGGCCGCATCGAAATAAAACTGTTCACGACTGAAGGTTTGAGAAGAAGAGAAAACTGTAAGAGCCGACTGGGTGTTTCAGCTCCGAAAACGTGCGAAAACTTCCGTGCGCTGTGCACTGGAGAGGCCGGAATGGCTTCGAACAACAAGGCGCGTCTGCACTACAAGGGCAACGAAATGCACCGAATCGTGCGGAAATTTATGATTCAGGTGCTGAAAATTTATAGGATTCTGGAGGGAAACGGTAGAAAATTCAGGGCGGAGACATCACCGAAGGAGATGGAAGAGGCGGCTATTCGATCTACGGTCGGTACTTTGACGACGAGAAATTCCGACTGAAACACTCGAAACCGTATCTTCTGTCGATGGCTAACAAGGGACCGAACTCGAACTCTTCGCAGTTCTTCATAACGACTGCGCCGGCGCCCCACTGCAATGATAAGCACGTCGTCTTCGGAGAGGTCATCAAGGGCCAGGACGTCGTCGATCTCATCGAGAATCTCGAATGCGACGACGGCGCGAAGCCGAAGGTGAAGGTGGTAATCGCCAATTGTGGAGAGCTCGTCAAGAAGAAGAAGATTCTGACGGACGAAGAAGACAAAGCGGCTCTGGAGGCAAAGAGATTGGAGGAACGAAACAAGATTCCGGACTGCCCGAAATCATGGCTTTATCGAAATGATGGCAATGATGAGCGGGAAAATGAGAACAGAACAATTCGAAGAAGAGACAGGAGCAGAGAATCAAGACGGAGAACATCGAGAAGCAGAGAAAGAAGACGTGATCGCTATAATGTGAGCGAGAACGCAAAACTGATCAGAAAAATCCACTTTCAGAGCGGCGACGGCCGGGACAGCTCATCAAATAACGGGGGAACCCGTGTTCGTGGACGCGGAACCACCCGATTTCGTCGCGAGAGATCGCTGACTCCGGAGCATTGGAAAAGAAATGCTCCGAAGGTATTCAAATTCACATCTCCCTTAACTTGATTTATTTTCAGAAGTGGGCTAACGTTACCGAACAACCGGATCTCATCGGATCCCATTCGCCCGCAAAACAAAAAATAATATAGTTCAAGAGGTTACCGTCCAACTTTTATTCAATGTTTCAGGAGGAGACGGATAATAAATGTTATGTTCTTCTCCTATTTCAGTCCTTCCTCCACACCGGAAACGTCTCCAAAGCGCCAGTGGCCATATCATGGAACGAGAACGTTTCGTAGTGTTTTATCATTGTTTGCAACGAAAGGAACTCGGGATTCAGAAGATGCGGCTCGCACGATTTGTCCATCGCATCCTCGTATTCCACTCTGAACAGATGGCGCGTGAGCTTTCGAATCGGATCGTGCTGCTTCCTTTTGGAGATTGTAAAGTGATAGTAGAAATTTTTCGTGGATCTGAAAAAGGATTCTTCTGGAAAAAGCTGATGAGAGACAAGAATAAACCGATAAGCGAGCATGAGTGGAAGCGAGAACTGAACGGTGCCATCACTGGCCATTCGGTAGTAGATCACGAATCCGCGGTATCCGATGAGCTGCTCCGCTTCCTTTTCGGTGGCTCCTCCCACGAACACCTCCGTCTCCGTTTGGCTCGTTTGTTGGGAGATCGGAGAGTCCGTCGACGTGGATTTGTACGAAACGGGCGGCGATTCGTCGTCGAACGCCTCGCAGATCATCTTTTTTGACAGTTTTTCGTGCGTCGGATGGATCGTACCGTATTTTCGGCAAATCTGAAGAAGGAGAGGAAGAGGATCGAGTTCCGAGGGTACTTTACACGCTCACCAGTCTACCGTACTTGTCCTCCTCCAGCAATTCCTCTTCTTCGCTCATATCTCGAATCTTTGAATCAAAATGGCGCGGGTCAGACGTTATTTTTCACGATTATTGTACGGTCAACACGTCATTTTGTTTTCGTAAGCGATGCCACGACCACGAGTGCGGTAGAGCACGATTGCCAAAGTTTCTACAGAGCAGAGAATACGGGCGTGCTCGCGGAGCCAATCCCTCACATTGATTTGATCGAGATCTAGACAAGTTTGTTTGTGCTCTTCATGACAAGATCAGGGACAGTCCTCTCAAGGAAGATGGAAGAATGACTGCGGTGTCAGAAGCTAGGTCATACTCGAAATCAAAGAATCAAAATGTCCTCCCACGCGTCTCTTTCACTCCGATACGGATACCCTCGCGCGCACCTTTGCTTCTGAATAATTTGTGAGAACCTGCCCTTTGGCTCTCGCGCATTCTTTTGTCCGATTCCATTCGCGAGACACCTCCTACTCGCCAGAACAAAGGTCGAGAATTCATTCACATTCTTTTTTTCTTGATTTTGGAGGGAGTCGAGAGCAAACTCGTTGTTTTGGCGTGGTGTGAAATCACGGAAAAGGAAGAGAGGATTCATTTGGACCTCCCGATGTTTGTCTCTTTTTTTATTCCGTCGCCGTCTCGCTTTTCATTGCAACTTTCTTTCTGTTTTGAATATTCAATTAGGCTAGACTGATGATCTTTCAAAGTTAGGCTACGATCCAGCATATTTGCAAAATCTTTCACTTCAAATATCCCCGTTTTTCCGGGTGTCCGTTCCGGTCCGGCCCGTTTCAATGTATGTGATCCAGGAGAAGCGCTAAGCAGCCGAACCTCTCTCAAAATTGTACCGATTGTTTTTGAGCTTTCTGTGTTTGCCAAACTACACATTCGAATCAAGTCAAAGTGTCACTGAATCCGTTCAAATCGCGTGGTGCTCGAGAATTCGAATATCCTCGCAACTGGGAACAGCTGGGATTATGTGTTGTGTCAACAAACAGATTTGAACTGAAAATGGGCCCGAAGCGAGGGAGATTGCTTCAGATTCTGGGAAATAGCTGTTATTGTCCTTCCGGTGTCTATGGAGAATCAAGTCTAGCCAAGAAGTTCAGAACTGCCCGTATCCTATCAATAGGCTCATTTACCGCGTCCACCGGCCCATGGCGCCTGAATACATTTTGTCTTTGTGTGCGCATTATTCGTTGGACTCTCGTGACTTGTTCCAGAAGAAAACATGTGTTTTCCAGCTTCTCGCCTTCTGATTCGTCGACATGATTCCGTGCCGAAGCCCCCAATAATTTGATTGTAACTCTCCGCCCTCCCTCTCTATCTTCTCTCTCTGCTTCTGCTTCTTATTTGCCTTCGTGTTCGTTTTCTGCTTCATTCTTCTCATCTTTCGTCTTCCTATCACATCGTGGGCGGCCAAGAAGCTTCTGAAGAATGTCAAGGTGGGTGCTTGTTTCGGGGCGCCGACCATTCGAATACACCTCCTCCCCGGGGAAATATCAGATGAGAGTGGAGGAGAATGGGCGGAATGAGTACGTCCTTGACGGGTTTGGCAGACAAAAAAAGAAAGAGATAAAGAGACAAATTGAACCGAGATTCGAGCCGAGACAGCTGAAAAAGAGTTGTCCTTTTTATGTGAACTCTCTCAGTTTGAGTGCATTTTGTACGACCCAAAGAAGTGCGGTTGTTCTGTGATTTCGGGTGGGCAATCATCATTACTAGTACTTCACTTTTCCAGTTGACAACTGTTTGATACGATCCCTCGCAAGTCTACAATAGCTCTTGAAACTTCTAAGAGCTACAGTAGTCTTGTCAGTTATTGTATTGAAATGCGTTCAACTACAAAAGTAAAGTTTCTGGACAGCACGGTCTCCAGAGCTGAGAATATGGGCGTGGCCTCGGCCAAATGGCGTTTTCATGAATTGAGCAGGTTTTCTCTGATTTTTGTGGTCAACGGCGATAAAAAATAGTTGTTCCACATGAAAACACACTAATTTTGAGAATTAATGACGTTTTGGCGCATTTTTCGCGGACTTTGCTTTTTCGCCTTCGCCGCCTAAAAACCGCACTTCTCATTTTGCGCTTTCTTGACCGTTTTCAGACATAATTGGTTTTGAGAATGATAAATCACGTAAATACAAGCATTTTGAGCGCTCGAACAGCGAAAATTACCGAAAAGCAACTGAAATTTACGCAGTTTTAGCCAAAAACCTTCAAACGGATAAATGTGATTTGCGACTTGACCAAATTTAACGCTCTTGCGCTTAAAAAATTCGTAATAGCCTATACAATCGGTCTATCGAGAGACAAATCAGAAATTATCGGTTTTTCGTGGCTAATCTGGCAAAAAATACAAATTTTTCTGTTAAAATTTAAATTTCGCGCCAATGTATCGCTCTATTGGGCGGGGCGCACTTGCGCCCATTGTAAGCTCTGGAGACCGTGAACAGGAAGATTTCAAAGAACCAATAGTTACTGTACCCAATTACCTGTTCAAACATCAAGAATCAAAATTTTTATAATCTTGTAAACTCCCAATTTTCCGAATAATTGGCGCATGAGAGCCGGAGCTTTTATGGCTTTTCCGGGAAATTTCTCATCTCGCCGTCTCAACAGACATATTTCGTTGAAAAAGAAGCCCTTCGAAGAGCTCACGGAGGTACTCAGGACTCAGGAGACATGCGATGGGCGTTCCCTTCATGTGTCCTTTTCTGAACACTTCCACATGCTTTGTTTCTATTTCTATCGACCGGAATCTGATGCTGACACTTTTAGGAATCAAACATCTTGAGTTTGCTCCTCAACAAACCTGCCATTAAGTTCTACCAGAATCCGTCCCTGATAGCCGGTGTTCTTCACCCCTCCCCGGAATAGTGTCTGGCACTTTTGACATGCTCAATGGCTCCCGTGCACATTGCAAATCGCTCGCTTCGCTTTCACTTTTTCGCCGTTTCCTGCTCCATGTCCATCGTCTTTTTTGTTTGCAAATTACTCCTAATCTCTTGTTTCTATGCTTCTTCCTCATTCCCCCGTTAGCCGGATTCTTCGAAATTCATGAATAAAGAAAGTGTAGGTTCTTTTGACGCAAGACTTGTCAAGTATGAAACTCTGGAGAGGAGATGTTTTTCTTGAATTCAAGATTGGAGAAGGCCATGCATGAGCAAAAAGGACATTTGATGTGTGATTTGTGGAGCAGAGAGGCAGCCGATGACTCTATTAGGAATGTTTACAAGATTCCCATGGATGGGCAGAAGGACGATCCAGGCATCTTGGGGCCTGGACTATTGGCCCAGTTGCAATAATCCGATCGGTTCCAAACTTGTCAGATTTCCTGGAAAAAAAGAGTGAACTGGATGTGCTTCAATCCAAGTTTAAAAGTGTGATCGGAATGTTTCAACTGTGTCAAGAGTTCGGGCCTTACAAAGTCTGAAATCCTTGCGGACCGGGAATTCCCAATTCCTTCTATAACTTTCCGTCGTGATGTTTGCAGACAAGCGACGGTACCCACATTTTGATAGAGCTTTTCACACAGTTTCTGCGACAAGAATGGTTTTCAGGACGTCACTTTGTTCCATTATTTCCAAACAAATTCATTTAACCTTCCGGCTCTTTTCCAATTGGATTACGGTCATTTGAATGCAATTATTGAATATATGCGCGCGTGCGCTCCTATTGAATACAACTTTTAATGGAGCACTAAAACGGCTTAGTTTTATTCGGGACCTAGAGCCATTTGGGGCCATTCTAACGGTCCCATTTCACAGAGAAAGATTTAGAATTCAATTAGACCGACTGGAATACATCTCGCTCCGAGCATATTAGTCAGGAGCATTTCCGGACAGCTTTTTCTTAGATTCTCGCAATCAGCACGTCCAAGAGTGACCGGAAGATCAATTGGTCCATCGTCATTTCCGAAAAAGGTTCACTCAAGGCCACTGTGCCATTCATTCTGTTTTTTTTTTCTTCTGTGTTCAGTAGTCATTCGGCCATAATAAGCAGTGTGACTAACCTAATTTGCTCCCTTCTTATTTTTTCTGTCCCCTTCTTTTTTCGACGTCATTATAATCTGAAAACATGTTGGCAGAACGGATCCGGAATCTTCTGAGCCTTGCAACTTCATCTTCTTCTCCTTCTCTCACTTCTTCTTCTTCTTCTTCTTCTTCTTCTCGATTTCCATATCCGTTTGAGCTCAGATGAGATAAGTACTTTTGAGGCATCTGAATTCCTGCTTCCTCCCTTCCTTTTCTTCTTTTTCAAATTCCCTCGAGATTCGTTCTCACGTTAATTCTTTTTGCACATTTTGCATAGCTAGATGACGTTTGAATTCACAATTCCAGAATTCCAGAATTTCTAATCAACATTTCCCTTCCTTCGAATGACTCAACTCGTCTACAGTATCTCTGCTGAAACTCAAGAGCCCTTATGGTGCTCCAGAAACTCACAAACTCACGTCCACATAGTTTATGCTCTCTTTCTGAAACCGCCGCGGCTCTTTTTCTTTTCATGCTGTGATGCTAATAGGCTCCGCGGCGTGGTTTCAAAACAAGTGTCATCGTCAGAAAGAGATCTTCTCTTCCAAACTCCACACACTGCTTTTCGATCACCTCCTGCCGTCTACCGTACTTCTGCCAGCCATTTCGTGTGTGCCTATATTTGCTCAGCCAGTTCTAATTCTCTCGTTACATAAATCGTTTCGACACTGTTTCAACAATGCTCTCACTTCGCGCTCCTCGCCCTGACTCCTTTTTCCAATCTCTGAGTCCAAGCGACGTTCGTTCGTTCTGATCGGATGCCAAGAAGTTGACACTTGCTCGTCGAGCATCGGACGAGCCCCCGGGCTTCCTGTCGTTGCGTCGTCCGAAGGCTGCCTTTCCTTTTCTCACCAAACTGCTTGCGGCTTGCAGCATGCGATTATTCACAGAAACAACAAGTCGGCGAGCACTTTTATTCGCTAAAAACTTCTTGGAAATGCATCTTCTGCTTACGCATACGGAACTACAGAGCGACGCGTCCTTTTTGTGATCTGTGAGGGGGATCTAGTCGTCCATTACTTCGAATCAAATTGACCACGAGGTTCCCACACTTCTTGGTACGCCCGTAGTTTCCCAAAGTTCCGAAACTCGTTCTGCGTATTTGGATGTTTACCGGATCTCAAAAGATTTCATATTCAGTTCTCCGCTTTTCGTATTCTGAAAAATATATTTTCAGATTTCGAAACTCGGGAAAATCGCGATCTCTCTCTCTTTTGATACCCACATCTCTCAATTTTCGAAAAAGTTACAATTTCGCAGAGCTTTTCAGTTTCATTCATCTTTGCTCACTTACAAACAGAAATGTATTGAACTCATTTGCATTTGCGGGACCGACGGTGTTCGTCTCCGAACTTCCTCTTCTTTTTCTTCCTCTTCTTTTTCTCTTTCTTCTTCTTCTTCTTCTCCGGCTCACCTCCCCCCGGGAGCTCCGCCTTCTTTTGCTTAGTTTCCGTTGATTGGCTGCGGATCAAGTTCATCTTCTGCCATCAGAGCTCACGGAGCCGTCAGGAGTGTCCTCCCACGCCCCCCAATTACATGTTTCTCCGGAGCACTTTGCTCTTTGAGACTGCCATCCGATCTAATCCTGTTATGCGAGTCGCAGGGTGAAATTATTACATTCCCCCGTTTATTTTTCTCCTTCTTAATACGCCGAAGAAAGGAAATCCGCCGAAGAAAGGTCTCATTTCCGTCTGAATCTGAAGAATGTGTTCTATTTCCGGATTGCTGCTAGAAATGCTCTGAAAGTGCTCATTCCGCTTGATCGAGCACCTCTCCATCGAATATGTCCGTTCCCCGCAGCCGACGCCTTCTTTCAGCAGTTTCAACATGACGATGTCGGTGGTGGTGAGCATTCCGTTCGCCGGCCTCTTCATCGTCCTCTCCGTCGTCGGAATCATCGGCAACGTGATTGTGATCTACGCGATTGCGGGCGACAAGAATATGCGAAAGTCGGTGATGAACATTCTTCTGCTCAACTTGGTCAGTCCTCAGTTTCCCATGAACTTTCATAATCTTAAGTCTTCTTTCCAGGCAGTCGCAGATCTGGCCAATCTCATTTTCACCATTCCCGAGTGGATATCGCCCGTCTTCTTCGAAAGTTCCGATTGGTATGTTCCTCGTCATGTTTTCCCATTCTTCGAGCCATTCTTTCACAGGTTATTGCCGTCGTGGATGTGCCCCGTCTGCAGATATCTCGAATGCGTCTTCTTGTTCGCCTCCATTTCGACTCAAATGATTGTTTGCATTGAAAGGTGTGGTGGAACGAGATTTTTAAACTAACAAAACACTCGGAAGTTGAACGTCACGCCAAGTTCAAAGTACGTAAAGAGAGTGGAAGTTCTGCAGGTACATCGCCATCGTCCTTCCGATGCAAGCACGTCACCTCTGCTCGCGTCGCAACGCCCTTATCACCATACTCGCTGCGTGGGCGTTCGTCTTCTGTTTCGCCTCTCCGTACGCCGTCTGGCATTCCGTCAAGTCCAGTGAGTCATCAGATTGCCACCTTTCCCTCACCACAGTCAGCTCTAGCCTTTCCCCTTTTGGTTGTTTTCTGTTCATCCCCGACAACTTTTCAGCATTTCCAGCCACTTGCTCCAATACCGCAGGCAAATCCACGTGGTGGGGCAGGTACAAGCTGTCCGAATTCCTCGCGTTCTACGCCATTCCGTGCCTCATCATTATCGGAGTGTACACTAAAGTGGCCAGAGTGCTCTGGTCGAAGGATCCGACACTTCAGAACGAGAGTGAGTTGGAATGCAGGGGGTCCGGAGTCCATCAGAGGTTTTCAGCTCGATCCTGTCTGGAAAAGACGTCGTCTCGCAGCTCGGACGCGCTCAGAACGCGTCGGAACGTGGTGAAGATGCTGATCGCGTGCGTGGCCGTCTACTTTGTCTGCTACTCGCCAATCCAGTTCATTTTCCTCTCAAAGTCAGTTCAGTTCATCACCATCCCAACCGTTTCTTTTCCCTTTTCCAGAGCCGTTCTCAACGTGACCATCCATCCTCCGTACGAGTTCATCCTCCTCATGAACGCCCTCGCAATGACTTGCTCCGCGAGCAATCCCCTTCTCTACACACTCTTCTCCACGAAGTTCCGCAGAAGGTGCCGCCCGTTCGCGCTCTGATCCCTGCTTGACGCCCTTTGTATTCTAGGTTGCGTGATGTCCTGTACTGCTCGTCTGACGTTGAGAACGATGCGAAAAAGACGTACATCTCGATCAATAACACCTCGATTACCGCCGCTCCACGGGCTAGTTTCAATTGAACCATGGTTTTTTTATGCATGCTCTCTTTTTCTCTCTCTCTCTCTCCTCTTTGTCTGATCTCTTCTCCGATAGATCCGTGATCGAACAAATCTGTAAAATGAAACGAAATAAAGTAAATATTGTGCATGATCTTAGTTGCTATTCACCCCGCACCCATAGAAGTCAACTGAAAAGTAAAAGAACGGAGTGTTATTTCAGAAATCTCTAAAACTTCGCAAACACGTCTATTTTGAGAGAGAGTTCGACAAGGAATCGCCGACGAATTCGCTTTGATCCGAAGTGTATTTGAATTGTGATATTGTATGAAAATGATTATTGACATAAAATGTTGTTTGTTTTGTTTATCTGAAAGCTAAAAAGTTTCAGGTTCTTCAGAAGAAATCGGCAATGCCAAAGTTTTTATATATCTATTGAAAAGAGAAGAAAAATACCCCATCACGATCAGGTTTCCAATGGATTATTCCGAATATTGTACCTGGAAGATGGCTGTGTCGTGCTTCAAAGTTTTTTGTAAAACTTGGGTTGATATCAGAGATGTTGGGAATTCCGTGTTCCGTGTTCCGTGTTCCGTGTTCCGCGTTTTTTTGCAATATTTTTTCCGTGTTCCGTGTTCCGTAAAAAAAAAAAATTTCCGTGTTCCGTGTTCCGTGTTCCGTAAAAAAAAAAATTTTCCGTTTTCCGTGTTCCGTGTTCCGTAGAGTAAAATTTTTATTCCCAACATCTCTGGTTGATATCATTTATTTCTCTGCGATTCATAAAAGTTATGTTTTTTCACGTGTCTGGAAAGCCTGAATGCACTTTCAACGAAACGTGACATTTTCATTTTCAAATAACACCTTCTCCTTTTCCTCGTGCCCACCATAATAATCATTCGGCTCGGCTTTGAGCCGAGCTCTTCAATCCATCAATATTTCAAACGGGAATATCACGGCGACTGTCTGACTCCTCCTGTGCGCCCAAAAAAACCTTAAACGAGGCGGAAGAAGTGAGTTTCTCGTTTCACGTCACCGGCAGTATGTAATGGAATCGAATTAGGCGGAAAGAGGAAAACGACGGCGAAGAAGCATGTTTCCGGGCGCTTCCATCCTTTCTAACTGCATCATATGTCACTCTCTCTCTCTCTCTCTTTTTCTCCTCCCAGCAACCTTGATTAATTTTGCTTCTTTTCCGTTGGCAGGCAGCCTAACCGCCCGTTTCTCTCACACTAGATTTGCATCGGCTGGCCGACGGAGACCGAGGGCTGCCTGCCTGGTTGCCTGGTTATAATAATAATAATAATAACTATAATAACAACATGGGGGGCAGTCTGCGTGTCTGCGCGTCCGGCTTCTGCCCCTCTTTCGCCCATTCGTCCCACATTTCCGAACGACCGATTATGTGGACGGGCGAGGAGATGGAGTGGAGAGACTTTTATGTTTTCTGCTCGGCTTTTGCTACTTTTTCGTTTTCCTCTCTGAAATTTGGTTAGGTGAATAATTTAACGGAGAGAGAGAGAGAGAGCTTTTCCGCCAGTCTCCCTCTTTTCCTCTTTTGAATAGAAAAACGAAGGATCGCACGGAGAACAATGCACGTTTTGTTCGTAGTTTTCCCCAAGAATGGCCACGGCGACGTCCTACAAAGCATTTTTGGTGAGGACAGAGAATTCTATGAGTTGTGTATGCTTTTGATGTTGAACTTTACAAATGCATTTTCCTTTCTGACAAATAATCGAATTCTTGATTGCTCTCTCATTTCTCAGCTGGCGCCCCAAATGAGTCAGTTTCTGCGCCAATTTCCACTCGTTAATCCCTGGCCTTTCTCCAAACTTTCTCGTCAAAAGAGCCTTTCCGTTTGCGAAATGTTTAAATTGGAAACAAATCATGTGAGTGTCTGAGCCCGCAGTTCGTTCGGATGGCAGCAAAGTGAGAGCAGCGAAGGAGGGAGAGAAGGGAGCAGCAGCTGTTGTGCTCTTTCGTGTGAGCGTCGCAATTAGTGGCATCGTTTCGATCTCGTGTCAACTACGCCAACAAACGGAACGAAGACGCGTCCCTGCTGCGGGCTCCGTGCCCTTCCGTAATCTGCTCGGCGCGGATGAGCCCCTTCGTCCGTGGGTTGAGCTTAGCCTCCTTGGCACACGATTTCCGCGTCATCAACATATTTGAGAAAACAGAAAACAACTCACTTGAATTGGCAAACAGGAAATTCGCGACACAGAGACCGAGATAAGATTTCTCTTCGCGCTTTCTCGATTTTCCCTATTTACTGTCGCGTTTCTATAAAATTTTTGCTCAAATGTGCAAAGCAAAAGAGCACGGAACACAGTAAATATCGGTGCTTTCTGGTGGGCCGGCGGGCGAGCACAAAAGAAAGTGGTTTTTCGACGGAAACAGACAGTAACCCAATGCACCGCCGCCGCACGCGCGCACTTTGTCAAAAGGAAGGAGAAGAGGATAAGCGAGGCAAGGCGCGCTCTCTTCTTCTCTGGCCCTCTTGCCTCTGGCAGCTTTCGGAAAGAGTGCGCGGTGCGACGAGACTGGTTATCGATCGGCTCTCGCGTGAGCCTCCTTTGCGTGTGCTTCTTCTTCTTCTCCGCCCGCTCCCCCGGCTACAAATGGTTGACTGCTGGCTGCTGGCTGGCTGGAAAAGAACGAATGGCGGCGCCTGTGTCGTCTGTTTTTGTGTCGTTCACCTCCGCCGATCAGCTGATGTCTCTTCGCTTGTTTTTGCTTTCTTTCGAGAATGGCGGCGAAGAGGAGAAGAGAAGAGACTTTTTATTCCGTGAAGAACGCCTTCTCCCTTCCCCTCTTTTCGCTATTAACTCTATCCTTTCACAGTGACTCATTTCTTCTTCTTCTTCGCCATCATCAAAATCTTCTTGAAGCTTTTCAGCTTTTCTCCGTATTATTATTATTATCCCTCTTCATCTAAACTCTTTTCCATTTGATTGATGATTCTTCCTCCGATCCATGGTTCCCTACCGGATCAAACATCTGGTTGTCGACGGTGTCACTTCCGCAGAGCACAAATCCACAAATCACGCTCTACTGCTGCAGACGATCGACTTGCACCATAATCCGGTTAACCAAACGAACTTGCCCTCGACGGAAAACAGAAAACAGAAAACAGCCGGGCCTCCCGGGCCTCCGTCCATCTTCCGTTTTGACGCACTTTTTTCCCATGTGACTGACATTGAACACTTTTTCCCCCGCCGCTTTCCGTTGTCGGCGCCCAAAAAGTTCTATTGTCATGTCGAAAGCTTTCAAAAACTTTGCGACTTTGATTCGAGAAGAGTGACGAATGTCAAAATTCTCTGAAATTCTCACAGCATCGAATGAATCTTTCACATCATCTGACTTTTACTCGAAAAACTAGAGCTTCGACTTCTTGCGCCACTCGTTAATATTCATATTCATCCGAAGGCCGTCGTCGCGATTCGCATTCATCGAAATTCGGTGTTCTCCTCCTCACCCGCGCATTGTTCCGATTCAATTTACGACCCGCGCCGCCCGCCATCCGTCTGTTATTGTTGTTATTTCTGTTTCTCTTTGCACGCGTATCTGTCTCTATCTCCTTCTTCCTCTTCTTCTTCTTTCTGCTGATTGACCTGCATTCGGGCATCTCTGCCAAATCAAGTGCGAACGAACGTTTATGCTTCAGTGCACAGTTTGTGACAGATGGAACCACTGTTTCGTTCATAATCATGCCTGAACCTGAATCGGTCACACCTCTCTCTCTACTCGATTCTTCTTCGAACTCGTATTCGGTTTCCAATTTAAATCTGAAAATCTTGCGTCATCATTCCTGTTGAAATCCCTCCATTTGTAGACATAAGTATGGGTGATAATCATCTTGTATTTGGTCACTTCTAGCCGGAAATACACTCTGCTCGGTTATCGTGTTCGACCTCTCGGTACCCGGTACTTACTGATAAAGTGCGCGTTGGCATCTCGTGTTGTCCTCAAAACAATGATTGCAGTAGAGCGCGATTACCCGAAACCAAAAACTCAACATTCCTGTGCTCTTTCGAAAACGTCCCCTTTTTCTGCGCACCTGCTCATTTTCTTTTTCTTTCCGCTCTTGATCATTGACTCGCCCGCAAATACCACATTCTGCTCGTCTCTAGACACCAATCGTAGTTGGAAGCCATTAGAAGTTGGAATTCACAATGGTCTCCAGGGAGTGCTAGCAGCTCTGCTTTATTTGTCCGGATCCATTCGATTCCATTCGATTCCATCCTTCCTCCTTCCTTCCTTTTCGCCCCTATTCACCTGTGCCACCGCCGTTGCGCCCACTTCTGTGCCTCAAGTGTTTGGCGCGCGGCCGGATTTCGACAAAGAACGCGGGCGCGTCTCCTCCGTCTCCATCTTTTCCGACGTCGTCGTCGTCTTCGTCGTCGTCGTTGTCAAAACCAAATTATTCGCCCCGCATCTCGCCGCTCTCCCAACCCGTTTTTTTCGCTTCGCCCCCTAAACCGCGAGACATCCAACATCCTCCATTCACTTTTCCCCCGCGTTTCGAGGTCAACTTTCCAAGTTTCAGACTTGTCAGCCGGTCACATCTATTTTTTTTCCCGCTACGAATGTGCTCGTCAACATGTTATTTCTGAGTGTTCTGCTTCCTCCTTCTGCCCCTCCGCCACGTCATCATCATTATTTCCATTAGAATTTCGTGGCGGGGAACAATGTAACCTGAGTCATCCTTCCATTTTGTCAATTTCAGTCGTTGGTCTGTGCACTTGGCCGCCCTTTTCGGCACTTCCTTCCTCAGGGCCCCATTATCTCATTCGTTCCCGGAAATTCCGTGTTTTTGTGACGAGACGAGAAGAAAGAGAGCTCTTCTTTTCTTTTCTCACAAGTCTAAATCTTTTGTTGAACGAGGATCAGTTCTTGAATGATGTCGAATCGCAAGAATGTTAGTTTCTTTTCTAAAAATAACGCTACATCAGTTGCAACAAGTAAATAATGTGCTGTTTTAAAGTTCCACCCGATGCACTCGCATTTCAAGTACTCACTGACCTGAATCACCAGCCGAGAGACCAAATCGTGTTCCTGCTGACTCCCGTGTTCTTTGTAACCGCCTCTTTTCTCGGCTCTGCATCACTCCGCCTACTGCTCCCCGTCGCTAGGCGATATTTACTCTGTCTCAGAAGTGCGCGTGTGTGTGTGTGTTTCTCCCCGTTCTTTGGTAACTTGTACTTCTCACGTGATCTCGCCGCCACGTCGTCATCATCATCCTCATCTGTATTCGTCGCATTTCCACCGTCTCTCTCTCTCTCTCTCATAAATTTGCGCCTCGCCTCGCCCCATCTCCTCCACTTCTCGTATTTTTTTGCAAACCTCATAAGGTCAGCATCATGATCACCGAACAAGGTGACCAGCAGCAGCAACAGCAGTACTTTTTCACTTTCCCATCGCACATCATTCTTCATAATTAGACCCCCATCGGGTCTCTCTCGTTCGCATTTCATTCCATTTCCAATTCCAATTCCAATCGATTCATTCACGTTTACAGGGTGGCCGTGCGCGGGGAAATAACAAGTGGAAGACGTCGTCGTCGTCGTCTATTCAAAAATACATTGTATAGCGGATAAAGGAGATTCAGAAGAGGTAGACGGAGACGCGACGATGAGCGCGAAACAGTCGATTGATTCGCAGGCAGAGCCGGTAAGCATTTTTGTTTCTCATTCTCAGTAGTCAGCAACAAAAACGCGTAAAGCGGAATGTTTTTCTCTTCTTTTGTTGACAATCTATTCGGCTGTACGATGAAAAAACATTCACACCGGCGCCGTTTTCTCAAAAATCTGCAATATTCGTTCTCATTCTCAAAAATGACGTGTCGTTTGCAGGTGGTCCTGCGGCTGATTCTGGTGAGCGGCAAGACGCACGAGTTCGAATTCCATCCGTACACATCGGCTCACGACGTCACTCAGCTGGTATTCGACCAATGGCCCGAGGGTAAGTGACCCGCTTCTCCTTGTCCTTTTCTTCTTCTTCTTCTTCTCCTTCTTTTCAATTCTCAACCCGTTCCGCGGGCGCGCTAATCCATGTTCGTTTTGGCTCATTATTTCTCGGGAGAGAAAGAGAAATGTTTGCGTAAAGACTACAAATGGGCTTATGGTCGCCGGAGACGAGACGAGGCTGGCTGGGAAGGGCCCTGAGGGGGTCAATGTGTATGCAAACATGTGTTTGAAATGAAACGAACCTGTGTGTGTGTGTTTGGTGGAATATGAAAAGTAGGAGAAGCCGAAAAGTAGGAGAAGGACGAGGAACCAGTTCAAACAACGTCTATGAACTTTGCTAGAGGGCGACTGGGAAACTTCTTGGAACCTTTGAGGTCACTTCCAATAAGATTGCAGCTCATGGAAGTCACTTTGGGGTGATAGCAGCTTTTGCACCACAGTTCAGCAACTTTTGAGCAAACTTTTGGCAATAGTAGCTTCTGCGCAGACGTGTGGTGAAAGTTGCTGAATTTCTGCTGAAAAGTTGCAGTGGTTTACCAAGCATAGTTGGAGCACACTTGAATGATAAGCTTTATTAGATACATTAACCTCTCCGCTTTCCAGAATGGTACGAGGACAAAGTGCAAAGCGCGCAGATGCTCAAACTCATCTACCACGGTCGTTTCCTGCACGGATCCGTCACTCTTCATGCGCTTCAGTTGACGCCCGGAAAAGTGACAGTGATGCATTTGGTGACCAGGGAAAACCTGCCGGAACCCAACTCCAGTGGTAGGCTTTTGAGTTAAAACGAGACGACATTTATGTGATGGATAGGGAACACTCAATATATTAATATTTTCAGAAACGTTGACAAAGCGGAAATCAGCGGGTTGCTGTCGTTGCGTGCTCTCATAGCCGTTCGCCTTCCAGCTATTTTCTCTTTCTCTACCTCTCCATCTCTTTATTTTCCATTCTCTCTCTCTCTCTCTCTCTCTCTCTCTCTCTCTCTGTTCTCAACGGGATATCATCTGACATGTTTCTTGTGTTCCTCTCCTTCCATTTTCCATTCCGTTTCGTTTTTCTTGTCAGCCCTCTTTCTGTCCGCGCCGGAAGCCGCTTCGATTCCCATCTTTCCGCCCATTCTGTGATCTTCTCTCCTCTCTCCCCTTTCTCGCCCATTTTCACCCCCCAATTTTCTCGTTTTCATTCTGGTCATAGACGCTCTGCTAGACTTTTTCTCCAAATCCAATCGATAATCGAGCTTTTTGCCCCCCCATTCTGTACCAACTCCCGAATCGCCCACACTTCTGTATAGTCTGTGTATAGTCTGATGTCCATCCCCCAACGGTGTATATTCCAAATTTTGCCCATGTTGTCCCCAATTACATTATTGTTTGTTCGCAAATAAAAACTTTAAAATCCGAGATTTTCATTCATCAAATAAGCTCGATTCGTTGTATGGATTCAGATTCAGATTCCGGGGGGCATAATCGTTGTATTATTTAGAAATGAGCAAAAAAAGAACAGAACTAACAGGAAAACACTGGGGAGGGAATACAAAGAATGAGAAAGAAAAGGGCAGACAACCTGATTGGGGAGGGGAAAAACAGGAAAACGATTATTGTTTTGGAATGTGAGTGGGGGAGAGTTTAGCCGTAAATCGAAAGGGAAGAGTTTGTGTTTTTTTGTGTGTTCGCCACGTGGGGCAAATGCTACCGACGCGCCGCCTCTTTTTCGTTCTCGAACTTCCCGCCTCGTGGCGTGAACGAAGGCGTTCTCTGGACGTTTCTGAAAGTTGAAACATGTCCGGCCGTGACTACAGTAATCCACAGTACCTGTGCAACTGAAGGCTCATTCCATCGTCCTCGATTCGCTGGCCCAGTGGGCAATTCCCGGAGCTCAGGGCCGCCAAGTGAGAGGAATAGCTTTCTGGAACAAACTCGACTCAAACATTACCATTTTCCATTTGCTTCTTACCAATCTGAACGCAATTCCTCCTCCTGGAGCCAGCCACCGAGATCACGTGCTCCGGATCCACCCCCGCCGACGTGTACACCGAGACGTCTTTGCCGCTGCCGTACGCCACGTGAATTTGCACACCCATATCGACGATGTGCCTCAAATGCAGCGACTTTTGTTTCAACGGCTCCGTCGAGAACGAGTTGTTGAAGAAGAGCAGCGCGTGGGGGAAGTTGTGCTGGGCGAGCCACGCGGAGACGACTCTCTGTTGCATATCGGGACGGGCGGTCAGGTAGATGATAAGGTATCCCTGCTCTTGCCAGTATCGGACGACGTCGACCGCTCCGGGACGCACGCGCGGATCCTTTCCGGTCACGGAGACCGAAGCGGTTAGAGAGCCGTCGACAGAGAAGACGACGCATTTCGTGGAGTGCGGCACGATGGCCACGAAGGCGTCGAGGTAGGAACGGTCTCCGTGGACAACGATCTTGATGGAGTGGATGCCACATGGCAAGGTCTTTGCCAGCTGGACAGTCAGCCGGCCGTGGGAGTCAGTGTCGAAAACGCCGTGCAAGTACCAATCTCCTCTTTGCGGGCACACGAAAACAGAGACCGGCTCACGCGAAAGAGCCACCAGGTCCATGGGTCCGTAGCAGAATTTGGCGACGACGGTGAGATCCATTCCGGCGGTGACGAGGATGTCATTGGCACGATGGTTGGCCGAAAGGTTCGCAATCTTGAACCTCGTCCGTTTCCTTTTCCAGTGCATTGGCGGCAGATCTATGTTGAGTGGGATGTTGTTCATACTCGAAGAGAGCGTCGTGAGCACACTCTCTTCTCCGCGCACAAACTGACGAAGAAGAAATGATGCCACGTCACAAGACTCCCAATAAGAAGCGTGAAGGATGTTGGGAAGAGCCGAGGACGGAAGGGCGACCATCGAATTCGGGCAGTAGAGAAGGTTGTCTACTCGTTTGCTGCCCCACATTTGTGACGTGTCGATGGTTGAGTCGAATTTCTGAGACTTTCCGTCGCCCAGAGGGTACCGTTGATATCTGAAGTGAGCAGGAAAAATAAACTAGAAATCATAGAGAGTAGGCTTACTTTGGCACGTTGTACGGGGCCAGACATGCCAACTGAGCATCGAGAACTGGCTCGATACGCGCTCCACAAGGATCCAGAGGGTAGTAGAGATTGAATAGCTGGCAGGAATCCAGACTGTCCGGCTCTGAAAGTCTCTAAAGATTTGAAGAGAACGATCGTATTCCAATCTCACCTGATCCTTCCAACTTTCTCTGCATCAGCGTCAACCCCAACGGACATCCGAGCAGGAAGATGGTGCTTGGCTGGAAGTTGAGTCTCGATGCTCCGAACTGAAAACACTACGGAGGGTACAGAGAGCATTCCGAGAATCAAGGCAATCAATCACTGAGGAAATCGATGGAAATGAGCTAAAGGAACTGAAGAATCATCACTCACACTGACAGAATCAACCGACACCAACGAGATCTTCTTACGCACGTACGACGCCGACGGCGGGGCCGAATAGTTGCGTGTGGACCTGCGGGACGAATGACCATTTTGGAGGGAGCTGTGGTCCCTGGCGGATGCATTGTGCAGATTCTGTTGGGGGTAGGAGGCGGTGGAGGTGTTGTCGGTGACGGTGATATCGGTCATCGATTGGTGAGGGGTCTGAAACGAAACGATGGAGGGTCACTTCCTTTTCAGTCATTCTGGACACTCACATCCTCCTTGATAATTCTCGATGAGACATTCGAAGACAACCTCTTCAAAAACGTCAGCGAGTCGCACTTCTTCGTCATCGCTTCATACAAGAATATGCCGCCGACACAGTCGCCGACCAGAAACACTTCTCCGTTGAACAATGGCTGCGAGGCGATGAACTCGTTGTAAGTCTCGTTCGCTCTTCTGATCGCTCCCTCGACGGCCTCATTGTACAAATGATTCGCCGACGGGAGCATCAGAGAAAGCGAAGGATGGAGGAGTCCGAAGCTCGGGGAGACGTTCGCCAGTTTGCTGACAACTTGAGTCATTTCACAACCGCACGACACGTTCACAATGTGCAATCTCTTTCGAAGTTGCGGATAGTGTCTCTGGACACACGTCTCTATTGTTGACCTGGAAAAAATTGCGTTCGAAGATTTTTTCAATTCAAAAGACTTCTCTCACCCGAATGTATTTGTGTCGGTTGTTTTTGAGTCTGCCGGGTTATCGGGAGAGAAGTCTCCGTGGAAAACCATTATGAGAAGGGCGGTGTCCGTGGATCCATTGTGAGGGGTCAACGGGGGAGAATCTGAAGAAAAGGAAATAATGGAAGCATCTGGTGTCGACATACTTTCATCCTGAATCTCCAGCTCCAACTCGCTGCTCCATCTGATAATGGACGGCTTCTGAGTTGGCGCCGGCGACTGATCGCACGCATCAAAGTACAGATCATCGGAGACGGCGTCTCCGTCGTCGTCCGAGTCATTCTCTTCCGCATTCTCCTCGTCTTCTTCTCGAATTGCCATCACCTTGCTCAGATGGAGAGCCGCTTCCGCTTCCAACTTCCGGATGTCTTTCATCGTGAGGCCAGTCTGGAAAAGAAAACATCAATTATGCATTGGTGTTGCGCGCACGTGCACTCGGGTTGCGTCTCGTGACAAAGTAGGAAGTTTTACATGGGTTAAGGGCCAGCCAATCTAACTCACCCACTCATCCTGCCACGCCCACGCTTGCCGATGGGCCCTGAGCATTGTGTTCCTCAGTGCGAGGTCATGGATCCAGCGTTCCGCCCTCGTCTGCATACCCCAGTAGCGGAATTCGACTTTGCAGAGTTTATACGCGCACATGATCGGCAGGCCCTTCTTCCGATGCTCAGCCACCCAGTCGTCTGTCAGCGGTCCCCTTCCGGTCTTTTCGGACTTGTAGAGCTTCGGATCCTCTTCCACACAGTAGTCGTGCGAGGAGATCGGGTCTTTCACAAAGTCCATGTAGTCAATGACCCGGTTCGACAGCTCCTTTTCGCTCAGATTGAACACGTTCTCCTGCTGTCCGTGATCGTCGTGATAGAGGGTCTCCACTTCCAGACTGAACCTATCCATCATGGGCGTCGAGTATCGCGTCTTCGTCACCGGATACGCATTCCACGCCTCCTCGTGTGCTTCCAGAGCGTTCGTCGGGAGTACCGTCCGTATCCACGCTGAAATCTTTCATTCTCCTTTCCCTTTCCACTTCAGCGCCTAATTCGTAATTCGATATTTGGCTCGCCGCCGCGAAAAAGCGAAAAAAACATTATTTATTTTCGCCGAGATTGCAATGCACGGCAGAGTAAACGCTGAATTATTCACGCTACTCAAAGCATCGCCCCTCCTATTTTCCTTCTTCCCTTTCTTCGTTATAAATAATGACAACAAGTGTGTTTTGCATTGCAAATCCGCCCAACCTGGAATGCGGCTTCCGATGTGATAGATCTTGAAGGTGTACTGTCCGCATCCGCCCGGACCGTCCGAGTAGGGCTTGTTGCTGATGATCTCGACGCCAGAATCCTTTCCGTGAGAGTCCAGACGGCTCTTTTTCTGGAATTTGATCACTAGACATGCCCTTTTTTATAATCCCTTCTCGACAGAGCGCACTTTCCGTCTCACAAAGTGCTCATTTTGGCTTCTAATGCGACGTTTCACACTCGGCTGCTCGCCCCTTGTCTCCGGCCTAAAAGCTTTCCGCCACACCACTTGTCGTCAACAATTTGTTGCCATTTCAGAAGGCGCACATCAATTAACCCGCCTTTTCTCCCCGCCAACTTCTCATGGATTTTGTGCTCGGCGACGGAGCCGAGGGCTTCCCGTGCAAACATCCACGTGTGTTTGGTTTCAATGACAAAAGCAACACCAAAGCACTATTTGAGCACACGCACACAGAGTTCAGATACATACCTGAATCATGTACAACTGGGCGATCCGGTACTCCTGGACCGTCATCGGCAGAAGGATACGGTACTCCTTGATGAGCATCTCGGAGCACTCTCAGCGCGAAGCGAAAACACGTCAGCACACTATTCGACGTCGGCACATTTTCAGCTGGAAATCGAGTAAAATGGAGAAGGGGCGGGGAATGACGAGTTGATAAAAGAAAAGTGTGTGAGTGAAAGAGCGAGAAGGAGCGCGTGCTCGCTCTTTTGCAGGCGACACACTTATGCTAATCACAGGTTAAAAAGTGTCGATAATGCATTGCCGCGTTTTTTTCGGCGACGAGAAACGGAACGTGATAAGGTCTGTCTCGTTGGGGTAACCTGATAAGAATACAAGTTTTTAAAGGTTGATAGGAGGTCATAGGACGCGTTGGTTTCTGGTAGGATGTGACGTGGCAAAAAAAGAAAAGGAAAAGTGAAATGAGATGAAAATTATAGAGCTGGTCGTTACTTGACAAGGCGAAAACATGGATAGCCGCTGGGGGAAACCTGACACGTTTTCCCTTCGAAACCTACTCTCTAAGAGCCCTATGACGCCAGCTTCCATCCCCAACGGGATTATGTTTTACGTGGAGCACACTATAATCTGTTGGACTAACACAAAACGAGGCCCGGCTATGCGTCTCTGACTAGAATCGTCTGTTTTCAGCTAAAAAGTCTGAAAGGCCACCCTCCTTCGAAGTCTCTGAAGGTTAGAGGTATCCACGTGACTTGGGATGGGTGCGTGTACGACTACATTTGTTACAACAAGTGAGTGTGTGTGTGTAAAGCACGATACAAACGGATCGAGTTTCCACTTTTTCGAGTTAAAGCAGGAAAAGGCAATGTGGCTAATTTGTCTGAAATTGTCTGGAACTCGCCCTCCGACGAGGTCTTCTCCGTCGTGGCGATGTGGCCCAACGAGAGGAGGTGGAGGGGCTGGCCTCCGTCTCGCTCGCTGCGTCTCGCCCGCTCGCGCATCTCTCCTTTCGTCGATATGGCAGTGCTGCTGCTGCTGGGGGCTGTCGGAGAGCGAGCGAAGGGATATTCGAGTGTCCGTCTGCGTCTCCGACGTCTCCACGTCTCGGCCGCCCGTCAGCCATGTCAAGACCTCATTAGCTATTAGGGATTTGGTGGCGCGGCTCTGAGGCGACGAGCCCCTTTCGAATGGCGCCCCCCTTCCCTCGGGATATCTCGGCAGCGCCGCGAAAAACGGAGACGAAGAAGTGAAAAGGGGAGGGAGAGAGAGAGAGAGAATATTCTATAATTTTAGAATCGTTTTGGTTTTAGGCCTCTCTTGAAAGAAGTAGAAAAAGAAGAGGGTAATGGTTGTGGGAAAGGAAAAGAATGAGCAAAAAAGGCTTTTGGGGACGAAGAGCTTTGAGCTCTGAGCATCCAAGTTCAGGGGTTCTGGGAGCTCTTCAGACTACGGTAGTAAACTCTTCGTCTCGAGACCCAGGCATACGGTAGCTTCACATGCGTGCTCGAGTTCTCGTCTGGCTGAATTGAGAACAAATTGAAACTGAGCGAAGAGACCAATGTACAAAAAGCACAAAGTTCTTCTAAAAGGGCCTGAGCCCGGGGCTCACATGACATGGCAGAAAACGAGAAGACGAAAAGAATTGAATTCAAGGGTGTCACTCCGTAAGTCGACCCGATGACGTGGCTCTGACATCCATAAGACAAAAGAAACCTTTTCCAGATGCCTCCTCGCTTCGAGGTGTTGGAATATTTTATGGCGGTTTTCTTTTTCTCAATCGGAAAAAGAGATAAAAGAAAGGAAAAAGAAACGAGCGGGGAGAAAGGCATAAATGCCGCGCGCGCGCACGTTATCAGACATCAAAAACCGAATGAAATGCTCCGTAATCCAGACGAGCGGAAGGAAATGCGCTCCATTGCGAACTACGGTAGGTCCGTGATCTTGGCGCTACAACGAAGCAGAACTCGTACGGAATAGCTATTAATAGAACTGTTACGATTTGGAACTCGCAACGTTAAAATACAACTGCGATGTCGCAGATCGCGATATCGACGACGGAGGAGATGATCAATGACCACATGGGAGAGCATTCCCATCGATTCTCACGATAATAATAACCATCCCCATTCCTCGCCGTTCCCAGGCACATTCACGGTGATTCGATTAGCGGAACTCCGTTAAATACCCCGGAATTTCCATTCGACCCAGCGGAAGATCGAGGAAACTTGTTCCATTTCGTGTGGAACAGTTAAGCAGGAATTCTCCTTGCAAGGAGAACTAGCGGAAGAAGCAACGTTCGATGCGTCTGCACTTCGGGATCGGTTTGCGGAATTCACTCAGAAGATCGGGGAAGGAGGAATTTTCGAAGTCATCACGGGAAAGATAGCTGCCGTTTGGAGCACCATCACTTCATGGATCGGCTCGGGAATCGTCATCATGGTTGTGCTGGTTATCGGAGGAGTATGTTGTGTCCAGTGTGTCGGAGGAACGTCGGTTGGCTGGCGTTACATTCCCTTTGCCCGGGAGTGTCGCAGATCGCGATATCGACGACGGAGGAGATGATCAATGACCACATGGGAGAGCATTCCCATCGATTCTCACGATAATAATAACCATCCCCATTCCTCGCCGTTCCCCGGCACATTCACGGTGATTCGATTAGCGGAACTCCGTTAAATACCCCGGAATCGCTCTTCTCAGTATATTCTATTCTCTTCTATTCTTTCTTCTACTTTCTACATTCTTCGACTTCTACGATTCCTTCCGAATAAATCGTTACACCATAGCCCGCACCTGTTTGTACATGCGAGTTCCAAATCGTAACAGTTCCATTCCGTGCGAGTTCTACTTCGTTGTAGCGCCGTGATCTTTCGTAAAGATCAGAGAGGGAGAGGACTGTCATTTTTAATCTCCGACAATTACGAGGGATTGTTTTTCGCCCGGAACTGGTTATTGTAGAACGAAAAAATGGTGAACGGCAGAAAACAATTTCAATTTTCTTCAGAGTATATGTCACAAACAAGAGATGAGTAAATGTAAAAAGTACAAGGAGGAGATCAATGGAAATCATTCGGAAGTCATCGCGAACGCCGGAGATTGCGTGGAGATCTGTCCGCGGATCGGAAGGTAGAGCTTGAACTCGGCGGGCAGCTCGTCTTCCGTGTAGAGCCGGTCGGCGAAGTACACGCGACGGATGCGGCAGTTCGCGTGGATTTGGTTACACCATAGCCCGCACCTGTTTGTACATGGTGACCCAGGCAAGCTATGAGTGGAAGAATTCGGATTCGAATTGGAACGGCGAAGAAGCTTATTGCTAAGCGTCTCGCTCACACGCTACCAACCAAAAATGAGATCAAGTCATTCAACATCGATGAGATCGTCACACTTCTGGAGGATCTGGCCGGAGACGTCGAAAGTCTCACCAAGCAAGTGGTGACGTTGGAGCGGTGTGAGCAGGAATGGAGGCACCTCGAACAAGTCAACCCAGACGAGGTCGCGGAACGGGAACGGTACGTAGCGAAATACCAGGATTTCGTGCCGTTCATAGCCGAAGGACGGCAAAGAGTGGTCCTCATCAAGGAACTCTACACGGTCGGTCACGAACGACTAACGGAAATGGACAAGCGGGAAGCGGAACAGCACCTCACAGTTGAGGAACTAGCTGTACAGTTGGAAGACGACATGCAGAGCGGCATCCACAAGGAAGTCCGACAGGAGCAAGGAGACAAGCAGGACGGTAAAAGACTTGTCACCCCAGCCCGACAGGATTCAATGGATACGAATTCAACGGAACGGAACACCGGAGGAGCAGTGACTGACCCCAGAAGCAACAGGGCAGCACCAACGAGTCTCCCGGTGAACGAAGGAAGCGGATTGACGGATCTTCCGAGGACTGGAAGCGTCGTTCCACCTGTGCAGACAATCGTCGCTCCACCAGTGCCTGTACATTCTATCGGTTATGCGGTACCAATGACCGTCGGACACATTCAACTGCCTCAGATGGCACTACCAGAGTTCAGTGGAGACATTCTGGCGTATCCAGCATTTCGAGAAGCTTTCGAATCGATCATGGGAAGCTTGGTAGTCGACGACCTCACGAAGTTGCACTACCTCAAGTCAGTGGTCAAAGGAGAACCTTCGAAGCTCATTGCCCACATTCGGACAACTCAGGCCAACTACCAACTGGCCATCAACGCCTTGGATCGACAGTACGGAGGACGTTTGAGAGTGAAGCAAGTCTTGATGCAACAACTGCGAGACCTCCCGGACATCTGCCACAGCAGCGAGGCAGAAGTACTTCAAAGCTTCGTCATTCAAGCAACGTCCGTGTTTGAATTGATGATTTCGGCACAGTGCGATGTTGACAATTCGGTCACAGCCAGTCTCATCGAATGCAAACTACCGAAGAGAATCATCGCGAAGATCTACGGAACTGCGAACAGCGACAACCCGTTTTCGGCTGGCCCACTACTGGAGCGATTACGGGACATCGCCACCGGAGAGATGTTGGTGGACTCCATCTACAACAACAGGCGAGGAGACAGACATCGCAACACTACGACAACCATGGCCGCGGTACATCATCAACACAACAACAAGCGGCATGGACAACCACAAGGACATCGCAACAGTGGAGAGACACATCAGCAGCGGAATCGGGTGGACAAGCCATGTGCGTTTTGTGTGGAGGATCGGATGATGCATCAACCAAAAGATTGTCGGAAGTACCCAACAGCTGATGTGCGCAAGGAACGAGCAAAAGAGCTGCGTTTGTGCTTCAACTGTTTGAGTTCTAGTCATTCGGCGAAGCACTGTCAAGGAAGATGCCAAGCGTGCCAGGGAAGACATCACGAAGCAATGTGCTTCCATCGGGAGAATGGCCAGCGACAGGGAGGATTTGGTTCGAGTCCAGGAGGATTCGCGGACGAAGGCAGAGGAGGAAGCGAACGAGTTCTTTCAAGAGACTATGTATCGTCGGGAGGATGGAAGATTCGTGGTTCGACTACCTTACTGCGACAAGGATGGCATCAACGACAACCGGAAACTGGCGTGGCATCGACTCATCGGAACCATCAAGCGATTGGAGAAGGATCCGGAACTGTTGAAGAAGTATGGAGCAATCATTGCCGAGCAGATCGGATTGGACTTCTTGGAGCGGGTCGAAGACGAAGGACACACGGACGGCGTTATCGTACACTATCTGGCACACCACCCCGTTATCAAGATGAGTTCCAAATCAACGAAAATCAGGATGGTATTCGATGGCTCAGCTGTGTTCTTCAAAACCGAACGCTCACTCAACGATCATCTGCACACTGGAGAAAGCCTTCTACCGCAGATTCAAGGTGTCATGCTCAGAATTCGTGTCAGGAAGATCTTGCTCTCCGCGGACATCCAGAAGGCATTTTTGCAAATGGAACTTCACGTGGAAGATCGGGATGCAACTCGCTTTCTGTGGAAAGATCTGGAGTCTGGCAAGATCGTGTGCTACCGATTCAAACGGGTACCGTTTGGATTGAAGTCGTCACCGTACCTTCTAAACCAGTGCCTCAAGACGCTGTTGTCAAGTCAAGATCAGCCTATCGCAAGGGACATGGCCAGGAATCTGTACGTCGATAATGTCTATATTGGAGTGGACAGCATCGAAGAAGCCAAGGAGGCCTACCATCAGTCGAAGGAGATCTTGAAGCAAGCTCAGATGAATCTGTGCCAGTACGTGAGCAATTGCACGGAATCCAACCAGTTCTTTGCCGAGCAAGAACACGCGGAACCGGAATCTGTGATGCAGAAACTTCTGGGAGTGTCATGGGACACAAGCACGGATGAGTTCATCTTCTCGTTTCCTTCCGTGGCTGCAGAACTGATGACCAAGAGGAAGACACTGAAGATCGTGGCGGGGATCTACGATCCTCAAGGATTTCTCACCCCAACGACTTTGGCGGGAAAGCTGTTTTTCCAACAACTTCATGGATCGAATTGGGATGAACCGTTGTCAGGAGAGCAACATCGACAGTGGCAGACGATCATGAAAAACTGGAAGGGGGATCCTTGGAGAATTCCTCGACGACTGTTCAACGATGAGATCTGGAATTCCGCGATTGCAATTCAACTGCACGTCTTCACGGATGCAAGTCAATTGGCATTTGGAGCGGTGGCTTACTTGAGAATTCTGACCAGCGCTGGAGCGTTCAGTCAATTTCTCATGGCCAAGTCCCGCGTCGCCCCAAGGAAGGAACATTCGATTCCTGCATTGGAGATGGTTGGAATTCTGTGTGGAGTCAGAGCTGCGAACTACGTCATCAAGGAGATGGACATGAAGTTTGACGGAGTTTTTTTGTTTGGACAGACTCCTGTGCTCGCTCGACACTTTAGTCAACAACGGAAACAGTGGAACCAAGTTTATCAGGAATCGAGTCAAGTCAATTCTGGAGCAATCGGAGGGCTTCGAGTTCACACACGTCCCCGGAAAGCAGAATCCAGCAGATTACCTGACTCGTGGACTGAAGTTCGCGGACCTGAAAGAATCAACAAGTTGGATCAACGGACCAGGATTCCTGCAGGAGACCAAGGACCTACCGCTTCGTCGATTCACGTTGGATCAAGTGGCTACTACACTCATGACATCGGCGGAGGTTATCCACGAGGTCCCAATTGACCCACACAAGTTTGGATCGTTCCACCGAATGCTACGGACGATTATGGTCATGCTTCAATTCATGATTATGATCACCAAGAGACGTTTACCAAAGGAGCAACGGGAGCAGTACAACCTGACCAACCACGAATGTGCTACGCGGGCAAGAAGGATAGCGTATCGTTGGGCGCAATGGATTGACCCTCCGTCTGAACAAACAATACGCAATCTACGACTACGCCAGAATCCGGAGGGCATCTGGATGTACCAGGGCAGAGTGGAACAACGGCCGTTGATTTTCCTTCCTCAAGGACAAATCAGTCGTCTTATTGTTCTCGATCTACACGAACGGTTCAGCCACGGCAGTCCACTTTTCACGTTGGCACAACTGAGAGCTGAATTCTGGATTCCAAGAGGTCGCGCCTTTTTGAAGAAGTCGATTGGGAAATGCTACGGTTGCCGCTACTTATCCACACTGCCGTATCGACAACCTGATTTTGCGGCTTTTCCGGACCTCAGAATCGCCCCGGCTCGACCATTTGAGAACTGCGGAGTGGATTTTGCTGGACCATTGAAAGTCAAGATGGATGGAGCAGTTCGGAACATCTACTTCGTGCTCTTCACATGCCTCTACACTCGCTTCATCCATACGGCCGCAATCAAAGACATGGAGACTGTGACGTTTCTTCACACTCTACGAAGGATGTGCGCAATGTTTGGAATACCCAAGATCATCGTTGCGGACAATGCAACTCAGTTTGAGATGCTCAACAACGTGTTGACGGAACTTCAACAACAACAACGGAACCGGATTGTCAACTCGACTACTCTCCCGGAATTCAAGTTCATCAAAGCTCATTCACCATGGGCTGGAGGTGTCTACGAACGGATGATCGGCCTGATAAAGAGATCACTGACCCGAGCTGGAACGACACGCGTTCTAATGAGCATCGAGGACTTCACGACAGTTTTGGCTGAGTGCACATCCATTGTCAACAGCAGACCGTTGACGTACGTTGCCTCGGATGATGACATCACCCCCCTACGACCGATTGACTTTGTGTATCCTGCCAACCGCTTTGACGGGGTTATGGATTTGTCCTCACCGCCGGATACCGATGGACAATCATGGGAACGTCGATACTTGATGGAACATTGGAGTCAGTCGTCGTCAATCACGGAAAACTTCCAACGACGATGGGACAAGGAGTACATTCAAGTACTTCAGGAACGACATCAACAGTCGCATCGACAGACGTCTACGGCGAAGGCCACCCCGAAGGTTGGAGATGTTGTTCTGATTGAAACGCCGATGGTTGGAAGAACGAAGTGGCCGATTGGACGGATCGTCGAAGTGAAGACGCGGTCAGCGAAACTAAAAAAGGGAGCGACGAGAAGGATCGTGGAATATCCTTGGAAACTTTTGTACCCACTGGAGACTGAGATGAACGAGGCGACGGAGACTACTACTACTGACGAGACAGCAACATCACCGAACGACGAAACGACACAGTCTCGAACCCCTAGAAGATCAGTCCGAATTGGTAACAGAATCAACCAAGTGACATTGGCTCTCACTCTGTTTGCTCTTTTCACAACAACGACAGCGGAAACGTTCGGAGACAATGGGACGACTGAGGCGACAGGACAGGAAGTGGGATCGTGGTCAACGAAGACGTCATACGAGGCGATTGGATCGCTCAAGGACAGGCTCGGATCAATAATGACTTCGTGGCTGTACACACTGGCAATCTTCGGAGTTCTTCTGGCAATCAATGTCGCAATCACAGTCATGCGCGTTATTGGAGGTGCTTACGAGACCACAGCATGGATTGTTCGACTGGTTGGAATGGGATCGCAATGGATCGGAAGACTGTGTTGTAAATGCTTCGGAAGACGATCGAGACAGCGACTCCCGACTATCATCGTTGCACTGATGTTGATTGGCATGGCGGACGGATGTAACGAAATCGCTTCGATTCAAGCTAACGAGAACGTTTGTGTCATGGCTGGAAAGAAGAACACGTGCTACCTGAATACGCTCTCAATCTTGAATGTACGACCGGACGGATCAGTCGGATGTTTTCGCGTCAAGAACGTGGATCACACATTGGAAACATTCGTGGAAGTTCAAGCGGAAGCAATCGTGTCAACATGTATACAGAAGTCACATCACTTCACTCGGGATTTCGACATCACTCATGAGTATTCTCATCGATGCTCGGGAGCTGGAAGCTGCTCCGGAGAGATTTGTGAAAATCTCACGGCAAACGACACTAGTCTACCGGAATTTTCAACGATGTCGAAGAGCGCTCCTGGATTCAGTCGATGCTACAAAACATGCGGTTGTGTGTCGTGTGGAGGATGCTTTTGGTGCTCCCCATCATGTCTCTACTCGAGATTGTTTGCGGTACCCAAATCGACATACGTCTACGAGATTGTGACATGCCCAACGTGGAAAACAGTTTTGGACGTCAGAGTTAACGGAGATCGTGGAAAGCACCGGATCGAACATGGAGTACCATTCTTGATACCTCGGACGAACATCACACTGGTCGTCACTGGATTCTCGACACCACCGACTCCAGTGCACGCGGCAACGTTCATCAAACGATGGAAGACAACTGATCAGAGTGCTCAATTCGGCTTCACCTACACGTCTGTTGCGCAGGCGGGAACGCCCACCAAAGGGATGGTGGGTGAATTCCAATGTGCAACCTATCAAGACGCTCTCAACTTCCGATGTCGATTCGATGAGAATTTGTGCAGTTGCATCGCGCAAGGAACCGTGCTCAGAGGTCCGTGTCGACACATTCACCTCGATGCGGTGCTCAAGAAGACGCTACTACCGAGAAGTGAAGCAGGGATCGCCATACTAACGGAAGGAGAACTGATCAAAACGAAGCTGACAACGAGTTCTTTGGTTTCGATTCAACTACAGTTCAGGAATCAATCGATTCATCGGATCGTGAAAGACGACAACTGCAGCATTGCAACGACGACGATCACGGGTTGCTTCTCCTGTGGAAAAGGAGCGTTGTTGACTGCGACGTGTACCTCCATGGTTCACAAAAGGATCGAAGCGACGGTCAAGTGCCCGACGATTGGGGTGGATTTTCTAGAATGCGGTATCGGCGGAGTGCGAGGGAAAATCAATTTCCATTCGACCCAGCGGAAGATCGAGGAAACTTGTTCCATTTCGTGTGGAACAGTTAAGCAGGAATTCTCCTTGCAAGGAGAACTAGCGGAAGAAGCAACGTTCGATGCGTCTGCACTTCGGGATCGGTTTGCGGATTTCACTCAGAAGATCGGGGAAGGAGGAATTTTCGAAGTCATCACGGGAAAGATAGCTGCCGTTTGGAGCACCATCACTTCATGGATCGGCTCGGGAATCGTCATCATGGTTGTGCTGGTTATCGGAGGAGTATGTTGTGTCCAGTGTGTCGGAGGAACGTCGGTTGGCTGGCGTTACATTCCCTTTGCCCGGGAGTGTCGCAGATCGCGATATCGACGACGGAGGAGATGATCAATGACCACATGGGAGAGCATTCCCATCGATTCTCACGATAATAATAACCATCCCCATTCCTCGCCGTTCCCCGGCACATTCACGGTGATTCGATTAGCGGAACTCCGTTAAATACCCCGGAATCGCTCTTCTCAGTATATTCTATTCTCTTCTATTCTTTCTTCTACTTTCTACATTCTTCGACTTCTACGATTCCTTCCGAATAAATCGTTACACCATAGCCCGCACCTGTTTGTACATGCGAGTTCCAAATCGTAACAGTTCCATTCCGTGCGAGTTCTACTTCGTTGTAGCGCCGTGATCTTTCGTAAAGATCAGAGAGGGAGAGGACTGTCATTTTTAATCTCCGACAATTACGAGGGATTGTTTTTCGCCCGGAACTGGTTATTGTAGAACGAAAAAATGGTGAACGGCAGAAAACAATTTCAATTTTCTTCAGAGTATATGTCACAAACAAGAGATGAGTAAATGTAAAAAGTACAAGGAGGAGATCAATGGAAATCATTCGGAAGTCATCGCGAACGCCGGAGATTGCGTGGAGATCTGTCCGCGGATCGGAAGGTAGAGCTTGAACTCGGCGGGCAGCTCGTCTTCCGTGTAGAGCCGGTCGGCGAAGTACACGCGACGGATGCGGCAGTTCGCGTGGATTTGGATTCTGAGCGTCTCAACGTAATTGGTTCCGTATGCTCGCTTCACGAAATCGCTCAAATTGAACTGGATTTGATTCCAACCCTCGTCCATTCTCATTGGCATTGTGCAGATGAACGGCTGAAAACGTTCTATAGGGCGCAGTTTCATTTCAATCAGAATTACTTTAACTCTCGTCGAAGATTGATAATTCGACGCGCGAAATCGCCGCTTAATCTTCTTGTCATCGATTATTTGCACTTCGAACGAGAAGTACTTGTTCATGTTCTTGACGACCATCACGAAGAAGGGCAGTTTGATGCCTAGGGTCTTATCCGGATCCACCGGACAACTGATGAACGCCGTGCTAATGTTGTTGCCCATAATCTCCAAAACGAGTGACTGGATTTCCTCGTCCGTTATCCGTTTCACATGGCCGTTTTTGACCTGAATTAACAATTAAATGGTCAACTTTTGTATTCAGAGTACTTTTTGCGCTCAGTATTCTATACAAAGTTTTTATTTATTTCTTTACCCAAAATGCTGTGGTTTTCATAAATTTACACAAATTACCTGCGTATCCCAAATCTGCAGCGGTTTGCTGCCGATGCTGTAGAGAACGGAGAGCAATCCGCTTTGGAACGTGTTGTGGAACATTCTGGAGCAGCTGAAAATAGGAGACGTGAGCGGTGAGCAGGAGAGCGAGTCAGTCGGAGACGCGGCCGAGCGTGAAGAGTTTTGAGGTTGTCATGTCGACGGGCGGGAGCAAAAGTAATAGCAGTGAAGCCAATGACTCTCTTTTTCTCTTATTACTCTCTACAAATTCAATACTCTTTTTATTACGGCTTATTGGGAAAGGAATGCGAAGAAGCTCACAGGAATTGATGCATAAAAAGAGTAGATAGAACTCTGACGAAACAAACTTAAAAAGAAAGAAACGAGATTCGAAAAGAGGTTGGGGCGTCGGGGAGGCAAAAAAAAGCATGAGGAAAAGTGGAAAAGTGGTAAAGGACCAAAGACTGCGGGGGGAAATGTTAATCGAGGCGGAATTATTCGGCGTCTCCGTCGAGCTCTCCCTCCTCCTCGGCAGTTGCCTCCTGGTACTGCTGATACTCGGACACCAGGTCGTTCATGTTGCTCTCCGCCTCCGTGAACTCCATCTCGTCCATTCCCTCGCCAGTGTACCAGTGAAGGAAGGCCTTGCGACGGAACATCGCCGTGAACTGCTCCGAGATTCGCTTGAACAGCTCCTGGATAGCAGTCGAGTTTCCGATGAATGTGGCTGACATTTTAAGTCCACGTGGCGGAATGTCGCATACGGCCGTTTTCACGTTGTTCGGAATCCATTCAACGAAATACGAAGAGTTCTTGTTTTGCACGTTCATCATCTGATCGTCGACTTCGCGCATGGACATGCGTCCTCGGAACATGGCGGCCACAGTCAGGTACCGTCCGTGTCTTGGATCGCACGCAGCCATCATGTTCTTGGCGTCAAACATCTGCTGAGTGAGCTCGGCGACTGTCAGAGCACGGTAGGCTTGTGCTCCCTTGGCGGAGAGTGGAGCGAATCCAGGCATGAAGAAATGGAGACGTGGGAATGGAACCATGTTGACGGCAAGCTTGCGAAGATCCGCATTCAGCTGACCGGGGAAGCGGAGGCAAGTGGTCACTCCGGACATGGTCACGGACACTGAAACGAGCAGAAATTGACAATCTTCGATGAAAATTAAGCTGTTTTACCGAGATGATTGAGATCTCCATAAGTGGGGCTGGTCAGCTTGAGTGTTCTGTAGCAGATATCGTGGAGGGCTTCGTTGTCAATGCAGAAGGTCTCATCAGTGTTCTCCACGAGCTGGTGAACGGAGAGAGTGGCATTGTACGGCTCGACGACGGCATTTGACACCTGAAAGGAAGTATTGCAACCTGATCTTTGTTTTCTGAAACCGCTCACCTTTGGCGATGGAACAACTGAGAACGAGCTCATGATTCTATCCGGGAACTCCTCGCGTATCTTCGAGATGAGGAGAGTGCCCATTCCGGATCCAGTTCCTCCTCCGAGCGAGTGAGTCAGCTGGAATCCCTGCAGACAGTCGCATCCTTCGGCCTCCTTGCGGACGACATCTAGCACATTGTCAACGAGTTCAGCTCCCTCAGTGTAGTGTCCTTTGGCCCAGTTGTTACCGGCCCCCGATTGTCCGAAGACAAAGTTATCCGGGCGGAAGAGCTGACCGAACGGGCCCGAGCGGACCGAGTCCATGGTTCCTGGCTCGAGATCGACGAGGACGGCGCGTGGAACATACTTGCCACCTGAAAAATGATCGAATGAGCATCTGAGAAGCCGGAAAAGAAGGTAAAACTTTGAAAAAGAAGCAGAACTGACTACCAGAGTTGAGCGGAAATGGAATTTTGAAATCCGGAAGACGGCAGACGGCAGACGGAAGAAAATTTTTCTTACGGAATACGGAAAACGGAAGACGGAATAAAATTTTTCTCACGGAAGACGGCAGACGGAAGACGGAAGAACACTTTTTTCCCGGAAGACGGCAGACGGAATACGGAACAAAAATCGTCAATTCAGAGCCTTTTTTTCCGGTTTTTTTGAAAAATAACTAAAGCAACAAAACTTTTTGGATCTGGGTACTGCCCGTGGAAATTCGCGTTCTTCGGGACTAGTAAATGGCTTTTGAAAAGCTATCACTCTTTTACGGTAAGAAGAAAAAATCCCGCAAGACGGCAGACGGAAGACGGAAGAAAATTTTTCTCACGGAAGACGGCAGACGGAAGACGGAAGAACACATTTTTCCCGGAAGACGGCAGACGGAATACGGAACAAAAATCGTCAATTCAGAGCCTTTTTTTCCGGTTTTTTTTTTGAAAAAAATAACTAAAGCAACAAAACTTTTGGATCTGGGTACTGCCCGTGGAAATTCGCGTTCTTCGGGACTAGTAAATGGCTTTTGAAAAGCTATCACTCTTTTACAGTAAGAAGAAAAAATCCCGGAAGACGGCAGACGGCAGACGGAAGAAAATTTTTTTACGGAAGACGGCAGACGGAAGACGGAAGAAAACTTTTCTCACGGAAGACGGCAGACGGAAGTCGGAACAAAAAAAAACCACGGAAGACGGAAGACGGAAGACGGCAGACGGAATTCCGCTCAACACTGCTGACTACATTTTGGGCGCTACAACGAAGTAGAACTCGCACGGAATGGAACTGTTACGATTTGGAACTCGCAGTTATATTTTAACGTTGCGAGTTCCAAATCGTAACAGTTCCATTAATAGCTATTCCGTACGAGTTCTGCTTCGCTGTAGCGCCAAATTTTGTCGAAAGACTATTCAAATCTGCGTATGGCCGAGAAAAACAAAGAAAAACATCGGCCACCGCGTCGGGAACTCCTCTTGGAAAACGCCAGAAATGTAGTTTTTCAGTGCAAAAACTAAGAACTGCTTTGAGTTCATATAAAAATTTGATTTTTTTTTAATTTTCACAATTTTTTACTTTTACTTGCTCACCATTCGCCTCATTATAGTAGACATTAATGCGCTCGAGCTGCAGATCGCTGTCTCCGTTGTAGGTTCCGTCAGGCTGGATGCCGTGTTCATCGGAGATCACCTCCCAGAACTTGGCTCCGATTTGGTTACCGCACTGTCCGGCTTGCACGTGCACGATCTCTCTCATGTTGTTTGAAAGCGACGGGCGGAGGAACCTGGAAAGAAAATTGAAACTGGAGATGAAAGTGTTGGCGGGCAAGGTGACAGGTGACGAGAATAGGCAAACGATATTCGTTGAATTTCAAATTCGAATGCGAGAAAAAAGTAAACGGTTGGCTCCTCGTTTTAGATGGAAGCGGGAAGGGCAACGAGCGGGCACAAAATTCAGATTGGCAGATGGCGTGGAGGAGAGAGAGTGTGCAAAGCGAAGAGACGTAGAGAGGGCGCTGGCTAAATTACTTTCGGTTTGGTTTTGCTCTGCACCGTCCAACAAACAACACCAAAAGTGTGACGAAATCTCAGTTCTCCTCAGAATTGTTCAAGAATCGTGGTGTATACTACAACCAGACAGTTGAACGCGACGGGCGGAAAAAGGAAGGAAAGAAGAGGGGGAGGAGTCGCTCTTCCAATTCTCGTCAATTATACTCTGCGTCGTCGTCGTTGTCGGCAGTCCGGAATGCACTCGGACGAGACCCCAATTGCTCGGGGAGTAGCACAACAAAAAGAGAAAATAGAAGGGGGAGCCGCCGGTTAGGCACCGAATCGATTGTGTGTCGAGGATGCGCACACATTCCCTCTGTCGAAGAAGAAGAAGAAGAAGAAGAAGAAGAAGGGATCGTTGTGCGAAAAGGGCACCTACAAACCAGGGCTGGCCAATGAAAAGCCCTGGCGGGGCTAGTTGAATGCGCGCTCCACTGCAAAAAAGCCTTGGCCGGACAAGGCCGGCCAATGGTATGGTAAGCAATTCGGTTTACTGAGCGGTGTTTGCACACAAAGCATTTTAAATAAATAAAAAAAAAACGTTTTTTCGAAAGGGTTTTCTTTTTTTCTAAGTTTTCATGATCAAATATTTTCACAGAAAAATGCTCAATCCGAAGCGGAAATGTATGGAACCGACAGTTTTTCTGCCTGATTGGATTTTCGATTCATAACGTTGTTCCCATACATTTTTTTCTTTCGTTTCGTTCTCATGCATCTCGTTCTCATTAATTCTGTCGTTTTCTTTTATTTTTCTCTTCACTTATGCTAATTTTCGAAATTTGTCAGCTTTCATTTCATCGAAATTTAACTCACTTACTTTCTTTTCACCTTTTTTCTACTTTCAAGCATGTCTTCTTCTCCTTTTAAAATAATTTCTTCAATTTTGTCGTCATTTAATTTCATTTGTGTGCAAACACCGCTTAGTGAACCGAATTGATCTAGATAGGAAAGGATTGTGGTGGGCTGGCAGGGAGTGAATAACGGCCGAGATTTGTGGGATTAGGCGTGAGAAATGTGCCGGAACCGTATTCCCTCGGAATGCAAATGGAAAGAAAGGTCTCTTTCAAATGGAAATGGAGCAGTGTGGCGGATGCGCGGCAATTGGATTACCATCGAACAGAAAAGAACACATGGCGAGTGACACGATGATATCCTTTTTCGGAGGGGCTCTCGAGAAGAAGGGCATCTGGAGATGCGAGGAGGAGAAGAGGCAAATACGTCTTTTTTGGGGCGGATGAAGAAGATGAAGTGCGGCGAGCTCAAGACCGAGAAACGGCTGTGTTTGAAAGAACTTTTTGAGCACAAATATAGCTGGATTCGCTGAGAACCAATCAGAGAGGAAAGGAAACGAAGAAAACCGGTACAGCAACGAGATGAGTGACGGGTGAATCAACAGAAGGTCTCGCAACGATCAAGAAACGGTTCTGGCTCACAGAGATTCAACAATGAATACAACGGAACAGAAAAAAATAAGTGAAAAGAAGAGCTGAAAGGTTGGTGAGTCGACTCTTCTCCGTAGAATGGCCCACTTCCCGACCATCTGCCGTCTCGTCTCGTCCCGCCTACTTCGGTTTCCAATTATTCGAAGCAGCACACACCCCTCATTCTCTCCATTTCTTTCATTCCGGAATGGCCATTGTTTAATTTGAGTGCCTTCATAAAACCGAATTGGATGCTAGTGATGCGAGAGAGAGACGGCACTATTTTATGATCTCGGACCTCTTCTTTCTGGAATTGATTGGAAAAAAATGACGAGTGGAATGTTTTCTTTTATAACTACACAACATTTACAAGTAAATATCTACAGAATGTGTATGGAATGTTACAGGCAAAGGCACAACTTATTGAACCGGAAGGATAAATGAGTGTCACGAGGTATCATTATGAAATAAGGTTATGCGGGAATATGATGCAAGAGTAGGATCCCATGATGGAAATTAATCGGAAGAAACGTAGCCAGAGTCGGTGCTTTCCATCGAGCAGATTTCCATCTGAGAATAGGAAAAATTAGTTTGACGACACGAGCATTTCCTAAATAAAAATTGATGAATCATCAGTGACTCCTAATGCGTCACAAATTGTTTCGAAAACATCTTGCAAGCAACACAAATTATCATTTGCACCCCACACCAAAACAAATAAACTCGAGTAGACACGGTGTCACCTGAAATGACGTCACACTGGCGCACTCCCTTGGCACCGAGCCAAAGTTTGCATTTTCAGAAAATATTGTGTAAAGTCTAACACTTTAACAGTATCGCAAATGCTTCTAAACACTAAGTAAAAGCATCGGTACGCTTGTTCGCACTGACACACCGTGACGTACCGGACGATGAAATCCTCTGCGAAGCTCCTCGTACTCTTTCAATTCTTCGTCGGACGGCAGCGATCCTTGCGAATCGACGGAAAGGCTCACAGAACGGGAAATTGAGTCGGACGTAGTTGGCCTGTACAGCTCTCGGATGATCGGCTGATAGGCGGGATCCTCGGAAGTGAATGGTTGAGTAAGCGAAGGACGGACACAACGACGCACGGCGTTCCAGATTCGGGAGATGATGTTAGGCATGTCTGAATATGAAGTATGAATATTTCAAAAAGGGAAACTATGGAAAAAAGAGGCAAAAATGGGCGAACAGTTTCATAATGATTAACACATGCGAATGGACGGAATGGAGAGGAGGAGGAGGGGTGAGGCCGAGCAGTCGGAGAAGAAAAGGCGGAGCATCATATACATACAGTCGCCAGAGAATGACGTGGGCACACTGAAATTCATCTTTAGTCACCCGAGCACTGAGCAAAAGACTCATGTGACGAAAAAGGTAAACTAGTACAACAGAGATGCGTTTGTGAATTTTTCAGTTAAAAAATTCGTTTAAAAGTAGACAGAGTGATAGATGACAAACCTGACACCCACTTTTATCAACTTTGTCACCTTTTTATTGACCGTTTTCTCGAAAAAATAGTTCAAAGTGTAACTTCCGGGCTGGTCTCAGAAGGGACAGTCAATCTTGACGTGTTCAGGAAACGTATGCATAAAAACAGCAAGTAAACCACACAAACTCAATGAGAAAAGTGTGAACTGTTGAAGAAAATTGTGAAAAGAGACTCGCTTATCAGCTGATGCGTAGAACGGCCTGACACGGCACCGGAGGGAATTCGCGGGTGAGCGAGAGCATCTGATAACGAGTGGGAAGCTCTATTTCTAGGTGACAACGGAACGGAAAGTGCTCCAATTGGGACAGTCTCTGGGGCACGTAGGGGGTCATAATAAGGAGTTAAATGAGGAGTGCACTTTCAAGCGATGAGCACGACTCGTTCGGTTTCCATCGCTCCAAGCCACGTCGATAGAAGTTCGCGGCACGTATCATAAACACGATGTTTCCAGGAAAGGAGCGACAGTCTGATAACAGTCTCTGCCCGCTTTTCCCCTCTTTTCTCTCCTCTCGCTCTCTTTTCGCTCCCTCGCCGATCGAGTTGCGACACAACACAACACAAGAACGAAAAGCATAAAAATGGAATCGAGTGCATACAAAAGAGAGCTCAAAGACACAAAAAAAGTGAGAATCTCCTCACTTTTGTAGTTCACGGACTGAAAGCATGCTACGCGGCCATTCCCTCCTCATTTTCATTTTCACTTCTCCACGGATTGGTCTAGAACAACTAGAAGAACGAATAAACTCGTGGAAAAAGAAATGGATTCTCTGCCAACTTACTCTTCAACTGCTACGCCAAACAACGAGGTAAATAAGCAGAACAGCTGTTTCTCGACGCACTTCTTCGCTCATCCATCAGCGTGTTCTTTCTTCTCTTTTTTCAGCAGACATTTGGCGTTTCGTCAGAGTTGGCTCGTCTTTTGGGATGCGATCGGACGGAAGCGGCGCTCGTTTGGGAGGGAATCAAGGCGTTGCGGACGGAGCAGGAAGTGCAGAAGCGTTTGGAGGAGGTGATGGATACTGTAGTTGCTCCGACCGCAGAGATTTCAGACTGGAATCTGGAAGCCGGAGTCTGGTCATCGGCCACTTCTCGACGTGCTCCAGCTCGTTCAGAGGAACTCCACCTGCATGACAAACTCTTGAACACTTCTATCGACTAACTTTGCCCTGACTGTTATGAATCTGAATAAATATTAACTTTTGAAACGTTTATTCATCAAAACAGTTTTTATCTCCTCTCATGTTCATCATCAGACGACGCGATAGTTGTTGAGACAAACGCACTTGTTGTACCGATCACAGACGCCCTGGAATCAAATCTCATTGCTCATGCACATTTCATTAATAGTATTATGTGCCTACCAAAACCGGCGAGCACAACTCGGAGCACATCATTTTGCACTGAGCACGGAAAGCGACCGAAGATGGCTTGAACAACGAATTCTTCGCCCCCGATGACGTGGCGATTGCGGATGACGTGGCGAGCAGAATCAGAAGGAAATAGGCGAGAAGCATGGTTCGAATGGGAAACTGAAAGGAAGAAGATGAATGGAAAAATCGAAAACTGAAAAATGGGAAAGTTGAGGAGCGAGATGAGCATGTTGGGAAGTGAGTAAAAGTATAAGCAAGTGTATTTATAATTGAGACCGGAAGACGTGCACGACGTCTTCTGAAAGAAAGAGAGAGAGCGAAAGCGCGTGAAAAGTGAGTGGGCGCACACTCGGGGGAACTGTCCCGTTCAGATGGAATTCTCAGAAAGTGTGTGTGCAAATGAACTCAGATATACACATAATTATGGATTCTGACTTGAATACATCGAATAACAGGATTGTCGTGTTGGGAATCCAGAGTATATTTATAGATTTGAGTACATCACATGTTCTAAGTTTCTGGACAACTTCAAGTGCCACGAAAACGTTGAAATCGCTACGAAATCAAATTTCTCGTAATACTCAAGAACGGATTATAAATTAGAGATACGAGGCTTCTCAGAAAAGGGATAAAATCTTGTTTTTCGAGAAGAATAGTCAAAATTTCAGTTGAACCTGGACGAATTCTTTTGACTCATTTTCTCAAATTCGATCGCATTCACATTTCTTCTCCTTAAAGCATCCGAGAGATTACCAGAGCAACCAGAAATGAGAGGAAAAGCCAGATTAGTTATAAATGTACACATTTTCCAGGTTTCGCAGCTTCTTACTTTGAAATTCCTGCTTACTTTCTCTTCTTATTGTGTTTTTAGCCATCCTCCGTGCCTGACATCTTTTTAATTTCCTTAGGTCTTTTTCTTCTCCGCGAGTAGTCATCATCCGATTCCATTTGTTTCTCACTCTTTGTTCTCTTCTCATTTCCATTCAGAAATCACAATTTTTTCAGCAGCAGACTGAATCCCGCAAGTCGTCGCGAAATATCACATGGAAAACTGACGAGAAGACGTCTGAAAGAAATCAGTAACGTCGCGGAAGAAGCATTTTGTGAGCTACCTCTAGGCACACGAGGCGTTTGCTCGGCAGAACACTCATTTACGGCATGAATTGACTTTTCGATCTGACGCATATCATCTGATGATCGACTATTCTCATCAGCATGTTTATCGAACTGTTCGGCGACATCTTTTTCGAACTTTTGAAAATTCCATAGGAAAGGTGCATTAGACATAGCTGAAAAGTGTGAAAATGGGTGAATCATCGTTGAATGCCAAACAGACATCTTCAAAGGATGGACGTCGTCTTCACTGATGTCCGAGGGAGTGTTACGGTATCTCCTTGTTTATGACGCTTGTCCCAATTCGATTCGCATTCATTTTATGTGTTCATTCGACGGAATCGCGATGAGCACGAACGGAAGTTAAAATCAGATAATAATGAGATAATGTAATTGTTCTGTACGATTGTTTTCAGGTTCAAAGTTTGGCCATTCACTTTTCCTCTGGATCTTCCCGATCGGCACAGGAATCGCATAGAGAATGTTAAACTGGCAGCTGTGTACGTTGCCGAGTACGAACCGACGGCAGCAGTTCATGATTCAATTTTCTAGCACGTCTGTACCGCATTGCAGAAAGACGTCGTTTGGAAAGATTATACTGTGACCTGCGAGATCATCCAATCACGACGACTTTGCGAGTCCGTTACCCATTCTTTTCTACTCATTTTTGGCACTTTTCCAGGCACGTCGCAAGGTCTACGCACTTCGTGGGCACTCATCGAGAGGCTCCAGTAGCTACTGCCGGAACCAGGGGACACTGATCAAGATAAACGACTCGACAACTTTGCGGAAGTCTCTATACATGAACTTTTAACAAGACGAATTTCATTTTAGTGCGCGGAGTCCTTCCTCTCCCTCCAGAAATCGATCTAGATCTCATTCTCTTCCGATCTCGTCAATGCTCCGTGCGGTATGTTTCCAAACTGACTACTTTTAATTTTAAGCGCACATTTCAGACGTGCTCATCGCAGCGATTGTGCTTGAGGCGGCCGAGGAACTGAGTCCGGCTTCCATCTCGAACACCATCCCCGTGCTCTTCCGTGATTATGTAAACGGCCAATTGTAAGTTTATTCTAAAAAAAGTTTCACACGTCTTTGTATTGCAGCAGCCAGGCCAGAACTGGCCTAGAAGACAACAACGCACACACGATGATGTCCAGTCTGCTAATAAGGCTCGCATGAACAAACAGGTGCGGGCTATGGTGTAACGATTTATTCGGAAGGAATCGTAGAAGTCGAAGAATGTAGAAAGTAGAAGAAAGAATAGAAGAGAATATCCTGAGAAGAGCGATTCCGGGGTATTTAACGGAGTTCCGCTAATCGAATCACCGTGAATGTGCCTGGGAACGGTGAGGAATGGGGATGGTTATTATTATCGTGAGAGTCGATGGGAATGCTCTGTTCTGTGGTCATTGATCATCTCCTCCGTCGTCGATATCGAGACCTGCGACACTCCCGGGCCAAGGGAATGTAACGCCAGCCAACCGACGTTCCTCCGACACACTGGACACAACATACTCCTCCGATAACCAGCACAACCATGATGACGATTCCCGAGCCGATCCATGAAGTGATGGTGCTCCAAACGGCAGCTATCTTTCCCGTGATGAAGTCGAAAATTCCTCCTTCCCCGATCTTCTGAGTGAATTCCGCAAACCGATCTCGAAGTCCAGACGCATCGAACGTTGCTTCTTCCGCCAGTTCTCCTTGCAAGGATAATTCCTGCTTAACTGTTCCACACGAAATGGAACACGTTTCCTCGATCTTCCGTTGGGTCGAATGGAAATTGATTTTCCCTCGCACTCCGTTGATACCGCATTCTAGAAAATCCACTCCAATCGTCGGGCACTTGACTGTCGCTTCGATCCTTTTGTGAACCTGGAGGTACACGTCGCAGTCAACAACGCTCCTTTTCCACAGGAGAAGCAACCCGTGATCGTCGTCGTTGCAATGCTGCAGTTGTCGTCTTTCACGATCCGATGAATCGATTGATTCCTGAACTGTAGTTGAATCGAAACCAAAGAACTCGTTGTCAGCTTCGTTTTGATCAGTCCTCCTTCCGTTAGTATGGCGATCCCTGCTTCACTTCTCGGTAGTAGCGTCTTCTTGAGCACCGCATCGAGGTGAATGTGTCGACACGGACATCTGAGCACGGTTCCTTGCGCGATGCAACTGCACAAATGCTCATCGAATCCACATCGGAAGTTTAGAGCGTCTTGATAGGTTGCACATTGAAATTCACCCACCATCCCTTTGGTGGGCGTTCCCGCCTGCGCAACAGACGTCGACAGTCAAGTGCCCGACGATTGGAGTGGATTTTCTAGAATGCGGTATCAACGGAGTGCGAGGGAAAATCAATTTCCATTCGACCCAGCGGAAGATCGAGGAAACGTGTTCCATTTCGTGTGGAACAGTTAAGCAGGAATTCTCCTTGCAAGGAGAACTGGCGGAAGAAGCAACGTTCGATGCGTCTGGACTTCGGGATCGGTTTGCGGAATTCACTCAGAAGATCGGGGAAGGAGGAATTTTCGACTTCATCACGGGAAAGATAGCTGCCGTTTGGAGCACCATCACTTCATGGATCGGCTCGGGAATCGTCATCATGGTTGTGCTGGTTATCGGAGGAGTATGTTGTGTCCAGTGTGTCGGAGGAACGTCGGTTGGCTGGCGTTACATTCCCTTGGCCCGGGAGTGTCGCAGGTCTCGATATCGACGACGGAGGAGATGATCAATGACCACAGAACAGAGCATTCCCATCGACTCTCACGATAATAATAACCATCCCCATTCCTCACCGTTCCCAGGCACATTCACGGTGATTCGATTAGCGGAACTCCGTTAAATACCCCGGAATCGCTCTTCTCAGGATATTCTCTTCTATTCTTTCTTCTACTTTCTACATTCTTCGACTTCTACGATTCCTTCCGAATAAATCGTTACACCATAGCCCGCACCTGTTTGTACATGGTGACCCAGGCAAGCTATGAGTGGAAGAATTCGGATTCGAATTGGAACGGCGAAGAAGCTTATTGCTAAGCGTCTCGCTCACACGCTACCAACCAAAAATGAGATCAAGTCATTCAACATCGATGAGATCGTCACACTTCTGGAGGATCTGGCCGGAGACGTCGAAAGTCTCACCAAGCAAGTGGTGACGTTGGAGCGGTGTGAGCAGGAATGGAGGCACCTCGAACAAGTCAACCCGGACGAGGTCGCGGAACGGGAACGGTACGTTGCGAAATACCAGGATTTCGTGCCGTTCATAGCCGAAGGACGGCAAAGAGTGGTTCTCATCAAGGAACTCTACACGGTCGGTCACGAACGACTAACGGAAATGTACAAACAGGTGCGGGCTATGGTGTAACGATTTATTCGGAAGGAATCGTAGAAGTCGAAGAATGTAGAAAGTAGAAGAAAGAATAGAAGAGAATATCCTGAGAAGAGCGATTCCGGGGTATTTAACGGAGTTCCGATAATCGAATCACCGTGAATGTGCCTGGGAACGGTGAGGAATGGGGATGGTTATTATTATCGTGAGAGTCGATGGGAATGCTCTGTTCTGTGGTCATTGATCATCTCCTTCGTCGTCGATATCGCGATCTGCGACACTCCCGGGCCAAGGGAATGTAGGGGCTCTTCGTTGGCTCTTTCAACGTGGCTTCGGCGTCCACTTCTGATGCGTTCGGTTCTGCTTCCAATGAGGACCACGATGCGACTGGGATCCAATAATTACTTCGTCGTTCTAGATCACCCCACACACAACTTTTTCTTTTCTTTTTCTTATAGTTCTTGTTGTTTTGTTTTACTTCCCAATACTATTTTGTTCTCTTCCCAGTTGACCTGTTTGTTGCCTCGATCTCAACAAAATTGAGTTCCAGATCTTTTTTATCGCGTTTTATTGGTTTATAACCAATTTCGAGTACTGAACCCCAAAAAATCGCTTGAAGCCTTCTAATCTTATGCGAACATTCACAATTGTTACCAGAAGGTTTGCAAATGTTTTCCGAAAATTCACAAAAATTATATGGCAACTGCGGTTCCTGGCGAATCTGCTCCGACTTCGGGTAACTTTGAAACATTTGGCGCCTGAGCTTGTAAATCCCCAGTTATCATCCGAACTCATTTCATTCTCTGTTCTATTCTATTCTCATTTGTTTCCAAAATGACGAGCAATTTCTATTTCGAACTGACTTTGGCCTCACTTTGGCGCAGCTCCTTTCTTACGTATTTTGCCAGAAACGTATCCGATTCCGGAGGCGTGTAGATTGACGTGAAGTTTGTTTGTATTCTGATGACGTTATGACGTGGCAACCATCACTTCCTTTTTCAGAGATGAACGTTGAAGCTGAAGACGAGAAAGAGTACAAGCGAGAGCCTGAGCCGCATGCTGATATGTATGCACGCACGAAGAACCCCAACTGGTGGCGAGCGCTCGCCGGTTCATTCAATTATGTCGCCGTGTGCCGCCCCTATTCATTTCAATTGAGCTGGTCCGACCCACAAATGCACATCAGCTCAAATGACGTGAGTTTCCAGATCAAGTGGGCGGAAAGGCGAGCAAAGCGCATGCACAAATTGGGTCGAACTGAATGGAAAAATGAATGCGGAAAGAGGGGCGGGGAGGGTCCATGTGGGTCCAGGAGGCAAAGACTGCACAGCCACTTTTTGGGGGCCCTTTCCACCTACACTCGTCTTCCTGCTTCGGTGCATTTCCCGGATTTTGCGTTAAATCGAGTTTGTTGCAAAGTGACGAGAATTACGGTCGGTCATTCAGAAGGTTAGAGGGTCCAGCGCCTGAAGATTGCGCTCTAAATGATTGATTCGATGATCTCACAGCCAGCTTCTCCTCCCCGTTCCGAAAATGTTACAATTCTCCGTCCATCATCGCAGCGTTTTTGACAAAAAGCTTCCCGCCGACCACATGTTGGCGAACGAATTCGACTCGAGTCGTTCGCACCCGCCATAATTAATCGGTCCGATGATATGCGGCGGCTCATCTCAGGAGGCTCTCTTCTTCCGCATCCGCCGAGAGTTTGCTTCTAGTTTATTCGTTTATGCTCACTCTCTGATCTTTGAAATCAATGTTTTTGTCGTTTTCGACTGATGAGTGACCGGATGCTTAGGATGACCTTATGCATATATATATAGTGGCATTAAGATGGGATCCTTAAGCAGAAAGAAAGCGGGAGATCCGACAGGATTGACGCCACGTCATGACGGTTAGTCACGTCCAAGCATGGAGATCCTCCTCTAAAATGCCAGTCTGGATTGAGAGTGAGAGAGAGAGAGAGTCTGGTACCACCCGACCAAATTGACCAGTGTTCTGATACCCTTCTGTAGTTCCCAGATCGATGACCCCAATCTTCTTACGCGCAAATCCCAAATCCTTCAGCTCAAATCCAGCTCTTCGTTGGAAAGTTTCAGCTCAATTACTTTCCCCCGCATTTCCAAAAACTGGCAGAGACTTTGAAGATCCGATTCCATTCCGATTTCGATTCTTTGAAACATCGCGTCATTACTGGCCCGCGGTGCCCCTCGGCTATTTCCGTATTTCATTGTTCTAAATTCGGATAATCATCGTCAGCATAATTGATAAGTCGGCGCACAATCCGGGATTCGACGGCCGTGCTCGACGGGTCAGTTTGCATCGGAGTGCGCTTCGTTGCACACACTCGGGCGCTCCGGAGAGCAACAATTTGCCGCTGTCAGAGACGGGCCGGAACTCCCACGCAGCAGCAGAAGAAGTGCTGCGAAGGATCTGAGACAATTAATGACGGCGGATTCCTGGAATCGAGGAGGGCGGGTTAGGTGATCGTGGGAGTGGGTGGGGTACAGTGGCTGGAAAGTGTTGAGAAGCTCAGCCACCGTAACCCATGTCACATCCCTGGCTCCCTTCCAAACATCCGATTGCCCTATCAACTATCATGTATCATTTATCTCTGCCTGATCAAAACACTCGGCTAACCTTTCCCTCCTCCGCCCCACCGGTTTCCTGTTTGTATACACGTGCTCGACGCCCTTCTAGAATGAAACGTGATTTTGATCGTCTTTGATTGAGTTATGAGAGTCTAGTAGATTCTGGGAAGTCGATAGTAAAAAACGCGTATACGGAAGCGTTTCAAAGTCTCGAAATTTCCTTGCGAGTGATGTGATGATGGGATTGAGTGAGGGTGGCGAAAGTAAAGTACGAATCGAATTTCCGGAGCCGTCGTGAAATCCACGTGGCTTTCTGGTGCTCCCCGTATTAATTGCGACTTCTTCTTCTTCTTTATTGTTCTTTCGTTATCTATCTCTCTCTCTCTGCGCGTCTCAATTGCCTAATTGAATAGATGAGCGGGTGGCGAATAAAACATAAGGAATGCGTGTCGTCGTGGAGAGTGTCCTCTCTTCAGATGACGTGCCTTCTCGCCCGACGTCACGGCGCCGGAGACGCAGCCAAGAAAGGGATACGCCGTGCTCCGCGCGCTTACAACGGACCATTAATTCGGGTGGGAGAGAAACAAAAAAAGGCGGTGGCGGCGAGTGGACATCATGATGTCAAGCAGGAAGTGGGTCAAACTGCGGCCCATCAGAGACCGAGCAGGTCAACCCATACCGGGAGTAATTACGCGGGTGCAAGAATGGCACAGAAAAAGCAAAAGAGCCAAAAGAAGAAAAAGAAGAAGTCGTCAGGAAGTGGCAGTTCTGACCCCACGCACCTGGAGTGTGCTTTGCTCCTCCTCGTATTGTTCCGACACTTGATGTGTTTTCATTCTCACTCCCAATTGCCCACTAGGTACTACTTTGACCACCCAACTTTAGGATCAGAGCTCAGAAGCTCTTCTTGTCTGCTCCAAGAGGTCGCTTCCTCGTGGTGACGTTTCGTGCTCCATTAGATCATCATAATGAGCGACTTCCTCTTTGGGTGGCGTGCTGATCTGCTCCGGGCTCCTCCAAAAAGTATGTGACGTGGATTCTCGAGCAGCTCTGGGTCACGAACAGCTGAGCCAGTCTGTAAATGACGCACTCTAGGCTTCTTCTTTTTCTCCTTCTTCTCCCGCCACTTCCTCATTATCCCACCCATACAAATTGTACTTGTTTGTTTATTATTTGTGTTTTCGGCTTCGAAGAGATATTGGCCCCCGCATCCATCCTTCCTCATAATTATTCACACTGACACAGTTGTGCAGACATGCTTCTGATGAACTGTGTGACGTTGGCCGTCTGTCTGATCAGCCTATTTCGAGCGGCGTGATTGTCATTTGACACAATCCATTCTCATTCTCTGTCTGCAATTTGTGAGGTATCAGATGGTCCGCGGGGAGCTCCGTCTCGCCCTACTTTTAGACATTATCATGAAGTTAGTCAATCATCGCACTTTGCGGAAAAGAGCATCTTCTCGCTGAGAGAATCCACGTCAGAACCTTCGAATGAACTCTAAGACCGTTCCTAGGTTCCACCCTCACCCGATCATCCGGATTGTCCTTGACGCCTCGAAAAATGTTCGATGACCATCACCTTTGCCGTCTTTTTCTTCGCTTTCTACTTCTTCGCTTTCCAGAATGATGTCAGATATTAATGCAGCGTTCCGGGTCGACCCGAGGGGAAGTGGGGGAGGAGAGAAGGAGTGAGTGACACAAACATTCGTGGAGAGCCCCCTACACCCCAACTCTTTTTTCCCTCATTGCGGGTCGCTTGACCTGCTTCTTTTGGTAACTCGAGAGTTCAAGTGACGCGACTTTTCACGTTTCATTTCGTTGATCCGAACCTGAAGATCAGGCCCTAAAGATCACAGTCCCTAGCCATTTCTCCGAATCCGAGATTATTCGGGATCAGTTCTACGTCTTAAACTCCGTGCGCACAGCCTAGTAAAACGCACTAGCATTCCGGGAACTCTTTTCACAGTTTTCGAACTCTCAACCCACTCACTTCACCGATTCGAAGGACTCTTCCAGCAATTTCCAGCGCTGTCGATAGTCCATAGTCCCAATTTCCTGTGCCCATCCATCTCTCCTTTTCTCTCTCTCTCCTTCTCCCTTTTTCCCAAATCGTGGCGTACTTCCGTTCGGGTTTCGGTTTGTGGTGGTCGTTTCCGGTTGAGGTGGGGGTGGAATCAGAAGAGATACACCGCCCGGATGAACAAGAAAACGCGAGCACTTTTGTTGCTCACTGCCTCCCTCTCTCGCTCCTGGGCTCCTGAATCCGCGGGTCCACGTGGCTCACGCTCATCCTCATCACAATTCTATCCGTTTCTCTCCACCCTCGCAGCTTCTCGATCGCCTTCTAACAACATGATAAGCTAATTTGGCGAAGGGGTCAGGGGAAGAAGACGACAAAAAACATGACGCCGATGCGCGATCTGAATCGTTTAAATAAGCTCAATTC